GAGGGAAAGAAAAAGAAAAAAGAAGGGTTCCAGTTGGACGATGGATCTGGGCTTTCCGTATGCAATCGTTTCACTGGCCCGATTTCCTGGATTGGGGACTGCGACCAATGGTGTTCTTTGCATATCAGCTGGATTAGTAGGGAGCCGGGCGTGATAGGTCCGGCCGGCGTTGTCCGTGTTCCATGATGTTGTCTCGGTGGTATGAGTTTCCCCGGGGCTTGGATGATACGAGGAGGCCTGCGAGAAGCATTGTTGTTGTTGTTGTTCGAAAAGTAACCTGGAGCAACATATGCGAATTACCTCGCAGGCGTACTGTGCCTGCCTGATGATTGCATTTCTTTGGATAGAATACGGATGCTAAGCATAACATGACCGAGGTCACGCGCCGCGCAATCAAGGTGAGTCAAAAGAGAGAACGGCCATCGCTTGCGCGGACTTTTGATACGGCTTCGGCGATGATGTTGCGTTTTACGACTTACACGGACCGGCGATATCACCCAAAGTAAGCGGTAGCCCAGCCTCGAAAACGAATGTCGTTGTATTAGCCACGCGTACTACAATAGTACGTAGTACAGATACGTAGTGCTCCCGAGCTCTTGGTGCGATTACGCCACAGCCCGATTCACATTGATTGCCCTTTAAGGAAGGTTCGGGTGGCTGTGACTCACATCCCCCGTGGCGCAGCACATTTAAGTCTCCTATCCAATCATGTATCGTCGTTCGTCCCGGAAGGCCCGTATTCGCCACATCCAGAACGCCCGGATCTCCCGCTCGGTCCCGGTTTTTCGGGCTGCCGCCTTCTGCCCCCTTTGTGTCTACTGGCCCCCCTGGCTGGAGATAACGGCCAAAGTCTTTCCGAACCTCAACACCAATTCGACCATGGTGACTCTTTTGTTTTCTCTGTTGTTCCAGGGGGTGGTTGACAAATGGGTTTTATGGAATTGGAAATTACGTCCCAACGTTATTCTGGTTCTACTTTGATTGAATGTATTTTTGATTTCGGGCTTACTTGCACGCCCCCTCATGGTACAATCGTTCGAATGTACCCTTTTCTCTTGCTCTCTCTTCCGTCCTTGTTGCGCTGTGCAATCGCACCTAGACCGTGGGCTTTTTTGGCTTATGACGCAACGGCTGCAGCGTGGGTGTCGGCCTTAGGCTTCGATGCACCAATAACTCCTCGGGTCCTCTACCTCACTCACTGCACACACTTTCATACTCGCTCACCCAATACACACACCACACAACACACGCCTTACATAAATCGCCCCAAGTGCCAGTGCCTTGCGGCCGTCCTCGTGGCTGTAAGGCTTTGGGCAGCAAAAAATCCGTAAGATGCAGGGCAGACCGCAGAATGTGAGCGCATCGCCCATGCCAACTCATCCGATTGAATACCTTTTTTTCCCTTTCCCTTTCCCTTTTCACTTTTGCCTTCTTCTCTGCCTCTTCTCCCTCTTGGAGCCCGATCTGTTGGGGGCCAGATTCCGCCCTGCTGACAATTAACCCGGTTTCTTTTCCCTTTCTCCTGGGTTTTCCCTGCTTTCCCTGGCGCTGTTTTCTCTCGTGTGTCTGTATTTTTCTTGACTTCTTGGCGCACACCCTTCTTTTTTTTTCATGTGGTGTTCATGTTCGAACCGCTGGGCGTAGATTTTTGTCCGAGCTGCGATGCCACCACGGGACAAAAGTCACGCCTTACCTTTTTTTCCTCCTCCCCCCCTCCCACTCCATTCGCTGGCCATCTTCACGCCCCCTTCGGTGACTCACACCAGGAACCCGTCGGCGCTCCCACCTGCGAGACCTGTTCTGCCCAGGTCAATGCTTGCGCATCTCGGTGCTTATTCGCCGGGTGCGCTTCCGCGGTTGGGTGGTGGTTGGGAAACGTCGGTGCACCGGTGTCTACTATTTCTTTTGGTGTGGTCTATCTAATAGGGGTCTGTCTGGTCTGATATCGCCACTCAGGCTAGCTAGCAATTGAGTTGTCCCATATGCCATGCCCAGCCAGCCCATCGATGACGACGTATTTCCCGGCGCCCTCTTTTAAGAAACAAAGCAAATATGGGGGCGTAGGCGTGGACGAATCAGTTCATTTGTTCGCTTTGGCTCTTTTTTTCCCTGGCGCGGGACACTCGGTACGGGCTGTGCAGGCAGCAGTCGCGCCCGGTCCCGTCGAATAAGGTCGGTTAGTTTGCAGTTTAAGGGTCTTTGGTGGTAAGACGGGGCCAAGGGCGTCATCTTGCTATTTTTTTTCTTTCGTGGCCTTGGTTCCTGTCTGACTGGGTGGGATTGTTTGGTACGTAGTAAATGAATTATTGTGAGAGGTTGGATTTTGCACCGCCATCAAGGACATGTGTGCGTGTCGTACGCATCCGAGATACGCTTTGGCCAGTCGATGGCGCCGTTGACAAGATCCCGTGAGGGTGTGCGGACATTGCCCTGGGCAGGAACAGCCTGTCGCAAGCCGCCTCAATCTTTTGCAGGCTGACCTGGTGACGTTTTGTACCATCTTGTGGAAGGTGTCGAATCGACGGGGGCGTGAATCGGCTGTGCTTTGGGCATTCGTGAGGCGGGAGGTTAACGACACGCCTCTACGGTTTACGGGGTTATGCCTTCTTTTGATGAGGAGTGTATTGTCTGCCTACGACGGTGCTCTTGGGTCAAATGACATCTTTTCGAGGCGACAGTGTGCGCGCACTGGGTGGTTGTGAATCTGTGTTCCGGCCGTTTGGCACCGTGGAGGCTGTGGAGGCTTTCCGGGATGAAACGCTCGTCCTCTAAGCGAGCGAGATTGACTTATCTGGAGGACTCGCCTCGATCACTGTTCTGCGTCACGGTAATGGTAGTGTGACTCTACACATACGAGTCCTGGGATTGGTATCGCGTCCGGGGATATTGCGCATTCGAGATGTTGCCTGGTTTGGTAGGCTGTCCTGGACGCCTCATGCAGTTCGTGCCTAGGCCTCAGTTCTGTCAGGGGGTCCCTGGTAGAGGTGATGAGTCACATAGAGTGATGGTGATGGTGTCTTGGGTCATTGAGAAGCAGTCCTGATGGTGAGTATGCGTATTGTAGGTAGAGCCGATAGGCCGGTGTACGGGATGCTGTTCTTGATGGCTTGTGATGCCCGATTCTGAGTACATTCGACGCTCGTCACATGCGTGCGCTCATCATATGGGATACGTTAATTAGAGCACCTAATCTATTTCAACTACCTAATGAGTTCTCAAGTGTCACTAATATGGGAGTAAAATGACCAAGGATGACCGCGCATCTCAGGCAAGGGTTGTGGGTGTTGGGCAAATTGCACGCCGTTGTAAACATGAGCTGGTGAGGTTTTACCTCTCAGGGGGCGAATTGAAGGCATTTGTGAAGGTTTGGGCTACTTGATTGCTTGGCTTGGTGGTGATAAGTCCTAGCCGTTAGGGTAGAAGTTCTTAAGTTGTCGAACAAGTGACCAGAATAGTGAGAGATGGTATGATAAGTTCACAGAAGTTTCAAAGGTGGTCATTATGTTACTGAATGAAGATCTGGTAAGAGTCGCGGAGTCCGATAGTTGAAAGATAAACGCTCTACCAGTCTTGTCTAAGATGTTTCTCCTCCGCAAATTTAAGATGGAAAAGCAGACTGTCTTGTCTGAATGATTCTCCCATTATCCGTAGTTGTCCTTCTGAAAGATCACTGCGCTGCACCCGAAATTATTCGTCTGTTCCATGCTAGGCTCAAGATAAGAATTGGAAGAAAGCTTTGACGAGACCAATACCGGCTCTCTGGAACTCAATCATCGTTGTCTCTGTAGCAAGACAACTTGTCGCCTATGTTCGAGCTTTCAGATGGTCTCTGGGACTGCACAGGCGTCGTTCAGGAGATTGTCTCATATTCAGCCACAGATGACTCTTCTAGCAGCTGCGTCGTACTGTTTGCTTTATTGGTGCATATGAGTACGTAGTTTAGCATATTTGATCCGAAAAAGCAGTTTGATGTTGGATAATTATGCTCATTTTTCCCTATGGTTGTTGTTGGTAGATACTGTCTAAAGTTTGTAGATATATCTATAAAGACTGAAGGTCCCATGATATGCTTGCCGAAAGCTACAAATACAAGAACCCCCTTTTCAATTCATTTGAGGCTGAAATGCCCATGTGAAATCGCTCATGTTCTGCAAGTTCAACTTCCACAAGTTTTCGCTTCATCTCAAAGCCGCTGGCATCAAGAAGGACATCAGCTAGTGCTTCATCGAGGGCATTACGATACCCAGACTGCCAGTATACTATCCCCTAAGGAGCAAAACAAACCAAGGCATGTCGGAATGATTTCGATAGCTGCCTAAAATATTGACCTCTGTTTTCCAATCATGAATGAAAAAAATGCTAGCCATTGCTTGTTGCTTTTTACTTTCCACTTCACGTAATGCTACTCAACACCGTGGCAGTAAGGAATGTTAACAAGTGCTTTGAGGTGTTACCCAGGGGCTTGCATAAGTATCGCGAGTGACTGGTAGACTGCTACTCGAGTAGGGTGGCTCTTGTACCTGGTCACATCAAGCAGTTGTACTCGGGAGGCAGGGTTTAGCGGATGTTACTCAACCGTACTGGTTTCGTCCCATATAGATCAATAAGCTAGAATGGGGAATACAGTATTGAAAACAGCCAAGGATACAACTGGTCTGACGTCTGAGGATCGCAACTATCTTTCCCAGTTCCTAAGCTTCACTCCCTTTCGGAGGCGCCGGATACCACTTGCAGTCAGGCTCCTCCCAATCCTCAGAAAACTCAATCGTCTCAAAGCAAGTCGCAATTCCTTTCTCAACGGTATCAAAGTAGACAAAGTTGGTCTCCCCTTTCCTGCCATTCCACCACCTCTGCATAGCGGGCTCGATGCCACGATCCTTCATTTTCGCCTTCCTCTCACTCATTGGTATATCATTCATCCTGAATGCAATATGCTGGATGCCTTCTTGGTTGTTACAGAAGTCCAGGTAACCTTGCATTACTGTCTGTCCTTTTACGGCCTATATGATCTCGAAAACTGGTTGATCAGCGTCTGGGGACTGGGCAAAGGCGACTAGGACTTCGAACAGATCGGAGCCAGTTTTCCCGTGAAGCTCCTGTTTAGGCACAGTGGATGAGTCGAATTTGAACACGCGGAAAGGACCCATTCCGAGACGAGTCAAGTTGTCGAGGGTTTTGTAAAGATGGGGTGTAAGGATGCAGACCTCGTTGAGCGTGCCGAGCAAGGTGCTTGGAGGTTGAGATTGATTAGACGTCATGATTGGAATGAGAATTGCCTGAATAGATGTTACTGGAGTTAGCTGACTATGTGAAGACAAAAGACGCTGAAAAAGGTAGAAATACAAGTGATAAAAGTGCAAAATCAGTCTTGTTGTCTACAGGTACGAGACTGCTTTCCTACGTCATAATCTTACACCGGTACGATTGATCGACCTTACACTCTGGTACTCAACCAAATAATGGATTGAAAAGACGAGTTGCTGCCATCATCAGATGTCCATCATCAATTTCATCAAACACACTCCTTCAAGTTATCTCACATTCCTTCAATTCCGTCTTAACCTTTATTTACTTCCTTTTCGACACTCATTTTGACCCTAACCCCTCTTGTCAAAATGCTTTCCCAGCCGAGCCAGTACCTTGCCGTTGCTCTCAGAATGTTGGCCGCGACTGCTTCCGCAGCACCCCACGAGATTGAGACTCTTCAGCAGCCCAAGGAAACTGGCGCCTGTTACAACTCCCGGTTTACCTGCGCTTTCCAGGGCTGCTTCGCCGGTTGGACTTGTGCCCAGCACCTTGGTGACACTTCCTACTGCTGTGTCAAGTGGTGTAAGTACCGCAATCCCATAGGCCAAGTAAGCCAAGCTAATCCTCCATCAAAGAAATTATTAAGCAAATTGAGAGTTTTGGACATCAAAACCGTCATTAGTAGCCTTGTGAGGCCGTAACGTTTAAACCTGCCCAAGAGCGTCTAGAAGGCATATTGCGATCCCGCGTTATCCGAATATTACCAATCGTCAGAACATGTGTCTTGAATAGGTCTTCAATGTATTGTAACATTCTTTTTCAGCCTTACATGGTGGTTATTACTTTCCCTCGAATGCATCTTTCGAGCTTGCGGATATTGGGGCATAACAAGATGATTGTTAAGAGCCTTCAAATTTCTAGATATTGCTGAACTAATGATAACTAATGTTATGCGTTTTGTTACCATAGAGGCTCGCTATATTTAAGTAGGCACTCTATAATTTTTGATATCAACATTTATTATTTGTGCGTCAAAACAGGGCAGTTGTTACGGAGTACGTGATTCTTAACGGCTACTGCTCGTGCACTGTCTGTACGTTACCTTGTACAACCCTTGCTACCCGTTATGCAGAGTGATGTGTTCTCGATTGCATCCACCAATTTCTACTATCCCCGTCGACATGGTCAAGCGCTATCTCAGATTCGGCGTGTCAAATGACAATCTGTCTCCCATCGATGTAATTTTCACACAAAAAGAGCCCAATCTAGGTACGAAAGAGTCAGTCCTTGGGGGGTTAAAAATGCATTGAAAAGTTTGGCTGCGTTCTGTGAACGACGAAAAGTAGCCTAGGCGAACCATTTCTAGGCGAATCATCAATACCCCTGTAGAGGTTGTAACTTGTAGGTGCAATAATTCCACAGGCGGTATAAAGTAAGAAATTGTTGATGCGAAGGGCAACTTATCACACGAGTCTCAAGCTAGCTACCTACGCGAAGTATCGCTTGATCGTAGGAAGATTGCCATCATATATTGTGCTTTCTTTCTGCTCGTCTCCAAGGCAGATTAACTCGATTGTCTCTGAAGGGGAGTTACTGCATCTTGTTTCCTCGATAAGATCTACTTTGACTTTGGGGTTAAGAATGCAGGACACCATGGATGCTATATTACGAGTCGTTGATGCCCCCACTTCAGCCGCTTTTTTGAGCTTCACAAATCGAGGGCGATGCAACTTTCTGTACGCGTCTAATGACGATCGATACCTCATTTCCACTAGGCTCGAGAATATCCGAATCATCAAGCCAATGAAATAGCAGACTTCCTGAGCCGTAGTGTGTGCCTCAGGAGTCAGGTTCAAGACGCTTTCTCTGGTCGTCTAGTTTGGGCACTAGCATACGCATCCAAGACACATGGATCGAATTCCAACCCCCCAGCTGAGTCGGACCAAAGCCGATGAATCTATTCAGCCATGGACTCTAATGTCTCATCCATGACACCCGCATTTTGCCCTGGTAGGAGCCTGCTCGGAATGATGACAACAACTCTCCATCTGTTGACGTAGCATCTCCACTCGTTGACAAGAAGTCCCTCTGTGTAACATGAGAAGAATTACGACTGGCTGTCCGTAACAGTTTCAGTTTGAATCAAATGGTAAAATTAGCCAGAAGAGCTTGCATTGTCCGCTTTGATGGGACAATGTTGACCAACGCATCTTGCGTAATGTAGGCCGGTTGAATATTCCTACCGTCGGAATCTATACAATTGCAGCGGCTTAAGAAGCAAACTACTCTATCGTGGCTTTGCCTCTCAGACCATCAAGTTATCAACGTAGGCATGATTTTACCCCCAAGGGCTTTGAGCTGTGTTTTTTTTTTTTTCGCCGCTTTCAACATATAGAACCTCATTTCGGACTTCATATTATACAAACGAAGCAACACCCCAAATTTCAGTTTTTCGTGCTTCTCGCAACTTTCCTATAAAGGGCTCAAGTCTCTACCAGGTTCACTACAAATATGTATATACTGTTCATGCTCTGCTTTGTTGTCAGGGGCTAACACGGCGGTAGCGCGTACATTGCATATCCGGATGCTCGTATCGTCTCCTTCTGATAACAGTATTGCTTCTACTCGAAACACTACCGGCAAGGGCCAACTGTGTTGACTATGACTGGTAAACAGTTTCCTCCAGTAAGCCGAACATTCCATTCCGAACAGCCGTTTGGGGGCGCAGCGCGCTTTCGATCGACAATGACGTCACAGCCCGGCCAATTCCTGTTGAGAGGGAATCTGGTGAGGCCACCACTATAATAAGGGACGGGGCCCGCAAGATCGACGCGACTTCCATCTCGGCCGGTGATGCCTTCAAGGCGTCAGTGTATAGCCAAACTCTGTCTAAAAAGAGTTACGTACATGTTTATACAGCACACTTCGGTGTTCTGTCTTTCTTCGAGATTTGCATGCAATCTCATCGCTTCAATAGGAGCTTCCTCGACAGGAAAGGCGGCCGCGAGGCAAGTAGAAGCAATAGGTAAGAGTATAAACTTCATGACGAAAGGTTACTTCAACGTGGACTACGGATAGGGCGATTTTTGCTGGATTTTGGTTGACTTTTTACAACATGCACACATCAGACGAATAAGGCCATATTTATACTAAACACAACTTTAGGAATCGGAACAGTCAGTCACCTCTCGGCTTTCCACGCAACCGATGCGATGTCCTCGGAGCCCCTCATCCGTAGGTTTTCATATTTCTTCTTGGCCTTATTTTCGTCAGCACAGTTAAGATTAGCTGCCAGCGTTCTAAAGTGTCGGGAGGAGCGGCGACAGCCCACGTAGCCCCATTTTTTTTAACAACAGTTGCCCGCGGCACCCGTTAGTAAATTGATAGCAGGGGGGTATCTTCCTTCTTGATTTATAAACTTGTCCGCGGACGGCCTTTTATCGTTTAGCATTGTGGGGGTTGTCGGTAACAAGACCGAATCAAGCATAGAGCTTGACGTTAGTAGGGAATTAGTAGGAATTACGATAGTCTATATAAGGGATAAAGGAAGGCGCCTAGGAAGGTTTAGAGGAGGTACGTTTAAATAATAATATAAACTATCCCCTACGTTATATTATTGTTAACGCTTTCACTCTGTGCGACACCCAGCATAACACAGACCTGCCGACACTTGTTCCATCTACTAAACGCTGCTCGCATAATCAGCTAAACTTTCCCTCGTACCCCCAGTTCCGGCCGCGGCTGATCCAATGTCCCCTCTTCTAGCTCTGGGACTCTGTCCTTAGAAAGCGCGTCATTTCGGCTGACAAGACTCGGGGGAATCGAGGGATTGAGAACAGGAAACTGGTCAAGCACAGGCGTTGTCAAGTCGAAAGGTAGCGACCTTCTCAACGCGTCCCCGAGGCATTTGATGTTTCTCAACAGAAAATAAGTCGCCATCGCCCTATCAGGAATAATTTTATTAGATTCTACCGGTGTTCCGTCACCCATTCTCAGCTGCGGTTCCAAGTCGTCGAGCTCGAGGTCGTGCGTCACGGATCGAGGAGGGCTGTCGACCAGCTTATTCACAATATCCACAAGTGAACGGGCATGGGAACCACCGAAATTCAAGTTGTGGAGAGAGAACGGGGGTTCGTTGCTGATGGGGTTTGGCCCGACTCTATTTTCGCTTAGGAATAGACGCTTCTCGATATCCAAGAGTTGCATAGTCAATTTGACCACGCCCTCCATCGTGCCCTTGCAAACGCGAGGGTGGCGCCAGAGACTGCGAAAAATGCGGCCCCAGATGGCCCTATCCGTGACCCAGAAGAATACGTTCATTTGGTTGTTGGTGAAATAGGGTCTGCGGAATAAGAGGTCGATGATCTTCTCCATGAGACTGATAAAGGCCGGCATGCCGGCACTGGCGGATGCCAGTTCGCAGATCGACGCCGCCCAATCGCCCAGTTTCTTGTTACCCTCCGGACTGCATTCCGCCACGACCGGGATCATTTTACTAATTACAAGCTCTAGCTTCCTTGCGGCGCGTGCATTGAGGCGGTTCTGTTGTTTATCAATGCACCCTGGACTATTGATCAGGTACACGATGAAGTCAGGGACGTGGCCAGTCATCGGGGCGTCAGAGCTTTTCAATCTAGCGAGGAGTTCCTCTACAATGCCCTCTCCGCAGCATGGGCTGAGAGAACTGCAAAGCAATGAAGTGGTGATGTCTCCTTGACAATGTTCGAGGATGCAGGTGGGCTCCGAAGCATCATCAAGCATCTTTCGTAGAACTTTCCCAACCCTGGTGCGGTCGAGTTTGTCTTGAGTATTATCACCGGCTACCAAGACACATTTGGCCAAATAAACCAACCGACATTGGTTTCCTAATTCCGGTATTGCGTGTGGACACAGCTCTTCAATAGCTGGAGGACTCAAGCTTTTCGGTGATTCCATGGTGCGACGTGGACAACTTGACAGCGTATCTGGGTATGATTTTTGGAAAGGCAGAGAAGAGCGAAAAATGAAGATTTGCAGTGATGGAAGAGAACAGATGTAGCTTATCAACGCTTGATGCCATTCGCAACGTCTTTCTCTGTGTTGTTCGCTTGCCGCTATGCTCGTGGATGATCCGAGAGAACAATATCAGATTGACAGAATAGGCTTGGTGAACAAGATGAAATGAGGCAAAATAAAAAATAATAATAGATAGGGTAGCATATTGGCAAAGCAGCCTCACAACAAATGATATTAAAACTACCCATCTCCGATGGCCCGGGGGGGGGGGGGGGGGGGGGGGGGGGGGGGGTGAAGAGGAGAAAAGCACAGGAGTCAAGCTGGTAAGGCAAAGACTTCATGGCGGGACCCAAGATCAAATTGAAGACAAACCTTATGTAAATGGCAACTTCTTTACCATGGAAGGCTTACATCTCTTATATTGATTACCTTCTTGGAGGAAGCTGGAGGGAGACATGATGATTTCTTTGCGACCTACTTTGGACCGTTTACTCGCACCATAGTATTAAATGCCGACAAATATGCTTTTAAACTTCAGCCACTAGCCCCAGTAGGAGGGTCGAAAGATGAGGATATGTTCGGTATGCACGGCATCAAAGGGTATGTCTCAGTCTCCTGAAGCTCTGGCCAAAGTACGCATAGCCAAATGAGTTGAAAACTCTATCCCAAATGTGCGAAAGGCTCCAAGCATGACCTCTAACACTTTGAACATCATAGAGACGACCGCATGAAATAGCACCAAACTGATCTGGAACAGCTGCGGTATGAGTTGCTGGAGGTTACCTTGGTTTTTGTCGATGGAGTGTTTGAGCTACCATGACTTACTTTACATATACGGGATTGTGTTAACCTGTCAAAGCCATGCTGTCAGATTAACCTTTTGAAGTATTCAGGCAGGTGGGTTATGCGTGGGGCTTGCGTCCGGCAAGATCTGGCAGATGAGTTTGGATGACAGCACTTTTCCACAACGTAGTGGATATCGAGGCTATTGCGTTTGCTCCAGCTCGTGCCACCCACTTGGTGGTATCATTATTTGAGATTAACTCCACAAGTATGGTGCTCTGCAGGTCTCCAGGTAATGGCTGTAATGTTTCAAACATTTGGCGGCTATGCAAGCCATCGAAAGCTGCACCCCAGATACGCAGGTGGGCTGCACGCATCACGTAAAAACATCGTGGCGCGTCACGTTATCGCAAGTCAAAGTGAAGCTTTGCAGCACGACTGGCCAAGGGCGTATGATTGGATACTGGAATACTGGAATAACGCTTCCTAAGGAAGGCTCCTGCTGCAGCAGCGCAGCCTCAGTTGTTGCCTCATCTCACCAGGCTGAAAACTGGCTTGGCTGGTGCCGGAGAGCCCTCGGTCAAACTACTCCTAGCTTGAAGCTCTGTGTCAGTCCTCTTTATTAGTGCCATCATCGCATTTCTAGTGGAAGATGTTTGGTCCCCACTGAACAAGGTGTGGTACGAACGAGGTGGAACTGCGCATATACGGCCAATCGGGATGAATCAGACCAGGCAGGGGGTTTCAGGCCAGGCCATCCTAAGGATATGCGGGCAGCCTGCATTTGCCCGTTACTGTGCTGCTCTCAGCGATCCGTCAGCCAGTCCCGCTGTCTGACTAGTCCAGTCCAGTGTGTCCCTTTCGGAAACACTTCCAAAACGGATCTATACGCCGGAGGCTAGTTAGATGAGCAACGCCCGACTTTCATGGACAATTGAGGAAAGACCGCTCTCGCCTGAATTGCCTACCGAAAGGACCCGTCCCGATGGGAGTTGCTCCTTGAATTATTGTACTTACTATACCTGGATTTAGAGGCTGCGACTGTGAGGCGTCGGTAGCAGGGTTATCTCGATAAAGTGAGATGCAGTCGACTTTCGACAGCGGACAATGATCTTATCCTAATCTAGTGACGTCAGGCCATGCGATATCACGCAAATAGAGTGTTTCGAGGCCGTTGTGGCTTCGGCAAGCGTCGGAAGGGGCTTCAAGGAGGGCGTCGTTTTACCAGAACAATACTAGCAGTGATTGCATTTCGCATGCGTGGCATTCCGACGGTGACGACAGCCGATGAGGGAAGGCGGACAAGGTGTGGTGGTGTCACCGGTGTGGCATTGGTAGACGATGGCGTGTTCGTTAGGCGGGAGTCAGGAGGTCGGTTACTACCCAGGGGCAGCCATACGGGTGATGGAGGCGGCGACCCCGGTGCGGGGGAAATCAGCCTCTTTCGACATAGATGGCGTGCCGAGACAACTACACTTCCCCGAGAAGGCTCGCTGATAAGCCATCCCAAGGCGTCGGTGCGGCGCAATGGCTTAATTCAAGAAGGGAAGAAGAGGCTAGAAGGGCGATTTGATAGACAGAACGAAAGCTAAGAGATAGGCGAGTCTCTTGCCAAAGGGATTATCGACACAGACGGCAGGCAACAGATGGACAGTCCCAAGGAGTGAGATACGGATGGGTCGCATGATGGTACGGCGCACCACTCGATCTTTCTTGGCCGCGTTGTTCGGCGTCTTGGGTGTGTCTTGGGACCGGACACTTTGGGTCGCTGGCGTTGGGAGGCTTCGGGTGGAAGACTTGTCTTTGGCAGGTGGAAGGGAGCTGAAGGAGAGGGGGGCGTTATCTGGCTGTGGCGAGCATGCCAACACCGATAAAACAACTTGGCGAGTGCTTGGTACCAGTGGTGAAAGGTTGATAAAAGATGCCAAAATTTGCAAAAGGGTTGGCGAGGGTTGGCATTTCTCGGCTAGCGAGTGAGAAGTGGTGGTTTTTGTGGATTGCGCTGGGTTTTGAGTCTCGCTTGGGGGGAAATAGACTAAGAATCCACGAGTCTCACAGAGGTAACGGTCGCGTACCAGCCAGGGGTTGGTTGTGGTTTTTTTGTGGCTTCAAGCTGCGGATACGTAATCGCGTGAGCTTTTCTTTTGGGCGTATTGGAAGCTCACTGGCTGTTGCGAGGATTTTTTGGATTGGCCAAGGGCTGGGCAAAGCACAACGACTGTGCAAGCGCAAATTGCATCCAGTCGCGGAGGATGCAGGTGGCAGCGGTGCAGTGGTGCAGCTATCGTTTATTGAGTTTCTCATTCAATCCTTCTGGGTCCCTCCATGCGGGTTGGTCCTATTCTTGATGCTCGTGATGCTGGCTGAGGAGACGGTTTCCTACTTTGGTTGATTGGTTTCCTTGCGAGGAATGAACCCACAGTTTGTTTGGCCGAAGTTCCGAGTTGGTACGAATAGTACGAAGTAGGTTGCATTTGTTTTTCTTTTCCCCTTTTCTAAAATCGAATCAGATTCAAGAAAAGCGAAATACAGAAGAAAATAGTGATTAAGTAGGGAAAGGTAACATGGATGCGTAATGGATAACGAGATACCGCCACAAAAAGAAAAAAGGAAAAAAAAAAAAAGGTAAAAAGAAAGCCGAACCAGGGCGATGGAATTAGATGGGAACGGGAGTTGAAAGTACCTTCCCACTAGGACGAATATTGCACACGGCAGGGAAACGCTTTGGGCTGCAAGTGCAAGTGCAGAGAGGCATCTACACTACGTAGCAAGCAGACAGGTACCTCCCTGCTCCCCAGGTAGCTACTGTATGTAGCTGGAGCAGGTGCAGGTGCAGGACAGCAGCGCACCTGCGAACCAGGGTAGTAGGGCAAGGAAGGTGGAAAGGTATGGTAAGACAGGCAAGGTAGCTCCGTATGTGGTTGCCCATCCACTGTCATCCTTCTGCAACAGTACCGTACACAAGTGACAAGGAAAGAAGCAGGTGCGATAACCGTCCCTTCCTCATCCCCTGTCCCGTCCAGTCCTAGTGGTGCTCGTCCCTCCTTCCACTGCTTCCTACCCCCCTCGACTCATCACTCCTACTCTGGTAACAGCCCCACACTTCCCCGCCAAGATCTACCCCCCCTTGCCGCCCCTAGAAGGCGCGGAACGAGCTTCTATGCATCATTCCGGGCGGACTCCGCTGATAATGGCCAGTTACCCAAAAGCTACTCACCGATACCTCTGACCTGTCTGCTCTCTTCGTAGCACAAATCGATACCTTTGATCCTCTCCTCATCCCGTCATCCTCCTCCTGTTACGCTGTTGGCTGTGACCAAAGCCATGGGTCGTGTCTGTGTCATGTTGTTGACCTCCACACCCACGCCAACTAACCCCACCACCTTACATTTGCCTGTTTATCGGGCTCCTCTCGTCTTCTAATTTGTCTTCAATCCTAGATGGACCCCCAAGACCACCATCTGCTTTCTCTCCCTCACACACTCTCACACTCTCTCTCCTCTGGTCCCCTCCTCCGATCAACAAGGGCCCTCGCAACCGCTCCCTGGATGTTCCAATGCACCTTCTGTTCTTGTCCAGCGTCCCGTCTGCTTCACTCCACTTCCCCAAGACTTGGCCTTCCTCTTCATCTTGGCGCACAGCCATCTTACTTGCTTGGGTTCACCTGTCAACTTTGGGAGCCCTCTCACTCGTTGGTTACCGGCGCCGCGTTGCTTCAACTCGGCCTGTTCTCGATCCCCTTCCCCCCGACATACCCTGCCTGCTCTTCGCCGCTGATAGTCATGGCCACATGTAATCACTGGGTACGATAGGCCCTCTGCGGAAGCTATGCGAAGGCAAGGTACCGACATGGCTAGCTGCGGATGCATGCTAAGCTGTGCTAAGGCAGCGAGGGCATGGAGCTGCGAGAACACGCCGTGGTGACCGTCGCAGTCGCGTCCTCCTCGCCCTCCCATGTTCTGTCCTTTTAATCCCTTCGCGTCCCCCCTTCGGCTCAGGATGCTCCCTTCTTCTACCCTCTCTTGTGCCTCACCTGCCATCCTCCACGGGCTCGTTTGCCTCCTCTTCTCTCATTTGCGCCCAAGGGCCTACTTTTCTCTTGACTCCAATTCCATACCCGTCAGACTTGACAGGGCTTCCATTTCAACTCGAAGAAAATCGAGAGAGCACAGTCAAACCAGTGAGAGCGCCCAACGCCGGCACAAGTCGACACAATGGCGGCCGAAAAAGACGTCCACGATGGCGTCTCAACGCCCGAGACCACCCATGTCAACACGGATCCTCGCTCTGGCGGTATTCCGCCTGTCACCGGCAAGGCTGAGACTGCCTATGGAGAAGGTACCCTAAGCCACGGAGCTGCCATCCGTGACGACAACTTTTACACGCGAAATGGTCTCAACTGGGAGTCTTTCAAGCCGCGTGACTACGGACGTGGCATCGTTGAGCTCGACCGTACTATGAAAACCCGCCATCTGCACATGATTGCCATTGGTATGTGCACGGTCCAAAAGCACCATATTTCCTCTCAAGAAACTAACATAGTCTCGCTCAGGTGGTTCTATCGGTGCCGGTTTCTTCGTCGGTTCGGGAGGTGCCCTCAGCACCGGTGTGAGTACTTACTTGTCTCATGTGTATCCACACGAAGCGCTGACTTGTTATAGGGACCCGGATCTGTCTTCATCGATTTCTCGATTATCGGTGTTATGATGTTCAACGTCGTCTATGCTCTTGGTGAACTCGCTGTCATGTACCCTGTCTCTGGTGGTTTCTATATCTACTCGTCTCGTTTCATTGATCCTTCCTGGGGTTTTGCCATGGGTTGGAACTACGTTTTCCAGGTCAGATTTGCATCCCACTATTCTGCAAACGTTTTCAAACTAACAGTCAATAGTGGGCTATCGTGTTACCTCTCGAATTAACTGTATGCGGCATGACAATCAGTTATTGGGAAGGTGCTAGAGATGTTAGTTTAGCGGTTTGGATCACCGTTTTCTGGGTCGCCATCATCTTCATCAACGTCTTTGGAACCCTGGGATATGCTGAGGAAGAGTTCTGGTCCTCTCTTCTCAAGCTTTCCGCTATTGGTAAGTGAACCTAACCTGGCATGGGAATAAACCCTAACACAGTTCCTAGTCATCTTCATGATCGTCGCTTTTATCCTGGTTCTCGGAGGAGGTCCTTCCCACGGTCGCTACAATGAATACTGGGGAGCCCGATACTGGTACGAACCCGGTGCCTTCCAGAACGGCTTCAAGGGATTCTGCTCCGTCTTTGTCACTGCTGCGTTCTCCTTCGCTGGCACTGAGCTCGTCGGTCTGGCTGCTGCCGAGTCTAAGAACCCCCTGAAGTCTCTGCCCGGTGCTATCAAGCAGGTCTTTTGGCGTATCACGCTCTTCTACATCCTTGGCCTCTTCTTTGTCGGTCTCCTCGTCCCTGCCGATGACGAAACCCTCCTTGGCGCTGAGAACTCTTACCGCGATGGTGCCTCGCCCTTTGTCATTGCAGCTAAGCACGCAGGTCTTTACGGATACGACCACTTCATGAACGCCATCATTCTGGTCTCTGTTCTTTCCCTAGGTGTCTCTTGCGTCTACGGTGGCTCTCGTACCCTTACCGCTCTCGCGCAACAGGGCTATGCTCCCAAGATCTTCACCTACGTCGATAAGGGTGGACGTCCCCTTCCCTCCGTCATCGTCCATCTGCTCTGCGGTGCTCTCGGATTCATGAACCTGTCCACTGACGGAGAGACCGTCTTCAACTGGCTTCTTAACATGTCTGCCCTGGCTGCCCTCTTCACTTGGGGATCCATCTGCTTGGCCCACATCCGCTTCCGCAAGGCTTGGGCTTACCACGGCCACACCGTCGACGAGATTCCCTTCAAGGCTGCCCTTGGTGTTACTGGATCCTGGATCGGCCTTGGTCTTTGCATCCTTGTTTTCATTGCACAGGTGAGATTTTCTACATTTATGGATTTTGGTCGCAATTGCTAATAGCCATCTCAGACCTTCGTCGCGATCGCCCCTGCCAAGAACGATGACAAGCTCAACGATGCCGAGGGCTTTTTCGAAGCCATGCTGACTGTACCCGTCGTCATTCTCTTCTGGGTCATTGGATTCATCTGGAAACGCACTGGCTGGCTTCGCACTCACCAGATGGACGTTGATACCGGCCGTCGTGAACTTGACTGGGAGGAGATCAACCGCTACAAGGCCGAGGTTGCATCCTGGCCTACCTGGAAGCGCACGCTGAACAGATTCTTTTAAATCTGGTTTGACTCCTCCAAGTGCATCTCTGCTACAATGAAGTCTCGGGCTCCTGGGGCGACAAGTTTGTAGTTTTGTCCATGTTATGGGGAGGATTCATAGTGAATTTCTTTTTTGGAAACGCGCTTTTTGATACCACTATCTATCATTATCTCGTCTAAATCTGCTCGCAGACCTGGGCGTGGAAAGTTATAATCTGAATACCCACGGCGATTAATACAATCATCATTTGCCACATAATGCTTTTTTTTGTAAATTGGCCGTTACATGTGTGATACTTGAGTAAGACAGTTACCGTAATACATTCGTCACGACTTCGACAAACTTTGCCGGCTCCTGACCATGGCCTGGATTTCATGGCATTCCGGTCGACTAAAGAAACGATTTCTTGAAGCCGGTTACCCACGGCTTGCGCATGTCTGGACAGCAAACCGTCTCCTGATTACCCAAGACATTCCAGGGGGCTCGGTGAGGCGCTTGATTGCGCGATGACACCTAGAAATCCGAAATAGGAAGCTGGGAGGGGCCCCAGCCAATGCTGTCAATAACCTTTGCACGTCAAGTTCGGCACGAGATACGAGAAATCCTTCCGAGAGACTGGGCAAAGGCGGGCGTCTGTATGTGTTTGGTACATTGTGCGCCTCCCGGCCTGGCATGGCTTAGTCTACATGTGCGTGCCCTACGACAGATAAGGTTCAGGGGAGCGGATAGGATAGGGAGCGGCAGGATTTTGGGCTGACGGCGCATGTGCGCGGGAGAACAAGTCTAGAATGTCTCTCTCTCATGCTGGCATGTCGTTTTGGGCCGTTTTACCACCCCCTCGTGCGGTCGCCCGACCGATCCGGGAAACTGGGTGGGCTGGGGTTGGCGTGAGCTGGGCGACAAGAATGATAAGAGGCCAAGTGTCTTGGGGCAGGTCGCCGAGGCTGGGCTTTGCTGTTGTTGGGAGGGATCCCCGCTGGGGTGCTTTTTGGAGGCGTTTTGTGTGTGTCTTTTAATGAACCGGTGTCTGGGCGGCGGCGAGATGAGTTGAGTTGGATTGCGTAGTGTGGTGCGCATGATGGTTTGGCGGTGCCTGAGATTTGATGTTTTAGGAAGGAGATGGGAATTAGTGTTGTCATTGGTGATTTGTGACTTGGTAAAGTTTGGGGCGATGGTAATATGACGTGGGTAGGTTGAGATTGCGACGGGTTTGGCGGTGGTAGGTTGTTTGCGTTTGTGATTGGCTGATTGTTGTAGACTTGGAAGACTTCATTAAAGGTGTTGGGGGGTCGGTGAGAGACTAGAGTTGTGAAAAGGAGTTTTTCAGAGTCTGTAGATACTGATTTAAGAGTACCTAGGTAGAATTTATGACCCCCTTTTTTTTTTTTAATGTAAGCTTAAGTTGCTTTGTTGCTTTTGTGGTTGCAAGATGGTTCGGCGGGGTATTTGATATCTTCTTCTTCTTTTATGAATCGTCATTGTCGCATAGCAAATTCCTTTATCCAGAGTTTTTTGCGTTATGACATAAGATAGGCCTGATGGATGCACAATAAATCTTTCACATAACGCCAGCCTTCCGAGAAGGAGAGTTACAGAATGCCTACACTTTCCAACCAGACGAGCCTACCTACGACTGAAACTTACAACTGCCGTGTTCAAGACTTTCGAAAGATATTACGCGCAGCTTCTTTGACACCAGACCTGACTAATCGATCATATACAGGATCAAAATGGGAGTATGCCCAAGAACCACCTGAGTAAAAAAGTCAAGACGAAAATGTGTGGTCTCAATGCTACCGTCGCTATCTCTCAAACGCTAAGTCCCTTACAAAATCAGCCAGTTGTTATCCTGGTCCAACCATGACTCTTTAAATTCCACCTCCGCTCATACCATCATTGTCACGAACCATACCGCTCTCATGCCGCGCACAGCATACTCAAGCTTCAGAGATGTTGAAGCCGCGGAACACAACCTCCTCGCATCTTCTCAAGAAATCAAGAACATCCTCCTCAGTGTGCCAAGCATCGTTGTACGCCGCGCTCAAACACAGCTCATCTCTGAAAGTGCCCAAGAAGAGACCCAGGCCGTTGCACAACTCCTCGCCGGTAACCCACGGGTTGTGAGCCTCGAAAGCGCCGGCCTTGGGCGCAATAATGCTGTCAACGCGGCCCATGCTGGAGATCGACACGGAAGGATGCTCCTTCGGCGGCGGCACTGGCAGGGGTCGCGGCTCAAGGGGGACAGGGGGGATGCCGGCCGCCCAGATGACAGGCGCCAGGGCGTAGTGCTCCTTGTCATTGCGGATTCCGTGGTAGAAATCCTTCATGATTTGGACGACAGGGAGGAACTCGTCGTTGCGTGGGGTGTCATCGCCCTCGGCGGGGAGGTCCATGTCGACCACGAGACTCTGTCCCGGGACGGAGTGATAGAGCGCCGCCGGGTGCTTGGGAGAGTTGTAGGGCGACTGGCAGCTGGAGCGCTCGTTGCGGAGAATGTAGTTGACGTAACGGACGCGCTTGGCTTCGGCGCCGCGCTTCTGGATGTCGCGGACGACCAGCGCTATGGCGGCGTGGAAAGCGTGTGTTACCGTCGCATCAGCACCTTTGCATGCCGCGATGAGACGGCTGGTTCGGTCCTTGTTGAGCGTGATGGAGGTTCGCTGGTGGCGCTTGGGAACGGTAGCGCCGCGCCTGTACGGCATATCGAGGACCTCGATGCCGGACGGCTCCATTGCTGCAGCCTTTTGAGCTGCCATATCGGCCAGGCGCTTCTGCTGGGCCTCTGTAAGAGTGGGAGGCACGTTGGCGGCCACGCGGTAGGGAGGGCTCAGGTTCGCCGCCTCGGAGCCGTCAAAGGATGGAAGTTGGAAGGCATCGGCTTCAGCGTATGCCTTTGAGGCGTGGGTGATGAAGTTGTTGATGAGAATCAAAGTGCCGATGCCATCGATGATGTCGTGAGGAGAGCGGAGGACAAGGTCGCGACGGACGACGCCCTCTTTGTCCGAGGGTGGGCTGAGGACGAAGAGGGTTGGGACCTTGGGAGCTGGCGGGTTGGAGTTGGCCCACTCTACACCCGTTTGGTTGGTTGAGACCGATACGAGAGTCTTCTCAACCCAGGCTTTCTGCTCCTTCTCATCGCGGAACTGGTTGTAGGTTTTGGTCCACTTGCCACTGGTGGGATCTTGAGTCGCCTGAGAGGCAATGGTCGGGTGGTCGTGACGAAGAGCAAGCCAGGCTTTCTCCAACGCTTGATTCACGGCCGTCTCAGCCTCCGAGGCCGACTTTCCCTCGCCGACTTCGATGTTGAGGGACACGTGGCCGGTGATGGCGAAGAACATCAGGCCGCTACCCTCATAGAGAACGGGGAGCGCGGAGTAGAACTCCTCCACCTCATCTACGCTACGTTGCCATACTCCCGGAGAAGCCTCACGCCAGATAAGTTCCGGGTATGTGGAAGCCATGTCTGATAGAGGCGGAGGATTATGATGATATGAGAATTGGTCAGAAGATTGCACTGAACTTCATCCACCTAAGCAGTTTCTGCTCAGGTTAGGGTAAACGCTTGACTTCTTATACCTGGTAACCTTGCCTCTTAGAGGCGAAACCGGGAGCGCATCCGAAGAAATCGTGGCAAGTCATTCTACAACTGTGGGCGAAACCAGCACAGAACGCTCAGAATGGGAAAAGTGGTGTTGTTGGTTGGAAGAACTAACTAACTGGCTAGAGGGCTGTGGAGGCTGGCTAAGACCAGTGGTGGCGGCCGTCAGCCCACGTGACGGGCCGGCGAGGCCTGCCACCCACACCCCCTCTCAGACTCCTCAGCGAAAAAGCAGTAGAATAATAGGAAATACAGGAAAAGTCCCAAATCCTCCAAATCCGAGGAGTTCTCAACTATTAGAAAACTCGGTCAATTACCGGTTAAACCTGGCCAATAGGAGGCCGTGAAATCCTCCGAATCCCGAAGTCTCAATATCAATAGTCCCACAGTCTCAAAATCCCCCTCTCAATCCAATCCCTCCGCCATGCCCAACAAACGAACGAATTCCTTGTGTTTGACCGCAACCAGTGGCTTCGTGAGTCCATCGGCGGCCATATCAGCGCCCTTGATGAGTCGGAGTTCGATGCTTTTCGCAGTGTGAACCTCCTGTATGATCCATTTGTATCGGACGTCGATGTGGCGGGTTCGTGCCTCGTTGAGTGGGTTCATGACGTTGTCGTAGCCGTTGGCACTGTCAGTGAACATGATAGTAGGCGTGGTGATGGGTTTGCCGAGCAGTTGGGAGAGGCAACGTCTGATCCACTTCACAGCAATTGCCGTAGGTGTGAGATTGATGAATTCAGCCTCCGTGGTGCTCAAAGTCACGAAAGTCTGTTTCTTTGACTTCCAAGCAATCGGCGCACCAGCGAGGAAGACGACGTAACCACCTGTCGAGACTCGTGATGGCTTGTTGTCAGCGAAAGAGGCATCTGCAGCAGCGTAGAGCCCCAACTCGTTGATCGTGGGGATGCCTCCAAGTACAATACCGAGATAAACGGTGCCCTTGAGGTATCGGAATAAGTGCTTAATAGCACGAAGATGGGCCTTAGAAGGCCCTGAATTCGCCTGTGACAATTTACTGACGGTGTAGGCCATGTCAACGCGAGTTCCAGCCACCAGGAAGTTAAGGCAGCCGGTTTGTTCGATGTAAAGTTGTTGTTCGTCAAGCGAGCACTCGTTCTTGTCCCAGGTGACGGGCAGATCGTCAGTGGTCGCCATAGGCGTCTTGACAGCACTCAAACCATCAAAGTCGAATCGTTGAAGCACTGCTTTTGCGTACTTGGCTTGGGAAACGAAAATCTTACCGGCAGCTCTGTCGCGTTCAATCTGGAAACCGAGAAAATCGGTAGCCTCGCCGAGGTCTTTAAGAGAACAGACCTTCTCGAGGAGACGACGAACTTCCATCATGACTTGCTTGTTGGGAGCGGCGATGGCGTTGTCGTCGACGTACATAAGAACGTACGCTTTAATCTTGTGATTGACGAAGAGACAAACCTCCCCATCAACAGCAGTGAAGCCAATTCGTTCCATTTCACCCTTGATAAGTCGAAACCACCAAAGTGGTGATTTTCTCAATCCATAGAGTGCCTTGTGGAGCAGCCAAACCTTGTTGTCTGCAGTGGCGTAGCCAGCGGGGGGCCGGACGTACACCTTAACCCCCTCTGGAATCGAGGCGGCTAGGAAAGCAGTGTCGAAATCATATACTTCGTATTCAAGATCGAGAAGTGCGACAACTGCGAAGAAAAGGCGGGTTGCGGTGGCAGAGGCAACTGCAGCGTAAACCTCTTGCGATGACCAGTCACCTTTCTCGTGGTTTCCACAAACCACATATCGGGCCTTGTAGCGCACGATTTCGTTGTTTTTGTTGGTTTTGATGTCACATACCCACTTGCCGGGCAGGACTTTAGCGTCACGTGGTGGGTAAACGACTTCGTAAACCCCCTTTTCCGTGAATTGAGTCATCTCTCGTTCGAAGGCTTGTTCCCACTGGGGCCACTGTGGGCTCTTCTGCGCCTCACGGTAGGACTTCGGGATCACCACGCCGTCGGGTAGGACTTTCGAAAGGGCAGTAGCAGAAAGCACGCTGAGAGAGAATTGACGAGAAGTTAGTGAAGCTGGAATGTCAGCAGATAGAAAAGTCTTTTTAGCATAGGAGCGTACGCCACTGGCGGCTCGGTAGTGACCAGGTGGTCGCTGGGCTGAGGCGCGGCGAGGTCGAGAGGACTCTGCCGGTTGACTCGTTGCTTCCTCAACAATCGTGGAGAGGGAATCAGGGTCCTGGTGATCAGTTTCCATTGTTTCCACGGAAGCGACGAATTCGTCATCATTCAATTCGTTAGTAATGCTGTCACGAGGTGTAGCAGTGGTCTCCAACAGGTTCTCTGGTGGCGGAGACATGAGATGTGTATCAGTGGGTGCCATCGCTTTTTCAACGATGGTCTCATCTGGTTTGGGATCACCAGTCACGGGTTTTTCACCTTCAATAGGCTTCTGACGGATGGTGTACTGGATGATGATATCTGGTTCGACAAACGCAGCATCATGTTCAATTTCATCAATGTTGGGTGTGCCAGTAGTTGGAGGCAACACTGTCTTGTGCGGTTCCTCACGAAATCGAACATCTCTGCAGCGAATAACCTCCTTTCGATCAGGCAGGTAAACGTAGTAAATGTGGCCACGAAGAGAACCGTAACCGACGAGGAATCCCTTGATTGCTCGTGGTTCCATCTTGGCAGAGCGCATAGGGCGTCGAGGGCCCTTCTTGTGTACGTAGGCAGCACAGCCAAACGTTCGGAGATGTTCAATGTGGGGGGCCTCACGTTCAGCAGCCAAGTTCAGCTCTCTCGCCATGATCTCGTGAGGGCTCAAGTTACCCTTGGAGGGTGTGGGCAAGAGGTTGAGAATCTGAGTCACCGAATCGATGCTGTAATCCCACAGTTCCTCTGGAAGGGACATGTCAATCAGCTGTGTCCGGGCGCCTTCGACGATGGTACGACCAGCACGCTCAATAGTACCGTTCATGGAAGGCGTGTAGGCAATAGTCGTGTTGTGGCGAGTACCCTCGAAGTAGGGGTCGTTGAAAACCTTGATTAGCTCGGGAGCATTGTCAGAAACCCAAACCTTGGGCTTGAGGCCGGTGAGACTGTAGAATTCAGTATCCCATTTCTTGATAGCTGCCAGGATGGTGGCAAACTTGTGGTTGGGCAGAAAAACAACCCAGTGGTAACCACTATACTTATCCATGAGGTGTAGAACCTGACGGTTCCCTTTTGTTGATAGGGGAAGAACACCAACGAGATCAAGGTGAATTTCATCGCCAATACTCGTAAGTGGAAGTGGGTGGTCTCGACTAATCCGTTCAGTGGATTTGCTGAGATGGCAAGACTCACAGAAGAAAGCGTCAATTTCTGACGTTGTGAACCGAATGCCAACACGGCGGCAAGCCTCCACAACACGTGATGGGTGGGCGTGAACCAGCCGGCGGTGCATCAGTTCAAGAGACGGTCGCTGGGTAGCCCGGAAGGCGGCGAGGCTGACAGCAATATCTCGAGGCACGTGATTTCCAGTATCATGAGTCTCAACGACGCAGACGTCAGAAACCCAATGAACTTTGGCAAGGGAAGTGCGCTGTGTCACGTGTATGAGGCTTGAGGTCTGCCAATCATATTCCACGTGATCACGACGAAGTTTTCCAGGGCTCAGTAAGTTGGCTGGGCTGGAAGGGTTGTACTCAACGTTGTGAAGTGTCCAATCGTGAATAACGTCAGGGTTGGTGGGGTCTTGGGTCTGGAAGAAGACGGTGCCCACGCCAAGTGACCGGACTGGGGCGCCGGAGGCAGAAGTGGAAGGTGTCAAATCGCTCTTTTCAGCGTACTTGACGAAATATCGCAAGTTGTTGAAGGTTGAAGTAGTACAACCAGAATCGAGAACGATATCGTCTCGGGTGATGAGGTCATCGCGGGCAGCAGTGAAAACTGCTGGGCTGGCGATGGAGGCAAGGGCAGACTGACCCAAGATGGCAGGTGACGCTCTGACAACAGTCTGGCGGGTGCCATCAACAGAAGTAGGCTGATCCCAGCGGCAGCGATCGCCACACACGTGCTTTCTCGCTTTTTCAATCAACTTATCCCGGTTGACGTAGTGTAGAGGGATGAGATTGGGGTGGGCGACATAGCACTTTGTGGTCTCGTGATCACAGTTGCAGTGGTCGCACTTCTTCTTTTCCTTGGAGGCAGTGACAGTGGAGGTGACGGTGGTGGTGACGGCTGGAGAGGCAGGACCCCCACTGCCAGCAGACTTGCCTCCAGGTGTGTTGCGAATAGTGGCATAACTGCGCTTTTGATCCTCGTCTTGGGCAAGCGTGTAAATCGTATCAGCCACCTCATTCCACGTGGGATGGGTGGCGCCCTTCGATGTGAAATGCTTGTACGTATCGGGAAGTCGGTCCTTAAAGAAGTTAAGGAGGAAAACAGCGAGGAAGGAGTCTGGCAGACGACCGTGAATGGTCTCAATACGCTTTCTGAGGTGGTGACAGCGATTGAGGGCATCGTGAAGAGTCTTGTGATCGTTGGCGGTGGTCTTGGCAAACTCGTCAACAAGGGCAGCTGTGGCGTCTTGTGAGATTCTCGGAATGTGCTTCTCGAGCGCCTGCCACAATTCGTAAGGGTTTCCATCGTCAACCCAACCCGCTGTGCAGAGTCTGTCAAGAACCGATTCGCTGGCGTTCATGAGGAGACCATTCGTGACGTTACGGTTCTTTCTCCATTCCTCTGCAGCGATAGGGTCAGCAGGGCGAGGGACGTCAGTCTCGAGGAATATCTCGAAGTCGTATCCTCGCAGGGTCGCTGTAACAAGCATGCGCCATGTGTTCCAGTTGGATTCACCTTTCAGGCGAGGAAGAGGCGTGAAGACGGTCTTGAAGTCGTTTTGAGACATCTTGAAGTGAAAGTGAGGGTATCACAACAGTGCGGGACAGACTTATAGTCGCACCTCGATCACAGGCGTTTCTCCGAGGCCGCAGCTTTGGAGGCGTGTCTGTACGTTAGATGGCTTACTTTCGCTGCCACCTACGCGTGCTGTTGGATTGTGTAGGAGGGAGAATCTTGCGTAAGAACACGAGAAATGGGTGGAATTGTGAGATCCGACCGTAGAAATACGGTGAATCGAAGGGAAGAATGAATACTCGTAGAAGATACGAGAAACTGATGGGCTGGTTCGAAAAACCGAAGCTGAAATGGTTGAATTCTCGTGAGAACGAGGAAATCGAAGTAAAAGTATGGTTGTAGTGTGGTTGTGACTGAAAAGTCTGTTGTTGTGGTGGAATTCCGTGGTGTTCGTGAAAACCAGTGGGTTGTGGTGGTCGGTCGCGTGCCACGTGATATTCGTGCGCGCCAGGCAGCCAATGTCGCGTCAGAAAGTGAAATTCGTCAGCGAAGAGGAAGGAAAGAAAGCGAGAAAATCGCACAGAAGGGTAAATAAAGCGAATAAAATCGCAAAAATTCGTGAATCAATAGAAAATTGACAGACGAGTAGAATAATGGGTAAAACGACGTTATTCCGAAAGAATAACGCTGGGCTCATAACCTGTGGGCGAAACCAGCACAGAACGCTCAGAATGGGAAAAGTGGTGTTGTTGGTTGGAAGAACTAACTAACTGGCTAGAGGGCTGTGGAGGCTGGCTAAGACCAGTGGTGGCGGCCGTCAGCCCACGTGACGGGCCGGCGAGGCCTGCCACCCACAGCAACTGACACGTCGTCCAGAGCTCGACCCACTTTTATCAGTACTCATGAGAGGGCTACATATAAGTACTTCATCTGTCCCTCTGTTTCCCAGCGTAGTTCACAAGGTACCGAGACTGACACGTGGGTAGAAATTTATGACTTGAATAGTTCTAGATAACTCTTCTGCTCTTGGGAGAGATAGATAGAAGAAATCTTGAATCTCTATGCGACTCGTTGAACCGGAAGAGGCTTTCGCTGTCTCCTTAGCGGCCGAATCCCCGTGTGAGAGTGTACCCCGTAGAGACCTGGTTGGCTACTGTTCGAATATTCGTAGGCGCACATTCAGGGGTCAATCGTGATGTGTATTGTGCTTCTTCTTTTCCTAAGACCTGTCCGTATCCCTTACGCGCCTTCTTCCGGCGTGTTCCCTGTGACTAAGCGCACCTAGCGCGGTCCTCGGCCAAACATTCCTCCTAGCGCCTTCCTGGCATCCTAGGCGCTCTGCGTGTGCATCGCTTCCAGCGCCCCTGGCCTACCACCCTTTTTGACACACCCCTTTAGCCTTCGCGGCTCGAGACCTCGGTCCTAGGGCGCTCCTGCGCGCTTCATACGCAGCAGCGGAGGCTACCCTTAGGGGTGGCAGGCCAACCGACTTCTTCCTTATTCCTCTCCTCCTTCAAAGATCCCTCCGCTCCATGCGGTCTCTGCGAGAGGGTCCCTCTCTTCGCGTAGTGGTTCCGTCTCCTTCTTCACCAAGTTGAGCTGTTTTATGAAGTCTTCAAACGGTTGCCTTGCGAGGCTCTTCGTGAGTCCGTCCGCAACAAGGTCTTTCGTTGGTGTGTGGACGACGTTGATGGTGCCGTTCTCAACCTCCTGTCTCAACCAGTGGTTGTGTATATCAACGTGACGAAGCCTCGTCTTTAGAGTCACGAGTTCCTCAGTTACTATTCGAATCGTCTGGAGGTTGTCGCACTGGATCGTTATTCCGCCGCTTGGAATCGTCGTATTAAGAGCACTCAACAGACGGCTAACGAATATAGCTTCGCGTGCTGCTTGTGAGAGGGCGAGAAGCTCTGCTTCTGTCGTTGATGTTGTGACTGTGTCTTGTTTGTTCGCTCTCCATCCGATCAATCCTCCAGCAAGCCGTAGTGCGTACGCCTGAGAGCTCTTTCGATCTAGCGAGTTATCTGCGAAGCTGGCGTCTGATGCGACTTCGAAACTCTTGTTGTTGCCATCGTACTCGAGACTAAGGAAGCAGGTGTCCAAGATGTACTGCAATACTCGATCTGCAGCGCGATGATGCTTCTGAGAGGGATTCTGGTTAAACCTCGCCAGACGGCTTGCAGCAAAGGCGATATCGGGGCGCGTCATCACCGCCAAGTATAGGATCGATCCAATCTTTCGTTGGTATGCCGTTATTTCGCTCTTTGAGGCGTGCTCCTCGGCGGGCAGTAGCTCCTCGTTCGTCATAGGTGTCGTAAATCGAGTGTTCTTCCTCTGTGATCCTTTATGTGTGCCTTGACCAATCAACCGTGCGATCTTCTGTGCGTATGCTGCCTGAGATAGCCAGATTTTCTTCTTGGCTCGGTCGCGCGTGACCTCGATTCCTAGAAACCAGTGAAGAGGGTCTCCGCCTTCCAGGTGGTACTTCTCTTTGAGCCCGTTAATGAGGCGCTCAGCAGCGTTTCTACACTCAGGGGGAAACGCGAGAACACAGTCGTCGACATAGAAGAAGAAGAGCACGCGTCCCTTCCGCCAGCAGCAATTCTCGCCTGCGACGCGTTCCATCCCCATTGCTTTCAGACCGTTCTCTAGATGCCGTTGCCACAGTAGAGGGGACCTGCGAAGGCCGTATAGAGCCTTCTTCAGCCGCAGGACCTTCCCCTGCTGCTCATGGCCCGGTGGAAACTCCATATATACTGTCTCGTCGATCGGAGCGTGGACAAAGGCATTAACTGCGTCGTACTGCAGTAAGGTAAGATCTTGCTGGGCCGCGGTGGCAATAAGGGTTCGGAACGATTGTCCAGCGAGGGTCGCAGCGTATGTATCCTTGAAAGCGTTTTTAGCCTGTTGATCTCCTCGAACAACGATCCTTGCCTTGAGTTTCTGGAGTGCTCCCTTCTCGTCCGTTTTATAGACGTATACCCACCGGCAACCCAGAATCTGGTGCCCGGCGGCTTCTCTACGGTCCACGACGACGTATGTATCCATCTCATCGTGGCTCGCGAGGTGCTTCTCTTCCGCTTCTCGGAATCCCCTCTCGTAGGGGTGGCCGTATAGATCGGCATGTTTCTGAGGCACTGGGGGTAGTACGCCTGCTTGGCTTTTTCGCTGGGGCAGAGGACGGTCCTCTCCCGGAACGCTAGAGGCCACGGTCTCAACCGCGGGCCCCCCGTCACCTGACACGGGCCTACCGTTGTGGGAGCTTAGCCCAGAGGGAAGGTCTTCCTTTACCCTCGAATCAACGTGGTTTCTTCCCTGACGGAGGTCGAAGGCACGCTCACACCCAGGGTTTCTAAGACTCCTCCTGGGCCCAGGGGCAGGGTTCATACCATTACCACGTCCGGCTACGGTGAGACCTTCGAGTCTGTTGTTCCAACATACTACCGCTTCCAGGCTGGTATCGGCGTTCTTCGCCTTTTGCTTCATCTTCACTCGTTTTCTACCCGTTCTGGTGCCGCCGAGGAAAGCGGCTTGCCAGGAGGTACGCGGAGTGGTAATTGGAAACTCTTCGTGGATCGATTCGCGTGCATGAACCGCCTCAGGAGCGATCGAAGCACGTCTCTTCCTCCACCCCTTCACTCCGAGTGCCTCCTCAAGGCCTGCGAAGAACGAGGTGGGTGGCGTCCGCGGTGGTGTATTGAGTTCGAATCGTGACTCCACGTACTTAGGCGACGGCGGTGCGGTGTATTCTTGTGCCTCTTCGTCTTCAATGTACTGGACTTCATCGACTTCTTCGTCTGCGGTGTGTGCGTACTCTGGAGATGTTATCCCTGTGGGCGAGACCTCTAGTCGCGCGAGAAGAGCGTTGAGCTCGTTCACGTCGAGGTCTTTGAGGTCATCCCGCAGCTCGTTGATATCTCCATTAAAGAACTCGGTTTCCCTGAACACAACGTCTCGCGTTGTGATAACGCGGGCAGTAAGCGGATTCCACACGCGGTAGGAGTTGCTAGTACTGTACCCAATGAGGTAGCCTATCCATCCTCTCGGTTGAAGCTTTCTCGACTTATTCCTGCCTAGCTGTGCGTCTGTTGTGAGCGCATACACTTTGCAGCCGTACGCTCGAAGGTGGGCTTGATGAGGCTTCCCGAGATCTGGGCCGCGAAACTGATTATGGAACCGTTCGAAGGGCGTTTTCCAGCCGCGCGCCGCTGACGGCGTCCTGTTGTATAAATACGTCGCGGCGGCAACGATTTCGGGCCACAGCATCTCAGGGAACTTGCCTGCCTCGCGAAGGGTCCTAGCCTTCTCCTTGATAACTGCTGCGATTCGCTCGGCGCCTCCGTTCTGGGCCTGCGTATTGGGCGCAGAGGGTTCGAGGACCACCCCTTGAGATTGAAGGTGAGTGGCGACTTGCTGATGAATCGTTGCAACCTCGCGGTCACATTCGAAGACTTTGACCTGTATATTATATTGCGTCTTCATCATGGCCATGAAGAGATCGAATACCTCGAGGAGCGTCTCTGTTGTACGGTCCTTAAGGTAGTAGTCCCACGAGTATCCTGTTAGTCGGTCAGAGAGTATTACCGTAGACATATAGCCTCCGTATCCTTGAGGGCTAATCGAGTGAAAGTCGAACGCCACTCTTGATCCTGGTTTTGCCCACGCTATAGACTCGCGTGGGGCACGTCGAACAATTCGTCTTGTCTTCCCTTTTCCACACGCTGAGCAGTCAGGCAGCTTGTTGCGTAGGTCACCCATGATCTTCACGCCTCGAGAGGCGTTGACGAGGTGCTCCAGCACCCCCTCGCCCGGGTGACCCAGTCTCTGGTGCCATCTGAACGGTCTTCCTGCGAGTCTTTTGCGCGGTGTAAACGATGTGTGGCGCTGCTTCGCCTGCGTGACGAATCCTGCTTTGGTATTGTCCTCGATAACCTGTTGTCCATGGAGATCGTGAAGGTAGCAGACGAGTGTCCCATCCGCTCTTCGTACGCAATTCTGGCCTGGGCGGTTATCCCACCACATCCCTCGTTGCCGTAGAAGGCGGTAGGAGACTAGATTCGTTGCGAATTCTTCGCAGTAAGCGACGTTGTATAAGCGGAGTCTTACCTTCTTCCCCCGCTCAGCGTCAGCCGTTATATCCACGTTTCCATACCCTAGGATTGGGACTTGTGAGGCTCCTGCCCATAGGTAATCCCCTGGTTCAGCTGCTCTGAAACCTGAGAATCGAGCCCGGTTGTTGAACACGTGTAGCGATGATCCTGAGTCGTATATCGCAGAGTTGTGTAAGGGGTACTCAGTCCGGATCATGAACGCAGAACGGTCACTCGTATACTGCTTCCTCCACGATGCGTTGGCTGACCCCATACACCGACCATACAGTCAGGTCTGCTTCGCTTCCTTCTCGCGTTGTTCACGGATCTTCTTCACGCGGTCCGCGAGGTCGTCATCGGCCTTGAGACGCTCGGTGACCTTCTTCATGATGTCGTTGCTGGGCCTCCATCCTTCATACGCTTCCTCTGGGAAGCAGTAGAAGCAGTTGGCAAGTAGGTGTCGTGGCAGATCACATCCGTGACACGTTGGCATCTCGTTTTGGGTCCGCGAATCGGCGGCCCTATGTCGCTTCTTGGTTGTACTCCGAGGCATGGTCTCCTTGGGTCCTTCTCTTGTTGTGGCAAAGGCACCTCTTGAGGCTCTTGGTCCTGTCGATAGGGTATCTGCGTGGATTCGTATATATCGTCGTACTTCCGCAGAGATCTCGCTGATCGAGGGGTTGTCCGACTCGTGGAACTTCGCCTCGAACGTGGCGTGGAACGCAGAAATAGCGGTCTTCGCAATGACCTTTAGGAAGTCCTCGCTCCACTCGCTGAAGTCCCTTGTCTGGGCAAGGTTGACCTCTTGTCCCTTCAACATTGCGGCCTCCCATTGCTCGAGCCAGTTCTCGATCTCGGCCTTCGTGGTTATCCGCTTTGTAGCCGCTTGCTTGACGGTCTTCTCGTACTCCTCACGCGCGGCGCTCTTTTGTTCATTGTTCGAGATCGAGGCCACGCCCTTCAGCTTGACCATCCAGGCGTGGAGGGTCTCCGTAGGTTTACAGCACGCATTGACGTACTTCTCGGCTGCTGTCGATAGGACCCAGTTGCGGAGCTCTCGTAGAGCAGCCGCTTCACGCTCGTAGATACGGATATCATGGTTGTAGTCGCTCCGGAGCTGTACATACTCCTCACGGTCCTCCTTGACAAGGTCTTGGAGGCGTCTAGCCGTCTCGTTCGATCGAACTTCTTCGATATCTGGTGTCTGTGACACCTCGATGATTGATCCGCGGGTATGTCGCGGTATACCTTTCTTCTTGTAGTCGGAGAAGGCCGGAGGCTCCGGCTTCGGCATCCGCTTCTCGGGGTTTTCGGCGCCGGGATCCACTTGCTCCCAGACGTCCAAGTCGGTGGCTTTACCCTGGAAAACCTTATACCAGGTTGGCCATTGACTGGGGTTGTTGAGGACAATGGATTCCATCTTTGCTTATGTCGTTATTGATTCGGGCTTATCGCGTGGGTTTTGAGGGACGTAAACGGGGTGTTCGTGTGTTTTGCAGTTGATCGGATCTTCGAATAGCTTCGTTTTGCCTGTAGGTAGGCCAATTGGTAGGTAATCAGACTGTTAATTGTTCGAATATTCGTAGGCGCACATTCAGGGGTCAATCGTGATGTGTATTGTGCTTCTTCTTTTCCTAAGACCTGTCCGTATCCCTTACGCGCCTTCTTCCGGCGTGTTCCCTGTGACTAAGCGCACCTAGCGCGGTCCTCGGCCAAACATTCCTCCTAGCGCCTTCCTGGCATCCTAGGCGCTCTGCGTGTGCATCGCTTCCAGCGCCCCTGGCCTACCACCCTTTTTGACAGCTACAGGTACATCCTCAAGAGGGCAATTAGCTACTCAGAGGATAGCCAAGGCTTATTCTAGCTAGCCGAATGATTTTTGAAAAGTTACTTACTTTGTCTGCAGATTCTGACTTTGATATATGCACCTTGAGTTATCATAGTTACAAGAACGCAGCTGAAGAAACTTAAGAGTGGACAACGTATAGTCATGTATTCTTGATATGAGGCGAAAAAGGTGGGTGTAAGCTGTAGATTATGTATTTGTAGCCAACCGAGCCCCGATAGAATATGTTGCTTAGCAGCACTCGATTGGATACGAGTTGGAAATCTTCTCCTTCAACTCCATTTTTGTACTAAGTCCACACGCGTACCGTACCTGTCGAAGCTGAGACATAGTACTGTCCCTTGGCAAAAAAGCTTGCTCAAAACATCAGGTCATAATGCAGGATCCGTTGAATACAGATATGATCGGCCTAAGCTCAAGAATTCCACAATACAATGTAGTCACAGTGTGAAAGCCCCGTGCTGATGAACCCTAATTGAACAGTACATTCAAGCTATACTCATGTGTGCAAAAGTACAGTAGCAAGTGGTAGCTCGAGGTGAACGCGAGAAATACTGTCTTCCGAACCTCAGGTTTGGAAGGGAAATTACTGGGCCTCACATGATAAGGTAGACATCTGGCCGAGAGGCCAAGAGGATGTAACAAAAGCCTGTACCGTCGCTATTGTAACAATATATTAATTACCTGAGTAATCATGGCAAGATATTATAAATGATAAGGAGCTTGAGAACACCTCTTTGTTTATTCCTAGTGTACACAGTCTACCCGAAAGCAAGAAATGACTTAGTTATCGTATATGATGTATTCTGATTTCTATGACGACAGTTTGATTGTTGCTAGTAGTAATATGCTTTCCAGTGCACCCAAAATGAGGTATCTTTATTCTTTAATTTTGGTAGCGAACTACTCTTATAGTTTTGGTGGCTCCAAGGGTCGGCAAGGCGGGTTGACAGCTCCACATCGCTTTCCAGTTGTGGAGGAACCATCAGCTAGAACTGGTTAACACAAAACGGATGCTTCATGGATAGGTGCCTTGGGCAAATTATGATGACGTACTTTTGCAAATAAGGGGCGTTCCGTTGGCGAGACATCTGATGCAATCAGCATCGTTACGGCATTCACCTGATAAACAGTAAGTGTCAATGACAAAAATGTTTTTTTAAAAAGTTTTGATAAGGTCGACGCCTCGTGGGGAGTTGTCACCCCAGACACACTTACCTCCGATTCCCCGTTGAGCAGCAACGAGGGAGACAAGGAGGGGCACAAGAGTGACAACACTTGGTACACGCATGTTGATTGATGTTTGACGATAAGACGATAATACGATAATGAAGCTTACTGGAAACTTATAATAATTAATAGAAGATTGATAATATTCACCATGATAAGGACTGAGGGAATATCTGCCTGATATTTATACGTCACTCATCATGTACCATCATATTAGAGTTTACCACAATTCGATGGAACGGCACTGATCTTGGAATTGACCATATCATCAATCTGACTCGAGCTTTCTGAATGTCGGAACTCCAGAGACTCCATAATCGTATGGGTGAACCAGCATTACAGCTAACAAACTGCGCAGCATGACCTTGACTCGATACTCAAACGCTTGGCGGCGGGCTGCGAAGCAGAGACTGATTGGCCGCACAGTTGTTCTCGAGTCAGACCCTAGCTATACGATTGATGAATACGGGTAGTCACAAAACAATGCGTTGCTCAGGTATACTGATATTGACAGTAATAAAATACATTGATGCACGCCTAGGAGCTGGAAGCCCAACAATTTTGGCGCATTTACAGAGTTGGTTGATTGACACCGGTATTCATTATTTCATGCCCATATTCTTGAGAACCTCGAAGCCAGAGCCATGACTTTCCAAGCGCAAAAGAGAGTGAAAATGAAAAGCGGATACCCCAGATGTCGATCAAACAGCAGTTCGGTCTCTGAGATCGACATCAAACTGGACGAACATGAAAATTGGAGACAAACTTGAGACGGGCTGGGTATCTACGGCAGTCCGCAGGGCGCACTGGGTCAAAATTCAAGGTAGTGATAGGAACACCCCATAAGCGTAAACATATGTAATCTCGCGTAAAACGATTTTTGTTTTTGTACATTTCTAGGTGGGTATTTGCCCTTTTAGGAAATAAGGGTTTACTACATAGAACCACAGCCCCCTACGAGGCTCTACAATAATCCGTCGGAGGTTAGATCTTCCGGTTCCGGTTGATTAGGTGCATGGTCTGTGCGCCCAAATCGACAAATAAATAGGAATTCAGTGGGGCCCAGAACTTCTTCCTTTTCCCCACGCCAAGCAGAGTTTAGGTATGTGACCCCTACTGTACAGAAATTTACAGCGCTCTCTACACTGTTTTACAGAGATTCAGTTTTTATCCTTTGTTACACTTCCGTTTTCTTTTGTCTTCTCTATTTTTGATTTTTTTTTCCGATTTTTTGAGCTTTTGTACATTTCTGTACAATCATTTGCTAACTGTTAGCTTTTGTACAGATTCGCACATCCCCGGGCGCCAGGCGTCGCCCCCGTCACATTACGTACAGTTTTCCAGCAAAGCTTCACAACATCCTACAACATCCTACAACATCCTACAACATCCTACAACATCCTACAACATCCTACAACATCCTACAACATCCTTACAATCCCGAACGACACTCGACATCACTTTACACTACCGTACATCATGGCTCAGGACATGGAGCTGGCTGCCGAGCTCGTGCCGGATAAGATCGGAGACATAAAGATTCCTACGGAGTTGCCCGCCGAGCTACCCTCTATGTACACTCATGCTCTCGGAACCGGCTACTACCTCACCCGTATGTACACTTCTGTAGTTCCCCTACAATATTGTACTAACTTGTTACAGATGGTATTCCTCATGCCAGCAACACTCTCATTAATAACATTCTGGACAATGAGGAAGCGGAGGTATAGTCTCCTTACACCCCCGTACGTACCTTACTCTTTTGCTTACATATTGTATAGGCCCGTAACTTGATCGATGTTCGCTCTGCGGTCAAGAACGGAAGACGTCAGAAAAAAGCGCTTGAGTACAAGCGTGCGCAGAATGCCAACTCTTTCCTTATGCACGTGTACGGAAATGCGCGCGAGGGTAAGGACCAGTGCAAGAACTGCATCAAGGGCAATGGTCCGTACAACACCTGTGTTGTTCTGGACGGCTATGCTAGCTGCGCCAACTGTACATACAATTCCGGCGCCTCCAACTGCAGCTTCGGTAAGTTTCGTCCCAACCTGTACACAACTAAACATGAATCTGATCTATTCTATACAGCCCCGTCCCCCTCGAAGCGACCTGCCGCAGAGATTTACACTTCCGCCCCGAGCAGTAAGAAGTTGTGCGTCTCCCGTGCGGAGTATGACTTTCTCAACGCGGTCCGTGGCGTTAAGCCCAAGCACATACGACTCATTAGAAATGCGTTAGTTTCTGTCGCAGACAAGCTCGCTGATGTTAAGTACGGTACGTTATCGTACATGTCTGGTGCCGTCTGTACATCTTTGCTAACTACAGTTATGTACAGATGAGAACGAAAACATCGAGATCGAGCTTTGTCACGACTAAGCAGGACCTTACAAAATCCTACACGACCGTACAACAACTGGAGATGACGTGAACATGCATTTACACAATGCCACAGATGCCTACCAAGGCGTATGGAATCGGGAATCCGGCGTACAGAAACGATAGGTATACTTACAGGAATGGGAGGATGGATACAGGCGTTTACGGTTGGTAACTTTGGTTTGCGGGTCGGGCACTTCTGTACAGGGTTTGGCACCCCTGTACAGAAGCGTGGGACTGTCCGTACCCTTGCGTTTTTAGGTTTTTTTTAAGATACCCAATTCGTATTTCTTTGCCAACATCTGTATTTTCCCGTTCTCCCTCGTGAATCTCCGTATGGACTATTGCAGCACCTCACCATGGCTGGCCGGCCACGTATCGACCTTACCCCTTTTCAATCTATTATTACTGAAAAGTTCCAGAATGGCTGGACTTATTCTAATATAATTACATATCTTTCCGAATCATTCCAAATTCAGGTCTCTCCGTCAACATTTAAACGTTTCCTACAAAGCTTAAACCTCCGCCGCGAAGTCCGTACAGAATTTTCCAGCGCCTTACTACAACGTATCTTCCAGCTCTTCTTTGATCATAGGCTATCCGATTTAGATATTCTTTTATGCTTACGGACGGAAGGCTTCACAGTCTCACAACGTGGCTTAGAAGATATTCGAAAATGCCACAAACTATGGCGCCGTCAAACCCCCGAGCAGCTTCAAGCAGCATTTCACCAAGCTGTAAACTTCCTTGCCTCTACAACAAGTGATGAAGCACGCGTTACACGAGACTTTGGCCGAGAATTCCTCTTTACATATATGCGCCAACGTGGCCATATTATTAGCCGCTCGGTCTTATATGAAGCATATCGTACAGTTTTTCCCGAGGAAGTTGCAAACCGACTGAAAGAGATCCGATACCGGCGGAAAGGTTGGACTACGCCAGGTCCAAACTTTATATGGTCACTCGATGCATATGATAAACTACTTCCGTTTGGGTTTGAGATATATGCTAGCATCGATGCATACTCCCGTTATATTGTGTGGTTTTACGTTGGGTTTTCTGCACATACGGCCCGTTCTGTATTAGCCCAATATCTATCTACACTTCTATCACGGGGTATTATGCCACAAACTATTCGTTCAGACCGTGGTACAGAAACTATCTTAACTGCTGGTAGTCATTGGTATCTATCACAGGACCGTACAAAGAAGGCCCCTTTACAGCCAGGCCAAGACGTTCCTATTCAGTTCCGTGACTGTTGGATCTTTAGTAAAAGTATCCATAATGTTAAGATTGAAAGCTGGTGGAACCAACTTTGTCAAGCACAGTCTGCAACTTGGAGAGTACGTATTATTTACCTTTATATCTATTTATTTACTAATAGTATTAGGCATATTTCTATCGATTACAAGCGTTAGGTTTATTTTATAACCAATCGCTTTCTGACCGTGTTGCCTTATTATTTATCTTTATGCCACTTATCCGTAAAGACTTTACCTCTTTTGTTCAACTCTGGAATAACCATCGCATTCGCTCACAAAAAAGTCGCCCACATGTTGTTTCTGGTCAACCATGGAAACTTTATCATCATCCAGATCATCAAACCGCACAAGACTTTGCTCAGCCAATCGATCACGTAAAGATTCAAAAACTTCAAAACTTACTTGGAAGTGAAGAACTTAATTTGGATCAATTCCTTCCGCACGAAGTCTTTCAAGTTTGTAAAGGTATTATGGAGCCTATACAAACCTTTCCACCAGTTACAAACTTCTGCGGTACACAATATCCACGTATTGAAGCATATAACTTCCTACGGCAACGTCTTGAAGAATATATTGAGGCTAGGATTCAACCAGAACTTCACTTACTACCAAAACAAAATGGAGGTATTGAATAGGTAAAAGAACAGTTCCGTAGCCGCGGGATTAGTATAGATGAACTTTATACATCACTGTCAGGAAGTGATAGTAGTTCAGAAATAGATGAAACTTGAGTATATAGAGTATACCTAAACGATTGTTTCCTCTTGTCGTACTACTATTTCGTCCTCTTCCTTATCTTCCTGGCTACCCCCCTTAAGAGTTATATCCTCCTGAATAACGTCTGTATGGCCCTGCTGCTCAACTTGCGAGTGCGTACGCTTGCGTGACTTTATTCCTTCTCTCTCCTGCTTTATTACTTCTTGTGCCTTAAGAGAAGGCTTTCGTTCGGTTCGAGTTTGAATTCGAGTTGGAGGTTTAGGCGTAGGCGCTTTCGTAAACATATTGACAGTAGGTAAAGGTGTTGTACTAGTTGTTACCATGTCAAGCGTATGTTGTTTCAGTCGTAACTTCTTTGATACTTGTGGTTCAGTAACAAGCGGATCTACTTGACTTTCGGAAACAAGTGCGATAGTGTAAACGTCTTTGTCAGGGGTAATTGAGGCTTCGCGAAGAAAGGTAAAAAGGTCTTCAGCCTCGTACGCTACCCCACGAAACTCATGCATATCCGTAGGATTCTTTGGAGTAACGGGCATTGCCTTCCAGTTTCGGTCAAGGAATTGCTTCTCAGACGTAAACTTTACTAAGACCTTACTCATCATATCTGTATGTGAAGTAAACTTAGAAGTTAACAAGAACTGTGACTTCCTAATAAACTTTTTAACAGACTGAACCCGAGTGTATGTTCGAATAGAGATTCCATCTATATCCGTAACATAGAAAGATGCAAGCCATAGGTGAATAATAATATCCACAGTTGGGTTCGGAACTGGTTTCTTCTGGGTTTGCTGGATACTAGCTGTACGCTCCTCTGAGCCCTTAATAAGAGCAGTAAGGAGACTATTGTCTGGCTGTGTATCTGGTATATAAAGTGCTTGTTCGATCGGGTTGGTTGTAGTATTGGAAAGTCGTGTACGTGATGAAATCGTAGCCGTTGGAGTTTCGAAGTCGTCAGTATTGGTAAGGTCGATTTCGTCCGGTTCTTGTACTTGGGATAAATCGATTGAACAAAATGCACACGTCTTCCACTTCCATAGCAGTTTTGCTGAGAAGTGGTCCAGGTTAGCCCGCTTGGGGCACCTTAAAGACATATTCGTACAAAATATGGTAAATATTATTGTTGAGAATTGAGAATACACTCCTGTGCGGCCCCGTAAAACTCTGTACATGCACGTATACGAAACATAGAATTCGCTTAAATTTGTGATAATTACATAGTAAAGATAAGAAGCTTAACTATCTATACGGGTGGTGTATGCTTATCTCGTTTATGCATCCTAATTAGGCAATGTTTGAATTTTGACCCAGTGCGCCCTGCGGACTGCCGTAGGTATCTTCCACAACAGGAACCCGAGCATTTGGACTGAGTTGTCGATCCGCCACACGATCTCCCCCAGTCATCTGTTCTCAACAATTCGAAGTCAAGGTAACAGATGCATACATCAGCTGGCAGGCCCCCCTTCGGAAAAGAAACTTTGTATCGCGACGGCCAAATTAGAGTCCAGACTCCTAGATTGGGCCGTACACATTGGATGCATGGGTTGTTTTGTCCGTGTTGTGCAGTTTGATGCCGTAGTTCGCTATGCCATGCCTTAACAAGTCAGCAGGCTAGCGATGATTGAATGCGTTAAATCTCAATAGTTTGGCTTACGAGCGGATCATTAGGGCCTGATACCGAGGTGGCGGATAATACGACGTGATGTCTTCGACAGCCAGCGGATCTTGTTTGTCTTCGAGCGCATTCAAACATCGGAATAATCTCTGTAGGCCGGTCTTGACCGTGTGCTTTTCTCCTCCAAAGTTCAGACGAAACCAGCCTGGCCTGTTGGAGGAGAATGTCTGTGTCACATTGTGGATCAGCACATGTTTGGCTTCATAATAATGCCCAAAAGGAAGGCAGTTCGTGTCGTTTACCTTGCCAAGTTCTAGGAAAACAGAGTTATCCATCATATACTCGAGAAGACCCAGGTCGCCATCCTTGCCATGCTGAGCAAACAGTGGGTCTAACCAGTAGGACAAGTTAAGGAACATGAAGAAGCCCGAGTCAGCCTCTAAGTATGGAATGTCGTATCTTTTGAGTTCGCCCTCGACAAGTTGCCGCCTCTTTTTGAGTCGGCGGTTAAGCGTTGGTTTGTAATGGTCTCTCATGTACTTCTTGTCGGACAACAACTTTGTCGTGATCATGGCACTCAACGACGAAACACAACTGAATCTGCTGAGAATCGTAAGCACAACTCAAAAAACAGCCGCACCAACGCAACATACTTTGATGTCCTCATGGCATTATAGAGCTGTCTGTTGTATGTCGCAAGAACGGCAATATTAAGCCCCCCGAGTCCGAAGTCCTGCAATCACCAATAGTTAGCGTGTTTGTTGATTAGTGCAATCCGTAACTCGCTGTTCCAATGGCGGAAGTTAGAGGGTTACAGGTGATGCAACTGACTTTACTAATGCCCCACAACACATGCACGTTGCTGATGTTCATATCGAGGCCCAGGCTCAGAATACTAATATAGCTATCCCCTGAGCTCATGGAATACGTCTCATCCACGACAAGATGTATTTTATGCCGCGCACACAACTGCGATACTTTGAGTAGTATGTGTGCTTCATAACATCGACCTAATGCGCCCTCAGGATTTGCAAGCAGGATACCAGCAACCTTGTGGCCCTGATTACTTTCCCGTTCGATCGCTTTCTCTAGCCGGGTGACCAGCTCGGGTTGACTTGTGGCTTCATGTTCTTGACGGGGCAGCCCTGTGAAACGTTCACCGGGAATGTCTTCGCATGATACTGTGACAAAACGGACTCCATTTCTTGTCGAGATGTCACGGGCAGACATGTCGTAGCTGGGTGTAGGGCAAAGTATGGAGTCACCTTCATCGGCGATATTGTATGTGAGTGTGTCTAACAAGGCTGTGGCGCCATTCCCCGCGAGGATGTTGTCTGCTGTTAGAGGGATTCGGGCTTCGAAATGTTCGGTCATGAAGTTGGCGGCGGCATTGAGCAGTTCAGAAGACTCTTGCACGGTGTTGTAACCGAGACCTAAAGCGAACTGTCAGTCTGTTGTCGTTAAATGTACTAGTCATCTCTCAGCATTACCATCTTTGAGCTCGCATTTCTTCAAATTCCATCTTGTCCATCCTGCGATGCTATCAAGCATCAACTCGTTGGTATCCGAACCGAGATCAATAATACCCTTTGGGTTCTTTTTTGGATGATATTGATCGCCTTCTAGTCTCTCTTTGAAGTCAACCGTCAAGGCAGGTTGAGCATCCTGCTGTCCACGGCGAGAGGGCGGTAGCGCGTTGTTGGCAGACATTGTATTCATATCCATGATGTGATTTGATCTTTTACCAAGGAATTAAAATCTGATGCCGCTGCCACGAAGAGCACCTATATATAACGTTGAAATCGTCCCTCTAAATCTTTTAGGTTTTTAACGGTCTTAAAACCAATAGACTTTAGAGCACATTACACCAGAGCCACGCGGGATTGGAATTAGTGTTGTGGGCCCACTAACCCCACATGTCATCAACATTTCCTGTTCAGGAAAAGAAATACGACGAAGTCAAGATCCTTGGCACCTCGTTCATACTTAACCACCATGGATTACAAAGAAAACTCAGCTTCATTTGATGGCGTAACTGGTGAGGTGGCCAGGCCAGGATAGAAAAATTTTCCAATTGCATTTTGGATTAATCCGATTAAGTGGTTCTCATCAAGTTTAACCACCCTTTAGCGCAATGGCGTACTTCGGAGGTCTTACGCGCATTATTGCTTGCGCGGCCCTTGCCAATCACGCCGTAGCAGGTCTGACGACAGGCTACAAAACTATTGCGTCGCAGTTCAGCAACCATACAATACGAGTCAAAAGCTGGTCGGCTGATGACACGCTTCTCTGTAGTGGAGGAGCAAGGCACCACACTGGCTGGGCAGACATTGGTGACAGCCATCTGTTCTTCTGTTTGACTCACCACCACTTTACCCCAATGACAAAAGTACTGACAATTAGCGTACAGGGCTTCATGAATCCAGGGGCCTAATTAAAGATGCGCCCTTGCTGATATGGTTTCAGGGAGGGCCTGGCGGCAGCTCTCTGCACGGCATGCTATACGAGAATGGGCCTTGCCTTAGTGATGGCTCCGATGGGACGAAGTTCAATCCTTATTCCTGGACAGAGCATTTCAACGTCATCTACCTTGACCAACCCGCTGGTGTCGGCTTGTCATACGTTGGAAACGTTTCTGATGAAGCGTCGTACCCTTCACGCTCTGACGAGTCGTCTTTTGACGCTGTCAGCTTCATCAAATTGATCTATGAAGCGTTCCCGGAGTTTTCTGGCATCGACCTGCATTTGACCGGTGAGTCATACGCCGGACGTTACATCCCTTCAATAGCATCCACCATCCTTGATTACAACGACTTCCTTACATCAGCACCCGACTCCACAGCGGCACTGTCCACTATTCCGTTAAGGTCGCTGATGCTGGGAAACCCATGGATCAGCCCCGCAGAACAACTATCGTCGATGTATGATGTGTCCTGTTTTCCATACAGAGAGCAATTTGGACCTCATTTGGACACTCACGATTGCTCAAAGGTCCTGAAAGTTGTAGATAGATGCGAAGCCGTCTCGCGGGCGTGTGCTTTGGGCAACTCTGACCAGGTCCTCTGCGCTCATCCCAAAGATTTGTGTCAAGACGAATTAGTTGGCATCTTTGCGAACGTGAGCAGAAGTTACTATGACAGAAGGCTTCGAGATTGTCCAGGTCCGCAGGACTGCTATCCGGACATTGAAAACATCGCCCGATTCCTCAATTCAGACAAGGTCTTGCAGCATCACCTTGAGGTCTCGAACCAAACAGGGGGCCGCAAGAAGCAATGGGACATGACAAGCCCACTCATTGAGAAGAGATATTTTGCTTCCGGCGACTTCTATACTCCTGGAATCGTGGATCTGAAGAAGGTTCTTGATCACTCCCGAAAGCCTGGCAGCTCAAATCACGCAAGAGCTGTGGATATCTTGGTGTATGTTGGCGTGGCGGATATCATGTGTAACGCAGATGGTGTATTGGGGAGCCTGCAGCAGATAAAATGGGACGGCCGTACCCAATTCAGGGCGATTCCTTGGAAAGAACTTTCATGGACCGCATCCAGCGGTGGCCGAGGAGGAAGAATGAAGGGAGTCCCCGGTCTCTGGCTGGCAGAAATCGAAGAAGCAGGGCATATGGTAAGTGTATCATTTTGTGGCATAAGTAGTCAAACTTCTGACCAAATTTGCAGGTGCCTCATGACCAGCCTACCTCTTCACTGAGGCTGATCGAAACGTGGTTGGAACATCTTGAAGCAGCATCCGCCATTGCATCCAACCAAAATATTATCGGAGACTGGCCCAAAACTGGGCATGATGGAAGCTTTCTCAACAGGCAAATGTCACAAGCAGTGCTTGGTAAGACAAATGGAAAGATTTGAGACATCCATACAACGGCTGGACAACAAGAAACCTGGGTGCTGCTTTCTTTTTTTGGAGTAGCCTTTTCTCCAACAAACTCAGATCTTTGCTTTATCCAGCTCCCGTTCGTTGTGCCTTGTTTCCGACTCTATCTCATGTTCAATTGTAAGAAAATGATTTTTCTACAGTCTTCTACGTCTATTTCCATGCAAGTAACGACTTTTAACAGTTTTGATTGAGAAGACTATGAACAAAAACCAAACAAGTAATGAAGCCAAGAGGTCTTGGCAATGGGGTATTTGTGAGAGGTTGAGAAACCTCAAAGAGTATTGTGAAAACCCAGCTCAAAATATCTTAATCCTAGGCAGCTATGCAAGAACGCGAATAATCAATACTGTATCGAAAATGGAGTCCCCAATGTTAGGTCTCATCGCCGTCTTCCATATTAGTATGGGAGAAGTGGTCGCAATTACCCAGAAAGAGGTCCATCTGATCCTCCTCCCACTCAGGATAACCTTTGGCTCTTTGGATTGGGTTGACGTAGTTCTGCAGCCTGGTCCACAGTTTCTCGCGATCAATAGTCAACTGATCCATCATACGTGCTTGTCCCTCGTTGAGGGTGCGTAATAGTTGGTTCTCGGCTCGCAGAGATTGGAGCGCCTCGTTGTTGGAAGAGCTTGCGGCTATGGGCCTGGGGACATTATGGGATTCGGAAGTGCAATCGATGGAGGTGGAAGTGTTATCTAAGCCTACGTGATGTTAGCATACAATCTGAAGAGTAGAGACGGCATAACAATGGAAAAGGTGACGAAATGATTGAGGGAATTGAAGGTGAATCATCATGTAGGGAGGTAAAAGAGTAAAAACATCAGACATACCAGTCTTTTTACCATGTTGGCCGTTCTTTCCAGTCAGCGACTTGGTACTTTTCTCAACCACATGGGCTTCTGAGTGACGTGTTTGCTCAGCGCTGGCGACACGTTTTGGGTTCTTCGTGCTCAAGCTCATGGTGAAATTCCTCCTGGTGGCATAGCCTAGGCGTTTCTCGCGCAAAGCGATCCATTGGTCCAGAACTTTCAAAAAGGGTCTGAAAGAAGATATAGGCTCGGTTGTATTCGGTAATGCAAGGAAGGCCTGCCGAGCGCGCACAATCGCGTTCATCACAGCGGCCACCATCTCGGACGAGATTCCAGTATTTCCTTGTAGTTCTTTCACAGCATCACGCCAGATGTCGAGCACAGAGCGATGGTATGTCTCAAAGAGCTTCACCGCAGCCTCAAGAATGACTGTAGCTCGCGCTGCAGCAATGAGGCTCTTGTATAACGGGGGCAAGGCGGGAGGCTCAGGCTCGGAGAAGAGAGCAACGCTGGTGGACCTGGCTTCGATAGTCACAATCGGGTCCGAAGGACCACCAGGGAATGCGAGGCCTTGGATTCCTCTGATAATCTTCGCATTAATAGTCTGGGCTTCGATCAAGGCTGCAGTTTTATCCGGTAACGCCTGTTCGCCCTTTTGCTGTCCTTGAGACATCGTATCACCACTGATTTTTGTTGTTGTTTTCGTCTATCGGATATCGTGAGCCGAGTGCTTCTAGCAAAAGCAAACGAAGTGGGTGCAAAAAGTCTGGAACGCGTTAGAAAAGATTTAACAAGTGTTGTTCCCACTTTGTGGTAAACGAAAGTGTTTGGCTGTGAGGTGAAGTTCACAGTGAGATGAAAGGGAAGGCGCGAGGTCTGGGTAAACACGTGAGCTACCTGCCTACCCAAATGACACAAATCTGAGTTTTGACGTTAAATTTGGCCAAGGAGGATGTTTGGCAGTACTGCGTTAAAGTTAGGCAGCCCAGAAATTGAAAAATCTTACTTGTTCCACGCTACAGAGAATAAGAGCCCAAACAGGTATTCTTTTCTGAGTTGTCAAGTCTTACCAGAAGTGTGCATGATGTCTGTGAAGGCACAAATTTCTGTTAGCGACAAAGAAATTTCATGAGTAATTGATTTTTCAAAATGAGAAATTAACATATAGCGTTTCAGAAAGTATTGGGAAAAGAAACTCATTCGTAAGGTGGTTAGGAACACTGCTCACATGCATCTACGTAGCTTACCTTACCGGGAATAGTGCTGCCTCCAACGTCCATTGTTCTTGTGCAAGCTGAGAAATTCCACTCAATACCAAATGGAAGCAGAGGTTATCTATTATCTTACATGGCTGTTTGGAGCAGGTATTTTTCGGCATTCAATTTAGGCAGCAATCTCCGTTGACTTCGATGTTCTTCAAGGTATATCCAGAAAGTACTTAAGCACAGAAGAAGCGAGCATTTCTCGTTGCATTTTAACATCATGACTTTAGTTAATGAGCTTTTGAGCTACTCTGTTTTCAATGACATGTGGTTCACTTAGATGGTTGTGATCATCTAGATTTTCGAGACTCTCTAATGGAACATTGACGCATTAATCCGACATTTTGCTTTCATGAGGATATGTGAGTTGAGATATATAGGCAATGACTCTAAGGCCATGGGTGTCTTGTAAATACTGCAAAACTGGGGCATTTCACATTGACCTATCCTTGCCCATTATTCTCAAGTTAACACTGTATTCATATCACAAGTGCCATCATAATCTACAGGATAGCTCTCTAGCTCACAGCCTTGCAGAAGCTTCCTGGCTTCCGAGGCCTTGACAGTAGATTCTGGAGGCTGTTAAATGTACATAAGTGCAGCAGGCTTTGACCTTGTTGGGCAACATGTGCCCATTAAAAACCCGTATATTTCATATTCGAGATAGAGGGTCTATGACAATAGTGTCTCTAAAAAAGCCCTTCCCGCCGTAGTCCCCAAAAATTGCAACTGTGTGAGTCGTAAGAACAATCCAGGGGTCGGCGTCCTCATCTGTCCCAGTCAGAGTCATCCTCACTGTCCGACCCTTCAATTTCTCCCGCATCCAAAGCTCCAGCTGACTCTTCAGATATACCCAGGACACCATTTCCGAGGCCGTGAGCCCGGCTCCCAAGACCTTGGGCATCAAGTAGTCCAGAACGGTTCTCGTGAAATTCGTACTCTCACAAATATTAGACGCGAAGAGGATGATAGCATCAAGACGGAGGACAGTAAACTGTCGTCTCTGGAGCAAATTCATGCCGCAGAGAATACCTAGCATCATCTTGGACCATGAATCGATGGTGGCCGCAGACACTGACGGGTCGAACATGGATCGGAGACTGTTGACCCCCATTCTCGAAGCAAGATACATCAGATAGTCCAGAGCTTTGCTCTCATCGGCTAACCGGTAAACGATGATGGGCTCAAATGACGGACCGCTGATTATGTCTCCGTCAGTGCCGATCTTTGCGGTGGGAAGGTCGTGATGGCACAGATCCTTGTGCCAGGAGTCGAGACGTCGAGAAATGACATCACACTGTTCCAAAACCATTTCCTTGGTCAGAGTCTCTTTGTAAAAGTCGCCCCGCTGAAAATTTCGATGATCACACCGTCTATCCAGAACATCACATAACCATTTTGCCACCTTTTCAGAGGCGCTTGTCTTGTCGAGATCGCTGCTTGGCGGGAAAGTTGCCTCCATTGCATGTCGCGAGTACAAGCCATAAACTCGAGAAACGATATCTCTTATCGCTAGTTGAGGGTCGAGGAGACACGAAGCGTCATAATTATCGACAGCGTTGAAAGTTTTCCGCGTCGGCGTCATCATCAAGCGGACATCGTTGCGTAATATCCTCCAGGCCTTGAAGAGATTCGGCTCAGATATAGAAGAAAAGTCCAACCTGGATGCTATAGCATCAAGTCCGCTGGCATGATTACGGATGCCAAAGGATGTGCCAGCCTCCAGCTCGTGGTAGGCTAGTAGCAACGCAGCACCAGCCAAGCCCTCGCCGCTTTTCTTCTCGCTGTGTTGCTTAAGGCGAGCTTGAAGATCTTTCACCGCCATGTCGTAGTATACCCAAACACTATTGTCATCGCAAACCCGTCTTAACGCTTGGAAGTCGAAGGGCAGACGAACCGCCAACTTCAAGTGACTTGCGGACAGTGCCAGCACGGCAGCCCGAAAACAGCTGCTCTGTTTAAACAGATTGGAGAAAGCCATGGCGACGGGGATGGCGGGAATGACATTCGTATCGAAATGAAGGACCAGTGATTCTTCCAAAGGAAGAGAGATCTGCATATCGTAGGTTGGCTCGCCTAGAAGAGTCTTGTCGGTGGGTGACGAGTTTTCGTCAGAGTCGTGAGGAATCAACAACTCATCCCAGTCTGTTTCAGCCGAGATTTCCGGAGAGCTTTCGTCCGCCGATGTCGAAGTGCCATAGGAGGTGTCTCCCGGAACCGGGGTCGACATGTAGTCAGTGGTTGTGACCCCAGTATTAGCCGAGTTTTCGGTGACCATCTCAGGTCCAGGCCCACTGGAAGTGTCCGTCAGGGGCCAAGGCAAGGCGAATGTGCTTCCAGGCCAGCCATCCGTTGAAATGAGATTCCAAGGCGGAGGCGGTGCTGGGACACTGGGAGAGGATCCGATCGGAAGGTCTGATCGTGGAACATGGGACGATGCCTCTCCCGGCACTTCTGACCGTCTGCGTTTCCTCCGAGCATCTTCAAGCCGTAGCGCAGACCATCTGGCAGCTTCGAACTTCTTTGAGGCCTCAGCAGCCAAAGCGGTCACGTCTTTGAAAGCAACGGGACGATCATAGCCGCTACATTTGATACCTCGGCGAACGCAGGCGGAACACTCGGGACGCGTCTCGTCGCACTGCCTTGAGTTAGTACACCAGAGTTCGTAGGGGTTCGAGGTTGTAGAAAAGGAACCTTTCGCCTTCTATTCTTGCAGTCCTGGCATCCAGTTCGTTTGCGAACAATGTCTGTTTTCTTCGGCCGAGAGGAATAGCTTTGCATCGCAATGCTCTGTGTTTGGTACGTCCCTTTTGAGTCTCGAGGAGGCGGAAATGCTGTGGGTCTGTAGTGACTTGCTTCCAAAATGCTGGCAAAGTGAAAGACTGTCTTTGAGTCAGGAAGGCTGGTTGATGAGATAGAGAATTTGCACTCTTCATCCAAAGATTAAGTTTATTGTGCATTCGGACGAACAAACAACACTGGAAATGAGGAAAACGGGATGCGCACATGGGCAAAAGTATCCCCACTTAAAGCGTGAGGCCATCAGTCGAATCCTCTCAGATAAGCAATGCCAGCTACGCTATCCCTAAAATAGTAAGCGGGAGCGACGCTATCCCTTTTTGAGCGCGGTTCTCAATGACACTGCAACGGTCACTTTCACCCAATCAGTGCTCGTTGCTTCTGACTCCTACGTAGCTCTTCTACAACGCCATGCTTGAAGCCATGAATCATGTTCGTCGGAGAATTATCGCTAAGTCAATCAAATTCACTAGACCTGTAGTTGTAGGGGCAGGTTTTCGGAGCTGAATAGGACCGTCGTGTCCCCCTATCATCGTGGCTGGACTTCGTTGTTGATTCCCTTGCCTTCTCCAACATTTGGCTGGAATGCAACATGAAGCGCCAACATCGGGGCTAGCTTCACGGAAGGGACGATGTGTGGGATGGGCTCTTATTTAAGAAACATGAAGCTTATTTATTAGTTTCAGCTACCGCTCACAAGCTTTCGGTTCCCCTCATTTCTGGCGCGCAAACCGATCAAGGGGCTACGGCCTTGTCTTACTTTTCAGTCTTACGTGCCAAGAGTGTATTGATAATATGTTCTTGTCTAATTTGCAGGAATCTACATGAAAGGGATGTAACAGCCCGAGCTAAGGGCCTACTACTATTCTGGGACTTTACTTGGATTATTTGCTGCGCATCAAGTCCCAGGGAGCCCAAAAGAGTGCACATTGAGACAGTTATGCATACCTTATTTCCACAAGACAAATATGAAAATAATTCAATGTCGTAGAACCTCTGTAGGAATTCGCTACCGTATATCACAGCTGGTCTGCGGAAGAATCAAAGTCAAGCCACCAATGCCTTTCTGAACCAACGGGCCGCCGCCTCCCAGTGTGGGAGCAATCACTCCCGATCGGTGAGATGGCCCTTGGTAAGTATATGGACCTCTTGTAGTCCAGTGTTCTATCTTCTCCATTCTGCATCCTTTGATATCACGAAAACGGTGAATTTTCGCTCTTTACCTGTGGGAACATGTTCCCAACGTCACTCATTTGATTTTTCCTTCATACACTCATTTGGACTACTCTAACAAGAACTCTCTTTCATTTCTTTTAACTTCTCGTATTCGGATTTCATTTAATTTTCAGTTGCAAATTGTGAAAACAATCTAGTTGGCTTGGCCTTGCCCAAATTCCTTTCTACAAGCTTGGCGTAAACACTTAGGAACAAGATGCTCAAATCATATTTTGTCCTGCTTTTGGCGGTTGTAGGGGTCCAAGGATTTCCGACTTTTGGACGAGATACACTTAACTCTTCCTCTCCCTGCTATAAAGCTAAATGCCAGCCTCCAGAGCCTCCGCCGCCTCCTCCGTGCCCTTCAGATGCCGACCGAAATCGTTTTGGCTTCTCGGGCGAACAAACGGCGACCTTCGCTCAAAATGGGCCACTTGCCACGCTGTCACCCAATATTCATTGGTCATACGACACCAGGCCGGCCGCTAACGTTATCCCAGTCGCACCCAGCCATGGGTCGCAAATGTACTATGGAATTGGAGGTAAGCTGCCTTCCGAATGTCATTCATAGTGCCTCTTCTGACTAGACGGTAGATCCCGCGAAGTCCGGCCCGTTCGCCTTCTTAACATACTACTTCTCCGCCCCATCAGTCAATCTAGACCACTGCGATCATGTGGCATCGATTGACTACAGAACAGAAGTTTTGACCGTCAAGTTCAACTCTGAGGAGGCCTACTGGAATGCGATCGACACTTGGACTAGCAAGGACGGTCTGATTCTGATTGCCTTCGCCAAGGGTTGCGGCGACTATTCTAAAGGCGAGAGGTGCTACTTCCAAGTCTCCGACTTGGATTTCGGCTCCCCTGGTCTTGTTATAACGGCCATTGGGCGATCAAGCCATCCAGACGACGTTATAACCTCTGGTGAGACCGAGTGGGGTTGGTGGGTTCCTAATAAGGGGAAGAATGGGAATACGCAGCCTAGCGCAGGTACACCCTCGGGTGCCGGGTCGCCCTTCACCTGGGCTCCTGGTCCTTCAATGCGGCCCGGGTCTGGACCGGGCGGGGCCGGTTCTGGGGCCGGTTCTGGGGCTGTCCCTACTCGGCCGGGATCTGGAGCTGGAGCTACCCCTAGGCCATCTGGATCTGGATCTGGATCTGGTTCTGGCTCTGGCTCTGGCTCTGGCTCTGGCTCTGGATCAGGATCAGGATCAGGATCAGGATCTGGTTCCGGTTCTGGTTCTGGTTCCGGTTCTGGCTCTGGTTCTGGCTCTGGCTCTGGCTCTGGATCTGGTTCTGGGTCTGGCAGTGGTGGCGGCGGTACGGGGTCCGGAACTGGGGCCGGCGCAGGAGCAGGAGGAGCACCATCCGGACCTCCTGGGCAAGCTGCACCTTCTCCAGGCTCCGTTCCATCAGATGGCTCCTCGTCAGGGTCAGGTGGCGCGGCCGGAGCACCAGGGGGTCCCCCACAGCCGGAAAACGGAGCGTCACCGTCAATCCCCGCGGCACCACCAAGCTTAGAATCACCTGGACTTGCACCTAATCAGCCCGGTTCGCCCAATCCCGCCGCAACACCTGGTGCTAACGCCGCACAACCAAACGTGGCTGCTCCGCCAGGTGGTCCGGCAGCAGACGCAGCGGCAGCGGCAGCAGCAGCAGCAGCAGCATCCTCCACTCCGTCTCCTATGCCCGCTGACGTTAGTGCCAGCGGTTTGAATAACGTCCGAGCTTGTGTTGGACCGCCCGATACTAGGTTTGGTCTTCTGACTGCCTGTGCAGGAGAGTTCTTTGACGAGGATCTTGACGATGGCCTCGGTTATGCTGCTTTAAGCCCTGAGAACCGACAGTTCGTGCTTGATCTTGCGCCTGATTTCCTCGAGGAGTCTATCCCAGGTGAATTTGGCATGGATCTCGACCCCAATGACCCATTCTTCAAGAAGCGTCAACAACGGCACCGTAAGCGTATCTGGGGGGCACTTCGTAGAGCCTTCAACAAGCATATTGTCCAGCCTATCAAACGAGGATACCAAGCTGTGCAGCAAGCGCTATCCATCGGCGGCAGTATCAACAAGGACTTTTCTTGGAAGGTGCCTAATCCCCAATCGTCTAACCCCGATGATAAAAAGCTGCGAGACCCCGGTGCCAAGCAAGCGGTCTCGCCTTGGGGTGACGCCATCCTCCTCAAGACCTTCACATCACAGGGGCAGAATACCAATGGCTTCATGAACATCTACTGTGTTGGCTGCGGCGTGTCTGGAAACGCCAAGATTGCCGGTCGAGCTCGTTGGACTCCACTTGGCGGCTTTCTCGAAGGCCAGGTCGATGTCCGGACAGATATCAAATTCGTCCTGAAGCTTGGAATTGACGCCGAGATCACTTATTCCCGAGAATTCACTTCAGACCTAATCAACGTGGGCCTTCCAGGTCTCTCCTATGGAGTGGTTACTATCGGACCTCGCATCTCTGTGGGCACAAGGGTTGGGATTCAAGCAGCGGCAAAAGGAAGGCTCCTTGCTGGTGCGGAGATGGGATTGCAGGACGCCCACGTTCTCATTGACTTTGTTAATTCTGGACGAAGTACAAAGAGCGGATGGGAGCCTTATTTCAAGCCTGTGTTCGAGGCCCAGGGCGAGCTAATGCTCTCCGCCTCTCTCGGACTACCAATTGGCATCAAGTGTGGTATCCAAATCAGCACATGGGATAAGTCTGTCGGTGTCGTTGACGAGCCATCTATCAAAGGCGTTGCTCAAGTCGCAGCCTCGATTGGCCTTGCGGGTTCGACATTTGTAGGCGGGTTCACCGAGACCAACGGATGTACCGGTATTGCCACGCAGATAAGCTGGCGTAACAGGCTGTACATCGACATCCTGGGAATCAAGCAGATACCTCTGCTAGATACCAACGACAGGCCTCTAGCCAGAGGTTGTATTGCGTAAGTTTCTGCTCTTATTCTGGTTTGATCAAAGCACTAACCGAAGATGTGACAATAAGGCTACCGCCACCTCCAGCTCCCCCTCCCCCTCCCGCCCTCCCCGCCTCAGAAACAAATCAAAATACTCCACCAACTGAGCCTAACCCTGAGCCAAATGCTCAACCACCAGCCTCGGAACCCGCGCCCGCACCCGCCACTCCTAACCCTGAGTCAAATCCTCCACCTCCAGCCGCAGAACCCGCACCTGGCACTCCAGCCGAGGGAACTCCTCCTGAGAGAAGAAGTCTGGACCCCAGGCAGGCTGGAAACGGAGTCACAGAGGTGCCAGTAAGCAACTCTGGTCCGACGGACCTCTCCTATAGTTCTGGCTCGGTTGGAAACGATCCCTACTTCGACAGCGCAGGGCGTGAGTTCGCCATGCTCATCGACCCCACGGGATCGACGATGGTCATCTCCTGCAGCAACGGCAACATGTACCCCGTTCGGTCCGATAGCCCGGACAACGACTTCTGCTCCGAGCTGTGGGCATCCGTTGAAGATGTCCTCATCTACGATGGTGCGCAGCGCCTGATGCACTACTACAGCAACACCATGTCTAAGCTCGGCGTATCCCGAGTCCGCGTTGAGGCCGAGCTCGATGCGCCGGTCGGCAGCGTTTTGGTCGCATGGGCGCCATACTATGATCCTCCCGGGTCAAACGAGTACTTCTACGTCGCCATAGACCCTGCCGATGAGATTTATTACCCGATTGCTTGTGACTACTCAGACGGAACTGCGTCAAAGATATTCTTGGCTCTGGACCCTGTGGAGGGTGTCAAAACTTTGATGAGCGATGATGTGATTTACTCCGTCACAGGTGGCAAGGTGAGCAGCTGCCAGCCTCTGGTTTTGAACCAAGGCACCAGACAGGCCTAGGGATGAGTGCCTGGCTGAACTGGTGGGTGTTCACATTCTGAGAGGGTACTCTGTGTTGGCGCGACGCAAGACAGGAATGAGCTTGAGACTACCCTGGTAGTTTTGATTCTTTAAAAGGCTGGCAAGGAAGGTATGAACGAAGGCTTGATCAAGGATTGTTTGTCAAGTGGTACGGTTGAAGCTCAATCTGATGGTTGAGATATCCCGCTCCTGCTTTGTCATCCTCCAAAGCATGGAAAGTTAGCCAAAAACCTGTGCAATAGGACCTTCTGGTATCTGGACAACGGCTTCACAATATATTGAATATTCTCTTTGTGATCACTCCAACTGGGATATCACAATTACGGTGTAATTTACAACAAGCAGATATTAGCTTCCATGACTTTCAATTCAATCATCTGTGGGTCGTATCATCCTCGGCATTATGAGCTAGATGAAGCTAAGGTCTGTAGGTAGCCTGCATACCCTGACACAAGATGATGAAGGCTTGCGAGACACAAGACCAGCCGCTCTTACTGCCTAAGTAGGTTAGCTGTCACCATTAAAGCCATGTTCCTTGCCCTGTTAGTGTGAGGTAAAGAATTAACCACTCCGATGGCCGAATAAGATCTTGCTGCCAAGCCTCTGCCTGCTGTTGGAGTGGCGGTATGGATAATTGAGTGAAAAAAAAAAAAAAAAAAAGAAACAAAATAATCATATTTCAAAGCGGCTTGGCTCCACACTAGTTTCCTTCATGACTGTGTAGGGCCTACGGTCGTAGCATATGTTGCAACCTCCCAAAAGTCGTGACACCGAAACTTTCCAATCTCAATAGGAGAAGCAAGTTCGTCGCGGTCAAGTTTTTGACAATTGCAACCGATATACAGATCAGCCAACTTCAGTTTGACCATGAAATTGAAATGTCGCCCACTGTCGTCGATTTAGACTCGTTGTTCACCCATTTGGTTCCTGAAGTGGCGCCCATTGCCAGCCTACCGGAGGTGTTCGGTTCAGGCACCCGCAGAGTGTGACACATTTCGCCCGATGGATAAGTGGTTCTGGTAAAAGGACGTCACTGACTTGACTACTTTGAGATGGTAAATTGGCCAAGCAATTTTTACTGGCGGCTAATTCTCTCGTGGTGGTGGGACTTTAGGCAGCCGTCGGTCGAGGGTGCCTCACGAGCTGCGGCACAGCAAAATGGCCTAGCAACGAGCGCGTTCCCAACGCCTGAAGTGCGGCACAGTTTTATTTCTTGATATATGTTAATCCTTGGCAGCGGTACTTTATTTAATCGAACCCTTTTCTCTGTTTCTCCAGAAGAGGCTTCTCCCTTTTTCCACCTTTCTTGTCCTGTCTTCTAGTGGCATCGGTATTGTCCAGTCCTCAAGCAACCCTACCTGAAAGACACTCGTCATCTCACAACCAAAGATAACCAAAATGCAACTCATCAAGATCGTTTCTATTGCTGCGGCATTCGCCCCAACGGCCTTGGCCAGGCTCGACCCACTTCCCACATCAACCGACGCTGCTCAATACCTCTCCGACCATGCAGGCTTCGCAACCACCATCACCGGCGCCCAGGCCACTTCACTCGTAAGCGCAGTCTACAGCGTCGATGTGAAGTACCAAAACGATGCCAAGTTTACCACCATGTACTCGCACATGTGGTCCGCCGCTGCCAAGGCCTCAAACGGACCCGATCTCGTGGGCTCGATGGCCGTCGGTGGCCTGGACATGGCAACCATGAGAGATGAAAATTGGTGGAAGGATAACGTGCCCGAGAAGGAAGACAAGTTCCTCGCGGATTACCTTTCAGACTACCAGAAGGCCGCCAACAGTGTGCTCGCAACCAAAACTGGCTCCAAGGGCGCCGCACCAAAGTGTACCGGCATGGCCCTCGCTGCTGCCGGCGTGGCTGCAGGTGTCATTGCCGCCATGTAAGACGAAGGTTGATTAAATGCGGAGGGGGAGGAATTTGGACGGTCAGAGATTTATGAATGTGATGGGCAAGGTGTTTGGGGTTTGCTGGAACGTTCTTGTTACATGTCACGATACCAATAAAAGTCAAGAAGTCTTCTATTAACATAAGTTTCCAACCATTTCATGAGCGAATAGGGTTACGTGAGGAAGTTCCAATAAACATTATGCATGTTAGGGTGGAGTGCTTATGAATGTTGATTGGATTACACCGTTAGTGGCACCATGCTTGCATCTGCTGTCCAATCGTGATTGTATCACCCAGCTCATCTGCCCCTAGCCTGAATTTACTGATTTTAGCACATGTCGACGAGTTGTACTTGTGTTACTCAAAGACTAGACCTAATCAACTTTCAATTGAACCTCTCTATACATAAGGCTTCTGAACTAGTACCACCTGACAAATCACAACCTTAATGAGCTGACCAGTTAGACTTAGGGAAAGCGGTTCTGGTTCCAGTAAACGATCTTCAGGTTCCCGCGTGATGGTTTTGAACATCAACAGGCAGCCTTAGGTGAATCCAATCCACGGTAGATGCCTTGATGAACTGCAACCAGGCGTTACTTTCCACCAATCTCAAATTTGGTCTTAATCTTGAAACAGATAGAACGGGTAGGCTACCTATTCCCTTGCAACTGGCTCAACACACGAATACCAGGGTAGTCTTGTCAAAAAGCAGGCACGTTCGGCCCTACCTGGCCTTCTGGCCGTTTTAGACTGGTATTTTTCAACTGTAGAACTTCGCCTCTGAATAGCTCTTTGTGTCACGCAATTACAAGAAATCATGCGAAAATATTCCCACAAATGACTAACCTGCCTGATGTGTTCAGCGATTACGCTGGCTGCCTCAGTGGGTGTCATTTTCGTGACGTCCAGTCGCATTTCGTTTGGGCTCCCAAATTGGTACTTGTCTTCTTCAAAATCTCCACATCTCGTAGTTTTGTACTTTGTCCTAAGTGACGCCCCTCATCTGCTATCCTCCTTATGTTCTCTTCTAACTCACAGTGAAGCACAACCGAAAGAAATGGCACATCTCTTTTTTCTGGCTGCATCCTGATAGTCTCATGCAGCTTCCTCGCCCACCGGACTTGTAGACCGGGAATCCGTGAAAATCCACGTAACAGATTGCGCGTCTTCAGTGGTGGCAATGATATTTAAAACACGTCTACGCAGGCTCGTTCGTATTGCATGGTATCGCGGTGGCTTTCGCCCCATAATTGGAGCGATAGGGTCAATCAGGAGGTGATTATGGTAGACTTTCGAGTTCGACAGAAGACTTTGCAGCTCGTTTGCGATGGTTAGCTTCCCAACACCCGATAAGCCATTTATGTAGATGAAACATGGCATCTTGATGATGGAGACGCAGAAATACGTCTATCCGAGCTTGAGACGAGAGCAAAAGATACAAAGCGCTACCGACGAAGAGGTACTAGCGATGAAATCGTTTCAGGATCATGCTTGCGAACGGTCTGTTGGATTACATCCAAGAATGCATGTTGATCAAGGTGGCTTGGTGTGCCTAATGTGAACCGCCTCGCCAGTCATTTTGAGTAGTGTTGCTTCACAACCTTGGAGAACTCTGATGAGTCACTGGACCTTTCTTGCTTGCCCAGCTGCGAATGGCCAAGCAATATAATCTACAAAAGTCAGAACCCAGGGTATTAGATGCCTTGCTTCTCAATAATCTTTCCAAAGCAGATACCATAAGGTATTCGGGTGTTTTACAACGCTTTGACAGAAGTTGTGAATTTGTTTATTATTCTGTTTTGACGATTATTGTGGTTGTTTTGTCGTTCGAAGTGGAATGTGCGGAGCAAATTAGCTCCCGTCGAGGTGGAACCTGTGGAGGCGGAGATGGCTGTGGACCAGGCACACCCAGGATCAAGGAGGTATCACAAACCCTGTTTGCCGGCGGGTCAGATGTCTTTGGGCATGCCTAAGGATTCGTTAGGGTAGACACACAAAGACTGACGCTCGCTATGATAGTAGACGGGTTTGATGAAAGCAAGAAACTCTCTTGAGACGGACGATTAAAGAACCAGGCCCCAAAGATATGACCAGACTGAAGCTTCTGAGAAGCTTTCGTATTCTCCCAATTTGTTAATATCCGTCCCACCCCTGAGAGCCTCGGTATGAATACTCATTCCAAGTCACTCTCCCCTCAAATCCCTTGGCCAGACCCGATAAGGAATTTCTTTTGAAGCTCGACTCGGCGGGGGAGGAAGTCAGCAAAGTTCTTCTAAGCAAGGCAAGCAATGATGGCGGCAATCGCAGCAAGAGTGCCTTCCACGTTGAGCACCGGCACCGTCGGCAGTCCGAGTTCTTTGGCAGGGAAGTCATTGCCTCCCGGGAAGATGGCATCGCCGATAAACATCATCTGGTCGAGGGGGATCCCGCTCGCGGCGCTAAGCCTCTTGAGTCCGTATCCCTTATCAACACCTTTCTTCGTGATGTCGATGGAGGTTGCGCCGCCCATATTGATAGACAGGTCAGGAAGCCGCTTAAGCAGGTCTGCCTGGATAACCTTGCGCTTAGAGAACAAGGGATCCCAAACCTCCTTCGCGACAACGGGAGCCTCTTGGCCCAGCGCGGAGAAGGTGATCTGGCTGCCGCGATCCTCGATCCTCTCACCCCAGGTCTTTTCGGGCTTGAAACCGGTCGCCTCAAGCGAGGCGTCGAAAGCCTTGAGGATTTCCTTCTTCTGGTCGTCGGCAAAAAGCTCAGCGTAGGTCGCCCGCCACTCGCCGTCCTTATGCTGGTACAGCTTCGTGCCCGTCGTCGGCATAAGCCATAACTTCGACAGGTCCGCATGGGCCGGCAGGCGGCTAGTGACCTGCTTCTGGAACTGAGGCCAGTCGCCCCCCGAGATGACGGCGACGTGGGCGACGGCGAGCAGGTTGGCCAGTACCTCTCCCATTGGGGCTTGCAGAGGCTGCTTGCTTATGGCGAGCGTGCCATCGAGATCGAAAGCTACAAGAGAGATCATTTTTGGCCGTAATTGCGCAGAAATTTAGTGCTGTGCTTGTGAGCGGTGTGTTGCTTGTGGTCAGCCCGCATTACTGTCTGGGCAGGCAGCTGACGTTTACTGCATTGAACACCAAGTTCCAACGGAAAAACGTCATTGCGACGCTTACGACCTAAAAGCATCTTCAACAGCAAGAACAAATTTTTGAAATTGAACTTACAACCCCACCCCAAAACACCTGTTTTCGACTGCCGATCGGATAGCTCTGGCGCAGACGTACTGCCCAGTCCAATCCAGACGCCATAGCGGCACCACGACCTGGGGAGACAGTATGGCCTACAAAACCCCACGAGTATGCCATGTATCTGAGTAACTACCTCAGAAGGCACTGCAATATATCGAAGACAATGGCCTAGTTCCAGCTGGGCTGGTCAAACTCTTCATCAAGTGTAGTCTGTCCTACATCGAGAAGGCTGAGTCCATGCCCGACATGCGAGCAATGGCCAACATCCTCCGAACGATCAAGAACGAAGTCGATACTGTCGCCGCCGCAGTGCATAGATCGGCGGAGCTAGGAAATGCATGAAGACCAAGATGGGCAGAATATCAGACACGACCACGAAACTGTTACCATGGTCAAGAAGACGATACTCAAGACGAAAATACTTCAAGACAACATGCTGTTCATACCTCGTGCAGAGATCAAATACATAGGATGACTCAGTACGAACGCCACAGCAAAGTCAGCGTCTTTTTTCATCATGGAACCAACCCGACCTGAGGGCGCCGACGAGCGGATCGACGAGGCCGGACAAAGTGATAACGACAACCAACAGCAAGAAGTCGATCTCCATTAAAAGCAGAACAAAAAAGGGCAAATGATGGGGACAGTCAGGCGACACTCAGAAACGTTGAGATTGAAATAACAGTCAACAACGGATCGCAACGACCCCAAAGAGTCCACATGCTGTCGAGGAGAGCACTTCAAGCACTGTACTTGAACTCGCAGTTGAGACTATACAGCAACTACCACATGAACGTCTAAAGGGGATCATGGGAGCAAAAAAAACACTCGCAATATTACAATAAAACGTTAGAAAATCAAGAGGCACGGTTATGGCAACGCTACGTTGAAATCCAAGGGCCTGGGAGTTTATCATCATAGCTATCCAACAACCTTGGGCACATCCTTTCCAAGCACAACATACTACCCAAGCAAAGACATTTTTTACCTCTGCTACCCCAAAGAGACAGGAGGCCAAACAGCGATATTCTACTTCTTCGTCAACAAGAAGACGTGGCGGTACGTCCTGTCCTGGCGACATGCGATGTGAAGCTATATGCTCTCGCTGAAGTGTAAGGAAAGAAGAAAAACGAAGAATTCTCGAAAAGACGCAAGGAAATAGCGGCTTCTGCCGTAATACTCGCACAGCGAAATCATGGGGAGTGTGTGAAGAGGTCAGCCGACAATGTCGGGCGTCTTCGTGGGCTCGAGATCTTGTATCTCCGCAGTTGCCCATTTTTCTTAGGTGCATCCCAGTACATTAAAGATTTATTCCTCCGACAAGGAGGCTACGTACTCCTTCATAGCATTCATCTTCATAGCCATAAGCTTCTCGAGTCCGTTCGTACGGTACTACTTGATAGCGCAGGCAACACTAGTAGCGGTTCCCGTAAGTTCTCAGTCTCGGTAAGCCTAGACGACGGTTTGCCAAGTATTAGGATTACAGTTGAAAGCGTAGGGGTTTTCTAGGTCGATGTTGAGAGTAACGCGTCCCAGGGTAACGTCCTTCAACTTAATAATACTAAGGATACGACCGAGAGTGCAGCTAGCCACGAGTAGGTATGTGGCGAAGATTTCTCGGAGAAGAGATTCCAGGGCGCGCAGGGTCACACCATAGTCTACCAGGAACTGTTGGTTACAAACCAGGATAGTGTAGTTATCCTGTTTGACGATGCATAGAATAGGCTCGGGCAGCTGATCCCGCAAGTCCTCGGTGATATGCTTGAGCAAAGCCGTCTGGAGATTCTGAACGGACGGTCCACGTCGTGGAGAGGGCGTCGAAAACAGCGTGCGATTGAGCTAGACCATAGCAAGTGGCAATTCTTCGAAAGGAACAGAGACCTCAGCCCACTGGTTTTGAATATCGACGGGTCAGCACACAATCACTACAACAACTAGTAATACACAAGATATAAAACCCCTGCCAAACGAGCGACGATAGAAGAAGCCAACTACAAGCTCTCGACAATGCACTAGCTCGATACTCAAGTGCTGAACAAACTGTCGTCGGAGATCTCAACCTCCACCACGAAACCTGGGGCGGGACACATATGTAATGCGCCGGCCCGGAAGCCGAAAACCTAGTCAAATTTACTGGGAAGTACCTCCTTCAGTATCTTACACTGCCCGGAACAACAACATACCAAAATGACACAAGGAAATATACCATCGACATAACCCTAGCGACACTGGACCTTGTGGAAAGGGTTATTAAAGAGCGACGTGGCTCATGACTTGGACCACTTACCGATATCACGTACTTAAACTTCAGAAGCCAAGATCACAGGATCCTACCGATGTTTTGTGAACAGTTCTTGTTATATGTGTCCAGGCATATCGTACTCTCATAGATGGTAGTTTTGAGATTGGACAACTTCCTAATCTAGGGATTGAGGAAGAAGCTGCCCGTTTCGCCCACATGGCTGTTCAGTACCTGTTAACTCGAGCTACCAGCGAGACCACTGTTCGAAAAGGCCACTGCTAAATAAGTGTATTGACATGGCACTGCTCGCTTATTGTCGGGTAGATCTTGATTCGGTTTAAGCTCATTTTACGTTTGCAAGCCCTCTTCATTTCAGATATCGATCTGTTTCTCATGGGATACCCGTCCAGAAGCTACCCCCAGTCGACCTTCAGATTGCCTTGTCTTCTTGAGACCCCTTTTCTTGAGGCTCATGGTCGATCACTTCAATGCACGTCATTATCCAATTCTGCAACAAACCTTTTCATTCGAGGGCAACAGATTAACCATGCCTCGGAAATGTTCAAAATGAGGCGAAGGAAGTCTTGTTAATGCGAGCACTTACTTCTACTACAAAAAAGTCGAAGACTCCCCGGCCTTGTGCTGTTTTTCAAGGTTACATAATGAACTGCCGAGGTGTTGTTGTTGTGAGTGAATCTGAGTGCATGAGTCACAAGGCATCATGCAACGTTGATCTTTGCCCGAATAGCTAGACTTTCGTCTGGATCCAGAAAGTTTCCCCGAGTTAAAAATGAAAACTTCTCATTTGAACCATAAGCAGCAGAGTTTTCTCGGGTGGAGATGTTTCTCTTTTTTTTTTTTTTTTTTTTTTTTTTTTGCTTTTAGTAGTTGACTCCTTCTGCGGGTACGTATAGTATCGAAAGCTTGACTGACAAGCCTGGTAATAATGGCTGGGTGAGAAGCCTTTACAAGACCAGCCTTGGTATGTAACGAGCGACTTTTCTGATAGAAAAGCTGTGGATTCTGTCATAGGATGGAAGGAAGTAACACGGGGGGAAATCATATGCTTGTTGAAACCAGCTGAAGCAGCAATGAATGCTGAAGAGTTTTGCCATCATTTGTTTGTTTATTTTGTGGTTGAACCTTACTATCTGGTTTTGGCCAGTACTTTTGTGATGCCCCCGACTTGGACATTTATCACCGAGCGCTAAGCTTGCTTAAGCGCCTAAGCGTGATTTTAACAGTGTCGGCACATATTCAGTGACTTTCCGGGACAATGGTTCTTGCAGTGCTCGTCGCCGAGCGAAACAAACTAAGGGCACAGGTATTTGCGTCGTGTCCTAATCCGGGGTGGTTTTTTTCATTGCTCTATAATCTAGTGGTTGACAATCTCCTCCTTGCACTCAATACCGAATTTCTAAGTAGACTCATTAGCATCCTGAAATTGTTTGTGAATGGCTTCACGTACCTTGAGCTCCTTGATCAGAGGCTCGTTGATCTTGCCGTTCATGGGAGCGAGAACACCCCTCTCGGAGAGGGTGCCATCCAAGACCTGCTTGACGGCAACGGCGCAAGGAATACCAACTAATCCGAGTTAGTTCATATTCAAAAGCTCGCTAGGCTTCAATAAGTGAGTGGTGCTTACCAAGCTTGGCCATGGCCGAGTAACCGTTGGGCTCGGTGCTACCGTACTCGACAAGGGTGGAGTATCTGGTCTGCTTGGCACCGTTCAACTCGACCTCGAATCTGTGTTGGAGACTTTGCAAGAGTTAGTGCCGAGTACAGTGCAGTATAATCGAACGTTGCATGGGTCTAGCCGCAAGGCACTGATCCCAAGCATCAATAGAGACTCCGAACTTACATAACGAGATCGCGCTCGCCCTCAGCGAACTGCATCTTCTGCTCCAGGGTGGCGCAGAGGGTATCCAGGGGGTTTCCTCTGGGGATAATCTTCATTCCATCATTAGCAAGTTTGTATATCCAGATGCTGCGGGAAAACTCACCTTCTCGGAAGAGAAAAGTCCAAGCCACTTCAAGCCAGACAAGATGCGCTCCCGCTGACCGTCGTCACCGAAAGTCGTCTTGGAGGAGATAGCCTGGACGAGAGCAGCCTCGTCAGAGGAAGAAGCACCAAGAATCTTCTGGGTGACGTCCTTCCAGGCGAGAGCCTCCTTGCAGAAGCTCTGCTCCTCATCCTTAAGGAAGCCAATGTCGACAAGTACCTTGACAAACTCGGGGAAGCCGCCGAAACGCAGAGTTCCTCTGTGAAAATGTCAGCGGATTTCTAGCTTCTAATTTCTAGACCATACCTGATGATGGTCTGGGCCTCGGGGATGTTGTAGCGCTCCTTGTAGCCAGTGGAATCTCTGTTGGGGTACGCAACGGTGTTGAATCCTTCAATACACGTCAGTATAAGTCGAGACCGACAGTGGCTCTCATGTGAAGAAAACGTACCAGGGTAGATGTGGTAAGGCTTAGCAGTAGCCATCAGGTCTTGAATTGTGTGCGGTTAGCGCTCATGACTCATTGAGAATTCTCGAACTTTGCAGATAGACCTCTGCCTGCAATAGCCCTGTCAGAATCTGCTTACCTGGGCCTGCAACGTTGACAACCTTGCCATCCTGGTAGAAGCTGGCAGAGTTGCGGAGAGCGAGGAGAACACCGCGGGGAGACCTGGATTTCCTGCGTTAGCTTGTTGATTCGGACCATGGAGGTGTGTTTATGTGACGAGGTTTCGGGGCGGCGAAGTGCTGGATCGTCGGGAGTTAGGCATTATCGTACCAAGAAAACTTGTATCCCAAGGGGTTTCCGGAGTTCTCAGGAGCAGGCAGACCTCCGCAGTAGGACAGGAAAGAGGTAACCTTTCCACCCTGCTGGTGGACTTCCTCGATGGTCTTGACAGCGTCTGGGAGAATCAGTAACCGGACAAACATGGTTCGTATCGCTTTGTGTATCGCTTACAGAGATGATCGATACCGGGGTCTGTCGCGAACAAAGTCAGTAATTGTAACCAACAGAGCTTGGCACAGGAAATTTACCTAGACCGATCTCGTTCATGACGGTGATGCCGGCCTCCTTGGCTGCCTGGTCGAGCTCAAGCATGGCGGGGGAGACGTAGCTGGTGGTCACGACATGCTTGCGCTGGCGGATGGCAGACTTGATGACGGTAGCATGGAATGTGTAGGGGATCAAGCTGATGACCAGGTCGTGCTTTCCGACCTCGTTGTCGAGGGCGTTGTCGTCGTTGACATCGAGCGAGATGGGGTTGGCGTTCTTGACACCAGCGGAGAGGGCCTTGGCGGACTCGAGAGTTCTGCAGGCTATGGAGCGTTAGTAGGATGACTTGGAGGGGATGAAGAGATTTGTTTGGGACATACCAACGGTGACGTTGACTCCCGATTCAGAGAGCAAGTCGAGCGTCGGTCTGGTGACGAAACCAGCACCGAGCATCAAAACCCTGGGACCATAAGTGTAAGAATGTGTCAATTGTAAAGGTAGGGGGTATCCTACTTCTGAGACGCCATTTTCAAAGAATTTTAGATACTTGAGACTCGCGAAATGGAAGCGGTCTTCTTGATCTCGATGTTTGTTGTGAGGGGGAAACGCAATTGTAAAATCATAAAACTTGGAGACATTTTCAATGGCGGGGTAATTGCGTTTTCCGATACCGGTGTTGGCCGAGAGGTGGGGCAGAAGGGGATAGAGGGGCACTTCGGCTACCTTAGGCATCCGGTAGTTACTGAAATGGCGCTGTGAGATCAATTCAATTACTCAGTCGCACTATGACGATGTTCAGTGGGTACGAAAATGCACTACCGTAGCCGAGATTATGTGCCTGTGAGGGCCTGCTACCCCCAAGTCATAGGAAGCTCACCCCCTGTAAATCTCGGAACAGCATCCGTTGGTGGCTTCACGTCGGCCGGTCAGGCTCTTTTTTCTTCTCTCTCTCTTTTTTTTTTTTTTTTGCTACTTTTGCAATGTCATTGGATCTGGAGCCTAGTTAGATCCGTCAGTCTCGATTCTCAAGCTCATGAATAGGGATTTGCTCTCCCAGAAAGCAGTGGATCACTATCGGGCAGCTCCCCGCTCCAGCTCGCCGCACCACAAATTTTGCAGGCTACAGCGACATATCTGACTTGTTAGCCATTACTGTTTTTTACTATTATTTTCCATTAATAAATGACATATAGATCAGAGGAAAATTGCACTTCTGAGTCAATCTTGCTTGGAGGGCTTCTGTCAAGTCTCCAACAAAAGTAGAGATTGGCATACCCCCAAGCAGTCATTGGCTCCAAGACAGAGGCTACGTTTGTCTAGCTTGGGTCAGAGCAGTCTGCCTGAACAAACATCTAGTATCTTATGAAGCTCACAGAGCTATATTTCGTGGTTAAAGGCCGTGTGAGTCAAGGAACGGACCTCTTAAAACTTTCCAGAGTTACAACATGGTCTTGGTCGAGGTTGAGATAGCCAGCTATCAAGGGATCAGGGAGAACGGTGCTGGCGCAAGTTTCCAGACTGTCTTATAAAAGCTGGAGACCAACAAAAGCTCGAGGACTAAATGAGTTCTCTCAAAAGCAGATTGAAGAATACAAGTTTACGAGCGGAATGGAATCCGTTCATGAGTGATTGGTGTTGTACCCTTGATCGGCTTCCCCTAACGGTTTCACCGTACACTTCTCATTGGCCATTATCTTCCTACCTTGATAAACTAACGGTGAATCTGATGGCGTCATATGGATGCGCGGGGCTCCTTTAGCCCACCCCCACTGACCCACCTCGCATTGATCGTGCAATCTCAGGACAGTGGGTGGCCTGAACAACAAAGTGGCATTGGCTGGGGTAATATTGTAGGCATTTATTTCATGGCATCACAAAACTTTGTTAGAAGACTTTAGTCAGAATGATGGAAAGCGAGTGTCTTAAAGGCTGCGGTGTCTTTAACAGTAGACCACGGTCCTTCTCAGATAATGTGAAGGCATCCAAGGAGAATATTTACTCCAGCATAAGTACGTAGAATAGAATAAGGAGTGGTATAACGTCAAAATGAACAGCTAGTATTCCTGCGATGACTAAACATTTCTTTTTACTTCAAATTTCAGACTTGAAATTTATGAAAATGCTAGGGTGTAAATGATGCATTCGACAAAACGCACAATGGCGACTGATATGGTTCCAACAACACCTAGTAAATGACACAATGGCAGTTAGAAAGAAAAAGAAAATTGATGTACCTGTGTCGTGTTATATCAAAATGAAAGAGTCGATGGGAAATGAAGAACTTCCATGTCTTGTCCTACCTCGAGTTCCTAACACCCCCACCTTAACAACCTTCTCAGCTCGCCTTTGAGATCATCTCGGCGTTTATGCTGCTCGTATTGTTGTACCTCTCATCAACACAGATCTAGCAATTCAGCGACTACGGCTCGAGTCAGGAGGTTGCCTTTTCTGGCTCCGAAGGAGAGAGAGCTCTGTGGCTGGACGAAGTTCCAGTGCACGTGTCGATACCGGATATTGCCTGACGGAAGAATGTCGGTTCCTCGATTGCATACTTGGAGGCAACCGCTGGTCTCTGGCGAACATCTCCAGGAACATTGCTGTCATACCAGTTTAGCATTTCGAGTGACTGCAGATACCCTTGCTAATGAGCAACCGCGTACCAATCTCATGAACCTAACTAGAAGGTCTAGGGTCAAACTGGCTTCGACCTGGTTTCGACATAGTAGCTGGCGAAGAGTATTTGGCTCCGGTTGGTTTATGTGGCGATGATGTTACCGGCGGCGGAAGCTTTGGAATGGAAAAATAATTGGAATCATAGTCAAGTACGAACGGTGTTTGAAGCTGATAGTCTCACGCAACACAATCACTGGGTTGGTACCGCATATAAAAACTTCTGCTAAAAGATTGGACTGCCCACAGCGGACAATATAGTCCTTTTACCTTTCCACGCTAGTCTAAAGTTCCCGTGGCGTGACATCATTGTGTATTGCGGCTGAATCAGAGAGCTGTCAATTTGATAAATTCAAACCAAGATGTAAGTGCCGACGACGACTAATTTATTACAGCTACTGACTAAGTCACACGCCGCAAATACAAGACGTGCCAAGAGCCCAATTAGATTGTGATAATCCCTCCTTCATTGTCCGATTGGTGCCGATAGTCGGTACTCAAGGACCAGTCTACCAACTCACCATATTTCAACCTTTGAAATGCGAGTCCGGAGAAAAGTTTTCTGGTTTTCTTCTTTGACACAGCCTCTTTCCTAATATCAACATTACGATAACGAAATAATTCACATTCAAAACCCGAGATGGATGGTGGGTCCAGCCCTTTGGGAGAATTCCCAACCGAAGAGCCCCGCCATGTGCAGGCATCGGAGTCCTGTTCCGAAGGAACATCTCGTTTAGTGGCGAAACCGAGGTGTAAGGCTTCAGAAGGCCTACTCGATATACTTCGCCAAGAAACCTCAGAGTCCGAGACCTTGGTTAGACAGCAGCACGTAATCTGCTGCTGGCTTCAGCTTGCCGCCAACGTCGGGATTCTGAACAGACGGTAGATGATTCCCTTCAGAGGCCAATGAAGCATGAAACAGAAGCTCCCTCGATTCAAGTATGGGACCGTGTGGAAACGAAAGGGAAACGAAGGTAGAAAGGGGGGGATGGGAAGAACGGAGGGAGCCTCCGTTGGTTTGGACCAAGGAGAGCCTCCGACTGGGCTCTGATGGGACTAAGACTGCTCCAGACGCCAAACAGGCTTCCGGTTACACTATCCAAAAAGAAAATGTTTCCCAGATGATCTGTCGAAGCGTTTCTGTTTCCCGCGTCGTCTGATGTCCCTTTTGTTTGCATTTTGGGCATAGTTCACACACTTCCCACACCTCCGTGCGTCCCACGGAACCCTTTCTGGGCGAACTTGGCTGTAGTGCGCACATGAGGCCATGGATCTTCCATCTATATGCAAGGGGCACATTGCAGAACATGCAGCCCACCCGCTGCCAGCATCCCAGTTCCGTTGTGACCGGTCCGTCAGGCACAAAAAGAAGACGGCCCAACCAAGAAAGCTACATCACGGAGGCAGCCCACTAAATAAGCTTCCAAACGCTCCACCGCCCCCTCGCTAGCCAAAATCCATTAAGCTTTGCGGGCTCTGCCCTGTAAAGATGGTTCAGAAACGCTTTGGATGCTTGAGTTCTAAACTAAACCCTTTCGACGCCTGCTGCGCGAAACAACCATCGCAGAAACCGTACGAGAGATGAATTTTGGCATGGTGTCTTCAATTTCGTTCGTGTCGATCGAAGAACCCGTCTCTGATTACCAGCCATCGAAACTCTTTTCCACTACATCTGGTCTTACTTGACTTGGCACGGGACGAGGGAAATCTGCAATTTCGGCGACCTCGGGTTCAGCTGATGGCAAGCATGAAGATTGCGTGGACAGCATCATAGCGCTGACAGACGCACGGTTTGACAATGTCTACGCTACTGGGATCTTTGCCATGCGTTGAGGGGGCATGGTGAAGTGTCACGCTTTGATAGGAGCAGTTCTTGAAGAATAATCTTGGTTTTCTTTTTTTGTTATGTCTGTCATAAGTTCGTGTTCTGTGGTACCATCGATTACGGGCACCCTGTAATTGCTATGTACTGTAGCCAAAGACTTGATATTTGTTACTCAGAAAAATCCATGAAATCCCACACCTGAAAATCTCATTTGCTGTAGGATGGAGAAAACAGGAGGCAGGGAGGCTGAATGGTGCCTTAAGTGGTTTGTGTTGACTGGAGACCCTTAGATTCGGTTTTCTCCCATCTCCATAACGGCTACTTGACTAAGCCTTCCCGACCTGAACTTGTTCTTGAGGCTAGATTTCGACTCGTATTTCTCAATAGCCGCGAGTTCGACACCGAGTATGTCCTCCATGTCTTGCATTTTGAAGTCAGCTTGCCTTGGCGTGGGGTTGTCCTTCCACGTTGTGGATTCACTCCAATGGTCGGGGTGAACGTCCCTGTTCTTCCGCTTGAACAGGCAGGGTAAGTGTCTGCTGAGCCAAATGATTGTTTTGTTGTGAATCTCATCCAAAAGTGGTCGAATCCCTGGGACGGAAAGCGCAATCAACGTGGCGCCAATTTCGGCTACTTCAATGGCGATTAAGGGGCTGTAGATCCATGATTGATCTGGTTGCCATTGGCCGTTGATTACAAGTATCAAACGAGCGACAGAAATGGCGACAACACTAGTACATCTGTGTTAGCCTGTGCATTACAAGTTTTGATACAGAATCTGCAGATTGGCCAAACTTACAGTGTGCCAGGTAAAAGAATGCAAGCCAGTTGGATCTTGCGCTTCCGAGTCATCTCGAGCATCCGCAGCATGGCAATCGGAATTCCGAAGAGAACGAAATCGCACAGCAGCGAGACCGCCGAGTTGATGCCGTACACAAATCCCCACGGCAGACACTTGTACTGGTTGAATTGCGTCTGCCACTCATATGGCCAGAGTCCCGTCACCGGCAGACAGTGAAAGACAATGAGCAGCATTTGCGTGAGATATCCGGCAAATATGAAACCTGCGAGCCATTTGATAGACTTGAGGAAGCTGTCGTGAATGCCGCAGACGCGGTAGTAGAATGCCAGACCGGAGTAGCGGCAAAACAGCAACGCGGTCGTGTAAATGAGATGCGCAGCGAAGTCGAGAATTTCTGTTTCCTCCAGGGTATCTTGCGTCATAACATACTGGATATACTCAAAATGTCGACCAGATCCGATGTTGATCAAAATGATGCAAAAAGGCACGAAAGCGATGAACATGACCTACGGCCCGTCGTATTAGTCTCGTTGTACCCCAAGTATCATGACCAAGCTCTCCTCACCATCCCTATGACTGCGAGCGCATCGTCCAGTCCGAAACTTTTCCGTAGAAAGAATCGCGAAAACGCCCGGCCGTTGACAACCAGGAGCGTGAGCACAAACATGAAAATCGAAGCCCCCATCGACGGCGTATCCCGATCCTCGTCGAGATACGCAACGCTTATTTCTGGTGGTATGCGTCCCGCCGCGAAGGCGTCTGCGACTGCAGCATCGCCGCTGGACATGGCAACGGTGTTTGGTGAGTTGTTGTCGATCTAGTCTGGTGTACCATTCCAACGGACAGAAGGACACACGGCTCATGCAAAGAAGAAGAGATGCAGTGCAAATATCAAAGCTTTATGTTATTGCAACCCCTTTGTGCAGAGAACATGCTTCCCTGCGTCTTGTATTCGGATCCGATCGGATGACACAGATTTCGCAACTCTAAACCGGGCATGGATGAATGGACACTTTCATAAACCATTATGGGTTAGCTCCGAGGTGGGGAAGTGAGGCTGCCAGGAAAGTTGACGCTTGTGTCTGGACTGATGTGAAGCTTGAAAAAGCTTACTTTCAGCCTTTTTTGATAATTGCTGTCCGTGCCATCGGCAAGCAGCAAATCTCCGCCAAACTAGTGACATATTATGACAGATTGATGAGGATTACATTGATCGATTTGACGTATTGCCCCTGTTCTTTTTGTTACGCTTGTCAAAATTCGTTTTCTTGAATGCTGAACTAAAAGAAATCATGACGAATGTAGTAAAGGCTGTGGGTTGAAGTTCAACGTTGGATCGAGGTGGCTCGCGGAACGGCATGGATCCGCGTTAAGCTTACAGGCTGTGAGGGGAAGCCTCATCGTGAGGCACAAAGGGGTTTGGGCAGTCCGACTACTGGAATACCATTCGGACGATGCATATTCCGAAAATTCGACTTGGAAAGATCGCCCAGGGCCATTCCTCTTCCGGCACACCATGAACGAAAGAAGTCAGCCAAACGAATCGCGGCATGCAGGTACGAAAGTTCTCTACAACGGTCGACTACGAGTCAACTCCGCCACCACTAGTCGTAGAATGACTCGTTCTAGCGATTGACTGTTGAGTCGTCTTTAGAGCCTAGCGTCGCTGTTCCATATTCCACGTATCGACGATTGCGTTGTGCGATCGCCTGAAAAGGACCGGATGAAGTGCTTTGATTTTTTTTCGTCTCAGATGAACAAAGGTAGGTAGTGTCTTAGAAGAACGGCAACGAGATATCACCGATTGCCCGTCGGCGATACGGACATCGGGTTGCAACAGCACTGGCAGCCTAAAGCATGGCGGTGACCAGTTTCTCCATATTAGGATTTCGAATCCGCGGAGAAGAAGTTTAGCTATGAGGCCAGATTCGGGCCCAAGCCTTTTTGGGTAAATATTCAATAAACGGCTGCAGGATCCGCAACGAGTTCCGACGAGAGGAATCTCCGCGGGTGGGTAAAGAGGTGCCCGAACTTGAATACATCATGACTTTGCCGTCTCCACCACCCTTTCTCCCCGAGTTTCTTATTGGAGTAACCTGGATGATATTTAAAGTGGTTTGATGATGCCAAGTGTAGTTTCAAGTCTTTTAGTAAGTGGTATATGTGAGCCCGACACGGTTTGTCCTGAGCTCTATGTCAGTGCTCAACAATGGATGCTGGTGACGTGGTTTGAAGAGTGGAATTTAACGAGATCGTATCTAATTTATGGCACAAGTCAGGTGTCGTTGATTATAGCAGTCTGTTAGACTTTGTTGATAGTAGAATGGTGTGAGGACAACTCCCATAAGTGGACGCATGAAATTCGCGATACATCTTACTCCAGTAGTGTATACCTTGGACAGGGAACGAGAGAACGATTCTACTTCTCCTTTGAAGGGAACTCTTAGTATTCAAAGCCCTGGAAGTTCATACGCACTGTCTTTGGCATGATTCGTCGTTAGTTGCCCAGATTTTGATCACCTTTCGTCGTTCTTTCTACCTGCCCAATTTGAAAGTGAAGACTTTCTCTTCTTCTCACCTAGGGCCCAAAGTCAAAGAAGAAGTCTTTCAGAAGTTTTCTTTTTCAATTTCTTTTTTATCGAGGCCTGTTTTTCTTCAACAGCCACGTCAAAACTCAAGCAACATCGAACAAAACGAAATTCCATATTCGCCTGATGACAACTCATGCCGAGTCTTGCCGATGGATACTATTAATCGCACTCACCGCGAGGAAATAGACTGTCCAACCGCTATCCCGGTCTCCGGTTTGAGCTTCCAGCTGTCGCTTCGACCAAGCAATGTGGTATGTGCTGGATGAATCAACAAGTTGAATAAGATACTAACCAAGTACCCAGCCATTCGATGAAGCTTCTTGTCTTGGAAACGCGCCGGCTATGAATGCCGCTAGCAAACAGTTCCTACAAGTCCTACCACATCTTAAATATCCCGGCTTCGAATTCTCGGGTCTTGCCGTCACCCAGGTCGGCAAGACCCTGGCCAGCATCTTGAATATGAAAGATGGCAAACATGAGCCAAGCAGTTTACGTTCGCACCTTGACGCTCGTGATGCGGCATCTTACGTCTCGCTCAAAATCGAAGCCATCTTCGCCACCGCTATCGGTATCCTTTATGCTAACGAAGATATGAAGCCCAACAATCCAATCATGTGGCAAAAGGTCCAGCGGATTCTGGAGCAACGCGATGTCACCTAGAAGACAGACATCACGCCGAAACAGATGTACCAGCTCACCAAGACTTATGAAAGAGGTCGTTCCAATTACCTCAAGAACGCAGCCAACCCAGAAATGCCGCCTCTTCGTTACCTCGAGTATTGGCGCATGATCAAGACAGTGGACCGTTGGATGAGCCTTTCTGAGAGCAGAGGTTCAGTGTCGAACGACTTGCAATTCAGAGCGAAGACAAGGTGGATGTGGAGCTACAAGATTCATAAAAAGCGCCCCGATAGCGTCACTCTCAAGCGTATGGCAGGGATGATTACACGCTCTGGACGGGGGCTGGAGCTAGTCGAGTCTTGTGATTGAGGAGTACTGAGTGAACATTATTCTGTTTGCTGGAAGGTATGAGTAAGAGGCTTGCAAATGAGGAAACGAGAAGTTATTCACCGAGTATACTGACTCTCAGTGACAGGAATATTAGCATGTATTCACCAGTCAACACCAACTGTTGATCTCTCGCAGTGATTCAGTAACATCACAGCCGAAGGCTATAAAAACAGCAGCACTTTACATCTTCTTGCTCTTCTCGATAACTCAACAAACCACAAAAGCATTAACCGATCGAGTTCTTACAAGCAACTATCCAAGCTGAGCAAACAACTTTACAAAACATAAAACGATCAAGACAACTTGCAACAATGGCACCTTTTCTTCCCAAGCCCCGCCCTCGCCCGCCGAAGCCGGCGCCGCCTCCGAAGCCGTTGCCGCCAACCAAATAAACCGAGCTTGGCAAGTAGCATTCTACGACCGGTCGGGTTCCCAGATAGCGGCTAAGCAGTAGCAATGGTGGTGGTTTCTTAGGGGTCTACGAGGTTTCTACGGAAATAGCAATGACTGGCTAACATGGAGGATTTGAGTTATTGCTGGCTGCTTGACGAGCCGCAACGGGCATTGGCAGAAGTACACAGTCATAAATCATCAATAATACATTTCACAAAAGAGTATGGCAGGGTGATTTACAAGTGCATTGACATTTTCATAAGACAACTTTGTGATCCTGGAATGATGCCGCGTGCTTGGGGTTGCGAAAGCACTTAATGTCCATGAAGGTCTCATTACAGCCAACTGGACAAGATACAAATTTGTACCTTTCCAAAGGATCGCTAACGCGCTGCTCAAGTTCCACAGACTAGTGCCTTGCAAAGATTCACAGCTAGCGGCTCTACAGAGACTGTGTTTTGTTCCACCATTGCGAGATCTTCAGATATCACCTCCAGCTTCTCAGCTTACCACTAGTTAGCTGAAATCAAGACCTTGACAACGGTCTTTATCGAAAGAGGTCAACAGCACCGAGCTTCATTTACCAGGCTCCGCCCAAGCATGCTGCCTAGCAGGGAACCCGAATGCCCCTGAGCACTACTGCCTTGGCAAGGTTGGCCTTACAAAGTCCATTGACCAACGTCTGCTTTTAATACCACATTACTAACTACACTCATCCCGCTATCACTTCTCAACTGCGTGATCGACCACAGGCTATCTTTTAGACATCGTCAACCCCAGCTTTCAAAATCTATTCACCTTTTTAACCACTCTGTCACCCCGGGAGCTAGGGGTCCAGTAGAGGGGATCGTCAGGAACAAGGGTCCATGGCACGATGCAACCGGCATCTCCGCCCCTTGGATACTGGACCACACCAGACACAGAAGTCATTGGAGCAAACCAACCTCTCGAATGGAGCATTTCGGCGGGGAATGACGCGCCAACATCCGATTACATTGGCAATGGGCCTTCCATTGGCAGCTCGCCGAGGACATTAAATAACAGTCGAGCTCCAACGACTCATGCCGTATCCTCTCTCGACTACCCCTTCTGTACCTCCTCCGCTCCGTCAAGATGGTCCGCCTGTCCCTTGCCTCCGTAGTCGCCGGCGCCGCTGCCGCCGCCCAGGCCCTCGCCTCCGGAAACTGCACCGGCGTCAACGCAATCAGCACAAAGTGTGTCTCCAAGGAAACCCCTCACACGCGCGACTTCTTTTATGTTGGTGGCCGTTACATCGAGAAGGCGTCAGGCAATGTTACCGTCGATCAGCTCTATGTCGAGAAGCTCGTCCCCCTGGCTTCCGGTCGCAATCGCCGTCGTGGCGTTGCCGCAGCGAAGCCCATTGTCTTCTTCCACGGCGGCGGCACTACGGGCGTTACCTGGCTCAACACGCCCGACAACCGCCCCGGCTGGGCTTCATACTTCTTGCAGCAGGGTCACACAGTCTATCTCGTCGACACGACTGCCATCGGGCGGTCTGCGGAGAACGACCTTGATAACTTCCCCATGCTCGCCGGTACTGCTGCCGAGGGCATCGAGAAGGGATTCACGGCGGTAAAGGTGTACAACACTTATCCCCAGAGCAAGCTGCACACACAGTGGCCCGGTACCGGTCGGAAGGGTGATCCGACGTTTGAGCAGTTCAAGAAGGCCATTATCCCATTGACCGTGAACTGGGTCCCTCAGGAAAACGCTCTCCGCGCGTCCGGATGCGAGTTGCTGTCGCTGCTAGGCGAGAAGGCGTACCTGGTATCTCACTCTATCGGCGCCCGCGGTCCGATTCTATTGTCCAACGACTGCCCGCAATACATCGCCGCCAACATCAACCTCGAGGGCACGACGATCCCCTTCTGGAGCTACGGGTATGACCTCGGTGGCACGCCCGCGAATCCGTGGGGCTTGGCCAACACTCCCCTCGACTATGACCCCCCCGTCGCCAGTGCTGATGAACTCGAGACTGTGGTTGTTGGCAACGAGACGCTTGCTCTCCGCAGCTGCCACATGCAAAAGGAGCCTGCGAGGAAGTTGCCCAAGATTGCGAGTGTGCCGTTCCTGATGGTCACTGGTGAGGCGAGCGTGCACATCACCTACGACCACTGCCTTGTGAACTATCTTAAGCAAGTGGGTGGGCAGCCGGAGTGGATCAAGCTGGGTGAGATTGGGATCCATGGAAACGGACACTTTTTGCATCTTGAAAAGAACAGCTTGGAGATTGCAGAGGTTGTGAATGATTGGATCGTGGAGCAGGAGAGCAAGTAAGGTTAATTAGTTGATAATCGCCAACTCTCATTCTCTCATTTTACTTCTTTGATGTTGCCGCCCAATTACGGCTCTATTTTGACCAAAACCTACGTTGTTGAGATTTTAGGTGACGAATGAATCTGTTGTCAGATGCCACGAGATTTCACTAGCATTAGTGCTCTTTCGGACCTGAGGCTGAGGCGGGCTCCCTACACTCGCGCTGCTATCTGAAATGTAGTCTCGACAGCGATTTAGTTGCCAGATTGGCTGACTTGTGAATGTTTGTCTAGCACTGTAGCCCTTTACCACCGATGCGATGTGCAGGTTTTGCCTCTTTGATAACGCAGCTACCTAGGTAAAGTCATACCGTTGTGACCATGTTTTATCTCTCGACAAAGTCAAGACACCGAGCTATGTGTTTCGTAACCCCGCCTAGCTCTATATACCAACCTAATATAGTCTCAATGGTGCTCTCATATCTCATTGCGATCCAAGATGAAGACCACCTGCAACCTTGGCCCTTGAATAAGAATATCTTGAAATAACCACCATATCAAGCTGTGGCCCTGTGAGGTATAAGTGTTCTGCTGTAGTTTTCTAGAACACCCCAGTAAAGGAACATAGAACCTAAGGTAGGTGTGGAGGGCGGTGACCGTTTGTTGTAAAGGACTACTGTCGCCGCCATCTCGTCTGAGTCTAGCTAAGCAGCTAACACTGGAGACATTTGATAAATCACTTTATCGGGAAATTGAAGGGAAAAGTGAATTCTCCATGGATGCTGCTCTGGGGCAAAGCACAACCTCATTAAGCGTGTCATCTAAGGTTGATTAATGTTACAGGATGAAAACCGCTTGAAGGCTAAGAGTCCAAGAAAAGTCCGATAGACAACCCCGTAGAGCCATCCGAGAAAACACAGTGAACCATCCGAGGACACGGTAGCACTCATAAGACGAAAACAACATTAAACTACCTAAGATCGACACGCAGAGGAATGTTCCAGACTATAGACAAATGGGATCATTATTCAAATTTCCTGCATTGGGGATATCACCGCTAACTAAGAACAAAAAAAATAAACCTTCACTAAGCCCAACTCCCAATTCACGTTAGACCATTAAGTTTCCTCCCCTCAGACCTCAGAAAGTGAAGACTGTGACCAGACCGGCAACAAGACGAATAGCAAGCAGCATAGACATGCGAAGATGGCACCACCAAGCATAGCCTGCAGAACAATCTTGTGTTGCAACCTCCTGAGATGAACGTCCTTGACGCGAATCTTACGATCAAAGATCATCATACGAGACAAAAACTTCATAAGCCCAGTCCGTTGCGACAATAGAGATTCGCTGTCATCGAAACGTTCCCATGGTAGTGGCTGGCGTCTCGTGAACAGCAACAGGAAGAAGCAGCTGCCCCTCAATCCCGAGAGGATAAGAGACATACCAACGAACCACATGGGCCAAGGTGCGAAAGCGTTATAACGGCTGTGGGCGCCCATGAATGGCACGAACGCTCTGAGAATCACGCAAAGGAAACCACCGATGGTGAGAGCGATGCCCACGCTGGTAGCCATGCAAAGAGTCTCAAAGGTGCCGTTGGAGACGCCGAGTCTAACGAAGTTTCGGTGAGAGCAGTTCTTGAGCAGGCCGTAGACATGGTCGGCAATGGGACGAAGGTGGGCGGGATCAGAGGAGTGCTGGAGGTCGAGAAGCGCCTGGTCACGCATGGCAGGGGGGATGTTGAGCTCCTTCTCGGAGTCAGGCAGAAGGAAAGTCTTGACTACTGCATTGAGCTCGACACGGTACGCTGAGTTTGGGGCGATACGAGCGGGAATGACGGTAGCGACGGTGTTTGAGCACGCTGGCTTCGCGCAAGCGTTGGCCCAAGACTTGATACGATCACGGCCGGTCGGAGCACACTTGCTGTTTGGCCTGCAAGCGGCTTCGGGGGCAATGAGCTGCACAATGTGGGACATAGTCTCGTTGGCTGTGGAAGGTTAGCCTCAACAGGAGGATGAATGAGAATGAATATCAACGAACCTGCTTCGGGATCGCATTCGAACTCGGACATCTTGATGGACGGAAGCTTGTGGATGGAGCCTATAGTGCTCTCCGTTACGCTGTCTCGCGATGATTCTGCGTCGGGATCCTTCTTGCCAACAGGAAAGTCCTTGAGACTGCCTGTCTTGGCGTAAATGGCTTCATAGTTTCGGAACCTGAAGGTATGGATTGTCAGAATGGTCCGCGATGAGCAGCGCCATGCGAGAAGACATACCAGACGAAAAACTCTAGGTTCTCGGGAGAGAACTCAATGTACTTGAGATACATATAAAAGTCATACAGGGACATTGGCGAGCCTGCACGGGAAGAGAAGGTTAGTCCTTGTTCACATCCATGTCCATAGGCGACAACGTTGTTTCTCGAGCTGCGAGGAATAGAGTCGAGATGGGGGGGGAGGATGCTCACAGGTCTCGTTGGCCAACACCTTTTCCAGACTCAACCGCGCGGGAATGGGGCTCTTGTCCCGACCGTCCCTACTCAGAGGTCGCTTTCCGGTCCGAATGGCTGTAGCATACTCTCGAAAATCCCTGTATTCGGGCTTCTTGTACCAGACCATCCAATCAGGAAATTTGAACCTGGGCTCCGTTGTCGTTATCCGGGCCGCAGTAGGCTTCGTTTGGCCTTCCTTGTCATCCATCTTGAATCAAGTGTCTCTCTTCCTGGTCAACGTATTGTGGAATGTGTGATGTCTGAAGTGCGATGTCGTCCAGATAAATCGACGTCAAATGCGGAGAAGACAACGAAGGCGCTGGGACAGAAGCAACATGGACCCTCTGTCAACCCTGGGCGCCGTGGGTAGTGATATATGTCTTGTCCCTCTTTCTTAGTGCTACTTCGCATGTGAGGCTAGGCGACACGCTCGAGGGCGGCAGACCCTCCCAGACCACATGTAGCGGTTTTGTGGCTGATCAGATGTACACACCCCTAGCTAGCCAAACAGAGTAAAGGGTTCTCTATCTGGTCCACTTGAAAAAAAGAATCTGACCGTACGATGCTTGAAACGGAAACCTAGTCGTGTGCTATTTCTAAGTGATCATGGTCCCTTAGCTTTTCTGCGGTCGGTCTATTCCGGTAAGAGTAAACTCAAAAATATCTTATTCGACGCGACCACAGGGCTCTCAGAAGCATCCTGCAAGAAATAGAAGACAGGATGAGAATGGTCCAAACTTGAAAAATGTGACAAACGAGAGTGTCAACTATTACTTTGTTCAGCTAATCTATCATACATTCTATCTCAGATTGAACTTATTAAAACGGGGGAGATCCCCTCTACTTTGGGTTTAGCAAAGGGGGGTCCATTTGATCAGCTTGAACTAGATATGGAGAGACTGAATTTCGACTTCTTCAAAAGGTACCGCAGAGAAACCACGCACACTGCACGGACCAAATCAGAGGCGAGTACGCTGAACAAACACGACCAGACGGATCAGGACGCAGTGACGAATGCGTCCCTCGCATCACTCGGTCTGGATGACGGTCCCTACTTCTCTCCCGCGTGTCCGTAGTCCCATCAAGTGCCCAAAGCCGAAGCTAGGCTGGCCAATGGCGGTGCCTTCGGGAAAGGGAGCCACGCCTGCTGGGTGGCTTGCGTCCATCTACCATCATTGGGCGGGAGGGTGAAAGCGACACTACAAAGTTTGCATTGGCGGATTGGCGAGTTTAGATGGGCGGCGCTCCAACCGGATGCAGGAAGAAGCAGGTCAAAGCGCGTCGTACATACTGGTTTTTTTTAGTGTTAGTGACCCTTTTTAAGCAACGCTAGTTTGTCAGTTAGTTATTGCTTGACCCCATTCCCCTGACTCTGCCGAGCAAACACCTGATTTATCCCAGCATTTTCAGCCGGGGGGCCAATGATCTCCCCATCTTGTCCACGTAGCAACAGTTGTGCAGAGGCCCTATGTGCAGCCCCTTCTCGGGTGATGCGAGCCGGAGAATAGTTAGCGCTTGCCTAACTTCCCCTTCGACGTGTACCTACGCAAGACTTATGCGGTCTTTGTGGAGGATCGGCCGATCGGGATTTGGTCTGTCTGAGTTTTGACAGCGAACAAAAGAACCTCGTTTGTTTACTCTTATCTTCTTTTGGTCATTTTGCCCTGTGGTCTGGTTAACTTTGGCCGCAACTTCGCGATCCATGGGCTCCAACGTCGAGAGGAGAGGAGCGAGCAGGCTCATGGCCAGATCTCAGCCGACGTCCTTATTTCTCATGACTCTAATGTCCTTTTCTTGAAAATGTGTAGGAGAACGCCTCTGCCGCAGTCAAAAACCGTTTTCGACGGATGGAAGGCTGATGACGGCGGCAGCGAGTAAGGGTGATGCTGATCGTCGGACTGAGCGAAGGAAGAAAGTTCGAACGAAGAGAGACACCATACCCTTCGCAGATGTTCTCTGCAGTCAGCCATAATTCTGAATGCTCGCTTGCCTGCCATGGTTAAACAGGCAGAGCCAAGATACAAGATCACCACGTGGGATAACAGGGCGCAGCGCCAAGGTGCAAGGGGCACGGGGAAACGCCCGGGGACACTAAGGGATGAACCTGCGCAAGCATGGCTCTCGGCCCAGACCTAGGAGGTTAAGCGATTTCCCTCTTCCAATCACACGTTGTCTTCCCCTCTTTGCCTCTCCTGAGCGCTGATAACGCTGGTGCAGCTAACCATTTGGTGTCCTGGACTTCTCTTGCATCCGCGTTTTCATTCGCATCTCCCCCTCTTGACCGAGTCATTTAAGCAAACAAGCTTGGACACAAGACGTTTGCTCAACTTCGGGGGATCGACTATCCGCATGAGAGCGTCTAGCGACGGGTACTTACCAGCCGGACAACTCCAAAGACCGTTTGTAGTCCTGATGTTTTTTTTGCACTTGTCTGCCAGCTGGTCTTCAAAAGGGATTAGCGTCGGTATTCGAGCTCGCCGTCATCGTACGAGTAAGACATCCATTATTGAATCCGGGCTGAGTGGTTGGTTGGAGACCCCGGGGATATTGAGAGCGCCAGACTGTATCTTGTTTGCTATTGTTCTCCTAGTTTGGCAAACGCGAATTCTTCGCCATTGGGTCGATGAGGGTATACTGCTATCCGTTTCGGGGTCTTACGTGTCAGGTGTCATACCTGTCTCCTTCTTTTCACAAAGCCACACCGGTCACCTCACCTGAGGTCGTACAGTAGATTCCATAGTAGCTTCGTTTTCGACATGTCGACAACTGCACGCCAAAGCGTCCAATCTAACTCGATAACCCAGAACTCTCTTTCTCTCCTTCACACGTCCGGCCGACCTATCCCCGTAGACCGGCAGAACTGTTTCCCCGTCCCTCCAGCTCAGATTCGCATACTCTTACGCTACAAGATTCGTTACAGCCTAGCATACAGCTTTTCGACTAGTCCCCATCTGAAAAGCCAGGCTTCCCCTATACGTCTAGGTATCGCGCTACGGGTGAATATCGTTCAATTCTGCAATGTGTGTGGCTGAGCGTTGAGACACTACTCCATTGATCTGTCAGCAATGGCTGCTTGCGGCATGGCAATTGGCCAGACGCTTGTAATGGAATAGTAATCATAATCTTTTGGCAGTCAGTAAGCTTTCCGCTATCCTAACCTAGGACCACCCTTTCATCTCTTGTCAAAATCGGTGGACTACTGTGAGGCTTTTGAACTAATGCTATATCCGTCACTTTCCAAGCGTCAGTGGCACTCAATCGATATCCTTGCTTTCCGCGTCTGCGCGGAATCAACATTGAGGGATGTGTTCACAATATGACGACATTCATCTAGGGACAACCCTAGAAGCTGGCATCATCGTTGCCTTTTGTTTTGGCAATCGGTTGCCCGTTGGACCAAAATAATGCTGCTATAGATCATAGGTGTGAAAACACAAGCGTCAAGCGTCTTCTTCCCAATTCTCCCGTTTACTCTTCAAGTTCTGGTCCATAATCTTCGTTGCTTACTGGCTGTCTTTTCATATCTTATTACAGCTGTTCATCTTTCCAAGGGCGTCCTGGCGTTGTGGGGTCGTCGCCGACATGGCTTCTAGAAAGCCGCATCCGTTTGTACAGAAAGCAACCATGACATAAACGTCACTTTTAGACAATGTCCCACAGTACCGAGTTCTTCGCCTTCGGAATTTATCATCATGTTAAGGGGAGGTTCCAGGCGGGCCTCTAATGCTTGAGATCTGGCGGCAACTTTCGTCCCTTTGGTCAATCCAAAATGCTGATCTCGGAAAAGCCTACTCACGATATGCCTAGAACATGACTTGTTCTGGCAAAGCACCTTTCTTTTGTTTTTTGTTTTTGTTTTTTTCACTTTCGTTCTATAGGTCATTTATCTTTTTCAAGTACACTTTACTCATGTCTTACCGCCGTGCTGGCTTCTGACACGAGGAAGTAAGACTCTTCCAGGCCCAATTAACGGGATGATGAGTGGCAAACTCAGACAAACGAGAACAAAAAAAGAAAATCAGGGAAAAACATTCTGTTCATATGACAAGGCTCCTCTTTAGCCCAATACTACCACCGTAATCCACCTTACTCGTCTGAAATTCCCAAGTCCCTTGCAACGTCAAGCCTCAAGATGCTTCACGTCTCCAAGCTCGGCATATTGCTGCTGGCCTGTGCTGGACTCGCCGCAGCTGCGAATCAGATGAGCTTGGCCGATATCCCTCCATGTGCCGTAAGCATAGAAACCCTAGGCAAACCGCAGTGATAACATTGCTTACCATTTGCCAATTTCAGATCAGTTGCATGACTAAAGCGTTCCCTTTAACGAAATGTCCTCTTACCGACCGAGCTTGCTTGTGTGCGGATTCCCAGTTCAATGCAGCTGTTGAGCCATGTGTTCGATCGGCTTGCACGATAAGGGAGAATCTAGGTTCGTTGGATATTCCATCCAGCTCTTAAAGGGCCATATTGGTGGCTCGAGGCTTACAAGGTGGAAGCACTCGCCAAGCTGACTTGGGCACAATGCGAATATCCTTACCAGGATGTCAAGCCTAAGATTTACTGGACAACTGGTGTCGTTATTGTTATAATGGTAACTTTCTTTGTGATAAGAATGATATCAAAGGCTGCAAGGATATCGAAATGGGGACACGATGACACACTCATCGTCATCAGCTTCGTAAGTTGCTTGTTGTGACAGTACCCTGGTTTCCAAAAGGTAACAACTATCCAAGATCCTTGTGAATATGCTCTTCATGACCGCCACGATAGGTAAGATATGAAGAACCTCCACTAGCTAGGTGGGTATCTAAATGATTCTGTGAAGCGACAGCTCGATCCTACTGGGGTGTGGACATGTGGGTGGTCGGCGCCGACGGTATTACGGCTTTTCTCAAGGTGCGTGCAAAATTGCTTGCCACAATAGCTCCATCTGTTAACCCGCGGTTCTAATATCGTAACAGTTGATGTTTGTCCTCGAGATGATTTACATTTTGGCCATGGCTGCGATCAAGGCCTCGATTCTCTTCTGCTTTCTCAGGATTTTTCCTGATAGAGTCTTCCGCAGGGCCGTTTTTGCCACACAGATGTTCAACTTGCTTGTAGCACTCACTTGGGTCATCCTGTGCTGCGTGCAGTGCCAGCCGATTTCATACGCCTGGAACGGCTGGGATGGCGAGCATCAGGGCGGATGCGGTGTTCAATCCTCGTCAATCGGTCTTATCCACGTAGCGTTTCAAATCGCCATCGACTTGGTCATGCTCGTTCTGCCGATCACGCAGGTTTACAAGCTTCAGATGGACTTCAAAAAGAAGCTTGGTGTTATGGCGATGTTCTTGGTCGGCATATTGTAGGTGTTCCTCGTCTGCTAGGTTGAGCTAACGCGTGTGATATGAATTAACCGATTTCTCCGTTAGCCTCACCATTGTCAGCTGTTTGCGTATTCAGTCCCTGATTCAGTTCCATGACGCTCTTTACCAGAACCCGACACGTAAGTTTCCCATGCATCTCAACCACCTTTCGCCTATCATAAGCGTTGATGTCTGACTTGTTCTTCAGTCGAATCCGTCACCGCCGCTCTGTGGGCTCTCGTTGAGCTTGGCGTAGGCATCGTTGTCGCTTGTATGCCAAATGTGCGCCATCTTCTCAGGGTGGTTTCCTCCAAGATAGCACCTGCAGGAAAAGCGTCCATTTCTTCCTCGTCGTCGAATGGTCGCAATAATAGCTCTGATCCGCAAAAAGGTCACCTTGTATTTTCTGGCACTAGGTCAATCAATGAAACCATAACGAGCAAGGACGACTCGATTGCATCGCCTTCAAAATCGAGCGATGTTTGAGTGGTCCGTCAGTGTTGAGAAGATGGTAGTCTGGAGGGATAAACTTGTACCGAAATTTACCTATATAATTAGACTGCACATGGTATGAATACGTATAATTGCTCCAATTTGCTGCGGACATCGCGCCTTCCTATGTGGTCCTTTTGATAGCGTGAATACTGATCTGAATTAACCGACATGGGCATGCCTGGTTGTGCTAAAAGGTTTGGCGTCTTAACAATACGAATCTCGTATGCCTAGCACTCAAGCATGTTGTTACTTCTGATCAAAATCTACTTTGTTTGGCTGAGAATTCTAAACTGTCTCGTTAGCGATACTTCTGAAGATTGCCAATATCAAGCTATTACTAACTGATAGATGATATGAAGCATGGACACAACTACTGTCTTAACGTTAGGAATTCTTGGCGAGGGTGCATGCTTGCCCCTGCAATCGCGTGAATTCAAACGCGAATTACGAGATCACGAGGGGATCAGCGCCTTGGTAAGAAGCCAAGCCTCAGATATCGTATTGCCCCATTTAAAGGCAGGGGAGAGAGGGATATCGTCTGGGGAAAAAGTCAACATGGCAATATGAGAATCAACTGCCACCATGAACCCATCGCGACGGGCACCTTCCTATTCGGACCATCAGAGCCGAATGCCATTGGGCATTTAAGAAAGCATCCTGCCCTTCTTCGTCGGATTTCCCCTGTGTCACTGACAAGCACAAAACTCAAGGACCCGCTTTGGAGCATCATGAAGTTCAAGACTGTGGTTGCCAACTCCGTTGGTCTTGCGACTGTCTGGCAGGTTGCCGCTCAAGAGATTTGTGGCTCCAGTAATCCGGCTCCTGAAGCCGTTGAGGCTGCCTCAACGTTGCGAGCAGCTCACCGCGCCGAGGGCTTTTCTTCTAACTTTCTGAGCAAGAGAGCGCATGGTTTGCTCATTCCAACGTATCTGCACATTGTTGAAGATGAGGCCCATGCAGGCTTCATCACAAACAAGATGGTTAATGACCAGGTCTGTATTTCCTCCAGAAGATTGGATCGAATGCAATGATTAATATCTCAGTAGATGCGTGTTTTAAACGAGACATTTGCTCCACACAACATCCAATTTGTCGTCAAAAATACAACCCACACCGTCAATGACGCCTGGACCCGCCAAGCTCGTATCAAAGAGAAAGCCGAAGCCCTTCGCCAGGGAGGCTACGACGAACTCAACATTTATTTTGAGACCGGTCTCATGACAAATCCAGGCTCAGTCACGGGCATATGCAGTTTTCCTGTAGAGGACCCTTGGAATACGGGGATCAACGGCACGTCCTGGTATACATACGATGGATGCCATGTGAGTGCCGGCACAATGCCCGGCGGACCCGGGGTTCCGTGGGATCCAGAGGACAACAAGGGAAAGACGGCGACGCATGAAGTTGGACATTGGTTTGGTCTGTTTCATGTGTTTGACGGCTTCAGCTGTACTGGTGAGGGAGACTATGTTGATGATACACCAACGACGAAGGTGGCGACTGTCGGCTGCCCGGTTGAACAGGACTCTTGCCCTGAGCAACCTGGGCTTGATCCTATTCACAACTACATGGATTACTCCAAACACGACTGGTATGTTCTCGGTTTCCAAATTGACTCCTTACAAATTACTCACGATTTCTAGTCTTTCGCACTTCACTCCCCTGCAGGAGGAGCGTATGTATCGGTCTTTTAATACCTTGAGGCAAGGAGTTTGAGCCAGAAAAGCAGAAGATAATCTTTTGCATCTGTTACAGCTTACCTACAGATTTTACTGAGTTAAATAAATAAACTTGTCCCACTTTAGGCATGTTTTACTGCCTTGTTGCTTGGTTTATTTCACATTCATCATGAAATTCGCGTATTGTATAACGGGAAATGGAAGGCTGAGTTACAGTCTTCATATTATCAGCGCCTGTTTCACGTCCTTTGCTTTCCGCTATGAAGGGTTATTAACTTTTACCCAACCTTGGTGCTCTGTCGTGCTAATTCCGTAGAACTTACGAGAATTTCCGTACGTATATGTCTGTGTTCTTGAACATCATCACAATGTGTTAATAGAGGTATGACTGTGGCGGCTCAAATAGTACATTGGCAGTCCCAACGTACCATATAAGTGCTCAGATATACTCTTTTCTAGGAATGAATGAAAGAAGTAGGAAAATGAAAAAAAAATAAAAAAACAGAATGTATTCATGCTAGCTTCTAATACACAAACGATCATGAATTACTAATTCCTTCACAAGCAATCTTCTAGTTCAAACCCCAAGAGACGCCAGCCCTATAGCTTAGTTGGTACGGCATTGGCCCATGGCTGCCTGCCAACCAATCTCTCTTTGTCATAGATGTAGTCGAATACCGGCGTTGTGGCAGTCTTCTGAGCATCTTGTCCCTCGAGCCATGACTGTGCAAACCCGTAATACAAGACCCATATATCCATAAACTTCGCAAACCAACTGCCCCAAGTTGCCATGTCTGTCATGCTACCACTTTCATTACACTGTTGTGCCGTCATTTCCTGCCTTGCCTCTTGGTATCTCTGGAAAGCTGTGTTTATGTCAAATTCTGAGGAGAATACAGGCAGGCTGTTAAGTTCGTTGGCAAGGGTGACGACATCCACAATGCCGAAATTACAACCTGATCCCGTGGAAGGTGTGAATTTGTGCGCGGCATCGCCGACAAGTACGATGCGGGAGTTCCAGTACCAGTGCTTCAACACACCCTCCTCGAGAGAAATGAGACCAGCCTCAGATCATGTAGCGTAGGCATCCGCAAGGGTGAAACATTTGCCGCGAGCCTTAGCAACAGGCAAGTGACCCCATTGAGTGACGAAAGCCTCTTCATCTTCTCGGGTATAGTGCATACGCTGCTTAGTTGGAGAAGATAGGCGCTCATAAATACCCACCACCGCACTTTCTTCTCCCGCGAAGAGTTGTGTTGCTGCACCAACTCCATGACACTCGACCGACGTGCCCGTAGAGACAAGTGACGTTGCTGTGGAAGGGAAACGCAGCCAGAGACAGCGAAATTTCACGTCGAACGGCTGATCATCGTTAACCGCTGACGGTTCATGTTCAAGAGCGAGATTGCGCATGCTACGACGAGTGGCACTATGAGCACCGTCTGCACCGATGACAATGTCACCATCGTAGATTGAACCGTCGGAACAATGTACTAGAACGCCAGACTTGGTTGACTCGACATTGGATACTTTCTTATTGCAGATGACATTTGCTTTCAACGACTCAGGCAGAGCGTCGTATAGTGTTTTTGACAGGTCATGGCGACTCAGAACGCGGGGCCAGGTACCGAAACTGTGATGTTAGCGAAGATCTTCTAATATATGCGAAGGAACACTCACTTCTCCATTTCCATACGGAACCAGTCGATGCTACCAAGATCTTTGCCCTTGTGGTTCATGCGATGGACGCTTCGAAGCTCAGAGCTTACATTGTATAGCTCATCTAGCAGTCCAAGTTGACCCAGGGCACGGAGACCGACTGAATTGATGACGAGGTTGGAACCAGCATCGACAACTGGATGATGGCGCATTTCCAGCATGGTGAATGAGATTTTGGCTCTGTACAAAGCATGGGCGGCGGTAAGTCCAACTGGGCCACCTCCTGCAATAATGACATGAAACTTCTTGTCAGTGGACTGGATAGACATGTTGGTCGTGGTTTTTGTTCGTGAATGGTGGTTTGTCTTGTAAAGTACTGTTGCAAAGTGCTACCGGGGGTGTGTGGTTGTGACTGAAGCGGATGTCTCTTCAACATTTTGAAGCATTTTGCAACGACCTGTTTTTATATGCAAAGTGATTCAAAAGAACATATTGGAAACTTCGGAGACAACCATACCATACATCCTGTACATTTGCAAGCCGTTGATTGAAGATGATCGATATGTCAGATTTGCCAAGCTTTGCTATGATGGTTCGCACTCGCTTAAGGGGAAACACACCTCGCGCTCCGCAGTTGCCGAGTCCTCTCTCATCCGGTTGGCTGTCATTCAAATCAGCACATGGCAAATGAAAAGTGACTGGGAACTTGATAACATTGCAACCACTACGGACACTGCGGACACCGCAGATCGTAGACACCGGGAATCGTAGGCACCGAGGATCGGGAGCACTGTAAATTGTGCGCACTGCATGAGAGTTGCCGACCGTTTCAACCCAATTCAAACGCGGATGCACCTAAAGACGGGCGATGCGGTGTTTCTTCGTGACACCACGCATAATCATCTTCAAAACCCCTGATGCACACAGAGCACTTTTCAACACTGCACAATACATATTCTTACCTTCATGAAAGATTTGTCATGGTCTTTTTTAAAGGTATTTCACGAACTTCCGCCCAGTAAGACAAATGTTGCTGATGCTGTTGGAAACTGTGTTATGACAATGGAAGGATGTTTCCTCGCAGACAATCTCCACATCCCCGGACACGCTTCGGTCGTCAGCATACCTTACTTGAATAATTTGCATTTTCCTGGCAAGTCTCCGCGAACTACAAGGCTTTTGGATATACATGTACCGCATCAACGCGTTTGGCTGCGTCACTGAAGGGTTCCTTGCAATGACACTTTCAAACACGCCTGCTCATTGTGCCTCCAATTAGCTGACTTTGTTTGAAGCCCCCAATAAGCCAACTTGTGGAAACTAGGTAGTTACATCACAAAATCTGTTGGGAACCTCAAAAACTCGCAAAGATCAAGCTGCTAATCCTTCTCCATTATCTGATCAACTTTAAGTGTTTCTACTACTTGGATGAGGAAATTGTGGCTTTCATAGTCGTTTGGAGTACTTAATGAAAGCTCAACATCTGCCGCCACCGATTTCAGGTATTCATGCAATAGAGAACGTAGAAGGTGGCGGGGAACCGAGAGTCATACTATTCGTCTCTCTTTATTCTTCAAAGTTGATTACCTTCTGGAGTTCCAGAAGCTGACCCATAACTTCACGTGAAGAAACACAAGAACAAGCCTACAAGGCTTGACAAGACCTTGCCTCTAGCTTATTCTTTTAATTCTTTTCAATAACGTTAGAATTCAGGCCGTCTGAAACATGGGCACGATTTTATACACAGGCCTATTTTTGGGTCATATCGGTTGTGGCTTGAGACATGAACTTTGCACATTAGAGCTCAAAGAAGCCGAATAGTGGGCTATCATATTCTGTTGTTAACTCGAATTGCTGTCAATGAGACACTTTCCCCTCACTTGAGGTTATTCGGCTTAGGCTCCGCTGGGCTATCCTGTAAACAAACTGGGTGTAATGTCGCAGGCGATGTTGCCTATCCGTCTATTTAAAGGTCTCGGAGACTTGCAGCCTGACAGTACAAAGCTATTGAAACTTTGCCATGCCAATTGGCTTGAGATGAACGGCTGATATGCAGCCACCCACTTGACAGCTACCCCTTGCTGCCAGCTGAGCTTGTATCCGTATAGACAGACTTCTTATTACACACAAGGTTGACTAAGGTGAGTCAGGTTTGACTTCAGAAAGCGTAAGTCTCAGTGTCCGTTTTCTAGGCTAAATAATTATAGAATGTTAGGCAAGCCTATAAATATGGACATATTGCCTCGGTCAGTGTTCAATTGTAGAGCGCCATCGTCCACGGATACTATCAGTTCACAGACATTAGCACCAAAGACTCTAAAGCATGATCCTACACCGCTCCCTAGCCTTTGTCAGTGCCTTCGTTCTCGGATTGCATGCGTTGACGCCTTTGCCTCACTGCGATGCGGATAAGTAAGTCATATTCTCGCGATTGCTTGGGGTTTCACTCTTACAATTCCGAAGCTGCTACCGAGCCCTCTTCCCTTGCCCAACTCCGTCAGCAGTTGCCTCTGCTTCTGCCTTTTGTGCGACTATAACAGCCGATGGCACGACGGCGACAAACTTCCCCTCCCGTGCGACAGCGGCTTGTGGCACCGTTCCGGGCCGATACATCTCCGCTTGTGTCTGCGGCCCCACCTGTCCCATCATCCCGTCGGTAACGCCGACTCCAACTCCGTGCGCTTCTTACGGTGGACTCCTGACCAACGGCGACTTCGAGTGTGGCATTTCACCTTGGACTGTCAACCGCCCGGATCCGTTCGCTGTGGCTGGCATCACATCTGACTCTGCAAACACCGGGCTGAAATCCTTCGAGGCTCGCCTGTTCAGCAATAGGACCCTTCAGAACCCCACCGTCAGTGCTAGAGTCAAAAGCGCAATTATTCTAGTGCAACAAGGCGTGCCTTTGAAACTATCCTTCTCAGTATGGTTCGATAACATGGATGCTGGGTTTGTAGGAGTGATGCTCAATGGGGAGCCGGTCAGGACGATAGATGCGAGGGATGGTCCGGGATGGGGTATTTGGAAGACAAGTTTCGTGGAGTATACGCCGAATTCGGATAGCGTACAGATCACGTTCGAATTCCTTTTTGGGACGGTTGCCAGCGTGGCAAGACTTGATAGTGTTGTATTCGATTACCTTCATTAACATGACTTGGAGGGCGTACCTCGGGCAATTTAGGCAATCAGTAGCAGCAGCTCCCGTGGGATCTTGATTGAGAAAGGAACGCACAACTAGAATCAAGCATACGTGGAATGTTCAAATCGATATAAGGCATTGTGACCTTCCATATCCTGACACAAATGATCAAAACTGGATTCCTTTTCCGAGCTTTGCGGCCGCGTCGTGTATGTTTCCCGTCCATCCGGCCACTTAATGCATGCCAAGCCACCGAGGACCAAGGACAATCGACGCTGGTGGCCGTATAGGCTTAGATCGAATTCGCTCTCGGGCCAGTAATTGGCGGATTGTTGTAGTGTGGGAGGCGCGGGTAGATGGTTAAATGCAGCCATGTGGCCCAGTTTCCCCAACCATATTTGGCAAGATCCTTCATGTTCTCCAGGTCAATCCATTGTGGGAACGGAGAAATACTGTGCGCTAAGACGATGAGGAATAGGATAAATGGCTCAAAAATCCAACAGTCATCTGATCTTTTTGACAGGTCGGTTTCGTGGTTCATGCGCAGTATAAGGCCCTCATGTCCGGATTCCTGGAGGACGTGGTGCTAGTGGGTTTCCCGCTGTCGTGTTGATCATGTCGGACCCGAGGCCATGGACGTCATCCTTGTCCAGCCTTACGATCAATGCCTTGAATGAACACCTCACTCCCAACGGATCAATTCGCTGCAATCTGGTGGCGCCTTTATACTTGGGGATAGGAGAAGATGCCATGCTTGACGACCCAGTATCCCTTGATATTGGTGCGAAGAGCTTGGTTGCTTTTTTCACAGCAAGCCTGCCATTTCCTCTGAATCAGAGTCTCCCAGGCGACATGATAGAATGGTGGTTCAGGAGTGCAACCGATGATGCTATGAACATGACATTCTTTCTACGCCGTCTAGCAAAGTCATGTTCAAAAGAGATCTGTGCTGCGGCCGGAGACGGCCTTGATCCAGACGTGTCGGGAGTTGGCGTATGTCTCCCATGATGTATCCGTATTCTTTGGCTTATGGAAACAGATCCTCATATCCAACTCAATGTTGGCTTTGGTTACCCTTCTCTTCTTTAGCTTCACGATTTTCCACGTTCAGGTTCGTGCCAACAGGTCCGACCGTGGCCATCACAACTGTGTAACAAACCCTGTATGCGCGGCTCTTCGAGGTACGATAGAAGACGTCTTCGATGCGACACTCGTCTTCAGTTTGGCTCTTCACATTGCAACACTCGACTTCCGTGCCCGAGGCGCTACCCGCTCGGACGTTCTCTATGCCGAGAGTTTGTGTACATTTGCCGGTCTCGCGTGTCTAACCATGTGGCATATGCGCACGGAAATCTCCCGCGAGAAATGGACGACTAAGGCGGCGTTTTTGAGCATGTGCGCACTGAATATTACGATTTACATCCTACGTCAACTACCGCATGAGCAGGCTCTGGATTTGTATGGCCCCCTATGTCAGACAGGAACGGAAGAGGCAGGGCTGTGGTTTCTCGAGCCGTTTTCTATGGTGTACTGGTGCTTGTTTCTTGTGACAACTTTATTGCCCCTTAGGAGATTTGTGGAGTGGCTCTCGGGGAAACCATTTACGTACACTGGTTTGATGAGATGGAGGATGTGGCAGGCGTTCTGGGGTGTTGGTGCCATGGTCGTGCATATTTTCTCGTTGGGGTCCACGAGGAATAAGTATCTCGAAAATCAAACATGGGGCATAGGGCAGTATCTTGCCGTTGCGACGTGGATACCCGCATTGCTGAAGATGGGTTACATAGTTAACGGTAAGTATCGTTCAACTGTGTTGACATTGTGCTAACAGAAATTAGTCGGGGCCGAAATTGGACTCTCGGCGTCTTTGCCGCGGCCATGGATAGCGCTGATGATTGATGATAACCCAGAAAATGAACAACGTTCTACGCTTGCATCAATCTGCTCCCGAGGGGCATCATTGATGGGACTGCCAACTTCCGCCTTTACATTGGGGAGACGACGAGACACCGACGACACATCTTTCGGCATTGAAGAAGGGCAAACCACCGGAGTTATCCAGATTACCAATGAATCTAATGAAATAAGGCCCAGAGAGGATAAAGTAAAAATATTTGGAACTACCCAGGAATTAGAGGCCCCAGTAATTAAACCAAGAAGACGGGGTACGGATGACACGCTAGTGGGAGATGTAATTGAACCCGTTCTGGATGATTTTAATGACAAGCAAGATAATGGCAAGATAGTGGAGGAAAGCCTTCAAATGTTTGAAGAACCCGAGGAAGTTGAAGATGGACTGAGGCATGAAGTTAAACCTTAATGATAATAATCGCCCCTTGGCTCTCTGTAACGAAACAATCGGGTTTGAAGAACGCTGAACTTATCGTCTCCGATGTATTTTTCATCTTAACGCCGAGCCGGGTCACATATCTGTGTCTCTTGACAGACTGAGACGGCACGGACCGACAACCGGTTGCCACCGGTTCTTGTGCGCCGAAACCGGCCGGCAAGCCGGGAAGTTTGCCGCCGAAGTCGCCAGGTCGGCTGCAATCGGATTCGATCACCAACAATCAAAATCAGTGCCGTTCTGAGAAATAGTCGACGTCATTATTTGCGTAAGTAAAGCATTTCCAGTAGTAAACGGACAAGTATCTCGACAGTCAATCTATCAAAACCTCAACTGAATGTTGAATATCCGCGAGAGTCATAGTTTCAAATAGAGACGAGCATTCTAGGCGTGTTCGGCGTGTTTATTGCAAGGATGTTGGCGATTTGGAGCAAAAACCCACCAGTTAAAAGCCCATGCCAGGTTCTCCAATTGAGTTCAAGTTCAATGAGTCGCCTAGGATGGCTGGATGGCTAGCGATACTCAGCAAGTAGACTAGAGGCAATAAGACCAATAAGAAGATTCTCTTACACATCGTTGGCCGGCTTCTGTGTTTGGCTTAGGCTCACAGTTGCATCACCCACTGCTATCTTTCTTGTCATTTATTTCCTTGGGAGCCCGTCCGTGAAATACCCATGTTATTTCCGGGACCCAAACAAAAGCTAAAACGCGCCTGGGGTCGGAGTAGTGTCGAAAATTTGCCTGTCAGGGTTGATTCCCCGCGACGACCTACTGTATACGGTTACTGAACTACTGTATACGGCGCGCCGAGTCTGATTTTTATGCCGATGATTTCGTTTTGCTTTGTCACCATACCCGGAAGTCCTGAGTCAACCAACATTGTTCGCCAACCACCTCCCAAAACTTGCACATTGCAATTCTCTAGCGATTACAAGAGAGCGGCATTCGAATACTGCTGCTTCTGTCGCTGCCCGGTATGCCTTTTCAATCTAATCCCTCAAGTCATCAGGAAAATGGCCACGGCGATGTGGTACGGAAGCCTGACAGCGATTCCAGGGCGGCGGAAAACGAGAAGCATCATGACGCCTCACCGGAGAGCCCAGCCAGCCCTCGACCGAGTGATGAAGAAGAGTTCAAAGAAGGCGGCTACGGATGGTATGTTCTTCTAATTTCAAGGGTTTCTGGTACATCTTGCTGACATTAGACAGGGTGGTAGTCGGGTGTGTCTTTCTCATCAATGCTCATACCTGGGGCTTGAATTCAGTCAGTTGATGAACCTCCCTTCTCTTGTAAATCCAGAAATCTAACAAAGCACAGTCATATGCCGTCTTCCTTGCATACTACCTTAACTCGGGGGCCTTCCCCGGAGCAAGCCCCATCGTCTTGGCCTTCGTTGGCGGGCTGTCTTTCTCCGTTGGTGAGTGTCGTGTCGTGCCCCGCATTCGCGCCGCATTCTGACAGCCGGTCTGTAGCCCTCCTCGTTGCTCCGATCGTCACCTGGCTCATCCCCCGGATCGGTACAAGGCCCACGCTTGGTATCGGCGTGGTAGTTCAAGCGTAAGTACTAATCTCTCTTAACGTTTATCATCACCGGCTCTGACATAGCTTCAGCGCTGCTCTCGTCGGTGCCTCTTTCACGTCGCAAATATGGCATCTTCTCCTCTCCCAGGGTCTAGCTTTCGGCGTTGGCATGGGCTTCACTTTCAACGCTAATGTCGGCGTCATTCCGCAATGGTTTGTTGTACGTCGTTCCTTCGCCTCCGCCATCGGCAGCGCTGGTTCGGGCTTGGGCGGACTGATCTACTCCCTCGCATCAACCGCAATGATCCGTAACATCGGCCTACCGTGGGCCTTTCGCATTCTGGCTATCCTGTCGTTCGTGGTCAACGGCGCGTGCTGTGCTCTCATGCGGGATCGCAATAAAGCTCTTGGTAGCGTTCACGTCGCCTTCCACAAGGCGCTGTTTAGAAGGGTTGAGTACTGGCTTTTCATGGCCTGGGGCTTCTTTTCGCTGTTTGGATATGTTATTGTGGTCTTTTCACTGGCAGACTTTGTGCAGACGGTCGGCTTCAACGCAACGCAGGGATCTATTGCCCCGGCTATGTTCAATCGTGAGTCAATCATACACACTCTTGAGGTGCGCATTATATACTAACTGAAAGTAGTGTCTCAAGGACTGGGCCGACCGATTATTGGTCTCATCAGCGACCATGTTGGACGTATCAACGTTGCTGGGTTAAGCACGCTCATTGCTGGACTTGCGACTTTATTTGTCTGGATATTTGCCGGCAAATACTTTGCAGGCACCATCGTCTACGCCCTCTTCGGAGCATTCGCTGGCTGTATCTGGGCCACCGTCACTCCTGTTGGTGCCGAAGTTGTCGGAATCCAGCTTCTTCCTTCAGGTGAGTCTCAAATGCTGCGTGAGCCCCATGGATTTTTGGCTAAGAGTCTGCTACTTCAGCGCTGTCTATATTTTGGATAATCCTTGTCATCCCGGCAACCTTTGCTGAGCCCATCGCTCTCTCTATCAAAGGGTCGGGTGTGGACGCCTATATCAATGTGCAATTGTTTGTGGGTTTCATGTACATTGCCGCATTCATATCTTGTAAGTTTTACACGTCAGTCCATGTCGATTCTTCTACTAACAAGTACCAGTATGGTCTCTTCGAATTTGGAAAATTCGTGAGTTGGACAACATCGACCTCCCGGCGGATCAGCGCGATGATGTGCTGCGCAATAACGATGTTATCTCACTTACCACTTCCCGACGGACTGAGCCGAAACACAGCATGTTAACTTCCATCATGAAGGGTGCTTTCGTTGTCCAGCGAGTGTAGAAAACAAGAAGGAAACGGCAAAATCAAATCTTGTATATTAGCATATACCATCAGCATCAGCAAACGAACATAAGCCCAGCACGAAACACCTTTGTCTCTTAGCCAAATACTTTACTCATCCATCCGTTAACACGCCAGAACCCAGGAACGTAACTTGCCAACAATCCCTTGACGAGCCGAGTCAAAATCTCTGGCCCATATCTGCGGAATCCCTCCCTCGAATTCTCCGACCACACTCCCACAGCATCTAGCTCCTTGTACCTTTCATCTGTTGCCAGCTCCGCAAATGCCGCACCTAGGTCTGGATATGAGACTGCCAGCTGGATTCCCTCAACCCCAATTTTGTACCCGCTTGGCCCCTCATCAATAATGGCCGGGGGCTGCACCAGCAATAATGACATTAATCCCTCCTCTTCTGCCTCGTTAAATGTCGCATGGGCGTTCAGCAAGTCGGCATACGGATAATAGAAGGCATTCTTTATTAGCCAGCTCACTAGCGCAGGTTGTTGTCCTTCGTGACGCTTATTCCAGGTCGCTGACGATAGCAATATGAGGCGTGGTTTCTGCCATATCGAAGCGGTAGAGTTGTCTTTGAGTTGTTTTAGGGCGTTTACAATGGTGCGCGAGGCATCTGTGAGAACCCTGACGCCCGGCCTGTTGTCGTTCTCGCCGAGGGCGCAAATGATTGTATCCGCACCCTCGAGGCAATCTTTCACATTTGATGTATCGGTGACTTGCCCTTCGATGATTTCAACGTACTCGTTAGTTTTGAGAGAGGGGAACAAAGAGAGAAGTTTGGGCTTCGAGCGGACATAAATTTTTAAGTGGAAGGGGGATGACGGGTTCTTTAGGAGGCACTTGAGTGTCTCGCTGCCTGTACCGCCGGTTGCGCCAAAAATGGCGAGGGTTTTCTGGGGAGAGCTCGCCGTCGATGGCATGATACAATTGGCTATCTTCGAGTCAAGATAAATGTTGATTTGCTGATTGTGTTCAGAAAGACAAATTGAATTTTTATGTTAGATATTTATCAAACATTTCACAACATCGCGCTTCGGCTCGGTCACAATTCATCATCATCCACCCAAACAAATTCCGAGATACTGAGCCATCTCGGTAATCTTTGAAGTCACAAAGTCCGCGCCGAATGACGACCGAAACATCGGTGCGGTGAAATGGAAGCGCCGTCATAGACGCGAGCCCTCCCGCACCACTCCGCTCAAATGCCTGCATTGTAATCGTCATCGACTCAGGTAGGCCTAGGTATAGCGTTCATTACAGGCCCAGACTATGCAATCAAGCCTGGAAATCGCGAAGCACAGGGTTTCGGATCGGCGACCGGACCTTGGCAGGTCCGTTTGGCCGGTCGGACAAATCGACCGTTCGGACGAATTCGCGCTTCCAGGACGAGTAAATGCCGAAGATCTGCTTAAAAATCATAACCAAAATCGCACGCCTTTGAACTTGAATCATTCGCCATGGAAGAGCTGGGGAATAACTCTTTTTTATAGACAGGATTGGTCGACTTACGGCTCCAAGAGTGATAGGACATTTGAGTTTCTCACTGCCATCACCTACCCCAGATAGTTCTGTAGTCTGCACAACGCGTCAACGTTGTTCCCTGCTGGCCATGAACTTTAGTACTGTTCCTCTTATCGGATATTGTATGGTGTCCAAACTGGTACATCTGATACTACCTAGCAAACCCTTCATACCCTACCTAGCTGCCGAAACTCCACCTGTCACAACGCGCCAGAGTGCCCTGCGTAGAGGATCGCTTATCTGGTATTCAAAGCTTTCAGCCCTATTTCTCCCTTTGGTTAGAGCGTTTTGCTGATGCATGTCACGTTGTCCCATTTGAATGTTGGCACCTAAACCTGATTTAATCCATGCAGTAAGCGTAGCTTTGTCCTGGCTATACAAAACTTCGATGCAGCTGCATCACTTATATGCCGCAAAATCTTTAATTCCTTGTACTCTGCTCTGTGTAAGGAAATAAAGTTCTGCATTACCTTTTTCGGCATCAAATTTAAACAGAATATTCTGTTGTGGTGTAGCTTCTAGGTTAACTGGAGTTGGTGTTCATAATATGTTGCTAACTTAATACGAAGAACCGATGTTATCCGAATATTAGATACGGAGATACTCGTTCTGATACGGCTATTTCGAGTATCCAAAATTTTTGGAAGGCAAATACCCTCTGAAACGCAAATTCGGTTTAAGCAGCAGATTATAGTGTCACACAAAGGCAGTTTCTCATGTTTGCAGTCAAATTATGGCGCATCTCAACAGCAGTTCAATTACTACATGCTCAAAGGAAACAGCTGCCTCATCCTGCAAAGGCTGACACATGACAACGCTGATCATAATTCCAAAATGATTCATTCTTGCCGGAAGAGAACCGCTTATGAGGCGATAACCAGGAATTTCAAACTGCACATCATCGATACGTTAACACGTGCTTTCGGCTTCGTCGAATCAACGCAACATACCAACTCGTAATATTTTCTTTTTCTCATTCACCCAACCTGCCGGTGGATGCTCAAGCACATGTTCTGCCGTAGCACTCCCACTCATTGGTACCAGGGATCTTGGTGCATTTGCATTGCCTCTCAATCAGCTTGATGTCTCTCTTAACCATGGCGGCCTCGGGGACGAAGTCCTTGGGGCAAAGTCTGCCGTGGCAGTTCCACTCGTTGGTGCCGGGAATCTTGGTGCATGAGCATTGTCTGGCAACAAGCTCACCGTCTCTCTTGACCATGGAAGCTTCCGGAACGAAGTCCTTGGGGCACAGTCTGCCGTGGCAGTCCCATTCGTTGGTGCCGGGGATTTTGGTGCAGGAGCATTGTCTAGCAACCAGTTCGCCGTCTCTCTCAACTATGGCGGACTCCGGCACAGAGTCCTTGGGGCAGAGTCTGCCGTGGCAGTCCCACTCGTTCGTGCCGGGGATCTTGGTGCACGAGCATTGCCTAGCAACAAGCTCACCCGGGGTGGCGGTAGCGATGGCGAAGACGGCAGTGAGGGCGAAGATCGAGAACTTCATTGTGACGGTTTCAAGGGAGTTTGGTGAATATTAAAGTTGTTGTAGAAGGCTTGGTTGCGATGTTGTGATCAATCGAGTCTATGGCAACAGATGTAGGGAACGAATGGTCGTATTTAAGCAGCAGAGCAACCCAGATGATTAGAATTAGTCAAGGAATCAACTTACGCATCCTCATGACACTCGCTCGAAGGATTGCATCAGGGCTTCTGAGCTTCCTTTTTGAGTTATGCACCTCTATCTTCAACGCAACATCGCCAGACTGTTTCGGGCACGAATGGCGATTTCTGGCATCGCGGCTTAGTAGGAGGAACGGTAATCCGCCGTTTTTTTATGTTAGTGCCGCAAACCCCTCGAATGTAGAGTTATTACCTGATGAAGAAGGTCGCGACGGAGTTCCCTGGTTGGCTCGTCAAGGTTCTAGCCACTCCGGGTCCAGGGCCCTGCGGTTTATGGGGTTGCCGCCCGGCATTGGTATAGGAAATCCTGAGGTCGAACCATGCTGAACTCTAAGAGGAAGCTCGTCGGGAAGGATTTAGTGCCCTAAGTGTAGGCTATTTTAACAGGATATTCGCCCGTGGTGGATGCAAAGCTTGACGTTCAGTTTAGCTGACGACCTTGGCATTCGAGATAGCCTGTCATTTTTTTGGAACTTTTGTAGCTGCACCTCAGCTAGAATTGGGCAAAGACCAGCCCAGTCCATGCTCAGCCCGGAATTCCGCTGTTGGTTACGACCCCTTCCCCACTTCAGCGCTTGTTGTGGGCGTGAAGCGCGGTACTGCTGTTTGCCCATTATTTTGCCAACTTCACACAAAATACTACTTGAGGTTGGTTTCGGCATGTGGCTTGGCGTCGGGCTGGATGCATAGATTAGGATATTGCTAGCTACTATATGTTATTGCTAATCAATTGGTCAGTAACGCTGCTTCCGTTCCTTCGCTCAGGACCGGGAACCTGGTGCGGTAGTCTTGTTACATCGTTATGATCATCTGACAGTCTTCTCTTCACATACGTATGCCATGCAAGGATCTCACAGAGTCAAGCGAGCTGGAAGAACACTCGCTTTCCCAACTGAGAGTTCATCACATTGTATTTCTAACTTTAGTCCGAATTACTCTCTTTTGCCGGTCTACCTTCTCTATAACTGGCCCTCAACTTCTCCTCTGCCTCTACACCTCTGAATCTCCTCCCATCTAAATGCCTCAGACATAGCAACTTTCCCTCATCCGGGTAGAACAGCCAGCAAGCCCACCTGGCCCACATTCCTTGCTCTTTCATTTGTGTTCTCGCGCGGTGACCAATCGTATCTTCTATGAAAGCACCCCGCGGGATTGCCAACCTGGTGGGGAAGACTCTCGAGAGGTAGTGCTGCGTGGAGACAATGTGCGGCTTATCATGCCAGAAGAAAAGCGGCGTCAACGGCACTTTGGTATTTGAATATCCCGGGGACGCAAAGTCCCGTTTCAACGTCGTCGTCAGCGTTCGCAGGTTGGGAAAATCTTGAACATGGGCCGAGTTGGCGTACTCTAGCATACGCACCGACGCAAGACAAACGTACTTCACTGGGGCCTCCGCATCCTCATCTGCATCTTTCATGACGTCTAATATCGGTGCAATGGGGATGTCTGCCACAAGTCTCCAGTCATGTTGATGAACCCAGACGTACGGCGTCGTGGTTATTCTGAGAGCAGTCCGTACGGCGAGGCCAAAGCCTAGTCTCTCTGCAGGTTCTACAAAAGCAACCTTTCCATTGCTTGTACGGCTAACGGTAAATGATGCGATGTTTGTGGCTCGCCCGTCATATCCGTATTCTGCCTCTCCTTGCTCCTGTATCAACTCCTCATCATTTGCAACGTCCCCGTGAGCATCGAGGACGAGTTTCTTAACATTGTCTTTGTAGACTGCAAACTGTTTTGCCCCTTCCTCTGTGACTTGGCCTTTCTTCAACCTGGCTACCTCACCCACTCGCTCATACGTATCGAAGACAACGATGATACGGCATGAGAGCAGGTCAGGGCAGTGAAGACGAAACGATTGGAAGACAGCATCGAGGAGATCCGTCAACGGCGCCGATGGCGTGGGGGACGTTGTGACGATGAGAGTCAAAGTCTCAGAGAGAGGTGCCTGTGTGGTCGGCGTCGTAGTGGAGGACATGACTCCTCACAGAAGTGAGTTGCACGAGAGTAGAAACGGGATTTCTCTGGGTGATGGTTTGAGATTCATTGGTACGTACCGTTTGGTGAATTTTTTTGGTGTCTGGACCAGTGTCGGATAAGTGGGACCACAAACTTGGCGGATGCCGGCCGCTGTGAGCAGATGCATGTTCGTGGTTATTGTCAAGTAGGAGCTGTGTTGTGGGCATAGAAAGACGCCCAGTCCCTCCGATGACGAGGATTAGCACAAGCAGAGTTCAACGCTATTTTTTTTTTTTTTTTTTTTTTGACTGTCAATCGGATCAATTAGCACAGCGTCAAACCTCGCCACGTTCAGGTTATATTCTTTCCAACAGCGCAAAGCTAGCACATACGACCATACCCACTGGAAAACTCGGGATCCCGTCCGCTCTCCCATAGATAAGCCAGTGAGGGCCGGATTAGTAGTTGGGTCGGTGACGACCAGCGAATACCTGGTGTTGTATGTTTTTGTTTTTGGCCTCTCCACTGAGGTACTTTTTGTTTCTTATACCGTGGGGTACGTAGACACAAGAAACAATTGTGGTCTAAAAGTCGATGGAGTCGAATAACTCTTGTCATGCACTATAGTTTCAAGGTGCAGTATAGCATCCCTCTAGAATGTCACCTTGTCATCTTTTGCACTAGAGGAGAATGTCTAGTGTAGAGGAGGAAAATTTCATATGATATGCCTCGATCTTAAAGATCTACCTCAATGAAAAATGACAGAGCGGACCCACAAGAGCCCGCTCGGTTGGATCAAGAGTCTGAAAGTTATATAAAAACTGTGACGAATCATCAACTCAAAAAGTAACTAAAAGGAGAAAACCGGCAGAGGAACTTCAAAAGATTACCTAGAGAGCTAAGTATAAGTTTCGTGGTTGGTCTTCGTATGCCCATATCCTCCCGGAGACAGCGGACCAATGACATGCAATCCCGGACCGGAGGAACAAAGAACTAGCCTCGAGGACCCAGCTAGGTCGGGCCCGCACACATCAACCCACACACCAAGATTTAATGTCGAAATTTTCAAAAAGAATGACCAGCCTGGGGGTCGAACCCAGAATCTCCTGATTGCACGATGAAATCGTAGTCAGACGCCTTGCCATTGGGCCAACCGGCCATTTCCGGTGAATCCATTGCTGGATGTTGAAGATGCATTGCTTATTCACACTCAAGAGCCACGACCGCTTGGCACTCTGACCCCATTCACATCATGGCTTAACACGGCCGGCTCAACTCCAGAAGATGTTCATTATTCTAATTCTAATTTCCTGATTCTATTCATTTCTTATTCAAGGGTATCTAAGCTAAGAATGACCCGGTATCCCCAACTCCAAACTACGTCCAAATAGTGGCTTTCCCAAAAGGTATGCTCATCCATCCATGTACCAAATAATCCGATATCCCCAGCACCAAAACATTCCCTTCATGATGACTTCCTCTTCCACGCACTCATGAAGTAGTAGCCTCCGCATATTTCCGAGTTCGGAGCGCCGGCACAGTGCATATCGCAGTTCCACGCGGGCGCCGCCGTCTTTGGCGCCGTCTTGGAACAATAGCACTGATCCCCGAACTCGGTTCCGAAGTACTCGTAACCGGCGCACGCGGCAGCGCAAAGCCGATTCGTCTGATTCTTGATGACCACGTTCTTGTCTGGGAATATGCGCTCGTCGCCATCCATCCAGCAGCCGATAAACTCCCAGTCGTTGACCTCGACCCAGGTTGTTGTGGCAGCAGCAGCAGTTGATGTCTCTGTTGATGTAGCATTTGTCTCCGGTTGAGTTGTTCTGTGACCGATGTTAGTCACACTCCAACCGAAATATGGGGGATAAAAGGGATGGAAGCTGTACTCACTTTGTTGGTGTGGTGTTCTTGAGGTCGAGAATCTCTACGGATTGGTTCGCGAGCATGGCTCCAAACAGACCAGCAATGACGACAAGAGCCACGATGAAGAATGCCAGCACACAAAAGAGAATAAACATTCCCCTACCCACGCCGCATATCCTTTTCTTCGGCATCAACGATGACGTCTTCATCCCCTGATCAGGCGATAGAGGTACTGGCTTGTATTGGTCATATGGAACGTAATGAGCCGAGTTGATTATTTTGTCTGTCTGATCAGCCGGGACAGGGTGTAAGCCATTCTCGACGTAGGCGGCATCGCTGTTTTGTGGTAGGCTGTACTGCGGACCAGTTTGCCCATACGAAGAATCCATATTCTGCTGGTCCCGATGGCTTGTCTATTTAGTCAAGATCGCTGAATAAATGATGACTGCCCTCTCGAGTTGTCGAGAATATCCCTAGGATTATGCCGGAAGTCGATGAGGTCACTGCATCTAATGAATGAACCAGACTTTTGAAAGGAACTACAATTCTCTTTAAAGGAAGCAAAGCCTCGTGGTGAGCAGCTACTAGGCAGCCACAAAGTGTGGTGTGGGTACGCGAAGGATGAGTAGCGGTAACATTGGTATTGGAAACTGAACACTTCTTGCGCCTTGATCCGCGATACCTGACAAGCTCTCGCTTAGGCGGTAGTTTAAAGGCACATTTAGCGGCTTTCAACGCCAGGCCCATGCATGTCAGACGAAGCTAAAGAGCTAAAAAGAGCTCATGGTCCCTCATTCAGGGGCACACTATGGCTTTCAAGCGTTGGGTCTGTGGAACAAACCCATATGAGGAGGAGAAAACATGGCGTCGAGAAGCCGAACGTTTCCAAAGTCAGCCACTTGGGACATTGGCGCCGGGGTTGGTGTTAGTGGCTAAGCTACATTTGTCAGCACTCATTTGCCCAAGGGCGACAAGATCGACGCCTAGCGGAGACTTGAACTTTGCGTCTCGAACATTATTGCTTATTCCTTGCTTCGAAACGTGGAGGTATCAGGCAGCAGTTAGTTAAGTGCCGTCTCGTATGCTGATTTACGGTTAAGCCACAAAACCATGTCGTTGGCCTAGAATGAATTACCACCATGAATTCAAACGTCCAAGTTGTTCGGCAAATCTGACATTAGCCCCATTCATCAACAGCCCTACCATCAAGTGGATCCAGTAACCCATACTCCATACTGACAATCAGGCTGTGAAGCCAAGCCAGTGATCAGGCTCTTTGCATGGGTTCAATCCGCTTCATTGAAGGACAGGTTTCTTGCGACGGTGACGGCGGAGGTTCTTCACTCAAGGTAGAGTAGAGTGTCGTTAGAAAAGATATCTCGATAAGACCGGTGTTTTCCACAACGAAACTCGAATCGTGGCTCCATCTGGTCATGTCAGTTCCTGCAGTTCACTGCCGCTAGATGCCCACGTCCAATCATGCAGAAGTTCGGGAAGCCTGCTGCAGGCCGCATAGCTGCCTGAATTGAACCCGTAGCATCCACTAATTCAATCCCCAATCTCACTTACAGTGTATCTGACGTCACTTGGAAGTAGGAGTTGGTCAGAATGAGGGGAGCCCGTCAGAAATGTTCCTTTCTATGCACCCAAATCGCCAACTTTGGTTGATTTGATAAAATATCTCCAATTTCAATATGTCTTCCGAAACAGACGATGGAGATGACAAAATCAACTTTTTCATCCGGCACCTAGTCGACCCCACAGGCATCGCCCAGGAACGGTGCCTGAGCCTCGTTATTGAACGTGTGAGAGAAACGGCCGTCAACCTCGCCGTGCTGGGCGAAGTTACACGCGGCACTCGGCTCCTGGAGATTCTCGATTCCCACGGCATCCCGCCGTTCGATTTACAAGAGTACGGCCCGGAGAAATCTTCAGAAGACTACGCAAAATGCTGGAATACGGCCAAGGGCGGTACAGACCAAGACTACATCCTGAATGTCAGTACGGACAGATCAGACCCGTATACCCGGGCTGTGTTCGCTTTCGCGTGGGAGAAACTCGGGACATGGCCGGCGTGGGCTACCCCGGCACCTGCACCACTTCCCCCGGGCTCCGCACCGAGTCCCACAGACACCGACTCTACCCAGACCAGCGGGGAGACGACTATGGACGCCTTGGAGCGGTATTCTCGCTCATGTGTCTGCAACCGATTCGGACACCCCTGGCGGCAGGACCAAGACACCCTAAAACTCGTCTCGGAGATGGGCAACACCGGGAAGAACAGAGCGAACCCCCACGGGCCCATCCCGGGCCGCCTCAGAGGCTTTTGGCTGCTCTGGGAACGCATGCTGGCGCCATGGTGCATGAACCAAGTCGTCAAGTCTACGGGGAGGGTGTTGGCTCTCGATCTTTCTATCCGACTCTGTTTCCCGGATGAATGTGATTTGGCAGAAGACGAGAGGAGGGAGGGCGGCGGAAATCTACGGGAGAAAGAGGACAAAAAGGTCAAAGGGGAGGAGGAAGAGGAGGAAGTAGTTGAAGAATTCTTCCTGGATGACGACGAAGTTGAAAAGAAAGAGAAAGAGGAAAATGAAGACTTGTACCAACAATCCAAGGAGCACGTCGCATCCTGGGGCCGCTTCATCGCCCACCAACACCAAGCACAAGACCAGCTTCCGATGCTCGGCAGCATGCGGCGGCTCTGGCAAAAGGGCTGGTTCACCGACCCGGAATACAACTCGTTCCTCAAAGAGCTCGATCTCGACCTCGATCACGTCCGCAAAGTTGCTGACGCGGGTTGCGAGATGCTCGTCAAAAGGCTTGAACGCGGCCCGGACCGAGTCTACGCTGGAGCCACAATCTCGGAACTCGTGCGCGCCATCGACCGGAACACGCGCGCGAACGCCCCGTATTACCCCGACCACAACTCCGACGAACGCATAGTGGCGCTCGCCGGACACAAAGAGATGGACGAAGATAAAGTCAACCGGCCGTCGACGCTACTCCGCCTCCCGGTCCCAACGCACCAAGAAATCACCGAACTGGAAGAAAGACTAGAAGTCACGGCGCCGTTACCAGACCAGTACAAAGCCTTCCTGAGAACCACGAACGGCATGGGTCCGATCTGGTGGAACGAAACGCAACTCATCCGACTCCTGTGCCCAATTTCCAACGTCGAGGTCTCAGAGGACTGGGAAGTGCCGATACAACTCGAGCTCCTTCCGAGTCGCAGCCTCGAGCCGACGATAGAGTGGCCTCTTCTCCGTCGATCCATCTCCGTGAGCAACAGGTACGGTAACGGCGACGTGTTTCTCGTGGAACCCAAACTCGTCGCGGAAGCGAAAGCGGTCTTCTTCGAGGTGTACGACGCGCTGCCGGAGGCAGGTAAGGCGAAGCTCCGCCGCGAAGTCGAGGAGGTGTACGGAACTCTCGAGGCCTTCCGCGAGCTGGAGTGGGCTGTTCTCCTCTGGACGGACTGGTTCGCGGAGATGCTGTCGTATCGCGACTTTGCGGCTTTGCTCGAGGATTTCGCGGTGGGGAGCCAGCGTAAGATGAGGCCTTGGTCGATGTACTGGAGCCCGGATGTTCGCAAGATGTCTGGGTTCTTTTATCTACCGCAGGACGAGCTGGGTGAGGACGAAGATGGGCCGACGGTACAGCCTGGTAAGGGTAATCTTGTGGTGCACGCGGACGGGACGATGTCGATGGGTGAGAATGTGTACCCTGACAACGCGTTTACAACGCCTCAGGTTGATCATTAATCTGGTAGACTATATGCTATCTCGAGGCGGCGAACAAAAATCTTTCAACTTGTCCACATACTGTTCATCTCTGTCTCGATTATGATTTTCATGTTGACCCTTGCTATTGCTGTGAAGTGAAAGGGGTCTTCCTACATCAGGATAGAGGTATCCAAGTCACAGTTGATTTAGGTTGAACAGAACGCAGGGAGGACCTTCGACGTGACATTCAGTCCATCTGGACGACGAATAAATCACATTTCTTATACTCTGTACGAGCAATGCGATACCACCATTGAATCGCGAATCTCGGCCGTCGTTTGAGTAAGCAGCACTTACTTCATCAATCAGAGTCGCGAAAGCAAGATGGCAACTGATATACTTCACAATTGCAGCACTTGCCTCTTATTTTCTTGCATGCTCCGGATACATCATACATCAGAGCAAGTTGAACTGAGCCACCTGGAAACCCATCTCGTCAATCCGGGTAGGGATTCAAAGAAGTTGATGCACCTCCTAACAAGGAAAGCAGCCACACACTGCGCCATAGACAGAAGCATACAGCTCTGACGAGACGCCTCCAGCTCTCCATCCTCAACGTCCAGAATTCGGAGTAATGTGGCTGGTCAACAGACATACAGTACTCAAAAACTGCAGACGCCGAAGCCAATGCCATGGTATCATCTCAGCACAGATATCTCACATTCACAGCTAAAGTCAAAGCCAACAACGCAAGCTCAAAAAACGTTCAGAAATATTCTGTATTCTGTAGGACAGCCATGTTGACTGCCCTATATGTAATTAAACGATAGATTTCCAGTAAAAGGAGGCATAACTCGAGATGTCTCGAGCGCATTACAACAAATGGTATCTCAATCATCCTCTTCGTTCATCCCCTTCATAAACGCTAATGGCGTCACTCATTCCCTCCTATTATCATGATTCTGCTCCCATCATCCTCGTATGTGTATTATGTATGTAGAGGCGCGGATCGACTGATTCGTTAGACGGTGGTCTTCTTCTCGGGCTCGTGAACAACCTCCTCGGCCTGAACGCCGCCGCGGTGGGCGACCTTGAGGTTTCCGGTGGCAATCTCGTTCTCGAGGTCGTCGAGACGCGACTTCTTGTGATGGGTCTTCCAGGCGGGAACGCCAGAGTTGAAGACGTCGTCCATCTCCTCGAGAGTGAATCCCTGTGTTGGTGGTTAACATACTGGACTTTAGTATAGTACAAGTCGATCAAAACATACCTTGGTCTCGGGAGCGAAGAAGGCAGTGTGGAGGAAGGCACAGGCGTTGAAGGTGGCGAAGATATAGTACATCTTGTAGTTCTGTTTTATACTTGTTAGTTGTTTTCGAAATGGAAGCGACCAGTAACGCAATTAGGCTGTACTCACGATGTTCCACAGCAAAGGAGGCACGGCAAAAGCCAAAACCATGTTCCAGAACCAGTTGGTAGAGGTGGCAAGAGACACAGCCTTAGCACGGATCTTGCTGGGGAAGATCTCGGCGGGGTAAGTCCAGGAGACGGGACCCTAAACCGTGCTTGTTAGCCAATTTCACTCTCATATGAGCCTTTGTGACGTTACTTACCCAGGTGGTGGCAAAGGTGGCAACGAAAAGGTAAGAGCAGGAGACAATGGCGGCAGAAGCGGGCTTGTTTCCAATGACCAACCAGGAGACGGACTCGTTTTCCGGGGTGCGAGTCTCGTCAGTGTTGGGGGAGCCGTAGTATTGTTGCAGAGCGCCAGAGATGAACAGCCATGTCATCATCATGAAAGAACCACCGACGAGGAGCGGGCGACGACCGAGCTTGTCGATGAAGATGATAGCGGGCAGGGTCAACACCACGTTGATGACGTACTGAATGGAGGCGGTGGTAAGAGGGTCACCCATGTTGGCACCCTGCATGATGTAGACGATGTAGTCTGGTTGAAGTCAGTTTTGCCAATTGGGAGGCTGAGAACTTTGAGTGGCCACTTACACATCATAATGTTCATGCCACTCAGCTGAGACCACATCTGAATGCTCATGCCCAAAAGCACACGCTTGTACATGCGAGGAGCAACGAGCGCCTTGAAACTGTTGATCTTTTCCTCGCGCTCGAATCGAAGAGCCTCCTCAATTTCCTGGTACTGAGCGAGGACCTTGGGGTGGTTGACATCACCGCCGCCTTGCAGGGAGGCGAGAACCTTGAGAGCCTCGTCCCAGCGGTCGTGGGCAGCGAGCCAACGAGGGCTGTAAGGGCAGAAGAAGAGACCGATGAGCAGAACGACGGCAGGGACAATCTGCACACCCCACGGGATTCGGAAGGCGGCGGTAGCCTGGTTCGGGTCATTGGGACCACCCCAACCCTGGGCGGCGCCGTATTGGATGAAGTACTGGATGAGAATACCCCAGGTAATAGCCCACTGCTGGAGCGAAACGACACGGCCACGAATCTCCTTTGGTGCGATCTCGGACTGGTAGACGGGAACGATGGAGGAGGCGATACCAACGCACATTCCGGCGATGACACGGCCGACGCAGAGCATGGCGACGTTTTGGGAAGCGCATTGGAGAATGGCACCCAAAATCCAGAGCAAGCAGGAGAACTGCAGGGCGATCTTACGAGAGTACTTGTCGGCGATGAAGGACGAGACGAGAGATCCGACCAGGGAGCCCGCGGGCATGGAAGCGGTGATACCACCCTGAGCATATTCCTTTGGGTCGTTGAAGTAGCGCTTGTAAGCCTGGGTTCCGAGGACACCACTCATAGAGCTGATATCGAAGCCGAAGAGGCCACCGCCTGAGACATTGTTAGAAGGCCCTCATCAATGGGACAGTGAGAGCGAAGGGAGGGGCAGTATCGGCATACCGATGGCGGCGAAGCCGCAAATGGCGTAAACGTTGCTCGCCTGCCACATGGTCGCGCTTGGCGAATGATTCTTAGGTTGTATTCAGTTGGATTGAAGATTATCCCGTCTGTCTCTATAAGACGAGATGAGGTTACAGTTGCGTATACAGAAGATGTCGACAACGAACGAGGGACCTTCGAGGCTTTTGAGGCAAGCTCGAGGGAGGGCGCGACCGAAAGTTTAAGTAACTGACGCGAGGTAGAGCAGGGGACGGGCGTGTGTGCAACCTTCGTTACCAGCAGCTCAGGACGCGGTTCGGTGACAGCCGGCGCGATGTCTCATGTAATGTGCCCCGAGTCACCAGCTGGAGAAAGACGCAACCCCGGTCGGCCGGGATGCGGCGTCGACTGACATTGGGCTGGATGGGCTCGGCATCGAAGGGGACCCTGGCTGAACGTTTGGACGGACCGAATACAGAAGGATTTGAGAGGGTGGGCGCATGGGGTTGCCAAGGTTCATGTGGAGGTTTGCCCGTCCCATGGTATATGATCGGTCAAGAGTGGAAACAGGTGTGGAGGGGAACCAGAGGACGATGATCAATACTTGGAGTCGGGCGACAGGTCTTGTCGATGATAGGACCATTACACATGCAAAGTAGTGGTATTACTGTCACGCTGTACGTAGCAGACTTCGAGAAGGATTGTTCAAGACGACGTGGAGGGGGGAGTCGGGCTAGTGCAGTCAGGGTGAGATGGAAAATCAGGAGCTCTTCCTCTTCTGATGTGCCATGCCACCCATCAAACGACGATCTGGGGCTGTATTGGGTGTGACTGGAGACGGAGGGAAAATGCGGAGAAGGGCAGAAGTAGAGTCACAGAGTTGCAACTGTGACTGGCTGACAAGATGGGACGATTGGCGATGCTACAGGGCTCGCGGCGACATTGCAGCGAGACGAATGATGCCGTGGCAGATTTAATGCTACACGAACATTGCTGGGGGTACTTCGTACTGAAAATTCAGTTGGAAATGACCCATTGTAAGCTCATACTGTTTGTGACCGTACTCACGTTGCCTGTCATTTTTTCTTCTGCCTGACCATACGCCAGCCTACCCACCAACAGCGACATGGGCATAGGAGAGGTTGGTCTCCACATGTTGTGTAAGTGAGGTCGTTAACCAAAGAGCCCCCAGAAGAAGGCCGGGATTGGCTCACTGTACGTTCCTAAGTTTTCAATCTCTTCCTATCCCCGTGCCTGTCTTTCCCCGCCGGGCGTTCATCCTCCCGGGCGGCTTTCACTGGACAGGCTTTGAGGCTAGGTACAGTCGGTACTGGCATAACAACTGCCCTCCATTAGGCGAGCGGACCAATCCTGGCGGGCGAGTTTCCCCGCACTGGAGTGGTAAAAAAGCCACAAAAAGAAGGGAGCCGAACTTTATGGGCGCACAGACCGGGAGGTGTAATATCCAAAGAGACAACAGGAACTGGAAAGAAAAGTTGGCTGTAAACCCTGGCAGGTCAACCGAGATGTCATCATCTGGCACCGGTGGTGGTTGCCTTCGGCTTCTAATCCGACGACCACGGCCTTGGCGAGGAACAGGCCTTTCTGTCTGGTTCAGTCAAGTTCTGCTGTCTGTCTGTACGTCTATCAGAATATGATTGTGACAGGTAGAATAAGGGACAAGACCAACAGGTGCTGTGCCACCGTTGGGGCATGTTCGTGAGTAACATGATTAGCCTAGAGTTTATCGGTGACAGCGACGCGACAGATCTTTTTCTGTTGGTATTGATGTAGTATTAGACGCATTCAGAGAGGGTCAAGAAAAACCGAAACCGAAATGGGATGAATCAGTTTCCACGTGGAGCCTCCAGCCCAAGAATACACACACAAAGTCCAGACCTGCTTTGCAGGATCCAGACGAACTGCGGCGCATGTCGGATTAGCGTCTATGATGAGCCCACCCGGCCACCGGCAAATGTCGGTGTCGTCTCACATTGTCAGGCATAGGCGATGAATTTGAGTTGCTGGTCAGTCGTTTTGCAGTGGAGAAGAAGAGGAAGCAAAAAGGAAAAGCCTTCACCTGTTGCTTGCATTTGGAAGATCACGGGACATAGCAAAACGAGGTGAAAGCAGGAACCATCTATCGTTCATCGTGCCTTCTCCTTCCCACATCCAGTCATCCACCCACCGCCCCACATTCACTAAATTCATCCCCAAGGGGCAGTAGCGGCTCCACGCATGGCTCCTGCTTCCCCGACCGCGACCTCACCTGTTACTGTTACCTGTTACCTCTTGCCTTCACCTGACATTGGATGCCATTTCCGCTCTCGTCTTTCATCAGCAGGAGCCCTCCGCACCTCCTGCTCTGGCCAAGCCGGACTTATCCTTACTTGATAAGTTATGCAGGCTATACATTACTTGTGCTGTCTCATCCTCCCTCTTATTTGTACTTAACCCCAAGCCACATCCTCATCTCACCATGCCACAACACTAATGGAGCAGGGCACATTTACGGATACAAGACTCTCACCTTAGAAGTAACCGGCCTGCCACAAGTACTGCCGCCGTTATGCCGCAGCTACTGCACAATAACGCCCTCCTGCACGCCACCCACCCGCTGCCGCGATCAAATCGTGATCCATCCTTCCCCTTGAGCCACAGAGATTGAAATCCTGTCTACTACGTATTCGTAACCCCCTGCGCCGCCCTCTGGTCAGACCGTTAATCTTGTTAGTCATACACATATCGCGTACAAATGCGCGCACATATTCACCAATACAAACATGAATGTATACCCATACTACGTATACATATCCGTTCACACACGACCAACTTGGAAAAAGGCATCCTCCTTACCGCTGCCCCCTCCCCCCTACACGTCATGCTTATTCCTTCGTACCCTCCCCTCCCGCCCGCGGCTGGCGGGGGAATAGCGCCCGAGCTGCAGGCCCACCACTCTTTACTCCCTCGCCCGTCCTTGTTTTGCGGGCCATCTGTCGGACCACAGCTCCGCTATGCCCATCCTTTCGTGCATGTATCCGTTGCCTACTGATTAGTCCGCCAAGCTAATACTGACAACCTGCGCCAATCCGAATTTCAAATACCATGAATGCAAATAAAAAGTATTGACAGATACACACAGCTCAAGCTCAGTCCAGAGGCAGCCCAGCAAGCCCTGAAAGAATATTGAAGGAAATCCCACAGGTGAAGAGCAAAAAAAGAGGCAAACCCCAAAACACGGAAAACCAATCTGCAGTCATATTACAGCCAAGAATTAGCCTTTACCCAGCACCAACTTAAATCACAGGAACCATTGGATCATCGTCGTAGAACCCACATCGCTAAAGCTCAAGCTGGGGGGGGGGGGGGGGGGGGGGGCACCAGTCACTACTAACCACATAGTCCTTGAGTCTCCCCATTAAAAAAAGTCAGCACCAGGGGTGACCCCCCTACAATATGTACCTTAATGGTTCGCTTACTTCGTTCCCTTTTTGAAAAAATCGTTCAACCAGCGCACCTGATTATCCAGCTTTTTCTTCTTCCTTCCTGCTGGTATCTGTATTCTGCCCTGCGTCCTTTTGTCTGACCAACAAGAAGAAACATGATTGCAAAATTTTCTCTCCCGATCGTGATAGATCGGAATCATCCCCTGTCGAAGAACAACCCATGTAATCCTCTTCTTCCCGAGAAAAGTCTCTACCCAGCCGAGGCACACGGTCAACCCTCTCGAAGAAGAACATACCCATTCTTCGGAGATCGACACTCCAGGCTACTGCACATCACAACCCTCGAGTAATCTAACAAACGGTCTCTCTCTCTCTCTTTCTCCCGCTCTTTGGTTAAATCCCAAAGTACAGTAAATTCCTCATATTAAACGTAGCGGCCGTGTTCGGTCAAATTACGCTGCAGCGTTACCCCGAGCACCGCAAAACTGCAAACTAAAGGTACATCCTGCATGACCTTCCGTACACCTTCGCTCAAAGTCGGCGCGATATCCCAATCCTTCACGTCTAACCCGAAACCAATCTAAAGAAACTCCTCGAGGAAAAAAGCTTGCTGCGTTACATGCAAATGAAAAATGTAACACAACCCATGAGGAATGCCTGCCATGCGCGCTTGTCACCAGTTCCAAGGAAACGGGCCATCTCCAGACCATCTCCCTCTACCCCCCACCATCCCAGCTACATCTCCATGTAAGGAACAAATGTCTAGAGCATCTTGCGTGCGTGTGATCTCGGTGTTGCTTCGCTCCGATTACCTGCTTCCCACTTCGGACCTATCTACTCTGCATCCAAACAGCTTCCACCAACCTCGACGCTCTTCGGGATCAAAAACATACAGGGGGGAGCCCGGTTCCTCCTCCTGTCAGGGCTGCACGATGCTGCAAAAATCGCGGCACGCGTGAAGCTCGTCTCGGCTACGGCTTGGCTGTCGTCAGTGATATGGGAAGCTAGACGGCGTCAGGATAATCAGCTCATTTCGCATACCTCGTGACCAGCCGGCTGACGACGAAAACCAGTAGCTACCTAGCCCAGGCAATTGTCCGTAATCAAGTTACACGAAAACAAAAAGGTTTCAAAAAATTGCGTCCACCGATCAAAAACTCGTTCAAAATTCCGTATTGCTCCCTCTCCACATCCATGCTCCAGGCACAAAAATGCAGTGAGAAAAGCGCCGGCGCCCCGAAGGACACCGACATGTTTTGCGATTCATCGACAAAAGCCCCAGCCCCTGTTACCAGGAGACAAGACTGCCTGCCTCGTCGCGAAGCCAACGCAAACTCCCCCAAAGAAGCTGCGAGGCTTGGATGCCTGTGAATTAGTCAGTGTAGATGCGCAGAGGCGCCCAGCTTTGCCGCTCCCCCGAGCTTGAACGGGTAGCACTGCACCGGTTAGCAAACAGGTCCGTCCATGAAAAAAAAGTCTTTGTTCATTCAAAGCCCACTAGGGCTGGGCCCATGCCGTGAAGAGGGCGGCCGTGCAAAGACGCAGAATGACCGGGCCTGTAAAGTCAATCCGTGCCGCCCCGCCTCCGTTATCATACAATTCGTTTCGAAAAATGAAACAGCAAAAAAACTCGTGAAAGAGAGAGAGAAAGTGTGAAGCTCGACGCGCAATCGGGCTGCCAGGGGGTATCGAAGAAAGAAACAACCGCCTCTCCTTGACTCCGTCTCCGTACCAGGGCTTTTCCCAGTCTAAGTAGCGAAAAGCGTATAGCAAATGACCCGTTAACTTGAAATATCCTCCATAGCATTCAATCGATACCGACGAGCTCGAGTGCCCGGGACATGTAGAACATTGTCGATACATCGATGCACCTTTTTATCTCGAATCATGGAGCTGGCGGAGATGCGCGCGCTGATTGCGGAATGATGAATAGTTGCCAGCGTAAATCGTCTCAAGTATACTGGTCGGTCTTCTGGTGTGGGAGCCGTGCTGTGAGAGCTTAGTCATTCTCTTCTGGAGCGACTTGTGCGCATAGCGGAATTCTTCCAAGATTCGGCCGGCGTTGCTCGAGCCACCGGAAATGTCGTTGGCGGGGTTGTTGGGGTCGATGACGGAGATGCGCTCGTGGTTTTTGTACACCACATCACGAACTCGGGACTGTTGCAACGGTTAGAGGGCACGGATAACGACTTGCAAGGGAAAATACCTTATGCATGTAGCCGGGTGGGTTGAGGCGGATAGCCGTGTTTACGTAGTCGAACCTGTTTCCGTAGAGGTCGAAGAACTCCATGAGCATCTCGCCAAGGTGGTGCTCAGGTTTGAGGTTTCGGCTTTGGACCTGGGGAATGAGTTGCAGCATGCTGACGACCATGCACGTGACGGTGAAGCTGCCAATGCCTCCGTTGACGGGCTCGTTGAGGCCGCGCATAGCAAGGAAGTGCTTGATCATGGTAACTAGAACAGGCATGGCCGGGAACTGCTCCTTCCATTCTGCAAAAGTCTTGATCGCCTGGGGTCCGTCAAGACGGTCAAATGAGATGTCGACTCTCAAGCCGGTGAAGTTATCAATATACTTGACTAATGGCACCTTGGCGCCAGCAATGAACTCCATGCTGTTATAATGGGTGATCTTTCCCTGCGAGAGAAACTTGCCGAACTGTCTCAGTGGCTTCATACCAAAGAACTCAGAATGTCCGCCGTCCAACCAGCGTTTGGCACATATAACCAAGTCCATATCAGCGGTGGGGAGATACAAACCCGACATGTATGATCCGAACGGACGGACATCACAGTCTCTGTAAAAGCGGCTCGTTCTCAAAGCCCTGCGAAGTCTGTCGACGAGACGGGTGCGCATAACATGTTCAAAATCACGTGGCTTAACGAACTCGTAAAAGTCCATGACCTCCTTGTGCAGCCTGTCGTGGATTAGAGGAAGCACATAACCGCTGCTGATTTCAACTCACCAAACACTGATGTCGGACGTTTTGGAATGATCAGTTACGATCCAGGGAGTTGGGTCTTCGTCTCTGGTGACTTCCCATTCGGGAAGGATAGCACCGCCGACCGGCATTTTATTCACCTTCTTCAGTGGGCCGTAAGTGGGAGGCTTAATATGGTCGTCAACAGTCCGTTTCCGCGAACCAAGGGCGTCGTCAGCAGCGATTGGCTTGGTGGGCAAGCCCGATCTGTTAGTAGCAGGAGTGGATGGTCCTGAAGAGGCAGCGGAGCCGTTGGTGTGACCATTGGTAGTTGTTTGTCTATCGAGGTCGGCGCGAGGTCCCGTGGGCGGCTCTCTCAAAGCGGCGGCGGCGGATTGGGCAGGAGGAGGTCCAGGTGGTGGGGGCGGAGGAGGAGTTGGAGACCTGGAAGGAGGAAGGATGATTTCTTCCTCGTTTCCGTTATCGTCACCGCCAAAATCAAACGAGATAAACTCCTCTGCCTCGGTACTCGCAGCAAGCTTATCGGCGGCAGTATCGTCAACACGAGCCTTGCGAATCATCTTAACCATATCACGCTTCTTGCGCTGCGCATCCGCGTCAGGTGGGGGAAGTGCGGTGTACGGATCTGGGTTGGACCATTTGGGCACACTGTCGCCAGACTCGTCGTTACCGTCGCGGCGGACACGTTTGCTCGAGGGTTCGGCCGAGTCGTCATCGGAATTGTCAGAGATGTCCATCTCAGCCTCCTCGTCGTCGGACAGTTCATCAATGTCACGATACGTCATACCGCCATCGGCATCGTTGACGAGGTTCTCGTCAAAGCCTTCCTTACGGGTACGCAAAAGCTCTCTTTCAGCCGGGATTATCCTTTGGTATCCACCACGGCCTCGGCCAGCAAATGGTCCTCCGCGACCGCGTCCTCGTCGTCGCGCATTGCCCTGGCCGGGGCGGTAGGAATCTGCGATATCGCCAACTCCAGAGGGCTTGTCCATGCGAAAGGTAAAGTCACCCTGGGGCGGTCTCGAGTCGGGCCTGTAGCCATCGTATGCTCCAGATCTTCTGCCTGCGTCGTCTCCTCTGTGAGCATCATAGTGGCCGAAATGCCTCGGGGGCGATCGTGATCGGGAACGACGGCGATACTCACGGTCCTCGGGCCAGGGAGATCGCCAAGTGTCGGCAGCTCCAGGTGGTGGGGGATGATGGGGGCGCGAATCGTAGCGATCGCGGCCCCGATTGCGGTCATCGCGTGCATTGCCTCTGCGAGGCGGATACGATGGTCTATATGAGCTCATCGTGGGCGCGTTGTGCTGTGGATCCTGGTGTTGACGCGTTGAAGCTTAAGCGACTTGCGACTGAAACAAAATTTGGGCGGCGACGTCAAGACGAGAATTCGGGTGCCCTGATTATCGATAAGAGCACGTGACGTATCTTATCAATGGTGGGGTGATGTCAGATCTTATCACCGATCGGTCTACTACCTTAATCTGGTTTCCAAACCTGGGCATGCACGGTCATAGAGATGCAATTACATAATCACCAATATATGTGGGCTCGATGGCCATCAAATGCAGCTGCAAGATGTTCAATCAACTTACGGCATCTGGTCGAACGCTTAGAAGTTTGACATGTGTTTACAAAGACACTTTTCACTGAAGACTACATTTCAAAGCTTCGTTATCACCGCATTAACCGGTTTAATTCTGATTGCCTTGACCACGCTGTCCTCCTGGTTAAACAGGTCTCAGAACCCATGCTAACCTTTTTGTCTCTTCGTAGCTCTTATCCTTATTTAAACGTCGATGCTCATCCTCCTCAATGACGAGTCACACAGTAGCCTAATGCCCATCCTTTAAGGCATCCATTAGTGCCGTTTATCTAACCCTATTTCAAATGTTTATATTTGCCCCCTTCTCAATAAGAAGCTTCGCCACAGCCTGTTTCCCCTGCCTCACTGCCCATGAAAGTGCTGTGTTTCCATACATGTCTTGAGTGTTTATATCTGCCCCGTTCCGAATAAGATGTTTTACGATAACCAACTTCCCGTTCTTTGAGGCCCACGAAAGTGATGTGTATCCGTCCTTATCTCGAGTATTAATGTCTGCCCCCTTTTCAATAAGGAACCGCATCACAGCCTCTTTCCCTTCCCTTATGGCCCATGAAAGTGCCGTATGTTCCCTATCATCCCTAGAATCCATATCTGCCCCTTTCCCGACAAGGAAGCTCGCCACGGCCTCATGCCCCTTTATTGATGCCCGTCGAAGAGGAGTATGGCCTTTTGGGTCTACTTCATTGATCTCTGCTCCTGCCTCCACCAGAGCCTTAGCAATACCGAGCCTGCCCTCTTGGGAAGCCCAGGATAATGGCGTTCGGCCTTCGGATTCCGCCAAATATCCCCCGTGGCTCAAACCTGCCATTATATCAACGCCATCACAAGTAATGGAAGGTAAACACAAAAGTGCGGCGACGGCATCTTTGTGAACATTGGCTAACGCTGCAAAGAAAGGGTACCCATGCCTTTCATGAGTAGTGTAGACGGCCCTCTCCCTTTTCATCTGTATGCGAATGAGGTTTCCAAGCCCTTTATCAGCCAGGACATAGAGCGGGGCAACGCGAGTGCTGTACGCCCACGGTTTGTGTCTCTCAAAGAATTTAATCAGTCCAATCCCAGCTGAAGAAAAGACAAACTGCAAAAAGTGATCCTGGGAAACAACAAGTGCAGCCATGTCAGCATGGTGGAGAACTTGCTGGGTGGCATAATCTAGAAATGGATATTTTTCAGCCATAACGCGCTCTTCTTTTTTGGACCTGGGCCTCTTTATGAGCTTTTGAACTTTTGGAATGGACAAGTACGTAGCGCAACAACGCTTGAGCCTTTCGTGGCTGGTGCCCTCCCAATCGAATCCAAGTTCAGGCCACATGTTTTGCAGTCCCTTTTCCTTCACCAAGAAGTCCGATACTGACTGGTGAATAAACTGCACTTTGGGTTCCTTGGATTTTGTGATCTCAGCAAGCCCTTTGGAGGAACTCGTGACTAGTCTGACAGCATCCATTTCTGTGTTACTTGGTAGGTCGGGATCCACCAAACCCTGCTCTGACAAACCTGCCCATAGAGCATGCTGGAACTCTCTTGGGCTTAAGGGCCGCCTTGCGCAAAGCACCCAGAGAACGCAGAGCAACAGCTCTTCCGGTCTGTCTTGATCACGTGTCAATATACTTTTGAAAAGATTGCCTAATTTGGCCGGGAATTCCGAAATCCTCCTTCTGAGAGCAAGGCCGCCGTGACTGTTTTCCTTATTCAGAATGCCCACTACCATTACAACCCACATGAAAATCCCATCAGCCTTTCCCAAAATCTTTGCTTGAATTTCCTCAAGCAGCGCTGTATTTGTGATTCTCAGATGATTTTCGACATACTGTGCCAAGTCATCTCGGTGTCCTGCTTCATTCTCGAGGGTAAGCAAGATTCCCTTGCGAATGTCAATATAAGGATATGGCCGACTTGACATGCAGATCCGGAATCGGATACCAGTTTCGGTAGTCTGTTCTGCCAGATCTTCAAAGAAGTGAACCATGTCCCGCACATCTTCTTCGTCGGATTCGTCGAGAGCATCAATGAAACAGGTGAAGGTGCGCTGTCCCAGGGCCATCACAGCACTTCGAAGAAGCTCTTTCAAAATGTTCAGATTGGGACAAGCTTCCTGGTCCCACGGAATGATGTCAGTATCATCAAGGACCAACTGAAGATCTGAAAACTTTGTGAGTAGCTGAAATAGTAGGGATCGATACACCCCGATGATAGATCTTTCCAGGTAGTCTCCCCGTGCATGGAAGAAAAAAGATGCGGTAGCCATGTTGGGTTCGGTGCAATTTCTCTTCATTTCCGAGAAAATGAATTTCACCATGGTCGACTTTCCGGCACCCGCCTTGCCTCGCATCCATAAAAACCCATGGTGTTGACATTGCATTTCCGGGTTGATCCAATTTTGGTACTCCGAGTGCTGCATGATCCAGCGACAGGTTTTCGCATAAGCAGCCTCGACAGTGGTTCTGCGAGAATTCATTTCTGGGAAGCCCAGGGACTTTAGTAATCGCTCCCGTCGTTCCAAGCGTTCTTCGTCTTCACACAACTCTAGTCAGCATGCTTCTAAAAGAGAAAGCGATAAAAGAAGATGCAGGGCCATTTTACCTGTGGTATCAGGATTGCTGGCTTTGCCGTGGCCCGCCACATGTTGGTCAAGCTCTCTAATCACGGGCGGGAGAACCTTCAATAACGCCCTCGCATATGCCGCCGCAGTTGCAGCAGCATAGTCTTGCCATTCCTTGTTCTTGTGGGAATCCGAGTAGTCACATATGCCGCGGATCGGTAAGCATTGAAAGTGGTCCATCATACCTGCTGCCTCCATCTCAAAGCACAACGCAGTGTGAAGCTGAGCAATATCATCCCGTGCTTTTCCGTTTTTCATGACCAAGTTGCCCGAAGCGATGACTCCATGGTGGACCTTGGGCTCGGTAGAGAGGCGTGCTCTTCGCAACTGCAGCTTCTCCGTATCGCACTCATCACATGTGGGTGCACCTAGAGGATGTTCATAGGATGCCTGGAAAAGACGGTCGGGGTAAGTCGGCCGAGAGATATTCGGAAGCCTTTCGATCAGGATGCTCTTTATCTGACTGCCTGGATCGGGCAACGATTTTAGAAGAGACACAGCATGGTCCAGCACTTTTGCAGGAGTCTTCGCGTCAGCCGTTCCTTGAAAGCCGCCGTTCGCGGTCAATTTGCCCAGGTCATACTGCATTACCCTAATACCAACAACAACGTCGCCCAGATATAAATCGGCCTGGCTAGGAGATCCGCCGCCGATGCCGACCATCAAGGTAGCACGGATTTGAGGAAAACTCCGGTTTAAATTTGTTGTCACGATTGCTGCGTTGTTCGTTCCGTACTGCCCAGGTAAACACGCCATGACAACGTTGTGCTCGCCCATCCGTCCTAGCACATACGAATTGCTGTCTCCACGATCAACGGGAAGCGAGGGGTGTTCCTCGTCTAACATGGCTCGAGAACTCGCCAATTCCAAAGAAAGTGCGCAAACCCAGGCAATCGTGTAATCTTGACGGCGGAATGAATAACGTGTAACGTGAGCTGTATGACTGCCGCTGCCGTGAGCCATATCGAATATCTTTGGCCGCTTGGAATGGCCCATGTTACACTCGTGATCTTGAAATGACCGTTCCGATTGCATTATGCGCTGTTATTTTGGCATAAAAACAATTATCAAATTCAAGAAGTAGAGAGGTGGCAGAAAACATAGGGTTAGGAAAATCAGGCTGGCCATGGAATCAGTTCGGGCAAAAGAATAAAGCTTTGGAGGTTCAGTAAGGCGCATGGCTGAAGCAGCTCAGCGGACAGGGGATGCGCCCAACCCTAGGGCTATTTCGAGTGCTGCGGGGAGATTACAGTATCACAAAAGGCTGAGACTGATAGATCCAAGTGAATCCAAATGGGAACGGCCGTAGGACCTATGGTGCGGTGAATAATCTTACATGGGACAAATTTCTCTGCTCAAGAGACCAAAGGGGCGCTGAGGATGATTGCTTTTTCCTCCTCGCTAAACCGCTTTCCGACCTTAAGGGAGGGCACCAGCAGGTCATTTGCATGGTCAACGATGCGGAACCAGACTCATTGTGTACTTGCTTCGCTGCCGACGACAACCGCGGGCCAACATAACACCCCTGTCAGTTTTACATGAAAGAGGCCGAGATGATCGACTGGTTTGCGGCATCGTTGCCATGCTATGCGATCCTATTGAGCCATTGTATGTCACCTCCTTAAGGCCCGCTTAACCTTAATCTTCGGAGCTGGTCACTTTCGGATACATGAGGTGGGTACCGCAACTTATTATCGAGCGAGGAAGAGCCGTCTCATGGTTGCGCCTACAGCGACCAGCTGAGGGTTATGGCCAATCGGTCTGCCTAAAGGCGATATCTGATCTGCCACCCATGCAGGAGGGTCTGGCCTCGAAAATGGCCTCCACGATGACCGGTGAGCGAACACCTTGTAACCAAGCGCATGGTTATTGAACAATGCCAGTGTGAGGTGCCGCAAATGGAGAAGCTTGATGAGAATGTCATCGCCGACAAAGCATTATCTCTCAGTTTGTGTCTTCATAGTGTCAGTGGAACTGAGTACCAGGTCGTACTCGTTCTGCCTATTAGTTTTGGTTTGCCGTTTCACCCCACAACAATCTCGAAAAGCTTGAATGCCTAGACGTTGACCTCGAAAGTATTGCTAGCGTGGTGGCTGAATGTGATTTGTGATCAAAAGAGTCGTCGCCATGTATACAGATACCCATCAGTTGCAAGAGTGCAGGAAATGGGGAAGGAAAGATGATATTGAAAAGAACAACGAGGGCCTAGTTACTTTTGAGAGTACGACGGCCCTAAACAGGAAATTTTTCACATAAATAACTGAGGCGTTCGGGGTGTATCGTCATTAAGAAGTACTGCTTGCTTGGTCTGAAAACGATGCGAAGAGGCTTGTTGGTCGCGTTGCATCAATGATCGGAGGGAGCCATGAAAATGAAAGCCAAGGCCCAAGGCCCAGGGCCCAGTAGTTTAAAGAGGCATTGCAAAACATGTAGATATGGGGACAACTCTAGCGTCCGCTGGGAATTAAACTATATACATGTGTTCAACCCACTTAAAGACAGTTGCCATTGCTATCAGCCTTTTTACTGCAGCAGCTGCCCGCACCGTAGGGAGAGAAGGCTAGATTAATTGCGCATTAGCATCTAATTAAACAACAGCCGCGCTAGGGAGAACGGGATGGACATACTGCCCTTCTCCACACAGCTGGATGTCACATCGGTACATGTCCAGCCGGAGTATGGGTCGCAGTAGGTGCAGCAATCGTCGCCGCTAGTGCAAGGAGCTGGCAGGAAGTTGATGGCGTTAGCTTTATGTCCTCATCATTGGGCTATAATAGGCTACTGGTGTATCATCAACTGTTAATTACGTACCGCCAGTAGTGCCGCAAGCGCGCTCAGTGAAGCCTTGTTCGAGGACTCTGCCGTCAACGGCGATCGCGTTGGCCGAAGAGGCGATAGCCAGGCCAAGGATAATGGTGAAAGCCTTCATGTTCGGCGAGAAAAAAGATCGGTGATGTTTAAAAAGAAGGACTGATGTCAAAGCTAATGTGAGTAAGGTACTTGATAGTTAACAGCTGAGGTAAGGATAAGAGAATCATTTATAACTTTCATAGTCGTTCATCTCTACCGAAGAGATCAGCCGGCTAATCCAAGATAGTAGGTTCGGATGAATTCCGAAAGCTTCATCCCGTAAAGCTATCCAAGTGCCGCGCGACTACGCATAGCCATCTCCAGGGAGCCCCCCTCTGCGGGCCCGTACTATAGGGTCTCACTCCTGGGTTCTGGAAGCCGTGTTGTGTATAGCTTAATAACTCATGGGCTCATGCCGTTACAATAAGTGGGGGTAGACGGGCATTCGAGTCGTAAAAGTCGTGTGACATGGAATAGTTTGGAAATTTTCCCGACTGCCGGGGCAAGTGTAGACAATGGGCGTCAGCTGTTTGCATACTACGTCGTAGCATACAAATTAATCCAGTCCGTAGCAGCCAATAAGATGTCGGCCTTGACTCAAGGGCGGGAGCTTTAATCTATATAACCTCTTATTTTGGGTAACATGCCCGCTAAGGCCGCGACAACTGGCGTGAACTGCCACTTATCTTATACATACTTGGGCGATCATTATCGGGTAATCCATTATGACGTAGGCCCAACTCGACAATGGCCTTTGTATTCACAGAGTTGAAGCGCAGCTAGGCTATATCATACTTCCTTACTATCGGGCTGATTAATAATCTAACAACTTGCATGCCCTGCTCATGTCAGGGAAAGTATATTTCCGATAGATTAAGGGCTTAGAATCAGACGGGAATGCCGGCACAGAATTTACGTCAGCAAACGCGCGGGAAAACAACAACAACTGTGGAGTACCGCTCCCTTGAACAAATGGGACCACAATGGGTAGGTTTGGTGATCAAGACAGAATACCCATGCCCCACGGGGAAAACCTTACGATGATCCATCTGACGTCAGTGCCATCAATTTAGTCTTACGATGACAGTCAACACTTTTTACATGGATTGTCTTGAGAGATTGGAATAAGGCTGTCGAACATCTTGTTGCAAGCAAAAGCTGACAGCGCAGGAACGTGGAGGGAACTCTCAACCCTTTGCAGTGGTTTGCAGCCAGCGTGTTCACGTCTCGGTGCTGACACAATGCAAAATGATCACATGGTGAGTAGACCCAGGAGTATCACGGGTGTATTATAGATCCGCAAATCAATATTCCACACAGACCAACTCTTTGAAGCTGTCAGCTATCGATTTTGCGAAACCGAGCCAACTGACTGAACATGCCCACTCACGCATCTAGTGCACAGGCCGAGACTGTATGGCTGACCTTTGCACTCTCCGCACTTGGGGCCTGTCCTACATACTTTGACTTGACACTAGACTATTCGAATAAATGAAAAGCCTGATTAGGCATAGTAAAAGTCTAGCTTAACAAGAGTCGTAATCTTTTAGGTAAGTTACTCATTGAGTACCTTAGTATTGATGCCTTCGCCCCGTGACATGGCCACTTTGATAAAGCAACTCGTTAAGAAGAGATAAACAACAGCACGTACAAGAACAGGTAAATCAACATTGTCAGCACTGATTCGTGTGCTTAGGCACGCCGAACTCATTGCACATTGCACCCGTTCATATGCAGTCTCCGCCTGCTCAAATACGTGTGCTGGACTTGGTTGACGTTGGCTCGTCTTCAATTTCTACAATATTGTCCGCGCGGATAAAGGTGGGTGACATTACGACGGCTGATTCGAAGGTCGTGATGACTCTTATGAGAATGACGGCTAGAATTATTTGTGATAGCTTCGCGGTTGCGGCGAGAGTTACTATTCTACCACCTTCGGGCCTTCATTGTTTGACGGCTCATTGCTCCCCGCAGATACCAAATGAATGTTTATTGACAGCTCTGAAATATGAGACCTTACGAATTGGCTGGCGGTTCTGGGTACCTTCCTAAAACGGTTAGCCGCTACCTCACCCCAACCGCTTGCTGCTTTTATGAACCTTCCCCTCTCCTCTATCTCACCTAGTTTCTAATATTATCCCCTTGCTATACTTCCTACATCTTTTTACAATAATGATAGCTTAGACTTGTTGTTTTTTAATTTGTATGAGTGGGTGACTGTGTATGTATTAAGGTAGTATGTACCGCCCGTCCAATATACGACTGGAAACCTCGGGATCCCCTTCGCTCTCCTATAGTAGTTAACTCCCTTATCTTCTTATAACCTACACCTTATCGAAGCAACAGACCCTATCTCGGTTAACCTATCAAACTTTTTATAAGATGTCTACGGTAGAAAATCCCTACCGAACCTACGAAGCCCTCTGGGCCTCCCGGATTAAGGTTGTCGGCGCACCTAATAGCGCCAAGCTGCTCTTCATGCCGGTGCAGGGCACCATGCAGAGCGCCGTCGAGGTGCTCTCCGACCTAGGCGACCTAGACACGCGGACGCCCTATTACGACCAGGCAGCGGGGACATACCACCCTGTTAGCGCGCTGCCTATCTCGGAGCCCAAGGTATCGTCCATCACTGTCAACGTGCCAGAGCTGGAGGACTGGGAGGAGAACTGGCTTAACTTGCACGAGCAGCACTCGGAGCCGGACGCGCCGGACGCGTTCCCCGAAGCGCAATGGGGGAAGCTGAGCGGCAGCCATGGCGACGAGGACGAGGACGAGGACGACGAGCCGCAGCTACTGCGCTGCTGCAAGCAGGACCGGCCGCGCAGTAAGAACGCCAAGCTGACGATCAAGCCCTCTAAACCGTGGGACGGCCAGGACAGCGGCTTCGTTACCGTGCACGACTACGTGAGCGCGGTGCACCCGTGGCTGGTGCGGCTGCGGAACGATATCCTCCGCGCGATGGGCACGGCGGACGGGCTGGACGAGCCGCTCGGGAACGAGATGAACCTGGTAGCTAACTGCGACGCGCTGCATAGCCTGATGATGGAACCGCGGATATCTTGGATCGGGCATAGGAAGGGGCTGTACGTCCGGGAGGCGATCGGGGGCAAGCTCCGCACCAGTGAGATTATCACGTCCGAGTAGTGCTGTCCGTCTCACTTATCGCACGCGCACGACTTCAACTCTTTTTCAGAACGAACGACAGCTTTGAATAGATTACTTCTCTCGGCGCGTTATAGCCTGTGAGTATATAAAATTACTAAAAGTTACTATATACTAAGAAAGCTAGAAGAAATATAACCCTTAATAATTAAACTACCCCTATCTACGCCTTGATAGTAGCCGTTGTACTCGTTGAAGCGTAGTACGCGCTCCCATACGCGATGACCGCGCTGACTACGGCAGTGCCACACGCGCCGTTGGAGCAGTCGCGCAGGCCGTAGCCAAAGTTGACGTTGCTGCAGAGACAGGCTGGGTCTTTGCTAGAGCAGCCTAGCTCGGACTACTGGTTCAGCATGTTGTCGAAGCAGGTCTGGCTGCATGAGGGTAGGGAGGTGAACGCGATGGTTGAGATAGTAGATGTTGTGGTTGTCTTTGATGTGGAGGTGGTTGTGATGTGTGTTGCGGTCGTTTTGCCCCTTCCCATTTTCAGACCCAAGGCTCCCGATGTTAGGTGCATATTTGCGTGGGACCTTTACTTTGGCTGTAATCATGGCCCTTCATATACCCAAGCTAGTCACATAGAATAGGTCTGATGGTACTTTATGGCGGACACTTTCAGTGTTGGCGGGCCAGTGTGCCACCTAGAGGCCAGCCGCCCACCCTGGGGCTTTTCCAGCCTCCGCAGCCCACTCAGGTAGTTAGCTAGTAGGTCCTTCACCTCAACAAACCACAACACGTCACTATTCAGAGCGTTCTTTGCCTGTTTCGCACACATTTGGCTTATTGGAAAGCCTGGGCTAAGAGACAAGTGCTGATAGGCTTAGTCGATTCATTGGTAGCAATTTGCTGGCAGGACTATAATAAGTACCATCATAGAGTTGCCACGGAATCAACCGGGTAGCCAGCGGGTTGTAAGGTGTGTTACAGATGAAGACATAAAGTAGACCTCACGCAATGCTTGCGCTGTATGAGACCAACCATGCCCCACCAACTGAAGCTAAGTACTGGGGAAGGAATCGGTACTAGTTGATCGGCGGGACTAGGCAAAGGCCAGCCTAGTAATTGGCAATGAGGTTAGGGACGCATGAGTAAAAGCCTCAACCAGTTCAATTAAGAACTTCAAGGTTGTCGAGTGTTGCCTTGGGCTCAGGCTTAAACGGCCTGTTCATATGCTGGCCCGGCCGGTACACTGTTTTCTCGAAATTTGCTTCGGTCTTGTCTATGCGGTGCTGTGATCTTCAGAGTCGCTCAAACTCGGGTCGATTTGTTGAAACAACACACTGTGACGAACAGGATGTATAAAGCGGGAGTGGAGGTTTCTTTTTGCCAATCAGTTGCTATGGGAATATAACAGGGATGGAAAAAGAGCGATTGCCAAAACCATATTTGCTTCCTATGCGCCCTCTCCCGTGGGTTGCAGGATCGACTCAAAAGGCTTCGGTGAAGAAACTTCAGGGGATATATCCAATGCGGGATTAAACTGACCAATGCCCCTGTCTTTGAAGTCGACACGCCACATTATTGTATTGCAACTTGAGCTTCAGCCCGGTGTTTACATTGACTGCAGGCTTGGCTCCTCGCGTAATGACTTCTTTTTTTTCAAATTCTACATCTACAACAATATATACGTCGCCGGTATCAGGCCCAAAGTCATTCAGCAGGAACACTTCAGCAAGTGGTGAGACTCAACAACTGTCCAATCCCAAGTTTTTGGCTCCACATGAGGCATCGTACAATAGCAATTTACTGGGGCCTTTGATCCCATGTCGCCAAGAGCTTTAATTTCACCAAATTCACAAATCCGCCCATTTAAGCTTGTTTTTAAGCACGCGACTCACCTTAATTAAGGGTCCCAACACGCTGTGCCGCACACTTAACTGTAACAGATCAAAGCTTTGCCCGACTGCACCAGGGTTTGCGAAGGTTCAGCGGCTCATTGGATCTGCTAGGTAGATTGCCCATCAGCTGAGAAGCAGTACTCTTGGCAATGTTATCCCGATAGAATAAATAACACGTTATGCCTCGCTTTGTGATCTTTGAGTGCTTGTTTGGAAAAAATCGACTTCAAGATGGCAAGAGAGATCGCGGGTCAATCCTGGGAGTACTTTTGGACACCTTGGAACGAGGCGGTAGCAAATAGCAACCACAGCACCACTGTCGCCCTCCCCGAATACAACGTGTCGCAGCCATGGCCGGGAACACCAATAGACGGCTGGACGATTACAAATACGGCAATTGATTTATCCCGCTACAATGCGGTGATCGAGGAAGGTGTCGTCCTGACGGGCTTCATCGGCACCGACATAAAAATAACCGCCCCAAAGTCGCTCTACGTGCCCAGTACAAACGAAAGCGATCACGGGCTGCTTAACGTGAACGCCTACCCAGATTGGGCGTTTTGTATGTGGGCATGGTCGCAATCAATGAAGGATAATGGGACTCTGGCGGAGAGCTCCAGCAGCCAAGACCAACCAGCGGACGGATCTTGCGAGCAACTGGCATCCAAGGAGTGCATCGCGGCCTTGGAGAAAGCAGCAAGCACGGCTTACACCATGAATTACGAACTTCGGGAGTCAACTAACGGAATGCGTCATCATTGTGACGGAATTACAGTTCCTCAAGAATGCTATGGCTCTAGATTCGATACAAAGGATCGGTTTTGGGAAGGTTGTAAGTGCGCAGTGATCACGTGGTTGTCCAGCAACATCGTTGCGATTTTTGAAGCCACTAACACGGTGGCTATCTGTGCAGATTTGAATACGCCTCTACAAGTGCTAAATGGTTCCACAACCTTTTATTACAGGTGGTTCAATATGGAGTACGATACTGCTCAAGACATCCGAGACAAATGGAAGGTTGTCACGCAAGACCATGTGTCTATCTTGACCGTGTTTGGACGCATGAACGACGATTACTGGGCCACTAGCCACGTTGAGCCTGGGTTGGCGAAAATGACTTGCCTCAAAACGTCCTTTAGTGAACCCGGCAGTAGGAATAAGGGAAATGGCAGCAGTGAGTCTAGTGGGGGGGACGAGACTAGCGGAGGGGACGAAAAAAACGGAGCTGCAATTGTCAGAAGGGGTTTGGTTGCAGACCTGATAGTTCTGGCCGCCGTGGTGTACTGTTTGATGTAGGATGCGGCGGTCATGGAGATGAGGCGTGGTGTGATCTCCAGTGGAAAATCTACTACGCCGACAACTCGCCAATTTTGGGTTTGTCGAAGGTGGCGAACAACGAAACTTGGCGTGGAATGGTAGTTGCTCATGATGAGATGAGAAGAAATCAAGTAGTGCGTGCTACCGCGCAATACACTTGATATGCCCTGCACTGAATAAGGTGTAAGGAGTGGAGGGCGAAGCTATCGTTGCAATCATCTGAATTCTATTCTCTTAGAATCGCAGTCTTAGCTTAGATGACCCGAATCATTTTATAAACGGGAGGAAAGACGGTGATTTATCACAAAAAAAGAAACTTCAAGTTAGCAAGCGTTTCGATTTCTAACCCAGTTTGGACTTAAGGGACCTCTTCTTGGCAGCTTGATTGTACAAGCACCTTAAATCAACAGATAATTGGCAACCTAATGGAAACTCCCACAGTTGACCTGATATCAGTTTTGAGAACCTGAATTATCCCGAGGATCTGGCTTGGTGCGCTAAGATTATGTTGACGAACCACAGTGGCGTTGCCAACAGCTGGTCTTTCTGCCGATGTATCCTTAAGATCTCAATCATTAGGTTTGAATAGGGACTGAGGATATGCACTGGGGAAGTCGAACTTCAGCAAATTCACGAGGAAGAACAAAGTGAAGGTTATTCCTCTGAATCGTGTAGTTCTTTCTTCGTGGCGCTACCTTACATGTCTCCTTAGCTCAGAGCCAAATGGTGCCAGACTAGGTACGTAAGCTGCTCGGGTGGATTCTCATCATGCAGGAGCTCACCCAACTATTGCTACTGTTAATTTGTTTAGTGATGCATGTGGTGAGCTGAAGCGAACGTGGGCGAGCAGCAAGGGAGTAGGTATACTTAGTATTGGTTACAGGTTATCTTAAGGACGGGATCGAAGGACAGCAATCAGTTCATGTATTAGCGATGGCCGCGTTGGGTCCAAGACGGAAGACGGCAGATGCGGTTCGGACGACGGCTGCAGCATCTGCAGCATCTGCAGCATCTGCGGCTTCTGAGGGTCCAGGTCAGACTACTGGGCGCCCGGGAACTGCCACTCGGGCGACTGCGAGCCTGAGTGGCGACCCTTCGACGAAGTGGGAGTGCAAGCCCAACAACGCCGCTGTCCTCCGAGCTGAGAGAACAAGCGGCCTGGGGATGTGCCTTGCCAACTCAATGGAATCATGTAATCCGCCCAGTTTAGCGTAGCATCCTTGAACACCTCGATCGAGCCCGCCACCCCGTGCGGCCCGACAGACCAGAACCCTCGATCGACCAAGGTTGCCCAGTGGTGCAGCAGCCGCTCCAGGCGCTGGGACCTGTTAGGGTTTACCCCAGAAGGCTTGGATCCATGCTGGAACAGCTCGTCGACCGCCGTATTCTTCATCTCTTCCTCGCTGCTGAAAACGCGCCCGTACAGGTTGACAGGCAGCGGCAGACGGAACACCTCCTTGGTTTTCTCGGGTTCGGGCCGGACGACGCACTCGCTGTAGACACCTGACGGCACGTGAGACGGGAATGGGATGCCATCTGGGACTGTGCCGTGCCCCTTGTCACAATGATAGCGGAAGGAGGGCCTCCAGCCTGAACTGTCGATCTCCAGAGCGCCCGCCTCACTGAAACAAATTGTACACGGGCGGCACGATCCCTTCCTGCGGTGTAACACCCCGCTGGGGGGACGTGCCGGGGCAGGTAGGTAAAAGCCTGGGCGGCGAAAACAGTTGGGCGTGCCGGTGGGAGGGCTCCGGTGGGATCTGGCGGATGTGCTGGGGACGGCGGGCGAGGCCCAGTAAGGCGCGCCAGAAAGAGTAATGCGTGATTTTGGCAGCGCTCAAGACAGCAGGCGGAAGCATAGGCTCGTGGGGTGGTTTTTATGTTCCATCGTGATGCCGCTGCTCTGCAGACGACGCACCTCTATATCATTGCAGATTCAATCCCATGCCGCGAGGCACCCCTTTATCTGGCCGTCGCCATACGGCCGACACTACCAATTCCCGATCTTGACGCCGCCGTACAGTGTCGTTCGGTCGGTGGGAGAGGCGATGACCTTGCTGAGGCGGATCATGTCTGTCGAGTTAGAGAGAATGGTCTTTAGAGGATTTTAGCTCTGCTGGTGCTCGTCCATCGGAAATGCATGCTCTATATTATTCGGGTGTACAAAGAAGAAGCCAGGTGTCGGCTTTGGCGGTAGAGCATGCTACCGCCTGACCTGCCGTCGCAGGCATCCATGTGGGAGATGTACAGGCGAACGATGGAGGCCTTGGGCTCATTCTCATTGTCAGCCATCTCGTTGTCAAAGACGTCGCTGTAGTCACCGACCAGGTCTGGCATGCCATCAACAAAGAAGAGCGAGACTTTGGGAGTGCGAGCCACAGTGAGGAAGGCGACCAGTGAGGGATGCAGCCTTCGGCGGACGGCCTCAGTCGTATCGCCGTACGTGCTGAAGTAGGTGGTGCGGCTGCACTCGGCAGCTGGGTCGAGCCGACCACCGGCCGCTAGGCAGCAATCAACGAGGTGATTGTGAGGGGCGGTGCATCTCGTGTAGTCTATGCCGTCGACGTCTGTCCGCGGCGGATTGCCTGGCATGACGAGCTGGTCGTCTATGTTGGTGTCGGCGTCGGAGCATTTTAGTTCCTCCGACAGTAGAAGACTGTCTTTAATTTGAATCAGGCGAACTCAATCGAGCTATCAGGGGGCGATTGCAGTGCCTACAGGGTGCTAGGGCTCTACTTTGTAAAACTAGTAGTTACTGATTAAAGCTAGGTACTCTCGGGTAATGCCCATATGTTCAATTTGCGTGTTAACAAACCCCAATGTTGAAGTACTTACCCTTATGCAAGTGTCCTCCGGAAATGCCTGATTCACACCGCTCCCTGTTCATCCTTGATCGCGCGACCTTGGGGCGACGGCTGATCCGGCCTCACCTGAGTAGCATAGTGGCACAGTAAGGTGAGGGCCACCTTACTTAGACATGCGAAGCTTTCGTCAAACCACTTATACTGATGTTGCGCCGGCGAAGAGTGCCGTGACCTTCGGCGGATATAACGGTGTCCGCGGCCGACCAAGGATCCCTGGCTCAACCGGACAAGTTGTCAATCCTTCATGTCCATACACCGCATCTCATTTTCTTCTAGCATATTTTGCTACGTAGAATTAAAAACCCCTGAGCTTCGTCTTTAACGCTAGTAGCCTCTTTAGTATCCAGGAGTGGGCTTTCTGACAGCGTCCACTGTTGGGAAAATATGTCCCTTCAGGACGTTTTCCAAACCTGCGCTTGCACAATAAAATGTGTTTGAACTCTTTTTTTTCCGGGTAGCTCGTCTTTTTGAGACTATGTAAAATTTCGAGAAACGGGTTCTCAACTACTACAATGCTGCTTCGTAACGTAACAATTAGTGTATTTTAACTTTGAGTTTAGATGTCAGCATCTTCATACCATCTGAAACTCTCCATAGAACAAAATGACCTGTGACGAATCATGAGATTGAATCGTACATGGCTCTCCCGAGCGTCTCGGAATTTTCGGTGCCGTAAGAGTCCAGAATCTACGATCGACCGTCTAATGATCATTAGGACTGGTTCCTGAATCGTACCCACCCTCTTCCATTGGACACTATAATCGCTGAATACGAAAATAAGAACGAGTCATTAAACTTTAAGCTCTGGTCGGAATCTATAGCCGGCTAAGTGGGCCTTTCTTTCAATCTTCAAACTTCAAGGATGTCTTTTACACACAGATGTGCACTGCGCAACTTCTCTTTGCGTTATTTGAAGTGTTATTAGAAAAAAAAAAAAAAAAAAGGGAAGGGCTAGTAGTTGGTATGAAAATTTGCTCCTTTTGATCAAGTGTTATGATAGTAATATCAATATTAAGGATTGTTCCGCGAAGCAACGTCTCAGCTCGAATCTAGTATCAGAGCGGTGTGTCTAACAAAATGCTCTACAACGAGCCGGAAATGTCTGCAAGGGTAATATAACTGGCTTTGACGCTTTAGCGCCTCTCCGTGTGGAGCAGTATCATGATTAGCGCAAGCAAGTAAAGTGACACGATCCTCTTGGCCTGGGGTTAAGCAACACCTTTATCTAGAATCCTCGTCAATATCATGTATATAAGGGAGCTTTCCCTCCTGCACATATTGGTCTTTTATACTCATCTCAACAAGAACCTCAAGTCAACAGCACTAAATCAAGTCTTGCAACCATAAAGATGAAGTTCACACTTGTCTCAGCTCTACTCTCCGTCTCTGGCATCTTCGCCGAGGCAAGCCCCCTCGAGCCCCGAGAGATAACTGGCTGTGTCTGCAAACTGTAAGAAACCCAGCACTTTCAGTGACCATGACAACATTGATACTGACCGTTTCTCAGACACATTGGAAGCTTCGTCGTTCAGGACACGATCCCAATCGGCAACGGCTTGATACAGCGCAACATGCGCGTCGTCAATAGCAACAATCAATATTGCAGCGTCGAATTCGACCGTGGAAACCAGAGGCAGTGTGACCAGATCAAGCAAGTTTCGGGACCTACCGGGCCTGGCTGTGTGCAGAAATTCGGGGTTCTGGAATGCGTGGACGACTTTTAGATTAGATAGACCATGCGGCAGCAGTTATATCGCAACAATAGAATGAAATCCACATAGAATGTGTTGAGTGTGAGAGACATTTTAAACATTCTAAAGCCTGATGGCTCGTCTTTGGCTAACTAAGCAAGGAGAAATAAAATTTGCCATTTGGATATAGTGATACCTACTGAGAACTGTGCAGAGAATCATTTGGGAGATGCAGAGGGTTTAGCCACCTGTTGTAAGATACTCTCTGTGAACCCAAAATACCTTGTAACTAGCAGTTCGTACACACCCTAAGTGCGGTCTTGTCTTTAAGGTAGTCCATGGTCATGGCATCAGGTTTTTTATTCCCTTCCATGGCTCAGCAGATCCACTGAGCCGGCAGGAACCTAAACCAGAGATGGGAGTCTATTCTTTTCTAATAATCGTATATAATGATCAGATGATATGAGATCAGATGAAGAAGCCACAACATTGCCATTTTCGAGAGGCAGGCAAACGTTGGATCCCGGTCGCAATACTACCGCCAGCCTCTCTCATAAAGTGGTGGGATAAGAAAGGGCATGATCTTCGAGCTTATAAAAGTCAGTCGCAGCTGAAACCTTCGCCCCAAATGACAAGGTTGGTTTGTGTTGCATCTCACAGGACCGCAGCCTGGTACTTCCCTGATGGCTCACCTAAGTACCCTCACCTTGCTTCTTGATGTGCCTGGAAGTGATAGGATATTCCCGAACTCGCACGCCAAAAGCTCTACACACCTCCAAGACCATGGCTGGGTTGACGGAACCTAGCTTTCCCACTTTTCTGCAACAGACAATGTAGTTTCTTGACTCATTGTACTTTTGACTTGGCAAAATCGAAGCTAAGTGAATTGTAAATCTACTAAATTGTTCATGGTGCACTTGAATAAAAATGTATTTCAGCTTAGCTCTTGGGATATAGACCGGTATAGAAGCATGCGCTGCTTTTGATTGACAGGGCACACGCGGCTCTTTGCAAAACAGAATCAGGCCAGATGAAAACTGATGTGGCTGTACAATGTCAGGCTTGCTTCTGTGCCACGTGTCAGCCCAAAGGGTGTACAGGCGACAATGCAGGGAGATTTTCTGAGCACGTTGGTCTCATGTGCCCCCTCAGCAGTTTCCAAAGACGAGTTCATGGCCAGCGGCGTGCTTACACCGTCCTTGATCGCTACTATGAGAGCAATGTCTGCCCACTATCCTGGATACCCCACCATAGCGCAAATCAGGCTAGTTTTGTGACCACAGGACCGCCATCAGCTGCCTGCACAACACCATTGCCAGCAACACAATACTACTTGCAGATGGGGTAAATAGTAGAGGGTCGGGACGAATTCTTCATTTCGCCTTCATGATATGTTGCGAAATAACTAAACAGCCTTTATCTCCTACATGAATTCGAATTTGCACGATGAAAGAGAATAAGGGCCAATCTTGCCTCCGCCACACGCGGTCCTACATACATCAGTAGTGCGGAGGCAGCTTCGTCAATTGATTGGCACTCAAAAAAGCGGCCGCTTCATTTCAGTGTAGCGCTTCTGTGATTTGCAGATCCAAGTTTTCGCCCACAGGAGGCTGTTTGGTAGTGATCTCGGCAGGCTGGGGGCGCAGCATGCAATGTTTGCCCGATCATCGAGTGGGCAGCCTTAGCGAGAAAGCCTCGCGCTTCCTGTTCTTCTGGCTTTAACAACTCGTCTCCTCCGTCTCATCTTTTAATCACAGTTTAAAGGGCCATACAACTACGAAATAATAGATCTTAAGCTTTGAAATATGGAACCGCCATTCGATTTAGAGCATCAGCTATGTTCATGCGAGGCATCGCCTCCCCGCACATCTCCTGCTTCAATGCGACATCTGCCCGGATGGCCCAATATTCCACCCGACAAGCAAGACAAGCCCCAGAGAGCGTTGGATATTCTAGAAAAGGAGTTTTGCTCCAATGATTTGGATCGGATGGCATCTAAGCTGTGGTGGATGTCCAAACAAGACAGCAGCAACATATCCCCGCTCCACAGGCAGTCAGTGAAGCGACGCAGCATCATCGTTACTGAGGATCCCAAGTTGCATCTCGTCTGGATCCACGATCGGATATTTGTCAAGCCATTGCCTCGATACATTACCTCTTATTCATTCTGGCGCGAACATCTCTGCTGCGATAAGGCCGGCGAAGTTGGGAGACGCCGGGAGCGCGTTCGAAAAGCGGCTCTAGGTTATCTCAGGACATACGCGTATCTTGTGCAATACGAGTCGGATTTTCGCATATGCAAAGATCCCAACTTACAGCTCATACCAGCTGACGTTACATGGGATCAGTTTTGCGATTTCACGGCAGATGTAGCCAATATTAACGACATTGATGTATCTGCACGCTACACCTTTGGCGAAATCAGGCTGACGCGGTTAAACTTCTACGCTCCATTCTTTCTTAGGAAATCCTACTTTCAGAGAGTCGAATACCAGTACGGGACGTACTTTGCACGCTTCTACGCGCCGACTTTGTTTGTGATTGGAGTTGCATCGGTTGTGCTGAGCGGATTTCAAGTCGCCGTAGCTGTTGACGACAGTAATCAGGAGAGCCCAGGGAGCGCTCTTTCAGCTGTTGCCTTGTGGTTCAGCATATTGGCAATTATACTATTCTGCGGACTCTGCTTCTGTCTGGGTGCTATTTTGGCGTATAAGCTGGTGAAGGAATGGAAGTATGCAATCCGGGACCGACTTCGTCTCCTCGAAGAAGGACGGAAGCCCGAGTAGAATGAGTGATTTAGCAAGCGTTAGGAACATGCTTGCTTTCTATCCTCTCTAAATAGCGTTTTTTGTCAGTTTTAATTAGAATTGAGTCGTTATATCAGCTCAATACGAATCTATTCTTTCCTGCGAACCCGACCAGTTATCAGCGAGCAGCACAAACTGGGCATAACGCTGGTATCATCTAAACCTCAAACTCAGCACCATCGGCACGGATAAACATTTACAAAGTATTTGAACAGTAGAGCAGCTGCAATGTCGGCATATTTGTACTTACGTGAATAAAGCAAATGCACTGTCTTTTCAACTGGCTAGAAATAGTAAACCAGTTTGATATTATGAAGCAAGGGATGTTAGATTGAACGAAGTCCAACAAACTTTTATGCAACAGTAATTGGACTGGTACTTGAAAGCTTTCTTGTTGCATCAATGTTTCAAGCATCTCTGTGTTTGATGAGTCGTCATAAATTGATGTATTGATGACACTAGGCAAGCTATGTGCGCTGATTTCTAAGTTTCGTGCCTCTACTCTGTGATTTCATGAGTGGGCGGTGGATACATACTCTGTTGACGGTTCATGGTCGGTTCACCAAGACAGCAGTGGCTTAGTTTCCGCAGACCAGTCGTTAGAGACTGAGTTGAAAAGTTGGAACTCATCCAGTTGGATCAAAGTGACGCTCCCTGTTACGTTGGTTTCAATTTCATATTGCGCAGTTATCTGCAGCTATGATTGTAAATAATATACCACGATGGCTAACCTTGGACAGGCGTTGCAAAGTCTCGGTCCACAATTAGCTGAAGCCTGGGCAAGCAGATCATTCGCGGACAGCACGGGCACTTCTTGATTAGCGGCTCGTCTAGACTCGCGAAGTGAGGCCCATCATCCATGTGCCAGCGGCCCACCTCAACTGACAGGTACGCTTCACGCCGGGCGAAGACCATAATACAAAACCCGTAGTTACACCTACTTGTACATGTGTTTAACTCCCTTCACCGTAACTTGTTACCTTGGAATTAATCTGAAATTGATAAGCCACATCTCGCCATTATTTACCAATTTCAAACGTACTGATGACTACCCCTTCATCCGTTTGTTCTCAGAGCAACTGGTAAGTATTCGCGAATGGCAGCGTCAAATACTGCTTACGGCGACGTGCAGGAGGAAGAACTGAGGACCCGGAGCTTAGCTGCCGCTGCCACACCATTTCAGCTGTGCCGCTTGACGAGGCTGGGTATGCAGTGCATCGTGTCACGTGGTTCCAGTCGTTGGCATCATCAGGCGTGCAGAAACCCCTCTTGACCTGACGAAAACCACAGCCTGATTCCTCTTCATGCCCTCCAGTGCCTCCCTTGACTCCGCTTGCCACAATGCCTCACGATACATTCAACCCGACTAGCCTGTGGGCCAACTCGACCGGACTGGTCGTTGCCATCATTGTATGTCTGATGACTGCTGCCTTCAGCCGCTGGTTTGTCTCGCCCGCCCCGAAAACGCCAAAGGCACGCAAGAGCCTGACTTTCCGGGTCGACGACATCCCAAACGACGATTACGACGACTTCGATCAGAAGTTGATATCAGTTGCCAAGCAGGATCCGGCTTTACACGACATTGCCAACACATTTGTTCGTCGTTCTTTGAGCCGCAAGGACAAGACCTCTTTTTGTGCGACGGTATCGGCCACAACGGATCTATCGGGAAAAGAGCTGTGTGTACGATTAAGTCAAGCGGGAAAGAGCTACCGATACAGCTTTAGTTGCGATTTCAGTGGTATAACACCCCTATTCGAGGATGAAAATGGCGCAGCCGTGGAGTAAGTATCGCTTCTATTTCCGCTATCTGCCCTTATTGACCAACTCTTTGCAGTATTGTCGCGGTACCCGGTCTCGGAAGTCATGCTCTCGGTTCTTGGAAATCACCCACCGGCGATGAAGTTTGGTTACGCGATTTTCTACCGAAGGATATCCCCAACATTCGAGTGTTGCTCTACGGCTACGACACATCACTACCAGGCAGCCTTTCCAAGCAGTCAATACAGGACTTGGGCAAAATGCTGTTGGAACACATTGCCGCCTTCCGCGCGAATGATGGGGTAAGTTTTACCGGATTATTTGCAAGTCATATGCTGATATTACACAGACCACACGCCGGCCGCTCATCTTCATTGGCCATAGCCTTGGCGGACTTCTCATCAAAGAGGTGAGGCGTACTCTGGCTGTAGGAAGTTCAATTATCTGACTGTTATAGGCACTTATTCGCGCTGGCAAACCGCAGAGTGAGGCAATTGCTGACCTCTCTTTTGCGTGTTATGCACTGTTGTTCTTTGGTGTTCCCAACCTCGGCCTGCGCAATGACCAGCTCAGAACCCTTGTTGAGGGTCAACCAAACGAAGCTTTAATTCAGGACCTCCTTGTCGATAATGACTCAGAACCATCGACCTTTCTCAAAAGACTAGCCGACCAATTCTCTGAGAGCTGCAAGAACCAATATCGCGTGATATCCTTTTTCGAGCGCATGCTCAGTCCAACTCTAATGGTAAGCCACACGATTTGACCTCCTTGTTTACTACTAAGCACTGCCCCATAGCGTGACAATCAAGGCAATTGGCAAAAGAATGGTGAACCTTCTTTGCTGGTCACAGAGAAATCTTCCACCGCCACAGACTTGGTAGCCGTGGCTGATCAAGATAGCATACCCCTCAACACGGACCATTCAGGCCTCGTTAAATACAGCTCCAAAAGCCAGGGCGAGTATACCATTGTGAGAATGAGAATCGGGGATTGCGTCAAGAAGGCGGAGAAAATTGTGACTGAACGATTTGACTATCACAGTATGTATCTAGTTTAGTTTTCGTGAGATTCAACACTGACTTTGCAGGCTTTGATCAGGCACCTTCGAAAAATAGGGAAGAATGTATGAAATCACTGGCCTTTGAAGAATTACATAGTCGACACAATGGTATTGAACTCGCTGCACACGGAACATGCCAGTGGCTCCTGGAACATAAGAATCTCCTAGAATGGAAACGCTTCTGCAAAGACATGCTGTGGATCAAGGGGAAACCCGGGTCTGGCAAGTCGACCTTGCTAAAGTTTGCACTCGAAAAGGTCCCGCCACTCTGCGACGCAAAAACTGTTGTGATTTCGTTCTTCTTTCACGGCCGTGGCTACGAATTACAACGGTCGCTGCTCGGCCTCTTTCGGTCCCTGCTATATCAACTGCTGGACAAGGTGCCCGGCGCGCTTTCGGACTTGATCGACGACTTCAACCATTATTGCATAACAATGGGAGAGCCCGGGATAAAATGGAATTGGCATATCGGGAAACTAAAATCGTTCTTTCGTTCGTCACTTATGCGAATCCTGGAAAGGCGCTCAGTTCTCTTATTCATTGATGCACTTGACGAGTGCGGGGAAGAATCTGCTGTCGAGCTTATAGAATACCTTACGGATTTGCTGTCGGACTGCAAAAATATGAAGTTCACATTTGGTGTCATCTTCTCATGCCGTCATTTCCCCATCATCGAGATCAAGAATGGGTGGACGATAGTGCCTGAGGAGGAGAATGATGTAGACATCGACACCTATGTTCAACGCAAAATCACGGCAGATCAGAACTCTTCTATCCAAAGCCTGATTACCAGCCGGGCTCAAGGAGTCTTCATGTGGGCCCGCATTGTCGTGGACCAAGTTAACCGCATGAAGCGTCGAGGCGAACCCGCAGGTGAAATTGAGCGTGAAATCAAGCGGACACCCAAGGAATTAAACGCCCTTTACGATGAACTTCTTCGGAATGTAGAAGACTCAGAAGTAACCATTAGGTTAATGCAATGGGTCTGTTTTTCTACCAGACCTTTGACAACCTACGAACTGCCGTGGGCCATGGCGATTGACCCTTACAATTCAGACCAAACACTCGGCAGTTGCCAACAATCAGACGAGTTCATTACTGAAGACAAAATGTTTAATAGGATTACTTCGCTGAGCTGCGGTCTTGCTGAGATAGTCCCGGGCGAAGGACTTTCTGGCGGTTTAGGCATCATCCAGTTCATTCATCAATCAGTAAAAGATCACATGGTCGAACAAGGATTGTCGCGTCTGAACCGTACCGAAAGTATAGACGGCTTGTTAGCACCCAACACTAACGGCCTCCTATGTTTGATTTGTATTGGTTATTTCAATATGATCATGTCTTCTCGTCTTGGACCTTTTGATAAGGACTATGCTACCAAATTCCCTTTCTTGGAATATGCAACCACATCAATTGTGCCCCACTTAAAGTTTAGTGAGTCAGGAGTTATTAGCCCAGAGGTCTTCCTGAAAGCTCTCCATTGGCCATCAAACTCTTTGGTTGAATTATGGGTCTCTGCAAACAACAATACCAAGAAGGATCTGCGGGAACGACTTGAAGATGGTGCTAATCTTGTACACATAACAGCTAAATTTGAGCTGGTAAATCTATTATCTGAAATACTTTTGGGCGATTGTGAGGTTAGCATCGATTATAAAGATAACAGTGGTCGAACACCCCTATTTTACGCGGCTGGGGAGGGAAATGAGAAGACTATGAGGGCTCTCCTAGAGACAGGCAAGGTTGATGCCGACTCTAGAGATAACGAAGGCCGAACGCCACTATCATGGGCAGCTCAAGGGGGCTTTGAAGCGGTTGTTAATACTCTCCTAGAGACAGGCAAGGTTGATGCCGACTCTAGAGATAACGAAGGCCGAACGCCACTATCATGGGCAGCTCAAGGGGGCCTTGAAGCGGTTGTTAAGGCTCTCCTAGAGACAGGCAAGGTTGATGCCGACTCTAGAGATAACGACGGCCAAACGCCACTATCATGGGCAGCTATAGTAGGCCACGAAGCAGTTGTTCAGACTCTGCTAGTGACAGGCAAGGTTGATGCCGACTCTAGAGAAAACGAAGGCCGAACGCCACTATCATGGGCAGCTCAAGGGGGCTTTGAAGCGGTTGTTAAGACTCTCCTAGAGACAGGCAAGGTTAATGCCGACTCTAGAGATAACGACGGCCGAACGCCACTATCATTAGCAGCTGAAGAGGGCCATGAAGCGGTTGTTAAGACTCTCCTAGAGACAAGCAAGGTTGATGTCAACTCTAGAGATAACGGCGACCAAACGCCACTGTCATTAGCAGCTGAAGAGGGCCATGAAGCGGTTGTTAAGACTCTCCTAGAGACAGGCAAGGTTAATGCCGACTCTAGAGATAACGGCGGCCAAACGCCACTATCATGGGCAGCTATAATGGGCCACGAAGCGGTTGTTAAGGCTCTCCTAGAGACAGGCAAGGTTGATGTCAACTCTAGAGATAGCGGCGGCCAAACGCCACTGTCATGGGCAGCTATAATGGGCCACGAAGCGGTTGTTAAGACTCTCCTAGAGAAAGACAAGGTTAATATAGATTCAAAGGATAAAAAAAATCGGACACCACTGTTATGGGCATCTAGGAACGGGTATCAAATGGTCGTTGAGGTACTTTTAGAAACAGGCAGGGTCGACATTGAATCTAGGGATACAATCTACGGCCAAACACCATTATCCTGGGCGGCTGAAAATGGCCATGAAGCAGTTGTTAAAACTCTACTAGGGACAGGCATAGCGAACGTCGAATCAAAAGACTACGACGGTCGAACGCCACTGTTATGGGCAGCCATAAACGGGCATCAAACAGTCGTGGAAATACTGTTAGAAACAGGCAAGGCTGAAATTGAACTGAGAGACGACATGGGTCGAACGTCTTTATCTTGGGCATCCGCGAAAGGTCACGAAGAGACAGTATTAACATTGGTCAACACACGAAACATCAACATCAACTCTGAAGATACTGACGGTTTTACACCACTGATGTGGGCAGGGTGGAAATGTCACAAGGAGGTTTTCCGTATTCTCTTTCGAGCCGAACGATTCCCAGAACGCACGTACACCGATGGAGTATGTTTCCAGGCTTCCAGATTCATGTCAATGGATGAATTGGATAAGTTTGCATTTGAAATTGGCTATGACTTTGACGACGACTTCTTCGGCTTGAAGTGGCTGTTCGGGATTTCAGGGGATGTTGTCAGAGATAGGAGGGTTGGCACGAAGTGAAGGGTGTATATCCGGAGGGTAGGTGTGGTGGTGTTGATACATTCGAATCTATCCCCTGAATCTATGGCTCGAACCGGGCTTTTATGCCTCAATGCTTAGTCAGGGGGCCCACTAGGGGCCCGCTCCTGCCAGCCTCTGACAGATTATTGGATGATTCCGTGAGCGGCATCGCATGCGGCAATGGCGATAACTTTTTCGGGTTGAGAAGGCTGTTTGAAGAACCATAAACTGTAGTCTGCCTTGGTAGTAATGTACAAATGTTTTTAGTTTAACACGTCCTGATAGGCCAGACAAGAATTACAGGTCAATAATCACTGAATCTGTTTGGATCACCGGGGTAATCGGATAGGGTTGGGTAATACCCGCGGGTACCCGTATGGGTAGTACCCAAAACTACCCGTGGGTAGTTTGGGTAAACCCGAATTACCCACGGGCAGTCCCACTATATTTACCCGCGGGTTGAAAGGCCCGTGGGTAAAACGACCCATGGGTTACACTACCCACGGGTAATTTTGCTACCCACAAGAAACGCGGGAAATACTGTAACTAAGATAGAAAGAAAATATAACTAGTTAGTTATAGGGAGAAAGAGTAAGTTACATAAAACATAGATGGCTAGAATAGATTACTACAAATATAAGAAACTAATAGAGAATAATACGATAAAGTCGGAGTGAAATCAGAGGAACAATGTATATTTAATCGCTATCCTCGTCAGGAGAGAGTTCGACAAGATCTAGCCGAGTAAGTCTCTTCCTTTTGCGACCCCCAAGCTCGGAGAAGTTTGGGAGTTCTTGGGATACAGAAGGCGTAGGTGAGTTGCTAAGTTGGGAAACTTGACTCGATAGTTTTGGCTGTTGAGAGCTAGATAAGGATGGCAGCTCCTCATCTCTATCGCTAATATCCTCCTCTTCTACTGAGACTTCGTAAGGAGGCGGGGAGGGAGCATCTCCTGTAGCAGTAATAGAGATCTTAGTAAGATCATCAGAGACCTTCAGATATCTCTGAATATCAGCTTTATCCAATAGAGAAGAGTAGTTAAAAGCTTCTCTAATAATATGCTGGCGCTCTTCAGATGCTTCAGTGATATTCGTGTCATCTGGAACTTCCTCAAGTGTGGTTTGGGAAAGCCAGGCCTCATTATTCTGGCTAATTTTGATAGTCAAAGTATCAAAAATAGTATCAGCCGAAAGGTTGAACCGAGCGTAGTGACAGATATGGCGAGCAAGGCTGAATGATCGCTCTAAGGGTATTGACGTCGGTTGAATAGATAAGAAGTCTCGAGCCATGCGACAAATACCATGGAATCTGGGATAGCTATTGTCTAGGCGGACCCAAAATTGCTGAACAGTTTCATCAGGGAACATAACTAAATATAGTTATTAGCTGTTAAGCCTAGTAAGATATGAGTCTTTATCTTACCAATATTAAAAAAGTCATTACAGATATTTCGTGCGTCTTGGGATGATGACATTTTGCCCTTATAATAGGTTAGTACAGTGAGTTGCTACAATAGATTGCTACAAATACCCTTTTCTTTGGACTGCGTGATAGTAAACTATGCAGAGTGTATCGGAGTCCTTCAGTTGCAGCTTTTTGAGTATTGGTATGGCGTTCCGAATCTTGATGGTACTGCTTTGTATATACCTTGATAAATTCTTGCTGTACTCGAGTTCGAAGTGAGGCTGAAGAAGGAAGGTATTCGAAGTAATTTGCGAATTGGAATCGCGTGTCAAAAGTACTCGAAACTGATGTCCCAGCTTCAGGGGTAAGGAGAGTTGCAATACCATATACCTTGAAGGAATCCTCTTCAATTAGCTTTTGAACGTATTTTTCCAGCTTCTCTTGGCCCTTTTTCGTAGCAGCCTGAAGGATTGATATCCAAGTAAAGTCTTTGCTAGTAACTTTATCTTTAAGTGCAGAGGCGCAAAAGTACAAGTAAACTGTTGCAACTTGTAATAAAGTAAAGGTATGACCAGGGGTAAGGTCATTTAACCGGCTGAGGATGTTTGTAAAGAGTAAAAACGGGCTGGTGATATCAAGCAGAATATCAAGAGCCTCCCAATCGGTCTCCACAAGAGAGAATTGTTCCTGTAGAGAGTGCTTTTCAACCTAAGCTGAAATCGTTGTTTTAAGCTCTCTTGCGCGGAGATACATAAGTGTAGTAGAGTTCCACCTTGTCTTAACATCGCGGAGGAGGCGTAGTGGTCGCTGGCCAATGCGAGTCGATTTCTGGAGGTCGAGAAACTCTTGCGTCTTCTTACTAGAAAGCTTAAGGGAAACTGCGAGGTCACGAATCTAGAGGTATATATGTTAATATAAAATCTTATAACTAGGTGAAGTATCTAACCTTTTGAATAACAGCTCCAAAAGGATTTTCCCCAGCAGTAGAATCTTCAGTATCAAAATCATCGTCAGAGTCCTCTTGATCTTTAGCTCGAGTAGTAGAAGGCTCAAACTCTGTAGAGGCTTCTACCATCGAAATTCGAAGAGCCTCAAAAATCGCTCGAACAACAAGGTTGAAAATATGGGCTAAACAGCGAATATGATATATCGGCTATACTATGGATGTCGACCCTTTTGCAAGTTCTTGTGCTAGGACTTTTGGCTTAAAAGAACTTGCGTTGTCTGCAGAGACTGTCTGAAATCGAATTGTCTTCTTCGTCCTCTGGCGAATATTTTCTAACAGAGTCGATAAAGCCGTTGCTTGCTTAGAGGCTGTATGACCATCTGTCATATCAATAGCACCAAGAAGAACCTGTTGTAACCTCCAGTGCTTGTCGATAAAATGGCATAAAACACCAAGCAGTGAATATTTTAACCCAGGTGTACTCCAGATATCAATCATCAGAGAGACATAGCTACCAGGCGGAATTAGCTAAAGAGTGTGGTGTTGAATGCGTAAGGCCTCCTCGGATATCCAGCTTCGGAGCGTCTTTCGAGATGGGAGGTAGTAGAGAGGATTCAGGTATAAACAGAATTGCCGGAAACTTAAGTTGTCAACAGTATTAAGCGCTAAGTTGGATCTAACAATACAGTAAACTAATGCTTGATACTCCGAGACTGCTTTCAATTAGGTACCCTAGATTGCGATTACTACAAATGATTGCTATAATGACCTGTAAAACTTATAGGCACCTGGTTTGCGCCTAAACGTCGAGTCTTACAAGACTTTGCAGCGAGGTGTCGTTGCATAGCACTTGTACCAGAGTTTTTGATTGTTGGATGATTGAAAACTTGGTGACAGTGCTTGCAGACTAATTTTGGCTCCCCTGATGTCATATGGTAGCCTTGGTGAAAGTGATCCCAGAATGATACTCGGCGTTGTAAAGTCCACAAGGATTTAGCAAAGCGTTTTCGTTCAGGTTGAGGGGATTTGGACAACAGTGTGTGTTTGCCAAGGATTACCCATTGGAGATACCATGGCAGGGTTTTGAAAAACGAGAGAAAAGTCTGGAAAGTCTCAATAACAAATAAAATGATTTCCGACTGTATCTGTAAACCAGAAGGTGGAGTATTGATTGTTGGAGTCTGCGTAGAATTTACGAGCTCGAAAGCAGCAGAACAATCGGATGCAAAAGGGTCTGGCCTAAAAGGGTTAGACGCAATTGAGTTCGACATCATACGTAGTAAGAATTACCTTTGGTGTGAACAGGAAGTAGTTTGCAGGATTACTACAAGATGAATACAAACATTTGATTATGTAGCCTTACGTAAATTTCTATTTTAGGGTTTCTGACTAATACGTTTCGTACACAAATCTAAAAGCTCTGAATTCTCCTTCGACTTGTTTTTTCTCCCACTTACATTCATCCTTCAATGCCTCGCTTATCAACTAGCCCTGTGTCAGATCAGAGCTCTCCGCTAACAGTGGAGGGCTCTTCACCGCCAAATAGTTACCCCTCATCATCAGCGAGGGGTAATCCCCTGAAACAGCCAATTACAGAGATTCGGGAGACTCCGCCAAGAAGTTCAAGTCATGCAACCTACTATAGCCAGGCTAGCCCAGACCTAAGTCAACCAGAATTACTACCGCTGAAGCAGAACTTTGCGACGAAGTTGGCGAGACGAACAGATACTGGCCAACCACCAACCATTGCACGGAAAGATCAGCTGAACTTCGCGCTAAAGAAGCAGCTAAAAGCTGCTCGAAAAAAGCCCGTCCAGATCACTAAACGCCAGAAAGTTCGTAGATGGAGGCCTGGTAGTAAGTAAGAAGTAACTCTTTATTATTTAATTACTAAAATGTGAAGCAAATGCACTTCGTGAGATTCGAAAATATCAAAAGACTACCAATCTTTTAATTCCGCGGAGCAGTTTCGCAAGAGTAGTTCGAGAAATAACACTTGATCTTCCACTAAGAAACCGCCATAAGATCCGCTACCAGTCAATGGCTATAGAGGCTCTCCATGAGATGAGCGAACAGTTTCTAATCAACATGTTCGAGAGTAAGATATCCTATCCTGATCTTCAAACTATTATATTAACATGAATATTAATAGATGCAAATCTCTGTGCTATTCACGCTAAAAGAGTAACTTTGCAGAAGAAAGATCTTGACTTAGTTAAACAGTTAATGAAGAAGATGGGAGCATGGAGTGCTAGATTGTTTTAGCAGCTGTAGATTACTACAAACGATTGCTACAATACGAGAATCAGACTAGAGAGAATTCATGTCCTTATTCATGCTAGCCTTATTGCTAATTCTTAATTCTTAATCTGTCAAACAAACCCTCTCGCTATGCTCATCTGCAATTATAGAGAAAAGTCAAGCAAACGAGTTAGCTTCTGAGCCAACTCATGGACCTGACGCCAGTTGTATAGCGCTTTATCCCGAGCAAGGTCAAGCTTCAGGAAGAATGGTATCAGCTTTAGTATAGCTGAGAACTTCTTATCCATCGCAGATAAGATGTTGGCTGTTTTATCGAGAGCAGTAAACTCTTCCCAAACTTCAGCAGGGCCCAGAAGCTCCCAAACACCTTTCTTGATCATCGAGTCACTGATCTCAGAGAACATAGCCTTCACTGAAGGCTTTGGAGTGGAGGCATATCGGCGCTGAGCTGTAGTGAAGAGAGATCCTTGAATCTTGATGGCTGGGCGGTGCGCGAGTGCGAATTGGCTGAGAATATTAGTATTACTACAAAGGATTGCTACAATTAAGCACTTACGTCTTCTTCTTCTTAGACAAGCGGTTCAGGTGCCAGTACTTAGCGAGTGCAAACCAAAGAAGCACTTCCTCTTTGGTGAAGATGTCGCCAGCTACTGGAAATTTAAAGCCAGGTCGAATGAAGCCATAATCCTCCATCGCAGCTAGGGTAAAGGCAGGATTGCTGTTCAGCCGCTTGACCTTGATGTAAAGTATCTCAAGAGTCATCTCCCAGGTATCACGGAAGAACTGGTATTCTCGGATCTGGTTTTCCTGTCTGTTTGTTAGCTATTGCTATAGTAATTAATTATAGTCATCCAGTTACCTGGATCATCTTGTCGATAATCGCATTCGACTGCTCAGCAACATTAATGGTCGGCAACTGGTTATCAAGGTCAACGTCAAAGTTGAGCATGCCCTCAACTCCATCCAGGTTTTCCTGGGTAGCCTCATCAATCTCATTCAAAGGGATATCCTCCCAAGCCTCGTCTTCATCGTCATCGACGATATTATAGGAGCTAGACGAGACTGGGCCAGTCATCTGAGCTAGCAGCTGGTCTGGATGGTTGCCTTTGAGGAAGCTAAAAGCACTTAAGCACTGATTTGAAACACCAAAAGAAATAAAAAAGAACTCACTATCGTGCATCAACTTGCTGGATTTCCCTAGCCTCAAGGGCCGCGCGCTCATCAGCAGACGCACTGATGTAGGAGCTTTTAGCCCTCAAGGCTTTAAGCTTGCGGGATTTCTGCTGGTTGATCGACTTCTTCGAGCGATCAAGTGCCTTCTGCTTCTCAGTCATCTTATCGATGCGCTGACGAGACTTCTTGGTGTGCGTGTTGTCGGAATAATCCTCTTCAGCTTTACGCTTGGCTCCAGCACCAGATCCAAGCGGTCGGCCTAGAAGAGATTAGTACAAATGATTGCTACAAAGCTAGTATAAACGTACCGCGATCCTGTCCTGAGGACATATTTTACTACTATTCCCTAATTGATTTAATAAGTCAAAACCAATAATTGTGAGATCAAAGTATCAAATTACCTTAATTGAGAGGCTTGTCGGTGCGGCTGGGTGTTAGTGGTGGAGGTAGGTTGTAGTGTTGTCTGGGGAGAAGTTTTCTAAAGCTTCAGAACCTCACAAAAAAAAAACAAAATACGCCAAAAAGTGGTCTATGCGCAGCCGCGGCTTCTTGTTTTTTTTCTTAAAAAGAATCTCTTTGAAAACCTCTGTTCAGTAGTTATCTGTAAAAGATTCTATATTGATTGGACCTGGACTTGTGTTTCTAGGAGTCCTACCTGATTCATGGTTAACTTTATAATATGATGCCTGGCATAGCCCGAAAGACTATGCCTGGTGCTAAGGAGCAGCAGAAACGCCGTTGGCGCCCTGGCAGTAAGTCTAGATTGCTACAAAAGATGGCTACACACTAACCCTAATACCTAGCAAAAGCTCTCCGGGAGGTCAGGAACTACCAGAAGACATTTGACTTCCTGATTCCGAAGCCCCCATTCCAGCGACTCTGGAAGGAAATCTGCGATGACATCGACCCCTCCAAGCGCCTGCGCTGGCAGGCGACTGCTATTAGCGCTCTTCAAGAGTCTTCGGAGTCTCTTCTCTTTGGTGTTTTCGACAGTAAGCTTTACTTGCAAACTCTTATCGAGTTGAACGAACTATCTAGTAATTAACTTTGCTACGATCCACACCAATCGCGTCACCATTAAGCCGAAGGATCTGCATCTCGTCCAGGCTATCTTGAAGGCCGGCAGAGTCCACGGAGACAAGTGGTTCGACCCCGAGTCTGGGAAATGCGGGCGATTAATTGAAGGCATTCAGGGCGTTCGGAAGTTAGGAGTAACAAGGTAGCAGGTCTATTCGTTGCGCAATATATCCACTCTTGAGGCTGGCTACTACAAAAGATGTCTAAAATTCGTAATGCATACTTACTGAAATCTACCCACGGGTATACACCCGTGGGTACCCAAACCCGTGGGCCCCCCTTCAGTTTACTACCCGTGGGCTTTTTTACCCAAACCCACTTTACCCATGGGTACCCGTGGGTAATAGTAAAACTTTCGGGCACTACCCATAACTACCCGACCCATTTCGCGGGTACCCGTGGGACCCGCGGGCCGGGTAATGCCCATGCCTAGACCGTAATCGGAAAGTGGGATGTCATATAATTGTAAGAAGTATTGCTATTCGGGCCTCTGATCTGCCTGGAAGAAGATCTGGTAAGATCTGGGGCTGAAGTGGCTACGGAACATAAATCCCGTCTGGCCGCCCGTCGTGTGGGCAGTCGGCTACGGAACCACTTCAACCTGGAACATCGGCTATTGCAACGGCCTCTGTGTAATTTTAGTTAGACCAGTAAAACATTACCAACAGTAGCGGCGGAGACTTTACTGCCTGCAATTTGGGTATTTGGATCTGTGATGTAGTAACAAGCCTTGTCACACGCTTCACAAAGTGGTAGAAACATGAGCTAGTCATATTTGTAGTAACGGCATTATTAACTCCCCATGAGGATGGGATCTTACATAGAAGTGACCCTTCAAATATCTCATAAAGGCGCATACACATCGGCAAAAGCCCGTATTTTCCACAGTCCCGCTTGTTACCGGAGGGGTTTCATCTGCGACTAACAAACTTGCATGTCTCAAGAAGATTTACCTTAATCCCAACCCCCCAAGCATGTTTCTTCATCAATTGAAAGAGAGTTACACATGTTCAATCAATATCAAAAGTCAGAATACTTCCAGTTCTATTGTCTCCTTTCTCTATTACAACTGCGACGAGAACTATTCCAATTGTAGATGTGGATGGGTATATCGTCTGACAGGCTAGAGTGTCTAAAGTGCAATGAGTGGCGACGAAAGCAACAAATTTGTTTAAAACTAGTAGGCTCCTAGTATGGTTAGCCCGTCTATGCTTAGGTTCTGAGTGGATATGTTGCGTGTGCGTTTACTCAGCCTGCAACTTCAAACTTCTTTATGCTTCTTCCAGTGCAGGTAACGAAGGCCTCTGGTACTAATTTTTTAAGAACTCTGGGGCGAACCCAGACATCTTTCTCTTACCTCTATCTGAAATCTGAGTCATTTCGCGTCCTCGCCCCTCCTCAAACCTGACTTGTCTAGAACACAACGCCTCCGCCGTCAACAACCAAATCGCTTCCATTGAAATAGCTGCCCGCCCTCGAACACAACATCACCACGACACCCGCAACCTCCTCCGGCATCCCCATCCTTCCGGCGGGGTTTCTCTCAGCCCAAATCCTCCTCGCCTCCGACAAGCCCTCACCCTCGTTCAGCACCGTGTCCATGTAGCCCGGGCTGATGCTGTTGACATTGATTCCATACCGCGCCCACTCGGCCGCCAGACTACTCTTCAACATCAGTAAAGCTCCTTTGCTCGTATTATACGCCGCTTGCGGCTGCGGAAAGTTAACTCGGTGCGCCGAGATGCTCGCTGTAAACACAATGCGGCCGCCGCGACCCTGACGAACCATCACCCTCGCGGCGGCCTGCGCGCAGATGAAGGCGCCTGTCGTGTTGATGTCCAGGATCTTACGGAACTGCGATGCTGGCATATCGAGTGCATGCACACAGCCCACGACACCCGCAAAACAAACAAGATGATCGACACCGCCGAGAGCCTCGACCGCACGCTCCATGGCATGTGCAACGGCCTCTTCGTCCGTCACATCGACTGAGAGCGCCTCAATTTTGGCATTCGGGAACGGCTCGCGGAGGGACGCGATTTGCTTCACTGCGTCGGCGGACGTGACGTCCAAGTCGAGGAGCATGAGCCCCGTCAAGCCGTGTTGGAGCATCGCGCGCACAACGGCCTGGGCAATTGCGCCGGTGCCGCCCGTCACAACTGCCGTCCCTGAGAGGGCGAAGCGTGATGTTGCGTCATCGGAGGCGGATGCCGTACGTGTCTCTGCGCCGGGGAGTCCGGAGAGACCGTTTGCGAGGGTCATGAAGGGAATTTGGCGCTTCGTCAGCTGGTCGCGGGCTGATGGATCGGCCATTTTGACGGAGGCAGACGGGGGTGTTGATGTGACTGGCACTGAGTAAATGGGGAGGAGTATGGGATGAAGTCTGGTGCACAGGGGAAAGGAACTGTTTAGTGGTAGGATTAAAGTTGAAATGCCGGGCGGCTTCGGGTCGCTGACAACCGGGATCGAATGATTGACTTCGTGCAAGGGGGTGACAGGATGCCGTGCGGCGGCGGGGGCGCGGAGGACTGTCGCCCGATGTGGGACCGTGATGCCGGCGGTGGATTCCGATGGCGGGGTTGTAGTGATACGTCACGGTTGGTGCTTGGATCCTGCGGTGGATGGTTTGGAGAACGCCAGTCGGGCCGTGGAAGTCCTTTTGAGTTCGTGCAAGTGGTTGATAATCGGATGACAGCCCGCTCGGACGTTCTTTTCGTGGCGGAAGGGTGAAGTTGTTACTGCTATCCCGGCTCGAATGTTTATTGCTCTTTGCCTTGGGATGTGAAGGTGTTAGCTCGAACAACTAGATCAGGACTCCCAATAGCTTAAACATCTGGCAACTTAGGAAACTTCTCGAACGGGCGAGTCAACCAGTTCGATCGGACTTATCAGTCTGGTTTGCCTATATCGAAAAAGTGGACTACTTTGGCCGTTCTGCTGTGGAAGAGGCGGCGAAAGCCAAAGTGGTTGGTTTAGCAGGCAAAAACAACAGCTTTTAGCATCGACAAGATCATCAGATGAACCGTTAGATTGACTGTAGAACCGTAAATACCGTCACATTTTACTTCCACATTTGCAGCTCTAGCTGTTACTTCAGCTGTTGCTTCGTTACTGCAACCACTTTTGTCACTTTAGGCACTCTGGTTACTTTAGTCGCTTCAGCGATTCTCCCAGCTATGGCCACTGTAGCCAGCAGGGTGCCAAACCCCACTCTTCTCAGTATCGCACTTTCCGACAATTGAGACAACAGTCAGTCTGCTAGACGCTTTATCCCAACAGTTGAACCGACTTAATTGCAGCAACACTGGCTATTCGGTCTGTGTTGCCAGTCTGCCTAATTCTGACATGGGCTTTATCCTAATGACTGAACAACCCTAGTGGCTTTTGGAGCCTTTTGCGACGTCGGCTCCAACACTCGTGTCTTCCACGCTTCACAACTACTCAAGACTGATTTCAGAACCGCTGCCGTGCAGGTCACAATTGAAAAGAGGACAATACAGTCTTATGCCACCACATCAAACTCAACCAAGCTGCAATCCACCATCTGTTTCTGCTCAAGATCCACCAGAGCAACTGTCAGAAGGTCAAAAAGGTCAACGGACCATTTACCTGATGTAATACCTATTGAACTCCCCCGAACACGGCAAAAGAATGCGCCGAGGGGGAATCGAACCCCCGGCTCCCCGACGCTGCTGGATGGCAACGGAGAATTTTACCACTAAACCATCGGCGCAGACGATGATGTTTTCGAGCTGTTGGCTCGGATGGTTGGCGACGAGCTGGATGTGGACACTCTTGTTCTCTGGCATTGCGTGTTGTGCGTGGGTCTGAGTGGGCTCGCGGATAAAGCGTTGTGACTGCGGCTTTCCACTTGTAAATTGAAGCCCCAGTAAGATGCACTCCTTGGGAAGCTGAAGAAACTGAAGTGATACTTACTCCAGTTGAAAGGCAGTTGTGGAAACTCATGTTGAGTATCGGCCCTGTCTTGCGACATCATGTTATGCAAGCCGCCTTACCGCTGAGACCCCGCCTGTGCTGAAGTCTGTTGGACTGTTGACCGCAGAAGCTTGCCGGGATGCATTTGAGAGAAACTGCAAGCTGTTTTCTAGCTTTTCGGAATCGTTCACATCAGGTAAAGAGTCACCTCTTTTTGCATCGCCTACACTCAAAAGCATTCAAATCAATAATACCCCAACTACTGATTAAATCACTTGCTAGTCAGAGCCCTATACTTACTGACTACAAGTTCAACGTACTGTCGATGATATGTCGGGTCGACATGTTCCTTCGCGGCCCACGGATACATACCCATGACATCGACATGGTACACTGGATACGGGCAAAACTCGCTCGGAGGCAACGCCCATCGCTGCTTTGTCTGCACATACCTCTGTTCCCACGTCTCAGACTTTGCGAACAAGGTATAATGCAACCAGTCGAACACCTTATGCAAGGGCATCTTTATTTCCCCGGCAAACCCCCCTTCGACACGCTCGGAGGCGACTTCATAATCGGGGTCCATGGCCTTGATGAACGTGCTGTTCCTGTTTGGGAACGGGCTCGCCTCGGACAACCACTCAGCTTTTAGGACCCCCGCGTCGGCAACCAAGAGACAACCAAGCCGCATCTCTTTTGGAATTTCCCCCTTGCTCCTCATCAACCGAAACTTGGATCGTAAGTCTTCACCCGACATGCCGTCCAGCTCTGGCGCCGAGATAAAGAGACTCTCGTGCGTATCGTAGAGCTTGGGTCCATCGCGTTTCCAAGTTCTCACCAAAACCGTCTTGGCGATTTCGCCGTGGTAGAGCGTCTTGAAACGGTCCCAAATCTCGTCACCCACGCCGTCCGCTTCGTACGCCGTCCGGAAACACACAAAACCCCAGCGCCGATCTCCGTATCCCGCATCGAGAAGCTCCTGGATCCACCGAGGCCGAGGCAACGCCCTGCAGGCCTCCAACGCTTCTCTCTCCTGCTCCTTGGCACGCCTCCGCTTCTCCCGAGCCTCCTGCGCCCTGGCACTGCTTAGCTTCATGACATTTTCGAGAGCAGTGTCCTCGTCTTTCTCGTTCCCAAGAGCTCCCTTCGCTTTACCCCGAGCCGAATATGCCAACTCCCGATCTTCACTTTCGAGTTCGAGCAAGGGCACGTACCACGCGCTGGACATGTCTGAGCTATCGTACAGGACACCTTGTGCGATGATTTGGCGCTCCGTCTTCGAAAGGGTTTCCGGCTCCGTAAGCGCTTTCGCAATGATTTGTTGCCTCGTCAATCCGGTGCGGTCCCGGCAGATCTGGTCCTCCTCTTCCGGTGGCGGCCGCCTTAAAATGCGGTGCAATTCGGCGGGGGTGAGAGCTGTGGAGTCGTCGATGGCCCGTTGGTATAATTCCTTGAGATCAGGAGCCAGGGGTCTTTTCTGGAAGTTAGGGAAGTGAGGCATGGGTGCCTTGGACATGGTTGGTGTGTGTAAGCGGGTGGTGCCCCCCTTGATTGTTGCGTATTTGTGAAGGGATGTGATGTGATTAATAGGCCGACAACCAGAGATGACTGATTACTTCAAGCAATGCTTTGGCTGTCTCAATTATCATGTTGAACTATTGTTTTAACACAGAGAGGGCAACAGGAAATATAAGGAACGAAAGTTAAAGGCGTGAGAAAGGTGTTGAGGATTGGGAGCCTAGGGAGTGGGGCCGGGGTCTTGAGTTCTCCAGGCACCAGCGCTGAATTTCCTGTGATTCCAGGCGAAGACTGCGGCACAGGGAATGAAGGTGGATAATTGTGCCTAACATAAATGCAAGAATCAAGATCGTAGATGATGAACATAAGTGTCATGTTGTCGTCTGCTAGGTGACAGCTCTGTCTCGGTGCCGGCGCATCATCAGTCCATCTTGAGATGGCTCTCCCGCAGTTGCGGTAAGTCTTCGTTCTGAGCAGTGCGTTTTGACTGACCCTTTGAGCCTTTACTTAAGTCTTTAAAGTCGAAAATCCAGTGCTGATCACTTTTAATAGTTTGCTTTCAGATAGTTGGTTCAGCTGTGGTACAGGTCATGGGTGGCCACAGAAACAGCGATGGCTCGGTTGTATCGCCCCTTTGGTCTTCATCATGATACGAGCAAGGTAATCTCAACCTCTTTGGGTAGTATTACTACCTAGATTGAGAACCATATGTACGGGACATTGAAATCGCTCATTGCCTGAGACGGATTACTCTATTCACCCGCCTTCGCCCGTATTCTTCCGTTAATTGTCTCTCCATCATCAATGCCAACGAGCAGGTCAATGAACTCGAATATTTACGTGTTGCTGAAGAAAGCTTTACTTTTGAACTGGCCAGATGTTAGACTATGCAGTTTCGTCCCCTGCAACATTAGTGTCAACTCGCTCCCATTCACTCACAACCGCACTAGACCAGATTTGTTCGTCATGTCAAAATCCCACTTCAGTTCAAGTCTCTTATCGAACGTCGAGTTTGTTAGAACCACAGTACTCTGTGCACCATCGACGAACGAGGTTATTAACAGGGATAGGCGGACCAATCATCCCCCAAAGGTGGTGCCTTGCTTCGAAAGTGACTGGGGAGTTCAACTCAGTCGGTTTTGTCACCATGGTCAGATTCGAAAGCCGAGTCTTCTCTTTTTTCGGCCCTGTTTCTTCGCAGACTAAAGTAGCTCTCACCGCGTGTGCTGACGGCACCCTGAAGAACTATCTCTTAAATCAAGTAACAGGTATATTTTTCCGGAAACCAAATTTATCAGAGACTCTTCCGTTGTAGCGTGAGGCAATATTTGCGCAGCTGTGAGGGATCTTGACGAGGCGAAAACTAGGATTATATACACATCTTGACTTGTTGTTAGTATAGTAGACACAGGTGGCAACGGAGTGGGGCACTGGCTCGTTCAGTGCCAGAAGCCGAAGAACGCAATAACGAAAGCGCAGGAAAAGACTCATGCATGATTGGCATGGGCGCGTTAATGCAGGCTGAGACGAGCAGTTCTTCTGTCCGATTTCCCGGTGCCTTCTGGCCGTACCGAAAGATCTATCCAGCATATAATATGGCCTGTTTTAGGTTGATTTGGCCTGCGGCGCAGGGGTGTCATCACCATACCAGGCTCACTGCCACATTCAGCGTTGGCCTGATTTGCATGTCTCTTCGATGACTGCTCTTCTAAGACTTTTGCAAAGCAATCCTTAAAACTGAAATATGCCGTTATTGATTGATAATTTATGGAGGCATCGCCACTCCTATGTCTGTGTTAGCTGCTGTGTGACCTCTTTCAGTGCGGCTTCGACACGGATGTTAAAATGGATTTTGAGGTGCCAGCGTCAGTCATGGCCAAATAAAAGGTGCAACGTAGCGCTCAAATACCCGCAAAATATATGCGCGCACGCGCGGTCTACCATTTACAGCTCAACACCCGTGTAAATCTTGGCTCTCCCACTTCGGTACGTAAATCTTACGATCAGGCTGACGCGACGCACCAAAGCCTCCTATTGGATTCTTTTCATGCAGGAAAACTAACCAAAGGCAATTTTACCCCGCCCAACGATGGAGGCAACATCTCCTGAGACCTCAGCCTCCAAACCCAGTCGCTTTGGTTCATCAATCTTTAGGTCATCTTACTAGTAGTATCACAGAGGGCGAGGCAAACAGACCAAGATGAGTTCCCGATGGTTTAAGAAAATCAAATCCAAGGTCCGACATCCAGACTCTGCCTCGCCTCGTGTTTCGCCTCCTTCAGTACCTATTGCTCAGCCTTCTGCAGTCCCCCAGACATCCGCAGCCCCTCAGACGTCGACCTCAACGACAAGCCTCAAAGAGCGGCTTTGGAATCAAGCGTACGATGAGCTTAAGTTGAGCGAATCCGATGTAGTCGAAGCATACGAAAAACTTCTGTCCGATGAACTTCTTGGTGACAATCCTCCTCCTACCGCAACCGCTGCAGATGGCCACAGTAACAAACCTCCCTCGGAGGAAAGATGGCGCCTGATGGAGCGCCTTGTCCAAGCTGGGCTACAGAAGATTGAAAAGGAAGCAGCTACCAAACAGAAGATCAGCGAGGGAATTCGTATTATCTCCCCTTTGAAGGACGTGATCGGGAAGGCTATGCAGGCTGCGCCCCAAGCCGCTGTCGCCTGGGTCGGCGTCTCTTTCGCTCTTGAGGTCAGTTACTCGTCAGATCTGCACGCATTCACTGACGATCCCCAGCTACTCGCGAATCCGTTTACTGAACCAGGCATCAACCTCGACGGTATCGCATACGTTACGTCGAGGATGGAATGGTACTGGAACCTGGTGGATCTCCTCCTTGATCAGGAGGGTTCCAAGCCGGAATTCGAGGGGCTACGTGGTCAGCTCGAGAAGCACATTCTTGAGCTTTACCAGGAACTTCTTGTCTACCAAATAAAGAGCATCTGTCTCTATAACAGGAAGCGGGTTGTTGTTTTCCTCAGGGATATCGTCAAGTTAGAGAATTGGACCATCCAGATCGACGACATAAAGGCCGCCGAGACAGCCGTCCTGAGCGATTCGGAGCAATACAACTCCCAAAAGACTCGTCGGCACCTCCAACTCCTGGAGACCACGGCAGAGCATCAACTTAAGGAGATGCAAAGTGTCACAAATGCTATTCACCAACAGACCAAGCGGCAAGAAGAGTATCAACAGAGTCAGGACGACAAGAAATGCCTGAACGACCTTTTCCAGACGGATCCCCGCCACGACAAGACCCGCATCCAGGAAACCAAGGGCGGCCTCCTTCGAGAATCGTATTGCTGGATTCTAGATCACCCCAAATATCGAGAGTGGAGAACAGACGCACAGAGACGCCTGCTATGGATCAGGGGTGATCCAGGCAAAGGCAAGACGATGCTCCTGTGCGGCATCATTGACGAACTGGAAAAGGACTCTTCTAGCAAACTCGCTTACTTCTTCTGCCAAGCCACCGTGGGAAACCTAAGCAATGCCACATCGGTGCTGCGAGGTTTGATATTTAGTCTCGCAAAACAGTACCCGCGGCTTATCAGGCACGTCCGTGAGGAGTATGACGGTGGCGGCAAGCAGCGGTTCGAGGATCTCAATGCCTGGGAGGTCATGTCCAAGATCCTCAAGGCTATGCTACATGATCCCATCCTGGATGACGTCCTCTTGATCGTCGATGCCCTCGACGAATGTGAGACAAATCGCCCAAAACTTCTTCATTTCATCACACAAGTATCACTCACGTCTCGTGCTAAGTGGATCGTATCAAGCCGCAACTGGCTGGAGATTGAGGAAATCTTGGGCAACGGCTCCCAACAAATCACCCCCAAGCACCAGGACACACTCTCCCTCGAGCTGAATCCCGAATCTGTTTCCGAGGCCGTTCGTAGCTACATTCAATACAAAGTGGATGAATTGGCGGTGCTCAAGAGTTACGACAATACGACCCGCGCTGAAGTTCAAAGGCACCTAATCAACAACTCAAACGACACTTTTCTGTGGGTGGCTTTGGTCTGCAAACACCTCGCTGGTGAAAACGTCCGAAAGCGTCATACCCGTGAGGCTTTGAAGAGATTCCCACCAGGTCTCGAGTCTTTGTACGAAAGGATGATCGATTACATATCTCGTTCAGATGATGCAGATATTTGCAAAGATATCTTGGCCGTCTTCTCGGTGGTGTACCGTCCTCTCACGTTGCAAGAGCTCATGTGCATGGTCCAGTTACCAGCCTCCTTTGGTAATGACCTTCAAATTCTGGAGGAACTTATTGTATCCTGTGGCTCTTTTCTTACTCTTCGAGGGGACACTATCTACTTTGTACACCAGTCGGCTAAGGATTTCCTGCTGAACAAGACTTATAAGGGGTTTGATCAAATTCTACCTTTCGGCATCGCGCAACAGCATTATAACGTCTTCTCAAGATCTTTGGAGGTGTTATCCAAGATACTCAAACGCGACATCTATGAGCTGCGCGCCCCTGGAAGTCTTACTGAGGACATAATACCGCCTGACCCAGACCCTTTGGCCCCTCTGAAGTACTCTTGTACATACTGGGTTGACCACCTTCAGCATTCGAATCCCACGGACAGCCCTGCACGAGATGATTTGCGCGACAACGCCAGTATTCATAAATTTATGGGCTGCCACTATCTCCACTGGTTGGAGGCTCAGAGCCTTCTGCTAGGCATGTCAGAAGCAGTCTTAGCAATAGGGTTACTTGAAAATCTCGTGGTAAGCCAACTGAAGGTTGCATACATTTCGTATTCCATCTAATATTTCCACAGACAAGCGCAGATTCACAGCAACTGACGGATCTGATTCGAGATGCTCATCGGTTTATCCTGTCTTACAAATACTGCATCGAGACTGCCCCCCTACAAATCTATGTATCTGCCCTACTATTCAGCCCTAAACATAGCCTAGTACGACAACTTTATCAAGCAGAAGCACCGACCTGGGTTACAGTCACTACAGATGTTGAAGCAAACTGGAATGCATGTCTCCAAACGCTAGAGGGGCATAGCAACTCGGTTTGTTCAGTAGCTTTCTCTCCTAATGGGTGTCAGCTAGCCTCAGCCTCTCATGATGAAACTATTAAACTCTGGGATGTAGCCACAGGCCAGTGCCAGAAGACGCTAGAGGGGCATGGCAACTATGCTACTTCAGTAGCCTTTCCCCCTGATGGGCGGCAGCTTGCCTCAGCCTACAATGATAAGACCATCAAACTCTATGACGTAGCCACAGGCCAGTGCCAGCAGACACTAGAGGGGCATGGCGACAGCATTAGTTCAGTAGTCTTCTCCCCTGATGGGCGACAGCTAGCCTCAGCCTCTCACGATGGGACCATCAAACTCTGGGATATAGCCACAGGCCAGTGCCAGCAGACGCTAGAGGGGCATGGCGACGGCATTAATTCAGTAGTCTTCTCTCCCGATGGGCAGCAGCTAGCCTCGGCCTCTCACGATGAGACCATCAAAATCTGGGATATAGCCACAGGCCAGTGCCAGCAGACTCTAGAGGGGCATGGCGGCTGGGTTCTGTCGGTTGCCTTCTCTCCTGATGGGCGTCGGCTAGCCTCAGCTGCTGATAAAACTATTAAACTCTGGAATACAGCCACAGGCCAGTGCCAGCAGACGCTAGAGGGGCATGGCGGCTGGGTTGAGTCGGTAGCCTTTTCTCCTGATGGGCGGCAGCTAGCCTCAGCCTCTCATGATCACACCGTCAAAACCTGGGACGTAGCCACAGGCCAGTGCCAGCAGACGCTAGAGGGGCATGGCGACAGCATTAGTTCAGTAGTCTTCTCCCCTGATGGGCGACAGCTAGCCTCAGCCTCTAATGATGGGACCATCAAGCTCTGGGATATAGCCACAGGCCTGTACCAGCAGACGCTAGAGGGGCATGGGGACCGGGTTCGGTCGGTTGCTTTCTCCCCTGATGGGCGTCAGCTAGCCTCAGCCTCTGATGATGAGACCATCATGCTCTGGGATGTAGCCACAGGCCTGTGCCAGCAGACGCTAGAGGGGCATAGCTGGATAGTTACTTCTATAGCCTTCTCTTCTGATGGGCGGCAGCTAGCCTCAGCCTCTCGTGATCAGACTATTAAACTCTGGGATACAGCTACAGGCCAGTGCCAGAAGACGCTAGAAGGGCATGGCAGGGGTATTAATTCAGTAGCCTTCTCCCCTAATAGGCGACAGCTAGCCTCAGCCTCTAATGATAAGACTATCAAACTCTGGGATATAGCCACAGGCCAGTGCCAGCAGACGCTAGAGGGGCATGGCGGCTGGGTTGAGTCGGTAGCCTTTTCTCCTGATGGGCGGCAGCTAGCCTCAGCCTGTGACGATGAGACCGTCAAACTCTGGGATGCAGCCACAGGACGGTGCCAAGAGACACTGAAGGGCGAGAGCAGCTTGGATCATGTATTCGAGACAGCAATCCAAAAACCAACTCACGAGTTTAAAGACTGGCGCGGTATTCTGTTAAAGGAGGACATATGGGTCAGTAATGGCCCTCAGAATATACTGTGGTTACCTTCAGAGTACCGGGCGGAAAGTCACGAGGCTAAAGGATCAACATTAGCTATTGGATGTCGATCGGGCCGAGTGCTGATTTTGCAGTTCATATAGAGAGTCTACAGCAATAGTCTTTTATAGCCTACTATCTCCCTACGGATCGCTTTTCTCATATCGCAGTTCCAATTAAACCGTTGTCCAATCTCCTGTACGATCGCTGATGTATGACATATGAGCATAAATTCTTTATGCAACTTAGTTGCTCAAAAAGTCAAGAACCCAAAAACAAAAAACATACAACACCAGGTATTCGCTGGTCGTCACCGACCCAACTACTAATCCGGCCCTCATTGGCTTATCTATGGGAGAGCGGACGGGATCCCGAGTTTTCCAATGGGTATGGTCGTATGTGACGGTTGGCAAGTCACAGGAGGTATATCAGGGGTCGTAGGCAGAGGGTGTGCAGGGTGTAACAAGGGGAAAGCGAGCCGGGGCAGTGAGTTGAAACCAAGCCAACACCCTACGGGATAGCTGAGGTGTTTCTTCAGAAAGTCAGGACTGGAAGACTTGCTTGCAACTATTCATATGCATCAGACACTTATGCGCAACTCGGCGGTTGCAGTTCCCTCGACAATGCTGAGCTGCCTCTGGGGTGTGGAGAAGAATGACAAACTGGTAAGGATATCAGGTAGGTAGGATATGAACCTGCGACTGGCTCACACACCCACAATTGAAAACCTCCAAGGTTGCTTACAGTTCAATGTATCATTTTGGGGTTGTCATATACAGGCAAGTTTGAAGAAGGCAGAGACGTTACACGATGCCCAGTCTTGCTGGTTGCAAGATTAGCCAATTTTAGCGGCTTCCCTATGTATGAGGTGTGATTGCATTATTCTTGTCAAACTCTTGGATTAGAGACCATTTACTTATTACCCCTTGAGTTGACTCAAAAGTTTTTCAATTGTAAAGTGAGAACTAGGTATAGCATATATACGATCATCCTTCTCTTGAGCCACTACAACACCTGACCTTGTGTTCCTTACTGCGTTAGCCTCCTCAGGCACCTTGCCTCCCTGTCCAGATACCACAACCTACACTCAACGTCAACATCACGCCTTCACAATCACGCAAACCCATCACATGCACAAACCCAAAGACAACTTTTCATAATCTCGGCCGTTTCTATTATATTACGTAAAGTCTATGCTAAAGAGTAAACAAGTACTCTGTTTGTTGGGAGGGGGATGTAAACGTCATACATGCATGTCAACCATGAAAAATGCGTATGCGTATGCGTGTAAAAAAAAAGGTATGTGCGTGCACAATGAAGGCATCTCTATCTCTTTGCTCAAAAAAACAACAACCATAAAACGACTTTTGTGTGTGTGGGTGTGTGGGTGTCTGAGAGTGAATCCCTAACTCCGGTGGATGTATGGTGAAAATGCCAAAATCAGATGCGCGAAGCTATGCTCGGCGGAAAACATGAAAATAACAAAAGGGCGATTATCTTCTGTTGAAGTTGAGGAACTTGCTCTGTTGAAGAATTAGTATATGATTCATCAAGCAATAGTGGGGTATGTAGACTTACAGCCGCGAACAGAATAATCAAGTTACTTCCGACGAACGCGATGAAGATACCCAGATCCCTCCAGCGATTGTCAAATTCCAGACCGAGGGGCGTGTAAAACTCGTCGCCGACCTTGTAAGCGCAGTACTGGCAGTCCTGCGTGTTGTTGTTGGCGAGGTAACCGGGGCCGCCGTTGTCGAAGAAGGGCTGCATGTACTCGCCGCAGGTCTGGCCGTCGGGGGCCTTGAAGGGGTTGAACTCGGCCGAGGTGCACTTGACCTTGAGGTCGTGCAGGGCGGTGACGACCATGCCGCCGATGAGGCGGGTGAAGGGGTCGAGCTGGTAGAGCCAGGCGCGCCAGAAGGCGGGCATCTGCGGGGCGGGGATGGTGACGCCGCAGAAGAGGGAGAAGGTGATCATGATGAAGGGGTCGAACTGGGAGGAGATGAAGGGGCTCGGCGTGAGGGAGGCGAGGGCCTGGCCGAGGGAGACGGAGAAGAGCTCGGTCACAAGGATCATGAAGAACTGGTATCCAGCCCGCGAAGGGTCGGCCTGGAAGCCCGGCATGAAGTACAGCGGCAGGAAGAAGGCGACGGAGCACAGGATGGAGTAGGGCAGCTCGGCGATGGTGATGGCGGCGGCGAAGGTCAGCGGGTTGTACATCTTTGAGCTGGACTCGCGGAAGAAGAGGGCGCGCTTGATGTGGTACATGACCTCGACCTGGCTGATGATGAGGGCCGGCAGGACGGTGACCTGGAACATGACGAAGACCTTGTACTGCAGCGAGCTGCGGCTGTCGTCGAGGTTGAGGTAGGTGAGGCCGGTGATGAGGGCGACGATGACGTGGTTGAAGAGGCGGGTGAAGAGGTAGTTGGGGCTGCGCCAGAAGGAGAGGTTCATGCGCGAGACGACGACCTTGAGCTGGTGCATCTGCGGCGAGGCGTACTCCTTCTCGAGGTCGTGGTTGACGGTGCGGCCCGCGGCGAGGCGCTCCTCTTTAAGTCGGGAGATGGTGTCCTTGACGTTGGCGAGCTCCGACGAGTCGTCCCAGATGTCGGCCCAGTCGCGGTTGCCCACGCGCGGGGTGGAACCGGCGCCGATGGCCTCGAGCATGTACTCGGCGACGTTGTCGGTGGGCTTGGGGATGGCGCCGTGGCGCTTGAGGTAGTCGCGGAGGACGACGGCGTCCTGGCCAATGTCGCCAAAGTAGACGGTGCGGCCGCCGCGCTGGAGCAGCAGAAGACGGTCAAAGTTCTCAAAGAGGGCGGCGTTCGGCTGGTGGATCGTGCAGAGAATGGCCTGGCCAGCGGCGGCGAGCTTCTTAAGGAAACGCACAATGTTGAAGGCGCTCTGGCTGTCGAGACCGGAGGTGGGCTCGTCGAGGAAGAGGAGGAGTTCGGGTTTGGCGGCGAGCTCGACACCAATGGTGACACGCTTGCGCTGTTCGACGGTAAGACCAAATTCGGGAGTGCCGATGATGCAGTCTGCAATGTGCTCCATCTCAAGCAGCGCGATGATTTCCTCAACGTAGCTGAAACGCTCGGCTTCGGGAGTCTCGTAGGGCTGGCGGAGGAGGGCGGAGAAGCGGAGGGCCTCACGGACGGTCTGGGTCGGGTCGTGGAGATCGAGCTGCTCGGCGTACGAGGTACTGCGCTGGAACTGCTTACCGGGCTTGAGACCGTCGACGAGGACGTCACCGTGGATGACACCAATGTTCTTGCGGGAGGCCAGGACGTCGAGGAGGGTGGTCTTACCGGCGCCGGAGGCACCCATGAGAGCGGTGAGCTGGCCGGGCTTGACGTAACCAAAGACGTTGTTCAAGAGACGGCGAGTACCGCCGGGGACGGGGACATCGTAGTTGAGGTTCTCCCAGGTAAGCACGCTGACGGAGTTGATCTTGAGGTCGGAGCCCTGGTCGGTCTTGTCGCCGCGGCGCTTGGCGGCCTTCTTCTCCATGAGTGCCTCGTTAAGCTTCTTGCGCTCCGCGTTGGGCTTCTGGTAGACCTTGGCCGAGCTACCGCCGCCGGCAAAGTTCATCAGCTCACCGAGGGTGACGTTCAGGAAGAGGAAGAAGACGATGAGAGCGACGATGATACCCCAGTTGCGCCAGAGATCGCCCTTGTTGTAGGAGAAACCGGCAGCGATGTAGTCGGAACCGTCGACGAGGGTGGTACCCGGGACGGAGCCGGCAAGGGTGCAGACCTGGTGGTTGATGTCGCCGTAGCCGGGACCTGACGGGATCAAAGACGTGCCCGAACATGTCAGTTTGAGACGGCTGAACTCGTTCTCCATCATGGCGCTAAAGGCGAGACCAAGGGCGTTGATCCAGTAGATCCAGCGGAGCCACTTGTGCTCGGACTGGTACTGGATGAGATAACCGGAGGTGACGACGAAGAAGGTGATGAGGACGACGGCAAACTTGATGGCATAATCGAAGTCGGGACTGACGCAACCAATGATACGGAAGAACAGAGTCATGGCAATGTTTCCGGACAGAATCATCAGGTAGAACGTGAAAAACGCGCCAGCCTCACGGACGAGACCGGACATGAAGTACACAATGATCGAGAACACCAGAATCTGAGTTGCGGCAAAGGCCTGATCGACGATAATCTGCGCTATCCAAAGTGCTGACGGTCGATGGAAGGCGTACGCTTTGTGCTTATTCACAATTGCACGACCGGTCATCGTACCAGCGAGCTCGGAGAAGGCTTGGAAGGCGTTGAATAGGAGCGAGATGAACATGAGACCACCCTTGCTGAAGGCGCTGGCGGAAGTGGAACCGAGGCGGAAGAACAGAGTACCGAGGACGATGGCGATGACGATGGAGCGGAGCCAGGAGAGGAACAGGGCGAGACGGTCCTGCAGCTTGAGGACGAACTGACGCTTCATCAGCGCCCAGACCTGCAGGTGGAAGCCGACGGCGTAGACGGAGCGCTTGGAAGAGCCGCGCTTGGCCTCGCGGACGGCGACCTGGAAATCCTCGTGCTTCTCGGTTTCCTGGGCGAGACGGGCCTTGTACTCCTCCATCTCGCTGTCCAGCTGCTTCTGCAGCTTGGAGGTCTTGAAGGCCTCGGCGAGGGTCTCGGGGCTGTGAGGGGCGTTCTCGATGGAGCGGCCGGGGGCGTACTCACGCTCGAACTCATCGGTACAACCGGTGACGTAGTCGGGGGTCGTCTGTCTGGGGCGGGGAGCGAAACCGAGACCCTCGAAGTAGGCGCGGGCCTCCTTAGCGGGGCCGAAGTAGACCTGCTTTCCGGCGTCGATGACCATGACCTTGTCAAAGAGGTTGTAGATGTTCTCCGAGGCCTGGTACAGGGAGACAAAGGTGGTGGTCTGGTACAGGTTCGTCTGGACGCGAAGCGACTTGACGAAGTCGAGTGCGGTACTGGCGTCGAGACCACGGGTACTGTTATCCCAAGAGAGGACGCAGGCGTTGGTGATCATCATTTCTGCGATCGACACACGCTTTCTCTCACCACCGGACACACCGCGCACGAAGGCGTCACCGACGACGGTGTGGCGGGTGTGCTCGATGTTGAACATTTTCAGGAGAGTGCTGATGACCTGCTCCTTGAAATCCTTCTTGGACATGCCAGCAGGGCGCTTGGCAGGGACCTTGGTGTCGAGGGCGAAACCCAGAGTCTGCTCCACGGTGAGGGTGGAGTGGTGGATGTCGTCCTCCTGGTTGTACACAGCCTCACCACGGTACTGCTGGAACTCCTCTGCGGTAAAGTTGCCGTACAGAACCTCACCGGTGACGCTGGTGAAGCCGGCGCGCTGGTTGGCGATGGTCTTGAGGAAAGTGGTGCAGCCGGAGCCGGGCTTACCCAGAACCAGAACCATCTCACCGGGCTTGCACACACCCTTGAAGTGGTCCAGGAGGGTCGCCTCAACACCCTTCTTGTTCAGACCCAGCAGGTTCATGACGGGAGTGACATAGTCGACAAAGTTGATGAAGGCGTCGGGGAAAGTCTGAACGTAGTTGGTAGTGCCGCCGATTCCAGTGACGGTGAGGCCGTCCCAGTAAGCACCGATGTGCTTGGGTCTAATACCGGCCTGGCGCTCGGCCTCGACGCCACCACGGAGGACGGCCTCGAGGTCGAACTGCTCGCCGTCAGTGTCCGAAGACGGCGATGCCGAGTTGACGTTTGCGACAGCCTTTTCGACGTCCTCGGACTTTCTGCGGCTGCTGCGACTGTTCACTCTGCTTGCGCGCGACACTCCAGACAGCTCGCGCTGCAGCTCAGCGAATTCGTGCTCGGCATTGTGAATTGAGACACCGGTGTGAATGGCGGAGAAGCCTTCGGGGTTGTTGGCGCGGGCATTTTCTCTTTCCTGCTCAGCATCCGCGGCGGTAGAAGTTGAAGATGAAGATCGCGGGGCGGGGACGGTGTCGGTGGCGGTGGTGTTCTTTTCATTAACAACGGGGCTGCCACCAGCAACAGCCTCCTGTTGCTTCTCAAAGTCCCGGTCCGCCATTGGGACCGTAGGGCTAAGAGTTGGTGATGGCGATTTTAGTTTGTTGGCTTACTAAGAGACAAATTGTCGTCGGATGTATGTAAGGGGGGAAATGGAGGTCGAAAGTCGACGCAGGTAAGAACTCAAAAGATGTGAAGTCGAGATGGTTGAGGGCGATCCCAGACGACCGGAATGTGGCGGTTTGCTGGCCCGTGCCGTTATAGGAGTGGTGCCGTAGTGGAGGAGGTACCTTACTCGAGTCGATGTACCTTTGGCGGGGGATGGCAAACGAGAGGAAGTTGAGGAGAGAGGGAAAAGCTCCAAGTTGGAATAGGGATGAAAGGATGGATGTGTATAATAATAAGTACTAGTATTGGGTGAAAGGGGTGTGACTCCTCCTTTCGAGGTGTGTCGGATCAAACAAGCGGCAAATCGGCCGAGGGAATGAGATGGGAAACAAATATGCAGCGGCCGACCACCCAAAACACCATAAGGGAGAGAGGTGTGTGAGGAGAAAGATGGAAGAAGTCCGGAGGAAGAAGCTTATTAGTGTAGGACTAGAGACCAGTACCAAGAAAAAAAAAGGTGGAATAAAAAAAATAGAAATAAAAAAAAAAATATCAAAATAAGGTAGCACAGCAACTTCTAGGCAGGCAAGCAAGGCAGAGATGGGTCTAGTCTCCGTTGGATCGTCTATATTATACGGGGGGTGCGTCCAAACGAAAAAAATATTACCAATCAAGGGTTAATGACAATTTTAAACCGGAGTCGGGGCCCGGAAGTAGGACATCTTAAGCCCGTCGGGTGGAGACCCGGCAGCTGGTTCAGGTAGTGGTAGTCTAGGGGACTCGAGCTGGCGGACAGCAGACAGAATGTGAGAGTCCTATGTAAGTAGGTACCACAGTGAGTGACTAGTAGTACGTGGACCAGACGTGAATGTGAAGGGAGGTTTGCTACTCAGGGTTGGTGACTGCTACATGGTTCTGGGTGTGTGCCGGGTATGATATGTAGGTACCGTATCTCCAAGTTGCTTAGCACGTCGGTATCCCTGGTCACTTGCTCCCAAGATGCGACTGCATCTGCATCTGACAAGGTGGAGGGCGACGGAGAAGGTCCACTAGTAATAAAATATCGGGGAGACCCAGGGCCCAGTTGTTAGCACTAACAAGGTGTAGACGTGGTGGGGTTACGGCTGTGTGGATCATCCTTCTCTTCCTTGGCGGAGGGCCGCAGGGTCATGCCATGTACGGATGGATACTTAATACGTACTCCCCATACTGAGCCATGATGAGCCATCATCCATTAATGATGATACAGACGGCCGGGAGTCAGAGGGCGGCAGCACTATGCGATCGGGAAGCCTGTATAGGAAATAAGGCGGGAGAGTTCGGGGGGGACAGTCACCACCGGACGGGGGGCAGGTGACTGGCTGATCCGATCTTGAATGAAAGAGGCGGTCAACAGTGACATGAGATGGGATGAAAAGAGCGATCCGGGAGTTGGTTGTCCGTGTGAGTTGTTTTGTAAAGCGACATCGAGAAACAAAGTGCATCATTGATACTTTTTACGTGACCTGTTTTTTTGGTTTCTTTTTCTTTATTTTTCGCATGGACCTCTCAGATAGTCAAAGGTAAGATCAAGAGCATTGACAACTTATCAGAGTCGATAACTTGTATCTAATCGGTATCTCCTGGGTTCTTCAGGTACATATGACGCAAAATGCGAAACATGGCTTACCTGCCAAACCAGGACAGATCTGAGAGGTATGACCGGGGTGGAATACGATAAGTGTTGATATCACTTATAGGAACACGCGTACCATACTATGTAAGCCGCCATATGAGTATCTGCGAGAGTATCCATAGTAAGCTGGTGCTAAGGAAACTCAACAACCGAGAGCCAGGTTGACCAGTCCAGTGGAATAGGATGGATGGTGGATGGTGATGGTGACGGGCGGAAGAACGCACAAAAAGTCTCTAACTCCGAGAGAGAGACGCAAACACTAAAACTCGAATCACCGCTGGGTGCAGTAGTTGCCCCACTGATATGGCAAAAGGGCTGCTGCACGTTTGTGTTGTCTGCAGCTGGCGTAAAAAAAAGAAGAAAAGAAAAAAGAAAGAAAATGGGAAGATTGGCGGCGAAAGAAAATGTGGAGAAACAGGGAGACGGAACAAGGGTGCAATTCCCATGTTATTGCCCACCGGGTTGATAGTTTGTCATCCACTTGCAGGCTCTTCTTCGGATAAAGAATGGCGCCGTTTGAGGAACTAGTGTAGGGCCTAAAATGACACCTCAGTGTGCACGAACAGCATTATCCATACTACGGCAGGTGTATCAGATTGTTGTTGCCCCAAAGTCTGCTATCTACGAGTAGTAAGTGGTCCTTGGTCGTGGTTTCCCAGCTTCCAAAGTTGATGGTTTCGAATTGGCTCTTGCTCTTTCCCCTTCGGAAATTCCTTCCCCTTGCTATTATTGTCCCTGCCTTGTTGGGGTGTGTGCGCCTCTCGCTCTTACCCTTGCCTGTAGTCCGTGTAGTTGTTTTCGTTCATTCTGGAAGGACCGTAGTTGGAGAGCATGTCACCACATCTGCCAATCAAATCCCTTCATCTCCCTACATGTCAGGCTGGTGGGTCCCTATGCTCTGGCTTGAGTCATCCGGCACAATGTGGGGTTTGACCAATTGGGGCTTCCCATTTAGGAAAAGTCCCGCTGAGTCAGCGGATGCCCGAGCCGAAGAGAGGCCCGAGCTGTCCAGGTTTGGAGGGGCTCCTGTCCATCAAACAAACCTGCAAGCCACCCGCAGACGAAGTTCCATCCTCTCTTTGTACGGATACTCCGTACCAATCTTTTACTATCAACATCCTGGTTGTGGCACTCCAACCATCTTTCGACTTTCGACTGTTTCGCGTTCCTCGTACTTTTTTTTTTGCTCTGTATTTTATTATTTTTTTCAAGTGTTCGGCATTACTCCGACGGTATGCCCAGTTTGATGGAGCCGTCCACCGCCACTCACCACAGCCTTTCGATCCATCCCCGACGTCTACCAACTAAAAAAGAAGCATATTTTCAACCCCCCTCTGGCACAGACACGCACCTATTGCCGTGCCGCATCTGGTTCGCAAATCTGATAAGAAAATGGGTATAGAGTTCTTCCCCTTTTCGGGTAATATATCCACGGCTAATAAGCAGGGGCCTTTTTCATGTGCAAAGATTAACTGCGGATTACGGATTCGCCTGCGCCATACCCCCAATGTGGATTCATTGACCGTCTCTCACTTCCTTACCTAAGCCTCACCATCCCCTTGTCTCCTCGATGGCCGCCATCAGCAGAAAGAAACAAGGGAGGGAAAAAATTGAAGATGTCGCTGTGGATACCGGGCCCCGCGCGCCCCTGGCCTAAGATTCCTACTCCTTCGTCCGCCGCTTCGGTGGTCTTTGTCCCTTGGTCATTGGGTCAGCACCGGACCAGTACTCCGAAATTCCTAAACTCAGCCTTTGTTTGCTGCTTGCTTTTCCCACGTCGTTTTCGCCAATCCAACTTGGCTTATCAAGCATCCCGGAGGAACCCTGGACTTTTTTACCACTGCCAAGCCCGTTGCCGACATGACTCACTGGGAACCGCGAAAATCCAGACTCGAGATCAACATGACGGATATGCTTGCTCCATTGCCGTTGTGTGAGGCCAGGGCCACGCGCGCAGCATGCACTGGCGCTGTGCCACGACTGGCCTTGATCGGAGACTTTTCCCTGGTCACTTTCTTTAGGGCGCCACGGCCACGCTTCCCGCTCGCCCTCCCGCCGCGCAAGTCACCCCTCGTTGCATGGCCGTCTGCCCGCCTTGCCCACCCCAAGCTTCCGTCCTCGCCTTACCGTCCATCGGCCGAACGACTCGGTGACGATTCCTAATCCTAAAAATCCTAAAATCCCAAATTCTCAACTGCCCCACTGGTGTTCACTCATCACTCCCGTCATTCCCTCGATGACGTTGTCCACAAGCCTTAGACCCCCTAAGACATTGTGTCGTGGTCAATTTGCCAAGCTCCCGCTAAATTCCCATGCTGCTGCACACGCACAACACTTACAAAAAGTCCGTCCGTCTCAGCGCAGCTAAGCCGCGAGCCGAAGAACGGCGCGACGCATCGTACGCATTATGGCCAGCACATGGCACATGGCCTTGCTTGCCTGCCGTCCACATCAGCGAGATCGCCGCGGCTCCCAAATGCCGCGACACGAAACGAGGACGCGAAAGCCATTTTTGGTCACTCACTCGCTTTCGCCCGACAGCAACCCAGCACCTGGTGCGCCTTGCAGCACGCACACCATACAGCACGCTCTTGACTACCAGGTTGATGCATGTTCTGCCTACATGACTTACCCCGGCACCCCTCTCATCCACCCCGAGCAAACGACGTCAATTCGTCCGCAATAGACAATATCCGAGTGGCATGGCGTGGCAAACCCCTCTCAAACTTCAGACTTGTCCTAAAAGAAGCACTCTTCGTTCGAACTTCAATTGTGGTTGCCACGAGCCACCTCAGAAAGTCCGGCTATTTTTCGGCCTGCAGTCAGCAGTTGAGTCGCATCCTTTTTACGTAGCAGATAGACTTTTTTTCCGCCTGCGACTCATTCGCTGCATTGCTAGTTCTAGATCGGCCTCGGCTCGAAGCAGCCGCACTCTGTTGGGATTCTCCTGGGACACGGGCCAGCTAACCCCCACGGCGATTTCTCGGTTAAACACCACATCATCGGTCGGAGCCGAATCGGTCTCTCTGAAGGAGGGATACCAAGCGGGGCCCGGTCGATCTGAACCGTCGACCCTCTTATCTAAAACCTTGCTGCTCATCGAGCGGAAACTTTGACTATGTGATGGTCTTTGAGGACCATTTCCGCCGTTCTAAATCGTAACTCCGCACAATTGTAGTGTGCTTAATAATTATATGGCAATGTCTCCGCAGAAAAGTCAGTATCAATAAACTTCTCCCCAGCATGAGTGCGCAGGCCCAGATCATCATGATCAAGCATTGTCGCGTGACACTAGCTAGATTTGACAGTTGCTTGTGGTACACCATACCTCGCGCCAAGTCACAAACATTAGACACACACTCTTACCTTCCCGAGGCCGTTTGCGAGCAGGTATACTGCGTAATATACGAAACAAAGCCCGGCAGAAAGTGCTTCGAGCCGGACTTTCGGGTTCCTGGCTCACCCGCCGTTGCAAACGTTGCCGGGAATGTATTTCAGGTGTGACGGGCGATGTTCCCGGCTGGCATCTTTGAGTGGCTGGAGCTGTCCTGAGTTTTGAGTGTGTCAGGTAGACGCCTGCGCGCGGGGTGGACGTCAAGCACACGCTTTAACCTGGGTGAGAGTTTAGGTTGGCAGCGACAACCTGGCGATCACTGCATGCTGCTGACATTTGCGACCTGCGCAACTCTATCTTACACGCGTGGTGGCTTCGCTTGCGTATTACATTGTTTCTGGGCATCGCGCGAGATGCCGAAGCCGTCACAATGTGTTGGTTTGGATTGGGTATTGCATGTGTTCTTGCATTTTTGTGAAAATGTGCTATTGATGTTTGTTTAGGGCACCGTCGCTGCATACTTTCTGATCTAACTTTTTGTTTGTTGAAGAGTGATCTTGCAATTGCTCGTCGGCGCCGGGTCGAGATGAGAGCCCCGCTCCGCTCCGGCCCGGTGGGGGTTAGATGTCGGCGTTTGTGACTGCACTTTGCATATCTATCTTGTCCCGGGATTGACGACGGCTTTGTCTTCGTTGAAGCACTGAAAGGCCGACGTTTTCCATGTTGTCCCAGGACTGGCTTGTATGAGGCTTCAATCGGAATGCGATGAAGTGTTGAGAGTATATGCATGTCTAAGTCTGATGCTGCGCATTGTAGTGCTGCAGTGCTTAGGATGACAAACATGGACGTAGAATAGGCATACTTTCTTGTCATTCATTACAAGAGTGATTTTTCAGTGGGACATGTTGCATACAGAAACCCGAGACTACGTAGCACCGCCGTGGCATTGCGAACCAAATGGCGAGTAAACGTTGTTGAGACCTCCTATTCGCAGGGGACTTTGTCCAGCCATGTGAGACCCGCGACCAACCATGTCCTAAACATGAGAAAGTCATGGGTTCTCTCTAATATGTTCTGTATAACCTGATACATCCCACTGGCGAGGTTTTGTATCTTGGGATAAACTAGCTCGGTTCCGCATGTGTGGTTCTGCCTCTACCTTACAGTTAATATTGTGTATTGAGATTCCACAGTTATATTTCATTTTGTTTTTCTTTAAAGACTTATTTAAAAGTGATACTACTGGCATTTAGAAACGACAGTTGGTCTCGTCTGATGATTTTAACTACAATTTACCCTTAACTCATGTAGAGAGCGTTGGCTTCATACACGATGTGCCTCGTGACACATCAAACAGTAGTCAACGGTCTGTATCTTTAAGGACTCATCTCTCGCTTGATCTTTATATAGCATCTTCGCCTCTATACCATTCGTACTCTTTATAATAATTGTATGCTAGTGCATCTGTTACTTCGTTTCCCCACAAGCGTGTGGCCATGGGACGACAGCCGCATCTTGTGAATGGTGATGCAAGCGATCTGGACAAGTGAAGCAGTGTAGCGTCGGCTTTCGTGGACGTAATACTAAGGTCGTTGATGATGATGATTTATGGGCCAGGAGACTCGAGTCGATTGAGTGCTGGTTGCCATGGCCTTGGGAAGTGTTCAAAAGTCGTCAGTGGCTCATCATTTGCTGTTTCTAGTGGGCAGTTTGATGCGCAGAAGGAAATGATGGCTTCGTTACACTGTTTCACTTCTACGAACTGCCGTCCCACTTTGTTCTTTTTCGTCTGTTTCTTTGTCAGTATTGTATTTGATGATATATATTGATCCTATGTCGTTGCACCAATAGGCTGTGATAACGTGTCCAGTAGAGAAATCTTTGAATTGTCATCACCATTGTCTCGTCCCCTCGCAATGCCGCCTAGGTTTTTGTAACGAGGCCATCTTAGATTGCAGAGAGACCGAAATCATATTGAAAATCAGACACAAAAGTAGATGCGTGTGCTTCTTACGTATTGTTTCATCAATAGTCCTTGGCAAGTTGTTGCAAGACACGTTGAGAACAGCAGCTACGCCATGTTAGCCCACAAAAGGCGGCCATTCACAGTGAGCCTAATGAATGAATCCAAAGGCTGCACGCCGCTGTGCTGCAGAGCGTGTTCATATTGTCACCAGAACGCCTGGGTTGGGCAGGTATATCGGGAAATACCCACTGCTGGGCTAAAACTGAATTTGAACGAAGACTAGCGTTCCTCTCATGCACAGATACCCGTACAGGATGCCCCTACTGACTTATATGCGGAGGGTCTGTGGTGAAACATAGAGTAAGCGATCTTGATGCGAACAGATACCCCTATCTGTAGTTTGGCCTCGTCACGTCTTGGACCATAAGTCTGTAGCAACTTTGTTGTAATTTAACACATTCGACTTCTAGCCATCTACCTCCACGACTAGAACGTATCGGCTGTTCTAGGTTTTTGAAAATATGACCTGGTCTGCCTGATACCTTCCCCCTAGCCTTTTGCTGAAGCTCGCAACTCGGTGAACCCGGGACAGCACTCCAGTGCTAGTAATACCTCTGACGATGGGTATATCATCCATAAATTCGTATAGTAAGTATAGTGTTGTTGTTGTATCAAGATTTACAACTTTGACTACTTAAATAACCAGACTGAGTGAGTAGCAAGAAACGTGAGAGGTTTTCCATTGTCAACAGCTTTATATTGCAGGCTAGTTCCTCGGCATTACTCTAGCCGCGTCAACTATGCGCCGCATTCCTCGGAATATGACGAGCCAATCCGCCATGGCACTGTGGTTGTTCAGAAGAAGCATGTAACACATTGTACTCCACGATGGAACCGCGTAGGAAAATTTCAAGATGGAGAAGCTAGGGAGCGCTGAAGTGTTTTTAACTCTGCCGTTACGTAGAAGACCTTTATGCACACAGTGCCGCTTCCTCCTCCGGCTTGTCGAGAGCGATAGAGTGATAATGCCGATCAGGACAAAAGCGGATTCGATGCAATGCGGTTGCAGCAAAGATTCCATGCATCACGAAACCCTGAGTATGTAAACTGAGGAACGTTAGTGTGTTACATAGCTCTCACGAATTGTCTTACGGTGGCGAGCAGCTGGTAAGGGTCGATTAGGTGTCCTATGTCTCCGGACGCATAACATTCAGGTCCAGTTGCATATCTCGCCCAAGCTTCGGGAGATTTGCCACAAGGCTCAATCCCGTCAAGTGTAATGGGCTGATGCAAAAGGCGCAATATTTTGAAGATTTGGTGAAGTTTTGACATGGTGGTCTTTATTCACCATCCTGCCTTTTGTGCTAGTCTTGTTGCAGTGAGTGACATCAGGCAAATGCGGCGTACTTTGATCCTTCTGCGTTGACATCCCTACGTCGGGTATGAACTCCGTGATGCTTCCGATTTTGTTTAAATACGTTCGATCTCACGTCCGAAACAGTGACTCTATCATTGCTCGCCTGTAAGATGACGAAAGTAGGTCGGAAGAGGACCATGAGATCACAACTGGTGCAGATGCATGTTCCTTTGTTAAACTACAAAAATGAGTTCTGCTCACAGGGGTATCCGTCCGAAGAAAAATTGGCTTCTATTCTTGTATCTGATTTCTAAGAAGAAGTCGTAGTAGAAGTGTTGGCTAAAGTGATCGCGGAGCTTACACCTGTCGGTCTGGTTGCCTGTCAGTCACATGGACAGCCAGCAAGTGTGCCGGCGACGTAGCCACTTCAACCCGAAGCTCCGGCTACTGCAACACTAAAGGTGGAGTTGACTAGATTAAACAAACTGAACAAAGTTCAGTCGAGCTAGAAAGGGCTCGTTTCGACTTTTTGTTGCGGACAAGTACGAGGCGAGTTTTACACAGCAAAGGGGATTGAGTGGTTCGGCTACCTTGGGACCGTTGTCCCTGATTTGCGACTGAGAACCCACTTACCAGTAGCGCATGCAAGTGTGTGCATGCATACGCGTATCCAACAGACTGAGATTAAGAGGTGTTTAAAAAAAGCTAAAACCAACAAAGCCTTACCCTGTCAAGATTACTAAAAAAAATAGCACCAATCGAATCGAAGCAGCCCTGACCGACGACAGGCAGATTTCCTCATACAAAAGCTGAGACTTGCATCAGACTTGGCATTACAGACAACTAGCTCACTGCACAGTCAAAAGGCCTAAGACTCCCCCAAACCGTCGAACTCCAGGGTGTTACAAGAGCGCCATTCTTCATACCTACACTGCTAGGACAAAAAGAAATCAGAACGATTAGGTGAGAAAAGAAAGGGGTCATTGTTAAGAATTCTTAACTCGATGGCTCAGAAAAAACATCTGGTGGCATTCAAGGGCGGTCAGGTTCTTTCGTTGATACCGGAACCGCAGCTTCGCAACGCAGATGTGTTGGTATCACACGACGGTACTATTGCGTATATCGGCGTAGACAGACGCGACGAGCTATATACTGCCGAAAGAGTCATTGATGCGACAGGAAAGTGGCTACTTCCGGGTTTCGTTTCGGGACACAGTCACTTGTGGCAAAGCAAATATGCTGGCCATGCTCCTAACAGCGCAGTGAGCGAATGGGGCGAGGGACTCTACTCTCAAGCTCGGGATCTATCCGCGTCGGATTATTATGATCTCACCATGCATGGGGCCAAGTCTCATATCCGGAAAGGCATTACCACAGCATTTAACTTCACCTTCTCCGCTCGCTTTCGAGACGGACGAGCGGACCGCGCTCAGTTCGAAGGAGCCCTTGACTCTGGGATTCGGTTTATACACGGCTTCAACATCGGGGCTATAAAGGAGAATTGGACTCCAGAGTTAGCTACGGCGCGAGCGCGACGATTCATCGACTGGGCATCTACTTTCAAGCATCACGGCCAATACTTGGGTACCATGATTGCACATCACGGAATCAATTATGACACAGACGTTAATACCCGCATGGAAGCCGAAATCATGCGTAAACTAGAAATAGGCGGCCAAATTCATTATCTGGAAAGCCCTAAGCCGGCGGACGTTAACATGGAACGATCTCGATGGGAATGGCTGCGGGACGCCGGTGCCCTTGACTCAAAGCTCATTCTAGGCCATTTCCTACACCCAACTCCATCAATTTTGGAGGAAGCCGCCAAAAGAGGGCTCAAAATGACCTGGAACCCTATGTCAAATGGTCGCCTGGGTTCTGGCATTGCCGACATTCCTGCCTATCAGAAATACAATCTTCCAATTGGTTTAGGCGTTGATGGTGAAGCGAGTAGCGACCGCAGCGACCCATTCGAGAACATGAGAGCAGGCATATATGCTGTGCGTGGAAAGTATACGGATCCAACGGTTCTAAAGGCGTACGACGTATTCTATATGCATACGCTAGGTGCCGCAGAGGTTTTAGGGGTTGCAGATCAAGTTGGCAGCTTGGCTGTTGGAAAGCAGGCGGATATTATTCTTCTGGACCCTCCATCCTGTAGTTCTTTGGGAGATATAGTCTCTCCCATCGTTTTCTCATCTGGAGTGGAAAGTATCGAAGCTGTCTTCATCGGTGGTCAGGAGTTCTGGCCGCAGAAAATGCATTCATCGAGCGCTCCACGGGACTGGCCTGCCTGGGAGTTTTGAGATCACAGATAAATGGTCTGTCAAGGGTGTGTGAGCCTGGAGTCAACAAAATATTAGAATTAGCACCCACATCTACTTCAAATCATAAGCCTTCGACTGATGATGTGATTGAGTACTTGGAGCAAAACCGTCCGTTAGGAAAAGCTTCGGTGCCGCCTGGAAATCAATGTGTTGGGCGCGAGCTGAAGCACATGTTTATGCAGGACTAAACTGAATAAATCAGAGTTCGTGTATTCCCTAAATCGTGTGTCGCTGCTAGCAAGCTGAGGCACTTTATGCGAGTTGCAGGATACAAAGTCAACTTACCGAAGTTCCGAGTTTCTCATTGTCTACAAGAAGAATGACTACGCCTAAATCTGTGTTCGGTGTGCGAGAAGATGGCAGTGGACATTGGGCTTGGAGATACCACAAGCTCGAAAGCAGTGTAAGAGCTAAAGATAAGAGCAAGAAACCCATGTTGAGACCAGTGACGAAAGAGCTTCAGCGAGGCAAGGAAGATAAAAAGAACTCAAACAGTGCTGAAATACGTCAGCACCCAAGTCCATAATTGTGCAACCGCTTTTGAATGAACTGGGAAACATGATGAGAAAATATAGAGCAACGAGCCTTCCTATTCACAGTGCAACTTGTACCAAGCTCCACCACCACCGTCTGAAGGCAATACGAGCATGAACAGATGCGTATCGTGCGTAATAAATGGCATGAGCGTGTTTACCAAGGTAACTTCTTATCCATTATACTTAGGAGAACCAAGCAAAAGTGCTTTGTCGAATAGTTCTTATCTCTATGATACTCTGAATTTCATTTTGTCGTCGCGCCTGTTCGCTAATATCTCAACTCGGGCCAATGACGCTCTTACGTGTCAAAAAAAAGACAAAATACTTCTATTCACCCATAAACTCATCATTGACGGCTATTTACTTCTGAATAAATCATCTTTTGACTGTTTAAATTGTCCCCATCGTGCAGCAAGTTTAGTTGGCTAAACTTAGGGTCTGATGACTTGACAGGAGCCACTTCGAGGCCGAATACGACTTGTTAGATCTCGCAGGTTTCGTTGATAGATTCGTGTTCCAGCAAGCCGGCCACTTAAATGGAGGTTCAATGCCAAATGGAATTAACACTATCAATGATTTATCAGTAGGGCCCTAGAAGACGTTGTTTCGAAACCTACACAAGCGGCAAACTAGGCAAACAGTTAGCATGGAATCAGAAACCAAAGAGCATGACAAATGGATACTTACCCCGAAAAGGCCATTGCCAGCGTTATTCTTCACTGTACAACTTGCGCCAGTCTTTCCGCACTGGCGGAACGTCGGAAAGCCTTGCTTGCGTGTTGGGTCAGACTGTGTGTTGAGGATTGCATCGCACTATGGGCAGGTAAGCGACTCCATTCACTACACTATCAGCAGGTACATGCTAAAAAAGAATCTTACACAATACACATATTGCCCCTATTGTTCAGAGTGAGAAGTCTGGATCGTCACAAACAGTTTGCTGAACAACTTACCTGAGCACAGCGAATTGAAGGATCTGCATTTGTACCGCCGTTGCAAAAGTATTGCCCGTTGACAGCGGTAAACGCTGTAATAAGGAAGAAAGAAGGGGAAAGTAGTCTCATGATTCCTGTCTAGTTCGGCTGTTAGAGATATGAATTCATCCCATCTCGTTGGTACGGCGTGGGCAATCGGTATTTATAACAATTCTCGGTACACCGAGAGGTATCACTGTACGTAGATCATCCTGCGATATACATTGACGCGGGCTATCCGACGACTTTGGAAGGGTACGATTGGCATTACTCATGTCTCTACACATGTGGTTTGACGTGGGAACATCAACAGATACATTGATATAGTATAGGATTTACGGTATTTATCGAGTATCACGATCCATTGGTTACGGACTGATCGGCACCCCTAGCGCCTAGCCTGAATAATTGTACTAGGGTTCGACTGTAAGCTGCGGGGATGGGAAAATTTAACTAGTGGAGAGCTGGTCGTATTTTTCCACTCAATTGATTGTGGGATAAAGGCACATAGACCGGAGTTTTTTGAATGTCCGTTTCGCCGGGCTGAGATAACTCATGACTAATGACCAATGAATTTTATCATCATACCTTAGTGATTTGTAATGTGTAGTCAAGAGCTGGTTTGATTCGCTGTTTGGGGTTTACTTGCCTTGATATTGGATGCTGCAAACGCCAGTTATTCCCCTATTCTGGTAAGAGCGTAATGTCTTCAAAACGCACAATTTTCTGGGGCCTCTGTTCAACCCAGCGAGGCTTCCCATCTTATTCTGACTGAACAAGCCCTTGGCGGGATGGATGGTAACCCATCAATCTTTTCCTAAGGCATCAAATCAAAGCAAACTCTCAGTTTAAGCCTTCCCTATGCCAGTGAAATACCCGGTATTTACAGCCTAGTTGAATTCGCCAAGGGCCTCTCTTCCCTTGTCTCGAAGACATTAGATTCCAATTCCCAAGTCTCTCTAGTCACTCCGCTGGGGCCGTCGCGGAAGACTGAGGAGGGTTGCTTACCGGCCATCCAACCATCCCAAACAAGTTTCTTGCTGGCATCACTTTACCGACGTCGAAGCTTTCTAAATTTCTTGAGAGTTTGTTCATTTGCTTGTTTATCTACACTCGATGACAATGGAAACATATCACGGCTTTGTGCAGACACCCGCAGACGCAGTGAAGCTCCTTGAGGCTTGTAGACTCGCTATCCTTCCTCTCGTGCAGCGCAGGTTATCGGAAATGAAACTTCTGTCTATTACGTCAGGCTAATTCTTTGTGTGAGAGGTATGAGAAGCAGACATGAGGAGGTGGAGATATGGCATGCTTTGGAGCGTCAGCAGAGTCTCAGGAATATTCATTTCCTACCTTGTGATGGAGGGCAAGCACGGCAGTGGCTGAGGCGGTGCTGGTACGATGCCTAAATCTAACTGTTGTAGCAATGAGTACAGTATCATAAAGAGGTCAAAGAAGAGATACTCATACAAAGCAGACAGTCTCATGAAGCAGACTTTCAGTATCACCAGCTCTACTGGCCAGCACTTACAACTCATCTCCTACTACCCTATATCGCACCCCGGATCATCAGAGATCCAGCAGCCGAGCAACGATACTCGGCACTATGTGAAGCCTCCCCGGACATGTTCCCCACCTGCTCAAACCTTAAACTACGCGCAAGTGCCACCTGCTTACCATCTAGTTGCTATTGGCAGAGATCCTTCACCGCAACTAACCACTCATAGGCCACTGACTACCTGTGCTGCCTGGCACCAGTCGTCTCGCCTCGCCCAGGTCCAAACTACTCGTGCCTTCGAATCCCCTTGCAACTCCTTTCGCCGGGTCCAGATGGTCCTAATTGACCCAGAAATTGGTCAAGGCAACTTACTGGGGCTCTTGCCGGGATTCAGTGCCATTTCCGGCCCCCCGCAAACACTCCTCTCAATTGGGAACCTGTTTGAGTCGCCGCTGAGAAGCCCCTATGCGGAACAAGGTAGCGCGCCCGCGCTTTAGACGAACAAGACCAGCTTGTCGGCATTTCCGTGCCCTCCTCTCTTAGCCTCGAAAGCCAGCACTGCCTACCTCAACGTTGATAATAGCAAAATTAGCTCTCCGCGTGCAGCTGACGCCCTTGCTAGTTTGCCACCGCCGAACCAACGCTGTATGTGCAGGACGTACGACGCCAAAGTACTCCAACTACTGGATCGCAAATTCTGTGTTCAGAAGAATGCGAAGCTGTGATTTGCACTGTACTTAGCTACCTTGCAGAAAGGGCAATAATTGCTCGTTTATTAGGGTGGACCCTCCAATCCCTTTTGCCTATGAGAATTCAACTAAATCGGAGAAGGCCTGTTTTCTTTGGCTGATCTGGTTAGCCATCAGAAATAATTGTGTGTGTGTGTGTGTGTGTGTGTGTGTATGTTGCTGAAGGATAAAGATTCCTAAATCGGACTAGCCGAACCTGCGTCATCATTAGAAGTAAAGTTCAGTTACAATAGTTTCAAATTAGAGAACGTTGCTAGAAACTAAAGATTAAGATCCGAGTAGCCGAGAACATGGAAGGTTTAGTAATAGATTTTTGTTATAACACGTCATATTTAAAGCAAGTCACTGAAAGGCCAAAGCTTTTCATAATCCGCATAGCTAAAACCATGTAATCTTGTATACTAAAGATCAACTAGGTTAAATTATCTGAAAATGAACCATCGAAAAGCCAAGCTCATTAGGATACGAGCAGTCGAGAGTATGTATTGTTACGGCTAAGTTGGGAACCCCCAAATGATACTTGCCAAAAGTATTTTTTAATGAACCTCTTCAAATTCAACACACACCTAAGGAGTGCATTTAATAAAACAGGTGTTGGGCCCATGGTTGCCGACGAATCACAACGCGCCCAGTGCACACAAACCACTCATCTTCTGAGTAGCACGTGTAGGAGGCGAATTGTCAGTTCACAGCCACAGGCCCTGGAACAAAAGAAATAAAGTCATTTGATATCTTCCGGTATTCAAAGACCTAAACAACAGAGACGGTTGAAAAAGCTTAAGAGTTCGCTGTTAAATTGATAATCTAATAATGAGCGTGTTATCTACGCTTCGCTGCTAATTGTCAGGCAGCTTCTTGTGGCCGGCCCCATGCCTCCATATTAGTGCGCCCTCCGTCACCTACGAAGTTCCCTGCTGCCAACAACGATTTTAATACAGTACAGGGGTAATAGCGTAGCAGTGTCGCACTCGAAGCTTTTGTTTTGGGTTCCGGTTCTTTGCCCTGACCTGCTTGTAACAGCAGGAAAATGTTTTTATACCCAGGTTTATATATATTCCTCATAAGACTGCGCGAAGTGTCGTGTCCACCTTAGTAACCAAGTCCAGAGGATTTTGACAAGCGTTTAGACCGATGCACTCAATCGAAGTAGCCAAAACGAGAAAAGGAATGAACCAACTCTACTAGTCTATATCATATAATTATTATCGGCCTTCCCTCTAATAGTGACCTTGCGAGCTAGGGTTTAGCCATGTATGAAAACCATCAACCTGAGTCACTGAGGTTGTGCGGTGATTGTGGTAGTGGGGTGTTTTTGTCACCTCGGCGCTTACTTTCTTGTCTTGTATACCTCTTACAGTGCTTTTGCGACTTGTTTGGTGTGTTGTCAGTTTACGAAAGCTTTCCTTGAGACGTAGACGGCAGAACAGCTTTCTACTAAGCTATTAGTCTGCAGCATCCAACGACTCGCTGGATTTGTCGCATCTGTGAAAAATTCATTACCTAGACTCACAGAATGCTGTTGGCTAGGCGTTATTGATCTTGTATCCGAATGCTACTTCAATCTTATTCTCCCCTAAGAGCATACGAAACCCGTCTTGCCTTTATATACTATCCTTCGACTTCTAGAAAGGTACTAGGGTACATGACGAGACGCAGTTTCCTGGCTTCTCGTTAGTGATTTTACAAGCATTCTCCGAACAATCACTTGTAAACGAGCATCCTTGGAAACTGCCTTCAGAGACACCAATGTTAATCCCAACGCCACCAGTTCCCACGTTCACAAGACACGACTTAGCCCATACTGAGACAGGTATCGCCAGTATCAGCGTCGTGATGAAGAGAGTTGTTTTCATATTTTGATTACAGAAACGAAGGCCTTGGACTTCTCCTGGTGTCTTGAGTCTCAACTATACGGTTATGTTAGAATACAGATCGATGTCTAGGGTCTATTCTTCTTACATTGATAGCTTTCCGAGCGAACAGATGCGTGAGCGAATGATGTATTTTTGAATGCAATTTTTAACACTCTAAAGTATGCTTTAATCACTGGGAGAACTTCAGCAGTATTTATATCCATACGTAAGAATGGTCTGCTAGACTTCCAGCTTCATTTTGATAATACATGCATTTCTGTGGGTTATTGTTGTATCCAAAAGTACGAGTCAAGCCTGAAGGTTTTGTCCAAGCACTAACATGACTCTTTCCATCCTTCCGGACTGGATGATCATAGGTAGACCTGGTCCTATATGCCGGATTTGCCGAACCTGCCGAAGCACAAACTGTCGTATGCACTAAAGTCGGACGGCACTTCTGGGTATTGTTCTCTGATCTTGGCTTTCTTCCGAATGGTATTGAGGGGCTAGTAGGCCTTTTCTTTCTGTCACATTATAGCTGTATTCGCCTTATAACTTGCTCTGGTTGAATTATGATGTCTACACATGTTCCTAGTCAAATCTGTGGAGTCGATTCTAACACACTTCCTACCTGTTACTGCTAGTGCAATTGGTCAATACGCAGTGTAACTATATAGTGCAGCCGGGGTTAATGCTGCAGCGGGAATTTTCTCTGTGCCATACTTCATTTGTCCTGACGTACTCATAACAGTACAAAACTTGAACACGACATCGTCCGAAAAGAATTACAACCGTTGATTTTGCTTTAACAAGGTGCAGTAAAGGTACCATCTTTAATACGGCAAAGATGTGTAGTGTGTAAATTCTCGCTATTCCATTGATTGCTATATGTTACAACACATCAGCTCATTTTCTCTTGCCTAGTTTCTCCTCACAGCGGGGATACATAATAATATGTCGTTAATCCTGATATTTTTACCATAATTACTACCAAGACTAATATTTTGATTCGTGTTTTTGGTTAACACTAATACTTCTACTATGGATGTAATGTTTATTTAAGCTTATTTAAATGAAATACATATGAAAGAGACCATCCCATCAACCGTCACTAGACGCCATTTTCGCCAAATAAGGGGTAAAGCCGATCAGGGGTAAAGCCGATCAGGGCTTTTAGGCCCATCACTTTCAACTGCTCTAGACTAGGCCATGAGGCTGGGTTATCTCATGCAAGGGATGTCCTCTGGGCGTCTCATAACTGTCCACTGACGATAGGAACAGCTATCCTTTCACCCCTGAGATAGAACCTAGAAGAATCATCACGAAATTTACAAAAGAATATCTTTCATCACCCCCGTACGTTGCAACGTATTATGCCATACATGGCCCAAGGCCATCCAACAGGGTCTTTGGTTTTCTGTTAGCCTGACTAGTAATAGTATTTTTTAGCTTCCCAATTGGTTGTATTTCCAGGTTGTTAAGGTTTGAATGAGCGGGCACCCGGTACGGTGGGGTGCCGACGGGGTACCGGCGGGGTACCCGTGCTTCAGCCGCTAACTTTCATAGCCTTGATTTCTTAACAGTACACCAAGTAGGGGCGGACAGACGCTTGAACTGCCACAGGGATTAATGCCACCCTAATACAAGTCTAGTGTACGCAATTAACACCATTTAAGTAAAGAGTGAAGTAGCTGTCTTAAAAGTTATTCTTTGCATCTAAGTTATTTACCCACACGGCTCATCTTTAGTGACGGCCCGAAGAATCATTCCTTTCGAGAAAGTACTCAGCTGGGGCTGACCGTTAACAACCGCAGTTATCTATTGCTCGGCACTAGGCTTTCCCACCAGGTATCTTGGCTCAGGGCAAAGCCGAGACGATGCCATGCTGTATTGGTACACCTCATACGGTTGTGACATTCGAGCTTGCACCTTAAGCCGGCCAAAGCTGTTTTTCAGTCCCTGAGTCAATTAAATACGACTTGTTCCTCTTGAGCCATCGTGCCGTATCCGCTGGTCTCAAGTGTAGGAGCACCCATGCCGGCGGTAGCATGTCTAGCAGCGGCAAAGGTTTAAGGTTAGGCCACATCTGGTATACTGTTGATAAACCTTCGTACAACGGTTCATAGATGGATTTTTAGAAAAAGTGTGGATCTGAGAATTGGTAATCTTTCTTGCCGGATAGCCGAATTACAGCCCTGGGGACAGGTACTTTAGTTGAACACGGGCCTCTTTGTCCACGTGGAGACAGACATCAACAGATCTATATGTTTTCCTTTTTCATTAGGAAACCCTGACTGTTCAAAATTGGAGGTTCCACGCTCACCGCCGGGCTGATATCTTGGGATCGGAAAGATTGGTTTAAGTGGAGTGTCTAGCCATAAATTTGAAATTCTAATCAATGCAAGGTCTACATAATCCAAATCTAGTGCTCCCATCTTACTCCAGCCAAGCTTTGACCAAATTCTTGAACCCATCGGCCATCCAGTCTTCATCGAGCTTAGTAGTGTGATCGAACCCATGCTCACCTGGTCTCAATGCCAAATGAAACTCTAGCTCCGGGTCCAACTCGGTCACCTTTTCTTTCAATCTAATGCTCCCTTCCACCGGCACGAGGGTGTCTTCGTTCCCGTGCCACACAAACACACCACCGCGGGGAAACCGAGCCCCATCATCTAGCTTCTCAAATGGAAAGAGATGTCGCTTCTCGGCAGGAAACAAGTGTTTCGAGAGACCATCATGTACAAAGGCGAACATCAAACTCGCCCGCTCGAATCCAGGGTCTGCGGAGATGATAGCAGGAAGAGAGCCGTCGCGGACCTTGCTGAGGTGGGCTTCTGCGACGCTAAAGGGAACTTTCGGAAGACCTAGAATTGGCCCTTTGGAGCCTTCTGTATGATGCGTGGCCTTCAGGTCGATTTCGGGGTAGGCCGCAGCACAGGCTCTGATCTCATTAGGATGCAAGAGACCCATCATCAAACTGAGGTACCCGCCAGCGCTGTCGCCTGCCGTAAGAATTCGACTCGTATCGATGCTGACGCGGCCGTTGGTTTGTTGCTGTACATAGGAAGGTAATTCTTTATGGAGCCACTTCCAGTGGTCCTCGATATCCTCGAGGAGCTCCTCTATCGAGGCTTCCGGAGCTAAACGGTAGTTGGGACTAACGATAACGGCGGAGTGGCGCTGAGCGAGTTCAATGTACCAAGGCTGGAAGAACATTGGAAAAAGACTAGAGGCGGCGATGAATCCACCGCCATGATAACGAAGAAGCACCGGCGATGGACTGGGAGCGGCTGTTGAGGCTTCGGTTAGGTGCTTGGGGATGAGAACGTCTGTGGTGATAGGGTGGCCCGAAACGGTTTTGTAAGTGGTAGTCAGGATTGTGAGGCCCGCAAACCTGGAAAAGTCATTTGGATCAATCTTGAACTCTGCCATTTTCGTTTCTTGATGAAATGTGAGAAGAACTGTGTTGCTTAGTGATGATATTCATTCGAGCTGAAATCTTGGACGAGCAGAACCTTTAAACCTAAGACAAAGCATCTCAATGCCCATGGAGAGGCAGGAGTGGAAGTCGGAAATAGGTTATCCTAAACGCCGGCCTTTTCCCCGTTCCGGGTTCGGCCGTTGGAGTCAAAAGACGGCATACAGTGACTCCGAAGCAGCGACCGCTTGCCACAGGCTTTTTGGCTGGGGAGACTTCATGAAAAGTTGCGTCGTTAGATTGGTTGAAAACAATTAAGTTTCTTCGAGTTGCCTGGTGATTTGCCGCTTTAGCCGCTGAATACGCGTATTTGTATTGAAGAATGCTCATCTGCCCTTTTCCCTTTTCCCCGCCACGGACTCTTGACGTCTAAATTTCTCCGACACCAGGGCAATTGCTGTAGAAGTGTTGTCCGAAAACAGGGTAACAAATAGTTTCTATGCCATACAAGGTTAGGCATACATGTGGTACAATAGTGCTTGAGGTATTTGTTGCGTTAAAGTAAGGTATGGCTTAGCTATGTGTCATACAAGATTGTAGAAGCTTACAAATTTGTCGTTTACCAGTGCCCCAGGTACCCACACTACTACTGAGTCACACCGTGGAGCTTGCGATTGATGATGAAGCTTTAGAGTGAAGCATGGAGATGATTTACTCTGTTGTTGGTTTTAGCTCCTCATCGTTAAGGCAGAACACAATCTGAGTTCGCTGAAGGTACTTATTGCTACTTCTCAACCGTAGAGTCGCATCGACGTCTGAGAACTAGTCATGATCATACCAGGCGACAAAAGAACGTGAACCAATAGCTTCATAAATAAAATATACATGTGAGGTATGTTACGGTAAGGAAAGTTCGTGGTCAACAAATTTCGCAGTCATTACCACCGGGGGAGGGGGATGCAATGCGTCCGACGCAGACCTAGGCAATATATACACCGGAATTAACCATGAGATAGTAGTGTTAATACCAGGATGTTAGGGTTAATGATGAATAGATTTAGTCCCCAGCAACAGATGCCCAGAATTTCTGCTCCTTCTCCTGTTTCTCCCGTCAAAGCTTCTGATCTTTCAACTCCGCTATCTGGCGAAGCCTAGGCTTATTCCTCGCTGCTTCTCGACGAAGCTCCTCCTCTTTCATTAAGGCCAAATGATTTTCCCATATAACAGGTTCAGTGAATACCGAATACCTTTCATTAGACCTGATTCGTGAAAACTCCTGAAATGTCGTGTATTCAGTCACTAAGGTGAACAATAGCTACCCAGCAACATCGTCGCCGATGTCTGAAGATTCCAGAGGAATAGAAAAGACGGCCTGGCCAAGGTCTTGGATGTAGTCTCGGGACACTCGGCGTGCATTGTGACACATCTCGAGCTCGTTGAGAAGGTACAGGAGAATGAAATGGTTAGTAATCGGGAGTGAGCACGTTTTCCTGCCCAGGAAGTTCATTATTTCCAAAGATTCCGCATTGCCCAGCTTGCCTCGCCGAGACTTTGTGATTAACCGGAGGTAAAAGCTGAATTGGTCTGAGTTGACCTCCCAGTGAACCAGCCTTTCTGGAAGTGAGGAAAGGTAAGACAGCAGTATATCCTTCATGTCCTGGTCGTTAAAGCCTCCCCGGTGAAGCAGATCTGGCGTCAGCTCCGTTCCATCTTTCGCCGCAATTTCAAATGCGCGGCGCAATTTGTTCAATCTTTTCTCCACGTTTCGTCGTCGCAGGCTCGGAAGCTGTACAGACAGGCCTCGAGTCTCTATCACAGATTCATATTAGCAAGACCTTTCTAACGTGTTCCGGACTTGAGAGAATTAGGTTACCCTTCGCCTGTAGAAACTTGAAGCACTGGCTGACCACAATCGGAACATGACCTTGCATCGTTGTTGGTGCCCCATGTGAAGATAACCACCTGTCTATTACACCGACTTTCACGCCGGCGTGGCACATGCTTTCCTCCAGCGTGGTTCCGAACACCGTGCTTGCTGTTGTCACGGTCGATGTGGGCGCATCGTGCGGATCACTGTCACCTTTTGGAACGACAGACTGGTCAGGAGTCTGTTTCAGAGATTCAATTGCCTGCGGGACAGACTCGGACATGAACGGCAACGGCTCTGTTGATCCTGAAATCGAAGGAGCGGAGGTGCTTGAAGATGAAGATGTTTCTGGTCTCGGCAACTGTGGTTCTCTCAGCGACTCTTTAGGCTCGGCATAGTGATTGTCAACGGATTCCTCGATGGTAGTCCTTGACCGGAGTGCAAGCGGTTGTTCATGTGGCTCGAGCGACACGCGGCTGCTCAATGGTGATGGGGTCTCCTCAGATGCCCAGATCTGACATAGGCTACCTTCACCATGTTCGTTTCGCTCTTCCATTAGGTGTCTCGAAATCAATCCTGAAACTGGCGATGATGGCAGGCGATGATGGCAGGCGATGATGGCAGGCTTTGATGGGTGTCTGTGGGGCTGAAAATGCTGATTTCTTCCAAGTTGCTCTCAGCGTATTCGTAGACACTTTCAGTGTATGTGGTAAGCTCGTTGAGGTAGCGCGAAAGTGAATAGGAGTTTGAGATCTCTCTCGAGTTTCCAAGGGATTTGGTCTGCAATTTTGCAATAGCTTCAAGGATCTCCTTTGAATCCCTCATGATAACTTCAGTGTTCTGCTTAGCTGCAAAAGTGTCATGTTGGACGTCGCGCAGAGCAGTGCTGGAAGACTAGTCAGTATCGTGCCAGCCTTTTCGATCTAAATGAGCCACGGCTTGGATGCAGACTTACAACGATATCATGTCTAGTGCAAGCCCAAGGGTTACTTTGTGGGCCTCCAGGGTCGATTTCAGCTTCGCCATGTCACCTTTCCCTATGGTGACCCATCGAGCTCGTTTCTGTATCCGCGTTCCATCATGTGCTTTAATACATTTGTCGATGTCTTCGACGACACGACTGCAATTGAATATGACTCCGGGTAGTATCTCGAGGTTTTTCGGCAATGGCAGCGAAGTGTTCTTGACATCGTGGGCAATTAAGTCAAGCACACTTTTGAGCGACATAAGTTCATGATTAACATTGTCGATGTCGCTTTTTGCGTCCGCCATATCCCGAATGAACGTAGTCATAGATAGAGACAAGGTCGTGGTGGTGCTTGCCAGACCGACGCAAGCCGTCGTGATCGAGCTTGGGCTTGGTTAGTTTATGTTCGCGGTCCAATGCGGTTCCAGAAAAGAGCACTTAAAGATGACCTCGAAATACTTACAGAGGATCCATTGCGTGTATCTATCTTGATTCGCTTCTGTCCTGTCAAACGACGGTGAGTACTGTGGCTGAAAGCGATCAAACTGACACGCATCAAAGAGGACCAGGAAGAGAGATGTTCAGAGCCTTTGAAGCTCCTTTATTTGTACGATTGTGCCACTTTTCCCTTCGTACCTGGTCGGATGCTGGGCCAATGGTTGGCGAATTGTGACCTTTCGTTGTTCGCTAGAGGGGGCGGGTGAGGCGCAGCGAAGCGCAACAGTGGGGAAGGCTTCATACTAAATATCACTGTGCGCTCTACCAAACATCGCTGAGGCTGCTATTTCTACGGCAGCTTAGCGCTCCCATCGGGCGGCGTGGGGCCAATAACATGCAACGGGAGCGACATCGCCGTTGGCGGTAGAGCCGGAGCCGACTGCAAGTGGAGTGTAGCGCCGCGAGGCGTACCGGCGCAGTACTGTGCAATATTTGGGTGACGAGGACTTTTACTGTGAGCCTTAGTCCCCGTATTCTTTGGAATAAATAGGATCTAGTTTAGTCAGGTCTTGGTTTCGAGCTTGAGCAGCGAAGGTCACATTTCGGACCGGATGGAGACGAGTTTTGGACGAACTACCAAAAGCAGGGACTTAGTTCAGTTATAACAAGCAGTCTCACTCTATTTCTTTTTCCTCCTAAACACTTCTTCCATCACTCCGGGCGCCATTTCGTCCTTGTTGCTCTCGCCAACAAGAAGAATTTGCCCGTCCTCGAGTTGAACCCTAACCTCCTTCGCCGTGTCATGTAGTATTTTTGTTCCAATATTATCACCTACTCACTTAGGTAAAGACTGATTGCCCCACCCCAACGCTTAATCTACAACTTACGACCCCCTAATAGTCTTACTGCCCCAGTTCTGTTAGCAGACCTACCGTCACCTAAGCTGGCTGTAATACGCCTCCATAGCCTATTCGCTATCGTGGGGTCCAGCCCACACTTAGTTCCGGACATAGCTTGCTACAATACCCATTTCTAATGGTATGAAACTCGTTATAAGGTTAAAAGAATACTAAGGCTATAACCTTGGCTTAGGAAGGAGTACAGATGGAATCCTTATTTCCGTGGGACGGATTCCTCCCCACACCTCTACGGAACTTAGCTTGGGCGAATTGTATACGCCAGTTGCTCGCAAAACATGCTTACGTATTGGCGCACTGCTGCCTCACTGCTTTATCTCTAAAAGCAATTAAGGTTACTTTGTTGTTGCTTTTTACTGGTGGCATCCAGCTGACTAAGGCATGATCGCTAGCAAGAAGACGATTGCCTCCAAATTAGACTTTGACGAAAACAAACTTCACTAAACTTCGACCAAGTCTAATAAATGGATCAAGAAGCACGTGGCCAAACCTTCGAAACATTAATTTATCAACGTTGCAGCCAAATCACAGTATGAAAACCTCTTGGTCCTAGTATTTTTCACTTGAGCAAATATAATTCACTTGCATCGTTGTGTAATGGCTTCCAGCTAACAAAGTTTTATATCGGGATTATGTACAAAATGGCCATCCCTAAACATGACAGATTATATTGTTGCCTAGTGCTAGATTCCGACCCGGCCACATGGATGCTAACCAGAATGTTTTCAGGCTTCCGCCTGCCAAGGAGACTGCCGGGATGCATTTAAGCGGGGCATTTGTTGGTGGGATAGTTGCAGCTACCACCCTTGCCACCTCCAGTGATATGGGTGCCGGAGAATGTGAAGTTGGAGCAGCTGCCATCGCCACACAGGATGAAGTAGTTGTAAGCAGAGCTGGTGGCTGTTCCGGTGACCCCGATGAACTTGATGTTGGAGATCTTAACGCCGTTTGTAGGCTTGCCAGTAGGGCCACCGTTGAGGTAGTCTTGCTGAACATCGATGCCGTAGGTGCTGATGTTCGTAAGCGTAATATTCTGATAGGTGACGTTGTTGATCTGATTCATAGAAAGGTATTAGTAAAAAAGCATTATGGTTTTAAGATCGATGCAATTTTCACTAACCGTGCCAGTCTTGCCAGAGTTAGACTTGATTCGGCATCCATTTTCGCTGTTAACAACCTGCGAGTCGATGAAGGTCACACCGTCAACGGTGTTGTTACTCTTGCCACCAATAGAGCCAATGCTAAGACCATGGCCGCCGTAGCAGTACAAGTTGGAGACAGTGACACGGCTACCAGAGGTAACAGCAACACAGTCGTCCTGGTTATGGACCTTGATGTGGTCTAGGGTGACGCCGTCGCTAGACGAAATATCAAAGCCGTCGCTGTTGTGTGCAGCCGGCTTTCCGCCACTCTTAGAGTTGGGCTTATCACCAGCAGAGTTATCAAGCGTCAAGCCGGCGATCTTCAAGTCCGTGTTTCCGGTGATTGAGAAACAATGAACTGGCCAGTTCTGAATGTTGAGATTCAAGATCTTGGCGTTGGAAGTTTTCTTCACCACAATGAAATGATCCGGCCTAGGCAGGAGGGTAAGCATAAACTAAACGTGGGCTTGGTAGCGTAGGGTTAACTTACTTCGGGTTGTCGGGGTTGTTGGACCCTTCGCCGTCCCAGTATGCCTGACCGTTACCATCAATAACGTGGCCATCGGCTCCAGTGATGGTGACACTGTTTCCGGAAATGATAATGGGGTCAAAGTCATTATCAAGAGTGGTGCCGAATGTCTGTTGTTTATTAATGTCAAAGTTCTCCAGCGCACGAAATTCATGGCTTACTGTTTTTCCTGAAAATGTAACAGTAGCACCCTTCTTGAGCTTTTGCAAATCAATTGCGCTAGCAGGTGGCACAGCAATTGAATCGAGAACAATGTTCGTGCAGGTCGCGACTGCATTAGCAATGTCGGCGTACTTGGTAACAGTGCAACCTGCTCGCGCGGAGACCTGGAGATCCTCTGCGTTAGAATATTTCGACTTAATAGGAACTATGCGTCATCTTACGGAGTGGGGAGGTGTCGCTGCAGCCAAGGCGGCTGGCAGCAGGGCTGCAGCAGAGACAAGGTATCTAGCCATCTTGGCGTTGATCTGGAAGAATAGATTGTAGGGACACCCTGAATTGACTGGATGGTTTGAGAGTTGAAACATAAGTTTAAACCGGTAAACTTAAGGCATTATATCTTAGACTTCATCTTTCATCATCGAGAAGTCTCTTGTCACCTATTGGGGGAACATTTGATTCCATTCTTGCCTCCCAGTTCTAAACAATAATATTTCCGAGATCAACCATAGCTAGCGCGCAGCTCCGCTGTATGCTCATGTGAGCAAGCTCTCAACATTGTCGGCACTCTGCTGCCGGACGAATTATTACGAGGCATGGGAGTAATGTGGACTGGATATCCATATTGATATTTTCTCCTTCTCAGCTTATCCTCTTCCGGAGGGTATCTGGACATTTGAACATTCCTCAGCCAAATACAAAGCGAACTTTTCTTCAATTGTTCTGTTTCAAACCACAAGGCGCAATCTAGGTCACTAGCTCACGGCTAATCGGCAATGAACCTGGTGGGGTTAGTCTTGATTAATTTGTGGATAATCTGGGGAATGGGGTGTTCAGTTCCACTGACCATAAAGTTAGTTTTATTCCTCAAAATGTATATCCACCAATTAATCGCCAAGTCTCCAAGTTGACCGTTCAGTGGATAACTTTGAACCACAATGAACAGTTTCTCAGGAACGCGAGGCCACCGAAAATTGCCCCACTCCGCAGGCGAAATCTCCATTAATCAGATTGACAGCGCTCAAGTTAGCAACCTGGAAGGTTGATATGCTGAGCAAAATAAATGTTGCTAGAAAGAGTGCGAATGCATGCCAAAGGACTCGTTGCAATGCTACGTGGAAATCATACCCGCCACCTGGACGGTAGGCTTATGTGGAAGGAGGCAACTACTCATGCACAGCACAGAACTAACCTAATGGAGTTGAGCGAATATTGACATCGGATTACTGCGGCACCTTCGGACCTATACGAATGTGAAAAGTCAGCGGTGAGGAACGAGTGTTGTCATTTCCGATGCATATGACGCATCGGGCTTCGATCTAAATGCCGCAGTACACATACACATAGAGAACAACATATTCCTTTAAGTGTGGGATAAGAACACAACGAAAAATAAGATGTTGAAGCCAAAAGTGCCAACAATTAGATTAATGATGGGATTTTCACTTACAACAGGCCATCTAAACGCAAGGTTATGATAGACAGGTTCTGAGGATACCCTTGACAAATTGATTGCGGCATAGCCTCAACCGTTCAAGCCTGTGTTGCAATTAGTAGGTTTCCCCTTCGAATGTACGTAAGAGGTTCTATACTCCATCGTTGAGAAATTCGAATTTCGCTGTTTATTCTCGATAGTAGCAATCGAAGTTAGGCGTCCATGATCAGACAGCAACGGTTGATGATAGCCAGATCCTCATTAGTGCCTAAAGTTTACCGGTTCTGATCGGTGTTTGTCTGAAGGTCAGACAGCATGCGCGTCATAAGTAATGGCCATTCCATACCATGAGATAAGCAGGCAGGTAGGCCTTCTCTTCAAATACAATATGAATTATCTAACTCATTCAGTATCTGACAGCGATAGACAGTCTCTAACAAGTTGGCTTTGCCTCAGTACAAGCAACATACCTTTTTGAAATGACGCTGAGCCATTGCAGTGCCCTATAAGGTATCCAAGTTTGTGAAATCATGATGTTTACTGTAGTATTGAGCCTAGTGAGAATGATTCTATTCGGCGCTTCCTTGATGGCAGGAATTCATGCCCCTTACAGAAAGCTGGTTATGGGACCGCGTTGCGTCTCTCATACAGCAGCCAACTATGCATCAGCTAACCGAATGGTACGGCTTAACAATATAAAAGAGCAACTTTGAGCATCATTATCATTGTCATAACTGTTTGGGCTTTTAATACAGGTACTTACATGATTGACATCCAATACCAAGGGCATTTAGTACTCCTTCGGGCCAGCAATTCCCAGAGCGCGTCGCCTGCTGGTAGCCTTTGGGTCAAAGAACGGTTTCTCTGCAAGACTGGAAACTCGAGTGCCGTGTCGTTTCCCCTTTCCTTCGTAATCCCACGCGGCACTGTGCATGGTAACACTGAAGCGGCGTCAGCTCACTGCTCAGGGCGCGTACTACTATGTCACTGCTTACCGGTTGTCCCAAATAGCCGAGGTGCCCGGTGTCCACCTAAAGCGACACTGGATATCAACGTTGCCCTCGTAGACGCTGAAGAGGTAGTTCAGAATGGCGTCACTCTCGCCCTGGTCTAGCCCGACAATTCGCAGCGTCATGGCTCGGTTGACGTACAGCGACTTCCAGCCAGTCACGGGGTGCACCTGGTTGATGAAGCCACAAGTGTCAGTAACAGTGGCTGATAAGGACAATGATAGCCTCGATTCAGCTGGCCGGACTTACTCTGACCATGGGATGTGTCCGCTCGACGAGCTTGGGCCCGCCCTCAGGATCTTCACGGTCGAGGAACTTATAAGCAGAACGGTATACGCACTCGCGTCCGTCAATCATCTCGCGGAATGCCGGCGACAGCTTGTCGTACGCTGCGTAACCGCTGGCCCAAAGCGTATCGCCGCCAACCTCAGGAACAGCATCATTGTGCAGGTGGCTGAGAACAGAGTCAATAAACTTGAGCACAACAAGTGGTATTTCAACTGGACATACGTATAGCCCGGTGGCTGGTGCTCATAGGCCATGTCAGTATGCCAGCGCTGGGTTCCAAACGGGTTGCGGAAATAGTAGTTGAACATAGGCATTGTCTGGGTGAAAGCCGGCCTGGCCCCAAAGTAAAGTCAGAAAAAGTAGTTACGATATAGGTGATGTCCTTACGAACCAAACGACAGTTGTTCCAGGAAGCCCTGGGACGTATGCATCTTGAGGGTTAACTTCGACCTCTCCGAAGTAAGCACCCAGTTCGAGCTGCTTCTGCGGGCTTAGATCTTGGTCTCGCAGGAAGACCACGCCTCGCTCCGCAATCAGGAGAGCGAGCTCATCCTACGGCAAGTCAGCGACTGTGATCGAAACTTGGCGTTAACGAGCATTTAACTTACCCTCTGCTGATCTGTAAGATCCTTCAATTGCAGGCCCGTGATTTCGGTACCGATATGGACAGTTACATCTTTCACCTTTGCACATGTCAGGTAACTTTGAAAATGGCGTTCGATAGGATCCATGTATCACTTACTTCTTTGGCAGCAGAGAAAAGTGCCCTTTTTTCGGGATCGGCACGAGAAGCAGGGTCGACGTACTCACGGTCCTCGCCCCGGAGTTTGTAAACATCTTGTAGGTAGAGAACCTTCTTGGGGTGCTCAGGATAAGCCTGAGTCAGATCGATGCCAGCCGCCTGGAGCCTTTTTCTAGAGAGCTCAGGCAATTCGGGGACGGCTGGTCTCTCAGGTACGGTAGCTGGTGACATGGTGACAGATATGAGAAAACGTTGGCTCAGGATTATACAGTTCGTATTAACGGGCAGCAGAATACAGAACCTTTTATCATGTGGCTATAATACTAGTTTTCGAATTCCTAGGAGTGAAGCTAGGGTATCATTGTGGATGGACCGAAGCTTCGTTTCTCTACGAGCAACCCCACCAGATATCTGGAGCCCCGCTAAGCCACAGATGACCGAGTAGTTCTGATGGAAACGTGGTTGCAGCATGCTGATCTGATAGGCCCTAATTTGAAGCGTCTCAGACCCTGTCTTATACTCGTGGGCTAAATGGGACATGCTGGTCAGTCCTGTTTACTCGGAGATTCCTTGAATGGTTCACTACAAGGAAAGCTTGGTACGCACATATGAAAGAGTCTATAAATCGAGAAGTTATAAGTCGCACCGTGGACGGCACAGTGAATAAAAGAATCACCTACTAATTGAATTCTCATTCAACGCTGTAACTCGCAGATGACTTCTTGCGAAACATGATATCTTTAAACATGGCTACCACCAAAACATTTGACAAACTTGCCGCCTCAATTTCCAAAAATGCGGCCATCACAGCGGAATATCTACGTGAGAATAACCTCCCGACACCTTCGCTCGTAGACGGCCAAACTCTTGATACCAATTCCCTTCCTCAAGAGATCCAAGCGGCATGTCTTTCGCTGCAAAACGACTCGCTCGAGCTTTACGAGTTAATTCAAGGTCCTCGAGCCATTCTGATGAACTTCTCAACCAACGCCAAAGTAGACGCCGCCACTATTTTCCAATTCGCGCTTCCACAGAAGGTTCCTCTGAATGATTGCGACGGCATCACATACGAAGAGCTTGCGCAGCAGACAGGCCTGGCACAATCCGCTCTAGAAACAATTCTACGTGCTGCTATCCTGTGTCGCGTCTTCCGCGAGCCTAGCCAGGGCCGCATCGCGCATTCAACGGCGAGTCGTCTATGGGCGACGGACCCGGCCATAAACGACTTAATAGGTCTGAAGATCTTGGACAATGGTTTGCACGTCCGGTTCATTGCGAAAGCTTTAGAGCGCAATCCAAAGGCTGATGAGCCGGCCGACTCGGCGGCAAGCATTTTGCATGCTGCACTCGAGGGTAAGCAGCAAAGGTCGACATGGTTTGACATTTTGGAACGCGAGCCCGCAAGGTCGGGCCGCGCACTTACAGCCATGAACATGATTGACAAGCGAGATGGCGTGTCGTTGAGGCACTTGGTGAACGGGTACGACTGGGCCTCGCTGCCTGAGGGTAGTCTTGTTGTTGACCTTGGTGGTGGGCATGGAGATGCGGTAATTGCGATTGCAACTAAATTCCCGCACGTGAGATTCCTCGTGCAGGTAAGCGGCCGGTAGCCAGCATGCAAGAACACGCGATTTAAGGCTTCGATGGAGAGCTGACATGATAGTAGGACCTCCCGCAAACGATTGCGACAGCGCCAAAGATTCCTCATCTCCCAGTTGAGTTTCTCGCGCACTCATTTCTCGAACCTCAGCATACCAAAGGCGCCAAGGTGTACCTTTTTAGATGGGTTTTTCATAACTGGCCGGATAAGTACTGCATTCGTATTTTGAAGATGCTCATACCGGCGCTTGAAAAGGGGTCAAGGGTATTGATCATGGATACCGTGATGCCGCCAGTGGGAGGCTTGCCTTGGGCCTTGGAGAAGGAAAAGAGATATATGGATTTGGTCATGCTCGCCAACTTTAATGCTAGAGATCGGCCAGGGGAGGCTTTTGAGAGAATTTTCGCCGAAGCGGATGAACGGTTTATATTCTTGGGAATCAAGAGCATAAAGGGTAGCGAGTTGAGCCTTATTGAGGCTTCGTGGATGGGCTGATGGCAAGATTTGTTAAACTTCAAGTCTCTTAGGGGTCAGGAAACCAGAAAAGATGTTCTATTAACGCTATCACCGCAATTTCAATCGGTTCGGTGCTAAGCCGGAGCTGTTGAAATGCAATTGTGGTTTCGCTTTCATGCCAAAATCACTTTGGTAATAAACCCAGCTTTAATTTTGTAATCAATTAGAAATATCGTATTTCAACTCTTTGTAAATATTACGTAGATATTTCAAGTAACAAAGGTTGTTAATGCTGTCTATCAGACAAATTGAAATGCATAAATGATCTACAAATCTATTTTCTTTGATAAGAACCGTAAGGGATCTGTGGTGTCAATCTTGAAGCTAGAGTCTCCTGTGGGGCTGTAGAAACACTCGGACATTCTGAGGTATGAGCGGTTGGTTCCATGTGTCTTTTTTGGCATTCGTCGGCATTTCCAGTGTCTTGAGGTCAGAAGAACGAACTGAACACAAGCTGTGGTAGGCATCGGTCCATTTCCAATCGGTGGATCCTCGGTGTTGATCAATTACTCGGAACTCAGCAGTGTTCTCTAGCGCTAGATCGCACCAGGCAAAAGGAGCCGTCAAGCAGCTAGTATCTAGTGTCATTTTCATTCGTAAATGGGTTCGGCATATCGCAGAAGGTTGCCTGTTGTTTGCACACGTGCTCTACCTGACAGTTGACAAAGGGGGTACCGTAACGGTGGTTTTGCATACTAACGACTTGTATGGTACATGGCAAGTCAGAACGAAAGAGGAGAGTAGGCCAATAGAAACGTCAAAGCTCTACCGAAACTACCAATATTATTACACAGTATCTCCCATGGAGACTGTGGCTCCTCATGTAAGATGCTCAACAGAAATCCTGTAATGAGGAGACCGCTGATAGTAATCAGACTATAATTGGAGGTTTCTCTACGACGAGAATCGACTTCTTCACAGGGAAGCACGTGGTCGCCGTATTGGATATGGCTCTATGAAAAGAGTGTAGGCTAGAGACAAGCCCCAATACTGACTTTTTCCAATAATAAGTAGAGGCGGTTACGCATGCGCGACATACCCTTCTCTTCATCTCATCGAGACATAGCCACAATGGAATCCCTACTCGCGCTCGAGCGCACCCACGCCATCTTCTTCACCCTTGCTCTTGCAGTTGCTGCCTACTTTCTCCTCACTCCAAAAATACGTCCCCTGCCTGACATACCATGGGTGGGCAAATCGTCGAGGCTACCGGGCGCTGACACGTGGGCAACCCTTGCGAGCTTCATTAACAGACGGAAGTGGTTTGCCGAAGGCTACGAAAAGGTCCGTCTAGCGGTGACATGGAAGTTCAAGTCCACATAGTTTTCACTTCTAACTTTTACACAGTACTCGCGGCACGGCAAAAGCTTTATTGTGCCCCACCCACTGGGCGAGAAGCATATCACGTTGCCGTCAGAAAAGTTGAGCTGGCTGCTCGAGCAGCCAGACCACGTGGCCAGCGCAGCCGACTTCCATTATGAGATCCTTGCTGGTCGATATGCCTGGACTGACAGTAGCATCAATCGAATCCTATTCCACGAGCACGTAATACACAAGTATATCGTGCGCAAAGACTCCAAGCTCCTTGCCGGGATGTGGGACGAGATCGGCACGGCAGTTGACGAGCTTTGGGGCATGTCTTCTGAATGGCACGAGGTACGTGTGCTTGACATCTCTTCGGAGCTGATCCTGCGTGTCGTTAATCGCGCCCTGGTTGGTTTGCCGCTGTGCCGTAACCGCGACTATCTGTCCCATACCGACTCCTTCACCACCAATGTCTTGCTCTGCACCTTTGCCACCCAGCTTGCTCCACGCTTCCTGCGCGACATAGTCGGTTATGTGGTTGGCGCTCCAAATCACTGGCACTACCGGCGCTGCGCACGCTGGACGCTCCCTATCATCCGCGAGCGCCTGGATATGTTTGCCAAAGTCGACAATGGCTCCCTCCCCGCAGATACCTTGCCGGAGGACTACATCACCTGGCATATCACACTGGCCCGTGCTGAAGGTCGCACTCGTGAACTAGCTCCAGAGTTCATTGCTAGAAGTTTGATGGCACTTGAGTTTGCAGCAATCAAGACTCCTGCCGCGACACTAGCACGTGTGCTCCTCGATGTGTGCGGCTCAGGGCCAGACAGCGGATACATTGACCGTTTACGAAATGAGGCCGAAGAGGTATACAACACACACAACCAGACCTGGTCTAAGCAAACGCTGCGCCATATGGCCCTCACTGACTCAGCGATCCGAGAGAGTATGCGATTAACATCTTTGCTCTTCGCCTTAGGGCGAAAGGTGGTGCCGGCGGAAGGCGTCCGTGGGCCTGACGAGCCATGGGTTGCACCTCAGGGCTCCTATCTCACCATCAATGCTGCCGATCGCCATCTTGACCCTGATCTGTATCCAGACCCGACCCGGTACGATGCCTTTCGGTTCGTGAATGTGCACGAGGGGCAGGGGAAGGCTCAGGATTGGCTGCGAGCTAGGAAGTTGGGCATGACTAGCACGAGTAAAGATTTCCTGGCGTTTGGTCATGGACGACATGCTTGGTGCGTTTCATTCCCCCCCGTGTTTGACTGTGTCTGATGTTTGCCGGTGGGATGGTTTGGAACTGACGTTGACCCACAGCCCCGGCCGCTTCCTCGTCGAGCAGATGCTCAAAATGCTTCTGGCTTACATGCTGTTGCACTACGACATTGAGTATCTGCCGGAAAGGCCAGATAATTTCGTGCTCGGCCCGATTAATGTGCCTCCGCCGGGGGCAGCAATCAAAGTACGCAGGAAAATGGTAGAGGTGAATTGATGATCGGGGTTGAACGTGAGCCGGAGAAAGGTATAGTTACAATGAGTCATGAACATGGTCTATACTACATAGTACGGCTATAACGGCAAGTTTAGGGGCTCCTAAAGACTTTTGACCCGCAAAGGCACTCTATGTAGTAAAGTTGACATAAAATGTAACTTTTTCTACGCTTGTAACCTTTAAGAGAGAAAGTATACGAGCAGAGTAATATTTGCTTATTATGATGTCCATAGGCAATGGGAGAAATATTGTATCAAAGAGACGATGTGTAAATAAGGTTTACCCGAACTTGTCACCTGCGATCCAAATCCTACGGATCTTGGCGTCTTGGCCGCAGGGGAGTTGAATTGGGTACTGGGCACCTATGCTAGTGACAGAATAAACCCTGTTAATTGCATATTCACACAACTTAGAACGTCGTCAAAAAGCCTCCTGTTAACCCTGGGGTAAGGGTTAGCCCCTGGAGGATGGTCCCCATTTCTTACAACATGATATTTGTCCATCACTTTCAATCCAGCCACATTATTCTGTCATGTAATTCAGTGCCTATTGATACGTATTGCCCAATATCCTCAAATCTATCCCCCACAAAACAATCTCACTCTACACAATCACTTCAACCCACCATCCCCACCCTGCCACTTCTCCCAAACGCTCTCCACAACCTGCAACAACGGTACATCAGCCATCAGTTCGTGGGGAGACAAGCGAACGCCCAGGGTACGAAAGAGCCAGCTCTGGACTTCGATAACAATGAGCGAATCCACACCCAGAGCGTGCAGCGCACGCGTCAAATCCACATCAGCAACCGACATGTGCAAGGCATCGGCGATGGCTTCCTGGAAGGCCGTCGAGATCTGGCCCTTTGAACCAGGGGCGGTGCGGTCAAGTTGTGGGAGTGATGAGGAAGTTGTTGTGGCAGGCTGTTTGGGAGCGAGTGATATAGCGGTGAATTTCGGGACATCAAGGAAGAATGGGTAAGGAATGCCAGCGGCAGCGGCGGTAACGGCGGTGGGGAGCCCCGTGACGGGCTGCGTGGGTGTTTGTTTGGCTATGGCAGCGTGCAGAAGAGCACGCATCTCATACTCGCGCAGGCCAAACCCCTGCTCCCAGTCCTTCAGAGCGGCCATGGAACCGTTCTCAGCAATGTAGCCGGCATCCCGCATGATTCCGAGATCGAGGGACACTGCGTGAATACCTCGGGCGCACAGGTCGTGTGCCAGTGCGTCCTGGTAGGCGCACGCGGCGACATAGTTGGCTTGTGTGCGGTTACCGAAGATGGCCGTGAAGGAGGACAGCATGATGAAGAAGGGGTTCTGCCGTGGCTCGACAGCGACGGCGACGAGATTGTTGCTGCCCTGAACTTTCGGTTGGAGCGCCTCTTTCCATTGTTGATGTGTCATCTTCTGAAACGACACATCTCGTAAGACCATGGCGCATTGAATGATGCCTTTGATAGGAGGGTGTTCCTGTCTACATTGCCGAAGCGTGATCCGAAGAGAGCGCATGTCCGAGATATCGCATTTGTATGCAGAGACGGAAACATTCCGCTTGCGTAACTCAGCGAGAAATGTCTCGGTGTCTGAAAACTTAGTGGGAGACCGAGAGAGGAAGCAGATGTGTTTTGCACCCAGGTCGACCAAAAATGTGGCAATATTTCGACCCAGTCCACCAAGGCCACCAGCCAGTACATATGTCGCGTCAGGCTGAAGTAGGTGATCCGACTTGCTCGCGGCCAGCGCTTGCTTTGAAAGAAACCGCTGCAAGACATCGTCCATAACATTATCCTCGTTTACACGAGGCACGAATAATGTGTTGTTCGATTCTCGAAACTCCATTTCAGGAGTGTTGGACATGGCAAGCTGTGCAATGATATTTCCCAAGTCTGCAATACGGGATGAATACGGTGAAGCAACTTGTAGAGAGCGGAACTGGAGGCCAGGGGTTTCATTGCGAATAGTCTGTGCTAAGGCTGGAACGATGCTGCCTCCGGGCGTGTTCAACGACAGCCAAAGCATAGACTTTGAATCCGCCACGATCCTCTGAAGAACCTCGATGTCTATAGCAGATGCGTTTTCAAAAATAGGAGCGTCTAGCTCCACCAACGAAATGCATCTACGTCCCTGATTTGAGTGGCCGATGGCGGGCCATGTGGCAGATTCAACGTTGAAACCAGAAGATCGTAACCGTTGAGTCACCACCCCAGATAGTCCCCGAAGAGTCTGAGTTGGCCTGTTGGGGAAAAAAAGAGTGACATCTTTGGCCTCATTTACCGTTTCAGTTGAAATATCAGGAGCAGGCTGCCAGCCCAGGGAGAAGCAAATGCGACGTGGCAGGGAATTGCCCCTGGCAGGCTGGTGGCTTCGTTGCTCAGCTGCTGGTTCGATAGCATTGTAACTATCCTCGTGGCGCCATGAATAAGGTGGTAAATCTACAATCAGCTTGGGCCGACGAACAGTCTCGTTCAGTTTTGCGACGTTCACAGGCAAGCCGAGAGCGTATAGTCGGCCAGCAGCCGCATAAGTCGTTGCTACGGAGTCTTTGCCTCGACTGAGCACCGAGACGTATTCGTAGGATTCCGATGCGGAGCAGCTGATGAGGATCTGCTTAAGAGGCGCTTGCATAGTTTGGTGCGGCCCAATCTCCACAAAAATCTTATTGCGCGTAGGAAAGGATTCCAAAAGTTGGGTGACCGCATCGGAGAATTTGACCTGGGAGACGAGGTTCCTGCTCCAGTACGTGGACCCCAGTTCGCTTGCGTTAATTTCTTTGCCTGTGACGGAAGAGAACATGGTACGGCCTTGTATACTCTCGCCAAGAACGACTTGCGAGATGGCCTTTTGGTAGTTCTTCGTCATGGCTTCCATATGGCTAGAATGGTATGCGGCGTCCACATGGAGCCGTTGATTGAAGATTCCACGGTTGTGCAGAATCTGTTGGAGGATTTCAAGGCTGGGGCTGTCTCCAGAAAGAGTGACGTTGGAAGGGGAGTTGATGCACGCAACAACCACCCTGCCCAGGGCATGCTGGTTGATGATGGAGGTTGCTTCTGTCTCTGACAAACCGACAGCCATCATAGATCCCTCTTGATCCGACTCGAAAGCGCCGCATGAGTATGCAATTCTCCATGCATCATGTTGAGTCAAGACGCCGAGGCAATACGCACCCGCAATCTCGCCGCTAGAGTGTCCTGGGAGTATAGTTTAGTCAATGCTTGCTGATGCGGGTCGGTCTTTAATCACGTACCAATTATCCAGTCTGGTTTGATATTCCATCCCTGCAGTAGGTCAACAAGCCCCATTTGAAGGACCGTTGTCAAAGGCTGGGAGAAGGCGTGTTGGTCAATGAGAGATTTTTGTTCGTCTCGGAACAGCTCATCCACCACAGACCAGGGGCTTTGTAGAATATCCCGAAAGTAATGGTCCGCCGCGTCAATGCTTGCGCGGAAAACCGCACACTCCAGATACAGTGTCTGACCCATTCGCGGCCACTGCGCGCCTTGCCCAGTGAAGATGAAGCAGACACCGGGATCATCTAGAGCTCGCTGGCTATGTGATGATGCACCATTTGTCGCATTTTCAGCCGCCTCTTTCAGCTCTGTTACTGATGACACCGTGATCGAAGTTCTCCACGTAAATTGTGAGCGCCGTTGATATAATGTGTATGCGAGGTCTGCGAGGATACTTTCACTGTCATCTTCTCCAACAGTCAAGCACCACTGAGCCAAAGACGACAGCTGTTGTTGGATGCCATTCTCATGGTTGGAACTCAGTGTCAGCAAGAACCTTTTCGGCCATGAAGAGGTCGGACCAGTAACGTCGTACAAGTTCTGAACTCGCTGGTCCGCTGCGGCCCAGACCGGCGATCTTGCAACCTGCGCATCATCAAACAGACCTGTTGTCTGCAAATAGTGATGCGACTCGTCGATGATTGCATGCGCATATGTTCCGCCGTATCCTGTCGAACATACGCTGATTCTCCGAAAATCGCATTTCGATGGCCAAGGGATGAGCTGAGTGGGTATTTCCAGGTTCCATTCATCTAGTCGGAGATTGGGGTTAATATGGTTGAGATATATGTTCGGCGGGATTATGCCACTTTCAAGCATTAACACACTCCGAATCACACTCGCTAAGCCCGCTGAGGCCTCCGTATGCCCAATGCTCGGCTTTCCAGATCCCACAATGACCCTTTTGTGGTTGTCTGAGCCTTGGACTTGTGCAAATGCCTTCCCGATTGCTTCCAGCTCCACGGGATCTCCAGCCATGGTTCCCGTTCCGTGAGCTTCTACGTAACCGGTCTCGGTTACGGGTAGCCCAGCTGATTCATAGGTCTTTCTTATAAGCGCCACCTGAGCGCTGACACTGGGTAGGGTGATGCCCTTCATCCTGCCGTTTTGATTGACACCAGTACCTCGTATCACGGCGCGGATGGGGCTGTTATCCTTTACTGCTGAAGGGACTCGCTTGAGCACAAGGGCTGCGAACCCCTCGCCTCGGCCATATCCATCACCAGTGGCGTCAAATGACTTGCACTTGCCACTAGCCGATAGAAAATTCTGCATGCCCAGATAAGTGAACATGTCCGGGCAAAGGATAACATTGGCACTGGCTACGAGCGCCATGTCTGATTCTCCACGGCGGAGGCTCTCACAAGCTTCGTGTACAGCCACCATACTTGAAGAGCATGCCGTGTTGATGGTCATACTTGGGCCTCTCAGGTCAAAGAACCAGGATAATCGGTTTGAGAGCAATGTGGTGCCTGTGCCGGTGGCGGTGTAAGTGGGTGCATTTTGAACATCTCGCGCCAGCATATCTCTGTAGTCGCAGGCCCATTGGGCTGCGTACACACAGGTGTTGGAGCCAGAAACAGCCTCAAGTGTTAGGCCGGCCGACTCAAAGGCTTCGTATGCGACTTCCAGCATAAGTCGCTGCGAAGGATCCATGCCCTTCGCTTCCTTGGGCGAGATGCCAAAAAAGGATGCGTCGAATTTGTAGATATCATCCTGCAAGTAGTATCCAGGATGTGATGATGTAGCGCTGTCGAAGCGGGCTTTGGGGCTAAAGGCACCTGGTGGGTTATCATCAGTCTTGTCTCTGCGAAAGTATTGATGTTCAAACTAGGGGTCGCACTTTTCCCTTGTCGCAGGAGGTCCCAATATCCGTAAACGTCTTTCGCATCTCCCGCAAAGCGACAAGACAGTCCAATGATGGCAATATCTTCCCCTGGCGCCATGATTGTCTGAGTGTATTAAAGGATTTGTGTACAAAATGAAACAAGTTAGGAGAAATTAGATGGTTACAAAAAGGATAACTCGCTCTTTATTGAAAATTACTTTCAACCACGTGGTTTGAGAGGAGCACTCGCACTCTTACAAACAACTCATGTTAGCTTTTACACCGCAGCGATGCCCAGGGCATTTGTTGTAAGTACACTAACAGTAAAAGAATTCGTGGTCTACGCTGCAGTCTGCTTCCGGGAAAATGTGCGACGGTAGTGGTGGGGGAAGACGGCTTTCGAGGTCACGTAGGTGGGGTCATGGTTAGATAGAGCAACATTTAGACACAGGGCCTTCGGCCAAAGACGACTCGACGGCCTGTTGCACCTAATAATTGACGCACGTGTCTTTGTGAACGAAGAATAGTTGGGTAACATGTTGATCGTGGCATGACCATTGGCTGTCAGTTCAATTTTCAATAACGACGAGTTCATCCATAGGACGGTAGCCGATTATTCAAAAGCTCGAGACAGCGCTCCATTCTCGTTGATGTATTATTCACCCCATACTCGTCTCTTTCTACTTCCCCGTAATTTTGTCACCATGACTACGAGCAACCCTACTTACGGTATCTTCACATTCGTGGAGCCCGACCTCTCCATTCCAGCCCATGATCGTCCTATGTTTGCTGCTCCAGAAACCAAGAATATTGTCGAAGAGAAGCTGGTTTTGCACGATTTTCGTACTGCAACAGATATTGTCCGTGGTGCGAAAGGACTGGACGAGCAAGGATTTACTTTCATTAACCACAAGTCGTCTCTGTCCACCGAAAGCCTCTTGAACGGGACCAACATTGAGGATGTGGAGGACACGTATGCCCAGGAGGCTCTCAACCTTATGATTGAACTTACCGGCGCTAAGCGAGGTATCGTTCACAACGTCGTCTTCCGACGCAGACTCTCGCCAGGCGAGCCAGACCTATCCAGCCTATTTCCCAAGGGACCAAATGGCAAGGCGGAAACGCCCAGCAAGAGAATCCTAGGTAAGGGGTTGTATCCAGCTCTCTTGAAGCAATTCCCATGCTAATGAAACCCTCAGTTCCTGCTCCACAAGGTCCGGCGCGTCAGATGCACATCGACCTTTCTGTGGAAGGACTCGAGCAGACCCTCCGCTACTGCCGACGGGACATTGCAAAGTTTGCGTCCAACGTGTTGGAAGCACAGGATCGTCTAGCAGCGGGTGAGGAGAACGTTAGAGTTCCCCGTTTCGCCGCCTACAGTGTCTGGGTAAGCTAGTCAACCTGAAAATCAGTCAGGATCAGAAGAGTGCTAATGAACCCTCGCAGCGCGCTCTCAGAACGGTGAAGCGTGATCCCATTGCCGTCTGCGATTGGCGCAGTCTCGACAAGCAATCCGATCTCGTCCACACGGAGAATCGCAAGCCTAGCGAGATCAACTCTTGCGGCTACTACATTGGCGGGGCCATGGGCGGTCTACCGCCGAAGAATCCCCAGGCGCAGCGATGGTACTGGATACCAAATCAGACCCCAGAAGAGGTGACTATCATCAAGTTTGCCGACTCAGAATCCCGGTTGAACCCAGCTGTGGCGGCAGGCTGCTTGCATGGATCGCCCGAGGTGCCTGGTACCGAGGATGAGGAGCCGCGGTGCAGCGTCGAGACGCGCGTGTACCTTTTCTGGGAGTAGTGGGCAATTTGGAGATATGGTTACATACTGTAGGCTACTTTTGTAGGTACAAGCTACTACGGTCTTAAATTGAACGTATGATTAAAGTATTAAGAAAGACTCGCAAGTAGTAAGCTATTTATCCCACGGCAGCAATTTTAGGTAGCATGTTAGGCTAGTGGCATCGTCTATTTGGAAATGATCATCTAGTTTGATGGAAAAAGCTTGTAGGCTACCGACTAGTGATAGAATCTTAACGCTACAGATTGAAAATCTCGAACAATAAGTGGAATAATGGGTTAACTACACGTCCCGGTATATGCAATGTGTTATACTCGGACTGTATTCCGTCTTATACCAAGGCAACCTCAACCTCAGAGACGGTAAAGCTGGTGGAGAATGCTAATCGAACATCATATAGATGGTCTTAATACCATACTACGGTAGCTTTGACCCACTGCTACTTTCCTGCAAGAGTACTAGATGAATTTGTGCGCATATTTCTCCTGTTCAAGTCTCTTGCCATTGACATTATCTTGTTGTGATCGCGGCTAACCGGCATATAAAATGCGGGGTCGCATACCAATCTGCCAACAACAACCCACGAGACTGGATGGCAAGGGTAAGAACAAGCATATGGCCTTCAAACAGAGATTGACTCGTGTTCAAATGGTAGAGCGGTTTCAAAAATACTTCTGAAATATAATCCTTTCCCCTGCAGCTTACTTCGGCTAGAGCCCCCACACATACTAGTATGTACGAAGGACGCGTAGTTCGGCATCTCTGGCAGAACCCTGGTCGGTATCCAAGATCAGTTGTAAAGAAACTAGCGTGGCCAGTGTCTGCTTAGCAAGGATCAAGCTTCACGGAAAAGTCGTACCTGAACCGTAAAGCATTACTTTATTGCTTCTAACTTTCTGCGTTACCCAATTGCGGGACCCTAAGAACGTGTTTTGACAACTTCGTGTCATTGGTAGACATTTCAAGCAGTTGGCTAGCTTCTTACAACAGCCCCGTCTGTGTTAACGATCTCTATATCCCTTATTTGAAGAACTGATTACAATGTCGGGCTCAGTAGAGGATTTTCCTTAGAACCCATCATGAGCGATGTAACGTGGGTCGAATCCGACCAAATACTCAGACCTTGCACAGTAGTTTGCCATTGTAAGAGGTAGGGTCTTGTGCTTAACTTCCCTGCTATCAAATACAAACCAATACAGATTCTGTAATGACCCCTGCCGTTGGCATTATGATGCGCAACCACAAATGAGGACAATGGTCGTCAGGGGCTAGAACACCTATTCTTCCACGTGCTTCGTTGTCTACGGTTCAGATAACGTCAAACTGTCAGGTATTCCCAATGAACCGCCCCGTGCTGCATTGGTTGGACTTGGCTACACAATCGCCATCGTATGCCATGTTACTACTCGCGCGTGGTGGCACCGCTGAATAGGTATGCCGATATGAGGCACTCCGCGGCCACAGTAACTTATGGAGGCCCAGCACTGGTACGACCTTTATATATGTGGTTGTGACCAATATTTGAGAGCATGTTCCGTAAGGTAAGTTAAACATCACCATGCAGTCCGTAATAGTCTTGCTGTTCGGCGACCAGCTGGCGTCGAAGGCATCAGCTGTCGCCAGGCTCTACCACATCGCAAAGACACGGCCTAGTCTGCATGCGTTCCTGCGCGACGCAACCGATGTGGTGCAGGTTCTCCGCCAGGACTTGCAACCGTGTGAGCGCGGTCTCTATGGCGACTTCACCGACATCCGCGATCTCAGCTGTCGCCATGAGTCCGCTGAGCATCTAAACGAGGCAGTTGGCACTACTCTGACGACCATCATACAGCTGGGCGAACTTTTAGTGTTGGTAACGAATCCATATATGTGTGGGCCTCGGCTAACCGTAACGTAACAGGCTTGCTGAGAACGAGCCGGCCGTTTTCTGTACCGACAGCGGGACGCACAATATCGGCGTGTGCATAGGGTTGCTGGCAGCGGCTGTTGCAGCAACGGCTACTACGGCCCAAGACGTTGTGCGTCTCGGCCTGGAATGCGTAGCCATCAGCTTTCGCCTGGGCATCGAGCTCTGGCGACGAACCCGGTCTGTCGAGGACTCTCCGGAGTCATGGGCATGCACTTTTGTCGTTGTTGATACCATGCAACTCCAGCAACGCCTGAATACCTTCAATCACAGCCAACCCCTCTTTCAAACTGCATACATTGGTGTGCAGGCTTCAACATGGGCCACCGTCTTCGCTCCGCCTGCCACCCTGAAGCGTCTTTTGGCTTCAGAACAGTTCAATCAGGCTTCAACATCCCGCCTTCCATCAGCCATTGCAGTTCATGCTGCTCATCTGCCTGCGCTACACGATAACCGTATAGTGGGAGATTCGTCACTTCTTGATACCCCCACCCGTAGCAGGAGTATCTTCTCGTCCAGTACATGTGAGCCGTTTGCCGCCTCGTCGCTTCGAGACCTGCTATACCTGATTATCGCAGATATTGCTCAGCATCCGCTGTACCTAGAAGAAACTATCAAGAGTCTCGCCAGTTCACTGCAAGGACAAGATAGTGCACGACTACTGCCCGTAGGTCCTACGCATTCAGTATCGTTCGTCCAGCGGGAGTTGCAGCGCGCCGTGTCAACCGTTACCATCTCCCAGATCGACATCAATGATGTGATGGACTCAGAAGGATACCGGCGTGGCTCCGATCGTGTAGCTGTGGTTGGCATGTCAGGCCGTTTTCCAGACAGCGACAGCACCTCTGAGCTGTGGGATCTTCTTATGTCTGGACGCTCGGCACACCAACGCATTCCAGAGTCAAGATTTCCCATTGATAGCTTCCTTGATCCATCATGCGAGGCACCTATAGCCGTATCGACGCCGCTCGGGTGTTTCCTAAAGAACCCTGGCGAGTTCGACAACCTACTCTTTTCCATTTCTCCCAGAGAAGCTCTGCAAATGGACCCGGTCCAACGGCTCCTGCTCATGACGACTTACGAAGCCTTGCAAATGGCAGGATACTCACCCGATGCGACGGCATCGACCCTTCGCGCCCACATTTCGACCTTCATGGGCCAGTCTGCTGAAGAATGGAAGGCTATAAACGACCAAGAAGGGATTGACACACACTACATTCCCGGCACCATGCGATCATTCGCTCCCGGCCGCTTGAACCATTACTTCCGCTGGGGTGGCGGCATCATGAGCATTGACACGGCGTGCTCGGCCAGTGCCACGGCAGTCCATCTAGCATGCAATGCTCTTCTCACACGCGAAGTCGATTGCGCCATCGCTGGCGGAGGGCATATTTGTGTTGCTCCTGAGCTCTATTCCGGCCTCAGTCAAGGCGGCTTTCTTTCCAAGACAGGGCCCTGCAAGACATTTTGTGACGACGCTGACGGATATTGTCGTGGTGAAGCTGTGGGCGTGGTCGTTCTGAAGCGCCTCGAAGACGCGGTACGCGACAAAGATAATGTCCTCGCTGTTATTCGTGGAACTGCGAGGAACACGAATGCTGGAGCTGCGGGCTCGATTACTTTTCCCTCGAGCGCCGCGCAAGCTGATTTATACCGCACTATATTGCAGAGCAGCGGCGTGGGACCGAACGAAATTTCATACGTGGAGTGTCACGGCACCGGGACTCAAGGTTTGTCAATCATGGTCTGAATCAGGCAAATACTAACTCTACACAGCCGGTGATGGTGCCGAAATGAGCGCTATCATCGAAACCTTTAGCCCAAACCGACCGAGTGACTTCCCGCTTCATGTCGGCGCTTTGAAAGCTGCCATCGGCCATGCCGAGGGAGCAGCGGGTATTTCTTCGTTGATCAAGGCAATATTGATGATGCAGAAAAAGACCATACCCCCTCAGCCCGGCTGGCCATTCAAGATCAATCACAAATTCGCCAACCTGGATGCGGCTCATGTCATAATCGCCGACGGAACCTCTCCGCTACGAGCTTCGCGAGACGGTAATGGATTGGCAAAGATAATTGTCAACAGCTTCGATGCCGCGGGCGGCAACGTGAGCATGTTGATTGAAGAACCACTAGAAGTCTCGGACTGGAGAGTTCAGGACGAGCGCCTGCATCACGTCGTTGTCTTCTCTGGCCGAACACGCACTTCTCTCGAAGGAAATGAGGAACGGCTGAAAGAATATCTGCTTCAACACCCAGACACCGACCTAGCCAGCCTGGCATATACCACCACGGCGAGGAGAATGCATGAGATGCACCGATCCGCATATGTCGTGCAGTCCCTTCAAGAGCTGCTGGGCGAGCTCGGCACTGTTCAGAAAGCAACGCTGAAGGATACTCAACTCCTGTTCTCTTTCACCGGCCAAGGGTCCATTTACAGGGGAATGGGTGCAGAGTTGTATCATTTGTTGCCTTCTTTTCGTTCCACGCTGGACTCATTCCAAGACCTGTGCGATGCCCAAGGTCTCGACCGCTTCCTTGATCTAATCATCGACGCGCAGGACGTGGCCACGGCGACGGCATGTCAGACTCAACTTGCACTGGTGGCGCTGGAAGTCGCCATGGCCCATCTGTTCCGCTCACTGGGACTGCAGCCGAATCTGGTGATAGGCCACTCGCTGGGTGAATACGCGGCACTCTGTGTGGCGGGCGTCCTCTCCGTCAGCGACATGCTGTACCTCGTCCACACGCGAGCCTCACTGATCCAGGAACACTGCACGGCACACACATATTCAATGCTGGCGGTGAACATGTGCCACAGTGATGTTGCAGACATGCTCTGCAAGTCCAACTGCCCAACTTGCCAGATCGCATGCATCAACGCCCCAGCTATGACGGTAATCAGTGGCATCAACGACGAGCTCTCTGTGTTGCAATCGACGCTGCAAAATCTCGGCATTCACACATCGCTGCTCAAAGTCCAGTACGGCTTCCATTCGAACCAGCTTGAGCCACTTCTTGAGCGCTATGAAGAGGCTGTGGGTAAGGTGCACTTCAGTACACCCCGAATACCAGTTGCCTCTACTTTACTTGGCAAAGTCGTTTACGACGATGGAGTTTTCAATGCAGCATATCTCCGGCGCCAGATGCGTGAGCCGGTTGACTTCTTGGGTGCGGTACGCGCATGCGAAGCGCAGAAACTGCTCCAGGCGAATACAGTGGCACTTGAACTCGGCCCTCATCCAGTCTGTACAGCACTCATGGCCAAGTCTTGCTCCAACAAGGACTTGACCACTTTGAGTACTCTTCAGCAGGGAAATAACAGCTGGGAGAGCTTTTCTAATTGTCTCGCTGCGCTCCATGTCGCGGGTCTGTCTGTTTGCTGGCGCTGGTTTCACCGGGACTCCGAGTCCTCTCTGCGGCTTCTGGATTTACCCACGTACGCATTCGATTCCAAGACTTACTGGGTACCATACAAGATCAGACGTGCTCCAGAAGCTGTTGGGAAGGAAACAATATCTCCGCAGCAATCGCTGCCTTATGCCTTTTTGCAAAATTTGGATAGTCTGAGATCTGACGGTGGGAAGACAAAAGCGACCTTCACGTCAAGCACATCGAATCCTGAGCTGACGACGGCTATTCAAGGACACATCGTGGGCGGCGTGGTGCTCTGCCCGGCAAGCGTGTTTGTAGAAATGGCACACACGGCAGCATCTTACCTTTGGAAATCGACTGGTCTTGCTGGCGAGGGGTTCCATCTCGAAATCGCCGATTTGCAGATGACGCACGCCCTTGTAGTGCACTCAAAGAACGAAGAACATCTAATTCACGTCGAATGTAGCATGGAAGACACAGACACGGAAATTTCTGTGTTCTTCTCTTCCACAAGTCCAGCGGGCGTGACAGCAAACCATGGCATTTGCAAGGTGCGCTTTAGCTCTGAAAGTACATCAACGGTCCGTCAATGGGGTTTCATGGAAAACATGATACGACGCCGAGTAGACAGTTTGCTTGAGACGTCAAAGTCCGGCATGACGCACCGCATCTCACGCAATCTATTTTACAAGCTGTTCGAGGCCGAAGTTGAATACAGCGAGCCATATCAATGCATCCAGGAAGCATACGTGCCGCCAGATTTCCAGGACGCCGTGGCTTCGTGCATCTTGGATGAGAGTGCGGGCAATCAGGGCCAGTTTACCTGCAACCCCTTTACTATGGACGGTATCGTGCACTTATCGGGCTTCATCCTCAACGCCGATCCTTCTAAGCAAAGGGACGTTATTCACATCTCCAACCGTATCAGCTCCTTCCAGCTGCTTGCACCTATCACCAGCCGTACGCAGTGTATGTGCTATGCTAATGTGCGCGAGCAATCCGCCAAGGGCGTTACCGTGTGCGACGTATACGTCTTTGACCAAGACGGCCTCATCGCCCTTTGCTCCGGGATTACTTTCCAGCTTATGACGAAAGAGATATTCTCCATCGCCATTGGACACTCAAATGCCAGCCCTTCCGGTAGCGCACCGATACCAAAAGCCGTTGCTGCACCACCTCCCGGCCGTGGACGCCGGCTTCGAGACTTTCCCGACCCGCCTTTGCAAGGCGCAAATGAACGAGTGTCGTTGCCGGAGGTAGACCACGCCGATACACTACTACGCATCATTTCGAAGCGGACGGGCGTTGGCCTGGACGAGCTAGTGCCGACAACCTGTTTTATCGATATTGGTGTGGATTCGCAGATGAGCATTGCCATAACATCAGATTTACAGAAGAAGACTGGTCTACAACTCCCGGCGGCCTTCTTTCTCACGTATACAACCGTGTCAGAGGCCAGAAAACAACTTACACATGCAAAGCCCGCAAATACAAGCCCACAACAACCGAGATTGAGTGTTGAATCACCGACTATGAAGTCTAATCCAGTTTTCGCGGAAACTGGCCGCGAAGCACCTTCATCAACCGAACGGCGGAGCGAGATTCTGCTCCGAATTGTAGCCAGAGAACTCGGCATGGCTCCGAATGACTTGGCCGATATGGACGATTTCGAAGCGGCCGGCGTCGACTCTATGATGAGCATCAAAGTCATGTCGCAGTATAAACAAAAGACGGGCCAGGAGCTACCCGCGTCATTCCTCATGAACCACCCGACAGTTGCAGACGTCGAAGCCGAGCTGGACGGCGACCTGCCCAGCGCCGGTGCTAGCGTCTCCTCCAGTTCTAGTAGCAGCCAGGTGATCCTCACGCCCCCGGTGGAAATCAGTTCTAACGCTGTTCTGATTCAAGGCAACCCAAACTCCAAGCAGCGGCCAATCTTTATGATTGCTGACGGCCATGGCTCGGCCGACGCCTTTGTCCACCTGGCCCCTCTTCAAAACAACCAGCGTCTCTACGCGTTAGAATCGCCCTTCATAGAAGACCCTGACGCCTTCGACATGCCTATTCCTGATCTCGCCAAAGTCTTTATCAAAACCATCCGCCGCTTGCAACCGTACGGCCCCTACCTTATCGGTGGGCGGTCTGCTGGGGCCGCATACGCTTACGAAGTAGCATACCAACTAGCTGTGCTAGAACACGAAACGATTTCCGGCCTCTTGCTCATCGATATGCGGATTCCGCGCGCCATTCCTCAAGCTCGTGCCATCGACACGGCCTTTGTTGCCCGCGCTTGGCGCGTTATCGTCGAGCATACTAACGTCTTACTTGACCCGGGTGACCTCGCCCATGCGGCGGCTACAATTAAAGCTCTACACTCGTACACGCCTCGTCCGTTCCCGACATCTGCGCGCCCCCAGCGCGCCGCCGTCGTCTGGGCCCGCTGGGGCGTCAATGAGAATCCTGACCAGACACTGCGCGATGTGACGGTGCAGCGTCCGGCGGCCATGGGCCCGACTCTCGGTGAAGTGGCGGATCCGGCGACAGTCAGTACCGGGGAGTTCGAGGCCGAGTTCAAGTCCTGGTTCTGGGGATGCCGGAAGTCGTTTGGCCCGAACGGGTGGGATGGCTTGTTGGGCGAGGAGGTGTTTGTGCACACAGTTGATGGAGGTGATTATTTCCTGACTCTTTTCTTCCCGTACCTGAGTGACTGATGCCGCTGACACTTTCCCTCAGATCATTTTTGCATGATGAAACCGCCGTATGTGCGTTCGCTGAGCACAGTCTTGATTCATGAGATTGCTGCCATGGAACAGATAATGTAGCGTTCTGATTATCTTCAATTTGTCGAGTAGACGTGGGGGTAAAGCGTTTGAGACACATGTCGTTGCTTTTCAGTGGTCATTAAGTCTAGTGATTGTAGGATTCCAAGAACTTTACTTGGTGCCCTTGTATTCCTTCGGCTTGACGGGGATACCCGTATGCGTAGAAAAGAAGAGAAATCTTCTAATCTTGTTGTATTATCTTTGTCACCGTTGTGAAGTTGAGGTACAAGAGTAGTGTTTCGAGAAGATGGCCCTTTCTAGAATCAACCAGCTTCTCTCTCCTGATCCAATAAAGTCCAGATTCATTCAGCCTCAATGAGGACTGCCTTGAGCGTTAAGTCAGGCTTAGAAGCTTTGAATTGCACCTGAAGAATTTTCGGCTTATGACAATGGCTCTTTGATATTGTTAATTTTGTAGATGGCTGGTCTTGGTTACCCAAACTCCAATGCCGGGTATAGAGTACAAATATTTCCACACAGATGCACAATGTTTACCAGGCGCCGTCCCAGTAGTAGCAGTCGGTGCCACGCTTCGACCCATTGCTATTGCCATGTTAGCTTGTTATTAAGCCCTCAGAAAGACAGGTCGCTTACTCGTAAATTTCAACCCAGCACTGGACGTGAGGCTTGTTGTTGGCGCACTGGAAGAGTGTTAGAGTCAGGCTTGATGAGTCAGGAATGTTGTCAAACTTACAGCGGGCCATTGGCCAGCCTTAGTGTTGGTCCTGCACGAAGCAAGTTCCTCAGCGCGACAGTTTCCACCGTATCCCTAATCACGAGTTAGTCATGTCGCATAGATTATGGTCGTCCATCTGTTGTGATGACATACCTGGTTGCCGTGGCGGAAACCGGGGCGCTTGCAGTAGAAGGAAGCAGAGGCAGAGCTAACGCTTGCGACCAGGAGGGCAACGACTTCGAAGCGCATCTTGACTTGTGATTGTACCGTTCTAAGAAATGTGTAATGAAGTGAGTGACTGAAGAAATGAGTGAATAGATGTCGATGTCTGATAAAGATCATGAGATAGAATGAATATCAGATCTCTTTTATCCTCTATCGCTGTCATCAGTACGGAGCATTCCGTGGAGCACTCACGGAGCACTCCGTTCTACAGAAATGCTAATCGTCTACACCGTACAAGTTGCTTGGCACCTTGTAAAGTGCATCATGAGTAGTATTTCTGGATCTGTAAAGACCGCTAAGCTCTGTTTGGACGAAATTCATCTGATTCAAACCAATCCAATGTCTCCTGTGCTAACCTTAAACTTTGTTTTCTGTGATTATCAGACGACGGCTTACCAATTTTGCAGGACAATATTAATATCTGTGGCCCTCATATGACAGTCTCCTCACACGCCTCGTTTGGGTTAAATTTAGGCCAAGCTGGTAGCACTAGGCGTAGATTAAAAAAGCCCACATGGACATACGCCATGTCATTAGGTTTGGCGACAGCAATGGTAATGAAATATTAATCACTTTGTTACCCACTATTACAACTTTGCCACCAAGCTTATTAGAATGCATAAACATTAACAGTCTCACTTTGGACTCTACCTATATACACCCGTCATCTCGTTGATCATTGCTCTTTGTAGACATTGACCTCGGGGCTCCTATCATTCGATGAGGGGAAGCCTTAGCTTTTGATTCAATAGACGGCTCAAACATACCCAAGTTTGGCATAAATAAAAATATCTTCACACACAGAGACCTAGGACAGCATCGGCGCAACGTTCTCATCGGCCAGGAAGTGCATCTGGGGAGATTAAAAAGTTTCTTTGCACCAAAAATGGCTGTGTCTTACAATATTTCCATTTGGCAATATAAAAGCAACATCTTCACGAAGAAGGGGCCCAATTCCGCATGGTTCGGTTGAACCTTCAGAAAATGTTCGTTACTTTAATGCCCACACCAGGGCATATCCACCGCCTTTTCTTGTCCTTTATATTAATATGGCATGGCTGCAAACCTTAATACCCTTGTGTTTGATCCTATCGCTATGACTTTCCGCCTCTAGTTGCAAGAGCATCCACTGCGGCAATATGGCACTATTCAGCGGCACGGACCACAAATCTTTTACTTCCGAACAGCGAGGCTCCTCTTGCAGGGTTTTGTAACGGACCACAAAACTTTTACTCCCGAACAGCGAGGCTTTGTAAGGCTTGGTAACGGTCCAGTCTGTAGTGCCTCTAACTCCCATCATGATCTGAATCGTTGACTTGGGGCCCGGAGCGTAATGATGCCACGGCTATTATCTGCTATTATGTGGTATTCGCGGCGTGAGTAGTAGCATATTCCATTTTCAGGAACAATGCCACCACTTAGCTAAACCGCGACTTTCATTTAACTGCAGATTTGACCAATACTGCTACAACTAACGAGTGTACTCTCGTTTACGATACGCTATACGAAAATCCACCATGGGGCCGAAAAATACAGAAAGGGCCTACTGCGGAGCAAACGCATCGATAAATCCTCGGCTTTTTAGTTGTCCGCTTGTAACTCAATATATTGCTACTATCCGGAAACCTATTAGCCGACAAGAAAGTCCGCTGGCCTTGAGTCATGCCTATGGGCCTCCGCGAAAGACTTCAGCCGGTTGGACACACCAGCCTCGGACTTTCGGCCTTTCCACTATCCGCCAGCCGCGGTGACAATCTACTCCAACAGGTGGTTTTACCGAACTGTTGGTACGGAAATCCAGCATTACTAGCAGATCAATGAGTTCATGGGTTACAGCGGGGCACTTTACGAATTCCCTTCCTTTTACATCTGATCTCTGGCTTACGTTAGTTAAAACTTCTTTTTATCTTCTAATTTGAAACAAAGCGGGATGTGTACCAAAGGACCCGTTAGGTTGAAATGAAGGGATTGTGGCCATCACTCTTATACTTAATAGGTATTGGTGCCCTTAGCTTGAAAGTAAAATTTGTTGCCAATCCTCAAATTGGATACAAGAAGAACTGGTTTTTTCCCCTTTCTGTTGACCAGTGCCGACATAAACTTTCAGGGTACCTAACATCTCTGGAGTGAAGCTATATAAGGTACTCGATTCACCACTACAGGTTTCAAATATCGCAACGATATGGATACAGATGTAGAAATGAATCCATCGACAATTAATTAAGGCCTGGGGCCTAACAGTAGAACTGGTCAACCGTCATTTATTGAGCCCACTGCCTGTAAGCTTGGAGCTGATTGAAGGATCTGTTACCAGGAGTTGGGGTGATTTGGGGTGGAAACCCTGGTCATATGGAGGCAGTTGGGGGCTGTCTCGCGATGACTGGGAACTCGGAGAAGGCCCAATCCAAGCTGGTAGAAAAGCCAAGATCTCCTCTTCAAATTCCTTCCGCACACTGTTCGAAGCTCCTCTTGCTTCCATTGGCGCGGGGGGCGAAAGCAGTACGAGTTGGGGTAAGAAAGTGGTTCACTACGCACTTGGGAAGTAATAGCGTGCGTTTTGTATAAAGTGTTGCAACAGATGTAATGCATTTCAGAGGCTAAAGTCAAACATCAATCACATCTTTTTCCGAAAGAAGTCAAGCAATATGCCCCAAGATTCTATGCGAGCTGTCGTCTTCCAGGAGGTGGGCAAGGTCACCGTTGAGGACCGCTTAACGTCCCACACCCACTTCTGGGCACCCCCCACATTTGGGCACCCCATTTACACCAAAAACGCCGTTTTTCGAAATTCTATATTAAACTAAATACTTTACTTATTAAAGAGAATAAATATATATTAAATAGATTAAGACTTAATTATAATACTTAAGTAGCTATATACTAGTATTATTAATAATAAGTATTATAAATTCAAGGTTTAACATTTATAATACTAATTTACCTAGCCTATATCTTAATATATAAAATAGGTAGAGATATTTAACTAATATGATTAGAATTTTTAAGTAAGATATAGTAGATTTATATATTCTTATACTTAGTAAAAAATTCTTTAAGCTTAGAATAATATTTTAAAATTTCCCTTAAGAAAAGTTTCTATTATAGAATTTTAACCCTTAATTATACTATATTTACTAAAGTAATACTTTTAAATCTCTTTTAGATATAATTATATACTTTTAATAAGTATAAATATTAATTTCCTAGATTTTTTAAATAAGTATATATAAGCGAAAATATATTTTTCTAATGTTAAGGAATACTAGTAAGTTACTAGTATCTACTAACATTTTAAAGCTTTTAGTTTTAAACTTCTATATTATAACTATTATTATATTTAAACCTTTATAAAAAATTAGATGGCTATAATTATACTTAACATAGTTTATATATATTTTCTTTTCTTAGTAAGTATAACGTACATGATAAGCGAGTGAGACAGACAAGCGAGTGAGACAGTAAACCAGACCTTCGCGACAATAATATCGAAATCTATAACAAGAAATCTTAGATTGATTAATACTACTCGGATTCCTGTTCTTCGGATGTTTCCTCAATAAATTGACATGTTCTCGCGTTGTGGCCTGTATTCCCGCATACGCCACACCGACGATGAGTCGTCTCAGACCTCACTTTGCGACCACTACTCCGTCGCGTTTCCTCTTGTAGTTGCGTGTCTGCCTCTCTTTGCGACTGTATATCCTCTCCAGTAGATATAGTAAGACTTCCTCCTTTCTGTAGACGTGTTTTCTTAGCCCTTCGACGCCGACTTAATATTGCATTCTCCTCTCGAAGGATTTGAACCTCTGACTCTAGTAATGCTACCCGATGCCCTAGTCCTTCTGTCCCTCTGGCTAGCTTACTCACAGCACTATAAATTGATGCTGGAGAGCTGCTTCGGTGGCGTGAGATTCGACTCTTAATAAAAGTAGACTGTGATCTTGCTTCGCTTGGGTTGCTCGGCGTCCTAGAGATCCAAGGGTCTGGTGTCTGAGGGACCCCCTCCTCAGGCGTTGGCGTTCGGAACTTTACATCCAGCTTTGAGAGAACACTTTCTGCATTCAAAGGGACAAGTCCAGCTCCTCGGAAACCTCCCTGGATATTTTTCCTCGTAAAAGACTGCTTAAAAGCTTCGTGAAATGCTGCAAAGAAATCTTCCTTCGAGATATGGGTTGTGCCTCGCCGCATCTTATTCTCAATTTGCCGACCGTAGGCATTCTTTAACGGCTGAAAACAACCAACATCTAAGGGTTGAAGTAGATGAGACGAGTGAGCCGGCATGCACAGTGTAATAATGTTGTTTTCTTGACAAAAGAGCTCGAAGGCTGCGGAGTGGTGACTTTCATGACCATCAACAACGAGGAGGCGATATTTCCCAGACGTACGTGGTTTTGTATAAATGTCGAAGTGTCTGATCCAGTCAATACCTCTCTCGTTTGTTGTCCATCCATTTTCAGACGTTGCAATAGCCCAATCGCCCGGAAGAGAGGTTTCTGTATACCAGCTTGAGAGGTGATACTGGCCTGCAACGATGATGTATGGCGGGATGCTCTCCCCTTGGGAATTAATAGCCTGGATAACTGTAACCCATTCCCTATTGCCAGGCTGTGTCATCTTCGTATTTGAACGCCTTTCAGCACTTGTAACAACCATTCCAGAAGCAATAACGCCCATCATAAAGCCGGTCTTATCAAAGTTGTAGATATCAGCATCAGCAATACCATACTTCGCAATTGTATTCTTCACAAGCGAAAACCAGCCACGAATCACCTCTGGATCTTCGCATTGAGCTCTCTTATAGTCATACTTGCGAAAGAAACGCGTCCTAAGCTGTGGTTGTCGCTTGACGAAATTAGAAGCCCAGCGCTTCCCAACTGGAGGCGCGTCGCGCTCTGCGAGAAGTCGATTGGCCATTTCTTCCACACCACTCAGCCGGGGAGGAAATGATCGCGCATCTAGGTCGAGAATATACTCAACTATTGTCTTCTCTTCTAAATCTGATAAATTCCGTGAATTAGGCATGCTGTCGCGTCGTGAGACTATTCCCTTTAGTCGCCGGCTTAATGTTGCGTGACTGACTGTATAGAGTGCACCTGCGGCCCGAGCACTAAGTTTTGGGTCATTTCTCATTGCTTGAAGGGCAATTTGTAACCTTCTTTCAATACTAGCTGATTCCATGATTTATTGTAGAGGAAAAGGTGCCGGTCGCGTCAAGGTGCGACGGTCGCGGTTTACTGTCTCACTCGCTTGTCTGTCTCACTCGCTTATCATGTACGTTAGTAGTTAGTTTAATATAGAATTTCGAAAAACGGCGTTTTTGGTGTAAATGGGGTGCCCAAATGTGGGGGGTGCCCAGTGTTACGACCCGTAAACAAGGATAACAGCCGAACGACCCACTTGGGCGTCGGGCGGCTAGGACAGGACATTTGTACTACAGGATCACGGGAACAGCGGGAACTCACTCGGCACGGAAGAACTATGGTACAAGTCACGTGACGATAAGATAAGGAAACGATCAGTGGAGCACAGGACGGGACGCTCAGTGATCAGTTGGCATTGCCAACTGATCGCGATCACCTCATGCACCTAGGTGATCACCCCCAGGTAGACAAAAAACACTGTTCAGGACTTGTATATAGTATGACCTGAGCCTGGCTCAAGGTCAGACTTCCATAGCTCTTCAGCAATCAACTTTGTGATTACCCTAACCGGTACTTTCAGCTATACCTAAGTGACGACTACTCTACGACTCTTGTTGAGGCCTTGACTGATCACCAAGACCTTTGAAGATCTACGATCTATTCGACCAGGACCACGGAACGACTGTTACTACTCTCAATCCCTGGCTTACTGTTAACACAAACCCACTGTCAGTTAGCTGGCCGTAACACCCAGAAGTGGGTGTGGGACGTTAGTGCCTCGCCTCCTCAATGCTACTGATGTCATTGTCAAAGTTATTGCAGCAGGGCTTTGCGGGAGTGATCTTCATTTTTTCCGGGGGCGCATCAAGATTCCCGGACGTTTCATTCAGGGTAAAGAAATTCGAAGAGGGTGACTCCGTGGCGGTTAGTATTCTCTTGAATTCTTACTTCTAGACTTTCAGCTTAACAGGGTTTCCCCTTGTTTAGGTCTCCTTCACCACTCAGTGCGGAGACTGCTTCTACTGCCGTTAGGGGCAAACCAGTCGTTGTCCTAGTTATCATCTTTTCGGTACGTCTTCTCAGCCGTAGATGTTTGTGGTTTTGCTTTAACCGGCCGGTGATGATAGGAAACAATTCAAAACCACGAGATATTGATGGCGGCCAAGCTCAATATGTTCGTATTTCAAACGAGGATACCAGCCTTAATCATGCCCCTCGATCTATTCCACCGAAGGTTCTGGTGCTGATGGGAGACGTCTTTCCCACCGGGTATTTCTGTGCCTCGCGCTTCTTGCAACCCTTGAAGCCGGAGGTCGCAAAAAAAACCGCGGTTGTTGTTGTAGGGTGTGGACCTGTTGGCATTTGTGCCATTGCCTCTGCCTTGACGTGGTCGGACACAGTTTACGCAATCGACATGGTTCCCGAACGTCTCGAAGAGGCGGCGAGACTTGGAGCGAAGCCGCTATCCGGAGATGTCGTCGCGGCTGTGAAGGCGGCGACTGATGGACGTGGGGCTGATGTTGTGCTGGAGGTGGTGGGTGGACCTGAGGCGTTCGCGCTTTGCTTGGAAATGGTTCGCCCATTTGGCCATATTAGTAGTGTCGGCGTCCAAGCCAAGCCGCTGACATTGTCTGGGCCCCTTTTATACGGAAAGAATGTAACCATAGCGTGGGGTCGCTGCCCCGTTTATGGAATCTTTGATGAAGCATTGCAGTGTCTCATTAAAGTGCAGGACCAGGTGGCATTTCTCTGCGAGAAGCAAATGAGGCTGGAGGACGCTGTGGAGGCATACGAGCTCTTCAACGCCCGCAAGGAGCACAAGATCATCCTCACTCCTTAGGCATACACAGATCAGTTCAAGGAGTCCCTTAGCAATGAAGAGTAGACACTAGCTTCAACTGAATCCAAATCTAAACCCCGGATACACGGTGGAAGTCTTCTTTTCTGATACCTTCGATGAGTCTATCATGTTTGGTCTTAGATTTCTCTGTGACCGGGGGGCTTATGGGTGTCTTTGAAAACCTCATCTGGTGTCCAAAGCGATGCAGCATCTTAGTCACCAGACTCTTCATGTTAAAGCTAGTAGCTTAAAACCATATCACTTACAACCGCCCAGGTCTGATTCAAGGCTATATTGGGATAAGTAGTCTTCCTCTTAGTAGTTTATTGATTCTATTGTAAAGTCTGAGTCAAAACCTCTAGCGTTTTGTATGATAACAAGACACCTCAACTAAATAATGCCCAGGCAAATGCCATGCATTCGCGCTCTAAGACTTGGAATATGCGTTCCTCCCTTTTGCCCGGATATGAAATCCCTCAAGTACACTTGGTAATAGTGCCTCCTCACATATAACGCTGCTACACGTCTAGCGAGGTTAATGCCATAGTTATGCGTCTCTTTCTTTACTCGGCTTCTGATATTGACCAAAACTGACTGATCCATAAATCTTCACATCCAATTATTTTGTGGGTTACTGTTGTTCGGTTGAGCTGGAAGAGTCGCCAACTGTTGCCGAAGGTCCGCTATTTCTTGCAATAAATGGCGTCGCTCAATCTCTTCCAACAACTCCTGTCGGGTTTGCTCAAGCGATTGCAGCGAGGGACTAGCACTCGTCACTGGTAATGCGGCAGGCTGAAGCGAAGTAGGCCGTGTGACATTTGTCGTAGATTCGTGGGTTGAAAAGCTCTGTTGACGCCTATGCGGCTGCCGGGATACAGAAAGTTGCCTGTTGATAGACGGCAGGACTCCGAAACCCTCTGACAGTGGCTGTGCTGCTCCGGGGTCAACGAAGTTGGAAGGTGAATAGGGAGTAATTTGTATTTGCTCCAAAGGCGTAACCGCGCTGAAAGATTCATTTGGACTTGAAAGAACCGTGTCTCCGCCCAAAACCGATATTGGCGAGCCTGTAGGTTCAGCCATCGTGGTGTTGGATCCTGCTTGGCCCTGTGAAGGATCTGACGCTTGAGGGCTCAACTGCGGCAGGTCATTTGTACGAGATCTCTCTCTGGCACCATTTATCAGGTCTGATCCAAAAATGGCTCCCATTTCCAAAGACATTCGAACAATCCAGGCGCTTGCTTGCGAATTACGTTGGACTGTGTCTGCGGGCGTTTCTTCGGTCCCATAATCCATCAAGGCTAAGAAAGTCTGTATCAGGATGTCTTGGACGTGAGAGCAAAGTTGGATGTCATATACTACGCTAAATGTTAGCATATGCCCCCAAAGAAGGGGTCAGGCAGGTTTTGATTGCCTACGTTTAAGGCAAAAGTGGGCTTACAATGGGATGAGAAGAACTCTGGGAAAGCCACATCAGGGAACAACGCAGCCCAAATCTGTTGGTAACGTTGGAAGTCCACCCCTGTGAATTTTGCATTCATGATGTTGTTCAGGATTGTTTCATCTATCTCTGCTCCATGATCTCTGCGGAGGTGATACCTAAGATAACATCGGGTTAGAAAAACATGCGACTGGAGTAGGCGAGTGTATATCCATTACCTCAGACCTGAGAAGTTTTTTATTGCAGTAGGGGGCCGGCAGCACTGGCGTAGTGGAGGAGGGGGTGTATGAAGAACGATATTGGGGCAGAATATTTCAATAAACCAAAGAATGAAGAAGGGACAAAGCCAAGTGTTGGAGTTTCGGGGTATGTTATGGACACGAATGGGGTCGTCTTCGCCATCGTCTTCATCCCCGTCATCCCCGCTTTTCCCGATCTTTCGACCATGCTTAGGAGGTGAGGGCTTCTTTCCAGCCGCCCTCCCTGTTTTGGGGGAGCGCTTCGTTACTGCACTGCGGTTTCGCGGCACTGCATGATTAGATGACTCGCCCTCAACGGCTGCGGTATCCTTCTCGTCGGCTACGTACGTAGCATCTTCTATCGCGTCTTTTTCATCCTCCTCTTCTGTATATAGAACATCGTACCCCTCTTCATGGACATTGTCATGCGATACTTGATTGTGTGTGATTTTGCAGGGGCACCCGTGTTGTAGCAGGTGCTTCTTTTCATCGGGGAGCTTTTGGATAAGGTGTATGAACGCTTTGACGTAGGCTGGCTGCTCCTCGCGGGACGAGAAGATTGTAGATAGAAACAAGGGTGTGCTCGGGGCATTCGTTCGCTGGGTGTTCTTTTCCGTAGTTGGTTCGCTTGGTATCTTTTCAGTATCATTTGATGCACCTCCTTTGAGCTTTTGAGCTGTCTCTGTTTGGAGAAGTTTTGGGGAGAAACTACGCTGTTAGAACGGCGACATCATTATTAGTGTCGAAGGAGTAATCACTTACGACGGCAGCTTTAGCGTCCACTGAAGATCTTTCGGTTCCCTCTCATGAAAAGGTCTGACAGCATTATTAAATCGAAGGATTTCGCCTTTCGCGATGGCAATGCGGCTTGCTTTAATATCGTCGCTCGTCTCAGATTCGTCATGAAGGGCAACAGGCTTGTCGCGAGTATCATTGAGCCAGAAGTCTTCACGCTTTAGTGCCTGAATCACCAAGACTCTTTGATCCTAGAGAATCAAATACGAATCAGCACCTCATTCTCCCATAACGTGCCTTGCCTCCGCGAATGTTCCCGGGACATTGGGAGCAGGTTTCAAAAAGGCTTGTGTGCTTACCGGTCCACTATCGTATCCAGAATCTCCGCTGGTTGAGCCAACGCGCACTTGAACCGACGCCTTGTCGATAATCCTACGTGGAGTTGTGGTCATGTTGTCGCCGTTTGCCTCAGCGTTGAATGAATTGACAAAAACAACGGAGAGAATAAACAATGTGCGAGAAGAGGTTTCATCGTGTATATAAATGGATTTGGTTTATAATAAAGATAATGATCTCAAGTCTTGTTATCATGCGCAATTGCAGTCAGTAATGCTCAGTCTGCACCGTGGGCCCTGGTCAGGAGTCGATTTGAGGTACGCAGGCGCGCAGACGTGGGGTTGCGGGGGTTGATCCCATATGTACTCCTGAGGGAAACCAACCAGTAGTTAGGCGCTACATGTTGGTCTCTGGTCACGACTGCGCAGGAGGCGAAGACACAACCAGATTTACTTACGTCACGGTAGTGGTGTACGCATCGGTGTAGATTGGTTTTGGTGGCTGCTCAGGGAGTAGGGGTTCGCGTTTCATTCTAGTCCTTTTCAGAATAGCTGAATGTTACCACCCTATCAAATGGGCCAGGGCAGCATCTTGGCTGCATATCAGCTTGCTTTTCAGGGATGCCATAGGGCACTAGTTCGCCAGATGATCGGCACAGAAGCCTGCCAATGTCGACATCAGCCTATCAAATTTGTCCCTGACACAGCTACGGCGGTTCATGGATTCAGGAGTTTGCACACTTGCGCAAACAGGGTCACCAATAGCAGTAGAAGACAAAAGTTGCTCTTCGAATACTTTTGTCGTTTCCTCGCCCAAACTGGCTTCAAGGCATGTAGCTGGGCTTTTCGACTCTTACGTTTCTGCAAAATCCTTAGTGCAGATTCCCAAATTCAAAACGAGATATTACCAGCTAAATAGCTTTAAAGGAGCTTACGGAACTTGGGAGGTTGTTTTGAAAGCAAGTATGACGTGAACGAATCAGAGTTTGGCTGCCACTCCTGCCATCCAGTCTTTCGTCGGCATTCCAAGACCTCGTAATCGCCCTCACTGGTCACTTTGACCCTGACCCCTGGCCCTGCAAGACATCAGTACCCCTGTTTTCTGCGACTGCGTGACGGCACCCTAAATGCACAGCTGCGTATACCAAGTTGGCCGCTGACATAAGTGCAGCTTTTGAGATTTTCATACCATTTCTTGATAGAATAGTTATCGAACACATGGTTTGCTTGTATCAACGTGTCGGATCACAGCGTGTGGTTTGCCATCATGTACCTTGACTTTAAACCTGACCATCTGCAAGGAGACTAAATCAGGCTCTATTTTTGCATACGCCCGTGCTCAGATCGTGCATTTGGTATTTTTTCCATTGGGACTTCTTGACAAAGTTCTCTCTATATCTAACAGCGTTGCTATTGTGGGAAATCTGTTGACTTCAAAGTGAAAAGAAGCATGCTCCTGTGGCAGTTATTATATCTCAAATTCTTTAAGATAATATCTATAGCAAATACGAAAGTTTGCGCAACCGCATAGTGGCGGTGCTTTGCAGAATGCACTTATCTTGATGTCTTTGCAGTCTTCATATATTACTCATGAACCCGTCTGAACCCGTCTGCATGTGCGTGTCTATGCTACTGACTCGCTCTGTTGTTCGTAGAGCAAGACCCGTCCTATCCGCGACTGCATTCAATCTCTTGGTCAAAACTTGAGAGGGGCTTGTTTTTAACCCTTTGTGTACGCAGTTGCAATCTTTTTGTGCCGTGCTGGCCTATTGAAATATTGATGTGGAAGTCGACATGAAGTGGCTGAGGGAAACCCAGCCGATGGTAGAACGTCCTGTTGAAGGCAGACGTGTATTTAAATGAAGGATTCCTCCCCGCTCAAAGTTCATCTTTTACTTTCTGTTTAAGTTTCTGAAAAAGCAAAATCATTCCTCGAGTTCTCATCATCATTGGTTAAGGCCCAAAAAATGGCATCTGTGTATTGCGTTGTTCTCGTCGAATCTTCGTGGAAGAGTCGCCCTTCCATCCATTTTGTCAAAATACCTGAGGATTACGACTCACAGATATTCATGGAAACTATCAGAAGCCTTTACTGGCAAAATACCAGCAAGAGCAAACGGTTTTTCAAGACAAAGGTCCTCTTCCGGAAGCCTGTGGTTTTGGAAGCTACGTTGCGAAAGGTAGGCTGTCTTACTGATCATAACAAGCCTCGCAATCTCATATGTTGCGACTCGATTTACTCATACTTACACCAGAGCTAACATAATTGACTACAGATGAAGATAACTGATCTTTCGGACGTGCCCGCATCCAAATATCTCGTCAAGAACGCGATTCCTGATGAAGTTTTTACCGAAGCTCTTCTATACCCTAACTCCGTGTCCATGGGTTTCTATCGAACCGTATTCGACGTGTATGGGGACTTTTTTACGGATTCTGTGGAAGCCGATGGCAATTTCACTATGCCGAAGAAGGCATTGCTAATCCGTGAAGAGATGGACTCGACTGTGAAACAGATACTTGGGGGGGTAGTATCAGTCATTGGAAGTGGTATCCTCCTTGGCATTAAGCTGGCGGGTGGTAATTGATACCTATGTCTACGAGTAAATTGTATTAACTGCTGCAAAGTCGATGGTAGTTTAGATATGTAAAGATGTATATGTCGGACTCATTGAAAATTTGGAAGTCGAATCCCTCGACACAAACATGACGTGCCAAGCGTGAAGCTACAGTCCATGTGACACAGTTATGACAGACGACGAAATTTTTGCTTACAGCGATCTAGATACTCTTGGGTACGGTGATGAACCGGAATTCTTGAAATTTGAGTGCGTGTTATACTAAAAGGTCTTCTGGTAACCTAGATTGAATTTGATACACACTGCTATTCTTCCTTCAGCGTGCAGAATGCATCCGCCTGATATTCCATAGACAAGCCAACGAGGTGTGATTTTTCTTTTACCAGATACATATCAGGCAAACAAGAACACCTGCATAAAAGCTTTAGGAAGTTTGAGAGAAGTACGTAGATTATTATGCGAAAACGTGGTAAGCTTCTTTCTTTACAAACTTTAAGGTGTGCAGCGTCCTATTTCATCGGTATTCTAAAGGAACGAAGTCTGTAATCTGAACTTAATTTGATAGAATCTCTGTCTCGAAAATCCATAGTCGAGAGGCAATGTCTTTTGTATACTTGTAAAGCAGTGGCTCATATTCCCCCGAAAACCTAATTGACCAGCTCCAATCCCATGGCTCTGAGCGATCATGCTTAGGCCCGCTAACCCAAAATCCATCAATTCTGTGGCACGCTGGCTTCCACCAGAAGCCAACACCGTCGAGAGCTCCGCGCTGGCTAATATGAAACAAAATCCAAGGTCAGTCCTCCCAAAAGCTATAGCTAGTTGCTGTTCTGGGTAGAAGGAAAAAGCAACTGCTATTCGCTTTGAACTCTGGGTTTATGAAAGGCGTTCCCCGCAAGTTTGATTCCATGATGGAAGTCAAAATCATCACTGGCGCGACTCTGTGTTTCTGTGCAAAAGCAACTGGGTCTATGACCGATTAATGTGAAGTGTGATTTATAGGACAAACCTTACCTGCAACAAAGACTGCAACTAAAAGTCTTAACAAGATATGGCAGTCGTTTTGTGGAGAAAACGTCATTCGAAAGTTATACGACCTAGGATCCTCACATTCTAGTTACGTTACTTGAACATGTCAACTCTATCATATCCCCATTCACATGAAGACCTGAATTGGTTTGGCTCGCAGGAGTGTTTTAGACCGTGAATTCAGGTAGCAAGAGGGCACAGCCTGAATTTGGAAAGTTTCAATGAGCAGTAGCGCAATCATGTTGGCACAGGTAATCCAAAAACGGCCTTTGTCATTGATTGTTATGTGACGGTGGAGGCAATCAAGCATTTAGACCGTCTCTCTACGTATTAAAGAGGCTGTAGCACATTCACAGCTGTCGGCTTTTGATTCACCTGACACAGTCCTTTTTGATGGCAGACTGTCCCACTATCGGCAAAGGAGTTTCTTGTCGAAAAAACACAGAGACAAAGACAGGATAGGAAACGAATATAGAAATCGCCTCGGAGTGGACCAAAGAAAACTTCATAGTATATTTCCCGTTTTAGTAGAACTCTCGTAGGGAACAAAACTCCTAAGTTTTCAAGGCTGTCTAGAATGCACACGTTCTCTGAACATTTAGGAGCCGCCAGAAGGCTTGCAAATAGTGCAACGACCGTCAGAGTTTCGCTGGAAGCATATGTAGCCAGACTTTGAATCATATTAGCGGCAGAAATGGTTATGTAGGTTGAGTACTTACAACGCAATCGTTCCCTTGGGGAGTTGGGGTTGCCATGACCATCGTGGCCAGAGAGGCGATAATCACCGTGAAGAAGGAAGAGGTGCGCATTTTGAGAGATTGTGACTTGTAAGAGAAATGGGATATTTAGTTGACAAAAAGCTTTTGAGACGGTTGATGAGTTTCAGTTGATACTAAAAAGTGTTGTTACTGCGAACCAAGTTAGGTTCTTATAAGTCTGTGAGGTGCGGCGAACATCTCTGAATTGGAATAGAAATGGCAAATGCTATAGTTCAAATGGCATTTAATATATTCCAGACTTGGTCTTAGCTTCCCGCTCTTCAGTTCTTCTTTAAACTTTATATCGAACTAAGAGATATCCACTTTTTTTTAACCAGAATATTATCTCTGAGATTTGTGCCAGGAAGCGATAGGTTAAGCTACCAAATTGTGTATTGAGCTGAAATATTGTGTCGTACCTCTTTGAACTATAGAGAGCGAGTTGCTTTGTTAAAATTCTGTTTTGCTAAGGGAAACTATGTTGCATAACACCTGTCTGAGAAGATGCCTTTCGCGGGTTGACATCGTCACAGAGTGCGACCCGCAAATCAAACTGGAGCCGCGAGTAATTGATGGTGATCCGCACGGATAGAATCCTTCCTTGAAAAAGGTCGGAAGGTTATTTGAGTCCGAAGTTCCGCTGATCTAGTTCGGACGGGGAAAAGGGAAGGCTTGGCAACCACAACAGGAAATTTCAGAATCTCGGTCTTTCGTAGCGAATTATAAAACCCAGCCAAGCAATAGCGCAAACCTTACCAAATACAACTGTATCAAGCACGACTAAATTCATTTACACTAGTGTGTCTGTTTTCATGTTGCGGCAACTCATGCATATAATCAAGTATTTACTATAGTTGGTTAAGCTGTACTTTCAGATTTCGTAGCGTGATTCAACTTACTTGACTTCATTAACAGCTCGTTCTACCACTAATTTGGTAGTCTCTCATATGTTCAGTAGACGCACTGCTTGAATAACCGGGTCTGGCGATATATGGATGTAGTATTCCATTCCCTTGGAGTTGAGTTTGACGCAGCGCCTATGTATTTGAGAGACGGCCCTTGCGCGGCTGTCCGAACAATACGCAGTCAACGATCGGGGGCCTAACACCAGTCTTCACAGAATAGCGCCTCAAATTGTTCCGCCTACTCGATAGAATGAATTGAATGAGAATAGGTCTTTTTTTTTTTTCTTTCTTTTTAAAAAATTTCTTCTTGCGTGGCCGGTATGGCGTCCGGCAAGTCTTCGCCATTCTAATATCAGACCTTGCAATCAGCGCCATCTGTGTGGCTGTCAGAAACTTCAACGAAGAGGAGAGTCTCAACTCGGAACACCCACTTGTGCTATTTGAACCCAAGCCGTGGCCACAACCGTCGGGTATTTGACGAGTGGGAGTCTATGGCCACATCAAGATTAACCCAATTCCTCTCAGATGTTCTATTGACGGTCCTAAAATTCACTTCACGTTATCATGTGATGAGCCGTCTGAAAAACATGACTTCCTTGTTGAAAGGCCTGTAACCCTGCTTCCTGCCATCTGATGTCTGGAGCATTCCCGCCCCTCCTCTTCCGTAACCTTGTCCTCTATTGAACGAACAGGATCGTACGATGCGTATTAAGTCTGGCACCATCCTGGAATGCACCTAAACTTTGGAAATATGCCTTGGTAGTTCCCGGCTTAGCTGTGCGAAAAGGTTCAGACAACGAGAGCAAGCACTTTCAAAGCCTGCTTGCAGTTTCATGGATCAGATCTGTCTGATATCGGTCTTTCACCCGAAAAATTAGCCGATTTACAAGCTGTCCTAACAACGCTAAAATCGCTGCCAAAAACACTAGATGACACATGGGGCGATGTGGGAGGAAATCCCAGAGGACCACAAGGTCAGCGCACGAAGAATCTTGCAAATTCTTGTTTTCTCTACAAGACCACTACAAAAACAAGAAGCCGTCAACACCATTGCTTTCGAGATTATGGGAAATCCCAGATTTGACGTGAGAAACAGGGACCGGTACTGGATGAAGTTGCCTACTACTGCTAGAGCTTAATAGTTATCGCGCCCTGAGAAGACGGAATGAAACTGCTGCAACTGGTTCATTTCTCGGTCAAGGAATACTTGACGTCGAAGCGGGACACACGGATCTCTTAAGACTTTGACGAGCCTCTTGCCAGGGACCTATCGCGAAGGTCTGCGTCGCCTACCTGCTGGAGCTGGATCACAGCGTTGGGATAAGGGACATGCGACGGCGGTTTCTACTGTCGCAGTATGCTTCGCATTACTGCATGAACCATGCGATCCTAGCTGATGCAAGCCAGCCCCGACAGTTCATTGCAGAATTTGCGCGAAACAAGGATAGTTACGGAACCTGTTCTCGATTGCGCGGCCAGGATCTTCAACTGGAGGGGCGACCCGCAATTGGCGGTACTCCTGTGCTATATAACGTGGCCTACGGCAGCGTTGTGTGTGCTGTGGAGGGGTATTGAAGAAGAGCGCCGATGTGAATGAGCAGGGGGGATGGTATGGTTACCCACACCAAGTCGGTGCACTCTCCGGCCATAAAGAGGTTGTCCGAATTCTCCTCGGCCGGCATGCGGATATCAACGCCCATTGCGGAGAGTGGGGCAATGCTCTTGCGGCGGCTTCATGGGCAGAACAAACAGAACTTGTGAAGATGCTACTTGAAAGCAGGGCAGATGTGGGAAGGCCCTCCAGATCGCTTCACTCGGGCGCAATGATGAAATTGTCTGGATACTCATCAATGAAGGTGCCGATATACGTGAGTTGAGCGGTTGTAATGGGACTGCTTTTCACGCCAACCTAAGACGAATTATTCAATAACTATCTATGATTGATCAGGGAGCAAAGTGCTCTCACAAGGAGCTGATTCTTGAGTCTATGGGTCAGCGTAAGAATGGTAGGGTTGGGCATCGCAACAAAAAGGGACTGCAAGGAACTAGAAATGTCAGGGATATGCTTTTGAAAGAACCGCTGCCCCTCGCTGCAGTTCAATGTCTATTTTACAGATGTCAAAGTAAGCGACAATGGGTCATGATGCGTCACAAATCAGGTAGGTGGCGCAGGGAGATGCAATGGTCAGCAACTTTTACCCCATGCTGACCTGGAAAAGTAACGTGGAACCCAAAATCAGCCACTTAAACAGTCGTACATACCAACAAAGGGTGGGTGGTGTTCAATTACTCGCGCTGTTGTCATGCAATTGCGAATGGGCCGACTGGCTGGAGAAATGGAGCGATCCGGAATCTGCCCACGTCTTGGAAATGCGAAGCCTGCTATTGGCTAAAAAGATCTCCAGCCAATGAGAGACTTGTTGATGACCGCAAACAGGGGTCATCTGCAGTGGCAGCCACGGACCGTGACGTCGGTTCTCGGCCCCTCCTACCCTGCAGTTGCATTTGCTTAAAAGGACCCTTCTCTCGTCGAGTTAAGAGACTCTCTTTCCCAAGACACAGCAGTTCAACCAAGATTTACTTCCCTCAACATCATCAATTGCATTTCCGTCTCAACGACAACATCAAACAAACCAACACCACTTCACACACTCCCACTTCACCATCAAAATGACTGTCGACAAGGCTTCCACCTGCTGCGGCAAGAGCGCCGAGTGCGTCTGCGGTACGTCCTTTGCCCCTCCTCCACATTCCCACCCTGCCGATCCTTGAGAACCCCCAAACTGACTTTGTCATTCAGCCCAGCAAGCCAAGTGCTCCTGCGGCAAGCAGTCCGCTCTCCACTGCACTTGCAGCAAGGCATCTACTGAGAACACCGTTGCCGGTCCCCGCTGCTCCTGCCGTGCCCGTCCTGCGGGCGAGTGCACCTGTGAACGTTCTTCTACCGAGAACGTCAAGCCTACTGGCCAGACTTGCTCTTGCGGTGTGCGCCCTGCTGGTACGTCGTCTCTACGATTCACCAAGCCGTGTTCTTGGACGTTTAACTAACATTTCTTAGACGCCTGCACCTGCGACAAGGCCTCTGATGGCTCCTACAACCCTAGCGAGCACGAGATCGACTTCACTACCCGCCGATAGATGCGTCCATCTTGTTGCTGTTTGAGGGTTTATATGCATTAGAAGGTTGGCGTTAGCAATGGTTGGCATGGGGGCATCGTGGCGATGAGTATTTGGCGTTGGGGTTTATTACAACACGGTCATGGGAAAACGACCAGGCGGTTGATTGCCATTGGAATTTGGCAAAACGAAAACAAAATGAATACCAGTATTTGAACCTGAACATGTTGGCAGTCTCTGATTGTGATATCACTGCTTTAATCAAACTTGGCATTGTGTCGCCAAACACATGGTAATGATGTCAGTTTAATTCCATGTTTTGGTTGGCATTCTTCTGTCTCACCACTGGAGCACTGTTGCTGGCGTCAATGATAACATCAGTAGTGTAGATGGAACTGGGACACCCAAGGTCAGTCTGTGCTTTGCCAAGCTCCACTATCACGATTATGTTTCCCAGCTTATCACAAGGGGGAGAAACATGAGCTTAGGTGGAATTGTGTGGAGAAGACCAAAACCATTGGCCCATGTGGTATCCGTAGGACTGGAGAAGGGCACACGGACAGTCCAAAGCTACTTCAGAGTGAGAATGTTGTGCAGCAAGACAGCATGGAACTGCAATCGGAGAGTGGGTGCTGGTGATACCCTGGTGCAAAATGCACATGGAGTTTGACGGCGACCTCGGATGTGGAAGTCTATCAGCATACAGCCTTGTAGAAGCAGGTTGTTCCAATTGACAGAACATCACAGGCATGAAGAAAGGGGGACTACGTCGCTTAATCAGCCGAAGAATTGAGACTTCACAAATTGTTCAGACCAGAAGACAACCCAAATATAACTTGACAGGTGATATAATGGCCATCTGCTGCAGATTAGCAAGCGAGATCGGCCCAGAGATGAACCCTTGTGTGGCTCATTTATTGAGATTACCTTCTGAGGCGAAGCCACGCACAACTGAGGGTAAGACCACTGTGGCTGTTATACGGAGGACTAATTATGACTTATGATGACCGGAGTTCGCCACTGTACCAGGTACCCTGTCCCCAAAGCCCACAACAAGATAAAGTGGTAATGAAGAAAAGGAGGGCTTAACGTAATGAATTTTTTTTTCATGAATTTTGCAGCTTTGGAAAAACAGTGAAAGCTCCGGTCGCGTCGTGGTGTGGGTCAGATACCTTGCTCTGGGGCATCGGCAGACGATGCGAACGTTCCCCGACTCACCGGAAACTCGCCAATAATTTTTTCTTACAGGGGTATCTTTTTCTGCCGGCTGGAACTGGCAAAAAAGCTGGGGCGGTCAAGAGCTCCCCATGGAAGAAGCTTCGCATTTCGACGCAATTGGCCCCGGAGCTCGGGCCACCGACGGTACAAAACAGCCCAGAAGTTGCCGCACTAAGACAGCACCGAGAGCACCTGAACACCTGAGCACCTTCGAAAGGAGCCCACCCGACTACTGGTCATAGGCCTTTGGGGTACCAGCTCCCCCAGCACCCAAGCACCTGCTACCTTTTTTTTTATCCTCTTTTTTTTGTCTTAGCCCGCGCTGAGAGCCACACAAAGCGCCACCCCTGTTTGGTCAGAATTCCAGAGCCCAAGAAAATACAAAGCTGCCCATCCGGTCGCGTCACCTTTTTCTTCGACGCTTTTTCCTTTCACTTTTTAAAACAAAACATCAATCACCCGCTTCTGGATTCTTTTGTTGTTTCCGGAACATCATCAAAATACGTCAATTCGCATCGCGAACTTTCTGTTTTGTGATTGACATCTCCCTATTTCCCGCGCTTCCAAACCCCAAAGTCCTTACCGTCGTATACGCGTCTTGCACGATATCCTGACGCCATCATCTAACAACAATGCCTCCCAAGGCTGCTACTAAGAAGGCCGCTGCGCCCAAGGCCAGCGCGCCCAAGAAGGCTGCCGCAGCTTCTACTGCGACCAAGAAGGCCGATGCCCCCAAGAAGACCGCGAAGCCTGCTGCGAAGAACGCCACCAACGGCGCGACTGCCTCCAAGAAGCGCAAGCTTGCTGAGGAAGACGAAGAGCCCGAGGAGGAGTCCGTCGACGAGTCTGCCGACGATAGCAAGCTGAGCAACACCAAGACCACCAAGAAGGCCGCTGAGCCCAAGAAGACCAAGGCTGCGCCCGCAAAGAAGGGTAAGGCCGCCGAAGCTGCCACTGACGACGAGTCAAAGGCGAAGAAGCCTGCCAAGAAGGCTGCTGCAAAGAAGGAAGACACCAAGAAGCCCGCTGCTGCCAAGGCCGGTCCCGCCAGCAAGAAGCGCAAGGTCAGCGACGAGGAGACGGAGGACGAGAAGCCCCAGGGCAAGAAGGCTAAGAAGGCCGACTCCGCCGAGGTCGACAGCCAGGCCACTGAGTCCGCCAAAGCCACCGAGTCTGCTGATGAGGAGCCCGAGGCTGTCAAGCCCGCGAAGGCCACCAAGAAGACAGCCACCGCTGCCCCCAAGCCTCCTCCTGCCCACCCGCACAAGATTGGCAAGAAGATCAACTCTGCTCCTACCCAGATCCTCGATGTTTACGTCTTTGGTGAGGGTAGCTCCGGCGAGCTTGGTCTCGGCAGCAAGCACAAGCCCAAGAAGGTTACCGATGTCAAGCGCCCCAGATTGAACCCCTTCCTGGACGCCAAGGAGGTCGGTGTTGTTCAGATTGCTTGCGGTGGCATGCACGCTGCTGCCCTGACCAAGGACAACAAGATCCTCACATGGGGTGTCAACGACCAGGGTGCCCTCGGCCGCGATACCACCTGGGACGGTGGCCTCCGCGATGCTGATGCTGAGGAGGAAGAGGATGATGACGAGGACAGCGGCATGAACCCTAAGGAAAGTACGCCCACTGCTATCGATGCCGTTCACTTCGCTCCCGATGCCAAGTTCACTCAGGTCGTTGCCAGCGACAGCGCCACTTTTGCTCTTACTGAGGATGGTAGAGTCTACGGTTGGGGCACATTTAGAGTAAGAGCTCCGCATCCTATACTGGCTATCGATATGCTAACAAGACCTAGTCGAGCGATGGTATCTTGGGATTCACCGAAAAGATCAAGATTCAGATGACACCCGTTTTCCTGCCGACCCTGAAGAACATCACAGCACTCGCTGCCGGTTCCAACCACATCCTTGCTCTGGACAACAAGGGTCTTGTTCAGGCATGGGGCTGCGGCCAGCAGAACCAGCTTGGCCGACGAATCATTGAGCGCAACAAGCTGTCTTCGCTTGTTCCCCAGAGCATGGGTCTTCCCAAGAACCGTGTCAACCGTATCGCTTGCGGATCCTACCACAGCTTTGCCATGGACAAGGATGGTGTCGTCTGGGCCTGGGGTCTGAACAACTTCGCCGAGACTGGAATTGCCAGCGGTGCCGGTGAAGATGATGCCGTCATTCTCCGCCCGACCATTGTCGAGTCCCTTAAGGACTACAAGGTCAAGCAGATTGCTGGTGGTGAGCACCACTCTCTCGCTTGCACGGAGGACGGCAAGCTTCTCACATGGGGTCGTCTCGACGGCCACCAGGTCGGTATTCCCGTCGAGGAGCTTGACGCGGAGAGCGTTATCAAGGATGAGAGCCAGAACCCTCGTATCCTTTCCAAGCCTACTGTTGTTGAGGGTAAGTTTTTTCCAACTCGCACTATTGACTGTTACTGACTTTGATACTAGACGTTGCCAAATGTGTGTTCGTTGCCGCAGGAGTCGACAGCAACATCGTCATCGACGCCAAGGGCGTTGCGCACTCGTGGGGCTTTTCTGCCAACTACCAGACCGGCCAGGGAACTACCGATGACGTCGAGACCCCTACCACCATCGACAACACTGCCGTTCGCGACAAGAAGCTCGTCTTTGCCGGCGCTGGCGGCCAGTACTCCATCCTCGGCGGTGTCGCCGATGTTCCCCAAGCCAATGGCTTTGCCGCGACTGTTAACGGCCAGCCTGCTGCTGGTGGATTCAGACCCGTTTTTTAAGCACTCAATCTCTTGATGGGTATACATCAGCCAACTGACGCTGAGTGATTAAATGAAAAAGAAAAGTGCATAATGATAGGCAGTCGAAGAGGCCACGCATGATATGAGTTTGAGAGAAAAGCCGTTACCGCGGAAGGGGGAAAAACAAGTAGACTTGGCTCGAAAGCCAAGTCAAGGGAACATATTTCCAGAACAAATGTTGCAGCTCATTTTTTTAACATGAGCGGTCTTTCTGCTATGCGAATATTTTCGTACGATTTTGGGTCTTTTTTTGGGAGGGAGTGGGACTGGGTTTTGTGTTTTTTTTTTTTTTTTTTTTTTTATCATCGTCCGGCGAAACGGGCTTTATAGACATTTTTTTCTCATGAGAGAGAGCTGCAGTGAATTTGGCTCCGGCATGGCATGGAACGGATGGGGGAGGGGGGAATTGGGATGAACGGCCTCGACGGAAGTCATTTACTACGTACGTAATGATACCTAGGGCGGTTTCGGTTCATCAAGGTCCCGTTCTGATTGATTTGTTTTTTATGAGGGGCCACTCCGGGAGGAACTTGATCTCGTCTGCATGACTCTTTTGGTCTTTCCATAAAGACGTGGAAGGTCCTTTTCTGTTACACTGTAATATTAGGTTGGGCATCATCTCCACGTTTCGCCCCCCCCCTCGACACATGGTATCGTTGTCTGGGGGAGTTTATTCAAGACGTTTTTTTCTTTTGACGATGACGCAAGTAATTAATTTGCGTTTGAAGAAAAAAAAAGTTTGGTTTATTTTTCTGGCTTCGTCTGAACATGATTTTTGTGATTATGCTGTTGTACAGTAAACGTGAAGCAAGCAATGTCGCCCTTGCTGCGCTTCCGCATCGTTGGCTTTGGTTTCGTTTGACACCCCATCCATCCCCCCTTGCTCTCCGTCTGTCTATCCATGCACTTCCTTTTTGAATTCCATCCTGTAGGCTGTTTGTTTACTCCCTTTTTTTTTTTATGGATCTTTTCCACCTCCGCCCTTCCTAGTGATCTGAATGCGCATCTTTCCCCTTTCTTCTTATTGGCGGATTGCTAGATTCGATCTTGCTCTGTATGTTCGAGCGCCCCCCGTCTCCTTTATTCGTCACTCATGCCTTCAGTCCAGCGGCGGCCTTGACCAAGGATCCGCTACCCCTAGAGCTGAAGATGCCCATGATGCCGAAACCGACGTAGAACAGAGCCAGCGGGTACGCTACAAGTCCGCGCATGCCACGCATCCTTCCCACGGCGCAGAACATGCCCGAAGCGGAGTACGTGCACCAGAGAATGGCCATTGTCGTGAGGACGATACCCAGGGGTGTGTCCATTGGCATCACGATGCCGACGAGGCTGGTGGCGACGAGCGGGAGCAGGCAGTATCCCAGCACGGAGCTGGAGCGGGCGAAGGTGAGAGTGCTCGAGAAGTGGCCTGTCCGGGCGGGGTGGTCGTGGGAATCGGCGCCGGGGTAGCCTGGGCCGCCGCCGTATTGCGGTGCTTGGGGAGCTGCGGTGGCGGACGGGTGGACGTCGGTAGGGGTCATCAGGGAGAGGATGACGTGCAGGGAGGTGCTGCCGAGGAGGGCTAGACCGTAAATGTAGCCGAAGTGGACTTTGCCGGAGAAGAGCAGGAAGGTACCGAATAGCCTGGGGATTGAATTGTCAATGAAGGCTGTAGAGCGCAGAAGAAGGCTTGTCTTACAGGAAGAAGAGGATGGGACCTGCCAGATCTGAATCGTCCATGATGTGTTGATCGATGCGACGGAAGGGATTAAGGACTGCGAGGGTCTGTTCACATGTCAGTCATTCAGGTCGTACCGAGATAACAAGAAGTTGAAGCTGTAGGAATAGCAACATTGCCAGTGTGAACGCACCTTTCCTTGGATATGTCCAAAGTTGACGCCGAGCTCCTCAAGCAAGGGCGGCTCTCTGTCGTAACCTTCCGTCGAGAAAGCAGCGAGCCAGCCGGTCCTCAGTCCTCCTTGCTCGCCCATGCGTCCCGACACACCCGCCGCGGCACCGAAGGCGCCCGCACCACCAAAGCCTCCAGCACCGCCGGCACCGAACTGCCCACCGGAGGGCTGGCCTCCGTAGCCGTACGAGGCTTGTTGTGGGGTCGCATGGCCAGAGACGGCAGCGGGGGAGTAGGAGGAGGGGTAGAACTGCAGGTTCTGGGCGCCTGCGCCGGGGCCGGGGCCGTATGATGGTTGCTGGTAGTAGTTTGACATTTTTTCTTTTGCTTTTTATGGTGTTTTGGTTTTCCGGTTGCCCAGTAATGTGTAACTTGTTCCCCGTTTATGGGTCGCTTCGTCTAATCGCTTCGTGCGACTATGCTCCGGAATTGTTGGAGAATGCGATTTAATCGTATGCGATTATACTCGTCGTGAAAAGGAGAGGGTGTCCGCGGAGGGGAGCTCGTGAGCCGTTGGCGCCGGGGGTGGAGTGCGGACGCGGCGGGTTGCGTGGAGAGGACAGGTTGACCCTGAGCTTAGGTACGGTGGCCGTGTTGGAGATGTAGCTTCTTTGGAGGTTCACCACGTCAGTCAGGGCTGAAGCTGGTAGTGGGACCTGGGGAGCATGTTTATGCCTGAAAACTAGGGCACCAAGAGTGAGCTAACCAGGCAGGAAGAATATCTTTATCGATAACTTCCCTTATCAATCCTCTTATCGATAAACGATCTTATCCGTTCTCGGGTCGGCTCCAAACCACCCATGTCTGAGTCCGTCTCCATCTCCATTTCATCCTCCCCATACATGTTATGCGCCAGTCAAGCACATAAGATGAACTCCTCCACTGCACGCGGCATAGCCATGATCAACAGCCGACCGTTAGGCATTCTAATTCTGGAGATGCCGACGTCACGCAATCATCAGCTTTCCCATGAGTACCTACCATTCTGCCCATATGTGGTGAGATGCCGGAAACCAGATTCCTCTTCCAACTAGCGTCAAACGAAGCGCAAATTTCTGCCCACGTCTTCGCTGGAATAGGTAAGCGCCTAGCGACAGGGAGTCTTTCTCTGGGGCCAGACTCTGGTTCCAGTGGGAACCATCCCACATCACAATTCCCGAGATCCAGCGGCAGTTTTTTTGCTTGCTTTTTCACAGTACTCCGTATGGGGCCCCCTATTATCTATCCCATGGCCACGGGACTGGCTTAACCAGAGAGTCTGGCAGTGTTGTCGGCAGTGGGCTGCTCATCTCCACAACTGAAGCCGGTTCTGGACCGCATCACCTACATGATTGTTATGCTCGCCACATTAGATGTGGTCCTCTCCTAAGAATTTTCGCCTTGTCCGAATCATCGCGTATACTCGTTTACGTTCTTTAATAAATAGCAATCTATCAATTTGGGTATGTTCGGGTCGACTAACACAGTCCTGGTCAGCTGTTTACAGAATACTGAATCGCGCACTTGCTCGATACGATGAAAAGCCCTGGTCAACGTTCCATCGAACTCATATACGGATGCTCGCCGAAGAAAGATCCTCCGGACTAGGCTTTCCGAAGTATGAAGGGCTGGGCGCAATGTCATCGTGGAGTCGACCCGACTGGCGAGCGCACATGGTGTCTTCAGCAACTAAACATCATCGTCAGCGAAGTCAGGGGACCCCTCCCTTCTGAGCAATCCTTCGAATCTCTCAATTGCTGGGATTTCTCTTCCACGGAGATATCGATGGGTCCTTCCTTCACGGCCAAGCCGCCATCTACATTCTATGAGGTGTCCTACGGGTGTGGAGTTGGTTTTCCACCAACAGGAGGACGCGATGGCCTCAACCCCAATTAACAGGGGTGTTCACTGGTGGCTTCAGATAGAATGCAACAGCTTGTATGTCCATGGGATACGTTGTACCGAAGCTTGCTCGCAATAAGGTACAGGCCGAAAGCTACCAGACGCGAGGGCCTCCTTGTTGACTATGAGAAGCTTAGTATTTAAGCTTGATGACGGCCGGCTACACGGCAAGTTGCTGATCCCTCTTGTTGATCACACACTGCTGCATTCTCTCTTTTAAACCTTGCCACGGTACTACAACAGCAATAATGGGTCTTTACAAGTTTCTCTTCGCCGTCGTCCCGGCCGTTTTGGCTGCCGACATCTACGTCTCGCCCTCTGGCTCCGACAGCGCCGGCGGTACCCTCGCCGCTCCTCTGAAGTCGATCCAGAAGGCTGTCGACAAGGCCGTCGCTGGTGACACTATCTACCTTCGTGGCGGCACCTACTCGCCCACCACCAACATCAAGATCACCAAGAGCGGTACGGCCGCCAAGCCCTACACCCTGACGGCTTACAACAACGAGGCCGTCATCCTCGACGGTGAGGCCCTGCCTGGTACTCCCGGCGCTCTGGACTCCTCGCTCGCCAACGCCGACCGTGGTGTCTTGCACATTGAGAAGGCCAACTACTGGAAGTTCTACAAGTTGACCATCATCAACGGCCCCTATGGCGTCTACCTCCGTGACGGCTCCAACAACTACTTTGAGCGCATTGTCACCCACGACAACTACGAGACCGGCTTCCAGATGCAGGGCTCCCTGAGCAACAACCAGGTCATCTACCTCGACTCCTACCGCAACCGCGACCCCCGCAAGAACGGTGAGAGTGCCGACGGCTTCGCCTGCAAGGAGGGCTCTGGCACTGGTAACATTCTCAAGGGTGCCCGCCTTTGGGAGAACGTCGACGACGGTCTGGATCTCTGGTAAGTCTCCATCACACACAACGTTCTTGTGTTTCTTAGCTAACCACTTGACAAACAGGGAGTTCAAGTCCCCCATCACTATCATGGACACCATCTCCTGGGGCAACGGCGTGAACCGCTGGAGCTTCTCCAACTTCCAGGGCGACGGCAACGGATTCAAGCTGGGTGGTGGCGACGCTGCCGACATTGGTGCCGCCAACCACGTCGTCACCAACTGCATCGCCTTCGAGAACGCCGCCAAGGGCTTCACGGACAACAAGCAGCCCGGCAACTTCCAGTTCTCCCGCAACACTGCTTTCAACAACGGTGCCGTCGGCTTCCAGACCATCACCACCAAGTCGACTCTCAAGAACAACATTGCGGCCCGCAACTCCAAGACGACTGCCAAGACCGGCCAGACCTCGCTCGTCAAGGGCACCTCCAGCAGCGGCAACTCCTGGGACGGCAGCGCCACCTGGTCCGATGCTAGCTTCAAGAGCGTTGACACCAAGCTTGTCAAGGGCGCCCGCCAGGCCAATGGCAAGATCGCTCCTAGCAACTTCTTGATCCCCACCTCCGGAGCCGCCGTTGGTGCCACCACCACCTGGTCTTAAGCACAAGTCTTGAGTAAACATGAAGCTTAATCATGAAGCTTAATCCTTGAACATAATTTTCTGTATATAATTAGTTAAAACTGCCAAGTGCAGAGTACATAAATCAACCCGTATATATTGGTCTCTTCGCAAAGTTCCAATCGTCGTTGCTGTGTAGTAAACGTGGTTCCATCTGCATGAGTCGTGTTTTGCCCAAGTTTGGGAGCCTAAATATTCGTTTTAGTCAGAGGAACTTATGCAAATGAGCTGACAACATGGGTTGCTAAATTGATTAAGGGACCGTTGCATCGGGTTCGATTTCATATATCCAAACTAAAGTGCTGTTGCACTCGTAAGAAACGTTCATGGGAACAACCCCGATGGGCTCATCAGTCGCGCATTTGAAAATGAGGTGTGAATAAGCTTAAGAAGTCGAAAGCACGCGTCGGGATATATCGGTGATAGTCCCAAACTCAAAATAAAGAGAGGCCTGGGTGTGCTTGACCAGGGAAGGCATCTTTTTTGAAAATCTACGGAGTACAGATAGACTGATAATGACCCCCCCGGTGCGTAGGTACCATAGTACCTTTGCTGATCAAGTAGTGTGTGGGTCGGGTCATTTCAGCGCCCTTAAGGTGATGGTGGGGCGCTTTCAAGCTAACAGTAAAGAGGGGTTAGGGGATTTCAGCATGCGGACCATCTCCGCTTAAACAGCAAAACACAACCACGTCTACAGCTCAATTGAGAGCCTCTCCGAACAGAGGTTTCGAATCTCTTGAGAGTCTGAAAAGCCCAAGAAACTCAGTCTGATCAGGCAGGGTTACGATTCCAGATACTCTAAGCTCTTTAAGGTGTGCTGTTTTATGTCTCCGCTCGTCTGATCAGTCCCTTACGGAATACTTGAGTGAACTTAGGAAGACTTTCAAATTGGTTACGCTACCTTATACCCAAATTTGGCTGCTACGTCCCAATAGTTATACTCCGTAAAGCTATATTGTTTCGGGGGTGAATGCAATTTTGACAATTGGCATATGGCGTCCCGTTGAATGTATGCTCTAAATATTAATCTAGCCATACGATATTAAGCCAAAGTTATTTGAACACAGGAAGACATCCCAATCAAGTGGCATTTGCTGGAGATACTGGTTCAAGCATTCAACGTTGTTAAACGACATAATATCAATGTTCAATCAAAAACTGCAAATGAAGTTATGGGGGAGATAATTGAGCAATGAATAATATTATCTAAGGGCTTGGAGAAGAGGTGCAAGAGAAAATTCTCTACTTTAGCAGCTCCTGTTTGACTTCCGCTCCATCAATTAGAGGGACCCATGGGATCCTGCGCTTGGCAAACAGCTCCATTTGAGGCTTACAGAGACCTTTGAGCGCACCCTCATCGTCAAGTGTTCCAGATTTGACGTAGTAGACGTCGGGAGTTGCAGGCCCGTGGCGGTAAATGGTGACGCCACAGTCACCACAGAAGAAGTTTGTAGCGGAGCTGCCACTGGGACCGGTTTTAGAAAACATCTTCAAGTTACCGCTCGTAGTACTGAATAGTGGGACGGGAACGATGAGGTTGGTGCTGTTGGTGCTGCCAGAGATCTTTCGGCAATCCAGGCAGTGACAGCGAAACTGGACTGTTAGTATTTCTGGTTTTGATGAAAGAAGGCAAAGCAATTGACAAATGGAAATGGAACTTACAGCAGCGACAGGGTCTGCTTTGATGGTGAACTGTATAGTTCCGCAAAAGCAGCTTCCGGTAAGAACCATCTTGACGGTCGAATGGCTGGGGAGAGGGCGTCTTAGGAGGAAGGAATTTTCAATAGTTAATGATGAAAGGATGAGCTGGTTCGAAAGTTTCCTACGGGTTATTCCTTACATTTATATATCTTTGGCTCTCTTGTCGTAGGTTTGAAGGTGCGAGCCACCAGCTCGACAGAAGGTTTTTGAACTGGTGGAGCACAGTTCAAGGCATGTGCTTCGATGACTTTAGTCGGAGAATTTGTGCGAGCTATCCGTGCTTTCGCTGTTCGGTATCTGGAAATACCGTGTCAAAGGAGTCACCCTCGGCCTAGCACATTACTTGAGATTCTCTGATGTCACTAGTTCCGGGATCCATGCTTAATGATGGGTAAATCACTAGTCACAATTTTTGTAATGGATGCAATTCACATGTGATTTCGCGTTGCCCTTAGATTACGATCGTATGACTATAATGCAGGTATTTGGCTACAAACTCGAGAGGCTTAAAATGTAGTTTATCTAGGATGACACAACAGGGACATTTATCTGTCTCCCGGGCTGTTCTTAAGATCAAATAACGAACGTGGGCGGCTGGCTTTGTTTTGCTCAAGGCCTCATTGTCTTTTCCACGGTACTTGATATGAGTATTGGTGCTTATGTCTTAGCAGACAGACACGCGAGGATGCAGTCAACATATGCCCGCGGAGAATATTGTCATGTTTTCAAGTTGCTCTCTGGCTCTTAGTGAACGTTCCTCTATGCATCTTACAATCAATATCCAGTGAGACGGACTTTGCATCCCCGCTGTTTCGGAAAATATGTGCGTTAGCTATGAAATCCCACCGGTTCGCAATGACTCTTACCTAGTCCCAAAAAGGCATTGCTGCCGACCTGCCAACTTCATTGGTCATTTCATGTACATTAGCAACTTGTCTGTATAAAGTTTCTAGCTATTCTTGTCACCCGATGTTGTCGGATTAAGGCGGGGGAAAACTATGTACTATCAGCCTAAAGTATTATTGGAATCTACTGGTTCAGAGGGTTTAGGCATGATAGCTTGAGGGTAGTGCGATTGAGCAGCAAAACGTACCATACCCACGAGCTCGGATCGGGCACAGTTAGCGAGATGTTGGATGGTTTCTTGTTTCTTTTCCCACGATAGGTTATTGATGTTCATCTAATTGAAGTAGGAGATAGCAGTCACGAGACTCATTTTCCCTTCAACTAAAAACCCTGCTTGATTTCTGTTGCTGTCTTGCGACGAACGACCAATCAACACCCATCTTTTACGAAGCTCTCTGCCATGTTTCCTGTTTGCGGTCCGTGAGGGATTGACCCCAAGATCGAGCATTTCATAACGCTGTAATGCCAGTCTACCAAGGGATGCTTTGACAAGAGCTTACCACGCAGACGAAATGGTGCAGGAAACAGAATGCCCCCGAGGCAAAGATTAAGTACATCGAATTGTCCACTATCCGAATCGTTCCTAATTACTGGAATCACCCAAGGCTCAGGATGTCACCATACTTGTCGAAGGACTTACGTAACAACGAGTTCGCCGGGAGGGACAGCTATGCGGCAACGCTAGCCAGCGGTACCTGGGTAGCAAACGGTTTTCAGTGGATTTCGGGTTCGATTTCGATGAAAATGTCCCAGAAATTTCACATCAGCGAATGCTATACATGAAAATGGCGTATGGGTTCTTGGACACTCGCTCAAAGAGCTGCATTGGGGTCTAAGGTCAGCTCGATAAAAATCGACTTTCAGAATCCCTAGTAAAGTGCCAATGCGGATAAAGTCAGAGAATTGACGGATGTTTGTGGAAGAGCTTCACAAGACGGCTGGAAGTATGATGTAGGACCTGGAAACTCATCAAAGTTATCAACCTACTATTTTGTTTTTACTTGGATCACTAAACACAAACGTGCTTGAGTACGAGCCTACGGTACCTCGCAAATTCATTGCTATATGTGGCACGATGCAATACATTTTGTTTTATTCTTGACCCTAAAGTACATGTATGCTTCATGGCATTTCCTTCCCTAGCTTAAAGAGCCAGAGCCACAGGATGACATGGGCATCACAAATCAGCAGAGACTCAGCACAAACAATCACATGAATCGGTTGAGGCTTGATTAGAAGAAAATAGTATTGTTCATTGAAAGTTCAACGTAAATTTTCGTAGAAGGTAGGCAGCCTGGAAGCTACAACCAGACCAATGTATTCTCCAAAGATGTCTACATTACTGGGTCATGCTCAAAGAGAGAGATGCCTCCGAACCGCCGTTGTTCTTCGCACAAATCGAGATGCTACCCCCCGAAAAGTCAATGTACATCAACCCAGCACCCTTGGCCCTGTTTCCGGTGAAGTACTTCGGGCCGGAACTGTCGTCTCCGATCTGGATCTCGATGCCGTCGGACGTGGTATACGAGAAGCCGTAGTTGCCCTCTTGTATGTTCAGACCAGTCGTCGGGAAACATGATGTTGCGCCGGCTGTAACCTTTTCGTCCAGCTTGAAGACTTCCTTACCGGCCGGCGCTTTGACGGCTTCTGAGGGCTCCTCGGTAACCTTGAAGGCCAACGCACCAGAACCGGATCCGCAGACTTTGATTGAAGCGGTTGACTCGGCGAGGAAGGTACCTGTCCATGGTCCCTTGGACTGGTGATATCCCTCGTCCGTCGAGCCGGTCTGGATGCTCACGATCATATTCGGGTCTACGTCGAAAGAGAAGCCGTATGTCGTTCCGGCTGTGGCAGTGAAGTCGTTCATGGGGAAGCATGATAGACTACCACTGCCGACTTGCTCATTCAGCGAGGCCAGGGTCTTGGGCGCAGGCGGAGGCGGCGGTGGCGGCGGCGGCGACGATGAAGCGGGCGGCTTGCTGCTCGTTGCCGGAGGCTTGGGAGGGGCAGAGGTTGGCGTTGGCGCGAGGGTAGTGGTCGAGGAGACGACTGAGCATGCCTCGCCCTTGAGGTCCTGTCTTTTGAACTTGGCACTGCGAGGACGGTTGCAGACGGCACCCTGACCGTTGAAGACAACCTGACCGCCGTCGGGAGATCTTTGATAAGCCATGTCCATGAGCAGCTTTTGCATGTTGGCTGCCACCTTTCCAATTTCGTACAGTTCCGGGTATTCGCCTACTGCGAGAAGATAGGCTGCGAGGCCGGCGACGGCGGGTGCGGCTGGGGTGCGTCAAGTTAATTAAGGTGTTTTTGTTTTACACGAGGACTACAAGCTGGAACTACTCACCAAAAGACGTTCCGTCATTCTTCCGCGTGCCAGAGAAGAAGGAATTGGCAGCGCACTGGAGCTGAACACCAGGCGCCATGACGTGAACCAGAGGTCCTCCTTGAGAGAAGCTGGCATTCTTACCAGTGTTGTCGACGGCTCCGACGTTGATGACTGGTACGCCGTCTTCAGCCATCAAACCGGGCCAACTGTTGACATCGGCAGCTGGCGCTCCTTTCTGGATATATACAGTCAGCTCAGGACCTTAATGCGTGGTAGCTATGCCCCAACATACAGCTATTTCAGGACGGTTATCATTTCCGGCCGCCGCAATAACGATAATGTCCTCGGCAATCATTTCGTTGATGTATTCTCTCATCGTTCTCTTGCTGAATTCAGATGTGCTATTCTCGCCTACACATGCGTTAGTCCGTAAAGTTTCGATCCACGGGACACATCAAGCCATCGACGGGCGGAAAGGCGGTACGTACGGCAGCGTGAGAGGTTCACAATGGCTCTGCCCTGGAGCTTCTTGAGCCTTACGTCTTCCACTATTCTGTCTAGGGCATCGTCGGTATCGGAGGCCTGCGTTGAGGCTTTGACAATGACGAGGTTGACCTTCTTCGCGACTCCGTACTTGGGGCCGTTGACCTTGGATCCGGCGCAGGTGCCGTGTCCATCGGGGTCGAGATCCTCTTCGACAGACTTTTCTTCTTGAGAGCCCGCGAAAATCCAGCGGGGCTTTACTGCCATACCGGTGTATTCCTGGCCATTCACTTGAGTCAACTGCGTCTTGGAAATAAACTTAAACTTGAAAGAATGGGGCTTACACTATTCTTGGCATAGTATCCGCTGTCAAGAACGTAGACGGTAATCTCGGCTCCAGCACTATCATCGTATGAATAGCTGTTGAGACTTTTGAGGTCTACACCCGGCGGCTGAGAAATCATGACGAGTTCGGCTGGGGCATTGCCTTGCTTAACCACGGCGCGCTTTTGAATTCTTCCAAGCTTGTCCAGCGACTCCATCCACCACTTCTCGTGGACGTCTTCGCTGGGTTCTCTTTCCGTGACAAGCACTGATGCGCCATGATTGGTGCGGTCTTTTTCGTCGGGCTCGACTCCGCCAACCTGGTAGGTTTATGAGATAACGATTTAAATGACATGCGAAAATTCAAGGGAGGGAAGGCTCAGCATACCAGAGGATTTTTGATTAGGGTGTCACGTTGCGTGGTTGTGATGTTGGCGGCGACGAACGTGACCTTCCTACCGGATGTTGTCCTATAATTCCCTTTACCGAGCTCTTTGTCGATCAGTGCGAGGAAGTCCTTCTTGTCCTGGTCGGTGGCGCCGTCCTTTGGGTAAATGACATGCGGCGCTGGCGTCCCGCTCGGTGCGGCGCTCGAGGTACTCGCCGGGGGTTCCGAACTTGTTGGTTCCAAGCTGGAAGACGGAGGTGCAGAAGAATGAGGCGCGGAAGATGGCGCCTCGGGTAACGAGCTAGGCGGCTTTTCCGGGTCGTCGGGGTTGTCAGGTTTGTCGCCAGACGGAGAGCCAGCGGTGGCGGATGCGCCGGCCGCCACAGCAACCGGGGCGGCGCCGGCAGCGGCACCGGCGACGGTGAAGAAGCCGCCACCAGGCCCGCCGACTACGACAACGCCTACGGGGACAACGATGGTGTCTCCATTGCTGACGGTAGTGGTCGCTGGTGCGGCAGTGCTCGTGGGTGCTGCTGATGAGCGAGGGGGGCTCGTGATGGTGGGTGCGGCAGACGAACGAGGGGCGGACGAGGGGTTACGAGATGCGCGGATACTCGAGGAGCGGGCTGTCGAAAGCGGAAGAGAGGGGCGGCGACTGGATGAGGGTACGACACTTGCCGCGTGGGTTCCGTTCCTTACAGGGGTGGCTCGTCGGAGGATGAGAGCATCATCGTGGTATAGTTTACCCTGCAGGTCAGTTGCTACTGCAGAGAGGCAGAGAGAACTCAAGATGACAAGTAAAGAGCGTCGGGCTTCGAATTTCATGTTCAATTAACGAGAGTGATGTATGTTTACAAAAGAATGTAGGGCGATGATGGCTCCAAGGCTATCTGGCCAAGCCGACAGTTCCCGCGCGTTCTCTCACCAGGCATTTATAAACGCAGGCCGCTCAAGGTCATAAGTCGAGGCTATATCCACTGAACCTCTCAATCAGAAACATAGTCATATACTCAATGGTCGATCTCCCAAGAAAAGCTGCACTAGAATGGAGGATGCTAATTTTGGGAGAATTGTTGCGATGGCGGTGACTTAACCCACGCTGTTAAGTGGCAGAGATCAATCGTCTCAACTTTATATTATGGGGGGGGGGGGGGGGGGGTCTGCTAGCCTACTGCGTACTTTTCTCTTGGTCTTTCGTAGGTTGAATGGTACTGCTGCTTGAAGCTTATGAATCAACTAGAATATGTACACGATGCTCGCTAATTCAACGTATACTGACTGGCAACTTCATCATGCTCCATGATTGACAACTGTCGATTCAAAACTAACACAACTTGGAAGGCTCATCAGTTACCTTAGTTGGGAGTGACTTCACCCGCAGTCTTTCGTAGAAAGAGTGTCAATCATGCCATGTTGGCTGTCAGCAGAGCTTCGATGCAGATCTTTATCACACTGAAACTGCCCCGTCAATTAGTTGTCCACGGGCGAATTCTGATTCTGGGGTTCCCCGAGTCAGACAGTTGCTGCTCCAAAGAAGGCATCCTCGGAGTTAGGCGTCTTAATGTCAGCCTGGATGCAAATTATGCCAAGACTCAATGCAAAGCGGAAACCACGGCAGGGAAACTTTGACAAAGGCTAATAAGAATTCTCGGCAGTGTGTGCTGATGGCACCGCCACACACACGTGTACCACAGTTGGTCTAATATATCAGACGAGGTGATATGTCAGTACAACCTCTAGACCAACTACTCGGGGCCTTGAAACACGCCTCAGAAGATCAACCTTCTTATTAATTTTCTTGGCAGACCTATATACCCACACTGCTGTTGGGAAACTGCCTAATGCATCTACTTTTCGCTGCATTGTCCCCCAGGCTCTCTAAGAAAATGACGTGCTCTTGTCGTTGAGTTCCTCTATTGTGTACTCATGTACCATGCCAAACTTGTCAGAGATGCGCCACTGAGTACAGAATGACACGAACTTCGGTTTATCCGATCTTAATGATACGCTCGGATAACTTCATTTGACTTTGTCCGAGAACTCAACTTAATGCCAGCCAGGGGGCATGGCAACCCCTGCTTCTTCAAATGTGTTACAGGGTTTCTTCTCTCAAAAAGAAACGATCGGAAATGCTCCTTAGGTAAGCGGCTTCTAACAGCTGTCACCAGACGGCTAGGTAGAGATGGCGCGAGACCCTGGAAGGCCAGAGAACCTCGAAGGAAGGCCAAAAAAAAAAAAGAAAAAAAAAAAGGCCTCGGCGCGGCAAAACTCGCGCCGCCGAACCTCTCGGAATTTCTCATCGGCAATTTCCATATCGTGATGGATTTTTCTGGCAAGCGAAGCTGCTCACCACTCCCCGAACCAGCAGCTCTGCCTCGCGACGACCGCTTGTCCGTCCGCATCGCATCCGCGTATCCTATTACCGCGCGCGACCTGTAATTCCATTTGAATTGCACATTGTAACAACATATTTCTCTCTTCTTTTTACCCTTCGCGCAGAAGTAACTGCGTTAATACCTCCAAAATGGTGAGTCTCCAGCTCCCGGGGCCGCCCCCCCTCTCCGAATCGGATGCGCCACCTCGAGCTCAACGGCCCGTCTCGGCCTCACTTTACCCTCTTGCGAAAGATATCCGATAGCTAACTGATGTTTCTTGTTTTGTTTAATGTAGGCCTACCGTCTCATTACCCAGGTAGTCTTCGTCGGCTCCCGCATCATCGGTCGTTCCTTCGCCGCCGCCTACAAGCAGGCGCAGGCGTCATCCGAGTACCAACGCGCGCAGGCCAAGAGCGGTAACGGCGCCGCTACGGCCAAGTCCAACGGCGTGGCCGGCATGACCATCGACGAGGCATGCAAGATTCTCAACGTCGACGCGCCCAAGGATGGTGCGTCCAATGCTGGCGAAGTGATGGAGCGCTTCAAGCGGCTCTTCGACGCCAACGATCCCAAGAAGGGCGGCAGCTTCTACCTGCAGAGCAAAATCCTGCGGGCGCGCGAGAGGTTGGAGAAGGAGATTGGGCCGATTGTCGAGAAGGAGGAGATCGACGCCGAAGTCAAAGAAGGGTTCAAGCCCAAGATTTACAAGGACCGGTGAGGCTCGCGCTTAGTCTCGTAAGGGCTGGCTCTCGCGATGGGCATCAACGTGACGAATCCGATCGAAGAATCGGCCCCGACGGATGGGCACGCGGCGGAAGGAAAGGGCTGAGAGCACTCCACTCTACCAGCAGCAAACAGAGTGCTCGAGAGGCCTGGTAAAACAAAAACTGTATTGGAACAACTTCACTCGACTCCGCATGGCATGGCGTTTTTTTGGCAGGGTGGATTTGGCGCGGCACCGCCAGCATTGGCATGGTTAGACGATAAAAAGGGTTGCGCAAGTGTGTTAATACTGTACTATAACAAGACACCGGAGACGAGGAGTTGAGTCGATCAGAGGTCGATAGAGAATGCACAATCTGTGTACTACTCGAACGAGTCGAGTTCTTATGATCAAGATGCTGTGAAACCAATGCACACCGCCCAGGCATTGGACGGAAGTGAGGCCGGCTCTTTCTCCAGTGTAATCAACCAACGGTAGCATGAAGGTCACCCTGCGTGATGCTAACCCGAGATAATCAACAAAATGACGTCCGAATCTCAAGCCGGGCAAATGCAACGTACTCCAAACGAACTTCAGCTCCTCTGCGCCCGCCGATCCTCGGAAATAGACCCACAAAAACAAACATAATCTAAACAGAAAAGGCAAAAAAGATTCAAGGTCGTAAGGACCCATCCATTGCTCAGAGGCGGATTCGAACCGCCGTCAACACGGAGCGCTGTGTGAAGAAAAGACCACAACGTATCATCCTAACCAACTAGACGATCTGAGCGAAATGCTTTTGGTGCTTCATGTAGAAGCGTTGTCTGGTCCGCCCTGCAATGGGTCTATCAAGTCTAGGGCTTAGGCTTGTGGTGGAGAAAGCGGGCGTGTAGCGTGCATGAAGAAAGTCTTTGATAATGGATGGGGGTCTGGTATCCGCACATGAATCGAGCGAAGTTGGTCTTGGAGCATTGGGTGGAGTTGGGTGACGACGTGGTCATGGGTGAAGCAGGTGGTTGGTATGGCGGCTTTCTCCTGGCGTTGGCTTTTTATTATGCGGTATGGTTGAAGTGTTGCTTGTCTGCATTGAGAACACTACTACGATTTGTGAGATGGAAAAGAAGTACTTAGGTAGTTTATGATTGTAGTAATTTACGATGATAAAAGGACGTCTCCACGAATGATAAATGACGTATAATAAACCTTTGTAGTGTAGACTGTTAATCTTGGTTATATATGACCAAGATTTCTGTTGCATCGACCATATGGTCTTTAGATGTAAGAGTAGGGTGGTAGAAACAATGAGAAGAAGCAAACCTGAGACGCAGGGAAACCGGCCGTTGTTGGAAGATTATGAGGGATAAGAGGCTGCTTCATCAGTGGCTCGTTTGTAAACCATGTTGTTCCTTTGGTGATTCGTTTGCCAGACGACTGGGTCAAAAAATCTGCAACAAGCCAATCGTACAAGTTTCAAGATATTTTGAGGTTTTTGAGCCTCAGTGACTCGAAGCCAAGTTCTAAACCAGGCGGGTTTTGGTGATTGCAAGTCAGGAATGCAAGCTCAGATCAGGAGATGATGGCTCTGGGTTCTTTCGTTACGTGGATGGTCTGCCACAGGGCACGAAACAGTTCAGACTCGATTCAAAACTTTGGGTATTGTTCATTCTCCTGCTCTATAATTAATGTCTATAGGCCAGAGCCTTTCCGACGTTCACTTTCCTGTCCCATTCGTACATATGGCGCTCTCTGGTGACCCTCACCACCTGTTCCATTCATATTCAAAGGCCCACCATCCAGTAGGCCATCTCGGTTGCCAGAACTTCCATACTCGCTCGCATTGCTCCAAGTCGTGGGGTCCCGAGGCGTTGAATCCCCGCTTTCCCCTGCTGAGAAACTGTATGCCTGGCCAGTATATCCTGGTGGCCGCGGCCAAGTCTTAGGGCTGGGAAAGAGACTACTGCTCTGTGTTCTACGCTTCGCCATGGGTTGAATAACGATGCGAACATCGCCATCACGTGAGCTATTACCGCTCGCGTTACTGGGAAGCGCTCGGCTTCGGTCATGCAAGTCCATTGCAAGCGGTGATGAGTTGATGATGGCGGCTGCAGTTTCTGTTGGTGTCATTTGGTAGTCGTCGTCAGGTATATGAACGTGTTGGCGACGCTTGGAGCGCCTGCGCAGCAACCAGATAATGAGAATGATAAGGGCGATTCCAGATACGGCACCCAATGTGACGCCTGCGATCTCACCAGGGCCAAGAGCGGGTTGGGATGAGAACTCAGGGGCTGGTGGAAGAGATGTTGACGAGGGTGTGCGGCGGGTTGAGACCATGGTTTCAGTAGATGTCAGGCTACGACCTGTCGCGGTGGACCCCTCAGGCTCTGTCGAGAACCAAGTTGTAGCATCGACGGTGGTTTCTGGTGCGCTTGAAGCAGAAGAGCTGATTGTCGAGACTTCGGTACTGGGGCCAACAGGAGATCGAGACGAGGTCGGGGTCGTGAGAGAAGCGATCGCAGTTGCAGAAGTTGATCCCTGAGACGGCAAGATCTCAGCGATTGAAGATAAATCTGAAGTCCTTGATGCCGCTGTTGTGATGGAAATGGTCGTTGTGACGAAAGAAGTTATCGTCATGGTTGGGGTTGCTGTAGTAGAAACAAAGACCGGGTTGAAGATTGTTGCCGTCGAGACGAAGGTACCGGTTCTAGTTAGTGTTACCGTCAATTCGATGGTGATTGTCGACATCTGACCGGCCACTGTCACCGCCATCACATCATTAGAGGTATGGCGCCGACTCGCACCTGAGAAATGAGGACGAAGTGTTGTTGTTTCCGACGCGGGCACCACCTTCCATAGATGGCTGCTCTCGGTTGATGAGATTGCCTTTTGATTTGTGGTGACCGAGCCTACTACTTCTCTCTTGTCGAAGTTTCTCGAACGCTGTGAAACTGTTATCGTACTCGTCTCAGTGACCAGAGTAGGATTGGTAAAGGTTAATGTTTGGAAAAGAGGTGAAACGACAACTCGAGTCTCGCCTGCTACCTCGAATATGGTAGTCCGAGTAATTGTAGTCGTAATGAGTGACGGAGACGGCTGCGTCGAAGGCCTATCGTATGTCAGAACTATGCTCTGGCACGACTTTGGTCAATCATCCTGACTAACGTTGAGTTTTGTCTAGCCCATGGTTGCATCACTCCCTTTCCATCATTTCGTCTTACGAGACTCCTTGGTAATGGCCCTCTTCTGGCACTTGCTTTCTTCGCCGAGCCGTTGCTAGACTTCCCATACGGAGGTGATAGGAAAGTAGCCGTCGTTGGAAGAGACGAAGGTGTCTGTCTGACGAGAGCAGAATTGCCATTGTGTATCCGAGTCGCGATAACCGCAATCAAAGCCATGTAAAAGGCAAGCAAGAATCGAAATGTCAGCATGGCTACTGGTTGCATTGGCTAAGCAGTTTCCATTTTGAATTGTTGAAAACTGTTATGAAAAGGAGGAAAGAAAGTAGAAGAAGGAACGTTTAGTTGGGAAAGAAGCAAAGAGTAAGAATAGCGGAAGGAGAAATTCAGGAAGAGCAAAAGGTGAAGGAGCGACCGAAGAAAAGAACGTGAAGGAACGAACAACTTCTCCTCCTCAAAAGGGGAGGAAAAAAAAAAAAAAAACCTCTCATTTAATTTCAACGACATCATTGCCACCAACAACTAAGGAACTGAGATTGATGGTTTGAGAAAGAACCAGAACTTTACCGCCCCCCTATGCTGCTCATGCCGCCGAGATTCCGACTACAAGGTGAAAGTGAGGCAATTCGCCTCCTGAGCCGTCCTTGGCGTCAGGTCAAGACAGCACCCGGCACGGATCGCATGGGAGTGTATCGGAGAATTACGTCTCAAGTCGAGGGCATCCGAAGTGCATGAGAGAATCCCATCATCACCATGGGATGGCAGACCCTTAAGAAGTGGCACGGCAGCGATCATTTATCCTGAAGTATAATATGAGAATCCACGAGTATATTACGAGGCAACATCAATTGCAAAACCCGGAAGGAGATCGGGAAGCATACCTGGCTGGTTTGCATGGTCAGTTGACGGAGCTCTGTCGTCATGTTGGTCGCAGAAGCCAATTCATTGATTTTGTCAGCAGTAGCCCATCCTATTGATACCAAGATACAGCGAAATGTTGTCGAATATTCCTCGTAAAACGATTAAATCAACGCACTATAGCAAAGATAAATCCCATGAGCTCGATCACAATACCATCAGAGGCCATCATTGCCAAGGCGAAACTGGATGAACAGAAATGCTTGAGCACTATTCAGGTAGTCTTTAGCATCGAGAAGCAAGCCACCATTGTAATTCTTTTCCACAAAAAAAAAAGCACTGATATCGTCACACGGGAAGTTGCGAGACGGGAAAGTCTGGCTGACGCAAACCAAGAACCCTTGAAATTCGTTACGCTTTGACGACCATCAATGCGAGGAGAGACATCTGAACCGGGACAGGGAATGACGCACAGACCGCATCGGAACACATCCCGGTCCAGGCTGTTCGTCCGACTTTGAACGTGTCAATGACAATATTCATCCAGGCTCCTTTCGATTGGCTCGGCTTCCTCCCACCCTTCAGCATCTTCTCGCCCGGCGGGTTGCGGATCCTCACGGAAACAGAAAATAACCCCAAAAAGATGTTTACAGTTCAATCGATGTATTATTGCGGGGAAAAAAAAGCAACAGTCTATCAAGACTTTTGTTAACGCTACAATGTCGGATCATCTGGCCGCTTCGGCCTGGGAGGAGGGATCCTCCTATCCCTTTCCTGGGGTATATCCATCGTCAATCTTCTACTGTCGTCCCTGGCACTACCGGCAAATCTGCCAACAGTATATGTAGCTCCGCTGAGGCCCGACATCGAGCTAAGACGGTTCTGGCGTCCGCCTGGTTCGGTTATGTAGCTCGTACTATAACGGTTATGGTAGCCGACTGTCAGGTTATTGTTCCCTTCGTTTACGAAACTCGTGCTAGCACGGTTTTGATGGCTGGTAAGGTCCCTCCCTTCTGAAGTGAAGCTGGTGCTGGCACGGTTATAGTTCTCGTCTGGATAGTCCTTCCCTTCGGAAGTGTAACTAGTGCTAGCGCGGTAATAACTGCCGTCTGAGAAGTCCTTCCCTTCGTTCATGTAGCTGGTGCTGGCACGGTTATAACGGTCGTCTGCGAAATCTTTCCCTTCATTCATGAAGCTGGTGCTGGCACGGTTATAGTTACCGCCATTCAAGTCCCTTCCCTCGGGCACAAAGCTCGTGCTAGCACGATTAGAGTGGCTCGCCGTCAGATCCCTTGCTTCGGTCATGAAGCTCCCCAAGTTCCCTATCTCAGGACCGAGGCTCAACCTCATAGTCTTTGGCAGAGGGGGTTCAACGTGCGTCGGTGAGTACTCGGAGCTGCCGCTGTAATGGTCGTGGGAGTAGATAGACTTTGGCAGAGGGGGTTCAATGTGCGTCGGTGAGTACTCGGAGCTGTTTGCGTAATGATGCTCGTTGGAATATATAGATGAGGTCCGTCTGGCTTCCCATACCTCGCCGAGCATTGGCCTGCCGTCTCCTGTGAGAGGCGCGCCACCGAGCCGAGGCGATGAACCCAACACAGCACCCTTCAAGTTCAGAGGTGGTGGCGGCGGCGCCTTTGTCTTCTGTGACATCGGGAGAGGAGGTACGGGCGGTGGCATTCGTGGGTTGTTCAAGTGGCTTACAACACTACCATCTTTGCTTCTTGGTGGCGGTACACCTGGGTTTCCCCACGGGTACCCCTCGTATGTGAGACTGGTTAGGTCAAAGCTGTCGCTTCTGAGAGCGCCCGGGTCCATTGACCTCCTCTTTGTGGCATTTATGAATGCGGGGAAGACCTTGCCCAGGAACGGACGGAGGGTCGGCGCGCTGGCGCAGATGAGAGCCAGGTCACACTCAAGGATGGTCATGACGAAGAAGGTCAACGTGTTCGTGGCACCCTCGCTGTTTGGCCTATAATGTCGATGCAGGCTGAGTTGCAAACGAACCATACTCGCAGCAATGACGAAGATGCCGAGGCTCAATACCAGAGCAAGGGCAACCTTCTGCCTCTTAGGCAAATCCAGCTTCACAACGCACGGAATGACCATGACGATCAGCCACAAGTCTGTGGCGGAGTGCAGACTCGCACTTGAGATGAGCAGCTCGGGGAAGCCAAAACACAACATGGGCTTGCCAAAGAACTGACCCTTCACTGGGTAGCACTGCAAGGAGCTCATGAGCATCATCGGAATGCTGTACAGCACCACAAATGTGATTGTCCCCCATGCCAGGCGACGTTCCTTCGGTCGGGAGACAAAGATTCGCAGATAGAAGGAAAGGATGGACAATTTCGTGAGGCTGAGGCAGACTTGGTAGTAGATCAGACCCAGGTAAGTGCGCATAATGTATGGGTTAGTATCCCTTTGCAGCGTTGCCTCATTCGGGGCCAACAATAACGAGGGCGTCTCGGCGGTGATGCTGTAGACGACACAGAGGGCGGTGGAGAAGAGCCATGCGAGGATGATGAGGGTGTCGTCGATGAACCATTTTCGGATCACCCACAGCCGCGAAATAATGCGGCTGATGATGAAAAAGGTGCAGATTGCATGGGGAAGAATGATGCCGACCAAGAAGAGGACAATATTAGGGTCGTCCTGCAAAAGTTAGTACAAGTTGAGAGGTGTAGTTGTGTAAGAGGGAGCAAGAGACTTACCAGCTTTCTTAACGGCGGTAGCGGGAATGTAGGGTTTGGGTTCGTCGGGACTGCCAGGTCAAATCCGCTGCCATTGCTGGTGTCGTTGCCAGACGGGCCGTCCATTGCAGGTATATCCGATGTGCCAGGTTCTCTGCGCTCTGCCACGCCTGCTTGTATAGATTCTTGCTCCTATCCCAACACCATGGGAAACCCTCTCGGTGGTTGACAGCTGGTTAAGACGACTCGACTCGGGGATGTGGACATTTCGAAAAGAGCCCACACGAGGGGCAGCCCAGGCACTTTACATACTACGCACAAAGACCCTCCATCACCACGAAGAGACAGACCACACCCGCTCCGTCATGAATGAAAAGAAAACCACGCCTCCACCTCCGAACGCCACTTCACACCCCCCGCCGTCCATCCCGGCAATCGAGGACCCTAGGGGCGCATCCATCCCGACAAATCATCCACGCCGGGCTAACTCGATTCGGTCGGAAGCGGACTCCCTGCCTCCTTGGTTCTGGCCAAGGATTCAAGTACCGCATTTGCGATATGGTGTCAAACCAAACGGCCGAGACCGTGATTGGACGGAGAGATATCTGTCAAATGGTCGAGACTCGGCTTTTGTCGAGGATCCTTCGACTACTCAACTTACACAGAGACACCAAGACACATGAGACGAGTTGGGGTACATCCAGCTCGCCTTTGCTGCTTTCTGACACATTATGACACCTTTCACCGGATTTCTCTCTGACCTGCTTCATTGGAAATGACACAAATAGAACGCAATGATTAAGACAGAGGTTGGGAATCTGCTTCACCAAACTGCCCGTCGGCGTTCCCTACATCCATACCTCTCCGATACCGTACGACAAAAACCCCCCGCGCGCATCTCCAACTTTTGACAGACCGCTAACATCGACGCTATCCCTCAATGCGGGGTGCGGCATTCCAGCACAGAATATCTGCGCAGACAGGCCCGCTCAGCACTGCAGATCTCCAAAGACCACATGTCCACTCGCATCGGAATGACGCCCGGGAATTGCCTGATCCGGCAGGACATTGGAGCACCGCCGCCCCGATTGGTGGCCATTCTTTTTTTTACAACGCATGGAATAATCAGAGCAGCTTCTTTTCGCAGAACAGAATTGGGGCAATTGAGGTAAAACCGGGGTGTGGGGAGAGAGTGAGGGAGATGGGGGTGGTTTATTCGCCCTGCGTCGCTTCTGATGGTGAAATTTGGCGAGCGCATATTCGCCGGATTCATGTGTGTCCTGTTTTGGGTTTATTGCGCCTACTTCCGCCGTGTGATCGGTTTTTGCTAGTCACTCTTTGTTTCGGACGAGGTGACTTTTGTCCGCCCAGCGGATGGTGGCAGTAGAACAAACAGGCGCAACACTTACTTTAGGGGAGGGTGCCTCCGCGTTTGTCCTGGTGACGGTGGAAGTGGAATCGCGACGAGGTTCGCGGCCCGTCATTCCCTCTCAGAGTTCGCATTCCTTTCGTCGCATTGCCTGGAGTGGTTGGTAAGCCGTGCTGATTATCTACGACAGCGCAATAGGCGAAAGGCAAAGATGTGATGCTGTTTGAAATGTGGACGGTGGGGATTGAGGATTGCCGCGATGGCAGGGCCGCATCCATGGTTCTGGGAGCTGTCGTTGCGTGGTGATGAGCTGACGCCTAGCAGGGGGGTTTAGTCCCATAGGCCACATTCGACAAGTTTGGTTGCACTCGTCCGTTTGCGGGGGATCATGATGATTATATATAATTGTTGGAGGTGTGCGGAAATAAACCATGACCGCGACGTCCGGGCAGAGTGACTCCGACGCGAAGTCTCGCCAAGCTCGTTGAAAACGGAAAACACGAGGTATGTCTGAGCCTCGACTGTTTCAACCGTGGACGACCAGAAATTGCGCGTGCCTGAATTAACGCTAGAAGCCAACTCGGAAACTGTTGAACAGCTGAAGTTAACTTTTTTCTTGACTGTGAGTGTCGATCGTGATGCTCTAGGAACCCGGTCGTTTGGCGTGTTGCTCCTGTAACAGCTCTTGGACGTAAGGTGAAGCTGGAAGTGGAGGGAATCATAGGTTTGAAAAGCCGGACTTGGCCTCGTAGATTTTTACTCCGTCATAGGCCACACGCCCCCAGTCTGCAAATCAAACGGGAGATGGCGCTGGCGCATTACGGTTGAAGCCAAGGTCGATGGTGAAGTATCGCGATCATCCTCATCCTCAAAGGCCGTGGATTATAGTATACACTGCAAGTAGCCAGAACCCATTCTATCAAACCGGTTCCATGTCTGCCGCTAAAAAAGACATTACAAACGCTTACAAGTCGCTTTAAATCGACAGACGCAGAGCAAAACTTTGCCCAAGCCTCAACCGTGTGTTCCTCCCACCGTCTAACGTCTCTCTTTAAACCTTCTTCTTCCCCCTTTTTGTAATCTTGTGGTTCTTCACATGTTCTCCCCCAGACGCATTACTTTCTCTCCATCTCCTTTGCCTTTTCGCTCGCCCTGATATACCCAGGCTGCTTCTTCAACCGGTCGAGGTAAGCAAACACGACCGGATGCGCCGCCCTCGCCGAGCCGCCCTCCCACGGGCCCATCTTGTCGAATGCGTTGAGGCCGTCGGCCGTCGCGAGGCCGAAGCTGATGAGTATGTCCGCGGCGCTCAGCTCCGGGCCGCAGAGGTACCCGTCTGCGTTCTGGACTCCCGGCGCGGTCTTGAGGTAGTTCTCGAGGAACGAGAGGTGCTTTTGCGAGTTGGGGAGGAAGACTATGGAGTTGATTTTGTCCGCGACGGTGCCTGTTATCGGGCGGATGAGGAACGGCACGTTTGACGATTTGAGAACTGGCACAAGTCAGTTTTACTTTTTCTTCTCACATACTTTCCAACGCCTGATGGACCCCCCCCCCCCCTCCGGGAATGGAAACTGGAGAACATACCGTTGACTAGCAGATACTGCGACAGGTTCGCGAAGAAGCTGCCCTCGACGTAGTGCATCAGGTACGAGAAGCGCGCGTACGCCTCCGTCTCGCCGCCGACCTCGCCCTCGTGCCCGTCGCGCCACTTCTCGGGAATCAGCGACGGCTTGTTGCGACCAAAGTGCTCGAGGAGGTACTGCGTGATGTGCCCGCTCTCGGCGAGCCTGATGGGCGCGGCGCCGGCTGCTGCGGGGGTGATTTCGAGAACGGGCGCCTTGCCGAGGGGGTGTACCTGTGCCAGCTCGGGGGGTGCGAGACGGGTGGCGTCGCGGTGGAAGACTTGGACAGAGTATTTGAGGCCGAGTTCTTCGAGAAGCCAGAGGGTGTTTTGCGCGCGGGAGTCGTTCAGCCTGGGGTGTGTGTGTCAGTATGAGTTTGCGAATGATGCTGGGTGAGGTCATGCAGGGCGGAGAGGAATGCGAGGGGGGGCATAGGGAGGAATGTGAGGGAGGAAGACGACGATGACGACGACGGAGAAGGTGGAGGGGGAGGGGGTGGTACCAGTAGAGCTTGATCTTGGGTTGGTCTTTCGTCGTCGCGCGGGCCGGGGATGACGTTCCGCTTGCGAATCCCCGTGCGGTCGACGGTCTCGCCGTGATTCTCGCGGTGGGACGAACGAGGTTGACATCACGGTGTTGCGATGCGGCAAGGAGCTTCGGGAGCTGAGGCGAGAGGCGGCCGCGATGGGCCAATTGACTCAGGCGCAGGCCACGTGCTGCTGACAGCGACATGATGTGTTTCTGTGAGACAGGTATGTTACGATTTCGGGAGTTGTTGTTTTATGCTGGTGTCTTGTGTGGGGGGCGAGTACTGTCTCTCTCTCTCTCTCTATCTCTCTCTCTCTCTGTGTGGGAATGTATGTATGTGTGTGTGTCTTACGGTAGCAGCGTGCCGTGCCTGTTCTTATGTGTATTTCCTTACCTCACCGCGGCGGGTAGCTTCATGACGCACCGACAGGGTTGGAGTCGGAGGATGAGGATGCCTTTGCCCGACCGGACGCGTTCGGGGGTGAACGGGGGGGGCTTTGGTGTGGGCCGCGAAAGCAATGTTTCCGCAATGTCACCGGCCGCTGGGCGCCGGAATTGGGAACTTTGGATAGCTAGGATGGGTGTGCCCGGACAAGGGGTGGTACTGGTGGTGTAAGCAGTAAGACAGCAGCCAGACCAGGGGGGGCAGACAGATCCTAAGCCGCTTCAAGCGTCGTCAAGGTCTTGTCTATGCAGGATTCTTCCGCGTAGCTCTTCTTACGTAGTAAACCACACCTCTCCGGAGCCGTTGGCCAATTGGTCGGTAGAAGAAGACGATGAGGAGGATTAAGTTGCGCATATGCCAGTAAGACGCAGAACGACCCCAGTCCGGACAAGTGGTGAATGCGCGTGACTGTTTGGGGACGGCCCTTGGGTCGGAATGGATTCCGGACAGGGCGCCAATCCGAAAGGACCCGATGCGATCGCTCGCCTGTTAATACGCAGTAGCAGTGTTAAATCCCATGAAATGCTGTGCCGCGGAGCCGCAGCGAAGGCAACGAATGGAGGAGCACAAAGTAAATAGACCTGAAATCTGACATTAGTTTGGGGGATCGGTCATCGGATGTAACGGCTCCCGACGACTTTCGACTCCGATGTGAGATCGAGATCAAGGCTGGAGGTTTTGTGTCAAGGCATAAAAAGTATCCCGATGACCAGCATTCCCTTCATTGAGTGTAAGTCGTGAGACAATTTATTCGATGCGTCGGTTATTGCGTCTCTACAGCTTCCTCTTTACCAGCCCCTTCCAGAAATCAAAACTGTTCTCGTCGCTCTGCAAAGCCCACATTCTCCCCGTCTCTCTCCCGTCCCGGTCGACTTCGACAGCCTTCAACATGCCCCAGTCTCTCGTGATCCCCACGATCTTGGCCCGCGCCCCGGCTTCCTGTTCGAGCGTGACGTTCTGCCCGGAGTGCAGCCAGTGCTTGTAATACCGCTCCTCGAGCTCGCGTGAGAAGCCCTCGCGGCGGAACTGGTTGTAGACGGCCTCGATGCGCGTCAGGATCCGCGCGAGGAGGGTCTCGAGGTGGAAGCCGCCTATCAAGCTCGCGGGCGCGATGGCGTTGAGGGACGTTGTCGGGCGTTCGTTGGTGGTGTTGATGCCGATTCCGACTACGCATTGGTAGGCCCCCTGGAAGTAGCTGCAGGTGGAGAGGATGCCGCCGATTTTGACGTAGGATGGGTCTGCGGCTGTAGAGCTGGGGTCGCGGCAATCTTTACAGGTCAGTATACCTCATTCCACCTTCAGTCGTCGTCGTCGTCTAGTCAAGGACTCACAAATGTCATTAGGCCACTTCAGCTTGATGGGGATGTCACCGCATCCTTCATCGTACGACTGTACCGCTTCGGCGATGGCAATGGCGGAGATGTACTGGAGGAAAACCACGGGGTGTGATGCGGCAAGGTGAGCTGGGTGGTTGATGACCGTAGAGAAGATGAGACTGCCGCGCGGTGCTACCCAGACGTTCGTACCGCGACCGCGGCCAGCGACTTGGGTTGACGCGGTAAGGGTGAAGCCGGTAGGGAGATGACAGAGGAGTTTTGAGTTTCTGAGAAAAAAAGTCAGTAACGATGATCTCTGCGAGCGAACAGAAGGGAACAAACTTGTCGAGGAGGGTGTTGGTACTCGTCACGACCTCGCCGTACAGCAGAGTGTCACCCCACTCCTCCGCCGTCGGCTCCTTTTCCCGGTATGCCTTCAGAGAGTTATAAAACAGCCGGTGGTTGAAGCTCGGCGTCTCCCTGACGTCCGGCCACGCCTCCTCATGCGGCACAACGACTTTGACTGCGGCGTTGTAATCCGGGACCCCGTCGCTTGGCAGCGCCTCACGCAGCTCGTCCACGTCAAACCGCGTTGAGTGTTTCTCGATGCGGAACACGTCGTGCTCGCCGTGGATGTACTCTTCCTTGTCGTCAGTCCGGGTAATAGCTTCTTCCCAAGATTGCAGCATCTCGGCCACCTCGGTGTGGTTCGCCGACGTCAAGTGCAGCCGTGAGAGGGACGGAGCAGCGGAGAGGCCGGCGCTGAGATCAAGGCCGAGCTTGGTAAGGCAGGATTGGAGGAAGGATGCACGGGCGGCATCGGCAGCGAGAAGGGCTGATTTGAGAGATTCATAAGAGGGGATCGTAGGTTGGGAGACGAGGTTTGCGGGCGCAAATCTGGGGATTCGTTTAGCATGACCATGAGTAAAAAAAAAAGGGGGTAGAGACGGACGTACTCCGGGTGAGGGCCGGTGAGGATGACATTACCGGAGCCGACTTTGCAGTAAATGACCGCAGCCTTCCCCGCTCCCCCGTCAACGTCAATGTCATCAGCATAGTTGGCCAGGACCTCCACGCCCTCAAACTTTGCTGCATCGACAAACACTCCGCCGCCGTTGTAGTAACTCAACACCTCCCTGCTGTCCCCGTACCCCTCTTTCGCGCTCAACTTGACCGCCCTGGCCCCCTTCTCGCTGTGGTAGGCGAAACCTTTGAAGGCGCCCCCGCGACACGTACCGGGGAAGAAGCCGAGCTCACGGGTGCCGATGACCTCTAGAGTGCGGTCGCCGACCTCGAACTCACACTTTCTGGAGCCGTAGTACCCGCCCGCGCAGAAGCCGAGGTACGAACCCCCGCGGCGGACATACTCAGAAATGCGGCGGTTGCCGGGGCCGTTGAGAACACGGCAGTAGCCGAGGTCGCCACCGCCGGGGATCACAAGCAGAGCGCAGGTTGCCTGCCAGGGTTCCTTGAGGAGGGCGGATTCGGCGACGGGGATGACGGCGTAGGTGGGGGACAGCAGCGTGCGAAGGGTGGAGAGGGCGTGGCGGACCGATTCTACCGTTGTGCCGGTGCCTGTGACGGTTAGAAAAGGAGTTTGAGATTTCTGATGAGGGACTTACCGCTGTAGACCAGCACATTCAACTTCCGCGGGGCCATCGTGGTGGTGACGGTGACTTTAGTCCAAAGGGATGAGATGAGTGGTGAGTGAATGAGTGAGTGAGTATGAGTGAGTCTGTGTGGCGGGATTTTTTTTAAAAGGGGACACTGTTCCCTGGACCCAACAGAATTTCAATGCTAAATTGACTCTTTCCTTCTCACACACCCAAAAAAGAACATCCGACGAGAGCCGAAGCTGAGATAGCATCAACTACCGAAAACCCAAACCATCAAGAGAGATACTTGAAGAAGGGAGAATGTCGAAGCAGGAGAGCGACGCAGCGCAAAAGGTTGCTGAGGATGATGAGCCTGATGAATGGTGTGTCCCTTACTTCCTTTTTTCCGACTCACTGGCTTGACATTTGGGGGAATAGCGTCTTTTCCGAGACTGAGACTGGTGATATTTGATATGGAAGATTTAAAAGATGAAATGAAGGACGACTCAAAAACAGAAGAAAACAAACATGGCGTTGCTGGTCCAGACTAACTATGGATATGCAGGGACAAGCGCATCTTCAGCACCGGCTGCTCAGGTACGGCACGGCCTTTCCCCAATGTGTCCGTTGGTAACCGGTCATTGAGCCAGCGCTAACTCTGATCGGTAGATGAGAATGCAAAGTTGACGGACTGTTATTTTGAAAAGAAGGATTGGCGACAGTGCACTGCTGAGGTAAGTCTTGTTGTTCTCTGCTGCATTGTGAAGTTGACGCTGATGATGGTTTGTGTAGATGGAGAGGTTCAAGAGCTGCTGGAAGCAGCAGGGCAACGATTCCCGTACCGACATGAAGGACGCATAATGTGCCTTTGATAATAAGAGGGATAAATTGTATAAGATTTGTATCAATAATGTACCATAACTCCAATCATTCATGAATCAAACCAAGGTCTTCATCATCATCATCATCAACACCACCAACAAAGTGGACTGATGACGCGACAGTGCACCGGGAATAGCGCTCGCACAGTACCTTTCCCTTGAAAAAAAGGGCCCAAGCTCCCTCCGGCGCCGCGTTCTCCCGCGCCCGATTAATTTTCAAATCGCCTCCGTTGGTTTTCGATATCATCGTATCATCCACCCGCGCGCCGAATTAATTTGCGCGACACCGCCAATCTTTACCATTCTTTTTTGTCTTCTTTATTCGTTCTAATATTATTCGTTACCCAGAGAATAGGTAACGCTAATACCAACAATGGCCTCACAATTCACCCTCCGTCCGCTCCTCAGAGCCACCCGCCCATCCTTCCAAATCGCAAGGTTAACAACCACATCCCGCGCCGCCGCCACCACCACAACAGCCGCAAAGCCCGCCACCGCCAAACCCGTCGCGAAGCCCATAACGACCGCCAAGAAGACCTACACGGCCGCGAGCAAGGTCTCCGCCGCTGCCGCTGCCATCCCCAAGACCTCTCCTCCGCCAGCCCCGTCCCCAGCGTCCCAAGACCCCTCCGACGCGGCCGTCGCTCCCGGCCTCTCCTCCAAGACTCCCCTCCCCGATGCGCCGCCCACGTCCTACTCGAACGGCGGCGGCAGCAGTTCAAGTTCAGCACAGGCTGCCCCGCAACAACAGAACGGCCACCTGATTGACTGGACGACGTCGTACTACGGCCTCGGCACGCAGCGTTTCTCAAAGGAGGTGGTGGATATCCTCATGCAGCCCGTCAACCCGGCCGACGTGGAGGTGAAGCCCGACGGAGTCATATACCTGCCGGAGATCAAGTACAGGCGCATCCTGAACGCGGCGTTTGGTCCGGGAGGATGGGGTCTCGTGCCCAAGGGTGAGGTCGTGGTGGGAGACAAGGTTGTGACGAGGGAATATGCGCTCATTGCCGAAGGACGGTACGTCTCCCCAAGTTTTTTTTTTTTTTCCAAAGGAAAAAATAAAAGTGTTTGACTGACAAAAATCGCAGATTCATCTCCCAGGCACAGGGCGAAAACACCTACTTCAACGTCGACGGCCTCCCGTCCGCCGTCGAGGGCTGCAAGTCCAACGCGCTGATGCGCTGCTGCAAGGACCTCGGCATCGCGTCCGACCTCTGGGATCCCATCTTCATCCGCTCGTTCCGCAAGCAGTACGCCGAGGAGGTCTGGGTGGAGCACGTCACCACCAAGAAGAAGAAGATTGTCTGGACCCGCAAGGACGTCCCTGTCGGATACCCTTTCAAGAAGACGAACTAGACGGCGACCGAGGGATTTTTACGAATGCGAGTCTTGTATAAAAGTCATGGATAAAATTGGCGGAGTGTACGATGCGGGTGGGAATCTCAAAGTGTATAAATAGACCAAACCAGACATGCTGGGCATACTAGGAAATAGTCGCATAGGCGCATAGCATTTGCATAGCGAATAAACAAAAACAGAACGGTTTGCCCTGTTTACATGGGGCTTTCAAGAAGGGATACGTCGGAGCGGTTTTGTAAGGGATGTCGACTGACGACGAACGACTCCCCGTGTCTATTCAGCCCTGAATAAGAGGGAGATGGGAGGGGGGGGAGCGCAGAACTCCTGGTCCCCGAAGACGACTCGACTCGAACAATTGTAAGCCCGTCCATTCCACGACGCCCTACCGGCCGAATCTAGCGGGAAGAATAAAACAGTTTACAAGGCAAAAAAAAAACCCACAAAACTCCAAGTTCCATAAAACACCATGTCACAGACGGGCACCAAGGCAGCTTTTACTTCTGCACGCTAGAGCTGGACCCACCCTCTGGGTTCTCGGCCGTCGGTGTCGAGCCCCATCCCCACGGCATCCACGATGATCCACCCGGCTGCCTCCGCCTGACGGTCCCGTCGCCCTCGTCCTGGTCCTCGGCCCCGCTCTCGGCGTCAATCTTTTCGAAATCCGTCTCGCTACGCGACTTGCTCAGCCCGCTGTGTGCGCTCGCCGGTCTCTGCGTGAGTTCCTCCTCGTTGCCGTCCAGTTGCAGGCTACCCGCTCTTCCCGATGCTTCACCGTGGGAATCTGTAGCAGCGGCTTCCCGCTCGAGTACCTTGAGGAGGAACGCGAGCCTCTCTCGCTGCGCGGCGATGAAGCTTGTGCGCTCGCCGCCCTGCAGCTCCGGCGGGATCAGGCTGCCGGACTTGGTCAGGTCCTGGTGTGAGCTGTTACCGCCGGCTGCGCCAGTGGCCGCCGAGACTGCACCCGCCAACAGGTTATAGAAATCGGCGCCCGTGTGGGCCGTAGGAGTCCAGCGCGCGGTCGGGACGCTAAACCGGGCAAGTAGCGACTGGGTGTAGGACTGTGGCGCGGAGGCGGCGGCTGGTTGGGGGGTGGGCTCGGGTTCGCTCGGGGGAAGGCCGAGGACGTTCGTCTTGATCGCCTCGATTGCGCGCTTGAGGTATGCGATGCCGGCGGCCTTGAGGCGGTCGTGGGCTTCGGAGATGAACTCTTCAATCTGCGCTTCGTTGTCTTGAAGGAAAGGGTGGACGTGAGTCTGGTAAATGATGCGAGCGCCTTGAGTCTGGGGGAGGACGAGGTAGAGGAGGAAGAATAGGCGGATGTAGGCGTAAAAGGGAATCCTAGGACTTGTTAATTGCGATCACGGTTCACCACGTGGGAAGTTGCGTTCGTGACGCACCACACAAGGATCCATTCAGTCCAGGACTCGACGAGGAGCGCGCAAGCGAGAACGACCCAGTACATGAGCCATGGCGTCAGTTGGGCGGGGTCGGAGGTTTTGAGAGCCTTGTAGGAGGCGAAGAGGGGGAAGAGAAAGGATGCGATGGAGCTGCGATGCGGGTCTCAATGTCAGCGGATGGGACCGGAATCGGACCCCCCAACGGAGGTGAGAATATACCAAAGCGGGAGGGATCTTGAGGAAGAATAACGGGATGGAGGGGTCGGGATGATGCTCTCCCACCCCGCGCGGTGGTACTCACGATAGGAGGTGGGCAAATATGTCGAACATGGTTACACTTCAGGACTGGCAGTATCGATAAGGAAGAAGAGAGGTAAAAGGAAATGTAAGAGAAAGAGAAAGAGGAAAAGAGAGAGATAAGATTGTTGTATCAGGGGAGAATAGGCCGGGATAAGCGGATTACTGCAGCCTTGCCCACGGGTTTCGGTCAGCGCAACACAAGCGCAGCTCCAAAGTAGCACAGCCGAAGTCAGGCGGAAAGGAAGCTGACGGGATTAGCCCAGGCCGGACCGAGTTGCTGGTGATGGGTACAAGCAGTTGTTTGAAGGGTTTAATGTAAGGGGTCCAAGGCTGCCCCAGATGATGCCCTGTTAGGCCTTTTGGTTCGTCTAAGTACAATACTGGTTAGGTAACTTGAAGCAGAATGTAGATTGTGTGGAAAATGTACTATGGAATCTCTGGGCTTGTATGATGGGGCAGAAGGTGCAGGTCGAAGATGCAGATGCAGCAGGCGTCCTAGGTACTAAGGTACTATGTATGAGCCGGTAAGGTGTATCCGTAGGCGCAGCCAATATCGGCGCTCGGTGGGGTCCTGAGCACGAGGACAATGCAGGCCAAGGTCAAGTGAGCTTGCTACTTGGCGCATGCGGCGGGGGGTTGTTTTAGTGGTAAGAGTGCCTAAGCAGGCAAGGACCGCTAGAAGCCGGGCACTTACAGTTGATCGGAGGGGCAAAAGGAGGGGGGGCCTGAATGAGATCCTAGTGCGGCTAGGTTAAAGGTACCTGCCTGTGCTGCCTCAATAAGGTGACACACACACGCACCCCCAAAGACGTCATAGAGGGGCTCCGGATAAGCGCGATAAGGATGACATAAGCAAAGCTGAAACCGGACCTGACATGGACCTGGATATTTTGTGTTCGGTGGTGATACCGGCCGGTAGTGGTGGTGTTCAGTAATGAATGGGTGGGTTGCTGAGGACGGCTTTCTATCCGATCTGATAATTGTTAGAGGGGATTTCCCATTTTCTTATTACAAGGCTTACCGACGTAGATGCCGCCTTAAATACCCCCTTAATTAATGACAAGTAGTTCAATTCATTCTTTTTTAATATGATGACCTGGCAAAACACCCAACCTTGAATCTGCCTAGTCGACAGAACTTACTTACACCTGTCGCTGTCGATTGAGTTGACCGCTGCCTAGTCCATCCACAGTTACAGGTACGCGTCCGTTGACGACACCAGCACTACTCAGGGAACACTCTTGACCGACAGGAACACGTTTTGCCTTCCAGGACTCCCCCGCGTCCAAGCGGCATGTGATGTTGTTAGTGGCCTTCGGTCCCACCCGATGGATGCCGGGGGTCCCAGCTTCCGCCCGTCTCCGGTTTGCCTTTTTGAGACACGCCTCACCGATACCTTGACCGCATCCTCGGGTTAGGAATGCGTTTGGGGCGGTAGTCTAACCAGAAACGATATTGACCTGATTTCAAGTATGCCAGAATTCGCATTCAGAGTCTTGGCCTCTTCAGCCGTCTTATCTCAATAGGAAATCTGGTCATTGTGCGCGTCCAGGCAACAGAAGTAAGCTAAAGGGACGCGTACTATCAGGCAACAGTGCAGAAGATTTCAACACCAGGCCGAAAAGACAGAGTGTTCTAAAGCATAGAGATTGCAAACTTTGAATTAAAAACTGCCAACGTGTAGCCAATACCAACCAGATTGGCGGCAGCTCGTCTCGCTGTAGTGAGGAAGGTAAAGTGCCATTGTTAAACCTACATACACATCCAAAGTCCAATTAGCGTCATGTCAACGGGAGATCTACCACGAATGGCGAATTAGATAGCGTAAATTTAGCTCGAATGCTTGTGTAATTCGTGTGGCTGCAGGCGTCAAGTTCCATCAACCGCAGCCAACATCAGTCGGCTAATACGACAATATCTACACATTCAAACTTGCAAGTATTGCCAATCAAGCATCATCACTTCTTTGGCTATCCTCCCAGTCCTGCCTCACCCCCATAAAGGCATTCTTCAACCTAGTTATACGCCTCGACCCTCTCAATCGCAGTCTTGTTCAACCCCGGCCAGTGTTTCTTTCCCCATGTAAACCAGAAGCTTACAGCCCCAACCACAACCACGACATACACAGGTCCCGCGTAATTCATCTCCGTACCCGTAACCGGAAGAGTCTGCGGAAACGGGAGCCAAATACTCAAATAAAGCGACCAAAGCAATGCGTAAATGTTGATCGGTGTACCCCAACCTTTGGGCAGCGACCATCCGCCATATTGGACCTGATACTGCGGACCATGCCCTATGCGTCCTGTCGTCCGGGCATGAAGCATACATGATATGGCGATGACGTAAGAACTGTAAAGTCCCAGAGACGAAAGCGCCGTGAATGCAGAGAAAATGGTCGCCGTAGCGTTGTTGCCGACGGTGAAGAGCGAGAGCAGACTGACGATGATGCACGGCAACCAAACAGAACGAATCGGAACCCTGTATTTAGGGTGAACTTTGGCGAAATATCGCGGCAAGCCCCCATCGCGAGCCCACGCCCAAGTAATTCTCGACACCGAAGCCAACGATGCCGCGACGACGCAGAAGGTGATGATGAGAAGACCGCAGACCATGGCAGTTCCGGCCGCGGGACCGGCCGCGTTGAACAGCAGCGGGATGATAGGGTAGTCTGACGACAAGACCTCATCGGGCTCCCCCATGGCGAACAGGATCGCCAGGATGATGCCGTACGAGAGGATCCCGTTGAGCACGATCGTCCACAGCATCGCTCTCGGCACGGCCTGTTTCGCCTGCTTCACCTCCTCCGCCATGTGCACGACACCATCGAACCCGATGAATCCCCACGCCGGGACCAGCATGCCAATGTTCCACGACACGAAGCCGTTCGTCCACCCCGAGCCGACGGTTCGTTCGAAAAAGACGAAATCGGCGCTGGCCCGCGGGGCGAGAGTCAAGAGGACGACGACGAAAATGAGCCAGAGAATAACGTGGAGAACACCCGCGAGCAGTTCCATCCAGGGGATGGTACGGAAGGCATACATGTTAATTAGACCTACCACGACAAGCTGCGCGATGATGACCATCGTCAGGTGCCAAGGCTGAAAGTTGTAGCTGGGGTAGTTTGTCACGACGAGCCCCATTATGATGTTGGCTTCCGAGGCAGCTGAGCCCGCGAGGGCAGAGACCCAGGCGAACCACGTTACCCAGCCTTGCATCCACTGCATGAGAGAGAGTCAGTAAATCCGGAGTCGGATGGATTCTTTAGAGGTGCACGTGGTTGAGAGGAACTCACGGTGATGAAACGCCTATGCTTCTCGGGCGCGAGAAAATGAGTCCAGTGATACTGTGCCCCTGCGATGGGCTGTATAGCAGCGAGCTCAGCCATGGACAGCGCTTGTGCCATTGCGCCGACGACGACGAGAATGATACCCCACGCGAGCGTCTGCGGCCCGCCGTTGTAAAACGTGGCTCCCATGTCCATGGCCATGACTTCCCACGACGACATGAATATCAAGGCGAAAGCCAGGAGTTGCCAGAACGAAAACAGCCGCTGTGTGTCCGAGTTAGCCTAGTGAATCTTGGCCATATCTCACTTTTTCTTACTCGGAGAGTCGAGCCGACGTTGTCGTTGGCCTGGTAGTTGTGCCCATCTTGAGTTTGCTGGCTGCTGCCGTTCGTCTTTTCGGAGGAGCTGGTTGTGTTCACCGCAGCATAGTCGCCCTTTGGCTGATGCATCTCCATGGAACTGCTCTGCATCATGAATTCCCTACTTCGTGCGGTCTCATAAACCAACTCAACTGAGAAAATAGAAAATTTCATACACGAGAAGAGGACAGAAATCGATTGGCCATTATCAAGAAGGGGGGGTAACGGTAATTGAAGAAGCATGCGAGAGGGTAAAGACATGCCGTGAAAGCGCCAAGAACACCTAGACGATCTCGTCTAGAAATCGATATGCAGCCTCCCTGGGCACCAGTCCTTCTTGAGCTGCTCGGTCCGTTGTACGATGTGACCCTGAGACACCCTTGGCCCCCCGTGGATACCCAAGCATCTGAGGCATCCTATTGGGCGTCATGATAACTACTGCGCGGTAAAAGAAGAAAAAGTCATTAAAAAGATCGCGAAGCCCCAGCCACTTTGACGAACTGTAACCGCCGCTAGCAAGGGACAATTTTCGCCACGGCAGTTCAATGCGGTGGGGGTGGTCTGTAGTGTTTCGGGCGGTCTAGCTGAAAAGTGACCCTTGCATGTAAGCAGTCCGAGGCGGCGAATGGCGATCATGGCAATCATTTGTAACCTAACCTGGCAGGTAGTTCAGAAGCACTTGGGCTCAGGATTCCACAGATCTAAACCGTCTGTACGCCGCGTTCCTTACTGGTGAGATCAAGTTGTTAACTTAACACTATTCCAGACGTGTTTAGAGAAATCAGTTGCTCCAGATTCGACGTCATTTTTGGTGATTGAGTAGAAGAGAAACAGGCTAAAAGTATTAGCAACCTGCAAAGCAATCGCAAGACTAAAGACAGTTGGTCGTAGAGTATGCGGACAAAACGTCTACCGGTTTTGATTCTATCAGCGCTTTTCCAGAGGAACAAAGACAGGACCAGTTCGATATCAACTGGACGCAGAAAAGTAGGACAAATCTAAAAGGATGCATAATGCGGTTTGTTGTCGTCAGAGGAGCGCCGGACGAAATCCCAAGGGCCGTAGACGCCCAAGGACTCTCGCCGTGGCAAGCGTGGAACAGGGGTTTGCAGAATTCACAACAGCTACAACTAACTGGTGTTCAAGATGACCTCTGGAAAGTAGGAAGTATACTTTGCTGATCCAGCTTGAAAAGTTCATCGTGGCGCCGGATTTAGGGCATACTTATTACCACGAGCCACAACCACACCATCAATGCATCTTGGGTCAAGATTAATGACCGTGCTACTTGAATGCGCGCGCGGCTAAGACTTGCCAATAGCGTCCCGGCTTATTATTCTAACCAAGAGTGTTGTTTCTTTTCTTCCTCTTTCATTCGCTCTGCAATCCTCTGCATCTGGACCAGGTCAGAGATACTTGATATTTCAATCTCCTTCTTGTTTCTGGCTTCGACCGGTCCACGTGAACAACTACTTGGGTTAATAGTCATCTGTATATACGTTCCATGAATGTTCCGGCTCGCTAACGAGAGAAATGTATTTGTGTGTTTTTTCTTCATACTCGACGATTGCTTCATCCAAGGCTGATCGGCGAAAAGCGGTGTATTCGTAAACCACTGATACTGGCAATAAGGCATATTTGTCTTCGATGCCCCATTTCACCTTAGCATACGAACTGTGTCCACTCAGACGCTAAAATTTTCAGATTTGTTTCTTTGAAAGCGTTATATGCTGCCGCAGATGGCAAATTTGAAGTGATCATGCCATACTCCTTGCGGGCGCTATATCCATGGCCTCTGTTCTGGATGTTGTTCCGCTTGACATTGCAGTTTCACGCCGCTGTTCAAGAGTAGACTTGAAAGAATCTAACTGAGACGCACAACTAGGAGTTACCATCAGACCTACAAATCTTCCAAATTCCCTTAACCCGCTGGATATTTGGTACATCCCTCCACACGTCAAATCTTTTTCATGTTCCAGCATAACATAACACCACGTTCTTGTTGAGACGGCAACAACTTTGCAAGTCACTTGAAAATTATTTAGTAGCTGAATCGCAATGATTTATGCCCAGGTTTGGATGTATCTTGCTACTAAAAACCTCTTCTTCAGAGCCTTTGATGGAGAAAAAGCATAGGTTATCAAACAGAATGAGCAAACAGCACAGCGACCCAAGTAGATATGTCTCGATTGTTTGTTGTTGATAAATCAGACGGGAGTTAAACGAAAGTTGTAGCGTGATCTGCACCTCCCATTCTTTTGACAAAATACGTTCCCAACTCCACATCCGATGCGTATTCTGGCCGGCAAGCTTCGGTTGTGGTTTGAAAGAATGCAATGGACCACTCAAGCATCATCAACGTTTCAAACTCAACCGTAGCAAATGCTTTCTCGTTAACATCTATCGTTATTAAAATCCTGCTTTGAAGAAGAATATTCAACCCTGAAAGTCTAGATTGGTACTGGATATCGGCCGTTGTTTTGAGTAGGGAGTCCTGAGTGCACAGGCACGTCGATATAAACCAAGTAAGGCCAGCACATTCCAACATTCTCTAGCACAAATTGGCCGAGTTTGGTTGCTTCTCGAATCCCGGCTAAAATTGTCTCGCCCTCTACCAATTGCGTCCAACTGTTTAACGCGAATGCTGTCGTTACCGCCACCAAGGAAATCGACTATCCATATCGGGCTCCTTCCACAAGATCAAAGTCGAAATGAGGGACCTCAACGGCAAGGAAACTCAGGCCAAGTTCTACATGTATGACAAGCTCGTCACGACGCAGGTTGGCACAGGATACTTTGAAAAGCCCATGAACCTGTGAGTAGTCAACGATGGTTGTGGGTATGGGCAGATTCTGATGATGTTAGAAACCTAAGCCTGTATATAAGCCTGTATATAGAGGGTTTAACCAGCTCAACTGGCCCTAACGGAAGTACATTTTGTCTATGCATCGGAAGTCGGCCATGAGTAACTTAGGCAAACAGGGAGTTCCAACTGGGCAGCTTTGAGATTCTCTCCTGCAACCCATGATAGGACTATTACTACAGACAAGCTGCTGCGCTCTTTGTGTGTTCATTTCCTATCATCTTCTGTTTTCACTATCTGAACATTTAGACTTGCATACATATTTATGCTGCGTAAATAACAACGAAACCTCGAATTGCGGATCTTCTAAGCAAAACTGTCTGGCTTTCTTGCATCATTACTCACAGTGCCGGGGCGGGATTCATTCTGCGGCTCTCGATCAGCCGTAATCCTGAGTTGAAATCCATCCCCAAGACAGGAATTCTTTCTACTTTACTGCATATCCTCGCCAACACATGGTCAGACCTGCGGCTGTTCTCAGACAGCGCTTAGGCTTCCAAGCAGCTCCCTCACACACGAGGAGGTAAGGAACAGTGAGACTTTTCATTGGCTACCATGCCCGGGTAACATAGTAATATAGAAGCTGGGAATGTGTCTGTATTCATTAGTCCAGAAAGCTAATTATTTCGAGACATGAAACCGCCAGTTTGATGCTAACTAAGGTGTGCAGAATATGGCATGAGAAACTTACCGAAGTAAATTATCAACATATGAGTCCGCCTAATATTGCAACATGGTAATCGACCGCATAAAAAAAGGAGACTAAAAGCCGTGTACCACGACCAGGAATGGATAGTCTTAGACAACAGCTTAGTCGTGACAGTTGAAGCAACTACAGCTAGCCTCGGTTCCACCTTGTTTCATTTAGAATCGCAAGGGAAGACTCGTAATAAATGACCCGTGTAGGCGCCCGCCTCCCTTTCGATTCGCCTTCAATCCTTAGTTCAAACCTTTTATGACCCCGTTACCAGCATCTGGTTCTTCGAGAATAATTTGAAGGTCTACCAACTACGCGCTCCCTCTCTCTTCTTTGCATCCGAGAACCGTTCACATTTTGCACAAAGAGTGCCCCATACTTTTCACTTCTACACCATGGCTCATTATCTTGTTTTAGCTCTAAGTCTTTTGGTGGAAGGCATCGTTGCACCCATGACTTACCGTGGCTGTGGGGTGCTTACCGACACCAGCATTTTGGATCAAATAGATTACAGCTTGTCTAATTCGCCTGCTCATTGCACCAATATCTGCACATATCATGAGTATGAGTTTGCTTTTCTGCTCGGCCCGCTATGCCTTTGCTCCGATTTCACTCCTTCATTCCAAGAGTGTCCGGGTCCCGATCCCAGCTATTGTTCCGACAGCTGCCCAGGAGACCCAAGCTCCAAGTGTGGGGGTTCTGCTCCAGACGGTGTCAACCCTGCTTTTGTTGTTTATGGCTACAGCCCTGTTGTAGTGTCGCCTGGGGCTGGTTGTACAAGGACATCGACTACGGCCACGTCTTCCACGACCACTTCTTCCACAGCAGCCACTTCCACAACAACCACCTCCACAACAACCACTACCATGTCTTCATCATCGACTTCATTGATCTCTTCGTCTTTTTCGAGCTCATCTTCTTTATCAACCCCAACATTTCTCTCGAAAACATCATCCGATACCACAACATCTTCTCCTGGTACGTCAACAAGCTCCTCTTCATCCCACTCTAGTATACCCACATCGTCTATCTCAACTACAACCATGTTATCCTCAACGCTATCGCCCATGTCCCCACTACCAACTTCAAACGTAAGCTCGTCATCGACTATTTCATCCACAGCAAGCGCATCTACGGCCGCCAGCTTTCCATCATCCTCTACGTTGTCCCTGTCCAGTTCGACAATAGCTAGTGCTCCATCACCAGTAGGAGCTTCGTCTACCAACAGTCTCACGGCGACACCGTCGAGCCCGTTTTCATCTGTATCATCGCTGTTCACCTCTAGTTCTACCTCGGCAACCCCAAGCTTGAGTAATATGCTCTCAACGACTTCATCTCCGCCCACCAGCTTCTCAGTCATTTCCGAGACACTTGTAGGAACACCGGTTCTCTTCACCATTCTCCCAGCCGTGACTGCCGCTTAACTGTCCTGGCACACTGGTCTTAGGACAAATGTTTGATATTGCATTCGACGACTTGGGAACCAGACAGAGGTTTGACCGTTTGTTTCATGTTCGTAAGATATCCATGTACGCAATCTTTGATATTCCTGAGATTTACCTCTGTGCTGTCCTTATGCCAATCCAATAAGAGTCCGCACTGTTTTTCTTTTCTTCTTTTTGCTAGTGTAGAGACTATCTCATGCTCTTTCGGTACTTGATGCCCGCAGAGTAGCCTTGAATTTTTCGTCGGTAGGACACGGCCTTGACGTTATTGTGCGAGGCTTGTGGTATACTTTTGTAGTATTCGTAGGTTGCTGCAATCTCAGGCTAAGAGACAGCTATATCTGCTTCAAGCGAAGGTTCATATTACCTTTTTGCGTTGTACTGAATTCTGCGCGATGTTCACTCTCGCATTGAGCATCGATTGCAGGGGATGACTGCTCGACGACTTCACACGAGAAAGCACAGAAAGGGAGGCTATTGGGAGTTTCGAAACCCATCCTAGCGGCTGACCACAAGATATTCTGAGCTTGAAGAAGGAAAAAAAAAAGAAAAAAAAAGCTTGGTCTTATGGATTTTCCAAACCAACTGTTTACATTCGTTGCAGATGAGTGATTGCGCAACATGTTATGATCCAACCCGTTGGGATACTGGTCGGTGTAGCTGTAAAGTGCAGAACAGGGGACAATGATGCAGGTACATCATTAAAGAAGCATTTGCTTCGTGCCACACTTGGCTGCCCTTCCTCTCGCGTGATACAAAAATCCATATTGTTAAGAGCTGAGACTCTGGTTTTGTGAATGTACCTGAGAGGGACGAATAAGCAGTAGGTACCTTCACTGGACTTAAAATTACTAGAATAGGGACCAATTTTGCTGGGCTTATGGTACATGGTGGTGTCGTAGAGCCCGTTGTGTTGATGCACAAAGCGCGGCTTTCAATATTTTCTCATCCTGGTTTATCCACACCGAGCCAAATGTATCGTGTTCGTGGTCTTTGCGCTTCTTATAGAACTGAGCGCCAGTTGACCGCCCGTTAAGCAATTGAATTTTGACGGGTTATTAGACCTGGCTCTCGAATACTCATTTTTCAAAGTCCCCCAGCATTCCTATGATGACAGATCTATCGATGCAAACTAGCCTCAATGTACGCTACGCAGAAACTTTCAACAATTTGCTGTATAGTTGCAACGCTTTCATTATCTAGTCTAAAGTCTATTTTCTTTTTGGTTGATTAGGTGACACAGTTGAACTTGATGACGGCCCACCCTACAGATCCTCAAGCGTTGTTTCAAGCTTGAATTACTCATTTATCATTATTGGCGGATAGATGCGCTGAGTTGACTGTTTTCAACTAGTTTCCATCCAGTCGGCGAGGGATATAGGACTTCACGTCGGGAACGCAGACGTTGGAAGCGTTCGTAGCGAGCTCCTTGCACTCGCTGTCCGTGTACAGCTCGACTTTCAGTCACGAGTCAGTCATGCGCCCGGTAACCCCGAAAAAAAAAATCTGCTAGGCCAGATACTTACAGCTGAAGATGGGCGTCAGGCCGCTGGCCGAGAATTTCTTGTACGTCTGGTTGTCGATGCCCATGGGAATGAGATGGCACTGGCCGACGTAGTCGGGAGGGATGGCGAGCGACTGTCCGCCTGTTGCTTGGATGGGGTTGCCGACACACTCGGAGTTGGGGTCGTACCACATCCTGATGTTGCCCATGATGGGAGTCGCACTGGCTACTGAGGCCAAAGCCACGAGGCCGGAAGCGAAAGTCGTAAGCTGCATGTTGGCGATGTGTGTTTTCAGAGATGGATCGAAACTTGACAGTCTGCTTCCAAGTATGAGCTTGTCGATGGGCCCTTCACCCCTTTTAACCAGGCGAAAAGACAGTGACCTCACACTCTCTAGAAGCTGGTTGTTATTGTGGAGCCGAGTTCAAATACGAGTTCAACTGGGGCATGTGGAGAAAACTTGGCAGTGGTTTATCCAGGCTCAGTGTTCTATATATGGGTTTTGACTCTTGGAAACAGGGGTCCCCAACATATATTACCTGAAGGTTTACTCAATTCAATTTCCGGGTCTCTGCTGGGAACTGTTTTTCTAAGGCTATATAAGAATAACGATTAATGGCAGCACTATGACTGTCTAAATCAACCACATCAACGCAGTAAAACTTTGTTGCTATAGGTCATGGTGTTAAAGTGAATGCCTCAAACCATCCGTACACGTTCAACTCCACGTATTGGCCGTGCATAACGACACAAAGTTTGTCACAGTACACGTACGAATTCGGGGGCTATAACTAGGCATGGCAATGGTGAATGATTGCTTCCACCCTCCAGAAAGAAAGTTCCTTTGCTTCGCATCAAGGATGTTATGTTCTGACCCAAGTGCCTCAGGTAAGATTACCCTACCTAACGTTCAAATGAGATGAAGTCCCTTACATTTCCCATTATAAGGGGCACACACGGTGTAGTATAAGAAGTTTAGAATGTAAGTTGTAAATAGAGAGAAGGAATGTCCCTCTCGGAAGATACTTTACGTAATGGTTGTTGTAAAGTATCATCCCCAGGGCCACATAGCGTAACAGGGCTGAAATCTCCTATATCAGGGCGATCCTAATAACAGGATGCACAAGACACTAATGCACGCTCAATTGCCAATCTTTCCCACGCCGGCAATGTTCCTCACGTTCGTAGCAACGTTTTCAACTTTCCAGTGGGCCCAGGTGATGACGTTCTTGTGCTGTGCGAACTTTTGGAGGACCGCCTGGTCGAGCCGAACCGCGGGTACACCGCTGGTTCCAGCATTGCGGTTCCACTCGGGGATGTAGCCGAGAGCACCCTGGGCGTAAGAGGCGTCTGCTACCTGGCGGATATCGTAAATCTTAGCTCCGCCCGAGCCGCTTCCCGAAGAGACGGGTTCCTTGACGTTCTCGAAGTAGTTGCCTTCAATCAGAGCCCAAGCGTTACCCTGGATATCGAGAGCATGGCCGTCAATGTTTTGGAAGTAGTTGTTGACGACATGAACAACGTTGGACGAGCTGTCGCCTGTGCCAAGATGAGGAGCGCGGCCGGACAAGTCGTGCAACCAGTTGCCGGCGATAGTATAGAAATCGTTCGCGCCAATCAGGAGGAGACCCCAGTAATGCTTGTTGTTGCAGGAGACTGACCATGAGGTCCTGCCATCAAACTCGTTGTCCGAAATTGTGACTTTGCCGGCAGCACCCCAACCAGAGACGATCATCTGGCGGCCAGTGAGGGAGAATTTGTTGTGGTCGATCCAGACACGATCAGCACCGTCCAGAGTGATGGCATCGCCACCCCAAACGTACTGAGGGTTGAGCTCAGTGAAGTGAATGTTCTGGATGATAATGTTGCTGACGCCACCGCGGAGACGGAACGCCTTGCCGCGGATGACTCCCTTAGTGCCTACGCCTACGAGACTCTTGTTGCTTTTAACATCGATAGGGTTCTTGGGGGCATTCCACCAGGTGCATGACACCCAGGTACCTCCGTCGCAGGTATCGCCAATGTAAGTCTGGGGCTGGTTACCATTGTTGCACGTGTTGAGGCGGCAGCATCTCCCGCTTGTGCTTCCTTCGGTTTGAAGAAAGTCGAAAGTGCGATCAATCATAATGACACGGGGCTGGTTGTCGGTCAGGTAGTTGACGAGCCTGTGAATCTTGTGTCAGCTACTCAATGTACGTCTAACCCAAAGGCATATCGATACACATACTGCTGGTTATTCTGGGGGTACACCGGTGCTGCATTGCCACCGCCAGTGGTGCCAGAAGCGAAGCCAAAGGGACTACCGCGGTGCTGGGCCAGGGCCACGGAGGGACCAGCCAGGAGAGAGAGAAGAGTCTGAGGCTTCATTGTGGATGATGCGCGAAAATGACAGACTGATTACTTCTGACCGGTAAAGCCTAGTCCATCCTACGTTACTCTGAAGATTCGAGATGTTTTTATACTTCTCTGAATGAAGTAGGACCACAATCTCATGCTTGGCTTTCAACCCTGCTTTTCGCTTTCGCTTTCTGGGGTCTGCATCTTAGGCTTGTCTGATCCCGACCCCGCCACTATTCGAGATTGTTCTTGATGCGCCCCAATTGCGGAGAATATAAAATAAAGCCAAGATGATAGATCACGGGAGGTATTCCAAGTGGGGTAGGTATTAAGGTTGTTTTGTCCCGATAGAGACAAATCCTTGTTACAAGTTCATTGCGGCTCCGGAAGTCGCCTCCGTATCCAGTTCAAGTAGTATGCCCGTTGGCGTATGACGACTTAACTCCTTCGAGGGCCTACAGAAAGGTGTTGTGATACCTTACCTTGAGCTCCTATCCCATCGACTGTCGAATGCCCACAGCGCGCCACCCCTGGTTTCTGTCCACTTTTGGATCGATCATATTACTTGTTTGGTCGAAAAGGGCTTGGCTAGCTTCTGAGTGGACGCTGCCACTCTTGGGCCCTGTCCTGCAGGCAGTCGGCACTCGATAGATGAGGAAACCACTTCGCAGGCCATTCTTCTAACGATCACCTGAATGTATGGACCGCAATATCAATGATGATAGTAATCAATATCCTAAAACTGCTTGGAAAAGCCCAAGTCTTTCAACTACTATAACTTCATGTAAATCACAGCGGCTTCCTTATGGTACAGAAGAGAGGGTGTCTAATTCTGCTAGCCAGTTTGAAACAACATATCTAGAACACATTTGCGAATTTGGATTTCTTCTCGAATACTTTGTACCTTTACAGATATCATAGCAGGAACTTGACGGCTGTTTTTGTTGCCAAGTAGTGGAGCGTCAGCCACCTGCATTAGCGCCGGTATGTCATTGCCAATTTGTCCGACCCCATATCCATTTGTTTCATAATCAGGTCTCCTCCCCTTATTATTTGTCGCAATTCTTGGTATTCCTACAGACATAGAACATAGTGTTGTATAGCTGTTTAAAAACTTCAGTCGCACTTTTTGTTTAATTGTGTTCTAGCTCTCTGTCACTAGAAATCACGCCTTTGAGCGGGTTTTAGGACGTAAGACAACAGCATTTCATTGGTGGGTATTCTGGAGCACTTAACATGTGAGAACCGTCGTAGTACATCCATCGGGAGACTTTTCGGGGATCGTGTAATTGGTGGAAAGGAAGACCCGAGATACATCTCATCACGAGGTGCATTTACTGTGAAGATCTAAGCTTTAAAGAGAACACCTTTCATGGTTGTTTCTCGGGCTTTCGGCGGATTTTGCACGGAGGGTGGGTCGACGCCAATGGAACCGCCGGACCGCGTCGGAGCCCGGACGTGGGGCTTTTTGAGAACTCGTTCTCCGAACTTGGCCCGTTACAAGGGATTGATGACTCGATCAAGTATATCTGTGAAGGGTAAGTAGAACTTTTGAAAATCGGACTACAGCGGCATATTTCTTCCGTTTTCCGTTTCTTGGCTTACTGTCCCATTCCAGCTTTCTCAGATTGTGTGCTTCAGCTGCACATAAAGATCTTACTTGGGGGATCAGTGACTATCCAGCTGCGACTTTATATACACAGCATGTTATTTTTTTCATAGAGCTTACTTGTGATAGCACTCAAGAAAGGTGATGGGAATTACAGGCACAAGAAGAAATCAGAGGAGTCTTGAATTATCAATGAATCCTGAACTGTTACTTGACGTGGCGTAAGTTATATCTACGCATTATCCCTACTTAAGCGCAGCCAAACAACAAGTAAACGATTTCTTGTTACGTCTCCTTTTGCGTTTAGCTCAATTGGGTAGCACCTCTGTTTTTATGCCTGCTGGAGGCTGGTGTGCGGATGCCATTGCAACCCTGTAGGCGGGGTCTGGCCCTTCACATGAGCCTCGTGACTATCAGATAGATCTTACTCGATCAGAGACTGAAATGTGCTAAAGTGCCAGACACGTTGCATCGTATCTGCGCCTCGGTACTACATGCTCCGAATGCCGAATGCCTAAACAAAGAACACGCTCTAGAAAGCATGAAGCATTCTACTCATTGTCTTCAGACAAATATGCATTCTGAATCACTTACCCTCCTAAGGCTCATGTTTGATCAGAACCTCAAGATGAATACGTAACGACAAAGGACGGGTCAACACTATTTCGATCCTCATGTTCTAACAACATGGGTGCTGTTTAGTCAAATATCGTCAAGCTATAACGACTGCGAGTTGACAATTCCAACTTATACAAGTCGAATAGTACAAGGTGGGGCTGATATTAATATGATTACTATTTCAATAAGCAGCTAATTCACAATGTCCTTTGCCTAAAACCGCACTATATATTCCATCAAGAGATACTTGCTGTGAACGCTAAGCGATGAGCAGCCAAGCTCATGGGCTGGCTTTTACCACAATACTTTCAAGGGAGACGTGGCCAGCACGAGGTACCAGTCGAAGGATATGAGTTTATGAATACACTTGTGGTCATATGAAGGCGAACCCCCACTTGGCGATCGCCCATTGATTTGTTCATTTGTTAGGTAGTTCCAGTGCGAGCTGCGATATTCAGTTTGCAACTAGTGGCGCCGAGTGATGTGCTCAATTGAAGGAGTGTGACTCAGCCCCTTTTTCACTTTTTCTTCTTTTCTCCTAACGGAACAAACCTACCACGTTATCAGAAGTCGAGTCGTCATTTTACCCTTGCATCATGGGCGATAAGACGAAGATCATCGACCGCAGATCGCCCGGAAACCTTCGAGCTTAACGAGTCAGTCAAGAAAAACAGTGCTACCACCAAACCTGTCAAAGGCGCTTCCAAGAGTCATCGGACAAAAGTATCTTGGTTTTGGCGATGTTCAAAAAACAAAGGCGTCGCTGTCCTCACAGATTCACTTGTAGTAGATGATCTATACATATACCTTCCACCCGAGAACGTTATTTTGCCTTATTCAAAGCGTCGAACGCGCCGAGTGTTCATCAAAGGCAGAATACATGTATATCACTTAAACCCCAAATATGCTAGATAACTACGCAAATATCGTGATGAAAGTTACTCTGAATGTAAATCTTCACATTTATCGTTAGTTTGTAGACAGCATTACTACATGCCACCTTCACTAACCTAGCACCTGGATGTGATTTGCGTTTTGTCACGCAGTCAATTTGCCCACCACTTATGGGGTAAAAAAAGATGCTTCCATTCCTTAGAGACTGTCTAGGGGTTATTGGGTTGATTATATAACCGTCTATTCGGTAATTACCGATTTGAAGGTTTTCATGCACAAAATGACATCCCCGTTAGTTTTATATGGGAAACAATAGCCGGGTGCATGGGTTGAATGCATGCCCCGATATATGCAGTGGTCCGTGTGACACGTTTCTTGCACAGACAGTGGGTCAATCAATATCTCGGGGGATCTGTTAGTTCCCCACCATGGAGCATTGGCAACGGCATGGATATTGCCGAGTTAGGAGGCAGCATGATATCGCCAAGCGCAGAGCCAACGACTAATTTCCTTCACAGTTTGGAAGGTTGCAGCAAGGATGCTGGGAAAATGCCTCTACTTCCCAGATGAAGCACCGTTGGCTGGGCGCTGTCTTACGTACATTGAGAAGTCGGCTACCGGCTAAAAGCAGAAGATCTGCCTTAGTCTTGCACATGACTGGGCGGCTGAAGATCACCATCGGAGTTATTTGTTTCCAACACTTGAACGGTATGAAGAGAGGGATTGGGATTCGAAACGAAAATCATAGCTGGAAAAATGTGTCGTACAGGCATCATGTTTATTATAATGATGTAGATGTTCAGTCATCATAAAAAGTATTAAGTAGATTCAAATGTACATGGCCCAGACTCAAGTTAAGTGGGAACTGTGAGCTCCAGTGCCAGATCCAAATCTGCGCACGAACCACTGATGAACTCAACACGCAACTTTTTTTTGGAGCTCTCGGAAACCGACCGCGTGGCAAAAGAGAGAATGCATGGACAACCTGGTGATCAACGGCAAAATCGGCTCACAGACACACTGAACTCTGCAAAAAACAAGCACTAGGGGGCCAAAGTCAAATTAACTGCACACAACAGAAACGCGTGTTTCTTCTTCAAAATGTTTGAATTTATTTACATGTACACTATATAACGTACATGATAAGCGAGTGAGACAGACAAGCGAGTGAGACAGTAAACCGCGACCGTCGCACCTTGACGCGACCGGCACCTTTTCCTCTACAATAAATCATGGAATCAGCTAGTATTGAAAGAAGGTTACAAATTGCCCTTCAAGCAATGAGAAATGACCCAAAACTTAGTGCTCGGGCCGCAGGTGCACTCTATACAGTCAGTCACGCAACATTAAGCCGGCGACTAAAGGGAATAGTCTCACGACGCGACAGCATGCCTAATTCACGGAATTTATCAGATTTAGAAGAGAAGACAATAGTTGAGTATATTCTCGACCTAGATGCGCGATCATTTCCTCCCCGGCTGAGTGGTGTGGAAGAAATGGCCAATCGACTTCTCGCAGAGCGCGACGCGCCTCCAGTTGGGAAGCGCTGGGCTTCTAATTTCGTCAAGCGACAACCACAGCTTAGGACGCGTTTCTTTCGCAAGTATGACTATAAGAGAGCTCAATGCGAAGATCCAGAGGTGATTCGTGGCTGGTTTTCGCTTGTGAAGAATACAATTGCGAAGTATGGTATTGCTGATGCTGATATCTACAACTTTGATGAGACCGGCTTTATGATGGGCGTTATTGCTTCTGGAATGGTTGTTACAAGTGCTGAAAGGCGTTCAAATACGAAGATGACACAGCCTGGCAATAGGGAATGGGTTACAGTTATCCAGGCTATTAATTCCCAAGGGGAGAGCATCCCGCCATACATCATCGTTGCAGGCCAGTATCACCTCTCAAGCTGGTATACAGAAACCTCTCTTCCGGGCGATTGGGCTATTGCAACGTCTGAAAATGGATGGACAACAAACGAGAGAGGTATTGACTGGATCAGACACTTCGACATTTATACAAAACCACGTACGTCTGGGAAATATCGCCTCCTCGTTGTTGATGGTCATGAAAGTCACCACTCCGCAGCCTTCGAGCTCTTTTGTCAAGAAAACAACATTATTACACTGTGCATGCCGGCTCACTCGTCTCATCTACTTCAACCCTTAGATGTTGGTTGTTTTCAGCCGTTAAAGAATGCCTACGGTCGGCAAATTGAGAATAAGATGCGGCGAGGTATAACCTATATCTCGAAGGAAGATTTCTTTGCAGCATTTCACGAAGCTTTTAAGCAGTCTTTTACGAGGAAAAATATCCAGGGAGGTTTCCGAGGAGCTGGACTTGTCCCTTTGAATGCAGAAAGTGTTCTCTCAAAGCTGGATGTAAAGTTCCGAACGCCAACGCCTGAGGAGGGGGTCCCTCAGACACCAGACCCTTGGATCTCTAGGACGCCGAGCAACCCAAGCGAAGCAAGATCACAGTCTACTTTTATTAAGAGTCGAATCTCACGCCACCGAAGCAGCTCTCCAGCATCAATTTATAGTGCTGTGAGTAAGCTAGCCAGAGGGACAGAAGGACTAGGGCATCGGGTAGCATTACTAGAGTCAGAGGTTCAAATCCTTCGAGAGGAGAATGCAATATTAAGTCGGCGTCGAAGGGCTAAGAAAACACGTCTACAGAAAGGAGGAAGTCTTACTATATCTACTGGAGAGGATATACAGTCGCAAAGAGAGGCAGACACGCAACTACAAGAGGAAACGCGACGGAGTAGTGGTCGTAAAGTGAGGTCTGAGACGACTCATCGTCGGTGTGGCGTATGCGGGAATACAGGCCACAACGCGAGAACATGTCAATTTATTGAGGAAACATCCGAAGAACAGGAATCCGAGTAGTATTAATCAATCTAAGATTTCTTGTTATAGATTTCGATATTATTGTCGCGAAGGTCTGGTTTACTGTCTCACTCGCTTGTCTGTCTCACTCGCTTATCATGTACGTTATACATGTGACGAGAAAGTTTAAGGTATTTACTGAATAATAGAAAATTGCCGGTTATCCCATTACCACTCAAGGTCAACCTTGAGACCTGAATCATCTTACAAGGGGCATATTCAATATGACTGCCAGGTAGGAACCAACGTGTTAAACTACATTGTGACTTAGATCTTGCCGTAGCCAGCAGCGCTAGAGGAGACGGAAGAAGCAGCAACAGCATCAGGGATGTCGGAATCGCCGAACTTGCTGAGAACGCTGCTGTCGGTGCCGGTGTATTCGCCAGAGCTGGAGAAGCTGTTGGCCTGGCAGTTACGGCCAAGCTTGGACTTGCACTCAGAAGCGTTGGAGGAGGTAATGGCGAGCGACGCGCCGTCACCGCCAGCCTCGATAGCCGCCTTCACGTTGGAGAAGACGTTACCCTCAGCAAGGACGTAGCCACCCTTGGTGACCTCGAAGGCGTGACCAGTAGAGGTGGACCAGTAGTTGTTAACGGCATGGACAAAGGTGTTGCCGTTGATCTTGGGGGCGCGGCCGCTGAAGTCGTGGAAGTAGTTGCCCTTCAGGGTGACGGTATCACTGCTGCCGGCGAAGTAGGCGGACCAGTAGTGCTGACCATCGCAGGTAGCAGAGTAGTCAGACTTGCCATCGAACTCGTTGTTGGTGACGGAGACGCGACCGGAGGCGGAGTTACCGAGAACCAAGTGCTGGCGGCCGATCTTGGAGGTCTGCAAAGTCGGTTAGATACTTGAAATACGAGAGAGCAGGTCGTAGGAAACTTACGGTAACGTGGTCAATCCAGACAAGGTCGGTTCCGTCCAGAGAGATGGCATCACCACCCCAGACGTACTTGGGGTTGATGTTCTCAACCTTGATGTTCTGGATAATGACGTTCTTGGAGTTGGAGAGTCTCAGACCCTTTCCGACGATGACACCCTTTGAACCTTCGCCGATGATTGACTTGTTGGAGCCAACCTTGAGAGGGTTGAGACCAGCCTTGCTGTAGGTGACAGAAGCAGTGGGAGCGTCCTTCTGGTAGTTGTCGCACCACTTGTCCTTGTTGATGGCGAGCTGGCAGCCCGATCCGGTACCCCAAGGAGCACAGCCGGTCTCGGTAGCGGTACCATCGGCATCGGTGAAGTCGAAGGTCTTGGTCAAGACGATGACACGGGCCGTGGAGTCAGACAGGTACGAGACCAGCTCGTCGTTGGTGGTAGGGGTAACAGCGGAAGCCGAGCCACCACCGGTGACGCCGGCAGCAAAACCCTCAGGGGTGCCAGAGACAGCGGCGGCAGCGGCGTGCTGGGCAACAGCCACAGCAGCCAAAAGCATAGACTTGGCAAACATGTTGATAATTTGAAGAAGGATGAACGAGAGGCAAAGAAAAAAGAGAGTGACTGGAGAGCAGAGGTATCAAAACGAGACAAACAGCCGCAAGAGAGAGCTAGATCATATACTAATGACAGCTTCTCCCAAAACTGGGTCTTGATCTCGTGGAATCCATCCATACTGGAATATCCGTCAACTCCCATCATTGACGACGGCCGCGTAGGACTCGCCCCTGGTGTACAAGCTGGCGCGTAAACAATCAAAGATTGAAATATATGACGGGGCTTCGATGCTCCACTTCCTAAAGGCCATGGAACAGCCAACAGTTACCCCATGAAGAAGTAACAGTTGCTGATCCGGGCCACACCTTTTCTTGCGCAAGGGGGTGGTCAAGGCGGTTGCTGGCACAGACCTAATAAATGTGCAGCCGACCCCCGCAATAAAAGGAGTACGTGATGTGTGGTATTAATTCTGCTGGGTCCACCCGTTCCCTCGATGCGGATCCAACCGCCAGAATTGAACCTGTCAGAAACAATCAGAGGTTCCCATCACGGTCTTTCGGACACTCCATTCTTAACTTCCGGAGACGCCCACCCCCCCCTGGGCCCCCACGAACCGAATCAAAAATCAGTCCAGGACGGCATAAACCAGGTCAGACACGTCGCTTTTGGGGCCCCCATGGCTTGTCTTCTCTCCACTAATCGAGCACTCAAACTAGTGTAAGGACACAACAAAATGGACCGCGGGAGGAAATGACAAGAACGCGGCACTTGTCATCACGCATGACTCTAGTCATAAACTCCCCGAGGCTAAGGGTCAGGGAGATGGGGTTCTCGTCTAATGTTCTCTGCAGTCCCCAACTGGACAAGGGACCCGTCATGAACGCAACGTGCGATGCGCACCCGGCTGCGACACTGTTCCGGCAATGTCCTTGAATTCATGTGTACGACGCCTTCGTTAGTCCGCCTTGTTGAATACGACAACAATAATGAAAGGCCCCATGGCGCGTGCGGGGCCGAAACAATGCAACCATGACCAAGTTTCCCCTTGAACGCAAGGGGTCAAGTCTGAAAGCGATTTTGTAGTACGTTGATGGAAAATGTTTGTGTACCCAAGGTAAAATCAGGAGGCGAAGACTACTCAATTAGTGTTTTTTCTTTGTTCTTCCCTTTCGAACTTTACTCCTAGCAACTGATAACAACATATCTAGTGACTTCGAGATACTTTGACAATTGTTCGTCCTTCCGCTTGCAGTGTCGGACACTGTTACAATCGTAAGATACGGCTATCCACTTCATTAAGATCAATCTACAGGAAATCACGTCTTTTCAAAAGAATAATTTAGCTCGCAGGCCTGCGCCTCTTTCTGGGTTGACATAACGGCGCTGACGACAACTCTTGGCAAGATTATTATTCCTGGTCATGAGGCTGAAGAGATGGAAAAAAGGCATTGCTTCATCAAAACGCAGACAACTACTTACTTTTTTTCTTTAATATAATCATGTAAATAACAGACTCGCAAAGCAGATGTTAAGCTCATTACTTGGCGTATTTTCACTCGAGCGAGTCCAGCAAGCCGCCGGCTGAGCACGACAGCAGCCAGCGCAAGTCCAAGAATGACTTGCTGACAGCCCCACTTGCCGTGCCAGGGATCCATTGTAGGGCCCCGGCCATGTTTCAAAGCATGTCGAATCAAGGGGATAATGCATGGTAGGCCTGTTGCGATCGGCAGTACTTGGATAGTGAGCCTGGTAAGTCCGCACTGCAACTTTTGCGGTGTGAAGGCAGGCCAGCGTCTGGCGCAGCTCTGTTGACAATATCTTAAAATGATAATCAACATCTCGGGAGGAGGCAACATTAAAAGACACTTTAAAATGGTGTGTTAGGCGGACCTAGACGAAACACCCCCAAGATAACTGGAGCAAAGCAAAATTTCTAGATTAACTAAGGCTTGGATTGGTGGAAAGACGAGAGCTAACTGTATATGTGTGCAATCTTTTTGAGTTTCGTGACTATAAAACAATCTAAATCTCAATAACAACGTGCAGTGTTAGTGTTTGAAGGCACCGAAATACTGCTCACTGACCACCTATTTTCCGACCAGCAAAGTATACGTCTAAACATGTTTGCAACGAGAGAAATGTACAAACAATCTTGTGTTCATTGCATCTACGCCTCGAGCGGCTGTGATGAATCCAATGATCAATCGGACAGCGACAGAGAAGCAAGGCAATCCAAATGAACTGTATCCACTTTACAACCTTTCTTGGCATCTCGTTAAGAATCCACGACATCGGATAGCCAAGAAAAGGAAATGTGTATCTCATTGCTAATGCTCGGCATCTCATGCAACTCGGAGCCTGAGTATGGGAGCAAATATGATTCTTATCCGTTCATCCGTCGTGATTGGCTTGAGACCTCGTCATAACGGTGGCGTCCTGCACCCTACGTTTCTTAGTACATTTCACCAATGCACATTGCTGACAATCTTGGGAGAAGGGTCTTAGTCAGTAGAATCTTGGCAGGTTCTAGTCTAGAAGCAAATGGCCTTCTTAATGAACCAAAATCCGCCTTTTTCTTTTTTACAAATCCCAGGTGTGGGAGCAGCCGCCCATAGGAACACAGCGCTGCTGGAATATGGGGCTTCAAAGTTTGCTGATATGAACAGAGGCGAGCGGCTCTTCTACAGGGATATTTAATCTTTTACCTGGAGGCTGAAGTTATTGAATCACGAAAATATACGTGAAAACCTTTTGGGAATGCCCCTTGCTCTGTGTTTCCGTCCTAAATTATTGGTACGCCCTCTCGTATCTAGTTATTTGTCAGGCCAAGTGACCGATGCAGTCCAGATGCGAAGAAACATCTTAGTTACCTGACTTTCAGAAGTGATTTTGCAGCGTATTACACGACATGGCTTGCTGCAGAAAATTCCTTCGTCGGATGTTTATTCACTGTATCCATCAGTTCTGTATTTTCCAGTCACCAATACTCTTTCTCTCGGCAATTGAGTGCCTCTTTCTTGGTAAGTTAAAACATACGTTAGCCTGGCGTCAAAGCTGCCTCTGTTCGGAACTGACGGCTCCTCCCCTGGTTCTTTTGACATCGTCCTCTGTACCACTCGCAGTACTACGTAAGGAGAGAGATTACCCGTGGTTTTAGCGTTTTTGCATACACAATGGCAACGTCAGGGTACTTGGTTGCTTTATCCACACGACATTGATAGGCAGCACTTTCAATGTTACTTTAAGAGCCAATAAAAGACGCTGGATAATACTTAGCAATCCACTTAGGAAAATGACTCGCCAGTCAGAGAGTTCGTATCCCACATCTGAAGAGGAGATTCATCAACTGCATCTGGACGTTGAACTGGGTCGAGGCAGGTGGTGATATCATTAGCTTTTCCAGGGTTTTTATTTCTTGAACTTTTGGAAATACCAGTCTCGTATTGTAAAAAAAAAAAAAAAAAAATTGCGTTCTGATCTCTTGAATGTGTAATTTATCTCCATCGTGAAACTAAAAAGCTCGTCAGCTGCGAAATGATAGTTTAAAGACAAGCTATATGAATGTACCTTACTGAAATGCTCATTCTGTCCAAGATGGACATACATCGTGGATTCTTTTCTCCACATTATCCCCATTAAGAATATTTGTTCACAGCCGAATGTCGACTGGTGACTAGGTCTCTCCTCTCTCTTGAAATGTGATTTAGTAGCTTTTGGATGGTGGAATATTGGTAAGCGTAGCCTAACCTCAACTGAGGAAACTAAAAAAGACACATAGATTTCAATAATTCACTATGGGCTGCAGTAAAGCACCTAAATCCTGAATCTAGTTGCCAGGGATCTTCATTACAAGATTTTCAGCATTTCGATCCGAGCGAACTTGGTCACATGAGCAGCCCCTTTTCTGCTATCAGGGTTGCATCGAGATCACCTTACTATACTTCGAACGGCTTGCAACCATGGTTAACTGTAGAAGAATTATCCAAACCCTCCTGTGCTGCCATTATGGGAAGAAATGCCGATGCCAATGTCGAAAAAAAAATTAGAATAGCACGAGATTTGATGCTCAAGCACTCCGACCAAACCTCTATAAAAGATATAGACTGAATATGCAGTTTTGTATCCTCGTGTTTACTGAGTAACTCAGCAAACTGGATCATTCAACTCGCAGCATTTAACATCCATCATCTTTTCGTCTAGGAAAAAGCCCTTGGATGAAAGAAAGACAAAAGTCAAGAAGACCAAAACAGCCAAAACTCCATGAGAGGGCTGTTAACTTGCACAATAGCATGCGATCACCAGTTGATCACAGTCCTTTCGTTTTATCATTCATGCTGATCACAACCTATCGGGGGCCAGAAGACGCCATTTCAATGAACCTAGAAATTCTATTGTGATGGAGGCCTTTTCCACGCCCATGATATGTGCCTTTCCTTCTATTCTTTTGGATATTATGATTCAGCGTCCTGTATCGTTATAAGTGGGCCGTGTCTCTCCCATGCTCGGAATTCCATAGATCAAAGATCAACCATGCTGCTGGGATCACAGGGGGATTCGTAAGGAAGGACATCCTTTCGAAGGTGTAAAAGTGTTTTGTGTTGCTTCTGACATCTAGGAGAAGTTCTGGTAAAAGTGCTGACTCAGATAGTAGCGGAATTTCAAGGTGTCTGTCACGTGGACAGCCGGCAGCTGTCAGTCTCGCGGCTACAGAACCACCTCAACCCGGAGTTCCGGGTATTGCAACACACAACACATGGTTTGATAAGGCCAATGAGCGGAGGAACGCCGATTGACATTACATCTAAGAACTTTGACATCGCAATACCAGCGCGCTCATCCTTCCATTCAAGGTGAGTATCCACGGAAAGAGGATGCTTCAAAGAAGAATAACAGGAATGTGATCACCGTGAATTCCAATCGCCTCAGATAGATTCCATGTTGTTGGGAGATTTTTAATTTCACCTATACCCGGCCCATTGCGGCCAGTCGAGGTGTCTAGCCGCAAGTAGTGACCTAAGCTTTGCTGCTATCCGGATAAGGAGCAACGGACCCTTACCTCCGCACTGACCTAGGCTATCAAATTGTCCATAAACAACAAGCTAGCACACCGCTTCTACAATTATTTTTGCAAAGTCTTAAGAATTCTTTGGCATCCTTCTATACGCTGGCTGACATGTCATGATCCTTCTCAACACATTCACTCCCTTGAGAGGTCTTCCTTCCGCGACCCAATAGTACTGTGTCGCCAAAGGGCGGAAGTCATTTTTGAAGATGAAATGCTGATTGTCCAGTTCCTCCGTGAGCATGTTAGCTTCCGCATGGCTTTAACAGCATTGGAGCAGGAAACTCCGAGACCTAATGCTGCCAGCAGGCTTTTAAACGGAGCGGGTCTCGACTAGGGTTTTTGCCAGCTTTTGTATAGATCAACGGCAGTGCATGGAGTGCATTCAAGACGCCAACCTGCATTTCTAAACCGGCCGGGATAATCATTGCAACGAAAATAGCTTCTGATTTAGACACAGGACTTGGGTGCAGTTTTACGATGTTGTTATTATGCTGGTCAGTTGCGTCAGTCCACGCAGTTGTCCAGACCGTACATGCCCTCCCTTTTCAGCTGTAGTTAATGGCATCTAAGCAGGATTCTCAATTCGGGCCGATGGGAGGGTCAGGTGAAAAGCTGAAACCGCCATCCGATACCAGTAACTGTATAAAGTAGATCTCGAAAGGCTGCCATGTTTAATACGCAAGGTTTTCCCAATTTCATCCGGTATTTGACGTGGTGACTGAAAAATGTCACGGCGTCTTACCCTCCGATAATTACTTCGTCTTTTTGGGTCGCTTCATAGTCGGAAGTCACGTAGACTTCGACGTTAGCTTAGGTGACTACATTTATGAGAAGGTTGAGATGAATCAGTGTCATCAATACCACAAATGAGTTTAAAGCTCACAGTGGGATCTCCTTCGTGAGTGCACTGGCTCGGGTGCTTTTCAGGGACGAAAAAGAGCACTAGGTGTCTAGTAGATGTTCGTTTTAGACCCAACCCAATCAACATTAGGTAGTTTAAATCTATAACTGTACTGAGATTATGGTGATGTTCTTATCGGAGGGTCAAAACGACAAGGCACTCAAACATTGGTCACCCAATATTGTAGTGTAGAGTCTGACAGTATTTTCTTCAAGGCTTTTATGTACAGCCAACGGCATCTCGTTCTCCTAGTATTCCAAGATAGAATGAGATGGCAGAAAATATCGCTGAAAAACGATACTATGTATATATACAACGAAAGGGAAAAGAAGTCCGGCCGCATCAACACGATTTCATCCGGCCCTTTGGGGGCTCACCCTAGCAGGTTCATCTCTCCCAGTTGCTTCAGGCTATATGAAACTCATATCTCTTTGGCCTGTGTAGCTTTCTCAGTCCAGTGCAACCAGCCATTCATGGCAGGAAAAGCCGAGAGAGGTTTGTTACAATGTCTAAATGGGAGTAACGTCAACCCAGAAACGGGTGTCATCAGACTTGTACTTAGAGTTGGAATCGATCTGCCTTTGAATCCACTCAACAGACTCGCGATAGAATTTGATGTCCTCGGTGTTGGGATTGTTCAAACCAGTCTCACCGTTGCGGTGGCCTGCAAACCACTTTTGGTACCCGAAATAGTTCTGGCAATCCCATCGGGAGGCCACGTCAGCATAGATATCAGAGCTAAGAGTTATTCGTTAGTTCACTTCAGGTACCAGGTTGCTGAAAGCCACGTACTTCAGTTTAGCGCCGTTGTTCCACTGGTCTTGGCGCTGACCCTTGAACCCAGCACGAGAAGCACAGGTCCGAAGCATGCCCCAGTTGACCTTGAATACACCAAAGTTGGCAGCGTCAAGAGTCTTTCCATCACCTATACATGGGATTAGGAAGATTTTCCTCGTAATAGAACGTGCCTCGGCGATTTAATGAAAGAATAAAGTCTCTAGGTGCCGAGAAAATGCAGTAAATGCCGACTTGCGGTTACTTACCGTATGGGTAGTTGGTCTGCATGCGCTCGTCCTCAAGCATAGCGATAGCAAGATCAAGAGTATTTCCACCAGCATCAAGAATGGCTTTCTTACGCGATCCCAAACCAGAAACAGTGTAGCTGCCGCGATCTCCTGGGGCAGCGATAGAGCCTGCCGTAAGAGAGAGGATAGCGAGAACGTGTGAAAGATGCATGATGAACTTGTGAAGAAAATTTCTGAAGGTAGTTGACCAAAAGAGGGTTTTGAGAGGACCTTGGGTATATGTCGTGCTGAAAATTGCGATAGCTATGATGAGAAGTGGCATTGGGTCACAGCAGACACTGGCTTATATAGATATTTGGCACATCCATGGTTCATTCAGAGGCAAGGAAAATCACATCAAGTTGCCCTCTGCCTTACTTTTCTCCAACAGGTGCCAATTGAAAGGAACTAAAACCTGTCACTTTCCAATACTTGATCCAGCCAGGGGTTTTCCCCATCCACAGGGATCAAAATACGACTGGACCTGATGATTTCATCTAGGGGTGCATCTTCTCGGCGCAAACTGCAATTATTGACGAATGATAGCCATGGTTTATCACGATGATATCAAGTAGTCGAAACCTGAGAGACCCGAAAGGGCTAGCTGTACGGAAATATAAGTTGGCGGTGCCTATTTGGACCTCGGAACCTCCTCTTCCGAACAGGGCTTTGGTAGAAGCCAAGCGTTCGAAACCCACACCAGCGGGATACTAGTGAGCGTTCATGTGATGAATTAATGCACAGTCTCAAATGGATTCTACAGACCCTCCTCGAGGCATACATCGCAGCGGGTGACTGGCAGTGTAGTCGGCTGAAAACTTCAATGTGTATCTGAAGACGAAGCGACATCTTGCCATCATTAATCACTGATCCAAAATTGAACTCCAGGCATTTGATCCTCTTTCATCAACGCGGGAAAAATGCTCTTGTTGCGTCTAAGAAGTTACGTGGGATTGGTGTTCACTTGTAATCTTTAGAACCTAAACAAGTGCTGGAGCCTCTCAGGATATCTTTGCAAACTTAGCATTGCAATTGTTCAAAGTACAAAGAAAAAAAAAAATCAACGGAACAATCTCACTATTGTCCGGAAGTCAAGGTTGATGATGGTGTAGTAGTCGCCGTACAAGTCTAGAACCCTCTTGTCCCTTAAAATGACAACTGCATAGGATGATAGGCAAGACAGTTCTCCTTTCCAGTAAAAATCCAACACAGCCAGAAGTAGATTACATAAAGCAATAGGTTCAGTTCGTGCTACTTATATACAAGGGGCCGACCTTCACTGCTACAGTTACCCCGTCTGCAGCTCCCTGCGGGCGTTAGTCCTTTACTGTCACGAATGTCGACCATCACCAGAAGCCTTTGAACTTGTACCTGGAAGGTCACATCGTTGGCTGGGGCATGAAATGGTAGAAATAAGTGCTTCTTGGCTTGCATGAAGCTTTGGAGGATGGGAGAGAAGAACAAAGCAGGGACGTAAGTACTTCTTAGCGCCCAGATGGTACATCATCTGATGGGTCTTGAGATTGCCCAGCCGAAAAGGGGACCACTGTACAAACACCTTCCTTTATTTATTTGAATACACCTCCCCATCACAATCTCAGCTTTAACTGATACCGGGCGCTACAAATCTGTGGCTGAGTGCTTTTGACCCCCTCGAAGGAAAGAAATCGGGAGAGTATCTTTGCAAGTTGCTTTCAACCATGGGTCCCCATCAGCCCCCTTAGGTCATCTCTTCTCACATCTTGAAGCCGAAAAGTGTTGCAATCAAAACACTGATATAGTATTCAAGTCTAGGTAGCGGCAGTCGGGGTGGCTTGTAGGGAGGACGTGTGTAAAATATCAGTGCCGTCTCGGCAGTTTATGGAGGGTTCCAAAACACAGGCTATCCGTATACGTGACGTAGGAAAGTTTGCCAGCACGGAGCCAGAACTCCTTTAAGCTATATGTGCGTATTTTATACATGGAGGGACTCTGTTGGTTACTAAAAGTAGTTCCTTGCGCAGCTAGGTGCGGGAGAGATGCATAACCAATCTAAAGAAGCAGCCTTCAGCTGAAACCGAAATAACATGGTGTTCCGAGCAGAAATTCTACCGTCAACCTCCGTTTTCAGTCTCAGGTGACTGATCAGTTGAGGATGTACTGGTACAAGTTTCCTGTCAAACATGAACTGTGCGAGCAAAATATCGGGAGACGGAGTATCGCCTGGTCTAGAGAATCAAGCGAGAGTTCATATTCTTGGGATAATTGGAAGGGAAATAGAGGTTTCCTCTAGGGCATTTAAGTAAATACCTGAAACGAGACCGGGAATTGGAGAGAAACGAAGCTTAGTAATAAATCGTGATAATAATGGCGAAAATGGGTAACTTCGCTAATTTTGATGGCTTTGATAGATGTCACAACTAGCCAGGACCCAAGAGCTTCCTGTCCATGGAGACGCCACTGCGTTAAGATGTTAAGTCAGTGTCTAGATTAAATGTCAATGTTTAGTTGTGTTGTTTTTCAAATGAATACAAGATTCCAAACGTGCCAGATCTTGAGCGTAAGTAGGATGAGGATTGTCCTCGTAAGAAGCACATTCAAGTAAGTGTCTCTTTGCCCGAGGAAATATGACTTTGGGATACACAGTTCATCCTAAGCATGCAAGTCACTTCCAGGTGTTCAAAAGCGTAGGAATCAGCAAGCTTCTAAGAAAGAAACTCCCCGCAGTGGTGTTATCGGCCCAGGGCCGCCGCAGCATCCGGCTTGCGGCAGTTTAAAGTTTGAGGCGCCTGAATACTTTAAAGGAAGGTAAGTAGTACTGTCGGTTACTTCTATATTGCCAACATGTAAGGTCTGGATCTCAGGAGCCAGGATGCTGGGCTTGCTTTTTGGGCTGTGCTGGTTGCTTGAACTTATGGCTTTATTATACCTCAGATGTCCTTCACACTTTGAACATATGCCGTGAGTGATGCTGAAGATTGTAAAAAGGCTTGATATGCGATGACAGACGAAATAAAGTACGAAAGTGGCCAAGGGATACGATACCGAGTCCTGCTCATCGCGGCTTTTTTTTGTCGTTGACCATGATGTCATCACTTTCATTCATTGCCTACATCAGCAAGTTGCAGCTCAGATATTATAACATTCATTTCAAGGTTCTTTCCTTCCATCCAAAGATAAAGTTCGACAAATTGGCATGAACTATTGGTGGAGCTGAAGATGAAGACATAATTTAGCTGACATTTAGTGTGAGCGTGAGTTCTGCCGAATTAAAGCTTGGACCTGATGTTAGTCTTTTGATCTTTTGACAAATCTACATTACCGACAGTATGGTTCGTTTCTCAACAGGACTTTACCCTGGCGATGCCCCCTTTTGGTCAACATTGATTCATAACAGCCAAAAGCCAGAATGCTGATCCAATCCCGCAAGGCATACTACTGTCATCAATCAAAGGGTATCTCAAATATCAATGTTGATAAAAAAAAAAAAAAAGTCATTGATTCCTCTCAGATATCCGGTTTGATCTAGTTTAGATTGAGCAAAAGTTTTCTGCCTGTATTTTCAATTGCATCCACACTGCTTTGATAATTAGATGGAAGCTGGAAGGCGGAAAGACCACGAGTCAGCTTCAGGCACAATCCACGCTCCAAGCTTGGACATTCTGATGACGAGCATGATAGATCGAAATTATAAGTTTATTGAGATTCTACCTAGCAATCCCTGCATAGCAGGTCTCTGTGATGGAATATGGGTTTCTATTAGTGAAGCAGCTTTCATCGACGTGTGATGGGCTCGACTCCAAAAAGAAAAAGATACAGCCGAGTACAATCCAAAATTGAACTCCGAAAGGAAACAGATTCCAAGGGCCTAGCAATCGTCAGGATCTTTGTTAGAAAGTGTAGTTTGGATGTGGGAGCCAATTGGATTAATGGGGCAAAGTAAAAAGTTAAGCAAGGACAGGGGTGATGTGATACCATCAATCGGCATCAATTGACGCGACGGCAAAAAGATAATCTACGGTAGAAACCTTCCATTCATGGCTGGAGAACAAAAAAAGTTTGCAGATAGAAGATCACTCTCGCCTTATCATGAGGTTGGGTGGGGTGAAGGCCTCGGCCGATGGACCGAAATGGTCGGTTTAACGATGGTGCAAGACATGCATTAATGGCGTCTAATGTAGGGGTATTTGCAAGCGCCACCAACCACAAATGTTCTCTCGAATGGTGTCATTACTATGGACTAGAGCTAGACATGGGCCTTGCGGAAGTTACGGCAAGGCTACATGGTTTGAGAAGAAGCTCCAATTTCCCTGGTCTATGGAAACACTGTGTTCTCATACGCACCATCCATACCTTGGTGACAGTGCACATGATGAATTTTGGCTTATCACGAATTGACAGGTTTCGATGCGTCTATCAATATTTTCTCCCCCACTGAGGGTCCATTAGCAATACAACTCCCGCATGACGCTGTCGGCTCCTGCCGAACATGCGAAAGCTTCAATTGACGGCTTCTGATCTAATTTCGAGCTGTGCCGTATAAAAGCCGGCCTTCCTAGCATTCAAAATGCCAGGTGTGGATTTTGGGTAGTTCTGTTTGATCTCGGTGGGAACCAGCTTCGTTTTGGAGGACTCACATATTCAACTTTCGAGATCTCATTCGCTTCGACAATGCATATTTCTAGACTGTCCGCCTGGGCGCTGACTACTGCAGTAGTCAGCGCTGGCAAAGGCCCTTTCTTGGAACAGATTAATGACTCTACCTGGGTCATTGGAAATGATCACTGGAATCTGACCCAGGGCTCTCTATATGCGACCAAGTTGTTCTGGGATGGTGTACCGGGCGCTGATCTTGTGGGTTCTGCTGTCGGTCATTATATCGGCTATGGTGGGTATTCCTCACTCCATGCTCCGATTCAATGTCTAACATATTGCAGATGGTGAAAACAATCTCAAATTCACGAATGCCACCATTGCGTCGCGCGGCACCAATTACATCGACGTCAGCTTCTCCGCCACCGCCGGTGACTTCCACTGGGTCATCTTCGATGACCTGACTGGCGCATACCAGTACTTTGTCAATCGCGCCCTGCCCGACATCAGCATCCTTCGGACCCTGTGGAGACTGGCGCCAGAGTACTTCCCCAACGGCCGTACCCATGTGAAGGATGAGCCGTTGCCTGACTTCTCCTTGTATGCCAACGCCACCAACGTCCAGGATGAAACCTGGCAGTTGGCTGACGGGTCGTACATCACGAAGTACGACTGGTCGAACGCCGTCAGAGACCGCGACTTTTACGGCATCTATGGGCCGAAAGCTGGTTCCTGGTACATTCACCCTACCACCGAGTACTATAACAGCGACCACCTGAGTCAGACATTGACGGTGAGAAAGATTCAATATCTCGTATTTACATCCCATGTTTTAATGCTGCAGTAGATCCACAGAGAGTCCAAGACTGGAGATTCTGTCCAGCTCAATGTCGTTCAGGACACTTCGCACTTTCGAGTTGGCCAGAAGGTCGCTCAACCCGCTGGCAAAGTCTGGGGACCTTGGCTGTGGTACTTGGTGAGTGGCCTTAAAAGCAAAGTTCAAAATGCAATACGTAGCTGACCTCATGACCAGAACAATGGTGATGTTGCAGACGCAGCTCAGCAGCACAAGAAGGAAGTCAAACATGTACCCTATTCTTGGTTCAAGGACTCAGCCTACCACTCCCGTGGCGGCATCCAAGGAGCTCTTACCCTTTCTGACGGTCGACCGGCTTCCAATGCAGCTGTGTTCCTTGGTGATACCGACACTACAATTCGCCCTTCTATCCAAGGAAAGAACTATTACTACACGACATTCACCAATGACAAGGGCCGCTTCTCCTTCGACAACGTCCGCACGGGCTCTTACGCAGTCTACGCCTGGTCCAACGGTGCCAAGCTGGCGGACGTTTACACAAACTTCACGACTCCCGTGACCGTCGTCAAGGACAAAACCGTGAACCTCGGCCAGCTTTCGTGGGAGGTCCCCAAAAGCAAGCGCATTTTCCAGGTTGGCGAGTTCGATAAGAAGGCCACGGGTTTCAAGAATGGCGGATTGCCGTACCAGCACGGTGTCGCAGCGGACAGCCCTGCTAACTTGACCTTTGTCGTCGGCGAGTCTAAGGATTCGGACTGGTACTTTGCGTCGTCCGCCATTGGAAAGTGGACCATTGAGTTTGATCTTCCCGAGGCCGACATTGCTGCCAACAAGACCGCACTGCTAAGCGTATCACTTGCTGGATACTCTCAGAGCGGTGCACTCGACATCGACGTCAATGGACATGTTTACGACTCGTTGAGCAAAGATGTGCTGACAAGTGATCCTGCCTTGTATCGCTCAGGAAAGATTAGCGGAGAGTGGCGATTCTTCCAGTACAAGGTCGACACGGACATTCTCAAGGCGGGAAAGAACACTGTTGGATTTACTGTTACCAGATACACTCAGTGGAGAGGCTTCCTATGGGATAGCATCATCTTTGAGTGGGTTTAAGTCAACGAGATGATGGGATGGATGATTTATGATGTGAAGACAGACATTCGTGACGAAAGCGGACTGTTGGTTGATAGATCTCGCGACCCACTTAGGTAGCTTGCGCCTTTGATGGCAGGATTAATACTAATGACGATTATCAACCTTTGGTGTAATGTTCATGACAAAATTTGTTGTCGATCTTGGCTGGTTTATTTCACAGTCTAGAGATGCTCCAGGAGTCCAAGGAATCGGTTAGCTGGAAATGCTGGCTGTCAGTAGAAGCCCGGTTTCCCCAGCCAGAATTTGCCCACAGTAAAGGTAGTTCTGCATTTCCAGTAGAAACGCGCATCTATTATAACGCCGCGCCATTCTATTCATATATGAAAGACTGTGGCTTATCTTACTTGCGGCAACCATGGTACTAGGTGAACGCGCTGGGTGCATGTTAACATTGTGACGCGGCTGACGACAGTCGGCAGCCTTGGTTCTGAGTGAACGGGACAACCTGTTGACGAGGCCGAGGGATGGTTTTGTGAACAACGTAAGGAAAAACTCGACCTTCAACTCTCAAGCAGAATTCCTCCCAGGGCTTCGGACCCCATCGAGCCCATCGTCGCTTCATCACGGCTTGTCCGCCGCCCCGCCACCCAAGCGAGCCATCACAGGCACGCAAGCATCACAAGCCCTTGTGGTCTAGCGGTATGATTCTTCCTTAGGGTTGTTCACCTACACACAACTTGGAAGAGGTCCCAGGTTCGATCCCTGGCAAGGGCCTATCTTTTTCTCTGCAGAATTGTTGGTGACATCTTTTGGTGTTGCAGAAATCCGTCAGTAAGAATTAGCGCTGCAGGCTGCTAAATACTCTCCTATGATTGCTGGAAAGGGCACACCCAATGGCCGCCAAGCCGAAAGCTGACTGAAAACGTGCGCTGTGTGGCTGCAGCGCTACGGGCGGGGGCCGCCGTGTTAATTATATCTGTGGAAAAGGTGTCGGGCTTCGGCCGGAAATACCCCTGTCCTTGCGCGGCCGAGACCGGCCTCAAACGTGGGGAGTCGGATCAAGATCCGGTACGGATATCTGAAGTCACCTCAGCTATCCGATACTTACCCTCTAACGGATACAGACCCGGTTGTTAAAGCAGCAACCTCGGCCACCCCCCCGACCACGTTGTTCATAAAGCCTCATCATCACCTCAACTAATTGCAGAATCTCATCACAATATACAAACATACATACAACTCAGAACGTTTATCAGTCATACTTCGTTTTGCCATACAAGTTTTGACTTGAACCAGTTGAGAAACCCCTCTTCAGTACACACACAAAGCTACACTTTACTGCAAAAATGTCCCGCACCAAGGTTCCCCCTCAGGGCGTTTGGGCCCCCGCAGTAACGCTCTTCAACCCCGAGACTGATGAACTGGACCTCGAGGCGCAAGCAAAGTACTACTCTTACCTGTCCAAGACGGGCCTCGCAGGCCTCGTTATCCTGGGAACCAACGCCGAGGCCTTCCTCCTCACCCGTGAGGAGCGCAAGGCTCTCATTGCCACCGCCCGCAAGGCCACCGGCCCCGATTTCCCCATCATGGCCGGCTGCGGAGCTCACTCCACCAAGCAGGTTCTGGAGCTTCTCTCCGACGCCGCCGAAGCCGGCGCCAACTCCGCACTCGTCCTGCCTCCGGCATATTTCGGCAAGCAGACCACACCCGCTGTTATTGACCGTTTCTTTGACGACGTCGCTACCGCTTCGCCCTTGCCTATTGTTATTTACAACTTCCCCATCGTTTGCAACGGCATTGACCTGGACAGTGCTACCATTGCAAAGTACGCCAAGAAGTATGACAACATCGTGGGTGTCAAGCTTACCTGCGGAGCCGTCGCCAAGATTGTGCGTCTCTCGGCCGAGCTGTCCCCCGAGAAGTTTGCCACCTACGGAGGCCAGTCCGACTTCTTGCTTGGCGGTCTCACCGTTGGCAGCGCAGGCTGCATCGCTGCCTTTGCCAACGTGTTCCCCCGTGTGACGACCAAGATCTACAAGCTGCACGCCGAGGGCAAGTCCACCGAGGCGCTGGCGCTGCACCAGAAGGCCGCACTGGCGGAGCAGGCGACGAAGGCCGGCATCGCAACCATCAAGTATGCTGCTTCGGTATTCACCGCGCCGCGTGCTGGTCTCGCCGGTCAGGAGAAGCTTTTCGACCCCCGCAGGCCGTACCTCCCTGCCAGTGAGGACCAGAAGAAGGCCGTGCACAGCTTGATGAGCGAGCTGAACAAGCTCGAGGAAGAGCTTGCAGGATCCAGCTAAATGGTTTGCTGTCATGTGATGTGATGTAACGGGCCAAACATGAGTCTGCCTCGTGAGCGGAGTAGAACCCCGCGATGGTCGCGAGTTGCCTGATTTGGGAATTCGAATGTATTAGATTCGGGAGGCGATTATGAGAAATGATGCATGTCAAGACTTTGGCAGGCGCACAGTCCATTGGCTGTTGACCTGCTGAGGGTACGGAGGAATTAGACCATGAGTCAGCTCTTGATCACATTTGAAATAAAACCACGTTAAAGTCAATTGCAAGTTTGCTTCATAAGCCCAGTCTGATTGGATATTCATTTTTACCGACGAGAAAAGTGTTAAACAAGGCCATAGTACTCTTTCTTTGAATGCGATGAAATATTACTAACTCATGTAGACGGTGTGGGCAATGAGACAAACATTCCTAGTGGAATAGCGAGACGTTGAAATTGTTCGTCATCCTCCTCCCATCAGCTAATAGGGGCTTGGCTCAATCCTGTCATGTCAGGCACAACATACATGCGTTGCCATCTGCAAGGAACAAAGCTCAAACAAACTTGGACATAATCACAAGCAAGCAATCAGGCACTTTCAACGCCGCCAAGTCGCAAACAAATACCGAACAATCAAACGAATAGCCAAGGGTCCTCTAGAGAGTCTCGGACCCCTGGCAACGTCTAGGTGTTTGCGCCCGAGCTTAAGCCAATAATTGACGGGTAGCCTCAAAGGATGCGATGGTCCTTATGCAGCGGTCCGTAATGGACCACATGAAGGAGAGGTATTGGCGAGACAGTCAGGAAGCTCAGGAAGCCGGAACAGTTCAAATCAACCACAACGGCTGGCAACGCAAAGATGGCGGAAGGCCAAGTTTGAAGTTTGTCTAAAAGCGACGTGGGGACAATGACGTTTAGGTTCTTCGAGTAAAGAGAAAAGAACATCGCTTGCATTCGATGCCGTCTGGACCTTTTTCGCCGTAGCCACAGTTTGTAGACCAAAGATCTGTCCGAAAACGTCCAGATCAGCGATAGACGGCATCTCTAACCATTAGCTTCCAGAATTTGGGAATATCGCCTCGCCTGTCGAAGAACAAGAGAACATGTCTCGCTTGTTATGTGGGGAGCTATCCCTTGCTTTGATCGAATAGATATGGGCCCCTTGAAGTATTGGGCAGGCAAGACACGTTCTTATCCCAAACCGGCGGTCCCAAAGACCTATCCGCCACATCAACTCCCGGATGCGTCCAGAATATCCTCCAGCTCCCCACAACGGACCAAGTATTGGGGCAAGCCACATCCAAACCACAACCCAAACCAATCAAGCGCTGGAGATTTCTGTGTCCCAGCTCGAGGCGCAGTGGAAGAACCAGTTCTTCGGGTTCTACACGGACATTATATTCGGCGCGAGTATTCTCGCGAGCAAGTGGAGGAGTCTGAAAGTCCGATAGACTCGTAGTTAGTCGGAGCGTCAGTTGACGAGAGTGTTTTGATGTTCTTGATTCCTACAGACAGCGGAAAATGAACATTGTCAGGGCGGGATGAGATTATTGTGAACGCTCTAGGAAAGAGATGATTGTTTAGATCAAACAACGGTTTTTGTTTTGTTCGTTGGCATATCAGTTTCTTCAAACGCCGCAGTTTGCATAATTTGCGCCACGGAACTAAGATACGGCCCAGGCAGAATAACGAGCGGGGTACAAACGCCCGCAAAAGCCATTGTCATAGTCTCGTAATTCGCGAACCCGAGAAACGTTCGACGCTTGTGTGACACAAGCACGCCCCCGGCGGCCGCGCTTCTTTGGCGAAAGCACCATGCTAGTCCCGGGTCATTGATCTACACAGCCCTGTCCGGATCTTACCACAGCCTTGATCGCATAAGGTCCAGGACCCTCGCACATTCAGATTCGTCATTCTCCTGATGACATTCCACTCTCTCTGCATGTCTTGACTTGGCAAAACCTGTCTCTCTGCTTACTACAACCCGGTTCTTCATATCAAAAACAGACAGAACTGATGTGTCACAAGTGGTGTTAGCCATATCCGTCCCGTATCTTCCCCCGGGTGGGCCTCCAACGACATGGCCAACTTTCTCGACCTCTTGGGGAAAGCTGACAACTCCCAAGAGGAAAGGCCTTTGATGAATAACAAGAGTGCGATGCTTGGCATTGTGATATCTTTTCTAGTAAGCCATCCGAGCGCAAAGTTGTATCTAGCATATGCCAATTTGAATCCTGACAAATAATCCAAGGTCTTCACCTGGCTTTGCGCGATATTGAGGTTGTGGTGTCGGTTCTTCATCGTGAAGGCCGCGGGTTGGGATGATTTCTTCGTTGTGATACTTATGGTAAGTCTTGATTGAATCACTTGGGAAAAGTTCCAATGGGGAAAACCAAACACTAACATGACCTCTCCAAGATATCTCTCTCAATCGGTAGCATTGGCACATGCGTTTGTACGTTACATCATCATTTACCTTTCGTCCAGAGAAACTAACATTCGACACTAGTAACTGACTACGGGCTCGGAGAGCATCTTTTGCAATTCCCCGAGTTACATTTTGATTTGCCAAAGTATTTCCAGGTATACTTCTGATTTGTTTCAATCAACGTGGTACCAAATCTCATCAGCCCACAGATATTCTACCTTTGCAACGGAACACTACCGATGTCAACCTGCTTTATCAAAATTGCTATTCTTCTTCAGTATCTGCGAGCTTTCGAAAAGGGGTCCAAATCTCGAACCCTTACTATCATCGTTCTCGTACTTACCTCACTGTGGGGGGTTGCGTACATTTTCCTGGGCTGGGTTCCTTGCCTACCCGTCCGCGCATACTGGGATTGGACTCTGCCAGTTGTAGGCCGATGGGGGTTTGGTGCACAAGTAGCAGAAGAGCTGATCCGGACCTATGAGAGCCACGCCATGAGCAACATGATCCTCGACTGCGTCATCTTTGCCCTTCCACTGCCATTGTACTTCAACGGCGAAACTCACAAGAACTCCCGCAAAAGCGTGCTGGGCCTTTTCTTGTTGGGAAGCGTGTAAGTGAACCCCGGGCCCACCGTACTTCCATGATCATGTCTCCTGACCGTCAACTATAGCGTACTGATGCTCTCTGCCTGGCGCCTTGCATCTCTCATCCACTCTCGCGCCGGAACGTATCCAACCCTCGACCCGACATGGTACGGCCCAACTCCCATGGTCCTTGCCATCCTCGAGATCGACGTGGCAGCGATATGCGCTTGTCTTCCAGTCTTTTGGCCCATCCTCAAGTTCAGCATGGGCAACATCTTTGTCACGCACGAGGTTAAAGTAGAAGTAACCACGGAATCAGCCGGGTTCGGCCGCGACTCTGAGGACCTCGAACTCGGGCGGGGCGGAGGTACTGCATGCTCATACTATCGACAACAGTCCTACTCGATGCCATCGCCAACAAAGGACACGGATGCTTTAGTTCAACCAGAGATCTTTGGCGCATATATGCACGGGAAGACAACGTGTTCGGTTGCAAAACACGGCTGAGATCTATGCGTTGAGGGTTGGGCGCTGGAGGGCTATCATGACTTGATGAAGCGATCATTTGGTATTCTTTACTGCTACGGGGGGACTCAGTTTTGTGCATACAATTAATTCTGTGTATAAGTACGGCACATCTGGGTATGAGTTTGGGTATAATTCAGAGATGCAGATTATAGTCTGCACACATTACGATCTCACAAATGATCCTTGTTATCGGTGATTTTTGCCTCGCGCTGCAACAGGTGGCAAGCTAAATCGCCACTAAGAAGATGCAATACCGGGGCTTACAATTTTCACAAACCTAGAAGCCAATCAAAGACTCTGGCTACATGTGAAATCTATCCGCACTTGTACTACTGCCATCGACTAACTTCCGCCCCATTACACCAGTGCGCTCTTGTCGCCGGATGCGGAAATTCAAGCTGACGACAGAACGATCAGCCTTTCAAAGCGAAGTTGAAACGCAGTGAATAAGGTTTTGGGCTTGTCGGGAAGGATTAGCGTTGCTGCTACGAATAAAAGGAAGATCAGTTTATAAACAAGATATCAGCTTGTGATCTATGCAACGGAACGACTAACTTGAAGAAACCCAAGAAGCGGCGGATATAGGCCATACAGTAAAGCTTACAGAGTTCTAAGCTCGCTACGCGGATACTTTGAGTCATGTAAGACCAGAGATGGCTCACGACCTGTTCAAGCAGCTGGAAACTCACCTTGGACCAAAAAAACGCAGATCGACCAATATGTTACGCAGCATCGACTAACAACAAATGTCCAATTGATAAATAACTCCTGTAAATGCGTTTATGGATGTTTCCCTTTGTCCTTTCAGTTCGCCACAACAGGAGCCCCCCAGGCACCTCCGCCAGGCGACTGGATGATCACCCTCTCACCCGCGCGAAGCTTCGTCGTTGCCTTGGCGCCCAAGTTGACAACCCTCTCCTGCCCGTTCTTCATGTCATCCCTGACGACAACCAAGTTCAGGCCAGCCTCTCCGTCGCCTCCGCCCTCCATACCATACGGCCGGCGACTCCTGCGCTCGCTGAGGATAGAGCACTGGACCGGCACGCGGAACTCGATTTCCCTAATGGTGCCGTCGCCACCCCTGTTGCGGCCCTTGCCACCCGAGTTCTCGCGCAGCTGGAACCGTCTCAGGATGCACGGGTACCGCTTTTCAAAGACCTCGGGGTCCGTGATGCGGGTGTTGGTCATGTGGGTGTGCACGCCGCTCTGGCCGACCCATGTAGGACCCGCTCCGGCGCCGCCGGCGATGGTCTCGTAGTATCCGAAGCCGTCCTTGTGCTCGCCCGTCACGGGGTCCTTGCCGCCTGTGCCGAAGGTCAGGTTGTTACAGCAGCCCTGACTGGCTGCGGAGGCGCGGAACGCCTTGAGGACGACGTCTGTAATACGTTGCGAGGTCAGGACGTTGCCGCCGACGACAGCGAGGCCGGCGCCCGGGTTGAGAATGCTGTCCTCGGGGATGATGATGTTGATGGGTGCCAGACATCCTTGGTTCAGAGGGATTTGAGAAGAGATAAGACCGCGTAAGCAGTAAATAATGGCGGAATGGGTAATGGCGATAGGAGCATTGGTGTTGCCAAGGACGTGAGGACCGGTGCCGGTGAAATCGAAGGTTGCGGAACCATCGTTGGAGATTGTGATTTTGAGGGAGATGGGTGTTCCGTCGTCCATGTAGTCGACAGCGACGAGAGGCTCCGTGCCAAACTTGGTGAGGGTGGATTGCATCAAGTCACGCACGGCGTGTTCGGCAGTGTGCTGGATCGCGTACATGTAACGGTGGACGGTGGCAAGGCCGTTCTCCGCGATGAGAGCCTTGATTAGCGCGATACCCTTGGCGTTCGCAGCAATTTGGGCCTTGAGATCCGAAAGGTTATCCTGCAGTCTTCGGGTGCCGGAGCAGCCCTCATATTGGGCGGGCTCCTCAAGCAGTAGACGACGGACTTCATCCTCGTCAAAGCGGCCCTCGCTAACCAGCTTCGTTGACTCAATTGCCGCGCCCTCCTGCCAGAGAGCGGAAGACGTCGGCGGCATAGAGCCGGGGAGGATGCCGCCAATATCCGCGTGATGTCCTCTGGATGCGACGTAGAATGCAATTTCTGAGCCATCAAACACAGGGGTGATGACAGTAATGTCGGGAAGATGGGTGCCTCCGCAGGAAGGGTGGTTTGAGACGAGAACGTCGCCATCCTTAAGCTTGCCATTCCAAAGGTTGTGTTGGTAGCGCACGGCAAACTGCATAGAGCCGAGATGCACGGGAACGTGAGGGGCGTTTGCAACAAGTCCGCCATCCGGGCTGAAGATGGCACAAGAGAAGTCAAGACGTTCCTTGATGTTGGTGGATACGGCTGTCTTTTGCAGGGTGCGACCCATCTGCTCGGCAATTGACATGAAGCGGTGACCGAAAACAGTGAGTTGAACAGGGCTAAACTCCTCTTGCTCGCCGTTCGTCTTGGCGACCACCTCCTCGAGCGCCCTGTCGATGACGACGTAGCTGTCGAGGACAGTCGCCGTTGACGATGGCGTGACCAGGATCGTCTGGGTGTTGTCGATGATCAATGCAGGACCAGTGATGCGGGCGCCAATGGGGATGGATTGAAGCTCGTAGATGGCAGTGTCGACATGGCCGTGTCCATCAAAGTAGACACGGTTGGTGCCGTTAGGACTGGGAGTGGCGGATGTTGAACCCTCGACAGCCTTCATTTGGGCAAAGGGGCTCTTCTCAACCTTTGCGTGTGCTGCACCGGTTGCTCGAATACGGATGTCGTCGACAATAATGTCCTTTTCAGGGAAATGGAAGCCGAAGCCACGTCGGTGAGCCTCCTCGAACTCCGTCTTGAAGTTCCAGTCAGCACCCTTTAGAATCATGAGGGAGCTGCTCGATCCAGCATATCTCATGTTCAGGTAGGCATCATGTGTAATGCGGTCTTCAGCGAAGCCCTGTTTCACCAACTCAAGCGTAGCCTGGGATGATAGCTCTTCGAGCTGCTGCTGAATGTTGCCAGCGGTCTCGTCAGAGTATACAATGGCGGAAGGTCGCTGAATCTCGTGAACAACGTCTGCCAGTGACATGCCATAGGCTGACAGAATCGAAGAGTACTTGTGAATGATGATACGAGAAATTCCAAGAACAGTGGCAACGGAGCAGGCGTGCTGGCCACCAGCACCACCGAAACAGGCGAGATGATGCACGCCAGCCTCATATCCGCGGGCCTCAGTGAGGGCACGGATGGGGCTAGCCATGCCTTCATCAGCAACCTTCAGAAAACCCAGAGCAACTTCCTCGGGCGACAGCAGGGACAGACCAGAAGCTTCGCGGTCCTTGTTGATTTCATTCGTCAGTTCCAAGAACTTTGCAGCAGTGACTTCTCGGTTCAAGGGCTCGTTCTCCTTGGGACCGAAGACCTTGGGGAAGTACTCCGGGAGAAGTCGGCCAAGGAATAGGTTGGCATCCGTCACGGTAAGTGGGCCGCCCTTGCGGTAGCATGCCGGGCCGGGGTGAGCAGAAGCAGACTCAGGACCAACGTTGAACAAGCCGTTCCTCCATGTCAAGATGGATCCGCCACCAGCAGCAACGGTGTGGATGTCGAGCTGCGGTGACTGAATGGCAATACCAGCAGTCGTCGTTTCAAACACGTGGTCGTAGACACCAGCGTAGCGAGAGACATCGGTAGACGTGCCGCCCATGTCGAAGCCGATAACAGGCCGACGCTCCTCGTTGTCCCATGACGTTTGCGCATAACCAACAACACCTCCAGCAGGACCGGACAGAATAGCCTTGAGGCCGCTAAACTTCCGGTAGTCTACGAGGCCGCCGTCCGATTGCATGAACTCGATCCTGGTAGCAGCAGAGGCGAAGCCGCCCCTGAAGTTAGCAGAGATTGAGTCGATGTACTGTCGGATGACGGGTGTAAGGTATGCATCGGCAACAGCCGACATGCCACGAGGCACCATGTTGATCATGGGCTGGACTTCCGATGACAACGTCACAGAAAATCCCATTTCTGATGCTAACCTTCCGACCAGGAGCTCGTGATCTGGGTAGGCGTAGGAGTGAACAAAAACAATGGCGATGGAGCGGAATCCTTGATCCCGGACCTTTTCCAACTGTGTCTTGATTTCTGCCAGGTCTGGCCTCTTCAGGACTCTGATGGTCTCACCAGTGATGGCGGCGACCAGCTCGCTGCTACCAGATTCGACAGCAGTCTTGACAGATGCCGGATCTTCGGTATAGTCCTCCATGGTGATTCTCTCATCGACTTCAACAACCTCGTCGAAGAGAACCTCTGGCCGGGATACTGAGAGGTCAAAAATGTTCGGCCTTGACTGATTGCCAATTGCCAGCAAATCACGGAACCCCTTGGTCGTGATAAGGGCAACGCGCTCGCCTTTCCTCTCCAACAAAGCATTCGTAGCTACTGTCGTGCCCATTCTAATCGACTCTACATGGAAGAGGTCCAGGAGCTGGCCTCTTGGCAATGTCTCCCCCGTGACCAGCTCAAGGATCCTTCGGATACCCTCTGTCGGGGCATCTTGGTAGTTGGCTGGGTCGACAGAGAGAAGCTTGAGAATAATATCCTCCCTACCAGGAATGGCGGCATGGACATCGGTGAAAGTGCCGCCTCTGTCGATTGAGATGCGAATGCGATGTGATTTGACAGTCATGGTTGTATGTGATGGCGGGCGGCTCTTCGGCAGCCGCACACAAGTAATGTTAAGGGAAAGAGACAGGGGTATCAGAAAGATTCAAGACAATGGCAAGACAAATGTTTAAGGCAAGCTGACCATTCGGAGATGCTTAAGACTAAATGTTTATACGTTGAATGCTTCTTAAGACAAGCTTGTCGTGATAGCGTAACAATTTGCCGTTTACATCGGTAAAATGGCGTTTCGGAAGGAGACTGCGATGAAGAGACGGGCGGTCCCTGCAGCTAGCTCTTCTCGTTCTACCATTGGCTCCCTTTGGAACCTGTGGGCGGGAATTTCACGCATAATGGCGATGCGCAAAGGTATTGAGGCGTCTCACTCCGCCGCACCAGAATCGCGACTCCGTATCGGCCTTTGAATCGGACATCATTTGCGTGGAGAAGATTGCCAAGCTGGGCATTTGGCTTTGGAGGTCCTCGGAGTGGGTCCCCGATCAGCAGTCCTACCAATGAAATACAAGACATTGTCCGATACTTGATAAGGTATGATGGCGAATGCAGGAGTGGAATTGCGAGATATGAGAAAGGTTGCGGGATTGAGTCGCGGGGTGCTAAACGGGCAACCGCCCGACTGTAGCCGTCGGAGTGGGTCCCCGACCGGGTCAGCGTATCGACATGCTACGATTGGTCACGGCTATCTTGCGGATCATCTCCGGGCCGGGTGATAAGCCCTGTGGCTTATCCTCGGACTTTTCTGGTCCGTGCATCGGCAAAAGCAACATCACGGGGAGGGTGTGGTCAAGGCGACCATTGGGGGGGGGGGATAACCTGACCAATTACCCACTTATTTTGTGATTTGTGGGGCTACCCTGAGATCAGCTGACCATGGTCAGCTAGTTAGCTATGGTCAGGTTGAAATTCCTTAGCGCGGTTTGAAACCTCACCCTTGACATACTTTTTGTAAGAACATACGACATTTAAACGCTTCCAAATCCGTTCCGAATCGATTTACAATGGCTCTTCAATCGATTGAAAATCTCTTCCCTCGCCTAGAGGGAATAAGTCCTCTATTAGAACCTACTAGTCTTGATGCAGAAGCTGAAGAAGACTTAAATCTTTACTATCAACTACCAGCCCAGGCCCAGTCTGGCTTACCAGTAAATGAGGAGGTAGGGATATATGAGAACGACTTTGGAATTAGTTCTAAATCGATTCAGGATCAACTCGAAACCGATTCAGAAATACCTCCAACACTTGTTTCATCAGAGGCAACCCGTTCTGGGCATAATAGCCTCAGGGATGTTCATGTACTTGCTCAAAAAGTAATCTTTCTACCTACATTTATAGAATATCCAGAAACAAGTGAGAATGGAGTCCTTTATGTTATTGATATAAGGACTTTAAATGAGGAGGATATTAAATCGCCTTGGAGAATGGTAAACGAACTACTTTTGAATCGATCCGGGATCGATCCCGAACTACTTCAGAACTAATTACATCACAGATTCAGTACAACCATGCCCGGCAATTCCCACAATTCTATATCGCTTCCGAATCGCTTCAGAATCACTTGGGAACTAATTTACTTAGCTGAACCTCAAATAAAAGCATGGGCTCAACATAAAGCCCGAAAAACAATTGCAGCTGGACTTAATCAGAACTGCTCTAAAATCCCCTTATCAGATTGGAGTCAATTCATACCTAATACAAATACTGTTGAGGTTTTACATGAAGCCTCATATACTTGGAGTAATCGGTATTTACCATTACTTACATGTATCCAGAAGTAAGTTTGGAATCCCTTCTGAATTGATTCGGAATTGGTTTGGAATGCGTTGAGAACTAATTCAAAAGTACTTAGATGTGCAGAATACGATCGCCATCTTTTAGAGCAGGATACAGTGTTTACAACACTAGGAATCCGGCTTTCCTGGAAAGATGTTTCTATTATTAGCCGTTATAATACAGCTGCAAGCCGTTTACGTAAGTTAAAAATACTTTAATATTTATTAATAATTATTTCTAAATTATTTTAGAACTTAAACGCCAACGCCAGAGGGAATCCCGTGAGCAACTAGATAATGAACGTGTTGAAAGGCTTTTATCAACCCGACTCTTTACGTCTAGTCCCTCAAGGGGTACTAATTCAAGAAGTCCATCCTCAATTCCGAATCGATCCCGAAGTCTTTCAGAAGCGATTCGGAATCGATCCCCTCGTCTTTCCCATGCTTCATCTTCTGGGGTTATTAGGTCAAATACTCTCCAAAGAACATCTATTTCTAACTTAAGAAACGAAATCAGACAGGGACAACAAGATGACTTTGACTTACAGAAGCAAAGTCTAGAATTAGAAGAAAAGCGATTAGAATTAGAAGCAAGAAAACTTCTAGTTGAAAAACAGAAGCTTGAACTACAAGAAAAGGAACTAGAGTTAGCAGAGCGGCGGAGAAGGTTAGGACTTTGATAGCATATAGGATAGGTAGAGAATCGATTCTAAATCATTTCTGTATTGATTTAGAAATGCTTTTTTTAAAAAAAAGCTTAAAAACCGAACGCCCCGGGTATCTATAAAGAATTGATTCTAAAGCGGTTCCAAATCGGTCCCGAAAGAAGTCCCAAACTGGTTCCAAACCGATCCTGAATTGATTCAGGCCTCATCTTCTTCATCATCCTCAAAGCGGGCCCAGACCTCACATTCCTGATCGCGAAGGGCGGGAGGACATTCTGAATCGATTCGTAATTAGTTCTGAACTGCTTCAAGACTGATTCTAAACTTACTGGCATTGCGGGCAGTGGTGCAGTGGGTGCACTTGCCCTTGGCAGGGAAGCCGGCGGCGCGACGCATTTCGGCGAAGTTGATCTGTTGCAGAATCGATGCAGAATGGGTTCCAAAAGGATTCCGGATCGATTGAGAATCACTTACCACAGTTTGGTTGCCCCGCTTGCGCGTGGGCACGGCAAGAAGGGGGGGAGGGGTCTGCGCCTTCCGTTTCTTGGAAGGAGTCTGCAGCTCGCTGTCATCGCGAGCGCCGATGGCGATGCCGTGGATGCGGTCGTAGAATTCTATTCATAATCAGTTTAGAACTAGTTCAGAATCGGTACAGAATCAGTTCAGAATCACTTACCAGCTGCATCATCGTTCTCCTCGACGGAGTTCGCGCCGGACTTGCGGCTCTTAACCTTGGCCGGGACCCCGTCGAGCTTGTGCTTCTTGATGTGGTTCTTGAGGTTCGACTCGCTCGAGAACCGCTCCGTCTAATCGATTCGAAATTAGTTCTGAACTGATCCGGAACTGATTCTGAATTACCTTGGTGCACGTGATGCTGCTGGATCTACCACCCAGCGGCAGTAGAGTTCGCCAGGGGCGAGCTTGACTTCGCCAGCCTGAATCGATTCAGAACTGTTTCTGAATCGTTGTGGAATCGCTTCTGAATCACTTACCTCGTTGAACTCGAAGGGAGGAAGATCCTCCATGCGGTGGTTCTTGCCGCCCTGGAGAAGACCTTCTTTGTAGGTCTTGTAATCGTCCTGATTCTGAATCAGTTCTGAATCGATCCTAAACCGATTCCATTGTACTTACAGAATCCTTGTATGAAGGCATGATGTCGGATTTCTGAACTGATTCGGAAGTAATTAGGAATCGGTGCGCCAGGGGGGGGGGGGGCGCATACGATTTGAAAGGGTTACGGAGGGAAAAGGAAGCGAATCAGAATAGAATAGGGATTTAAATATTAATATGGGGTATGCACCCTAATCAGTAGTGGGACGCAATCAGTAACTGGTCCGTGCACCTGACCGATTAAAAATTCCATGGTCAGGTGGACCCACTTCACCTCAATACAGCCAATCATAAAATTGGTCAGATAGACCCATAATTCATTTAAATAAGTGGGTAATTGGTCAGGTTATCCCCCCCCCCCAATGGTCGCCTTGACCACACCCTCCATCACGGGTCGTAATATGAACACATTTTAGTCGCCCTTTAGCGTCGTTGATGGAGGCTGGGAGATGTGGAGAAAATCGCCTTAAATCCCGATCTTCCAGTTCGACTAATACGCAATGATGAGTGTTCATCTCGGCGTCTCAGGAGTGTCTACGCTGCAATCTATCTCCAAACGAGGTTCAACGAACCGAAGACCCCAACAGCGTGTTTCCCCCGCGTTAATACCCCAGCTATCAAGGAGTTTCTATTTGTCAACGACTCCATATTCATGAAGAGCACAGACTCGCCCGTCTCCAACGGCCCACTCCACTTACCATACCATGGGAGACTTCATCTCCACTGCTGAAAGAACCAAGTGACAGACCAGACATCATCAAGCTTGAGTGTAGAGATGGCAACTGCCTCAGTGTCTTCCTCTCAAGCGGTCGACAGTGGTAATACGAGACCGGTAGCGTAAGCATTTGCTCTCCTTACTATCAAACATGTGTACATGAATGGCCTCTCAAATTTGTGACTTAGATGCCTCAATTGCCGTCAACGACGGTCATATTGCTCGAAAGAGAAGCCAACTTGTTCAAGATGTCGTGATAGCAACTTGAATTGTACCTATGAAGAGACAAGGAAGATCACAATCACAGAGTCGTGAGTCTCAACAATGTAGCCCCCAAACACAGGCCTAATTCAGCAAATAGGTACTTGAGAGAATTAGAAGCAAAGGCCAAAGCCTATGATGGTAAGTCTTTGCCAGAGTCACTGCGATCCATCATTTTCAGACGACTCACAGCTTATAACAGAATCATTGCTGCTCCAAGCCCAGAGTGCGGTCAATACGAAATCTCAACGAAATCCCGGCGATGAGAATGACGAGGAATTCGAAGACGCGCATCCCTTACTTGAGCCTTTCAACCAACTTAGTGTCCACAAACCTTCAACGAGTAAGCAGAGATACTGAAACGTTTGCTTCACATCATGTTGATTGTTGTACAGGCTTCAAAGGCCCTGGGTCTTCGGACAACTTTTTGCGAAGTGTGAGAAAGCTGTCCGGGTTTTACGGCGACGATGGAAGTTTAGATGCCAACCCAAACTTCTACGAGCCAAGCGCTTTGCCCTCGCGGCGAGAGAAGGCAAGGACGCGTGTACGACTACCGCCGATCGATATAGCGCGAAGATTATTTGCTGCGCAGTATACATACATCGGTACCATATTTTCTTTCACAGATCCGAGGGAGGAATTTGAGCAACTGCTAGTTGAGGCATACCGTGGCCCGCCGGACGCTTCCGACAGAGAAGCATGCCTCTCCTACGCCAAGGTTCTCATCATATTGGCATTTGGTCAACTCTACTCGGTAAATCAATGGGTTGACTTCAGAGGGCCACCGGGCTTCGAGTACTTCTCCCACGCCTTAAACCTTCTTCCCGACAATCACGAAGAAGGGTCAATACTTTGTGTTGAAACCCTAGCGTTGATCGGCTATTTCATGCAGAATATGAACCGTCGCGATGCTGCTTTTCTTTATATCGGTATGGCTCTTCGTATGGCTATATCTCTCGGTTTACACCATGAAGTTGGTTATAGCCCAGCATCAAACTCGTTACAAAGTCAGGATGCGGACCCAGATACAATAGATGGCGATACCCGCGAGCATAGACGTCGAGTGTGGTGGTCAGTCTACAGTCTGGACCGTATCTTGTCGGTGAAATCCGGCAACCCCATTACCATCCAAGATGAAGACATTGGCGTTGATCTACCCTCGAGGCTTTCCAGAGAGGCGGAGTATTGTCCTGCGGTGGTCTTAAGGCACTACACTGAACTCTCTCGAATACTTGGCGTAATTCACAATACTATTTATCGCAAGACGAGCAAGGCAGCTCCAAAGTCGGGACAGCGTTTGATGGAGTCAGTCCAAGGCATTACTCAAAGTCTCTCCAAGTGGAACCGCGATTTGCCAGACGCCTTGCGGTTTGACCCAGCTCGTCTTAGCATCAGCCGGGAGAGCGTGAGCACATTTGCCCATTACTACCAATGCATCAACATGACGGCAAGGCCGTTGCTGTTCCATGTGGTGCAAAAACGCTTGCAGAGAATCCGAAGCAACAACGAGCCTGCAGAAAAGGAGCGAGATTGGAAGGAAGGCTTGTCACAAACCACCGTGAGAGTAATTGACATGTGTATTGGTGCGGCGCAAGATACGATCAACATGATGACGGTGGCAGCGCAAAGGGATCTTGTCGGTAAGTATTTTCTTCTCTGGCTGCTGGGCCTTGTATTGAAGAAAGAAAAAAAAAAAAGCTCACGAACACAGCAACGTATGGATACATGGATGGAGAACACGTCTTCTCCGCGGCTATAGTTCTTGTTATGGTATGCGTAGCGTTTCCAACCAATTCTGCAAACACCTTGGCCATGAACGCCGGTCTCGACCTGCTACGAGGTATGGGCGAACGGGGGAACAGTTATATGGGGGCCCGGTACGAGCTCCTTGCTAACCTGCGCTCTGCCGTTATGCATGGGGTAAACACCCAACTTGAACCCCTGGCTCCGCTCCCAATCAACTTTCCCCCAACTGAATCACTCGTGCCCGCCGGGCTTGTCCCACCGGCGGTGGCCATGTTGCCAGTCAGTATGGAAGATGGCCAAGGAAACCTCTTGGCAATGCGATACCCCTTGAGTCATGGCATGGTTGGAGAGCGTGTCACTTTTCCTGTTGTAGATACCAGCTCTTTAGGCGAGCCTTTCTATGATGAAACCGGGAGCACAGTAATGGATTTCAGTCTTTGGGAGGAAGGCTTCGCTGATCCAGCCATGGATGCAAGTTTTGATTTTTCGCAATGGACTCAGACAGCTGGCATGGCCCAAGCAGATGATAGGATGGATGTATGAAATAAATGTTACCAGGCGATTATGAAAACCTCTGTCGTACCAAAACGTAAATATTGTGAAAAGAAAAACCAAGCCTACGCTACTTGGTGATGATTTTTAGTGATCTACATTTGGTAATTTTCAGGGACCTGCAAGGCCAGGATGTGTTAAGGCGGTAAAAAACGCCCCTTCGATCAGGTAACATGCCGAAGGGTATCATCCTGACATCATACCGGGTGGCTGGGAAGCAACCAGCTGACCGTGCTGGCAGACAAGAGCCGAGACCTCCAATGGCAATCTTTTGCTCTTTCCAGCAGCCTGGCCTCCCTCGTTCACGCCTAAATGGTTCTCAAACCTCCAAGCTCGTGTTCCAACAGAACATGCCACGCGAAGGATGATAGGAGAGCCACTCCGAAGCCGGTCGGTGGGACCGGTGTTATCTGCAACATCATGTTAGGTGGGGGGGGAAGTCCCCCCCGCACACGTCAGGGGTCGGTGAAGACCTCCGATCTCAAGGGCAACCATGCCATAGCGCATGTTGACCTCCAGCCAAGGACATGCCCTCCGCATTTTCCCCCACGATGTTACGTTAGAATTCAACGATCCGTCTGCCCATGCCTGGATTTTGGGGTCGTCAGGAGATAGCCTCCGGTCTATTGGAGCCTTATCCGTTCAGCAGGGTCTAGTGCAGTGTTTATGAAAGATAAAGTCGACCTCTCCCTTCTTGATGTTAACGTGGGATCCTGCAGGAGAAGTTTTGGTTCTGGAAAAAAAGAATTTATTTTTTGCGAGTCCAATTGACCTGCGTGTTCGTGCCAGCAATCACCACGACTTGTCTTGATTGTTGCTGGAGTAAAATCACTCCTGTCCTGCGATGACAACAATCTCAACGGCCGTCGACGCGCCCGGCGGGGCAGCAGAGAAGGGACTTGGAAGCGATGTCGACCGTACCGAGTCGAACGGCGGCACGACGGCGCTGGAATCCATTGATCCTGCGGCGGAAAAGAAGCTCCTACTCAAGCTCGACGCATTCTTCGTTCCGATCATCATGTAAGAATCAGTCCCCATTTGCCTTTGGTGAGAGGTTCCATACTTATTTTCAAACTCAGGCTCGTCTATCTTACCTGCTTCCTCGACCGAACCAACATCGGCAATGTCAAGGTGGCCGGCATGCCTGAAGACATTGGTGCCTCCCCTCAGGAGTTCTCGACGGCTATTTCCATCTTCTACGCAACCTACGTCGTCTTCGAGCCGCCCTGGACGATCATGATGAAGTGGATGACCCCGCGAATCTTGCTCACAAGTCTGTGCGTCATTTGGTCGCTGTGTACCATTTTCTCGGGCTTCATCACGAACGTTGCAGGGCTCTACGTCGTCCGTTTGATTTTGGGAGCATGCGAGGCCGGCCTGTTTCCCGCGCTGAACCTGTATCTCACAATGGTGTACAAGCGAGACGAGCAGGCGAAGAGGGTTTCGTATCTGTTTGTCTGCACGGCCATTGCGGGCGCCTTTGGCGGCTTACTTGCGTATTCCATCCTGAAAATGGATGGCATTGCTGGATATGCAGGGTGGCGATGGGTCTTCATCATCGAAGGCATCTTCAGCGTCATCATTGCGCCCATCATCTGGTGGGGACTGCCGAACGACCCCGGCAATGCGTACTTTCTCACTGCCGAGGAGAAGCAGATGATGAAAGTACGAGCGATGCAGCGTGCTCAGTACATGGGCAGCGAAGACTTTAGCTGGGAGGAAGTTAAGATTGCTTTGTGTGATCCGAAGCTGTATCTCAGGTACGTCGCAAAGCCTTTGCGTATTTGTTTAGAATATCCTGCTGACTTTTGTTTTGAAAAGCGGTCTCATCCAATTCTGTCAAGACATCCTCCTTTACGGATTCAGCACTTTCCTTCCCTCCATCATCGTCAGCATGGGATACACGAGCATCGAGGCCCAATACCTTAGTATTCCCGTCTACATCTTTGGCGGTATTGCATTCCTCGCTGTGGCGTACGTCTCCGATCGCATGTGTATCCGTGGTCCCTTTGTTCTTCTGGCCAACATCCCTGGCATCCTTGGTTATATCCTCATCATCTGCCCGACTAGCAATGGCGTCAAGTTCTTTGGTACTTTCCTGTGTGCCGTGGCGGTTTACAACGGTCCTGGACTGAACCTGACGTGGCTCAACGTCAATATTGCGCCGCATTACCGTCGTGCCACGGCCATTGGAATGCAGCTTGCCATAGGTAACTCTGCGGGTATTGTCGCGGGACAGATTTACCGCACGGCGCCGTATCTGCTGGGCAATGCCTTCTCAGTCGCGGCGTTGGGTCTGGCGCAAATACTGGTCATTGTGAAGTGGCTATACATCCGCCGCTGCAACGAGATGAAGAGGAAGATTGCAAGCGGGGAGATTGAGGACAAGCGAAAAGTGAAGACTGGTGACTGGGAATTGGATTTCCATTATCATTTGTAAATAAAAAGTAGATAGACTATACATCCTCAAAGATGGAAAATGGAATGCTGGCCGAGACAGCAAAGTTTGGCAAGTCTACAATCTCGGCGATTTTCAAGTCCGCCGCGATGCTGCAGAGCATGTATGCCTCCTCCTTCGTCAAGTCCTTTGTTGAAACCAGGTATGCAATGAGGGACCTCATGGCCTTTTTGCTTGCCTCCAATAGGTCTGAGTCGATACCAAGAACAGCATACACGGCGAGATCAGATTGCACACTCCCGTGTGATGAGCCGCGAGTGTCGTAGTGCGGACTTGTAACGTATGGCATGTCTTTTCTAACGTTGAATCGCAAGGTGGCCTTCATTGGCGTCTCGATCGCCGTACCGCAGATTTCGCCGTCTCCCTGGGCTGCATGCCCATCACCACAGCTGAACAGAGCTCCAGACACTCTTACAGGAAGATAAAGCTTTGTGCCCTGGGTTATGTGTTTGCAGTCTATATTGCCTCCTGTTTCGAGAGGCGGAATGGTGGAGAACTCGCCGTCTTCAGCTGGTGCTACGCCCGCAACGCCCAGGAATGGACGGAGGGGAACCTTGATCCCTGGTTTGAAAGTAATAGAGCTGTCGGTGTTCGACCACGTATAGTGTTTTAAAAGATGTGTATCCGGGAATTCCGAAGCTAGGAGGCCAAAGTTGGGGAATATCCCCGTGAAGCCCCATTCGCCTGTCTCGAGCGAGAGGACCTCGATTTCAAGAACATCGCCGGGCTTGGCGCCCTCTATGTACACTGGTCCGAAGATGGGATCAAAAGTTGCAAGATCTAGACTTGACAAGTCGGACGTTGTGGAAGATGGTGTTACTTGAGCGCCGGAAGAATCAAGGAGATCAAATGTTACGATCTCCCCTGGAGAAACGGTGCAGACTGGAGGAGTCGAGTTGGACCATTTTAAGCGGGAGGTTGAGGGTCCGACGTGGTGTTTGCGTGCCATTGTTAGCGAAACACAATTACCAGTCAAAGAACTGGATGGTTGTTTTGAGAAGAACACTGAGCAATGAACATTAGATTTGTCAAGCGAAGAATTATGATGAAATCGCTTATCAGTCTTCCAGAATGCGGGGTGCGGAATAGTGACGTAACAATAATCCGATGGAGCGCTCTTATTGATAAATTAGAAGCCACGGAGTTCTAATGGGTCTTGCACATTGAATACGCTTTTCAATACTTGCGATGAGGACTCTTAAGGTTTCTGGAAGAGTTAAGATACTTTCATGTGGCAATTATCTCAGACATTCAGCAGTTAAGTCTTGACAATCTCCCCCACAATGCCAATACAGTTCATGCGTCTGCGCTATCCATATTTTTTCCCTTTGATTGTCTGAACTTATTTGGACTGAAGTTACTTACCATTTCGAATTAGCGATGCCTTCAGTGAAGTAAGGTTGTGTTGACGGTAAACAATTGACTCCATCTGGGTCAATTCATTTGGCCAATGGTCATTTTGATTGAACCACACATTGCACCACGCCAGGCTTGGACAGGCCATTCACCTCAACAAAATGTCGCATTTGAGCTGACATAGACTCATATTCACTACTTACTTTTTCTCAAAAACCACAATGTCAATAACCTCAGCTATTTGCTACTTGTAACAGTCAAGCTACATGTTTCTTACATGGCACTAATCACTTGATGCTAAAAACAGATATCGTAGAAGGATTTAATGCATCTTTGGCCAATCAGACCTCGCTCTGTAGCAACATGCCGTACGGCGAGAGCTGAAGCATCCGAGCGAATCACCGTCTTCGAATCTCTCGGTTGGATGCGAAAACAAATGGGTCGTGGCTGTGATCCACGCTTACGGCCTGGTCTGCTAGCGTCCGGAGCCTTGTCTTGCGACTTGTTCCATCTCCAGCTACTGATGCCATCTCACACATGAGCATCAGCTGTCTTCTCTGTCGTCAAGGCTCGCCCTTATTCTCTGCGCTTTTCGGCTGTGACGACAATGTGGCTCATTAACACTGATAATCTCTGCCTCGTCGGAATCCAGGGAGATCCCAAAGAGGAATATGCAATACTTTCCCACACCTGGGGTGGAGACGAGATGACATTTTCAGCATACCAAGCTTTGAACAACACCGGCAGCTCTGGAATCCCCTTCGCCCCTGAATATGCAGTGGCATCAACCGGCATCACTATCTCTGAGGGCTATAGAAAAATAAAAGATGCGGCACAGTTGGCCAAGAGCCAGGGGCTCAAATGGCTCTGGGTGGATACCTGTTGCATCGACAAGACTAGCAGCGCAGAGCTGTCTGAGTCCATCAACTCCATGTATCGCTGGTACCAGAAGGCCAAGGTCTGTTATGCCTATCTCTCAGACGTTCAGTCAGCCACTTCGAATGACCCTTCTGAGGCGGCATCGAGCTTTCGAAATAGTCGCTGGTTCACCAGAGGATGGACCTTGCAGGAACTTATTGCCCCCAGATCTGTCGAGTTTTATGCCAGGGACTGGTCCTTCATCAACACGAAGCAAGCCGATGACAGCTCTTTCTGCCATATTCTCGCCCAGATAACCGGCGTCAATGAGTCAGTACTTGCAGGAGAAACTCTTCTAAGTGATATTAGCGTCGCAAACAAAATGAGATGGGCCGCCTCAAGAGAAACAACGCGGCCAGAAGATATGGCGTACTGTCTTCTCGGTATTTTTGATGTCAATATGCCGCTTCTCTATGGCGAAGGAATGCGGGCATTTGTCCGCCTCCAAGAAGAGATTCTGAAGGAATCCGATGATCAATCGCTATTTCTTTGGGACTTTCCCTCGGATGGTGAACATGCAGCGGACACTCTCTTTGGGCTGCTCGCACCCTCACCCAGCGTCTTTCTCCAGCCAGACTTGGATCACATTCGCCCTCTTCCTCCTTCCGAATCACAGGAGAGCATACCTGCAACTGCGACCAGCCAAGGACTGAGGACAAGAATGCTTTTGTTTCCCGTACATCCCGAAGCAGATGAATACTATGCGATGCTGGATTGTATTGGCTTCAGGTCTCATGAGCCAGCAGTTGCATGGAGCCCCTGTCTCATGTTGAGGCGATTGTGGGGTGACCAGTATGCACGAATTACTTCAACACAAGGTTCCATAGTGCTGTTCCCTCACGATAGCTTTGACGAGAGGAACGGGACTGTCGAGAACATATACGTGAAGCAAAATCCCTTTTACGCTCTGCCCGAGGTAACAGTTCGAAGCAGGAATCGTGGTGGGGATAGATTAATACCAGGATACCTGGGGTTCAAAGTGGTTGCTGCGTATCCCCCAGAAAGATGGGATCCCGTTCTTTCCATTATCAGAGCCAAGGAGCCTCAGTCGGGGCATGCCCTGCTCGTGCTCCGCTTTTCTTCTGATGAGAGAAGCCTTATTACTACGGTCGACGTGTCCGTCGGACTCCGTCGCGTTCGAAGGCGATGGGAATTGTGCTATGAGAAACACGCATGTGTTGGCGATAGCCTACAGCAGGTTTATCGTGATATTGCCAAAGGTGAGATTGGCTCAGAGACAACTGCACACGACTCAAAACGTCTGTCGTTTGTGAGAGTTGATACCATAGAAACCGTAAGACGTGGGCGACGGTTTATCCAGCTGGAGGTCTCTGGCGCAGTGGAGCTGGATTCTAAACTAGCCCTGAACACCAAGGCCTTCTTGCCCGAGACTGAGAGTTTTTTTAGCGAAATTCGGAAAGTCACTCAGAGTTGCTGTTTCGAACCGCAGTGGTCTTTTGACTGTTTTCCAGCTATGCTCAATGTAGTCAGAACCAAGCCAGCAGACCTAAGAGAGCCGTTAAGATCCAGCAAAACAATGGACGAACTCCAGAACGTTGTAATCGATGTTCACAGGCCATATGCTAGTTTGATTCAAGCTGTCCGGGCAAGAAGAGAACGAGAGATCATAACGTTGATCACCAAAGATCGCAAACTCCTTGAGTCTAGAACAAAAGAAATGGATGATTTCAGGCCAATCCATTGGGCAGCAGCCTACGGGTACCTAGATATTCTCAAAACCCTGACGAGGCTCGGTGCTAGCCAAACCAGCCGAACGAGAAGCGGATATATGGCGATCCATCTTGCGATAATGAACAATAACATTAACCTTGTTGGGTACTTGTTGGAGGATGAGGCAAGCATGAGGAGAAAGACGGTACCAGACTTCTTGCACTCTCTTACAACCGAAAGAGAAGAATCCGTCCTACATCTGCTTGCAACCCCGGTTTCGACGGGTTTAGCGAATCAGCGAATATGCAAAATAATCGACCTGATCAGACAAGACTTTGGAGACAATGGAAATTACTCATTTCCGCATATAAACTGGCTAGGCGAAAGTCCGCTTCATCGTGCAGCGGCCACAAGTAACGCCCATGCCATGGAATACCTACTAGACATCTTAGGACAGCGCAACTTCATCGACAGGCCGGATAATTCTGACCGCTCGATGATGTTCCATGCGGCCTGTGGTGGAGAGGTGCAAATCATCACTCGACTTCTAAGCCTGGGGTCTTCGTTAGACCTGAGTGATGATAGAGGGAGAAGCCCGCTTCACGCAGCTGTCATGGCGAATAAACCCGAGGCCGTTAGCACTTTGCTCGCCTGCGGCGCGAACCCAAACAGCGTTACCCATATTGCCGGCCTGACACCATTGCACTTCGCATGCTTGTATGGTTTCTCCGAATGCCTGGGAATGCTTTTGGAATGGGCAAACATGAACCAATGGACAACTGGCGACATCCGTATGCAGCCTTTACACATCGCCGTCGCAAATAGCCACCTTGATTGCGTATCCGATTTACTTGCTGCTGGGTGTGAAAGAGATAGCCGTTGCAACAGCTATCTTGAGCTTATGGCGCCTGGGTATGGAGGCTTACATGAAGCGAATTTGGTTTTGGTGGGAGGTTTTGTGACTCCAGCGCAACTTGCCACCAAGCTTGGTTTCGAAGGTATGGCCTCGATATGGGACTAGAAACAGAAGCTGGAGCTTTCAATTAGCGCTAATGGTACTGCGCTTTGGATACTGTTACTTAAGATATTGCATAGATGGGAAGATCATCGGTCCAGTCTTGCCACGTAGTCTCTTAGGCTACCGTAATATGAGCTAAGCACTTCTTTAGTTGAGTGCGGTACTATTAGCTTGCAAATTCAACTAAACACGACGATATCTGATCTTTTGAATGAAAAAGACCCTGAATAGCTAGCTAGCTCTTACGTCTGGGACTACTTCTGCCTCTACAAATGATACTCGGTACCCAATTATCTGTTATCGGGAAATAGCATTCAACATTCTCTGCTTTCTAAATAATCCATCGACACTTTTAGAGTACATGAGCTCTTTCCTAATTATCGGGCGGACACAAGAGAGTGCCAGTTGCGGTACCAGTTACACATAACCCTTCATCAAAACTCTCCTTTTAAAAAGCCGCCACCTGATCAAAGAAAACAGATTCATCAAACACAGGTAAGCGGCCCCCTCTGTTACATAACTTGAGCCTAGACTGTTCCAAACCGTTGCCCAGAATCTTGGCCACCTGTCTAGCCAAATCGGACTTCCGACCCAAGTACCACAGTGCCTTTACACAATCTTCGCAGCGGATGAACAGGCTCTCGCCGAAGTCGTTGTTCTGGTTTGCTGTCTCTTGCAGATTCTCTGCCTCGTCAAGAAGCGATAGTGCTGCCTTGGTGATCGACCTAATCAAAACCATGGTCCAAGGCTCGGTGAGAAGAGCTCCCTCATTCGCAGCGTAGTGATAACCCGTCAATTTTCCAACTTCATCATTGCGTGGTGTCGATACCCTTGCAAGGTCAGACACCATTCGGTTACTTGCTTTTAGTAAACGACCCATGAGATTCGTTTGGACTCGTTCACTGGCTTGAGCGGGACTGCTGAGGCCTTGATCATCCATCAATTTTACAAGATCGGCCAAGATCATTGCAGCCAGGAGCCAATGCCCCAAGAGGCAGACATACCAGCTCTGAACCTTTGAAGGAAGGGAGTTATGGTATTGAATGCAATCCTGGAAAAGAGGTCCGTACGTCATGTTCCAGTGACGGTATACAGCCAAGGCATCTTGAATAGCGTCCTCGATAGTCTGGTTTTCGGCCCCTTGTGAAGACAATGTCTGCAATCGAGTAATCTTTCTGAACAAGAGAACTTTGACAGGCGCAGCGTCACGAAGCTCTCGCGAGATATCCTCTTCATGGCAAGGCCATCGCAACGGCGAAAGCTTCTGTGTCTTTTTGATAATGACCTGGTCATTCCAATGCTCACTCGACTTTCGATCCTGAGGGCTCTTGGAATCGTCGATTTCGGAGCGGTTGATGACTTCTTTGCTTTCCTCGTCTGATACAGTGACAGGCCTCTCAGTCATTGCCGCAGAAAGCGTGTCGAACATGACAGCCAGCCAGAAAATCAATTCCATTGTCCTCCTCTCTTCAGATCCGGCCTCCTTTTTGCTTGCGAGCTGATTTGTTTGGGCAAGTTGAGTGCCAATTTTTGCTGCTTTTCTGTCAAAGGACCTCACTTGTCTTTTTAGAACGTTGAGCCTTCGGGCCGCCCGTTCCGTATATGTATGGTGCTCACATCGCCCTAAGACCTCCTGAATCTTGGCCATTATTCCAGTGTTCTCTCCTTCGTAAACGCCTATCGGATCGACGAGATTGTATTCTTCCTGGTTGGTTGCATACTTCTGGGTCAGTCCGAAGATTATTTCCGCAAATGCTACCTTGAAGCAATCAAGATCTGCGCATTCATTCAATAGCTTGCGAGCTTGGTTCCAGAAGGTCATTTGCAGAGTGGCGTCAAACTCATCGCCAAAACATTGTAGATCACTTTCTGGCAAAGCGGGAGAATTGTAATGTGACTGGCTCCTTCGGCTACCTTGGGCCCATTGAGCAGTGAATGCCATGATGGCAAGGTGAAGCGCTTTTGTAGCCTTTTGGTCTTCGACTCGGCCTAGCGGTTTTAAACCAATGGAGCTGAGGGACTTGTCAAGCTTCAAGACACGGTGGTAAACCCTGTTTGGAGGGCTCGGTTTCCATGCTGCGGTAAGGAAGTTGATGTTCTCCGATGACCCAGACAATTCAAGGTAAGGACAGTTTTGTTCTGTCAGCCAACATGAAAGTGCGCCTTCCATGACATCATGGTAGAGCTTCATGAGGTTGTCTGTCATGAGTCCGTTATTTGTCCGGGTAATAATCTGGTGGTTGAGAGAGAATTCAGAAACTCCTTCAATGTAAGGGTCGGGCTCGTTCCGCCCCATCCATGACCTTTTGCGAGCCCCAACGGCGGCCTCTGTTGTGAACTTTCTACGCAATCCAACTAATGAAGACTCTTGTGCAGAAGGAGTTTCACTTTCATGTGGCCCTGGTATCCCACACATCGAACCGTTCGATAGAGATGTTGAAGATGATTCGGGGATTGGGAGTGAGTAGTTATCGGCAAAAGACTCGGTGCTTACGGTCTCATTGGATGGCGAAAGCATAAAACCGTCCGCCGTTGGCGCCATTAATGGTTCTGAGAATAGCGACTGTGTGCTTGAGCTCCCGTCATGAAAAGGGACTGTGTTGTTTGAGCCCAACAGCTGAAATGCATCATGAGGCATCTCATCCGTTCCTGGTAGGCCGGAAGTCACATCGACATGTTGAAATGCTTTGGGCCTTTTTCGGCTGGGAATGGGATGCTTCTCGGAAACTGATGACTGCCTCCTCTCACGCATCTGATGTTGCTGCGATCGGACCCAATTGAAGGTACAGCTTTTTCTGGTCCTCAGGCAGTTTGAACATGGTCCAGTGACGTCCTGCCAGTCTGATCCAGGAGTTAGTTGTCTGTTATTTGCTGTTTTCGTGCAAAGGTATCAAACTTGCCAGTGTTCCACTGTGTTTCTGTGTCAAGACACAATTGAATATCTCTTACTGCGCCAGCATCGCAAGCCCTCTTGCCTTTACGGCACTGGTCACAGCTACTATTCTGTCTTCTCATTGTCGCTGACGATCGCTCGATGAACTGCTGGTGGATGTTTTGCTAAAATGGTAAGCTGGCAGCTATCTTCATGGCAAGTTCATGTAAGCAAGAAGAGAGCAGCCACCCTTAAAGCGCGCCCGGTCGTCCCCAACATCCCCTCTTGGTCACACATGATTTCTTGAACCATCCAAAACCGTTTTCACACAGGGAATACCTTGTCAACCCCGCGTTTTAGCTGCAGAAAGAAGCGGGGCATTTACGGCTTGATGCTCCTCCAAACCCTTTTGAATGCCTGCAGACTAATGGATACAGATCTGGAAACCCATCATCCGATGACAAGTGCCAGCTGAACCCTTGGCGAATCGACAAACGTTCATAATGATATACATCTTTTTAGATAGCCGACACATGGCCCATACAATTTATCTTTAGGATCCCAGATTCTGCGAATGTTTCTACCGTCAGTGGCACATCAGTACTGAAGCTTAATCAATCGCTACCCAAGATTGACACGTGTATTTCGATCTAACTTTCACTTTACATGTTTGCCAGTGGTATATTGCTTTCAAGACTTGCTGCGATTATGGGTATAGGTTAGCAGCCTCGTCTAGTTTCCAAGTGCCTTGTATATCGCTGTCTCAACTTGAGCCCATAGACCCATCACAGATGAATCACCGAAGGGCAGAATTTGAGAGCAAATCATTCCAGCGACACCATTTTCCCTATCACACCACCAGAAGAGATTTGGAAGTCCTGCCCAGAAAGCCGTCTTGTCGGACCGCCCCGTTGGCCCACCAGTGATCATGAACGTCAACCCCCATCCCTGCGGGGGGTTCCCGGGGACAGGGTAAAGGTCAGCAAGGGGATTGGTATACTCCGGCTTTGCATCCGGAATTCCTGCCCTTCCAAAGTTGGGGAACTTTGGGATCTGATTTGTAAACATCTCATCTACTGTTTGCTTCTGCAAGATGCTTGCTTTAGTTATGGGGCAAGTTCCATCATTCAGGAAAACAGCCAAGATGCCTGCCACCTCGATGTTAGCTTTTCTGCGCTGACACAAAATGACAGATTGTAACTAACGCGCGTATTCCTGCGGCTTTGCGAATAATCCCGCTCCACCACTGTTAAAGGTGCCGGCAACTTCCTCCTCTGATTGGACTACCAGAGGACGATGATTAGGATGGTCCCTAGTGATGATCTTTCCATCAGGCTTCTTGTAGTGCATGTATGCCAGGTGATCCTTCATTGAAGGCGTTGGGAACATGTTGACGTTTTTTAGCCCAAGCGGTTGGCAGATGTTTTTCTGGATGTATTCATTCAGAGTTGTGCCCGTGGCTCGTTCTAGAGCAATGCCGGCCCAGTCGATACCAATCTACTCTGATGGTCAGAACAATGCGAACGATGGCAAGGCGAGTTACATACGCCATACTCCCAGTTCTCGCCAGGCTGAAAAACGAGGGGTTGCATCATGTCTCTAATACTGCCCGAGAACTCCTCAACCCCAGCTGGGAGACTCCACTCGCGAAGTCTCGGATCAAAAAAGGTGTATCCGAACCCAGCAGTGTGCGTTAGCAGCATGCGCAGTGTGATTCCTCGTTTCTTCTCCTCCAGTTTTCCCTCAGAGTTCAGAACCTTCACCTCTGCCAGCTCGGGACACAGCTTTTCAAGATGATTCGAATCATCCAGTTTGAGAAGTCCTCGTTCCACTAATTGCATACACGCTATCCCAGTCACCATCTTGGTGCAGGAAGCGATCCAGTAGACGTTTTCAAGGTCCATGGACTCTTTTGACGAGATCCCACGTTTACCAGCAGAATGAGCAAATTGGTCACCATTCCGGTCTACTACCACAACTGTCGTCCCGGGGATACTATTCGAATCAGAGACAGCATTGTCCACAAGCGTTCGCAGCTCATCAGCAACTTGAGAGGAGAGAGACATGATTCGTATGTGCAACAAAATGACTTGAATTAGAGTTCGAATGAGTTCGTAGTGCCGTGGTATTGGGATTGGAATGCGATGAACGATGACGCGGAGAGCTAGACGCAGTAAATGAGGGCGCTAAAGTCTTCACCCGAGGTATTGCTTTTAAGTCCAGCTGAGTTGTTTACATCGGAGTTCTCTCTACCACTTTTGGTTGCACTCGTTTATGAACACTACGAACGCCCAGTGTCAGCTCAACAAATCGATTATGATCACACGACACATGGGGAGGTGGCAGGGGGCTGACCTAATTAAAGACATGCTGCAGTAGAGCTTTGGTCTCCGACGTGCAAATGCCGAGGAGTTGGACAAGGAACCGCCAAAAGTCTGCCAAGGGTTGAGGAAACTCAGCAAAAAACATCTTTGGTGTTGGAGCTGTGTGATTCGTTGACGACAGGGAGCAACCCTCCATGATCGCGACATAAATGTTTCCCTTCCCCGCAGAACGCTACGGCTGCAACGTCATGAGCGGACCCGTGCCAAACGATGTGCAGCTCTCCGCACTTGGCTGAGACTTGCCGCAATACAGCTGCACACTAGAGTGCGGATCCGCAATCAATTAGCCCTTTCTCCCGCAGTCAGTCTTGTGGGCTTGAATAAAGCATACTAGGTCGCATTTGGTTGCTTAGCCCTCGGGTCGGTTTTCCGGTGCGGCAGCCACGTAATGAAACCTGGTTTGTAGTTGTACCGGCGGCACACAAGCGCTCCCACAGGCTTTCTATACATAGGGAACTTGTTGTGAATCGCCTCGATGTGGCTTGTGATCCAGATGCGGTTCAGCTTGGGAAGAGCGCTTCCGCAGTAACAGGGAAAACCAAACAGAAATCTATAGTGACTAGCAGTGAAAGTCGTCTGATGTTGTCTTCAAGCGATCTCGATCGAACTAAATATCCTCCGTCCAAAATGATAATGGCGATATAAGACAGCTGTGATGCTCTCTTCCTAAAGTTTGTTGACAGCCTTCTTCACTCGCATTCGAGATCACAACAACGCAAACTGCCCAATCATTTTAGTGATAGCATTGAAATCATGGCGGCATTAACATCAGGAGAAAAGAAGTTCGCGACTGAGTTGACGGATTACTCCTCCCGTCGGCAGACCACTGGCCCTTATGCTGATAATCTTGATGTTGACGTTCTTATTGTTGGTGGGGGATTCGGTAAGCGCATCCTGCAAGGGTAGAGACAGGGGTAAATGCGACTAACAGGAGACGAGGTGGTGTGTTCATGCTAAAGACTCTCCGAGAGATGGGTTTACGAGCCGTCATATACGAAGCGGGGACTTCTCTCGGAGGCACCTGGCGATGGAACCGATACCCCGGGGCACGCGTTGACTCGGAAGTGCCGGAATACGAATTCTCATGGCCTGAAGTCTTCAAGGATTGGACGTGGTCCACTAATTATCCGAATTTCCAGGAGCTGCGGGCTTACTTTGACCATGTCGACAAGGTATTTTCCTTCTTCAAATGAAGAAGAGTAAAGGGGCGTTCACTGCTAAGTATCAGCTTCGCAGGTTCTGAACATCTCCAAAGATTGCTCTTTTGAGACTGTCGTGGTTGGAGCCCAGTTCCAACCCAATGAGGGAAAGTGGCACGTAAAGACAGCCGATGGTCGCTTGGCAAAGAGCAAGTACTTCGTTGTCGCAGCAGGTTTTGTAAGTCAAGCACAGCTCCTGATACTGTTAATGCTGAGGTGTTCATTTATTTGTAGGCATCGAAGCGTTATATCCCGAATTGGCCAGGCGTTGAAAAATTCAAGGGGGTCGTTCATCATTCCTCCTTTTGGCCAGAGGAGGACGTTGACGTCCGTGGCAAAAGATGCGCAGTGATCGGAACTGGCGCGTCCGGCGTTCAAATATCCCAGGAATGGGGCCATCTCGTTGGTGATGAAGGCGAACTGAAGGTCTTCCAGCGTACACCGAATTTGGCCGTACCGATGGGAAAGAGACCTTTGACAGCGGAAGAGCAAAACATTGGCAAATCATGGTACCCGCGTCTGTTCCAACTCCGGGAGAAATGTTACGGTGGATTCTTTTACGGCAAAATTGAAAGAAACACGTTTGACGATTCCCCAGAAGAGCGAGAGGCCTTCTACAGATCTCTCTGGGACCATGGGGGCTTCCGGTTCTGGCTCGGAAATTACAAGGACATGTTTGAAAACGCCGACGCGAACAAAGAGGCCTACAAGTTCTGGTCGCGAAATGTTCGTCTTAGGATTGGCGACGCCAGGAAGAGGGACCTCTTGGCTCCAACTGTTGACAAGATGCCTCATTTCTTCGGAATTAAGAGGCCCTGTTTGGAACAGGACTACTACGAACAATTCAACAAGTCCAACGTGGATGTGATCGACATCAGCAAGAACGGTATTTCCAGCTTTACTGAGACAGGTATCCGGCTAGAGGACGGCACTCACCACGAGTTTGATGTCGTTGCTATTGCCACTGGCTTCGTGAGTATTATCCATCTATTGATATAAAATCTCAGCTGTTGATTTGAGCATTTAGGATATCACAACTGGTGGAATGACGAACATGGGTCTGAAGAGTATCAACAACACATATCTCCAAGACGAATGGAAAGCTGCGGCAAATACCTACTTGGGCACTACGGTCAGCGGCTATCCCAACATGTTCCACATGTACGGCCCACACGGTCCGACTCTTCTCAGCAACGGACCTTCAACCGTTGAGGTCCAGGGCCGATGGATCGCGCACTGCATCCGCAAAATCGAACGAGAGAACATATTGTACATCAACCCGACTGCTGAAGCAACTAAGCATTGGAAACAAAGGATCAACGACATCAGCAACGCTACTTTATTCCCAACCACGAGGTCCACGTATATGGGCGGTTCGATGCCCGGTAAGGCATTTGAGCAGGTCAATTATGCTGCCGGTATCCCTGAATATGCTGTGGAGATTCGGAAAGCATTGGATGGATGGGTTGGCTTCGATATTGCGAAGGACAAAACAGACAGAAGCAGACTCTGAGCTTCGTCAATCAAGGTCATGAAGCTAGCTTAGCGTGCATTTAGGGCATCATTTAGTACGAATATCACATTATGCATGAGCTTCTTTCGAGGGCAAACCCCTCTTGGTTTTGACTTGGTAAGGGTAAGAAGGTATGGCGTATGAGCAGAAAGCATGGTGTGTGTGGAATAAATTGCAATAACTGTTCTGTCATATCTGGCAGTTCTTATGTTCATTTGTGAAATTCAAATCATAGTCACATTTTTGGGATGGTGCGATGTCTTTGTTGTTTTGGTGGACAGGCCAGGCCCCGGCATGTGCTATGTGTCATCCAACTTCGTTTAGTGGAACAATATTAAAGCTCATCTGTGAATAGAATGATAATTCTTTACGAATCGGGCACATCTCGGTCAAAAAGGAAGGGGAATGATTGTGCTGTGCAACTACGTGCATTGTCGAGTAGAAACTCTCTTATCAGTGCGTACTACCTCTGGTCATTTTGCATAAGGCCGAGCTGCAACATTAGATTAAATTTGGCCAAATAAGTAGATGAGAGAGATTCAAATTGAATAGGTAGATATTTGACTTGCAAAGTTATAGCGTTGAGGACGAAGTATATGAGTTAAGAAACATAAAAGTGATCTCAACTACAATACAACGTCTGTGTTAATAATAAATCATGATACTTCATATTATTAGAAGCTCTTCTAAGAAGCGCTGGTGGTCACTTGATCTTGGCCTAAAGTGACTCTTGTCCTCTCTTGAGCCAGCCAGATGAAAGAAAATTCAGATCAAGCAACGTTCCTTCCCGTGTGAAAGTGGTGGAGCTCATTCTTTCCGACCTCAGACAATGTGTACAAATTCACTCTGCTTTTTCCCTTGCCTTTGAAAAGGTGAAAAAAGAATTTTCAACGGCCGTATCTCACGCAAAAGGCGAGTTTTCCACCTCACCTTTCTCCCATCATCACATCGGCACAACACCAACCTTGACGATAATTTGGCCGAGTCTACACTACGCGTTTCATATCTACTAATCTTTTCTATCATTGCCAAAAGGGTTTGTATTTCCCTATTATCGTGCATTTCTCAACTAATCATTGAGAATAGCAACGATGAGAAAACCTTCGCGAAACCGAGTGAGCTTGGCCTCGTTGGCCATTCTCATATCGCAATTCTTCCTGTTCAGCTTTGCGCGTGAGTATTTTTTACTGTCATAACTGGATCTTTGAGGGCCTGAATCAAGTGGATTGCTAATGTTTCTTGTAAGAGGTTACCAATACCCCGGCGACTGCTCTCGATTGCAGCTGTGAGAACCCTGGCACAGCCACCAACATTCTGAACCAAGGAACCACTTCCATCTGCCCTTGCTCATGCAACAAGACTACTCTGATTCCCGTGGTATTCACTACTGTCTTTACGGTCTATGACTCCACCACTTCTCCGGGCTTCATCTTGACATCTGGTCTGAGTTCACTCCCAAACGCCTCGCAGACCAGTGCACCGCTCTCCGAGAGCTCAGCCACTGGCAAGTTGCTCTCTACCGCATCTCAAAGCAACATTGCTATCACTATTTCCACTCGTCAGTCCATTGATGTATTCACGAGTGATGGCTTCTCAACCTCTAGCCAGTCAAGTTCAGCCAGCCTTCAATCTTCTGAGCATGTTGAATCGATCCCGAGCACGCAGGACAGCAGCCAGGTTCCCGACAGCCCTTTATCTTCTTTCAGCTCGTCACAATCATTGGTCCGTTCAGAACCGCGCTCATCATCTTGGATGACCTTTCCGGTCCCCACTACCCCCATTACAACGGGTGAGACAACTCGATCTGCCAGTCCTATTGCATCTCAAACCATGCCAGCTGAGACTGGTGATGCCTTCACTAGCAGCATCCCAGCAACACCTACACAAACCTCCGTTCCTGTTCTGGTCTCCTCTGCAGGACAACCGTCTGTCACCACATCTGCAGCGCCAGTGGTTGTTCCACATGGTGGTACTATCACAGTTGAGCCTCTGACAGCAACCAGAGCCGAGGCTGATGGAAGCTACAAGACCACAAGCGTTACTTGGCTTTCGATTGACGTACCTGGAACAGTCACTTCAGAGGGTCAAGCCATCCCTACTGTCTTTCCTGCCTGGAGATGTATCTCACTTGACGTCTGCAATCCAACCTGCCTGGTTCCTGACGAAGTCTGCCTACCCGCACCAGCTGCCAATCCCAACGGCTACCCTTGGCCGGAGAAGCCTGCTCATATTCCATCTCCGGAACACGGGGTAACTGTTCCTGCTTCTCAGGCCACATCTCAGGTACTCTCTTCTCAGATGTCTTCTTTTCAGATGTCCTCTTCTCAGATGTCTGCTTCTCAAGCATCTTCACTTCATGAGTCTGCCCAAACCACCAAGTCGATCAACTCTGATTCCAAGTCTCAATCGACCGAGGGTGGTGACTCGCCTGCGAAGACTACGAAGAAGGACGAGAAGCAAACCACACATCCCCCAGACAAACCGCAGAAGACTACGACTCAGCCTACTTCCACAACTACAACTACCAGTCAAGGTGGTGGTGATGGAGGCGGCGACGGTGATGATGATGAAGAAGATGAGGACGAGAAAGAAATCAATGAGATGAGAGGTGATATCGACCTAGACGACGGCTTCTTCCTATTCTTCATCAACATCTTTGGATGGGGTGTACGGTCCCGCCTGCGATTTCTATTCAATCTTCCCAACTGGGGTAGAGGCGGAGGCGGCGGCGGCGGCGGTGGTGGTGGTGGTGGTGGTGGTGGTGGTGGTGGTGAGGGCAATAAGCCCGACGACCCTAAGCCGTCAACTTCAAAGGCTAAGTCTTCATCTTCCTCGTCTTGCTCAACTACCTATACCCTGGCTCCTCACTGCACGCAGCCTTGCGTCGTCTCTCACATCTCCAACCTCGGGACATCCAGCTTGACAACAAGCTGCGCAATCGCAACTTGCCGCACCACAGAACTTTGCACGAGCATTCGCACAACGACAACGACAACCTACACGACTGAGAAGCCAGAGAGAACAAATGGCTGCAAGCCCAATTCGTGCCCTGCCTGCAAAAACAGCAAAGTGAGAAACAATGACGGTCTTTCGCGGCGCTACATCCCCGAGGACGTCATCGTGAAGGATGAACTCACGACGCCCGAGACTTGGCCCGAAGGCGAATTCGAATGGTGGGAGAACATGCGTCGTGTGGTGAAGTTTTATGGCCCGGGATACAATGAGGACAGCTCGGTGAACATGGATTCCTCAAGTGCTTTTGATGAGTTCGGCGAATACCCCAAAGGCGGCGGTGCCGGACCTGTATGGGGATGTACATTGGTCATCGTCTTCTCGCCTAAGGGCGTGTATACAAACCATCTATGGGAAATCCCCAGCTTCGATATCCCCAGGGCAGATAGGCGATTGTTCTCTCGCAACCCGGCGCACGACGTGGATTATTACTTTGAACAGAACGTCGAGTATTTCCTCCAACATGGGTCTTCGCGCCAACCTTGGCAAGTGCAGTATCCTGCCCTGGGAGACCTGGTCAAAGATGGGGCAAAGCTCAGTCCGAAGGATGTCAAATTCTTCCGTGTCATTGTCTTTGGCCCCGAGACAGTTACCGGGGACTTGGAATACGTGCCAAGGTACAAGGCCATGCTCGACATCTTCACCGAGAAGATGAACATAGAAAAGAAGCACATCTCCTTCTACTCGTACAAACGCAGAGAGGAACTGGGCGATGATTACAACTTCAACGAGGACAACAGCACGCCCCCGCCAGATTTCCGTGACGCAGACCCTTGGGCTGGTCTCTTATCCTGGCTGTACACGCCCAAAGGCGAGAGCGGCAAGAGGGAACTCATCGTTCGCTTCGAGAGAGATGTTGTACACCGTGTTGGCTGGTGTAGTGATGGACGGGGCTCTAGTCCTGATGAGTCTCCTTCCGATCCACCTCCTGAGAAGAGACAGGTTTCTGAACTCAACGCGAATTCTCCCAATTCCAGCTTTTTCGAATTGAGTCTCGACAGAAATCTCAACAGGCGTCAAGACAATTCCTGTCCAAGTCATCACTACTGCATGGCTGACTGTCCAGATTCCGTCTGTGGGCTGCTTCCGCGTAGTGAAGCCAACATATCCGCAGACGGGCTTGAGAAACGCCAGATTCTTCTTCCCGAACAAATCCCCACGGACGCCGAACAATATCTCACGACGGACAGGATCATCGAACCGCATGAATCGGCCGAAGGCGAACTCCGTTGGTATACTTCCATGCGAAGTGTGGTGGATGACTTCGGCCCCGGCTACGGCTCCAATGGACAGGACTACAACGTGTGGTCCACCAGCGAGGTGACCTTCTTTGACCTCGAGAAGACCGGCGAGTATTCCGGTGGCCGTCCTCGCTTCGGCGGCGCGGGGCCTATCTGGGGTTGCTCCATCATTGTCGTTGCGTCTCCAGCGGGCGTCTGGACAAGCCACATGTGGGAGGTCCCGTCTCATTCGCGAGGCGAGGAGGAGCCCCCATTCTTCGAGAGGGCCAGGCGAAGGTATCCCAGACCTACGCATGAGTACATACAGAAAGACATTATCGATTTTCTCTCCACCGGGAACCACTGGGGTAATCGCAGGAGTGTTGACGCAGACATAGATCCTCACGAGAACCCGGGTCTTCACGATGCCTTCCAGTCAGGCGGTATCTTTAACATCCAGGAATGGGAGTGGGTGCGGGTCATTATTCTCTCGCGCTCTCTCGATAACATGCGCACGCCACAAGTCTACTACGGGCAAGTCGTCAGCTACATGTACGAGAAGTTCCTCCGATGGGGTGTCCCCACGGAGAACATTCAAGTCCGGGCTTACGTCGTCCATAATAGAGACACCCACGGAGCAGAAAATCCTCAGTACGGCTTGCTCAACTGGCAGTATCACCCCAAGAACCCGGTGAACGGAGTCGAACAGAAGACGCTCCGCATCCGATTCGAGAAGGACATCATTTTTGAAAAGTCGTGGTGTGGCGATGGATACAGGGGCACGACACCTCCCAGCAACCCTGGAACACCTCCGGGAAGCCCTACCGGGAACCCGCTGGTCAAACGCGAAGACGACGACGTTGCGGTCTGCAAACTGGCTCTTAAACCAGACACATCGAGCGCCTTCACGCGCACGACACCTGCTCTGCCGCGTCCCACCGCCCCATGTGTCTTTGATCTCGAATGCGCTTCCCTCAGCTGCCCCGAGAACAGACAAGCCAAGTGTTATCACGAACTTTGCCGCTGTGTGATCGCAGAGAGAAATGGCGACATCACTCTCACGACGGACTTCTCCCGAATCAGCCACACACCTTGGACAACCGTGCCGCTCTCTCGTTCTCAGACCACCAACTCAGCTGCGGTCTCTCTGACTACAGGCACTTCCTCCGGAACAATCTCAACTTGGACGTCCAGCCCGTCAACGAGCCTCCTCTCATCCTCCAGCCCAACCACCTCAACAGGCATCTCGTCCTTCACAAGCGGAGCCCCTATACCATCCGATTTCCCCGGTTCCGGAGCATCCTGCGTCACAGTTAACGACTGTTCCAGCCTCCAATGCCCCGACAATAAGTACCTTTCTTGCAGGGCACAGCTATGGAGTCCTCAGCTAGGCTGCTACTGCGTGGAACGGCCCAAGCAACAGGAGTCGTGCTCCCGGGAAGAAGACTGCAACGAGATGAACTGCAACCCAAACCACTACCCTTCGTGTAAGCAATCCGGCACGTCATCCGTCTGCGTCTGCGAGCCGTACCCGGCGATGATCGGCACCTCTTGCACCGCCGACAACCACTGCGCCGGCGTGGTCTGCGACAACCCGGCCACGCACTCCGGCTACTGCGACAAGGGTCTCTGTACTTGCATGGCCTTCTTCCACGAGGGCTTCGCCTGCGGCCTCATCAACGTGTGCGAGTTCATCCGCTGCAACGAGACGCATCCGTACAAGAGCTGCGCGGCCGACAAGACCTGCCGGTGTTCCGCGCAGTTGCCGTCCCAGCGGCGGAAGAAGCGCGATGCGTGTACGGATGATGAGCAGTGCAAGGGCATCGGCTGCGTTGGCGCAACTGGTCGGGAGGTCTGCGTGAACGGTGTTTGCGACTGCAGTGCAAACCTTGACGGCAGTACCATCGACAATTGCGAGAGCGACGGGGACTGCAGCGATGTGTCCTGCCCCGAGCTGGATGGCATGGTTGCAAAGTGCCGTGAGCGTTGCGGGACCGGCCAGGTCTTGGGCTGCGAGAAGGGATGCGTCTGCAAAGACTGAGAGGTTTAGAATTCTCGATGTCGTTTCCGTCGGCAGGGAATCTTGATATATATCCGGATCCAGTTGGCAGCTCGAGATGAGCTTGAAAAGGGAACAAGCATTGAGTAGATTCTGCCGCTAGGGCATTAATTCACATAGACAATTACAAGACTTTGTCATTCAGAAAGCGTGACCATCATGGCGCTATAACACAAACAAGTAAGATACTCAGGGTTTGCTCTGGAGATATCAATGGGGCAAATGTGTGTCGTGATAAAAGTGTATTCTCATTACTAAATAAGTCATGGACCAGGTTTACTCCTGGTCAGAGAGGAATGATACCCCCTTCAAAGTCCTGAACGCCATTTTCCGTTCATCAAGCCGTAATCCATGCACACTCGTCCCGACTCTAGCAATGATTCCGGGTATCAGTAACGCTGCTACCGAGAGACTTGCTCATGGGTTCAGTCCCGAGCTCGCCGCACTCTCTCCAACCTGCACCTCCTCCTCCGGCACGCCAACGGCAACGCTGCTAGCGACGCTCATGGTGGTCAAAGACCGCTCCCTCTCACCACCCGGCCGTTCTCTACGTCCGGCAACGCCTGCTCCGCTGGCGGGAGTCAAGCCCACGCCGGCTCCGGTTGTGGCACTGCTGATACTCTCGCTCCTCTCCCGGCCAGCGTTGGCACCCTTCTCCCTGACCAGCTTTTCCAGCTCGCGTATGCGCTGCTTCAAGATCTCATTCTCCTTCTTGGCATTTTCCAGCTCTTGTCTATGTAACGCCGTCTCCTCATACCGCGACGTGGCGGGCATCAGGCCTGGCGATAGCTGTGATTCGCTTCCTCCTGGCGTGGGAACCATTGAGCTGGTACCAGTCTGCTGTTGTGGGAGTCGCTGCTGTTGGAAATAGGTCATGCCGCTGGCGCTCGGGTCCAGGTGCTGTTGCGAGAGCGCTGGAGAGGACGACAGACTGTGTCGTGACGCAACGCTGTCCTGGCGAACGGGAATCGAGGGACGGGGGATCGGGACGGACGCGGTGGAAGCAGCTGCGGAGCCGGCAAGGGCGGTCTGGCTGCGTGTGCTCGCATTCGAGGCCGTGCGGTGGTGGCGGCGAGAGCTATTCGACGGGACGGCGGGGGTGGAGAAGGCCGCGCCGGAAAGGAGGTGGGTGTCGGCGGGTGGCTCGGCGGCGTTGGATGCGGAGGTCGAGGAGGCATTGGAGACTACGGAAGCATTTTGTGCGGCGCGAAGGAGTTGAAGCTCACGGATGAGCCGGTTGACCTTTGTTTTCAGTTAGACTTGCGGATGAGACACTACGTCGCACCACGTACCACTGCTTCCTGCTCCTTCTCAAGCTGCATATGGAGGTCGGATGCGGTCAAGGGTCGTGGGTGACGGATAGGACCTGGGCCGGAGACGGAAGGCTCGGGGGCGATCGGAGGCGATGTGGCTGCAACTGGACCCATGGTTGGCGACGGAAGAGACGGATTAGAGGCACTCGGGTTGTTGACGGTATTCTGGTTCGAGGGGAGGATGTTGAGGGAGGGCGACTCTGAGGAATGGCCCGGAGCTGGGGGCGGCGGCATATTGTGAGAGGAAGAGCGCCGAGAGGCGTTTAGGGGATGTGGCGAGGCGGGTACGGTGTTAAGATCAGGCATTGCGAATGTTGAAAGCAATGGAGATAATAGAGATGGTGTTTGTTGGATTGTACAAGTTGACGTGAGGATGTTGGTTTTGTTTAGAGTATTTGGTTGCCAGGTGATGGTGTGAAGGCTATAGTCAGACGCGGATTGTGTGTATTTGGTCGCGGTCAACACGCCATGAGTCGTCCAATCTTAAGTGACGGATTATTTGTTTGTCTGGTTGCTTGATCTGGAGCTCCATTCATGCTTCATGCTTCATGCGTCGGTCGTTTCCCCACATGGAACCCGAAGGAGATAAGGCAAGCCACAACCCCGCTTCTGCCGTGACGCCACAGCGCCACATGTGGTGTCTTATCGATAAGAGATCTCGGAGAATGATATGATCCGATCCGCCTTATCTCCAAAGTACTTTGTACTTCTTCCTCTCCATGCCTTGGCTTCCACTGCAACCTTCGGCCCTTGTCAACACATGTGACACGACGGCCCCCGATCGAGAACCTCAATCACCGATCCGACGTTGTATCGCCCGTGGTGCAAAGTTTATGCTGCGCAAGTGTCACAATCCCTTCCCGCAAAACTACAGCCCTACCGCATCTCACCAAAGACTGGGTTCCCGCACCATCACTAAGCCGACGCCGCGTTCCTTTGAGCTTGTCCCAACGACGCCATCACCAACGGTCTCAATCGCAACTCAGAAAACAAAACGGTACAACCGTATTCCGAGCTGGGATCATGGCCGACACTGACGAACACCTGTCAGCGCCATAATTTATTGCCTGCCGCGAGGTCCGCAGATCAGCGGTCATCATCGCTATGCAATAACGGCATCATCCTGACATTAAAAGTGGACGAAGCTCCGTGACACGTCGATAACGGAGTCAGTCCACCGTTTTGGCTGCAGATCACCCACCGTTTCATCAAATGTGGCTGCGTCATTAGCGCCCGCGCCACACGGTTTCCCGCTACCTGCCCCGCTTTTGACGTTGCATGGACCAAATTCCGCCTGGATCCAGCAACATCCCTTCTCGAGTCCAGAGAATAACACTTCACCCGACGCTCTGCTCGCTCCGGCGCTTTTGCTCCGTGTGGACGTCTCATCCCTTGTCCACGCAGCAGCCCATGTCGACCAGACCCCCTAGCACAGTTTCTTCCTATGTCGCTTACGGTCATTTTGAGTACGCGTCTGGTCATAGCTTCAGCATCGATCTCGATCTGACCTGATGGTCGGTTGTCTCTCATCTTTCATTTCACGGAGGCATGCACATGCCAGATAAAAGCATCCCACCGTCGCACTTTGTTCCATTGCTCTGGTACGGGGCTTTGCTCCGTCAAACTTCGTCTGAACTAACTGGGAGAACTTGCACTGCATTCGCATTGCTTGGAAATGCCGTCCAGCTAGGCTTCATAACATGCCCAGATATGATCGATGGCGGGTGCGACGCGGCGGCGGCGAAAAGCGGCACGGAACACGACTCAAAAGAATGGGGCTTCCCCCTCCTCGTCCTGGTCTAGATTCTGCTGCGGGCCATCCGTTACTTTACCATTAACGCTGTTTTTCCGGGTGTTCTGGGGGTGGCCCTGCAATTACCCGCTGTCAAGACCGTGAGGGAACACCAAAAAACAGGTTTTAAACCCTGCCATCGGCGCTGGGTGGTGGGCACCGGATGAGGCTGAAATGTTTCATCATTGGACCTCGACCGCAATAGTGACTGCATCGTGATGAATTTCGGCCGACTTGGGCGGATCGGGGGCTGAAATGATGATTCGTGGGTATGCTGAACCGAGGACTGACGGAAAGGGCATGTAGACCGTCCACCGGCTACCAGCCACGAATGCGCAGCAAAGCAGAATGTCCCAAGACGGAGGGCGTCCAGGCGGGCGTATCCATGCCAAACGAGCTCGTCAAGCATTTACACTGTGATACCGTTCTGGCGAAATTGAACGGCCATAACACCGACGCAAAACAAAAATAATCACGACAGAGATGAGATTTGAACTCATGCGGCCGAAGCCATGTGATGGCGAGATTAGTTCGAGTCACACCCATTAACCACTCTGGCACTCTGCCCCTGTATTCGATGGAGAGTTGCAGTCACGATGGAGCTCAAGACGTTGCGAACACCTGCCAGCCAGGTGGGTTGGGTTTTGTGGGTTCAGGTTACGGTGTGTTTAGACAAAGTTGGTCATTTGTGGGCGCCTAAAATTACACTTGGGCAGTAGCATAGATCTGATCCGCCGCTAAATCTGACAAGTCCCGATTCGCTGTGGTTGACAAAAAAAAAAAAAAAAAACCAAGCACTCAACCACGATATTTCTCCATGCCGTCAAACACCGTCTTTCAGGATAGAGAAAACGAAAATAAAAAAAAAACGAGATACTGCCAAATACGTCAAAGACAGTAAAACTCTTGGTAAAGCCGTGATAAGATGAAACAAAAGAAACTCGTCACTGTGCGCTCTTGACGCAATGGTTTTCGCCGTTATGCCGTTACAAAATCTTGGGGGGGATGTGTCGTTTTGGTGAAGAGTTAAATATTTCCCATCGTGATGATGCCGGGAACTCCTGGAAAAGGAGTTAAAGTTTTGGACGGGATGGTTTTCTTTTTCTTTTTTCTTTTCTTTTCTTTTTTTGGTTGGCGAAAAACAGACAGGATTCATAGTCCCTCACTAATCCATGTCGCTATGCAGTTAGCCTTATGAACGAAGTTTCCAAAAAGTTATCTTGATCCAAACTCTGACGCAAAGAAATATTCGCCCCGTAGCACGGCGGCCCGAGGGGGTGTTTTCTGTCTGTTTTTTTTTTTTTTTTTTGCCTTTCTTCTCATCTTACGAGTTTCCTCGTGTCGTCGTCATGGAGCGAGTCAAGATATCCTCGACTAGTCCAGACGCAGACGCAGCGAAAAAGAAAAAGAAAGGAACAGATTCCCCCAACCGCTCGCTCGGGTCCGGTTAAAAGCTTGGGAACGGGGTAATTTGCGAACTATCGCATAACCGTAACAAGGCACTCAATGGCATCCTCTTGGAACGCCGCGCCCGTTTTCGGGGGGAGGAAATGTGTGGTGGCAGCGGAGTGGGGACCGCCGGGGTCAACTCCGTAACTGCAGTTGTCACAGTGTAGAGGAGAGAGCCCGTTTTGAAGGGCTTTTGTTTTTCTCCCACCACCCACCCCACTGACACGGTCACCGTTCGATGCAGCGCCTCGCCCGAGTTCCGGTGATCGCATTACATGACACACGACAACAGAGCTGGAATGGGCAGAAAGCGAATTCATGGCGGGCAGAAAATTCGAGTCGCGCACGCAGCACACAAAACCAAAAGGGAGATAGTACAGAGAAGAGAAGAAAACACAAAAAAAAAAAAAAAGGTAGAAAACTTACAGCAAAGCCAGCGTGAGATCACCGTGGATCTTAGCCTTGAGGGTAATTTCGATATCCAGGTTGAGGTCGAGCCTCAGCTTGAGCGGGTTCTTTCCGCCGCTGTCGCCGCCGCCCTGCTGCATCATCTGCTGTTGTTGCATCATCTGTTGCTGCTGCATCTGCTGCTGCTGTTGCATCTGCTGCTGGCGGTAGTTGTCCTCGCCGCCGCCTTGTTGGCGACGGCCGCCGCGCTGCATCATCTGGTTGTTCTTCTGGTAGGGGTCGTCGTTGGTGTAACCCTTGCTCCGCGGCGTCTGGCCGTCGCGCTTATCTTGTTGACCCGACGTCGTGTAGTTGCCGCCGTCTCCCTCCTCCTCCTCTTCATCTTCGTCGTAGTCATCGTCGTCATCGTAGTCTTCCTCATCCTGGTCGTCGCCAGAGTAGTAGTCGTCATCGTAGACTCCCTCGTCATTTTCATCATCGTCGTAGTACTCTCCGCCTTCTTCGTCATCGTAGTCCTCGCCGTCTTGGTCATCATGAAGCTCCGTGGGCTCTTCGGCCTCGGCTTCCTGCTCCGTGCGGCCGGAGTCTCGCGACCGCACCTTCGCGGGCTCCTGTTGCTTCTGGTCCTCGGGCTTCTTGTCGTTGTCGACGTTGTCGCCCTCTTGCGACTCGGACTCATCCTGTACCTGAGCCTGCTGCTGCGACTTCTTGTCGGCCTCCTGGCCGGGCTTCTGCTCCTCTTCGGCGGGCTTCTTCTGCTGCTCATCTTGCGGCTTCGCCTCATCGCCAGGCTTCTTGTCGTCCTCTAGTGATTGCTGCTGATCTTCAGGCTTCTTCTCATCACTGCTGCCGGGGGCGTTCTCCTCGGCCTTCTTCTCTTCAGTGTTGTTGTCATTGTTGTCATTGCTGTCACTGCCCATGGATTCCGTGGGGTTGTTGAACTCGCCAACAGGCGTTGTGCCTTCAGGCTTGCTTTCCTCGGGCTTGTTCTCTTCGGGCTTGCTGTCCTCGGGTTTGCTCTCCTCGGGCTTGCTCTCTTCAGGCATGGTCTCTTCAGGCTTGTTCTCCTCAGGCTTGGAGCTGTTCTCGCCGGCCTGCTGCTGTGCAGCTTGACCCTTCTTGACAATGTCAACTCAATGGGTTCACACACTTCACTCACACACACCTACGACAACATACCTTGTTCTTGTTCCTGGCCATTGTGTCGTCCATAAATGTGGTGATACTTTAAAAACTGTGGTATATCGGTTTACGCAGGATAAGATGATGCGCAAAATGGTGATTTATTCATAAAACTTAAAGAACCGGAAGTGGAAAAGACCATCCAGAAGTGAGAAAGTAAGTAGCTACAGGCCGGCCCATCCATCACTTAAAGCAGATCCGCACTTGCGAAGAAAATCAAGCTTGCTTTCCCCGAGCATTACCTCACACCCCTCACTCACCCGCAAACCTGCGAGGCTGATACCCGTGACGCAATAGGGCGTGAGTGTGTGGGAAACCAACCCAGACGGGATATAAAAAAAAAAAAAAAAAAAGGGGACCCAGCTTTGAGCAACCGGGGGGCCGCAAGCTCACGGAGTAACTAAGGTGAGCAGCATCAATGGCCTAGGTGTAAGGGCCCCAAGTAACCATCTGGGTCTCCCGGCCGGCTTCGTGGCCGGGCAGGCGAACCAAGCACATTGGACCCGCGGTGTGATATCACTCGACGCCGGGTTTAGATGTGTGACCCTGCGAAAGCAGGATTTCCTATCCGAACACCCCCCCCCCCTCGAGGAGGGGGGACGCGGTCTCGATCGACAGGGTCCAGAGGTGCAAGTTGGCAAGCAACGCAAGAGAAGAATTAGTATAGAAGGGGGAAGGGGGGTGGTGGTTCGGCATAAGGTGGAATAGAACTTGATGGAAATGACGTCAAAGCCCTTCTAGGACGAGCATGAGATGTATGACTGGCACTGGTTCGCGTTGTTCGCCGAGGGGGAGACAATGCAAGAAAGCTCAGAGGTGAGCTAGCTAAGCTATCCCTGTCGAGTAGAGGTGTGTACCGTATCAATCGCCGACCAACCGATCAGCCAACACGAAAAGGAAAAAAAGGTGAAGTCAAAGCATAGTAATTGCAAAATGACGTATTCCACAGTCCCATTTGGGGGTGTGTAAATAAACGGCCACGCCAGAACGTGACATGCGGACCCAGTAAAGATGCAAAAACGAACGGTCTGGACAACTTGCATGTGTGGACCAGGTGTGGTGGGCTGACCCCAGACAGGGATTCCCGAAACGGGCATCTCGATCCCAACGGCCGGGTGTAGGTGCAGATTGTAAGAACGGACGAAGGAGAGACAGGGCGCTGATATGATGACCACACACGAACCCCGTCAACCACCAAAAAAAAAACCATCTCTGCTTCATGGGAACCCGACCCCGTAAACCTGTTTGTTCGCCCTTGCTTGGTGGTTTCTTTCTCTTCGCCGTCGCCCGCGCGTCTTCGCTCGGCAGAAGCCTTGAAGCTAGACGCTCTGCAACTTGTATCCGAAAAAAGATACTCACTCTTCCTCCTCCTCCTCCTCCTCCACCAAACACGTCGACTCACAAGCCAACAGCGGAACCCCCGGCTGACCCACGGTTGACATTCCCGAGTCCCGAACTAAGAGACATTCGAGACCTCCCGTTAAGCCCCTCCCTGAAGCCCTACTTTTCCCACTCTTCTTTTGCGTTCGAGAAGGTCGAAACATGGTCATCGGCTTGTTGGCTATCGCCGCCATTCCCACAGTCATCGGCACCGGGCAAGCCGTCAGCGCTCAGAAGAAGCAGAATGCCGCCGCAAAAGAGCAGGCCAAGTTCAGCCTTACGGCGACCATGACCATTGACGGGAAGCGAGAAGAAGCTCCATGCGTCCTCGTCGAGAACAAGGCACGTCCCACCGCTCTCTTCTCTCTCTCCTGTTCTGGCTGCATCTGCAGCCTTCCAACCCCCTCCACCTCGCGGCATTCTTGCTTTTTTCTCTCTCTTTCTCCGTTTGAACACACCACCCCCTAGTATGGTTTCGGAGCCACATCCACCACACCCACTCTCTCCTTGATCAGGCCCCCAGCCTCCTTCGAGCCACCCCAGTCACTTACCATTGTTCAACCTGCACCCAAAACCTAGCTGCAAATCCTCCGTCGAGACTAACCTGTAGTTGACTGACCGAAACAAAAACAGCTCTGGATAAACCATAGTATGGCACCAGCCCCAGGCCACAAGTTTTCAGGGTATTACTTCAACTACCCCTGCGAGGAGCAGTACCGAGGGCTGGTATCAACCATCTCCGACGACCCGCCAATGTTGAATTGGATCTACGTCGACGCGGACACACGAGCTGTCCGCCACGGGGGCCGCAAAGACACCATCGGCCACGTCATAGGGCCGTGGGGCTGGACGGACGATGATAAATATCTTTCTTTGCGAGGTAGTGGCATGGGGTTTGTGGCCGTGCTGGAGGACGATGGCAGATGGGCAGTCTATTGGGACCCGGACGGGAGGTTACGGCAAGGGTATGAGCCAGATGAGTGTGTTGAGATTGTCCTGAGGCGCCAGATGGCGCTAGGTATCGAAAGTGCCTATGTTAGAGACTAGAATAGCAAAGTAAGTCTATCTGTATTACCGAAAACAGAAACGAGACGGGAAGACGAGAAGAGGGAGAGAAAGTACACGGTATGGGGAAAGGGGGGCGTGTGGTAATCCGAGATACATCGAGGAGCTTCTCGAGGACGTGCGAATAGACCAAGCACGGCCTTTCAAGGCTTCTAGCAGTTTGCTCTGCATGGATTTGATAGTTGGTATCTGTAACCCGAGAGCCCGTAATTCGTCAGTGCAAGGTTGCTGAGCAAGCTTGCGAGCCCAAACTGACTTACAAGAAGCTTGTTTGACGGCGGAAATAGAGCACTTGTGCGTCATGCCTGCATTGGCAAGTGATGCCCCTCGAGCGTAGTGGTCTGAGCATGATTGGGCATAGACTGCTTCGATGAATCCAAAGACAAAATAATGACAGGGATCCTTGACACCCTCTTTTCCAGCATTTTGCCTTCAGAGTACGTGGTAGTGGGAGGGACCAGGACGCGCGCTTCCACACCTCGGCGCCAGAGCAGATCGGGACCGCTCATCGAAAGCATGAGACAGGCCCAAAAGCCCCAGCGCCCCATTAATTCCGCCCCCCCTCCGCATGCCGCTTGGCCCCCCCTTCAACGTCATTTCGGTCCAGACCTACAGGACTCGAGTGTTGGTGTGACGCAAAAAAGAGTTGATGGGGGTGAAGCCACGGGAGATGGAAATCATGGGTCTCCCAGGGTCCAACATGATCTCATCGGCCGAGAAAGGGTGTAAGCTTTGCATCCTGTTTTGACTGCTTCCGGATGCCGTCCGGAATCAGTTATATGTTGCACCCTCATCCGCGACTCATCCTTCGAAGGAACTTTTTTTGAAGAAACACCCACAAGCTTTTGCATATAATCCAGAGTCCACAAACCTCAAATTTCCCATTCTTCCTCAACCGACGGGAGGAGCCCATTAGCCCATCTTTGAACTTCTAGTCAAACTTTTAGCCAACACAAGCCTGTCAACATGTCTTCCCCCCGTGAGAAGAACACCAAGTACGCCTCCGACGAGGAGACCTCTGAGGACACCCAGCAGCAGCAGCCCCAGCGCCGCCAGAACCGCAGCAAGGGCAGGCAAATGCAAAGGCGCCAGCAGGGCGGGCCCCTCGATGGCATCGGCGGCGGTGATGTCGGCCAGCAGGTCCAGGGCGTTGCCGGCGGCGTCCAGAACACACTAGGCAACGTTGCCGGCGGTGCCCTGCAACAGCAAGGCGGCGGCGGTGGTGACAAGAGCGACACCCTGCGATTGCGTCTTGACCTCAACCTCGATATTGAAATCACGCTCAAGGCGCGCATCCACGGTGACCTCGAGCTTGCACTCTTGTAAGTACTGATCCATTCCTATTTACCCTTCCAGTTACGGCCCCTCTCTCTCGTCAGACTATCCCGTTCCGTCCTATTTTCTTACCGAGAGACAAGGACGGGCTAGTTAGGCCAAGTTCAAAATGGGCTAATGGGCTTTTCCTCGTCTTTTAATCAGGAACTGAGAGGCGTTTTTTCTCCAGGGACAAATCTTAAACGAAAATCAATCCTTTTGTCGGTATTTTTTATCTTTTACAACAACAACACGGAGTCGCGGAAATACAGTGGGCGAATTCTTTTCGACACAGTTTGCTGGAAATGTGCTGGTTTTCATTTGTTGACCCTGCTTTACACCTAATCGTAAGATAAAACGGTATGGTTTTGCAAGGGGTGGGGGGGGAGTTGGTGGACGGATGAGATATCGGTATCCATCTGCCGCGTGTATTATGAAAGAGTTGTGCATCATCGACCTCATGAGATACGGACGCTATTTTGGGAAATTTATGGGTATCCTATTCAACGTTAGCCAAGGCATTCTTGACATATTTTAACGAATGGTATTTGATCAAGTTCATGTTAAATTTGCCGACCCTATTACACTGTGAAAAACACGGCCGTGTAGAAACGTGAAAACGTTCCTTGGCCCAGCTGAATGTGACCGTCAGACTCAGGTCATCTCAGCGTATGTCGTCGGTTTCAGCACAGTACCTGTCGTCTTGAGGCACTCACTAGTCGTAAAGGCCGTGCGGAGTAGACAAGCCAAAGCCACCATAGCATGCGTAGACAAACAGCCGTCAAGCACGCGGAAAGACGGCCTCTGCGGGAACGGTGACCACCAACGGTTCCTAGCGTATTTTGGACTAGCGTCCAGCCTCTGTTTCACGCTTCGTTCTGGCGCCGCTGATCTCATGAACATGGGTGAATCTGCAAATGATGGCGGGTCCAATCTGCCCCTCCAACGAGACAACCCACATTGTCTATTCGTCCCAAAGTCTTGGTGTCTCCAGAGGCATTAACGGAAGTGACTGAAGAGCGACTAGCCTAATCGACGGCGCTTCAGACTACTGCAAGTCTTCACTCTTGTGCCTTGCTTTCAGTGTGCTTCTCACCTGGTCTTAGTGTCAGCCTCCCCGCATGAAAAGCAAACAACTCATTCCGGAATGGACACAAGTGCTTTTTGACAGGATCATGCCAGCATCATGACTTCAGCCTCTCTAACCGAAGCACTTGTCCGTAAACGGAGGAAAAGCCACAAAAAAAAAAAAAAAAAAAGTTTTGCAAAAGGCACAGCAACATACCGGAAACTCTCCAGCCACAGCGGTATCAACCCGTCCAATGTCGACACGTCGACGCCGCCACTTGGTACGATGTAACTTGGTCAGTGTGCATGCTAACCCACCCGCCAAATGTAACGGTGGAACGCCCCCCTGTTCCCCCACTACAGACTGCCAATGCAACCCAAGAAAGGAGTCGAATCCACAGTACCGTCTCGACCTTGAAGAGCGGGGAACGGTCGAAAACGCTACCGTGATGAAAAACTGTAGCTGAAGGGGAAACCCTTGCGTCGCATCCCGGCACACCGGATGAGATCATCAGCCACTCACGTCGGACTCCCGTCAGTCGCATGGTATGAGGTGTGGCCTCTCGAGCAAATTTCCAACCAGTCCCAATCGTCAAGCCACCTGCCGAGAGACGTTCTCTGTCGATCGTTACTCCTGTCTCATCCCTCTTCGGTGCCTAGGCTCCTGTCGACTCCTCGCTTCCTGCATTACATTGCCTTGTCTGAAGGCCATCGAGATCATCAACCAGAGGCACCGTTCGCCTGGAAGCAGTCCCGACACTGTCTCAACCAAAGTAAGAACGTGTCTGGAGACTTTTTGTCGAAGCTGTCTTGGGTGCCCGGGCATAACACTGGCCCGAAGATCTGATGAAGTGCATCACTCCGCCCCGCCGCATCTGAAGTTTAACTCTTTGCTGTCTCGGTCTGGCTAGTGTCTGTGGTATTCCCCAGAGTCTGTGATCGTTGGATCTGAAGCTTTTCTTCGTAGCTGAGAAGCTCCTTGGCTACAACTACGCAGCGGGGATAAGGCTTCACACTCACCTAGCCTAGCTCTCTCTCTGTGCTTTGCTTTGCTTCAGCATCTCGTTGGGCGGCTAGCCGTGCGTTCCGCCTGTAAAGGAACCAGAGAAGGAAATCCCCAGCCAGTAAAGGGCACGACTGCTCGCACAGTCGTTTTGGTTTCAACAGAAAACAGGCTTTTTGGCAGTTTTGTCGGGCCTTTTGCCTCCAATCTTAGCGCTGAGCCGACGCCTCCTTCGGAGCCTTGCCTCGATTCCATCTCTCATCTTCACCACCTGCCAAACATCCCTCCAACACTTTCTTCTTCGCATCGTTTTCCGAAGTACAGGTGGATACGTTTGCGTGTGTCTGGAGCATTGTGGAGACACCAGATCTCGGTTCGACAAAGTACCTGATCCCATCACCCTTGCATAACATCCTGACAAGGTGAACCATCGCCCCCCCGTTCGCCAGTTCTGGAACTCGAAAACCGCTGGCCCGTACCTGTCACGGCAAAAGGAGAACCCACACTCGTCACTGGCCTGACGTCACTCGGCTAGGCCTAACCACCACCAGCCTTGCAGACCTTGCGCAACTTGCAGAAGCGGTTGGCCGCGCCGTGCGACAAAGCAGAGAAGATAAGCCCTGTTCGCGTGAAGTGCTGCTCGAGGGGTGCACCGAGAAACGCACACATCAGCACAGTCGTTCGAGTTCAACGCCAGATTCCCGAAGCAAGGCGATCCCGCAGGTGGGTGCCCATCTCCTATTCCTCTCTGTTTAGCCCTTCATTAGACATCCTGGCCAATGCTTTCCCCCTCACCTCACCTCGAAAGAGACCCAGCTGACGCAGAATCATTGCAGAGGATTTCGGTGACCATCCAATAATGACGGCATCCCCTCCTACTCGCTCGACTCCACCCTTAACCCAGCAAGAGAGACCCGAAAGCCCTGCCTCGACGCATCCAACATCTCGGACTATGCAAAGGGCCGTTCCCGAGCCTCCCAAGTCCTCGCCGCACACCATGTCGCGTACCGAGCCAAGGCCTGTACATGGGGTCGACGATCCAGATCACACATCTCGACACGATGAATATGAGGTTGTGGAGGCTGAGGATGATGAAGCTGGGGTGGAGGAGGCTCCTCGACGCCACGTACGGCCGCCTTTACCTCGTCTGAACTCGTCCTCACGAGCACCTCCCTCGCCGGCTCCTCGGGCTGATGCTTCTCCTCCGCAACAAACCCCTAGTCGAAGTAGCAACACGAACACCCCACAGCCGCAAAAGGGCGGGCCCTTTCATTTACAGGGCTCGCGGGAGATACCCATCCCGATGCGGCCGGCGTCAACACATGCTCAGTCCGCACCCAACGCAGCAGCAACACCGTCGTCGGCAGACACTGCGAACAGCCGCACAGATGAGGGTTCACAACCTTCGCAAGAGTCCCAAAACACGTCGGCTGGGTCGCCAAGATCACAGTCCAAGGACTCTTCTGGAGGCAAGAATGCCCCGATTCACATACCAAAGGTTACGCCCATAGCATCTGGCCTGACGATACCCCCAAACCTTGCTGAACTGGCACAGGGTTTGGAGGGGAAGTATGTCGACGAATTTGGGAACATCTTAGATTGGAACGGCCAGGTTCTGGGTCGTGTCGAGGGCGACCTCCCTTCCATGATAGGAAGACCCGTCTCGGTGACTGGAGAGATCTTCAGCGAGGACGGCGAGGTCGTTGGCTACGTCGCAGAGAACGACACTATCCCTCCTGCGCCCCCGTCTCCCAAGCCCATTGAAGGTATGGGCGACGGGCTAAAGGTCGACCACATGGGCAATATCCTCGATCGTAACAACAACGTCATCGGTCACTTTGACGGCGCTCATCTGGCAAACTCTCTGCAAAAGACAGGCCAGTCAGGCAACAATAACTCTGGGCAGTCAAGTGGTGCTCGCCCAACAAACAGCAACCCTCAGGCAAACCAAAACTGTAGCTGTGGTCGACCTAAACCGTCTTCAGCACCCAGTCCGTCTGAGGTTTTCCTTGATGTCAAGTCGACAAACGACGGCATCCAGCTTATTATCAAGATACCAACGGTGTTTAACGGTGGCGGAAACCCAAATATCCATATTGGAACTGGATGAGATTTTGGACGGCACTTTGATAGTTGAATGAATGTCGATCATGGAGTTCTGGAACAGTTCTATAGAAGCTAGCATGCGGCGGCGGCGTTCAGACGGTGGTGGGAGACATGATAGGCCAAGATTTGAGTCGTAGTTCCAACGGAAACCGGATCCGGTAATACATGATTTGAATAACGTGTGCTCCCGAGACCCTCGATGAACCGTTCAATAAGGCTGAAAAGTGGGTGAGCTGGGCAAGGCCCATAACCCCCAAATTGCGAAGGGTCGCATAGACTCGGCGTGTGAATTAGGTGGCAGCTCAGTGTGGCGAATAAGAGGCCGAAGTACGCGTTTCGGAGAGCGTCATGACGTTGGTGGTGCATCGATTGCCGCACGGGATGCCAACCTTTGTGAAAGCTCGCAATCCTCATTTGCAAAAGAAAGCACTGGGAGTAAAATGGAGTGGTCTGAGGTGTAACTGGTGGAGGATTTGACGAATAGATGATGCAGGGCAGGGAAGGCCCATGGATACACTAGCCACATCGACTGGGAAGCTCCAAGAAAGCGGCCGGGCGATCAGAGGCAGAGCCAATGACAACCTGCCCAACTACCAATCTGTCACACCATCTCCCAAGGAGCATCTGCCTTCGCAAAGTCAACTTGCGTCATGAGAGCTGGGATCCAGAGTTTGTGATGGCCTTTCGAATGCTCGGACGGGTGTGGCTTTGCGTCATGATGGCCAACAGGCAAGTCGGCCAACTCTTCCCCCATGAAGTCACTCTGTGGCGCGGGGCAGGTCAGAGCTTCGGGGGGAAGCTGTTCGAGCTTTGAGCTCCCTTTGACGTAACTATTGGTGAGGCTGTCAAGCTGGAAACTTGCTTTGCGTGCGAGGATCTGAGATATAAGACGTCCGACCGGCGATGTTCTGTCATGCGTTTTGACTTTTAATTCCCAATTCAAAGCACTCATCTCATGGGCCACTACTACCTCTTATCACATTAGACAGACCACTTTTATCACATTGAACCCCTTAAACAGTTGCCCAACATTTTGGTACTACGACATAGAGACATTATGGCCGGCGCTGCCTCAAAATCAGGAAGCAGCATGCCTGGAAAGGAGGGTGAACAGAAGTCATGTGAGTATCTTAACTTACCAGGTCTACAGTGAGAAGCAACTAATCGTGGTGAAGCATACTCCGTCGAGAAAGACATCCAGGACCATGGCGAGAACCTCGTTGCTGGCGTCATCGGAAAGACAGGAGATGTAGTCGACGAGACAGGAAAGACCGTCGGCAAGGTGACCGAAGGTGAAGCTGGCGAGCTGGTCGGCAATGTTGTAACAGCGACCGGCGATATCATCGGAAAGGATGGTGGTGTCATCGGCAAGGCCCTGCCTTTGGGCGAGCTCACAGAGAGTGTTGCCGGAGGTGAAAGCAAAGAGGGCGGCGGTGGTTTCAGCATCATGGGCGCCACAAAGGGTGTTAAGGGTATTGTCGACACCGTCGACGGAACAGTGCAGACCGTCAACAGGACACTACCTCTCGTCGGCGACCTGACGAAGGGTATTGGTCTAGGCGAAGGCCAAGGCGGTATACTTGGAGGTGTTGGCCTTGGTGGCGGACAGGATGAGAAGTCCCAGTCCGGTCTCCTCGGCGGCACGCTTGGAAGCGTCCTTGGTGGCGGCAAGAGCGACCAGGGAGAGCAATCTGGACTCCTTGGCGGTGTCTTGGGCGGTACCGAGCCCTTAGAGCGCGACGACAACGCAACAGACAAGGACGAGAAGCTCACTCAGCTTCTGTCGCAAAAGCCCGAAGACCCTGAGGAAAAGGCGTCTCTCACAGAGGACGCGAAGAAGAATCTTTTTGAAGCCAATGACAAGACTTCTGAAGTTGCCCCCGTGGATCTCCAGGACAACGATCAACAAGAACAGAACGGCAAGCTCACCACCGGCGAAAACACCCAGTCAGAAACTGAACCATCTCAAGCTGACAAGACTGAACTCACAGCACCCTCCACTGATGGCGATAAGTCCCAACAAGATCTCCAGGAACTGGAGCCGGAGCCGGAGGACGACGAGGGCACCGCAAGACCCGAGTCCTTCAAAGACGATGCGACCGAGAAAGCCGACACCTTCAAGGATGATGCTACCGAGCAGACGGAGTCTTACAAAGATGATGCGACTGAGCAAGGCGAATCTTTCAAGGACGACGCAACTGAGAAGGCTTCGACAGTCAAGGATGACGCGACGGAGAAGGCTGCCACCACCAAGAGCGATGTTCAGTCACGCGTGCCCGATGATATCGCGACCCTCGACATTCCAGTTTCTCAGATCCCTGACAACCTCAAGAGCGAGATTCCCGACGATCTCCAGACGGCAGACATCCCCGTGTCTCAAATTCCCTTTGATGCTCAGTCCAAGCTCCCTACCGACCTGGTGTCCCAGCTTCCGGATGATGTCAAGACCAACGCCGACGTCACCGACTTCGCTGAAGACGACAACAAGACCGAACAGCCCACTGAAGCTCAAACGGGTGACGTTCCTGACTCTCAAGCGCCCGAGTCGGTCAAGACCGGCGAGACTGAGGACATTCCCAAGTCTGAGATCAAGGAAGATATTGGAAGCGTCTTGAGCACTGTTCGTTCTGCCATCCCAAGCGATCAGCGAACTGTGACTGTTGCTGGTGACAAGCTTCTTCAGCCTTTCGAGAAGTTCCCTGGTGCCGAAGTCAATGACGAGGGCAAGGTCATTTTCGACAACGCTTCTATCGGCAGAATTGCTGAGGGTGACCCTAACGACTTGGCTGGTCACATCATCGATGCCGAGGGTAACATTGTAAACGAGCGCGGCAGCATCATTGGCAAGGCTGAGCTCAAGACCGAGGTTGCCGAGGAACTCCTCAAGGACACAATCGACTATTCTATTCTCAAGGGTGCCAAGGTCAACAAGGCCGGTAACCTCGTCAATGACAAGGGCGAGGCTATTGGACGTGTTGTATCTGGTATCTTGAAGCACCTCGTTGGCCGAAAGGCAAACGAGAAGGGCGAAATCTGGAACGACTCCGGCAAAGTCATTGGAAAGGCCGAGCCTATTCCTGAAACTGAGCGCGAGGAACTTGGCGAGCCTGCGCCCTTCGAAGATTTCCCTGGCGCTACCGTCGAGTCTGACGGCAACGTCCTCTACAATGGCGAGATTGTTGGTCGTGTAATTGAAGGTGACCCGAAGAAGCTCAAGGGCAAGAAGGTTGATGACGATGGTGATATTCTTGACCGCAGCGGCAACACCATCGGCAAGGCTGAGCGCTGGGAGCCCGAGCCCGAGCCTGAGCCGGAACCCGAGCCAGAGGTCGTTATTGACCGATCTGTCCTTGCGGGCAAGCGTGTTAACAAGGCTGGTAATGTTGTTGACACCAACGGTACCATTTTCGGTCGCATCGTTGAGGGAGACATCAAGCGTCTTGTTGGCCGCATGTGCGACAAGGAGGGTAATGTCCGCAGCGAGTCTGGTGATATTATTGGCAAGGCTGAACTCGTCCCTGAGGGAGAGCGCGAAGGATTCAAGGAGGGTCCTTTCGCTGAGCTCCCCGGTTGCACCGTCAACAAGGAGGGACACGTTGTCACCCCAGGAGGTGATATTGTCGGTCGTCTTGTCGAGGGTAACCCTAAGGTTCTCTTCGGTCGTGAGGTCGACGAGGATGGAGACATCCTGGACCGTAACGGCAACCAGATTGGTAAGGCCGAACGTTGGGAGCCTGAGCCTGAGCCGGAGCCCGAGAAGAAGGTTGGACCTATGGCTGGTCGCAAGGTGAACCGCAAGGGTGAAGTTGTTGACGAGGATGGCAACATCATCGGAAAACTCACTACTGGTGAACTCTCGATTTGCGCGGGCAAGGAGATTGACGACGATGGTGATGTCGTAGACTCCAAGGGCCGCACGGTCGGCCACTGCTCGCTTATTGAGGATATTCCCGAACCCGAGCCTGAACCTGAGGAGCCTCAGGAGGATCCTGCTGAGGTTAAGGCCCGCGAGGAGGCCGAGGCTGACAGAAAGTTGGCCAAGTCCCTCGGTAGCGTCATTGAGCAGGGTCTGGACCGCATGCGTCCCATCTGCAAGATGATCACACAGAAGATTGAGAAGGCTGAGCGTACTCCTAAGGAGGAGCTTGACGAGGAACAACTTGTCAAGGATGTTAAGCCTCTCATCGAGGAGGGTGGCAAGATCCTGAGCGAGCTTAACGGCAGTGTCCGCGCTTTGGACCCTGACGGAAGAATCCAGCGCAACGCCAAGCACAAGTCTGCCACTCGTGATGCTTCCCCTGAGGAGCACCACCTCGCCGACGTTCTCAAGGAGGTAAGTTGAATATCACAAATGAAACCTGACACAATATTCACGTACTAATTATTTCAATAGTTGACTGGCACCATCACCGAAACCGTGGAGGGTGCTAAGCGCAAGATTGAGGACATGCCTCATGCTAAGGAGCAGCTCAACCCTCTCTGGGGTCTCCTTACCGAGCCTCTCTTCCAGATTCTGGCTGCTGTTGGTCTGTTGTTGACCGGTGTGCTGAACATTGTTGGCCGACTCGTAAGTTGTCCATCTCCATCCAGCATCGAATCATTTCTAACATGTTCCCTAGCTCAACGGTCTTGGTCTTGGTGGTCTTGTTGATGGCCTTCTCGGAACCTTGGGCCTCAACCGTCTCCTCGATGGACTCGGTCTTGGCAGTTTGACTGCGGCACTGACCGGCCGCAAGGATCGCAAGAAGAAATAAGCAGTTATGAAGTAATGACTTGAGCGTCGCGCCGTTTGCTTGTCACAATGAGCCTGATTGACGCGTGTATTCTCCTTGGCGTTATTCAATGTAGCTTTAGTGGATTTGGAAAATGTTTGGAATCGGTCATGTATGAGTAGCAGTATAGTCAGCGACTAATTTGTACGGCCTTTCTCATTCTCAATTTGTTGTGCCTGCTGTCTCGAGTGATTATGCATTGATGGTGTTGGAAGAGTGAAGTCAATAAAGAAAGGATGTGGTTAAGGTAAAGTTTTTTTTTTACGCAATGGGTGTGACAGACACCTCAACCACAAACTCGACTCGGGCAAGTACGACTCGAACAAAGACCATTCGGGCAGGGGCTATCTTAGTTGCGGTTCATGCCGATTTTGATGTTTTCTTTGCTTTTATCGAACACCAAACTTGAGCTGATGTACCTTTCTCTGCATATTGTCCAAGGGACAGATTTCAAGACTCGATGCATTGTATTTGACACATGATACGTCCAAGTTTCAATAGTTTGAATTTAACTACGCTGCGAATGTCCTAGTTTTCACCGCTATTGGCCCCTTGCTAATAATCCATCCCAAATAGCATTTGAAACAACTCGGAGAATAGAATCTAAAAATGGTGAAGCAGCTTCGACGATTGAAATGAATTTCGCCCATAAAACATACAAATTGCAATTGCTGAACATGAATGATACATCGTAGTAGGCCTTGACATGGTTGATTTAGTACTATCATCCAAATAGAGAATGATATCGTCGTTGCAATTATAAGGAGAAGCCAGCTAGCTTCAGAAATATGATGCCATCCTGTACTACGTAGTATATGTCATCGGCGACAGGTTAAGTTATAATCTATTGCCAGCGGTGCCTTCTTCGACGGACGTGCTGCTGACCACCAGCTGATCGTGCTAACCCAAAAAACCCCCCCAACGAGCGGAGTCCCGCCTAACCGGGCGCCAATGCTTAGAAAAAGAAAAAAAAACAGGTGATAAGTGATCGATAAGATAGATAAAGCTCCTTATCAGCACTCACCAATCGACCATCGCTCTAAATAACCTAGGAGTGACGTCAAGCACGAGCACTTACAACGCCAGATGGTATGACGGCATCAACACCACAGACTGATGTCAACAGCCGCAACCAGTGGAGGACACTACGCTACAGGCTTTCCCACCTGTAAAAGTCTTGCCGTTTCTGAGCTCCCCGCCATTGACGCAAGAGCTCCTCTTACCTAAGACGACTGCCCCTCCTCGAGGGGCCCCTCCCTAGCTGCTATTTAACATGAAGCATCCGTTCCTGAACATCGCTTTCTTTCCTAGTGACAAGCTTCCAAGAACTATTCTTCTCTAACAAATTTCTCCTCTCAAAAAAAATAACCTCCTTTTTATCTACCCACCACAAAAACCACTTCCAAAATGCCTGAGGGTCGTCAGTCTCCCCCCCCTGAGCGCCAGACCGGTGCCCAGCAGCGTGACCCCCCTGCCTCCGGCAAGGGAACCGACGATGCTTCCAACAAGGAGGAGGTCAACAAGCAGCAGCTCGAGGTAAATTACACCAAGCCAGTCTTCACGCTAGCTTGACACGGTTATCTAACGACTCACAGAACCTTTCCTCAAACCCCAAGGGTCCCCTTGACGATGCTGTCAAGGAGAAGTTTGCCAAGACTCAGTAAATCACGGAGGACACAATCATAATATGAAGGCGTTGGGACAGGTCATCATGAGAGCACGAGAATCAATGAGACGAATCACGATTTGTGATGCTGTAACAATAGAAATATCAATGCCAATTAAGATGCGTTGGACCACTAAACTTTAGTTCCATGTGCCACATGTGCATCTCATGTTCTATCCATAAATGTGCCCAGAATGATAACTATACCCAGCTGTCAATGCGGGCGAATTTGTGACAGATATCTTTGCTCCCAAGTCCGCAAAGTCACCCATTGCATATTTGCCAGAAACAGTTGTTCATCATACCAAGTCAATCACCGATTACAACGTAATTGATACAAGTACAAGCTTGCATCATGAGGAACACGCAAATTAATGATGCACAGAGTTGCATTCAAGTCATAACTACCTAAAGTGCTCAAAGGAAACTACTTGCATAGTATTCATAGCATCGCAATCATAAAACGTTCGTGCCTAATGAATCCAGCCAACGCCTACCCTCATGTCCTTTTGCATGCAAATTACCCTTGTTTTACGCAGTCTTCTCGTCCGCAGCAGCAGGCTTGGACAGAGGAACAGAGGTTGTGTCGTCAGGCTGGGTAGGAGCGGTGGTTCCGGTGGTTTCGCCGGTGGTAGGGGGAACGGTCTTCTCCTTCTCCTTGCCCAAGAATCTCTCGAGGCCAGAAGCCTTGTAGGCACTGCCGCCGTGCTGCTCCTTCTTCAGGTCTGCCAGGCGGCGAGCCTCGGCGTGGATGTCCTGCACTTGTCTCTGGCCGTCCTGGTAGAAGCCAACAATACGCTTGCCAGTGGGGGAGCTGGTGGCCTTCTCAAAGTACGAGCTCAGACCGCCAAAGATGCCTTGGGCCTTGGCAGTAATGCCGTAAGACTGGTCAGTGGCCTTGGCGCGGTCGGTAGCATGGTACTTCTGGTCAAGGTTCTGAAGGGTGCCGAAGAAACGGCTGGAGACGCCATGCTGGCTGTCGAGCTCGATGGCGCGCTGCAGGGCAGCGTCACCAACAACGTAACCCTGGGCGAGGTATTCGGCCAGAATACGAGAGCGAGGCTTCTCCTCCTGGGTAATCTCATCGGTATCGCGGTTTGCATTCTCCTTGAAGTGGGAGCCGTCGTCGTTGGAGTCGCCGCTGGCGCTGGTAACCGTGATGTGAGAAGTGCCGAGCTGAGTGTTGTTCAGCAAGAGGGCCGTCTTGGCAGCTGTCTCCTTCTCGAAAGTAACATCGGCATTCTTGGTCTCACCGGCCGAGGTGACCTCAATGTTTGTGATCTTGCCGCTGCAAGCTGTCAGCTATTGTCCATTCAAGAGCTCTGTGCTGCTGGGCAGCAGAAATCGAACCATCCGCGATGCAAAAGCGTGGCAGGGGATATGCGAGATAAAGTACTCACCAAAAGCTAAAGAAGTCTCTAATCTCCTTGTCGTCGGTCGCCGCAGCGATGTTCTTGACGTGAACAGTGGTGTTGGACATGATGACGGTGTTTTGGAAAGTCGGTCTGGTGGAGAGTACAGAAAGGATGTAGGAGGGAGCTTTGTGGTTTGTGAGGGGTAACTGGAGACGGGAGCGGGTATCAAATAAGGGATTTTAAATGTGTGCTGCCTCACAGTGGATGTCGAGGAAATATTATCGCAATCTCAACGTTGGGAATCACGTATGACGAGGATTGATGTCGTGGAAACAGTCGTGTCGGGGTATTTGAAGAATGACAGAGTTGGAGAGGAAATGAGATCAGACGAAAAGGTCACAAGGACGCTCTTTACCTTTTAGCCAAAGCAGGAAGAATTTGGGAAGGCACTGGAAAGGGAAGGGGCGGCCTCTCAGGGAGCAGTGACGATGCTTGACGCAGCACCTGGCTGAAGGGGAGGGGCGACCTAGGGGGCATCCAGCTACTCAAGCAACAGGCGCAAGGGCGGCGCTTGCCCAGAATTGGGCACTAGTAGCACACCAGTGGTGGAAAGAGGGCGGGAAGCAGGGAGCAGGGGCCACTCAGGGTCCAGTGCTGGGCCTGTGAGGGGCGAAGGCCAAACGTCATCGCCTGCGAATATAAGGAGCTCGTGCCAGGGGTGGGGGTGGCTGTGGTACGACACGGGCCACAGTTAGCCCCACTAACAGAGCCACATCGCAGCCACGTACCTCTGTCACCTATTTTGGCCGAAAAACTACTTTCACATGCAGTCCTCCAAACTATCCAAGCTACTGGAAGGTGCCGGAACATCAGACGACCGACCCATCAGCTTTCCTCGTCCCAACACCAGATGATGGCTTGCAGTGCCTAAACAGGTTACCTCTATCTCACTCCAACACACACGAATACGGCTCGCTCATACACTGTCGCGATTACGACGCGACACCAGGACGACGTGGCTTGTGGCTGGTACAACAACTACGAGGAACAACTCTGGCTTCATTAAACTAAATCTAGCTCATCTCAATCTGCACCTCATCTGGTATCGGGACGTCCCTTTCTCGACGCCTCAATCTCCTCCAATATCAACTTCAACGCCCTTTGGCTTATTGTGAAGGGCAAATGGCTCTGGGGCACGTGGAAAAACATTTACGTCCACCACCCTTAAACCCTGGAGCCCGTATACTCTAAATTGCGGTTCCAGCGCCGCCATGTCATCTTCTTGTGATCCGATCCGATTACGCAGGTAACAGACGGATCATGTACCGTCTCGAGTCTGTTCTGTGCCCATTGTTCCGTTCCCGTTCTCGTTCTCGCACTGGCCGCCGGTCCTGATCTTCGAACATGGCGTGCCCTGCTGTGTTCTGCGGATTCATTTTCGCCATAGCAAACTCCAAAGTACTGGGTGAGCTGCTATCTGCCTGCTGAACCATAGGTCAGGAATACCGGAATCCGTCTGGCATGCTGAAGATAAAGATGTCGCGCTTGCCGTCAAGTGAATGGCTGGGCCGCAGCAGCGGAGCATCTGAGTTGCGTCTAGGGCGTATTTGCGGGCCTAGGCCCAGCTTCCGGAGCTCGTAATATGGGTCGTCCGGTTCACCTTCAGAACATACAGGCTCAATTGAGTAGGGGTCTGCCGTGGAATTGAGCCGAGAACTTTGGCGGTCGCAAACAACCTGAATTGTAAATTAGTGGTGCGGTCAACAAAGATCTAGATGCACCTGGCCTTCGGCGCACGTGGGTTTCTGGTTTACTACAACGATTGGAAGTGTGAGAGTAACATCATGTGGTAAGAAATATCACGTAGAAAAAGTACTTCTTAATAGGTAACCAAGTACAATGACAGCTATCATGAAATTGAACTTTATGACATGCATGAAAATCGATTTAAGAATATTTCCCTTACCAGCCGGTTGACCTCGGCTGAGTAGTGCTCTGTCCGAACATGGCCTGCATCGGACCACCTGGTTGCAAATTTGTCTGCGACTGCTGCTGCTGCTGCTGCTGCTGAAGTTGTTGGAGTTGTTGGAGTTGTTGCTGTTGAAGTTGCTGCTGTTGCTGTTCCGTTGTCTGGCTGGTGAGATTTTGCCCAGGTACGACTTGCAAACCGGAACCCAGGTTAGAAGCCATGCCACTACTACCGACTCCAGGATTACCTACACCCATGTTGCCGCGGCCGATGCCGCCGAGGCCCGATTGCCATGACTGGGGGTTGATGAACCCGGTCTGGTTCTGCATGTTGTTATTACCAAATCCACCTATCCCTAACCCAGATTGGCTGCCAAAGCCCATCATACCCGACTGCTGCGAATTGTCCCACGCGCCGAACCCTGGTTGCGATGGCTGCTGTTGCCCGAAACCTGGACCACCCCAACCAGACTGGTATCGATCAAACTGATCAAACCTGTGCTCTTTCTTCCAATTCAGCACATCGTCACCGCGACGGTGCTTCACAGTCCACAGATATGCGTTAAACTCGTTCGACACCAGTGCGACCTTTTCAAAGTGTTCTCTCTTTACAATTACCGGTCCTGGTATCTTATTCTCCTGCTGATGCCATTCTGCCAACGCAACGGCAGTCTGGAAGGCATTGCGAATCTGCCGACCGTTCCAGACTGGCTTGAAGTCAGGTCGCGCCTGTTGAAGACTCCAGAGCTCTTTGGCAAGAGTCATGATATCGAGGCGGTTAAACTTGACATGCTGGGACTTGTCCTCGGGAGCGGCTTCGATAGAAAGGCGCTCAGTGCGCTCGATCTGTACGACCCAGATCTTCTCCGTTTGGTCTTGAGTAAGTGGCGGGTAGTAGAGGGCCATGGACATGCGAGACTTGAAGGCTTCGTCAAAGGAGCCAACTTTGTTGGTGGTGAGGAACAAGATTCCTTCGTAGTACTCCATCACCCGGAGGAAAACTGCACAGGTTAGCTACGTTGCATGCACAGACGAAAATCACTATCTATGGTTTCTCTGTCGACTCACCGGACACAAGCGCGTTCCGCTCAATGTTGTCCTGACTCCTTTCAGCTAGGAATACATCGGCCTCATCAAGGAGGAGGACGCAGTCCCAGGCCTGCGCCAGTTGGAAGGACGACTGGAGGTTGGCTTCGACTTCGGCAGGGGTCATTCCAAGGTCACCTGATCATTTGTGAGTTCTTTCTAGTATAACTGTATCGGCTTTGAATGTGGAAACCTACCACATGTGATCGGCAGAAGCGGCTTGTTGTAATACTGAGCGACGGTTTCTTGATTGGTCAGCTGGTTATGTTCTACAAAAACAAAGCGAGAACTTGACTTTATATCAAAGTCGCGACTTACCTGCGGTGGACGTCTTCCCGACACCAGGAACACCGTGCAAGAGTACAATGAGGCCTTTTCCCTTGTCCTGAATGAGATCAAATTGCCGTCTCTCAGATTTCTTCTTGCGGAAGTGCGTAGCCATCATGGATTCAATTATCGACCTATGCCTCTGGTCAATCTGAAGAAGATCCCACGCTGATGGATCGGGCTCCATAAGCGTCAAACTGTTGCCTTCCTCATCAGGCTTTCCGATTGCAAGTGGTAGGGATGCTGCCAGGTTCAAAGTCAGCATCCATATTGTTTCGTACCGTGAGGCAATAGAACTGGAAAAGCTTACCCCATCGGCGGGTGCGCAACACATACGCGAAAACCCTGCCTGGCAGAAGCAAAACCTCCTCGCCAGATGGCGGTGTGCGGCTGTGCCACTCAAGTGTTTGAGATTGGTCTGTGTAGTTGAGAACCTCTTCAGCCATACGAACGTCCCAGTTTCGCTCGTCGTCAAGATTTGATGGCGGAGGAGGAGAGTCTTTGTAGGGGGTTGTAAGTTCCATTGGCACCTTGCAGGGCCTCCAGTCAGGGACCATTTGAAGGCAACGTTCAAAATCCACAACCACGGGGCTCTCGATAGACTCTGAAAGTACTTCAAGAGATCCGATGGTCTCTTTTTCGGGCCGTCTCATGACATTGCCTTCCGGCTCGTAACATAAGCTACGACCCCTAAAATAGCGATATGTTGGCCGGGTGCAAGCGATAAAGTCAAATCCTCTTTGCCTTGACTCTTCTATGTTTATCAAATCCTCACTCTCGGCCACATTAATGGGCAATATGGGTAACCCTTTGATGGCCGTAAGCTCTTTGAACTCCTCTATTCTGAACTTCTTCAAAACGCGGACGAAGTGTGTGCCATCAAAGTCCACGTAATAGCAGTCCAAAATCAACGGATCTAGCTTGTTGTTTCCATACGAAGCTCCCAGCTTCAAATGGCTAACATGGGAATTCTCAGGTGGTCGCACCAGTGGAGTTCTGTTTCCTCCTGTACCTTGGATAACACGCCATAGCTTCTGAGGCACGCCAGGGTCCCTGACGTATACTAAGCTTCCAGGGACATAGAGGTGCCAGAGCTCGTTGAAATGCACTCTCATGTCTGCTTCCTCTTTCAGTGCCTTGCGAAGAGGAAAAACATACTTGTCCATAAATTCAATGAGGATACCAAGATCTGCCTTTGCCTCTTGAAGTAGGTCAAGCGTGTGGTGTCGCCATTGCGCCGGTTGAAATAGGAGATATTCAGGTACTGAATATCTGCCTGGAATATTTTGTGAAGTATCACTTTCAACACTTGCCACACTATCGCTGTCGCTTTCAGGTTTGCCCTGTTTTTCGTCATCGCTTTTAACATGACTTGCAGCAGCTGCATTCGCTTCTTCCGTTTCCCTTGCTGCCTCTGCGCACTGTTCTCCCAAAAAGGCAAGCTCGCTTCGTATCCTTTTTTCAAAGTACACGAGAACTTTATAAGGCCGATAAATATTCATATCAGCATGGGGGGCTGCATTCAGCAAGCCGCCCGTCACAGTGCTAAGAATTCGCATGACTGGTAGAGAGTTCACACGAATTTGAGGGGGAAGATAACCAACTCCATGTGGCCGGCTCGGTTGATTGAAATTGGAAGACGAAAGTTGGCTAGTTCGAAAGGGAGAGTGAGGGGTTCCGCGGGTGTAAAATTGAGGTTCTTCTGTTAAGAAAGCGATAGCAGGAGTATTAGAGTCTTTCCGAAAATATGGCGGTGCTGGTGGTGGCGGCACCCATTGCTGAAACTTGTATCCACGAAGCTCTGGGACACATTTGACCCGTTCGGCAATTATACTGACTACTGAATTGCTTCTGGATGGGACCTCCTTTAACAACGACGATATCCACTCCAGCATGTTCAGGTGGCTCATCAAGATCTTCAAGTTCTCAGTATCAGTGTTGACCGGGACTATTGGTCCGGCTGTTAGCTCTCGCAAATCGCTAGCAACGTTGCGCAGCCTCCAAGCGATGGAGTGGTGAGAGGCACGCGAATCGCCACTTCCATCGTCATCTTCGTCCCCAGCTTCGGATCCACGTTCAGAGACGCTTCTATCATTGTTGTGCAGTTGTTCAACGTTCTCGGCTTCTCCGGCTTCGAGTGATTCATTCACATCGTTTATTTTCCTCTAAAAATCCCTATGAGCAAACGATATTCGTAGAAATACAAGGAATAGGTGGCTAGAATCCTCACAGGAGAAGCTGATGGTGTTGTTGCCTTACTCTCAGTATCATCGTGGATGTCATGCTCTGAGATAAAGCTTGACCCATCAGTCGAAGACATTGTCGGGCCAACAGGCAGATTGACAGACTGAGCCTGTGGCAATTCCACTATGTCTGAGGCCATTTCCTCTCAACCTTCTTCGTAAGGCGAATGGTGAATTATCTATCTTGCGCTTGAGCGCCAGCAATCAGTCGCAGAGGATTGTCGATGCTGTGATTTTACGTCGACGTATTCTAATCACGAGAAAGGAAGTTTTGAGGATCAGAACGGGGTGCCAACCACTGCTCTGGGAAAGTTGTCCTCCTTTGCATGTTCATTAGACGCAGCCTGATCCTCCCACACAGAGTAAGCGGGTTAATCTCGTGCCCTGAAGCATGCAGGTTCAGGTGGCAAGGGTCTGACGGTTCGGGCGAATCCCATTCCCGCTGCTTGCGCCAGAGTCGTACTGAGATTCCATTTTCGAAAGGTCAAACATGGGTGGCAATTCTAAGCACCTATGCAGTGCCGGCTATATTCCAATCAATGTTAGTGCTTCCTCCTTCCCTTGTAACTGATGCTTGGCGTTGTGTGAGACTAATCTAATCTTACCCCCACCATTTTAACAAACAGCGGCAATGACGACAGTCACCTCCTCAGCCTCGCCAGTTGGATGATCAGATAATCATCCAGCATCTGTTGAAAATTTTCGTACAGGTTAGCCAAACGGAATGACCAAAGAGCTATTCTACCATGGCTGCATACGTAGACGCTTTCATGGAGATTAGAGCTCCCCAGATCGATCCAAGCTGGCAAATTTCGGCAACTAACAAGTTTACCGAGAAGAGACGACAACAGCAAGCTTCGCAGAAGTGAGTGGAAATCGATCAAACCTGACCGTACTAGACTCCAACCCTGACTATGACTGTAGGGCTCAGGAAAGGACGAGGTCCTTCAAGAATCTCGTCAACACGTTCGTCAAACACACCAAACGCGGAGAGCTAGCGAGATTCGACGTCAACCGGCAGTTCCGCTGGGAAGACGTGAGGTCCATGGCCTCAGACGCCATTGAACAGGACGCAGAGAAAGTTAAATGGCGCCGAAATCCGTTTAGAGCGGCTGGGCGATCGCTGCAGCAGGGCGCTTCCAATTTGGAGATGCTAATGGCTTTTCTGCCGAATGGTGAATTTACCGGCATTCTCTGCGGGGCGTTAACGCTTGTGTTTTCCGTACGTAAATCCCAAGTGGTTTTGAACTCATCTTGTGACTTGCATTCGTGGTAATTTTATTAATCACCCAATTCTAATGACAAGTGCAGGCAGCCCGGCGTCTCGACGAGGTTAGAAATAAGATTCTAGGTTGTTTGGAGAGTTTGCCAGAAATCGTGGGACAGACAGAAGCATACGTTGACATCTACGACGACGACCCCAAAGTATGGAACGCAGCGGAAGATCTCTATATCGGCATACTTGATGCCGTTGAGGGGATGCTTATATGGATTGATAAGTCGGCAGTTGGTACGAAGAATATTATCTAAAGATGAAACTCTACGGCTATGGCTTACCTTGGAGTTAGAGCGTGCGTTCAAGTCATTGTTGCTCCCCGCAACCTTCGGCAGAGACCTGGAAGAGAACTCCATCAAGAGAAATATCGAAGACAAGGTCGTACAGTTTCGTGAAATTGTCCAGGTGAACTTGCATAAGAAGATCGGCCAACAGTATAAAGCGATTCAGACTCTGCAAACCCACCTGAACAGTCTACTTTCGTATGCCAAATGGAGTTATGGTAAGTATCCAAAATTTTGAAGCAGAGCTTAAAATCTGTGATGCTAACTCCAATGCGGTGCAGAGAATCCTCAGTCTGTCATGATATTCAAACCTTCCTTCATCACTCTCAACCAGCTAAGGGGCATCATCGATGTCGACAACCATGCCTTGCGAAAGGAGATGGATACCGCCATACTGGACGCTCAAAACGTTTGCCCTCCAAATTTGATTAGTCATGCCCTCTGCATCTTAAGGAATCACAAATTTGTTACATGGCTCCAGTCAGATACGTCTCAAATATTATTTGTCAACGGCCGAATGCAACTCAACGCAGAGCAGGAGGCAACTTCCCCTCTCACAATTCTCTCTTGTATACTCTACCAGAGTGTTGGTATGCAATCGGATCGGAGCTTGCCGCTTCTCTATCTATGTGGCCAGAAGAGCTCGCAACTCGACCACACCCACGCCGGGTCAAGCGAGGTGCTTCGCTACCTCAATGCGCAGCTCATGAATTCTGTTCCTCAGGAAGATGTTGACCTCACTGAGATCGACTTAACGTTTGTAGATGCCCTAAAAGAGCGACGGACTGGTGCTCTTTGCGCACTCTTCCGCATCTTACTCTCTGCAGCAATTGGGAAGGCGGTATTTGTGATAATCGACGGAGTTTCCTGGATGGAAGAGGGACCTTTTGCCGAAGGATTTGAGCACCTGGTTTTCTTTCTGCGGGACTTAGTCATTGAGCTGAACCGAAGACGGCCTCATCTAATTCTTAAGGTCTTGTTAAACAACCCGTCAACCAGCCTTTATGGGAGCCGTTGGCTTCCTGATAGCAGTATACTGGAAATGGATGAGGTTGAGGATGGTGTGGATTTTCCAGAAGATGCAGAATCGTTTTTGTTGTAGTTTATAACCCTATCTTCCAATTGCTAGTCTTAATTAGTCCAAGTACATATGGAATTCGATGCTCTTGTTTGTGTTTCTCCTAATTCCCCCATCCAGACTTGATACCGGTAATAATAGTACCATCCCGAAAGACTATTATGAACCAGCAAGAGCCGCAAATTCGATATTGTTAGGAGAGCCCGGTTAACAGAGCATCTTACTCTTAACGCCACTATGATCCGTAGGTACACTGATAACAAGCCAGCCGACAAAATGCCATAGCCGTTTGAGATAGCTTTAAGTGATTGACTGATCATCGTGACCTAACTAAAAGCATCATAAAAGTTATTGCAACACCATTTCGTCCCCCTCACAGATGCACATTTGGTACGCGTCGGTTGATTCAAACACGTTGTTCCAAATATCACCGGTATGTATGAATCTCGTTCTTCCCTCACTCTAAAGCTAGTAGAGTTGGAGCATTGATTGGGAACTCTCAAATAAACAGTTGACCTTATTTATGATGCCTGTCTCATATCTAGAACTTGGCCTGCAAAGTAATAGATGTAGTAGTTCCTTGATGAAAGAATAAACAGAAAAGGTCAGAAATACAATTGTTATGTCGTCTTAAAGTATGAAAGACGCTCAATATCATATGCCAATCTGGCATTATGGAACCATATTAAACCATTTGTCCTCTCTTATTCGTTATTTGAAGCTACTAGGAAGTGACAATCCCACGTGAGGCAATAAAATAGTTGCTAAGGTATGGTATCATCCACTCTAAATTTTATCGCGATTAAGCGTCAAAGCTGATCTTTAGGTGACCTAGTAGTTAACATAGACTTTTATCACTCTGCATAGCCTGGTCGAGATATGCACAAGGAAACACCGGAGAACTATATCAAGGATAGCAACATAGTCGGCCGTTCGGAATTCAAAAGGAAGACGAATCTTGCCCACAGCAACACTAGTTGACCCCGTCAAATAATCCACTTCCACCGTCCAGTTGACTCTCTTGAGAATCTACGGAGTCAGCAATCCTGCCCAAAATGACCCCGGTAAAGGAAGGCTCGGCTGCGGTCCGCCCGGGGGAACTTGGTCCATGTTCCGACCCCCAGGGGCCATGCCCCCTGTCCGCCTCTGGTACTCGATCACAAAATGGCGCCCTTGTTAGTCACATTCGCCATATCAACATTGTAACTTTGGAGTTAGCCCGCATGCCGAGGCCCGGGATTTGGCTCTTGACTGCATCAAATTTCGTGCAGGGGCCTGGAGACAGGCCAATCGCGAGGTCAGTAGTCCCATGTCAGTTCTCTTTAAATTCTCACCTACTTTGGGTTAGGTGGTACATATTAGAGTATCAGGAAGCAAACGACATTACCGGTGACCGGGGACTTTGGAAGGGCTCCAAAATGCATCAACAGGCGCCAGCCAACCTTAAATCTCCACTGAAACCTCGTCCGGCTGATCAATGACGGCTTAGAGCTCTATACTATCATGCTTCTGGTGTCAAAACCTGGGAGAAAGCTTCAAAATGTGGTAGCACTAATGTAGAGCCCTGAGAGCGTGAATTATTTTATAACTTATGTAAAGGATATGCTTAGCCACTACTGGTATCTTGTCCCAGTCACATTCTGTGGATAGGGCAAGATGTGAAGGAAAGGTCGAACCTGAACCAGGTTTCTGGAACGTAAAGATGCGTTTATCTTCTTTGGCCCCCATGTCTGATGAAGGGGCTTAAACGAACGTTTGTAATATATAGTCTAGTAGGGAACATCTCTCTGTCGGCCCAGTTAAATAGCACTGTTTCCACAACCAGCCACTACAAAATCGAGTACCCGATGCGTTCAATTCTTTTTCGGGGAATCAGTAATGGCTACCAACGCAACAGCCACTCAGCCATTGGACCCAGAATGGGCAGCTGAAAGCAACACTGAGAGAATCATGGCCGTTGTGACTATATTTCACGTTTTGGCAATGACCAGTGTTTGCTTGAGGTTGTACGCCAGGATATGGATGATCAAAGCACCTGGGTGGGATGATTGGGTCATGTGCCTGTGTGCCGTAAGTTACATTCGTGCGTCTGAGCTAGGAATTCACATTATTAAAGCTAACAGAGTGTTAATATCAGATATGTGCTGTTTGCGGCTGGATCGTGTTTGTGATCCAGGCACACTACGGTCTAGGCAAGCACTTCTTGACGATCGACAAGGACGACTATGTAAAATTCCAACACGCTGGATGGTTTCAATCAGTACTCTCCGCAGCTCTGTCCATGATGTTTCTTAAGATCTCCATTGGTCTGAATTTACTCCGATTAGGGGGAAATAAATGGTATACCTGGGCCTTGTGGGCAACAATTGGTAGGCACTTATGATGGTTCTGATGAGCGTATACTGAAGCTTACCTTGGACCATAACAGTTATTACCTTCATCCAGTCCGGTAGTGGTGTTTTCACATTCACGTTCTACTGCCAACCAACAGCAGGATTCTGGGATAAAAGTCTGAAACCAAGGTGCTGGCCTTTGGACTTGTTCATCCGTCTAGGCGTCATGAACACGGGTATGTAAATCCTTCAAGCTAACTTGTTGAAGATCGAGTATCTTACTGACGCCATTAATAGCTCTAAACATCGTCACTGATGTTGTTCTCGCTACGTTGCCGATTCCTCTGGTCTGGAATCTCCAGATGAAACGCAAGGTGCGGTTATACGTGATTGGAATTCTGAGTCTCGGATATTTGTGAGCTTCAAAACCCATTGCATTATTAACCAGAACGAAAACACTAACCTTGACACAGTGCTGTCGGCCTAGGTATAGTGAAAGCCTTCTATCAACTTGCAATGGGCGCAGATAAGGACAAGACCTTTGAACAGGGTATTCAATTCTGGGGATTGTAAGTTTGACATCGATTCCTACATATTCTTCCCATTATGTACTGAAGCGTCTGCAAACAGTCTTCAACTGCAAACCGGAATAGTTGCAGCTTGCGCACCAGCATTGAAACCTCTGGTCAGCCGTATGCTGAAACTGTCCTCGTACGACGACTACACACACGAAACCTACGGCGATCAGTCTCGAAGGACCAGAATTGGCGAGGGCACAAACCAAACGCAAGGTCCAAGAGATCAATACGAGCTGGATAACCTAGGGGACAGCGACAGCGCCCTGAGCAATACCAAGGGAGAGACTACGACTACGGCCGAATTTTACAAAAACGCCACCCGTGACGGAGCAGGGAGCGAGGAAAGGATCCTGGATTCTGGCCAGAGCCACGGCTTGAAGGGAATTGTCAAGACCACCGAGGTGACTGTGAGGTAAAGATCGGCACGAGAAAGCCGGGGGGCTGTCGGACTGCCCCTGCCTGCTGATTCCTTCCAACACAAATGGTTCGCTTAACCGGGACATCTTCAACTACATCCTGATCCACTCCAGCTGGACTCTTCTTTGTTAATTTCAGTTGCTGTTCAAACCCTGTAGAGCATGACAACCGAGACTGTATCCACTTCAAAACCAGCCAGGTAAAAGACCCAAACCATTGTGGCGAATCAAGGCGATATAAGCCGCCCATCGATCAGTTTCAGACAACAAAGGAAGCTGATCAGTTAACTAAATCTGATCTAGATGATGAACTAGAAGAGATGTTGGGAATTCTCAAGCCGCCGGACTAAGAAAAGAAGAAAAAATTAGACAATTAGCTTAGGATTTAAACCTTTAACCTCCCGTCCGTAATTTCGGCTCGGGAAAGGTGGGCCCCCAATCAAGATATTATGCGCCTTTGGCGCTCAAAACTCAACGACACTGAGCTACGTTGTAGCCACCCACTTATCATGTCAAACCTTTACATGATTTGATCATCGGCATCATGTCAATATTCAGGACGACTCCAATCAAACAACAACCCAAATCCTTGATTTGATGGATCGGATTCACTATCGAGCTGGGAGAACCCGTTAGGGCCACTTCGTTTGTGCGCAAGGCCCCGGTTTGTGGTCTGATAATACTCTGGGTCTAGGCTACAGAAACGGAGCTTTTCTCCGCGCCGATCCCTGGTGTGACTGACCGGTGTCGACCGAGTGGCTTTCCTGTTGGCCCGTATTCTGTGCTTCTGCCTCGGCCGAAGTGAACGGGGGCTTGGTGCCGGGATCTTCAGCGGGACCCCGGACGGGACGCACGTACTACGGCGGAGTCAGCCCCAATTTGGATGTAACTTGATGTTGGTCTAGGAAGTGATCCTGTGGGAGCTGGCAATTCCGCCCCTGGCTCCGGCGCTGACAGGAGCACGAGATATCTTGTTGGCCTGAGGGCAGCCCGGGTATTTCTTGTTGTGCTCATCCAGCACATGCTGGGGACCTACGGATCAATGGATGCAGGGAAAAAAGTTGATGCCTTAAGGTGGACGAGTACACTGTACGTATAACGTCATTGAAATAGATCTTGGCCTTAGATTCAGTCGTGTCTTGCAACTGTGTGGATTAAATTTATTGACTAATAGTTGCTTTGACTAATCTCTGTCACTCTTTGACTTGTGTTACTTCTAGAACTCTGCCAGCAGCTTAGGCAAGAGGTACTGGTTGTTATACTCCCACAAGATGGTAGTGAACTGCGCAGTCCACGCGCCGCCAGTGAAGTAGGTGCTTTTGCGTCCCTGAAGCTCGTAAAGCTTAGGGATGAAGCCGGCCTTAAGGTCTGTCTCGGACGCGTGGAGTTGCATGGCGCCGTGGTCCGCCCACGCCTTAATCTTGATGGGTTCATCTCCAAGATCAGGGATGGTGCCAGCAGCTGAGAGCTGATGAAGGGACTTCTTCATAAGGTTCTGCGCCTCACGAATATCGAAGCCTGCAGCGCCACCAACTAGAACGCGGTAGTTATCATCTCCGAGGTAGTCAAAGCGGCCAACGAAGGGGAGGTCGGGGAGAGATTGCCACTTGGTCACGTCGGTGTTGGTGTAAGAGCGCAGAGCAGGTAGGGACGGGTGCGAGATAATGCCAGCGTGAACTGTCGACCATAACCACTTCTCGAAGACGGCAGTCTCCTTGGTGTCGATATCAATACCCCTGAGGTTATCGAGGGTGGGCTCAAAAGAGATGATGAGCTTCTTGGCTCGGATCAGAGTATGTTTCTTCTGGGCGCTGCGAACAAGGACCTCAACACCCTCGTCTGTGCGAACAGTTTTGATAGCGGTCGAGGAGTAAAGGATATCCTCTCCAAGTAGATCGGCAATCGAATCATAGATCTCCTGGTTCCTCCTAGAGACGGGTACAAAAGATCCGATGATTCCCAGGAGCGACCGGGCCAGAGGAGCACCAAAAACCTGCATGACGTATATGGTCAACTGGTTAGGAAACTCCTCCATGCCCAAGCCGGTGACTTGGAAGATTCGAGGGACGGCAGCCTCGATCTTGTACTTCTTGACGAAATCGGCAAAATGCATGGTCAGATCTTCAGGAATGGTTTCGTTGATCTTGGGAAATTTCGCATAGGAGGGTAGGATCATATCCTCATACTTTTCGGCAAGCTCGATGTAAGTCCTCAGCGCGGCGCTGATATCGGCTGAGGCAGGCAGCGAATAGTTTGTCAACTTGCCCGTCCTGAAATCGGCGTAGCTGGTAGTCAGAGCCAATCGTGAGGGTGTCTGAACAGAAACGTTCAAACGTGCAACAAATTCGCGAGCGCCGGGGTAATCAGTGTATGAGTTGACGCCGTAGTCGTAAGAGTTGCCCGTCTCGGGGTCGTCAAAAGTTCCAACATGGCCTCCCTGTTTAAACTGTAAGTCACTTGTCGGTAGGAACTCCGTCGAACTGAGCTCACAATGCGGTTCTGCTTCTCGACAACCACGACCGTCTTGTTGTAGTCCTCCCGAAGCCTGACAGCAGCGTGGGAGCCTGACGCTCCACCACCTAGAATCACGACATCCTTCTCAATGACAGTTGCAGCAGCGCTGTCGGGGATGGCACCCGCTGCCACAATTGACAGAGCGCCAAAGAAGACGACAAGACGACCAGACATGGCAAGTAGGAAATATAATTTGACCTGAAGGATGGACAGTAGAATGGGACCCGACAGTTTGCGGCCGCAGGTCTCTTCCTGGTGGTTCGCAACGAGGAGGAGAGCGATGGGGAGGCAAAGGTCAAGAGCCAAGCTGAGAACATGGTCATGTGAATCTATTTATTTGGGGGCCAATAGACGCAAGGGACGTTGTCTCTGCATGCGATATGCTCAGCGTCGACCCAAACATGATGCTACATGCATGCTTGGAAATTTCCCCTGCAGGATCTAGCGTGTGCCATGGACTACTGAGGCGGTTGGCATCCGTGGCGCCGAGGAGGATCATCTCCCTGTTTATCCAGGTGGGGACCGTGGAGTTGCCGACATCCTGGCTCCGAAGCTGACCAGGGCTAAAGATCATGGGTGTGGAAAAGATGAGTTTTGATAGAAACCGAAAAGCTTGCGAAGAGGAATTGGTTGGACTCATCGACGGATGAAAGCATCACATCAGCAAGAGTATTAGGCAGCTGGAAATTAGGCAATAGATAGATCACTGCGCGGAAAATGAAGAATATGAGCTGCCAAAGTGCCATGTTGTTGCACCCTGTCAACGCCATACTACTAAACCATCGTCGCCCCCCATTTCCTTATACATGGCTTACGACACAGGGCTATGACATTGAGAACCTAGAGCATGTCGGTTTGGGCCTGTCTGTCCATGGTAATGGGTCTTGGTTATTGGTCGAGTAGGAAAAGGATCCAAATTGAATAGGAGAATCGGCGGGGTTGTAATGGCTTAGCCTGACCTTTTCATGCATGGATAGGTAGTATTTTTGCAAACCCAGGGAATCTCTTGTCTGGCACCATCAATAAACGTGAAGATTTGTTCAATGTCTCCACATCAATGTCAACTACATCGATAATACACCATCAACGCATGTAGACCACGCCACCTGAGGTGCAAGGGCTGGAATGTGCATTTCGTTTTATCCCAGTCCTAAGGTTCAAGCAGTCAGGTTGTCTAAATTCATTACCCCGATACTCGCACTTAGCTGGGCCAAAGGGGAGATAGCATTCTACTTCATAGAAGGCCACTCTAACTACGACTGTTGTCAACAGTTGACATTGATGTTACTCTGACCTATAAATTTTGTCCGGGAGTACACCAACGGGCACCGTTAAATCAATGCGAACATCAGATACAAAGCAGGTGACCTAGATTTCATTTGCTTGATATGCCAGAAAAGCTGGTTGAGAGCTCTGCTGCAAACAACGCGTTTTGCAGCTCCAAGAGACGTTAGCACATGTGTCCAACCACTGTGTGCATCAACATCCATCTCACCATTTAAGAAATCGTTGAGTTATTTAAGTGCTTTGATACATCTGTTTATCTCGGTTTTGAGTCTTCCATGGAGGGAACTTGTACATCGTAGGCTGGGGTTTAAGTGGTTTCAAAAAGTTGGATGTTAACTTGAGAGCGTTTTTCTTACTGTTCCTAGTCAACATAATAGACGGAAAGCTTGCCATGCTTCATATGATGGGATAGTCATTTAAGCTTGATCTTGACTGATTCCTAGCCGATAAATACAGCCTTTTATTCCTTAACTTCCTATCTAAAATTCAGCCTCTCCCATAAGACAAAGTCTCTGGGTGAAATCTAAATGAGCTCCCGGTATAGAACTCGCTTAAAAAGTTGCTCATCTATGCTTTAGACACATTCCCAGCTATCGGGCTTCGCAGGATCTCCGTGGCCCTTGAACACGTTTCGAGCAGGATACTTACAGTGCTTTCTCTGCAGGTCGACCTCCCCATTTGCCGTCAACCGACTACCAAGGATGTAATCGGGCGGAATGCCTTCCTCAACCCACCGAACAATAGCTGACAACACATTGGAATCCGGATCATATGACGCCAGCGTCTCCGGATTGCCACCAATCATGCTGGCGCCCGTACCACCACGGCAGTGCGCCATGCCAGAAATCCGAAAGTAACGGTAAAACTCATCGAGATCTGTAGACGAAAGGCTCATGGTTCGCGACACATGGTTGTAGTATCTCTCTGAATTGTCACTGCTGATCGCGTTGTCTTGCAAGCCGTGATAGTGCAAAATCTTCACACCGCTTTGTTTTGCCGCGGACAGATCACCTTCCCAGGTCGAAACGTTCCATGGGTCTTGCTGCGAAGCCACCACATAGTCTTGCGGGCTTAGTGTCGAAAGATCCCAATCAGTGTCGTTGTAGACAACGTACCGCCACCAGTCCAAGGGATATTGGTGAGGTTGACCATTAAGTAGTCGGTCTGTTGCGTTCGATCCAGGTTGTAGTCGAGGGTATATGAATTGGCCTTCCAAGCCGTAGACTGGAGAGAACATAGCCCGAACTGTAGCAGCCTGCTCTCCGCTCAAACAGGTCCCAGTTGCACCATCAGAGCAAATGAGCCCTTCGGGCCGATATTGACAAAGACTTGGATCTTCAAGAATTCCATCCACAAGGCCATCCAATCCGTCGCACTGTCTCAAGATGTCTGCATTAACCAGCTCCCACTGGGCAGCGGAAAGGAATCTCGAGTCTGTGTTAGTCCCGGTCTTGACAAAAAGCTGGCCTGTCCAGTACATGAGTGCGATGAGGTCGAATGCTGGGGCGCCAGCGACGATGCCATCAAAGTCCTCTGGAAAGGTTTGAGCCTCCTTGAAGCCCTGTCTGCCTCCCGTGGAGCATCCGAGGTAGTAAGCCTTTGTATGCTTCTTTCCATAGAATTCCTCAACGATCGCTTTGCCCAGTTCAGCCTCGAGGTGCACAGAACGGTAGGCGTAATCCTCAATGACTCCAGGGTTTTTGTAGAATGGCGAACCAGAAATACCGTCATGGCCATTGTTAGTGCCAATGGTAGCAAATTGATGCGATGCGCCGTAATTCAGGTCGCCGTATTTGATACAGCCGTTCATGCCGCCATTTCCGGTACCCAGGAATCGCCCACTCCATTCTAATGGGAGCCACGCTTCAAGAGATACGTTGCTCATCGGTCCAGTGGTGGTGAGGAAAACAACGCGGCAGATGTCAACGTCGGAAACCTGAAATGGAATGGCGCATGATGGATGGTTGTTGGGCAACGATATATTGGTTCCTGCTGAAATGAAACTCGTCTCGTAAACTGTTGTACTCGGGAGATTTAACCTGCTTGCCAATGATTCACATTGGTCAACGGTCGAGCTATGAACAGACCCGGCTGCGAGAAAGGCTTGCAACAGAGACAGGTGAAAACCCTTCATGTCTGCGATGATGGTTACGATGCAGTTTTTACGTTTGTTGCAAATGAAGAAGTTCATACTATCGTGTACCTATTTATTGTCTTAAAGACATACCTGCTGTTTCCCCATACTCAATTACCGTGATCTGCTACCGTGCTTATCCACAGATTTGGTAGAATCCGCAACCGTGCTTGTAGCTGGGCTCTTGGTTCGGAGACCCACAGACGGATGAAGTCCTGGTTGGTCCTTTATTCACTGGTTACAACGCAAATGCAGACTTGGCAGAAATGTCCTAGTAAACCGTGGGGTAAAGGCGATGTGTTCGATCACCTGCCGAACTAGGGTTGGGGATTCTGGAGTTGAGTATGCGGAGATGGTTACTTCAACAGAGGGGCGTCTGCCAGATGCTACGCGGGGTAAACGGCCCCCTGAGTGATGGGCATGCACAATTTCCGGCATCAAAATGGTAGTTTCCTGCTACTAGCCGAGGGATGTTCATGATTGGCCAATTCTGCAAGATTGGATCTCCCGGATAGCCATTGAAGCCGACCTGGGACTGTTGATCCGGACCCCTTTGCAACACTGAACAACCAAGCCGTTGGCACTAAACTTATGGAGCCAAAGCGGCATTTCCATTCGTTTGGGAACTTATTGGAAAATATGAGGTAAAAAACAATTGAGCCACGGTCACTTAAGAGGAATTCACTATCGAAATAGCTGCTTATCTCAATTACTCAGGCTTTACTGATAAACCTCGTCTCGTTCTTAGTCCCCATGCCTACTTGAGAAGGAAAAGTAATCAAAAATGTATAGAAGAGGGATCAGCTTCTACTCCCTTACCGTCGAGTTGCTTATCGACAGAACTAAGTAACACAAGCCAAAGCTTCAGTATTGGCCATGACAGTTGTAAGAGCTTAAAGAACCAACAGCTTTCTAATCATCAGCCCCAAGTCAGCTTTTGACCAGGAATGTTGAATCAAACGTAGAGACGGTCACCTACCCTAGCGGCGCCCGTCAACATACAACTGCCGCCCGTTCCGCCTGTTCATTGGTGAGGCAAGCTTTGGTGCTTTTTCTCTTAACGTTGCTACCAATGCAGTGTTAGGGGCGAATCCAGTAGTAGAACTGTCAACAATACCACCGTCAGGAAAGTCTCTGTCTTAATTGGTAACGGGGACTGCTTTCAAAAGCCAAGAGCAAAGATGCCAATAGCCATTACACTCCCGACGAGGGAGGATATTCATCATTTACGCATCGAATTCACCACAATCTTTTATAGTAATCACAAGGCAAGCCACTTACAAATAGTTTATTACAGCGGGACGGCATGCATCGCTTGATGCGTTGCGTGTCACTCTCAACCTACCATTTAGATCATGGACATCATTGCAGAGAGGGTTCAGATTGTCCAATACAAGGGATATAGTGATGTTGAAGCGAGTGTATTGGCTTAAACGAAAGTTGGGTGTTTCAACTGACAAATGTAGCTTCCAATGTGAAAATGACGAGAATAATAACGAGGACAAGAAAGAAGCAAATTAAATCAACTCTGACCCTATCTGCATTAAGTTACTGGAATAAAAGACTTGTGTCAAGGATGTTAAAAAAAAGAACGAGACCAAATGCATTCAGGCTCCATACATGGCTTCACTACAGCGGTAACTCTTTCGACGTTTTTTTGTTCAAGGCCTACCTACTCTGGAAGCAAATGGCTAGAGATTTTAGCCTATGGCTTGAGCATTGTGTAAAGTATTGCTTGTTAGTTTCACCTATGTAATGGGGACAGCGCTATCCATTACTGAAACAGCGCAAGGCTCGTGGACTTGAGTGAGAAGATATTTTCTTTCTTCATCATGTCAAACTGGGCCGGGCTTTGAATGCAGAGGAGAAGAATAAACCTTGTCGCCCGACAGCGTACTTGCGAAAGCGCCTCGTTTTCGGGTTCCGTTTTGCGTTAGTGTGTAAAGCCCTTCCCTAAACCCTGTTTCGACCAGAAGGTAAGGCGAGATTCGCTGGGCCATGGCGCACCCATACCTCTGCTTCCATTACACGTGGCCCGGCACATACCAATTGCGCCAAGATTACATTGTAGTCCGGGCTGCCGTAACTATTATTACCTTTTTCATGTGCCTAATAGGTTACCCTTCCCTTCTAGTTCAGGGTCTACGGGTTCTCCTAGTGCATCAGCATGCGTTAACAAGAAGATTTAGCCTGGAAAGTAACGGATGATCCGGCATCGCAACATTGAGGCTTAGATACTAATTTTCAGACAGCCATCGGGAAGGACAATCATTATCCAACGACCGGAGTCTGGTTTGAATATGTGGCATGAGTTGATCTGTGAAACTTTTACCAAATCCACAAAATCTCAGCCTTTCGAGCCCCTGCGCCACAATTTCTGTCATGCCTACTAGCTATCGTCTTCGCACGAAGCCTCATCGACGATTGCAAGCATTGGTTTTCTACAGCTCAGTGCATGGAAAGCTATCACTGCATTAGCGAGTCCAGCCTTGAGGAGAAAGCCAAGCGGATACGACATCCCACTGGACGCTTCGTCCATACCCACGCTACTACTACTTTTACCAAGCACAGTCTGATCGCCACGTTGGTGACCTGTACATACTTCAATACTAGTAAGATGGGATGTGGAACGCCAGGGGGTGGAGACGTTTGACGCGAGTCAGTCACTAACGTATTTACCCTCGTTACGTACAGTTTGGACATTGGGGAACTTGAGAAGCACAGGAAGCTTCCCTTTTTCGCTTCTTCAGTTCGCCTTTCTCCCCTGCCTTTCTCCCTTTCCTTCCACCCCTATACCTTGTTCATCTCTTTAACACGAAGCCTTGCCAGGGCAGGGGAACAGATTGGCAGTTGTTTTTAACCTTCATGCCTTTCGTGGAAACAGGTTTAGATCCGGACTAACCCACAGATTGCAAGCCGATATTTACATATACAAGAGGTCCCCTCTTCTTACTAAAGCTTGCACCCGCTTTGCGCTCTTTACACCAGATTACACCCACCCAAGCTCTAGCCGAGCCTTAACGTGACCTTCAATCAACACATTCGTTGTAGGCTTACTCGGACGAGATGAGCAACTGCAAACTACAGAGCGCATGACAAAAACTCACAAACCTGGCCGCAGATCACTGGAATTGAGAAATATTGGTATGAACTGAAGTGCATACTCCAAGGCCACCAAGTCTTTACTCCACCCTGCCACCCTAAATCCCTGGACATACATACGCTTCGTTCGTTGTCGTTATCGTTCTCGGGCGGTAACACTACCTCCTGGATACACGCATCCTACCTTCGAAATACGGGCAGCAGTCCGGATTGGAAAGCCAAACATTGACCATGAAGCGCTTGGGGTACAGAAAATCGCGGAATGGATGCACTCGATGCAAGAAAAGAAGAGTTAAGGTACACCAGGATCATAATCCAGATCGAGCTACTCTTGACATCAGCCCTAGCTTTCCACTCTCCTGCTTGCACAGATGATCCAAGCTAACAATCAAATTTAATGTAGTGTGACGAGAAGAAGCCCTGTACTGCATGTGTCCGCCACGAGTTACCATGCAGTCTGGAGAACTCGGAACAGCAATCGAGCCCTTCATCTCCGACGAGAGCTCAACGATCGTCAGGAAGCCCTGGGCACCGTTCTACGCAATCATTTCCACCGGTAAGCTTTCCTTTTCATTCTTGGAGACCACCCGGCTGCATTCCTGAAGCTGATAAAATGGATTCATAGGCCTCGGTATTTGCCTTCGAATACCAGACAGGGTCTCTGTCCCCGGGAACTTTGTCATCACCATCTGCGACCGAAGCGGTTGGGGACCACCACAGCGGGTCCGACTTCGGGAGAGAACAGATATCTCCTCCATCGCAACCGGACCCTTTTTCTTACATCTCGCGGTTCCTAACGGTCCTCAACCAGTCGGAGCCGGCGAGCGGTTGGATCCCGGATCTTGAACTTATGCACCACTATAGTTCGATTACATACCAAACTGTCGCTCAGTCGACCTTGGTTCAGAAGGCCCTACAATACGACATTCCTAGAGTAGCTCTGTCCTACCCATTCCTCCTCCATCAAATTCTTGCCTTTTCAGCTTATCACTTAGCGTATCTTGAACCTAACTCCCGACAAAACTACCTATTACACGCTGCTCAACATCAGAATAATGCTATAAATGGCATGAGGGGGACTTTGGTTGGAACGATATCCTCTTCCAACTGTCACGCCCTCTACGCGTCATCTATATTTCTTACTTTCAGCGCTTTCGCTACCTACCCCGTGGACGAGAAATACAATCCCTCATTCTCCCCGATCGACAGTATACTCGACATATTCAACTTGACTATTGGAATGGCCACAATTCTTCGCACATCGGAGGATGATTTACGAAATGGCCCATTGCGAGAGATGTTCCACCACGGTCCAGGCGACAAGACGCCATCCGCGGTGCGGCCGACATTAAAACCCCTATTCGATCGGTTATCTCGCTTAAGCTCCGAAGTCCTGGAGCTTGGTTTGGTTGACAACAAGGAAAGAATTACAATCACTGATACAATCAGAGCACTTAAAGTCTGTATTGCTAAGGTATCCTTCTTCGACGCTTCAACGGTATCCGCGGAGATTCGTGCAATATTCCTTTTGCCGGGAGTAATATCTAGTGATTACTTGAACATGCTCCGTTGCCGACATCCTGCAGCGTTGGTAGTACTTGCGCATTATTGCGTGATTATACATTCGGCCGAGCTTTTCTGTTGGTACCTGAGTGGCTGGCCAAAGTCTCTGATATCCGCTATCTCGGAGCAAGTAGATCGGGGACCATGGGCCGAGTTAGCCAGGTGGCCGATAGAGGTTATAGGACTTGAGGATATAGGAAAAACTTAGAGCAAGCAGCACGAGCTCTCCCATTTGCATACGACTGTTATTTTACGAATTATGTTTATATAATATACGAAATTTTATTGCACCGAAGTATGATTGGGAGACAGATTTCATTCCCTACCTAAGTTTTGTTACGAGGTTTGGAAAAAGAGCCCGTGTAAGAGAGGGTTATAAAACGAACACGATATAATTTTCAGACTTGAAAATAAAGTAAACTCATGATAAAGAATAGTATTGGATCTCCTTGAAAGAAAACCTTTGGTAGATTTTGAATTTGATGTTTATCTCGGTCGGCTCCTTGTGCTTATTGCGCAAGTGACGCTCAGATCCGATCAATTGTATCTAGGCTTTGGCTCAAGTCACGACCATACCTCGCAGTGGTAATTCGCTCTCTTCTGTTTCGTAGAGTGACCCTCGTAATGGAACGGAAAACCAGCCAGAGTGTATGAGGGCCATTTTCAAAGTCATGATCAGCACGTTGGGGACCAAATCCATTGACTAACCGGCGATGAAAGTAATTTTTACCAGTATGGTTGTGTATTTAGCATATTCTGCTGTTAAGATGAGGCTTTTTAAGCTCCAAATGTACAAAATAAATGACAAAAGCGTCCATGGTCTACTAGATCATGTGCTCTGTGCGTTGCTTAGTTCTGCCAGCGCCGCCTGTACGCGGGCGTCTTTCTCCATTTCTTGCCATAACCGGGTTTCCCAGTCACAGAACCCTTCTCTTACGCCTCCGCCCTTACGCTCTAATCTGTCGTTTGATGACCAGCAACGCGACAGCCAAGCACGCAATGCATGGTTCTGAAGAAATGCCTTGAACGTTAATTCCATCAGAGTCAACGCTCCCAGGACCATGAGGAACGTGGACCACCACGAAGCATCTGTACCGAACCCTTGAAGAAGACCGTAACGGATTGAGTAAGGCCCCGAAACTGAAGACGACACTACTCCAATGATGATGGCGAAAACCCACACGCCAGCAACAGAACCCAAGGCAGCGTAAAACACGACCTTGGTCTTATAGTGCATTTCAATAACTCTGTAATCCATTAGAAGACTGTCAATCCAAGTAGAAAGAATGTGATGACTTACAATATCTTGATGTTGATCCAGACGACGCACACGATGAAGGTCAGCATTGCTTGCGCGTATAGCCCGTCCTCAACACCCTCGGCTTCAGCATAACCACCCCAGGCGCCTGCGTAGATGATGGTTGCAGCAATCAGTGCGTTGAAGAACCAGCTGAGATAAACAGCCATGTTTAATCCTTCAGCGTTCTGCCCGTATTGGAAAAGCTCCGGGACAAGTGTGAGGGTGCGTGGTTTGAGGTCCTGCTCCCATGCGCCAATGACAAAGATGCATGCGCCAGTAAAGAAACTGGCGAAAACAAGACTTCCCGGTTCGTAAAGACTGGTTCCAGTTGCTCCGGTATGCGCTTGGAAAAGTGCCTGAGGGAAGTATAAAAAGGTCTCCTTCCAAAATGTTACCAGAATAAATCGCGTTGTGCGGTAATAGTTCCAACGGCCATGGACAAGCATCAGGCGAGACAGATACCTGAACTGCGATATACTGAAATCGGCTAACCTGGCGGCTTGCTGCCCTTCGCGGCCAGAAATGCCAACACCAACATTTGCTGCCGAAATCATTGCCAAATCATTCGCACCGTCGCCAATGGCAAGTGTGATATTCTTGGTCCCTGGTTTGAGCCAAGAGAGGAAACCCGACTTTTTCTGTCGCGGGCTTTTGCGAATAGCCGTAACAAGCAGAGCCTTTTGAGCTGGCGATGCGCGACAACAGATTACAGAATCGACCTTCGTAACTAACGACATAAAGAGGCGGCGAAATGGCTCAGTTGACAGATTGTCCATGGCTGTTAGAGTTTCCCCATCAATCACAATTGCTGTATCTGTGCGATGTGTTGCCGAGGAATACGTGCTAAGGCCATACTGGATCTCGTCCGTTATACTGTTGAGTTGATGTTCGAGGTTGCCGTTGTCTACATCCAAAACGAAAAGAGATGTAGAAGCACTGATGAGCCGTGTCGAGTGAGCAATGTTGATGGCGGTTTCCCGCTTGTCGCCAGTAAGCATCCAGATTTTGACTCTAGCTTGGCGGAGTTTCTCAATGGTCTCTGGAACGCCCTTTTGCAATTTGTCCTCGACAGCAGACGCGCCGAGGAGATCGAAAGATTGTTCTACTAGCTCACTGACTTCTTCGATCAAGTTTTGGCGGTTGTCTAAACTCGTTTCGGCGTCGCGATATAGTTGCTTCCAGCTTTGGTAGTCCTGCTGATCAAGATACTTTTCAGCATACACCAATGTGCGCAAGCCCTCTTTGGCGTAGTCGTCAATATGGACGAAGCATTTGCGAATATTTTTTGCCTCGTCAGAAATCGCAGATTCATCTAAGAAGCCAAACTGTGACGATCCATCGCGCTGTACATCACCCATTTGGCCTCCATATGTAGATTGTGGCCGAAGAGGAATACCAAAATTTCCATTTTCGGGTGACAGCGGATGGTCAACCATTTCTCTGGTTTCCACAAAGATGTCTGCTTGTTTAGATCGTCGTGAATTCCAGCGGGACGGCATGTTGGTCACGCTGGCAGGCCTTTGCGAACCACCAGGACTGCCCTTCATGTCTGCAGGAGCCCTTTTCAGTCTTGGCAAGATGATGGAGTCGGCGCCTTTGCATATGAGCCAAAGCTTGCCATCCGGGCAACGCAGGATAATAGTCATTCGTTTCCGTTTGCTACTGAATTCAATCACATCCAGAACCTCGAAGACAGTGGAGTAGCTGCTACCATCGGCGTATGGCATCTGCACGGTGATCGATTGGGATGACCGCTGGGTAACTCGGAAGCCAAGATCTCTAGCCCCCCTTACTAAGGCGAGCTCGTCTGGAGAAGAGGCTTGGAAGTCGAGCTCTCCGTCTTCTGTCTTTTCGGGTAAGCAGGTATGGCAAAGTGCAATTGCCAATATGTAACGTGTGACTTTCGCGGCAAGCAGAGAGTCGGGCCTCATTCGGATGTAGTCCAGCATTTTGCGTGTGGTTACGCTAGACGTGGGGGTTGTCATATCCGTAGCGTCAGCAATATCGCCAGAAATGTCCTCTTGGAGGTGTGACAGGCTAATTCCAGCAACACTCAGTTTTCGTAGGTTCATGATGTTCTCTGTTAGCGTTCCGGTCTTGTCACTAAAGACATAGCTGACCTGGCCGAGGTCGTCGAGATTGTTAGTCGTGTTCACGTCTGCCGGAGTATCGGTCTCCCGGTGGTACATTTCCAAGTCGTTGCTGATGAGATGCATTTGCCCCAGTTTAATACCTTCGAGGCCAACATATAGAGAAAGCGGAATGACGTTGTTGAACATAATGATGAAACCAACAAAAATATCGGCAAATGGTATTGATACACCGGACAAGTACCAAGCGAAGCGTTCCTCTGAGTTCTTCCAGAAGGTATATGCTATCGCAGGAATAGCTGAGCTGACGAGAACATATGTCATCAGGAAGAGGACAATAAGATTTGTGAGACCTTCGAGGGCCGGCTGCTTGGGCTTCGTGTCGCGATTCGCATTCTTCCTAATCTTGCATTCCTCTCCAGTGTTAATTACAATGGCAATAATTTGAGAAGTGTTTCGAATCGTGCTACCGCGATATATTACTTCATTCACAGTAAGGGGTATCGTGTTGCCCATGGTCGTAAGTTTGCCGTCGAAGCGATATAGATCCGCGTTTGGATCTTCGGTCTGCAATTCGGTATTGCAGAATGCGATTTGTTCGATAGTGCCACAATTGGAAAGATTTGCTGGTCTCTGCTTGGCTTTTAGGCTGGTTTCGCCATCTAGTGCCATCGTGTCAACATATGCTAAGCCATCTTGCCCATCGGCATGAAGTAGCACTACATCTGCTGGCAAATCATCGTCTCTGGCGAGCAAAACAATATCTCCAACTTTAAGGTCTTTCCAGGTTGTTTGCGTCCACTGATACGATGCCGCATCATGCTGAGCTTCTGGCGTCAAAGATCGTGCCACTTCAGGCGCAGCACTACGAAGAGCGGTGGCCAATCTATTGTTCTCTTTGACGTCTTGCCGGTGCCTTTTCCAGTCATAATACCCCTCTTTAACGATAAGGATGGACAAGAAGATGATAAGTGGGATAATCGTTGTGAATTTGCCAGTCGTGCTGAATCCAGGGATCATTTGGAGGATAGAAATGACAAGCATGTAAAAGTTGGCTAGGCGAGAAAATTGATAGAGAAGTTGTCTTGGTAGAAAATCGAAAACGTTGTACTTGGAGGTCTTGATGGCATTGGAGATGTATGGGCGTCCTCGGCGCTCGTCTCGCAACAACTCGTGGCCGCCGAGGCGGATGGGAATATGGCGACCATTAGGGGATGGTGGCAAAGGCGACCTTCGCAGGAAGGAACTGAAGTTGCTCCATAACCTTTGAAAGTCCATCGCTCGATTTGATCTTTCGAAAAATGGACCTAGGAAAAAGGATATGTCACTGGGTGCATCTTAGTACATTGGTTGGATCATTGGGTCAACATTTGCAACGCAAGGAGTTGTGATGACATACCGTAGGAAGGTCTCCTGTGTTTTGCCTTCGCCCAAACTTTTCTGACTGATTATTCGCGCTTAAATCGTATGCTGCTTTCAAGATCAAACTATCAAGCGCCCTTGGTTCATTATATCTAGATGTGATTGCCAATCTTTAAGTTTAGAGAAACCATTCCAAGCACGAGTTCAAGCCAACAGATGCCAAGAACTACGATACTCATCACTCAATAGTCGACATGGATCTGGCTGGGAACCGAAGCACAGACCTCGCTGTGGCACCAAAAATGTCGAAAGAGAGAACGAGAATGAGAAAACGAGAACGAGACGCCAAGACACACCATATAATCCTTGCTTTACGCAAACCCAGCACAAAAAGAATTGGATCATTCAGAGAAATTCTGGTTACTGTTTGACGATCAAGTAGTGTTACATCGACACAGACTGACAGGCGCTATAATTAGTCGAATAAAGTTTTTAAACTGTTCTTGCAATGGTACACGGCGCAGTAGCCAGGCTTAGTGAGGACTAGTCCACATATACAAGAGACCCAGGTTAGATGAAAGTGGCAGTGACATGAAATGCTAAGATTAAGGTTATATGGGGAATTAAGGCTGCATTTCTACCTTGTTGTTTGGAGGTCTTAGGCAGCACTGAGGCTTCACGCGGTCTGCGGAGATGCCGCCGTGACATAGCCACACATCTACGTCGGCCTGGGTTGCAGCCGCCATAATCTTGCGACAATTTTGACCTCGAAACAGGTAGATGAGATCGCCGGTCGTTACGTCAACACGTGTGCTACATATGCCCAGATGCGCACGCTAAACTTTATCATTATTCAGCTGACTCGTCGCAGCAGAACATGTTTTACAACATATGGCAGAACATTGTTCTTGATTTCGCTCATGTAAGTTTCGTGTGTGCTCTTCTCCTGGGTCTGAATCGTTTCTGCCTCTGATGCTCTAGAGAATACGTCAGCCTGCGAGAACGAAAACGTCTTCCATATGTTAAAAATAGGTAAGGAGAAACGGTGGGACCCTTTCAGATCTCTGGTAGTCGCGCCTTAAGCTACCTACCGACGGATGGAATAACAAATCACATTAGATCCCAGCCTTTGAGGTAAATACCAACATATTACCTTTTTGTCGTCTTTTATCAGCTTTGTTGTAATTACATACTCCTACGGCAGCTGCGCACCACCGAAGACTACATCAAACCAAACACAACAAGATGCATTGGACGCGGTTGAAAAGATCTTCTCAGTCCTTAACAGAGGAGAAGTCACGAATGCCAAAAGTGACGTCTTTGAATCAACAACGAATGAAATCATGGGAGTATGTTTGAAAACCCAAGCTTGACCCGATTGATCCTCACATCAAACAGGCCTATTCTAACACCCACCAACTCGATCAAAGTCTTCCTATGTATGGCCACTGTATTCTTGGCCATAGGAATTGTATGGCTGGTTGAGAGTGATAAAGTAAGTCTGCCGATGAACTCTTGGTGCCATTAGATTAACAGACCTGTTGATTCGAGAAATACGGTTAAACTACACGGCATGTCACGAGATCGAATCATACAACGAGCTTGAGGTTATGCCGCCTGAGAATATCGACAAAAGTTTCAAGGCATCATCAGCTGGCCAAGTTGTCGAGCGATGGAAACGATCGAATCAGTCTATCACGTACGATGGTGTGATGAAAAATTACACAATGTGCACTATAGAGTTCTTCCTCCCCGAGGACCTGCAGCCGCCTGTGTTATATTATTATCGACTGACGAATTTCCACCAAAATCATCGTCAATACATTTTCTCGCGTCATACAAACCAGCTTAAAGGCGAAGCTGTCGGTCGGAACACTCTCGAAGGTTCTGATTGTGCGCCCCTAGCGTCACATCAACTTCCTAGCGGTGAAGGTAAAAAGATCATTTACCCTTGCGGGTTGATCGCCAATAGTTACTTCAACGATACATTTTCCAAGCCGCTACGTCTTTCCTCGACCAGTGGCTCAAATGAGACAAAATCATACAATATGTCCAACGTTGGTATCGCCGAAAAGGTTGACAAAACGTTATTCCGTCCGACCAAGTATCAGATCCCCTCATCTGCTGGAAACGACAGCATTATTGTGCCGCCACCTGGCTGGACGGAAAGATACCCCAATGGATACCATGCGCAGAACATGTTCAACCCTGCAGAGGACGAATCTTTCATGGTTTGGATGCGAACTTCTTCAGGTCCTTCTTTCTCTAAGATGGCCTTGAGGAATGATAAAGATGTCATGGAGCGGGGGCTGTACCGGCTTGAAGTCATTTCGCGTATGTTTACTATGCTAGATTGTTTGCTTGACTGATCTATTGCTAACATAACGCAGACTTCCCTATTCATAAGAATCGTGGCACCAAGTCTATCATCATCTCGACGACCTCCGCCGTAGGAGGAAGAAATAATGTCATAGGAAGAGTTTACATTGCAATGGGATGCCTCAGTCTATTTTTGACCTTTGTATCTGCGCTTACATTGAGATACCGGCCACGACGACTGACGGAACACGATTATTTGCATCGAAGCATCTCTTTACTATCGAAGGCTGACGGAAGGAGTGAACCATTATCAAGGGCAGGTAGCTACTGAGTGTATGATTTTGGGCTACTGGACCGGGGGCACAACGCGCCAAGCTCTATTATATGTAAACTAGCCTTCCAACTTTATTTTAAGCTGTCTTGAGAATTTGCTGTTATTGTGAAGATGATGATGATCGTAAAAGTGACGAAAACCAAACTGCTTTGCTGCTAGAGTGCAGTAATTAGAGTTGCTTGTTCGGCGTCATGTGGGAAGACTAGGTCACAATCGTTGGGCCTATCTTTCTTTGTCACTACGAAATGCCTCAGCAGGTACTTTATGTAGTCACTCGATATGCTTTATCAACTTCCAAGTTGCCGAAGAACATTACTCAGCATTCGTAGCTCACGCATGTCTCATGGTCACGCAGATCAAAAGAAAACTATCGTCTTCTTCATGCCTTGTCTACAAGCCTAGGTATTCAAATGGCAGGATCGAACCTTCGTCGCAGTCGTTGTCCCCAGAGGTATAGAACGGTGGGCACAAGAACTAAAAACAAAGAAATGAACGCCAGAAGAGTATTTCCCCATCCGAGACCTAATGCATCATACATTTTCAATCCTCCTAAAGGCATTAGCGACCCGATGAGAGAGCGAAACAAGGCGACTGCTGCCGACCCTGAGGCAATGTGCTTTGTGTACGCGTCCATTTGGTAGCTTTGTAGAGTCATCTGCAATTGTTAGCTGCCTATTTCATTCAGAGTCTGGTTTTCCATTACCGTAATTCCTATAAGTGCACAAGAAAATATGGCGACACCAGCCATAGGCACGATCCAATGTACTTGGTAAAACGTTGTCCATCCGTATAAGAGAAGCCCAAAAGGTAGCGCCAGGCCTAGTGGTACTGTCAACCAAGGCGTGAGTCTCTCCTCTGATCTGTATTTCTCTTCAGGTCCCACTCTGGCTTTTGCTCTGAGGACAAGGTAGTCTTGAAGAGGTCCGAATGCTAAGGATCCCACCATCATGCCTAGCCCTGCGGGGAGGAACGATAACCCAGCGGCACTCTGGCTAAAGTTATACTGCGTGTTATAAACAAAGGAAAAAGTTGCAATCAGGAGATAGAATATTCCATAACTGATTCCGACGTAGAAGGCAATGATCGAAACGATTGGTGTGGCGAGGAGAAATTTTAGTGGTCGACTAATTGCTTGTTTGATGCGCTTGTTTCCATCGACATTTCCTGCAGCTGTGCGAAATTCGTTATTGCCTGTAGCTTTACGCAAGCGTTGTGCTTTTCGCTCGAGAAGAACGGGGGCATAGGTCTCTCGCATGACTAGAAAGGCCAAGATGCCTAACGTGCCGCCCTATGTAGGTAAGTTATTTAGGCCAACTGTTGCAGAATTCTTCTGTCTTACCATTATTGCAAGCAACCAATAGACCCAACGCCATCCCACAGCTTCTATCAGATAGCCTCCTACGACGGGGCCGATACAGGGGCCAAGAAGAGGCCCTAATGTCCAAAAAGACAGCGCTCGTCCGCGTTTTTCAGCCGGCATGACATCAACGATGCTTCCCACGCCGATAGTGGTCGGAACTGAACCAACAGTACCCATCAAAAAACGAAATGCCATTAGCATACTAACATTTTTAGACAAAGCCGCGCCGATGCTAAAAAGAGTGAAGGTCACATTGCCGACATGGTAAACATAAACGCGACCATACAGCTCGCTCAACGGTGCGACAATAAGAGGTCCAAAAGCGTATCCCAGGAAATATATCGAGACCAAGAAGGTCGCAACCAGTGAAGAGTTGTTGTTCATTTCGACCAAGATTACTGGTACTCCTGGGGCAAACATGGATGAACCCTTGGTCATAAGCTGTTAGTTGAAGGCGTGAAGGGGTAACGAAAGAATTGCAACAGACCATGGGTCTGGAGGAAGTCAGCTAAAGCACTGGATATGAAGATATTAATTCTCACGAAATAATAGTCAAGAGTGACATCAATGCGATGTTCATCCATTTCCGTGACTCCGGCCAGTTCATTGGATTTTGAGGATCATTTGGGCCATCCCAGTCAACGATATTACTGCGACTTTCCTCTGACTCATCCACTTCATCGTGAATGGCGGATGAGAGCGCAGGTCGAATCGTTTCTTGCGCTGAGTCGTCCTGTCTTTCTGAAGAGGGCAAGGGGTTTGAGGAGCCAGTCTGGTCCGTTGTCATTTTCGGTAGTGCCTTGGCTTGAGTGACGAAATGAAAAACTTGAAACGGGCCGGAAGGCAAGGTCAGACTGTTGCGCGTAGACTTGAACTGACAGTTAAAGATATATACTAGACGAAATTTATCACTTTAAACTATTGATTTCGTTTATTTGAGGCTTCACTAGATCGCTAATTATGAGTTTGATATCCATTTGTCTTGTTGTATGCATGCCATCGGTGGAGTTCACTAAGTCCGGTTTCTTCTCCGGACTCACAGACTTCGTCGTTCTCGTACCGTCGCTCAAAAAAGGGGGCCAATGTCGTCGTTGGATCATGACTTGGACGCAATCGCAGTCTCCAGTGGCGCAGTAGTTGGCCATTGTTCGCTTACCCCTACTGTGCATACTACCTACGTACTGTCTCGTTCTCGTTTCCACAACCGAAAGCGACAACGAGAACGCGATGACAGCAACAGCAAGTTTGAAAGATGAAGCTTGAATTCAGAATCAATAATCGGTTGTAGAATGGTGGAGAGATATTCGTGCTGAACCCGGATATTTACTCACAGCCCAGTTCTCCCTGTTCGGACTGCACAATCCTCCGGACACTGAGGCAAAGTAGGCTCCGCATGAAGGTACAGCTTGAGGGGGCCTGCCATGGTCCTCCACATTAATTTGCCAGTGGCATGGTTGATGCGTTATCGCATTCTAAAGCGATTCGCTCGCTGAACTGTAGCAATGTCACATTCATCCGTATTGGAGGAGTCGGTCAAGGAAGAGACAAGACAGAAGCTAGTGTATTTTCTTTACCTCCGCAGCATTTGTCGACATTGGGTAATTAGTGTCCAACGCCGTCGCTTGTGACGACACGCAACACGAATACTCTATAGTTCAGCGGAAATCAGAAACTAATATAATAAGTCGATCGCATGTCTACATGGCAATTGTGTTTTCATCTGATCTCGTTAGACTTGGTAATTTTTCCCCCTCGACCGAGGCACCTATTTTAACGATGACTCTTCAAACAAACTTTGTGACAGCATTTACAACGTGCGTGGTCTTGGTAAGTCTCATTCTCCATTGCCGAGTTCGAGTCTGGAGACGGCGTTGACTTTGACGAATAATAGTCCATTTTGTATGTTGCTATTTGCATATTCTATAATCTTTTCCTTCATCCTCTTCGGGCCTACCCAGGCCCGCTCCTTATGAGAGCCACAAGATGGGGTTACTGCTACAAGCTCTTGCGAGGCACGCTCCCTTTTCACATTAGAGACCTCCACAAGAAATACGGCGACGTGGTCCGCGTCGCCCCCAACGAGCTAGCCTTCTGCAACGTCGCAGCCTGGAAAGAAATCATGGGTCACAGAGTCCATGGGGCCGCGGAGTTCGAAAAGCATCAAGGATTTTATCGCCCTCTCTCAGCTCAGCCCACCACCGTCGTCAGCTCCAACGGCGATGAGCATACAATGCTCAGACGACACCTCTCTCACGGGTTCAGCGAGCGTACCTTACGGGATCAGCAGCCTTTAATCATGAAGTATATCGACCTCATGATCCAGAGGCTCCACGAGAACTGCGTTTCTGGAGAGGCTGTTGATATAATGGCGTGGTATAACTTTACGACGTTTGATGTAATCGGAGACCTTGCGTTTGGTGAACCATTTGGGTGCCTAGAAAATTCGGAATACCATCCATGGGTCGCTAGTATCTTCCAAGTGGTAAGACTCGGTGTTGTGATGCAAACCGCAAACTACTTTCCTTTTTTAAAGCATGTTCTTTTTTCTCTTCTCTTGACAAAGGCTAGAAGGAAAAGCAAGGGGGCAAACGTCGCCAGGGCCAAAGAGAAATTGCAACGACGTATTACTGTTGGAAAGAAGGAGGGTGGACGGCCAGACTTGATCGAGGGGTTACTTAGAAAGAAAGATGAGCTTGTGAGTCTCGCCGCTTCTATCTATCACTTGTCAATTTATCTAACCTCTATGTCTAACAGGGCATCTCTTTTGAACAGCTTGTGTCAAACAGCAGTGTTCTCATCACCGCAGGCTCAGAGACGACAGCCACGGTACTGGCGGGGGTAACTTATTTCCTCTTGGCAAACAGAGAATGCCTAGAAAAAGTGACGCAAGAAGTTCGATCAACTTTCCAACTGGAAACGGATATCGACATCATCTCCGTTGGAAGGTTGCCCTACATGCTCGCTTGCTTGGATGAAGCACTACGCATGTACCCACCAGTAGCGTTAGGTTTACCACGTGTGACGCCCAAGGGCGGAGCTACTATCAACGGGAAATTTGTGCCAGAGAAGGTGGGTTACGAAGTCATAACGTTTTAGCAGGTTGACACTGACAAATTCCATCCCAGACTATCGTTGCAATTCACCAATGGACCATTCACCATAAAGAAGAATACTTTAAAGACCCTGACGAGTATCACCCGGAGCGGTTTTTAGGCGACGAAAAGTTTGCTACCGACAACAAAAACGCGTTTCAGCCATTTCATATTGGTGCGCGAAACTGTCTGGGGCGCAAGTAAGTGCAGTAAATCACAATAATTACCGGCAAGGCATCTCGTTAACATGAACTTGTCAGTTTGGCATACGTGGAGATGCGCCTAATTCTGGCGCGTTTGCTGTGGAACTTTGATGTCAAGCTTGCACCAGGGTACGAAGACTGGTCGAAGCAGAAGAATTACATCTTGTGGGACAAGACCCCGTTAAAAGTTCACCTGACACCAGTGATTAGGTAGAATACCAAGTCTTGACGTAGTCACTACGCTTTCTCGGCTGCCCAGTGCCACTATGTCAACGACGTCTCGCAGGTACGGCGAAGCAGAACTGAGTGGAGTCAATATTGAATATAATACGAATTGTAGTTATTACTCATGTCCTTGTATTAGAACCTCAGATCTCCCACAATGGCTTCTATTGCAGAAAGGGCTATGCCATTTACCGTCTCAAACCACCCTAATCGGAGGAAATTGAAGCCTGATAGTTGCACATAGAGCTCCTCGGCTAAAACGAAGTCTGTGCTAATGGGTATTCTCAGCTACGTGGCGCATAGGTCCGAAAAGCAAGGCAACTGGTTCGCGGTTGCGATCAACAGTGAAATCGCAAGGCTTAAAACTGTGTGATGTATAACATTCGTTATTTTGATAGTGATAGGTTCAGAGATTTGCAGTTAGACCCCTGTAGAGCGTGGTTCGTCGGCGAGTTGGCCGATACCAGGTGGCCGTCCTGTTTAACTACCTTTGCGTGCGACAAGGGCCACAACTTGACTGTCAGCTTCTGAAATCGCTCAACTTTCGGAAGGATGAGTGGCGCAGTGGCCATTCTAGCTGGTGATTGCTATAACTGGCCTTATAGGGTCTGTAGGATAGTTGCATTGCAAAGAATAGGTACTATCCGTAAATCGTTCTAAGTAACAAGCTAATTAAGAACTCTAGTAGTGGGATTATAAGACGTAGTTGGGACGTAAGAAGAAAATAGCTTTTTTGGCTTGAATGACAAGCACCATTTTCTTCGCCTATACGAATTACAAATCGGACTCAGAATACGGAGGGAGATAAGAATCCTATTGCAAAACCCCCGGCCGTCCTATATTACGCTTATGCTCTGAAGAACTTGGCTCCTTACGTCGCGTAGGAAAAAAACACATCGTTGAGAAACAGCGGGCTTATGTGATAGTCTGACGACATGACTAGAACGTATCAATGACCTTTCATTAGTCTACATCCTAGCTTTTAATCTACTAATTCAAAGACCGGCAAGATAAACAATACGATCAAAATCTTAGTAAAGTAGCCAATAAATGCAAGTGAAACTTCCTCCCGTTGGCGGCTTTCAATCCACCCATAATGCAGTACATTGACTTGGAACTGCTATTACTAGCAGGTCGCAGGAACTTGGGTGCTGCAATCAACAATGCCATTAGCCAATCTAACGGTACTCGACTGCTTAGTAACTACCTTCAATGTTAGCATTGTGAAGCATGACAACGTCCATTAGAGTTAAAGCGCTGCCGCAGGGCAAATCATTACTTCCAAGACTACCGAACACATTCGCGTCGACATATTTTTGAAACATGACGAACAAAAACGAGGAGGACCTACCGGATGCCAAATTGAGCACAGCCAAAGGCTCATTGGGGCAGTCTACCCAGGTCCACTTGAACTGCGTTCCACCAGGGATACCCAGATCAGTTGCGCGGTTCCTGAGAGCCCACTCAATACCGCCTTTTCCAACGTTGGAAGAGCCCCTATGACCCCAGCAAACGAGTCTGACCGCTGAGGTAGCGCTTATGAGGGAGGCGACAGTGGTGAGGAGGATAGTAGTCTTCATCTTGCCAACTTCAAGACTGGTGCTTAAATATGGAGAATAGGGTAGGTTGTGAAGATCCGTAGAGTATGATTAGTTTCAGATCTTTTTTTTCTTAATAGCAAACCTGCCTGGTATTTATATGCAAATAGTCAAGTCAACACACAGACAAACGAAGGAAAAGGAAAGAAGACTCATTAATTTTAAGGTTTAGAAAGTTATCTACTTGAATTATAACTTATTAATAGGCTACATCTGTGTAGTGACTTATCAACACTTCATTTGGATGCTTCCGAATCCAAGTAACGGAAGAGTCCGGTTGAGACTATCTATCATGAGATATTGCATATCCGAGTCATACGCTCAGCCCATGCTCGATTTCCAAATGCTACCTATGTAAGAAATACAGACATTATGGCTTTAAAACCTTATTAAAGTTCTTTTTTTTTAAGGTTAGACAGTGTCAACGACACATCACTCGCAATGTAGACAATAGACCAATGTGTCCAATATCGCTGGCTGTCAAGCTCTGGCCTGACACCATCTACCTGGCCAGGGGTAAAGTGGGGGCAGAGTAGGACCAAGCCAAAGGGTTAGCAGGAACGTGTCAGGCATCGGACGTTTCCGTCTTAGTGACGGAAGTGTCCGGTACTAGTCGAGCCGCCACATGACGGTACTTTATTAATCTCTACACTTTCCCAGCTGCGTTCACCACCAAAACCCACTTCTCGGCAGATGGCTGACTGCCGCGATATCTTGAAGAGATTCAGACGCGTCTGATGCGCCGGAGGTTTCACATAACGCTGTTGCAGTGCTTCTCGAAGGCCTTAATAGCGTCTGTACAGCTGACTGTAGGTCCGAGCCGTGCGACACCACAACAGTACACCAACCCCCTTGGTGCCCTACCGCGTCGAAACAGTGCTGGGCCTTTCTAATACCCCTATAGATCTATTCAAACAGGACTTGAAGGATAAGGCTAGCCCAAGTCTTACACCTACTTAAGGTATGATCCGGAGCTTGCGTTCGCTCGCTGTTGGCTTCTCAAACGAGTTACGAGGGACCACCGGAGCCCCTCTCGTATGGAAGCATGCGGTGATGTGTGAGGATGTTGTAAGTCTTTACATGGACTATAATTGTATATGCTTGATTACGTTCTTTCATCAAAACCTTTCAGTTCAAATAGCCCCAATTGCAGAACATCCCACGTCGTTTACTCTCTAAAACCACCCTAATTAAAAGTCGAAGCACTACAGTTGCACAAAGGCTCCTCAGCTGAGACGAAATCTTTGCTTGGGGGTGTTTTTTCAGCTGCGTGTTACACTGTTAGTAACGTGATCATAATTCCTATATCACCTAGATTGCCCGGTACAAAACCGCACGTGCCCATTGCGAACAAGTTGCCGTGCAAGCCCACAAACAAGATCAATAGATTCAAGCTTGAGCTTTTCACTGACACTATAATCATAAAGACGATGTCTGTTACCTATGGGTTCTGCGGGAAACGAACTTGTCTAATACTGTCTCTCTGTGAGCGCTTTACAAGATCTATAAACACACGATCTGGTTAAGGTAGTTAGTAGAAGCCGCTTTCATTTTGCCAGCTACTTTATCGTTTACAATGATGTTTGGACATGGGCAAGAGATGTTCATAAAACATTTGAATGTCGTGCCTCGCGACAGGCTAGTACGATAGTTAGTATCATGGGTGATAAATCTTGGAATCATCACACAAAATCCTCTTAGATGAGAATAGAAGGGCAACAATATTGTATGATAATGCTATGAACACTCTTCCTGCGGGTCAACTATACCGATCTTGAGAACTCCCCAGTGACGTGCCTTGATATATTCATTTCCGTCTACGTGGACATTATACTACTTGTTCCAAATAGTGACTCCACTTCACCGCTGAGGCCAGGTAGAGCTGCGGGTGCTGGTTTCGCCAAATTTCTGCCCGACCTGCTCCTGCTTGATGGAATCCCGCCTATAATCGGCCACAAAGACTCCCTGCTGATCTGCGCGGACCATAGCATCTCTCGATCCCAGCGGATGATATGACAGACCAATTTGATTTTTGTGAGAATCGGTAACGATGCGGTTGTATCCCGCATCACCCTGGGAGTCATTGCCGCGTCGATTCTGGCCAGCATAGTCGAATTGGCGGCCCGGATAGGCAGCCAATTTGGGTAGCGCACGACCATGAAGCACCGCGGATTGGCTAGTCTCACTGGCAACCCTAGGGTCCAATGCGATGCGCTCCTCCACGTAATGATTTTCCCTATCACCATGCAAGTGCGGACGTCTTCCGTTAAATCTTAGATGGTTTCCGGGGATTGGAGCACTCCGTAGCATATCATCACAGTCCTCAACTGCTATGTGTGTTTGCTCTTGGGTCTTTTCCGTGCGATTAACGACATAGTACTATGATTACCAGATTAGTATCTTTAAATAATGCATGAATTTAATACTGCAGACATACTCGCTGGTCAGTTATGACAGAAGAACCACGGTGCATATTGATAATAGTTGCAACGATGCAAGTACAGTTATTGAGATGAAAGATTCTGGCCAGCAGATAGCGTGAAGCAAAAAGAAACAAGAATGAAGTTGATATCAATGTAGAAGCCTTTCGATCAGGAATGTTCAAGACTAAATATTTGTTTAATTCATGTATACACTGCAATGCGAAAACAAATGATACTCATTCACTACCCTTGAATAAGTCATGTTGGTTCTTAAGCGCCTGCTCGTCTTGGCGTAGTATAAATCCGGCCGCTAGAGGCCGGCGGCTACCCAAGTTTCAAATCTCAATGCATGGTTAGAACACTTCGACAGATAGACGTACGTTAGGTGTAGGTGGCGGCTAGCTAAACATTTGGCGTTGGTACAGCATTGCATGATGGCGGACAGGTCGATTCGAGGGAGGCTCTTGTAATCTAGGTATATTTCCAAGAATTCTCTGATTAGGCAATTTCGAAAACCCCGCGGTCAGTCACGCTTTTCGTCAAAAAAGGAAGCGCCAGAAGGCTATGCAGAACACTGCGTCTAGGCAAACTCAGACTGCCCTGTTTTACCAAACGTCTACTTTGTTTGAATTGTGGCCAGCGGGCTCCTAGCTCTATCCAGCCTTGGAATACCACCCCAACTGGCCCTTTTTCTTGTGTCCATCCATCGCGGCGCTTAGTGTTGGGACCCTACCCTGCTGTTGGCGTAAGTCGAACCATATTCAGGCTTGGTGATTGGCTTAGGTCCCGGTGTTGGTTCTTCTACAAGGTCAAATATGCAGGCTGAACAGGGGTCAAGACTGCGCCACGCCAGGCGGACTCCCGGCGAATCGCTCTGGCTGTTCCCCAGCAGGGAAAGAACTTGAAGAGGGGTTGGCAATGCTGCATGCCTTCAAATTCCCAACCATTTATTGTCGCGCTTCCACACCAACATAACACCTCTTACCGAATTAACAACAACACCACTAGCACCCAAATATTCTATGATGGAACCCTTGACATTTTTCTTTGATGGAATTGATAATGCGCCAGCGGAGGAAGTATCTGACAGTGCCCCCGCAACCAGCACGTTCGAAGCGAAGGCAGTGGATATCCTCCGCCAGTATCTTCAAAATCAAGATAGCTTAAGTCTGACCAGCGCAGCCCAATCCATTATTAGCCTGCTTCCGGAGCCCAAAGAGCCACGAGGATGGTCAGAAGAGCTCACGGCATTTTGGGAGCTGTGTATCATCACGGCGGAACAGATCCCTCACTACCACATTTTGCAGATGAAGCTGGCGCGGCTTGTTCTTGCCTTACGGCATTCACCTAAGACTGCATTCACCATCTTTTGGGTCAGTATCTCACTCCTGTAATTTGTTCCATCATGTGTTTACTAAAGGGACGGTCTGTTTAGGATCACTCTAGGGATATCAAGTTTACGTCCGAATTAAACCTCTTAAGAGAAACAATTCGCGACCTTTACAACCGTAAGTCGCCTCATAGCCTTGAACTGGCCCTGGCATGTCACTAATACTACACTAAAGCCGCTTTTTCAACTGAGGATTCAGAGAAAAGTTCGAGCTACGAGGACGGTCAGCGCTGGGTCAACACAGTCGCTTTCTATGCCCACATGCATGCTTTGAATGGTGGCATGTTATCTACGTATTGCGACTGGGTCATGCGAGATGCATTCCTGTCCACACCGTCTACCGAATATGCCGCCCTAGATTGTCATGTGTCTGCAGCGGCACAGTGGATATTGTACACTGGGCAGAATATTCTGTCCAACATTTTAGCCCCTCTAGAGGAGCAAGAGAGCCTGTTGGGATCCAAAGAACCCTGGACATTGGATGATTGGCATCGCTGGAGAATAGGTTTTGAGACAGCAGAACGAGAAGAACATCTGCGGCAGGAGACAAGACAGCTGGCCAAAAGGTCTGCTAATCTGATGAAAACGCTCGAAGCCGTTATGACAGGTGTCTAACGGAAAGATAGAGGATAGCTTTGATTGAGGCTAGATGACGGGGCGTTTCAAGGGTATCATACTGACATGGTCAATTCTTTACATTCGTTATAGGCCAGCTACCTTTGGATATCGTCATGGTGATCTAGCTATGTTTAACTTACAAATAATACAATTACCTACCGACAAACTCACCCAACTAATGGCAGAAAAACGGAAGGCAGTGGAGAAGTTATACCTGACGGCAGCGGTCCTTATTTGGTGTCGTAGCGGATCTACAGCGATTCGAGCCCAGCTCCGATGAATCGCACTCAGAATACGCTGATGCCTGCAAATTTCTCAGCTTCGTGGTGGTGGCGGCGCGTGGCTCTCAATGGCTTGTTTTGGCCATTCCATCCAAGGACCCCAGTGTTTTCCAAGAAATTTCGAGATAGCCTGTACCAGGAACCGCCCGGCATCGCCAAACACCCAAAAACTTCGTCCATAATGCAAAAGAACAGCCCAGTATGCCAAGATCACAAGAGCCTCAGGCTGTCGCATGTTGAGCAAGGTCAAGTACTCGGTGGATAAGTGAACGGGCCAACCAAGAACGACATGTCGATTCATCGGTCCGGGCAGGGTATTGTATTGATTAAAAACTCCCTGCAGTGAATTGAGGGCTGCGAGACATGCCTTGGTAGGTTCTGAGCCAAGTTGGTCACTGGATTCTGAAAGTAGTCCCGCGAGCTTCTCGCATTCTCTTCCGGATGTCATTTCCACCCGGTCGACTGCCTCAATCAGGTCAAAGATACTTCGCAGCTCTGATTTCCGGATGACATGCCAACCGCGGTCCGTGATGGCACCTAAGCCGCGATATAGGTGCACGAACTGTATAAACCTTTCGAGTAGCTCCAGCAAGTCCCTCTCTGTGGCAACCGTGTCATGTAGCATGTGCATGGCAGTGAAGGAAGAAAACAAGAAGATAATCGTACAGTTCTTGTCCGTGATTTCAGGGGCCAATGTATTAAACGACGCCAAGGCACGGGTCTGGAGATAGACTGCCTGGTGGCGGTAGCGTATCTTCTCGGCGGCGTCGTCGGTGAGCACACTGAGGTGTAGGGCGGCAAACCCTAGCAGCTCGTCCATGAAATACGAGGCGGAAAGGGCAGACTTCATAATCAACTGTAGCAGAGGGCCAGCATCCGCCTCGTTGGCCACGAAGTGGGTGTGAGGAGGCTTTATCATATCGTGTTCAACGTGGTGGAGCAAGGCAAGGTGATCCAGATCGTAGGCCACCTTAGGTGTATGCTCTAAGCTCGAAGCTGGCGACAGGCTGGCTTGGGAAATCACTGATGGCGTCCCAAGGCGCGTCTCGTCGTGGGACTTGAGTGGTTGGTCGGGTAAAGGTGATGCTTGAGCCGGGGGCCCAGTGTATCTGGGTAGTCGAGAGTACGAACAGTCTCGCCTCAGCATTGTGCACTGAAGACAGATGGGCCGTTGCTCATCGCACTTGACATGTCGGCGCTTGCATTCCTTGCAGCCCTTTGGCAAACCAACGAAGAGTTAGCTCTAAGCTCTAATGACGGGCACCAAGACAGCACAGCCAGGGAGGGAAGTTGAAGCAGAACCAACCTGTCGCGATTTGGCATGCGAGCGACGTTTCTTGTTGAGTGGATTCATGGCTGGCGATCACAGATATTTCTACGGAAATACTCAGAGGTCTGCATCAGGAAGCATCATCGGGTGCGGGGAGTCGTCGTGTGGGAGATACACGAAGCAAGGCAACATGCGAGAGTGGCCTCGCAGCTCATTCTCTGAGGGCAGTGTTTCAGTAACCCCCACCAGAAAATTGGAGCAAGCAAGCCAAGAGGGATAGAGAGTGGCGGGCTGAGGCTAAGGGGCATTGGGGTTAGCCTCGATAAGGGGGATGGTGGAAGATGCTCAGCCCGCCTACGTAGTAAGCATATTTGCCACGGAGGCTGATTCCGGGTAAGTCTGGAAAGCCATCGAGCCGGAACAAGCCCAACAGAGGGAGGCGGTGCGAAGCCCGCCCTGATGCTCGAGTGGCAGCAACTCAACGCAAGCTCATTCATCACCTTCGTGCTTTAATCTTTCTTATTCAAGAATGACAAAGAGATGACTTCCTTCTTCGGCCTTTCAGTAAAAAAAGCCTGCTGGTGGGTTTCTGGGGCCGGCGTAGAAAGAGGAAAAAGCATAGGAATGCATGGCTAGAAACAAATGTTTCTTTAAGCATGTCGTTGGTCTGCGACGATGTCGTCCACTGACGGTACCGGCTAATAAATAGCCCACTGAATGTAGCTGGGTTGCCCTTGTGTGTTTGTTTTCTCTCTGGGCAATTTTGTTCTCCAAATTACCAGTGATGTAGGGTTCTGCGGTCGTCGAGGACGTCCGCACCAATTGGCGACGAAGGGCTCAACGGGCCACGCCGACAGCCGGAACGTACAACTTCCGGGGCGGACTCTTTGCATTGTTTCCGATTCGCCGTCGGGGATCACCACTTTCGCCGTGTTTCCGTGTCGCAGTGTCGTTTACGGCTCCACAACTTACGCGTATTACGTGGGGCTTGTATATTTTCCGTCTTCTCAATCCATACTCGTAGCTCCTTACATATCCATACTGTTGAGGTTGACATGGGCGGCTTTAACTAGTAACATAACGGCTCGTATTCTCTGAGTGAACGAGCGAAGCAAGGGCCGCTTAAGAGCTCTTGCGCTAAAGCGGATCGACCACATGACCATGTGGTGTGGACTCAGCAGAATGGGCCCGGAGTTCAGAAGTCATCACGACACATAGTATACGTATGCACTAGGTTTTGGAGAAGTTGGTAATTCAAAATCTTGCCGGGTGCTGGATAGGTAGGGTTGTTTCCTTACGACCAGATTGCAGCATAAGAAGGGCTCAGTTGTGGAAGAACTTCGGATAGACTTTATCCAAGGGCACTGGGCGAATGTATAAACTTGAGATGCTGATGTTCTACATTTGCAGAACCTATACTAGCCATGCGGTGTCCTTAGGGGGTTGCTGGGGCTTTCTAGGGTTAAGATTATACCAGTAGTAGGGGACTTTGCTATGTACCCTTCTTTACGGACTACAAATAGCTTTTGATGCAAGAAATGTGTGACTTGGTGTATTCTTTAGCATAACACTTTGCCGCTCAGACAACCCTGTCGGGATTGCCGGCGACCTCTACCAGGACGCAATCGGGAATGAAAGGACCGACTATCCTGACCAGGGTGCGTTGGCCTGAGAAGCATGCCGGCGGCATGGAAAACTACGCACCCAAAAATGTGATTTTGGAGAAGCTCTGGCAGAAGCCGCAGTCTTCCATGCTATACACTCACTACATTGTCAATGCGCAGCATACAGGTCAACGCCGACCAATGAAGTTGGAATGTTGGTATACGTAGACGAGGGTGGTGGCAATGTTGTTTATCGAGGCGTTATACTTGATCTGGGACTGATCTGGACGCCCGGCCTGTTGGGAGAATGGTCTCTAGGAGTGCGGGGGCCGTAACGAACCAGTACATGAATATGAGCAGCTTCAGGAGAAGACGGGAAGCTATGAAGGAAAAACTAGCCATGTCTACGATTCAGCCGGCGGACAGGTAAAGATGTCAGAAGTTCTGGGCTGAGGTTTGCAGTGTCAAGATTGAAGGGAGACCTCACCGTTCCTGATCTTTGTTCTGTCACAGTATACAAAATGAGACAGAGGGGACTGTATGCATGAGATTTGGAACTGGTATCTTAGTAAATATAAGTTGAGATTCTCTTAATACGTTTGTCGCCGCAGCCACTCAGCGCGCGAAGCCTAAGCCGCGAATTAGGTAAAGATCCTACTTCTAGGATCTCCCTTTGTTTGCCATTTCTTCATAAAGCCGAGCAGAGGTAACATGCTGATTCTGCAATGAATTGTTCGGTCTAGTAAGATTGCCATCGTATTCTCGTGTCAGGCATCCAGCCACCGATGAAAGGTTTGCATAACAACCGATAGCTGCGTGAAGAACTTTACTGTAACATTGTTGCTCGTAAGTCGCGTATTTGTGACTATGTAAATGTCCAATGATGGTGCCTCTATTAGCTTTCTTTGAGATGACTGCGCCTCGAAAGCAAGGGGTTATGTCTTCAAACATACGCGTATCCGACAACGTAGTTTGCTGAAATGTTAAACTCCACTGGTATAACCAAGCCGCTTCTTAGATTATGAAAGACTCAAAAGGGGGAGGCTAGTCATTTTAGCTCATTATTTTGAGATAGACCCAGCGGTTGCATAATGTCTCCAGTCCCAAGGAAATCATCCGTTGAAAAATTATGGGAATTAATCCAGATCTATCCAGTTAATCTATCAAGTGAAGGGGCTTGAGGCTGATGCGATGATGTATATAAAGGCCGAAGGCCTGCATGTAGATGATAGTCTTTTAGTAGCCATAACAAATCATCTATCACCAGCAGAAGCAGTCAGCAAGGCCGCACAATGTTGGCAATCATCCTCGTCTCGTCAGCATTCATCAATCATGCGCTGAGTCAGTCACTCTGCAAGGTCACGCCCTCAGACGCGTCATGGCCGAGTGCTTCTGAATGGAGCGGCCTAAACAGCTCGATTGGTGGCGTACTCCTAGCCACGCAGCCAGTTGGCTCGTCCTGCTATGCCGACCAGTCGTTCAGTTCTCCGTTCAGTTGCGACGACGTGAACAAAAATTGGGCATACTCTACATTCCACGCTGCCACACCTGAATCTATCGACTACCCTTTCTTCGCCAACAACACCTGTGTCCCCCCGAGCGCCACCGGGTACGATGCGAACAAGTTGTGCACTTTGGGTGGTTTGCCGGCATACGTCGTGAATGCAACCAATGAACATCAAATTGCGACAGCTGTACGATGGGCAGACCAACGCAATATACGAATCGTGATCAAGGGAACCGGCCACGATCTCAATGGAAGGTATTCGCGAAGCCCGTCAATCTCCTCTCCAGAGAGTACTGTTATACATACACATTATACTAACAAACATGCTCTGATCACCAGGTCCGCAGGCGCTCATTCACTTTCCATATGGACCCGAAACTTGAACAAGATTGAGTTCAAGCCGCAGTGGCAGATCCCCGGTGACGGGGTTAGCGATGTGTTCGTCGTGGGTAGCGGAGTGAGTTGGGGCGATGTCAATCTTGCCGGTGCTGCAGTCAACAAGGTTGCCATCAGTGGGCAAGACAAAACCGTAGGGTTGGGCGGGTTCATTCAAGCCGGCGGCCACGGACCCATGTCAAGCCATTACGGACTTTCCGCGGACAACATTTACCAGGCCACTGTTGTCACTATCGCGGGCGAAATACTTGTCGCGAACGACGCCCAGAATCAGGATTTGCTGTGGGCGATAAGAGGAGGAGGCCCTGGTCTGTGGGGCGTCGTGACCGAGTTCGTCCTCAAGGCTCACCCGATGCCCGAGAATGTTGTATCGAGTACTCTGTCGATGTCTCCCAATACGAACGTCTCCACGGCGGTGGCAGATTCATGGAAGGGCCTCGCCGCCTTTCTTGCTAGTCTTCCAGACCTGATGGATAGTGGGCTAACTGGGAGCGGTTTCGGTTCGTCATCAGACCTGGGAGCCAAGCTCTCTCTATCTTTCTTCGGCTATAACACGACAGTCGAGAAGGTTCAGGCTCTTCTTGAGCCAGTCAAGCAACGAATCCTCGACCAAGGGCATAACTTTACTCTCTCGGCCGCGCTTTCTCAACCTCAGACAGGCACTTACATGGACCTCTTCAATTCCCTCAATTCAGCCCCAAGTGGTGCTGGAGCTGCTTCGCTGATATCCAGTCGCCTGTTAGGGCGTGCAGCTCTTGTTGATTTGCCCCTGGATCGACTTGCTTCTAATCTTCAGCAAGTCATGGTATCTCAATCCGGCAAAGGAAGCACACTGGTCGTAGGTCTGCAGGGAGGCCGCGGACCGGCGGAAGTCGAAGAGAGCAGACGCGGCGCCCTGAATCCAGCATGGCGCATTGGCTACGTTCACACCATGGTAACTGGTATTAATATCGATCTGAAAAAGGCTCCTCAGGACGCTCTGGCAGAAGCAGCCGCCTGGGCTGAAGAGAACAAAGAAAAGGTATGGCGTGCGTGGACGCCAGAGACGGGGGCTTACATCAACGAGGCCAGCGGTTTCGACAAGAACTTCAAGAATGATTTCTACGGAGCCAACTACAACCGCTTGCTACAGCTCAAGAACAAATACGACCCTAACGGAAGCCTCTATGTGCTCTCGGGTGTGGGCAGCGACTTGTGGGACTACAATCTGACCACCGGCCGACTGTGCCGACAGGACGTGCAACACAATGATTAATTATGCCACTGTTTCTGTCGATCCAGGCTTCGCACGCTTCGGTGGCAAAATTTCAATGAGGCGAGCGGGAGGCCATGTTGAACTATGTTTTGGGAGGAAGGGAAGAGAAAATAGGCCAAGGGACATTGTACGCTTTTGTCCGTCAACGTCATCTAATTAGCCTTCAAAACTTTGTAAACGAGTTTTTTCCGCAAACCATCAGGCAGCTAAGCACCGCTTCAACATGAGCTTCATGCCTATATCAAACCCGAGTCTCAAGTGGTTCACAATCACTTAGTCAACTTATCTCAGGCTACAACAGTATGGATTCACGAGTAAATTGGTAACAGGCTACCCATGTGATTGAAAAATTCTGTTGGTCCTTACGCTACGATGTGTGGCAGGGCAGAGAATCCATAAAAGATTGATCACATGGTTTGAAAACATATTATATTCGGGGTAGGCTTTGCAGGGTTTACCATTGTCGAGTGATGAATTTTTGCTGGGCAGTACAGACGAGGATTTATGAGGCCGAAGGTGCTTCTCATAGGTTCGAGAGTTGAAAATTGCAAATCCACACTGGTACTTTGAAATCCTGATGGCGGAGAAAGACGTGGAGCAAGAATATCCATCACTCCATTACGCGAATTTTACCTCGTTTCCAAGCTTCACCGTGACCGTCATTGATGGCGGTGCTTTGGAAGATACCCCAAGGAAGTTACTTAGAATTCTAGGAGACCTCGATGTCGCCGCCAAAGGATGAGCTGGTCCTTGACAGGATAGTGTATGCACAGGCATAGATATCCCCAATCGTGTGCTTCACAATCCCCCTTTTGAAAGGCAATTTTCACAGAAAACGACCCACTGATTTCCCTCTTCGAATTTATTATTGCCCCCTACGAGCTGCAGAAACTACTGTGGGTGGCAGAAACCTTTCCAGCATGATTCGCTTCCCTTCTTTACTACGTATCAGCCCTTCTTCAGGTCACAATCGGCTCTGTGGACCGCATTGCTATGGGGTTCCGGGAATATGATTCTCGTGTCACTTGATATGCGTTTCGCAACCATGAAGGGTGTTCTTCTTGGGCAGCCAGGAAGAGGTAGGACTTTGAATCTTGACGCCAACCCTTGCATGAGCAGCGGGAAGATTGATTAGCATTCTTACTGCCACGGGTTGTCACATACGACCATACCCACTGGAAAACTCGGGATCCCGTCCGCTCTCCCATAGATAAGCCAGTGAGGGCCGGATTAGTAGTTGGGTCGGTGACGACCAGCGAATACCTGGTGTTGTATGTTTTTGTTTTTGTTTTTCGTGATTAATCAATCTCAGAATTCTATGGCTGCGCGGAACGTGGCCACCAGATCCGGGATACAATTTCGGATGCGTTGTTGGAGTTCCATTTCACAACACCAATGTGTAACACCGCATTAGCACATTCCGTCACGTTAATGACATGCGCATATTTTCCTAAATCCTAGCTGGCTGGGTCAACATATGGGCTACGGCTAGTGGAGGGAATAGGCTAATCGGAGCCCTTCCATTACGCGTAATAAACCCCATTAATGCGAAGTTCCCAGTCCGCCGGGACCTAACGCTGCCAAGCCTCCCCCCTCCCTCTCCCCTGCTAGAACCCTCATATACTTGGGAGTGTTGTTAGTCGTACATCGTGCTGAGTTAGTGCAATGAAAGCCTGGTGGTATTATGTACCCACAAGCATTTCTTCCGAATGTATGTAGTGTTAGCGGCATGAAACCCCTCGTCCTTGGTTTTGCTCTCCACCCGCCAATGTGATAGATACACCCTCATTTGCTAAAGGAGCTGCAAGAGCACATTTAGGGACCATGTTTTGACAATCCACTTAAGACCGCATGAGACAGCTCTGGAGAAATGGCCTGTTGCACCGCCTGGGTCCGCGCACAGCTTTCCCCAACATAAGGCCAGGGAAGACGCCGGAATGTACACCGTAAACAGATCCAGGAACCCTCAGCTGCCTGTTATCTTGCTTTGTTGGGCTGGGAGGTTTCCAACAGTCATGACCCATTGTCGTTGATACTTAAAAGGGACCATTGCTATTTTACCCAACAGCCAGAAAGAAGAGTAATCATCACCCATGCCACGATGACATTCAAGCCTGAACATTCGACCCGCGCTAATCGCCGACGAAACAATTTAGTAGTATTGAGGCATGCGTGTAACTGAGCAAATCAAAACTTTGGTCCGTCAAGCCTTAGCTATTCCTTCGGTGTGTCTATTCTAGTAACGACCTCCGCGCGGTCTTCACCCCAGTGACTGCGGAAAAAAGCATACTAGCGAGCCCCTAGGCTTATCTCGATTATTCTAATTGAAGATCCAAGGAGCTCCCTTTTCTGATACTTTCAAATGCACGTAAGACAAGAGCATCATCAAACCCACCCTGTCGCATCCGTTCTGCCAAGTAGAAGCCTTCGATCCTTCGTGCCTGTCGGATAGACCGTTGAGTATCCTGATGAGCGGACGTCCATACGCTCTTGTAGATCCCCCGTAGGGGGTATGCTCCTACACCAACCGCAACTGGCACATTGTTAGCAACACATTTCAGAGATGGCCTCGAAACTACATAAATTTCCGAATAAGGTACATACCGTTGAAGAGCTTGCTCGTGACCCCAACAAGACTCTTGCCCACACCTTTCACGGCGCCGACTGGGCCATCCTTTTGAGCCCCCTTGTACGGGAGAACAAACAGATCCGACACGCCGTCCACCACGCCGAAGAATGTTGCTTTCGCCCCTACGATTGTTCCGCTCTTCCAGTCACGAATCGCTCCAAGGTCTCGTACCTCCTCGCCGTACAGTCGCGGTATGTTTCTGAAGCCTTCTGCGAAGGCGTAGGGTACCGCCACGATACCCCCAGCCGAGGATTTGAAAAAGCCTCCGACACCGGATACCGATGCAAGTACCATGTCAGATGTTAGACTAGCACAATTCCTGTTTTCCTTGTCTCTAGGACGTAGAGGCGGTGGTGATGCGCCACGTGAGCCGGTTCGCGGCAGGCCTGATTTCACCGGATCATCCTCTTCATAGACCTCCGATGACGCTATTCGCGATCGTTTCCTGTATATCTCAGCTGGCTTGACGACAACACCGGAGGCTGCAACGGCTATGTCGCGGCTCGCTCCGATTGCGGCGGACACTGTGCCTGTCAAGGGATCCCATCGTCGTGAATCAATGATTATCGGGCGAATCTCATGTCTGTACGTGGTTAGCCACCAGTAAACGGCCAAAGCTAGATGTCTTGTTTGAAGCCGAAGTCTCCTCGTCATAGTAAATAGCAAGGAGAAAGCCCTAGGCGTCACGGGACCCCATGGGTTGTGGACTTACAATTTCAATCGTGCTACGTCAACTTTAAGGTGACTTGTCAGAATCTCTGCCGCGGCCTTTGATAGTTTTACGCGAGAATTCTTATGTCGATACATCCATACTGCAGGTTGTTCCTTCAAAATATCGCATCCAAGCACGTTCAGCGGCAGGTTGGCGTGGAAGGCTGCAGTCGCTGCTTTAACGCCTGATTCGTCCTTCATTCTCATGGCAAGTTTCCGGGCTGCCTCCGCCACTTCAGGCGTCAAACAGACTCGAATGGCCTCGGAAAGGGTCTCCACGGTCAGATCCTTTTGGGGGATAGGTTTTGGCCCAGCTCCGGCTGCAGCAACCATGTCGCCCCAAAACGGCTGGCTGTTTACAAGGTAGCAAGTCAACATCTCATCCTTAAGCCATGCCGGAAGGGGGGCGCATACTCTCCGAAGAATGGGACAATGGTTGTCGGTCGACCATTCGATAGTCCGCAAGCTGTCGTACCTGCACCACCATGGTGAACGACTGCAGCTACATGCTGAAACAGCCATTCGTGAGGGCAATCGCCAAGAAACATTACTTGGCTCGATTCAGGCCCGTCAAGATTACTCCAGCCTCTCGAGATGAGCGCACGAACCCCAGTTATGCGAACAGCTTCAAGAATCGTTGCAGAAAGTGCCTTTGGATTGTCGATCACAATGCTCCCAAAGCCAATGTAGACCGGAGGCGGTCCACCGCGGAGATATTTTTCGAGATCTGGAGGCGGAGTGTATTCTGGCGGCTCGCGGAAGAAAAATCCACAGACGTCTATGACAGCTTCAGTTATGGCATAAGGTAGTTATCGGTGCGGTTTGAATCATACCTATATGCGGACCCCAGTCTTGCGGCTTTGGTACAAGTGCCGGAGACCAACAGTAAGTGAAAGGGACTCTGAGAGTTTCCGCTAAGTTAGGTCCGTCCGAGAAGGCAATTTGTTCAAGATCTAGTTCGGTCCTCCACTCGTTGATAACATCACCGAGTCTAGATGATAAATATTAGTAATGAATCATCGATCTAGTTCACGGCCATACAGGCGACTATTCCGTCTGTCTTGAACCTCCAGTTCGACTTACCCTTGCCAAGTTAAAAATTCGACGATAGAGTATGAGACTGCATTGGCCATGTGCATCTCGGTATGTGCGCCCGTGAGGTTGGCTAGAGGGTGAGGGAACGCCTTCGTGATGCTCCAGGGCATTGTGAACATAAGGTGTACAGGAATGCTGAGAGCCTGAGCACAATGCAGATGCGCAAAGCTTGGAGGGTTGGCAATGATTGCATCGGCAACGAATGGTATGGAAGTCGCGCGGTCCGGCTCAATACATGACGCCCAACAACCCCTGAGCATCTCGGCCATCATTTTGCGCTTCTTTTGAATGTCGCCGGCACGCAAGCTGTCCATGCTTGGTATTAGGCCAGGATTGCGCACCATGTACGCCATCAAGTCCGCCGGGTCGCCTCCTATGGGATAGAACTCCAGCCCAGATTTACGGACAAAGTTTTCGAATGTGTTGTGCGTTGCGAGCCGTACCCGATGCCCGTGTTTCTGGAGCTCGTTTCCGAGGGCTATAAAGGGCTGCACGTCGCCACGGCTCCCCACAACCTGGATGACGACGTTTAACTTGACCACCGAAAGTATCGGTGTGTCCGCGGCAGTTGAAGACGTGAATGGTGGAGGGGGTTCCTCGACATCCTGAAATGCTTTTTTCTGGGAATTCGGTAAAATGAGGGACAGAGTTCTGACGAGTTTTGAATCGGTGTCGATATCGACTCGACCATCGTCTAGCAGTCAGTGTTAGAAGAACTGAAAGTCGGAACTGAAGGTACCTCTGCCACGAACCTCGAAGTGCGGGCTTCCAGCCATCGATAGCTTCCTTTACGTTGTCACGATCCAGAGAAGCCATTTGAGACGCCTTGCTGTATGATCAATAGCACCTGTCTTTTATTCTTAAATACCGAGGGGAAAATACAACTATGATGCTTTATGGAAATTTATGAGGAATTCATTGGTATAAATATCATGTATGTGTCTGCAGCTAGGGGAGACCAGCAAACGAGACGATGGGCTACGTATATAGTAGACAATCTCTGGCCGAGTAACTCGGAAGGTTTTAAGTAAGACTTTTAATTCTTGAAGTACCTTAGTCTAGCTGGGATGTGCCAGGCTGAAAGCCCGGCGCTGATCCTGGAGTAGTAAACTTGCATTGCCACGAGGACGGGCAAAGCGTCAAGACATAAGTAGAAACAATGGCCTTGGCGCTTTGAAGGGTATAGCCAATCGCGGCTGTATTTTTACGCGTAATAGTGTGACCGGCGTCGTCGCCAGATCCATGCGTGGCCCTAGAGCCCGAATCTTTAGCCCCGCCTCGACGTAATGCACAAAGGAGACTGCGTAAACTCCGCCGGGACAAGGCCGAGGTCTCCCTGGAAATGCCGGCGCCTTAGCGTATCAACCTACTTGTGTGCAGTCTTCATGTTGTTCAGCCACTCATGATGCCCTCGTGCACCCTGTCCGGTGCCCGCTCCATGTCCATGGTTCCCACTCGGGCCGTAGTTGCGCAAGGAACGATGGGCAGAGCAGCCTCGGGCCAATGGTCTTGAACCATCAACATAAAAGTGTATGCCTTCTTCTCGAAAAGGGGGAAGAAACTCTCATGTTGCTCTTCATTCCACCTGACACTTCATCATCTTCTCACACTCTCGTTAAATCACCTGTTCTATCATGCGACACTTTGTAGTGGCCTCGACCATTGCACTGGCAATGCCAATCACATCCAGTCCCATAGAGTGGTCCGAAGCTCTCACCATCGCTCGCGACTTTGTCTCTAACCTGACCCTCTCTGAGAAGATTGGAATCGTATCTGGTGGATATCTCTCCCCTGCACCCGCCTGCGTGGGTGCCATTGGGGCCATACCTCGCGTTGGTTTTGAGGGTATATGCCTCTCAGATGGCCCGACTGGTTACTCCCGGTCAGATGGTGTCAGCGTGTTTCCTGCAGGTATCACGATTGCGGCAACCTGGGATAGAGATCTTATGCATCAGCGTGCCGTGGCCCTCGGGGAAGAATTCAAGGCCAAAGGGGCTCACGTCCTTCTTGGGTAAGTCAACCCGCACCTCGAACCTCCTGCCCACCTTTCGCATGGGCTCTGGAAATTCCGTCTCCGGCTAGAAAGCTAATGATAAAATAAGACCTTCCACGGGGCCGTTGGGACGGAGTGCTCGTGCAGGTCGCAACTGGGAAAGCTTCGGCCCAGACCCGTACTTGGCGGGGGAAGCAATGAGTGCTACTGTGTCAGGCATTCAGTCGACAGGTGTTCAAGCGTGTTCTAAGCACCTGGTCGGCAATGAACAGGAAACTCAGCGGACATCCTCGAAAGTTTCGAATGGGACGGTCGAGGCCGTTTCCTCCAACATTGACGACCGAACCCTGCATGAGCTCTACCTCTGGCCGTTTGCCAACGCCATCAGGGCCAACACGTCGAGCATCATGTGCAGCTACAACCGGTTTAACGGAAACTACTCATGTGCGAACTCGGCGCTCCTGACCGACATCATCGCAAAGGAGTTAGCATTCACTGGTTACCTCGTGTCGGACTGGTACGCGACTCACTCAACGGCCGAGTCTGCCAACGCGGGCCTCGATTTGGAGATGCCGGGAAACGTGAGTGCGGCAGCAGGGTTCGCCTACTTCGGCGAACCTCTTCTCCAGGCGGTCAATAATGGCCTGGTGTCCGAGACCCGACTCGACGAGATGGCGCAGAAGGTCTTAACCCCATATTTCCGACTTGGCCAGGACAAGGACTACCCGTCCGTCGACCCATCCAGCGGTGCCGTCTTCTTGACATATCAATACGGCCAGAATTCTCCCTTATTCAGCTACTACCCCAAGGTGCCCGCTCGTGACGTGCGCGCTGGTCATGAGGAGATCATCCGTCAGGTTGGCGCTGCAGGCACCGTACTTCTCAAGAACACCAATGGCATCCTACCCCTTAAGAACATAACAAACGTTGGCATCTTCGGAAATGGTGCTGGGGACCCGGTCATTGGCTCGGCCAACTTCATTGACAAGAGACCCAATGGATTCGAGTACGGCACCTATGATATAGGTGGTGGCTCAGGAACCGTACGCCACACCGATCTCGTAACCCCACTCGCGGCAGTACGAGAAAAGGTCAGATCGTTAGGGGGACGGCTCCAAATCCTGCTCGACAATGATGAAGTGGCCGAGGGATCATTCAAGATGCTGTACCCCGTGCCTGACGTCTGCCTCCTTTTCCTCAAAGCATATGCAGCAGAAGGAAGGGACAGAGAGTCCCTCAATCTCCAGTATAATGCGACTATGGCGGTGGAGAAGACGGCAAGCGTTTGTCCAAACACGGTCGTTGTAGTTCACGGTCCTGGGGTTGTTTTGATGCCGTGGGCCGACAATGAGAATGTGACCGCCATTCTACATGCCCACTATCCCGGAGACCAGTCAGGAAATGCCCTTGTCGACATTTTGTGGGGGGCAACCGAGCCAACAGGACGTCTACCCTATTCTATTCCCAAGACACTTGCCGATTACGGTGCAGACATCGTAGAGAGCCCCAAGTACTCGGGCTCCAACGGATGGCATTCCGACTTCTCCGAGGGTCAACTAATCGACTACCGGCACATGGATGCCCACAATATCACTCCCCAGTACGAATTCGGATTCGGTCTGTCCTACGCTATGTTCGCCATGGGGAGAAGCCTGGAGGTTGAGGCGAAGACGAATCTCTCCGCGCTACCTGACGTATCTTTGGGCACCGCACCGGGTGGTTACGTCGACCTGTGGACGTATGTCGCAACAGTCTCCGTCGAGGTGACCAACCAGAGTGGCAAGCAAGGTTCGACGGTGCCGCAGCTCTATGTCTCATTTCCCACAGACACTACGCCTACAGGAACGCCTGTAAAAGTGCTGAGGGGTTTCAGCAAGATATCCGTGAACAGCGGCGAGACTCAGACAGTAAGCTTTCAGCTCATGAGACGGGATATCAGTTACTGGGATGTGACCACCAAGCAGTGGATTATACCTGCAGGAACCTTCAACATTTTGGCCGGCTTTAGCTCGAGGGACATTAAAGCCACGACCACAATCTCATTTGTTTGATATCGTATGTCTTACTTTTGTCCAGTGGAGGAAAGCAGATGGCGGCTGGGCCATGTATGTTTTCTGGCCCATGCCAGCCAAGTACATAGACTAAGAGCCTTTTCTGGGTTTGAAAACAAAGGCAAATGTACTCACAAATCCTAAAATATTGAGTTGGCAAAAAAGTGTTCGCCCTGCTTTCATTGCCATCGTGGCAATTTGATAATTTGGTACAAGTGTTTAGAACTCTCCAGACTTGATGCATACCTCTTTTCCAAATGCAAGCTTCTGAGTTCCTATACTTCGTACTGTTTACTGGGTTTTCGAGGGGAACCAAACAGTTTTCATCTTGATTGAACAATACCAGTTGGTATAATATTGTTTGCCACTAAGCGCAATTGTGCAGTACCACTTTGCGAGCTTGCAACGTAACACTCCATCAAACAGGATTATTCGCATCAAAAGATCTACTAGTTTCAAGAAAAAATGCAACGTAGTAAATACACATGAAATAGTTACAAAATCTATGCTGAGTCTCATTCGATCAAAATTGCCTCTCTCGCATCCTCACCGTACCAATGGGCTATACCCTGAAGAGCAACTAAAAATAATGTTGGCGTCCCGCCTCCGGTTAACCAAAACGCAAGGCACAGATTCATCAAAGGCTCCCTCCCTCACATAGCTAGATCCTCTGAAACAAGTTGTCTTTGACCATGGGGTAGCTGTCTCCGGCCCCATGAGACTCCATGTCAGCAGCACGCGTGGAGTTCTCCGTGAGAACAGCGCTAGGGTGGTAGAATGAGTAGATTACGGTGACGATGAACATGAGAAGGGCGTCGAGGACGTATACGTAGGCCTCCTTCTGCATCAGCGCGCCGTCGTTACCCTGTGCGTACTCGGCCAGACGGAAGATGGAGCGGACCATGATGAGCAGACTCGTGACGTAAAGGACCCATAGAAGCCGCCGCCAGCGTGCCGCCGTTGAGAGCGACACCGTCGTCGGCTTCCTGTAGATGCGGACATGGAACACCATCGTGACGATCATGAAAAAGGCAAAGAAGACGATTTGGATGCCCAGTCCGAGCAGGATCACGCCGTTTCCCATGCTCTGAGACGATTCTGATTTGGCCGTAGCCAGAATTCCTCCACCTGCAATGGCCAACTCAGTCAGTCGATTCAATGATGACTTTTAAACTGGGGTACAGAGAAAAGGAAGAAAAGGGTTTTGTGCGAGTGGGCGTACCTCCACCTTGCCCGAGGAACGACAGAATGTCTCCCAGCAGGAAGAATTTGGTGAGCCATTTCGGTCGAATCACGGAGTACGAGTCGCCGTGCAGAAAGCTTATCATCCGCCCGAGCACCATGTATATCGAAGCGGCGAATAGAGTTGGTCCAAGGAGGGTTAGAAGACTCTGGATGATGTAGGGCATCAGCTTCCAGTCCGGCGTCTGCCGGGCCGACATGGCTCGCGCAATATAGCCACCCGCCTCGACTGTTAAAGAGCATACGATCAGTGATACTGTGGACTAGGGATAAGGATAGAAAGTTTGCCCACATAGACAGCCAAGCATGAAGGGTATGAAATACCATGCTCTGTTCCTGAACAGAAGCTGGGTGTGGCGGACTGTTGCGACTATGAACAGAGCGGCAAAGAAGGCCGCAGCCCCAAACGAGGGATCGTAGTGATAGTACTTGAACCCCGCCATTGCACGGATACTGTATATGAATCTGATGGTGATGGTTGGTGGTGGCTGCTGCGTTGTATGGCTTCAAGCGTCAGATCGGTATTGACACGTGAGATGATGAAGTTGGTTTCCCGGTTGTTGAGCATTGGGGATTCCCACCGCGGAATTTCTGTGTATTTATATGAATTGTTATCTCCCACACCCGTAAGGTAGTTGTGTGGATCTACTAGGCAAGGAATAGTCTCTCTGGTTGGAATATGTCTACACCCGCGGCTAGGGAGTGACAAGGTGCCGACACGCTGAGTATATGCTGCGGCTTACCGTTACACCTTTGGAGCCAGTAACTTTCATCGTAGGGAAGCGGGCGGCCGAGCAACGGCGGAGCGGTGATAGAGCTATATCTGGCTTGGTTCGGAACGCCGAAATGGCCGGAAGAGTGGACTCAACCGCTGTGGCCAAAGTACAGGTACATGAACTATAAGGACAAAATGCATACCATACTACGTATACAGTACTGCGTTGAGCCTCCATTAATCGTTGTGTGCCACCCATTTACATTCCTAGCCCTGGTAAAGGCTTGACACGTTCGATCTTCAAAGTGTGGTAGTCCACAATCTGCCCCAAGGATCGCAAGTCACGCGTATTTGGCGGGGCTCTTAATACAGATGCCAGCGCCTCCCTTTCAGTCTGTGGCTTAGATCGAAAAGGCCATCGCATTTCCAGTGCCGTATAGACTTGAGAGGCCATGTTTCAGTTAGGGGCGCAGTCTCAAGTAATAGTAGTGGATTCAGAATACAATCAAGGCCAATGGTAGTGGAGTTCACACGCGTATTTGATAACCCCACGGGGGTGTGTTATTGCCAACGCCATCTGCTTCACAGCTCTCTGTGAGAAATCTCAATTGCGTTATGCATCTAAGTTTGCTGCGCAGCATAGTATGTAGGTACCATGATCTTGATCCCGGGCGTAACACCGGCAACCGTCAATAACAGGGGATGAGCGGCGCGGTAAATGCAGTTGAAGAGGCTATGAGAGGCCATAAGGGGGCACTGATTATTTCTTATCAGGTTAAAACTGACTAAATGCGACTACTTGCAGCAATTTTACGCGTTAAAATCGTCCAAAGGTGAAAGGCCCTCTGAAAGTAACCTTGCCATCCGCTTGAGAACTGACTTTTCCGTGATCGACTAGGATTAGGTTCTAAAATGAAAGCAGTGCTTTTTCTGCGTGCTTAGTCTGTTTTATTTCAAACAAGCAATGTTAGACAGATCGTACAAGTTGCAAGAAGACCTGACTTGTTCTTCTGAAAATAGGATAAACTTAGGCGTTTAGCCAAAGACTAACAAATTCTGATTCACAAAACTTTTCCTGTTTTGTTTCCGTTATTGCCTATACAAATACGCATCGCTTTGAATTAGTTCTATGTCAGATGGTTAGAGGCGATGAGAGGAATAGCATCTACCTTCGTCCGGATAGAACCTTTTCGTCACTTACCAAAGAGAACCAGCCTAATGCCATACAACAGCTGAATGACAAGTGCACACTTATCAACGTAAGCGCTGAATATCTTGGCTGAAACTACCGAGTAGGTACCTAGGCACATTAGAAGTGTAATGTTGGGGGGAATAAAAACAACATACCGTGTTGAAAAGTTGAAATGCTGGTAAGGTAGGCACCTAAGGTACGTATATTCACCAGCAGGAGTAAATACGACCCAGTGCCATGAGAGACGCTGTCCTCCAAAGTGAAAAGAAGCCTATTTGGGGTCCGGTAGGTGTAGTGACAGCTTATTGGCAATAGAAATCGTTGGTTCACAGTGCCTTGTAAGCCATTGAGGATGAGTGGCGAGCCACGAGACTGGATCGTCAGATAGATTTCTATGAACTGTAGCTACCAAAGAACTGTGTTAGCATAGAAACAATCTGAAATTTAGATGCATTCAAGTTGTTGAGTGGTGATGGTAAAGTGATGATTTGGCGAAGAACAAGAGATGCATCTGAAAGGGTCAGCTGTGTATGGGCAAGAAGGCTGGAATTTGGCAATTGCCTCCCGTCGCTGATATCAAACTTAGCAGATTTAGATAATATACCGGTTGAGGTAAGGAAGACGCTCAGTAAGCTTTCTATTCCTCGAGCAAGTAACAGCGAGAGAGTCTCAAGAGAGGCACGGAGCGGGCCGGGGCAGACCCACCCTTCAGCCCGGAGAAGCGGTCCTGCAGGTTACGGTGTGGATGTCTGCATTTGGTAGCAGTGGCGCCCCCACCCGGTGAGGCTGGGCCGTCTAGGGGTCTAAGCTCAGCGAAGTGGTATGTCCTTGCGCATGAGGCGGCATTTGGTTGGCAGGAAAAAGTTACGATAAGATCATCTTGATTTGATCTCAAAAGGGATGAGAGGGATCTTATGCCCTTACTGATCTGACAATCGTGCGGCGTAGTAAGATGTGTGGAGGTTTGATGTGCATAAACATGGATAAACCTATCATGCAGCAGATGTCTATACCGCCAATCCTGCATAATCTGTCTTTGGATCTGAAATACCTTACCAGAATTGTCACATTTGCCCCCCTAGCAGTTGTGTTACGGTTACGGTTGTGTCGTGTGATGAACCTACACCATTGACATTCTAGTAGTACTCTCTGCGGTATCAAGCTACTGAAATGAGATGAATATCCGCATTCGAACAACAGCGGTTCTGGGCTAGTCTGCTTTAGATTACCTCATGCATAAGAAGCTAAATCTGGCACCTGCACAAAAACCATTCCATCTTCTAGCCCAACAATCCCATGACCAAAAAAAAAAGAAAAAAAAAAAAACCGTGCCAACTTGAATCCTTTTTTAACGGGTACTGAGCCAGGCCTCGACGGACTTGGTTTGCAGTGGATTAACGGCGCAGCATCAGTGGACCCCAAAAGGCCAGACCCCTCTTAGCTAGCCCCGCGGCTCTCCAGGGCCGTTAACCGGCAGGGGCGGCGCCACCCAATTTGCTGCCGACGATAAGGACACGTGGAGTCACGATAAGCCAAGCGACGGGTCCTCAGCGCTTAACAATAAAAACTCTGGCCACTCTTTTACTTTTTTTGATTACTTTTTTCTTTGGAGAAGAGAGAGAGAGAGTCTGGCCTTGATTGCCTCCCCCCAGCACAAAAAGTGGCACTGCTTCATCAATTTTGCATTCCATTGCAACCCTATCTCATCCCATTTATTTCTTCTTACACCTCTGTTTGGTAGTGGCCCCCCTCGTGACTCCGAGACAAGACGGAAATCTATCTGCAGCGTATCGCATAAGCCCTGCATAATTGCCAATTAACTAAAACACAAACTCACCTACTACGCATGCGGCATTGACGGTACCAAATATACACCTTTTCATACTTAGCTCAGTGCTCCCTTACCAAACCACAAAACACCAAACACCAAAAAAAAAAACAACCCCAACACCAAGCCTCGGCCACTTTTCAGCTCGATCCTCTTTAGCGTCTGCCACCACCCCGGTTAGCTCAACGAAGACGCCGCCGCCCCCTCCAACCCATCTTTCGTCTCGTCTCGTGTCGTCAGTCACGCAGCCGCCCCCATCTGTTCGTCTCTTTACCCCGGGCGTTCTCTCTTACTCTCCTCCCTGCCTCCTCTTTCTCTCGCCCTTGCAGGAACCAACTATTCGACTCGCAAAAACCAGCAAACACATCACTACTGTCCAGTCCGTTCACACCGCCACCTGCGTGTGATCCGCATTCGACGAGACCATTTCCACCTCCAGCTGCAATCTACTGCACCTCCAGCACTGTCAGCTCCAACTTTTCTACCCTACGTGTCCAGTCCCGACGCTGGAATCCTTTCGTCTCACCCGCCACCGCTTCTCGCCCCCTCCTCGCTCTCACTAACCTTGCCATCGCTGCCGAAAATGGCTTCCATCATCGATGCCCTCTGGGACTTTAATACCCACGTCACGCTCTTTGGTCGCATGATGTTTCTCTGGTCCTTTGTCCTTTTCGGAATCGTTATTGCTGTCCAGCTGTCGCAGTACGGAGAGCCTGATCATACGAGAATTCAGTGGGTGCGCTTTACTGACGAGTCTCGGTAAGTTTGAGTCAATTTCCATATTTCTTTTTTACTTGTGTTTGTCTTGCTTTTTTGTCTCTTCATTCATGCCTCGTCTCCCCTCATTTTCATTTCCATCTTCCCTGGTCGCCAAACATGCTGCATGGACGTCTGAACTCCGTCTGAACCAAGACTGTCATCCCGCTTTGCCTTTTGCGTCCGCCGTTTCAACCCGCGCTTCGCATTGCATTGCATTTCTTTGTCTTTTCTTCCTGCCATGAGACCCGTGCGCAATGCTTTAGGGGATCCCCTCCCTCGCCTGTATCCGCCATGGATCTTCCATGCGACAAGGTTTCACCGTCCCCGCAATTTGTCTCTCCTTATTTAGCTAGGGGGCACTTTGTTTGATGACATGCCATGGATGCACGTTGCAACCAAAAAGAAACACTCATCTTGTTCTTACGCATATAAGAACCGGGCCGAGGAATCTCTGCTAATCTCTGTCTTGCTCATGCAACCCACAGTCCCTACTGGCTCACCTTCTACGTCCTCGAAGTCTTCTTGTTCTTCACCGGCGCCTATCCTATGCTCTACGACAAAATGTCCATGTACCTTGGCACTGGTTACGAGGAGCAGATACTCAACGCCATCTGGATTGGTCTTTTGAGCGTCGAGGCCCTGATGGTCGCCGGCGTCGCTGTGCTTTCCATCTCCCGCAAGCTCAAGGCCCCGCCCAAGCAGAAGACCAACTAAAGACGTCGCGCGCGTGTTGTCCGTTGTTCGAGACCATTATATATACCCCCCCCCCTCGTTTTGTTGCTACACGCGAAAAAGGAAGATACCCCCTCTTACGGGAGGAGCGCGGTCGCAACATGTTGCCAGATACTGCATCTTTGGAGTTGGAGGCTGCTCTCAATATACCTCTCTGTTTTGCGTCCATGCATTCGCTTTCGATTGTCATTCAATAGTGACCCCTCCGACTACCATGCCCTACCCTCAAACGACCGATATGTTTCATGAAGATACCCAAAACGAACGCGATGCTTTGATTAGTGGATCAGCGTTTTCGACAACGCCAAGAATGAGAGAAGCCTACGAAAGAGCCGGACGAGCATCATTTCTCAGCGTCTATCTGCGCTGGAAGCGCATACGCACCGAATGAACAAAGCCATGATTAAGCAGCTCAAAAGAAAACGCCATAAACAACCAACAGCCCGAGATCCTGGGACTCGATGCTCTTTCAGACCAAAGGCTGCGCCCAGGAATTTGAAGGAGGAACAGGACCCTGGCGAGCGTGGTTGGCTGCAAATAGTAAGCCGCAACCCAATGAAGAAGGAAGATCTTGGCAATCGAAAGGTCGGACGGAGACAAGTTTCCCCGCGTAATACTACTACTACGCATACGACCGCCAGATCCTACGATCTTCAGGTCATTACGGCTATGTATAGCCTGCAGCCCCATTTCGGGGGCCTAGCGAACAGTTGGCCGTCTTAGGAACTTCCTCAATACACGTGTTTTCCACCCCCTTCGTACAAATGAGTACCGCCGTCTTGGCAAATGTCGTGCATGCAGCTGTGTTCAATCTGGAGAAATATATCCCAATCTGCAGGCCATTCGATAGTTCCCGCTGGTTCTTCTCTCCGCCCCCTCCCTCAATCACACCCTCCTCCGAGCCGGCTAAATCCTGATAGTATGTGACCCCTGAGTACGTCTTCCCCGCATCGTACCTCGCGACGGACCTGCGGCTCATCACAGGAGACGCCGGCAAGTTGGCTACTGTCGCGAAACGTCTCGAACGGATTTCCGCCGTTTGCGCCCTTGATCTCGGTCGGTTTTGAACCGAATCGACGGCGCATTTGGCCGTGCTGTCTATCGAGGATGGTTTTCCATCATGAAGTTTTCTTCATTCATCTCTCGCCCCCCCTGCACAAAGCCAAGTCTCGCAGGCAGACATCTCGTTCTAACTAACCCGAAAGACGTGACAGTGACAACTAGGAAATCATATGGATATAGAAGACATAAAGCCGCTCTTTAGATTAAAACTAAATTCAATCAGTAAAACTACCACACTCTCTTGCCGTGTCACACACACACACACGTACACCTGCAGCGTCACCATGGCGCGACTCTCGTTGATCCCCCTATTGGCCCTCCTCACCCTCGCCGTCGCCCTCTCAGTCGAACCCAACTCCCTCCGAGCAAACGCCCAGCTTAACCCAATCGCCGTCGACACCGCCACGCCCCGCCTCACATGGCGCCTCACCTCTTCCAAACGCAGCGATAACCAAACGGCCTACCAAATCCACGCCTCCTCCACCTCGTCATTCACCTCCACGCTATGGGACACCGGCAAAGTGTCCTCCGCGGACCCCTGGGCAAACTACGCCGGCGACGCGCTATCCTCCCGCTCGGCCGTCTTCTGGCGCGTCAAGGTCTGGGACGCCGCCGGCGCCGAGTCGTCGTGGAGCTCCACGGGGACCTTTGAAGTATCCCTCCTCGACAGGCAAGACTGGGGGGACGCAGAATGGATCACCAACAAGGCCTTCGCAACAGGGACCACGTCCCTCCCGCGCTTCGCGAGGCCCTTCACCGTGACGTGCCCCGTGACGCAAGCCCGCCTGTACATCCTCGGCCTGGGCCTGCACTATCCCCTCCTCAACGGCGTCAAGGTGGGCGATGACGTGCTCTCGCCGGCGTACGCGACGCTGAACAAGACGATGCCGTATTCCACCTACGACGTCCTCGACGGGCTCCGCCTCGGTCGGAACGTGCTTGCCGTGGAACTCGGCAAGGGAATCTACGACAACACGGCGCCGTTGCTTGGCCGGTATACAAAGTTCAAGCAGGCTGCGCGGGAACTCATGCTACTCGCGCAATTGGAGTATACGTGCGAGGACGGAACCGTGGAAAAGGTAGCTACTGACTCGTCGTGGGTGACTACCGTCGACGGACCGTGGATCGAGGCGCATTGGTACGGCGGTGAGGAATATGACGCGCGCAAGGAGGTCGACGGGTGGGCTGGTGTGTGTCACAATCGGTCGTCTTGGGTTAACGCGAGCGTCACGACGCCGCCCGCGGGGAAACTTGTTAGTCCGCGCTCGCCGCCTCTCAAAGTTACCGAGACGATAGTTGCAAAGTCGGTCAGAAAGGTTCGTGCCCTCTTTTTTTTTTGAAAATTGTTTCTCTGCAGCGCATGCTGACTAGATAGGCTTCCAACGGACAATGGGTGTTTGACCTGGGCACCAACATCGCGGGTCACTTCACGCTTCACATCAAAAACCAGGGCGATAAAGCAGGTACACGAATTACGTTTTGGCCGGGAGAAACAGCGGGTGCGGACGGCGTAAGCCAGGCGTCAAGCGGCTCCCCTATCTTCGACGCATACACACTGTCCTCGTCCGATGTACAGGCTTACACGCCGCGGTATCTTTACCATGGGTACCAGTACCTCGGCGTGAACCTCACTTGGACGCCAGAAGCATCAGATCTGGTGGGCTATGTAATTCGCGCCGCCAACGAGCCCGTCTTGACGCTCTCGACTTCAAACTCGCTCTTCAACTCTATCCATGGGCTAGTCGACCGCTCAATCAGGGGCAACATGCACTCGGTCCTCACTGACTGTCCGCACCGGGAAAAGTACGGCTGGTTGGAACAGGACCATCTTGTCTTTGGACCTTTGACGATGGGTTACGATTTGGAAGCGTACTTGGACGATCTGGTGAGGACCATCGGCGACGCGCAGGCCTCTGATGTTCCGGGCCTCATCCCGGATATCGCGCCCGAGTACGGGAATCCCATGGGCGGAGGATACCGAAATGACCCGAATTGGGGGAGCGCCGTGGTTCTTGTGCCGCTCAAGGCGTATAAGCAGTACGGCGATATATCCATCCTCACGAAGAAACGCAAGGAAATGGTCGAGTATGTGGATTACCTCGTCCGTCGCGCCGGGGGCAAACCGTATCTGAATGACGGCGGTTTGGGAGATTGGCTGAACCTGGATACTTCAACACCCAAAGGTGCTGCTTCCACATTTGGGTTCCATGGAGCTGCGCAGGGAATGGCTGAAGTTGAGGCGCTTCTAGGGAACGAGGCGGAGGCGGAGAAGTATGCTGCGCTCGCAGAGAGTCTGAGGCAGGGTTTCCACGGAATGTGGTTTAACCAGACAGCCGGGGGGAACTACTACTGCACGAACTCCCAGGGTTGTAACGCGTTTGCGTTGGGTATGGGTGCTGCACCGGGGGATACGCGCGAGAAGGTTCTCGCCTCCATAGTAGAGTCCCTGGAGAAGCGCAACTGGGCTATGACGGTCGGTGAAATTTCTCTCCCCTCGCTTTTTGAGGAGCTCCATGACGCGGGTCGAGATGATGTGCTGTACAACATCATGAGCAACGACAAGGACTGGGGCTACGGAAGGATGGTCAGAGAGGGCGCTACGTCGCTGTGGGAGCACTGGGATCTACCGGTGACGGGCGGCTCGAGGAACCATTTCATGTTCGGGTACGCTGACTCTTGGATCATTCGTCTTAGCGGTCTTGCGCAAAGAGAAGGGAGTGTTGCGTGGAGGGAGATTGAGTATGCGCCAATTGTCGTGGGTGATTTGACGTTTGCTGAGACAAGATACCGCACTCCGCGAGGCGATGTGAGTGCTAAGTGGGAGAGAGATGGAGGGCGGTTACAGTATGAGATTGTTGTGCCTGTTGGGTCAACGGGCTGGGTTGTGTTGCCGGCAGTTGATGTACAGGAGGGCGGCGCGGCTATTAAGAGCGGAGAGGGAGTGGTATCTTTCGAGGAGAAGAATGGGACGACGACGATTTTGGTGGGTTCCGGAACATTTTCTTTTTCAGGGACGTTGAGCGATGATTGAGTCATGGAAGTGATTGAACAGTGGTCACGATGGATAAGGTGTATTCGCTGCAAGGCAATTGTGGTTTCACTGTTGTTATCACAGAAATTCAATGCAAGATCTTTCGATAAGAGTTCATCGTAGAAGCACTTAACTTACAGATGGGAATGGGATGATACCCAACGGCGGTCGATGACCAACCCGTGGGCGTATTAGATCTCCTCAACAACCTTGTTTCCAATAAATTCTCCAGAAAAGAGTTTGTGTAAATTTCGACAGCAGTCCTCCTGTTTTCCTGATCGTTGTAGTCCTTCAACTCTCTTCCTCTTCATCTCCAGCATCCCCTTGAGGGTATACTTCGGTGACTCCTTCGGAAGAAAGAGGAATCGGCAGATTCTGGTGGGAGTCTTGATAGTGCTGTAATTATTTGGTAAGTATCCAAAGGGAAGAACAATGAGAAAAGAGGAGGAGAGTACTTACCCTGTTGCGGCTGCGAGCAGCCTGATACCAGCAGAAACACCCAGGCACCGTACAGAACAAGATCTTCATGGCAATTCCCCTGGCAGGGGCGGCTCCCTCAGAGACAGCAATACCGCCAGCGGCAGGGACGGATATAGACCCAGCAGAAGATGAAGAGGGGGGGGCGACAACAATACCAGCAACAGCAGTGGTAGCTTCAACGACAGGTTCAGCATCAGCGGCGGCGTTGGTGCTGTTCAACTCGGTGTTGGAGCTTGAAAGGAGCTCATTGGCAAACTTATAGCGCTCGGTAGTGATATAGTTAGGCACACAGTAGTTCATCTGCACGATATCTTCCCAGTCTTGGAAAGATTCTTCTTCAATACGCAGGAGCACAGCGCGGATATCTTGGCGGAGTTGTGATCCCATTGTTGCGTAGGTCTTCCTTGATTTGCGAGCGTGGTCTTATGGTGTGAACAGGTAGAAGAAAGGAAGAGAGAAATAAACAGGATGGAAAGGACATAAATTGCAAAGGGACCGAAGGGAAGGGAAAATAAAGAATCTTACCTGCCTCAAGAGAGTGAAAGCAGAAAGAGAAAGAAGCATCAGACGCAGGAGGGAAGGAAAATCTGATTGAGGTAGAAGTTGCAGAAACCCGAACTCGTCAGCCCGGTCTTTCCAGTACTTCAAAGTATTAACCCCAGAAATTCGTAGACTGTGAGTCACTGAGATATTGGAAGGGAAACAACATCCAAAGCCCCTTCCTCCCTTCTAACTTCCCTCCGTGCCATACCAAAGTCACTCCTCAGCCAGGCTCGAGCCAAACAAGATGCAAGAACAAATGTTGAAGACTCCAGCCAGTCAGAAGGTTATTCGCGACAGGTATTTCTCCTCTATCCAAAGCCAAGTACAAAATCTGATAAGAAGCCAGTTCGGCCTCTGAACAGTTTGCAGCGGCCATCGAAAAGGAGCTTGGCGATGTCATAGCCACTCTTGATCGTTTATGCGAGACATGCCCTGGTCCTGGTGGTGTCTATGAGGACGCTGAAGAAAAGGAACGCAAAGAGAAGATCATCTCTCACACCAACAGAGTCACCAAGCATACACGAAAGACTACTAAGACTCGTAAGGCTCAGTATCGACAGATTGCAGGCACTAAAAAAGAAGAAAGCTCGGCAAGGAAGGAGGTTGATCTCACGTTGGATTCCGATGCGAACCATTGCGAGGAAATTGAAGATGCCTTTTCCATGTTCCTTGATGAGGAGCTTGAAAACATGCAGAGAGTGATTTTCAAGGACTTTGGCTTCACTGCGTAGGACAAGAAACTGGAGGAAGTTTGATGTGTCGTAGTGCAAGGCCACTTTTGGGGCAGAATGGCAAATAGGGAGAAACAGGCAAGCATTCAAAAACTCAATCACCCGTGAACATGGAAATTTTGTGAATCAACCTTGTTTGGTAATTCCATAGGCTCAACTGAGCAATAACTATCTGCGATACCAAACGTCCAACGCACTTTTCAGCCGGTGATTAAAACACACTGCTTACTCCAGCATTGAGTACAGAAATCATGATCCATTCCGAGCCAACCAGAACCCAAAGAAACAACCCTTGGTGCAAGGTTAGTTGAATGGTGTGGATTCCAGAGTCCTTTAGTTCTCGTTATGGACGTTGCGCAGGTGCTACATGTTCCTCGTCAGTAAATGACCCTGACTGGGTAGTTCAGTATCAAATGTAACTCACCAGAGCCAGATAGCCGGCGACCTTGTACTTCTTGTCACAGATGTGGCAGCGCAGTGACTGAACTTGCTCCTCGTCGTCTTCCTCTTCTTCATCCGTCTCCGCACCTTCTTCAGCAGCATTGGAAGAAGCTTCGGCGGCGCTGGAAGAAGCCTCAGCAGCGGGGGCGAAGTTGCCGGCGATGTGGTCGTTGGTGAAAAAGTCCTCCAGTCTCTGAGCAGGCTGAAAGTTGCCATTATTGTTGACAGCCTGGAAGTCTTGATTGTAGCCAGCGATGGCGTTTGTACCGAAACCTCCACCAGTGCCAGGTCGAGGCGCGCCCATACCAGCAAAGAAGCCGGGGTTAGCTTCCTGGACGGTGGGAGGCATGAAAATCAACGGAGAGTTGCCAGCCGAAGAGATGCCGGGGACAGGAACGCCGCTGATATTGGGCAGGGCGCCAGTCTGGCCATTGTACCGGATCACGTTGTAAAAGTTGGCATGGTTCGCGTTGACGAAAGGCATGAAAGTGACGGGGGTGCCAGAGATCCAACCAACACCACTGCCCGTCTGGACATGATATCCATGGTACAAGACAGCAAATTCGCTCATGGGGATGGTCTCGCGGATATCCTCACTGGATTGAAAAGCTGCCTCACGCAAGCGGAGCTTCAGCAACAGGGATTCGTTGTACCGGATGACGTTGCTGAGAGGCAGTCTCATGGCGGTTGCAATACCCTGGAGGTGCTGCAGAATCGCAGCATTGACTGACTCGCTGAGGTCGCGATCCATATTGCTATCATTGAGGTTAGAAGCAACGTTTCCTTAATCAGTACATTATACGTACGCGGTTTTTCTGCAAAAGAAGTCGATTGGTCTTGTGTCTTGAGCAATGTTGGGACCTCTGGAGGAATCAATGTTGAGGTGAAGAAAGAGAAGTTTTGAAAGAAGGAATATCTTTTTTGATTCTCTTGTAGGCGTCGAGAAAATCTTTCAGTCGGCTGAGTCGTCGACGCCGGTGAGAAAGGGTGCAAAGAGAAGGACTCTCCTTGCCGACGAGATGGCTCTCGCCCCTGTGTGCCCTCACGATACCTTCACCCACATCTAAAATCCATCGTCATGACGACAAGGGCTAGGATCATGTGATAGGTGAGAGGTCTGCTCCACGGCATTCCATGACCTCTTTGATGCTTTCTACGAAGGAGGCCTCTTCTTGTAGACAACCATCCCCAAAGCTACCAGCAACCCTTCGAGGGCTTTCCCAAGAGAACTTCATCGTTGTGGCGAGGAACAGCCTGTGGAAGCGCACAAATATCGCCGTTGGTATCATTCGACATTGACAGACTTTCTTACTGACCTACTGCTCGTGTTCGAGGACAGTCAGTTCCTCGGGAAGCCTCTACAAAGCTTGCCGGCTTTACTTTCCTCGGCATATGAGGGATCTTTGCAATCAGTTGCTTTTACACAGAAGGTAAAGATATCTACCTTTCCACTGTCGTTGTTCTGTCTTGGCTGTTTTGGTATTGACCATGAAAGAAAGTCGCATCTTTGACTTGCCAAATTAACGGAAAATAAAAAGCCAGAGCCTGACGGAAATGACCTGACGCCAACATCATCAGCTTCAGTATCGTCATAATTAGCATCCAATTCTTCCTGGAAAAGCAGCATTGCACGGCAGTATGCAGTCCGGTAAAACTTCCAAGTTGACTTTGGTCACGTCCTCATCCGGTATTAAGGAGGAGAAGAGAGCGGTGCCGACGGATTCTCAAGTGGCTGAAAATAGTGGCTCGGACAGGAGCCAAGACTCAGAAACCGAGAGAAGCGTTTCCGTAGAGTCTGAAACAGATGATGAAGAGGTGGAAGAGCCCTTTCAGACTCCCCTACCTGTTCGCACACGCAAACTCAAGAAGCAGAAGCTCGATGGCTCCGTGGACAGAGTTAACACGCCCTCAACGGCGACTACAATGCAAAGTGACACCGACAATTACTTAGATATTGAAATTCCAACCTTAGACGACAGCACCATTCCGCTCAGCTACTCAGGGCGTCATCGCAAGGCGACGCCGCCAATTACTGATGGACAATCGGGAAACGAGTCTTCTACCCCGTCGACTCCGAGCAAGCCCCCTTCCAAGCGCCGCCGGGTAGTGTCTTCAAGAGGCCCAGTACCGACTCATGCAGAAGCGGTGAAAAAAGTTGAGAACTTGACTGCCGAGCTGAAGTCGATCATAGAGCAGCACAGAGCTCAAAACGAACTCTACGAAGATCTCACTTACGAGAACAGTGCGACGCCCGATATTCTCGATGCTTCAGTTCGCGCTTCTCGTCATCGTTTACAACAAGCTCTGCATGAGTACAAAGTAGCCAACTGCATTCAACGACTGCCTGCGTCTTCCGAACTACCTCACGAGATCATAGAGCTTCGCGACTCCCACCACCTGGCCATTTGGGAGAAAGAGAAGTGGTACGCGAATACCAGAGCGGTCTTTTGGCGCCTTTCCAAACTTGACCGTGAAAAGTCAGAGCTGTGGCAGAAGCTCCAACAAGCCAAGAGCGAGATGGCTGCGGCGCTGCAGCGTGAGAGTGCCGAGAATGGGATCTGCACGACACAGCAATCTCAAGGTAATCTCGAACCCATTGGGATGCTACCTGGTGGTAGGCCGCTGTATAAGCCGTCTCCTGCGCTTGAAAAGATTCGACAAAAGCTTGAGGCAACCAAAAAAGAGGCTTCGGAGCCATTTTACTTTCCTGGTACGACTGACTTTGGAAATTCTCCTACTGAATATGCTCCTTCTCCGTTCATTGCATCATCTACTGGCAACATTGCAAGCCCGTGGCCTTTTGTCAAGAAGGCGGACACTCTCAACAAGAAGGGTGTCAAAAAGGGCAACTTGTGACTGGTTGGCAAGTGTAACAATGGTCTTGAACATGCTTTCTTTTCTTTCTTGCTCTTTTACGCCAGTTTAATCAGTAAAAGACGAGAGCTTGGCCATTAACCAGAAGGTTTGTTCCAATTTTTTTTGCTCTTTGAGGCGAACAATCGGTTGACCTCCAGACAATTCAGATTCGCTCGGGCTTCAGCTCTACTTGCCATGCGTTGCCGCATCAACAACTGGAACGTAAAGCATGCAAGGCATGAAGACAGAAGCGCGATTATTTGCATTGCTCTCGCGTTTTTCTTTCTATATTTATTTGTAAGTCTCCCTGCCCATCATTGGTAATTTCCTTTCCACTAACAGAAACCTTCGATTCCACTACGTTAGATGAAGGCAGACTCCCTGCCCGGCATCACTCCGCTAGCGCGTAACCACACGAGGTCTCATGACATTACCCGCGGATCCCGGAGCCGAAGCGGACGGCACCCATAGCCGCTCCTCTTGATCTTCCGCCAATGCAGACGGCAGACCACACCTCCCGCAGTGACACACCCTGCAATGCATCTCACCACTAGCGGTTTCTTACCCCACAAACCACCCCGGATTTTGACAGCTGTCTGCAGGATATTCTGCCGAAGTTGGAAGCTCCAGGCACAACCACACCTATTGAATCACATACAGGAGGTATTGGGATGACAGTGGGCCGGGGCATGGACGGGTAATAAAGTCAAGTTTTGGAGGCGGGATTGAGCATGTGGAACGGGGTTGTCAGCAAGGCGATAACCTTAACATGGAAGATCCCTTCAGTAATTATGTATGCGTCTTATCTCGTTTTCTTGCACATGTGGTCATCTTTTGTTTCTTGGGGGGGCCAATAATCATGCTACCACGTGTCGCTGGACAAGCCATTAAGCCTGAGTCGTGCACCAATAACCCACACTCCGAATTGTCCGGAGCATTGATCTTAGGCTGGGCAGTGCAACTCGTCTTTGCAATGTGACTCTGAAGACCAAATAAACCTCGCGGTGGGGTTCTCTCTCACACATCTAGGAAATGATCATCAGCTGATTGTCGATACTACTACATTCGGGACGGACCCTGACGACCGAACTCTAATCTCCAGATGCAGATGAACCACCGCTTAGACGGCAGATGGCGCGCCCAAACGCAATATCGCCGCCATAAATCACCTACATAGTATAAGTGAAATTTCCAGGCCGACGCCATACAAACTAAACTACCTGCCCGCCCGGTCCGCTCATCCCCGTTTGCAATGTGACTCCAGTGAGTGGAAGTCCCGCCTCCCGAGTCAGGTCCCCTGACGTCTGTAAGACGCCTTGGGCGAGGAGGGACATGGAGAGAACAAAAGGAGGCCGGATTCTCTCCCTGTTTTTTGTCTGTATTTGTTGTCAGATTGTCTAGTCTCACAGGCGAACGGGCTTGCTCCAGACCATCATGAAGCATCTCAACCTGGCCATCCTGGCCGCAGGCCTGGCAGCCATCTCCCCCGTCGCCGCCGACACAACAACCATTATCGACGCCAAATCCGACCGCGGTACCTGGGAGGGATGGGGCACTTCCCTCGCTTGGTGGGCGCGCAAGTTCGGCAACCGCGACGACCTCGCCGACATCTTCTTCACCACCAAGTCCACGACGTTCACGGGGGTTAACCTCCCCGGCCTCGGCTTCAACATTGCGCGGCACAACGCCGGCGCGTCCAGCTGGAACAGCATCAACGGCGAGTCCATGGTCGTCTCTCCCAAGATGATTCTCTCGCGGCAGATCGAGGGCCACTGGATCGACTGGAACAGCGCGGACCCGACCTCGTCCAGCTGGAAGTGGGACGTCGACGTCAACCAGCGCGCGATGATGCAAAAGGCCAAGGCGCGCGGCGCGAACCGCTTCGAGCTGTTTTCCAACTCGCCCATGTGGTGGATGTGCAAGAACCACAACCCCTCCGGCTCGGCCGACGGTACCGAGAACATCCAGAGCTGGAACCTCGGCCAGCATGCCGTCTACATGGCGACGATCGCAAAGTACGCGAAGGACAACTGGGGAATCACGTTTGAGACCGTGGAGCCTTTCAACGAGCCGATCGCCAACTGGTGGAAGGCGGACGGCACTCAGGAGGGCTGCCACATCGACGTGCCCACGCAGGCGACCATCATCAACGCCCTCCGCACGGAACTCAACAGCCGCGGACTGCAGAGCATGGCCATCGCCGCGTCCGACGAGTCGCTGTACGACCAGGCCGTGAGCACATTCAACGGCCTCGGCAGCGCGCTCAACAACGTCGCCAGGATCAACGTCCACGGCTATCAATATGGCAGCGGCGCCCGCGACAAGCTTTACGCGCTGGTATCCGGCAAGGGGAAGAAGTTGTGGAACAGCGAGTACGGCGAGGGCGACGCCACAGGCGAGCGCCTCGTCTCCAACCTCATCCTCGACTTCAGGTGGCTGCGTCCGACGGCCTGGCTGTACTGGCAAGTCCTCGACGGCGGCGGCTGGGGACTCATCGACGCCAACAACGAGAACGGCGCCTTCGCGGGCGTCAACCAGAAGTACTTTGTCTTTGCGCAGTTCACCCGCCACATCCGCGAGGGCATGAAGATCCTTGACGGAGGCTCGGATAACGTCGTCGCTGCGTACGATGCCAAGACGTCGAAGCTGGTGATTGTGGCTGTTAACTGGGGTGATGCGCAGTACCTCAACTTCGACCTGAGCAAGTTCACCCAGGCCTCGACGAACGGGGCCAAGGTCACGCGGTGGAGGACGCAGATTGGCGGCAGCGGGGATCGGTATGTTCAGTCGCAGGACACGGTGATTAATGGGACCAAGTTTTGGTCGTGGTTTGAGAGCAAGATGGTGCAGACTTTTGAGATTGAAAATGTCAAGTTGTAGATGGTCTTGGAGGGTGGCCGTCTTCTCTTTAATGTTAGTAGTTCTTACATGGACAAAATGGATGAGCAAAGTATGCAGCAATATTGTCAGTGAAGGACGTGAATGCACTGGGAGATGTGAGAATCAATTGATGACAATGTTACGAGGTTAAATGAGCAAAAGAAAATGGAGATGATTCGAAAATGAGTATCGAACTCAAGACTACATCTAACTTGTTCAGCAATGCGAAAGCATCATATTGGCCACTACACCAGACTGGCTAAGGTAGTATTGAACGATGTAACAGGTGGAGTTGGCAAAGGTGCTAGCCTGGTATCTTGTTCACGTTTCTTCGCGTGTCAAACGACGCGTCTCAGACATGACGGTACATGAGAAAGAAAACAAAAAAAATTGTTTAACATTCTCAAAAACTGAATTTCTTTGCATTTCCCAGTCTGGGTTGACGATGGAATGTGAGACAGGTATCAGGCCGCAGGGCCGCGAGGCAATTCCATCTGCAGGTGTACTTTAGGGTTAGCTCCAAGTGGCGATAAAGGAAAGAATATTCGGTGTTTCCAATAGGAAGTAGAGGCAGCTAAGCATCTTGAGTTTTGAACTTAACACTGTAAAATATAGTGACCCTTCGATAAGCTGCCTTCGTCGTTGATGCGTCTATCTGCTTCATCTGCAAGATACACCAGCCTGTAGCCAGTACCCAGCAAGCCACAGAAACAGACCCCACCTGCCTGTCTCGGTAAGCGTCGGGGCAACACTGCGGGACTTATTGGGCGCTCATATCGATGGACCGTGCTGAGAAATGAACGGCCGTACCTGAGGTACCGATTAAGCTCTGGGAGATCAACACAAAATATGTTGATCAAGATATCTCTGGATTCCGTAGCGACCTATCACTGAAGGTCGTACGAAATGTTTGACTGATCCACCGAGGAGAACGGAGAAGATCTACAACTCATGCACGCGTTAATGCGAGCATCCCGATTTCATGAAGTTATCGATCAACCAATTCAGGGGTGGCATACAAACAAACCCTGGGCATCACCAAAAACCCGTTTGGCAAATGCAAACGTCAAGTTGATTTGAGCCATGAATTGGGGACTAATAAAGGGAGAGAAAAAAAATTCAAAAGGTAAGTTGCATCCGCGGGTAATCGAAACCCGGTCCCAAGCTGATCTTCACTTGATAGTGATGGAAGGCTTGGATGATAACCACTACACTACGAATGCCAACCGTGTGGTTGGGGAGTTATCCCGTTGATGGAAATGACAGGTGGCAAAGATGGTTATATTGTGGGGTTTGCTCATGGGAGCTCGTCCTGTATCACGCGCAACCATCTTGGCCCCACCGATCGTGCTGACACTTAAGAATCCAATCTGGAGGGGTGCACCCGTCAGCGAGGAAAGAACATTTGATTTTGGTTTTGTACATGAGTGCTGATCGAAAGCTTGATCATCGTGGGATTCGAACCCACGCCAATTACTTGACTAGCACCTGAAGCTAGCGCCTTAGACCGCTCGGCCATCTTGCCTTATGACATTCCTCCCGAATTTTGGGTACAGGTAGCTTGTCACCCCACCCTCGTACAGGAATTGAATCTGACGCCGACCCAGTTGAGTGGGAACAAGACTGACTGACGGCTGTAAATTCGCATCTAGAGTTTTACAGCTTGCCCTACACGTTGAAAGGCTTACAGGGATTGAATTGTTGATGGGGTGTTGTCTGCTTGTTAGTTTACAACATCCATGGCTTTTTTTTCCCCGAAATGCTAATCAGTGATTCTCACCTTGCCAGTTTATAAGTTGTAGGGCACTATACCTTTCGTCAAGTGATTTTTTGTCACGCTGGTACCCCAAGCAGTTGATTCTTCTGAAACAAAGAAGCACTCTCATTTGCTTTGAGATGCTGTCATGACAGACCTTGTCCTCCAACTTTAAACATAGGGCAGGGTTTCTTTCATCAAGGCTGTTTCCTGGGAGAAAGAGTCCGAAATGGCCTATGTATCACGATTCTCAAAGGTCTTTGACTAGCTGTCTTTGGAACTGGCCGACCAGATCTTTTGCAACCTACCTGAGAAAATAAGCATTCAAAGATGCTCTTTGAATCAACAACCCATGTTGCTGCTCAGTCTCTTCGCAACACAATGCAATAGTTTAGGTGAGTCCAGTTGTCTGGGCCAACACGAGAACTCACAACCCTGTCTGTCACAACAGCTCAAGCTCATTCTGGCACTAACCACGATCTCATTTTCCGGCAGTCCTCTGACCGACGTGGTCTCATTCTCTGCTGCTGAGTCGTCATGTTGTTATTTTCCCCTCGTCTCGTCGATTTGAAGGTTTTGCTCTTCTTTCAACCACCTCTGCCTTGAATCCTTCTTTCATCCCCATATATCCAATCGATTGCATTGATGACAATTTCTTGTCTTCTCCCACGATATTCGATCTGGCTGAGCGGCTTTCAAATACAGCTTCGGCGTGGGTTCTGGGAGCTCCTAGCACTGCCCTGTACTCGCTCCCCATTGTCACTCTTCTGGGAGAACAATCTCTTTGGCCGAACACCTTCCAATGAAAATCACAAGGCATTGTTCATAGAAACCTAGACATACAAAATGGCCGAGCATCAGCCTGATAGGTAAGTGGAAGATCCAGCAAAACCATAACCGTCTCATCTACCATTCATTCATCCGAATCTGCCTTATCATTCGTCAAACAATTGACAAAATATTAGAAAATCCGAGTTGAGTGACATGGCTTCTACATCAGAGGAAAAGACCAAGCCGGGCAACGGGGCAGAGACCGCCGGCGGTTCCGAAGGTCTACTCACATCCCCAAAGTCAAACGAACGCTCTGCATCAACACCCGCCAAAGTCTTGAGCAACAAGGGACAGCGAGAGCTTTTACTCGTCGACAAGATCTCCAAGAATCGCAACAAGACAAACCCCTTTCCACCCTGCGAACCCCTTTCTATCCCACGCCGCCGCCCCCTTGTCGCTGGCTCGCCATTTCAGCTTACCCGGGAAGACTGGCCTCCAGAGACGGACAATACAGCTAGCCACGGGGTCCCAATCATTCGTGTTAAGAACACAGATACCGGCTCGATCCAAGAAGGCGCCGGCGGCAGCGTCCTCCCTGCAAACCACATCCAGTCACCCCACTTCCTCCGAGTTAATGACAGCGCCCGGGATCGGAACGCAGAGCGCCGGCATATTACACTACAGCGGGAGCGCAGGAACTTTTGGGACATAGTCGACCGGGCCCTCGGATTGCACCGAGTTAGGACCTTTGGAGAGAACGGGGGTGACAAGAGACTTGCGGCCAAGCGCGCCATATATCGCGGAATTCTCATCTTTGGCATTCTGATGATGGTCAGTTTGATAACTTCTGCGGTCTTGTTTGTGGTTCAGGGAAGCAAGGGCAACAGCATGGGACCGGAGTGGTTTGTCTGGATGGGCGTCAGCGGTGCCGGGCTGATTTGGTCTGTGTTGGCATTCATCATGGCTAATCGGCAGAAGAACCAAGCCCAGTTTGATGAGGAAATTGCGCGCCAGCGCATCGTTCTTCGTCGTCGGCTTCAGAGTGGCATAGGCGTTGAGCTTGATGTGGTCAGTAGCCCCAACAACAATGAGCAACAGATCCAACGGGCAGCCGCTGCTGGTGGTGCTACTGCTACCTCCGTTGCTGCTGCTGCTGTTGCTCCTCTTGATGATGCCCCAACTGAAGTTAGCCAAGGCGAAGAGTCCAAGGAAGCTGACAAAAAGGATGCGGCCTCGGTCAAGGTCTAGGCCTAAGGACATTGTGTGAAGGATAGGAAAGAATGAAGCAACAGTGTATGTACTTGACGAGCTGCACGACCAAGTCTTTCAACCCAGGTATAACAACTGTTGAAAAACGTGATGAAGGCATTGTAAGCGTTTGTGGAGTCGGAGGGGTATCCAGAGTGCATCACCCGGCGGCTCACCCCAGTAAGTTATTTCAAACCCAGCCAGTAGCAAGTGATATGCTTATGGGCGTGCTATTAAAAATATCTTGGTATTGTCCTAGGTTAGGATGCCATGAGATAGCATACCATATGTCCTATGGGCTACATCAACCCGTACAGCGGGATGTTTTCGGAGCGTCCGAAAAGTATCGGAGCTTCTCGATAGGAACAATCGTTACTTTTTGAAGAAGGGCAGAAGAACAATCAGGCTAGGTAGCACAGTAACAACAGGTGGCCCCCAGCTCCTCCGTAGCACCTCCTTTCTATCGGCAATTCTAATACTCCGTCTAAGACGCCAAGAGGCCGGTACAAATCTCAAACCATCCCACGTTCCTTCCTTCCAGAGAAAACGGTAAACACAGAAAAAGTTCCACACAATTAATTTCTGAATCAGGAAGGGTCGCGCCTTCCTTGAACGTTTTGTTTGCCTCAAAGTATTCCACCACGTGGAGTGAGGACCTGGAGAGGCGACTTCTGAGTGTTGATCTGCTGGACTTGGCCAGGTGTGGCAAGGACATTTGAGACATTCAAATAAATGAAAATAAACACAAGTGCTGCATTGCCATTTGTAGACAGCCGGAATGCCCGATAATTACTACATAAATCCGGCATTCCAGGATGGGTTTGAACCTGAGTCAATGAATGTGAATATCTACTGAGGGACCTCCGGCAAATTTCATGAGGGCTTGGAACTGAGAGTCTTTCTCACTTTTCTCGCGATAACCTCGCTTCATCCGTTTTGGTGCTGAGTAACAATCAGCCAGGTCATTGGAGGTCATCATCAAGAGATTTCAGTCTCACGATGAGCTTTGAGAAGGCACTTTCCGTAATGGGATAATGCTTCTCATTTGCACCTGCCTCTGAGCCTTCCCAGTCGCTCGTTCCTTCACTAAATCTTTTTTCATTTGTGCCTCCCTCTTTTGATCACTCTTTTCACCAATATTTTCTTTGGTGCCCCTCCCTTCCACTCTTTCGCACCCTGCTGCTACCTTCTCTCCAATTTCATCACTCGCTTCATTCTCTTTTTGCGTTGGGCTTGGATTTTTTCTTTCTTTGTTTTACAAACTCTTTTCGCTCATTATTTGATTCTTCGTGTCGTACGCGATAACAGACGGAAGGCAGCCGATCACATTCTTTTGATATCTTTTTTTCAAACATCATAACCATGCCGCTGCAAGGACAGGCCTCGTTCAGCACGGCAACGACTGCTGTTGCTAGCCAGAGCACTGCTTATCCTTCTTTGGAAGAGTTCGCCATGTTCAAGAACCCTCCCCCCAAGCCTGAGATCATGGAACCCATGTGCGACAGTGCCTCTGAAAAACCTGACCAGGAGCACAAGCTTGATCCGCGCCCTGTCACTCCAAACCCTCCTTCGCCCATCTCGACCGACTCCTCAGACGACAAGATCGCGGACGATACACCTTCTACCATACATGGAGAGTCAATGATCTTCCCAAGACACCCACTCTCTAACAGAAAGCATGCGGCCAATGTCCCTACCACTCCTCGCTGGCCATTCCAAGACGCCACACCTCGAGTAATGGTACCCATCACTCGTAGTGTCACATCATCATCAAGCCCTTTCAATCTGGGCTCTAAGAAAAGCCCTCCCGGCAAAGTCAGTGTGTCTGAATCGCTCGATGAATTCCAGCTCAACCATCCAAACGCGCGCCTCCTAGAGCTGCACCCGCCTCAACTTGCCTACAATGAAACGACACGCAACCTTGCCAACGTCCCCGAGCTGGTTGAAAAGCCTCTTCATCAGGCTCAATCCGCGGAGACTATTACAGAGGTCAACAAGAAGCATTTTAACCCGTTCCGCGGCGGCCGTTGGAACCCTCGCTCACCCAAGGCCAATGTTGGCCAACCCGATGAAAAGCTCGACAGCATTGCAAAGCCTACCACAGTCTGGTATCAACGTCTTAGCCTTCAGAAGGACGCGTTCCGCGGATCTGCTGCTATTACACTCTTCCTGATCGCCAACACATTCATCTCCATCTCATCACTGGTGACACTCACCGTCGCTGATGTAGCTGCCCCGCCCGCCCTAATCGTCTGGGTTATTGTGAGCGTTACTACCTCTGCTTTCGCCAGTACCATCATTTTGCTCATGATTCGCTACCGTCGAGCCGTTGCATTCGACGAAGAGAACAGATTCCGTTCCTACCAGCCAAAGGTTTTCAGCGAGAGTGACGTTCATCTTCCGGCTAGCCCCCGTGAAGTTGCCCATCGACAGAAGCTTGGCTCAGCTCCCGTGCAAGGACACCAGTTCGAGCAAACAGTTCACCCGTCAGAGAAGACCGGCTCTGTCCCTGAGATGGGACAAGTCACATACGAGGTTCCGATGGATACAGAGGCCGATCAGATGGATGACTTTGCATTTGACGATAGAAACATCATTGATACGGTACCTCGCCATGTGTCTGACGAGGAGCAGATTGAGAGCTACTGGGCTGATGTCCCCCTCACTTCACGTCCAATGTGCGCGAAGTGTCATATTGAAGCTCTTAAAGCTACCGTGACCCAGACTCCCACCGACTCCCCACAATCGAACAGCTAGCAGCGATTCGTCAATGGTAGAGTTGGTGGTTCCGTCCTCCGATACGACTCTGTCGAGATCTTTGGCGGCAAAGTGTCTGGTATGATTTGAGAGAGACACCAGATTTCTGGAGAGTTTATCATTGGCTTTTGTATGGCGTCTTGGTATATGATGGCATTCTGGTTCTGGACAGGCTATTGGTTGGTATGATACCCGTTGATGGATGAAAACATGGGATGGAAGCATGCGCAGTGGATTATTTGTATAAGTCAACTTGGTACCAAGCAGAAATGATCTGGCCTTGGTAAATGAGAGCATAACAGCATCAATGTGGAAAGTAGACGTATGATTATTTTTCCTGATGTGTTTTGACCACGTGAACTGTAGATGATGGGACATTGCCTCAAACCGGTATCTGGCTCACTAAATGGAGGACCTGGCGTCGCATCACTTCATGAATATTGCCGTGTAAAACGCGTCATGGTGCCGATGGCCTTCTCAACAACATACTTTTTTGAATGTGAAGATTTTACAGTCAGATGACACCTAGTTGGTTCACATCACTAGTTTTGCTCCAAGACAGAGGGAAGAAGGTGTGTCATTTGCTTGTCTTTAAAGTTTCGGTGGTAAAGAGACGGAGTTGAGTAAAAGCTTAGCGGCAAAATGGATCTGACCACATGTGGTGGAGTGTTGAGGGTGAGCACACCAAAGAAGCCACGGGACCGAGCCAATATTGGCTTTGCTTCATACGAAGCATGTTGGCCAAGATGAATTTTGTCACATTGGTTCACCCTGTGCTTTACCGGTATTTTTCTAGAAAAAGTCGGCATTTAAAGCCACTGTATACTACGCTAGTTTATCTTTTACTTAAGCTGGTCATTGAACAATATTTCAGAGAGCCCCCAATCTCTCAAGTTGCAAGCTATGGCTGGTAACCTTGACTTACCTGTTTAACATAGAAGGCACATAGCAGATATTGCTCCAGAGTAAACACATAAACCCATGTAATTGAATGTTGAGCAGGGGATTGACGTCATGTCAATAGCAGTAACCTCCAGACCAAGCTTCCGTAATTCACCAATTAGGATGATTCTACAACGAGTGTACAGACGACCAAACGAGTCAGTGCAAAACCAGTGCGCTGCAACCATCCACCATCTGATTAGCAGTACTCCGTAAGGCAGTGAAGGATGCTGGAAGTAGCAGCCGAGTGATGTCAGGGGGGCAAAGCCAAGTCTCTCGCTAAACCCTGTATCTGCACTGGCCAAGGCGCTTGTTTTGCCGAACAGCCGCTGACACTTCATTTTGAGGCTTCCCACTTAGCGGCTGAATGGGCAGAGGTTCCCTGTAAAAAAAGACAGCAGAAGAAAAAAAATACCCACATCTCCTTCTCATCCTCCGAGAAAAACACAGCCACGCCGACACCGAAAAAACGGCGTTTGAGGCCCCGACGCCCACCGCGAACGGCCGAGCATTTGCCAAACTCGCTGCAACAATGGAGACTCCGCCTCATCCTGTCATCGGGCAGATATCCAGGAGGCAAACGAACCCGGACTCGCCGAAGACCACGTGCCACAGCAATGTCGCAGCGCCGAGTGTTACTTGTTGACCTTGGATGGGGCCGGCCCCAAGAAGGTCCCCACAAGCGTTCCCCCAGACCGTAAGGCTTGTGCAGTGCGCTTCTTGTCCCCAGAATGTTACACAAAATGGACCAGTCAAATCTCCATAGCGTGCCGAGAAAGCCTTGGATTTCTCTCGGCACAGTTGTGAGATCCGCCAAGATATGCAATGACGCGGCCCTCGACATCCGTCTTGGTGTTTCCCTCGAGCATGCGGCTCCAGGTCCCCTAGATACGAAAATGTACCACAAGCCATATTACCAAAAGAGACACCCACCCGGGCTCGGCTTGCGGTTCCGCACTAGTCTGGCTGTTCTTTTCTTGTCGTCAATTCTTGCCAGTTTTGACCTTCACCGACTTCTCATCGGCCCCCTTCGAAATCCTGGGCTTCAAAGGTACAATGACTGACGAGATCACTGCTGTACCACGCCAGCAGGACATCGGCCCAGCTGGGTCAAGCTCTCACGACAAACATCTAGACAGGCTGCTAGAGGAAAAAGAACAAGAACTTGACCTCCGCGATGATTCCATTATACAAAACAACAAGTTCGCCTTCACCCCGACACAACTACACAAACTCATCACAGCTCGAAGTCTGTCGGCACTGCGAGCCTTCGGGGGGCTTCCTGGACTGGCCTTTGGTCTGAGGACAGATCTCACTGCCGGTCTCAGTGTTGACGAGAAAGAACTCGACGGTACCATCTCCTTTCAAGAGGCCGTAGCTGCCAGCGAGGCTCATCGACCTGCCGAGATTACACCCCTCCCGCCCTCGTCGACACACGAGCACGCCTTCAAGCTTGACTTGGATTTAGGTCAACATGAAGAGGAAAAGTATGTCGACCGGAAACGCATTTTCGGCGAGAATCGACTTCCTAAGCGCAAGCAAAAGTCCTTTCTGAGATTGGCATGGATCGCATTCAACGACAAGCTCATGTTCCTCCTCACGCTCTCCGCTACAATCTCACTCGCGCTAGGCATCTACGAGTCCATCGATGCTTCCGATGACGAGCCCAACATTCAATGGGTCGACGGTGTCACCGTGGTCGTTGCTATCGTGGTTATCGTTTTCGCCAGCGCCGCAACCGACTGGCAGAAGAATCACAGATTCGCAAAGCTGAACGAAAGAAAAGAACAACGAGATGTCAAGGTTATCCGATCGGGAAAGACCCAAAACATATCCGTATACGAGGTGATGGTGGGGGATATCATGCACATTGAAACTGGTGATGTCGTTGCTGTTGACGGAGTTCTGGTCCAGGGCTCGGGTATACAGGTTGACGAGTCCACCATCTCCGGCGAGTCTGAACTGGTGCACAAGAATGTCCCTAGCGATAATGATATCCGCAGCAAGAAGGCCCATCGTGTCTCCGCGGCTGATCCCTTCATCCTCAGCGGCACTACCGTGTCTGGCGGCGTCGGCGCATATCTGGTTACCTCGGTGGGAACAAATTCGACATACGGCCGGACTTTAATGTCGCTGCGAGAGGACGTGGAAGAGACGCCCCTCCAGCAGAAACTGGGCAAGTTGGCGAAGCAACTGATTACCTTTGGTGCTATTGCCGGTATCATCTTCTTTCTCATCCTCTTCATCCGTTTCCTGGTAGGACTGCGAAACATGCGCGCAAGTCCCTCGGAGAAGGCCGAGGCCTTCTTCAAGCTGCTTATCCTTGCCGTCACCGTCGTCGTAATTACTGTGCCGGAAGGTCTCGCCCTTGCAGTGACACTCGCCCTTGCCTTTGCTACTACCAGAATGCTGAAGGACAAGAACCTGGTTCGCCTTATTCGTTCCTGTGAGATTATGGGCAACGCCACGTGTATCTGCTCCGACAAGACGGGAACTTTGACGCAGAATAACATGACTGTCGTTGCCGGCCGCATCGGTACCTCTGAGCGGTTCGGAGATGTCCCAAAGGCAGTCACCCCTGCAGAGGAACCTGAGAAAGGTGCCCTTAGCGACTCTGGCGTGAGCGATGATAACCCGAGAGGGCTACTCGACTCGCTTGACGGGGACGTGAAAGTATTGATGAGAAACAGTGTTGCGTTAAACTCCACTGCATTTGAGAGCGACAACCCCAAGGAGCCCGGCTTCATGGGAACCAGCACCGAGACCGCACTGCTCCGATTCGGACGCGATTTCCTGGGCATGGGGCCTCTCAACGAAGAGCGAGCGAACAATGAGATTGTCGACATGTTTCCCTTTGACGCGTCACGCAAATGGATGGCCGTAATGGCGAAGCTTTCGGACGGCAACTACCGGCTGCTAGTCAAGGGTGCCGCGGAGGTTGTTTTCGATCAGTGCACTACCATCATCAAAGACCCCAAGAAGGGACTCGCCACTGAGGCGATAACGAGCGACGCCCGAGAAAACCTGAGATCATCGATCCGAGACTATGCGAAGCAGATGCTGCGGCCGATTGCGGTGGCGTACAAAGATGTCGATGCCTCCGAGGCCTTTGAAAACCCCGACGACCCCGACTCCATCAAATTCCCGAAGCATTTTGCCGAGATGACGTTCGTCGGCGTGTTTGGCATCCGCGACCCGCTGAGGCCCGAAGTTCCCGACTCCGTGCGACAGTGTCAAGAAGCTGGCGTCTTCGTGCGGATGGTTACCGGCGACAACTTCTTGACTGCAAAGGCCATTGCGACCGAGTGTGGCATCTACACACCTGGAGGACTGGCGATGGACGGTCCGACTTTCCGGAAACTGACACCTGCGCAGCTGGATCTGGTCATCCCTCGGCTCCAGGTCTTGGCGAGGTCCAGTCCGGAGGACAAGCTGCTCCTCGTGACCCATCTGAAAGGAATGGGCGAGACGGTCGCCGTCACTGGTGACGGTACTAATGACGCTCTGGCACTCAAGGCCGCTGACGTGGGATTTGCTATGGGCATTCAAGGTACCGAAGTATCCAAGGAGGCTGCGTCGATCATCCTGCTTGACGATAACTTTGCCTCGATTGTGAAGGCTCTAATTTGGGGTCGAACGGTGAACATTGCTGTTAAGAAGTTCCTGCAGGTGAGTGGCTGTAATTTTCTTGCTGAAGGTAACATGTTTATGCTGACTGACTTTAAGTTCCAATTTACCATTAACATCACTGCCGGTACATTGACCGTTGTCTCCGAGTTGGTTGGCGACTCCATTTTCACCATTGTCCAGCTTCTCTGGATTAACCTCATCATGGACATTTTTGCCTCGCTTGGTTTAGCCACCGACTACCCCTCTCATGACTTCCTCAGACAGAGACCTGAGCCACGCAAGGCACCCATTGTAACGATTACCATGTGGAAGATGATTCTCTGCCAGGCGATCTACCAACTGGTCGTCATGTTCACGCTCCACTACGCCGGCGAGGCGCTTTACCAGCCGACCACCGAGGGCGAGAGGCAGTCTCTCCAGACGATGATTTTTAATATTTACGTGTTTATGCAGTTCTTTAATCAGCACAACTGCCGCCGCGTCGACAACAAACTCAACATCTGGTACCAAGGTGTCCTCCGCAACCCCTGGTTCATTGGCGTGCAGTGTGCCACCCTCGCCGGACAAATGATTATTATCTGGAAGGGTGGGCAGGCCTTTGACACACGCCCTCTCAGTGGCCCGCAATGGGGTTGGTCGATGCTGTTTGGTGTGCTTGTCATCCCTCTCGGCGCCCTCATCCGTCAGATTCCGGATAAGCACGTGTACGCGCTGTTCCAAGCAATCAAGCGAGGCGCCATCAAGACTGCCCGCGGCTTCTCCAAGCTTCTTCCCCCAAGATGGCGAAAGAAGGCAGAGGAAGAAATCGACGACATGGGTGCTGCTGAGAGCTGGGTGCTTCAGACTGGCGCCGCGCTACTGCGGCCGATGAACTACGAATGGGGCAGCACCACTCCGCCGCCCGGTTCTCGTCTCGCTGGGCGAGTGTCCAGTATTCCCGCTGCCCAGCGAGAGGCTTTGATCAGAGCCGCCAAGGCAGGGACAGGCGATAACGAGATTGACGTTCCGCAACTCATCGAGAACGCGAGGTATGCCAAGGTCGAGTTATCCTACGGCATCGAGGTGCACCCCGGCACGGCCAAGGATGACCCAATTCTACTTACTTCTATCGGGGTAGATGGGAAGAAGTGCCCTCCGAGCCAGGACCCGGAGATCCTCCGGTACCTGCACCGCCCATCGCCATAATGAGATCTACATGTGCATTTTACGGTGTTTGGGGGAACGTTTGATTTCGCATACAGCACGCTCACGCGTGAACGAGACATGGATATATACATAAAATGTCGTGTAATAACAGCATCTTAGTAACTAGGCCGGCTCTATGTCTTATGCTCCCAGCGTCATGTTAGATATCTTGAATGAATACTATTTTATTGCTTTACAAACTCTGAAAGTGTGGTAGTGCCGTCGGCGAGTGCGAAATGCCAGCATACATCTTGGAAAGGAAGAAAAACAAACGCCAGGTGATCTCATTGATTTGATGTTAGCCCAACATCAAAATTCCCGAGTGGCCGGATATCTACCGTGGCCAAATGCTACCCTGCTTCCCCTCCTCGCTTCACTCACGGAACGCGCCTGGCCGGTGACTTCTGCCGGGCTACCGGCTATATTAGCCTCATAAATTGCCAAGACCGGGGGGAGGGCTCGACCACTCGGGTTGCGAGCACACCCTCGCCTCTACCGGCCTCGTGCTCTTTTCCTTCGCATAATACCTTGTGGAGCTGCAGATGTGTGTGTATATACTTGGGTGTCAGAGATGTGCCGTGTGGCGAGCCGGGACATGTTGTCCGTGGCGACCATCCCGCGCTAAGGCGAAGGGCCGATATGGGCTTTGGTAAAGTTCTAGATGCTGGCACCATCTGGATAGGGTACCGGAGATGGCTGTTGTCTGGATGGTATAGTTCCCTTTGAAGACGTTACATTGCGGATGAAGTCGAGGGGAGTGAGATGGGAAGGCAAGTGTATAAGAGGGAGACCATTTTGGGGTTTTTCTTGTGCATTCTCAGATTTTGGTCCGCATCTGAAGATCACCAAAGTTACAACCGGGCTCGTTTTACGGCAAAAAACACAACTCTGGGAAGTATGAAGTCGATCGTCTTTGCGGCGTGTGCGGCATTCCTTGCCCAGGAGGCCGCTGGCCATGCCATCTTTCAACAACTCTGGGTCGACGGAGTTGACATGATAAGCACCCCTATTCCTCTCCATTAGTCCGAACCTCATGTGCTGACCTTACTCCACGGGTCACAGTGCGCCAGAGTTCCTCCCAGTAACTCTCCCGTAACCAACGTCGCCGGCTCCGACATCCGTTGCAATGTCGGCGGAGGTAGAGGCGTCGGTGCCAAATGCCCAGTCAAGGCAGGCGGCGTAGTCACCGTCGAGATGCACGCGGTACAAACCCTCTTCCGATCTCTTCCACTTCGTTTTTCATCTTTCTAATGTGCGTGTGTGACTCGTGACAGCAACCGGGCGACCGAAACTGCAACGTCGAAGCCATCGGCGGCGCGCACTACGGCCCAGTGATAGTCTACCTCAGCAAGGTCGACAACGCCGGCTCGGCCGACGGGTCCTCTGGCTGGTTCAAGATCTTCGAGAACGGCTGGACCGCCAAGTCCGGCGCGGGCTCCGGCGACGACGACAACTGGGGCGTCAAGGACCTCAACAAGTGCTGCGGGAAAGTGGACGTGCCCATCAGCAAAGACCTCGCGGACGGCGACTACCTGCTCAGGGCCGAGGTCATCGCTCTGCACACCGCCGGCTCGTCGGGCGGCGCGCAGTTTTACATGACGTGCTACCAGATCTCCGTCACGGGCGGTACGGGCACGGCGAAGCCCGCGACGTTCAACTTCCCCGGCGCGTACAAGGCCAGCGACCCTGGTATCCTGGTGAACATCCATTCCAAGTTGTCCGGGTACGTCATCCCCGGCGGAGCGGTCGCGTCGATCGGGTCGACCAAGACGGCCGGTCAGGGATGCAGCGGTGGGTGTGCTTCGACTTGTGACGCTAGCAAGGGGCCGAAGGGCTCCGCGATCCCGGTGAGCGGCGGCGGCGGCGCGCCTCCTCCCGGGGGTGGTACTGGTAGTCCGCCATCTTGCACTGTTCCAAAGTACCAGCAGTGTGGCGGACAGGGATGGACCGGTTGTACGTCGTGCGCGGTGAGTTTAGATTCCTTTCGGAGACTCTTTTCTGAGGAGACGACTAACATCGTTTGTTTGATAGTCTGGCTCGACGTGCCAAGGAGTCTCGGCTCCCTATTACTACCAATGTGCTTGAGGCTGATGAGTTGGTGTGGTTTCGTTAAGAGGATTAAAGATGGAGATTGCTGGCATCGGAGTGGTGAGCAAGTCGGAAGGCCTTGACGGTAAATTAATGTGCCTTAGTCTTAGTAAGCCTCTGTGATGATTACACAAGAAAAGACCCAACAGGAATATTGACTTGCTCTTGTCTGGCGTCGGTTAGCCGTATCTTACCTAGGTTATTGCTCGCTGTGAATTTAGCCGCAAGGTTTCCCATTTGCTCCCGAGGATCTTGAGTGCTTCAATACATCCATGCAGAGGGCAATACGAGCATGATGAGTAATAAAGCCGTACCAAATACGATAACAAATCGGCACATAAGCTGATTGACAACTGTGAGTTGTACAGAGTTTAGCCTTCAAGAAGCTAGTGAGGAGTGCTACTATTGATGAGGCCAGAGCAAAAGGATATATCTAGAAGAATGTTTAAAGGTTAAAAATGGGTTATATAAACTTTTCTCGGTGAGATGATACGATGTTAAGCATCTTCTATGATTAGATCTAAGCCTCTACCTTGAAATCTTTCATCGGCCCTTGATTGTCCCCTTGGTAGGCCAAATCAAGTATACAGCGCGAAATCTGACAGTATTCAGCAACCTCGCTGAGAGCTTCAGCGATGTTGAACCGCAGCTGTGCGGGGAAGCTTTGGGGGAGTTGGGGAGGGGAACCTGGGGTCGGTGCAACTTCGGGGCCTTGATAAACCACATATCCTCGGGTGACGTTGGCCGGGCATTCCAAGGGAATCTCAGACACTACTCTCGACATCAACTTGACAAACTTCAGTCAGCGTAAAAAAAACTTGAACATCTTGCAATTACAAACACAAAGGCAGGAAACCATGGGAAAACGCGTAGTCTTTACCGGAGGCTCTGGCGTCGCAGGCCGCTGGGTCATCCAGGAACTCATACGCTACGGCCACGAGGTCATCAACCTCGATATCTCACCTCTCGACAATCCCTCTGTCCATACCATGAAATGCGATGTGACCGACTCTGGACAGGTATACAGTGCCCTTCATACGCAATTCCGCCTAAACCAGCCCCTGGAAAAGGCATCGGTTCCGGACGCGGTCTTCCACTTCGCTGGCTATGCTCGGCCGATGCTTGCCCCCGATAACGAGATATTCAAGACCAACGTGACGAGCTTCCACAACGTCGTCGAGGCAGCCTGCAAACTGGGCGTCAAGAAGATCATTCTGGCGAGTAGCGTCACCATCTACGGCGTTACCTTTGCCGAGGGACATCGAGCTTTTGAATCGTTTCCTATCGATGAGGCTATCGACTGTAACCCTACTGATCCATACGCCCTCTCGAAACTTGTCGGAGAGACGGTTGCTAGGAGCTTCGCGAGTCGCTTTGACATCGACATCTATTGCCTGCGCATCGGTGCCGTCATCGAACCGGAAAAGTATGCCGAGAGTTTTTCCAGCTATGTCGGCCAACCTGAATCTTGGGATGTTCATGGATGGTCTTACACAGACGCCAGAGACCTTGGGCAGATGTGTCATTTGGGCCTTGAGACGAACGGGCTGGGTTGGCAGGTGTTCAATGCCACCAACAACGAGATAACAAATTCTGAATCGACAACTGAATTCTTGAAGCGTGTTAGTCCTGCGACACCCTTCACTCGAGAAATGGGAGAGTATGAAGCTCCAATGTCGAACAAGAAGATCCAGACATTGCTGGGATTCAAGGAAGAACACTCGTGGAAGAAGTATTTTGACGCCAAGAAAAAGTACATGTAGCTGGAAATATCAGAGCAGCAAGCCTTGAATTCTTGTTAGGTTGTTCACGTTAGGAGGGCATACAGGCCGTGTACATAGTAGTGGGCATGGGAATATGCTGCAGGGAAGCGGCTTCGGCATCCATAAGCCGGACTGTTCCCCGGGATGGTGCGGGGTTCTCTCCAACACTCGTCACCGCAGCACGGTTTGCTCCACCACGTCGCACCAACAAATCGTATCCCGTCTATTGCCATTAGTCGTCAGTTGTCCGTCCAAGGGCTCCATTAAAATTCCCATCCTTCTCCTCACAAAAGATCCTTTTATTCTTCTTTGATTGGGGATGTGCTAATATCGTGGGAAAGCTCGGTTGTCTTTGTACTTCTACCCCGCACGCTTTGTTACTGTTTTGGTAGCAAGGATTATGGTGTTGGCCCATGAAACTCTCGGAATTTCATAACCTCGTCTTTACCAGACCTGTTTTCTTTTACATCAACCAACTTCCTGAGCATCTTTCTGTAGAATTGGCTTACGCCGCGAGGCCCTGTATTATTTCAAAATGAGTTTTGACGCTGTTCATCCCGCCGCTGGTGAGGAACAGGGACTCCACGAGCCGCGATACGTCGAGTTCCCGGTTGCCCCTGATGACGCCACTTGGGAAGATGGCAAGCCCGTTCTCAACAAGTATTCTACATTTCTTACCCGCGAACATGACTTTCCTGGTGCCAAGGTCAGTAGTCCAGAGACTTTTGGTCATTTAGTTACAAATCATGCTGATTTTCATCGTAGGCTATGCTTTACGCAGCTGGTGTCCCGAACGAGGAGGTGATGCAACGGAGTCCCCAAGTTGGTGTTGCCTCTGTATGGTGGGAGGGTAATCCGTGCAAGTAAGTTGATTCGCTGGATGTTATACGGTTTGTTGAGTTCTGACATATGATCGAATTATCAAGTATGCATCGTAAGCGAAACCAACTGCAGTCATTCCGACTTATTTGGAAAACGATTACTTTATGGAGAAGTGAACACTGACAACGGTTAATAGTTCTTGATTTGGGAAAAACGGTCAAGGAGGCTGTGCAGAAGAAAGGCTTCATCGCTTGGCAGTACAGCACTCTGGGCGTTTCTGACGGCATTGCCCAAGGCAACGAAGGTGAGTCAAGATTTGTCTCAACCCAATGCAGACAGACACGTCTCGGTCAGCAAGGCAGCTAAACTGCGATACAGGCATGCGGTTCTCGCTTCAATCTCGTGAGCTCATTGCAGACAACATCGAGACCATCACCTGCGCTCAAGCTCACGATGCAACGGTTGCCATACCCGGATGCGATAAGAACATGCCGGGCTGCGTCATGGCCGTGGCCAGGCATAACCGCCCCTCCGTAATCGTATACGGAGGAACAGTTCAGGGAGGCTATTGTGAAGTCCTGAAGAAACCCATCGACATCGTCACGTGTTACGAGGCTCAAGGCGCCTACCTTTTCGGAACGCTAGGATCCTGGTCCGAAGACAAGTCTGTGACACCCGAGCAGATTCTTTCCAGTATCGAGAAAGGGGCTGTCCCGGGCCCTGGCGCTTGCGGTGGTATGTACACGGCGAACAGCTTGGCTACCATCATCGAGACCCTTGGCTTGTCTGTCCCGGGTTCATCAAGTACTCCGGCTGCCTCGCCGACAAAGATGAGAGAAGCAGAGAAGGTTGCAGATGCCATTGAAGTCTGCATGCGTCGAAACATCCGTCCCAGAGACATTCTCACCAAAGAGTCATTTGAGAATGCGCTTGTCATCACCATGGCGCTCGGTGGCTCTACCAACTCCGTGCTTCACACTCTTGCCATGGCCAGAGCAGCCCAAGTCCCGCTTGAACTTGAAGACTTCCAGCGCGTATCACGCAAGACCCCCTTTATTGCAAACCTGAAACCCAGCGGAAAGTATGTCATTGAGGACCTGTTCCACATCGGTGGAGTGCCCTCTGTCACCAAGCTTCTCATCGCTGGAGGGCTCTTGAACGGAAAGACGCTCACAGTAACTGGCAAAACTCTCGAAGAGAACGTTGCATCTTGGCCATCGCTACCTTTGGAACAGGACATCATCAGACCTTTGTCCAACCCTATCAAGCCAGCTGGACACTTGGTCGTCCTTCATGGAAACATCGCACCAGGCGGAGCCGTCGCCAAAATCACCGGCAAGGAAGGCCTTCGATTCCAGGGTGAGGCGCGTGTTTTCAATAAGGAATCCGAGCTTGTACATGAACTCAACGCTGGAAATATTCCAAGGGACAAGAACATTGTACTGGTTGTTCGGTACGAAGGCCCCAAGGGCGGTCCGGGCATGCCGGAGCAACTCAAAGCCTCAGCGACTTTGATTGGTGCCAACCTCAAAAACGTTGCCCTCATCACTGACGGGCGTTACTCTGGCGCCAGTCATGGATTCATCGTGGGCCACATTGTCCCAGAGGCAGCTGTTGGAGGACCGATAGCTATCATCAACGACGGAGACGTTATCACTATCGACGCTGAGGCGTGTACTATCAGCATGAACGTGGGAGACGAGGCTATCAAAGAGAGATTGCTGGCGTGGAAAGCACCTAAACCCACTGTCACTAGAGGTACTCTAGCCAAGTACGCGCACTTGGTTGCTAGCGCCTCAGACGGTGCAGTGACGGACCTTTTTTAAGATAGATGTGATAAGATGTCGTTCTATTCGCGTGTTAATAATAGACTCATTTTCTTAAGACCACATATGCATCGTCTAGTGACTTTTCATGATATAGAACTGCAATGACACCAAGATGCACAGAAAAGAAAAAGATGCATTCCATGGAGTCCGAGTACAACAGTTACTGAGTTGAAAACCATCATGCTGCACGTCGTTTCTCGGACTTCTGTCCGTTAGCCTTCCCCCCACGAATCCACTATGCCCCCCACCTAGGGCCAACCGGCGTGTCTTGTTACCGTAAGCAATGATCAGATATCTATTGGATAATATACGGTAATCTCGGGATATATCACTCAATTGCCGGGCCTCTGTGTGTGGGGATTACTTGGAAAAGGAGGTTGACACATCTGCGCTTGCAGGGAACTGGCTGGCGCAAGGGAGGAGCCAGTGGTTCGTGTCAGACACTGAAGGGCAGGGGGTAACTTAGAGTCGAATTTCGCTGTGAGCATCCCCATTGGTGTTACTAATAAGAGGTAAGAAAGATCGAACATTACAAGATCAATGCATACCTTTCCCATAAGGACGTTGGAATTATTCTGCTTCGCAGAGTTGCTCACTCTGCTCTAACCTTAGCCGAAGTTCCAACCTAATGGCATCACCTGCTTAGCACTCATCCACATCACTTTTGCATTTTAAATTGCCTTTGATTAGAAGACTTAAGGGTCATAGTTTAGCTAAATGAAGATGTTCTAAGCGCTTCTCTCTAAAACTTTCTACTCCTGTAGTCTTCAGTTAGATGAACTACAAGTACGCTCTAACGAACCAAGAGAGGCTGTGCTGCCTTTTGCATGCTATTTTTTCTAAAGATCTGCATATTATGGTAAGGATCTGCAGGGTTTTACAGCTAAGCACGACATGATGCTGCGCTGGACGGTTAGGGGGTTTGAGGGTTGAGGCTGATACAACTTTAATGCTATTAACCATGCGACTGAGTCAGCCGCTCTGATCACAAAGGGTTTACATTTTCACACTGAAGACCATAAATAATTCTTTAAAGAGCTAACCTCCAGAAATCAACCTGTGTACATCCGCACCACGATTACTCTGCTATTAGAAAGGCTACTTGTCTACAAGATTACTACATCTAGTCCGGTACCAGATATCGTCATTGTTCTTTGAAAATTCTTACCCAACTCATAACAGTGTATTTCTTAGTCTTCTTGACGAGCTACTTCACAACCCCAGATATCACAGCTTCAATTTGACTACCACATACGTCAACTTTACGTCCACGGCACCCGCCAGCAATAATGAGATTCTCAAGCTCAACTGGAATTTTGGTTCTATTTACAGCCACGACTGTGAACGGCCTCTGCACCTGCTTTGCTTCCACCGCGAATGGTGTGGAACATGATATCGAGGCTGGTAAGAGGTGTTGTATAGGCAAGGGCGACAAACTTGAAGGGAACCTTTGCAACGCAGTGTCATTTGAGACGTTCGGGGCGTGCTGCGACAGCCAGAAAGGCTCATCGGGAGTTATCCCCAGCGGTTTCGATTGTGCAGTGACTCCTGAGACTATCTTGAATGGAACAAACTAGGAGTCGGAGTCGGATTAGAAATCTCAATTAACCACCTCAGTCTTCACCTGGGTTCTCGCCATAGACACGCCACTATGACTATTAATCCTGTGTTACGTGATACCATTTCCTTCACTACATTCGTCTCGTTGTAAGTGCACTGAGGCAACGTCGCCTAAATAGATGATTTAGCTTCATTTCATTCTACCGCTTATATCTGTGTTCATGTGCAAAACTGCCTAGGGCAGAATTATTAGGCAGCAGAATGGCAGATTTGCGGTCATTCAACATACTCACATTGCGAGTTGCACCTCGCAGCCTGCCAATTGTGATTAGTACTTCAAAATGATTATACCTTGGCAGAGCTTTGAGGACCACCAAGACATTGTAGCTTGGATCAAGTCACTCACCACAGCAACGTGGCGGCCTGATTATTGTACTTTTTTGCTTGCCAGTATATCCGACACTTGAAACGACGAATTTGCAATATATGCATATAAACAGAAAATGAGATTCCATAAGTACTTCAAGACCGCGACTGCTGTAAGGAAGATATGACCTCCACTTTGGGTCAATGTGAAATATTTGGAATTCCTCAAGCACAATGGCATTGATTCCGCGCTTCTGTGAAGAAGACAAAGTAAGATCAAAATCTTGATTCAAGGAATTCGGCATTGTGTGTGGCAAGTGGGGTTCTCGAAGAACCCGGGAGGCAATGTCCGAGGAATGCGCTTGAGTCTGAATCGCGGTTGGAAATGTACCCAAGGTAAGTTCGAGTATTCTAGGCCCTAAGGACATTTGTTGACTTTCGAGTCGTTGCACACATGAGTCCAGCCAGGTTATACGGCATAGAACTACCTTAGGATAATTGTTTGTCCACTTTGCACAACTCTTCATACCTCAGTATCAGCTACGGGAATAGTTTCTTATCTGGGTCTAGACTGGTCCTGGGGTCTGTTGCCCAAATTTGTTGTCGTAGTTTAGCCTGCTTGAATACATGCTGTCGTTCTCAGAGACACAACCCCGTCCGGCCAATTGGTTCCCCCTCGAGATCCCTTGAAAAGTCGGCAATGCAACATTAGGCCCGAGTAGTGACTTGTTAAGAGCTGTGAAGGTTTCTGTCTCAGCTGGCTTGCTAGCGGCTGGCTGAGTTAAGCTGAGTTGCTGAGGCATGTGGGGATAGGGGGCGGGTAAGCCGAGCAGTTTGAGCCCCCCCACGTGCCAGCGAAGAGGTCTTGACTGGTAAGAATTATATTGAGCCGCGTGAAGCGAGCTAAAAAAGAAAAAAAAAAAGAAAAAAAACATTTATCAAAGTTCTCTATATGTTAGGTATTGGCAGTTTGGGAGAACGACTTTTTTGCGGGTTGCAACCCCTGATCACATTGGAAGTGTTCCCCTTCCAAACAACCAGTGACCTTTAAACAAGCCTATCCCTTCGAATAACAAGTGGCTACAGCCAATTGCGGAGCAGCCAGTTGGCACTGAATGAATATCATATGGTCAAGAAATCGACTTTAATATTTCCTGGCCTGAAAATTCCAAACATGCCGTAGAGGTTCAGCTCTGATGCAGAGGTGAGTCATTTAAACACCAATCGTAGCCAAAATACCTACGATACAATTATCATTTTCCTCTGCAACAATCTTGTACTGGCAAAGATAGCTCACATAGTGGGTATACCTTGATGCAGGAGGAGTAAACCTTCCGTGGGAATATTGAAGAAAAATGCCCAAGGCATGAAACAACATCTAGATAATGCCAGTGTAAGTGTTTCCAGGGAGAGTTCACAATTTTAATCAATGAGACAAGTCTCTCGAGATCATCAATCTGATCGAGTATTCGCGGACTCTGAGAACAGACCGGATTTAAACTGCTGATTTTGAAGTGGCTATCTGAACTTAGACACGAGGTTTCTGAATAATCATCTCAATTTTTAAACGAACTCGGTCTTTCAAGAGTAACTGGAACTAAGGGGAACACAAGGAACACCCATAGATGAGGACAAACATGAACGGGAATCAAGTACCGGTACTTTAGTCCTATATTTCAGGCCTGTTTGAGGGTTGCTTGTTAGAGGCTGGCTGAAATGGAAGTAAGTACTTGACTTTGAATTCCTTCAATTGTTTTGGAACATAAGCAGATGCTAGAGCCATTCGACAGAAACCTTATGATCAAAATGATTTGGCTGACTAACAATACTGCAAGATAACTTCAAGTATAAAAAGGTCGACGATGCGGTTTATTTCATCTTGCTTCTTCATCAAGCTTCAACCAGTACCAATACACCAACCAATTAAGCAAACAAAAAATCGTTATCTTCTACTTTCACTGACCACTTGGTTTTTTTTGATTCATTACTATCTCTTTTACAATCTTACAACATAAGCCCAAGAAGACATTTACCCAAACTTAACAATGCCTTACAACGCCAACGCCATTCCCCGCGCCGCTGTGTGGACTTTGAAGTCCTCTAACCCTGATCTACCAGCTGAATCAGCCATTCTACCTGATGACGGCAGCAACGCTACTGAGTCCGTTTTTGAAGAAGACAAACGCCGTCTTGTGAACCCTCAGGACTTTGCTGATGGTGGCAAATATCGCTGTGAGTTATGGCCTTCCACAAGCTTTGCCTGTTAATATGTTCGATTGATTCTGATTATCATTAGCCATTGTGAAGATTCAGGCTTTGTTCAACGCCGGAAATGGCCGTAGTGTTTGGATGATGGGCTCTGGGTGGCTCATTAGTCCCGACACCGTCGTGACTGCTGGGCATGTCGTCTATGACTGGAGTCGACGCCTCCAAGGAGCCATTGAGATTAAGTGCTACATTGGATACTCTGGGCTTGCGTCTGTCGGTACTTCTAACGTACAGGCTCGGTTCGGGGAGCGCATCATCACTACTGCTGAGTGGATTGAAGCAGCTGGAAACCGTACGCACGATGTTGCTTTCATCAAGGTCAACCGTCCGTTTACTGGAAATCTGAGAAACATCGCTTTCAAAGACACCCCTTCTGTCGCTAAAAGCGTTCTACTTGGCGTTGTCGGATATCCGGGAGATAAGTACCTCAAGACCACGAGTGGAACTGATGAGAAAGGTGCGCAAATGTACGAGGAGTTTGCCCCTACCGATTTCAACATTGAAAAGAGCGAGCGGCACATGGTTGAGTACCAGATTTCAACCTTCGCTGGTGAGTGGCAAAACCCTGTCTATGTATCAAGAATACAACTAACGGCATGTTGGCAATAGGCCAGTCTGGAGCTCCTATCCTGCAGGCAATTGACAATGGACTGATTTCAATTGGAACCCACTGCTACGGTGGCGGCGGTGATTACAGCAACTCTGGAAACTCTATCGGTGGTCAATACGGTGTGCACTACAACGCTTTCCTCGCACTTTTCAACAGCCATCAGTTCCCTGCTGCACAGCGCCTGGGCATCAAGGTTCTGGACGTTGATACCAACGCTCGGGCTCATAACGATGTGCGCAACGGAAATGGGCAAATCAAGAGCGATATTAGCAAATATGTCAACGGCAACAGTAACGGCAACGGAGTTAGCAATAACGAATACAATGGCTTTCGTGCAGAGAACACTTCGTTCCGACCCTCGCAAACGGACAACTTCGGCACGGGTAATTCGAACGGCTCGGATGAGGAAGGCTTCCTTGACATCTTGAAGTCTGTCGCTCGAGTTGCGGCGCCAGTTGTTTCCACTGTGACTCCTTTCTTGGGTCCAATCGGGGGGCCCATCGGCAGCATTGCTGGCGGTATCCTCTCTACCATTGGAGGAGCCGAGTCCGCCATCATAAACGGCGACGTTTCCAGTGCGATAGCTACCTCAGCTGCCTCAGGAGCTACCGAACGTGCCGTTCTGGCCGAAGCTTCCCTTCAAGCCCTCCTGAAGCTTGAAGATTCTCCCGAGACAGCCGAGCTTCTCCACACCATCGACTCGAAGTACCGCGCTTTCAGACCCAAACTCGATGTCATTGCTAAAGTCGCACAACCTCAACTCACTGAATGTGGACTTATGCTAGCTCATCGTGAGATGGCTCGCATTCATGAGCGAGGTGTTAACCAGGGACAAGAGTCGGAGATCGAACTGCCCCGCGAAGAGCTGAAAGGCGTACAGGAGTCGATCTTATACAGCCAGTCAGGTCAGGAGACTGCATTTGTTAAGGGTCTCCTCGCACCCACACGACCTGTTCCAGGCGAAGAAAGCTTTTTCAGCGACCTCGGCTCAGTTCTCAGCAAGGGAGTGAGCTTTGCCAAGCCATTGATCTCAAGTGCTGCACAGGGAGCCCTCAAAAGTGTGATTGGTAAGCTGAGCGCCGGCACCGAGTCGGAACTGAGCTCTTCTACCCCAGGAAGCCACGAGCATGCCACCCTCTTGGCCTTCAAGCGCGCGGCTGCGGCTGAAGCCGCTCTGCAGACACTTATGACGCTTCCCCAGCAGAAGCTGGATAGACTCTTGATCAGCAGCCCTCGGGGTGGTGAAGAGAGTTTCTTCGATGTCATCAAGTCCGGCGTTCAAAAGATTGCCCCGGCCGCCCTGGACATTGCCAAACAAGCCGTGCGCAAGGTGGTTCCCATCATCGCTGACGCGGTTTCTCAGAAGGTCAAAGACGCTGTCGGAGAGAGTGCCCCCGGTATCCAGTACTACAACTACACTCTCAATCCGCTGAAGGCCGTTAAGTCGAAGCAGTCAGTTGGGGATCTGCTCGCCTTGGATGCGGGGGCTTATAACAGTGCTAAGGTGAGCAGCCCTCTCCATGAATCGGAGGCAACAAACGATGATGATGATGCCCCCAAGCCCACCCTCAACGATATCCTATCGTCTCGTCAGAGTACCTGGGTGCCTTCGCTGCACAGACGAAAGTCCTGGGACTCGAATGATGACGGACTCTGCTCGATGGACGAGGAATGTCTGTGACTTTGACATCCAGGGTAGTTTACTAATTCGGTTTGGATTATGGCAGGTCATTCCCACCTACTGATGAGGTTGCGACGCTTCATCGTCTGCGGCAGAGCTCTCCGCCCATGATACAGTATACGCCAGCTGGAAAACTTGATGCCAAAGACTATTACCACCCGACCTCTAAAGTTTGAAATCATTACAGTCTCAGTTTGACCAATCTTGACTGTTGTTATGACGTTGGCTTTGATCTTTTGGGTTTTGACATTTCTTTCTTAGCCAGATTTTGGCACAGTCAACTATGGCAAGACCTTCATGGTTTTGTGCTGTCAAAGTCTAGTTCCCGCTTAATATACTTAGTTATCTCATTGGATTGCGAATGGTTTTCCTTCTTTGTGCAAATATGTGATATTTGTCTCCAATCTGTATTTGTATCGCCACAACGCTTTTGTTGCATTATGTGTTATTCTGGGTTACAGTGGCTCCGCGGCCGCCCAAGCAGGCCTAATTTGGGAGCCGATCTCCACTATCCATGTAACTGGCAATTGGATGGAACATATCTATACCAGACACTTCACACTATATACTATGTAGCTACAATATTCACTGAATACGCTTACATATATCATCATTATTGAGAATCTCCCTACTGCTACCCCCGTACGGCCATCCAATGATCCCAACAACTTTGTTCGTTTAAGGGGCAACTCCCCTAACCATGCTGAGAGAACTCTTTGTCGGATTTTCGAATGCACTCTGAAACCTTGAAGCTCTCTCATTATAAAATGTGTGCACCAAATTTGTTACATGTGTCGTAATTTCTTTTCATTCCCTTTTCTCGGTTTTGGGAACACATGGGTTGACAAGGTGCGATGTTTATCATTCATATTTAGCAGTGTTTTTGCCCCAGACTTGGTTTGCACTAACAATTAGCATCAACTATTTAGTCGTCCGGCAACTGATTCGCAGCTGGCAACAGCTGGGGCCCTTTGACTAGTCTGTGTTGAGAGCCAAACCCACTTGTACAAATCCTAACATCCGGTCTTCAACTTGCTTGGCACTTACTGAGCACAACCACAATCACTGCCCCCGATTGCCGTCCAACGACGCAGATGCACCTTACGATCTCATATATGCACCCCAACGAATCATCCCAATATACTGCCTTGTACTTACCTCAATCGCCATTCTTCTTTGAGCAACGCCAAGCAGGCGGGCTCAACCAACGTCATGTCGAGTCAAACTCGTCGGTACATGAGCAAACGACAGCGGCCATGCGACTTGTGTCGATCGCGAAAAACAGCATGCCGAATTGATCAGGCTCCCCCTTGCCGTTTGTGTGTTTTGCATGGTCGAGAGTGCACGTTTGTCGAAGCTGCTGTTCCTCGAAAGCGACCACACCTCTTGGATGGTCTAGGGGTGCATGACGGAGTCACCACTCAAAGCTTGTCACTACAAAGTGAGCAGGCTAACTCGCCAAACTCAATGAATGTCCTTCCGAGCCTTATCGGAGAAACTACACCTGGTGATACCACCATGAACTTTGCTGGGGATTTCAACTTCGATACGACGCAATCTGAGTTCGAGGCCATGTTTCGCAGCCCACGCTTACCTAGCACACCTTCTGTGGCGGGTACTCCAGAAACATCAATACGCAAAGCTGCAGTGCAGTCGCCAAAGATCGACTATCTCACTGGTGCAAACCCACAACTGCTGGGTCTCAGCAGTGACATGGATCCCATTCTTCTTCGCTCTTATCGTTATGACGAGGAAGGCATGTTCGGATTCAAGGAGCTTGCCATTTCTTCGGTTCAGGACAGACCAATGCCGTGCCAATTTCTCATTTCGCAACAATCATTATTTTCTCGGAGCAGAGAAGAAGCCGGTTTGGGTAAGCTTCTAGAGGCAGAGCTGAAACGGGAGCTTGAGAAAATCGTTCCCATCGAGGTTGGAAAGCGCCTCATTATACTCTTTTTGAAGTTTATCAATCCTCAGTGGCCTATATTTTCACTCTCTCAGTCTCTGGATATCTACTCAACACCCTCACATACTCTCGCTGCTGTCTATGCTCTGTCACTCCCTTTTGCGATCCATGACGACAAGTTGAGTGTGGATGTTGCATATGATAAGCCCCCATATCCTGCACTTTCAAACATAATCGAAAAGGCCGTCACATATGAAATACATTCCCCAAGCATGTTTTTGATTCAGATACTGCTCCTATTGGTGTTGCGGCCATCACTTGATCCCCTTGTCGGAGACGCAGCCTACAGATGGGACTTGCTGAGTAGGCTAACTTCGTGCGCTGCCACACTTGGTCTTCACCTTGATCCATCCACATGGCCGCTAGAAGTATGGCAGAAGGCTCAACGCCGAAGACTTTCTTTCTTTATCTACACTCTTGATAAATGGCTGGCCTGTGGTCTTGGAAGACCGCCCCTGATTCACAACGACAACTGGATTGTCACATCCTTGGAGCCAGAGGATTTTGATGATTCGAGTCTTGAATGGACACAAATCAATATCCTTTCAGCTACCACCGAAGTCTTAAGCTCGGCTTTATCAGATCTCTAGTGAGTCTAGCCCACACATTACACGGTGTTGAACTAATTTTATCAGCTCTTTGCGAGCTATAAATACATTGTCGAATGATTACCAAAGGACAAGGGCCATAGCACAATCTCTCACTCAAAAGCTCTTGCCTACGTCATATCCTTCCGAACTCACATCCACAGTGAACCGCCTAGGACAGCTATATGTGCAATTGATCATTCTTCGAGCCGAATTGCGAACTTCATTGCCAGACCACGACGGGGATAGCCTTTCAAGCCATGTTCAGACCTTGAGAAAAAGCTTGAAAGATTGCTTAGCCGCCCTCTCTGATATCATTCGGACTTTGAGCCCAGATACCGACAGTGTTTTCTGGCCTCCATGGGCACAATACGCATTCTCTTCGGTCTGTTTCACTCTAATGACAATGGTCGTAACGTCTCCAAATGTTGAGGAAGCTTCCTCGTGGATTAGTGAGCTGCAATCAACTCGAAAAAGCCTCAGGCTGAAGGTGGCCTCATTTCCCTTTCTCCGTCTAGGTCTTCTCCGGATTGATGCGATTTTCTGGCGTGGTATCTCCAGTGTTCTTCATCTGGAGCCACATGTTTCAGACGCATTCCAAGCCATGGAGTTGACATGAAAATAGCTCAACTTTATGTTTGCAGGACTACTAAAGGCCTCTGATAATACACCTTAAAGTTTTGCTCGAGAGTCTTCTTTCTCAATTTCTCCAAGGAGATCGTCAACCGTCTTGACTGCGTCAAGTGCCATCCCGTATCCTGCCTGGAATCCCGTCCCACTGGCGCCGTAGTCATGCACCAAAATACGCTTCTTACCGCCGATGGAAATTTCAGATCGTTCGACTCTAGCTCCGCCTTCACGTGAAGGCCGCAGGCCAGAGAAGCTCGCAAGGACCTCTGGTATGGCTTCCTTCAACTCACTGCTTAGAGTCGTTGTCCGGTTTAGAATAGACTCGGTTTCGTGAGCAAACGTATCACTTGTGCTGTGTACAGTATACTGTTAGCATGTATGGTCTCATTCCAGCATATCGGTACTCAGGTCCTTACCTGACACCCTTTTGCATATAGCCGCCAAGAATAACATTGCCATTCGACCACGGCCGTGGAATGATATATGTCTCATAGTCTTTCCCATGTCGCATAATGTTAGTATTGACTAGGGGCGCCTTCGCAAGCACGATTTGACCTCGCGTGGGATAGCATTTAAGGTCCTCCACACCCGACAAGAACTTAGCAGCGTTGCCAGTGCAGTTGAAAACCACCCTCGTCTGCGATCTGAACGCAGACTGGATACTCGGGAGCTTCTTTTTGACAAAATTTACACCATAATCCTTTTTTAGTAAATTGAAAAGATACTCAATATGTTTCGGTGCGTTGACAGTAACTGTTGTGAATGAAGCACCGAATAGGACTCCGTCCGGGAGCTCACTTTGTGGGATGAGTTTGAACTAATGACAAGTCAGTTTCAGAAACCATGACTTTTCTTTTGCACTTTGTGATATACTCAGATCTTCAAGGTACTCAGACATTGATTGAATTTTGTCTTCCGACACGGCCTCGTCCCAGTATTCGACTGATGGTGTCCGCTTGATGTATGATTCTTGGCCAGCGCTTGTTGCCAACTGGGTTAGGTGACGGTATCCGAGACGATCCCATCTCAAAGCGTTCTCGTCACTCCCGGATATCGCAGAGAAATTTGCGCCAGCCCTTGGTGAAACGTCTACGTTAGAACAAGTACCAATCCCAGACTAGAAGGATTCTTACCAAGGAGAGGTGTAGTTAACCGAGGTATCACCAGGAAAGTGCTCGGCAATGATAGTGATATGTTGGCCAAGCCCCCGTCGGGCGAGAACCAATGCAACGTCCAACCCGATTATCCCAGCACTAAGTTTCTGTAAGAAAATTTACCCCTGAGAAAGCAGACCAGTTACTCTTACCCGACGATGATGACTGGGTCGTCGTTTCTCGTAGCAGCCATTTTAACAGTGTCGAAAATGGAAATGATAATGATAATCACTTCAACTCTTCAGCTCGGAGCTAATTCTGTGTAGAGACTGGACTGAAAACTAAGATACTCTCTTATACTCCCTCATCTTCCGATTGTCCTTATGACTTGACAATGTGACTAAACGGCTACGACTCCGATGAGCGGTTGTCTTCGCTAGGGGGCCACGACTCGCGGCTCGTAGCCCCCCCATCGTCGATATCGGCGTTTGTAATCATTGGTGGCGTTCAACCGTTGCCCCACTATGAGTCCCACCGCCGACCCCTGAAGGCCGACCAAATGTGCCTAAACTGAGCTGAAGCTTCATTAAAATCACTAGATACCTAGTAGTTTGATCTGGCGCCGCTTCCACGTGTCGAGTACAGCTCGCTAGACGAGAGAAATATGAATTCTTCCGCATTTGGCTCAGGGGAAATTAGGATGTTAAAACTGCTTAGAATTTCATATTAAGCTCGTTGCGGACAATAGGCGGCGTAGACATGACATGACAATATTGGTAGTCACAACAAACATGCCCGTGTGTTCCCTTCAAAGTCCACTAAGGAGGGCAAATTGCTCAGCAGTAACTAATGTTCCTACTTGAACGAGCGATAGTCCACCTCAGACAAATTCCAATCCACACGAAATTTCTTTCACCAAACAAATGATAAAAGATATTGTCATTTACTAAGGCTATCATCTATAAGGTAGTTTGTGGTTGCATGCTATTAGTTGTTGTAATGAATGGTTCTAAGCAAGTGAGTTGTATCGTCAATAAACTCGAAACTCTTTTGCAGGCCTCTATGCGGATGATTGTAATGCGCAAAGGCGTGTGGCACCCCAGCGTATCGCTTCATGGTGACTTTGTTTCCTGCCTTTCCAAGAAGCTCCCCATAGAACTCCCCTTCATCTCGTTCCAAGTCAAACTCTGCCGTGACAATGTGTGCGGGTGGCAGGTTATCGAAGTTGGGTGCTAATACCGGTGTCAATATCCAATTATTCAAGTGTCTCTCTTGCGTATCTGATTTCCTTCATTAGCCAATTGCCACGAACTATTCACTTGTGGTGTAGCCTTACCGTCGTCATCTCCAAGCCAATACTTCAAGAACCACTGCTCTCGACCCAATGGTCCCCATGGAAGGTCGTGAAGCATACGAGCACTTTCATAAGGGCAGTTGTGCTCATTAAGCTGTTTGATCTTCCTGCAGCAGTACCTCATGTCGGTTGCTGGCACAATCATTAGGTGTAACTTGATAGAAATGCCCTCGTCTCTTGCGAAATGAGCCAAAACAGCGGACATTTGACCACCTGCCGACAGTCCTCCGAATGACACACTCGTCGGGTCAATGTTCAGTTGATGTGCATTATTGATAGCCTGGCCAACAAAATATAAGCATGTGAAGAGCCATCATACGTCTTCAGTCCTCTAAGTCTTTGTTCGGTGCTTACCCATTTTACGGCATCCCAACAGTCATAAATAGCAACAGGGAATTTGTGCTCCGGCCCCATGCGGTAGTCAACGTCAATTACTTTGATGTTGGATCTGTTGCAAACCTGCCGGCACCATGCTGCTTCGCTTTGTAGCCCTCCTAAAACCCAACCACCTACAGAGAATTTGTTAGTCCAGTACAAAAGTCTCTAGTTGGTTTTCATTACCTCCATGGAAATTGAGATGTACTGGAAATGGACCTGGTCCTTCTGGAGAGTAAATTCTCACGTTAATGGTGCCGTGCGGATGCATAACAGGGATTTTGCGGTCCTCAACATGAAAGACATCGGGTCCTGAATATGATATTGCTCTTAGCACCAATGAGATGTCAAAATATGTTGGCGGATTCAAAACCTACCAGTCCATGTTGGATAAGTGAAGCTGTATTGTCCCGGGTTTTCTTGATATTTTTCGATGCTAACTTCGTCGGCGCGTACCATTGAACCGCCATATTCGTTCCACATCCGTACCCATTCTGCATCTATCCCTGGATAGTCTTCTTCTGAAATTTGCAGCCGCCCAGGACTGGGTTTTGGCGTTGGGTCATTTCTCAGGCTTCTTGAAACAGTCATTGTCGATTTTCGTATACTGCAAATAGTTTTGAAAATTGTAGCAAGATTAATTGTTGAGAGACAGATTTGACGCTTTGTTTCAATGAACAATTCCATCGCAGCTTTGAAATCGCAATCGCATGATCTAACCTCTTAACCTAACTATACTTAATCACTTCCTCACAATTTTGATTGGCGGCGTTGCAATGGCCGATCTGGGTGGACCTTAAGCGGATGAATCCCGGAAAGATCATGGCATTGGTTGTGATTGGCGGCGTTCTCAGTGCTATCTCGCGTGATAGGCCACAGAACGCCGCCTATCAGATGTTCACGTAAAATCCCAGCGTTATCTGTGGTATCAATTGCTCATGCACAATCTGGGGAACCCCGCTTTATCCACTACGCCGGATTTGAGCGGAGACCAGCAGCCGATCAGATGGTCAAGTCTGGGAATAGATGCAGTGGTCAACTATTTGACTACTTGACGCGCCATCCCTCCAGACTATCGTTCGACATCCAGACGATTACACATGCGATAATTACGCTTCTGTGTTTTGAGACACATCCATTATGGGCAGTCAAAAAGACAACATCACGAGTCCTGAAGAGGCACCGGTTCCTCCCGATCCATCAATCAAAGGGGTAGCACCATCATGGGCAGGCCTTAGAAGAGTTCCAGACAAGCTTCCAACCATTGCGTTGTTAATTCTTGTTGTTGAGGTACAGATGTGCTGCATCGAGCTACAGAGGGGCAACTCAACTAACAATTACAGCTTGGAGAGCGTTTTACTTACTTCGGTCTCAGCGGTCCCATTCAAAACTATATCAAGTGAGTCACGACTTCTCAATTGATTTGTTTCCTTCGCAACTGCATACAGAAAAGCTTCAACTTCGAATTTCTAGCTTACAGTTTCAACGTATAGCAACCCCTATGATCCCGACTCCGATCTTCCTGGCGCCCTCGGCCGTGGCCAGGCCGTCGCAACCGCGTTGGGCAATTTCTTCAAATTCTGGGCATATGCATCGACAGTAATCGGTGCTGTAGTAGCAGGTCAGCCATTCGAGTGCTGCATTTAAGGTCGGCAGTGGATCTTTAATACCTGACTAACCATCATTTTATAGACCAGTATCTTGGAAAGTTCAAAGCTATCCTTGCTGCCTGCGCCGTTTACATCGTTGGCTTAATTATCCTTGTTGCCACCTCCGTGCCTCAGTCGATTACCAATGGAGCAGGTTTTGGAGGTTTGATCGCGGCCATGATAACCATTGGTCTTGGGACTGGGGGTATCAAAGCCAACGTCACGCCAATGTGCGCCGAACAATACCGGAACTCTCATCACGTTGTCAAGACCCTCAAATCGGGCGAGGAAGTCGTGGTTGATCCTGAGTTAACTATCCAGCGATTGTTCATGTGGTAAATAAGCAAGCCATTATTATATCATGCGCAAATTTCCACTAACCCCTTGTTACCTCAGGTTTTATTGGGTTGTCAACATCGGCGCACTATCACCTCTGATCACAGTCAACGTAGAGGCACACCATTCATTTTGGCTCGCATATCTCATTCCACTCATGTAAGTCTTCACGGTTTTGTCTTGCGCTCACGTCTAACATATGTAGTGCAATCATAATCTCCGCTGGCGTCTTCATTTCGGGTCAGAAGAAGTATCTTAAAGTCCCTCCAGAGGGTTCTGCGATTGTTGATGCATGCCGTGTTACTAATATCGCCATCAAAGAGAGGGGCTTCAAAAATGCCACTCCATCAGCACTGAGAGTCTCGGGTCACCTCGAAAGATACCCTGTTGCGCAAGAGCCAAAATACACCGATGAGTATGTTATGGATGTCATGCGAGGACTCAATAGCTGCAAGGTGGGTTGAATAATGGCTGGTCGAAACTATACTTGAGAACAGAAGGCTGACCTAGGTATTCTACAATCTAGATGTTCTTGTTCTTCCCTCTTTATTTCGTCTGCTGGATTCAGATTTGGAACAATCTGATATCTCAAGCGGGTACTATGGCCTTGCATGGTACTCCCAACGACCTATTACAGAACCTAGACCCCATTGCGTTATGCATCTTCATTCCATTTCTTGATGGTAAGTACTACAGAAGCGCTTCTTCTAGGAACGGGTAGGCTAATTGATACGTCCGTATAGTCGTCGTCTATCCCCTACTCCGGAAATACCGCATCGACTTTGATCCAGTTACCAGAATCTTTGTCGGATTCATATTTGCATCAATCTCTATGGTCTATGCAAGCGTCTTGCAGCACTACATTTATAAATCGCCCCCAAAGAGTATTCATGTTTGGATTCAAGCGCCTGCTTACATCCTTGTGGCGTTCTCCGAGGCGTTCATAATTGTCACTGGTCTCGAGCTAGCCTTCACCCATGCCCCGAAAAAGTAAGTGAACCCCTGACTGATAACAGTTGTGGAAGTTCCTAGCCTGGCATAGTCTAACGCCTTAACCTTTTTAGCCTCCGATCAGTCGTCTCTGCCCTTTTCTGGCTCACTATCGGGGTCGCCGCAGCTATATGCATCGCTCTTGCGCCAGTCTCCCAAGATCCTTACCTTGTATGGATGTATGGTTCGCTAGGAATTGTTGGGTTTGTTGCTGGTTGCGCATTCTATGTTTGTTTTTACCCAGGAAGGACGAGTAAAGGAAACGTGAATGAGGTGATAATTGAAGGAAGATCACCGGAATAATGACGACGGTTTAGTTAGCTTCCGTAACGAAGATAGTTATCAAGGACTTGACAAGTGGCAGTATCGTTGGAGCTTTAGCAGGCTCTTCAACATTGAATTCACCACTGATATGAGTTTTGCACAATGTTTACCCCATGTGTCATTGAACCTGAGGGTAACGCAAAAAAATGGACTTATCACAACAGGTATGCGCAGATACGAGACTGCCCCGAAACAAGGTATTTGGGTCATGACATATATGAAATTTAATATATACTACAAAAGACTCACTTGAAATATGGGTGATTTTAGGTGACTTGAAGATCGGTGACCAGCCCAGCCTGAAACAGATTCATTACACGTTGACATCAGCCATTAATAATAACTGTTTCCTCGAGTACTCGGTGATCCTGAATATCTCTCTCCGTCACTGGTTTCCCTTTTCAATTGTAGTGGCATAGGTAGATAAGCGAAGGCTGCGTGATTAATGACTGGAGACGCGTCATTGTCGGGCGGGGGCCATGAAAGGAGTGTGGGTGAGAAGACGCCGCTACTAGCGAGACTGCCTTCTGAGATGGAGCTTTCGCTGACGCTTACGAAGCTCTTTCTATGATTCATTTCTGGGTCGCCTTCAGATTGGTTTCCTCGAATCCAATGTAACCAATCCAAAATAGGCGTGTGTAGGCCTTCCGGCATCGTGCTTTCGGGAGTGTTTGCTGCGAGGAAGCCGTTCTTTTGAGAAGAGGGAGTTTGAGTCATCGTCCTCCGTGCAATGACGTCTCTTCTTCCGTGCCACAGCATGGAGGACGTTGTGCTCCGTGATGCTCGAGACACTGCTCTTGAAGGACCTTTGGATGTGTGCCAACCCGAGATGGCACTGCGAGCGGAAGACGCAGCAGACCGAGACGAGCGTGTCGGCCATCTGAATATGCGAATAGGAGACGGCTCTGGGATAGGTGGAACTGGTATAGAGAAAGCTCCATGTGACTGCGCGTATTGTTGAGCTTGAGCATAAGTGAATGGCAGCCCAGAGTAGGGATTTGAACGTTCAGGGGTTGAATCATCTGCTTGTGGTTCAAGTTGCTCTACTGGGTCTGGTTGGGGTTGAGGATGATGAACCATGAGTTGATCGTGAAGACTGACACCACGGTTCTCGGCCATGGGGGGAACGTTTTGATTGGTGGTCACTCGTAATCTTGGAACGACGCCACAATATTCATTGGGAGGGTTTTCGGGAGAAAGAGCTGCCTGGTGATGCAAGTTGGCCTTTCTTCTTCGTCGATAGCACCAGAAGATCAGAAGAGATATGCCCATCAAGACCACTATACCCACTATTCCTTCGTTAATCTCTATCGGGGAAAAAAACGTTCAGTAAACAGTGCTGGGATTGGGTTACATACACACAACACCAGTAGCGACTAATGGAGTCTGGTTGACTGTTTCGTTGCCCTGGGGCACAACAACTGGCGTCTGTGGTGTTTGTGTTGAAATTGTGACTCCTGATTTCGTAGCATCGACACCACGAAATCCAGACGAGGTGCCAACAGGAGCTGTTCCAGAAGAATCTGCTAGCATAGATGTTGATGCAGCGTTTGTAGATATGGCAGGGGCAGCTGAGGTCTTCGTGGTAGAACCTGCGGCGCCTTCAGCGGCGGGCGGAGTATGGTTGTTCGCTGGGGCGTTGGCGACAGCGGCCGATGTTGGTTGCTGCTGAGCTGGTGCATTCGTTGTTGCCGGGGCTTGCGCAGCTGGGATTGTTGTCGGGTGTTGTTCTTCTTGTTTCGGAGTTGAAGCTGGAGGTGCAGCCGCTTGTTGTGTTGTCGCGGCTGGTGGTGCTGCAGCTGCTTGTGTTGTAGCTGGCACCGCGGCTGCTTGTGATGTTGCTGCGGGAGTCGTCACCTCTGCCTTTACACTCTCCTGAGTTGTCGCCGCCGGCGGCGACAATACCTGACTGATGATATTCCCAGGAGCGCCGAGGAGGTCGCCAATCAACCCACGATGGTAGAGTCTTTCTGCGACCTCATACCATCTCCCGTAGATCTCCTGATCGACCATGGCTCATTATATCCAGATGTTGCCTTCTCGATAGGTGCGTGCTGAATAGGGGCTGTCGTTTCGCGCTGATCCGGTTCAAACGTTTTGTTTTAAGACGCCTCCCTCTAAACCACAACTCCACGTCTCAAGCATATACAGAACGAGTGTAATTGAAAAAGCAACAACAGAAAGTGAAGGGATCCCTACCTTGCGAACGAATGACTGCAGGTGCGGAGGAAACACAAACAATCAAAGTTCAAGGTTCGCCCTCTCAGATCATCTGGATGGATTGCGAGAGAGAGGGTATTAGAGGCAACTACCCCCTCATCTAAGCGATCAAGGTCAATGCGGATATTGGGATGCACTAATTGTTATGAGGAGGTCCGAGCCTTGTCGTTCAATTGCCCCTCTAGACTCGAACCAGCCGGCCCACCAGCAGCACTAGAGACTTTTACGCCGCCGCCCAAGGTCTCAAGTCGTGAGGCCGGTTCACTTCTGCAGCACCTGGCGGATCAACGGCCTGGCTTAGCGTTATCGGTTGCGAGACATGGCGCCTCTAATGATACAGTTAGCGGTTACATCGGCATTGTGGCGTTTGTTGTTAGGTTAGGAGAAAAGCCGCTAAGCGACGCCATCGTCCATGCGACTGTGACCCTAAACACGATGGATTTGTTAAGAGGCCTGAAAATTTGAGAATTTCTGAGCAGAATGGGCCCAAATGATGGTTTCGATGTTGAATCAAAGGGGTCGACAGGGGGAGATCATGCCATCATGTATGATAGAGATCCTGTTACGATCGAATAACGGCCGTGAGGATCTTGGTTTAGAAGAGAGAACAGAAATTCTACAATGTTTCTGTTGTTCATAGCTTATCAGCCTTATGCATATGAGCTCAACTGCATTGCAGTATACATATATGCAAGCAAGTTTATCTGTGTTGGTATCACTCGGAGGCCCCCTTAACGCACAGATGCCCCAGAAAACTCGTCCGATCCTTGTCCGAACATCATCCCTTCTCTCAGCCCCGACTTGTCTTCGGGCCCCATCTCCAGTCCGTAGTCCAAGCTGAATCGCCTTTAGTTGTCGCGGTGACATAATCTCGATTTTGGCCTGACAGTGTCCTGACAGACTGTCATAGTTGGTAGGCGTGGCGTACGGTGGGCATGGCGCGGATCGTATTCTGCGCCTAGAACCTTTACGAGACTTCTTCATTGCGGTTAGCAACGTTCACTTTCCGCGTATCTGCACACCATCCCAGATACTTGGTTTGTATTGTGGATTCCGAGAGGTACGGCAACATAGGCGGATCGATTGAACAAATCCGGGGATCCGCAGTCTCACCGTCAAATAGGCGTAGGTAAGTCAACTCAAGGGTCGCGGTGGCCAGTGGCAAGTGTTCCTTTCGGTCAGACGGTTTAAACCAACCAATAAAAATGTGATTCCGCTGCGGATCATGACCCAAAAGCTTTGTCCGAGTCCGTCCTAGGGATTTTGGGACTACTCTTCAACAACTCTAGACCTTCTGGGAAATCGTTGATCCTCCCATCGTCGTCCCATAGTGCAGCTAACACCTGGCGGTTTCCACTCCAAGGCTTACGCGAGTGCATTACCGCATAGTTCTGAAGAAGCCCTTGGTATCAGCCACCGTTCACTACGTTTCCCGCACAGAGATCTCCGCGGGGTCAGTCACTCACATCTAGCAACACCAGATCACCCTTCTCCCACTCGACATCTACAGCACCCTCTTCGGCAAGTTTCAGCAGTAGGTCCAAGTTCTCAACATCAATCGGCGTGCCGTCACCAAATGTCGGCGGCGGATGGTATGAACCGTCGTCACCTCGGAAGGGAGGCCTCGTCGCACCATGATGTCTGCTACGCCCCCAAGCGGAAGTGACGTTTCCGAAGAATACAGTGGCTTCTGTGGGATTGTGGATGCGAATGGCTTCATTTCTCGCGTTAGAAGGCTTCGATATCATTTGAACCCCTCAGTTAAAAAACACGTACCAGGGACAATGTGTGTGACACTTAAACTACCATCCTCATGCCATTCAAAACGCTCGCTGTGGCGGCGTACCTCAGTTTCGATCTTCTTTCGGGCCGTTGCTTCGTCGTCCTCGTCGGTAATCTCTTGCCCGTACGCGCCACGGACACTCGTGCCCGTATTGGACACGAGGGGGTTGATGGTGTATCGGTATACGTATTTGACACCTTTGTGGAGAAGATCCGATAAAAATTCGGGCGCCTGTTGTGAAAGCTCATGAGCGATGTAAATGGCTGATGTGATAGGTGTCGCGCCACCTGACGTCGTTAGCACGGAATGACCAAGATTCTTCAGTTGTGGAGGGCTCAATCGGACTGAGGAGGAGGAGGTGAGGCAGATTTGGTCCACATACCGAAATCGGGAAGCTGGAGAGCGGTGAAAGTGAGCCATGCCGGATTGATAGTTGACCATCCGTATCTAGCTCAGTTAGCACAATTCTTTTTGTAAATAATCAGGTACACTCACTCGCTGTGTGGCCAAATTGGAAGCTCTGGAGGTCTAGTGGACGTTGTTAGTCTAATTTGTGCAATCATACAGATTAGCTTAGCGCAGTCGAGCCTCACCCCTCATTTGCGGTTTTCACATTTGGTGCTAAAACAGTTCTCAAGGGTGGACGTCCAACTTCGATATGAGGACGAAAGCCAAATGCGTGAGCCACTTTGCTGTAGTCATCAGGTGTCTCAATGGGCAATCCACGAATCAAAAGAGCTCCGCCGTGCTCTTTGATGGATTTGCCCAAATCGCCTGATTGAGTGAACTTTAGAATAGCTTCAATACTTTCCGATAGACTTAATGACTTGGTCACTCTAAGAGCGAGAGGAAATGGTGCAGACCATGATAAGCCGAACTTGGCCGTGTCCTGTTGACCTAAAACTGAAAACGGCTCGAACAAGGTCGGATTGCCGCTGTCGTTCTCAAGCTTGTTGAAACCTAAAGACGAGGATGCGTCCTGAAGAGTGATAGTGGACTGAAGTGTCGTCATTTTGAAACCACAAAGAAGGTTTCTGCACTTGAAATTAGAATGGGTTGCTCAAGTTCATGCCATCGATTAACGATGTGTTATATTCCAATGTTCTCATGAAGAAGGTACGCATTTATGTAAGAGGTAGGAACTTGCCTTTGGCATTAGTAAAGCACTCTTCGGACTGTACACTTCTATATCCTACCACTAGGATGACTTGGCGTCTCTTTTCAGCATTGCGTGATAGCGGGTCTAGATCCTGCATGAACCAGATATGGATGGCCCTTTGTCGGGCCAGGTCCGACAGCGGCAAATGGTGAGAGTATGTTACTCAGACTTAATCGACCCGGCTAAGAGTATCTGGCGAGATGCTTAAAGACGCGGTTAATTCTCAGTTTAAAGCTCAGGCTTGGTTTTCGCTCATCATCTAGGCTTCATGAACAACATCCAGCAGATTTAATAGTGATTAGACACAATGAAGTACCTTACTGATTATACAGCAATCATCTATCACTGCGTACAAAAGGATAACTTTGATAATAAGAGAACCCGAATCCTTTTGCACTTAAACTATGCGCATGTCATCTCAGATGCCGAATCTATCGGATAATGACAAAACTATTTGTCCTTCGCCATCGCGGATCGGCATGTCGTGATTTCCACATCTTCCAACCAGCCGTACAGAATATGTGGGGCATTCCTGATAAGGCCGCTGTAGCACATTTAGAGCAAGGCAGTCTACCACCAGAAACATGCAGATTCGGATAGCGTCCGATATCACGCAATACTGGGTATCTTGGACTTTAAGGTCGCTGAAGATATCGGAGCTGCTGGTTTGGCCAGAGAATCGTTTAAGTATATCTTACTTACCGAATAGGGGACTCAAGGCGATCACAAGAAAGTGAACCACAGACAACTGTTCAAGGTGTTTCCGACGCAGAAATGAGCTCAGATACCGAACTTGAAGCGCCGACATCCCAGGCCGCTTCTATTGAAGATGACAGACCAATCACCCCGAAATATCATTGGTTCCGTGGTGTGTTTTTCCAGGCAACAGTGGTTGGAATAGCAGCGTTCACAGCTCCTGGTCTGTGGAATGCGATGAACTCTGTTGGAGCTGGAGGTCAACAGTCCCCGTACCTTGTTATGTAAGTTTACAGCATATGTGACATGATGAGTCATTATTTTAAAAGATGTTATCTTACTTGGGAATTTCACAGGGCTGGAAACGCCGTTCTATTCTCTTTGATGACAATAACCTGCCTCGTTGGTAGCATTGTTGCTAACCGCTTTGGACTGAAAGCAACTTTTGCCTTTGGTACAATCGGTTATGTCGTCTACTCTGCGGCTCTTTACACCAATAACCGTTATGGCAATGAGTGGTTCATATACGTCGGCTCAGCTGCCTGTGGAATAACTGCTGGGCTGTTCTGGGCGGCAGAAGGAGCAATCATGCTCAGTTACCCAGAGACAGAGAACCGCGGTAAATACTTGGCCTATTGGCTATGCTACCGAAACAGTGGCAGCATCTTGGGTGGTATTATCAACCTCGCCTTCAATTATCAGGGAAGGCGGACTGGCAAGCTTGATTGGAGAACATACATCGTCTTTGTTGTCCTACGTAAGTCGTGGCCCAGGCTCTCTAGCATTGTTTCCCAACTCCGACACAACGCAACCTGGCCTAAGTTTAGACTCATTTCAGGGACAGCGTGAGACGGGACTGACTCAACCTTGTTATAGAATGTCTCGGGCCCCTTGTCGCCATACTCCTCTCCCCACCCGATAAGGTCGTCCGACGGAACGGGACTCGAGTCCAGATCGTTGAGAGGATTTCTGACTCGGCCGAACTCAAAGAGCTAGGACGTCTCATGCTGCGAAAAGAATTTCTCCTCGTGTAAGTCTGAGCGTTTCTGTACTATTCACATCTGGCTCGTGCACGATGATGCTGTGTGACACTTTCGACTCATTCAACTATTTTCAACAGGGCCCCCTTCTTCGTCTATGTAAACTGGCTCTTGCCATACAGCAGTTCCTATCTTTCACTCTATTTCTCCATTCGCGCGCGGGCACTGGCCTCGCTAGTGTCCGCACTCGCCCAGATTGCGGGAACTGCTGCTCTCGGAAGCTTTCTAGACTGGAAGCGTCTGTCTCTGACAACGCGAGCGCGAGTTTCATATGTGTTTCTGATGGCGCTTATCGGCGGTTGTTGGGTCTGGGGCGTCGTCGTTCAAGCCGAGTACGCCAGGCACAGGCCGTCGCTGGATTGGGATGATGCAGGGTTTGGCCGCGGATGGGCGTTGTACATTTTATGGCAGGTCAACTTTGCACTAACTTACAACTACGGATACTGGCTAGTTGGCTGGATGTCGCGTCATCCGAGCGATATCGTCCGGTATACGAGTGCCGCGAGAGCTCTTGAGAGTGCTGGGCAATGCATAAGCTCCGGCATCAGTTCAACGAGCGCGCCTGTAAGTTACATGAGATTCTGGTTCGTTCGAGGTTATGATTGCTTATTACGATAAAACAGCTGACTGCAGCCCTGGGTGTCAATTTTGCGCTTTGGGGCATTGCCATGATTCCTGCTTATTTTGTGGTTCGAGAAGTTGGGTTACGCCACGTAGGAGTTCACTCAGTAGAGCCAGAACAGAGGCATCCTGATTTAATTGCAGGAAGTGAGGACATCAAAGGTACCAATTCAAACAAATAGACATGTATTTGACGTAGCAAGACGTTGTCATGCATTCAATATTTAAAAAATCTTTCTCTTTATTCAGAAGTAAAAACTCGGGTTATCATAAAGTCAACTTTACGATTTCCGTTAGGTTAATAAAGAGAAATAGCTCAACTCATCCACTTTTACGCTGGTCAATTTAAGGAGACAGGGAGATGCAGCCGTTGGAGCTGTCCTCCTGGAAGATGCCGCCGTAGATGATACCCTCGTTGATGTTGGAAGGCTGGTCGCCAGACTTGGTGATGTCATCGCCACCGTTGACGGGCTTCTTGAGCATACCGAAGTGGTACTGACCCTGGCCGGAGATGTTGTTCTCAACAGGCTTGCCCTGGGACTTCAAGGCAGAGTTACCTTGGGAGTAGAAAACCTCGGTGGTGCTGGCGTGGAATGTTAGTAAATTGCAACAATAATTATGGTGGTTCTAATCTTACTTCTTGGTGAAGTCGAGCTTGATGGCGAAGTTGTGGAAGACACCCTCGGTGAACTTGGTCTTGAAGAGCTCAGGAATGGGCTTGGAGTTGACGTTTCCGAAGAGCTGGAGCGTGTCGGGATCGGCAGTGTTGGCGCCGATGATGGAGCCGGTCTTGAGGACGATTTGGTTGGTGCTGAAGTCGGCGCTCTCGAGGAAAGCGAGCTGGTACTCGTGGGACAAGTTGAGAGGGCGCTGAGCATCCTTCATGACGCTGAAGTGGAGGGTCTTGATACCCTGAGTAGAGGCATCCTTGCCATCGTTGCTGAGGGGAAGCAACTCGGCACGACGGAAACCAACCTGGACGTTGGTCTCACTGGGGGCGAAGATGGACTTGTCATTGATGGTGACCTCCAGGGGCTTGGTGGCATTGACATCGAACTATGCAGATCTCAGTGTTAGACTTGCACTGTTCGGCTATTCGGCAACGGGTGATCCCGCTTCTTTTTGTATCAGAAGTTGGCTTCTGGTGGACAATGACTTACCAGAGACGAAAGACCCTCAGGAAGCTGGATGAGCTCGCTGAACTTCAAGCCCTTGCCGAAGACATTGGCGGTGTTGAAGGGGCTGGACTTTCCATCGAAATCGGCAGCGGTGAAGGCCTTGGGGATGCGGCCGTCGAACTGGAGCGCGCACTGAGCCTTAGCACCGGGGACCACGCCACCGGAGTTGTTCTTGGAGTTGCAGTCGGCCGCGACGGCGGCAATGAGCGAGAGAATGAGAGTAGAAGTGAACATTGTGGAGTCCTAGGCCGGCTATGAGCGGATTTTGAAAAAAGAGTGTGGTTGGTTTGGAAAATAGACGTCGAATGAGACGAACGAAAAAAGAATGGAATGAACAAGAAAAGATGATCTACAGAGAGGCTTGAGTCCAGGCGAAATCCATCAGATGAGGGCAGATCTTGACGTTTTGTACTAATGTCGTCCGATCTGATCCTCAGCCTGAACCTGAGCCTTGTCTAGACATGCAGGGTACCGCTGCAACTCCATCTCGTTGCAGTCCGCGGTGCGCGCAACCAGCCGCTTAGCCCCCTTACTCTCCAGAAACTTTCTACTGCTGTCTGGGATTGAATAGGGTTCGCTAGCCTTTCGTGTCATGCATCCTTGGCGACTGGAAACTCCCATCTCGTCACCACTGAACCGTGCTGTTGGGTGCCGACAAGCTGGGTGGTTCTCCTGACTGGCAACAGGGTCAACCCTGGTCGATATTCAAAGAAACTTTCCGCTGATTCAGTTTCGGAACCACTGCCCCATTGGGGGGTTGAGTGCACGGGACCGAGAATGGCCGCCACGCTGCTCCAAAGCCAGGTTGAAAATGAGCGTACGAGTCGTGCGCATGCTGCCGAATTCAACAAAGTCCTAGGAAAACCACATTCAATACACCGGAGTGCCCGGTAACAGCTGGAGTCCGATTCCCTGTACCACGTGGAGGGCAGACAAGAGCTGCAATAAAGCTCTGCCCCTGATATTAAGGGGATATGATACCAAGGCGCGTTGTCGAGCCCAAATGGAAGAAAAACAGCATCATCGTTGCCGTTAACGACACAATCTGGCGATGACTTCTCAATGAAGTTCGGCCCCGTGTGGCGAAGGGAACTACTCCGGAGACATAACAAAACTTGGATTTGAAAGATGCGTCTCCGCCGGAAACCCCTGACAAGGCGGTGGTGACGGTATTGTCACATTCGGCTTCGGTCGACAATTCCGAGACAGGTGAACCTCAAACTTGGCTAGATGCTCTGAGACGTAGATCTCTGCACGGTACACTGCTTTTTTGCAGTTTGGGATTCTGTCTTCATTAGGAGGAGTAGAATTAAGTCGGCTTCTCGAAACACTCCGCCGCCTGGTTCTCCTATAGCCAGACCACATGCATTGGAGTTGGTGCATCCTGGTCATCCTGTCAAGTCGGCAGTTTGCGTATGTGTTTCCAATATCTACCTTAAATATTGCTTCCTGAACTCTATTCCGCCAAGGTGTCTTGAGACACCCTAATGCAGGTGACGATATCACCTCTCTGGCGAACCGTCAACCGAAAAGGGTTCTAGAACGGACGCGCCATCCTACAGGGCCAAGCCAAGCTCGGGAATCGAGGGGGTGAATTAATATCAACGGGAAACAGATATAGATGTCGTTAGCCCGTAACTCAGTTTCCCAACATCACGCAATCTAGAAGGTGGCGCCTGAAAGGATGCGTGCACTTAATGTTGAAGAAATGTACGCGATTGCTGCTAATGAGTGGGATTCCCCGTCCCCGCTTAGTCAAATGATCCATGCCGTCCTACTTTGAATTTTAAAAAATGCCCCGTAGATCAGTACGTAGTAAACAACTTAACTACTATGTCAATGTAAAAGAGTTTTTCGGCTCCTACCCGAGCCAACCTGTTGATTGATTTTCATCAAGGCATGCAGATCTGGGACATCTCTAAAAGACAAAAGCTTGGCAAAGACAACCTGCACAATATCCGTAACACCTCTCTTGATCAAGTGGCATCAATGGTTGATGGACAACTTCCAGGGCTTCGAAGTCGTTGTGAATCTGGTCATCCCACTTTCCGTTGCAAATTTGATTTCCAAATCCCCTTTACGGCTGCGCAACCTCGGACGGACAATCTTCTGTTGTCCGTTGGCCCACTTTCTGTTTCTCTTGGGGCCGGTCAGAGAGACTGGGGAGTACATGTCTGTGGAGCAGATTCGGTGGTGAACCCTGCAATCTGCGGCGAAACAAGATCGTCACTGAAATTGGATCAACAGCAATATTATCCTGAACTTATTCATTCTCGATTCAGTTTACACTAGAAGGAGTCAGTGCGCGAGGCTAGGCTCACAGAAAGCAAGCTCCCCCTTTTAGTTGTGAACAGTCGTCAATTGAGTTGTATACTGTGACAAATACTAGATTCTGTACCTTATTTTTATTGATCTGCTTTTACCATTGCAATAAACTCTTCCAAAGATTTGGCTCATCACTTCGCCATACTCCTTAACCCGACCCATTCCCTAAAAGAAAGAAAAAAACAACTTGAGCGCCCTCGTCGATCTAAAGCGGTGAGATATCCAAGCCCTGGCCCTCTCCAGCGCGGCACTTGAACCCAGGAGCAATTGGCTGCGGACCAGTCAACTTGCCGCCAGTGCAAGTCGCAAAGTGAGTCTCATCAGGCAAACAAGTAAGGTAACCCTCAGTACAAGCAACCGGCGCAGATGAGGGAGTGGCGGGAACGTCCGAAGCGACAGGAATGTTGGCGGTAATTGTAGCCGTCACAGTGACAGTAACCTCTACAGTCGGAATCGAAGGGACTGGGCACGTGACAGGGACTTCAGGCGCAACGGTACTGGCCGGCGGCTGTTCAGGCTGACTAGTCGAAGAAGTAACAGGCGGCTCAATGGTGACTGCAGAGCTAGCTGAGCTCTCTGCAGGAACAGACGCAGTAGAGCTCGATGCAGGCGCCTCTTCAACTCTGGAAGTTGAAACCCCGGGCTCAGTAGCACTGCTGGCGGCAGAAGGCTCGGCTCCATTACCGGGAGCCCCGCCGCCGGCGGCACCGCCGGCACCGGCCCGGGGGTTTCCGTCACACGGCTGCTGGAACAAGTTAGCAGTGCCCTCAGGGTGGTCAACAGATGTGCCCGCGTTCGGGTACTTGATCGGGATCTGAGCGTTAAGCGCCTCCGATGTGGTACAACCCCCGGACACATCACCCATGTTAGCCATAAACAACTCAGGAAACACAACACGCTTGGCGAGCGACATGCGGCGATCAACCCACGCCGCGCGCTTCTTCTTAGCCGGAACTACCGTGATCGGAGCGCAGTTCATGTAGTACTCGGGTTGACCGCCCACTCGCGCCTGCCATGTCCACGCAAATGTGTAGTCACCAGGCGCAATGCCTTCAGGTACAATGAAAGAGTACTCATCTTTGTTTGGGCCCTCGAGGTTTCCCTTTTGGTTACGAGCCGGGCAACCGCCCTCGATCGAGTGAATGACCATCCAAGTCGAACTCTTGGTCGGCGCAGTGTCGGCGCTGAGTGCGAACTGGCAGCTGCCGCCGCCATGGACAGCCTGGCCTTTGAAAGTGGCGATTTGCGGATCACCAATGGCATAGACAGTTCGTTCGCCGTCAATGATGTAGGAGGCGCCGGCAGGGACTTTGCAAGGGAAATCATCGCCGGTGGAAGAGACGGGGTTGGTGGGACCGTCGGCGACGAATTTGAAGGGCCTCGGGTTCTCGAGGACGACGTGGGCACTCGCGGCCGATGCCAGCATGGCGGCGATGAGTGACAGCTGTGCGGAAGGCATTGTTGAAGGTAAGGAAATGGAAAGTTAAGTGCAAATAAATAAGAACGGGAAAGGTACTGCTCGGGATATGTACGAGAACGTAGGAAAATGTAGAAATGATGATATGTCTGAATGTCAGAAAAGAGTTGGACCATCAGATATTTGTAGTAATGGAAAGGCAGAAGCCTAGAAGTACGTCCTGCAACACCAATACAACTTGAGCAACGGATCGATGGTTGTTCAACACTAGTTGCAATGTTCATGTGTGGGACTTCATGTGAAAGAAACCTGTAATACCTTAGTTTCCCCTTACATTGCTCACCGACTTTGAGCAACTCCTTGGTCTACAACAAAGCTCATACTACCTTCTTTGGACACTTCGCTAATACGTTGACTGAATACAGAGATCAATAATCTACAAAGCTGGCTCGGTTGAAAACAAACTGCTCATAGTAATTGGCGTAGTACAACTTGCCCTGTCCTGAACAACAGTGAAGTCATTTGATGTTGAATCTTTGTTAGACGGAAAACTCCCTGGCAACTATCTTCCTACACGACTTCATTGTCAGTAACCTGAATAGTCGTTGTCAAAGTGAATGACAAACAAGACTAAACCTGAGAACAATCCGATCTTGGCAACACCACTGAAACCTCCACATACTCGTTTTCAAAAGAAGAGCCTCATGATTCGATGGATCAGTTTGATTACATCTTAAGAATGGAAATTGTGACACCGTCACACCCAATGCTCCCACACTCAATCTTCCCGGTGCTGTACTTTCAATCTAATACTAGGTACATAAACGCAGTGATATCATGGTAACGTCGCACACCCACTTCTCGCACACCCCCACATTTCGCACACCCATAAATTGGGTCATCATGAGGTATTCATCAACTTCATAACTATAAGTCTGATTCGTCTCCTGCAACTGTGATACTATCGCCAGTTTTAATAGGTAATTCAGGCTCGCTAGATTCATCTGAGCTATCCTCAATTTCGCCAGCCTCAATTTGGGCTTTGTGAATTGCCTCAATGTTGGCAAACTTCGAATTTGGGCTCATTTGGACCTTACGCCGCTTCCGTACCATTCCAGCCTCAACTTCTGCTTCCAACATTGCAATCTTCTTCTCTGCTGTAGCCAATTGATAGTCCTTTTCATCAAATCCCTTTTGAACCTTTCGAAACAACAGTCGCTGCGTTTGCTGATCTTTATCCAACTTGCTGAATAAGCTAAGTTGATCATATAGATCAACTGTCTTCTTGGGCGTTGACCAGGCTACTATGGATGTAGCAGATGCCCAGTTTTCGTCTTTTCCACCATCAGAGGCCCTCATAGGCGTAGAATAGCCTGGCTTTGAGGGCTTGGAAGCATTCTCAAGCAGTAGAGGGCTCATGAGCGGTCGAGCTATCGAAATGGGCCATAGTCCTGTTGCTTTCCAGCCGCTTCTGATATTCTTGCTTGAAAATGCCATCTGGCGTGCTTTTCCATAGCAGGTAAGAAAGTTCCGTTTGCCTACAACTGTAGAATCGTTGTGTTGAATGAGGTATCCAAGCTCTTTTCGATAGGTCGCCTTGAGAGGCCCAAAGACTGCTTGGTCTAGAGGTTGGAGAACGTGGGATGTATGTGGCGGTAGGAAAAGGAGATATATCTTGTGTTTATAACAGAGATACATAAATTCTGTTGTTTCATGACTGCCATGACCGTCTAGGATCAATAGTCTCTGCTCAGAGGGATGATCAGGCTTAGTCAGAGGGATAAAGATGTTCTCAAGCCATTCCACAGCTGTAGAGTCTGAAGTCCAGCCATTCTCAGTTGCTGTGAACTTCCAACCACTGTAAATATCACGTTTATGGATATCAAGAGGAAACCATTGTTGTTGAACCGATTTCCCTCGATAAATAACAAGTGGAGGAAGCGCCTGACCAGTTGCAGAGACACACTCAAGCATAGTTGTCCAAGCCCGAGACCCAGGCTGTTTTTTTCGCATTGATGAGCTTTCTGATGATCCCAGTACTAAGCCATTTGATCCTCTGCCTTCTAGGATACCAGTTTCATCCATGTTATAGCGATGATGTGGTTTGATCGCCTTGATCTCTGGAAGGGCGAGTTGTTGAAACCATTGCCTGATTACATTAGTTGAGGCCCCATTGACACGCTTAGAATCGATGGCTCTAGCTCTATGAACCTTGATTGATGGATTTCTCTTAATAAAGAACTGAATCCAGTTTCTCCCAAGTGGCTGGGTAGTGCCTCTGATGTCTAGGATTCGCTGGGCAAATTCCTTGAGTTGTTGATGTGTTGGCGGCAGCCCTAACGCCGCCTGGATACGCACCCATTCAGCTAAGTGACTTTCCTGTGCTGGAGATAGCTTCTGGAAGCTAGAGAAAGCTACATTTCTTGCCTGTGAACCCTTTAATCGAGACTGGAGGGTTGATGGTGGAATTCCAGCATCATGAGCTGCCTTTCGGACACTCTGCCCACTTGCAACTGCATTGAGAGCTTGATTGACTTCTGTTTCCGTATACTGGCCCATTAAGCGTATAAGAGTAACTATTCAAAGAATTATAATAATCGCTGTAAAAGTGGTGAAGATATTAAAGAATGTTGAAGAGGGTAAAATTCTACATGAGCGATTTATGGGTGTGCGAAATGTGGGGGTGTGCGAGAAGTGGGTGTGCGACGTTATTCAGCATCCCAAACTACAACCAAAGCATATCCCTCTCTGTGGTTCTGTAAAAAAGATCTTGCCCACTCCATCTCCAGCATCTCTACTAATTACTTTCTCTACCGCTAGCTCCCGCCAATTTGACGTGCCTCTTCCTCTTCAACCACCGCCGCACGATATACTGATAGGCAGCTTCCTCCGACTCGCCCGGCAACACGCGGGTCGTTCTTCCAGGTCGGCGCATCAGTACAGCCACGGACCTGGGAGGTGTAAGCGGTCGGTATTCGACATTGTCGGCTCTTGTATGACGAGCGCCGACTGCACCTTTGATAAAGTTGTTCTCCTGTTCCCAGTGCGTGGGAATCTGGAGTACTTTGCTGTGAATCATGTTCATTGCGAGAACCGAGTCTTCTGCTCTGACAACGAGACTAATGTACGGGAATGTAATTAGCGAGAAACGATCCTGTAGAGAGAGCCTGTGGAGAGAGGAAGGAACGGCGCGGGTACATACGAGACATTGATTTCGCTTGCGCCCTGGCTGACAAGGAAAATGTTTATTTTGGCGGCGGCCAGGGCGGCCATGATCTCGGCCGAGATACCGACCATGTTCCGCATTTTGTGACCTACGATGGTTACGATGGACATGTTTTCGGTGATGACGACCTGAGGAGAGATTATAAGTAAACAGGTCCGTTTTGGGTAGGAAGTGAAGTCAACTCGAGACTAACCTTGCCGAACTTCTCGAGCTCAACCTGTAACCTCTGATGTTGACATGATCCTTCTTCTGAATGTTGGAAAGCTAGACTGACGTTCCGTTCACTGGTAGTGACGAGATCCGTCTTGATTCCTGCCTCTTCGAGTCGGTCAAATACGCCGGACAGGAACCCTTGGGACTTTGTGTTCCTGTTGCAGACGACGTTGACCAGTAGAATGGAGTCTTTTACAGTAACCGCAGTAGGTCGCCGCCTTTCCTTGTTTTCCCCGTGGTACCCGTTCCCCAACATGAAATCGATTGTCGGAAGCGACATTTTGACGTCGACCTCTTCCTCTTTGGGGGTGGGGGGAGTCAGAGGCGGGGATGGCGTGCGGGAAGGGTAGATGATTGTGCCGGGCCCGGACGGATTGAAGACATTTTTCAGCCTCAATGGTATGTTGGCGCATCGTATTTGGTCCATGGTAAGTGGGTGAATCACCTCGCTCCCGTAGTATGTCAATTCCGTCGCCTCTTCCGCTGTCACAGTCGACAACAGCCGCGCCGAAGGGACCTTTCTCGGATCAGCCGTGAAGATGCCATCCACCTCTTTCCATATCTGTAGCTCCGCCGCCTTAGTACCAACAGCGCACATTGCAGCGCACAAGTCGGAGTATCCCCTACCAACGTTCTTCAGCAAAGAGTCCGGCATGATGCCGAAGAACCCGGTGACGACCGGCACATGGTCTCCGCACTCTCGTATCCTCCTAGTGATTTCGTCGGCGATGAGGTGGTAGAATCGGGGACCGAGGTTGTCGAGAGCTAACTTTTGCTCAAAGATGCTGCCGCCGAAAACCGACTCGACGACATCCTCCAAGATCACCGGCTCGGCCGGAACATCTTTGCTGCTCAGGAAAGCAGCAACAACTCTGCAGGCAAGCTTCTCCCCGAGCGCAATCACGCGGTCTCTCGCCCTGGGAGATAGTTCCCCAATGATCTGTGCAGCGAGCAGGAACCCACGGAGGCTCTCGCACTCTTTGATGATGGTGGCTTTTGTTGTGTCAAATATGTCACTGCACAGGTCACTTCTCGTGCCGTTGGAGTTGACGAGGTGCTTCTCGAGGAGCCGTATGTGGTTGTCACGTACGAGGTCGATGGCCCTGTTCAACTGAGCCTGTGCGGTGAGCCCGGCCTCGGCGTGCGATATGCACTCTAGTAGGACGCTTGTGGTGCCACTCGACTTTGTGGAACCGGAGAGCGCCGAGCATACCACCACCAGGTTGTATTCTTGCAGGAAGGATGGGATGATTTTGCTGCAGATCGATTCGAGGAGCTTCCCAAGACTGGTGCCGCCGTACTTTTGCACCAGCCATGGCCTGTTTTCTCGGCTGGCTTCCATGCTGTGCGGCGGGGGACGCGGAGAGTGTTGATCCTGCTCTGGAGCAGGGCCGAGAGCAAGCAGAAACAGAGTCAGTTAAACGTTGGCAGTGGGCCTCATTTGAACTAGGCGGCCCTCAATGCCTTGCCTGGAACAAACATATAATGTTCGTCTTTGGCCACGGGAGGTTATCGACGGCAAAGCACTCGCCGGATGCCCAGCGACCAAGACGAACCACGAGACTCGATATCTGTTGTCGAGGGCGGACGAGGCGGCTGGCTAAGACATGCCCTCGGTCAAAGTCCATTGCGGCTACAGACCTTGCTCATTCCGATATTGCCATGGCATTTTTGGTCTAAAAGCCACTGCCATTGGTGATGCTTTCTGGGGACTGTGGAGTTCGACGTCGGCGACTGGTGTGTGACCGTGGGCCAAATCCCGGCTCGGGATTTGAAGGCAGTGTCCGTTTCCAACAGTCGGACGGGTTTGTACGCTCGGCTATTGAATAAAACACTCCTCCCTCAACCATTTGGGAATAGGGCCGGCCCATTGTATCTGAAAGGTCTCAAAGCGTAGTGGAGATTACGCCGTATGAAAGCAGGGTTTGGCGTGGGATAGTGCGACCGCAGTGTCCTCGTTGCAAGTGACGCCGACCTGTCCGATTCGCCACCACCAAGATCTCATCTGTCAAAGCCACAAATCGCCGAGTCCTTTACCCAATTCAGACAGGCGCACAATTACTGGGTCCCTCCTCGTTCTCGGTTCGTCCCGATGCATCGCAGGGATATTAGTGACAGGCCCTTCAGGGTTCTCTTGGTTGGGGCCTTTTTCTGCATGCCCCTTGTGGGTAAAAGAGCCCAAACTGCAGACCGACCGGAGGAAAAAGTCGCACTTGCGGCTGGTTCGATGCGGCTGGCAGCATACCCTATGGAAACGAACAGGAATGCGATGCAGGATGGGGCTAGTAGTAATCGATAGTCAGTTTGCCAGCGACAACTTGAATCAACAATGATAGGCCGCAATGAGGATAAACTGAAGCTAAATTCTTCTAAGGAATCATGCATTTGATGATTCGAACAGACTGAACGGACGAATGGATCCGACGACATTGAAGTGTAGATTGATATCCCGTAAGGGACACAGTTACAGCCAGCATGTCTTGTTGAGTAATCTCTTAAGTCTCCGTAATAAAATTTGGTGATATCCTGCCACTTGAACTTGTGTTTGGGCAACAAACTCTAAAGGATGTATGTCTTAAGGTCTGCTATTGATTGGCGGCTGTGTCTGGATCATCAAAACTTCGTAAAAAAAAAAAGAAATTGGTCTGGTGACTTGGATAGTGGCAATGGATCCTTCGGTTCAGAGTTCTTGCAACCGTAAGGGTGGTCCGCTGTCAATTGTACGAACGATTGCCCTTGTCATCCGTACTTTCCCGAGTTGGAGCCCCTTGACCTCCAACCTGGAGTCGGTATTCTCCTACCAACGCTCAACCTCCCCTGTCAAACTTCGTCCTGATGGGTCTGTTATGTCCAGGTCGAAAGTTTCTTCAAACTTATTTGTAGTTGCATAGAGGTGCGGCAAGTCAGATCTCAGCTTGGTTTGGATAAGGGCGTCAAGCTGGTCAAACTCGAGCAAGAACCCATCGTGACCGTCTGAAGATTCAAGCACAGAGAGCGAAGCACCTGGCAGGCATGCAACCAACCGTTCTTGTTGCTCGGGCAAGAATAACGCATCCGTTTCAACTCCAATAACGAGAGCCCCAAAAGGAACTCTTGAGAGCACGTCTGACAGCGCCCTGTCTCCTAGATCTTTCGTTCTGCCGTAGGCCACATCGTGGCTGTCCATCTTGTAGGTGATGTGCAAATAGCAATTGGCATCAAACCGGCTGATGAATTTCTTGCCCTGATAACGTAAGTAACCCTGCGCTGAAAAGGATAGGTCTCTAGTGGGCCGTCGTGACCTGCCATGAGCTGGCTCAATCGCCGGACTTTCCGTCCGTGGTAAATCTAAAGGCGGATCTTTCGGCTTATTCAGCTCCCTTAAAGGCCGTCTTCCAAAGCGATTATCGAAACTCGTGCAAGAGCGATAGGTCAACATGGCAATCATGCGAGCAGCAGCGAGCCCCGCCGATGGCTGGCCTTCAGGGGTTGGCTCATAGCGTCCGTCAAGAAACTTGGGATCAGAGTAGATACATTGTCGTTGAGTCTCAACCCAAGAAATTCCCCAAGCTGAGTGGTCTGCAGCTGTGGCAATGGGAATGATATTCTTGACAAAGTTCGAGGGTGTGCAAAGTGGCCATTCTAGCGTGGCCATACCGCCCATCGATCCGCCAATGACAGTTGCCACAGATTTGACACCCAAAGCATCAAGAACGAGCTTGTGGGCTCGTACATCATCTCTGATGGTCGTTTGCGGGAATTCGCCGGCATATCGTCGACCCGTATTCGGGTTCTTTGTTAACGGCGACGCGCTTCCGTAAGGAGACCCGAAGACATTGCCACAGAAAATGAAGAAGTGTCGGGGATCGAATGCTTTCCCCGGGCCGATGAGAGGACTCCACCAGTCGCTGACGTCGCTACTCCCTGTCAGGGCATGGCATATGACTAACACATTATCGCGATTTTCATTCAAAGACCCCCAAGTCTTGTACGCTATTGGGCATTTAGAAAGCGTCTCGCCTGATTCTAACTGAAAGCTCGGGATTATGGCATATTTTTGGTTTCGAATAAGTCGGGCATACGAGTTGTCCGGGTCCGGATTCGATTCAACCACTGTGCAGTCGAGGTCAGGATGTGTTACACCAATGCCGAGCGAAATTCACTTACGGAAAGCCATGGAAAGTGGCTGAGTATGCCTTGTACAATAGAGCAGTATAGGGAAGTTTCCAGGCCTGATTGCTGCTCTCCCCAACGCGTGACGTACGACACTGATGTGATACCGACTTTCAGCAATGACCGGTTGTTACCGTTTAACATCAGATCAGCCAAAGCACATAAAGACAGTACGTGCAGCAAAACCGCTGAGTTTCGATAAAACAGCAGATGCTTCAACTTTCAAGTCTCCCAAGCGTCTGAGGAAACCACGAGGGTCTCAACCTCGCAAAGTAACGTTATTTACTTAGTTTGTACAAATTAACCCCTTGTTCAACTGCATTGCGTATGTCAATCAATCTATTGATTGAGGGGTTACTAGAGCCTTGTGCACCGAGCATTTGTTTATCACCGGGGTTTGAATGCATTCCGGGATTTGAGCCACAACTCCGACGCCGCAGTCCGTGTGATATCGGGATCGTCCCGGCATATGCCGCATGAGCATGGAGACCTCCGGTCGATCTCGGATGATAGTAAGGCCATCCTATGGGGATTGCAGATGCAGATGGCTTCTTTGGGCGGTTTCGTATGACTCAAAAATAGGACTGGCGTGGGGTTGAGGTTGAAAAACTGCCACAATTTCGTTTTGCCTTCTGACCGTGGTATCCGGTATTTTTCCAAGCTTTGCCTTCCCACATGACAACAATGACACCCACTCGTCCGACTGTCAAGGTCGCGGCTGTCCAGGCAGCGCCGGTCTCTTTTGATTTGGAAAAGAGCCTGGAGAAGCTGAGTAAGCTGACGGCAGAGGCGGCAGCGGCTGGTGCCGACTTGGTGGTATTTCCGTAAGTACACAGTACCAACGCGTCTAGACCTCATTTAGTAACGTTCTCGTGAGCGGGTTAGAGAAGGATTCTTGTCAGCATACCCATGGCGATACGCTTTTGATGCGACGATAGGTGCACGAGAACCTCGAGGTAGCTACAGGATATCCTCATTAGATTCGTAAAGCTGATGTTCACATTTTGCAGGTCGACAATGGTTTGCAAGATACTTTGATTCGGCTGTTGAAGTCCCATCGCCTGCATTTGACGTGTTGTCTGAAACGGCTCGAAAGTACAATGTTCTTCTGCATGTGGGTATTATCGAAAAAGCAGGTGGAACGCTTTACTGCACCGCATTGTTGCTAGACCGGAATGGCAGCATGGTGTACAAACATCGCAAGGTAATACATTTCTCAATCTGCCGCAGGCTCTCTGAACTAATTATTGCAGTTGATCCCGACGGCAGCTGAACGACTTGTCTGGGGTCGAGGGTCCGGAGACGGCCTGCAAGTGAAGCAAACTGACGTTGGGAAAGTGGGAAGTTTGATCTGGTTGGTCACTTGAACTTAGTGATATGCCAAATAAGTCACAGACTGACATGGCCATAGCTGGGAAAATTATATGCCAGCAGCGCGCATGGCATTATACCAACAAGGTATCGAGTGAGTGACTGGTTGAAAGGATCGTAGCAGGCGACTGCGGTTGAAATGATTCGCTAACCGCAATCCAGGATATATATCGCGCCCAACGCTGATGATTTACAAGCGTGGACTGCATCGATGCAGCATATCGCCAAAGAAGGACGCTGTTTTGTGATTTCTGTCAACTCGGTGTGTAAGGTCTCAGATTTTCCATCCGACTATCCGCCGTTCACAACTGAGCATCCCGACCGGAGGCCGGACGGGGCCCAGTGGGAGCCGGATGACATTGTCAATCACGGGGGCTCTTGCGTTGTCGGGCCGTTGGGAACGTTCATTGCCGAGCCAGTATGGGACAAGGAAGACATCATTTATGCCGAACTGAGGATGGCCGACATCATAGAATCTAGGGTAAGGCATCTTAGAATCCCCGCATTGCTCCAAGTCAGTCGCTCGCGGACCGTCTGCTAAGAACGTTTCACAGCTTGATTTTGACCCGGTCGGCAGTTATTCCCGGCCGGACGTCTTGTAAGTTGACTCAACCCTGAATGTGCTAGAAAAGGAAGATGGGATCGACTGGCTCGTCAGTTGGTGGTTCATCTACAGAAACTGACAAACTATTTAGTTCCTTGACCGTCAACACCAAGCCGGGCACCAGTGTGGCATTCACCAGCTGAGACGGCGTCCCGCGGGGTGGTTGCGGGCGCTGGAAGCTGCGTCGAAGGTGGGAAAGGCGGGGTGCCAAATGGGTATACCAGGATTGTGTGCCTTGAGGTTTATGGGACTTGACTCGGAGAGGGTGTTTGACGGTCGCGAGAGCGTCGGCGTGACAAGCAGTTCAGGATCGGGATCTTATGGTCGCATCGAAGTCCGAGAAGCTTTTGCTTGACCTTAATGCGGGCTTAGTTGGATGACGGGTCGCGATGCAACAAGCTGGCAAGTGGGTGTCGCGCACTGGGTGACCCAGTACGGTGATATGCGGTGATACTTTTTTTTTCTTAAATTGCATGTTCTCTCGCTCCAGAAGTTTAAAAAAACAGCATTTGTACAGATGGTCAGACTTGGGTATCACCAACCTTTTTGCTGAGCCAAGAGATGGGATGGCATACAATATTCGATGAAAAAACTTTCGAAGATGAGCCTATGCCTATCTTTAAATGCAGGCTTTTTGATGTTTTTGACGCTGGCGTGTACTGGTGCAGAAATAATTCACTGGATTCTGTATCTGGTGTTGGATTTGCAGATGAATCGTCAAAGTTTGGATTGGGTGGAGAGCTGGTATCCAAGTCTCAAAAGTAGCTCCTTCCGAATTGCCCCAGCATTGACTGCCTTTGATTACTATTACGATTCTGACGACCCTGTCTTGCTCTTACTCAGGACCACTTCGGCGCCTTCCTTCAATTGGTGCGAAGTGGTCTGACGTCGCTGACGGCAGAAAATATTGGGAATAGTTGGGAAGGAGACATCTATCAGCCCCAGGAACAAGCAGACAGGAACAGAGAGGTAGGTAGGTACCAGAGACAAAAAAAAAAAAAAAGGAAGGTGAGTAGCAACGTGGGAAAGAGCGCGACGCTCCCGCAATGACAAAGGAACACTCACAGTGCCAATATGAGAACCTTGCTGTGCACCATCCCTGTCAAAGACCGATCGAGACATCCATCTACACTGTGCGCAAGTTTTCTTATTGGCAAGTTCTCCTTGAAAGTGGGAAAGTACAGCGTGCCAAAACCACGGCACCTCCGATGCGATTGGATGACTTTCTCTCGGCTGTCCAAGATATCGGTCTCCCCACATAGTCCCCACCTTAATTCTGGGGGGGCCACAGCTTCTGCCATAGTGTACTTCCCAAGTCCCGAAGCGACTAGTGGAGGAAATAGCAAAGAAATAAAAATTAAAAAAAGACAAAAGACTCATAGGGGGGACGAAAAATAAAAATCCCCTCCAAAATTTCTCTCATTTTGCTCAGTCGTCCCCCTGCCGCCATCGAACCATCCGTTCGTTACCCTTCCCCACTTGTCGTTGTCTTATTACTGGCCGCCCTGCGTCGACTGCCCATTACAAATCTGACCGGGCCGCCGCATTTTGCCCCTCCGCCCGCTGAAGCGAGTCAATCTGAAGCACCTGCGACTGCAACTACTACCTACTGCAACTGCCCGTCCACCCAGAGTCACTCCCGCGACCTGCCCACACCCCAACACCCACACCCACACACCCACACCAGCTGACGACACCAGACATTGGAGCTTCCAACAGCTGTCGCTCACACTCACACGCAGTCATCGTCAAATTGATCTCCTGCGCCTTCTCTTGTCTGGAGCCCATGACTCCCCCGGCTTAGCGGCCGCTGTTAATTTTACCATTCCTCCTCTCGAATTTATTACGTCTGCTGTCCCCGCTGTTGGCTGTCACGCGCTACAGTCGACAACCGCACATCCCGACACGCATCTAGCCTGACCTGAAAGCCGCCCGTTACCCGCTCCGTGGACAGACCCCGACCGGTCCGGGAGGATTGTTGGGCTTGTCTGCTCACCTCCGCCGTCCTTTCCGTTCCTCACATACTCGAATTGACCTATCCTTCTCATACTTTGTTGTATTCTATCCCTCGGCCATGACTACAATGACCGAGGCCGTAGCACCCTCCGTTCCGGCTGCCGCAGCCAAGAAGAAGTTTGCGACCCCTCCCGTTAAGATCGCCTGCCTCTCCTGGTATGTCTTCCTTCACTCATGCCAACTACTACCTTCACCATTGTCCTCAAATGCGTACATGGCACATTAGAACACATATTTGCCAATTTTATTTCACACATTGCAAATGGTAAAGTGACTTTGAATTTGTGGCTCACACCTGAGTAGCCGAGCTTCACGAACACGATGTGATGGATCGAGCCCATGTGCTAGTGTAAGCATTCTCCTGGCCTGAGATAGTGCCATCTATTCTCATGAAAAGGACGTGGCTGACGCAATGTAGTGCAAAAGTAGAGGACGCGAATGCGTCTACAAGCCCAGTAGGAGAGGCGGCGCTCGTGTGAGGCGGAAGCCAAGACCCGTCGATGAGCTCGCCCAGCAGAACCCAGCTTTCGCAGGCGAGATCCCACCCGATGAGGCCACGCCGCAAGATCGTGAGTTATTTATCCTCGCAAAGGTGAATGGGTAGGCCCCTAAACGATGTCGCAGCCATTTCTGTCCAGAACTACATCGATCCTGGCGCAGGCTTGAAGCAGCTTCAGGACTTCTTCCAAGATAGCGATTTCATCTTTGATACTCTGTTCATGTCTGGCGTACCCGGAAGCACAAGCGGTGAGAGCGCTTCTGAGGCCTCCTTCACCTTCCCGACTCCCCAGATTCCGGTTGCAAGAACATATAAAAGCGACCAGGCCATGTAAGTGCTGCTCCATTGTAAGAGTTTCTAGAAGCTCACAATACCTAGTCTCGATGCGTATTATATCTTCATCCACCCATTCTTCCCAATTCTGCCTGCGCCAGCCGGCCTGCCCCTAGACCAGGCCGTGCCACACTTCCAAAATGATACGGACGGTTTTCAAGACGAATACCAACCCTCGACAGCAATCAGCTTGGCCATTTCTGCCATTCTAGCACTGATACCATGCTCCAATGATACCAATCATATGAGCAAGGAGTCAGTTGTATTCCGAAGAAGATATGCCCAGTACCTGGCCCAGTGCGCCATCGAGAGCATCGAAATCGAATCAGAGCTTCCCGATTCTTCCATAGAACCGCCAAAGGCTCTCAACGAGTCCCCAGATGACTTCCCCAGACAGCAGTTTCATCCCGAGGTCCCAGTAGAGCTAGAGAGTATCATTGCTTTGGACATCCTCAGCGTTTATGAATATGCGCAAAGGGGCAACCTTAAGAAGATGCAGGCCAGGGCAGGCCAGGCTTTGGTTTCCGCCATGTCGCTGGGGCTTCATACCTACACCGGCGATGACCTGTTTGCTGAAGCTAAAAGAAGAGTCTGGTGGATGACGGTGCGTTTGTGGTGTATTCGCTAACGAAGCTTGTGCTAATATGCGTTTTTGCAGTATATCTGCGTTTGCCAAGGGTCCATCGTCAGCAATTCCGTGGGTACTATCCTGTATATCTCGTGAAGCAAGTACTGACGCTAGGGAGGAGCCGACCTTTTCAGTGTTTACTCCGAGTTACACTACCAAGTATCCGGCGGTGCAATCCGATCCTGACGTAAGTAATCCATGAGAATAAGCTGGTAAAGACACTCACCCTCCCACCCAGGCCTTCGCGGTGTACATTCAAGCTCAGCAAGCCATCCTGTCAGCAACACAATTTGTTATCGAGCTGAACAAGACTGTTAAGAGCGGTGGCGACATGACACGTATCTACTCGAGGATGAAGGACATGGAACAGTACCTGGAGCCCCTCAACGCAGTCGCCGATTCTTGGATATTGCAGTCAACAACGACCACACCCGTCGACTCCACGGAAGAGGTTCTCTCTCGTTCGCTAAGATGCATGGCTCGCATTAAGTTGAACAGGTAAGTGTAACCTTCCATGTTCGGACAATTTCTGACCCAAGCTAGTGCGCGAATCAAGATTCACCGATACTGCGCTTTCTTTGACATGCCTGTGTTCTCGGGAAAGCATTGCGACCTCAGGTCCAAGTCAGACAATGATGGCAGCATGGAGCCGAAGTCTTGGCCATCCTGCTCCTGCAGCTCAATGATGACCTTGCCGTCACCGCCGATGCCTGGATCAAACGGAACATCTTCGCCACCCCACTCGGGAAAGAGATCTCCTCACTCCGATCACTCACCAACCAATGGAAACCCAATCTCTGCGTTTCCGTTCAGCAGCCACCAATCGGCCAAGATCTGTCTGAAGGCAGCTATCAACATAGCACAATCGTTCGATGACCTCCCATACCCCAACCCCTTTGGCCAGCTATGCCCTGCACCTTGTTATCTCTCGCCCACTTCGACGATTGTATGTCCGAGGACCATGCCTTCGTTTGCCTGCTGTGCAATGCAATGCGCTTACGCGTTGTTAATGGTCAATCACAAGACCAAGGCCATGTATCCGGAGAACGCAATAGCAACCCCAATGGTGGAAAGCCTCCTGCTTCGCCTGCAAACGGGCTTGGCTTCTATCTCTGCAACCCTGGAGAATTATGCAATGGCCTTTGAGGCGCTCGGCGGGATGCGCGGTAGGACAACCCCTCACTCGCTATCTGTAACTTGCGCATGCTAATTTCCTGCCGCAGACCAAATTCGGAGTGTCATTGAACCCACTATGATGTTTGATCCTACGATCTAGAGACGCTTGAATCTGCATTCTTCCGAGTTATCTCCAGCTCATCTGTAGTTTGTACGCAAGCCGGGTCTGCGTTTGACGGCATCTGACGGCATTCCAAGGGGATCTGGAGGCGGGCTTTGAGCGGGGTTCGGGAACATCTGTAGAAAAGGGGGGCTGCGCGGGGTTTGCTCACTTATCAGCAAAGACCGGCGGCGGTTGATCATCCCCGGTGCATAACGATGCACTTACGACGCAGTCATGTCTGTATCTGGGCCTCGAGTTGAGGGGTATCGAACGACTGAAACGAAATAACGGAGTTGGCTTCAAGGGCGTTTTGGTGCATTTAAGATATTGGACTTTGCCATGAAGGTTTACTTGCGTTGAAGCAGTAGTTTTAACACAATTCGGAGTCGAACCGGGAGCCAAAGCGACGAAATTTAGACTATTATTACCCCTCTCAATCATTGTAACTTTTTTTTCTCTTTTTTCCTTTTTCAGCCCTTTGAAAATGCCAGTCTCCGGATCTCTTAATGACGTGGACTGGTAAGAATCCCGGTCGGCTTTTGGGCCTCCAAAATAGCTGACACATTGACCGTCTAGGGAGCCCGATTTCGCCACGCTGGCCGTCCACGGTGGTCAGGAGCCCGACCCAGTTAACGGCTCCAGAGCTGTACCTCTTTACCAAACGGCCGCTTACAACTTTTCTGACGCCGCAGGTTAGTCTGAACGTGTTTTGCTGGCACGTGGAGAGACTAACTCCACGCAGATGGCGCCAGTAAGTTTGCGTGGAGCAAAGATGGCTACGTCTATACCCGTATGGGCAACCCTACAAACAGCGTTTTCGAGTCGCGCATGGCAATGCTCGAGGGTGGTGTAGGTGCCGTTGCCGCGGCTTCTGGACACGCGGCGCAGTTCATGGCCCTGACGCAGTGTTGCGAGCCGGGGCAGAACTTTGTCAGTACCAGCTGGCTGTACGGTGGCACCTACAACCAGTTCCGGGTGTACATGAAGAAGTTCAAGATCGACGTCAAGTGGGTTGTCGGAAACGAGCCTGCTGACATTGACGCCGCCATCGACGAGAATACGCGATGCGTTTATATCGAGACGATTAGCAATCCGAAACACAGCGTACCCGATATTAAGGCGATTGCGGACGTGGCACACAAGCATGGGATCCCCCTTATTGTTGACAACACTTTTGGCATGGGAGGATACCTCTGTCAACCCATCAAGCAGGGCGCAGATATCGTCACCCATTCATGCACCAAGTGGATTGGCGGCCATGGTACATCGATGGGAGGAATCGTCATCGATGGCGGACACTTTGATTGGAGTGCGTCCGGTAAGTTCCCAGGCTTCACCGAACCGGCCGACGGGTACCACGGGTTGAAGTTTTGGGATACATATGGATACAAAGCACTTTCAGCCAAGGTCCGTATGGACAGTATGCGCGACCTTGGCCCGTGTTTGAGCCCGTTCAACGCCTGGCTCTTTCTCCAAGGCCTAGAGACGCTCGCCCTGCGGGGACAGAGGCATGCGGAGAACACGCAGAAGCTGGCCGAGTGGCTGGAAGCACACCCGAGCGTCAACTGGGTACTCTATCCCGGTCTCAAGTCACACCCTGACTACGAGTACACGAAGAGAGTCTTCACCAATGGCGCTGGTGGTGTATTGACATTTGGTGTTGTAAGTAGTATTGCCAATCATGCTAGCGCGAACTCGCCTAACTGTTCTTTAGGCAGGAAACATCGATGAAGTTCGAGCAGTTGTCGATAACCTCAAGCTCTGCTCTCACCTAGCAAACGTTGGCGATGCTAAGACGCTCATTATCCACCCCTGGGTGACAACCCATCAGCAGCTGCCTGACGAAGAGAAGATCAAGGGTGGTGTCACGCCGGATCTTATCCGGGTATCGGTTGGTATTGAGGGTTTCGAAGACATCAAGAAGGACTTTGAGCAGGCGTTTGAGGCAGCCGGGTTGCCTGCGGCGGTCAAGACAGGAGGGGACCCATTCGCGGCGGCGTTGAACCTCGTCTCGGGTGGTTTTATGGGTAAAAAGGCAACAGGTGCGCCACGACCAGGTACTGATGGTACTGTTCAGGTTCAGGCGTAGGGGATCTAGAAATGAGAAGAATGAATTAGCGAATGAACATGATGCAACGAAGGGTAGGAATTAGGGACGCAGGCGTCAGAGCTTCGCACAGATATCTTCAAGATAGCTTCAATCAACGAACACGTGAAGTTCACGACAACATCGTATGAGCCAAGGCAAGTGGCCCCCACGGATCTGATCTAAAGTGAGCTCAGGATCTGGAAAAGAAAGCGCGTCTCATTGGAGGTTCCTGGTATTCGGAAACGTACCGACCGGCTTGTCACCTTGATGTTTGTTTCTCCGTGGGGTTATACCTAGAGCTTAAACTAACCTTGTTCCAATGATGGTTGAGCTTATCGTGACCGCTGATGGCAGGTTCCTTGATTAGAGGTTGGAGACCTTGTGGGAGTGGAAGGTGCTTGCCATCGTACAAAGAAGGCGCCGGTCCCCCCTGTGCACCTGCCTACACTGTACCTACCTTCACCACGAGCTGATGACATCAGCTGAACCAATCACGACCCATCGTACCAACACCAATGGCTGCCTCAAACATCAACTCCCCATCGCCTTTGTTGCAAACTCATGTCCCTCTTGTACCGACCATCATCCCGCCTTTATCAAAAAATAGCCCAAGTCAGCAAGCCCTACAAGCAATTGCCATCCCACTTAACATCAGCAAGGAAGAAACCATCATGTCGGGCAAACGACCAGGCGGCTTCATACCCCCACACATCCTCACCAACATCGCCAAGAACGAGAACAACCCCGCATCAGAGCGCGACGCTGCGCAGAGCACTTTGGACAAGGATAAGGCGAGGGCGGAGGACCGCGATAAGGGCAGGGATCAAGATGGTTACAGTGGCCCAGACAGTCGGGATGGAGACACTCAGCAGCAGCAGCACCAGGGCCAAAAATAAGCTGGACACGCTGACAGGCACGTCAAGCAGGCGTCGCACAGAAAACATGGTATTCGTACCATTGTAGGCTCATTTGACGTTTGAAAATGAACACGAAACAATTTCTGTCCCCTCTCTTACATCCCCCGTCGTCCAACGACGTGACCTGTTTGTCTTTTCCAGATGCATAGAAGATGGAATGATGTGCAAGGAACCAGACCCTGGAACAATCGAATGGCATTTCCCCGTCTCCACCTCACCTACCAACACTTGTTGTCGGCAGGTGCCAATTCGACCCATGCATGTCCCCAGAATCAGTCGACAATCGGAAACGCGACCCTACATTCGGGCGATTACGGTCGCGTCACCTAATACTGGACCAACGCAGTCTTTTGGGGCTCAGGCTCCGCCTCCCTCCGATCTGTTCCCTCCACTAAACTTTTCCCGCGGTGGATCCCGCTGCCATGCTACAGCAAGTAGCTGTCGCTCAGCCGGGGCCAGTGGCCTGAGTTGCAAATCAGACCACCATCATTCGTTTTCCCAGCCAGCGACCACAGTGCACCACCATCCTCCAAAAATCGGCTCATCGAGCTGGTCTCGGCACATTATGACGCAGGAATACTCGTCGCGCAAAGCCGCTGGGACCGGCGCGCCCTACGTTCAAATAATGGCGGGGTCCCTTGGTTTTCTTGCTTATGCTGTGAAGTGACCATAAGATTCAAACGAAGAGCCATACACGAATCGCGAATTACCAAACAATCGAAGAAGCAATCAGTTAGCTCGCTGCTCGCCCATTTCGATCACACCGACGACTCGCCCGAATCGAGCCATAAGAGGCCACCAACAATTTGATTTGAAAATAACCCGACTCTGAAAACGAGGAAATATCCGCCAAAATGGGTCTGTTAAGACACATGAACCACATCGACCGTGAGGAGCTGTACACGGACCTCGAGGCGCGTATTCGCTATCTACACAGCTTCCTCGACTTCAGCAGCAGTACGTCATGCTCCGCTACGGCAACTCATTTTCGTCCAACTGTGTGAAGACCGCGTCACTAACGGAGAAACAGAGGATATTGAGGCTCTCATTTCGGGCGCGAAATACGTCAAAGCCCTCATCCCCGCCGTCGTCAACATCGTGTACCACAAGCTGCTGCAATACGACATCACTGCCCGCGCCTTCACCACGCGTTCCACATCGTTCGAGGGTCCCATGGACGAGATCCCCGATGATAACTCGCCGCAGATTCTTCACCGCAAGATGTTTTTGAGAGCTTATCTGGCGAAACTGTGCTCCGACCCGAGCAAAATGGAGTTTTGGGAGTATCTCGATAAGGTCGGGTAAGTCAACTTTTTCCATCAACTAGACGGCAAAAGCGCAAAGACGCTAACAAACCAATAGAATGATGCACGTAGGCCTGGGCCGCGCTCATCCCCTCCACATCGAATACGTCCACCTCGGCGCCTGCCTCTCCTTCATCCAGGACATCATGACCGAGGCCATCCTTTCCCACCCGCGCCTGCACATGCAGCGTAAGATTGCGCTCGTCAAGGCCCTCGGAAAGGTCATCTGGATCCAGAACGACCTCATGGCGAAGTGGCACGTCAAGGACGGCGCCGAGTTCAAGCGCGATGACGAAGAGCCCGTCATCGAGGAGGAAGGATACCTCCACGGAAAGAAGGTGCTCGACAGCGAGTCAGACGAGGATAACGGCCCCAAGTCGCCTTCAAGGATACCCAGGCCCAACAGCGCCGGCGGCGGCGGAGTTTGTCCGTTTACGGGGATCACGACGGGCGTCGAGGGGTTGAAGGTTGCGGATCCGCCGCGCGAGCCCAAGGAGGAGGGGACGCAAAAGGTTGAGACTTCTGCATGAGATGATATTGCGCGCTTGCTTTTTGAATAGTTGAGTTGGCATTTTTGGTGCATTGGTGCGGCGTTTGGGGTTTATTGTCACTTGGACTCGGTTTAGACTTTAACAAGATAAAATGAATGCTTTTCACGGTTCAGTTTCATGGCGATCGTTCCCCGTTGTAAGGCGGTTGATGCCACTCGATAAGTTGCTCGTGCGATGTCCTTTCCTGACAATTATCACACTTTTGCGATCTATCTATGTAATGAAGCAAGGGCTCTTGACACGATTTCTCAGAGACAACCTATCCAAGATACCTCGGCAAGCCAAGCTTAAGATATCCTCATGTCTCATCCAATAATAAGCCACAGCTTTGGAAACCAGATATCGGACTTGGTATGATCCAATACTTTCCCCCCACAGTTCATTGTTCCGAAACAGGTCTTAAAGCTGGAAATCCGGGCCTTCTGTGCGACGTCTCTTTTTCCCCTGGTGAACCGAGACCCGTCCAAGCATGGTCTCCATGTTTCCCCTCAACTCCTCAAGCTGCTTCTCCAGGCTGACGGTGTATGCCTCTTGATCCTTGCATCGTCTCTCCATTACTTCGGCTTTCTGTATTTTCTCTGCACGAAACTTTTCGAGGGAGGCCATCTCGGACGCCTTCTCCTGCATGCCGAATTTCATGGTATCTAGTTTGCTTTCAAGATCGGAAACCTGCTCTTGAGCCTGGGCAGCGAATTCGCGGTGATGCTCAATTTCTTGGGCGGAGGCAGCGGGCTGCTCTTCAGATCTCGAGGCGTCTGGGCGGTTAAGGTCTCTGTGAGGGTTGAGAATCACACTTTGCTGAAGTTGGCGGCCATGGCTGTTCTTGAGGTCCAACTCGTTCTTCAGTTGGGAGATTGTCGAGGGGAGCTGTTTTGTCTGCTCTCTCATGGTTGCCACCTCATTGTCTGAGTTGATTTTCTGATTATCGGCTGCATCGCCGTTGGCCCGCAACTGACCATTAAAGTCCTTTAGGTGATGGACTTCAGCCCGCCATGCCTCCTCATTCTGTTTGTGCTGCTTCTTTATGATTTAAACGTCGCTGCGTAAGACATAGTTCTCTCCTTCCAACCTCCGAGCTTCTTCGATTTCTTTCACGCGTGTCGTTTCTACCAGCTTCTGAAGTGCTTTGACTTCCTTCCTCGCTGAGTTGTGCCATACAGGACTCCTGGTCGCTCGCGCACCTTGCCCGTCCACTCTTCGTCGGCATCTTTTGCCATCTGAGCGGACCTCGTTTGCTTCCATCCTAAAAGGGCAACCTTGTCCTTGAGTCTTTGAACATCTTTGGCGAGGGAAAGTGTCGTAGCCTGAAGATGCTGCTCTGTCCTGAGATTCTGGACAATGGCCGTCTTGACATCATTCTCCTTTTTCAGAGAGACATAACGCACATTCGAAGAGAGTCTCTTTCTCGTTTAATCTTGTCCATCTTGAGCCGCAAAGCCGTATTGTCACTCTCTTGCTGCTGTTTGTCGAGGAGTTCTGCAATCTCTTTCTGCTGCTTGAACATTGTGGTATACTGGTCTTCCTGTCGCTGATTCAGGGTCTCAAACTTCAACTGAAGCTCCCAGCCGGTCTTTTCGACGTTGCTCAATTTCTGGCTCAGTGACCGACATTGACTCTTCGTGTCGGCCAGGGTAAGTTGTAAATTTGCTTTTGCCTTTTTCACTTTAATTAGCTGTTCCTCAAGATCAGGGATCTTCCGATGTATCGCGGTCATCTTCTGCTCGTAGGCCTTCTGTATGATTTGAAGACGAGTTGTGCCCCCAGCCGAGTTTGGATGTTTCATGACGCTCGTCAAATTTAATGCACTTCTCATTGCGGCAGCGATCGTAGGTCTTGCCGTCGTCAGTGACCGTGATCCAGCGAAGCGTAGGGCCGCCGACGCACTGCTCACCGCCCAGATTAGAGTTGGGGTGAACGTGACACGCGTGCATAACAACGACTCCATCAGAGCGTGGCACTGAACTCTCGATAAACATGGTCGCAACGCTGATGATGTCGTCGATGACGCCGCGGTCTCGAATAACATCAATCACGAATTTCCATTCGCCTTTCTTTGTTCGAAAGGTGCTGCTTTGGCCAACATATTTGCGCAAAAGGTTGACAAGCTCACCTTTTGATGAAGCTGGGAAACCGTACTAGTGCGGATGGAGATAGCATCTTATGTAGGACGCATGCATCGAACGTAACGGATTTGTTTTGTTCTCTATTTGTTGGCGAGATATTGAGGAAGTTTCATGAACTACCATGTACAAGGACACACAGGAGCACTCGTGATGTAAAACCCTCAAAGGTGAGCCAACCAGGAATTGATAGTTAAAAGTGATTTCGCTATACTACTGCATCCACAGATTTTGCTAGACTTGTTACAAGTCAATGAATAACATTGGTACTCTACTGCCGCGAAACCTAGCGGTGCAAACTTCCAGCTCTTTGTCTGGGTACCCCGTGTTTGCTCTCGCTCATCCGTCTTTCCAACCCCCATTCCTCCTTACGAGAACCCTCAGGAAGGCCAGGCTTACCACCCAAGCTAGCCAACACCATCTTGTTTGTTGCCGTAAAATCATCCAGAATTTGCAATTCTGTCTGAGTGAACCATCGGGGCACCAATATAACCCTCATGGGGATGAGCAGGATGATTAAAAGCGGGAAGCCTATTGCTGCAAGGGTGTGCGAGATGGCTACGCAAGCGGCAACACCCACGAATTGTAGGATAATGTAAAGCCAAATCTTGCGACGGCGCACTTGTAGCATCGGCTCGTCGCGTTGAATGAAACGTTTCTCCGAGTTGAGAAACACGAATTTCTGCAGGATAGAGTTCGATTCAACTGACCCCCACTGATAACCGTCAGCCTATCCAAGTAACCAGAGCACAAAGATGAACTTACTCCGACTACGAAAAACACACCAGCAAAAACCGCGGCGGGCATTGTATGGAGAACGACAAGAAGAGGACCGGTCATCGTGCCAATCAAAGCAAGTCCCATCAGCAGGTGCGATAGCCGCTGCTCGACGACGTGAGTTGCGGTGACAAGCGGACGGCGGATCTCAGCGCCCTCCCCCTCTGATGTCGGGATGATCTTCAGACTTGTCTTGTAGACTGTTAAGGAGTCTGTGTGAACCGGAGCCTGGGGAACAAGACCATTGGGCATCGGCAGCCCGAGAATGCCTGCAACGAAAGTTGTGCAACCAAGAAGAAAGAAATCCCAATGGAAGCCACCAGGTTTTTGAAGCGGAAATTGACGAGCCTGTGCCGTGATGCTGCTTACGTTCTGTGAAGTGGTTAGTAAAGTTTCTCCAATATCTCGGATGGCAACTGACGTGGTCATAGTAGAAAAGCAGCATGATCAGGAAACCGAAAGGCATGGCAACGAACACCCATTTGACATCGAGATTCCAGAAGTCAATCAGCCAGTTTCGGGGCTGTGTTGGATGAAAAGCTGTCGCGATGGGAACTCTCATGATATGTGCGTCCCTCAAGGGTCCGGGTATGTGGGAGAAGCCGACCCAGAAGACCGTAGCAAACTGTAAGATTGGGTGTTAAAAAAGCATTTGACTGAGTGAAGTGAATTAGAAACAGCTTACGACATAGGCATAATCTGCAAGAATACCTCGAAAGCCCGCTCTCCAGAGAGTGCTGGAACCAAGCTTTTCTAGCGTGTAGACCGTTCCGAAATAGAGTATGGCAAGTAAGCAGGCCAAGTATCCAGCAGCACTGCCCTCCGTGGTAAACTCGTTGACCAGCTCCTCGACTCCCTTGACTATAATGATGTGAACAAACGCCGTTGCATCTAGTAGTGGTCATGGCTTACTGATGTAAATAATTCCCACGTATAGGCCAAAAGATTCGCTAGAAAAGTCTGTCACATAGCGCATATAGTCACACCCGTTGAAGACTGCAACTAGCCAGTGAAAAATGGCTGCCCATATGCCCGTCCAAGCCACGAACTGTGGGTAGATGGAAACGTCGTAAATCTTGATAATATCGTAGATTGTGAAGTTGAAGAGGGAGATAAGGCCCGTGACACCAACTATCGTTAGAGGCTGCGCGCTGAGTGTGCTGAAGACAACGGCGGCGAGTGCTGAAGAGAAGAGCGCTTCGTTAATACCAAAGAACTCGCCGGTCCGTCGGTACATGTCGAGCGTGTACGCAATTGCCGGAAGCAAACTGAACCGGTTAGCTGAACATCGCGTACCTAACAACTGGCGCAAAGTGGGAAAGGGGTATCTTACTTCACAAAGTACATTCGGATAGTACTGGCGACCGTGCGATATGTCCATGCGTCGGTGATATCACTCCAGTAGTATGGCAGCCTTCGCTTGATATCATGGTACATACCTCGTCCCGGACGAAGCACCCTCCAGCGTCGCCAACCCTTCTCGTCATCGTAGGAGTAGGACATCTTGATCCCAACTGGCCGCAGGTTGATATCGTTCGAGATGGTGGATTCTGGTTCTGTAGCTATAATGAACTGTGTGGCTAGACAGAGAGATAGTTGGGAGAGACCGATGGCGCCAAGCGGTAGGGATGTAAGAGAAAATAGAGAATATAGGACGCAGCTGCCTCATTGATCAGTTCAGCCAAGTATAGTCAATACTAAGACAGCCCCCCCTTTTTGTATAGACAGATCACTTGTGTTATGACTCAGGCCCAGAGGCGAAAGGTATACCGCCGCATGGGGTGGGAGCGGTGCTAGAATCAGCGCCCGGCCTGACGTCACATAAACAAAGGTGTCGGCCCCATTTGCAGTATTAGGCATGGGCTACAATTGCATTTGACTGATATTTCTACCACTTCGACAAGATACCTCACGAAATGTGCGAAAGACAGAGAGACGGTTGTTCATCTTTGAAGACAACCTCCATGCTCTATTTACATGACCACTCGTGAAGCTCCTCTTACTTCCATGATCATCCCGCTCATTGCTAGCCTTCTTTGCTGTCAATGGAACCCGGAAATGCCCGTCTCCTTTCAGATCATGCATCATTTGACACACTAGGTATGCCAAGGGGCGACCGTGCCAAGAATCAACAGGCCTCTTGGCAGGCAAAACTCAGCCAGTTCAGAAGATGAATGTGAATGTGCGATTTCGTCCGTAATTGTGGCACTAGCGCGGAGCTAATCTTCAGAATTCTGCCCGGGCAGCATAGACTTTAACACAACCACAGCGGCAATGTGGCTGGTCCAGTGATCCATCCCCCAGTCCCTCCGTGCCCCCCAAACCCGCTCACGTAACGTTGAGCACATGGCTTCAGGGACCTTTCCGTGACATTCGACACAAAAGAATGAGACGATGAGAGCCATGAGATTTGTCATTCTTCATTTGGCTGCAAGTCGGAACTCGTTTATCGACAGGGAAATATCCCGGCACAATACTTCGATTCCATATCTCCCGTACCGAACGCTTGGCTACTGCAGCCTGGTGTAGGGCTTCATTCTACTTCCGTATCTCGCAACTCTTGTTCAGTGGCGCAGAGATGAGAGTGGACTGCGTTAGGTTTCCGCCCGGCCGAGCTTGGTTCCACCCCGGCGAAGAGATGAAGGGAACGATCGACGTCCATGTGCAAGACTCGGTGGTTATTACCTCTATCATGGTCTCTCTTCAAGGTATCTAGTGATGTGGTTGCTGCGAAGGGTTCCAGCTGCTAACGGTGATGGCTATTGGCAGGCTCGACATCAGATGCGCTGCTCTTCTGACGCCAGATTCTTCCGCCAAGATGCCACAGTCAAACACGACACAAACTCATGCAACGCAGGTACTATGATTCTTTCAGAGCATGGACTCGCCGTCTGCCGATTAGTGGGTGCAGAGTTTTAACAGGCCGTCACAAATCGCCCAAGCCTCTGGAAACCTCCAGGAGGGGAAGCATTGCTTTCCCCTGTCACCATGTTTTCCGCAATCCGCGGCTGACCACCACTGCGAGACTAGCTGCCTCCGACCGTCCACAAGGATCAAACACTGCCGCTCTGAAGGTTATTGTCGCCTACGTCTTGAACGTGAAGGTTCTAACGACAGGGGACTCTTCGTTTCAACAACTTCAAAAAGAAAGAACTAGTCTTCCGGTCCCTACCTCAATTTCGAGCTATTTCGCCGACAGTCGGCGATTGCTCGTGCACTTCTTCCATCGCCGCCGAGGAAAACTTTGCAGCGGCCGTTGCCGAACCGGAGCACCCTGCCGGTGTGCAACCCTTCCCTGCAGCTGAAGATGACCAGTCCGCGCCGCTGGTACTGAAGCTCCATAAACCACTAGCGTTGTCTCTACAAGTCTTGGTCCAACCGACATTGGTGCAGAGGCTGGGGCCAATCTCATTGCGCAAGCTTGTGCTGCGCCCTCGCACTACCACTACAGTATGTGTGGGCCAGGGCTCCCGTGAGGACGTAATTTATGATTCTATTTGTGGCATTATAGGTGACACCCCAAATGTCCCTTTGGAAGGACAAGATGGCTTTTCCCTCGACCCCGGCATTTGGAAAGGTCGCGTCGTCCCACTCGTTTCACCAACCTTTGGATCTTCATTACTTTGAATCAGACATGCATTGGAGGTTATCTGTGGGTTCTCTACAGGTATACACAGGGGGACTCAGGTGTGTCACTACAGTGAAATATACATCTATATCAACTGACTGTGATGATGCAAGTGCTTGCGAACGGGTGTTGAAGTAATCATAGCGTATGCAAAGTTCAGCGACCCTTCACCGGCATACGGCATGATCAACAGTGTTGAGGATGTGGCCTGCTCTTCTAGCAAAGAACTGCGCAATTAACTTTTGAATCAAGTACACTTATATTTATTAGCTGCAACATCACCAAAAGCCATTCTCCACAACCGTCAAAGTCCCAATCTTTGTGGTGAGATTTTTGCAGGTGCCAAATAAAGAATGCTCGGCCGAGGATGATATTGTAGTTTAAATTGAGGAACTCTTAAAACCCTGCTATGCTCAGTTATTGAACCGCCATGAAATATCAAGGGCTTTTGACAGCTCTCTTGCGCCAAAAGCCTGCAACCTCGTAGTCAAGCTTTCTCTGCGTAGGCCCAGCGGCCCAGCCAGTCGTCCTAGACTCGGCGATCCGGAGCCAGGGCAACATAGCCTACTCCCGATTGCCAACCCCAGCGAAATGAACAATAAAATCTCCGGGCCTTGCATGGTATACCTCCAGTTCAACCTCCTCATCCGCCGTGAAGGCTCTCTGCGGACCAGGGTACGCGTTGAACCACCATTGAGGTACCCACGTCACATTGTATCGGAACTTTTCATCCTGCAGCAGAAGCTCCATAGCACTTTGCTCTGTAAACTTCAACTCCACGTCCGGTTTGTAGTGCCGGTAGGACAAGATCGAGTCGAAAAGGTCAACGCTCCATCTATTGACCCTCAACAGGAAAACCCCGTTGTTCAGGCCGTTCCAGTCCGTCGTTGCGAGGAGGTGCACGTTGCCCTTGGGGAACTTGTCTCGCTTGGTAATGTATGCCGCATCGGGTCCGTCCGTGGCCCATCCCGGGGCGGGGGGCAAGAAACTCGCTGGAGACCGGCAGTTGTCCAGGACGATGGTGTCGCGGTCGACCCACATCAACCACTCGAGCCTCTCTTCCTTGGGTTTCGCGAGCTCATCTAGAAGAATCGAAAGGATGAATGCAGGCTTGTTCCACAGATCGTCGACGATGTTCTCGCAAAGGACATGAACATCGGTGCCGTGGATTATGCTGCGAACCAGATGGGTCCGCAGGGCTCGTTGATAGTGGTGCTGGGGCTCACCGAATTGAGCGGTGACTGTTGCCATGCGTGGGTTCTCGCGATCCATCTCCACAGAGTTGTTCTTGCAGTACTGAATGCTTGTCAAAACATCCTCGGATAGAGAATGGTGAATCAAGGGGAAACAGTCGTCGTCCCCGTGACAGTGCAAGTGAGTGGAGTGTGAAGGTTCCGTTCTATGAAGAGGCAGTCGAGTCAAGTAAGGATAGTAGGTGCATAATAATCGTATTATTGCAATCAATTGGAAGATAATGAAGAAAGACCTGATGGACGGAAAACCTGTTGGGAATTTCATGATTTGGATGTTGAAGTTCGGGAGCAGTGAGGTCGGACGTGCTGGTGAAGTAGGTTGGTATAGACTTCAGCAAACTTTTTGGAAAGCAATCCTACTTTATCTGAACGTTCCATGGCTCTTGCTCGAGTTCAATTGCGTAGATCGGGGCAAGGTTTCACGACGTTGCTTGGCAAGTCTGCGTCAACGTCGTTCTGCTACTGCTCTTGGCCCTTGGCATTGCATTGGCACACAGGAATACGACCGGGTGATCCCACCGCGGCGGGACATCAGAGCGGCTCTCTCCGGGGGTCGAGCAGCACACAGAATTCTGCCCGAGCAGTGATTACACTCTTGGCTTTACCCCTAATTCATGGGAATCGTCTTTCAGAAATTGTGTCAAAAGGGGGTAACAGCGGCATAGATCCGTATGGACATGCAGGGAGAGAGATGTTATCAGAATGCGGACTAATGTGATGTGTTTGAATGATCAGTGGCTTGGAACCATTCATCTCCTTAGGTGGTCGTGGGCCATTGCAATGAACTTGTTGTCAAAGTAGGCTGCGTCCTCTTGGGAGCCTGAGACGGTGGACAGCATTGCAGTCGAGACCAGCATCTTAACAAGGCGAGCATGGCGAGTTCTTGTCGCAGCGACGTTTCCTCCGCTTGCATTTCTCACATCTAAGCCGGGGGACCGAGTCCATCTAGCTGCCATAGTATATAGGGGAGTTTCTCCCGGCATTCGTTCTACTTTGTTGTAGGCATAATTATGGCCTCGTGGAGCCTCAATTTTCACTAGTAGGTATGTTTGCTTAGTCACCGTTTCTGTTCAGTCTTGGAGGAAAGGAGAGGGAAGCATACGACATGCAGATGGTAGCTGCGGCTTGTAATTTGGCCGCTTGGTGGTGGTTCATTTAATGCTAAACAATCACAGTATAGTGGGAATACAGTAAGTCTCATGAATTCGAGCCGAATCTCCCTGTAATTATGATGCCAGGCCATCTGCAACAATTGACGTGCGAATTAAACAGGAATGAGACATAAACCGGTTTGTGTTGATCTATGAGATATTCCCGACCACTAGCAAATGTTTTTAAATCCTCTAACTAGGAGCGACCTTTTTCTTCATCGCGTCGAAGTTTCATCACGGTTGACTTTGATATTTAGGATATACTGTTATACTATTGGTTGTTGGTATTATCTCCGATTTCGATGACTTTTAGAGAATGTTGGTTAGAAGTGGACGATTTGGTGACTGGGTCAGAGGAGATATAGCTCAAAGAGTTTGCTAGGGAGCGCGAACGGAGCTTGGTTTAAAAAGAAAAAAAAAAAAAAAACCCTTGCAATTAGATAATTGATATTGCGGCTGGCGGGAAACTAGCTAAATCTCCCAGGAACAGGGGTAATAGAAGCCCAAGGTAGGAAACAAGTGGGAGGTCATTGTCACAGTTGATAAGTCGTTCTAGTCATTGTTGTCTATTAACTAGGTTGCCTTTTTAGTAAGTCTAGCGAACAGAAGGTCTAATATACCCGTAGGGCGGTCTAGGGCGATAGTATCGCCCCACGTGTGGCAGCCCTACTGTTGTGTCTAATAGAACTATGACAGGTGCCCGTCCCGAAAAAGACGATCGTCCCGATCGTTCCGGCTGCCTAAACGTGACTTTTAACGGCTTGATAATATGACTTCCTTAGGCCTCTATTAGCGCGAGGGGTAAAGGGGGTTATGCCTAAGGCTGGCTGGCTGTAATTGCCTGGCTAGGTATAATTGTCTGGCTAGTCTTGGGAATTCTTTAGATATTGAATCAAAGCGCTATTATTCTAGTAGGGAAAGTGATTGTAATCGTAGATTTAGCTTTGCTGTTGAAGTAGTGGGAAAAGTGGTTGTGACGGTGCCTGTTGTTGTTGCGGGTGTTGACGTTGTGGCTATAGCGTAGCTGTACGGAGACTGATTTCAGCGTAGATACGGGCGTGCTTCGCGGCGTTGAAGAGGGCCTGTAGGAATGGCGCAGCAGCCCGCTCTGTAACTCCTACGGTCTGGCCGGCAGTCCCGGCAGTAGTCTCGACAGTAGTCCGTCGTGGAATTCTGGCCCTGTAGGCTGGGGGCTGGCAACCCTGTTGTAGGTGTCGGAATAGGGCGTTGCGAGACGTAAAAAATCGCTATGGCAGATGCGGCAGCGAAACTGGCTTCCACAGCTATTGGCATAGACGTGGCGGAAGAGTTTTTGCTGGGAAATCTAGCGCTACACTTCCGGCAGGGCTATGGGCGCTGTTGGCGGCGAGGCTTCTGTCTAGCCTCGAGGTCGTTAATTGAAGGCTATACCGTTGGGTCCCACGCTGGCGAAGGCGTAGAGGGATAGCGACGTTGACGGTGCGGGGGGTGATGGTCTCGCGTAGGGTCTTGAGGGGAAGCAAATAGTATCGCTGGTGCGCGCATATTGGCGGCGTTGGCGGTAGGGTTAGCGGAAGGGTTAGCCTGGTGTGGGCGGATTGGCTACGGTCTGGTGTTTCTTAACGACTTAAGAAAAGTGGCTTATTTGCCTATAATGAAAAATTGTATTTACAAAGTAGGACAAACTAAAGAGGAAAATAGTCTTATCTTATAGCTAATCTATCTATATATCTTCTAGGAATAAGTTCTAGTAGAAGTACTAGAGGAAGTGGCTGTTAGTCTTATAGCCGTTAGTCGGTCTACCCGTCACGTAGGCAGCCCGGGTGCCGGCAGGACTGCCGGCGACGGAGCCACTTCAACCCGGAGTTCCGGCTGTTCCAACATTTTTTTCTTCACAGGGTTAAGTATATGCTGCGCGCTAATACAGTCAACTGTGATGCATCCCGCAAGTATTCTCCTAATCTTGTGTGCCTGGTTCTAGATTGGGACGAACCCCCGGCGTTGGTGAGCTTTTATTAACCCCCCCTAGGTGTGCGGGCTTGCTGAGATAGGTACGCAAGCCACAATCAACATGTCGCCGAATATGTCTGTAGACCTCTTCTAAATGGCGTATCGGATTGTCTCATACTATTTAGTAGTCGTCTAGAATGTCTTGGGTTGTCAGTAATCTAGAACGGTAGTCACGGCTTTCAAATGTGACTAAAAACTGCACGCATATTGATATCGAAGGTCCCAACTTAAAGGTACAAAATTGAAGGTAGTGAGACAAGCAAGCATAAATAGAAAACTTTACAAGTTGAATTGGAACTAGTAAGGTAGTCTGCAATTTGAAAATCGGATACAGAACTCACAGATTGGCCTTTTCCTGGCCCCCCCTCACCTTCAGCAGCAGGACCTCCATGTTCAGAGTCGTCATAGTTGATGGTAATGTATTTGCCAGGATAGTATTTGGCAGCCCACATTTGTGCCAGCATCTTTTGGTCAACATCCTTCAGGTAGTGATTGATGGTAATCCCCGCATTACCCTCTGTAGCCTTTTTCAGATAGTCTTCAAGAGCCGTCATTATCGAGTTAACATCAAGAATCTTGTTTTTGCTGTCGTCAATGGTAGTTAGGGCGCTCAGAAATACCTCAAGGGTCTTGCCTTGCATCTCCAGAAGCCTGGCCACTGGTTCGTGATGGTTCCGCCATCGATTGGACTGTGGACTGCTCAGATGCGGTCGCATTCTGCATGGCAGCAACTGCTTCCATGTTTGCCTTTGGGTCAAAGGTTGTAAACTTCTCCACTGCGATTGAGACCTCGTGGGCTACCATCGAAGGGATCACACCCATACTCAGTACGGTCATATGAGACTCAACATTCTGCTAGCTGTGAAGATTCTTCACCTCGCTGGCAAATTTGGAGTCAACGCCGACCTTGCCTTCAGCTTCGGCAAGTCAGGCGCCGGCGTCCATCGTGCGCTGTATAGACGCAGCAGCCGCCTCCATGGATTTGGAGGCAGAGTTGTTTGTCGAGTTGAGCACATGAACCATACCAACAAAGCTCGATCCAAAAGTGGCGCCGGATATGATGGAAAACTTCCCCTTGTCTTTTTGGCTTTCGTTCATTGCGTATTCCATCATGCTTGAGCCACTATTTGGGTTAAGGTCTTTTTCCCAGGAAACAGGCAGTTCCAAACTTTGATGGCTTTATCAATGTGCAAAACCAATGGAGCCACGATTGACGCATTCTTGTACGTACAACTCACAAACAGTACCAGAGTGCTTTCAATGCTGTGGGAGCTTGCTTGTCGGCCGACCTACAGTGAAGCTGCCGTTCTAATTTTCATGGACTGGATTGCCCCAAAGACGCTGGTAACCGCTCTAGAGACGTACGAGGTAATTTGGGCGCTATGAGCTGATGGATTCTGGGAGTTTGGTTCTGATGAAAAGTACTGCAGATCCACGCTCATGGAGTCATTCGCAAAAGGTATCGTCTTGGTCTCGCTGCGCAGGTAGTCCACTGGGCTTTCAATTTGCTTGTCAACCGAGTGGATTTTCTTTCGATATTACATGGTCTGAGGCTCAGCGGCCATCTTGGCAATTGTATAATCAGCCGCTGCATTGTCAGCAGCCGGGTTCAGCTTTTCCAGCTCAGAGTCTAGAGCGTCCGTTCCGACCCGAAGGTTTTTAAGCTCCGTTTTGGTCATGGTCAGGCTTCTCTTGGAAGAGATGAGAGAATTGAGACTATCCTGGGCAGCATCGATGGGCGTTTGTAGTTTTGCAATGTCTTGGAAATTCTGAAGCACAGCTTCGTCGACGACGCTCATCAGTGTGAGGCTAGGATCGTAGGGAATGGATGTCGGCATTAATATAGATTGGGTGATAAAGAGATATGGATATTGAAAACGAGTATAGTTGTTGTTTGTCTCGAAATAGGAGTCACAAGACCGGGGACTGAGAGTGGATAAGACTTCGAAAAAATGAGACCTAAGGTGATAATAAAAAGTGCGTTTTATATCCCAAGAAGGAACTCTGTTTTAACACAACAACATGCATAAAACTTGAACCAGCAAGGTTTCCTCAAGGTTGATTCGTGCAGAAGAGGGTGTATGATTTCGAGCCAGCCTCAGAATAGAACTAAGACATGAATTTAGTAAGCCAGTCTCGCAACCGCAATCATCTAGATACTGAGGAAATTTTCAGTCCGGAAGAAGTGATAAACCCAAGTGGAAGCTGCTATAGGGGGTATTACTACTCGGTCTCAAAGTTACTCTATGCCGTCATATTCTTATGTCATGTCCCTGAGTCCAAGACAGTCTCGCCCATACATGCAAACACTTTCCTCGGCTATTAGAGTTTCTTGTAGTACATCCTCAGCAGTTCCTGCAATTAGAAGTCTCCCTAAAGCACCGGAAAGATCTCAACACCCTCGTGTTGACGGATACCGACTAGAATCGTGTGATAATTCTTTTCAGTCTTCAGGTCATCTCGAGCATGATGACATCTCCCGGATGGCGTGCGTGTGCGGGTGGGGTGATTTGTCTTTCGGATCTTTCGTTCCGCATACCTACTTAGAAACTTCTAATCAAGTCCTACGAAAGCCATTACGGCGTCCGTGAACTGAAGTCTTGTACGTTAAATGTGCTTTCTAAAACGCATTATACTAGTTCGCAGTATTGACTCTTAACGAGAGGTTCACGGGCCCTTAGACAGGCTGGAGAGATTAGATGTGCTAAGTTTTGTTTCGAGAGATGGTTCAGCTGGCACACCAAGTTTGAAAGAAAACAAAATCTTTTTGTGGAGCTGTTTATATGTTTACTGTAGATGATGTTGTTATTCAAGGAATCAGAGATTCATGTACTTTCAAAGTTAATGGCGTCGTCTTTAAACACCTTAAATTGGCACTCTAACTATGCTAGACGTGAAAAGCCTGCCATCTAAAAATCTTGAAAACACGTATATTGATTTATTTTGAATCCCTACATCTTTGGCGACTAACAGTGACCAGGTGACGGACCCTAGGTTTCAATTCATGTATATATCACCGCCGTATGTGTAAGTCAACGACTCTAATTACTCTAAGATTATTTGAGGTATTGTTTTTACCTTATAAACAGCAAACTTGTGGTGAACAGCTGGGCGAGGCCCTGCACGATAGAGTGAGCTGCTTCTCAGTACCTGGCTTGCCTGTTTTGCCACATTGCTGGATTCTGTGACATACCTTGAATTGTATAAGGAACAGAAGTATTCTACTATGTGTGTTATCATACAGTTTGACGAAACGAGTGAGCAGAAAGTCTTGGTTGGCTGTACCCCGCCCTTGGCAAAAATGGAGTTTTGCCGTAGTCTATGGGATACGACTTGTTCGTAAGTCTCCCAGACAGCGATTACCGACACGGTCCATCCCTCGATTTCTTACTCACTAGTTCTTTGTTAGTATATGTTACGTTCATCCGTACTAGATCGGGAATAGAACGCTGACGTTTGTGTTTAATACTCTGCGGACAGGGACAGACTGCAAGTGAAGCACCGGAATTGACCAATCATGCATATTATTTCAGTAGAATGGTACTCCGTAACCGTTTCATCAACCCATCCAAATAAAGCACATATTATGTATATATACCTGTAGCTAGGCTCACCCATGTAGGCGGGGCTCAAGAGGCTTGACGAATCCACATGACACTCCACACGAGCCAGGTGTTGGTGCCGCAGATCAGCCAGCTCCCTGCAGCAATCTAATTCGCATGGGAGAAGCCGCTGTTCAATGCAAACGAAAACGATTTTTTCCTCTACTAACTAGTCTTGCTTCAGTACTGGTCCGGACACAGCCTGTTCCCATGTAAACCAGTAGGTGGGGGCTTAATGCCGATATTCCGAGCAAACTGCTGATGACTCGCAATCACGCCTACCGTTTCGAATGCCAGCGATTGTCTGAATTGTGTATTTCCGCGAGATTTTGGGTACCGCCATTTTGATGTACATTGCCAAGAGCTTACGACAACGTTCTAACCAGGCGGGTCAAAGATCAACCAATATTTAGTGGCGATGAGGCTGTATAACTTATTTCTTCTGTCAAGAGCTTATATCTTTAAATGCTTTGATACGGAAATGAGATTATTCCGAGTCCCTCGTATATGTTGGAGCCACGATGTTCCTAGGTACTGCACCCTTCCCCCTTTTTGCGACTCAGTTGATAGACTTGGAAGCACATCTCCGGAGAGTCGTCTAGGTTTTGAAAAAGGTGTGTATAATATCTTTCAAGTAAGAGTCACCATCAGTAAGACGACGGCGAGAGCACCGTTTGCCTCGGCTGGACTCCTAGAGCAATGGGAAGCTAAATGAACATCCTACCAGATGCAAGAGATATGTACTAGTATCGACGTAGGTCTATGGGGCGGTATCGCCGTCCTAACCAACTACTCTTGGGCTGCTTGAAAACCTTTACGCCTTTGATTTGAGAAGACAGGGTCTGGATAAGTGTTCTAGACGTAGATCACACCATTCTTGATGCACCCTCGGCAGTTCGTGCTCTGCCCCTAAGGATTGATGACCGGATCGGGCGAAAGACTTTCTTATTCCCACTCGGACGATGCCAAAATCATCAGAGGCAGGGGTAATAAGGTCATCGTCCGCCTTCTGCTCCGGAAACAAAAACCTTCCGATACTTCCTGATGACCAAGGAGTAGTCCTTGGGCGACTGTGTGCGCGGCCTAGTTAATCAGGGGGGACCGTAAGCCCCACCTTTGCCGGACTACCCCGACAGGCTTATTCGTAGGGAATACTCCCGTTTTGGAGAGAATCCTGGAACTTATGACTCGTAGCATGTGAAGTACATTTATCTCTCACTCAGTAACCCCCAGACAATCCACAGTTTATACTATGTAAGTGCTTAGAGGCTTAGTTCAGATGGAATTAGTGGGCCAAGTGAGAAAAGACCATCTCATGTCTCAGCGGACCTTCCCGCAACTTTCGTCACAAGCGCGCGGTATGTCTTATCAATCACGATACTACGGCCTTGGACTATGCATGGAGGATCGCAGGTTGAGATAGGGGCAGCCAGGGAAATGGATGGAACCCTTCATTGCGGAATTGACAAGGTGCAATGGCATATTCTGCAGGCTTTAGCTGTACATATAAAGGAGGTGCCAGTATCTCCAAGCAACGATTCTATTCTCCAAGCTACCGCTCACCCACAGTTCATTCTTTATCCAGTCATTCACTATGGTTCGCTCTATTCTTGCCCTTGCCCTCTTGGGCAGTCAGACTTTGGTTAATGCCGCCACCGAAGTCGAGACCCGTACTCTGGATGAGATCCACAAGGCTGCTCTCGCTGAGGGTGGTGTTGTTACCCTGTGGCACGGTGGTGATGAAACCACTCAGCAGGTTACTCTCAAGACCAACTTCGAAAAGAGATTCCCCGGCATGACTCTTAACGTCACTGTCGATCTCTCCAAGTACCATGACGGAAAGTTCGATGACCAGATCGCCGCCAACAACGTCTACATTGACAGTATTATCCTGCAGACGCTCCACGACTACCCTCGTTGGGCGGCTGAGGGCGCTCTCCTGGACTACGCGCCTCTGGGCCACGATGCGATCCTCCCCGAGTTCAAGCCCAACGGCACCGCCGCCTACTACGGCATGTTCATCATTGCCTGGCTCAACACTTGGAACAGAGAAAAGCTCCCTGGCGTTGAGGCCCCCGTTGAGTGGGCTGACTGGCTCCGTCCCGAATTCAAGGACAAGCTTGTCCTGACCTACCCTAACGACGACGACGCCGTTCTTTTCGCCTTCGACCTGATGTGAGTCGTGAGCCATTCAACTTCTTCAAAGACACAAATGACTGACACCATCAAACCACAGTGTCCAGCAGTACGGCGCCGAGTGGTTCGACAAGCTTCTTGCACAGAACCCCCGCTGGGTCCGCGGCACCCAAACCCCCCGTACCGTCCTCGGTAAGAACGACACCCAGTGGGCTGCCACCTTCACCTCCTCCGGTAGCCTCAACCCGACCGCCCCTCTCAACACCAGCCATCCCGTCGAGGGCAAGTTCGTTTCCTGGCCCCAGACCGGCGGTATCCCCAAGAACGCCCCCCACCCCGAGGGTGCCAAGCTTCTGCACAGCTACATGCTCAGCGAGGAGTTCCTGTCCATTCGCGGAGGTTGGTCCGTTCGTGGCGACATCAAGCTGCCCAACAACTACTCTCCTATCCTCGAGACCCCTGGCACCGACCCTACCGCCTTTGGCAAGTGGATGTCCGACCGTGCCAACGTCGAGAGACTTCGCTTTTGGTTCGAGGACCGCATTGGCACTGCCCAGGGCCTCAGCCCCCTTATTGACGACCTTTGAACGATGGAAAGCGTTTGAGATTATGTAGAGAGAGAGCCGCAGGAGATTCTATGTACATGTATTTTTTATTTTATCCCAAGCAGAAGGCTTTTACAAGTAGCGCCAGTGTACATACAGGTTTGCAACCAAGGATTTAAAGTTACATAGTTTGGGAGATTGAGTTGCATGATCACGATGTGCCCTTGCATTTTATAGTTCAGCTAGCTCGATAACCTTATACAAACATCAAGCAAGGGCAGAACTTGGCAGCAAAAGATTCCAATGTCACTTTCAAGCCATTATGGTTAAATTGTCTCTTTCGGTTCAGCAAAGACCCGTCCTGTATTACTTGTCTTTTGCATTTGGCGAATGATCGTGAACACACGAACAAGAATTGACAAGGGGTTTCTCCTTCCCTTTTAGAAACTGGAAAACCGGCAGCTGTAGCCCCATACGGATTTCTAAATGGACAAGGGCACTGAGTAAGTTCAAGGATCAGATTTTGCCGCCTGTCAGCCACCTGCAGATGCCACCGGCAATGGCGTAGCAAGGTATCCCATGCTAGGATTTGACGTGCAAATAAGTTGCGATGGAATGAGACCATCACAGACGATGGTACTAGAAGCAAACTAGAATTGAGCAACTGGTTCTATGCTGGTCATTTCCATTCAGCATGCAGAAGATTGCTTGCCTCTTTTTAATCGCATTTCTCAGTCTTTCATTGCTTTCCCGCGTGGCGTCAAGAATACGCAGAGGTCTCGCGATTTCATTTTTGATCGGCCATAATAACTCATTCGTGGCAGGGTTCTCGAATATGCTTCGAGTTTTCAGGGATTGCGCGACTCGCGCACTCACAATGCCCCTGTCCAGGATCGCATTCGCATTTGCGTAGTTCCCATTCTGGCTCTACCCCCGATATTCAAGACGGTTGGTAGTTTCTGTTTCGCAAAGAGGTACTACCATCTAAAAGAGCCAATCCAGCTACAGTTGACTGGAATACCCACTGTGATTTTACAATCATGTATCGCTTGATTAATGACCTGAAGGCATCACAATGATGGAATGCACGCGAGAATATTTAGGTGGAGGTTTGGGACCTCAGGTTGGATTAAAGGCGGCAATTAGCATCTTGTCTCGGCCCTGAAGTTAAGTCTTGGATCTGTCTTGTAAACATCGAAGTCTGTCTTATCCAACAGGCCTATTGTCGCCTATTGTTGTGAACAGTAGTTTGCTATCTGTTATTTTCTGCGCATGTTAGTCAAGTGAGTAAAACCATAACCCTCATAGCGACGCTTGTTTTTGTCAGCGGCAACGCATAACGCAATATCAATAAATGTAAAAGATGCATCACAGGATGTGGAAACATCATCGTCATAACATTTATAAATACCCGTTCACAGTGGCATAGCCTCTGTTAGAATTGAGAAGACGATGTCATTTGCTGCCCAAAAGATTATATGTTGACTGGCTCGATGATTAGCGACGCCCACACAACTTCAAGGCAGAGAGATTCTTAGTATCTTCGGATGATTTGCTAGAAAGGGAAATGATGCCCCGGCAAGTTCACTATGATACAATATTCACGATCAACAGCATTCAAATTTGCTTGTCCACTCCCAGAACCGCTAGAGAAATAGCCGATACGCCGAAACAACCCTTGGCCAACTTCCACCAAAACTAGGCCGCGAAATGCGCAATCCGCATCCTTCCTGTCACCTGTGGCTGTGATAACAAGTAAATGAAGTATTGTCGGGTTATTTAACAAGTGATTCTGCCCTTGTGTGCCTTCATCATGATAGATGAGCCCGATTTCCTGTCCCTTACAATCGATATACACACCAAGCAATTCCGGATCTTCTAACCTCGAGAACTTGGATATTTGCATGTCCCCTTTGCCATCGATCAATATATGTGGCCCCCAGACTGTTATTGTTCCACATAGAACCTTGCTAAACGGATTGGTCAGGGATGCCAGGGAGGTTTCTGCGCTGAGAAGATCAGCCAGAACAGTTGTGTTCGTCTGTTCAACTTCGATCATTCCGCATGAAGGGGCTCTTTCAATTTTCGGCCGTCTACCATCTTGACCCCAAAGCACCCAAATAAGGTCAGACATCAAGTAATGTTCCCACATGCCAGCCAAGTACCTTCCGCATTGGCTCAGTAAGGTTTCGGTAACTGTATTCGTGTATTAACGCCCGCCAAATGCAACGCATATCTTTTTGTGATCGCAGGGTTGGGCTGAATATGAGATTTGTAGGCGATATATATAGCCAAGGGCCCTGGGTATGATTTTGATGGGCTAGTTGACCTTCATTTTGCTTGCTTGAATTGCAGCATTCGAAGCTGATTTGAAAGTGACGGAAGACGAAGCGTCTAGGGGAAAGCTCCCATCCTTGCAAGACCCATGCTCGACTAAACAGTGGCTCTACTCCAAGGCTCATTTCGACGTCCAACGTGATATGTCGTACTATGCTTTCCCCTCCTTTTCCCTTGATCTCAAGCGGTGTCTCGCAAGAAACCAGTAATTTTCTGGATTAAGCAAGGAACCCTTCCGAACTCTCATAAGCATTAGCAACGACAATAGTTGTAAAGGCATTCATATAGATGTTTGCCATGCTAGCCGACTTTCGCAGCCAATCTTCCTTGGAGTCTTATATGATGCACAACGCATCGATCCATAGGTAGCTGATTCCCAAATCGCGCGTCACTTTACAGCGTCTTGAAGCGTCAATGGCAAACAAGACAGAGGAAAACCATCCATTTTATCAGTTATTGTGTCCAATGTTGTCTTGAAACTGTTCGACCTGCCCCAAATATATGACAACGCGGCATACTTGTTCTCCTATATGCCTTCAGCAGACGTTGCAAGTCTGATAAAATCACCGTGATGGTAACTAATATCGAGAAGGCGAGTAGTCATAGGGAGAACTCCTGCCGTAGTACGAGAATGATCGCTACTGCACTGTGAGATTTGATTTTTGACGGCATCCCAGTCTCGAAATCTGGCTGTACGCCATTTGTCTGGCACTGCAGCAGAACGTTGGGCTTGTTGGCTGTAGATGAGATACCCGCAGGGACAGATCTATACTAACCAGGCCATCGGGCCCAATAATAGACATCCGTGGTAATCTCTCCCACTTCAGTCGGGCATGTTGGTGCTGAAGGCAAGGGCTTCTGCCAAAATGAAGCGATATAAAACCTTAACTTGCCACTTTGTGTGAACTTATCCATACACTCTAAATTTACGAGCAGAGAATGTGTGTTGCTGATGTTAACCCATGCAATCGATGCACCTAACTCTTCTAGTTTTCGGATTGAGAGATGCAACGCTGAAAACGCTATTGCGCATAAGCCGCATATATCTTTGGTAGTTATGACATCCTTAAGCCGATCTGATAGCGGCCTTCAAACCCAGAAAGAAAAAATGAAAAATATTTTCCAGATCGTTTTGGCAATGATTACCAGATTGGAAAATAGTGCTACATCGTGAACACAACGTCGACGTAACCGGTGGCAGTGTCGGGCTTTCAGGCTCCACGAAGATGTCCATGGGTTTTCGTGTAAAGATTATTGAATAGGTAGCAAAACAGTGCCTTGACAAGACAAATATACAGGAGCGAACGCCAGCTGGGCAAGTTAGTCGCCGATGGAAGCTGTTCATCACTCTACAACTTCTTTAGTTAGAAATGAGTACCTAAGTAAGATAATGTTTTATAAGGGAGACAGGCCACAAGCCATCAGAACCGGTCTACGCCGTATGTGTTGCCGTGTGTATCGTCTTGACGTCGTGAATGCATTTTCTAGTGACGCACTTGCAGAAGTGAAGATAGAAATTGTAACCGTTTCTAGTAATGATGAAGCGGGGTTGGTGGATGGGGGGGAGAAGTAAGGATTCATGATATTTAGGCTGCCTTAAATTTATGGATCACATAATCAAGCTTACGCACTTTGCCTATCATACCCATTAGTTACTTGACCCGCCTTTTCGGTTTGATTTGGGGGATAACTAGCAACTCTTTCGCTTAATTCTCTCGTGTCTTTCTGCTTACCCATTTAATTTTCAGCTACTGGAGGTAAAAGAAAGAGCAAGGTGTGTGCTCTAGACTTGCGGCCCATAGCCAGTCTGCCACTTCATCACCTTTACTTCTAAGTTCTACCTCTGATAACATATTTGTGATATCTACTATAAAATCCTACAAAATTCACATCGCCTTTGTGTTAGTGTCTCAATGATCCACTTGATCAGTGACCTAGTGAGCTGGCTCTGTAACCTCAAAGGGAAGGGGTCATTTCTGCAGTTTTGCAGTTCGTAAGCCGGACTGCCTAAGCCGTGCTCGAAATTGTCATTAATGTACGTAGCCTCTGAGGTGGATAGGGTTAAAGAATGTCACTCCCAACTTCAACCCTCCTGCAATTGAATTTCCAAACTTTGAGGTATCGATCCTCCCAATCCATATTGTTTGTGGGATCATTAGAGATATTGTGAGCTATAAGTCATGATCTTGAGCCTCGACATCATGCTTTCGAGCCTATGATTTTCAGACATTGAATGACTTGGCGTGGCGTGTTCCGATTTTTCCAACGGCGACCAAGAATTATGTAAACTAGATGATAATACAGCGCAACAAAAGATTCCCAGCTTCTACGGCTGGACCAGCATTGCCATGGGACTAAGAAAGTTCGAATAGTTCGATATCCAGGAGCAGAGGAATGTTCGGTCTTCAATGCTATTTCGAGGTTCATCTATGTTGGTTTGATTCTTCTATAGCCCTTATCGCCGGCGACCTGTTTTACTCTTGTGACCTAGCGTTATTTTCATCCTTCTTTTTGTGTCTGGTGGGACATCACTACACGATAGCCTTCTTTCTTCAAAGTGGAACTGCATATTCGTAGACCGCGACCCTTTTACTATCAAAATTTGATTTGGTGACATTTCCTGAGGCTATGTAGTGAAAAGTGCTGAAATTGATTCAGTAATCATCACTATGTCAAGGACGTATGCAACGATTCATGGACTTCAGGCTACCAGAATGTCCGTCTAATGCATGTCTCCGATCCCTCGGGGCCCGAGCCGCCTTGGCAAGTATCCTGACTAAGCGGTCATCATTTAAACGTCCGGTGGGAGGCCGGCATGACATGCTGCATCTTGTAGATAAATCCATTAGCCGTAAAAGTCAAAAGCCTCAGCCTAAAAATGAATACACGGGGTTTAAGACCGGCGTTAGGTCAACGTTGCGGCCACGGTCGAGAGATAGAGTCCGTGTGCCGGCGGAGCTGCCCTGCGTCAAACTCGAGTCAGCTATGTGACGAGCCGATCCGCCAATTGCTTCGTCATTGAAGGGTGATTCAAGGCACGAACGGAGTAGCCCGGGGAATGTACATTTGTTGCAACAGGGTTCTTCACGCGGACGGAAGACAGACTGAAGCCGCGAAAGCATTTGGGCAGTTGAATTCTAGGTATATATATTACCGAATAATTTCTCTTGCTTTCACATTAGATCAATGAATATTCGAGACTACCTAAGGTAGCTAACTGTTGACAACAACCATCTTCCATATGCACAATGACTTTAGGCTATGCTCTCCTCGTGGGACAGTCCCACCTACCTCTCTTGCGATATTCGCCATCAGTTTATATATACTCTTTTACTTTGCCTATGGCTTATACCAAGCTTATTTTCATTCTTTAAGAAATGTTCCGGGTCCTAAATTGTGGGTGATATTTCCCTTCATACCTAAGGTGAAGATTCTCTTAGGCACTGTTGATCAGGACCTTCGCAAATTCCATCAACAGTACGGCAGCGTGGTACGTCATGCACCAGACGCCGTATCATTTACCACTGCCCAGTCATGGAAAACCATCTATGCTCACTCACCCGGGCAACTCCCCAAACACGTTCCCGCCAAGCTACTTGAGCCTCAGTCAAACATTCTCAGTGCTGATGATGCAAACCACGCTCGCATTCGCCGCGGAGTTGCACATGCTTTTGCTCCGAGGTCATTAGCAGAACAAGAACCTATCATTCATGGCTATGTCGACAAATAAGTACGAAGGCTGTCTGATGTGGCAGAGTCCCGAATGCCAACCGAAATAGGCAGATGGTTTCATATTACCTCTTTTGACATCGTCGGGGACTTGACGTTCGGGGAGTCTTTGGGTGGACTGGACAACAATGAGCTAAGCCATGTGGTGACCACTGTTCTCTTATTCATCGAGAAGACCAGGAAGATTTCCACCCTTGGAAGCTTGCTTGGATGGCTGGCACCATTAGTCATGCCTTTGTTGGCCAAGGACCTGGAGAATGGCTTCACAGACATGATCAACTACTCGGCAAATGCCGTGAACAAGCGGATTGCAAACGACGAACAGGTAGACCGCAACGACTTTATGAAAGGATTGTTACAGGGAAAGGAGGAGAAATCAATCAAGTCTATGGACGAGATCGTTACCAACTCCAATACTATTTTTGTGGCCGGCAGCGACACCACCGCTACACTTATGACGGCTTGCACATATTACCTTTTGGCGAATCCACGGGCACATAAGAGGGCAGTGGAGGAGGTCCGAGGTTATTTCAGCTCAGCAGCTGATATTAACTTCGCCAAAGCCACCGCGCGTCTGCCCTATTTGCTTGCCGTGCTTAATGAAGCATTCAGGCTATACCCTCCTGTACCAACGATCCTCGAGAGAGTCGTTCCTAATCCTGGAGAATATATCGAGGGCATCTTTGTCCCTGGTGGGGTAAGTTCTCAATACACCTTTTCAAAAACCATACCTCTTGGCCCAAGTTTTCCAAAAAGTTATCACTAACACTGAACGTTGGTGTTATCACAGACCCGTGTTGGCGTTCACCAGTCCTCAGCAGGGCTATCGATCTCAAACTTCACACAACCCGAGAAATTTATACCTGAAAGATGGTTGCCCCAGGTTTTCCAAGACGAGTCGTCTCCGTTCTATGCTGATAAGCGAAATGCCATTCAGCCATTCTCATACGGCCCGCGCAATTGTATCGGCAAACACCTCGCCTATAATGAGATGCGCACAATTATGGCACGCCTGCTTTGGGAATTTGACATGGAACTAGACAAGTCGTCCTACGAATGGACAAAGCCATACTCAGATCATAAGGCATGGATTGTTTGTAACAAGCCGCCCTTAAATGTACATATCAAAAGGCGTTACGATTAAGAAAGATAATCGAGCAACAAATCAGGGTAATATGAGCTCCTGAGGTAGTTATTATGTGTCTGGTTATTATCTACCATGTCAACTCTGGGACCGGAATAAGTTGGGTGGGACCAAAGAGAAGCCAGATTGTCGTTGCCTAGCTTAGGCGAATTTTGTCATCACCGTTTATCCACCACCTAACGTTAAAGCCACGCCGCATTTCGATTCTAACAAATCCCTCCTCCGTACATCCACGACTTCATGATTGATCGTTGCCAAGATAAAATAGAAGAAAATGAAACTTTTCAAACTCATTGGTATTATTTTTCTGATCACATCTCCTGGGGTTTTATGCTCGTTCACCGCCGCCGGGTCTGAGAAACATGACGCTGATGATGATTGCTGCGAATGGGATCATGTACCCACCGATCCATCAGATTTGGGAATTTTCGACGATTACAACCCATGGGTTGATTCTATCGACAACTTTAGGCCTGATAACCCAAATTATAACTTCTACAACCCCAGCGGCGTGGGCCCTTTTCATGCAGCGGATTATTTGCAATGGCGCCCGGAAATGGATGTCCACGAGCGAATGCTTCTCTCCATGGAAGCTTTCAAAGCATCTCCAAATATCGGCCATAGGCTGCTCTGGCTCGCAGCCGAGGCAGGTCATACCTCTGTTATGGAAGCGCTTTTGAGAGCTGGAGCTAGCCCTTTCGGAGTCAATGACCGCGGTAAGCCGTCAAGTCGTACACTTGTCGTTGCTAGTCGCCGGGGTGATGTCGAGATTATGCGGCTGTTGGTTGAAGCTGGCGTCGATCCTGATATGAGTCTCGACGGTTGGCAGGATGTACGGTCGGACTGGTGGGAGAATCCCGAGCCGGCAGCAGTGCAGCACACTCCCTGCGAGTTGCACAGCTGCGGCTGGGAAACTACCCCTATATTCCTCGCCGCAGAGCACAATCACACGGCAATGGTTCAATGGCTACTCCAAACAGGGCGTATAGACCTTGCAAGGCGACACAACAACTCCAACAAGACCGTCCTAGAGACTGCAGCACACATTGGTCACTCGCCGACATTCAAGCTGTTGATGGAACATTGTGTTGTCAATGGCGACCACGAGGATCATCAGCCATGCTTCATAGTGTCAAATCTACTAGAAGAGGTAGCTGGAACGGGAGATCTAGATCTCACATATTTCACGCTTCAGCACTTGGGATTCCCAGTCGAGAACACACATGTCGATCGCAGAGGAATGTTCCACGTTCTCGCAAAGAGACATCGTCAGCTGATGATGCATACATTTCGGGGCATCCTTGCCAGCACTAGAGCATCAGCAAGTTTTATCCAGCATTTCCTCGAATATTTCCGAGTACTCGAGAAAGTGGAAATTCCTGGCATGTTGGAAATGAGGGACGAATTGAATCACAGCCTCTTTCTGGCAGTCATGGGCGACCGAGTCGATGTTTTTGCGCTACTCATGGAGCTCAATGCACAGTATTTTAATCAGTTCAGTCAGTCAGGGTCAGGAACCGATCTATTAAAGCAGTCAAAACTTTCTTCCATGAGATTAGCGTTGGAACACGACAGACCAGGCATTGTTAAATATCTGATCGAAGAAGAAGACATGGATCCGAACATAAACAGTCGAGGCTATCTTCCGTTCGACGCTTTACGTGATCGCCAACATAGGTCTGAAACTTTGCTGGAATTGGCGTCATTCAAAGGGTCTTACAGTGTTGCACGTTATCTTCTTGAAAACACGAACCCGTATATCTCTGGTCTTTTAGGGCACGATGCATGGGATACGCCACTTTCTTGCCTCTTGAGGACTGCCCGATTTGACCCTCCGTATCAACACCAGATTGAGAGCAGAGAGCTGGATGAAGTCGTTGGCCTTCTTTTGCGTCGAGGCGGGCCTGTCTCGTTGGTCTCACCTGCAGGAAGCCCCGAATTCGAGAACAACAGCGTGATTGTTGACGTTGTGGGCGACTTTGGGTCAAGCCTGCAACCCAGAGTTTGTCTCTGTTGGGGCTATCGTGAAACGATGCGACCCAAGCCTAATCTTAGAGATAAAGGTGTAGTTCGTCTGGAGTTGAAGCAAGAGGATGAGATGTGGTGGAGGAGCCTACAAAGGATGATTGAGGTATCTTCGAAGTCTGAAGTACAGCGCGAGGAGCTGTGATAAGTTTGGACAACTTGGCAGCAGATCACTAGTACCTGGATAATACTTATCTTAAGTTAGGAAGAATAGAACAAAGTTTACTTTCTGATGTTGATATGGCCACCTCTAAACTTCATGACAACGACATAAGGCATGTCACCATCAGTTTACTAGAGTAGCCATGGAGATTGAGACATAGTTTGCAATTCAGATGGAGACACTCATGCCGGCGGAAAGACCCTGGATTGTGAACAAGTACCGGCTACTGGTCTCGTACGAGGAAGGCCCTAGCAATGAATCATCCTTACACTCGAATACGCTCTGTCACTTCGTGTAAGCACCTGTTTCATGTCGGTGTTACGCCGGCGTCTGTAGTGCCCAGCATTAACGTGGTCCAAAGTCTACCCGGATCGGCCCTTTTATCTGCATTTTTCCGACATGATATACGCTGGCAAGCCGCTGCGAAATCAGGAGAGATGGGTTCAAAAGCAACAACGCATCATGTTTTGCTGAAGCAGCTTGCCCTTTCAAGTAAGCTTAAGCACCCCGCGTTAAGCTGTCAGCTGGAGGTGGGCGGACATGCGGGGAAGCCAAGGTCGTCTCCGCAGAGATGGCTCTCCTTGCATCGAGATTTACGGCATTAGATAGATGATCCTAGTTATTTCCGTATAAGTACGCAATTGATTTTCGTATACGTGTGTGCCAACAGGGCCCCGATACGCGTATTGCAGTATTGGATCGTGCAAAGACTATTTGTTCATCCCGTAACCCAGTACCAGATCGTCACCAAAAGTAAGTATCAACTTATAATGCTACATTACCGACTTTCATGATAACTTTCGAACTGGGGGAAAAAATAAGATTAGGGTATATTCTTGTGAAAATCTTTATCAAATAAGCAATACCGCTGCCACATGGGTCTGAAGCTATCTTTAATATACTCTTACGGTGGTCGCTTAGCACTACCAGCGTTGAGCACAAAATGAAGAGATGACAATCTGAAATTATTGGCCTCTATTTCACAGGCAAGATTGCCATTGAAGGCGAATAGTACTCAGTGCAATATGTCATAAGGTATCCATCCCAAAATGGCTCTCACGACCCGCACGCGATACGCAGCCCCGTATTGGGAAGCTTGCCGGGGCCCTGGTTTTCTCCCCGCATTCTAGCGTGACTATCCAGCTCTAGCTGGTTTGTATCGGTCCGAACTTTCAGTTCTCGCTGTTGGCTCATCTGGACTTCTTGAGGGACTTTCTTGGCATCAACTTGCCCGTCATGAGGTGTGGTTTACCGAGGTAGCACTATCTCTTGTCAACATCATATCATTGACGATAAATATATAATAAACAACTAGGAAAACGGATCCCTAAGAGATGAGAAGATCAGCGACAAAAACCATCTCATCCTCTCTGTTTTGCAGCTTGGTCAAGTTTCGTCATGTTGCGCATCATGAAATTATCACTTTCGGCTCTAGTTCTCTTGCGAGTTCAAGTTGCTTCAGCTACTGCCAGACATGAGAACAACAGTCAGTGATTAACCGACGAGTGTAACCTCTTCGGATGGCTGATATGGCACAGATACACGAGACTGGGTCGCAGCCGCCAAGCTCGCCACGGACTTCGTCGCTGAGCTCACCCTCGACGAAAAAGTATCCATGATCACCGGCAACTCATCGGCTGGAAACTGCATAGGAGTCATTGGGCCGATCCCTCGTCTTGGGATACCTGGCCTATGCTTACTTGATGGGCCAAATTCCATCAACCGCGTCGACCTTGTCAGCGTGTTCCCGTCAGGCATAACGGCTGCAGCGACGTTTGATCGAGACCTGATTTACCGCCGAGGATACGCGCTCGGAGAAGAGTTCAGAGGGAAAGGTGGACATGTCATGCTCGGGTAAGCCTTACCTGCGCCTCAGAAAGTATGTAGCTCACAAAGAGTAGTCCATCGACAGGCCCGATGGGCCGCCATGCTCTGGGTGGTCGAAACTGGGAAGGCTTCGGCCCAGATCCATACCTCGCCGGGATCTCGATCGCCGAGACCGTCCAAGGCGTTCAGGCTACGGGTGTCCAGACGTGCTCGAAACATTACATCGCCAATGAGCAAGAGACTCAGCGATCTAACTCTAACCAGACCGACGGCACAAGAGTAGAAGCCATCTCGGCAAACATTGACGATAGGACCGTCCATGAGCTGTATCTTTGGCCGTTTGCAGACGCGATCAAGGCTGGTACCACATCCGTCATGTGCTCTTACAACCGCGTGAACCAGACATATGCCTGCGAGAACTCCCACATTCTGCAAAAACTCCTTCGTGAAGAACTCGGTTTCAAGGGTTACACAGTCAGCGACTGGTTTGCGACACATTCCACCGCCGAATCAATCAACGCTGGTCTGGACCTAGAGATGCCTGGAATCATTCCCTCCAACTACCCAGGCGCCGTCATGTACTTTGGTGAAAAGGTCCTAGAGGCGGTTACCAATGGCACCGTCTCCGAGACTAGGATCAATGAGATGATCCGCAACGTCATGACTCCATACTACTTCCTCGGCCAGGACGCCCAAGATTATCCAACCCCCGACCCAGCACTGAGATGGGTTACTCTCGTTCAGGAAGTCGGACTTGGCGCGGCAAAGAAGGGGGGATTCCTCCCTGATGGATTCGTCTTTCAGCATGGCCGCGACGTGAGAGGAGACCACGCCAAAGTCATCCGCGAGATGGGTGCCGCTGGCACAGTGCTTTTGAAGAACGTCAACGAAACTCTACCCCTGCGCGACCCAAAGATCATTGGAGTGTTTGGCAACGACGCAGGCGACATGACAGATGGCTTTTACCGGCCTTCCGAAATCCCAGACAGCGTGAACACAGGCACCATGATCATCGGCGGCGGCTCCGGTAGCGGAAGAGCATCGTACATCGTCTCTCCGTTAAGAGCCATCGAGGCCAAGGCGGCGGAAACAGGGGCCGAGGTTCTCTACATCACCAACAACGATGTGCTGGCGAGGAATGATTTCAGGGGCGTATACCCACCACCTGAGATCTGCGTCGTCTTCCAGCAGACCTTTGCCAGTGAGAGTTTCGATCGCACGTCGTTTGAGCTTGATGGAAATTCTACCGCGGTGATTACCAACGTCGCTGACTTCTGCGGTAACACTATTGTGGTTACGCATTCTGGTGGTGTGAACACCATGCCTTGGGCGAACCACACCAAGATCGGTGCCATCCTCGCAGCGCACTACCCCGGACAGGAAAGCGGTAATTCCATTGTCGATCTCCTTTGGGGTGACGTGGCGCCTTCCGGACGTCTTCCGTACACTATCCCGCTCACCAAGAGGACGCCGGTCCGCCAATCATCAATCTCACTCAGCCCGTATCGGACCCGTTGGCCTGGCAAGCAGATTTTACTGAAGGTCAGCTTATCGACTACCGCCACTACGACGCTCTCGACATTGAGCCACTGTACGAGTTTGGGTTCGGTCTAACATACACCACCTTTGCCATTGACAACGCTACCCTCGATGTCAGCATCTTCGGAGACAACACACCACTTGCTCCGAAACCGGACGCTTCTGTGCAGGTTCAGCCCGGCGGAAACCCCCAGCTGTGGGATGAAGTAATCATCGTCAAGACAAAGGTCTCAAACACAGGAAACAGAACCGCTCACGCTGTCCCACAGCTCTATCTCACCTTCCCAGACAGTGCTCCTAAAGGCAGTCCACAAAAGGTGCTTCGAGGCTTTGAGAAGGTATTACTGGAAGCAGGTGCCTCTGCTGACATTGAGTTTCGTCTGTTGCGCAGAGACGTTAGCTACTGGGATACTGTCGAACAGACGTGGATCATTCCCGACGGCGAGTTTGTCTTTAAGGTGGGCTTCAGTTCCAGGGATCTTCCAGCGGAGAGGGGCTTCGTTGTGCTTGGAGCAACTAGCTGATGGAGTTGGGTCTTAAGAATATGGTGTCCCTGTCGTTATGCCTAGTTCTGGCTGTTCTCGAACTTCTATAGTCTTCTGTGCGTTTGTAAGGCCAAGCTTCGCTGGGACCTATCTTTACTTAGGCGACTTTTGTCATTGGCAGTTTTTCCCTCTTCCTTAAATACTGTCGTTATTCAATTAATACCTGTTACGTTACGCGGTAGACGTGTATGCAACTCGGTCCTGCAAGCCTCGGTTGAGCTCATCCATTGGCCTGATAAAGATGATAACACCGGAGAAGCCTAGCACCTCAAAGTTACACGGTATTAACTGCTGGTTCGAGAACTTGCCTCCCAATTCTTGAATGCAGGCAGCTCAGACATTTGTTTACTCAACAAAACATTCAGGAGATACTGTGCCACCACCATCATTCGTTACCTGTGCTCAAACAACACACATTGTGGCATCAGCAAACATTCACAAGTTTGTATAAGCTTGAAACCAGAGCAACAAAAACAAACAAGCCACCTCAATATAATTTTCAACAAAGGCGTGTATTGAAAGAATAAGATTGGATTGTTTTTCTAAACACCCCCCTTGCATTGTTGACGGAAAGGGAAACATCTCGCTAACATGCTTGAACATGATCCACGAAAAGAATGAGAAATCCACAACTTACACATCACTTTTACAAAAGATTATTACCAAAATGGTGTGTCTCTGCAACTAACCCAAAACCTAACCACGAATCCCATTAACGAAATCTCCTCATGAAGAACCAAGCCTCGCAACAAGCCCGTACGGGGCCGGCACTAGTCGACTACTCCGACAGCGACAGCGAAGCCGAAAACCCGCCGCCTCTCGATGTCCCGGTTGCGCCGAGCCCCGAGACACCCGAGACCGAGAACGAGCTCGCGAGAATCGTGATCGAACTGCAGCGCAAGTATATCCGCGAACTGGAGGAGGTCAATTCCCGACAAGAGGAAGTGCGGCGGGAAATGCGGGACCAGAACGAGGCTTTTGAGAAGAGATGGGAGACGGAGCGTGAGCTGCTGCGGGGTGTTGTCGAGGTATGTCTATACATATTACCTGGGCCATGATATTTCTTTCTTACTGATGTTAATGGTTGTAGCATGTTTACGGCATAGACGTCAAGAACTTGGTTACAATGAGAGATTTGCAGCTATTTAGTTCGAGAAGCAAGAGCGTGGGTGTTCCTCCACATCCGTCTCATTCGCCATCTGTATCCGTGCCAGCGCATATCCCGTCACAATCACAGGCCTCGAGACTTCCAACGCTTTCTCGGGTGGAGTTACCACCAATAAAACATGCAATCGGAGGTGCAGAAGAGTCTATATCAATAGTAACCAGTACAACAACCCTGCCACAAAGAATTATCAGTACTGGCAAAAAAGCCCCTCGATCAAAGGGAGCGTCCAATCATCGATCCTACCAGCCTGGGAAGAAGTCAACGGCTGCATACGCTAGCAAACAAACGACACATTCGAGACCGGCCGCCCGGAAAAACACAGTCAGAGAGGAAATCAAAGCATCGCATATAGCGAAACGTCGACTAGAGTTGCCACAAAATATCTCCACAAACAAAGAGCGGCCGACAGTCGAGCCTCAAAATCCCTATGATGACCCAAAGTACTTCAGTCCTTTAACTGTCCTCACCGAGGACGGCACTAAGCAGCCCATTTTCAAGTTCCATCAACACCCGGACACGGTAGAAGAGCAGTGGGCCGAATACAAGTATGGCCTCCACGGGCAACCGCCAGTTGAGCAACTAGAAGCAAAGTACCGGGCAAAGTGGCGAAACAATGACTACGGCCGTTCTTGGTTCACCAGGCGTAAACCGTTTTGGGACAAAATAAAGGAGGCAATGGCAGAAGGGAAGACAGAAGCCGAGGCCTTGAACCTGATGAGGGATCTTGCCAATGGGAGGGTCAAGAGTCTCATCGGACAGCTCTGTGACGAACGAGCGAGCAAGCGCAGGCGACTGGAGAAGATGCAGAAGGGTCGTTCGCGTGCGTCGAGGAAGAAGTGGTCAGAGGCGAGAAAAGAAGAAGTTGTTGATAGTGCAGAAGAAGAGAGTGTCGGCGCAGACAGCAAGACGAACGCTGTTGTGCTACGCAAACGCATCAAACAGTTTAAAGCATGGGCTGGAGTCGACGAGAGTGAGTCAGACACGATTTCAAAGAAAGATGCCGACGAGCTGTGGTCAGAATAAGGAGCTTAGGAAGGTGAGATGACGTTTCTTCTCGCTTTGTGTCTTAGATTTCTGCCAGAAAGTCGAATCGCTTGTACATATCATGAGGTTTGAGCGACATGGCTAAAAGGATAACGGTAGCGGGTGTATATGTCCGGTCGAAATTGACTCGAAATTCGTGTCGAGAAGACAAGCGTCGACATGTGCCATGCCCAGCGTTGTCTTGAAATTCTCATCCTAACTCGCTTGAGCATCACATTGTCATCCGTTCGTATCCGAAGAATTGATGGCGCCAAAGACGTGAAGCAGGCCCTCTTCCCAGAACTCACCACTGCAAAGCGACATTCAGCTGGTTTAAGCTACCTTATAGAGACTTCTCTAAGCCGCGAGTTTTGCAATAGCTCAAACCATAAAACTTCAGCGGTCCATGACATGACAGCACTGACTCGGCATGCAACTGCGCGAGGATAGGTATCTCGGAGGTTCGGTAAATATTCGCACCTGCTGTCCCGCGTCTGCCGTAATAAGTGCAACCGAGGGCACTGCCAGCACGGATTGATACGAAGCCAAGCTAATAACAAGCAGGCTGGAAAGCCTCGAATCATCAAGATAGTGGCAGGGCGTTAAAAGGCCAGTAAAACAGCGTCGCTGATGTAAAAGAAACTGACATCAGCTAATAGTTGCTTGGCTGATACGGCCGAGGCATCTTCACTGGTCCATCTGTCGTTGACAGCGGCGAATTCACTAGGGCTGCTTTTTCCAAGGCGCAGAGAAGTTGGGGCCAAGTCTGCAATTGCTATTGGTCCAATGCAACATAGGAACTGCGAAGTCGGCCTTGGTGATGCTGTTCTGCGGCGGATGTCAGCCGACAAAGGGTTACTGTCCGAGCGCTAGGGACGGCTGGCCGCTAGACGAGGCGACGAAGAAACAAGCTTCTGTCGAGGAATCAGACTGGTCCCAAGTCTCCCGACGACCCATGGGCGTTGTAACATTAGGGAGCCAAAGTTGAGCGGATACACGTCGCAGCTCGATGGTGTCACAGTGAGAGGCAAGGATTGTGGTTGACGGCGAGACGTGAGAGCGAGTCTATGTGAAATTGGTGTCGTGTCGTAGGCGTGTCGTTTTGGCGGATTCCAGCGTGGCGGATTTGGATGGCTCTCGGCGAGGTCTTATCCGCGGGACCCTTGTCGATAGTTGTCCGCAAGAGCCCGGAAAGTGGTGTGATCTTTCGGGTCGGAGGAATCATGCTGTCAACGGGAACTGGGGAGTACCCTGGAGAAAAAGCGAATAGGGCGTCAAGCAGAGGGATGCAAAAGGACGATTTCAGTGGAAGGGAAAGGTGTGGCTGCCTGAGGCTGATGCACACGCGAGCGGTGGGGCCTGTCAGCTTGATGAGTATGTGGTCTGTGCAGGAGGCCTACCATATTACATAAGCCAGCGACACCAACAGCAAGAATGTTCAGTACGGCGGTCTGCTTCCAGAGGGTTGTATCACTGTGGTGTTTTGGCGGATGGTGAAGCACAAGCCACACGAGCAAAATAGCAGGAAAAACCATACATGCATAACCCGGGCAGATTGCAAACAAACACGTCGATCTGGATCTGCCATTGCGTGATAAATTGGATCATTTCCCCTAATCAAGCTTGGCCATGCCGCGTGTTTTTCGCTATGCGTTGTTTCCACATAGCAAGCAGTTCCTGTCGTGAAATTAGATGTGAAAAACAATGACTTGACAAATGCTGCATTTTGTGCAGTGGACATGGCAAGGGAAGCATTTCAGGCACCTGCCTCCCTGCCTGCCTGCCTGCCTGCCTGCATCGGCCTGTACTTGATTGTACCTGAGAAGTTTGGCATTTGGGGTGTCCCAAAGGCTTCTTGTGGCAGGTCAAACCAGCAGGAATGTATTTCGTAACTGTCAAACTGTGACCCAAAACCAATGTAACTGCAACCACCTGCAACTTGAGGACAGAATGAACGGTGGGCCTAATGCTTCGGAATTGGCAGGAAGTTCAAACTCGCCGCCAGTCACGATGCTAGGTTGGACTTTCCCAGCGAGGCAGGGACAGCATCAAGGAGGGTGATGGGTGGTAAGGGGGAAGGAAGGGAAGGGTGGGTGACTGGCGTTCACTAAAATCGAGGTAACCCACCAATGGGTTCGTTTGCAGCCTTGTGAAAGCAGTGGAGCCGCAACGTTTTGATCCACTTAACGTCCCCACCTGTACACCCCCACTTTCTGGCCCTTTTTTTTTTTTCCTTTTCTTTCTTCCCTCGCACCTGTTTTCCCTTATTCTGCCTCCTCTCATTTCTGCCCCTCAGTGTCCTCTTACTGCTGCTGCCGCTGCTGTCTGTGCTATACTGTTTCTAGTCTGTCCCTTCAAACTGCAATTGTGATTCACCCGACTGGCACCCATTACAATCCCCCCTGTCGGATATGTCGGGTGCGGCCTCCCGATCGGCTCGTTCGCAGACGGCCTGCCATGTGTCGTAACCCAAACCATGGCTACAATGCTGCAGTTCAGCTGCAGTACCAATCCCCTAAACCCAGGGTCGTCACAAGACAAGACAGGGAACCTAGCCTGGATAACCGAGGAGCGGGAGTGTCTCCGGCAACGTCATATCTTGGTTCCTACCCGATGCCGCAAGAAAACCCAAATCTGGGAGGGCAATCTTTTCACGCTTGAGATTACTCAATGAGCCATTTCCGCTTGAGGAACCCTCGGGGCCGAGATGTGCCACACTGATTGCATCTGCTGTGTCTCTTGAACGCAGCGTCAATCTCATGCCTGTCGTACAACAGTACAGAGTACATGGCAGTACGTACTGCAGATCTTGCCAGAAAAAAAGAAGAAGAAAAAAAAAAAGGCAACCGCAATCCAGGCTGCCAGGGACACTGCCCGACATGGACAAGGAAGGAAAAACCAACCTGACACTGTCTACATAGTAAATGTAGCAGTAGCTCTTGCCAACAGTACTCCGTACTTTTACCATTACATAGTATCTATGTAAGTACTAAGTACCAATGTATGTAAGATTGATTCCCGCCCGCGCCCACATCTACCCCGAGATGCCTTTTTCTTTCCTCACACTCTCTCCCCTTTTCCGCTTTTTGCATCCTCACAGCCCAGTCTTGACCTCCCTTGCCGCATTCGGATCTTCAAAGGGGGCATCATTGTCGCTGAGCGTGGGTGTCCCCTACATGGTTAAAAAGGTGGAAAGTCAAAGTGGAGTGCAAATGGGGCAAAACCTGGGGGAATCTTGCAACGCCACGCGCCCGTCTCATCTCCTTCTCCCCTTCTTCTCCGTTGTCCACTCATTTTCTCCTTCGTTAAACCTTGCGCTGTGTCCCGGTGTCCCCTTTGCGTCTGCACCTATCGGTCTTGTGGTGCCAAGGTCGACCGCAGCTTTACATAAGGTGTCACCATCCCGCATCTCGACTTGGCTAAGCCTCCTTCACCTAATAGCCCGTTGGCCTAGACTCGCCTGGGCATACGTCGTCTATCCTTTCGTCGGTTTGAGGCTTGACAGGTGACATACATATTCGAAAAACCGTCTCACTTTTGCGTTTGACACCGCCTAATCAAGATCTAATATCTCACATTGTCTTCCTCTGCCCCGACCTGACGATACCCAACTTCTTCAACCCACCGATTACTTCCAACGCCCATCATGACATCCAAATCGTTGTTGCTCTCCCTACCCGATGAGGTGCTTCTACAGATTGTGGGCCATTTGACGCCACCTCTTGACGGCCTGGACATTCCCTTTACGGCTTACACAGACCCTGACGGTATTGTCGTCACGAACCGTGCCGCCCTCTACCGTCTTGCTTTCGTATGTCATCGACTATCTGACTTAGCAATTCCGTTTCTATACCAGACGGTCTATCTATGGGGCCGGTCACGTCTTCAGTCGTTGCTCCAGACTCTGCTCGAGCGCCCGGAACTCGGCGCAAATATGCGCATTCTTTCCTATGTTTCATGCCTCGGCAGCGATCATTATCCTACCGACGTCCTATACCCCTACAAGCGCACCGACTGGCGCCGCCTGGTGGCAGATTCGGATCGATTCCCAGAACGCATCAAGGCTTTTGTGCGCGACGCCAAAAACGACCTCGAAGTCGCCCAAATCGTGTTCGCCCTTATTCTCTACTCAACACCGAGCCTCCGCACTCTGCATATGCGTATGCCGTTCGCGGCCGGAGAGTACCAGAAGCTTAAGGATATTCTTACCCCCGACATTGAAACGGCAGAGGGCCGCCCTCGTGTTCTAAACTCCCTGACCCGCGTCATGTTGGAGCCCATGCCCGACTTCCCCGGAGCCACCTTTTGGCCTCGTCGTGAGCTACCTTGTCTGCTGCGGTTACCGAACCTGCGTGCTGTCGAACTGGGTTCCGCCTATTTCCGGCCTGCCGTTTTGGAGCCTGGTGATGGATGGGGTGATGATGGAAGCTGGAAGAACGTCGAGGAGGTCCGGCTGGTTCGCAGCAGCATGTGGGGTCAAGGCTGGCATGCCATCTGCGCCCTGTGTCCTAATCTCAAGCTTCTCGAGATGGGCCCCTGCGGGGTTTCTGACCAGCCGGCCGACGGCGAGCACAACCTCAACACCGCCTTGTCTCTCGTCGCCGATACGCTCGAAACCTTCTCATTTGAGGGAATCCTAGCCGCCAACTTCTCCCCACATGTCGGTGGAGATGGCACCCTCACCTGCCTCCCAAAGATGAAAACCCTGCGCAACGTAAAGCTTGATATTGGAATCCTGTTTAAGCATCCTCAGAAGATGCAAGAAATTGATATCCGCCGGTGCTTTCCCCCAACGCTGGAGGTTCTCGACTTGGCGGAATTGTGGCACGACGTCGAGATCGACAGGCTATCGTCCAACGACCGTAAGAACTACGAACGGTCCATCCAGGACGCCCTGCGGAAGCTTGTCTTCGCCAGCAAAGAACACCTACCCAATCTGAGAGAGTTGACGTTCCGTCCGAACCCTTTTTACGCACAGCTGCCTTTGCCCGACACTCTTCTTGGCGGGAAGTCTGACGTTGACTTCAAGCTTGTATACTGAGACTACGATCTGGGAGGCTGACGGAGTCATATCTTTGCTATTGGTTAATTAATAAGCATGCTTGGAGTTATGGCGGTGCATAGCGGTCATGGCATATAGATGTTCATAGATTTAGATCCATATAATCAAAACTGATGTTCCTTTACCCGGCGCCAACGTCTTGCTACCGCCCACCACTACTGTTCCCATCTCACGCTTCACAGACTCACACAATCCGCCACCAGCTCCGACGCCGCTCCGCACCTTCAACATCTTGACGACCTCCACGCCGTTCTTCACTACCATTCATTTCCCTCGAGTCTCGTCTTTCCTGCCCAGCGTCCCAACTCTCCCTACGCACATTTCTCCACGGCCTACTTTCCTGGTTCTGACCTACATCCCCACTCCGATGTCTCCGCCGCTCCCGATCCTCGACAATCCCACTAACCCTCCGCTGCCCCAGCCTCTCATACCTTCTCAGCAACCCGACGTATTTCACCCAGCACTCGCCCAACACCTCAGTGCACAACTTCAAATTGTCCACCTCAGCTTTTATCCGCCTGATTCTCCTCCTCCATGCACATTCCCAATCATTCAACACTCTCGCGCACGCGCCATGGGCCCGCTCATGTCTACGCTGTTCCCTTTCAACCCGCAATCTCCCTTTTACCAGTTCTCTTTCAGCATGGAGGATAATCCTTCCGATGTCGAGTAATTCAGACACGGCAAACCGGAATTCCGCGGACTCAACGGTGCGAAAGTCTGGATTGCGATCAAAGACCCGGATTCGGCGCCACGTTGGCGATTGACGGCGGGATTTTGAAGCGTTGATGTACTTGTGATAATGCATCGGCTTACGACACTGTCTCGCGCAGCGGTAGAGTGTACTTGAGAGGCTGCAACAGCCGTGAGATGGGCAGGAATGTGCGATCGGGATGGAGCATGGGCAGATTGGGGGCGTTTCGTAGGGGTTAAGGTAGTCTGTCTGGGTGGAGGATATGGTTGGGCGGATGTCGCATATCATTCTGTGCGTGTGGACCTTGTAGCACATTTTTTGGTGGTGGTTGGCTTGGGGATGTGGTTGAGGAGTTGGTATTGAGATGTTTTGTGTTCAATGGGTTATAGAGGTGGATGATGAGTTTGGAGTTGGTATGGTTGGGGGATTTGAACGCAGATATACGGTTAAGAGGAACTCGTATGTACGTTTGTTTCTTGGAAAGCTTGCCGGATGATTCGAAATAGATGTGTCTGTTGTTCTGATAGTTTGAGGAACTGATTGATTGTGATGAAAGGAGTGCTGGGAGACAAAGACAGTGTATTCGAGTTGCAGATGTGGGAATTCATTGTAGGTCTTGGTTGCTATGTATTCTTTATTAGATGCACAGAGTCGTTGTATTTCTTCAAAGCATGGCCATCACAAGGCCCTGTTCTACCTGGATCTGCATGGCTTGACTTGCACCGACTTTATGAAGCCAAGGAACTTGATTAACTCGCGGAGACATGAGCTTTACAGGTGTCGCTGTTTGAGAATCAGAGCTATCTTTTTTTTTTTAAAGAACCTGCGAGTAAATAAGTTTTCGAACATCATTAGTGAATGAGATGCTATATCAAACAAAAGTTAGCCCTTCCCGATCACGGATGACTACCACCACAGAAGCTACCACGGCTATGACCCCTTTCAATGGTATGGTCAGCAAAAAACTGACGCTTGTTCCTTGATGGTGGCTACCAGGATCATCGGCACCCCGACCGATTCCAGAGCGCAAGCCGCTTGGATGCGGGTGCGAAAACGCCTAAATCTAGGTAGTCAGTCATGGGTGCTGAGGCGATTGGCGGTTGATCTCATCCAATTAAAGTCAAGTTCTCCCTATTGTGGTCGTCGGGGTGATTTGCCTACTTGGCCTCTGTCTGCCATCCTGGGCTATCTTGAGATAATAAAAGAGCTGGCTGTCAGCTTCTCTTATCTGCCGATGAATACTTCGGAGCACAACTCAAAGCAGCTCTGCTTCAAGCTCCAAACTCAGGCTACCATATTACGCACGCCAAACGCTCTATACCGAGTCTTCTGGTGTACCTGGCATTGCATCTCGGTTGCCTCAGAGTTTCTTCTCATCTGACGTCTGCCCATCGAAAACACTAAGTATTGTGAGGTTCAGAGTGGTCGGGAAGGCAGATGGATGGAATCGAAAAATGAAGACAAGGGAGATGTCGTGATGCTTTCTTCGCAACAAATAATCTTGGATAAATGGGAACCCTTATTAGATGGATCCATCTGTGGTTCACATGAGGATGTGAGAATCAAGTCATCCTTGAGTTAGTAGAAGCTAACAAAAAGATCCGACATTTTTTGAAGGGTGTCTCGACGCCAGATTGAATAACCACATGAAAACTCCCCAAGGAAACTAGAAGAAAGTGAAAGTCCGTCTCAAAAGGTCACGTTCGAAAAAAAAAAACTTCGTGATTCTACATGGTTCTTCTTTTATTTACTGTTGGTTCGCGCATATGCTGGCAAATCTCTCGAGTAGCGATTCTTCAATTCCCGTCGTCGCATCGCATCTCCATTTAGCCAACTCATGTTTGCCCTCAGCAAGCATGGCAGCTTGTATGGCGCCTACCGCGCTATTTCTACGTCTCGTCCTGATGCTACGATAGATTCCCTGGGCTGGGTAAGCAAACAAGCCAAGGGCGCCTATCGGTTTTGGCATTGCGAGTTAGTACAAAAAAGTGCCACGCAGAGATATTCCTTCCAAGGGAACGAGAAAGAATTTCATACCTGATCCAATCTTTGTTACAGTTCCAACAAAACCCTTACCGAGGCCCTTCACGGCTCCCAAGCCGCCCTCTTTGCGAGCACCGAGATATGGCTGAACAAAAATGTCGCATACCCCGTACGCCAGCCCGAGAGCAAACTGGTGGCCTGCAACTCGCGTGCCGGACTTCCACCCTGTAATTGGCTCGTGATCTGGGACATCTTCTCCGTATAACTTTGGAACTGCTCGCAGACCTTCTGTGATGGCCAGAGGCACATTGACGTAGGAGCCCCGTATGATGGAAGTCACAAAGACCCCCGTGGCAGTAGTAGCTGATCCCATCACTACACGTGATGAACCCAAGCAGCTCCTGTCTTGCTTCATTACCTGAGGCTCTTTGGTGGAGTTTAACGTTTTGGCCAACACAAGGTCGTCCGTCTTATCGCTCCTATTGCTCGTCGATTCTGTCTTATAAGCCTTCACAGGCTTGCGAACAATGTCGACTGCTGCAGTCAACATTTCGGTACCAACAGTTAGGGAAGAGGATAATGCGGCCGTGACGGGATCCCACCGATCTGTGTCGATGTAGACTGGTTTGGGTCGAAATCTGTGGCCATAATGTCAGTATCACGTCTATTTCAAAAACTTCTCAGAGAGGGCTTTCAAACAGTTGTAGCCGACGGCCATCAATTTTCAAATGGTCGATGAGTATTTCCGCAGCAAGCTTGGATAGTTTGAGTTTTGTCTTGCCGCGTTTGTAGGTCCACGCAGCAGGCTGGTTTGGCAGCAGATTGCAGCTGGCGTGTTCGAACGGAAAATGGCGATGAAACGAGTCGGCCGCGGCCGGCACGCCAGCTTCGTGGCTCATTTTAGCCGCGAGTTGTTTTGCGGCAGATTTTGTGTCTTCTTGTAAGCAAAACGTGATGGCTTCGGCGAGGTTGGTAGCGTCGAGTGATTTGTGACCGATTGGTGGCGGGCCAGCACCTGCTCTGGCGACCATTTCGCCCCAGAAAGGCTGGCTAAAGTTTTCCAGATTAGTCGCGGACAAGACGACATAACGTGGAAAGTATATATGTATAGGGAGGAACATACTCTCCAAAAAAGGGCACAATCAATGTTGGTACTCCGTTGCGCAATCCGCATGCTGTAGTTCCGGCGCCTCCGTGGTGTACAACGGCGGAGACCTTTTGGAAGAGCCACTCGTGAGGACAATCCCCCAAGAACAATATGTTTTCGTCTTCGAGCTGAATCCCGCTGCCTAGGTTGTACCATCCTCTCGAGATTATAGCCCTAGTGCCGGACTTACGCACTGCATTCACTAGAATATTCGTCAGACGTTCTGGGTCGTCGATGACGATGCTGCCGAATCCGATATATACTGGCTCAGAACCACGGGCCAGAAACTCTTCTAAATCTAGGCTCGGTTCGAACGGTGGAGGCTCTCGAAAGAAAAAGCCACAGACGTCTTTTGTACAGCTGGTCAACATGGGATGGATGGATGCATCTGGGAAGGGCTAAAACTCACCGATGTAACTAGGCCAATCATTGGGCTTTGGTACGAGGGCTGGGGACCAGCAGTACGTGAATGGTACCTGTAATGAATCTGCAAGCTTAGGTCCCGAAGAAATTGTAATTGGCTCAAGGTCAAGCATGGATGACCTCCATTCGTTGATAACATCACCTAGACTGAAAAGCACTCTTCAGCCTATAAGTTCTCATTCTTTCTTGGGTGGTGTCTTACCCTTGCCATGTCATCCACTCGAACACGGAATAAGACATATTATTCAGTTGGCCTTGGCTGACACCTAGTCCATCTGCTGTGATGCTCGCGAGCGGGTGGGGGAAAGAGGCAGTACTGGTCCAGGGCATCGTAAACATTAGATGGAGCGGAATCCCCAGCGCCTGTGCGCAATGTACATGTGCGAAGCTTGGAGGATTAGCGATAATGGAACTCGCCACGAACGGCCGGCCAGAGTCAGGATCCGGTTCAATACAGGAAAGCCAGCAACCGTTGAGAAGTTCTGCAATCATCTTCCGCTTCTTCTGGATATCTCCGGCACGAACACTGTCCATACTCGGTATAAGTCCTGGGTTCTTCACCATGTATGCCATTAGGTCCGCCGGATCGCCGCCGATCGGGTAAAATTCGAGGTACGAATCCGTGATAAACTTTTTGAAAACATTGTGAGTTGCTATCCGGACACGGTGGCCGTGCTTCTGGAGTTCGTTCCCCAGAGCAACGAAAGGCTGCACATCGCCGCGGCTACCAACAACTTGAATAACGATATTGAGCGGTATAACCTTTCGTGGACTTGGGGAATAGGGAGGCGGTGAGCCTAGTGTTCCTGAGGGTTTGTAGTCGGGGTTCGTTCCGACGACGCGGGCTAAAGTTTTGGAAGATACGCGACGCAGGTCGATATGAATGCGACCATCGTCGATGGCTAGGACACTCACTCGAATTAGAAACTATGGCGTGATTCAACAAGTTGATTGGCCTTACCTGGAAGCCCGGAAGTAATCGAAGGGAGTTTTGCTGGATTGGGAAAAGAATTTGTAGGTTGAGATAGGCCTTGCTCGAGATCCATCGTCAATGTTGAAACAGTTCAAATCAAATACAGATGCTAAGAAGTGACTGACGCGAGGTACAGGAAGGCCAGTGAGTGATTTAGGTTATAAAAGTTATATTCGTCGAATTCAACAGTTACATAATATTGCCTTTCATCACTGCGGCTGGACTTGTCCATCGTGGGGATCTGGGGCATTTTTACGCTAGCCATGAATAGTTACAATCCGACGCTGAAGATACGGGATGTGGATGTGGTACTAGTAACTACTATGGATGCAAATACGATCGACGTCGCTTTGCTGACCCACCTCGCTTTGCAGACCCGCATGAACGTATTTATAAGGGTTTAATTGGCTAGAGCTAATACAGGGGCACATTTACATTTGACGTTCGTGGTTTTGCATTTTACGATTGTTCCGTCTCCGTTACTGAGTGAGCGAGATCTGCCCGCACAACGTTTTAAGCAAGTAAATAAGAAGATAAAAATTGAATTTAGACCTTTTAGTAGCTGTAAATCTCATGCTTCGCGAAAAGCGTTGTGAACATGCCATAAGTCCTTGACCACCCTCCTTCTGCAGCTCGTCTCTTTAATGAGACTGATGTCTTTTTGGAGACATTTGTAATCACCCGCTATATTCTTCAGGTTGATATGAGAGGAGAAGCGAGGGCTTTTGGATAAGAAACATGATCACGATGATTTAATTGCCCGACTAGGGCTAGCCTTAATGCGAAAAGAAAGAAATAGAAACACCGAAAGGTTTGGTGTTAATGAGTGCACCTTTTTACAAAGTGAGGCAAGAAAAGATTGTGGTCTTGTTTTTATATTTTCTTTTCATATATATTTCATATTCCTCCTGGGCCGATCGAGCGGCGCTCTCCCCCAAGCCCATGGTGAATGTCAGACAAGCTCATTTCCCCCCAATCGTTTTCAGATACGAGACGAAAAAATCGGACAATAGCTCGTAATATCAACTAACTCCAACCCGTATAATATATACCATACCCTACTAGCGCTTTATTGACATGAAATGAAGCTGGATTCCCCCTACTACTATCAACAGAGCCTTTTTATTTTCTCCTTTGGAAATTCGATCATTTCCAAGACCTGAGCAGTACGGAGTCGCTTTTGGGTGTATGACGTCCAAACGTTCCCGGATACCTCAACACAAAAGCTGCCATAACGAGCGCCATTAAGAGGGCATCAAAAACGTATATGGGCCATTCGTTTTGGAGTAGATATCCTTCTTGGCCCTGAACGAACTCGGCAACTCGAAAGACAGATCGTACCATGATGAGTATGCTGACGGCGTACAAGATGGCCAGACGCTGTCTCCACGCCACTTCTGGATCCTGCGACTCTACCGTAGCATGCCTAGACATGCGGAAATGGAAAACCACAGTGGTAACCATGAAAAACCCAAAGATGATAATCTGGATGAACAATCCCGCAACGACGATCTTTTCGCCCAGGGCCGCATTGTCTCCAGTTGCCATAAGGCCGGCTGCTCCACCTTGGACAGTAAAGGAGAGGACATCACCGAGTACGAAGGTCTTGGTGAGCCACCGCATCGGAACAAGCGAGTGTGCTTGGCCGTTGCAGGCAATTATGACACGGCCCAAAATCATATAGATGGAGGCGGCGAAGAGCGCTGGGGCCAACAAGATGAAGGTATTCTGGATGACAAAGGGCATAAGCTGGTCGGTTTTGCTGTGTGCTGAAGCCCGAGCTGCGAATCCTATAACTTCAACTGACCCGTGGAAATGCCGTTAGCAGAGGACAAGAGGAAGAAAAAAAGGGGTCGGCCAATAAGGCCAGACGGGCACATGAGCTCACAAAGTCCACCGATAACGAAGGCAGTAAAGTACCATGTTTTCGTCTTGCACATTTTCCATAACAGGGTAATGGTCAGAAGAGCGAATATCCAGGCAAACAGAATCGCAGCAATGATATTCGGAACGTAGTTCCAGAGATAATAGCCGAATCGGTACGGTTTCAACTCGGCCATGATGTTGTTTGAGATGTGATAGTAGATATGAGGAAGGCAACTGTAATTACGCTCTCCAGATGGCCACTGATCAATCTTACGAGAGAACAAGAAGATGGTCAAAAGCGATAAAAGTAACAACCTTGGACGAGACGGGAGGCGAGAGCAAACAAAAGATGATGAAGGTATGAGATTGTTTTTCATCTAAAGATACAGGAAGACTTGCCATGCAAGTTCATATACATTTCAAAATCTCCAGACTTTACCCAGGGAGTTAGCGCTCACCGTTGAGTTGTCCCAGTTGATTTGCCAAGCAACCAAGGTTAACAGGGTTGGGCCTGGTCGTTTAGGGGCTCCACTGGACGGAGGGTGGCGCTGCCGTGGGGTCGCTAGTTCGTTCCGAAAGGTCGTTCCGGGCGTGATATTATTGGTCAGCATCCCAGAAACCGAGAAAGCGAACGCTTTAAAAAGAAACCGATTGCCATGCAATTTAATAGGGCTAGCACCTTGCGGTTCGTTTTCAACTACCTGCTCTGATTTTTGACTCGGATTAAATCCGAATGCTCCATGGGACTTTAGTCTGCCGATTTTTCTTGCACAGCGACTGGACAGTGGGCATGATCATGTCGTACGAATCTGCATTACCATCGGAAGGCTCCCGTCGTGGTCACCGAAAGTCTCGTTATGGCTGCGGCGAGTGCAAGCGTCGGCGAATCAAGGTATGAGCCACAATCCGATCAGCCCCTAGCAGCCTTTATGGATACTAAGACAAGCCCAAGTGTGATGAAACCCATCCTATCTGCAGAAAATGTGCCGTCTCCGGCAGGACATGTCCCTTCACCTTGTTGCATCCTAGCCTCCCGGACGAAGAAAACGAATCAGTCGTCTCCTCAACGGGGTCTAGCCAGCATCATGCATTGCCTTGGTCTCCCCCGGCCGACCCTGCACAGTGTCGACTTCTACACCACTTCTCGACATCTGGAGACTTGTTCCTACCACAGGCCAAGTTACAAGCTGGAGGCCTCTTCAAAGCTAGTGCCATCATCGAAGAAGGTCTCTCATGTAGCTTCTTACTCAACGAGATCCTGGCGTTCTCTGCTCGCCACCTCGCAACCTGCCTGCCTAATCAGAAGGCCGATTATCTCAGTCAAGCCAAAGCGTACCAGTCACATGCTATCACAATCTTTACAAATAGATCCATCAACATCGATGGAACCAACTGTGTGCAAGTGCTACTTTTCAGTTGGCTTCTCGGAGTTCACCAGTTGTGTGATGTCAGTCTGAATGAGGATCCCTCAGATCTGCTCAAAGACTTTATTAAGTACCTGGTGATCTATCGTGGAGTGAGAACAGTGGCCACGCAGGCGTGGCAGCTTATGTTGCAGACGAATTTGAAGGAACTCCTCGACGACAGCCAAGCTCGAGCCACTGTTCTCGGAACAGGCAACAAAACTTTATCCACAAAGACGCTCATTAAAGAGAGTCTGGGATTAGACGAGGAACAGAAATTAGACTGTGAGGAAGCGATTTCCAGGCTCGAGGCCGCCTTTGATTTGGAAGGGACAGTCGCATCCGAGGATGCCGAACAACAGTGGCTCTTTTACGTTCTATCTTGGCCCCTGACGGTAAGACGTGGGTTTCTCTCCGCCACCGAATCAAGGCGACCAGAGGCTCTTATTGTCATCGCACACTACTGCGTCCTGTTGCACTGGTGTCGAGAACATTGGATCGTTGGTCCGACTGGCCGCGTTCTCTTTGGGTGTGTTGAAGCCACCTTGGGTCCTGGTTGGGAAAGATGGATGCAATGGCCCAAGTCAGTTATAGATAAGGCAGACTCATAAGTGGTGATATTGAATTAAAAAAAAATATGTTCGCAATAAGTAAAACTCATAGTTAATGTCCAAGGAGCTCGTGATATACGGTATTTGATTCTGGTTGTATACGAAGTCTCCTATCCATACCTCCTATTTTCTTGCCTAACTTTCATCTAAATCGAGACCCATCTTTTGAACTAAGGATTTCAATTATGGGTACATTCGTTGGTTGTGCTTAGTGGGAATGGAAAGATCCAACTACATCTGGTAAGGTTGCCGCCTCTTATAAAAGGACTACGAAACCACGACATGACCTTTGTCTCAGACGACCAAGCCTTACATTCATTCTTCTATTCACCGACGGGAATCTTTAATATGTCATATCCTGTCATTTCACTCTCCGCCTGCGCGGACGCGAACATCTCTGTGCCTATCCTCCCTGGCGCCGAAATACTGTCTCTTAGCGCAATTCCTGTACTCAACTACACCCAAACCGCGTCGCAAGATTACAACTACAACCATCCTACCATCAAGGCAGAGAACCTTGATTTCTGCAATGTTACAATCACCTACACTCACCCCGGACAGGAAGATACTCTGGGTGTCGAAACCTGGTTGCCTTTCAACAACTGGAATGGTCGGATCCAATCCGTGGGTGGCGGAGGTTGGATTGCTGGCCGATTTTTCCTCTCCTACCAGGCAATGACTGGTGCGGTTGCAGAGGGATACGTGACATCCAGCATCGACGCCGGACTTCAGGATCGTGCTGGCCAGACAGCCTTCGTCCCGGATGAATGGGCCATGGTTTCGGAGGGCAATGTTGACCTCTACAAGCTACAAAATTTCGGCTCAGTCGCTTTACACGACCAGGTAAGTTTCCTGAGCACTGACACCTCAATACTCACCTCCATCTTTTTGGGTTGACCAGAGTCTATCCCGATGGATGGTGCTAACAATGCGATAGTCTATCATTGTGAAGGCTCTCACGGAGAGCTTCTACGGGCAGAAGCATGAGTACGCCTACTGGAGCGGTTGCTCCCAGGGTGGACGGCAAGGCCTCATGCTCGCTCAGAGATTCCCCGACGCGTATGATGGCATTGCGGCCGCGGCTCCTGCCATCTACTGGAACGAGTTCTTCTCAGCTTCCATCTGGGCTCAGATTCTCATGAACGACCGTGAAGAGTTTCCGCCCGGTTGCGAATTCGATTTCATCACGGCCGCCGCTATTGCCGAATGTGATCCGTTGGACGGTCTTGTGGATGGACTCATCTCTGACGAATCGTTGTGCAAATTTGATCCTACGGCTCTCGTTGGAAAGCAGTTCAACTGCTCTGATACCGGCAAAGTGACCGTGCTCAGCGAAACGGCTGCCGTGGTAGCTAAAGCGGCTTGGGAAGGCCCTCGCACGCAAGAGGGAAACTTACTCTGGTACGGACCCAACATGGATGCTCGAATTTCTGGAGATGCATCCGGCGGAGCGCAGACGTCGGACCTAGGTTACGCCCAAACTCTGTGCCAGAACGGCTCCTGCCAGGGGTCTCCCGTAGGATTTGGTGATAAATGGATCCCGCTCTTCGTCCAGAAGAATTCTTCCGCATCCTGGACAGACATAACCCCCGGAAACTTTTCGAAGCTGTTCAAAAGGGCACAGCAGGAATTCAACTCGATAATCGGAACCACCGATGCAGACTTGACCGAATTCCGCGCCGCTGGCGGAAAGCTCATCACGTATCACGGCGCAGTACGTATTCCCCCCTTCTCCCTTAGTTTCAGAACTCAGTAACTAACAATCCCCTTTGGAGGCTGATGGTCTGATTCCATTCAAGCAAACGGTTCACTACTACAAGGAAGTCTTGCAGATCGATCCCGACGCCCAGGACTTTTATCGGTTCTTCGAAGTGCCTGGTTTAGGTCACTGTGCTGGCGGTGTAGGTGCACAGCCGACAGCTACATGGGATGCCCTAGTTGCCTGGGTAGAGAAGGGTCAAGCTCCTGATTCATTGCCGGTTGACTACACCAACCCCCAAGGACAAAATGAGGAGCGCCTTCTTTGCCCCTATCCTCTGCAGCCGCGTTTGTCCGGAGCTGCGGGACGTAATGGCACCGAGGATCGCCAGTGGCAGTGCCTGAAAGCCTAAGATCGGTTCGGTGGTATGGTTGTTCTTACCAGCGGCAGCACGATGCAATGGCACATGTCTGGTATCTTAGCACGCTGGCTCAAACGCATCATTTAGCGTGAAGGACATTCCCCGAGGAAACCGTGGCAGCCAGTATCCATGCTAGAGAATCAAGAATCAAGAATGTTTTAGCCTCAACTGGGGCTTTTAAACTATTGATGCAAGGTGCGTGTTGTAATGGTGTGAAATTATAAAAACTAGGTGGTGCCATGCACGGTGCAAATGATTGGTGTTTTTACCAAACCAGAAGTGGCATGGTTGCCGCATCATTGTAAGTTTGAATACCACAGATGATACAGAAAGAACAGAAAGAGGCCTTTTGAAAGTCAGGTATAGCAGAGAATCACGATACGCATAGATGGACGGGATTGATGATGAGTTTGTTAGTGGCTGAAGCCACTAGGCCTTTTGCAGCGATAAAAGCCTCCCTACGGACACCTGTCAGGTCCATTATTGATTAGGTATACAACCATGTCTCCATCCGTTCCATAGAGACGCACCATACACGCGTTAACTTCAAATCATATTTGTGAAAGCCCGACTGACCTATGTGGCCCGCCCCAACATGATGCAACGGTGCGGGTCTGCTCAGTATCCGTCAGTTTGCGAGCAGATGCGAGCGAGCGGGTTTGAATGCGAGAAGGTGGGTCCGAATGCGGGAAGTGGATCTAAATGCGAGCGGGTGGGCACAGAACGCGAGCGTTCCTTATTTCCCCACACTTTATGCCCCGTTGGCTAGCTAATGACTTTTCAATGATCGGAATGCTCCTAAATTACCTTCTCCTTTGGTGATTACGTTCAAGTTAGTTGTCTTGTTAGTTGTTCTCACGGACACGTGATATTCGACCATAAATCATAAGAAAATACCACAAGATAAGGTAACAATGCCTCATCATGTCTTGACCCTAGGTTTCTTCACGGTTTAAGCATTACTATCAAGCGTGCTGGAGGATCACGGGGTCCCGGCGGATTCAATCGAAATCGCCTCCGGCCTCCTTTTGAATGAGAGATTTCACATGTATTGCGTCCTTGAACAACCTGTACTCTCAAGTGTGAACAGCAGCCCTTGTTCCCAAGACGAGTTCACCTGCAAGAGCGGACCAGGTCGTTCAATATTTGTAAGATTGGGGGTTTCAGATATTAAGCATCGAGTTGGGCAAGCGTTGCATCAAGTTATTCTGGCTAGCTAAAATTTTGGTTCCCCTCTTATAACATTGGTGGATCTAGTGCTTCGATCTTAGCCATGTCGCCACACTTCCGAATCCCCACATTTTACGCAGTGAGTTTTCGGTTCTTCTTTTCTTGATATCCTCCACCGCTGGGCTGAAAGATGCTGCTAAGCAAGGTCGCTAAACACTTTTCCTCCGTGGCTGTTGCGCAGATATCGTGCTGTGGCCCACGATTTTAAAAGTAGGCAAGCGGGTTGGTTGCGTTGGGGAGCATCGTCTGCTGAACATCCCAGTGCTCCGTTATGCAGGTGCCATTAAGTCCGAAGATGTCCACAATAGCCTTGTCGAGAGTACCCGGTTGAATGCGGTGGACGTGGAGGGCCACGTAATTCAAGTCTGAGATGACCCGCGTGACATTGTAGATGAGGCCCGGGGTGGCAAAGACTTGACGCATGCCTGCTTCCGCAATGGCCTTTCCAGACGGAGCAAGGGGGTTGTGCTGAATGTAGGGGTCAACAACGTAGGACACGAGCGTGTCCAAATCCTTTTCCGCGTATGCCTTGGCCCAGATGGCGGTGGCCTCGCGTTGAGCGGCAAGGAGTTTTTCAGGCGAACCCGATATCGACTCGGGCAGATCGGGGAGGACTTTGCAGGCAACACAGGCTTCACATGCTCGTGAAAGCAGGCCTACAAAAGCAATTGAAGAGAGTCTCATTTTGAAAGTGAGCTTTTGAAGCGTTATAAGGATGTTATTTCTTTGTGTAATGATAAATTATCAGATGAGCAGACCTCTGGATGTGAGAAGCGATGCCATTATATACGGTATGTTAGCAAGCACTCAATCTTACTTTGCCCTCAAGTTATGCCGTGATGTAGGACGAAACCCGACGGAATTTGGCCTTGCTATGTCAGCTTTTGTTTCCGCACTTAGCGGAAGCATTTCACCCAGGCTTAATTAGTGCGCTAATACCGTGATCCCTTCAGTCCCACGCGCCGTTGTCCTTCTCCTGAGATCTGCTGGGCGGGGGCCCTCGATGAGCTTGCGTCAACAGGATCTCGGGTTTCCGGTAACATAGCTAACCCGCCCAGATGCAGCTCAAAGAAATATGGAAGTATTAGTGGACCTTGCGCTTGTTTATCGCCATAATCCACGACTCATCTTTCGACCCAGTCATACAACGACAGTGAGACGAAGCTGTGCCAAGGAAGTCCATTCAGTCCTAATAAGTCAAATTTAACTAGAGAACTCCACCATTTGAGTATCATTTGACGGGTTTATGATTTAAGCCCTATGTGTGTTGCTTTGGTATGTGGCTGGGGGTGTGGGGTGATGGGTGGGGGTTCAACAACAACAGTCGAGACCCTACTACCTTTACCATATGTTGATGGGTCTGGGTAGAATGGACTGATTCAAATGATCATTCTCAGCGGGAAGTATCCTTCAAAGACCTGGTGAAGGATGGCGATGCTTAGCTCCCTGTGCGACCGCTCCTGAGCTGCGATCCCTCCAGCTTGCTTTGGAATAGTCTTTACTCTTACGGTTTCAATGAAAACTTCCAAATTGGCGATTATTCAGGTGCTACACCGCTCATCAAATGAGCTTGCCTTCCCGAAACTAGCGATAACCTAACGTATAACAGTATGCCAGGGGCAATGGATTCGTTTGAATCAGTGAGCCTTGGCATTTGGGACCTAACGAGACTGGAAATTCTTAGCGGCATACCTACTCAAATGTCGGCGAACCCGCTGCAGAAACTACATCCCTTGGATATCAAAGAAAAGCTCTTTGCCCTGACTCATGAAGGGCATTCAGCAGTGGAGTTAAGGGTCATTCATCGAGCTTGGATACGTGCAGTTATGGTGCTACTACGGCATTTGGCTAATCATTTTCACCAAATCTATGGCCGTACCTTTGTGGTGAATCGTCTGGAGATTTAACGTTCGGTCAGCCTACAAACACATCAGTTGAAACAGTAGGGCTGGTTTTCAGCTCAATCTTGATAGCTCCATCACTAAAAACCTGCCGCACCCACTACTCAAATAAGATTAGGTAGACAGCCAACCATGGCTAGCAGTAACTTGTCAAGAAGTGTAAGATGTCAGTGGCTTTTTTTTTTTTTTTTTCATTCACTTTGGGGCGTAGAGCTGAGACGAGACTTAATCATGATATAGACACTGCCGAACAGGAAAGCTGTCGGAAGACGTCCCAGCGGAAAACATTTCCTAATTGCTAGCTTGGGCGGCGCAAAAATTCTTCCTCTTTAGGATAATGCAGTCCTTGTAAGACGCCAAACAAGGCAAAGCACGCAATGGTACTTGGTATGGGTGGCCCGTCCGGCCGGTTGGTTGGGGCGGCTGTGGAGCTGCGGACTTGCGGAGCTCACTTCCGGATTACAGCACATCGGGGGTTCCGAAATCTATCCAGGGTTAAAGGGGCCAAAGTCGAGTAGGGGGTTGCGCTGAAACCTCGGGAAATAATTATACAAAAAATACACAGTGTAAATACAGTTTCCCATCCGAAAATCAAGCATATGCTCTGATTTAAAGTACTTGAGTTGTGCATATACAGAGCTTATATACCCTATAAAATACGCTTAGAAGGGTCTATTAGGGTTCATTAGGGTTCGTAAGTGCTTGATAGTTTCTAGGATTATGGTCACTTTGGAGTTAGTGAGGCATGCTTCTTACTGTGCTAGATGGATAAATTGTCTCTATGTAAAGGCGATGTTGCTGGTGTGATGCGTAAATATTGCCACACACCCCTGGCTGGAATCCAGACCCCTGCCGTGCTGTAAACCCATTTGCTTCTATAGACCAAGTACATAAGCAGTAGTGATGGCATGTCTCTAGCATTGAGCAGATTATATTTTCAAGCATCCTGGCGGAAGTCATGAGAGCGTGGCAGTATTCCAATATTGAAGGAACCCTCGAAGAATCCATTGCACTTAAGCTCGATATTCCTGCCCCCAAGAAATCAGCTCTTGGAAAAGATGAAATCATTGTCGAAGTCATCTGCGCCTCCCTCAACCCTGTCGACTATAAACTACCTGAATCTGGACTTATTGGCCACATCATGATCACTCGACCTGCCATACCTGGCCTGGACTTCTGTGGTCGTGTTGTCTCAAAACACCCTTCCGTCACTGCTCTCGAGCTAGGGCAGATTGTTTTCGGCGGATAATCCAATCCAAGCTCGAGAGGAACACTGGCTGAATACATTGTCGTGTCGCAAAATAACTGTGCACCTCTGCCTAGTGGAATCGACGTCGGTCAAGCGGCAGCTGTAGGGACAGCAGCAGCGACAACAGCGTACCAGTCGCTCATCCCAGAGTCGTTGAAGCCCGGTGCTAGGGTATTTATCAAAGGCGGAAGTGGCGGCGTTGGAACTTCTTGGACTGTCCAGCTTGCAAAGGCTATGGGATTTCAAGTGGTGGCAACATGTTCAACCGGTAATGTTGAATTATGTAAAGGCTTGGAGCCGACGAAGTAATCGACTATGAAAAGGACGATGTAATCTCTTACCTTAAAAGCAAAGGTGCGGTGTTCGATATCCTTACCGACAATGCCGGAAGCAGCATAGAATTATATTATCTAAGTTACCAACTCCTCAAGTTGGAAGGGACATTTGTTCAAGTAGGGGTAGGTGAAGTCATAACAACAGTTTGTAGCTTTGTCTAGTGGCCAAGTAACTTCGGCCACTGATATGTAGTGGACTGCAATACTAGGTACTTTGTTAATATGCAGAACGGTTCGCATTTCTTCAGCCGGATTAGTAGCTAGATGTCCGAACAAAAAGCAAAGGCTATCATTAACTCTTGCTCCCCCTTGGAGGGAAAGGAAGGGGCCGTCCGGCTCCTTGTATTACGCCTCCTATAACCGTAAGGGGGGTCCGGCAGGTAGGTCCAGTCGCGCAGGCGGGCACCCAAGACTATAAATAGAAAACAACAAGTACTACGCTTAGATAATTAATCTAACCCTTCCTAAGCCTAAGCACTTGAAAGATTAAAGACTAGGTAGGGTAGGTAACTAAATCGCAACAACTAGAAACTAAAAAAGTCCGATATCGCATTGCCCGCATTATCAAAAGCGTCCCCAACATCGTTGGCTACATTTACGACCGCATTGCCTGCATCATTGAAGACACTTCCGACATCGCTCATGGCATCGCCAACCGCCGAAGCAACATCGTCAGCTGCGTGGCCGACGGCACTGCCGGCATCGTTCAGCACGGAGCCAACGTCGCTAAAGGCGTCGTCGATGGCTTCGACGGCGTCATCAGCAGCATGACCTACCGCACTTCCGGCGTTATTCAACGCCGAGCCAACTTCGCTAACGACGTCATCGACCACTTCAGCGGCCTCCTCGGCGCCCTCCTTGATGTATTCTGCGACTTCCTCAACAGTCTCAGCGATATCCTCAGCGATCTCGACAATCTTGGCGCCAATCTCCTCGAGGAACTTGCTGGCTGCGTCCTTGATCATCTCCCACAAATTGCTGAAGATGGCCTTGATGAACTCGGCCAGCTTGAAGTGAGACTGCCACTCAATGTGAATGTCAATATCCTGGCCAAGCAGATTCCCTTGCACATTGACAATCAGGGGAGGGCCGTCCGCAACGAAGCTCGAGATAGACCCCGAGAACTCGATCTTGTTGATGTTGATGAGCTCCGCTGCCGCGCTGGCGATCCACTTGCCAATGTTAAACCCGACGCTCAGGACATCGTCGGCGAAGCTGGACGAGTCCTGCTCGGCGAGCTCGCAGGCCTGCCGGGCCAGCTTTATCTCGACCGTGTTCTTAAGGGCGTTTTCGAGGTCCTTCTCGGTTTTGACCACGGCGAGATACTCAGCGCACTTGTATCTCTCGGCGAAAGCCTTTTCTGCGGGAGAGACCATGGATTCTACCACCCTTTGACTCTCTCTGAGCACGGCTTTGGCTTGCGTCGAGGCGTCTAGCTCAGGAGAGCGCTTTTCGGCATCATCCAAAGCCTGGGCTGCGCACTGCACTATCTTTTCCTGTTGCAACTTGATCTCTTCAAAAGCGGCCATGGCGGTTTCCATCGCAGCGGTCTTGGACTTGATCAGGTTGTCCAATGAAACTTCATCAGTAGCAATCGCAACCTCCGCGGCGATGAATTCCGACCCCTCAATGACCAGCTCTGCGGCTTCAAGAACAGCTCGAACGGTTTCCAGAGCTGCGGTCATGGCCACTTGCTCGGCAACCTTGGCGGCTTTCTCTGCTAGCAAGACAGGCATACCCATGAGAGATGCTTCGTTGAGACGGCAGTCAATGTCTTTCAGATCTTTGGAGATCTTATCAGCCGCAATGACAGCTCCGTTCAATCTCTTCCTCGTCTGTTCCATATCAGAGCGAGCGCTGCCGAAGCTGAACTTGAAGGCATTTCGCTTTTCGTTAAGGCCACTCTGCGCTTGGCGGACCACCTCCTCGCTCTGATTCTGCGCCTGCTGAAGGCTTGTCTCGGCTAGGTGAGTAGCGACAGCCGCGTCGTGACGGGCTTGATCCAGCTTCGCTACGGCGGCAACAACGGCGCTGGCATACGACTTTTCTGCCGCCGCGGCGTTATTTTCGAGCCGCTGCTTGTAGCTCTGCGCCTCGGACTTGGCATGATCCAGTGCCGAGATGATGTCCCGCTCCTTGGCCCCCCAGATCTGTCTAGCTGCGTCGAGGCGGGTGCGAGCTGACTCGACGGACGCATTGAACTCGTTCTCCTTGTCCGACAAGATCCTCTTGGCCTCGTCAAAGTCTGCGTGATCGCGCATCGAGTTGATTTGCTTATCGAGCATGTCAATGATGTAATCGAGGATATGCTGCTCCATCAGGCCATAGATTGAAAAGTCGGCATTTGCGAGTGACGAAAGATTCTTAAAGTCGATATCGCCGATCAGTTCCGCCTCGAGCTTGAACTTGATCCAGTCCGATAGCGAGATATCTATCCAGAAGTTGAATTTTTGATTGGGGTAGACCTCAGCCTCGAGGTGCATGGCGGCCGAGAGTGCCCAGAGGTCTACAGAACCATCGATGAGGACTTTTTGCGTCGATGAAGACAGCTCAATATCCACAATGGGGTCCTCGCAGGTAGCTCCTCTGACCTTGAGAGGCCCCAGCTCGAAATGTTCGATTGTGGCCATGATCTTGGCCATTTTGCCAATCGTGCAGTCGAACTTGGCCGTTTTGCCGAAAATGGTCATAACGCCCTTCAGCGACACACCTGGTGGGTAATACGTCTCCGCGATTAAGGCGCCGGTAGATAGGTATAGCTGAATGTCATTGAAGTACAGGAAATTATCTGGCTCCGGGAACTGGTGCTCACAAATCTGAGACACGAACTTGACAAAGTCAACAACGCCCAGGTCCTTCACGGCTGCGACGAGGATTTGTTCCTTGGGGTTCTGGCTGAGCTTCATGGCGAGTTTGGCCTCCTTCTTGCCGATCATGATCTGACCAGCAAGACCAATAGAACCGGGCATTCCCGTGGTGAAGAAGGTAGCATAGACGATTCCGAAATCAAGGGCGCATCCCTGAACAGTAACTTGCTTGCCAACATCACAAGGGTTTGTCCAGTCTGTCAACATCTGCGCATATGCAGCCGCGCCGGAGTGGCTTGCTTTGAGGCCCAGGGAAAACTGGAGGGGCTTGGGCTGCGTCTCGACCTTGACGTTGAGGAGAGCCTTGAGGATCATTTGGAACTCGAGATCTGTCTTTACAATCTCGATCATTAGCGGACCGGTGTATACGTGCTCGCCGAATGTCATGGTGCGGTCTGCAGGGAAGATAATGCTCAGCGCAAATTGTCCATCGACCAGAGCAGCGCGAAAAATCATTCCCTTGACGCTACCGCGCATAAGCTTCTCGAGCTCGGGGATGCTGTCAATGCTGGCGCAGAACTGGAAGCCTTTGGCGACTGGATAGTTGATGCCCTTATAAGAGCCCAGGGGAGCCTCGTGGTTGGACGCAACCAAAGCCAGCCGGTTCAACGAGATATCCAGGAAAGTCTCTTTCAGGTCCGGAACAATCCTGCTCGTCGTGACATCGCCGTCGACCTCACCGTAGATGGTCCAGCGGAAGTCGCCCTCTGGAGTCTTCTCGGTATGCAGCGCGGCCTTGAGCTCTACACCGTGGATGTTGACGTGGCCGAATATGTCGACTTTGGACGCTCTTGCGCACTGAGTGTCGAGCTTGCTGGCGATAAAGACGTCCAACGATGCGGCCTTGATGACAACATGCTCGAACTCGATGTCTCCAACGCTACCTTGGACGACGATGCCATCTCGCGAGAACTCCAAACAGCCACTTGTCGATGTATGGCCGTTGACAGTTACCTCACCTCGGAGTGCAAATCCTTTCGATGAGATGCATAGACTCATGGACCGCAACGAAACGTCGTGGGAGAACCCGTCGATCTCTAATCCAATAAGCTCGTGGAAGATTTCGCCCACGTCGTGCAATGTCAAATCGCCAATGTACGCTGTGACAGAATAGAACTCTATGCATGGTAGAAGGACTATTAGATACACCATTGAGGAATGATATGATTGGGGATACTATACCCTTCGAATAGTAACCACGCATACCGAATTTGGTCTTCCTCAGTTCCAAATTTGCTTCAATTCCTACGGAAAATGTCTTTTGCTTCGCAAAATTGTGGATCTCCGCTTCCAAAGAGACGTCAGATAACTAGAGGGGAACGAAATACTGTCAGAAATCCTTCAAGTGCGATAATGGCGAGTCTATTGAGAGAAGCTTACCTTGAGATCCTTGATACCAAAAATATTGTTCCACTCATCGTCCTCGAGGCGAATTTGCAGTAGCCAAGAGTCGAACGTTTTCCGGAGATAGTATTCGACGTGCAGGGGAACAATGCTGCCAGGGACGCTAAGATCCAGCTTGCCAAAGAAACCATAACCGAATTGCCAGGTGCTGCTTCCTCTCTTGGCAAGACTATACGTCTGGTATCCGTTCAGCTCTATGCCAATTTCTTGAAACGTCAGGATGTCGAGCACGTTGACCGAGACATGCTCTAGAGAACCGCGTAGCACGAAGGAAGGGGGCCTCGGAGGGATTGCATAATCGCGGCTCCCACCCAGCCAGGCGCTGAAGCGGAGGGAAGGTTTCTCCTGGTGGAAGAAGTCACGGAGGAAGTCCGACACAGGCTGCAGGGCTCCTCGAAAGACAAGGTCGGTCTCGAAGTAGAGCCCTTTAGTCCGACTAGAACCCCCATCCAGGGTGACCTCCTCTTGAAAACCGAGGATAGGATTCTCGAGCGAGATCGTATCCCACTTGCTGCCTTTCAGAGATGGCATGAAAGTGCCCAGCGAGATGGATCCATCTGGTGCGATTCTGATCTCTTCATTGTATGGGTGTAGAAGGCTGCCAGCATGCTCGTACACATAGATCTTGGATGGAATGAGGCCGAAGAGATTCAGATCGCCCATGTAGGCCGAGTTTGATAGACTTTCCAGGCCAGTTGGAGGTCCTGTGAAGGAAGAGGTCGAGGTCGTCCTTTTCAGAAGGAACGGATCAGTGTCCTTGGGCAAAGGCGAAGGATCCGGGGTGGGCAGTCCGTATTGCGAGAAGCCGGCCGGACCCTGGCCCGGAGGCGTGCCTGGTAGTAACTGAAAGAAAATCTCCTTGCCACTGGCGTCAAAGGCGACGGGTTGGATATTGGTAACCCAGGCTCCGCCAATGTCAAACCCGGGCGACGAGCGATCCTGTCCGGCGGTGCTCTGGAGTAATTGTTGGCCGGCTTCGCCTACGAGCAAAGATATGGAGCCTTTCACGAAGCTTTTAAGTCCCTGAGTATCTCCACTGAGAGCTTGTTGTTTCAATTTCTTCGATGGTGGATTGTCATCATGCTCGTCGTTGGAGAAGGAGCGATTGCGCTTCAAGATGCTGTCGAGATCCATAGCTGAATTCATGGCTGGCTTAGATGTTACATCTGATGAAGAGCTAAAGATTGTCTAAAGGGGAGGGAAATATGTCCCCTTTGGAAATTAGGAAAGTCTGAGAGACAGTTGATTTGTGGTCCACGAGGGGCCCTGGAAGAAGCGACGGGTGAACGGGATGATATTCATGATAGCACGAGCTTCGGACCACCAAAGTCGAATACACAAAGTCACCTACTACTGCCACGAACAATAAGCGCTTGGCTTCTTTGGCTTCAGCTGCCATGTGGCAGCCTTCATGCTCAGCTGGTGAGACAACTGCCAAAATGAGAATGCTTTGCCCGAAGAAAGCAAAACGTCGGGGTGCCGAAAATGAATCCAGACTACAGTATCAAAAGGCTCCGGTTCCTGTTGACTCGGGACTCTCACACCTCGAGCTTTCATATTGCTTTTCTCTGCGGGAGAAGTTGGGAGGGTGAGGGCTGCATGTGATGTCGTGGGAACCGCATTAGCCCCCGCATGTTCTCGATAGTTCAGGTCAGCTAGAGCTGCACGAGGGTTTGTGTCGAGGGGCGATGGGGTCTGGATCCATTTCTGGTATCTAAAACTCCGCTCTCGGTAGTCAATTGGAGGCAATTATAGGTTCAAAGACGGATGCTTTCGATCAGACAGTTTTCCTCTTGCCTGCACGTGGCAATATCGTGGCGTTTGCTGTGCAGTTCACATTCGGAAACAAGTTGGGCCACGACGTTTTCGTTTAATATTTTGCACCAACTCATGTCCATCTGCCGTTTGGTTTCGCAACCTTCTTAGACTCGGATTAGTTCGCAGCTCATCTGAGACTTGCCATGCTCAGCCGTCCAATCTAGAGCCCCTGTCTTCAGCCAACCACTTGCATACCTAGAAGCACGAAACAGCTTCCCGCACTTCCGTTTCAGTTTAACCACGCCCAGCCGCAGCCACTAGTGGGGCAATAGTTCGTCAATCGTCGTCGCCACCCATGGTTCGAGAGGGTTGTGGCCAGCGCCTCCCGCCAGCCTCCCGCAATACTTGGCTGCAGCGGCTGTGCATGCCAAGCTTCTTAGGTTCAAGAGAGGATCCAGATGACAGATTACTCCATAGTATGAGGTGAGAATGCAAGTATGCAGCATAACTGCGACATTCTAGCGATTTCTCCTCATTCTCGCCGTTCTCGCATGTTACATAACTAGTATATTTAAGCAGTTGCCCCTTTTCACTGGAGCGGCGCCTGTCTCTGCTTGGCTCTTCAGTGCAGAACTCAGTGTCTGTAACCAGAAGCCTTCTTGACGCAAGTTCCATGATCTGAGAATTCTCGCATATTCATCATCGCCGCGCAACATGGTGAACACACGGGGCAAACAGAACGTGGAAAATTCATGGAACCGACACATGCGAGGCACAGAAAGCCTGTGGTACTACGGAACAGAAAAGTTCCGCGCCATTGCATTTGACGCCCAGAGATATTTTGACGTGAGTCCGAGTGACCAACGAGGCACCCCCATCTTCGTGTCCGTCGAAACTGTGCTCGGCTTGGGATTCTCCCTGATAGGTAACGAGAGCAAGGACGACTATCACAATGAAGGAAATGGGAATGAGAACAAGTCAGATATCCATTGTGAACTCGCAAATATCCTTGACTGATCAGTATTTCTAGAGTCTCTGAGTGGACTGATGAGGAGCTCATTGAAGGAACTCCCACGGACTGGAAAATGTCCGAAAATAACAAAACAACAGGGGTCGTGATTAATATCAGGTTAAAAAATGGCACCTCAAGCACTTGTCGCATAAAGGTGCATGTCTACCCGAAAGCGCCGGACTCCTGGACCGCGTATGTTCGCAAAGTCCTATCCTTGGGTGGCGGAAAGACCTTCAAGCCGACGCGTCAATGCGATATGCCTCTGAAGTGGCCGTTGCTCGTGAAACCATTAGAAAAGCGCCAAAATCTGATACAGTCAAGATTTGGCCTTACGGTCAACGAGTTTTTCCGGCATTTGATAGCAGAGGCAAATACAGCCAACGCCGAGAGCAAAAAGACTGCCGGCATGCAAAATACCACCTATGGACAGTGGACGTTGCAGCTCTATGACGACTCGTCAACGCAAAACTACAAGATGGTAAGCCAGAGGATCCATTTACCTCCGTCCAAATCATCTGACCCCGCTATTGCACAGATGTCGGTAGACCCTTTCCAGCTCTACTCGACTTGGATACACGAAGATGACTGGCACTCGTACATGACGATGCTGTCGGAAACTGAAAAAAATCCCATCCGAAAGTTCATATCCCTCAAGAACATAAACGCCTGCAACACCTTGAATGATCTCATGCTCAAGGTGGGTGAGCGAGACCTCAAGATCCAGGGCGACTTGTCTCCTAAAGAACGAGAGGCTTGTGGCCTCAAGCCGGAGCAAGAGGCATACGATAAGGCCGCTCTGAACGGGTTCAACAGACGGAAGATATCCGAGGCCCTCAAGCAAAAGCGACTCCAGGGGATTAACTCCCAGATCAAGAGATACAACTTTTACAACGGCCAGACCACTATTGAAGTCGTGTTAGAGGCCTCCAAGATGGAATCTGCTTCTGGCAAGCGCCCCTCCCAGCTCACTCAGGCCGTAGTCATGGGAGGTGTTTCGGCAAGCGATGTAAGAGTTGTGCCCATGAGCGAGATTCTTTCAGTCACTGATCATTGCAATAGATAGCGACAGGCTTAGACTGGGAAAAGGGACGCCTGGCATCTGGTTTCTATTCCAGCGAGGTCGGTGCAAGTGACATTGGACAACATTATGCAAGCTATGATGCTGACAATGAAAATCAAACGCATTACAGTGGCTACATCTGTCTGCATTCTCCTGGGGCGGTTTCCTGCCAGCAGGCGCAAAGTCTGGGTTCTCGACAAGCCAGAACTTGGAGAATCTGATATTTGGTACATCCGAAACCAACTCCCTCATGACAAGGTAAAGAGTCCCATAACCACCTATGTATGGAGCCGGCTATGGCGAATAGTACTGCTTACATTTTCACCACTAACAGATATGAAATGGCATGGCAAGACTTCTACCGCAAAGAGCAGAAAATACATGATAGGGTAGCCACCGCAGAGAAAAAGAAACTGTATTCTCTGCAAGGGCGGTTGAGAATTCACTGCAACGATTTCTCTAAGCCTATCCGGTGCGATCTCTATGATACGGACAAAATATACAAGTTTGACGATTTCACCATCCCGAGAACGTTGGTCGAGGAAGCCGAACAGGCAGCCGACGAGCTTCTCGGAAACAAAAGTCCAATGTTGATGTGCCAGGCATACGATTCAAGCCATGACACGACAAGGAAACGTATTCAAGATGCCCGAACGCCCGGAGAAGGCACATCCGACGGCGAGATGCTGGCGCTTGCGCACGACTTTCCAGTCGTCGTCTATTCTATGGAATACAAAATCCAGAATGATTTCTATTCTCACATCCTGGACGAGGAGGGAACCGAAGCAAGTTTCTACTTCTTCCCCTTTCAAAGATCGCTCTATCACCAAGCCGAGGCAGTCCTCGACGCCCTCGCCTGGAAGACAATCAAAGAGAAAGCGGACTCGTTGCTGAACGAAGCGCTTGGCGAGGAGGATGCGGAGAAAGCATCTATAGTAAGTCCAACATCCCTCAGGAGCTGCAGTAGTGCGAACTCTAAAGATTATATTAGCCTGAATGGAGAGCAAAATCTGTCAGAAACGGCAGCGCTATGAAAAGGCTGGATCTAAGTATATTTGATGCCAAAAACCGGTTGAAAGGTTTGAAGATTGATCCAGACGAGGAAAGCGATAAAAAGTTGCTGTCACAGCAGCAGGAAAAGAAAACGTATTTTAAGATCCTCAGAAATAGCGGTTTATTCAAAAGATAATCCTGTGTCTAGGGTAAAAATGGTATGTTCCCCGGGTTCAACACTCTTGACTCCTTGCGGGTGCTCAATGAGGATGAATTCAAAGAACGGCCTGATCAGATCTAAACCACTGGGCTAAATTAGCCAAGGTGAACCTATTCTATAGAGGAAGATTAACGAAACAATGGGACCAGTGATCGACTCTCACAAAAACCAATCCCGCTGCCATTCCTGCTCCTCTGCAAGATTCTTTTACCTAATAGCTATGCAATGCGATCATGGTGAAAATGCATGCCAAGTGATTGTGCACTGGAGTGAAGAGAAAGGAAAGGCTTGCGAGGTACTAGTCGCAATTTGTATTCCAGATAGTGAAGATCCTAATAACTTGATCTCTTGCCCTCTCCCTTAGGGGAGGCCGCTACTTGCTTTATATGCCTAATCCCCATTTCCGCCGCTATGATATAGCAAGTGTGGCGCAGTGCTAGTATTAACCCCGATGAGAATAGAAGCAAGAAGCGAAGCTGGCGTTAGGTGCTTCTACACCCACCCTTACATATGACAACTGCTTGGTATTAGATAACATCTTCAGCAACCAGTGCGGGGGTCTACATTATCATCGAGGTCGCTTAAGTGAAGAGACGGGTCCTCCTCCTGGCTGGAGAAATGGTGGTCTCGGAGAAGATCATCAAAGTGGTACTAAGAGAAATTAGAGTCATTATGCGAAAAGCCCGGTCCGTATCGATCGTCCTCATCGCATTCCAGAGAGTTAACATGGCCTCCGACTCCTCAATCGCCCCCGGAACCGACCAGTCAAAAGAGGGGGACGTATGTTCAGTGTTATCAAAATTGGAATCGGTACGGAAGGTGCCGGCGATGTTGATGACTGCGCTACCGGGGAGAATACAGAGCGAGTCGTGATGGCCGACATCTTCCCAGGTTGGAGTCGAAGCTGTTATTGCGTGGCCAATTGCGGAGAAGGAAGTGAGGCGACCAACAAAAACGGACGGGGCGTCGTAACCATGGCGTTGTCAGAGGCAGAGAGGAGGACTTTTCGAATCAGTGGAACAAACTTTCTGGTTAAACTGGCGTACTCGGCCTTCCTTGACTCTCGATCTGCCATAGTCTCGTCGTCGGCAGTCTTCTGATCAAACTGCTTGAAGTGTTGCTCTACGGCAAGCCCTTATGCTTCCCGATACTTGGCAAACATTAAATTTGGTATTATGGTTGTGTTAGTCATCCAACGAGTGTCTCAGCACTGCTGCCTTTCTCTTTGATGTGATCTCTTCTGACAGCGATCGATTCTTTAACGACCTCTTCTTCTGGAGGTGGATGAGAGCTTGCAAAGCTAGCCGGAAGTACTGCGATAACATAGCCTTGACATCAACCAGATCGATTTCTTGGTTGTTGGCGAGCTCCTTGGTATCACCATTATTCTTAGTTGATCCAGATAAGTTATATAGGACGATGGAGCAGCAGAAGGGTTCCACCAAGGCCCTACATCGCACAATTACATTGTACTCTGGTAATTTCAAAACCGATGACGGTGGCTGTGAGCTATTGCATCAACTGATGACTCTCGACAGGTACAAACCACCCTATTTGAAGGGCCTATATTTATCCAACCACTGAAAAGCACGATGCTAGCTATTAGACTGGAAGTTCCAGCACTTGTGTCCAATTGGATAGTACCCCGCAGGCCCAAGTACCTGATGTCAGGGCGCAGTCAATGGAATAGCTACTGTCTAATAGGTTCAATTGTGACCCCCGTTAGAATGACTAGGTGCATCTCTCTCTACTACTTCAAGGCTTCCTGATGCGTTTACCGAAATCCTCGTTAGGGAAGCTAAACAGGTACAAAAATAGCATCAAAAATCTTAACTTTTGCCATGAATATTAATAAGTCATCCGAGTGTCTTTCCCACTGCACAGCGTTGACATAATGGTGTGCAGAAGGCATTTGGATGGTATTGGTGGCAGCCGAGATAGCACAACATGATATCCGTAAAGTAACATCCTCTTATTATTTTCCTCTGACTCAAATGTTAGGAGAATGTCCCGTTGAGCCAGATGAATGATGATTAGTGAATAGAATGCATCGGTAATAAATTTCCAGGAAAAGAAATGATAAACAGCTAACGTCGCACACCCACTTCTCGCACACCCCCACATTTCGCACACCCATAAATTGGGTCATCATGAGGTATTCATCAACTTCATAACTATAAGTCTGATTCGTCTCCTGCAACTGTGATACTATCGCCAGTTTTAATAGGTAATTCAGGCTCGCTAGATTCATCTGAGCTATCCTCAATTTCGCCAGCCTCAATTTGGGCTTTGTGAATTGCCTCAATGTTGGCAAACTTCGAATTTGGGCTCATTTGGACCTTACGCCGCTTCCGTACCATTCCAGCCTCAACTTCTGCTTCCAACATTGCAATCTTCTTCTCTGCTGTAGCCAATTGATAGTCCTTTTCATCAAATCCCTTTTGAACCTTCCGAAACAACAGTCGCTGCGTTTGCTGATCTTTATCCAACTTGCTGAATAAGCTAAGTTGATCATACAGATCAACTGTCTTCTTGGGCGTTGACCAGGCTACTATGGATGTAGCAGATGCCCAGTTTTCGTCTTTTCCACCATCAGAGGCCCTCATAGGCGTAGAATAGCCTGGCTTTGAGGGCTTGGAAGCATTCTCAAGCAGTAGAGGGCTCATGAGCGGTCGAGCTATCGAAATGGGCCATAGTCCTGTTGCTTTCCAGCCGCTTCTGATATTCTTGCTTGAAAATGCCATCTGGCGTGCTTTTCCATAGCAGGTAAGAAAGTTCCGTTTGCCTACAACTGTAGAATCGTTGTGTTGAATGAGGTATCCAAGCTCTTTTCGATAGGTCGCCTTGAGAGGCCCAAAGACTGCTTGGTCTAGAGGTTGGAGAACGTGGGATGTATGTGGCGGTAGGAAAAGGAGATATATCTTGTGTTTATAACAGAGATACATAAATTCTGTTGTTTCATGACTGCCATGACCGTCTAGGATCAATAGTCTCTGCTCAGAGGGATGATCAGGCTTAGTCAGAGGGATAAAGATGTTCTCAAGCCATTCCACAGCTGTAGAGTCTGAAGTCCAGCCATTCTCAGTTGCTGTGAACTTCCAACCACTGTAAATATCACGTTTATGGATATCAAGAGGAAACCATTGTTGTTGAACCGATTTCCCTCGATAAATAACAAGTGGAGGAAGCGCCTGACCAGTTGCAGAGACACACTCAAGCATAGTTGTCCAAGCCCGAGACCCAGGCTGTTTTTTTCGCATTGATGAGCTTTCTGATGATCCCAGTACTAAGCCATTTGATCCTCTGCCTTCTAGGATACCAGTTTCATCCATGTTATAGCGATGATGTGGTTTGATCGCCTTGATCTCTGGAAGGGCGAGTTGTTGAAACCATTGCCTGATTACATTAGTTGAGGCCCCATTGACACGCTTAGAATCGATGGCTCTAGCTCTATGAACCTTGATTGATGGATTTCTCTTAATAAAGAACTGAATCCAGTTTCTCCCAAGTGGCTGGGTAGTGCCTCTGATGTCTAGGATTCGCTGGGCAAATTCCTTGAGTTGTTGATGTGTTGGCGGCAGCCCTAACGCCGCCTGGATACGCACCCATTCAGCTAAGTGACTTTCCTGTGCTGGAGATAGCTTCTGGAAGCTAGAGAAAGCTACATTTCTTGCCTGTGAACCCTTTAATCGAGACTGGAGGGTTGATGGTGGAATTCCAGCATCATGAGCTGCCTTTCGGACACTCTGCCCACTTGCAACTGCATTGAGAGCTTGATTGACTTCTGTTTCCGTATACTGGCCCATTAAGCGTATAAGAGTAACTATTCAAAGAATTATAATAATCGCTGTAAAAGTGGTGAAGATATTAAAGAATGTTGAAGAGGGTAAAATTCTACATGAGCGATTTATGGGTGTGCGAAATGTGGGGGTGTGCGAGAAGTGGGTGTGCGACGTTACAGCACTTAGGTACAAATGGCTGGTGGATACACGTTTCCAGCCTCGAACCCCAATATTGAATCTAAGACACAACAATGACAGTGTGAGAAGTGCGCAACTGAACGCACCATGACATTGAAGCTTACACTTATTTCTCCTCTGAATGGCTCCCGTGTTCAACTCCAGGATCGAATATCGCATAGCAATCGTGCAGCGGATCAAAATGTCCGGTTGTATCCCATGTCTTCTCCATCTTGGCAACAAGATAACTCTCCGACAATGGCTTTGAACATCGCGGCACTAGCTTCCTATCCGCATCCCAAGGAGCTTTCTCCGCGCTTCCCCGCTTCTGGAAATGAGTACTTGAAGCCCACAAAGTACGGCAAAAAAGAACTATCGATTCTTCTCCTCCCGCCTTTGATCTCTTCTGCCTAAGGTAATATACCTCGCGAGAACCCGTCGGACCAACTCAGCCAGCTTTTAGCTGCCCAAGATTCCACCACCATGAGCGCCAACACGAACCAAGTAGACCCCCTCCAGCATCCGCTGAGAGCCGGAGCCATGGCAATTGGGGCAGGGGTGCAAGGTGAACGTCGAGCTCCTCGCATGAGCCATATGCAAAGCGCCAATGAGGGCCCGGCCGACATCATTGGCAAGGTGTCTGGGGCCGTTCCTGGTGGTAAGCGGGAAGACGATGGCGCGTACTTTACCAACAATGAAGGCATACCTTTTCCCGACCCGTGGGTTTACCTAGTATGATAATCGCTGTGATGAAACTAACATTGTAATTAGTGCGCACAGCAAGACCATCGGTGGTCTTCCGCTTGCAAGCGATGTGTTTCTATTCCAGTAGGTAACTCGGTCAAAGTGGTAGAGTTAGTCTGACTATTGGTGCAGGAAGCAGCAACACTTCAACCGATCCAAGCCCCTTGAACGTATGTTCCAAGACAACTTTTAGGAAGGCCATGATCTGACGATTCCACAGGCATGGTGCACCCCTGCGGCTCCGGGGCTTTTGGCTATTTCGAATGCACCAAGGATGTCGCCGGACTGACGGTAAGGCCATACATTGTCCTCATGTGTTGTCTCGGTTCGAGAACTTGTGCTGACTGTGAGATCAATATTAGAAAGCCGACTTTCTTTCCACAGTCGGCGAGAAGACGCCAGTATTTGTTCGCTTTTCGACTGTCACCTTGGGACGTGAGTTTCCCGATGAGGCTCGTAACCCCCGCGGGTTTGCCATCAAGTTCTACACCATGGAGGGCAACTATGACATTGTTGGACTAAACTTTGTAAGTCAATACAGTAATTGTCATGAAGGATACGGTGTAAAAGTATGCTGACGCACCCAGCCCGTCTTCTTCTGCCGAGACCCTATCCAGGGCCCGGATGTCATCCGCTCGCAGTACCGCAACCCGAAGAACTTCTTCTTCGACTGGGATGCCCTCTTCGACCTGCTTGCCAACACCCCCGAGAGTAACCATGCTGGCCTCATGTTCTTCAGTGATCACGGCACGCCTGTCGGCTGGCGTTTCAACCACGGCTACGGCTGCCACACCTTCAAGTGGGTGAACAAAGAGGGGAAATTCGTGTACATCAAGTACCACTTCCTGGCCAAGCACGGACAGAAGCAGTTTACCGACCCGGAGGCGGTAAAAATGTGCGGTGAGGACCCAGACTATTCCAAGCGGGACCTCTGGGATGCCATCGAAAACGGCGAGGAGATTGAATGGACTGCACACGTGCAGGTCATGCAGCCCCAGGACGCGGACCCCAATTCGCTCGGATTCGACCCCTTTGACGTGACCAAGATCTGGCCGAGAGATCGTTTCCCCATGCAAGAGTTCGGTCGCCTTGTGCTCAACAAGAACCCCGAGAACTTCCACCGCGACGTGGAGCAGGCCGCCTTCTCTCCCGGCAGCATGGTCCCAGGCATCGAGGACTCTCCCGACCCGCTGCTGCAGTTCCGCATGTTCTTCTACCGCGACGCCCAGTACCACCGCATCGGCGTGAATCTGCACCAGATCCCGGTCAACTGTCCCTTCATGGCCAAGTCGTATGCTTCCCTGAACTTTGACGGGCCGATGCGGACGGACGCCAACCACGCCGGTAATAAGCAATACGCGCCCAACAGCTTCACGCACAAGTTCCGACCCGACACGGCCGAGGCGCCGTACGCCGTGAACGACAACATCGTCAGCCGCAAGAGCCATTACTGGCACGAGGGCCAGAAGAACGACTACGACCAGGCGACGCAGCTCTGGAGCAAGGTCATGAATGACAAACAGAGAAAGAACACGGCTTACAATACAGCCAAGTATTTGAAGTTTGTCAAGTACCCCGAGATTCAGGTATGACTTCCTCCGTGATGGCGCTGAAAAATGCACTTACATGATGCAGACAAAGTACCTTGCGCAGCTGTATAATATTGCCGCAGACTACGCTCAGAGTGTCTACGATCTCTTGCCCGACCCGAAGTTTAGTTTCGAGGAAGTCAAGGAGCGCTCTGTGGATGCGCACCTTTGGTACAAGGAAGCGAAATTCAGGCCGAGCGCTGGTTCAAAGTTGGCCGGGTTCCCGCCGTCTTTCCCCGTATACGGCTAATAAGTACTGAAATAAATTGCTTCAGGTAGTCTGAAAACTTAATTTCTATGATAAAAATAATAACTTCATAATATTATCGCGTCGCACCTATCGTGCATAGAATCTCATTGCTTCGAGGGCATTTCCAAGCTCCGACAGGCCACATGGAACACAGCCAGCTTGGTAATATCCTTCATTCCCCTCAACAAACCAATGTTCTCCTTGAAAGCCTCCGTCTCACGGAACTTCATATGCGCCTCGACACTCGGCCAACCAATGAAGGCCACTAGCAGATTACCAGTCTTTCCGGGCTCGCCGGTGACAGGCACGTCGTTCTCCACGCTCCAGCCATAAGCGATGCCCTTGAAATCCGGCGAGGTGTCCAGCGCTTTTGTCTTAAACTCCTCGAGCTGCTTGTTAAGAGGCTCTTTTGCCGCCTCGTCGAGGTCGGCAGGGAAAAAGAGCGTAAGGACCTCGGTTACGGGCGCCTCGGCGAGGATGGTTGGCGGCCAGGGCTTCGTGACGACGTGCTTGATGTAGCCGTCTTGGAAGTCGAGGTATTTGTCCATGTTCTTGGAAACGACTTCATGTTCACTGTGCATGATGAGAATAGGACGACATCCGAGAAAACAGGGAGGTGACTTACGGGACCGTGCGATAGGCGAGGTGAGCCTCTACACTATCCCAGTCGAGGAAAAGCCAGTTCTGGTTCGGGTTCTCAATGGAATGACTCCAGTAAATACGACCAGCACCAGGTTGGCTCGAGGCAGTCTCGAGCATGTGCTTGATATCGGCGCCCTCCGGGGTGTCGGGGTCTGGCCAGGCCACGCCGGGTTTGGAGGCGAAGTAGGCGAACTCTGTGAAGCCCATTTTGACAGGATTTATTCTGGTCTGAAATCAGGAATTACCGCGATCCGCCATTCAAAAGGTTTGCGTTTAGGAATTAGTATTTCTGAGCCGAGGGAAGCAGGTATCGTGATTTTATGTCTTGGTGGCCACTCAAGTGGCCTTATTGTACAACGTTGAGGAGCATGTCGACGTCCAACTTGGTCGGAGATTTTGGACCAATCAGATCAGCTAAATGTGATGACATCATCCCGGCTTGTTCACTCATGTCGACTCATCTACAGTCATGTTAAGTTATGGGGACAGATCTAACTAGAAATGGAAGGTTCCTCTGCATAGTGGAGTTGTCAACCCAAAAATCAATCATGAAAGTAGGTATGCAGCTAGTTTTGAAGACCCTGAATTTAGAGTATTGTTGGCTTAGTCAACTGAGTCAGTCGAAAGCAATTTGGAGTTGAACAAGAAATAAGAACAAGAGACAGATGTGGTATTGCACACTAATGATCTGTCAAAGATGGCTTGGCGATCTTCATTTGATGCGCAGGTAACAATCTGCCAAGCATATCATCTTCTTGCTCCTGGAGGGTGACTCGTGACGAGCAGATCTCTCGGAGGTTTTTCAAGACGATGTGGATTGTCTAGAGTCGAGAGCTTGATGCTAAGCCCAAGACCTAATAACACCTCAGCTTCTGGAAAAGCGCGCATTACTGCTCACAACGGTCTCGACGGGTACGCTTGGCGTCGCAGACATTCGCAATCGAAATATAGGGTCACGTTAACATTTTCCCACGGCAATGCGAAAAGCGAGATTGGATGGAATCTAGACGGACCAATATGTCGGTCATGTATCAATATCATCGCCCATCTCGGCCGACTTGCCGGGCCAAGCACCCCTAACCCTTCCGCTCTTCCGCCTCCCAAGACTCCTGAAGGGGGAAAACAAGAGAAATGGCCTCCTTGAAAATAGCCCCCAAACTACCCCAAGAAGAAGCTTTACTCCAACGATGTCGCACCCTACCGATGATTTTCGACTCTGCAACACACAACATCCCCGACGGCTCTTTCTCATTGGTTCATCAGGTCCCTGAAACCAGACAGAGTGGATACTAAGGGGAACAGGGGGGGGGGGGGGGGACTTGTCGGATCTGAAGCGAAAAAAGAGACAGACAGGTCGGTAGGCAAGAAAAAAAAAAAAGAAGAGTTGAACCCCACCAAGTCGCAGCTCTTTTTTTCGGACGATTATGTCCCAAAGTTGACAGGCTTGTGACCCCGATGTGTCCAGTCACGAGAGAGAGTTGAGTTACTAGTTGTAGGGGTAGGCGGAGGAGTAGGAGGAGGAGGAGGAGGGGATGAGTTAGCGACACGCTAGGGCCAAACAACATCGCGGCTCAAAAACAGGCCGCCAGGGACAACCTTTCCTCATCCAGCACCCCGCTGACAAGCTTTCGAGACCATTCTTGTTGCAAAAGAGGTCTATCGATTGCTAGTTTGTTCACGGTGTGCTCCGTTGCCCTTGCATCGTGCGCATCGCGCGGACTCCTTACTACTAAAGCTGTACAGACCTGGGCCAAAATAGGGCTATTCATCTGTTCCCCCCGGCATCCATCATCCGACCCTGGGAGAGTTTAACTCGTTGCTGACAGGGCGCAGCATCCCATCCATGGTCTCTAGAGAATCAGGAGTAGTCCTTTCCCCTCAACCCTGGGATGGCCGAACAGGGGTACAAGGAGAGGGCGAGACTTAGAAACCGTCTTGCTTGCTTGCTGCCTTTTGGAGTTGACGTGCGCCTGGAGCAAGTTTTGGCGATGTTTAGACTTGGACTGGGGTGCGTATCCCCTGAGGGATCCGCATGCAACACAAAGTTGGACTACGCCCTATGCTTATTTGCCAAGGCACCCGGGTGATGTGATGTTTAAAATGCCATCATGTCTCTCCCTCCGTCTGGTATCGTGGACTCTTGTAGCTTCATCATCTTCCAGTTAATTCATTCGTTCACAAGTCCTTCCGGAAAGGCTCGTTTCGTTCTTCTTTTCTCCCTTTGGGTTCAATTTCGCATTCCAGCTTCTCGCTACTCGACTCTACTTTTTCCACACTTATACTCACTTCCAAAGAGTTTTAATCGTAAAGATGCAGCTCTCTTTCATCGTCCTTGCCGCCAGCGCTGGTGTCGCTATCGCAGGTAAGTAAACCACCCTGAAAGAATGATGGAACCCTCACGACGAAATATCACGGATCGATACTGACACTTCAAAAAGCTCCCCAGCTCGCTCCTCGCCAGAACGCCTGCTTCGTCGTCGGCAACACCGTCCTTCCCCAGGAAGTCTCCGACGCCGTGACCGGCCTTCAGGCCAAGGTCACCTGCGACAACACCAAGAAGACCCTCTCCGGCGTGCCCGACGTCTCGGCCGGCAACGTCAAGTTCTCCTCCATCAACTTCGCCGACGCCAAGGGCCAGACCCCTCTGGCCTTTGCCCTCGACAAGTTCGCGACCACCGAGCCCCTGGCTTCCAACGACCTGACCAAGTTCCAGAACGAGCTTGACGCCTACGTCGCGACCGAGGCCGGCATCCGCTCCGTCGGCGGCAACCTCGCCATCAAGGTGCCCAAGTTCTTCCTGTCCATGCAGGTCCAGCGCATCGCCACGGCCCAGGGCAACCCGCCCAAGGCCGCCGGCCAGCAGGTCGACCACCTGCGCGACAAGGTCCTCAAGAACGCCCCCAAGGAGGACAAGGCTCTGCTCGACCAGGTTACCGCCCTGGCCGCCAAGCTTACTTGAGTGGGAAAAGATATATAATTCAAGGGGGAAGGGGGAAATAGTGTAGTCAAGTAGTGGAAGTAATGTGAAATTGAATCATTATTCAACCGTTCATCTCAACGTTGAAGAGCGGGGGGGGGGAAAAGACGTCAAATGTGCCACCTTTTTCCCCGGGTCGATATTATACAAGACCAGATGAGTGTAATTAAAAAAAAAAAAAAAAAAAAACACCGGCAGGAGAGAGGAGAAGAAGAGCCGTTTCTTTTTTTCTTAAAATCCCGAGCACCGCAACCGTCGCATCGTTTCAAAACGCCGCCATCAAAAGCAGACCCGCAATCGCAAAAGTCGGGCCTCTAACAAAGTGTACAGGGAGTCATGCTGAGCCTCCGGTGTTTTCCTTCCTTTCGTTCGTTCGTTCGGTTTCACGTGTGCAACTGTTACTGCTACTGCTTCTGCAGCTGGTTCGCCAGCGCTTCCTTCTCGCGCACCTCGGCGCCGGAAGCCCTCCACCACACGTCGCCACCCCATCTGATCAGTCGCTCTGCGGCGCCGAGAGGAGTGACGGCGGGGCGGACGTCGAGGTAGAAGACGGGTTCGCCGGTGGGCTCGGGCTCGCCGGAGTAGTAATCGATGACGTATCGGATCTCCTTGGTTGTGCCGCCGACCTTGCGGGAGACGAACCAGTCGTGTCTGTCGAAGGGAGGCTCGGTTCTGTGTTGAATGTCAGCAAGTGAAGTTCTAACAGAAAGACATATAAACTTACTCAAACTTGGAAGGGTAGATCCAGCCCATGACCTGGTGCATGACGGCCTTGGGAGTCATATCCTTCGGCCGTCCCTGGAAGCGGATCAGGGTAGGGGGCTCCTCGGTACCGTCCTTCAACCTCTCCAGAACATCATCAGCGTTGGCCTCGCCACGCTTGCACGCTTGCCAGCCCTTGTACAGTCCCTGGCCGAAGCGCTCCTCCCAGCCAACAATCTCAGCCCAGGCACCCTCGTTCAGGAAGTTGTGGACTGAAACCATGGACTCGACAGCCGTGATGTCGGTGTCTGTGTAGCCCTTACGCAGCAGCGCGTTGTACATTTGCTGAGGCGAGGGGTACTCCCAGTTGCCGTCGCCAGAGCCCTTGGGTATCGTCGAGGGCTCACGCTCTGTAGGCAGAGCCATAGCTTGGTCCTTGGCGGGTGCTTGAGAGATTTCCTTGAACATGTAGTTCAAGGGGTTGAGCTGGGAGAGGAATGATTTGGGCTCGGACTGCTGCTGGTCGTGAGGTACAGGACACGCCGAAGCAGGAGCAGCGGCGGCATGACGTTGATCATGAGGAACAGGGCATGCTGAAGGAGGGGGAGCTGCTGCGGACTGGCGTTGATCGTGAGGAACGGGGCAGGCGGAGGGAGGAGCGGCAGCGGCGGGCTTCGGGTTCGGGTTCAAGCCATCGAGAGTCTTGTTGTGCATCGGACAGCTGGGCTACTCTGGTGTCAGCATCTGTTTATGAGCTCCAAGATGAGGTTAACATACAGGAGGAGATCCAGCTGGGATCGCGCCGCCATGAGGATGCGACGCAGAGGTGGCGCCGAAGTTCGTCGCAGGTGCATCAGCCCAAAACCAACCCATGTTGTACAGTTGGAAAATGAATTAGGTAGAGTAAATAAAGTCAATTATTGTACAAGAAGGGAGTCGACGCGGCGTCAAGGTTCAAGTCGCTGAAGAGGAGAGGTGGGAAAATAAAATAAAAAAAATCCGTCGCGAGGATCGTCGATAAGGAAATCAGGATAAAGAAGCTTCAGTGGGTGGGTTCTCTGTAGTGGTAATCGACGGAACCACAGTGGTCCGCCAAAATTTCCAGCAGTCTCCAATTGCCTGTTTACGCCATCGGATGGACCCGCGACTCACTCTGCGACTCTCCGGGCGTGCACGGAACCAAAAGGAACCACAGAAGGAAAAAAAAAAAAAAAAAAAAAAAAAAAAAAAAGAGCAAATGTCATTGATTGGCAGGCACATGTTCTCCCGAGAATTCCCCGATCAATTTCCATCAGCGAATCGCTACGTCACCATCCAACGCCAAAGCTCCTTGTCCCGCGATCCTGCGCGACAACTGCACTGCATTACCCGACAAGCGCCAGTGGTTGACCTAACCACCACACATCCCTACTTGATCGCTGATATCATGACACCAACCTCTTCTTCCTCCATCCCTAACTCTCCCTCGAGATGAGACTGGCCTTCGTCTTGGGCCGGTTTTGTCCACGTCCGGGCTTCCGCGGCAGCGCGCATTTTTATTCCACCTTCCGAGCCACCTTTCGTAATACCCAAACTCGACAGATTCCATGGCGGAACCCTCGGTACACGAAATATACGCTACGGGCGGGCGGTGCTGGTGCCGGAGCATTGGGTACGGCTGCATTCTTTGAGCTGTCGCAGCAGGATAATGGGGGAACGGATCAGACGGGCGAGAAGCGTATGCTGGAGGTCAGCAGATCCGAGATAAAGAAGAAAGTCGCCGAGGACGATCGCGGGATATCAAGAGCCTGGCATACGCTGAAACTGGTATTGGACATCTACATATGGGAGCCCATCAACACTGGCCTACGTTTCCTGCATCTGGCTGTCATTTTTGTTCCTGTTCTGCTTGCTGTGCCCATAATCTGGGTCGGCAAACGACAGCCTGATCGCGATAATGAGAGGTCCGGGACGTTAATGTGGTACGGTTTCTTGGTTCAGTCAATGGAATGGGCTGGACCAGCCTTCATCAAGGTAAACCTCGCCAGCCTGTGGAAGTCGATTGCCTGTTCGCTAATGATGAATGAAAGCTTGGCCAATGGGCTGCATCGCGCTCCGACATCTTCCCCAACGAAATGTGCGAAATCATGTCCAAACTCCATTCCAATGCACCGGCGCATTCCATGTTCGACACCAAGCGCATCGTCTCGGCAGCTTTTGATGGTCGCGACTTTGATGAAATCTTTGAGGAGTTCGATGAGAAGCCACTTGGCGTTGGTGCCATTGCTCAGGTGTATAAAGCCAAGCTAAAGGCTGACCTCGCCGCCCCGAGCGACGCCGACATATTCGAAGAGCCCAAGCCCCTACATCGCAAGGTGGCTAAGAATGTTGAAGCAGCACTCAAGAGCACTCCCAAGAGAGTTCCCTCGACGTACGTTGCAGTCAAGGTGCTCCACCCCCGTGTCGAGAGAACCGTCCGAAGAGACTTGCGCATCATGCACTTCTTCGCCTCCGTCCTCAACGCTATCCCCACCATTGAGTGGCTTTCGCTTCCCGATGAAGTTGAGCAATTCGGCGAAATGATGAAATTGCAATTGGATCTGCGAATCGAAGCTGCGAATCTCGCCAAATTCCGCAAAAACTTCAAAGATCGTAGCACTGCCTGGTTCCCGTACCCCTATACCGAGTTTACCACCCGCAATGTTCTTGTCGAGGAGTTCGCTCAGGGTATCCCCCTTGCCGATTTCATGGAAAACGGCGGTGGAGTTTATCAGCACGACATTGCCTCTGAAGGCCTTGACGCCTTCCTACGCATGCTGCTCATTGACAACTTCGTCCACGCTGATCTCCATCCCGGCAACATTATGGTGCGCTTTTACCAATCCGACGAACCCGATCTGAAGTTCCGTAAAAGCCACGATAAGCACCCACAAGAGCAAAATGATGTGACAGAGCAGGTCCTCGCTAGGCTGCGACCGTTCCGCCATAGGAAAGACCCTGCTGCCTGGGACGCGGAGCTTAAGAAGATTGAGCACGAGGGTTTCCGTCCGCAGCTGATTTTCATCGATACAGGCCTGGTGACGGAGCTGAATGAGACGAATCGTAGGAATTTCCTCGATCTCTTCCGCGCTGTTGCCGAGTTTGACGGATACAAGGCGGGCAATCTGATGTGCGAGCGCTGCCGACAACCGGATGACGTGCTCGATAAAGAAATTTTTGCGCTGAAAATGCAACACCTCGTCCTCAACGTCAAGAGTCGGACTCTAGCGCTCGGAAACATCAAGATTGGAGATATTCTGCAAGAGGTTCTGGGTATGGTCCGCGGACACCATGTCAGGCTGGAGGGCGACTTTGTCAACGTCGTCATTAGCATCCTGCTTCTCGAGGGAATCGGAAGAAGTCTGAACCCTGACATGGACCTGCTCAGCAGTTCTCTGCCCATTCTCAGGCAGCTGAGCGCGCAGAGCGGAACGGAGATGGCGAAGCATGGTGACTTTAGCATGCTAGTAGTGTGGATGGGCCTGGAGACGAGACGTTTCTTGCAGGCCAGCATCGAAGATGTGAGTGGACCCCCCTGTCGAAAGAATATCAACGTAACTGACAAATTTCAGGTTGAACGATGCGTCAAATATGATCTCCTTTCACCGAATGTGTAATGTAAACTGTACAATATGGATAGACGAATGCATACAGCGGCGCTCCGGATGTGGCGGTAGAGATAGAACTCGTCTAACAGAGCCTCAATACACGCTGTTTTAATTGTAAAATGCGCGCTACTGGGTCAGCCGAAGGACTTTTATTTTAGCATTTTCAGTATTCCATCGCTGTGTCATGTTGGGAGCACGATCATTGAGGTGGCGTGAACATCAAGACTTATAACAACCCCCGGTGACCTGTATTGCTGGCTGTTCGACGCTTAGTGATGTGATACGTGAACCTCGGTGTGCAAGGCCGGCCCTCCGCAAATATAATCCTCGAACCAAGAGGACCCAACAAATTCCACCCAACGATTTCATCACGTTCATTCCTATCGAAACCACATGTAACCCATCTTCAGCCATCAGCAGAAATCTTCATGTTAGGCCGGGCGTCGCGCAGTTTCTTGACGGTCGCGGGCTGCACAGCCGTATTCTTCAACGCAATCTTATTCAAGAACAACGCGACTCGTCGCTCCGTGAGGTCGTGCAAAGCCAGATTGTAAACAGTGTTAGGCTCGAAGTCGGCGCCGCAGAGAGCAATATGTCGGATCCAGACGCAGCTGTCAACGACAGCCTGGAAGCTCGTCTCTGAAAGACGCGTTGCGCCGTGGATGCTCAAGTATTCGAGGCGCGGACAGGCGGCCACGAGGCGCACGAGACCGGCGTCGGAGATGGGGAGGCGCAGTTCGGGGCTGCCGGCGGTTATCTGGATGACTTGTCTGGTGAACATGGGTCCTTTACGGAGGATCTTGTTGATGTGGGTGCTGCGAGGACATGTCAGATCCATATTGCCAGGGCTTCGGGACGGTAGAAGAAGGGAATACGGGGATGTTGACTTACTCGTCGAATTTGAATAGAGGTCCGAAATCGAAGTATCCCACAGGGGAAATGTAGTCGTCGGCCATGCGGTCTATGAATTCACCGTCAGAGTTCGCGGAGATGACTCTCAGAGCTGGAGGCTCTGTTGAACCGCGCGCAGCTAATGCATCGGGGGAGATTGTGTCCCCAGAAGGATTGGAGACACGGGAGCCTTCCGTGTGGACTTGCTGTTCGGAAGGAGATAGTCGGGCTTGGTTATTAGCTTGTACATGACAGTCTGCTGGCTTATTTGAAGAATGAGCTTGGCCTTTGGTTGACAGAGCCGTCGGGGTGGTCGATGTCTGGGTCTTGCGACGAGCTCGCTTTTTCTTGCTTGAGGAAGATTTGGTGGGGTTCTCAATGTTAGTTTTGGCATCTTCATCGCTTGATTCCTCCTTCAGCTTGGTTCGCTTCGTTTTGGCAGGGGCACTGGTCTTTTCGTTCTGGGACTCTTCCTCAAGTCTCCTGCGCTTGTTCTTGATGGTAGTGCATCTGTTTGTGTCACTGGGCTCTTCCTGTGATCTTGCTTGCTTCGTTGCAAGCTTTAATGGATCAACTTTCTGTGGCATGGCTTCAGCCTTCGGCACTTGGTGCGTCTCTTCTCGGTGCCTCTGCCTCTTTCGTTCTCTTCTGCGTCGTCTTTTAGCCTTTTGCTGAGATTTGTGATCGTCGTTTTGATCTAGCTGAATGTTTTGATTGTGATTCAGACCTGACTTAGCAATCTGCGACACCATGGTGCTTTCAACATTGTTGTGTTTGGGCATTTGCTTATGGCTACCCTCGAGGAAGGCCTTTCTCAAGTGGTACTTTTTGAGATGTGTTTTTGCCATTGATTTCGTAGCCTTGACCTCGTAGATACCGCTGCTGGAAGGATCCTGTGGGCGTCGAGAAAAGCTTGATCAGCCAGTCGTCTAGCTTTTTGCAGATGTTGAGCCCGAGACAACAAACCGTAGTACTCTATCAGTTGCAACTTTTCCACTAGTGGAAAGCATAGCCTGAAGTTTTAGAGATGCTTGTTCTAGGGCTTGCTGTTGCTTTCTCTCCCACGAAATCAGCTGACAAACAAATTAGGCAACTATTTCCTTTCTGACGTGGTCGTGGTCGATTTTCAACTATGGGCGCTGTGCCTTCCTCATATAAAAAATGAGCAACCTTTTGTGGTGGGTCAATGAAGTCGTTGTGACAGGCAAATCTATCTCGAGAGGTTCACATCTTCTCTTGTCAGTATTATATTTGTATGAACTCACACAAAGAAAGCCCCGCCATGAGGGCACAGCATGAAAGGGAAGACAGCGATGGAAAATGCATGATGCCTGGCGACAACAGAAGTAAAGACCACGAAGAGCACCTATCCAGTGATTGATGCTTAAGAGGAAAGGATAGGCTCGTGATTATTTATTCTACCGTTTAACTTCAATGTCAACACCAGGCAGCGGATTTTACTATTGGAGTAACGAATGTTCTTCTCTTATCAAAACGAAAGTTGTGCCACCGATTTCAAGGTAGCTAAATCATTCTTGAAACACATTTATCTATACAATTCAAATGATTCAAGCCTGACGGGAAAATATCAGAGTCTTTTATATTATGTACATTGCGTAAAACCGCATTCTCAATCAACATGGACTAGGCTTAGGTGTGATGTTGTAGAGTGTGCCCCAATCTTCTGGTCTATGACCTGCAACGTCTATACCCTCACAGGCATCTGGTAGGGTAGTGATGGAGTCAGACTTTCCGAGTCAGAGTTTCTTAGACCAACGGCCGCTAAAATGTTCTTCAAGTTACCGCTGGCAAGCCAAAAATACTTCTTGACTAGGAACCATCCCGTGAGCTCTAGTTGGATCAATAATGTGAGACCTTGAAATAGCCATATTGCGGTCTCACAAACATTACAAACTGCCTCAATGTGACCTTAAAACAGGTCAACACCCTATGAAAATCGAAGATCAGCGATCATTTACAAGATCCAGTCCATACTTTATCAGATAGCAACAAAGATTCGAATATTCCTCAAGCCATATACAACTCAACTAACGGGTCTTTCCTCCATGTTCCTCGGTAAAACAGAGTGCCTAACGGACATGTACGCCGTTTTTGAGGCTGTTGGGTGATCGAATTCAAAACATAGTTCCGTTTAGCTGCCCTGCCATGGCCTCTCATCTGACTACTCTGATTTCCGCGACAGCCGTGACCTTCTGACACCTTTCAGCTCGCATGCCAGCCCAACATCTGCACCTTCACCCCTTAGCCGGGTAAGGTTTGACGAATACCAGGCCTTTGGTGTTGTTTCAGACGCGATGGCAGCGCTTAGATTTCCTTTTTCTTCCTTTTCGTGTAATTTCCCCACGGTAGGGGCTGTCATTCGATGATTCCCACGAAACCAGCACTGCGATACCCTCTAGAGGCTTCTAGTCATAGCGTACACTGAGTCTTGTCAATATGGCCAAGCGTCCGTGCGACTTATGCCTGTCAGGTTCTTTGGCATCTTTGACACCGCTCTGACGCTGAGAATAGTGTGAATGCAGGATTTTGCATTAAAAAGAAGTGGCCACCAGCAGCCGTTCAATCAGTACCCTATGCTTCTGACGGGTAGCGCCATGCCAGCGGGTGGGCAGATCGAACGAATTGAAAATCTGATGAGTTGATGGACGCATTGGCCTTGAGATCTAAGCTTTTGTGAAACATTCAAGAACGTCGGCTAAGCCACTAGATGGTTGCAAATTCAAAAGCTCGAGTCGACAGTCTAAGGCACTCACGGTTGCAATGACTAGCAGACACAACTCTCTTCGAAACTTTCCGTGGCCATTGAATCTTGAGTCTACTCAAAGACATCAGGGCCTCGGTATATCATGCTGACATCAACTGTCTGGTTCACCTACGGTGGCGCGGAGAAAAAGATAACATCTTCGACCACCTAAGCCACTAAACGTGACCTAGATACGTGTGAAATAGATAGTTTCTATTCTGGCGGGTTGAGTGTCATTGAGCAAACGGCGACTTCTCTCCTTTGCAACACCCATTTCAAACCGGGCAATTCACATTGCCAAGACATCACATGTGGCGCAGTGACGCAGAGGGTCAGGCTATGAACCGTGCCATTAAATTTGTTATGGGCAACAGTAGCGCCCAGACTGAGCCCGCTATAGGAACTTTCCAAAGAAACATGCGATACAGTTCCAAAACTGGAAGGGGTACCACTTGACATTCGGTCAAAGGCTGTTCGCTGCCGCAAAAGGTAAAGGATTGCCGATGTAAGCCAACCCTGTCAGGGATGTTCCTGGTGGTTTCGTAACGGCCCGAGCCCTGGATCATTGTACACTCCTGTTGGCCAGAGTCTCAGCTGCGTTGCAATGGAGCTTACACTTTCTGCTGTTTAAGCAACTTTGGGTGGCAAGCTTTCCACTGGGCTCACAATTGGCGCTGATGGGCACCGGGTGGGAAAGTATGCGAAGTGGTTTCCATTAAAAGCGTGGCTGCTTACGGATATTTCCGAGATGCTCAGGCTTAGAATGGCTCATGAAGTCTTCACTGATGGGTGAATGATAGAAGATTAAATGAAAGTTGATTGTATCTTGAAGGAAGAGCAGCTTTGCTAATATAATCATGAGAAATGTGAACGCTCTGTATGCCTTGGATTCGTTTCACATGTGTGAACACAATTTTGCAAGGGAACTTTGAGCTTCATGGGGGAGAGATTTCATACATTTCCATGTCAAGAACAACAAACAAGTGACAATACAGTGCGTAGAAAAGTCCTCGAAAGTAGAGCTTGAAAGATCTGTCATAGTTAAAATTGGCCATGTAATACCCAATCAAAACTCCATTCACTCGGGCGGCATTTATACGACTCCACAGAGCAAAGTCGACGGTCACGGTGGAAATTATGGGAAGTTTCAGTAGCATGTAGTACTCAACAACGCTTGCTTCATAATGATTTCTAGTTCACGAGGAATTAAGAGCGAATGCGAATTAGTTCGATTCGATTACATGACCTCCACGAAGTACTCATTCTTCATCATCATCACCGGTATCAGTTTCCAATTCCTTTCCGTGCCCCTTGCCATCTGCCTTCCTCCCTGGTTTTCCAATCTGTAATCCCGCCGCGAAACCCAGCGCGGCCGTTGTACCATCCTAAACCATTCAAGCAGCAGCAGGAGGGGCAGCAGCAGGAGGAGCAGCAGCAGGTGGTTTAGCAGCACCACCAGCAGCAGGGGGAGCGGCAGCGGGGGGCTTGGGAGCCGCAGGAGGCTTAGCAGCAGGCTTGGAGAAGGCGGCAATGGCACCATCCAGAGCCTCAGTAAGCTGACCGGTGCTCTGCTGGGCGATAGGGCGGGCAATAGCGGGAACCTTGCTGAGAAGTGCTTCACTGAGCTGTCCACTGCCAGCCTTTTGCTGCTGAAGGGCATCTGAGACGACTGAGGTGACGCCGAGTTGGTCAAAAACTGGCTTCTTCGCAGTAAGATCGCCGAGAGTAGTCTGAACCTGTCCAACAACACCGTCGGCGGTCTGCTGAAGGCCGAGAGCTCCAATAAGTCCCAGGTTGTTGGCACCCTCGATCATGGATGTGGCTTTTTCAAGGGCGGATTGCGCTCCTTGAGCGCCGTTGAGAACGGCAACAGCTGAGTTGGGGTCGCTTGCGGAAAGGCCCTTTACCGCAGTATCGAGTTTTTCGAGAGAGGTTTGAACCATGCCGAGAGCAGTAGTAATGGTCTTGGCCTGGCGAGAAGCGAGAATCGGCGCCGCGGTAATCGCCCACGCCTGGAGAGCGATCAGAAGGATCTGGAAGATATGCATGTTGGTAGATGGTGAGGTTTTGATTAATTTACTATAGGGCGAAGAACAGACAGATGAGAAGGGGCGTTGGAGGAGGGAAGTGAAAGTGAGATTGAACACTGGAGAAATCGACAACAACTACAAAACTGAATTGGGAAATGGTGTGTGGCTTTTGCACGATTTTATCAATAATCTGAGGTCACTTAGCCAAGGTGGTCCAGCGGCTATTTTCTCCCCCTACTTTCCTCTTTGGGACACACTGGGGCGACAAAGGTTGATTGTAGGATGTGTTTAACGTGCAGCTTCTTTTCTCCTTCGACTTTCCTGTTTTGGGTGGTCAGACGCAATGGGGCTTCTTGACGTTCGGCCTTAGCCGCATGGCAGTCCTTAATGAGGTAGCTTGAAGAGACAGCTGGTCCCGGCTGCGTTCAAAGAGAACGGCATCCACATCCGGCTCCTGACACTTGCCGGTCTTGTTCTACTTTGGGACTTAGGACAGAGGGCAATTAACCATCTGAGTTGTGGATTGCCAACGTTGTGTGGGATGACATGTCAAGTTTGAAGGGTCAACCTTGGCATTGAAGCTGGAAAGGTCACTAGGCCAGACGGATCCCACTCAAAACTACAAAATAACAGCAGCACGAAGAGGATGCCGACAGTTCTACTGGCAACCAATGACCTTGATCCCTTCGGACAAATTTGAGCAACAATGTTGGCTTATGAGTGAGCACGGGCTTTTACCCAACTCAGAAGCCGTTAGCCTTGTGTAGTAACGGTATCAAAGCTGAAACGAGTTTGTCGCGCGGACCAGCCGTGGTTCAGTCGAAGCACAAACAGAGTTGAGATCATGATGAACCAATCGCAAGTCGGATTTTGGCGCTTCGCCCGCTTATTTCAGGAAAAAGCTGGACACGAAATGCCACAAGCTACAGGTGCCAAAAGGACGTGACAGTGATAGCTCGTCGGCAAGAGTATGACGCATGGGAATTCTGTCTTTCTGTCAAACTGGCAGTGATTGCCAAGGTGCCGGGCTCCGGCTCAGGCCTTTCACCCCCTTTTTCTGGTCATTTCGCTATCGCTTTCATGAACCGGCAGTTGCTAAGGGTGTTGGACCTGGTCAACTCATCCCACCTACATGGAACGGTTTATCGGCTTCTGCGGCCGGCCTTCAACAACTAGAACGGCATCCCACCTCTTGCCTGACAAGGTACTTACAAGATGGTTGAACAGAATTATATCTCATCCCATCTTAAGTTGATGTTATTAAATCTCTAACGGTTCTCTAAAGATGCCATTCGTAGAAGGAATTAACATCAAGCGGGGGAGTGGGGAGAAACTTTATTGACCGCGAACGGTTTGTAGATCAGGAGAAGCCTAGCCTATTATAGTATGTGTGGTAGCGGCACAAGCCTTGTTAGATGTCGTAGCCTGAGCCTTCCGTAGATATCGGTTATGCGCTTAATCGTGAATATAAATTGTGCCGAGAAAACGGCGTTTTTGTTTCCCGAAAGGTTCATTTTCATTGGCCCAATCCCCTAAGGCTGTACGAAACATAGCATCAGCAGACTATGTGAGCTACTCCGTCTTACATCTACCTCTGGTAAGAATTCATTCCGGGTTTGAGTCTGACTGTTGAAACTGTCAATTTCATCTTGTTTCTGAACCTAAATTATGACAACGGTGGGATTTATCTGATTTTGAAAGAGAAAAGTTGCGTGGTATCGGCAAGTCCTTACTTACACACTGCAGTTGAGGCGGGTTCATTGACCTTCTCAAGCAACGTTTCGCACCATCACGAGTTTCTTCGGCTGCATCATAAGCGTTAATGATTTCCAGAAAACATTCACAAAAATCTCAAGCTATTTTGCAACCAATTCCAGGAATCATTCCCGAAGTTCAAGTCTGCTGCATGCACTCAGTGAGCTCGATAAATTGATCTCGAATAACCGCACCAAAGGATTTTGGTATTCGTCCAACTTCCGTAATAATGCTGCTCTCTTATACTTTTGTTATAAAAAACCCCGTAACAACGAGTTGTCCAAAGTTATGGCTCCAATTGTTCAGGTGCTCAAGACTACCTGCATTTTAGTTCCCTCCAAAGCGTAGGTTCGTTCATTACCATGGTTTGATTCATAGCATTACTCGCCGTTGACGGTTGCATGGTCGTAAAGATTGCGTTATATCAGCGGTTAGCATTCCTAAAGAACAGACCCATCCACTTAATGGGAGCCGCTGGTCAGACCCTGCAGGCTGTACCAAAATCTACCAATTTGTGGCCTAGGACAGAAACAGGAGTGGGCACCGAGCTCAACGTCAACAATGTGAGAAATGTGTGAAAATCTCCATGGAAATTTCGTTTTGACCAGTTCCAAGATATCTGGTGAAGCGAATCTGAATCATGAAGATCATTTACATGGCACCTACTTCATGGTCCGCTTTGATTTCGAGGCGTCCCACAAGTAATATTGACTCATACAGACACATTCGTCTGATTTCACTGGAATCTCACGCACCAATCGCAACCTGATGGCCTCGCTTATTCCCGCCGGCGCTATCCTGAGTCATCGGCGTCATGGATACGGCAAAACTGAGGATGACTCTGAGTGGCTGAGTTGCCGCGTCTGATTCTTGAATCTAACACATTCTCCTTTCTCATGATGGTGTGATCTTGTATTGCTCAAGGTGCAGGCTTTCACTTGGTATACTCTTACAACAAGTGAATCTGCTTTCTGGTTTGTCCATCTACCTCGGTACCCGCGTTTTCTCATCATGCGTTTTCCGAATCCTATTGCTATGTCTTGAAGAATTCAAGCCTCTCAGCATAAAACTTCGCAGACATTGAAGCTTGATTCAACTTGTGACCCGCGTACGTGGCTTTGCTACACATGGCCAGGTCCCAAAAAATAAGTCAAACACCCCACATCGACCTGTCCACCGGCCCCTTTATTACCTGTACCTGCAACATTATCAGCCATTACAGCACTTCATTCAAAATCTCCAGCCTGGGCTTACATTTCTTGTAATTGTTGAAGAGTGCCGTTATGCATGGGTTTTCCCATATACTTGTGCTGTCGGTTACAGACTTACAGTATCCATCGGGTTACCCACCTTTTGACTACTGACCGTCGTAACGCAGCCCTCTTTCCATTTGACCCAAGCATGCATATCGGACCGCCTCCAGACACCATCAATGTTGTCGGCTTTCTTGTCGGAAGGGTATTGCCCACCTGGGCGAAGCTCAGTGTTGAGCTCACTGCCACATAGTCCAATAGCTGCCCACAGCACATCATTTTCATGGACATCCTTGTGGCCGCCGAATTGTTTTTCATCGTTGCAAGTTATCTCTCCCGTTTCAAGTCTTGCTGGTGGCGTAATAGTCCAAGAGTAAGTTCCACAACCTATATTCCAAGATCCGGACCTGGCGAATGTGAGGCCTTGACGACCATTGTGGCCACCTATGAGAGAATTGCTTAGCGAGAGAACACCAACACTCCGTTTCAAGCAAGCGATACAAAAACGTGTCCTTAAACTCACATTGTCCACTGGCAATGGCTTTGTATGCCTCTGTACAGCTTCTTGGGCACGAACTCTGCTCAAAATCACCGCTTGGTTTCCACTCAAGCCCAATCTTGTAGTCCTTGTACGTTTCTGGAGTCACTGGGGGGGCGCGTTTCCTCAATTTCGAGGGGATCTCGTTCCCCTTGGTGTCTACAACCCAGGTCCGCGCAGCACCTTGTTCTTTGGATACCGCTTGGCAAAACTTCTCGACGATGTTGTGCTTACTGCCATAGAAAATGTCCCATTGGAGGCCTGAATCTCTGCTGTCGTCGCACTTCGCGACAGCCTCCCCAGTGGCTGTAGGTTGAGACTCCCCTGGGACTGTCGGCCACGCGAACGTGCTGGTTGTCTCAGTGATAATTGCTATATTTCCTGTAGTAGAGGTTACGCATCCCGAAGTGGCTGTTGAACATTCAGTGACGCATTGTTCAATTGCCCCTACCTCGCCACAGAAAGCTGTGCATGACTTGGCCCTTGTGCAGGTTGGAGTGGGTGTCGCGGTTGGCCCTTGGGTCTTGCTCACAAGCGATGCAGCACGAATCGTGTTTGAAGGTCCGATATCAATGTTCTCCACGAGAGCATTTATAGCCATGGCAAATATTATGACACCATATTGGTCAATGAGCTCGGCTGGGATGTTCAACAGAGGGGCATAGTCTCTCGCTGCCTCGATGACGATTTGAGCAGCACGACCTGCAGCCTGAGTGAGGTCAAACTGGATGGGAGGCTGGGGTGGTGCCATTGCTCGGAGGTCGCCCAATGGCCCGTTGTCGAGAACTTGTGGCATGACTCCAAGACCTGCGCATATAGCAACATCCCAGCCTCCAGATCGGGCATTTGTTTGTCGGTCAGGGCTCTGACCAGCATTGAAATCTCGACCTTCCTTGCAGCCCCCATCACCAGAGAATATGTGAAGAAGGTCCTGAAATTTCTTTGCGAAATCACCATCAAAAGTGACGATGCGATCTCCTTCCTTGAGGTCTGCAGTTGCGGTGGCAACAAAGGTGACTGCTGGGGTCACGGACCTGGTTAGGTTTCATTAGCCGACGAACTATCAAGTTGATCGAATTCTCATCGGTACGCATTATGAGGCTCTTCAAATATGTGTCAGAAACATACTTACCCGGTAGCACTGGCTACATCTGGAGGCGGTGTTATTGTCATAATAGGCGCCCCGCCCCCAGACATAACAACAGTCCCAGAGCCGGCAATGTTAGAGGCCGAGCCGGCTTCGTCTTGGGGAATGAGCCAGACAGGAGACGGAGCTGTATGCTTCTGCTCCCATGACCACAACAGGATACTCGAAAACACCGTAATCATCACTCCGACCTTTTTGAACGTTTTAGATAGCAGATGGCCAAAGTAACGTTTCTCCAGAGCATTGTCAATATGGGTGGTAGAAGAGCTCAAAGTTTGGTGAACCCTTTGGAAGCATTCATCTTTGACATCTCCGCACTCGTCAAGACTTTTTTGGACCTTATTCTGGAGGCCAGTAGAGAGGACCAGACGAAATCCATTACCCTCAGCCCCCGTCATCCAAAGGCTGTCGCCCTCCAAAGAAGGGATGTTTTTCTGAGACACAAGTCAATGCCCATTGCTCACATGATTTAACTTCCCAATTAGAACTATACACACATCGTTACTCTGATATCGGTCAAGATTACCCAGATCAAAGTTGAAGGATTGCGCCGCTGTCTGGGTGACGATGGCCGGCCAGCTGAAAGCAGCAAGAAGCACGGCGGTGTCCAGAACATTAGTAGGACGCATGCTGAAATGAAATCTGATCTTAGGAATGAAAGAATATTTGTGTCGAAATTGTTGCAGTGAACAGGACTATTGTCAGGAAATGGGCTTGAGGATGAGGAAGTCTGCCCGGAAAGATCTTGGGTCGATGGCTGAATTTGAACAGGAGGGTGATCTATATAAAATTTGACAAGTTCCAGGGTGGTCTTTAATCTTTCCGTGATTGCGACAAGAGGCCGCAGCCCCCAAAGTGATTCAAGACTTGGCTTGGTATAATCCGCTGTGATCTCGACATCGACTCCGAGTCATTGTGGCACTTTTCGTTCGTATGCATCGTATGACTCTGTCTCCCCCAAGTTGCGGCTGTATGTACGCCGTGTGTAATGACAATTCTAACAGTTCGAGGGGGCGAGGTCGATCCCCGTCCTTCCAGAAAGAGGAGCCCGGCTGCTTTGTTTTGGGGACTTGTTGGCGGATTCAAATGGAGCAATTTTCCATTTCACGTACTGACATGTTCATATTCTACCTTAGGGACTGACCGCTATGGGCGAGATTGATTTCCATCGACAAAACCATAAAGTTTGGATTCTTACTTTGACGTCGGTACTTGAACGAATCCCTAAAGCGTGTTACTGCTAAGCCAATCCTTACTTCGAGGCCATGTACCAATCCGATTAGTATGTTTAGCCAGATCTCAAAATGGCTGTGAGATCAACAGTTTCAAGTTCCAATGAAAATTACGAGATCCGGGTAGTCCGGAAGAGAAGACGTCGCGGACACTATTATTTTCAAGGGGTAAAACATCATCTAGGCTAGCATTGGGGGTGGATGATCAGGGACGATTCCGTTGGTTGTGCCGCAAGCAACATTGGGGCCGGCGGCTATAATTGTCAAAAAGCGATATGAAGTACTTTTTGTTCGTTTCTGTGTCTCGTATTTCACCGACTGCTGTCTGTAGTACAATGTCTTGATGGTCACCACGTACAAAAGTCTTGGATTTGGAGGCGGGCCCTCTTTTTGCCCTCGCTTTGAGGCCCCCATTTAGACTCCACTCTGAAGCCAACAGCTGAAGCTCAGAATGCCCTAGGGATGAAATTGGACTTAACAACTGCAAGGACGGTTTGTTGGTCCCCTAATAGTCTTCATTTATCGTATGACCGGTATTTAGACGCCCTGAAATTCCATCACATGTTCGTCCAAGGGATGGTGTGGTTGGGGGCGCCTTACTTCACGTCAAGGGGCCAACATTGATGCCTTTCTAAAAAGTAGTCGTCTTTCTACGATGCAGTCTTCAGCAGATTTTGAAGGCTGTTATGAGTGGTTAGAGAAAAACTGAACTCCCGTTATAAAATGCAACAATTGCGCTGCTTGAAGTTTGTGATGAAGAGAGCAACACTAAGACTTTCCGTTTCTTTACTACATTTACAAGATACTCAGCTCCCAACGACAATAAAATTATCTCAGCGGACTCACGCTGCTTCAAATTCTCAATATAACAGCCATGAAGCTGCCTTCGAGCTTGTTGAAGGTTACGGCGCTGCTGCTTTGTGCATCGGCCTCTGTCAGTGAGTCTAGCCCAGTTGCAAGAAAAACGCAGTCTTTCGTGATTGAGTGCAGATTTCTCATGCCAGTTTATCATTAGTAGTCGTGGCCGATAAACCCTCCGGTTCTTCGAACTTCATCGCCCAACGAGCAAGTGGAATCAAAGGCCCCCCAGGCCGACATACGTGCGGCAGCATCTTCGCTGAATGCGGGCCTTTAACCAAACGAAGTTTGCCTTCTGTAGATGATCAAAGTGTCACACATCAATACTACAATCGCAATGCTCTCATCCGGCGCACCATGGTTTTGCCCGAGGGGGACACCCCTGCCGCAATGGACAAGTTCATGGTCTCTGAGTGTAAGAAATATGTGGCGCGTGGTTGTCCGCAAAAGGAGCTGCAAAGAGGCGAGAACACTGCTAGCCTTGTTACTTGGGACAATAAGAAAGATGGCAAAAGTATCAATGTCGCAGAGCTTATGGGATGTACTGCTCTGGTACTTGTGAGCCGGAAGGGCGCTTTCACAGGACACTATTTCGAGAGCATATCTTTCGACCCTGATGCCGACTCACTTAGCACTTATGGCGATAAGGACACTGCCTTCGACAAATCTGTCATTGAATTAATTAGGAACGGCAACAGCAACAGGAATGCACACCCATCTTTAGCTATGGTGAAGGAAAAGATCGATGACCCGTCTCTGCGGGCGTGGCTCGTCATTCCCTCAGATGGCGCTACGGACGAGCACGGCAATGTAGCACCGGACCCGTACAGAGACGCATGGGAAAAGTTGAAGACCTTTGTGACGAGCGAATTCCCGGGGCTTAAAGAGCCTGGGCGTTGGTTGGAAGTGAAGTATGCTCCACGCCAAGACGAGGAAAAGCTGTACAGGCCTAAGATTTTCGACATTGCTACGGAAGTCACCAAGAGGCCACGAGAGGAGCTTGAAAAAGATGGTCAAATCAATTGGTCGTTGCTGAACCAGAAAGAAATTTCGGATATCACGTCAAAGGCAGAGAAACTGGTCACGTACGACCCGATTAAGAATGGAGCCCGGGGAAAGGTGGTTGTCAAACACCACCCGAACACGGATGGGAAAAACAGGGTGATGGTTTGGGTGGAGTATAGCACGTTATATGCAGACGCCTGGTAATTGGGGGCATGAATCTGCAACATCCCGCCCATGGACCCCAGCCGAGCAAGGAAGATTCTAATAATGGAAAGCCTGCGTTGGTTGGCACATTGGCCCCCGAACACTGTACGACTTCTTAGTCAATCAACATACACTATGCCAACATAAATACCCACCACTGTTCCTAGCTAATAGGGGATAAACTGTGCTCATCTTCCCTCGCTTATCTCTGTTCACTTGCTCATCTCGCACTCTGCAACATTCAATTCCATCGACAACCATCATGCCTTATTCCAACAATAATACGCTATGTAATGAAGCGCAACCAGAGAGAGAAACATTCCATGCTTTCCCACGTCTTCCTACCGAAGTACAGGATTTAATATGGCACTTCGCGCTCGAGGAGCAACCCTCTGCTCACTTCGTCACCCTCGAAAAGGTTGTTCTTGGCAAATTCGGCCCGACTTCTAGTGTCCCAAAACGCTACCAGCGGCTTGTTCCCATACTTGAAATCCTCACTAGAGCGCCTCCGCCCGCAGAGTTAGCGACAGGTGAACATGAGACCTCGACGATGTCATGCGCTCTAAAGCAGACAAGCTTGGCTGCTCGAAAAGCGGCATTCCGACTACAGGAGTCTTGGGTGGCTGGTCAAACCCTCCAGCTCTACGGTGCAAACCGAACCGCACGGAGTGATGCTCTTAATCAGCTAATAGCGGATGAGGACATACTAGGTGGATTGTGGGAGAAGTGGCGAAATGGAAATTCAATCGACCCAAATTCACATGGCGAGTACCCAGCATCATTTATCGTTAACGTCCCTTCCTTGTTGGTAGACAGCACGCAGGACCTGATCATCGTGCGGTATGGTTGGGCAGATGTTGCTGGTGAATTGCGCATGGGTTCTGACTTTCGTCACTGGAGCCCAAATCTGCCTATACAAAAAGCCCCATACATTGCTCTGGAATGGCCCGGTGGCTTTCAAGAGAGCAACTTCAACCTTGGCCCGTTCTTGTTCATGCGCTTCCGGTACGAGGTACTATATGTTCTTGTCAACCCAGATGACCTCAAAGCAAGTGTGTCACTCGAACCAACGACGCCGGAAACAGCAAGGGAACAACGCGAGATTTTGGAAAAGCCGTTCGTGAGGCCTATTGAAAACCAAATCAGCACTATTCCGGAGAAGTTTTGGTACGGGAAGCGGGAATTCTTCGTGATCAGCTGGGAAGACGTTGAGAAGAGGATGATTTCTCGCCCCTCTCGGGCTCTGCACGTAATCATCAAAGAATTGCTTGAGCTTAGGAATGAGGAGGACATATGCCCTGGTTGCGGGGACCCAGGGTGCGAACATAGGCACGAGAACTTCCCTGTGGCATGGAGAATCATGTCATGGCGAGACGCAGAATGATTAATTGAGAAACATGGTTGTAGTCGAACGGAGCTAAAAAAGAAAAGGACTCTCTCTTTTACACGTCTATTAGGGCTTGTGAGAACGTCTCGTATTGAGCATGCTTGGCTCGCTCTAGAACCTGTATCAAGCCTTATTAATTTACTCGCCAGGCCCCATAGTCAACGTCGTATGCTTAAGCACGATATTTTCATCCATGACCCCTGCCATTGCCAGCGCCGGTGGTGATCAATGCGCTCAACTAAAAAGCTCGGCTTATCCTCTCTCAGCAGGATACCTCAGGTACTGAAGTACTACGTAGTGTGTGTATTAGGGCCTTCAGAGCCAATGGTATGTCGCCCGTGTGGCATTCAGCCAATTTCTCGAACACGTCTAATTAACCCGTCTCGTGTCGGCCTGCCTTCGTGATCGATTGAAAAAGATTTCACTTCTCTAATAGGCTGTGGCATCAATGTTGCTAAGAAGAGGCTTGAAAATCGGGACAGGCACTCAACATCCGATTTACATTTGCATCCAGGCTATCGAAGTCATGGTTGCTGATACAGCAGAATCAGAGACAAAAGTTGTGACATCTCATGTGGCAAGGAATTTTGAAAATCCATCGTCATACTGCAATACTCATTATAAAATCCTCCAGGATCTCCCTGTCTATCCTCGATGTCATCAAGCTCGCAGGAACGGACTCAGTTGCAATTGCGAATGTGTTGGTGCTGGGTATGCTTGTAGGACCTTCAAGTTTAGAGTTTACTCATTGGACCTAATTAGGCACTGGGCGATCTCTACTTCCCTTTTAATGAAACCTTGACGTCGCTAAAGGAGCCGATATCCGGGTGACTTCGCTCTTGCATCTTCTGCCAGTATAGCCCTAGCCGAAGAAAACCGCTATTAAGATGGTCGCTGAGGGCCACCCGCGCCTGAATTCGAAGGAAAGCAGTTACGATAGAGCCTAATGGGCTTTTCACTCGGTGAAATTTTAAGTGATGAGCGCATTGTGACAAAAGGTCTCCTTGCCGCCGGAACCAGACTACGAAAGCTTTTCGTAAGCCACTCCTTGTTCCTCAAAACAATCATCCCATTCATTTTCATTAAACCGTTCTTCTGGTATCCGGACAAATTCACTGAAGCACTACGCATTCTATGAGGATTTGTGCCGACCTGTCCTAGCGGAATCTTCAGTGCTCCCTCGCCCCAATGTAAGGTGTCGGTACTTGAGACAACAAAGCCTTCCAGGCTACTAGCTAGCTTGGCTAGGGGCCGCGACTGTCGGAGGAATCAACACTGTAAACGCTGTAAGCTTAAAAGACGAGGCCGACGACCTCCATCTGGCAAGATTGTACGTACTTCTTTACTCAGGCCCGTCGGTCCTGTGCTTCTCGGCACCTCCACATTTCCCAACACAAGAAATCCCTCAATAACCACTTCGGGATTTGCGTTAATCCTTTCAACCTACTGTGTCTTCATTGCTTCGTCACTAAATATCGCGGTATTCAAAATACGTTATTCTGGGCTTGAAGTAATAGTAAACGAAGACCATGTTAGTCTTGCTTTGGGGGTTCTCGTCAATGGACAATGTAGGCAAAAGACTGCATTAATGGGGATGCTCAACACTCTCGCGCCGTACTTGAGGCTACTAGGCTAGTGTTGCAGTCTTTTCGGATCTAATATCATGGAAGAGCTTTTCTCGAGGCTCAGGGGCGGCCAAGTCCAGCACAGGTGTGTGCCTGATTTTCGCATGTGCTGCAACATTCTTGGAGAAATTAATCTGTGACTACGCATAGCCGGATATTCGGCATGATCAAGACGGTAAAGGAAACATAAACCCTCTACGAGCGGGTAATGAGCATTCCACTGGGGCTATGAAAATAGACTAGCTCAATAGTCATCACTGCGTTCTTGTCCCATCTTAGTCTTTTTTTCGTCTAGAGCTGATCACAGCATGGGGAATCTTTACCACTTGGTACTTGTAGACCGGTCGTTTAGACTCCTGGCAGTTTCAGAAAAATGAATATAGCAATCAAGGGATGCCTAAGCTTACCTCTTTGAGAGACTGGAGTTAGGAATTTTCTCTAGTGGTCTTGGGTGCTTGTATTCAGCCACTCAGCGCCCAGACATCTTCGCGCGTATTCGGTTACTATTGCCGTGCCCAGAACTCTGGGCCACTCTTCTAGTAACCCAAGACAAAGTTGCTGCCATGATATGCATAAGATTGGTTCTTAGCGATAGCTTACTGAGAAGAGATCGTGACTGCGTATCTAAGTACTTAAAACACTTAGCATCCTGCTCACAACAAACAGCTCTTCTGTATTCCTTATTCATTCTTTGGTAACCTTCCGCATAGTCTTTCTTTCGTCAATCTTTTACATTTTACATTCGTTTTCATCTGGCACACAGGATGTCCACCTCCGTTCTTTTCATCGCCTCTTTGCTTGGCGCGGCCCAGGCTTACACTGTCATCAGTGCCCCCGGCCCCTTTATGCTTAAAAACATTGACCCTATTGTTTACCCTGGGCAACACAACAAGTCGCATCTCCACTCGTTCTTCGGCTCTGACGCTGTTACTGTCGACACCAAGACCAGTGCTGAGCTCCAGAAAGGCTGCACCAACCTCGAGAACCCCAACGACTTATCGGTCTACTGGATCCCCACGCCGCTTTTTACCACGAACGGCGGAAAAACCTATGAGCCCATCCCCGTTGCGCGCTTCAGCGCTTACTACAACCTTGGCGAGTCTCCTGCTGAGGTCGCCATTCCGCAAGATTTGAAGATGGTCTCCGGCAATGCAGACGCCGTTACGCAGGCTCAGGTTCCCAAGGATTCGAAGGCTGAATGGTTCTGCGAGGGCGGCGGTGGCGGCGCCCTGGACGCCAACGGGTTCCCCAGCCAGACATGCGGTACGCACCTTCAGCAGCTCCTCTACTTCCCCAGCTGTGTCAACACCGAGACGCTGGAGACCGCTTACAAGTCACGGACTTACGGCACTCAAAACTGGTGTCCCAAGGGCATGAAGTCAATGCCCCAGCTCCGCTTCAGCATCCGCTACAACCTCCGCAAGGTCCTCCCCAACGGTTGGAGTGGCTCTGCGCCTTTCAAGTTATCTTGCGGCCCTGCTTGGTGCTCTCATGGCGACTTCATCAATGGCTGGACCAAGGAGTCGGCCCAGAACATGGTTCCCACCACGTCGGACAAGCGTGCATTTTTCGGTGTGAACGGCGCTCTCGGAAACTACAAGGACTACGCCAAGTGCAAGGCCGTGGATGCTGATCCCGCCCACGGTACCAGCAACTACGCTGAGAGTGTGGCCGTCATGAGCAAGCGTGAAGTCGATTCTTTCGGATGGCAATCCAAGTCTCGATTTGCTCGATCGACCTAAAATATATGCAGAGAAGGTCAAAATGCAAATCCTGGAAACAGATGTACTTTCTTTGTATCATTTTAAGACAGCTTTGTTCCAGGACCCTGGATACAATAGCGATAGCTGCCTAGGTAACCTAAGGTATCTCATGGGGGCCTGGGTGGCTACAGGTACATAGTCCCCAATTTTACATACACTTTTCCCCCTTGGGATACGTAACTATACCATCAACTCCTATGCTTCACTGCAGCGCTCTTGTACTCTGATGATTGCTTGTCCCTCTATTATGGTCAGAATCTTCATATATGATAAGTATCTTTTGATTACATCTCTTTGGTATTTTAAGGTCTTCGCTAGCCCCTGCGCGAGTGCCTTAGTTCCTCTCAAAATGATGTACCTGTAGCCACCTCAGTCAGGCCTCAATGGGATAAAGCTCTGATTTCTTCTCTGAACGATCTACATATCGATCGAGAGGTCTGGTGTGTCTTTATAGCTGTGAGTGATACCGAAAGCAATTTGAGTTTTTTTCATATCTCTAGTATAACTCAGCATCAGATTCAATGCTTGGGATGTACTTCTAGACGTCTAGAAATGAGACATTTCATGACCGTTGCTTAAGGAGAGTAAGACTAAGTGAAAACAGCGGAGACAGCGGAGGCGCTATCCCATCCAGTGCTAATTAGAAACTGGTACAAACTGACCCATGTTAAAGCCCCTATTTCCCCACATACTAAACTGTGTAATACTAATCATCCGAGGCGAAGTCACATTAGCAGTTTCTGGTTGGGTAATGCCCCGGATGCGATGTACCTGTTGCCAATTGGCACTTGATGGGATACTGCTCACCTCATTTGCATTTAACATTTATCACACCCACACATGCTTACCACCTAAACAAAAAGCTCAATTTACCAAGTTCTCGCCCAAACTCCTACCAAACACTAACAGACCATAGCCAGAGTGCAACAGAGAGAATAAAGCAACCACTTAGAAGATGGATCACAAAAAGATCATGCTAAATTTGAGGAAGTAGATCGTTTTAGAGAAGAACAAGTTCACAATAATTACCCCAAGGTTCTAGATGTCCTAATTAGGATGACCTTTGCAATGGGTGAGCCAAATGCGAAATCCGGATAGAGTGGAGCGGGCATGAGTGGTTTACCAGGGGTGCTCAATCTACAAATAGCCTGCCGAACACGCTTCCCGAACCAGCCTGTGCTTAAAGCTCAATAGACCCGGGCGATAATGACGACTAGGGGCTTGAAGCCGTTATCACATTGTTCAATGTTGACCATACTCATGATCGCTCACTAAGATAAATATCGGACGAGGCTTCAGACCGTCGCGATTTGTCATTTGTTGTTCGAACCTTTGCATCTCGAATCCATTTACCGACACCGGAGTGCAAGAGACACAACCCAATCCTTGTATAGTGATAGCAACGACTCATGTTTGCGCTATCCGAAGGCCATGGCTGCAAGGGGAGCCTTGTATGCGAGCAATTACGGGATTCCTAGTTATTTAAGCAACCGTTACTCCGTAGTTTTCTCGATTCTTGATAAAACTGAGGATTTCAGAACTGGCTGTAATTGTTCAACTCTCCATTAGAGGAATTGGTGATTGTGGCTCACTCGTGTCTTGGCGAAGATTTAGGTGGGTTTGGTCTACGATAGAACGAAGCAAAGTAGGTCCATTGTCTTCCGTCCCATCACCAGTGTTACCCCGGATGGTGGGGGACACTGAGTTCCCGCGACCATGCTTGGGCTCGAAGTTGTTCCAATTACACGCACAGGTTATATTGAAGCGCCATCAAATATTGGTGCTCTCGGTTATTTGACCCGAGAAGCGAGGGGGATCCAGTGCCGATGATACCAAATCCTAGTTTAGGTCATAGGTTCGAAGTGGTGTTGAGTTTTTGCGATATGAATCTGCCAATTACCAATCCCACTTCACGCGTGTTTATCCGCGTTAGTCCCACAAAGGGTATGAAGCGCTCTCCAAGTTCCCCATCCAAGGTAAACTTTACACTCTAAAATTCCCGTACGGGTACTTCGCCATTGATAGCAAGAATGGCGACATTAGTTATATTGCCGCATGTTCCACAATCGCGCTGCCGTCAACCCCGCTACTTGGAAAACAAACCAGGTCAGCACCGACGAGCGGGAAATATAATGGGATCGCCCTCGGCACTCACAAGCGAGCAGCTTGGCTCAACACCGTTGCATTAGCGGTACTTGGCATTTCTGTTTCACGGTGTGGCTTTCCGACTACATACCATGCGAAATGTCGAACAAAGATGGAGTCTCCTTGGCTGCCGAAGGTGCCAATGATGCCGACAAGTCAGGCATTGTCACGGATGTTGCACCCGCGCGATCGGAAACATCCGCCTCAGCCAGCAAGGTAGACGACCTCAAGTTGACCGACGCGCAGCCCGTCGTCGATGATGTTGAATACGTAAATGGACATCCAATCATTCGCAATGGTAACTCGAACGAACCTTTGCATTACCAATATGACAACTAATGAATTTCTCCAGGAATGGACGTTTCCAAGTTCGTGGTGTCAGACCGCGATGACGGCGATCCCTCATTCACGTTCCGATCTGTCGTCTTGGGTACGGTCTTTACTGCTCTCTCCAGCGTCATCACCATGCTATACACTTTCAAGCCAACTCAGATGCAAGTTTCGGCAGTCTTTCTGCAACGTAAGTCCTCGGTTTATTCCCACAAAACTCGTCCCTATTAATGTCTGTTCAGTGCTTGTCTTTGTTTTTGGCGAAGCATGGGCATTGGCAACCCCGCGTCCAGACCGATTCAAATGGAAATGGCTACAAACCACACTCCGCTTCCTCAACTCTGGGCAGCCTTTCGGCATCAAGGAACATGTTGTAGCATCTCTTATTGCGTCCTCCGGTAACAACGGTCTCTCTGGAGTTGAAATCTATGCTGTCGAGCGACTCTTCTACAACCGAGAAGTCACAGCCACAACTGCAATCCTCGCCACGTTCTCCATTTCGCTCTGTGGCTTCGTTCTAGCAGGCGTTCTCCGCCCCCTCATCGTCTATCCTGCGGAGATGGTTTACTGGTCCACGCTGCCGCAGGTGGTACTCTTCCAGAACCTGCATTTCGACCGCATCGCCAACCGAGGCCGTCTCATGAAGTTCGGCATCGCCCTCGGTATTGCTGCGGTGTGGGAGATCTTCCCAGCTTACATGGTTACCTGGTTCGGTGGCATATCAGTCGTCTGCCTTGCGTCCATGGGAGCACCGGAAAAGACGCGCACCGTCATATCTACAATCTTTGGTGGTGCATCATCCAACGAGGGCATGGGCCTGCTCAACTTCTCCCTGGACTGGCAGTACATCCAAAGTACATATCTCTCGCTTCCCTTCAAGCAACAGTTGAACTCGTGGATTGGCTACGGCATCTGGTATGTCGTCATGCCGGCTCTCTTCTACAGCAACACGTGGGGTGCCAAGACCTTCCCCTTCATGTCGACGTCCCTCTTCGCCAGCAACGGCACTAGATGGTCGACGACAGCGGTCCTTAGCGGCCGCGGGGTTATCGATTACGACAAGCTCGACCAGGTTGGCCTCCCCCACCTAACCTCGAGCACTGTCTGGGGTTATCTCACCGCTAGCATGGCCATTGGCGCTTTGATCACCCACGTTGTCATCTTCTACGGTAAAGACATGGTTGACTCGTGGAAACAAGCAAGGAGCCGGACCCAACCGGACATTCACTACCAGGCAATGCTGAAGTATAAGGAGGTGCCGATGTGGTGGTACTTGGCGCTTTTCGTACTGACCTTCATCGCTGGCTTGGTAGTAAATATCAAGGGCGAGACAACACTCCCAGTCTGGGGTTACATCATCTCCCTGCTCTTAGGAGGATTCATCGCTCCTTTCTCGTGTATTCTGTATGGATTATACGGAACCGGAGTTAGCACCAACCAAATCTCCAAAATGGTCGCAGGCGTCGTCCACCCCGGTCGACCGTTGGCGAACCTGTACTTCGCAAGTTGGTCTCACCAAGTTATTCTCCTCGCCGTCAACCTTGCCAACTGGCTCAAGGTCGGCCAATACACCAAGGTCCCGCATCGTGTCATGTTCGCCACGCAAATTTACGGAACGCTGCTGGGTGCGGGACTCAACTACGCCGTCATGACGACCATCGTAACCAACCAGCGTGAGATTCTTCTCGACCCCAAGGGGACGAACGTCTGGAGCGGTTCAGCTATGCAGAGTCTCAACTCTTCGGCCATCACCTGGGCGTTGGCGAAGGAGATGTACGGTATGGCCGGCCGCTATGTCATTGTGCCCCTTGGCCTCCTTATCGGTGCAGCACTTCCCGTGTTGCACTGGGGTCTCATTAAACTAGTCCCACGTGTAAAAGACTGGCCGATCAACACCACGATTATCATCGCATTCGCCGGAAACACGTACTTCGGAAACACGTCGTGGATCTGGTCTTCCATTGCAGTGGGCGTCTTCTCGCAGTTCTGGCTTAGACGCCGTCTACCGCGCATCTACAACAAGTATAATTACCTTATTGGCGCGGCTCTGGACGGAGGATCTCAGGTGGTCATCTTCATTCTGTCGTTTGCTGTATTTGGAGCAAGTGGAAAGGAGCACCCGTTCCCGACATGGTGGGGAAATCCATCCGACACCAACCCTGACCATTGCTTGTAAGATGGGAATAAGTAAATAATTTTAATAATAGCCTCAATAGAGACTGAAAATATCCACTCAATTAGTAACCTTTTTATTAGCTAACTACCTTAGTGTATCAAGTTGTTAGCTATATGTTTGATCTGACCTATTGGCTATCTACAAGACCTTGCTGAGTAGGTATGACTGCTAACAAAAGTAGCTTCTTGAAGCATGTAATAATAAACCACCGAATTATTTGGCTTGATTCCTTTCTAGTGAAATCTTACTGCATAGCAAACTAAGATATACCTGACTCATAACACGAAGTTGTAGCCACAAGAGTCTTTGTCCTGGCTCGTCAAAACGATTTTGTCATGGGTAGATTGCTGCTCTGAATATCTGTACAATGCTGTTGTATTTATCTCGGCTAATTCAAGTTCCCCAAGTGATTTGACTCGGTCAGATCACTGATGGTCTCTGCCTTACCTAGATGCAGCAAGAGCCTTCGACCAGTCCTGTTTCTTCCAATAGTTCTCCACGGTATCAAGCGACGGAGGCGACTTTAGCTGCAATCAAGCATTAGGAGACGCTCAATGCATATATAATCTTAATTCACTTACATCTCGCGGGTGGATAACAGTAGGATCGTTCCTAGCCTCATACCCGATCTCATTGAAGGCTGCGAAGTTATCGCCAAGCTCTAGTTTCAACTCTTCCGGAAGGGTTGGAGGAAAATCACCCTTAGGCAAGGTGACGGACTCTGCTTTTATACCGGTCGCTTTTGAAAATGATTGCGCCAGCTCTGGCATAGTAAGCCAGCCTCTATATCCGATGATGTTCTTTCCGGCAGGCTCGTTGACAAGCGTTTTGACGATGGGACCAGAGTCCTCTTCGGGTGCGATGAATGGGATTTTGACGTCTGGCTCTATGTGTCCAATGAATTGGACTACTCCTTCCTCGTTCTACATCTTTCAGCAAACCTTTTACATTTTTCAGTCAGAACTCTTACCTTGGATACTTTAGTCATGGGGTTACTGACATAGTTGCTCAAGAAAAAGCCTGCTTGGAAGATGCTTGTCTTTTTCCACAGGTCAGGATACCTCTCCTGGCCATACTCTGCTGCATTCGCTTTCGAGTCGAAGTGATAGACATGGGTATACTTTCCCCCGGACCATTTCGTTACATTTGCGAGCGAGGAGAGGACGAAGCGTTCCAATGTTGGTACTCTGGCTGCGGCGTCAATCACACCTTTTAGCTGCAGAGTTTCATGTTCACCTGCCCAAGCATTCAATGGCTGTCCGGGCTTAGCCTTCTCTTTACTGGAAGAGTCACCGTAGAGGCCCCAAAAGTCGCTGACGGCAAATATGGCATTAGCATCCTCGAAGGCGGCTGCCAACGATTCAGGTTTGTCCAGATCAGCGTAGGCGACTTGAGCTCCGCGCGCTGCCAGGGCTTGAGCCTTGGGGCCCGAGGTGTTACGAGTTAGGGCGCGAACCTGCCAGCCAGGTTCTTCAAGGAACGTGCTGGTGACAGAGCCACCCTGGTTCCCCGTGGCCCCAAGTATAACAACGAGTTTGGAATAAGTCATTTTATAAGGTATGATGGGTAATGAGTCGTATTGATGATTCAAGAAGTACTGTGAACTGTATTCATGATGACTGAGTTCCTTTTAAACTTTCCCCCGTCATAGTGACGGTACCAGACGATTTGTAAGTGTTTTTAAACATTGTGCCGATCTTTAACGTTATGCCAGGTTTCAAAGCATAGCTAGCTATCGTTAATTCCCACTTCGGTGTGTCGGATGGTAAAACTCTCCGCGTTGTGGGTTATTCTCCTCATCAAATACAACCATGTCGATTAGTAAAACTAAGCTCTTTTGATCCCTAAATCCCGGTTGATCAGTATTCAATAAATTAATTCAACGTTATCTGTCTTTTACTGCATCGCTAGCCACTAAATATAACTCCTGTCTCTGGCACTCACTTAAGTCCTGCGCAACTGAAAACTAACATATTTTCCATTCGACAATTTCATCTACTGTAGCGCTTTGAGTCACTCATCCGAAGAACTTGTAATTTGCGTCTTTTCATCTGGGCCTACTCCTCAATCGACAATTGCTCGACAAAATCAGCTTCACGATGGCTTTCCCTAACCGCCTTCTTACTCCTTCAACTTGGCGTGTCCTTGGTCTTGGCCTCACAACCACCATCTTTGGCCTCGGAGCCTTGGCTGTACTCGCACCACCTACTGCAGCAGACTCTCTTGGTGTCACAGCTACTACACAAGAAGGCCGCTCCTTAACGGCAAAAGCAATGGCATTCCTCGGCATGCGGGACATGGCCGTTGCAGCCACGCTGTTTTGCTTCTACTGCGAAAAGAAGCATAAAGAGATGGGGGTCTTGACGACGGCGTGGGTTCTGGTGTGTGTGACGGATACATTGATTGCGACACAGGGGCCACGAGGGTGGGACAAGGGAATCTGGACGCTCTGGGGAGGAGCAGCAGTAACGGCGTTTGTAGGACTGGGTTTGCTTCAGTTGTAAATGCCAGGGGCTGAATTGGTGTCGCAAAAGTGTGATTTTAGTGGTCAGGGGAGGAAGTGAATCGATTATTGTGTTTGCTGAGCACGAATGCAAGTTTGTTTCATTGGCAGCAAATACGGTGTTGTACTTTCCTAAGAGGTTATTGAGCTCTGATCCGTTTTCCGCCCTCTCTTATCTCTGTCACCTAAAAACAAGAGCAGAGAATTGGAATTGCTTAGCAGAAACTGTTCGTGAGATGTTCATGAAAAGTACTTGACACCATACAAACCTGCCGATCTACTACCTCGTATAACTCACCGCCTCGGGTACGTGTAAGTGGCTTACTATCTGCAACAAAATTCTGAATGTCATGAGTAATAAATTTAGAGCCCGCCGTAGGCGCTATCAGGCCTACAAAGGCTAGACCGTCACATTTAAGTACTTGAAATCGGTTCGATCTGATTTGTTAATCCGTAGTTAAGCAACCTTTGCGAAGGACTTGGTTAGACACGCTGCGAGGTCACCCATTAATAAGATACACATTTGCTGAAGCTTCTAAAGACTTTTGTAACTGTCTTTGAAATGTAGGAGGCTGCTCCAGTTGCACAACACTCTGGCGGATACTGCATGTTGTTTTCTCCTCTACCCCAGACAATGGGTTATGGATTCCAAATGTCTCAAAATTTGCAGTAATCAAGGGCGCTTGGTCTAGGGGTATGATTTTCGCTTCGCATCTTCGCCACAGCGCGATGCGCACTGTGAAAGGTCGTGGGTTCAATTCCCACAGTGTCCATTACTTTTGCTCATTCAAATGAATGAATTCTTCTTTTAGGTGACCTTTTGATCTTTTGCGTGTCGAATAGTCGAGCTTTGGGTTCTTGAAGGTAAGAGATGGCGAGAGCGGGGAAAGGTTTCGAGCTTAATCTTTAGTTTGGAGCTCTAGCGCCTTTGTGTAGGTAGCTGCGGTAGCTGCCTTTACCGTCAGTGTCCGAGTACACATGAACAGAGTTCCCTCTGCCAAATTGGTAAATAAGACCGAGTATTCTTTTAGCTATCCTGTCCCATATCTACAGTCTACCATTCATCAATAACATCGTTTCACATCATCAATCACATCCTGCTAATAAACCACTTTGCCTAGCCCTTGCTTACCATCTCACGGACAAGCATTAAGTACATGTCATGTTAGAATGGCGAGCAATCTCATGCCGTAGAGATCGGATGAACGTAGCCGCTTCGGTTCTCTGCCAATTCTCAGAGCGGGAACTGCGCTTTACCAGCATTTTTACTAGACGCGAGCGCCCCAGCCACAGAAAACTGCGTCTTGTGCAAATCGGAACGATGCACTCCGTTGAGATTTTTCACAAGAGTAATTTGGTGACACGACGTCGTACCTTGTCTGGAGGCGATGGTCGACGCAGCGAGAAAGTATTCCCAGATCTGGAAAATGTCAGCCATCGTAGTTTGCATGTGGCATGCATCGCCTTCGTAGTCAAGGGGAGGGGGGGAGGCTCTCACTCTGTACCACCGCTTGCCGTACTTTGCAGTGACCTTATCGGCATTGCTAACCCAGTTCTTATACCAACGCCATAGAGTCGCCGAGTAGTGATATCCCACGGTGTCAATGCTAAGCAGAACGTCAGCCATACTCACAAATCGCAAAGGATTAGCTTACTTTTGAACTTCAAACCCAGCAGCCTCAAGAGCCGTCACATACCTCCCCAACGGCCACAGCGCACCCGCCTCGGGGATATGCTTCTTCAAGAACAAACCCCACACAAGGTCCTCATACTGCCACGCCCTTCTAAGCCCAGTAACCTCGACGTAGAATATCCCGTCATCCTCGAGCATATCATAGCATTGCTGGAAGAACTTGCTCATTTTCATCTTGCCAACCTGCTCCGACACTTGCAGGCAAGTGATCTTGTCATATTTGGAGGGCATGACCTCTTGCGTTTTCAGAAATTGGATCCGACTCTGATACTCCGAAAGACCGGCGCATTGGAGCCGCCAGTTACCCAAATCAGCTTGGTTCTGGTTTGGCGCGACACCAGTCACCTTTGCCTTGTAATTCACACTCGCAAACGTCGCCAAGGAAGCCCAGCCACATCCGATGTCGAGGAGTTTGTCCCCTGCCTTGAGGTTGATCTTTTCGCACACGACAGCCAGCTTGTTGTCTTGGACCTCTTCAAGCGATTCCTCGGCCTGCATATCGGATACGATACCCGAGCTGTAGGTCATGCGTGGACCGAGAAACCAGGCGTAAAAGTCACTACCGCGGTCTTCATGTTTACGATTACGTTGTTCTAGATGGCTTCTGTTAGCGACTGCTTTAGCTGGGTACACAGCATCTGGAGAATTACTGGATGGGACGTGGCTCATAATGACCTCCGGCACCAAGGTTAACAAGACAAAGCGAAATAACCCCCACGTAAACTTGAAGCTCGCCCAATCATGGCGATACTCGAGCGCAGCGAGCGCATCGCCGTTGAAGTCGACCTCGCCAGCAAAGTACATGCGGGTAAACGTCTCCATCGAGATCTTGTGTCGACCCCAATACTTGGCGCGATCATGCTCCGTCTTGAAGCTCAGGTACTGCTCGACAGGACGGCCGGGGCCCCGCACATTGTCCTTGATAGGCGGCGAGATCCTCGATGCGACAAACCAAAAGGCAACGGATATCGGGACTCCCAGTGTAAAAAGGAAAATGGCAAAAGTGAAGCTCCCGCCTCCGACCTTCCATGTTGCGGCCGCAGGTACGAGGAGTAATAGGGAAGTTAAGAAACCGGCGGAGAATGAGTCGTATCCAGCGCCGTCGGCTGGGAGCGTCGCATTCTTTATCGCCGGATACTGCAGGTACACGTCGTCAGCATGCAATGCGGGAAAAGACGCATCTCAAGCGAATACCCACAGAAGTGGTCCTCAAGCCGAAATCCTCAAACCCTTTCGGACTGGCCGTAGCTGACGCCGGCGGCGTCGGGATGGAGCCGTTAGCAGTCATGGTATGCAAACTTAATTCGCATTCACAGCTTTTACAGAGTTCTTTTACAGTGGGGGATTTTCACCCTTTAAAGTGGTGAATTTAGGTCTGTCGGGTGGCTTGAGCTCCGATCACGCCTCTGAAGAAATGGGCAGATGGGGGCGGTCAGATAGTTGGTTAGTAGACCCGAAGTGGCCTGGCTTCTGTTAGATCCGGTTAGTCGCAACGGTCGTCAACGAGAATCATTCCGTGAGCTTGGCTGCAGAATCCAACTGGCGAATACAGAGCGTGTTCGCAACGTCGCTCGTAGCAGGATCAGTTGTACGTGGTCTGACGTGTGCGTATGTTGGGAGGTGATTGAGAACCCGCTTTTCCCGTCAACACTGCCGGATTCAAACACATCAATCTCGGTTAATTACCAGCATGACCGGGAGGTTGAGCTTACCAATGTTAACTACAGCGGTACGGATAAGGATAACAGAAATAAGAAACCATATGTTGGAGGATCCGAGAGGATTTTACACCCTTTGTGAAACTTTTACCTACCGAGAGATTATTCGAGACTGCCACAGTAAACAAGCAAGACTGAAGCATTGAGAGAAAAAATATTGTGCTAGGGAGCTATTTTCGTCAATAGGGCTAACAGTCATATCCATGCAGCTTCCGTGCAACCTCACTTAAGCTAAGCTCGCACATGTCCATCTGGTAGTATTCGTGGCTGCTCTAAGACACAGCCAACACCAAGAGACACAACTCCACCTGCTCACTAGCTGCTTACCGGTGCTCACTTGAGGCATCTTCTAACTGCACTGAATCCAGCTGCAGCCAGTTGGTTAGGTGGGCGATGCATTTTCATTCGAATAATAAAGTGAATCGCCACTGTGGCTGTTTTCCTCCACGCCAGCGTTGGCTGAAGTCGGTGAAGTTATCCTTTGATTCCCAGCGGACAGTCCAGCCCCCGGTGCAGCTACAGCTGCTGTTCCCGTATCCAAGTCTGCCAGCCGTGTCGCAATGAGAGCCTCGGAAACCTGTTTTGAGATTTCCTTGCTTGACAATGACGGTGCCGGTATGGATGACTGCAAAACAGAGCTAAGTCTGCGAGTTAGCTTTTTTATGAACCCATGTCCAGCTTCGGCCGGTCTGATCATATCACCAAATTGATCAGAACGAGACCTGGCATGGATTTTGCTTGCTGTGTGGCGGTTTTGCCAGTCAACTGGACGATCATTGTTGGAGTGATGAGAAAGTTCGGCGGTCGTCTCAGATGCTCTACGAGTCAGCTTCGGGACATTTCTGACTAGACTTGAACAAAACATGTCTTCTGCGGGCACTTTGCTAAAGCAGCTTGTTGAACTGACTAAAGAATTGAGACCACAGGACTTCGCGCCTTCAGATTTTGCATCGATTCCAAGATAATGCAGACAAGATTTGTCTGGATCTTCGAATATGACCTGTGTGGGGGGGATCTGCCATTCATTCGTGCAATGGCGTTTGCCAAGAGGTGGAAATGAGATCATCTGTTCCTGGTCATCGTCATTCTCAACTTTAGCTGTGCTTTTGCTCTGTTGTTGCTTCTTGACTTTGACATCGCTCTCTTGGCCACTATAAGCTGCAGGCAGATCAGGCATGCCCGAGTCTTTATCGGAGTTAGAGGCTCGCATTGGTCCGTTGCTGGCACTGAAACCACCGACAGGAGTGGAACAACACTCAGGACTTTCGTTAGCTTGGCGTTCAGACAATCCTCTATTGTCTCTAATTTCGGTAATTGTTGAATGTTTGTCCGCAAGCCATTGGATATTAGTAATACTGTCTCGGGAAAGAATGGTAGTTATGGACGCCTGAGGGGACCTGACCCTGACATGAGTCTGGCCGTCAGCCTTGCTTCGGGTGAAAAAGGAGATTTGCGGTTCGCTGATAGTTGTCGCAGGATCTGCGGGAGCTGATATTTGTGGCTCGATAGCGTTGATGATACAACTAGGCCTTTTGATGGCCCATGTCTGATTTGTGTCTGTTTTGTCGCGGTCCCGATCAAAAGCCCCCAAGGAGTCGACAAAACCATCATTGTGGTTGCATATTTCTCGGAAAACTATCTCCACCACATCTTCAATTTGCCTTTCGCCCAAAAGGTACTGGCAAGACTGCCGATGGCATGTCAAGGTTTTGTTGAGAGTGTCCTGGATAGGTTTCTTCTGAAATAGGGTGTGGCTGGATAGGTGATTTCGTAGTTTCCTTGCGACAACCTGCATTAAGGAATGATATCTCTCCCGAATACGAGAATCAATAGATCTCGACTCGAATGCTATGACATCGCCTTCGGATTGATTACTAGCAAGCCCTGCGGTAGGGCTATGCATTCCGAAGCTATCCGATTGGCGTTGTAACGATTTCTGCGTAGGTGGAGGCACGTCGGCTAGAATCGCGTCCACCTCGTGGTCGTCGGCGGCCTGCTGTGACATATCGACTGCTGCCCTATTTTCTGTTTGCTTGGTACCGGAACCAATACACTGGCTTCCTGTTAAGTGAGAATCAGCAAGGCACTGGGGAGTGAATGGACCATGCGATGTTACCTTGCCAATTAGTTCTTGAATCAGTTTGTTGATCAAAGCCTTTCTCGATATGATCAAGGACTGGATTATTGGTAACTTCATTGCCATTGTGCCCCATGCTTGTGCATTTGGAAGAACGGCGGAGAATGGGGCTTGCAGGAGGTACCCAGGAGATTTTGTCGATGTTTCCATTGCTAACTAAACTGCAATTTATAGTCGTAGGCGGCCGAAGCGGTAGAACAGAAGCTTGCTGGTTAGATACGGATGGTTTTCGCGTGGTTGTAGGATAGATGGTTGTGCCGTTCTGGCATGTAGGAATGAATACGGCAGATATCCTATGCTCCGGAGTCGATAGACCAGTTCGGCAGTCGCCAACATCTCCATGGTAGTTATTTTGATCCATCTTTGCTACAGAACCTGCCGTGTAAAATACGGGCAGAAGGCATTGAAACTAACAATAGGAAGAAAGAAATATAGTATCAGGATTCATACAATTCTGCCAGAGACAGGAAGACAATGCTTGGGACCGTGGACGAACGAACGCAAAATAGGGTAGATATCAGCAGAAGAAACGGGGAAGAATTAACATAATAAAATGATTATGTCAATATCATCTTTACGTAATATTCATCGTAGCATTCCTTCGGGGCAAGCTAAAGCGCCTTGCGACTCCCCTCTTTGGAGGTAATAAACCTGCTTGAAGGAAGCTACAACCACGCTGAAAGTCTCTAAATCGGGCTGGCATATCTTGAAGGAGGTTGTGGTTTCCTTGGTAATACTGCGAAAGCAAAGACATCTCAGTCATTCTGTCCAAGACATTTGGGACCAGCGCATGAGATCTTTAAGATAAAAAAACAAGATTTGAACATCACATGATACTCTCGTTGCGGTTTCATTCTGCAATGAGTGAGAGAAAGTGTGGTTGAATAAGTAAGTGAATGAAAGACTGAGAGATGAGATGTGGTGGAGACAGTTCCTAACGTGGTATATGCTGACATAATCATCATCTTTACGCTTGCGGGTGGGGCCCTGCGACAGTGCTGTGGCACAGTGTTGTCAGTTGTGCACGGCCCAAAGCGAAAACAGCATTTGACCAATAAAAATCCCTGCGCAACAAAGGGTTTTCGAGTTTGGATCGGCAAAATCCTTTGGCAGCTGAGCTTGCTTACCTTCGGCTCGATTGCCTCTCTTTGACACTTGACGGCCGACGACGCTCAATCAGCGTCTGGAGTCTGTTCCATTCTTTCACCTCGTATCACTAATATTCTAATGATGCCCCCGAGTAGCGCACCTGCTCCTTCTGATCCTGCTGGGCCTTCCGATTCCAGCAGCGCCTACACGAGGTTGCACATTACTCCATTCGACCAAGAGCTCGTCAAGGTCATCCTCCCCTCTGCAGTCCTGCCAAAGGCCCGTAACATCTCCTACCACACGATCGAGACCTTCCACGAGAAGCGTTACGGTTTTGTCGATCTTCCCGAGACCGAGGCTGAAAAGATCAAGAAGAAATTGAACGGTGCCGTGCTGAAAGGAGCCAAGATGAGGATAGAGAAGGCGCGCCCTGAGGAGGACTATATGCCCGTTCTTGGTGACGAGGAGGACAAGGGAAAGAAGAGGAAGAAGAAGTCCAAGGAGCAGGAGGAGGGCACCAAAAAGAAGCGGAAGCGCGATCATAACGTCGTCGAGGGTGTCGAACTGCGTGATCGCAAGGTCAAGCGAGGATGGACTGTTCCCGAAGAGGCCAAGATCCGGGAGAAGAAGAGCAAGAAGGACAAGGAAAAGAAGGATAAGAAAGACAAGCACAAGAAGCGGGAGGAGCGCTCCAAGTACACCGACAGGGAGGAGTGTCTAATCAAGACCAAGTTGCCCGCGAAGCTCCCAGCAACCACGCCGACTGATGGAGATGATGAATCCGAGCGGAAGAAGCGCAAGAAGAAGTCGCGCGAAGTCGTCATTCACGAGTTCGAGAAGACGACCAAGTTCCCTACATTCCTGAAGGCTAGCAAGCCTGCTCCCTCTGAGTCTCTTACCACTGAGTTTGTCGAGGGCAAAGGATGGGTTGATGCCGAAGGCAACGTAATTGAATCGGAAAAGACGAGAAGAACTGCAAGTGCGCCTGTTCCAGAAAGCGAGGCCCCGAAGAAGAAGAAGAAGGCTCCCAAGGCCCCCACGCCGCCCCCGCAAGACGATGACACGACCAGCAGCAGCGGTACTTCATCTGACGAGGATAGCTCCTCAGACGACAGCTCGGACGAGGAAACGGAAGTCAAGGCGAAACCGGCGACACCTGCAAAGAAGCAAGTCGAGACGTCAAAACCTCCGTCGAAGCCTGTTGAGGATGACACTACGAGCAGTAGCGGTAGTTCGTCTGATGAAAGCTCGGACGCAGACTCTGACGATGAGATGGAAGACGCAGACAAGGTTGCTGCGCCGCCGGTTCTTGACAGCCCACTGGCCGCCCTCCGAGCATCTGACTCCTCTCGCCCCAGATCATCCGGCTCCAACGTGAGCTTGACAATCAAGATACCCCCGCCTGCCACACCGGCCAAGATTCATCCTTTGGAAGCCCTTTACAAGCGGCCCAAAGCCGACGACAACTCAACTCCCCAGCCCGTCGAGGAGGCAGAGCCATTCAGCTTCTTCGGCGCTGGTGGCGACGATGACTTGGAAGAAGAAGAAGACGCCGCGCCCACAAGCCAACTTCCCATGACACCCTTCACTAAGCAGGAATTTGAGTGGCGCAACGTCAGGAGTGCGGCGCCCACGCCTGATACAGCACACCCCAACCACACGAAGCCTTTCTGGGCTATTGGCCACGAGGAAGACGACGAGGAGGATGACGAGGCGACGCAGCAGGAGATCGAAGCCACCCTGAACGCCGAGCAGAACGCCGCTGATGCGGAGGGCAGCGTCCCTGCCGGCGAGTTCCAGAAGTGGTTCTGGGAGAACCGTAGGAATCTGAACCAGTCGTGGATGAAGCGCCGGAAAACGGCCGCGAAGGAGAAGAGACACAAGGATAACAAGACCCGCGCGTCCAAGGCTGTATAGTAGTCGTAGAAAGAGGTGCTACGCAGCGTATATAAAAGTTATTCCAATTTCGTTACTTTATCGCAACCTCTGTGCATCTGCGTAAACTGCGACAAAAGGTCTAAGATAACCAACCAACATGCAAAACCCACTTCAAGATGTTGTCTTGGTACAAATCTACAGCGGGTCTCGAAACGTTCGCGTCAACGCGTCCACCAATTCCCGTCTTTTCCCTCCTACACCTGATCCATCCACCACAATGGAGCCAAGAAGCTCCAAGCATCATTATGCCCCCGAGAAGAGGGCTAGAATTGCATTAGCATACGAATCTGGCATGTCAAAAAAGGAAATCAGTGTCAAAGAGGACGTCCCAGTACGTTCAATCAACGGAATCGTCGCGCGATACCGTGTTCAAAAACACGGTCAGAGCCTCCCACGATGCGGACGCCCGCCAGCCCTTGCTGAGAGGGACAAAAGACGCATCGCCCGAGTTCTTACCATTGGCCCTTTCGTAACTGTTGCGGAATTAAAGAGAGAGGCCGGTCTAGCCTGTTGCTTGACGACACTTGCTTCTTTCCTCGAGAAAGGACGTATCCAGCGCCTTGAAGCTATCCAAAAATCTGAACAACAGCAGCTTGTTGAAGGCAATGCGCCGCCAATTGCACCCTCTGTCTGAACTACGCATCATTTCTAGCTATGTTCTCGGTATAGGTGGTTGTACATCGATTACAATAATTCTAATTTGAAGCCTTAACTGTTCTTTGCAATGTGCTTTGCCCGCTTTTTTCTCGTAAAACCACACGTTGACTGCAGGATACTTGGGAGACTCAACTTTCGTCTCGATTAATTTCTCTTTTTTTTTTTTTTTTTCTACTTTCTTTTTAAGATATTAGAGCGAGGATTGAATGCAGCTTAAGGGCATATCGCCGGAGTTATGATGAGTTGAAGGGATGATTATATATTAAGCGGCTCTGACTCTGCTAAAGCCAAGTCAGTTGCCAAGGGTAGCTCACAAGGCTGGTGTACGGTTTGTCGCACATGGTATCTACATTTTCGCATCTCTTCCAATGCCGGTTTGGCCAACGGCAAAGTCTCTCTTCTCCTCTGCAGATAGCCTCGTCTCTGCGGGCTCTCCCTGAGACCCCTCCTCAATAGTCGCAACCTTATCCGTCTCAACAGGGACATGATCTCTGACGACCAGCCATGTGGGGTAGACAGCAAGACCTGCGTCAAATTAGCATGTAATCTTTCTTCATTGTTAGTTGATTCACGACTTACCAAGAAGAATCGTGTTGACGGCCAGAGGCACACGTCCTCCTTTCCATTTCCGTGTGTTCAATCCGAAGGAGACTGCCTGAGCGAAACTCTCCTGTCCACGCAGAACACCAGAAAAGCGAGCAAGCTCGGAGATGTTGTCGGTCTTCGTGGCGAGGAGGTAGTACAGCCAGTTCTGCAAAGACTGTCTCGCAAAATCCCACAGAAGCAACACAAAGAAACCCTCAGTAAAACCCTTATCCTCCCAGTCGTAAGAGGGAGGGTTACGGGTGTACTTCTCCTGAATAACCCATCCGTATACCCAGGCGATGATGTGCCATACGACAACGTAGTAGAAGCCAATGTTGATGCGCTTCTTGACGCTGAAACCCTTGTAATCAAGCAACATGCTGATGAGCTGGGAAGAAAGAAGGGTACCGAAGTTGCTAACAAATCCAATAAGTGCACGTGCACGGACGCCAAAGTAGTATGCTTGGAAGTTTCCGCTGTACTGGTTGAAGTATGCTGCCCAAAAGATGGGGAGAAGCAGGAGGATATCCTTTCTCATGGAGATGCGGAACAGCTCTCTGAATTCCGCAGAGAAGGACTTTTCGGCCTTGATAATGACCTTGCTGCCATCGGATCTTTGAACTTTCTCGGGTGGGGAAAGAAGGAGCGCAATAGGCACACTGAGACACTGCAGCGCAATGAAGACCAAGTATGTCTCATACCCAACCTTGCCCTTTTTCTTTGCGTTGGCATCGTTATTCAAAGCCAGGACGATTGCACCACCCATCAACGGCCCCCCTGTCCTCATAAATAACCAGATATTCATGTATTTTCCTCTCTTGGACGGCTCGGGGTATCCCAAAGCAACGGCACCCTCTGAAGCCCAGAACAGACCGGCCGAGATACCGCAAGCGGCAGCACCAACAAGAACGAACCAGACATTGCCGTAACGGTTATTGCAATAAAGTCCGGCAGAGTAAAGGGGATAGCCAGCAGCGCCGAGGAGAAGGGTCCAGGCTAGACCGATGCGGTTGGCAATGGGACCTCCGAACAGACAGAGGAATCCCATAAGACCGAACACAAGGGCGTTGGCGGCATTGACAAGGAACGGCTCCTGAGCACCACCTGCCCCAAGTGCGTTCATGGCATTCCAGAGGCCAGGGGCCATAAAACCTGTATTTTGTTAACATTCAAGCTTCGCCAAGTTTGACGTATCAGAAGCACTTACCAACTCCTCCAATCACAAACGCATTGAAGAGAGTAGAGTGATACCACTGCTTCTTCACCGGCCCATCGACCGGGGCATGGTCTTGGACCTCCGAAGCCGGAGTCTTTGATGTTTCTTCAGCCATTGAGTTTGAATTGACGCTTGTGCCGTGATAACCAACACAGATAGAGTTGAGCCGCAAGCGGGCTTATTCGTCTTTATACTCCATAAACATACGTCTCGGTTTTGCATCGTTTATTATGCCCGTCATTAAGCCGTTCATCACCGACATCTTTCTCTAAATTTTTCATCAATGGATCGACTGCTCATTCTGCACCCGAATGACGAATATGCTAGCGCGCCGTGAGGTTACCATCAAACCCACTTGTAAGAGTCACTCTTGGCGTCTATTGGATTGGTCAAGTGGGGATTCACCGATCTGCGGTCGGAAAATTAACCGTATTAGGGAGGTCTACTAACGAGAACCACATTCGTGGGAATCTCGCGTGGAACCATCTACTTGGCGGATGGCTGGAAGTTGACCGGCTCAGATTTTCTTTGGCTTCCCAGACATCGCGAAGCATCTTAGTGGCAACACCATTACAAACTGAACTGATGAGGGCGAATCTCGTGATTGACGAACTTTTGCGTCTTGGCAATCCTCACCGAAGAACGGCCCGCGGCCCGCGAATTCTTCTCTATTTTGATTTTCTTTTTCCCTTTTCTTTTGGGCTCTTTGTAAACTTCGCTTCAGAGCTTTGCTTGGATCTGCTTCTTATTCGCTTCTCTTTCCTTCAACTCTTTCCACCACTTTTGCTTCAACGACAACACGCCGAAACCCAGAACCGCCCATTCGTCTTCCCACGCAGGCAACTCATAAGCATCAGTTCCTGGAGCAGGAGGACCAGCAACCTCTTTGAGGAAATTGAAGTACTCTTTGAAGTCAGGCTTGATCTCGTGGAACTGCGACGTGGGACCCTTGTACTGCAGCCGCTTCACCTCCCACTCATCCTGCTCCCGTGGGGAGGGCAGACCCCCACCTCGGTTGGCAAAATACCGCGCTACCGCAACGGCTTGGTACTCGTAAGCCCGGAACGAAATCGCCGCCTTGACTTGTCCGACGACCGTGAGCGATGGGTCTGAGATGTTGAAAACGTGCTGGAAGAAACCCGACAGTCTACCGCTGGGGGTGACGGGGTCTGGAACTAAGAATGGGTAAGACAGCCGGTAACCGGTGCCGAAGTGGACCGTTTCGATTCCGTCGACTTCGGTGCCGTCTTTGAAGGTAAGCCTGACGAGGTTGTTTGCGTCAACGGCCACTCGGGTGATTTCAGGTTTTAGAACCACATTGGGAAGCTCCCATGCGTCTTTCAGAATTTCATTGTACCCCCGTTGTGCAACGTAGAGGGGGCCAGAGACGATGCTGTGAATCTCGGAAACCGTGTCCGAGGCGGAGACGTTACCGCCGACGACGACGACTTTCTGAAAACCAGGTGTCAATTGCTGCCATACCAGCGTGATTGAGAGACTTACCTTGTTGAAATAGTCGTCGGCAGATCTATACGCTTTGGAATGCTCAAATCTATTTGGCAGCGCAGCAAACGTCTCCTTGAGCCCTGCGATATTCGGGACAAACGGCACGCCGTAGTGACCAGTGGCTACAACCACAGCGTCGAATTCATCCTGCCACCAGTAGTCCCTCTTTTCATGCTTCAGGTAGTACTGCGTCCTCCTGAGGGTCAGTCGCCATTTCTTCCCTACTTTTTCTACCCGCTCCACGTGAGTGTTCAGTGTGATTAAATGTGAAAACGGCTCCGCGATTTCCTCAAGGTAGCCAGTAACCTTCTCCCATGGATGCGTCGGGTTTGCCTTTCCGAAACGGTTGATCGAGACTGCGGAATGGACAGACGGAAACGGCTTGTAGGTGAAAGCCATTACTTGAGAGCCCACATTGCTGTCAAGCGACGGGTATATGCCCGTTCTAGCAGTGACGTTCTCAGATGCAGCTGGCAAGGATTGCGGGAACTTTTTGGGTATGTCCCGGACAGGTTGGGCGGAATGCGGTAAAAAGGGTTCTGGCTCTGCATCATAGATCCTAAGCAGTCTCATCAGCTTTTGGCTCATACATATACTCGAAACAACTTACCATGTCCCACCGACCTTTTCTCTCCTGTCAAATAGTTGTATCCTATCAAAGACCTTTTCATCGCTAAGCGCCTTGACGGCCGAAATCCCTGAGGGACCCGCGCCAATGATGGCAACACTTGAGTAGCGAGGTGCCATGCTAAATCGAAGCAACTTGTATCCAAAAACACTCTTTGCTCTTCACGATGCAAGCTTTGAGACACTTCATCGATTCTTAACGCGGAGCTCGGCATATCTTATATCGGCTGCTGTCTGACGAAAAGGCTGCGCATATGACGTGCTTCGCGGAATCTGAGATGCGGTGTGCCGAAGTCCCACCGGAAAGCTTGGTGTCAGCAATGCAGCAGATGGCGAAATAATAATTGAGGGAGTTGCGGTCTAACTTTGGAAATCGTGTTCATGGATTTAAGTTGCGTGAATCCTGCCGCAAATGGTGGATCTATTCATTGCGTAGGAAAGTGTTCGCGGTGCACTGAGCAGGTCTAGCAGCATAGTTGGTGGTCGGTTGAACGTAAAACACGAGCAACTAAAATGCCAAGCATTTCACCTAATCTTCAGCTGTCATGTTTACTACTACTAAACTCAAAGGTAAATTCGTCCGATGGGCCTCTGGCTGTGCGATAAGTGCCTTTCACAACATAACAAGGTATCTAGCAACGTCTCATCCGGAAGGACTTACCCAGGTAGCTCGACTACTTTATCGAATATTTCCAATCAAACTCCAAGTCATGTGTAATCTCCTTATAATTGGGATCAATTTTGGAAAAAATTAAAGCTCATTGGTTGGAATGCTGAGACTTTCAGCTGAACAAGTATGTATGTTTGTCGTGGATCTAGTCGGGACTGAGAAACATGGCTTGATGACCATTACTGAACATAACTTAACAATAGGCTCAATTTAAAAGTTCCAAGGTGTTTCAATTCTTCATAAATACGAATCATGTGGATACTGTTTTATACCCAAAGTTGCGATGGTAGATGCGTGGCATGGCAAAATCGAGCTGATAAACTATGCAAGGTCTCTCTTTACAGACTCTACCAACAAAGCCTTTCCAAATGGCAATCATTCGAAAAGACTTCTTGATTAAAATGGCTATAATTTGTTTCAGCACTTTTTAACTAAAGATAGACTGGTCTGCGCCGTATTTTTCGTCGCATAAAATAGTTTATTACAGGACTGGAGATTCCATTGAGATTGGAGCTTCTAATTGCAGATGATCAGGCAAGTAATATCAATCTGTATATTGACCTAACTTAACACATCCATAGCTATGCTGCAGCGGCTTTAACGACTCGGGATTCCTAAGGTTGGTATCCTAAAATCAACGCTCGTGCCGTGACAGCCTCAGGAAGGTTATATTTCGACCTAAGGCCTCTGGCAAAGCATTCACACTTTCGCGATACCAGTCTTATCAAAATTGAGGCGCTATGGATCTTTTTACATTCTACTCGCCCATGAAGACTCTCGCTCCCCACACGGGTTGGTTGTAGTACCTCGGCCAGAACCCCGCCTCACCCGCTTATCCTCCGCTTATCACCCCGGATCACGTCCTATCAACCAACCTGTCAGCCAAGACATATGCAACTTCACGGCGCATTTCAATGGAACGTGACAATCTGATCCCTGCATAGCATCATCCCCCTCAGTGTCTCATTATCTTTTCCGGCGCGGATATCTTCGTCCAGAATCCTACTGATGTTGTTCCGACCAGTCTCAAGCTTTCAGATCTTATCGATCGGTTGAAGATTGCCACCCAAGGCTCTTGAAGATAAGTTATATGGGGCTCGCGTTAGCATCTTTCGATGAAGATGCGAGATAGCTCAGTTAGCAGTCGTGTTTGGCGTCTTGGTTTGCTGCAGGTCCCGCTAGAGTTATGAATATCCTTGTTTCTTGATCGGACATTTGGATGCCGTCGTCAACAGTTGGAGATCTCCGCGGGAATCCTTATCTCGAAGACTGAACTCAGCAAGGGTAACTGTCGCCATCGGCGGTAATCAGGTTGGCCCAACACATATAAACCGGCTAGAGCAGCTGCACCTCCATGACCAGATGACCTTTGAGTAGTCCGTGGCTCGCCTTCTGGTACCCCGCGTCTGCTTTGACCTTTCTTTTCCATACTTACTAAAAGTTCCTCCGTGAAAATTAAACATCATGGCTTCTCCTGAGAACCATGTTACTGAAAAGAATACAGTAAAAACTGATGATAATGTGTATTCGGACACCAAGAGCGAACAAAATGGAGAGACAGATTTGGGTAGGCTCCTTGAAACCTTCTACCATGAGACATTATTGATATGCTACAGTCGAGGTTGAAGCGCGCTACACAAAGGAAGAGTTTCACAAATTGAAGAGAAAAGTTGACCGATACCTGCTACCTTTAATGTGGTTGTGTTATGGCATACAGCAGGTCGACAAGACTGCACTCGGTGTCCAAGCTATATTCGGTTTGCGTGAGGATACCGGTCTGAAAGGCCAAGAGTATTCGTGGCTTACAACCATCTTCTGTATGTCTCCACCCCACATCCCGAGCTCAACACGATGTCACGCTAACCTCACAACCTGACAGACATAACGTACATGTGTTTCGAGTTCCCTAGCAACGTGGTCCTCCAGCGGTACAAAATGGGAAGAATGTTGTCAATTTATATGATCTGCTGGGGAATCATCGTGCTATGTATCGGCTTCGCAAAGAACTTCACACATCTGATTGTTCTTCGTGGGCTGCAAGGTGCCTTTGAGTGTTGCATTTCACCTGGTTTCATTCTTTTGGTTGGAACTTGGTACAAAACTCGCGAACATGCTTCACGCTCGCTCGTATTTCAGAGTGCAAACGCTGGATTTGGCGTCATTGCTAAGCTCATCATGTACGGCATTGGTGTTGCGACGCAAAATCGAGAAGGAGCACAGCCATGGCGATATATCTCATACGTAAGCTTTTTGACAAAACCTACTTCTAACGTAAAGAGATTCTAATTTGAGTATAGTTTCTTGGAGGACTTACTACATTTGTTGGTTGCCTCTGTCTGTTGCTGCTCGGTACCCCTTCCGAGGTATTATGGCTGTCGAAAGAAGAAAAGGAGATGGTATGTCAATGAACAATGAGTGCTTATTTCTCTGCTAATATTATACAGGCAAGCGCACGTATTATGTCTAACAACACCGGCCATGACCGCACTGCCATCAAGGGTTGGAAGTGGAAGCAGGTCCGCGAGTGCCTCGTTGACCCATGCTTCTGGTTCGCCGGAATCAATGCCTTCCTCAGTTCAGTACCTAACGGAGGCTTGACGACGTTTGGTAGTATTGTTATTACGTCTTTCGGTTTCAGTAAGTTAAACCCGCCCTCCTATCTTCTATCCAAACCAGAACTGACCATGTTTCCCAAGCCAACCTCCAGGCCATTTTGATTGACATTCCTCGTTCCGTGTTCTCCGTCATCATTTTTATTGGCGTTGGCTTAACCTGCAGCAAGTATTCTAATCTGCGTCTCTGGTTCATGGCTTTCTCTGTCCTTCCACCTTTTGCTGGCTTCATGGGCATGTCTCTCCTCGACAATGACCCAGCGATCAAGTGGACGAAGTGGGGCTGCTATTTCATGACCGTCCCCTTTGTTCTGGGTCTGTTCCTTGCATGGACCTTGATACCCAGTAATACTGCTGGTCGCACGAAAAGGACCATCACTAGCAGTTTTACCTTTGTTGGATATTGTGTTGGCAACATGGTCGGCAGCCAGATCTTTGAAGCCAAGGATGCCCCGAAGTACACACCAGGCACCATCGGTTGTGCAGTTTGCTTTGGCCTCGAGTTTGCGCTTATTTTGACTTGGCGGTGGGTTTTGGTCAGACGAAACAAGAGAAGAGATGCTCAGATGGCATCCGACGGTTTGACTGTTGAAGATCGAGCGAAGAAAGGTAAAGAATATGGTGAAGCAGACTGCACTGACTTTGAGAATCCTTATGTAAGTTGCTCTCATGCTTCTCGCCAGTCAAGATTTGACCTAACAAAGCCAAAGTTCCGGTATACCCTATAGTCGCAGCTGGGAATATGGTAATGATCCATAAAGACAGCAAGAGAAGCGCTCGACGACAGGTTCCGAGGAGAGAACAATTGCTTTGCTTAAACAGATTGTTTCCAGGCATCATCTCAATTCAATCTCTTCGGGGGAGAAGGTTGGTAAGATGAGCAGTGATGGTGCACTGGGTCTCAGAGAAGGGTTAACTGCCACATGAATTTTATTTTAGTTTGAAAATGGATTATCAATAACGTACATGATAAGCGAGTGAGACAGACAAGCGAGTGAGACAGTAAACCAGACCTTCGCGACAATAATATCGAAATCTATAACAAGAAATCTTAGATTGATTAATACTACTCGGATTCCTGTTCTTCGGATGTTTCCTCAATAAATTGACATGTTCTCGCGTTGTGGCCTGTATTCCCGCATACGCCACACCGACGATGAGTCGTCTCAGACCTCACTTTGCGACCACTACTCCGTCGCGTTTCCTCTTGTAGTTGCGTGTCTGCCTCTCTTTGCGACTGTATATCCTCTCCAGTAGATATAGTAAGACTTCCTCCTTTCTGTAGACGTGTTTTCTTAGCCCTTCGACGCCGACTTAATATTGCATTCTCCTCTCGAAGGATTTGAACCTCTGACTCTAGTAATGCTACCCGATGCCCTAGTCCTTCTGTCCCTCTGGCTAGCTTACTCACAGCACTATAAATTGATGCTGGAGAGCTGCTTCGGTGGCGTGAGATTCGACTCTTAATAAAAGTAGACTGTGATCTTGCTTCGCTTGGGTTGCTCGGCGTCCTAGAGATCCAAGGGTCTGGTGTCTGAGGGACCCCCTCCTCAGGCGTTGGCGTTCGGAACTTTACATCCAGCTTTGAGAGAACACTTTCTGCATTCAAAGGGACAAGTCCAGCTCCTCGGAAACCTCCCTGGATATTTTTCCTCGTAAAAGACTGCTTAAAAGCTTCGTGAAATGCTGCAAAGAAATCTTCCTTCGAGATATGGGTTGTGCCTCGCCGCATCTTATTCTCAATTTGCCGACCGTAGGCATTCTTTAACGGCTGAAAACAACCAACATCTAAGGGTTGAAGTAGATGAGACGAGTGAGCCGGCATGCACAGTGTAATAATGTTGTTTTCTTGACAAAAGAGCTCGAAGGCTGCGGAGTGGTGACTTTCATGACCATCAACAACGAGGAGGCGATATTTCCTAGACGTACGTAGTTTTGTATAAATGTCGAAGTGTCTGATCCAGTCAATACCTCTCTCGTTTGTTGTCCATCTATTTTCAGACGTTGCAATAGCCCAATCGCCCGGAAGAGAGGTTTCTGTATACCAGCTTGAGAGGTGATACTGGCCTGCAACGATGATGTATGGCGGGATGCTCTCCCCTTGGGAATTAATAGCCTGGATAACTGTAACCCATTCCCTATTGCCAGGCTGTGTCATCTTCGTATTTGAACGCCTTTCAGCACTTGTAACAACCATTCCAGAAGCAATAACGCCCATCATAAAGCCGGTCTCATCAAAGTTGTAGATATCAGCATCAGCAATACCATACTTCGCAATTGTATTCTTCACAAGCGAAAACCAGCCACGAATCACCTCTGGATCTTCGCATTGAGCTCTCTTATAGTCATACTTGCGAAAGAAACGCGTCCTAAGCTGTGGTTGTCGCTTGACGAAATTAGAAGCCCAGCGCTTCCCAACTGGAGGCGCGTCGCGCTCTGCGAGAAGTCGATTGGCCATTTCTTCCACACCACTCAGCCGGGGAGGAAATGATCGCGCATCTAGGTCGAGAATATACTCAACTATTGTCTTCTCTTCTAAATCTGATAAATTCCGTGAATTAGGCATGCTGTCGCGTCGTGAGACTATTCCCTTTAGTCGCCGGCTTAATGTTGCGTGACTGACTGTATAGAGTGCACCTGCGGCCCGAGCACTAAGTTTTGGGTCATTTCTCATTGCTTGAAGGGCAATTTGTAACCTTCTTTCAATACTAGCTGATTCCATGATTTATTGTAGAGGAAAAGGTGCCGGTCGCGTCAAGGTGCGACGGTCGCGGTTTACTGTCTCACTCGCTTGTCTGTCTCACTCGCTTATCATGTACGTTACAGATAGACATTTAAAATGCAATTAGGTCCATCTGTATTTATCACTTCGCACCTCTTTGGAGCGGTTCAAGTGTATTCAAAAGTACTGATCTTAGTCAGATTTGATTAGGGAGAAAGAAAAGACGCATAAGCACACATAGGCCTTGCGTCCAACGAGCCACACGAGCAACCCATGAATCCCGTTTTATGGGCCATCGCAGGTTGCTGACGAGTTGAGCACCCGAACCTCCTAAGGCCAGCATCATGATACAGTTCAAAGTAAAATACTGCTCTTGGACTTCGATTGGGTGTCAGGAAGGTCTGTTTTGGATGTGACATGCTCGTCTGGAATCTGCTCCATCAAGCTAGCACGGGTGCATCGAACACCTTTACGCAAATAGAGGGCAATAATCAGTCATGTCTGATAAGATTAGTTTGAATTAACGGCCTGCCTAAGGCGTCGCCAATCATTTAATCAAAATTGGGACGTAAGGTTTGCAAAATTCGCAATCGCAATATACGTGAGGTCGTGACGTTGAAAGTTATGTTGTTAGTGGCTATGGCTTGGTCTGAACATTCCTGAAATCAAGCAGTTGCCGAATCTGTCAAGAAGTATGCAACCCATTGGCGCCAAGAGTAGCACAAGTTGATTTCCACCAATGTTCAACACTCGCAAGTCTAAGGAGGGATGCGCAATTTAATTGCTTAGCTGAGCGAGGTTGCATGGGTTTGGTCTTGTAAAGTCGGGTACGGCAAAGAGGTCGAAAAATCATGATGTGATGCGGGCCGTGACGGAACTTCGAACAGCATTCGCCTTGAAGACATCCGTATAAGGCTCATTACGGTTTTCGAACAGGATGTTTTGGAGAAAGGCGGTAAGGAAAGGTTTGTTCCCATGTAGTTTGCGTATCGGAAGAGGGATTAACCCTATGCTACGCCAGAATGGATCTAACAGTTTCTTTACATGACTGTATTTCCCAATGTCTGCACAAAATAAGACATGATTTACAAAGCCATCTGTAAATATATGCATGTGGAGATTTACACTTAATTAATCACAATATTGCTTTAGACCAGGGTGGCGGTGTCTAATCTAAGTCCGCTTGTTCATGGCTTCCAGCGTCTAACCAAGATATGCATAACCACGTAGACAACGGTTCCAAAACCCAACATGCCAGAAATAACACCGAATCCCATAAGGTACTTTGGCGCATCGTCGGTTGGGAATAAATACGCCCCGTAGATCTGTGCCAGGTTTCCAAGAGCGTTCATTAGTGCCAGCGCAATGGCACGCACCTCTGTGTCCATGCTTCCAAAGGTCGAGCTGGCAAAGGACAGTGACATGGCGTTAGAGGCCCATAGTCCAGCTGCCATAAGAACAAGTAGAACGTAGCGTGCGGTAAAGTTATACACCACACAGACAATGATTGACGTGACCATACTAAATGCGAGCCACGCGGCAATGACTAACCCACGATGGTCTGGGATTTTGTCACCAAAGTAGCCGGTGATAGCAGTGCAGACAAAGGCAAACGCATAAATGGGAACCTAAAATTCAATGTCAGAGCTCTATATCTTTTTAGACTCTCCAAAATGATGTGAAGACATACTGTCATGTATTGCGCTTGAACGGTTGATGTGAAGCCGAGGCCATGGACAAGAGTAGGGTAAAAGTACGACAAGGTGGAAGAACCAACGATGACCTGATGCGTAGTTAGTTATTAATTCTAAAATTTTCAATGGAGGCTTAGCGACTTACCATATAGCCAAAGATGAATCCCCATGTTCTCCAGTCTCGAAGTGCCAAGAGGAATGACTTTCCCTTGCCCAACTTTTCGGCTTCATCACGGACGGTGACGTTGTCCTCCTGTAACCGAGCAACAGCGATTTGCCGCTCCCGTTCCGACAATCTCTTAGAGGTTGAAGGAAAGTCAAGCAAGATGAGGGATGAAATTCCGGCCCATCCGATGGTGGCAATACCCTCCACGATGAAGAGCCATCTCCACCCACGGATGCCATGTGCTCCCTCCAGACCGCTTGTTATAGCACCGGCAAGTAATCCGCCAAAAGCGCCGGACAAGATAGCCGCGGACATGAATACAGCGAATCTTCTCGATTGTTCCGCACGTCTATACCATGACGAGATGATGAGTAGGATGCCTGGCGCAAATCCTGACTCCATTATACCGACGAAAACTCGGAGAACGATAAGATGATGGTAGTGTTTGACAACAGCCATGATGCATGTGAGGACACCCCAAAGAGCCATGATGAATGGTAGGTAGAGCGACGGACGGGTTCGGACGAGTATCATGTTGGAAGGCGGCTCGAACAGGACGTAACCAACTACACAAGGTTAGATACACGTTATCACAAAGTAGGGCTAGCAAAAGACTAACTGAAGAACACAACCAAGACAACACTGTATTGGGAAGATGAAAGGCTGAGATCATCAGCCATGCCGGCAATCTTAGCATTTCCAATGCTGTGCAATAATTAGTTTGAGGCGTTTCCCAAAGTCTAACGAGTTTGACGTACTTGGTTCTATCCATGTAGGATAGCAGATACATAAGCCTGAAAGGATAATGATTAGTATCACGGCTCGAAGAGTAAAAAGACTTTGATCTCTATCGCACCATATAGTCGGCATCAAGAAAAGGTCAATTTTTCTGACGAGCGCCTTCTCTTCCTCTTCCGTCCATGTAATCGTCTGGCTGGATGATTCGATATGCTCAGGCTGGTTGCCCAAGTCTTTCTGGTCGTTAACTTCCATGCTGGGCGAAGGCGACGACCTGTGAGCAGTCATGACTTCTGCTTTGTTTACGCTTCGCAACTCTCTAAGTATGGTTCCGAGTGACAGTGTGGAAGGTAATGACAAGCAGTGACTAGTTGCCAGGACAGAATGTGGCGACAGTTTCAACACCCGTAAGCGACAGACTGTTCTTTATAGAAGATCTGCGTGATGTTGTTGAGACTGGGGTGTAAAGGCAACATTAGAAGCCGGTAATTCTCTAGAGCCCTTTGTCCTCGCTCTAGCTCATCTGAGACTTTGCCCCCGCAAAGTAGCCACTCACCCCGTGGAGGAGGCCTGGGCAGCGTCCCCAGGAAATGGCACCCCAGATTTCGGGGAAACCAAGGGTGACCCTAGACTGAATCTAGCAAGAGAGGCGTGGTTTCCGGATGAGGGGAATCCAATTGGACTTGCGAACGAGAGATTTTACTAGTGCCGGCCTCGATGCGAAGTCTGCGATGGTGTGCCTCGAAGCGAAACAACCTTCGCATTCATTCCGATTGGCTGAAATAATGGGATCTTCCACAATGCTTCCCTGCGTGCATGACTCGGCAGATCCAAACTTCACTCAACAGGGAGACGATTCGACCGTAACCCCCGTGTCGATGTTCGTCCCACCACTCATATGCTGGCTTAAGCTGGCTTCAATACACTGCAGATCAAGTAGCCGACGGGCAACATCCGATACAAGTCCAATGCGGAGTAGAATATGACGGCAAGATTATCCGCTAAATAGTATATCTTCGGGCCTGATTCTCTTAGGAATCCCAACCGCTGACTTCCTATACTCTTATATCAGCCCACCTGGTCCACACACATATCTGCGCAGTCTCTACACGGCCGTATCCTGCAGGCACTCCAGTTATCATCATGTCTCCTAGCGCAACCGCAGACGTAACTTCTACCCAAACCGGCAACGGTAACGGGAACGTCGCCGCACCCCCTGCAACTTCTGACACCCCAGAGTTCCTCAACACCCAACCGGGCCCTGACCATGACTGGAAAATCTCGCTGAAGAACAAGGTCATTGCCATCACTGGCGCAAACAGGGGAATTGGCCTCGGCATCGCGGAAGTTTGCCTTGCCAACGAAGCCGCAACTGTGTACTCTCTTGACCTCTTCGAGCCGGGTGAGGAGTTCCAGGCCGTTCAGAAGGCAAACCCCAAGCGAATTCAATACATTCACTGCGATGTCACTTCTGAGGACAGCATTACCTCTGCCATTGACACCATCATTGCCAAAGAAGGCGCCATCCACGGCCTTGTCGCCAACGCAGGCATGACAAAGCACCAACCGGCACTCAACTTCGATCGTGCTCAGCTGGAGCAGCTCTTCAACCTCAACGTTTTCGGCGCCTACTTCTGCGCTACCACAGTAGCCAAGCGGTTCATTGAGCTTGGTATCAAGGGTTCCATCGTCTTCACCGCCTCCATGACCTCTTACCGGCCCAACCGCGCCGCCCCGTCAGCCCCGTACGGTGCTACCAAGGGCGCGGTCAGGAACATGACGCACACCCTCGCAATGGAGTGGGCGAAGCACGGTATCCGAGTCAACTCCATCTCGCCAGGTTTCGTAAAGACGGCCATGACCTACTTTGTTGACCAGGCTCCCGACTGGAACCTCAAGATGCAGTACTATGGGGGTATGCCCCGGTTGGCTGACCCCAAGGAGCTTGGTGGAGCCTACGTGTACTTGCTTTCCGATGGAGCTTCATATACCACTGGTATTGATATTCCTGTTGCGGGTATTGTTGGCGCTTGGTAATGATTGGGTGGTGGGAATCAGGAACATGTAATGATATACACGAAAACATACCATAGAAGTTAGAACTTTCAAAGACTTGAATCCAATTGCACATTTCGTTCCAGTGAATCTTGGAAATAGTGGTAAACATAACACATTATCTACGTAGTCATCGTCAAAACCCTTCCTTCCATATCCGCCCCAATTCTTCTGTTAACCCTTTTGACGGGAAGCTGCTGATTTCTACTGATTTTCGCAAAATCCCAAGCAGCTCTGTTTGTTTCTCTTCATTCTGAGCACACTGGCCGACTGTCATGGGGTTGTTACTCTGGGGACATGCAAAATCTACAGCACCTGGCAACTTACCTGCAAAGACAACTTGCACATTCAAGAATGACATGGCAAAATCTGTTTCCCGGCAAGACTTTGCTATACCACAGACATTGTGGAGACTCTCGTTCAGGAGCTTTTGTCGCCGCCGGTAAGCATTGAGACCACCAGTTGATGGTTGTGCCAGGAGAACTACGGATCGGGCGAAATGATACATCTGCATAGCACCAGCGTTTCTAGGGGGGTGGACCCAGATTGAATCGAACATTTCCTTGGAAGAATGCTCTTCGACTGGAGCGAAAGCCGGACCTTGACCGAGATGATGTACAGACGGGGAAGAGGAACTAGGGCGATTCGCCCCTGGTGTTGCCTCGGAGGTTGAGCCTGCAGCGATAGGAGAAAAGGAGCCTGGTAGCGCCTCACGCCATTCCTCTAACGACCTGAGCAGCCGGTTCCCTAGGTTCATGCGCTGTTGCAGATCCTGGATGGAGGATGCCGCGTCAGGTGCAGCATAAGCCACACACTTTGCGGCGAGAAATATTATTCTGTTGGCCAGGTCGTCAGGGTTAAGATCTTGGAGGGTCTTCTGGGGTTGGAATATTGTCAATGTGCGGCGACCGGATCTGAAAGCCGCCCATATGTCTTGGCGAATCCATGCCCACCATACGGCCCTCCTGAAGCTATCGGCAGATTCAGCGTTGTTGTCTTGAGAACGCTGTATCCAAAACGCTCCTCTGAGATGTCGTTCCCAGTCCCCACTGGTTGATGGGCCATTTGAGTCGAACATCTCGTAAGTACTGATCATTATGGCAGTAGCCAGGATCTCATGGGAGTTGGCATAAGACGGATACAGCAGCGTGTGGGACAGATACTGTAGCGTCTCATAATAGTACTGAGTTGCCATGCGAGCTGGATCCTGCTCTGCGAGGCTAGCCTGGAAGTTCGTATCCGGTGATGGGGGGTTGCTTGGGATTGGGCCAGGATTATTGTGATTGAACCCCAGAGATTTGTGCCTCGCAGCCACGGCAAGAATGGATTTGAGAAGACCGACATTGTGGACAGCGAGGTGGGGAACGACGTTAGTGAAGTGTCGTTCGGGGTCAAAGAGATCGAGAATAGGGCCGACTACGTCGACATAGTAGTGAAAGTAGATCAGATCGGTCCCTGACAACTCGATGTTGGTAATCGTGTTCCAAGGCGGGGTGATTGGGGCGTCATGTTGATCAAATGGTGCCCGGTGTCCTTCGCCATCGTCCGGTGATTCAGGGATGGGAGTTTGTCTCCTCGATAGGGTACTCTCATCGAAGACCCACCGCACTTCACCGTTGGGTAAGCTGTTGAGTCTCTGGATATTGTTGATAGCATCCTGAGCGAGCAAGTCGTACCACTCAAAGGGGGAGATGTTGAGCAGGGATGTGTGGCTAAGTGCCAGGGGTGAAAATCCGAGATCCGCCTCAGAGACACCAGCCTGCAAAGTATCATCAACGCCAAGGGAGCCACACGGGTCAGGAGGGTTGAAGGAAGACACAAAAGGCGTTGCGAAGTCGGCCGGGCGAACGGTTATTGACGCTTCCTCGGCAACTGGTGAAGCCACTAGGTTGCTCTCCGCCTCTTCCGTTGTGGAGGTAACAGTAATCAGATCATCACCTTGGGCGTCCTGGTCCGCATTCGAGATAATGGATCTTGAACGATTTCGGCCTTCTGACAACTCTTCACTGGTGGATGCCAGAGCATACTGACAATCGCGGTCTGACTTGCAGCACTGGGCACATTTTGGCTTGCCTTCGTCGCACTTAATACGTCTCCTCCGACATGTCAGACTAAACTCAGCAGTCATAAGTTAGTCTATTCAGAACAACACAGTGACTTGATCAGATGAATAACTTATGACGTAGGGCCAAAACATTATGCACTTACCAGCCAGTAGATGTCCGCAGGCCGCGTGCTCTCGAAGGTCGGACGCGTCGGGGACGGCTTTCTGGTCCCGGCGGTGCGACAGAGGATGCGGTTGACCTGCGTCTACCTTTCTCCACAGCACTCATCAGCTTATCTCGCGTCGAGGGATATTGTCCCTCCTGCTGGGAAAAAGGGGCATGCGAAGAACTCGACAGGGTTGGTTGGGCGATGTGCACATTGAGAGAGTTCATCCATAGAACGTGCGGCTTCGTCTCGAGGCATTGCGGCCCTTAAGTACTGGCCACCGGAGCGTTTTCAGCGCTTTGAGACCCCACTAGTCGGACATTACCCCGCAGTCAGCCCCCGCAAAGTTGTCCGACGAAGGATGGCTCGAGGCTTGACAAGCCAGCATATCCCTTGAGGGGAAACCTGGAGAACTATGGTATATCGAAGACATGTTGATGCCGAGGAGATGCGGGTGATTATTGAGATCATATGGTAGGTGGAATGTGAAGTTGTTTGAGGTTGAATGTAGAGTTGTAGGTGTTAAACATGTTAGGTAGACCTGATATGAGCATTTCGAATCGACGCTGATGAAGTCACTATATCGTCAATCCTCTCATGCCATGAAAAGAGGCTACAAGAGCGACTAATCAAAGGTCTGTATGACCTGACACGACTGAAAGAGACAAAGAAGCATGTAGTTACTATGCACACGTCATGAAGATAGGAGACTCTGGGGCTTCTTTGGTTTGTGCTTCAATTGTTTTTTCTTGTCTTTACATAATTAAGCTTTACCACTACTTCCACAGAAATCCATCCAGCGTTCTGTTTCAGCTTGCAGAATGTCCATACCATCATCCATTAACTGCGTCAACGGCTTATGGGCATTGTGCTTCAAGTGCTCGTTCCAGGATTCCAATAACAACTTATTGACGTTAAGCTTGAGTGCACCATTACTAATGCATTTACTCATGACCTCTTGGCTGAAATCATTTGTACCATGAAGAGCCATGAGAACTCGCCCTTCGATCTGCTTGTTTACAGCCGAGAGCCGTTCATAGTCAAGTTGTGGCCCCGCAGGACCATAGTCGCCGTGAATGTTTCCAACACTAGGGGCGAGGAGGTCAATTTCTGCAGCGATGAAGTCCTCTACCTCGCTAGGAGTTGTGAATAGGGCTAAAAAGATCAGCAATCGCGCTTAGTTTTGGTTTACAGTCCATGGAAAGAACTGCAAATGAGAATCTGCCTACCTTCCAGGTCACCAGTATCAGCGATTCCTTCTTCACCACCATTGATGCGACCACTTTCAGCCTCAACTGCAATCCCACGCTCATGGCAAACCCTTGTCAGTACCTTTGTCTTGGCAAGATTTTCCTCATGGTCGTAATGGCTCATGTCAACCATGATGGAATCAAAAGGAAGCTTGGCGGCGACATCTCTGATCTGAGCCTCATTCTGTGCATGGTCCAGATGAAGAGATAGTGGTACCGTTGCTGATTTGACTGCCGCAGCAGCTGCCCACGCTAATGTCGGCAGCTGCTCAACTGTTGAAGGAAATAGTAGCAAGATCAATGGTGATCGCTTCGCTTCAGCAGCACGTACAAGAGCTGTAAGATGCTCAATGTTGTAACTGGAATAGCGACTTAGAAACCGGTGCAAGTTGAAAAGAAACTGAAAGGTTGCACTTACGAAATGGCAGCAAGCACACCGTAATTTCCAGCCTTTGCCGCCTGGAGAATCTGAATTGTGCGGTTCTTGCTGGGTTCAAAGGCCGCCATGTTTGCTACTTGACAGGGTTGAGAAGTAAATCGATTCGGTTTGAAAGCATGGTAGACCAACGTATTATGAAACTGCATATCGACTTCCATTGACTGGAGACCTATTCTACTCAGTTCCAATTTCACTAGTACCCCGTCGCGAGCCCTTCGGGTTGTGCGACATCACCTATTCCTAATGAGGGTTCACTAGCCTCGAGACGAGACCATCCCTGTCCTTCCAGAGTGGCACGGACTGCCACCTCGCTTCGAGGTTTGTCGCCTCTACTCCGCCTAAGCTAGGTCGAGGGCGAAAGGGAGAAACGGACTTGCCTCCGTCTCAAGATGACTGGATCATGGATCTCCAGACATCTCCACGCTGGGCATTGTTCCCCATGGGCGGCGTTTTGGCGTCGCATCGGACGTCAACCCGCACGACGACAAACGCGGGGCATGTCGTCTCGCTTTGCCATCTCCACGCGACAGTGCACCGGTCTTGTATCACCGATTGAGTCGCGATGGGGTATAAGGGGAGGCCGCGCTGCCGCAGGGCTGGCTCTAGGTGTTCTCAAGGGTGTATCGAAGCCTCTAATACTGTACAACACAAGATTCCTTTCATCAGACAACATGGCGCCGTCATTGGAACTTTACGAGAAGGCTACTGAGGGCTTGCCTGTCAAGCCCAATGTCACGAATGTTCACGGCGTGCCTGCGGTTAATGATCTCGAGTTTGAGAGCTCCGACAAACATGACAGAGTGTTGAAGGTGTTCCGAGCCTTCATTGCCGACCTTTGCCAGCAATTCAATGGCGGTCATCCAGGGTAAGCAAGATACCAACATATTGCTCTGACGTTCAATTTTAACATGTATCAAATAGCTCTGCCATGGGCATGGCAGCCATCGGTATTGCCCTTTACAAATACGTTATGAAGTACTCCCCCAGCAATTGCGAGTACTTCAACCGGGATCGGTTCGTTCTCTCTAACGGTATGTTTCCATGGAAGAATGCAGGCTGCTCTAGGAGGCCGACGAGCTGACAACGGGAAGGCCATGCTTGCCTGTGGCAATATCTCTTCATGCACCTTGTTGGCGTCAAGAGCATGACAATAGACCAACTGAAGTCTTACCACTCCGACAAGACTGATTCGCTGTGCCCTGGTCACCCGGAGATTGAAAACGAAGGCGTCGAAGTCACAACAGGACCCCTCGGTCAGGGTGTGGCCAACGCCGTTGGCCTTGCGATGGCCACAAAGAACCTTGCAGCTACTTATAACCAGCCTGGGTTTGAGGTTGTCAACAACATGACATGGTGCATGATTGGCGACGCGTGTTTGCAGGAAGGTGTTGGTCTTGAGGCTGTGTCCTTGGCCGGGCACTGGAAGCTGAACAACCTCTGCATCATCTACGACAACAACTCAATCACATGCGACGGAACGGCCGATGTTGCGAACACAGAAGATATTAACGCCAAGATGAGGGCAACGGGATGGAACGTTCTCGAGGTGCTCGACGGAAACTCCAACGTCGCTGGTAGGTTGCCAATCCCCAGTTATGCTTGAAGGCAGTCTTGCTAACAACGCTATTCACAGCTATTGCCAACGCCCTTATTGCTGCGCGAAGCAGCGATCGCCCTACCTTTATCAACATCCGCACCACGATCGGCTTCGGCTCAGTGAAGGCTGGCGACGCAAAGACCCACGGTGCAGCCCTCGGTGTCGATGATGTTGCAAACATTAAAAAGAGTTTCGGCCTGAACCCCGATGACCATTTCACCATCCCCAAGGATGTTTACGAGTTCTTTGCCGATTCTATTGAGCGCGGAAAGACCTACGAAAATGAATGGTCTGCAACTATTCAAAAGTACACAGAAAAGCACCCTGAACTCGCTGCTGAGTTCAAACTCCGCGTGGATGGTAAGATGCCGGACGACTGGACCAAGTACATTCCCAGCAAGGACGAACTGCCAACGGCCCCTACCGCCTCTCGCAAGTCTGCGGGTATCGTAGGCAACCCCCTGGGCGAGAAGATGAAGAATTTCCTCATCGGCACAGCGGACCTGACGCCGTCGTGCAACGTCGCCTACAACCAGAAGGTTGACTTTCAATCTGTAAGTTGTCCTAGTTGGGCTTATTGTCGTCGAGTACTGACATCGTGTCATAGCCTGAACTGCGAACTGCATGCAACTTGAACGGTAACTACAGTGGCCGCTATATCCACTATGGTATTCGAGAGCACGCCATGTGTGCCATCTCTAACGGCCTCGCTGCCTTTAGGAAAGGCACTTTCCTTCCTATTACCAGTTCATTCTTCATGTTCTATCTTTACGCGGCGCCAGCCGTCCGTATGGCCGCCCTCCAAGGCCTCCAGCAGATCCATATCGCCACCCACGACAGCATCGGCACAGGAGAGGATGGACCTACGCATCAGCCCATCGCCCTGCCTGCGCTCTACCGCGCCATGCCCAACACTCTCTACATTCGTCCGTGCGACTCGGAAGAGGTTGCCGGCGCTTTCATCACCGCCATCAATGCGACAGAAACACCTACCATTATTTCCCTATCCCGTCAGAACCTGACGCAGTACCCCCAATACTCATCGCGTGAGGGTGTTGCCAAGGGCGCGTACGTCTTTGTTGAGAACGACGACTTCGATGTCACTCTTATCGGTGTCGGCTCAGAAATGGGATTCACAATGGAGACCAAAGATCTGCTCGAGAAGGATGGCGTCAAGGCCCGGGTTGTCTCCTTCCCTTGCCCGCGCCTCTTCGAACAGCAGTCCCGGGAATACAAGCAGTCTGTGCTTAAGCCGCGGGCGGGCAAGCCGACTGTAGTCATTGAGGCTTATGCCGCGAATGGATGGGAGCGTTACGCAGATGCGTCCTTCTCGATGCGCCGGTTCGGTAAGAGTTTGCCCTCCAAGGCGGCGTACGACTACTTCGGATTCAAGCCAACGAGAATGGCACCCAAGATTAAGGAGCTCGTTGAGGAAGTTAAGAGAGATGGCATTGAGGTTTTGCGGGGTGATTTCAGAGACTTGAATGGTCCTTTGGGCGTTGGGTTTGAACACTAGATTGGCATTTTACTGGCATATTAAACGAACCCTATGATAATTCGGTATGAATATAAAGAAACATGACATTTCAATCTCCATTATTTCACGTTATTCCATCATTGTATGTACCTCGACTACAAAATGATAAACACGTACAACACCCAGTCAACATGACCCAGAGATCTTTGTAGGCCGCAGAAATCGAACGATACGAGGTAAGCCAAGGTTCCCCGCGCGTAGCCTAAATGCAAGAAGCTTCAGGGGCGGAGTTCCATGGTCGGGGGTACCTTGTCCTCCTCCGCATTCTCCCCGCCGCAGATCTCTCTTCTTTCACCAGTGGCAGAGGTCGCACTTCACATCAACTTCCTAATTTCTCATGATCCTTCTGAAGGCCTCGGGCTAATTATAGCCGCATCCGACGTCACGAACCATAATGCTGGGAAACGAGAGGGGTTACGGTCTATGTATGGCCCCGTTTCCCCCGGGTTGTCCTCCGTGTGGAGGAATTCGTACCGGTAATTATTCCGGGTAAATTGCTACAAAACCGCAAGGAAATCACCTTCCCTGTGAAGGACGCTGTAGCATCAGCTGTGGGACAGAGGCTGCTGCGTCCGAAATCTGAAGCTGTCATCATGGCTCTCAAGGCATTGGTCTACGTCGCTTTGCTGCCGGCGCTGGCCTTCGGGAAGATTGACAGGTAGGCTGTTGATTTTCAGCTTTCAATTGACTACAATACTGATCAATTGGACGTAGACAAAGAATTGTTTCGCAATTCAATGTCGTTCGCACCAACCTGATCAACAATGAGACGACGCCGTTGCAAGTAGGCAATGGAAACTTTGCGTTCAATGTCGACAGCACGGGTATGCAGGTGAGATACATAATCATCTCCGGGTGATATGGCTGCAGCTAACAGGTCTTGTAGACTTTTTTGCCATTCAACACCTTATCAAGCTGGGCCTGGCACAATGACTCGTTGCCAACAAACGGGTAATTCAACCTCATACCTCTTGTAACAGTCGTGCTGACCAAACCTGCAGCGAAAAACTCAGCGACTACACTGGCGTGCCCAGATTGACTCACGGCCGGAACGTCTCCTACGATATCCCCGACTCCAAGCTTCCCGAAGTCTCCCAATGGCTGATCGGGAACCCGAACCGCATCAACCTGGGACGCATCGGTCTTAAGTACAAGGGGGCTACCCTTTCGGCAGACAAAATCACAGATCCTAAGCAAGAGCTGGAGCTATGGAGTGGAATCGTCACTTCGACCTTCAAAGTCGCTGGGGAGACCGTGAAAGTGGTCACTCAGGGTGATTTTGACACGGACGCCGTCACCTTCCAGATCGACTCCAGTCTCCTCTCTTCCGGCGACCTCCAGGTTGAGCTTGACTTCCCATACCCGCCCATCCACACGACCAAGTACAAGTATGAGGTATTTGCGGGTGTCTACGACTTCCCCTTGAACCACACCACTCGCATTGTCAAGAGCTGTGGGCGACCGGATCTGGCGCACATCTACCACGAGCTACAAGAGACGAAGTACTACGTCAACTTGCGATGGCCCATCGACGCCCCGCTCGAACTCACCAGAGACGAACCTGAAGGCTCCAACAAAGTTACTGCTCATCGTTACACGCTGTCCACTCCGGATAGCTCTGCTTCTTCGTTCGTTTTCACGGCGCATTTCTCGCCTGACCGCCGGGAGCCTGAAGTTCCGTCGGAGATTCAGAAGCGCAATGTCGTTGGATGGCACGATTACTGGACTGAAGGTGGCTTTGTCGACCTTACCCTCTCGTCCAACCCCAACGCTACGGAGTTGCAGCGACGTATTATTTTGTCACAGTATCATGTCCGTGTCAACAGTGCTGCGTCTGGTCAGTCACCTCAGGAGAGCGGCCTGATGAACAATGGCTGGTATGGTAAGTTATTTTGAGCGATTCAAGTCCAAAGCTTGAAAGTGGCCGCTAACAGATGTTAGGCAAATTCCATATGGAAATGGTTGTCTGGCATAATGCCCACTGGGTTACTTGGGGTCGTAAGAAGTACTTTGACAATATCTTCCCTCAGCTTTACCAAACTCTTTTGCCGTCTTCCTTTGCCAGGGCTAAGGCAATGGGCTGGGAGGGAGCTAGGTGGGTGTCCTTGTTACATCAGCGCCAATATGTCCCCGGCTAACACAACGTCCTAGGTGGCCCAAGATGACCGAACTCATCACTGGTGTTAGCTCCCCAGGAGGTATTAACGGTCTTCTCCTATGGCAACAGGTGGGTGACCATTTCCGTGCGCGGTACTCCTTTCAAGAGAGGCTTTACTAATATTTACAGCCACACACAATGTACTTGGCGGAGTTGGCATATCAGTCCTCGCCAACTGAAGACACTCTGAAGCAGTGGGACGAGGTGATTACGGCGGCCGCCGACTACATGGCATCATACGCCTGGTTTAACCAAAGCTCGGGTCATTATGACTTGGGTCCACCGTAAGCTTCATTTTTGGTTGGCATGAAGACAAAGCTGACGATTGATTATCCAGTTCATATGGTGTCACCGAAAACACACCTCCTCTGCAGACTCTCAACTTGGCTTATGAGGTAAGATAACCAACCCCAAATATGATGTTCATGGCTTATATCCGTACAGATCGCATACTGGAGATACGGACTTGACAAAGCCCGCGAATGGAAGAAGAGACTGGGCCAGTCGGTCCCAGAGAGTTGGACCACTGTAGCGGAGAATCTTGCCCCTCCTCCCCAAGTGGACGGACGCTACGCTGTTTACGAAGGAGTCAACAGCACCTGGTGGAACGACCCAGAGCTCAACGGCGACCCGCGCAGTCTCATCATGATGCAGGGAATGCTCCCAGACACGCCCGCTGTCGATCCCGAGGTGGCCTTGAAAACGGCTGACAAGGTCTGGGAGGTCTGGACGGACCAGAAGATCCGCGGATGGGGACGGCCTGTGCTTGCAATCAACTCCGCCCGGATCGGCAACCCTAAGCGAGCCATCTACCACTTGACGGCGTACAGTTACTGGAAGTTTGACGATGCCGGTTTTGCCATAAGAGGGGGTGACGGTAAGTTTTCAAGTTTCCTCTGTTTTTGGTGTGACTTAGTGGCTGACTTTTGCAGGTGGCACGCCTCCACCTTTCATGCCTGGCAACGCCGGATTTCTCTACGCAGGTAAGCTTTGGTTTGCTCAACTTGGTTCAAAACCACATGGATTGCTAACAATGGCTTAGTCGCGTACATGGCAGCTGGGTGGCAAGGTTCGGAAGGCGACGCTCCAGGATTCCCAACCGATGCCGGCTGGGTTGTAAAGCACGAGGGCCTGCAAAAAGCTCCTTGAGGCATCTGAACTCTTCACAGTGTGCAGAAGCATTGCCACATTAGACAGTGTCATACAGAATGCGTTTTAATGTATAAATGTGTTTTGCTGGGAATAATATATGCTTGCGCGTTTATGGTACATGATATAATCTACCACTCTCTAATCTCACCTCCAGGTCCAATGAATCCAGGGCTCACCCACGCCTTGGCGTCCTTGGATAACTCACGGACCTGGTCCTCGTCAATCTCAATGCCCAATCCGGGTCCGGTGAGAAGATCAATGTATCCATCTGTGACCTTCCAGACCTCGGGGTTCTTGGTGTAACTCGTCAAGTCCTGGCCGGTGCTGTTGTAGTGGATACCCAAGCTCATCTCCTGGATGACAAAGTTGGGAGAGGCAAGATCAACTTGCACGTTGGCAGCAAGGGCAATAGGGCCAAGAGGGCAGTGGGGTGCCAGGGCAACATCGTACGCCTCGGCCATGGCGGCGATACGGCGCATCTCAGAGATACCACCGACGTGAGAGATATCAGGCTGCAGAATATCAACGCATCCAGCCTCCAAGAACGGCTTTACATCCCAACGGCTGTGGAGACGCTCTCCGAGAGCAATGGGGATAGAAGTAAGGCCGCTGATCTCTTTAATGCCGCCCAGGTGCTCCGAGAGAAGGGGCTCTTCGATGAAAAGGGGGCGATGGGGCTCAAGAGCCTTGGCGAGTTGCTTTGCCATAGGCTTGTGCACACGGCCGTGGAAATCAACACCGGCATCCATGCCAAGGGCCTTGACGGCCTTGACTCGCTCAACGGCAGCATCCAGAGCGTCCGGTGAGTCGAGCCAGCCGAGATCCTCGGTGCCGTTCATCTTGACAGCCTTGAAACCTTGCTCTTTTCTTGCGAGCCTATCTTCCTAGTTAGCATCTTCATGGGCATCAATTGTTGTGGTTGAGTTCACTAACGCTTGCTTCTCGACGTCATTTGGCCGGTCACCGCCAATCCAGGCATACACCTTGAGCTTGTCCCTCACCTTTCCGCCAAGCAGCTGCCAGATGGGAAGACCCAGCTTCCGTGCTATAAAGAAGGTTAGTTTGTAAAATTCGTGACTTCAGGGTACTTTACTGACCCTTCAAGTCCCACAAGGCAATGTCAATGCCTGCCAGAGCGCTCATGAACACCGGGCCACCTCTGTAGAAAGTCGTCCGCCAGGACATTTGCCAGATGTGCTCAATATCACTGCCAACGGTTAGCACCAAGAGTACATCAATCCATTCTTGCCAGGACAACGTACTCCGCCTCCATGCCACTGTATCTCTCAAACCAAGCATCAAGACATCCCTCGACAGCTTGGGTGTGTCCCTCCAATGACGCCTCACCCCAACCAACATTGCCGGCCTCGTCCGTGATTTTTACGAACAGCCACCTGGGTGGCACCCGGAAGTACTCCATCTTTGCGATTTTACCCATGATGAGCTTGTGTGGGGTAATGCGACGTTAGGTGAGGGGTTATTAAGAAGGGGAAGAAAGAATCAGAACTCAAGCGATGGATCGCGTTGAGATGGAGTGAATACAGATAGGACTGAGTTTGTGAGTACTTCCTTATTGCCCTTCTCTTGAGGCAATCGTGAACTATTATTACTGTGAGGAAGCGGGTCTTTGACGGAGTTGACGGAGTTGGATGCGACTATCGGAACATAGTCCGGAAGCACGCCGAGCCGTCTCCTCAATCCTGTCCGACTCCGCAGCCATCTCCATCGGAAGGAAGTACCTTAGCCGGCCCTAAGCGGCAAGTGGGGCAATAGCAGGGTCAATGCGGGGTTCGGTTTACCCTCACCCGAATCGTTACAGAGGGGCAACGGCTGGATGCGGGGGTCTCGGTGTGACCTTTTCCGCTCGGTGAGGAAAAGGTGACACGGAAAAGCTTCACCGAGAATTGGAGACTTGTGATTGGTGGTTCATTGTATTTCCATGTCTTTCATATCCATTGCCCTCCATTGCCCTCCATTGCCCCCCGATTCTATCTGTAAAGGGGCTTTCTAACTCTCTAATACACACATTTTTTTACTATGGGACTTTCTTTCATGCGGTACCTGCTCTAATCTTCTTCTGCTGTGCCACCCATGTCTCCACTGCCTTCTTCAGCGTCTCCGGGTCAGACTCACCGAAGATGTCTTGACCGAGACGGGCAGGGAAGTTGTAGCGGTGGTTTCTGTCAAGGGAGTTGATCTTCTCAAAAACGTCCTTGGGGAGCTCAAACACTGTGATTAAGTTAGCAACTGTGATAGTTACTCTTCTTGTGTGAATTGTTCTCACCTTCAAAGTTCTGCTCAATTCTTGAAGGAGTAACAGACTTGGGGAGAACGACAGTTCCTCTCTGGACAGCCCAGCTGATAAGGACCTGTGCGGGCTCCTTGCCCAAAGACTTTGCGAGCTCGTGAATGGTGGGGTCGTCAACGGCACTGCTCTTGTTGTTAGCTGCCCAGTTCTCTTGGCGCTGTACAGATATGCCACTTACCGAGGCAAGTTGTAGATGTTGTTGGCAAGGGGGCTGTAAGCCGTGACCACAATACCCTGCATTTACCCCAGATTAGCGAACCCGGCACTATGCAACCCCCCCAGATCTCTCTCTCTCTCTCTCACTCCGGGTGGCTTGTTAACTCACGTTCTCCTTGGACCAGGCCAGAAGGTCAGGCTGCTGCAGGTACGGGTGTGCCTCGATCTGGTTTACGGCCGGCTTGATCTCGGCCGTCTTCCACAGCTCCTCAATCTTCTCACGGGTGAAGTTGGAGACACCAATGGACCTGATCTTGCCCTTCTTGACAAGGTCTTCCATGGCCTTCCAGGTCTCGGCGATGGGCACATCAATGACATCAACCGCCTCGGTCACGGGGTGCAGGGGGAAGCGGTTGGTGTCGTTCTCCTTTCTGAAGGACACGGGCCAGTGAATCTAATGCACGACATTCTTGCGTTAGGCGGGGTCACCGTCAAAGCTTGTGGGGGAAAGGGGGGGGGGGGTCTCCTGGGGCCCGGAAGAGTGAGGGTCTTCTTCTTACCAAGTACAGGTCAACGTAGTCGGTCTGCAGGTCGGCGAGGGTGATGTCTAGCGCGGTCTCGACATCCTCGGCCTTGTGGTGGGTGTTCCAGAGCTTGCTGGTGATCTGAGACAAGGGGGTTAGCCGCTCGATACATTTTTAGAAAAGTCTGTTAAATGAACTTACGAAAATGTCTTTCCTGTCAACGCCAGAGGCCTTGAGACCGGCACCGACCTCCTTCTCGTTGTCGTAAACAGCAGCAGCATCAATGTGGCGGTAGCCGTTCTTCAAAGCGTGCTCAACGGCGTTCTTGACCTCATTGGGCTTGGATTGCTACACACATCACGTCTGTCAGCTTCGGATCTGATAATGGGCTGGCTGACAGCTTCCTACCCAAGTACCCAGGCCAACCGCCGGGATCTCGTGTCCCGAAAGGAGCTTGAAAGAGGTAGGAAGAGGCATGTTTGCAGAGTAGCTTTTCAGGGGAGTTACGTTTGCCGTTTTACGGATGTGTGTGCTTGTACAAGTGAGAAGAACTAATTTAGAAAAAGGCTGTTATCCGCGTTTAATGTTGTCATATGTCACACTCTGAAAAATCATGAATAAAATTGTCACAGGCCTCTTATATCCCCAACTTGAGGCTGTCGTCAGTCGCCAACGTCCTGCAATGTTTCCGTACTCACGGGACGCACTGAGGGGTCGCAGTGGCATCCGTGTACGGAGAAGGCATTAGTCAACCTCTTTTCCGGCGCTGGGCTGGAGGTGCCGCGCATGTAGCCGATCATGTCCGAAACGCCGGTGGGCCAGAAACATCGACAACGGGACGTTCCCCGCGCAAGCCCCCTTTTTGTGCAACGAGTCCCCACCCCCGCGTCATCACACCCCGAGAAACGCCATCCATGTGGATCGGAGCGCAACTTGCCTCGCGCCTTTGCCGAGGAGACCGAGACCGGTGGCTGAGAGAGGTGTCCCATCGCGCAATGTAAAATTGAGGGGTGGTGTCCAACAAAAATTCCGTCTGACAGAGAAAGGAGGTCTGGTCTGATCTTTGTTTGCAGCAAAAAAAAAAGTGATACCCAGCATTCTCGTGGCCAGTTCGAGAGCACAATCTTTCTTGTTTCTTTTCTCATCATCATCATCATACCCCCCATTAACACATTCACAATGTCCGGTGCCAGAGTTCCCCCCACGGGCGTCTTCGTCCCTGTCCCAACCTTTTTCCACCCCGCATCTGCCTCCGCGGGGTCCCTCCAGCCCAAGGTCGACGTCGAGACGCAGATCAAGCACAGCGTCTACCTGGCCAAGAATGGCATCCGCGGTCTGGTTCTCCTCGGCTCGACCGGTGAGGCCATTCACCTGAACAAGGCCGAGCGCATTGAGCTCGTTGCGGGTGTCAAGAAGGGCCTTGAGGAGGCCGGTTTCCCCGACTACCCCATCATGGCCGGTGTTCTCACCAACGGTGTTGACGAGACCCTCGAGTGGCTCGAGGACTACGCCAAGGCCGGCGCCCAATGGGGTCTCGTTCTTGTTCCTGGCTACTTCGGCACTGCCGCGAACCAGGAGAACATTAAGGAGTGGTACAACCTCATCGCCGACAAGAGCCCTCTGCCCATTCTCATGTGAGTGCATCTTATTCTTTAGGCGAGAAGAGATGAGCTGACTTAAAACTCCAGTTACAACTACCCCGGCGTCACCAACAACGTCCTCGTCGAGCCCGACACCTACAAGGACCTTGCCCAGCACCCCAACATTGTCGGTTGCAAGATGTAAGATTTTATCTAGCCATCTTTTCCTGAAGTTGTTTGATTCTAACTGGACCAGGTCCCACGGCAACGTCTCCCTCCACATCCAAGTCTCCTCCGACCCGCGCATCGACCACTCCAAGTTCCGCGTCTACAGCGGTTTCGGCCAGCAGCTCGCCCCCATCGTCCTCTTCGGCGCCGCCGGCGTCATCGACGGCCTCGCCGCGTTCTACCCCAAGACCGTCTCCCGCCTGTTCGCCCTCGCCGAGAAGCGCCCCGTCGAGCAGGGCACCCTCGAGGAGGTCCAGCGCCTGCAGTACGCCGTCTCCCGCGCCGAGGACTTCATCGGCAAGACCGGCATCATCGGCATCCGCGAGGGGATCATCCAGAAGGCCGGCTTCGGCGCTCTCGAGGGCGGCCGTCTGCCCCTCAAGGGCCGTCTGCCCGAGGCCACGTGGAAGTCTCTCGAGGCTCTCCTGCTGTCGGACATTGACAAGATTGAGAGCTCCCTGTAAATTCCTTGCCACTGCATAGCTAGCGGGTTGATTATGAATACATGATGATTTGGCCATGAATGTGCACAACTTCAATTGAGATGAAATGACGGATGCAATGTGTTGAGGGGATTGACAATTAAAAACCAGCCAGAGTTTTCCTAATCAAATGGAGATCCCGAAAGATGATAAAGACGGTTTCCTATGTTAGAGTACTCTCTGTTCGGCCGCTGTAAGGACACCATAAAATTCAGCAGCTCAGCGTCTTCTACTGTGTTTGGAGGGGTAACGGGAAGAAAGGCGGGGAGCTGGGTTAGTTACCCCGCCATCGGTGGGGCACAATATCAGTCCCAATTAGGCAGCCTCTGGTATAACAAGATCCGGAATGGTGTAATGGTCAACATTTGACGCTCTCATGCGAGGGCTCCGTCAGGCTCGGGGTTCAATTCCCCGTTCCGGAATTTCTTTTGCCAATCTCATGAAATTTTGCTGTCTTTGTTTTTCAGAATCGATTTTATCTGCTTTTCGTCTTGAATATTATTTCTTATGGTGCGTGCCTTTCGTACTCTTCCAATAATGGCTGTGGCTGGTACGTTCGGTGTGGCGCTCACGTCTGTGTGGATCTCGGGACTATCAACAGCAAGATTAGAAAAGTCGAATGGTAGCTGTATCCGCTCAAGTTTGCCGCTTAATTATGATTGTCGTTAGAACCCGTCTGAAGAATACTGTACCAAAAGATCATTTGCAGCCTTTTAAATGTCTTTGTACTTGTACCTACGTTTAGGACGTCATCTTGTGTGGTGCGAATATCGCATCTTTTTCTTAACCATGTGGCCGAAATCACTCGGTACTCTTACGACTTTTTAGTCGAGAACAATCAACTAAAGTCGGGCAATTACGTGATGGAAATAATAACCTCAGCTTCGCTTTAGCAACAGGAAGTACACTTTTTGTCTTAATACTTTAGCACTATTGTGCTCGCCGTCCTTGCTCCACAGGCAATACCAATTGAGGGGGCAAAATGTTGAAGAAATGGAAATGACAACAGATACATGCCACTGCGTAAATATACATCTTGAGGGTTTTTAAGCTGAAATAATATTGTGAATTGCCTCTCTTATGATTGCCGAGAAGAATATGTCTTTCATCGGATCGTATTGACTCTGGTTCCCGACATGCCGCTTACTACAGGATGAGGGAAAAAATGGTAAACCTTAAAAGTAATCTGATGATCTGATAAGCAGACAAAATGGAGACCAACTATCTACTATATCATCTAGTTGCACCGGACCCTCTTCTCGCCGAGTTTATTTTCTAGCCCACTTACTCAGGTAGTCTTAGAAGTAAGTGATCGTCAGGTTACATGCCAAGGCCTTACATAAAAGTTTGCCAGCCTCTACGCGTAACTGAATAAATATTTTCGGGCTTCATAACTCGAATTAACAAAAAGAAGCAATTCCCTCAGCTGAGAGTTATGGCACTGGGAGAACGTGATGGCTACACCGGAAGTCCAGCGTACGGGTGAGAAAAGTATAAGATGGGCATCAACTAGCCATGAATGCAAACAACATCCAATAGCAAAGGCCGGCAACAAGTTTTACACGCCACGGTAATCCTTCTAAACGCTCGTACTTTGATGCGAACAAAGTCACCATGAAGTCCTTCTTTGTGCTACTACTCGCCACAGCTACCGCAATGGCAGCTTCTCTCCCAAACAGCGACAACACCCTGACCCTCCTCAACCGCCAGTTCAGCGGTTGCGATAACTGCCACAACAACCCCGAATATCGTTGCGAGATTATCGACCGTTGCGTTCACAGCAAATGTTGCTAGACACCTGGTGGTTTGACGTGTATACCATCTGCTGCCAAAAAGTACAGTTCGGCCTTTTTGTTATGCAGTGATCACATATTGACGTCAGCAGGCTCCTTAACGAATCATGGTCGAGTACGATATCGATGGAATATACTTGTGGAATCGGCGACAAGCTCTATCAGGAGGGTACTTGTGACGTTTTGGTTCCCTGGGAACACAAACTAGAAGAAGCCTTGCAAGGTGGACCTTGCTTACAACAACTCCCTCTAGCCGTGCTGAATATGCGGCTACTGGCTTTGCAGCTCTATTTTAATTGAAGCTACGTCTTTATTTCTTACGCTGTGCCTTTAGAGTGTGCTTAATTAGTGCATGTTATTGTTCCCAAACTACAATTCCCACCGACGACTATAACCTGCATCTGAGCATTACCATAGTCCACTCGGTTGAAATTGCTAAACCATCAATTGCACACCCTTCAAGAATGAAGAAACGTCACACAGCACAGGCTGCAGGTCAACATTGCAGCTGTTTTGAGAACTGCATTATAGATTTCATCATCTGCAAGAACACAAGTTTCGGGGCACATTTACCGCGAAAGAGGACCATCTTGATCCGAAGTGCTCGTTTCTAAGAGGAAGAATGGAAAAGTATACGGATAACCACATGCGAGTTGCAGTTTGGAGTAGTTGGGAATGAGAAAGCCAACAGCGCAGTCACATCATGTTGCAACATCGGGATCTTAAATTCCACCACGTACATTTCGGGGCTTTTAGCGGCAGTACACAAATCCGCCTCACTGCGGCTTTGAAACCGGGTGGCAGAAGTGGATGCCGACGCCGGTGCATCTCATCCCGACAGCGCCTCTCAGCAGCCTGTGCACCTCATTGTCATCTCACCCCAAGTTGGTCATCTCACTAAATGGAAAAGACCTATCGTCAAACCCACCGTACAATAGCATCTTTTTCACAATGTCTGCATCCAATCTCACTTCACGCCCGCCTTTCTCATCCCTTCCTTTGGACCCAAACGGACCTCCCGGGAATGCATGGGGTCTCTATGGTAAAGACGACAAGCTGGGAGCGCTAAACCTCCTCACCCCTGCTGTCGTCGCCGCCGCCGCAGCTTCAGAAATTCGAACCGGTGACCGGGTGTCACTAGACTGGTCGCTGAACAACCCGTCCCAACCAAGCTTCGATCGAGCGCCGTTCGAGTCGAAGCTTGTCAATCGCACAAAGATTGACGGTGAGGGGAGAACCGTCAATGACGACATCCTACACTTTAACACGCAGTGTAGTAGCCAGTGGGATGGGTTCAGACACTATGGTAAAATGGAATTCTGGTCTCAGATGGAAATCCACGTGGCTAATGTGAGACACGAAGGATACCAAAAAGCGAAAAGATACTACAACAACACCACGCAGGAAGATTTGGACAACCCTGAAAACATAGGCATTGACGGTGAGTAATGCCTGTTGACACGGTGCGCGCACCCCCAGCTGAATCGAACGCCTTTTACAGCCTGGGTTGAGAAAGGTGGCATCGTCGGACGCGGAGTCCTTCTCGACTACGCCAGCTTCTGCGCTCGGCACTCTATTCCCCTCGATGCTTTCACCAGTAGTGAAATCTCCCTCGCTCATCTGAAGCAGATTGCAAAGGAGCAAAATGTCACTTTCCGCCCTGGAGACATATTATTCGTCCGCTCAGGTTTCACAGCAGGCTACAACGCAAAGGACAAGGCTGCGCAAAATGCCATTGCCGCACGAGAGAGCCCAGACTTCCTCGGCGTAGAGCCTACCAAGGACGTTTTGCAATGGCTTTGGGAGTCTGAATTTGCAGCAGTAGCCGGCGATGCACCGAGCTTTGAGAGAGCACCCATCGCGGGTCCTCACACTGCGGTGGGAGGCAAGTGGAAGGGTGAGGAGTGGGAAGAGGAAATGCAGACGGGTGGATTGCTGCATCAGTGGCTCTTGGGCGGATGGGGGCTTCCCATAGGTGAAATGTTTGATCTGGAGGCATTGAGCGCAAAGTGCCAGGAGCTTGGGCGATGGTCATTCTTTGTCAGCAGTGTTCCACTGAAAGTAAGTCTTTTTGTGTTTGTGACTGTGATGATGACTCGGGGCCATGTTGCTGACATTTGAATCAGGTCCCTGGAGGTGTCGCTAGTCCGCCAAATGCGGTTGCGATCTTCTGAGAAAGAAAAATGGCTAGAGACTGCTACGTAGTAAACCTTCAACTATAGATAGTACTTGAGGCCTTAATAGAACGTTTCCAAACAATGAAACATTCCCTATTTGGCAAATTCCTCGTTTCCATCATGTTCTTCACGTTCTATTGCGTGACATAGTTTGAGCTCGGGCACAAGTTGAGAGGAAATACATAAAGCCGTGTCTCACCCCCAAACTCAGTTGGCCTTTGTTGGTCGGTATCGCAGAGCCCCTGGTTGTTTTGAAATTACTCTGGCCCATCAATTGGACTTTACTAGCCACAAGTAGCTCTACGACGTTGTGCTGTCCTTGAGGCTGGGCGAGGTGGTCGCATTCATCCCATGCAATCTAGTCCCAAAATTCAAGCTCATTTCCGTGACCTCGTGTTCTGTTGCCCCAACACAAACCCTAGACCCTTGGTCCTGATCCCTTGAACTCTCCAACTGTCCCCTCCTAGCCTGCCCTGTTCCTGTGCCAAGCATGCAGATTCTTTAGTAGTTCTGGATCAGTCGACTCGGGCGCCTTCGGGGCCACCTCCCCGCAAGGACATGGCACAAGGATGTCTCCTTACCGGGGGGGAGACTTGAATGGGGGGCAACCGGGTACCCCGCATTGTCTTTCCCCATTCCCAAAAGGATTAAGAATGAGGTGACATTTCCGTCCTCCACGTCCCGCCCTGGGTCCCTCTCTTCTTCCCCCCTTCCACTCACTTCGAGGGCCATGTTTCCGTGTGTCCAGCTCCAGCAGCAGGATCAGGGGAGTCTGCCGCGCCAAATTGCTCGCTGTTTGTTGCTGCAACTGGGGACCGGCGCCGCGCCACCGTCGCCTCCAGTCTCTGGACTGACGGAGAACCGACGGCAATGGACCTGGACTCTGACGAGGTCGACTCCGGTGTCGGCATCGGCATCGGGAGCAACGGCACCAGCCTTAATGCCAATGCCAATGTTGCCGCCAACACCATGAATGGGGCGGCCCATCACGGGAATCGCCGCCATTCCCACTCACACCACAGTACCCATAGCCTGGATAACCATGGCCACATCCATAGGCACAACAGCACTAGTTCTATCAACGGCAATGGAAACATCAACAACAGCGGAGCCAACGGTAACGGCAATGCCACTCTTAACCATAACAACAGTAACATCAACAACGGCAACGGCAACGGCAATCAGCAGCTTGCTTCTCCGCCCCTTACACTTCCGCCTAACCCAACCCCTTTGTCCGAGAGCAGCAGCAGCAGGCGTCGTCGTCACCGCGACAAGGAACGCGTTCGAGTCACCAGAGCCTGTGACAGGTGCAAGAAGCGCAAGATCCGCTGCACGGGCATCCAGCCGTGCGAATTGTGCATCCGCACCGAGTCCCACTGCACTTACAACGCGTCTTATGCACGCGGTCGCCAGCCGCCCGTGGCCACTCGGGAAGATGTCGCCCGAATGGACCTCGACGGCCTCGACGTCTCCGTGCCGGCGGGAAACCCCAACAATTCCGCTGGTGGAGGGGGAGGAGGAAGAGGAGGAGGAACAGGAGGAGGTCATGGTGCCGTCTCTGCGTCGTCTGCTGCCGGCGACGATGCCCTGATGGCACCCATCGTCGTCGACGCCTCGGAACATGTTATTGATTCTGACAACCACTCGGATGAGAACATGATGAACGGCTCCAACTTGGTCATGGGCAGCGTTGGTCCCGGCACCGCTGAACCTCCCTCGCGGGCTTCTCCAGAGCCCACCCAGACTGATCTCCAGGGCCACTACGTCGGGCCTTCGTCCGGCGTGTCATTCCTCTTGCGGGTTCAGAAGAGGCTGCACCAGGCCGTTTCCTTCTCCCAGGCCTCTTCCATCTTCACTTTTGGCGATGCACCCCTGCCCGACTTTGACCCCAGCGGCGCGTTCTGCGTGCTGCTGTCCAAGGAGGAGGCCACAACTCTGCTCAAAAGATACTTTGACTTTGCCGTCCCGACACACCGCTTCCTCCATCGCCCCACCGTCGAAGGTTGGCTCGAGGAGTTTTATGCTACGAACGGTGCCATGAAGAGCCAGGAGGACGCACCCGCGCGTAGGGCTCTCTTATTTATGGTGTTTGCTCAGGCGCAGGAGTACATGGTCACCACCCAAACTCGTGAAAACTCTGAAGTCAGGTAGGTTAACGCTCCCTAGGGCTGACCTCCCCTCCCTCTCTCCCGCACCCCCCCGGAGAATATCCATGACATCTATATACACAAACCCTTGACGACTAACACGGCAATACAGCGCTCGTTACTTCTTGGCTGCAGATCATCAGCTTTCCAAAGAGAGAGGCGCCGTGCGCCTGACTAGCGTACAGGCTCGCTTATGCCAGTGCTTCTGGCTGTTATCACAGTCTCGCATCAACCATTGCTGGAGTTTGTTCGGCACGGCAGGCCACCTGGCCCTCGCCATTGGCCTGAACCGCAACCGTCACGCAGACCCGGCAGGGGGATATAACTACATTGAGCTCGAGTGCCGCAGACGCACGTTCTGGTGTGCATACAGCCTCGACAACTACCTTAGCGCCGCGCTGGGCCGCCCCAGGACCTTTCACGATGAGGACATTGACCAGGAGCTCCCCTCCTGTTCGGAGGACGGGGATCTGCACGCGGACCACATCACACCCCGCATGGGTCGCGGGCAGTCCCTTATGCTGGCCCCCGTAGCTCACGTCAAGTAAGTGGACCACCCCCCTTTTTGTTCGTCTTGTTGTTGCATTAGATACTGACTTGCCGATGCAAGACTTTCGCGGATAGTAAGCATGATTCTGCGGGATCTTTACTCCATACGGCCATCGTCGTTCTCCAACAGGTGTGCGCTAGCAGCCAAGTATTCGCAGAACTTGAAGCAGTGGAGGGCTGAGCTGTCGCAATTTCTTGATGATGGTATCAATATGGCTCTCCTTATTCCCATTTTCCAGCGGCAAAGGAATGTCTTGAATCTGGCGTATTGGCACGCCATGATACTCACTCACCGTCCATTTCTTCTCAGCAATTTTGCTAGACTGCAGCGGAACGGAAAGAGTCGCCGCCACAGCGTGGCTCACAAAGACCAAGCCGAAGATAGTGTCCAAGCATGCTTGGATGCGGCCATGCACGTAGTGGATACAGTGAACGACTTGATTCAGGCAGGCCAGCTGTTCCGCGCGTTTTGGGTAAGATACATCACGGCTTCATGCGCGTCTTATACAAGCTGACGGTAATTTCAGTTCACCTCATACTTTGCCTTTTCTGCAGTCGTCGTGCTCTACGTTTATACGATACAGCAGAGGACCGCGCCGGCCGAGACCTGGCAATCCTACTTCAACGCTGCGACTCGCTGTCAAACGCAGCTGGCTACGCTGGCCGATAACGAGTCTCAGCTAGCCGCCCGTTACTGCCTTGTCCTCGAGGAGTTGCGTACTGAGGCGTTGAGGCAGACGGAGCGTCTTCACAACGCGGCCGTGGCGAACCAGAACGGCGCGTCGCTGGCTCGTGCCGTCGTCTCCAACACTGAAGAGTTGCAGAATCAGCACGAGCAACATGCCCTTGTGGGACTCAACTTCCCGGACGTTGCTCACGCGGAGGACTTTGTGGGATTCGATGCGAGCCCGAGCAGTTCTTTGGCCGATATGACGAGCTGGGGCCAATTCGATTCAATGGTGAGTTACCAAATGCCGGTTTTGACTTGTAAAAAGATGCTGATTAAGTTTTGCTAGGTCACCTCGGGCTTTGGCGGACTTGAAGCCTTGCTGAATGACGACTCACTACGATTCTAATGATTATTCAATGTCAGACGACGGGTTTTGGAGATCCTCTTTGCGTTGCACTTTCTTGTGAGATTTCTACGGGTGGTTCTTCTCTCCTCGGGGAGACAGTTATGTCTAGGCGCATGGCGGTGTCTTGTGGTTTATTTGCTCGAGGCTACAAATTTACGCAACTTGTAAAGGATCAAATATTATCAACCCATGTCAAAATTACAGTCATCAGATGCATTATTTATACCTAAGATATTTACAGACTCTACACGCTCAACGTCGCGCAGACATGTGTCGTTAATCCGTGAGTCTCATCATGACGTCGCCGCCTCGAGGCCTTCCAGAATCGCCAATACGCCCTCGGCGCCTGGGTCTGGCACCTTGCCCCAGGCAGACTCCTCCACGTACACTGCTCTGCCCAACGATGCCGCCATACCCTTGGTGGCCTCGACTCCCTTTCTCGCCTCCGCAACAGCATCCTTGACGCTGCCGGTGCTCTCCAGGGTCTTCACGAAAGGCTCCAGGGCATCCAGGAGGGTTCTGTCGCCCTGTCTCGCAGGAGTAGCCTGCTGTAGGATCTCCAAAGCTCCAACGGCCACCTTGGTCCATGCCTTGAGGTCAAGAACACCGGCCTCGGCCTTGCGCAGCTCCGAAGAGAGCGCCGCGAAGAAGATGCTGTAGATGGCGCCCGAGGTGCCGTCCATGTTGTCCTCAATGACGTTTGTAAGATCGATAGCCGTGCGGACGGCGTCATCGCTTACGGATGACGATTCGGTGTATTTTGAAACAGCCTTGGCTCCTCTCACCAAGGTGACACCGCAGTCACCGTCACCGACCTGGCTGTCGTGGGCGGTGATCTGGGGCTCGGCGTCAATCAGTCTCTTTGACGCCTCGGCGACGACCTTCTTGAAAACGTCCACGTTCACTACAGGTATTCATCGTCAGTAACGGGGATGCCAGGCTAGCTATGTGAAGTGACTTACGCTGGACGCCGCTCTTTGCGCCGTCAGACCCATGGCTTGCCTCTGCGCTCTCAACGAGGCGCTGCTTGGGGTCGCTGCCGGTTTCGTTGCGGGGCGAGTAAGCCCAGCCGACGGCGTCGGTGCTGGCGTCGATGTACTTGAGGATTTCAGGGGTGGCCTTGAGCAGAGTGATACTGAAACCAGGGCCGTTCAGACTCGTCATGTACGTTCCGGAAATGACGCGAGCGAGCTTGAGACCTCGGGCACCTGCGCAGGGTTAGATGGTATTACTCTCATTTCGCAGAGCCGGGGGCAGATTCTTACCGAGAGCATTGACGACCTTGGCAGTGATGCCGCCGAACTCCAGGGGCGAGACGCCACCCAAGTTGTTCACCAGGGCAACGACGTCCTTTGCATCGGAAAAGTCGACGTACGCTCTGTCCGAGTCGTTGGTGTCGAGGAGCTGGTTCAACATGGCATCAATGAGCTTGGTCAGCTCGGGCCGGGGCTTCAGAACCTGGCAACCGGGCTCATTGTGAATACCCATTCCCAGCTCAACCTGGTCGCCGGATGAAGGCGCCGCGGCCTCACGGCCGGGGATGTGCACATGGTCCAAGGACGCGCCAACCGTGACGAGGTTATCGGTGACCGTCTTGCCCAACTTGAGCACGTCCGCCAGCGACGCGCCGGTTTCCTTGTATGCACCAAGGATCTTGTGGACGAGCACAGTGCCTGCGAGGCCGCGGCGTCCGACCTTGCCACTCTTCTTGCGGCCGACGGAGACATCGTCGCCGACGATGAGCACCTCAACGGGAACTCCCAAGCTGGCCTTTGCCTTCTCAGCGGCCAGGTGGAAGTGGAAGATGTCACCAGTGTAGTTCTTGATAATAAGAAGCACACCCGCGGGGGAAGCTACGCGGCCAATGCCGGACAGGATCTGCGCGACACTGGGGGAGGCGAAGATGGAACCAGAGACAGCAGCTGTGAGCATGCCGTCTCCGACGAAGCCGGCGTGAGCGGGCTCATGACCGGCACCGCCTCCTGAGAGGAGGGAGACCTTTTGTGAGTCGTTGTTTGTAAGCCAGATTGCTGTTCAATATGAAGTCAGTTGGTGTTTCTTCTCGTAGTGCCACAGAGATCCGGGATAAGGCCACATACCCTTCTTTGACTTGTCGAGCGTCAAGCCCGAGTGCGTCAAGACCAAGCTCTCGAGGGCATCGAGAACGAGGTTCTCAGCTTCGTCGTAAAAGTGCTGGGACATTGTGTTCACGGGAAATTCAACAAGACAAACTGCACGAAACAAAACACATTCAACTTCCTACGTTGATAGCTTCTTACGCGTTATCGTGGAATCCTCTCATATTAAGAAAAATCCCCCCCTCAACTGATAACCCCGCAGTATACCCCTCCAGCCACCACATCGTTCGACTCCCCGCCTGGCCCCGCGAGTTACTCGAACCCCTCGGCTCCCCCGCAATCTCTTCAGTCGGAAATACTCCTAGGTTCCGATCCGATCGATACGGAGGAGGAGAAACTGAGCTTCCTCCTACCGGCATGTGGCACACCGGGGGAAGTGGTCTGTGCGTCCAGACGGAGGGGCTTATCCGTCTACGACGCCCGGTGTGCTTTTCCGTCGGTTGTCTCGGCATCGACCCGTGACCTCAGCTACTGGGGGGTTGGAAAGCGGCTACTCGTCATTGCCACTGATGAGTGTGGGTCAGTCTTGTTGGCTGGTTGGCTAGCTCTTTTGGCTGTAAAGCATGGCGAACAGGAGGGACGGAAGTGTGCGAACCAGACGAACATGGACATGGGGGGGCCATTAGATGGGAAAAAAAGATGTTTAAAGATATTAGGTTTTGGATCTTTCTCCAAATTGTCTCCAAGTCACTTCTCACTGTGAATGAATTGGCCAAGTACTTAGGTCGTCCAATGTAAATACACCGCAGACAAATCTGTCTTAAGTTCTTCCCATCAACTCGTCTCTTTGAAGTCTTCTTCTCTTCACCTTCTTCTCATTCCTTTCTCACACGCACGCCTTTCTAACCATGGCGATTCACACGGAAGGCGTGGCGCCGAGGTCTCTACTCACCTCTGAGAAGCCGACCGTTGAGATCGTCGAGAATGTTAAGCCCATTGAGCTGAGAACCGTCACAGACCTCTTGTTGAGACGGGTCGAAGAGGCGCCAGATGTCGACGTCCTGGCTTACCCGGCAACAGCCAAAGGAAGAGATGACTATGTAAGCTACACAGCCAAGGACCTCGACCGGTTCGCCGACGAGGCTGCGCGCAAGTATGCGCAGGCTGGGCTTCTCCCTGAGGTATGCGACTTCACTCATTCACTCACTCTATCTCAGTCAGAAAATCAGTTGCTCACCATAAACAGAACCCTGCCTCCAGCCAAGCGGAAGTCGTCGCTCTGCTGGCAAACTCCGATCTCAACTATGTAGTCTCCATGTTCGCCTTGTCAAGGATGGGCTTTGCGGTGCTCTACCTCTCAACGCGTCTCTCGCCCGAGGCCTACGTCAACCTTTTGAAGAAGACCAACTGCAATCGCATCGTCATCTCAGACCGCTACAGCAGCACCGCATCTCAGATCAACGACCTGTACCCCATTTCCACCTTCAACATCCTCGACAAGTCCGAGTACGACCTGCCCGTTCCCTCGGGCGAGCGCTTCCCCGTCTTCACACACCCCAACGCCTCGCAGCGCATGTCCTTCATTGTGCACTCATCCGGTTCCACAGGCTTGCCGAAGCCCATCTTCCAGACGCATGCGGCTTGCATCTCCAACTACTCAAGCGGCATCCCCTACCGCGCGTTCTTGACTCTGCCGCTGTTCCACAACCACGGCATCTCAACACTGTTCCGTGCGATTTATGCAGGAAACAGGATCGCTATTTACAACGCCAACCTGCCCCTTTCTGGAACCACGCTAGTGAAGGCTATGGCCTCGACGGAGCCGGGAAGTTTGCACTGCGTTCCGTATGCGCTGAAGCTGCTCGCGGAGACTGAGGGAGGTATTGAGGCGTTGCAGAGGCTTAAGCTTGTGCTTTACGGCGGTAGCAGTTGCCCAGATGATTTGGGCGACCGTCTCGTTGAGGCGGGTGTTTATCTTGTCGGACATTACGGAGCGTAAGTTGATCATATTTTTCACTAAGCGAGTGACTCTGTTAACACGTTTGTCAGGACTGAAATGGGCCAGCTCATGACCTCCTTCCGTGAGCCCACAGACAAGTACTGGAACTACATGCGTCCCCTTCCCTCAGCCAAGCCCTGGCTGCGCATGATTCCCATCGCTGATGGCGTCTACGAGTGTGTTGTTCTGGACGGCCTCCCGTCCAAGGTCATGTCCAACTCGGACGACCCTGAGCCCAACTCTTACCGTACCCGTGATACCTTCGTCCCTCACCCAACTATTCCCGACGCCTGGCGCTACCTTGGCCGTCTCGATGACCGCGTTACGCTTGTGAACGGCGAGAAGGTCCTCCCTATTCCCTATGAGAACCACATCCGTGAGCACGAACTCGTCCAGGAAGTCGTCGTCTTCGGTGTCGGCAAGTCCATCCCCGGTCTAATTATCATCCCGAGCGAGAACGCAAAGGACCTCTCCAAGGAGGAAATTCTCAAGACTCTCAGCCCCGTTATCGCGGAAGCCAACGCACGCGCAGAGGCCTTCGGTCGCGTTTCTCCGGAGATGATCGAGGTCGTCGATATCGGCACCGAGTACCCTCGCACCGACAAGGGCACCGTCATCCGCGCTGCCTTCTACAAGCAGTTCGCCGACCTCATCGAAGAGGTATACCGCCGCTTCGAGGCGCCCAAGGATGACGTCGCTGGCGGCGAGCTTGTGACTCTGGACCTGCCCCAGCTGGAGGACTACCTCCTGGATCTTTTCCACACCAAGCTTGGCTTCCAGTCTCTGGAGAAGGGAACCGACTTCTTCGAGGCTGGTGTCGACAGTCTTCAGGCTAGCACGGCACGCGGATACATCCAGAGAGGCGTCAACCTGGGTGGCAAGACTCTGGGACAGAACGTTGTCTTTGAGTACCCCAATGTCATCTCGTTGGCCAAGCACGTTCACTCTCTCCGCACCGGCGAGGCCGCAGAAGCTGAGGACGAGATCGAGGTCATGAAGAAGCTGATCGCCAAGTACTCCGACTTCAGCGAAAGACAACCGGGCACCATCAACCCTGACGGCGAGACTGTTATCCTGACTGGCACCACTGGTTCCCTTGGAGCCCACCTTTTGGCCCAAGTAGTCCGCCAGCCCTATGTCAAGGCCGTCTACTGCCTTGCCCGCGCCTCATCCCCCGAAGAGGCCGAGTCTCGTGTCATCGCCTCGGTGACCTCCAAGGGCCTCAGTCTCTCTGACAGCGACAAGGCCAAGGTCAAGTACCTCCCCACTAACCTGGGCCAGGCTGACCTCGGCCTGACGCCGGAAGCCGCTGCCGAGCTCCGCAAGTCCCTGACGACAGTCATCCACTCCGCCTGGGCCGTCAACTTCAACCTGGGCGTCGCGAGCTTCGAGGCGCAGCACATCCGCGGAGTCCACAACCTCCTCAACTTCTGTCTCAGCACAGAGACGGTCAAGCCCGCGCGCTTCTACTTCTGCTCCTCCATCTCGGCTGCCGCGGGCACGCCGATCCCGGCCAGTATCAAGGAGACTTACGTCGAGAACCTCGAGCACGCGCAGAACATGGGCTACGCGCGCTCCAAGGTTGTCACTGAGCACGTCGTCAAGGCGGCGGCGACCAAGACTGGCATCACGGCCCGCGTGCTGCGTCTGGGACAGATTGTGGGCGATTCGGAGGGAGGCGTTTGGAACCAGACGGAGGCGATTCCGTTGATGATCCGCAGCGCAAAGGTCATCAAGGCGCTGCCTGCTCTGGACGAGGTAAGTCTACACCACCAAAAACAAATCCCCCGGAAATCACAAATAGAAACCCTTCTTGCTAACAGTTGCCATAGACCCCCTCATGGATGCCTGCGGACAAGATGGCTCTTGCAGTTCTCGAACTCGCTAGCCTTACCGGTTCCCGCTGCTCCTCCTGCGGCGCTCCCCCGGCGTCCCCTGACGACGCCGACTTGGATCTTGTTTACCAGGTCCAGAACCCGACTCTCTTCCACTGGACCTTCGACTTCCTCCGCGCGCTGCGTGCCGCGGGCTTGGAGTTCCAGATCGTTTCGCAGCGCGAGTGGGTGCGCCGCCTGCGTGAATCCGACCCTGACCCGGAGAAGAACCCTACATACAAGCTTCTTCGTTTCTTCGAGGAGAAGTACGACAATGACAAGCCCGGTCGTGAGGGCCTTGTGTTTGAGACGCAGAGGACGGGCGAGAAGAGCCCTGCTGTCGGACAAGGCTGGGATGTCGTTGGAAGCGGACTGGTTGAGAAGATGGTGAGGTGGATGGAGACGCAATGGTAGATTCATGAACTGCCTAGGACTTGTGTGACTCATTAGTGGCGTTTGGCATTGTTTAGTATGGGATTTGAGTTATATTTGCGGGATGGATATCATGAACATGGACAAATTGAGCCTTCATTTTTACAGATATTGACGAGACTGTGAACTTGAGATGTGTGAATCTTTTGTCAATCTTGATGTATTTGACCTGAACAGATAATCACATTTTGTCTTTTGATTTTATCATCGTAGATAGGTATATGCATGAACATAATGTCGAGCTTTCACCCCGACTGAGGAATCGGCCATCGAGTGCCGCTTGGTATAACGGAAACCAGCACATGCTTCCAAGCGCCGAGTTGTACATAAACTTTCAATCCACCCATCTGAGATTGTAAAGCTCATAAATCATTGGCCTGGAAACCCCCTCAGCATGCATCCGGAGGCGCCCGGAGGTCCGACCCCAGCTCCCCAGCCGCTGTTCCTGAGACATCAGATACAAACCCGGCTTCTTATAATACATCGCCAATCACCAAGTCATCGCGAGTCGTACAATCGAAATTAATATTTCGAAAAAAATCCAGACATGCGTTTCCTCACCTTCGGCCTGCTAGGCGTCGCCTTGCAAGCGGCGGCGTATACGCCCCTCAACGTCACGGCCATCACAACTCGCGACGGTTACTCGGTGCTCGAATGCTGGCAAATTGAATCTGTCCCCGTCGAGGCGCGTGCAGCCATCAACTACGAATTCGGCGGTGACCTGACCCGCGCAGAATGGTCCATCATCAAACCTCGGACGACGGTTGGCGAGGCGTGGGCACCGGCTGTGCAGTGAGTTATGCTTATGCTAGCTAGATGGGATGACCCTGTTCCCGTTTCCCATTTTTTTTTCGTCCGCCACGCCAACTTAGATGGCATGACAAGATTGTTTGAATCATTTCCTTCTTGTTCATGCTGATGTTGTTGATGACATCAATTTTTGCCGGGGCGGGCGGGCGAGCTGACTTTGGCACGTAGGTTGACAGTCATCATGAACGGTCTAATCCGCATCACATCCCCCGCTCCCCAAAATAGCTCGCGAGCGATGCCGCTCCCCGATTCTGACGCTCCGCAACGGCCAGAGACAACGGTTGCGTACATTCAGCCAGGCACGGTATCCTCGTCGCTCGTCATCGCGGCCGACTTGAAGAACACCAGTATACACGCCGGACATTTTACAGAGTTCCCTGGCGATGAGCCAACGGTGCTGTTACAGGTGCCCTGGGCTGGAAACATTGCACCGAAGTACCGCGTCCTGGGGGATGGGCCTTGTGAGAAGGGAGCGTGGACATTCTGACGACATTTTGCGGGGTATTAATTACCACGGGGGGTATGAAAAGAGGACAAATACAAAGATTATGACAATGGCACTGTTCAGCCACCACTACGGACGGCGTCTTCCAAGGCCTCGGCCCAAAGTGGCGAGGGGGTCTGGCTTGCGAGGGATGGGGTCTTAGTCTGAAGCACAACAATGTTCTAACCCAGGAGAGCTCAAAGAATCGCGTTAGCCGACAAGACAAGTTGTTGCAAGAACCCCTGGAACGTGGATGGCGAAGGCCAAGAAAAAACGAACGCCATAACCCCAAAGTCTAATTGATGCGCCAGAGGGACGGGAAAGGCTTGGTTGAAGGCAGGGAGGATACGACTTTGGGGCTCGCGCGGGTCTGCTTCTGTTCTCACGGTAAAAATGATCATAATTGGCAAAGTAAGCGTTAATAAATGCACCGTCGGAGGGAAACCATCTGGTAATCTTCGTCCGAATGACGGCTGCGAAGGGCACAGCCATCGCATGCCATGCGTTGCTTGTGAGGGGATCGGCGCTCGTAACGCAACGCAGTTGACCGGTGCTTCTTAGTGTTCTCTTTAAGCATTTCTTTGCCGGGACATCCGCTGCTACTTCGTGTGTTCTGACAATGACTAAATTACGCAGACCATGATGATGATGATGATGATGATGCTAACACAAAAAACCTGCCGGTTTTATGGGTAACAGCCCCCCTTCGCAGGGAGAACATTTGGTGATGGTGACGTTGCTGGATGAGCTCTAAAGACAGGGAGAAAGACCAGATGAGAGACTAGACGCGCCAGCGGTCGGGTAATTTGACGAAGCAATGTTTAGTTTTCGTCTTCCCGTGTGTTCTCCTTTCCCTTCGGTGATGAGAAAAGTGGCTAATGATAGTTGGCTGTGAGACAACGCATTTGCCGAAGCTTCTGATCGTCACACTGCTTCTATGGCATTACGGCACCGACGGGCTTCATCCGGGGCATTTTCAATTCATGTTGGAGACACCTTCACTTCATTTTTTTATTTATTTCTTTTTAATCGGTTGGTACTAATACTTTGCGCATTCTAACGGCAGATGAGGATCAAATGCAAGGCCCAGAACCTCGGGATGTGACACACATCTGCGTCCCGTGGTCTCGTGGTTTATAGAGATGCATGGTAGCAATCCCGCCGGTGGCAGGGTGGTCAGCGTAGAGGAGGGGGGGGGGAGGGGGCCATAACTGTGGAGGGCGATCTCGGCAGTAGCCCTAAAACCAGGAAAAATCCCACGATTTGTGATTTGCTTCCCAGCCTCGACCGGCCGCCTGTGCGCTGTTTGCTGGCCTTTCTCCCCCTTCTACGGGTACTCTCCACACCGGGGAATAGGGTTCTGACAGCGATCATCCCAGAAGAGGTGTGCGGCATGCCCAAAGAGGCATGCGGACGCGGGGGTTAGGTACCAAGAAAAGGTGTGTGGGAAAGGCGTGTGTGGGAGGGATCATTATTTTGGTGGCGGGCCGAATGGGGGTCAAATGTTCGAGACCCCAGGGCTCGGGGTGTTCAAGGAGAATAAACAAAACGTCAGTCAGCTGCTTTGCCTCGAAAATGTAGAAAAAAGAAAAGAGTGTATGCCGATACCCGTGATTGGGGTCTAGATCATAGGCAGGAAGGGGTTCTGAACATCTTGGGGGGTGTAGAGGTGTCACCAAGCCTTGGCAGCTAGCATTGCAGTTCACAGCCGTGGGTAACAGGCACACAAGCAACCGGGAGTGTGTCGCCATGTCTTGAGACGGCAGGGCCAGGCGACAGGAGCTGTTTGTTTGGGCGATGTTGTTCACCACTCAACGTGACCTCGTGGGCTCGTGGATCATTGCCGGTTCAAGGATGCGCTGCGCTGCTTGAAGGATGCTAAGGGAGGGTGTGGAAGCTTCGTAGGTGGCTGAGTTGGTTTGTGATGGGTAGCTCAGTGTTCGCGAACTTCCAGGGATGGAGTGTGCATAAGGCTAAATGTTAGATTCAGTTGCCGAACCTGGTGCGGGAAACTGGCCATTAAGCACCAATGGTCCGAATTAAATTAGCATTTGGTATATCCGTATGGGTGTTCTTATAGGTTCACAGTTGAGAGTTAGATGAACAAGTTGGTGTGTCATAGGTAAAGCTTCATCATTGGATGCCATGGCAAACACGCTAGGCTGCGCTTGAATTCATAGTTGTTCTTTGCATGGTGGTTGATCCGTTCTCTCTCTCTCTCTCTCTCTCTCTCTCTCTCTCTCTCTCTCTCTCTCTCTCTCTTGCATCTGTGACCAACGAATGTGGCCCTGGCTTGAATACATGTACATCCTTGAAAACGAGATCTGCCACGACTGACCTGGTGATTGGCATTTTGCTTTCCCGAGAGACATCGGACAGCCATCCGTGTCATCCATCATATGTCATCAAACCATCGTCGCGGGTGCGAATCGTAGAGCGGATATGTACGATGACCCTGTCCAGGTCCTGGTCTGCAGCTGGCTGACGCGGTAGCCGATGATTGGGCTGGACAGGGTGAATCAGGGGTGAGTCCAATCCGTGATCAATTTGACTCTGTAGGTGGTGGGAAACGTGGTGTGGTATAGAGCCACGAAGCTAATCGAAATGTGTGTGTGTGTGTGTGTGTATGAGTGTGTGAGGGTGTGAGTGAGCAAGTGAGGCCTTGACATGTGAAAAGCTGAAGGTCACTCACTGAACTGTCAGCGAGTGAGAAGAGTCTTGTGAATCCTGCAACGGAAATAGCACTACCAAGGCCAAAAGCCGTCGCCACCATCCAATGAGGCTTCACATGGCGTAAGCGATTTGATGTAGTGCCCGTTCAACCGTCCAAATCCCTTCGGCCGTGGACGAAGAGGACTGATCAGGCAGAACGCCTAAGACACTTGTGCCGCTGCCTGCGCTGCATTTTCCTCATATGACTACCTGACGTCTCCAGTCGCCGCTGCGGCTGTTCGGTATGGTTCAGCAGCATCTGAGAGTATTTTGGCTTGTGATACGTGACTCTTTGCAGTTCTGTTTGACCGTGGCTTGAATGATCAAGGCTGCAACGTTCTTTTCGCGTTACTGTTTGAAAGGAGGGTCGCATATAACATATGGTCTAGTGACTGAGGATCAACGGCCAATCCACTTCCTACTTGTGTGCACTCGCTGCTTCTCTCGCTCACGTTGTGTTGGAATCTCTATATTCCCACACCAAATCAGGGCATTCTCTCAACCTTACCCGCCCGGTAGATGCTCGACAAGGAATCCGCCGAGAAATTCCTCAATGGTTGACTCGAGTTTACACCCACTGCAGCCAGTCTCCATTCTCGCCCAGCCCTCTAGCGACATCGGCGGTTACGCGGGACAATCCAGTGAGGGGCCGCAACAGATTTACAGGGGACAGCCTGGAGGGCGTCTCGCCTTGACTATCTGACATTCTTCTTGGCTTTTGATGCTATCCATTCACACGAGACGAGACGTCAAGGAAGCAACAAAAAAAGTGACTTGCGAAAACCCACAATCAAAATAGTTGACCCCCGATAGCTGAAGACCGTGTCAAAGCCAGTTGAGACGAAACGACATCAAGAAGAAGGCTCCGAGACACCGGCTATAAACAAAACATTTAACACCAAACAGTTCCAGACTGTGAGCCCAAGGCGCCGATCGCATCGGTCTTCGGATTACAGCTCTAGAGACAAGCCGAACACACGCCGACCAAGGGTCTGAACTGAGACTCTCAAGAGGTTACGAGTATATCCCGTTCCCGCCCGTCACTCCCTGGAACCTTTTCATACCACCAACCTCAAAAGGTTTTGACCTGCACTCGTCTCCAATAGTACAGACTTAGTTCTCATCCATCTCCACGAGAGTCGAACAGCGCATCGAAAGGTGGGGATATCGACACACGCCAGGCCATCCTCGTCCACAAGCTTGCTGCTGTTCAGTCTCACTTTTTTGTCGCATTTGCCTCTCACACGAAATCATCTCATCTCATCTCATCCTCGCCCGCCTCACCAAAGTTTTCGCAATCTCCAACTGTATCCATCTCATCAATTCCCTCCTTCGGTGTCACCGCCACTCCAAATTACTCTTCCTCAGCCTTTGTGTCTCTCCCCTTACCCTTGGGTCAACAATCTCGGCTGTCGAGCCTATCCTGCAGCCACCGGAACTTACGCAAACAGGCGAACTTTAGCCAGGATTCTCCCACGATCCACCGCTTTGCATGCACTACACGCTCACTCACCTAACAGCGTGCATTCAAGACGCATAACCCAACCCTGTAGGGATATAGTGTCTACCCTAGCACGGACACAGCCCGAGTACGTACACAATTGCTCACTTCTCTCAGTTAGCTGCATGAAAGGGCCGCATTGCAGCTTCGCAACACAACTTGAGACGACAAGAGGGATAAATCGAACCAACTGCAGCGTAAGAAGGGGAAAAAGGGCCCCTCTCAAAACACCTGCATCCTGAGTGGATAACCGCCACCAAGGCCCATTATCCGTGTGCTTCCTGTGTGTTTATCCTCTCCACCGTGACGCATCAAACAACAACTCGCTGGGGTCTAGAACTCTCAGAAACCACGACGGCTTTAGAGAGAGGCGCTCTACTGGAGCACCGGTCCGTTAGCGTGTAGCAACCCGACATCATCCATCATCATCCCAACTTTCGAAACTCTGCGACACGAAAGGCCCTTTTTTGCCTTTGCTCTCTCGTCCTGTCAAGCACAAGTCACTGGGGGACCTAACAAGCTTACACCCTCGAGCCTTCCGGTTGTCTGTGACGTTCGCGCGGAGCTCTGAACTTGATCGGACTTGGACCGGTGCAGAGTCCAACTGTCTTGGCCCATTAACTGATCTTCTCCCTACGATACAGAGTTGTGTATATCACCGCCACTTCCAGGCTCTCCTCATCAGCGCCTTACCCAGAGTTTCCCCCCAACCTGATTTCTCTTCCTACGTGGTTGAGACATACATATCCGGCAGTGCCCCTTGACTCTGGAGTGAGACGTCTTTTCACGTCGGCGGCTTGTCGCCTCATCAACGACGCACTCTTCTTACCTGGTCACTCGACTTCCTCCTGCATCTGCAGCCTGCCCAGGTCCAGTCCAGTGCTCCCACGCCTCCATCGTCCTGCAGGAGCCATATAGCCGCATTATACTCGAGCCCTCCTCTCGTCTGATCTCCTAGACCGTTCTTGTTGTTGGCGTCGCCGCTCTACACGCTACTCCTTTCACAACAAATTCGAATCCTTTCCCGATTCTTTCCATTGACTGCTTTCTTTCTCGTCAACTAACCCTGGCTTCCAAGAACCTGGGTACCTCGCCCTAAGCCTAGTCCAGCCGTCATCCCTCGCACTACAACGCCGCACCGCCGCCATTCACCCATCGACTTAAACTTTGGCATCTCTCCCCTTTATCCGCTGCGAATACACTGATTGGCATTTTGTCATTGTCACAGAGTCTTCTGGCATAAACCAACCTCACCCCCAACCCACCGCACCACAAAAAACCATATCAAACCGGGGAATAAACTCGCGACCTATCCTGGCATCGCATAGAGGGGCAGCCACATCATCAGCCCACGCATAATTATACTCTGCGATCAACCATTTACACACACCTCAGACTCACACACAGGCAGAGTCTGCATCTGTACCTACATATCCCTCCCCTCCCCTCTCTCTCTCTTTCTTCCCTTACCCGCGCCTCTCCCATCGTCCCCCATCCAAGTGAGACAGCGAGACCCTATCACCCCACGCTCGACGTCAAAGGCGCACAAAGAAGAAGAAAAAATACCATACAACAACAGGGTTTTTGTGCGTGCAGCCTTTCCCTCTGCACACCCCGCCTCTCCTCCGACATTCCCCCCCATTCCTCAGCAAGACATCCCAGGTCCCAGCTCCAGAACCACGAGACCCCCATCGGGCGCCTCACCGCAACATTCTGATCCAATCACGGCGGTCCAGCCCGCCCACGACGACAACCTCCCCTGCCACCTTTCGAACGGGGGTATCAAGCTCGAGCAAACACGCTAAGACAGACCCTTGTCAAAGAGTGGAGGCCCGATTTCTCGATTTCATCGTCCCCTTTCATTCTTAAGTTGATTGCTCGCCTGGCCCTGCCAAAAGGCCCTGTACATTTCCCGCTGTTGCAGCTTGCTTCTAGAACCAGAGGTCCAATCCCATTTACTCTGTTCAACTCTTCCTCCACTCTTTAAGAGAAAGAGAACAGGGGGTTGGAAAATCAACGAAGAACTACACATCCACTTGCACACATTTGTCGTCAGATCAACGCGACTCGGAACCCGGGTCCCTCAACCGGAGAGGGGTCTACTCTTTTTTTTTCAGACCGCAACTTCTGATACTGACTCCGTCCCTCATCTCCGCCTTTTTAACAAGAAAATCTCGTCTACGACAATAATACATTTATACCCCCCGGGGGAGGCCTACCGCACGCACGCAACGGGCCCCTTTTTTCCAGACGTCTTGTTTCTCTCAACCTTCGCAGCTCGCAGCTTGGTTACTAAAAGCTCGCTCGTCGGCCATCGTCCACCTCGCCCTCTCATCGATCGTACGCTTTTTTCTTTCCAGTGTGTGCGTCGAGTCGAAAAGGGAAACCTTGCTCCCAATGAGTCCATAGCGAGGCTTACATCTTCCATCTTTCCACGTTCTACAATACTCGCTCACGTCTTTTGATTTACACCATTTTTTATGACCTCTTATTCGTCCGTGCCTCCGATATAGTGAGAGCGATACCACATATACACCCATCCATACCCATCAAACGCATCCACATACTTATTCAACTATACACGCACAAAAATCACACAAACCGCGGCAATGTCTCGTCTTTCCCCGTTCCCATCCAACATGACATTCCGCACCGAATCTCGTGCTAGTGTCGCCGCCTCCGACACGACGTACTACACATGCGCCTATCAGTCTTTCCACGACGTAGAGCTTTACGCTCCAAGCTCTCCGCCTTCCAAGACCCCCGTATTCGCGCCGGTCCGGGCTCCGGCACCACCCTCCGCGCCAAAGAGCCAATGCATTTCCACTTCCAAGGACCAGGAGCCGGAACCATCTGAAATGCGCCGTCAAGATTCTGGATATGAGTCGCTACCTCCCCGCAACTCATCCTCATACCAGCGCCGCACATCAACCGCTTCCTCGTCTCAGTCTTCTTCACAGCCGCACTCCCGTCCGCGGGGCCGCCCAACAATCCGCCGCACCCCGAAGCCAAACACGTATCCCAATGCGGCGCGGACAAGTGGTAGCAGCCTATACCACCCGTCCTCCAGAGGCCACCACTCTTCACACTCGCATGCGCAGCCGGCAACGTTTTTCCATTTCCCGGCCCACCCCACCGATGTCGAACTCGCTTCCCGTCGACCACGAGAGGACCTCGAGCTCGATGAGAGAGGGCTGCTCTCGCCCACGCAGCAACCCGGCAGCGAGTCCGCGGAGATGGCTCCCCTTCCCCCTCAAGCAACGCATTACTGGACCAGTGACCGGACGAGACGGCTCGAATATGCCGCCATCGATGCCGCCAGCCGGGGCGTCAAGGGCTGGGTGAAGCGGCATCTCGTCCCGGACTGTTTCGTCCCGAAGGAGAAGCACGTTGCTTTCGACGACGACACGGGTAGCGTGCGACGATACAGACTCGAGCTCGATGAGGAGCCCACGGAAAAGTGCAACTACGGCGGCCGGAAAAGGAGTTGGTTCGGATGGCGCCGCTCCAAAACGGCGTGAGCACACGCAAGTCGGAAAAACGCCATGGCTGTCGATTTCTCTTTTTTTTTTTTTTAACAGCATGCCCTGGTTTTGATCGAGATGCATTTTTATCTGCTTTAATACCGGTGTTGGGCTATTTTTTATTTTTTTGAATTATGGTTGGGGGATGGCATCACGCGTCGACATTTGCACACGCGGCTCATCAGGCTGCATTGGCGTTTTATACCCAGCATTTGGTATTGTTGGCTTCTGGTTGCCTTCTTATTTGCTTTTTATGCCTTTATTTGTTAATGTTTTCTGTTGAGACTTCCCGAAACGAGGAATGAGGCATGAGCTGCTTGATTGAGCTTCAGACTGGCATAGCGTATCATAGATCATAGAGCGCCGCGACGAGATTTGCGGAGAGCCGGAAGAGGAGGATGAGAATGAGGAAGAGGATGTCTTTGAGGACTATGAGACTCGTACACAGGGTGAGAGTTGTTGATAGTTTCCAATCAGACTGCATCACGTTCAAAACTTGAATCTTAGTTTCTGTGAGGCTCTTTGTGTCTTGGTCCGATGTCATTTAAAATCGGCGCCATTCTTCAAAGCTACTGCAACTTGAAAAGGTGTGCTTCAGAAACACCACTAGACCCGGGGACCATACACAGTGAGACGAGATGAAAGGTGGTGTCTAAGTCGAAGTTGAGCACTCTTCCAGCACCCGGATCCGGCAGCCGGTGACGGTCCGGCCCGCACCGGCTGGCCTTCCGGCGAAAGAAGCGGTGAAAAGGTTGAAAGGTCAGACGATCGAAATCGTTTTCAATCCAAGTACGCGCAACGAGTCATTGCCCGTCTATAAGCTGGTCAAGTTGTGCTTTACATTCATTGTATACAGTATATATTCCGTACAACCTCTAGAGTCTTGAGTAATGGAGTATGCCGATCACGACAACAAATCGGGCCCCCACGACCACCTCCGCTTGCAAAATGGCAGCTGTCCTTGGCCAGGCAGTGGATCAGTCGTGAAGATGGAACTGCCTCCTGACGATCCGTTTTTTAGTCCCACCCCGTTTGCTCCGCTCAACCAACGCGGGCTTGGCTGTCGAAAAATTTCCCACGACGCCTTCACCGCTCGTTGACATCAGCACCACAGCAACGGCAGTACATCATGCAGGTCGAAACGCCCAACCGATTCCCGCGGTCCAGCTCGGTCACTGCAATCTTCTAGGGGGGGGTAGGGCCAGCTGAATCACTTCTGCCCGACCTTGACGCACTCAATCACAGCCAAGTGCCGCCACGGACCCTGACCCCGCGATACGCTCCGAATCTCCAGCTTGGCGCGGCCCAGGATATCGGTCCAGCACTCGAGCGAGCGCTGTTTACCACCAAAAGTAAGCATCATGAAGTCGAGCATCGCCGATGTGTAATGCGGAGGGTTGCCCATGACGTCTTCCTGGATCAGCAGACGGCTGTCGTCGGCCATGGCGTCGGCGATGATGCTGAGCATGTTTGTGGCGATGATGTCGCCGTAGTTATGCAGACACCGCCGAATCCAATAAATCAGAGCACCTGCAAGTAGTAAGATTAGCAACCCTGCTTGTCTCACACTTTGGATCGTAAGTGCGAAGGGCAATCGCCATCACCTTTCTCGGGTTGTTCCTTATGGAAGTCGATAGCCTGCTTCCTCACGAGCCTCATCTCCTCGTCGTCGGTTTGCTTCACAGCCTCAACCACCTCCGGGCGGTCCTGTAACACGCACCGATCCAACGGCAAGTCGGGGTTCTCCCGGTGGATAGCCTTGATAGATTGGCCCCGCCCGGCGCCGACATCCACAAAAACTGCCCGGTCCGTCCGATTCGCCTTTGCCCATTCGACCACCCATCCAAAGTCGTAGACGCCGGCTATAGGCATTTTCTCTTCGATCGGTCCCATGGCGCGAAAGAATCGCTGCATACGCGGCGGGTCGTTTTGCAACATTTCGTACCACCCGAATTCGGGTGTGCCGTACGCGTAGGTCCCCGGGACGTGGTTCAGAGTCTGCGGCTCTTTGCGACCGTACTTTTCGAAGTAGGCTGGCATATGTACATATGGCACCATCCCGTTCTCCCATCTACGAACGTTAGTTAGAATAATCATATAAAGTAAGGTGAAAATGGTCAAAATAGCAAAGTGACGTACGTCATCCCGACAACTTGGCCAGCTGGCTGGCCCTCTAAGTAGATGCGAGACCGCTTAGTATGGCCGACAGAGTCATCGCCAACTTGTGCCAAAATGCCCAGAGACGTGAGAACACCTCCGATTCGTCCTATCGCACGTTAGCGCGAGCTATTGATCACAGTCGTCCGGCGGTTCGCAACTTACTTATCAACGACTCTTCAGCCTCAACCTTTGTCGCCAAATCGCCATACGAAATACTCCCCTCTGTCGGGATATGATCGTATACCTTCCATTCCCAGAACAGCCTGTTTGCACCCAACTGCGCAACCTGTGCTGTTGCATCAAGCCATTCGTCGGCAGGGTCCTTGACGGCGGCGATGAGCTTGTTCGCGGCGTCGACGATGCGTCGCCGTTGACTCTTATCCAGGTCACTCCCAGGCGCTCCGGACGCGCTCAAAAAGGATTGCACGGCCGCGTTGACATCATCCGCCGCCGCGGTGGCCTCCGACCGGACCTGATCACCGGCGTCTCCCGACATTAGACGGTAGGTACGAAAGACTCCCTAAAGCAGACTTAACAAAATACAGGCAAGTCCCGGTCGCTAATTGATTGTCTGATGTGGTGTTATTAAAAAGACGCCAGTGTATGTCGGACACGTTGTAGCTGTCACAAGTTTGTAGACCAAATACTCAGCATGCGTTCGTAGACGTCATCCCCCACGTCAACCAAAAAAACACGGGGTAGCACGCGTCGAAGCAGATAGAGAATACGCAAATATGTGTTGGCAGTATGTACTAGCGCTCTTCTTTACTCTGAATGAAATCACAGGAGTCAGAGTGAGAACGGAGATTGCCTATGTAAGAATACTAGATCGAACTTTTGGCTCCTGCTACCAGCGTTCAAAGATATCCTGATGCAGTTATGCGACATTCAGATAAAACTTCGCGGCTGGATGCGGCACCCTAATGTTCACACTCATCCGTCTGTCGACGGCACAGTGCCGCGCACGTCCATGTCTCTCCTATGATTGATGGCATGCGATGAAAAGGCTTGGCGGAGATTTCGTCCGCCGGCCAATGGCAGAATAAGAGCTATTGTCGAGCTAAACTGAAATTTGTTAAGTAGAGAAAGCCATACGACTAGCGTGAGCATTGTTGGCAGATCAGAGACATTGCGCAAAGCCGTCGCGTGTGAATGGTCTTCGAGCGGAGCATTTCACCACTGGCGGCGTCCAGCTATTCTCCTCTTGGCCACGCCACCTCCCCGACTCCTCAACCGGAGACGAGTCCGCCGGAGCTACTGTGCTGGTAACAGCGCCGGTCTCCTGCCAAAGCCGGCAGAATGTCGATGATGAGGCGTAATAGGCTGTTTCCTTCGAGCGCATGGCGCAGGGATGAATGGTGGTGGCACTTGGTTGAGCATAGTCAGTCGCTGTTCGCACACACATTCTGCCCATTTTCTCCCCTCCATGGCCGTATTTGCTGATTTATTGCTGACAAAAAATCATAGTGCAATCCTCGGTCTGTCCGTCCAACGGTCTTTTTCCTTGTCGGCTGTTGTTTTGTCGTGTTAGCTATCTCGATAGATTACCCCAACTACAAACCAACTGACCCGGCCGAAATTTCCAGCTGAATTACGCGTCTGCTTGAATCTTTAAAAAGAAAGCTGGGGAGCTTACAACCCCAGAGTAACCCTCTTAGTGTTTTGGACCTGCTTTTGACTTTAGCTCAAGGGAATTTGACGATTCTGGACGGCATATTCCTGGCGGAACCCTAACCACCGGATCATCCGACGATTGCGACGACCAAAACCATATTTTTTTTTCCCCCTTCAAAGACAGCATTGAGTCTGCGAGAAACACTGCGGACATAGACGAACTACACATTCTGGGCTTGGTCAGCCCGAAGTAATCATGGCGGATACAGCAAACAGAGATATCCCAGCCAAAGAAACACCATCACTTCCGCAGCTACCAGAATCGCATCCTGTATCTCAATCAACCCAACCAATTACTGCCGAAAACATGGTAGAGGCCGATTCAGACCACGGCGATCCATCACGAGAGGATGAGTATGACGAAGGGTTCGATTCGAGCAGTTCTCACTCCGCCTCGACGTCGCTCTCGAGCAGCGTGCGCGATTACGTCTTCGAGAATACACGGCGCTATCACAAGTACATGGAGGGGCGGTATCTGCTACCCAACGATGAGCCCGAGCAAGAGCGGGAGGATATGAAGCATGCCATGTGCGTCAACGTGATGGACGGCAAGCTGCATAGCGCGCCATTGAAGAAACCTCAAAAGATTGTTGATATTGGAACGGGAACGGGCATCTGGGCAATCGACAGTGAGTTTCAGGCTTTCTTCGACTTCATTTTCTTCATCCCCTCATCAGTGATATCTTGTCGCTGCACGTATTTATGCACCCGTTGGTATTGGAATGTTGTCGTATGGCCAGTCGATGATTTCCCCGCACTTAAGCCCCTTTTTCGGCATTCATCAACCAGCAAGAGAATCGAACCTTCAGACGGGGGAGACTAACAAGGTTCGCAGTGGGCGATGAGTATCCCGAATCAGAAGTCGTCGGCATCGACCTCTCCCCTATCCAACCAGACTGGGTTCCCCCGAACGTCCGCTTCATTGTCGATGACGCCGAGGCAGACTGGGTCTGGCCTGCAGGCAGCATCGACTTTGTGCACGCGCGGCACGTGTGCATGGCCATCAAAAACTGGCCCAGGCTCCTGTCTCAGGCCCACGACGCCTTGCGGCCCGGTGGCTGGATCGAGCTGCAGGAGCTCAGGTTCCATCTCCAGTGCGACGACGGGACTATGCCGGGGCCCGAGCAGTACGGCTACGGCAAGTTTGTTGACCTTTGCATAGCCGGCTTCCGTAGCTTCGGCATCAACCCGCTTAATATGGAGCGAAACCGGGAATTGCTGCAGAGCAGCGGGTTTGAGAACGTTGTAGAGAAGGTGTGGAAGGTGCCGATTGGAGTGTGGCCGAAGGACCCCAAGCTTAAGACAATTGGACTGTACAACCGCAGCATGCTCATCGACGCATTGCAGGCGGTCAGCATGGCGCCTTTGACAAGAGGGTTGAAGTGGAGTGCTTCCGAGGTTGAGCTGTTCTTGATTGATGTGCGGAAGAGTTTGATGAACACTTCGATACATTCGTATCTAACCTTTCATGTGGTTTACGGGCAAAAGCCCGGTGGAGAATAGGCTTAATCTAGGCGGAATAGTCTCATATACCAAATGAAGACATGAATGAGCAATCATATTATCATTGACCCCAATTGACTAATCTGATGGGTTAGCGGGTGTTATCGGGCACTCACAAAGGCCTGATGATGCGCATTTGGAACTGGCATGGCTAGGCAGGTTTGATGAAGCCACTGGCAATCTGTTGATAGCGTGGCGTGAAAGAATATCCATTCATTAATCCGTGGTGTCGTTATTAGGTACTTTGGAAGTATAAAACTCTTCTTATTGTTGCCACTACTAACATTTGACCCTTGTCTCTGGATTTGCATGTGACATCATCTCGGCGTGCGCTTCGGACCCTATCTGCACTTTAAATCTGATTTTCTACCATACTGAGATGACTTTGATCGAACCCAAGTCAAACTCGAATTCAGGAATTAACTGTTGCCTTGAAGAGGCCTGCGAGGTCACCCTTTATGAACCAAGCATGATCCCTCTTCCAGGCGTGTACTATGACATCTCTCCCAATACAAGCCACCTTTTCAACCTGTTCAGGTGGTCCCCACCCTGGGAACGTAGTTGTAATGCAAAGGAGATGCGTGCCTACCTGTATGGCAGTACGGAAGGCAAAGTCCTCGCTGATGTCACCGTACGCTTCGATGAACCCCTTCATCATCCACAGGCCAGCAGTTATGGACTTGTACAGCCATAGAGCGTACATCTCAGCGATCATCTGTCCAAAATCGACACTTGGCAAGCCAAGTTGAGCCAATTCCCAGTCGACGACGAAAATTGGCACTTCAGTGCCTTCTTCGATCGATGCATTAGGCAGAACAATACTGCCAGAAGTCAGCTTCCGTAACAACATTCAAACCCTAAGCTTACTTTCCGGTCCAAAAGTCGCCATGAATGATCTGATACTTGCTCTGCTCCTTTCGTTCGGTGGCTGCCATGTCCTCCACTTCCTGGAGAATATCTTTCACGTCGCCAAGGATACCCGGAAAGCCCGTTATACGGTCATTTAGCCACGCAAAATTGATCATGTGTTTAACCTCCTGGCCGAACCCGTTCAAAGCTACTAGCTCCCGGTGCTTGACCTGCTGTGCACTCCATTCGACAAAAGCTCGGAGCCATGTGCCCAATGCCTTGCCGAGTTGGCGACATTTCGGCTCGAGAGGCTGTGGAGTTGGAGCACTAAAATGCTGAAGAACATAACTCTTCAAGTCGATCCCATTTGGCAGATATTCTTGGATCTGAGTCGTGCTCTTGTCATCAAAGTAGAATAAGTTTGGTGTTCGGACGACAAAGGTATGAGCATCTGTCGACTTGTCGAACAATGAACTGCCAGATAGACTTCTGAGGGTCTCCACCTCGATATGCTAGAGCTAATTAGTTTAATTGTGAATTGGACAGTGGCGGCTCATAAAATTCATACGCATCGAATCAGCGTCAGTGCAAAATCTGGCTTGGTGGCCATATACGTCTCTCCGTGCTTGACCAGAACCTTTGTTGTTCCATCGTCGAGGGCCTTCGACAGAGTTGCGAGATAGATCCAGTTCACAGAGCCTCCTGGGAGCTTTTTAAGCGTCAATGCTTTGAACCTGGTGCTCTCGAGTGCTTGCTGAACTTTCAAGTCCACGTCGATGGACGGTGTCGATGCCATGTGAAGACCAGAGCGTTGATCTCACCTGCTCTCCCAGAAGAAAATGCCAGAGAAAGTATAGTTTGGTCGTAAAAATGAAGAGAGGAAAAGGGTAATGGCGAGAAAATGCAACGCTTTATCCGGAGGCTGTGACATGTTGGATCAATGCGACTGCATCTTATAAGAAGCGACTGCATCTGGTATGTGGACAGCAACACGTCATCTGACTGATTATCGTCAGCAATACGCCAAGTGCTCCTTTTGACGTCATCCGGCCATTTTGATTGAAGTACTAAAAGCGTGCGGCCTGTTAAGAAATGTCAGATTAGAGGGTCAAGGAGACCAGGACGAAACGGGCACCAAAAGGTCACATGCATTACAGTGACTTTGTTTCTTTGATGCTATGGAGTTTGTATTAGGATCAGACGTAAATTGGAAAATTAGAAGATAAAGGTACCGATGCTCAGGACAAATATGTCCAAAGGGCGTACTGTGGCGGTCTAACGCTGGTGTATGTTCAACTAGCCATCGTATCGAGTGTCATAAAATGCCATGATTGCCAAGTATAGATACCCCATTTTAATGACTATTTTCCCCGCATTCAGTCGGCACAAAAGTAGTACCTTATTCGCCTCGAAGTGTTCTAGCTACTATAATGTACCATTCTGTATCAATAGAGATTGCTAGTACCTCTGTTACGCCCAGAATCTACAGAGACTAAATGCATTACAAATCCTAGCACATGAACTGATGAGACGAATAGGCATAGAAGCCTTGAGTGGCTTTGCTCTGACCTTGGCGAAAATGGCGTTTTATGGCACTACATGGGATAGGTTACTAACCATTCTCAAGCTGAGGAAAGAAAAGGACAATCAGGAATTTCGTTGTTACTGTTGATCTGATTAGTAAGATAATTAGTATTGACAATTGAGTACGAAGAACAAAAATAGCATCTATCATCAACCTCGGTCCATCATTATTCTTTTCCACTTGCTGTCACAATGGCGGTACTAATTTGGCTTCTAGATGATCACTATCAAAGCCGGAGTCGTGGGATTCGCTGTGAATAACTATCAAGTCCGTCAGAGCCAGTAGATGGCGATAGTTTTGTCGCTGGTATTTCATTTTAGGGCGGGAAATTTCGAGTGCGGAGGACGTCTGCTTCATTATCTGGCTATTAGGATTTTAGCGTTACATTATATATGGCACTATACAAGGAGCTCGATTTTGATGTCCATATATCTTTGGTGTCGCTCTATTAATGTTCCCGGAGTGCAGATTCAATGCCAGGAATCTCACACCTTCTCCATTTATTAAGAATGCGATGCATTATAAGTTTTCATTTATGTTTCTAACTCTAAAATATTATGTACCTGTTGTAAAAAGGAGGTATGATCTATCAAAAATTGAGTGTCGTAAAGTCCCGGAAAACGCCATATCTAACGTTGTCGATGAGAACCGGGGCGTTCTTGGTCAAAGCACTGGGATAAGTAAAAACAATTTTAAGATCAGCGATGCCCTTCTGAGTACCAGTGATAGCGGCCCCAGGAGGGATGGTGAACTTGTATCGGTTGTACTCCGCGTGACCAGCAGGCACGTTGGAGCACGAGTTCCCCTTCTCGCCGCACGCAACAAAGGCTGGAAACTTCCAGTTCGCGATTGAGATTTCAACTTTCGGGCTGACAGCAGACTCTGGCGTGTCTTTAGGACGGCCAATAAGGAGTTCTAGGCTGAGGATTGAGTTGCCGGGAACGGCAGACATCGGCTGTGAGATGGACACAAACGGATTGGTGTCTGTTTTGGAGTTTGCGGCGAAGCTTATTTTCCTGTAGTCAAGGCGTTAGTCAGATTCGCTGAGAACTTGGATGAGCTCAAGGGTTGTTGACTCACGCAGCTTTGCAGCCTGATGCTTGTAAGCTGTCAGAAACGACGACTACCGAGCCGCCAGACGACGATTTCTTAACTGTCCACTTATCGAGGCCAGCCTCGAATCCTGAGTTTTGTACTTTGTTGTCATCGTCTAGAAAATTTCGAACGAGTCAGCTTTGCTGTTGTTCGATTTCTCTTCTTTCTTCATAGTTGATGATGGGTTTGATTGACATGTTGGGGCCAAGAAAACAAGGTTGGGAAGTGTGTGACAACGAAAGAAGAACATATCGAGCTTTTTGGAATCACATACCGGCCACTAATACATTTGCTATGGTTTTGTTAGAATAGTTATTGATAAGGTAACGAGTGTAGACTACTCACGGGTTGGACTGGGAGAAGCGCAGGCGGGCCCTTCACGCTTCAAGACAGCCGCGGTGCTTCCTAGCACGTTGATGGCCAGAATAAGGCCTGAAAGCGAACGGAATTGCATTTTGAGCAAAAGGTAATTTACGAAGGCGGAAAGTGAAAGAGTGTGGATGTTGGGTGAAGCTGCAATAGTAGGACAGCTCCATGAAATCTCTTTATATTCTCCAATCGGCGGCCCAGTTAGCAACCTACGACTTTGTGCATAGGGCCAATTGCAACAAAAACTCTTTGTGGCATAAGATAGCCACCCAGGATGTGGGGTCAGATTTTGATGGACACTATACGAACCTAAGAAAGAATATTGCAGCTCTCAAGTGAGACATTGTCGGCTTGGGTCTATGGGACAAAGTGAGATGTCCAAAGAATCCGGTATGCTAAAAGCTCCGCCCCGACAATGCGGGTCGTGGTTCTGAAAGAATTCTTTAGCGTTCTGTAACCGTTCAAAATATTCCACCAAGGTGCCTCTCCCACTTCCTTGGGCCTGGAGCTGGCCGTTTTTGGTTAGTTCCGGGCTCATCTAGCCTGCGGCTTTTCCTGGGGTTCCATCAATTGGTAGTGACGCTAAAGATCATGGGTGGCGATTGTTCCGTTTGTCTTTGTGAAACCAAGCCTAGGCCATACTTTGTAGTTTGGCTTTCGGTAACCCCTCCATGCTAAAGCTGAGGCGTTGCTTGATTTAGATTATCGAAATAGATCAGTATACTATGTCGCAGACATACAAGCTTTAAGGGCAGGTTACTTAAGCCGTCAAGAGCAATGTGTCCGCATTTCTTCAAAACGCAACGATTCATCATATTCAATGTTTTCGTCACCGAAGCCATGATTTTTATTGACAAGGACTGCGCAAATTATCGTAATAATTATAATTTTGGTTCATGCCCTCATGATCACCAAACTATGATTTGGTCTTCTTACTCACATAGGCTTTCACACGAAGCGAGGAGTAATATAACGCATAAACGTTTGATTATCAATTTCCATGTGATTGGGTGATACATGCAAAATACCAATAAACGGCTTGTATAGATGGCATTCGCAGTGTCGACAGACACTTGTACATGAAAGTCGACTTAGTGCGTATCTTCGGGGCGGCTTGCGTGCTCAAGGTCGAAAGGAGCTTTAGTCTCTTGTGAACAGTTTCCAAAAGGCGAGTTCCTGAATCGACCTTGGAGAAATGCGAGCCATTCGGGAGCAGAGGCCGTTAGTACCGCACTGTGATCCAGGCCAGGATAGATGCTCATGTGAACTGGGTTGCCAAACCGGCACGAGTCGGCATAGGAAGCCTCGCCCGACTCTTGAGAAACAATGGTATCCTCGGCACCGAGAATAAGCAGGAGAGGCTTTGAAGCACGATCGCCCTGGGCCGGAGCATTGAGTTTCTGGAAGTCTTGCAGACGCTTATCAGACTGTATCGTTACATTGGAAAAAGCATCGAGACGTAGATCCCACGCAAGCCCGGAAATGGCGTTGTCGCACAACTGGCCAATTTGCGCGAGTTCGATTCTTTGCTTCATCTTGTCTGAGAGGATGGGTGCGGAATAGTCCGGGAAGGTTGCCTTAATCCCGAGCGCCGCAGAAGGCAAGACGCCTAAGGCAAGAAAAGCGTGGTTATCTAGATCGGAGGGTAGATATGCCGCAAAATCACGAAGCTGATTGATTCCTAATAAAGCGTCGTAGAGCTTGCTTACCGGTGCAACAGAGACGCCACCTAGGTACCCGCTGGCCGAATCTTGAACGAGACCATGTTCGGATAGCTTCCAGACGGCACCACCGCCTTGGGAATGGCCGATAGAGGCCCATTCGTGGGATAGAACATCCGGGAAGGCTTGACGCGCGGCTACAACGGACCAGTAGGTGTCATTGGCGTTCGCCGCGCTGGCAATATATTTATGCGCAGTATAGTTGTTTCCGAGTCCCGCATAATCTGTTGCAATGACTGCATAGCCGGCGAGAAGAAGCGTTGTCCAGCTCTGGTAGTCGTAAAGATTTGGGGAAGTTGAGGGAGCGCAGCCCCGGAAGACACCGCTTGTACCATGGGCATATGCGACCAGATTGAAAGTCGTTTTAGTACGAGCGAAGGGGAAGGCAATGAAGCCAGTAGAAGGAACAATAGAGTCGTCAATATCAACGCTAGTGTATTGGATCTTGTATGTTGCTACGCCAGCAGGAAAGCTGATTTCGGAAGAGTTGATGGGCTTGATCTTGAGAACGTCTCCCGGCTTGGAGCAACTAAAGTTAGCGGCTGTTGCGTAAAAGTTGAAGTCGAAGTTTGTGCCAAAAGTTTTAATGTCGGCAGGGTTGGTTTCTCTGAGTGTCTGCTGGCAAATATCACCACATCCGTATTTTTGGGCCATTTCCGATGAGATTTCGAAGTTCGAGGCCTGGCTGCCGTTGGCTGCAACGGCCTGAAGGCCATGTAGCATAAATAAGGAAAAGGTATCGGACCGCATTGTTGTCAGTGTACTACAGCAGATTTAAAGCAGGGAATGTTGAAATTTGATACTTCCTGTCCATTACCAGCGATTGTTGATACTACTTATACTTAGACTGCGCTTCTGTGCTCCTTAATAATTCAAGTTTGCTTGACTCTATCATAAACCAGTTGAACTCGAGATGATCATCCTCTCTCACCCCCTGCTTGAGCATTCAGTGACTTTGAGCATGCCTCTCGTATTGATTACGCTCGTGCTGGGGGGAGAAAGGGTTCCTTCGTGAGGTGCTGTCGATAGAAGTCGTAAGCATCTGCCCCTCTAACCGGTGGTGCATATGTCCAACGACAAAGTGATGCAACCTACCATGATTCCCCCACAAAGGAAGGTCGCAGTGTCTGTTGGCCGTCTCATGGCTAGAACCCACTTAGCAGTGCCTCTCTCCCCACCCACTACTACAAATGAGGAGAAAACCCTGCGAGATTGGCTTGGCTTCCCCACGGTATTCCCGTCGCTCATTCTTGTACTGCCCTTCATGCGGTTGATCCCAAACATTGTAATCCACCCCGGAGCACTCGGGCACCGATCTAGCTATGCCTTGTATGTTGCCAACAAGCACTTCAAACTTTGAGGGTGGAACGACATTGCAATCACAGAACGCGGAAAAGCATTATGAAGACTGTTTAATAGCTATACGTTTGCAACCGACAACGAGGCCTTCGATTTCCCTGCTCTGTGATCGCCCTGCACCATCTCACTGTGTACACGTATCGCTTGTCATATTCCAAAGTCACAATGTACGTTATAGCCATCAAGTTTAGCCGCACAACTATCCTACAACTATCGTCATCTCAGTTGCAGTTCCTTTGGTAAAAGTAAATGTCCACTTCTAATAGACGGCCCTGTCAATAACGCTGCCTCGCATGCGTCGGCGACTTTACAGCTGTCCCATAAGCCCTCCCTTCTTCGCAGTGAACGAAGAAACGCAATGGTTCTTGATCGGATGTCTTGATCCACACACGACGCACATATTAATGCCAGCACAGGAACAAGTATTCCTCCCAAGCCAAACACTGGGCCTTGTTGTGGTTCCCAAACAATGGCTAATCTTTCAGCCCGTAACAGAACTTCCTTGTGATCTTCGATGTGAATATGGTCGCTGAAGGTGTCCATCTTTACCAATGCTGCCCAGATAGCCTGATGCAGAGACAAGAGAGCGGCGCGATGAGTATTACGCCGTCGCAGTTGGGTCTCGCTCATGGACTTCTGGAAACACTCGAATCTCTGATTCCATACTTTGAAAGCTTCTCGCGTAACACTCAACGCTGCGTGCTCTTTGGACGGAAATAAACCATTACGCAGCCGCTCTCTTTCGGGGCTATCCAAGGTAGAAGCCGTGGCTGCATGACATGACGAGATGAGAGTAGTGTCATAGATGATATCAAGTCCAACTAACAAACTCAGAGCTTCCTCATCATCGGCAAAGGGCTCAAATCGATCCCCCATGTCTGGTATTGGGAAATGATGGACCATTCCAGCAATCAAATTTTGGCCGCTATACATTGCTGCGTCCTGCCCCAGTCGATAAAACCACTCTCAAAAGTGCAGACTCCACGCTGGACTTGTCTCTTAGACGTAGCGAATTTGCATGAATAGCCAGAAGGCGAGTTCCGGCTTGCAAATGCTGTGCGGATTGTTCATGCCGGCCCAAGAGATTCTCGACGCAGATAAATATCAAGCAGCATATGGTGATGACGTTAGCGTCTATCTCATTTCCGCCGCTCGAAGAATAGGCCTGGATGTTTGCGATAGCATTGTTGTACTTTTCGATTGCAGCGACCTCTGACTTGAGGAGCTTTCCGTTAGATAATTGGGGAACTCCAGGACCGCTAACTAGGAAGTATCGATGAGCAGCGCCGAGGGCGCACATGGCGTGCTGTAGAGGCGATGCGACATGTGCCATGGGCATGGCATGCCGGTACCAAAAGTCTAAAGGATCGGATGGGTCGGCCAGCCATTTGATAATGAAGATGTGCGCGTGTGAAAACAAAGCACGATCTGTGTTGTTCGTGAAGAGCTGTTCGTTCAGTGACGTTGGCACATGTGTGAGCCGAGGAAGTACGTCACGCAACCGTACAAGTGTTGGTTCAGAGCTTTTTGTGGCCGGCATTATTGTACTGCAGAGTTCATTGGAAAGAGTCCCAGTCTTGCGGTGAGCGTGGAGCTGCTTAACGATGAGTGTCAAGGATTTGTCGTGCCTTGGCTTGGGCCCAGGCTTTTGCCTCGGAGTCAGCTTGTACCCATCACAAGCGTGGCGGTCCCTCTGGCATCTCTGGCAAGTAGGTTTCCCCTCATCGCACTTGACATGGCGGATTCTGGCGAATTCAATTAGAATATATAACTTTTACTTTACGGTGTCTTGAATCGTGTGACTCTACTTGCTAGATAGTGACCAATCAGCATTGATGACTGGGATTGCAAATATCATTACGAAGCCCAAGATTCTACTTGCAAATGAAAAACAAAAACAAAATAAAACCATTGTCACTGCAGTCAGGGGTATCGGGATAGTAAGATAACGTACCAAGTGTTGCACCCGGTCCTTACCCGGGGAGCCTTGGCCCTAGTCCGTTTCTCTTTTTTTGAAGGCTTGACCTCCATCCTGGGTTGACCGATTGGCTGGCTCGTATTAATTCGGTATGCAGGTGTTGAGGAGTATAGGAAGGAAGAGTGATAAGATATAGGTGACCCAGAGAGATGTCGTCGTCTATTCCGGTCCCAGTCAACGACAAGCGAAGTGGGCATCGTACCGTGGTGCGGCTCTGTTCTTATGTGCCTCTCTGCTTAGACAGAAGCGAGGTGGCTCGGTCCACCTCACATTCCCTGATTGGCTCTCTCGTAATAATTCTTTTGCTAGCCGAAACATTTCAGAATGCTTATTATGTAGAGACGAACACTTAAAATTGCATGCCCATGCGGATGTACGGATAGGAACCTCTAACGCTAAGCGGTTACTATGCCATTTATGTGCCCAACTGACTCGTGTAATAAAGTAGTTCTGATATAGTCCTTCTGCCAGGCTGCCGTACACGTGCTAGGAGCTACGTAGTATGCCTGGCGAATCTGCCCAGAGCTTTCACTGCAAATCTTCCTACTCATTTCCGATTCGTCGTCATTTCCTGCTCCTGAGTAATACTGTCGTTTGTTTACACACCAATGCTTGCCTGCATTTCCGCCCACGGGTCCGCACATGATTATGTCTCTGACCTGGTCAATTGGCCACGGACTTGCTTGACTTGTGGAGATGATTCACAAGAATTCAAGAGCAATGAATATCGGTTCGCCCTTGAAAGTTTCGCTGAAAGAGCCAGTCTGAAGTCGACGACCCGGCATATGCAGCTCAACAAGACAAATAAACACGGCGGGGGAGATAAACCGTCGGAGTGAGGAACATGAAGCCGCCAAGCGAAACATCGACGCCAACTTGAATTCGTCCTAGCTATCACCGATACAGGATGACCCAGCTCCTGCTGCTTGCCAACACAGCGAGACAATATCAAGAGGGACGAAAAATACAGTAAAAGACACGTGGGGTAAATCGCGGTTTCGATCGGTCAACGAAGTTGATGCCAAAGCCGTGAGATTTTTAGGATCGAGCTGACGATGTAAAAGTGAAAGAAAAAAAAAAAAGAAACTTATATAGAATGAAATACAGGAGCAATCATGATACAGATTGTGCTCGCAAAAGTTGGTATGTGTCATGAGGTGGGTTGTGAGAGGTAGCAACCCATACCGACTTGCATGACAAACCCGGCAAAATGAAATAGGGTACCGTGCAGCTGGATGCGCCCAACATAGCCCAGAATTTCCAAGATACAGTCGCACACCACGCTAGCAATAAACACCCATGAACAAGTCATGAAGCCTTGAAAGACATGAATGTCCATCGACAACGCAAGAAGGAAGACATACATGAGACTGGGAGAAACGTTAGTTTCACGGCTCAGAATTGCACGTAGAAAAAGAGACAGTAGAGCCCGACATCTTAAAAACTATTCAAGACATATGACCAACAACGCTAGAAGCAAGGCAGTCAAGCCAATGATAGATGAGTGAAGATATGCGCCGATTCAATTCAAAAGGTCATTTAGTATCGTGTGGAATTTAGCTCGAAGTTTGATCTACCTTGCCTTGATGTAGGCAAGCTGATGCATCTCTGATTTGGATTTTTGACTCTCGTGTATGAGACTTCTGGAGCCAAACAATTTGTTGAATAAATGACGGTTACAAAATGCTTCGGGTTGTGTCTTTTCGCCCTCTATAGTAAATCAACAAGTTCACAGAGCCATACATTTTTGTGACAGGTGCCTGCTTTTACTCATTTCACCTGTGGCCCCCAAAACCCACTCATGTTGTAGCTAGAATGTCGCTGCGCATGCAAAGCAAACTTTCTACCTCTCGTAAAGCTTTAAGATCTATTTTTGTGAGATACCATATCATCCATTGAAGTGGCGTGTATACGGAGATGTCTGGATTGGGGTGACTGCTGGCACATGAATACGTCCCAATTCTTGAAATTATTTTAAAGCCTCTACTTTACTTCCAGGCTGGAACCAGGAAATCCGAAGAACATATTCAATAGGACTCCAAGAAAAGCGTTGCTGTATCGTCGACGAAGGTATTCACAATTATGTATGAATGCGGTATGAATGATTTGAATAGTAAATTTAGACAAGCGTGACCAATTACACAGTCTTTCAACCGTGCTTAGCTGAGTTTGAATTTTACATCGGACACAACAGGGCGATGATCAGAGATGAACAGTCCGTCATCAAACTGATTTGGCAATACCGCATGCGTTAAAAACTCCATTCCGTTGACCGTCGGATCCCGCACGAACAAGTGGTCGATAAGCGTATCGTCCCAATTTATGTTTGTAAAAGCCGTGTAAGTCTTCGAGTGCCCAATCCTTCGCGCCTCAGGTGTCGTATTGCGGGTGTCATACATATTGCCAGCGGCAATCAAAGTCTGGTACGCAGGGTTGTCGGGCTGGATGTTCAGATCTCCACCTAAGAACACAGGCGTTTTCTCTGCTTCTACCGATTCCCACTCCTTTGCAAGCTTCACCAAAAGCTCTGCACTTCGCTCACGTGCAGTCTGGCCTTGGTGATCGAAGTGGGTGCACATATAGACCAAGGGCAAGCCAGACTGGACATGAGTAAAGGAGGCAACTGTGACAATGCGCGGGAGAGCAGCATCCCACCCTTTGGATCCAGGGACGTCGGGAGTCTCGCTCAGCCAGTAAGTCCTGTTCTCCACAAGATTCCAAGCTCCTGGCTGGTAGAGGATGGGTGAAAATTCTCCGGCTGCAGCCCCGTCGTCGCGACCGACGCCAATGTGGGCCCAGGTAGGACCGAGATCTTGGACGATGTCGACAAGTTGCTTCTCGATGACCTCCTGCATGCACACCAGGGTCTCTGGACGGCCTGTTGCTTCGTAGTTGAGCTGTGCTGAAAGCCGGGGCCGACGGACATTCCATTGCGCTTCGTTGATGCCAGTGACAGGCGTGGCCCAGCGAATATTGTAGGTCATCAAACGAACGGTAGGATCAGCTGATTGGCAGCGGGCACCAACGGCTCCAATGAGCACAGCGGCGATAGCAACGGACTTCATTGCAGATGTGGACATGTAACTAATTTGCAGCAATGCAGATAGTAAAAATGTCCTCCTAAATTGGCGAAATTCTCCTCCATATTTGAATCATCTTCATGTCCTGTCCAACGGTGACATCAATTCACAAGTGAGGGGAAACTAGGTTGCAATTCAATGGCATCGGCTCATTCACACAGAAAATGTGATATCTACTCCCTGTCCTGCATATCTCTCTACCGACACGGTTAAGGTTGTCGATCCTTTGATTCTTCATCTACCATTAGCTCAGCAACATTCACACACGTTCTCGAAAACGTCGGCTCAACCCGGCTTCACGTGGGACCCGAAGACCCAGCCATTCGCCGGTGTGAGTGGGACGTCTTCGGCAACCAAGGCGTGGCTCCCGGGACAGAAGTCCTTGGCAGATTAAAAGTAGTCGGAAACTCTCTCGGGGTTTTATCTGGTTCTCGGTAGCTTAATAGACCGACCGATAGGGAAGGTTCTATAGCCATATAGTAGGATCCTATATCCTCGCCAAATTTATTCACCCTGCCTCTTACATACTGCGCAGTAGTATCCTTAGTAAACGGCATATCCGGCGGCGGGCGCACCTTGTCCGTTTTCGGGTAGGCGAGATGCACAACACCGTCATACACCCCGCTTGCTAATGGTTTTGCTAGGGTTGACAGGAGATGAAGGACCCAAATCCTCGCCAAGATGTCAAGTGTCTATTTCAGCCCCTTTAGCGAATTTCAGATTTCCTAGGAAAAATGTCAAGCTGTCTATCCCAATCCTATCGCTAGGTTTGACTTTGGGGGCTATGCAGATAGGATTTCAAATATCCGACCATACTAGCACCGGCAGCAGTGAAAGATCACATGTCCATACCAAGGTAGGTAGATAGATATATGCTCATACTACTCAGCTTTCAGAATCATGAACAAGGGTTTATCAATCTGTTCAAACTACTGGGTCGGCTATCGGATCTGCACTGTATCGCACTGACACAAGGCGAAGATGCCCGAGTGTGCGATTGACTCGCTCCTCTACCTAAGGAATGTTGAACTCTTTGTGGACTTCCATTGAGCACGAGTCACGATCAAGATGATCCACCTTCACGGTGATTTTTGTGGACTGCCGTTGAATATTGCTCAAAAGGTCAAAGCGGCGGTGGCAAGGACAGGGTTCTACACGTGTGAGCAAAAATTCATCGACCGCGGAGGACGGATTTCCTGTCACTCGCCCCCCCCTGGGTGGAGATATTCCGAACAGCCCCCAACACACACTGGTACGTAATGTTGCCGTGTCATTATTGGGCCGTCAAAAGACCTCCTGTTCTTGATGTCGTGTGGCCACTGCCTTGTTTTGATTAATCTCGATGGGAAAACACGCAAGTCCAAATGGAGAACTGTTGCATCACTCGTGGGTATTGTACAGGATTTCATACACATTTACGATTTATATTGATGGCGAACAGACGTCTGCTTGACATCGGTTCCCTACCGAGCAGACTCCTGCGTTCCAGACCGGCCTGTCTTCATGCTGGAAGACATCTCAATGTCGACTTGGTACGTGTACTGCTTGTGGATACCGCCGCTCCTGGTTTTGTCTGGTAGTAGGTCTCCCTTGTCCGAGTCGCCATCTTGTAGCCGTTCCCAGCTCTCATCCCCTCTTCCATGCACCGTGGCCAAGCTGAAGCCCACATCTGTTGGGTTGCGGTACCGGTCGCGACTCCTGGCGTCCAGTGGTTTGCTACCAAACGTGAAAAGCCCCGTCTTTGTCCCATTACTTTTAGAAGGGGCCGAGATTTCTGCTGACGAACCCTTGGTTCGGGCGATGAAACGGCGAAGGGAGGGTACTGAGGAGGCGATGCAGCCGATTCCCGTCTCAACGTTGGAGCACAGAACAGTATGGGCGACCCAGACTACCTCAAAATTAGCCTCAAGATGCACCGCTTGTAGAAGGTTCGATAAAACTTACATTGAAGGTTTGCCTGGGCTTTGAAGTGGTTGACGTATGGAATACGGACCATGGTAATAATCGATGCACTATATCAACGTTAGCCATATACATCGCCGATCATGAGAGGTGTCTAGCAGCTTACACAGATGCAAATGACAGCAGACCAAAAACTTGTAGTTTTGTTTGAGTCTTCATCTGTGTACCCCAAAGAATCACGGCAGGGACCACAACGAGCGCCAAGTCCGTGACAATAGCTGAGCTTGTGGCGACATGACCGAGGGCGATTAGAACGTCAACATCTGCGCATTTTCCTTTGCCGGCGAGAATCATCTGTGGCGTCCACAGGGCTTCAACAGGCTCGCAGTAGAGCAGTGTTCCGATAAATGTGATGAAAAACGATGCCCACGTGAGTCCTAGAAGAACCCATATGGTGATGCGCAGAGCTTTGTTCGTGGTGACGATGCGTTGAATGGTGATGCAGACGGACGACTTGACCAACGCAAGGGCTACGACGTATAGCAAGATCCAGACGATGTAGATCTTGAGGGCTTCCGACCACATCCACTGATTCAATTTGGCTTCGAGCGTGCCCAGTCCGATGAAGCATCCGTATACCGCCAGACCAACGACCGCCGTATAAACAACCTATCGAGCTTGTGTGAGCGAACCTTTTCTTTTCTTGGCGACCGCTTTGGGCCCATCGTACCGTTCCTGCTGCCATAAGTCCATCGTCGAGACCGAACGTGCGCTCGACTATGCGGATACGAGTGCGGAGACCGACGCAAATGATCGAGAAGACGAGGAAGATGCAAGAGATGATGATAATGGCGAGCGGGAGGTGTACCGGCGGGAGCATTCGCAAGTCGGGATCCACGGTTGTTGACCACATATTGGCGGTTTCGTCGTGTCCAGTTCTTTCGTGCTGGAATGCCTCTCCTCTCTGCGAGCACTGTGAAGAGGCTTCCCTTCGAGTTTTAAGCCGCGAGTATCGACTTTGACGGCTGTACCTGCGGCAGATCTATCTCATCTGCAGGGGAAGAGGAGCCGTAGGAAGCGGCGTGGCTTGGAGCCAGAAGAGATCAGAACCAGGATACACGTTCCATGGATGTAACCCCAGACATTTGCTGCTGGGTCCTGTCAGACGTTACATAGTCGATGGAAAATTACCAACAGGACCCGTATTCCCTCAAAGACTCGATTCCAGTCCGAGTTTCCGTATCCAACCAAGAGAACTAGACTTGTCTAGATGCGTTAGGATCCGGACCCAGTAACCCACTTTCCCGGAATCCAATGAGCATGCTGTGTTCCTGAGAAGGGGGCCAAATAGGCCATGGCTGTCAGTCGGCCGCGGTCGTCGGGTACGCTAGTATTGCCCGGGGTCCGTTGCAGGTCGGCGACCCAACTCCACAACACTAGGCAAAGAACACGACAACGGCCGAAGCTGGTTCACTCTTGCAAGGTTGGCTTCTTGTCAGCCACCCAATCACGACAGAAAAACTAACGGCGGCCGAAGTTGGCCCAACCTGGCAAGGAACATGTTTGCTTGTCATCCCACAACGGCACTTTGGTAGCTACAGGGACAAATCTCACTAATAAGAGCCATCCCATCCCATACTTGTCAGTTTTGGGGTCGAAACATGCAGATCAGGGCGACCCTTGTAAGAACCACAATTGGGATCATCGCGATCAATTCTACGAAGGGAATCTGACAACCAGACTCCGCATCCTCGTCTCGTTCGAGAATCAGGCGAGCCTTGTTGGTTCTAAATGGAGATTTTATGAAGTGCAGCAGACTGTGCATTATCATAAACCAATCAAAGGACGGGAAAGGCTGAGATGGCTCGCAAAAACTATCAACTCTTAACTTTTATGATGGAAAGAAGACACATAGGCACAACAATTAAATCTGCATGGTATTTGACATGGTTGATATTAGGTCACTGGGCTAACAATAGTGAAAGCCCGCGAATGCTACGCTGTCTGACAATAGGGGTAAACCACAAAAGACATCGTAAGACTTTTAGACGATCTTGACCCGGACTCCAGTTGTGCCCTCGGCCGGCTCAGGCACAAACATGTCATGGTCATATGCAACATCCTCGTCTTCGGTATCGAAGAGCTGCATGTTAGGGAAGACGCGCAAGACAAGAGCTGTGAGGCACAGGTTCATCTCGCACAAAGCCAAACTTTAGAGTTTTGCAAGTCAGTCATATGATCACATTAAGATTTTCTGGGGGTGGTCGTCGACTTACTTCATACCAAGGCAAGATCTGCTGCCCTTGGAGAAGGCAAGCATGCCCTTTTCAACATCCTTTCTACGCTGGTTGTTCTCGTCCAGCCAGCGCTCAGGAATGAACTGGTAAGAGTCGGGGAATACACCCTCCTCGTGATGCGTGATGGCGGCGGACATGCCGATCGCATAGCCGCGAGGGATAACAAATTCAACAGGCTTCTTGTTGAACTCGCCACGGTAAACCAGGTTCTCTTGAGTGGGAATGCGAGCAGTACGCGCAGACACACCGTATGAAAGACGCAGACCCTCCTGGAGAACAGCGCCAAGATAGGGGAGGTTCTCAAGGCTAGTCCAAGATGGGAGGTGCTGCGGGTCATCGACGACCTCGCTGAGCTCCATGCGGAGCTTTTCCAGAAGCTCAGGCTTGGTCAAGAGATGATAAGTGATGACGGACAGAGCCCAGCTGGTGGTCTCGGTCCCAGCTCCGACAACAGCAGTGGCTTCGTCAGCCAATCGTTGCGGCTGCTTCTCCAATAAGTCCAGGTCCGACTCCAGAAGAGATCCAAAAACCGTGGGGCGCTCATGGCGGATGCCGGCATCAAGCTCGGCCTTGGTCTTCTTGACCTGGTTGGGAATGTCGATCTTTAGCGTCTGAATAAGCAGAGCAATATCTTTGGGTAGGTAGTTAATAAGCCTTGGCAACCGTTAGTTCATGTTTCTCTTCTACACTAATTATTGAGGTCCACAAGAAAACAACATACCACTCGCCAAGCACCGCAAGAGACTTAGTCCAAGGGAAGAAGCGGAAAATAAAGACCGGTCGGAGAATAGAAGCCGTCGGGGCACGGAAGTTGGGATACCACCCCTCCTGCTGCAAAAAGCCAAAGCTCTCGCCAAAGCAGTAGCCTGAAATGGCATCGGAAGTGAAGCAGCTGTAAGCCATGGTCACATCGAATTCGTCCTTGCCAGACTCATTCAGCAGCTTGTCGCAGAGCTTCTGGACCAACGCATGCACATCGCCCTCAAGTCGGGCGATCATACCCCTGGAGAAGAACTTGGCAAGGGGGATACGTCGCACACGGTGGAGGTCATGGTCAACAGTTCCGAAGCCAGCTTCGCCCAGACTGGGATGTAACAGAGCGATTAGAACACTGTATTTTTTGGCCTGTGAAAGAGGGGGATTCTTACGCTGAGCCGTTGATCTGGTGAACAGGCTTGTCGCGTTTGCGGCCACTCACGGCGTAAATTTCATCGGAGAAGTTGGCATCATTGCAGTGAACTTCGTTGGGGTTGATGCGCACAATAGGTCCTGATAACGCTCAGAATCCGTCGTTTGAAAAATTGTCGGAAACGCGATGGGTTAGCTTACCGTATTGTTCGTGCATGCGGTGAATTTCTCTGGTGTATCGGCCGAATCTGATCACATCGTGGTAAAACTCCGGTATGTACGTGGCAGCTGATAGCTTTGGGCCGGGAATATGGCTCAAAGGGTGCAGAGGAGAGATGTTGTAGAGAGCCTTGAAAACCTGGTACACCAGCCAGAGACCGATGAGCGCGAACACATTGCGAGCGCTCAAGTAGGGAGCCGCAACTGTCGCAGACAGTGGCTCAGTCTGAATCGTCGACATCCTGGGTGGTTGACAAGAGAAAGACTAAAGGATGTTGATCGTAAATCTGCGAGCAGCGAAGAGAGGGCATTATCATTTCCTGAATCACCGCCCTATGCCAGGCTCATGTGGAGAGTTTGGATTGACAAGACAGGTCCACAAATCCTGCATAGGGTCTACACCCGATGAAGCCACAGCACCGAGGTTTGCAACGTCGAGACCAGGGCTGACAGCAGAAGGGATCAACAAGAAACGCAGGCCACCCGGCCGAGAAGGATTAACAATTGCTCATTTGCCGCCAACTGCTGCCCATAACGGCCGAGGTCTTGGTGCCACTGACGATCTTAGTAGTAGGACCCTGGCTGTCCAGAAAAGGAGAGCCGACCTTATCGGAGTGACAAACTGAATCAAACATGGATTTCCGTGGCCCCCAAATGGGAAATTCTAGTTTCTTCAGATTAGTTCCAACGGTCCTGGTGGCCTCAGCCTGGGCAACGGAGATGCCAAACGGCCCGTGAATGGGGTTCATGGGGAGTTCTTTGAGGTTCGCGGCCATGACTGGCTGAAGAATGAGGGTCCCTGTAGATTGCATCAAAATGCATCCACCTGGACAGGGAAGACCCCCGGACGATCACACCGTAGTGGCCAAACAGGAACCCCGAATTACGTTCCACGCAACCTTCATTCGTACACGTGGAACGAATCGTGGAGGCGGGCATAACCTAAGTACAGAAAATTCTTCAGCACAAGATTGGCGTGGCATATGATAATGATGGGTGGACAGCGAAAAGCACAAACCAAGCGCCTAGGCTATTTTACTCCTTTATCCACTATCGAGCTTTCGGGCCGCGGTTCAAACTGGGACCTACGACGAGCTCAGCTGATTAATTCGAACCAATCTTCTGTTGCATCTGGCTTTTGTCAGAACCACCGCAATGCCGGGGGTGTCTGGAGCTACACACCGGAGTGGGGCCGTATGAATGCCGGTCATTTTGAGTAATGTCCCGGTATCAACCGAGACCTACCTAGCGACGCCGTGATCATTCGGGATTTGTTCAGACCTGTTATATGTGCTCCATTCAGTAGTTTCTTCCGCATATTCCGGTATATTTGGTGGTCATAGGTATATGTTGCCTGGAGTTAGAGTGGTCTAGCCATGGTTTAGGATCTAATTGCCTAGCCTTCAGTATGCCGCGTCGCTTCGGTTGCTAGCAAAATTACCGTACAGACCGACTAACAGAGAAAAAAGTGTACCAATTAGTCGAAGTGCTTTAGCATGAGTTGTCTTCACAAAAAGCATCATGTGTCTTATGACAGCTGAAGAGACGGGTATTTGTGCCTGGACCTCCGCATTTTGTCAAGTATCTTTGGGCATGTCAGCTGGCTTTTGTTACAGTTAAAGAAATGAAGACGGGCAACCATTTCATGGGGCAGTCAGCTGGTATTTCCTCACTGTGATGCGAAAAGATATTCCATTCTACTCTTCTCATACCTCTCACTCTACATGCATATCGCTAATATAGTTTCCTGCAGAATAAACGGTAGATATTTCGATACGGTTTCCCTTTAACGTAAGTCTTGAGTAACTTGTCATTGCCTTGTTCACACTTCCCAAGTTCGATTCAGCATTCTCTGAATCTTTACTAGGCATCAAGCATGTCTGTGTGCTGTATTAGCTATATTCTTATTAATTTACAGCTGCAGCATAGCCGTAGCTAACGCACGACATGAGCTGACTACGATCTCAGCGATGATTTCTGCTATTAGAATCACGATGCGCTTCTAATTACTCTTCACTATCGTGACTTCTTCATGCATCGGTAAATGCCCATTAGTCAAAGTTCTAGTTTGAAGTCATTGACTGGGATATCCTTTTCGACTTACAGTGCCTTAAATTGCATCTTCTAAGCCTTCTTCTTCAAATCAGAGTCAATAGATTGTGCTCCATGTTCAAACAGTAACTGGGCGGCTGTTCTGCGGGAAAAGATGACCGCTAGACGATAGGGTGTTTGACCAGCGCTCTCCACACTGCTTACCTCTGCCCTATATTTAATGAGCAGTTTAATCACATTATCATGCCCCCCTTAAGCTACCAGATGAATTGGCGTCTGCCGACAATGATCTACTCTATCAACAAACCCCCCATGGTCGAGAAGTAGTCGAATTATAGCTCCAGAACCATATTTAGCTGCCAGATGAAGTGTTGTTTGTCGATACTTATCTGGGCTATCTGTTTCTGTCCCAGATTCAATAAATAATCCTACAACCTCTTCATGGCCGTAGCGAGCTGCTAGATGAATTGACGTTCTTCCAGCCTGATTGATGCTGTCAAGCTTTGCTCCGTGGTTGATCAGCAACTTGACAACAGCCTTGTGGCCATGGTAAGCTGCTAGATGAATGGGCGTTTGCTCTATGTATTTTTTGCCACCACAAGGTCGCATTCAAACATAGGCGATCAGATCCGATGTTTTTGAATAAGCACATTACACCTGTCTGTCTTTTTTCTTCAAATAGTGTGACGAACACGCTAGGCACGAAGAAACTAGCCCGCAAAGTGCGTTGATTCTTACAGAATCTACAGCCCTAGAGGCACACTATATATATCCAGCCAGCTGGCAGGGATCTCTCTAGTATAGGCTGTATCAGTCTGTCTCATCGTGACTCGTGCCCATCTAGCCCACAGACGTCCCATCGTCACAAATAGTCTTTGCTCTTATTCATTATGCCAGCGCTTTGAAATTATTTTGATCTTGCGCTGACCATACAGCAGGAAAATCACTCGATCCAATGGTGTTGATGATGATGGCGACTTCCTTGTGTATGTTTTCTGTCCTCCCTTGCGGGCTATGATAGCACACTATGCCAGTGAATGTCACTTTTGTGGACAGTTAGAAGATAGTTTATCTCCATTCTTTTCAAGTCATTTCTAAGAGAATAAAACATACCAAGCTATCGATTCAGACATTCATAAGGAGGGTTTGCCCGTTAGAGCCTATTGAATCCTGGACAGGTCCTTCGCTGATAGTGCCGATACTGCTGCTGATGCGGCGACGTTTAGTGTCTGGTTGAGATGTCATATTAGAGCTGGTAGAAATCTCGATACCGTAGGCGATAGCTGGAGGTAGAAAGTCCTTAGAGGGGGGTGTTTTCTCAATGAGTCGAATAGCCTCTTTCGCAGCCTTCTTCTCAGCATTCTCTCTTCCCTTTTCAGTTTCTTCAGTAGCGTCGGCTCGAAGCTTTACATACTCCTTAACTTGGTGATGATCCATACCAACGAGGTGTTCGGCGAAAATAACATGCTCAAAGGTTACCCAGCTTCCGCCGGGTCCAGGAGGGAGAGGGTATTCGACATTTGATATAGGCTTACCAAGTCGAGTGGATTGCTGGATACGAGTGCGAAGACGACCACGGACGTCAATAAAACCAATAACAGCATGCTTGTTCCTTAGATTGGGGACGGGAGAATCTCGCCAGTAACCCAGAAACACACACTCAATACCTCCAATACCTCCTCGTAAACGCTTAGGGAGCTCTGTATCTACACGAGGCGTTTCTTCCTTGTCCGAGACGGGAATATTTTCCACCTTGTCTTCAACTAGGTCGTCCGAGGCCGATGCTCGCTTGCGCTTATCGTCGATAGTACTGATGTTTCTACCCTCGCCGCCCAGATTTATGTTAAGATCGCTCTGCAACCGCTTGGCCAAGTGGGCAAGCAAGTCGGCCCGGCGAGACTTTTCGCCGCCTGTATAGTCTTTTGAGATGGTAGAGTGAACCCAAATATTGGTGGAAATTGCAGGTTTGATGTCGCAATTCTTACTAAAGCTAAGTGGCCGAGTTGCTGATGTTTCCGAACGGGCAAGGTTAACATAATCCTCGCCGTCTGTCCTCGCCGCTTTGCTGTCAATAGGCTTGGCCGGGGTACTTTCAGTCTTATCTATGCCTTCAGTCGAGGAAGAACAGTTTTTACATTTCCTTTCATGAGCGCTGCTTCAATTCAGTAACAGAATATGTGACCCTTGAAGATGATCTCACGCTAGCTCTTGAAATGTCATGAACACATTGCGTTTGCCCGGGCAGCATCGGCACCGCAATAGCTTGGTTCTGACTTTTGTGTGTGGCCGGTGAACGGAAGCACTCTTGTGGTTCCTGGTGGCACTATGGCGACGTGCAGGAGATGTTGAACTGGCATATGGATCGTTGCCTTGGTGTCTAGGGAGGGACTTTTTGGCCTTCGTGGGAGGCATTGGCGTTGACCGGTTCGCTATTAGATTTATATACGGTATCTGTAGTGTTGAAAAGGAGGCTCGTGGTGAAACTACCTGAACAAGTGTTTCCGTTTAGTTGATAACGCCGGCTCGCTATAACCAACTTGGTCGGCTGATGTTTGTCTGGACGTAGGCAATGTGCTGCTTCACGCTGATGGATGATGTTGTGGAGAGAGATGCAGAACAGTTGATCAGGCTGTGGTCGGGAGGTTTCCGAGGCTGTGAAGAGCACGTGCGGCTGATGTGCAGATGGATAGCGAATCAGTATACAGCAAGCAAGCATCATCGTTCGGCTGTCTGTCCAATACGCTTCGAAGCTGCGATTAGCAAATAGCCTGTTCATACGCCAAAAGCAGTTTACTAGCGGTAAATCTCTCCGGTCCCTGCTCCCTAGTTTCTTATCGGCGTAGGGCAGCCGCCCACGCACCTCTCCGGGACATAGCCCGTTATAATAAGGCTTACTATCTGTAATTATAGCAATAATTATTTTTGTTTTCTGTTGGTTTTGTAACATGTGCGGAAACCGATTTTGGGAATCAGTTTGCGGTTGGCGCTTATACTTCGCGCACCCTGCTCACCCAGCTGACCTAGGGCATTACGCAAACACACTAAAAGCAGCCGCATCTGGGAACAGGAGGGTGAAAAAAAACACTTCAGTAAACTCGTGTCCTTTCATTCGTCGGTTTTGGATTGTGTCTATTTAATGGTTTCATTTCGGGAATGGATTTGTTCAAATCGCAGTAGTCCAGCATTTCCTTCCGATCAGCTTGTAGCCTTTCGAAAGCTGAAGTCATATTAGCAATCGTCTGAAGAGTGAAAAGAATGATGCATACCACTTTCGACGGAGGCCATTGGGTTTATTGCAGCAGAAGCTTCATCAGATGCACTCGAATTAAGAACAGAAATTGGATCTTTCGCGCAGACAGCTGCAGTAGCTGCAGCATAATTCTGCCACTCCTCATTCTTGTGCGAATCAACATAGTCACAGATCCCTCGAACTGGTATGCAGGGAAAGTTGTCCATCAATCTAGCTGCCTCCATTTCGAAACAAATTATGTCGACTTCCTTAGCCGATGCATCTCAGGTCCTGCCGTCCTTGATAACTAGGTTGCCAGAAGCAACACCACCATAGTGAATTTTCGGGCAAGAAGTCTTTCAAGGAGGCCAATGGTCTGCTTCAGATATACTGCATTGCCTGCAAGCTACTTGAAGAGAACCGAAATGGGCGTATGAGCCATGGAACAGACGGTCTTCGCATGAACTCGGATGGCCGTAACTAGCTATACTGTGATAACGCTCATGCATTTCTTGGAGGATTGAGGGAATAATGTTCCCTGTAGTTTCGTGAAGCGCCCACAGCTTGGAAGCTGCGTTAAGAAAAATGTGTAGAGGTAACCTCGAAGTTCCCGTTTGCTGGGCTCGATTGCCCGGAATGATCTTTCCTAAATCATATTTTTAGGAAACTTCGAAGAATGTTACTGGCGACGATTGAGTTGTTGGAATTAAGAGGCACGCCATTGAGATTCTTGGTAACGATGTTATGGTGTTCATTACTGTTCGTGCGGATCGTAGTTAAAGTACCCAGGCCGTGTAGAGCCTATAGGATGCTACAACGCACAACCTCCAAAACTGATTCAAATTGTACTATTAAGTATTGTCAAGCAATACAATATATTGATCATTCTGAGACCGAAAGCAATTTCAAGTGCACTTACTTTGTGCTGTTTCATCTCCGCCGGTTACCTGTGTGCGAAAGGTGATACTTCAAAGCAACTACCTCAAAACACATAAAGTGGCTCTTGAGTCCGTCAATTGATATTGTGACAGATTTGATGGTGCTACTATGGACGATTTTGCGGCATTTTGGATCTAGATTCCATGTGTGACAGGGTTTCCAGCCAGCAGTCTTAGAGCCTTGCATATTATACCTACGCAGTAGCATCGGGTGCAACTCGATCTGTAAGCAAGCCAGGATGCTTTCTTCTTTTGAAGGCACCGCTTTCACATATTTAAGTCAAAGAAATAATTACTTCACACCATGGCCATACTCAGCTGACGAGAAAGAAGAGTAGCCTGGGCTATAAGCATGGTTGTCATTCCACTGTGATGCATCGCATCTTTGTGATTCGCGTTGACCAACTGTAACCATGGACTTTTGTCCTCCGCACCTTCCCTCTTGAGCATTGGTTGGTTCGTCTAATTTGCTAAGACTCCATTGAAGGAAGATAGCGGTTACAACGGCATCTGAAAGCGGTCTAAACTAGCATGTCTATCGGCGACAGCCTTCCACGGGAGTAGAAAGCTTCCGAATGATACAAAACCCACCTTCCGAAATATAGTCTATTAAAGAAGCTGTTACCGAGGGAGCCCTGGATCAGATTTCCATTCACAATTGTTCCCTTTATATAGAGAACAATTTCTTCGCATCACATACATCTTGTCGATATGATATCACTCAGACTTCTTATCACGTTTGCAGTTGCAACATTTGCCTCTGACTTTGGCAAAACCTGCAGAGACGAGCATATAGACCCTAACACAGAAGTTCTTTCAGCATCATGTGACACCGGAGATGGGAGGGGAACCCTGAAATCAACGTCTATTAATCTTAATGACTGCTTTGGGTGGTCAGACAACAAGATCCAACAAGTACGTGATTCCTGAGACCAAGATTGAATGTATCTGCGGTGTACTGTGAGGCGCATGATCACGGAACCGACGCAACCCACTTCCCGGTTCTTGGCTTTGCTGACTGATGTCTTAGGGAGTTGGCCAGGGCCACTTTGGCGATACCTGCGATGACTGCTTTTCCTACCGTGTACCTGACCCTTTATACGGAGTGTTTGGGGTCACTAGAGTCTGGATGAACTGCATTTGCAATGGCGGTCTGACTGACAGTTCCATCAACCTTGGTAAGGGACAATACGACTTAGCCAGTCTAGGATAGTTCCATCCAAAGAGGGGCACCGCCAACCTATTGTGACAAAAAAGAATTTGTTAACTAACAGAAATTCATAGATTCAACCCTTCTGACAAACAAATTCGGCACTCTGGTATGCACTCGCTAGGGGCTACGTTTGTGGATATCGCCTCGGGACTGTGAAGTCTTACGTTGCAAGTTGTATTTGTGCCGGGATGATGCTCCAATGGAGAAGTCGGGAAAGAGGGATATTGCTTTACAATTGATACCAAAAGGCTTAGCCGTGTTCAAGTTATCTTACCAAGGAAGCAATCGGAAGTGGCTACCAATTTATTGTTTGCGGCAGTGTACTTTCGCGGATATTGATGTGGGCCTTTGTGACACTAAATTTAAGCTTATCCCAGCAAGTAAAAAGCCTTTACAACGGTCCCAGTCCAGTGAAAATATACGATGGATCATGATGTATCACAGCCGAGCATAGGGGATCACTGAAAGACACGCTATCCGTCCGACCTAAGTTTCCTTGAAGAACACATGAAGTAGTTGTAGAGGCAAGTAAACTATAATTGTTGATATAAGAATGGCCGCCCTTGTCATTCTAGAATCTCTTGTTTTGACTAGTCTTGCAGTTGAAGTGACGTGGATACGCCATTCCAATCTGATTGCCTGAGTTTCAGTAACCTTCTAATGCCGTCAATATGTATGAATTTTGTTACTATGCCACCGAAGATCTTGCAGGAGCGCCGGGTACCGCAGCCGTCCTCGTTAGACTGTAATTAGATTTCTGGTTACAGTAGTTAACACTTACCCTTCTAACATCTCTTCGGGTTACCACAGGAACTTCACTGGTGTGGAGTCTCTTGTAGGTGGCTGACAGACACGCTGTCACTGATATCCGTGCACCGGGTGCATTCAATCGACCTTGCCATTATCCACTGTGAACTTGATCTCAAGGAAAATGGCAGCGGCGGTTAGTCTCAGGTCTTCCAGGCCACGTCCTACCACATACTGCCCATTGAAGAGACCTTCTGTCTCAGAATTTAAGAAGCCTATGTCAGACTAAAAATTCTGTCTGGGCCGCAGTTGGGATATTAGCACTCAGCAGTCCTGAGGACCTGAGTAGGACTGTGATTGCCGCCTACGACCCTGAGAGGGCCAAGGAGACAGCGGCTGTGAAGGGAAAATACCATCCCTTTGCAATGTTACCACATTGAATGGGATTCGATTGATTGTCCAGTCCCTGTTCGTTGTGATCAGAATTGATAAGCGAGAGGAATAGTGTCAAGTCTAGCAAATGCCTTTTGTCTCGGATTCCTAAATTCAACGAGTACCGTTTCCAAAGCCAGAAATTGGACAGCGCTGCGGAGTGAAAATACGCCTGGTGCCGATGTGACATGTCATGGAAATAATGCGTTTGAAACATCTACGGAGTCAGCAAAAGACCCAAATAGGAATGTGCTTACTAGCAACAAAGATTGGTTGACTCTATTACTAGTACAAATGCTCAAGGTACCGCTGAGCTCTGGATTCCCACCAAACTCCTCGCTACAAAATTGTTGCATCATGACTCCCGAGTCCTCAAAGCAGGGCCATCGGTGAAAGGACCGGCATCCGTTCGTTTCCAGATACAGACAGACTGTTCATCCTTCTTACTAGATTCGGAAGACTCTCCCAGTTGTACTCGTCTTTCCAGGTGTTGTCCCGCTTAGCTTGCAAGATTTGTTCGTACAGTTTGGCCATTTCCTGGCTATCCCACATACCTTCCCTTCGCTTCATTCTCCAAAGAATATCAATGATTCTCGTTTCTAGTTCCTCGTCTTCGCAAAAGGCACAAATGTACGATAGCGAAGGCACAGCGTCAGCAGCCAACGAAAATGTCGGTCTGGACACTGCTGTCTTGGAAAGCAGAAGCTCTTCCGCCATATCCACCAAGCCACATAAATCTCCCTTGGCTGCATTTTTCATTTCGCAAGGTGAATCATAGGCGTTGAAAACTTCCCAAGTCTTTTTTGAAAATCGGAGCGACTTTAATTCTTCTTCGTCTTCCGGGTTGAGACGTTCCGAGAGGCCTTCCTGGAACGCGTCGAAGCGGGCGCCCCAAATGTTGAATTGCGTCTCAGCCTCTTCCCACTCGGCTTTCCTTGAACTGATGGACTCGGGCGAGCCCTTGCTGCTAGCTTCGGAGGGACAGACTTTACATGTGGAAGCATCGCTACAGGGCCATGGCTCCTCAAACGCCTCGGCGAACCTCACTTCCACAAGATGGAGCTGGTAACGTGCTTCCGAGACGTTGATGAATGGTTTTGTTTGGTCCTTGTCTTCTTCCTGTACGAAGAAGGACAAATCGGGCACAACATGATCTTCGATGAGCATCGAGGCGTCCACTCCCATGCATGAAAACATGCCAGCGATGTCGCATAGTTGATTAAAGTGTTTATCAACCGTCTCGGCAAGGCATTTGTCGTAACCAGAAACCGAATCTGGGTCTCGCCGATGTGCAACCGCCGCTTGATGAATCGATTCGAGCACCTTCGCACCGGACCTCAGATGTTGAACGGCTTTATCAAACTGGCCTCTGACGATCTCATAACATACAAAGATTAGGCAGCAGATGAGAGTGATTCGAATATTGACAGGTGACGGATCAGCCATGATCTGTATGGCTTCTGCAACGGCTTTTCGGTAATGTCTCGATGCCAAATCGCTCAGCGCTAAGGCATTGTCGGCACCCTGCATACCGTAGAACGGGTCTTCCAGAAACGCCCTGTGAGCGACACCGAGAGCGACGACGGCGTGCTTGACCGAGTCTGAGTAGTAACCGAGAGGGAGAATATAGTTGCTCCAAAGTTTAGCCAGCGGCGTGGAGGCGCCGAAATCTGGCACTGTACAATTGTGTACATGATGGAACATTGTTCTCTCCATTTCCGTGCCCGAAATGTCCCAGTTGATAGGTGGTGTGAGATGCATCACCGATGTCTTGTGTCGTTGCGTCAGCATCCATACGGCGGCGGGAGAGGCGCTGGTCGATCTCTTGGGCTGAGGAGTGTTCGGATTCGCGTATCCATCGCACTTGTGCTTATCCTTCCTGCACCTTTTGCAGGTGGGCTTTTCCTCATCGCATTTTACATGTCGAACTCTGGCGAGGGGTCAGCTTACTTTTGATAACGGGAGCCACATGATCTCAGGAAGAGCCAAAAGTGAAGTATGAGAAGAGGCGAAATGGCCTTACTTGCTATATCAATAGGAAATTCCGGTGTCAGTGGAATCAATTCTCAGCAAACTAAAGTGGCATCAGTGTTGTCACCAACCATGTCAGACATCCAGTCCTAACCTTTGACGCGCTCGCCCTAGTCCGCTTGGGCTTCTTTGGCGCAGGACCCACAGAGAAGACACCTGTCCCCGGAATATGAGTATCCAATGGCATTGTTAATGAGTGAGCCCTATATGTACGGAGATTTATCAGACAAATCAAGCTCAGAGTATGGACGGAGCTGGTGGCAGCTGTCTGACCCGAAGCATCGGTGAAAGGAGCTTTCGGCCAACGGGTTCGCGGGGACCAAGACAGGGTATACGCCAAGCGTATCCCTTTGGGCAGCGTCCACTATATAAAGCCAAGTGTTGAATGGCGCCTCCGCGCGCCCCTCGGCCGCCGAAAACCGAACCCGGCACCCTGGTTTGTTCTGCGACGTCAGCCTCTTCGTCAGGAACGACAGTTAATTTGGCGCTAGAGTTTAGTCTTTTACGATACAGCCAATCAGATGGCTCCGTAAAAAACTATTACCCGAAATTTATGGGTTCTCGAGGATGAGACGGTTCGAGGTTCCAGCAAATTGTCTGAGCTCAACGGAAGAAGAATGCCTAGTTGCTGATTCACACGGCGACGCCGAAGAAAAATGAAGTGCTTCTTTCAGCCCTACCCGGGTCTCTTGCGTTTTAAAGGTCGCGGAATTTGTAGTTGTTTTAACCCTATTGGTCTGTACGACTTCTTGAAGCAGTCCATTACATCTACCGCTAGCTGAAAGAGGCTGGCCCCCTTGTTCTAGACGTTTTGCACAACACTTCCATCACAATGTCCCCGCTTAGGACACTCCAGGGCGTCAAACCCTGGTCATTGTACGGAGTACTAGGTACGCATAGACACAACATGGGTTGTGTATAGAGGGAGAATCGGTACACAATGTGGAATTTAATGCTTGGGCAATTCGACTGCCTTTTAATGACCTTTCGTATTCTAGCGCCGCATTGTTTAGCAAGCCACAATGTTGCCGAGTTTAATTCCCGCTCTAGCGAAGCTTTTTGAATCTGGAGTGTTAAATAGCCAACACGAGAACTGTGACTCCACCGCTATTCTTAGGTGGTAGGGGGAAATGTCAGGTCTAGCTTGTAGCATAACCCTAGATGCCTGACTAGTGGCTCGGAGGTAGGTACCCACCTTGAGCGGCTGCCAGGATAATTAGTAGTCAAGCATCGCTGCGATCCGATCGTAGTCACCAAGTGATGAGCATTGATGCTCTGTGGTTTTCTCCTCCTCGAGGGAAAACACTCAAAGCATGCCTTTCCCTTCAGTAGCTCATTCTCGAGATCTACAATCATCGTATGACTCAACTGTCCAGCGCTGGTGATTAACATATATCCACCTCAATTCCGATCGACATACGTTAAGATGTGCGTTGAATTATATGGTGAGGTACAAAAGCATGAGTCATGCAGTTTCGGCTCCTGGAACAGCAAAAGATTTTCCGTCGATATAGTTTAGGCCGATCTGGTCGTAAAGGATACGGCGCGTACACCTTATTGGATAAGGTAAAGATTTCATCGTTAACTGATGGAGTATTAAGACACCCCGCACACCCCACGCCAGGAAACATTAATGAGACTCTGAGCAGCACAGTAGTGACCCCAATTTACTGGTAGAAACACTGTCAGAAACACCTACCGAACAGCCTCTGGACTGCAAGGAGCTGGAATGGAAAATGTCCTGTCCGCTTGACTATGACTCCTTCGGTAGCTTCGCCGCCTCCCGCGAAACCAATGTCTCGATGTAACGTTAACCCACGAAGAAATAGGCCATGTTGCAGATTATAGAAATGGGCACCGAAGGGAAGTATTGAGTACACCGGCCACGTCATGTTGAAGTGAAATTTGAATCACATGCTATGGGCACACAGCGAGCCTTGCGGTTCAACCCAGCAATCATAGAAACGTCATCCAGAAACTGCTGCGGTGTCACCAAGGGCCACTCCCGGCTAATCCACACGTCAGACTCGATACCACGCGCCCTATCTGTGAGATGGTTGCGTGTTTCTGTTCCAGCTGTCAACTTGGACATGGTACAGACAAAAGTTCCCCTGAACAGGGTCAGGGTATCAATGCCTAGTCAAATATGTGATTGTGAGTCTAGAAAGGCATCTTTATACTATGGGGTTACTGGCTTTTGGACAAGTTACAATGATTTTTGAGTTTTCGAACATCATTACGAGGTTGTCAGTTAAGACAGAATGAACTATTATTACTAGAGTTCTATTTTTTTCCCTCTTCTTTTTATTGAATTCCGCTCCTTTGCAGCAACATTCAATCAAAGTGATGTTGCGATGGGCCGGCAGCGTCAGTGGAAAAGCTGCCGGGGTGTCCTGTCGGCGAAATAGAAATGGTTCGTAAAGCCGATTTCTGTTGCCAGATGAAATCCCGGCACTACCAACATAGTTTAGACGTAAACGTTTGCTTCGACTTTCTATTCTAGGGGGTCACAGGGGTATTTTGTTCGATGAAACACGTATTCACAGTAGTCCCTGGATGGCACTAACTGCTATTGGAGCAAGTCATTCCTGGAGACAGAGTTACTTGTGGTGGTTTCGCTGCTGCCTAATTTTTGACAAGATTTAGGGTTGCTTACCAGGGATGTGCCTCTTTAAAACATCAAATCACAATTCGGGCGTAATGCGTAAAGATCATGAACGCGTACTTGAAACACTATTATGTTGCAACGCATCTTCTCAATCCTACTGGCCCTGACTCGATTTAGCTCGCCGATAGAGACTATACAATGGATATCATACACTGCCTCCTGTTTATTACCAATGGTTCCCGGTCGAGCTAGCCAGCGGCAATCGAGCGCTTGCCGGATATGCTACCGAATAGGAGTCTACGAAGTCGGGGTTCCAATGGAGTCTAGATCGAGCCCGTCCGGTGATAGCCTCTTGTAGCGGTTAGTAGATGGTCTGACCAAGGATGTAATCGGCACTTCGATGCCGTATTGAGGAGATTATGATGCTTTGGAGATCGTTCTAATTAGTGACTTCTCGATGATTAACGAGGCCTCCTACTGTGGCACCCCACTACACTAAAGAGACGTCGCCAAAGCTCCAATCAAGCCAGTCTTGCACAGCCCCTCCCATACATACGATGTGGGCATTGTGCAAGGCTTTTTTTGCGCTGTAGCCAATCGGCAATGATCAAACAATTGCCCAGATTCTTTCCGCACCTGTTCCGTTTACATTTTGGGAGCCTCAGGTCATCGCAATCTCAAGTCTATGCTGCTGGTTATGCTCAATCATATTGCGGGCTCTTCATACGAGGTTTTGCAGCCGTGGCAGAGTGTCCCTGAGTGACAGAATGATCAACCGTGATAAGACAGACCATATCATTGACAGAGCCACAATCATACAGCTGAGATGGCGTCTCCTAGGAAACATGAGAATTGTGTGCTTCAACTACTTCGGAACATTCGGAGCGTTTTGTCATGTCTGGCCAAATCCATATGCGTTTCCGACGTGTATGTAAAAAATGTCACCATGTATTCGAACCTAACGGCCGCTCCGAAGCACCAAATGGGGCACACACGTGTACAAGTCCTCGCCCGCCCCGATCGCCGCCGCCGGCAACCACAACCCCGAGGTAAGAATTCTTTGCGGCCTACACATTTGGCTGGAGGAGAAACGGTGATAGAGAAGAAAAGAACGCGATGCTGATAGTTCCAAGTCTTTCTCGTGATTCACCTCAGTCAGGTTCTGCCAACCAGGTTCACGCTGGATCTTAACAGATGTTCTCGGAATCTGAAATCCAACATTATCCTCGCTGCAAACAATGCCGAAGAGACAATGCCGAAGAGACAATCAAAAGGTTCCTGGTGTGCCTAGCACAACTTTGAAGCGGGCTAACATGTTTCAACAGCAGTGCATACCAATCCCCATTGTTTGGGCCAAGACGAGATGCCATCATTGCATTATGCACGACTATTCCTGTTCCCAGAATTCTGTCGATCGCGATGGATCCATTCACTTTCAGCAAGTCTCTTTGACGGATGAAAAAGAAGCTACGGCGCCCCAACCATCGGCTAAGTGGAAGTTCAGCATGTTTCCAGGCCGTCTCTCCAGCGACTGGCTGCCCAAGTATCAGACAGTAGAGCCTCGTTCGACACAGTTTGGACTCGCAGTAGAATGTTCTTCAAACTTGCATCGTAGAGAACAGCCACAGATGGCCACACCTTGGCTTGAACCCTCAAGGGATCTCGAAACAACGACCTGGGTGCTCTCTGAATCTCCAGAGACGTACGAGTCGGTCTTGATCGGTGGAACACCAGACGGGAAAAACCTGTCAAAGATTCCAAACATTGACAAAGTAGCCGGATCCAAGGGTCTCTCCGGTTTTGGACCACTGGAAAAGTCTCCAAAAACTGTCCTTTTTAGGTCCTTGATTGAGCAAGGGTGGTGCTCACAATATCCGACTTCTCAACCTAACTGGTATAGCCATCTAGGAGTTGATGATACCATAGAGTCCTTTCCCCAACTGTCCGATTGCCTTGACGCGCTTTCTAAAACTATGGGTGTTGTTTCGTACAGATTATTGCGGCAACGTCTCGAGGCTGTACGTATAACCCGAACGATGGAAGCTTCCACGGAAGCGCGAGCCAACATCATAGGGCGAATGCTCAACGAACAACCAGAGCACAAGCGCAACGAGCTAGAGCAACATATAAGGATCGGAAGAAGATGGCTTGATCTCGTCAATGAATTTGGAAGCCAAGAAATACTGCTGCTTGGATGGTGTTCCATTCAAGCGCGGAGGTCAGTTCTGACTCCAGATGAATTCGAAGATCTAGGCTGGATCGACTTGGACCACATCGACATCTCGTTAATAGTGGAAGAAGGGAATGACGAAGCTTTCGAGATTTTCAAGAGAATTCTGCTGCATCCCTGGTTCCAGGTCAGGGATACTTGCAGCCGGCTTGATGGTCTCTGTGACTTGATTCATCAGTTCATGCAGCGCACTAGTCAGTCAGAACGCAGCCTGTCCGAGATACAAGAGGAATCTCTCAAGACAATCTGTGGGAACAGACTTTCCACCACAATAGGATTCGACAAGGATGGTCTATCCATTGCTGCGGACATTGTTCACCGTATACGCAGCACGTTTTCGGCGACCAGGTGTTGGTGCGATGTGTGTCCATCATCGGTGGGAAGTTAGACAGGCTTACTCAATTATCAAACTTTAGGGATCTGAACCCAAGATAGACAACCATTCATCCAGGCCACACAAAGATCCCTACGGATAAAGGCGTAATCCTGTTCGACCCTCTTTAAGACAAGTAGAGGCAATCACGATTCAAGGTATAGCGTAGCCTCCTTTGCTGGCTCCACATCTTCAGTCTCGTGCTTGCCTCTTTTCTTGCAGTGACCCGTTGTTTTAAACATCATTAGTAGGCTGTCCATACCAAATCCCAGAGGCTTGAGTCAAACCAAATACCAGCGGCCCCCGATACCTACAACACTGCAAAGTGCGAACTTGAAATGCTTACACTCTTAGGTTCACGATATTTGTATCCCTAATTAGGTAGGCCCTTTAGAGAACGCACATTCATACATCAGCATTACCGTTAACAACGTAGCCGCAGTTCAATATACAACATCTGACTCCCAACCTCCTCAAAGCTGGCACACCGGGCGACTCGCCCCTCCGATTATCTCGCTTTACTGATCCATGTAAAACTATTAGTAATACCCAAAACAAGCGCACTTATCAGCTTAGACTCTTAGGCGAAAATCAACCTGTTAGGAAGATTGTTTATCCTCACGTGCCTTCTGGCTCTTTGGATTCAGACCGCCTTTTTTGTTTTTTTGTTTTTTTTTTTTTCCCCTTGGCCTGCTTAGCACAAAGCCAATCCAGCGACCTCAACAGACATGAGCCACGAACCAAGCACACCAGTAAACGGCAGCCCAAATTTGTAGAATTATTACCAACAATTTTGCTTCAAATATGCATGGCATCTCATAACTGGAGACTGACTATTAGTCAAAGGCTTGATTGAGATATTCATGACCCGTATTCCTCATGTCGCACAATAACCAGAAGAGGTGTGTTATAGAGGTTAATCTTTACGATCACTACAGAACATACCACGGTTGAGAGCCGAGCATCTATTAGGAGCATGCATCAGACTCTTTTGTTCTGCTGATTGTCCAGTTAGACTAATATTAAAAGATCTCAATAGGCGTCCAATTACTTATCAGCCTCAGAAGAACGCATACTCAGTTTAACAAGGTCGGAGACAAGCAAGGTAGGCCACATATAATTCTACATGTAACCAAAGACTGCGAGAAGTATGTGCCAGTATATTTCTTTCTTTCATGTGTAAATGATCTTCTACATTGGTGTAATATTTCTGACTTCTTCGGGGTTCATCTTGGAGACTTTCTACCATCCATCACCATATCTCTCTAAAGCCGCGTATAGTAGGTTGAGCCTGATTGATCTTCAACAAGGTTGGAAATTGTGGTAACCGTCGGATTTTCCAGGTTGAAATGGCTCTGTGGCCGCTCGACTGCTGGCTGCCGATTGCAAGGCCTCATGTGGCCAGGGAACCTCAACTACCCATGTGACGAGCCTCTGGTAGGAATAGGTCTCTTCCGCCCACTCCAATCCTCCTCTTTACCTTTTCCTCTTACACAGACAACATGACTTCGACCAGACTTTGAGATAACGTCCCACACCCACTTCTGGGCACCCCCCACATTTGGGCACCCCATTTACACCAAAAACGCCGTTTTTCGAAATTCTATATTAAACTAACTACTATACTTACTAAGAAAAGAAAATATATATAAACTATGTTAAGTATAATTATAGCCATCTAATTTTTTATAAAGGTTTAAATATAATAATAGTTATAATATAGAAGTTTAAAACTAAAAGCTTTAAAATGTTAGTAGATACTAGTAACTGTTACGGCCAGCTAACTGACAGTGGGTTTGTGTTAACAGTAAGCCAGGGATTGAGAGTAGTAACAGTCGTTCCGTGGTCCTGGTCGAATAGATCGTAGATCTTCAAAGGTCTTGGTGATCAGTCAAGGCCTCAACAAGAGTCGTAGAGTAGTCGTCACTTAGGTATAGCTGAAAGTACCGGTTAGGGTAATCACGAAGTTGATTGCTGAAGAACTAGGAAAGGTAGGACTCGAGAGGACTCGAGTCCCAACTATATACAAGTCTGGTTCCATGCTGAACACTTCCTGATCCTGGGGGACCGACACCCAGGACGTCGGTCCATCGCCATGGACCGCCCTTGGCACCGTCGGTCCTGTCCCAGGACCGCTTATCGTCCGTCGGTCCTGCTTATCGTCACGTGACCTGTATCCTAGTTCTTCCGTTCCGTGGGGGTTGTTACGACGTAACGGCTGACGGCCGTCCCTATAACCGCTGAGCCCCTGCGGGGTCGTCGTCAGTGGTCTGTTAACTGTCGGGTCGTAACAGTAACTTACTAGTATTCCTTAACATTAGAAAAATATATTTTCGCTCATATATACTTATTTAAAAAATCTAGGAAATTAATATTTATACTTATTAAAAGTATATAATTATATCTAAAAGAGATTTAAAAGTATTACTTTAGTAAATATAGTATAATTAAGGGTTAAAATTCTATAATAGAAACTTTTCTTAAGGGAAATTTTAAAATATTATTCTAAGCTTAAAGAATTTTTTACTAAGTATAAGAATATATAAATCTACTATATCTTACTTAAAAATTCTAATCATATTAGTTAAATATCTCTACCTATTTTATATATTAAGATATAGGCTAGGTAAATTAGTATTATAAATGTTAAACCTTGAATTTATAATACTTATTATCAATAATACTAGTATATAGCTACTTAAGTATTATAATTAAGTCTTAATCTATTTAACATATATTTATTCTCTTTAATAAGTAAAGTATTTAGTTTAATATAGAATTTCGAAAAACGGCGTTTTTGGTGTAAATGGGGTGCCCAAATGTGGGGGGTGCCCAGAAGTGGGTGTGGGACGTTAGGTCATTGTATGGGTGTCCCTGTGATCCCAGCCAAATTGTCACATCACCAGTTACTTAGCGGTACGCCCGTCAAGTGACTTTCGCTCGTGGACCAGGGCGAAAGAGCTTCTTAAACGAAATGGGCAGTGTCATGGCCATTCTCGCAGATGCAGAGGCCCATAGGGGAGCCAGTATTGTCAGCGCCACACCAGCCGCCGCCCTTGCCTGCCTTAGAGCAATTGGATGGGCAGCTGCTTGAGCGTGGACAGCTGACGACACAAAAGTATTGCTGGTTCGGCTGACGAATACCGAGACAGCGGGGTGTGCCAAAGGGACACGCTCCTTGCCAGCTTTTCGGGCAATTTGCGTTGGAGTTTGTTTGGCCCGTTACCAACATGGGCATGAGTGAAGTGAAGGCAAACAAGACTGTGGAAAGTTGCATTTTGACTGTCGTTGTCGCCGAAGCTTGCTTGATGGAATATTGGTATAAACGAGTGAAGAGCTGTTGGCAGATCCTCACTCATGCTTCTCAAGATACGTCAGGCCTTGACTACTTAAAGACCGCAGCTTTTGCTCGACTACCGGTATCACAAGCCTCATGTAAGTGCTTTATGACCCGTTGAGGAGAGATGAGATCACCCAGTGGTCCAAGCTGGGCATGCACGAGTCGTAGTAGCGTGTACAATATAGTTAAAACCCACCTCCTGAGCATATTGGAACTTTATTTTCTCGACTCGACGTTTCTGGAAATTTACGGGATATAATTTTCCTATTTCAGAGTCGCATGGTAATTTTTGCCGGCCTAACACTAGTACACACATCGCAGAAAACGCTAGATGTGTTCCAAGACTGGTTACTTGAGTGCGCCCACAATTACTACCTGAAAATTTGATTATGCATGTTACCCGAACAATCCATTAATTAGTCGGCAACAATTCAGGGGCGAAAATAAAAGGTTCCTGGAATGTGCCATGCACAACTTCTGAGAGCTTGGCACACTATCATAGGTCTAGTGCACCGTCGCAGACGGATATCTTGTGATTGACAAAAGTGCATAACTTCAAGAGTCTCGGTTAGCACCACAACCCTTGGTGCTCCTGACCGACATAGTATATCTGGAGGAAGGCATCCAGTATTAGGAGTCGAGTGTGATATGAATTCCGTTACATTTGTGACTAACCTGAACCTTATTGAAGCCCAGGTGAGCTTTCGAGATTTGGTAGAGGAAGTATAAGCAATGCCAGAAATCCAGCAAATATGCATTTAGTTAGGGCTAAGTGAAGACGTCAACGCTTTTTCTGAAGGTAGACATACAATGTTTTGAAGAGAATGCGACATTTCGAGTGGGATGGAAAGAAACATATCAACTATAATTGATGTAGTTTGAATTCGTTTACGGACAAACTTATTGCAATAGCCGACTATGGAGTGAAGTGACTATCTTGCCACCTGGCTAGCCGGCCGTCACAAATAGAAGCGGAGCAGCAGTCTCACTCCCACAAGAGACGGGCAGCCTGGAGATGCATCTTTCTCTTCTGACCAATCACTTCCACTGAAACCAAGCCCAAAACTAGAACTATTGTCAGAAACTTACCAGTCTTGAAATCCTTCCATTTCATACGGCTACACTGTGATACCATCGGATACACACATAAATGACAGATAATAACCTTTCCGAATGGTAGTCCACTACTCAATCCTGTATGGACCCTTAGCCATCTTAGCACTCTGCTTTCATCACCGGTGATACGCTCCTTACAACCATAGGTCCATTATACTGAGATGTAGCTCTTTATTCATCATTCAAGACTTTACCATTGATCCCAGATTCACGTGCATCCTCAGTAGAAGCTCTAAGATGGCGTGAGATCTAGTTAGTGAACCTGGAGAAAACTTGAGGCTTTGATACACGCTCATGAAGCGCGGGTATTTCTCAATGCCAGGAATCCTTACAAATAAGCTCTGGCACATTAGGACTTTATCTACCCTTTTCATGTACACGTCCACATTCTCTAAGTTTCACATCTACATTTTTGTTCCCTGTGCGATTTGTAGTGATAACTCTACCTATTACTTCGTTGTACGTGGACGACTCTCTCGCCTACTTTTCCATTGTACCTCTCATCCTTTGTTCTCTGCCGCTTTAGTAGTTTATGGCAGTAGGTGCTTTTTATGCAAACGGCATATAGGTGACATGTAACGACAAGAAGTCAGATGCCAGCTGTACGTCATCAGCATTTATATGCATAAACTGTAAGCTTCGTAGACAGGCAAAGTTTTAGTCATCAGAGAGAGCCAAACGCTATCTGACAAGCTTCCCAAACGAGATTTAGACTGGTTGGTTATGTGAATCTAGATGCTGACTGTATCATTGCAAAGAAAGTCAGTTAGTATAGGCCGATATGAAAATAATCATCTTTACTGTGCTCGGAATGTTAATGCTCAGTACTGTGCCGGCATCGATCTGAGTTAGTGCAGGTACAGGCAGAGCCCTTCTCTGATAGGATGGTTCAGACGATCCTCAGTCCATAATTCCCGAAACAGGATTGAAAGATTGCCAAAAATCCCTCAGCACTCTATGAAGTTGGAACCCGAGGCTACCTAGGTACCTGGCAGGGAAATCCTGAACGACGTCCGGCATATGAAGGGTTCTAATACCTGAAGTATTTGCAGGCGAAAAGCCAATCCTGCGAATTTATGTATCGAAGTTCATCAAGCCAAAGCATGCTATGGGGGCCCAATGCGATATTTTGTGAAGGATCGTTGCCACTGATGGCATGATATCACTGATTGGCCTATTCATCAATATTTTTGAAAGCTAGCACTAGCATCCGTCAATTCTTAAGCTACCGACTGTGAACCAGCTTGAGGGTTGTAAACCATGTCGAGGTGGAACAGCTTCCAGACAGCAATTGGCCTGCAGCCCACGTTGGACGATATCCGCTGTGTAGTCACTGCATTTATCTCCCTGCCACACCGAATATCAAATACGAGCTGGAATCCCAACTTGAACATGATCAAATGTCTGTCGCGTGCTTTTGCCCAGCCTCGGTCCAACCAGGGCGGACTCAGTGGTACCATCACCTGCACGACGTATCGCACGGCCAGGGGTGTGTCCCCTCTTTTCCGGAATGAACCCCGGCCGCAATAGCTCGATAAAGTCTCTGGGCCGATATCTGTGGCGTACGAGAGCTCTTTGGTCCAACGGCTATATCGGACAAACAGTGTGTTCCCACACAGAAAGCTTAATGGGGGAACACCTGCGGTAGCGTCAGGCCCCAGAGATCAGCACCAACCGTATTACCTCCAGCATCCCTGTCAGTTCCCCCGCGTCTTGCCCCATATCGGAAGGCAACGCCGACCACGGGCAACCCGGGGGAACTGCGGGGAGATTGGGCACAGGTGAAGATGGCTGCAGGTGATGGAGGAACGACAGTCAATATCTGGTTGTGGTGTGGGTGACATCCCTCCACCTGCGTGGTATTACTGATGATATTCCCAATATTAGCATGACCTCATGCCGAAAACCACATGTGATAGTAGCTCTGTGAGGGGATGAGCAAGTACACCTTTTTCTTAGAAGCTAGCTGTTTAGGTACTACCAAGAGTAGTTGAGAGCGCCAATGAGCTGCAGTTTACAGCTTCAATCACACGGGCAACATGATTCGAACCAACAAGAAAACGTAGCTGTCCTGCATCCCCCATCCCGACTCCTACCCTCTTTACCGTGGGGCCTCTACCCTCTCGCAGAAAGCTTGTGGTCGTTCTCCTTCTGCATGCACCTAGCTGTCCCCATATTCTTCTCATAACGAATTGGACGCTGCATCTTCGTGTTTACAACAACCCCTTGAAGCGTCTCTCGTTTCACCATCTCCCAATCCAGTTCATATCACAATCGCTTAGCCAGTTCTTCTTGGTATAGAAAGAGCAACAAACACCAAGATGAAGAATCTTTTTGGTCTTGTCGCCGGCTTGGTAGTGCTCGCGCGTGGTGCGGTAGCGGCGCAGAACTGTGCTGGCGTGGCCGTCACCGCGATCCCCTCGTGCGCGCAGGGCTGTTTTCTCGAGGGCGCGTCCTTTGTCGGTTGTGATGGCCTCGACTTTGGCTGTCAATGCGGGAAGGAAGCGGCCCTTTACGCTGCCATTGAGCCCTGTGTTGCTACAGGATGTCCTGCCGCTTCGTTCCAAGCCGTTATCAACGGTGCTTCAGCAGGTGAGTTAGGTGTTCACTTGTCTCTATGAGCCCACCTTCACCTCTCAACTATTCGTCCATTCTCCTCTTACATTAATATTGTGATCTCTATCTCAAGGTTCACTCTTTAAATAATGATATCCGAACTAATATGTGGTAAAGTGTGCGGATGTGCTGGTGCAGGCGTGGGCGGCGGCTCGACGATTTCTGGATCCTTCGTGTCGGCCATCTCTGGTTCGGTCTCTGGAATTGGATCGTCCCCAGCGACGGTGATTGCGACTCCCTCAGTAGGCGCTTGGGGGTCATCTGCGTCACCGACACAAGGTGGCGGTGATGGCGGATGGAACCCGCCTCCGACGAGGACCCCGTTCTCAACATCGACCCCGGTCAATGCTGCCGGCCGCCAGTCAAGCTCCGGTCTCAGCTGGCTTACAGTGACGATTGCCGTAACAATCTTCGCAGCAGTGATGCCTTGAGAAAGACAACGTGGAATCAAATGATCCCAAAAGGCTGTTCGTTTGGAAAATCGAACGCTCTGAACGAGAGAGGAAATCTCTTTATCGATTCTTAACTTCTAAATACGACATTACTTGCACCACGATTTATGGACGGATATACCCAGAGGCCGGCGACCTACATACTCAGCCCGACTCTTCTTCTACCGGCGGACCTCAGCAATTGACCGACGAGACTATTATCTTTCAAGCAAGACGTACACCCGAACCTGGCAACTTAGGGATGGAACTTTCCACAGTGGCTCACACCAGAGGGTCAATTGACCATCAACTGTTTGCGAGAGGTTGGTCTGCCGGGATACTTGGGGTCCATCGCGGATTGGGTTCATGGCTTAATCCTAATTATAGAACTTTCACATTGCGGGCCATCGAACATGTTTCGTTCAGGCTTTTATGCGTGAGCAAAGCTTCTTATGTGGCTTTGCTTACACGCTCCCACTCATTTAATGATTAGATCAAGACTTTAATGCAAAAACATCAGACATACACACTTGTCACGAAGAAACAGATCATCCACGCCCTGTCAAAGTAAGTCTATCGATGAAGTAAGAGCCTTAATCAAGGTGCTTAAGAGAACCCTGAAGATGAATCAGTGAAGACGTGCCATATACGATGGTGTGCCTTGATAGCCAGCCTTAGTTCCTTGGTCGGTGAATTTGGCCACAGCTGCCCTGGTGATGGTCAGCAGCGGAGACAATCACATTGAAGAAGGTGATGATGATGATGTGGATAGTACTCTTAATGCTTCTGATCACTGTCATAGGTGTCTAGTATGAAGTAATTCTTAAGAGCTTGTCCTGAATCTTGCAACTCTATCCAAGACTTGCAGTCTACCGGGCCAGTCCTTTTGCACCTATCTATCCCGACCAAATGCAGTCAGCCAAGAGGGCGACAATCTTCCTAGAGTGGTGCCAAGTATACCATACAAGTGATTTCACGCTGATTATATTAGGGTCCTTGAATGAACCTACTTTTTTAGTTGACGGAAAGAAAACGTCTTTGTCACTCCCTAGCCATTAAAACACGCCTAGTGCCAAGTAAGAAGCGGATAAGTCCTAATGTCAGGGAACTCTCTACTATTTTGACCTAAGTGACGTTTCGGAAGCTCTAGAATACGACTTTGTGGCATTATCCAACAAGGTCAGTGGGTAAGAGCCATCTATTAACCTATGACACACAGCACTCCGTGCAATTGTCATCGTTTAAAAGAAGAATCGGATGAAATATGGGACCGAAAATACCCTACAAACTTTCCCTTTGTACAGAAATGTCTAGCACACTTCCTTGCCGCTTCGAGGCGGAAAGAAATCAGGTAACTCCACAGTCACCCGCTCCATTTGGAAGCATTCACAAGCCGGCGTCGCCCACAACATCCGGCCGACGACACGCGTGCCTTTCTTGAAGAATGCCATGCCGTTCGCTATTGACATGCGGTATTTCAGTCCCGGAATGCGAAAGGCCACGGCGTGTCTCAACTCTGCTAAGGGCACGAAGGCTGCCGTGCGGAAGAGAGACGTCACACTACAGAACGTACAAGTAATTGCGGTGATGCAATCATACGGAAAACAGTGCATGGTACCATAGCGAGCACCATAGAGGGCGAGGCGACTCTCCGAAAACCCCGGTGCTATGCTCGACAGCGTCATGACGTCCGCAAGCCACCGGGCCCCGGTTTCCCCTTCTATATCCCAGTGTTTGGTGTACAGATCGTCATATCGCTGCTTCAAAACATTCTTCAACTTTTCGAATTGCTCGCTCTCTTTTAATTGCGATACAATAAAGCTGGCGTCTTCGCCATATAACCTGGTTCCCAGAGTGGCAATAAAAGCTGGCAGATCTGGGCCGGTGAAACGCAGAGTCAACATGGCGCACCTCGCAAAGTCAAGTAAGGCATCAGTATGCCACGCTTCGTCTTTTACGACGTGAATGGTGGCCACGAAGCCGATGCGCTGAAAGTGAGCTGTTACCCTGTTCTTCAGTTCGTCCACGACTATTTCTTGGGTAAACGACGGCTCATGTTCCTCTTCGCCAAGCTCCCACGTCCAATAATCATGGTATGTTGTGTTTATCAGTCCCCGTGGATCCTTGCTCAGACGAAGGTCTTCCATCTTCACGACGGGCGTAATTAACAGAGGGCTGTAATCTTTGGCAAGTAGACACTCTCGAGCCGTCCGCCGGAACTCTTGCCAAAACTCCATCTCAAGGGGTCTCTCTCTGGCGCCCACGACAATGCCCCTCAATCCATGCATGAAGTCCATCCGATCTCGACAGCCGCGATGTGACAGTGTCACAAAGGCATGTGCGAAATTGGTTCGCTTGAGATCTTTGACCTTCAGCAATGGGCCTAGGCCGATAGGCCAATCTACGCTGTTACCACGCATGAGGTGCCAGTAATGTTCTGCGTAGTGGTGAACTGTAGGAAACTTGCTCAGTTCCGCGTCGGAAACTTCCCGCAATTTTCTCAAGAATACTGCATCGTCCGTGTCGCTGGACAGTGTGTAATCGGAAATCATTGTTCTCGTACGTTCGCTCCTGGTAAGCTCCATCGCTGTCCACATGCGTGAGTACCATTTGGCTCTGCAGATGCCGATCACAGCCGTAACCCGATCTTCAGCAGTCGCGCCATAATACAAATTTGATACCATGCCAGGAGTTATATCGTCCAAGTGGAAAATAACATGATCTGCTTTACTGAACACGTTGTGGATAGAAATTAAGATTCTGGTTTTAAGACTGTTGTTCCACTGGGGGACGCTGAAGTAGTCGTGCCAGAACTCCCATTCCCCGGTTTGAACGCTCTTTTGAAACCCTTCAAAGATCTTGATTGGAACGTCTGAGACAACGTCTATGGCCTCGCGACATTGTGGAGAGTGCATGCCTTGCTGTTGGGCCTTTGAAACGTGGGTGTTCCAGACGTGAGAAACTGCTGCGAAGGCTATTCCGTCTTGGCTAATACATTTCAAGTGTCGGTCAAATAGTGAGACTCTGCGACCCGATGGCAAATCGACGGCTTTGCTACATGTCAAATCACCAGAAGAAGGTCCATTTTGAACGGTGAAAGTACGGATAAGAGCGTCGTCATCGAAGGACTTGCCGCAGGACAAGCAGTAGAGGCTGGATGGGTCGCGTTCAACCCAGAATGTTGTGAGATCCACTGTTATTGGGTCTATTGAAGCCATGATACTGGGCTTGATCTTGTATTGCTTCGGAAACACTTCTAGTTGACGTGGCGTGGTGAGGGATTTTGTCTAAAGAGAGCGCCAAGAGAATGATGTTGAAGGGAAAATGCGACGAAAGAAGGGAACACAGCATTGGTCACGCCGCTGAGGTAAATAGAGGCTGCATGCGTCCCACTTTCACTTCTCGTACAACACTCCGTTTTGGCTATAATAGGAAAGGAAGCTGACGCCCGGGTCCGAACCACTTCGCTAGAGGTATTGCGCACAAGCGATGTTAAAGAGTGTGGCTATTACTACGGTTGACTTCATCAATGATACTGGAGCATCATGTGTAGGTTGCTTCGGGCCTCAGAAAATGTCACCTACCAGTTAGTTAGTGTAACCGCCAGCAACTATGACAAGAGAGGTGCAAGAATTTATATAGAAGAAAACACCTTGATCCCTTAAGCTTTAATTTCAAGCCTAAATACTCACTTCTCTCGCATCGCCCGAGATTGAGGAGTAGAACCTGTCCCGAGAATCTAGTTGTAGAGATTTGCAGATGAACCCCCATTGTCAAAGCCGATTAAAAGGTAACGAAATTTTACCCCACTTGAAGAGCTTTTGACTGAAAGGAAGCAAGTTGTATTCCTAATTGCAGATTGAACAAGACAGTAACAATCCTAGGATCACATCTTTAGGCCTTCCTTTTCCGCCGCGGGCTTCTGCTCTTCTACCGAAAGTATATTGCCAGTTGTTTCGATTTCACCACCAAGATCCTCAAATGACTTAACAAATAGCTCTCTAGGCATCGGCGCAGGCCTCTTACGCCGTTCTATATCCTCAAGTTTCGAGTACAAGGGGCCGGGCGGCAACTTCTCTCTCGCCTCATCCGTTACGCTAATATACGTAGCCCAAGACGCTATTTGCCGCTGCACGTGTTCGCTGAAGAACCCTTCATCTTCAACATCTTCCTCAAAGCCATACAAAATGCCGGGTTTTCTTTTAGCTGTATATTCGAGACTTTCAGGCATTCTCGCATCGCCAGAAGGCTCTTTTTCTCGTCGAATACACGCGGCGTTGTAGGTTGTCTCTTCGGGAAACCCGTCTGTAAATCGCATCCCCTGCACCATAATGTCGATGCTAGCCGCAGCCGCGCGCTGTTCTATGTTACTGCGGAAGTAAGAGTTTGGGCTCTGGCAGGCTGCTTCCCACTGTGAACGAGATGGCCGGACATCAAGTTCATCGAAGAGATCTCGGTAATTGGCGACGATGCATGCGATAGCACACTGGTTCCGGAGATCGGTACGCCTCCATGCAAGCTCTCTCAAAGTTTCTCGATGTGGCCATTGCGGATACCAGAAGATTTCCGGTAATAGATGACCGGGAGTAAATGTGGTAATGCGACTCAAGTCGTTGTTCATAATGAAGCGCGCATTAACAGCTTGTCGGAGGTATTCGATTTCATCTTCATCGAAATCCTCATCCATGCACATATCCAGCCACCTTGCAAAAGCCGTATGATGCAGGGCTCCACGCATGAGGGCTGAAATCTCCCCAGAAACTCTTTTAGGACGACGCAGCCGTGAATATCGATCAATGTTACCGTCCCAGGCAGCCATGAGGATCAAGATATCCTTATTTATGGGGGCCAAGTCTCTTGGGAGTGGGCTGCATAGTAAGTCGGCAAACTTACTATCAATTCGGCTAGAGCCAAGTAGACGCTCCGGGCACCATTCTAAATCCAAATTACCATCTTCTAGGATATCGAAGTAGTGGTGATAATCCTCATCTCTGTATTCATCATTGACAGATGTACGAAACTCAAGTGATGATCGCACGGCAGTATCACAATTAAGGAATGCTCCGGCACTCGGGTGTTCAAGATGAACTGTCCGTGTGTAGTCATCCATGACCCTGTATTTAATATCTTGCGCCATGATAGATTCGAAGATGGAAGTTGATTTGCTATTATCCCTAGCTTCCTCTGCAATTGAAACGTCTGGCAAGATGTCGAGTTCATTATAGAGCGTGGTGTAGCCGGCAACAGCGCAAGCGCGTCCGACATGATACCGCATGTCGGGGTACCGAAGAGCAAGCTCCCGGTATACGTCTTCCGTGGCGAGATCTGGGTACCAGATACAATACGGTTTGACGCTATCCGAAATCATTTCTGGTATGAAGTTACTCATTATAAGCCGGGCGTTGCGCGCTCTGGCAAACACAGCGTTTTCCGGCTTGGAACAAAGTTGGGTTACCTCGGGGGACCTGGCAAAATTCTCGTGGTGTCGGATGCCTCGAATAGAGCAGCGCAACTTGTCGTCAGATGCAGGGAGATGGCCACCTACACCTCGAGGCAGTTTTTCACCCCAGAATGCTTTGGCAAGCAACGTCCCCACGGGGTCACTAAGCCATTCCGGGACGTAACTATCGGGACGTACTGCCGCTGACGATGAGGTGGTAAACCAGAGGGGGTTGTATAGGCTTCTTGTGGTTACACACTTTCGCTGTCGTCGAGTGTTTTTAATCCTATGATTAAAAACACTACGGGAGAAACGGTGTAACATCACTGAAGTCGCGAATGATGCGACATAGAAATGTGGTGGAGCGCGACAGTATAAAGAAAGTGACATTGTGGAAAGGACTTAACACATGACAAAAAATCAAACTTCAAGCAAACTTGCGAAAAAAGCAGAAGTTTATCTGTCGGCTGGTATGAGTGTTGATGAGCAGCACACAAGTTAGATAATAAGGCAAAGAACAAAACGCTTCCTCCAATGAAAATTAGCCGAACGGCACGGGGCCGAATTTTTCAAGGGCCCCCTGTTCTTGGTAGAATTAAGCTTCCCGTTTTATCTTGGGTATGGAGGTGCTTTGCTTTGCCGACGTGCCGGACCCTCGACATAGGTAATTAAGTAGTATGCCGAATCAGCTAAGGGGCTAAACCTTTTCCTGAAATTTTGTCCAAAGTTCAATTTTTGCCCATTTGTGGAGACGACCCAAGTGAAAATGAAACTCGTTGCGATGAGAAGGACAATAACGAGGAAGAGTGTGATAAACGAGGACGAAATTTGTAGTCACGGGCAACTACAGAAAATTAGAGCAGATGTCAGAGTAGCGAGCGAAATTCGTTGCGAAGAGTGTTGGACTTTTACGGCCCTATTAAAGGTGTTCGAAATAATGAAAACAGGTAGCTGCAGGAGAAGTTCTAGGGAGGACGTTTCCATATGAAAATGAAATATCCCGAAATCTCTCAAAATTGACTTCAATAGCGGTTTCCCAACTGTCACATCATTTTATGCAGACTACTTTGGGGCAGGTTCCCCTAGTACAGACAAAGCTGCAGAGATGTTTGTAGTTGTCGTCCGTAACGCCCGCAATTGGACATCCCTTTCGCGTTCTTGGTGTATTCGAGCACTCAAGACACTGACAAGCCGTTGCGGGCAGTATCCATACACACAGCTGAAGTCGTAAAGACTCTGTAAGTCACCATTGAGACGGTAGGGAGACGCTGTACCTGAAACGAAAACAGGGCCTGTGGCAATGGTGGGAGAGATCTTAGTAGTTCGTAGATGTCGTCGCAGACACAGAAGCATCACTAGTGACCGCACCGCCGTCGGCTGCGGTTGGATAGACAGCGGGTGTAACAGTCGTTGACGTTATAACACTACCAGTTGCCTTTGGCGGCGGTACCCACTCAGGGTGGAGGCAGGCGCGAGATAACTTAGGATTCTGTCTTTGTGACTCGGCAACTTCAGCACTGTATCCTAACACGGTACCAACAATATAGGTGCGTTTAGATGCCTCGTAGTAAGCACTTATGTTCCCGGCGTTCACATTACCGGTGCCAACCACCCAGGAGATCTCATTGGCTCTGTTAACAGCAAGGTATCTTGCTGTAAAGTCATCCTGTAGAGCAACTGAACCCCAGGCTTCAATGCAGATAAGTTAGAATGATTCACGGAAAAGAGTGAGAATGAATACTTTCTTACCTAGGACATCGGCCCTGGTCAGACCGAGGGTATCTTAGCTGTTCTCCGGAACAGTATTGAGGGCGAACGCAGAACAGGCGATGTCGGGGCCCTCTTGCAACCAATTTCCAGTGAGACTTGTTTCCAGATCGTTACTACACTCGGCAGGTAAGAACCCGCAAGTTTGATCGATGGATTGAATACGGTCCGGGCGAGCGCTGACAAAATTGTGTTGGCAGATCTACCAAGACGGATCCATAATCTTCCGTGTCCATCATGGCCTTTGGGATGCCGAATGTGAGAACAGAGACCTGAGTCGACTGGTTATTTACAAAGGTGTCAGTCAGGCCATGGCACATCATCAGCAACGCGAACGTGAGCATTGAAGTCGTCGATTACGGAGCCTGGGAATGGTTCCACCCAGTTGAGCCTGGCGTACCTAGCGCTGTCTATGTGAGCCGGGTGCCCAAAGGATGCCTCGACTTCTTTCCATGAGATCTGGACCACATTGAAGAATTGGCAAGAAATTCTTGATTGTCGTAGTAGATGTTAGAAAAAACATCGCCGGGCAATACAGATGTACCAAGCATTAGAGGGGTGCAAAAGAGCCACAAAATAGGCTGAAGCTTGACGAGGCATGATAGTGTCGGCTTTCAAGGGTTGATAGATCTTACTTGGAAAACAGCGTACAGATCTGACCTGAGGGAGCGATGCGAAAAATAAGAAGAGCGATAGCTTTGATACTGCAAAGAACAAATGACATACCTTATTCATAACAAGACTTTCATTCAATTTTTCGGTGATGTCGATGCACAAGAGATTACTACTCAAATATAAAGTCGCCTTATCATCTCTTAAACCATGATCATATTCCGGATTAACCTAACTGGGAGCTCCGTAGCGCTCAATAATCTAACCGCCAAATCAGTTCAGAGACGCAAGCACAGGGACACAAAAGAATGCTACCTATTATCATTGTGTGTCCTGCGGGTCAGTGTATCGAGGCTGTATTTAACTTCCAAGGTCAGGCTGACTAAGATCAAAAATGCGACACCATGTAACATTTTTGCTACAGAACACTCGAGGCATGATAAATCAGCCCGTAAAATCACTAAACAAACATAAAGCTACAGCCAAGTGAACCAGTCGCCACAGGCGTCTCCCAAAAGTCTCGCCGGATTTAGCTGCGTTCAAGGAACCTCAAATAGGAGGGAGAAACAATGGCAAAAAGTGTCGAAAGATATTCCAAAAGATATTGTCTCAGGTATCTAAAGTATCAACGCGTGCACAACATCATTCAAAGGGTGATTACCTGTGGAAATCCGCCCCTCAATAATGGAAGATATTGTTAAGTTTGACGTCAAGGGAAGAAGATTCTCATTAGCAGCAATCAACAGAAGAGAAGATTAAGATTTATAATATTTTCATCTTTCAAGCTCTAATCTTAGGCTGAAATATTCTACTTCTGTCGCATCGTCCGAGATTGACGAGAAGAGTCTGTCTGGATAATCTGACATCATGGATATTTTTAATTTGACCTCCATGACGAAGGCCGATTAGGGAAGAACGACTGTGTATGCCAAATGCATGGAGACGCCAGGATACGGAATCAAGGGACCATGGATAAATTACGCGACTAGTGATCGCCGCGCGAACTCAAAGCATTGACCAACACGAGCTGTCAGCAGAGTAAGCAAGCTCAGGACTTTAGGACCGGATTTAAGCCCAGGACCCATAGGATCTACTATCAGAACAGCTGCTCCTGGATAAACTTCGTGACTATGTAGTAGTTCACAGGTGAACCAAATCCCTGTCTTCTTAGTCTACAACTCACCTTGTTACCCGCACTATATGATTAGATACTTCCCATGATCTACCGGCATAGCCACCTTACACTATCTACCCGCGCAGCACCTTTGCCAACTTACACGTTACAGGTGCTCCTATTATCATCAAGTCTGAGTGTTAATCAATAGGCAACGGCGACCAGCTGTAGCACAGGGCAACAATCTCGGAATAGCAATTCCTATCCCATAGTTCACTGGTCTTCATTGGACTGCTACGCTAAGAATGACGAGTCATGCCGGTCATAAGTCAAAAATTTGAAGGAAGGATGGCCCATCGACTTCTGAGACTTCCTCGAAACAGAAAACTCCGAGCGCAGGGCCATTTAGTTCATTACGCACGGGAAGATAGTAACTAAAGTCCTATAGTCTTACGACATTAGATTTCTGAGATGTGAAGAAGGTATAAACCTTTCTAGTGAGATTGCTGCCGGAAATGAATAGTGTCATTGGAATGATACTTGAATTTACAGAACAGCCACGTACCACAAATATTACTGAAGCGAAAACGAAGAAGTAATATAGCTTTCTTTTAATTCTACCTTGATAGTATGTTATGTTGTAAGTCAAACAAAGAAACCTGTATGACAACGAACCGTATTCCAGAGGCTTGACACATAGATTATCGCAATCATCTGGCAGATTATATTCAATCTAGGCTTTGAAAAGACTTTCTTACTGTCGCATTATCAACCCCAAGGCTGCATATGTTGCTGCAGACACTGTGTTTGACGTATGACTCGTTTATCGCCATCAGCCAAGACAGGCTAACAAGTCTGCTGACACATTTCAGGTGCTACGACTAGTAACATTAGTCACTGTGCAGTGTGGCAGAATATTGCAGGACGGAGGATAATGAGAAAGGCGTCCTTCCTTTTACCCGCCCGAAAACTCTACTCCAAGTTTCAGATCTGCCTATCAACTCAATTAGAATCAAACCTGAGAGCTATCGAATCCGGATGTCGATCATGTGCCCCTGTAAAGCAGGAGATTAGAGCACAAATAACTAACTTTACCTGCCCAGAGACTAAATGCCTTGATGCCATTACAAACTGGCCAAAATGAGATGGACTAATAATTATTTTAGTCAATCTAAGTGTGTCTTTTAGACCTCTTAAGATGGCCTGATACAAGGTTATGTCTGCCTTTGAGAAACACGGGGTCCTGACTTCATCGCCTGAAGTCGCCTTCGTGCACCATCCACCCATTCGTGTGTGGTCGACAGGTCGTAGTTATGTCTGCCTAATAGCTTTCGAAGCTCTTGACATCAGAGCACAAGTATAAAACAAATTTTTAATCTCTGTATAGATATCCGTGTCCCACATCTAAATATGAGACACTCCAGATTAATTAAAATCGATGTGCTTGGTTACGACACCAAGAGATACTTCTCATCATCAAAGTCTTGGCTTCTAGGGGTAGTCGGCTTTTCTGACTCGCTCATAACACGATGAAGATTCTAGGGGTTAACTTGTAGGTTTGTATAGGTTTTAGAGACGGTGGCGCGAGCCCTTCACTAGATACTCAGCAGGTGGGTTTCCCACCATAGGTAGTAGGCAGGCTATAATGACTTTCTGCTAGTCGAGTTTAAAATATGGGCAGGTCATCAGCTTGTAGCACCATTCTATAGTTTCCCCACTGGCCCATGAGTCAAGGGACTGGGAATAAACCTCTTCTGTCACTACAGTGGTTAGTCCAGGGCGTGAGATTATGCGTATATCATCGCCTCTCCTGAGAGATCACGTTAACAGTGGGCCCTAGCCGAACTAACTTGTTGTATTCCCGAGGAGGTGTGCAGGTACAGCCGCATGTGCCTAGTTGGATCAAGATATAAGACTTGACGAAGGGCCGTAAAATCATTGGACTGTCCCCTTGGTTATTTGTTAGACCATTATCAATCAAGCCATACAGCACCAACCACTGGAAAGTCGCCATGCAGCTCTCGATTCTCACATGCCTTTTTGTAAATGGTCTCGCTGTTTGGGCGGCGGCTATCGAGTCTGTAAGTGGCTTCTCATAATTTACTAAAACTCCATTGAAATTTGTTGTTCTTCCCGTATTGCTTTGTTCTTTGCTAAACATAGAGCAGTCCCCAGACCAACTCAGGAAGGGAGGACCGAACAACCCTAATTGCAGCTCGTTCGGAGGTACGCCACTATTTTTCTATCCTGTACAGTGTTATAGTGATCCTAACTGATCTCACTAGTTGCTTGCACTGTTGGAGGCCACCCATGCTGCATTGGCATGAGCTGTGATCGGGGCACTTGCCAATACTGAGATGTCGAACCGATCCCTACTTCGACAGATTTATACTGAAGGAGATCATTGCTGTTCTTTTCGTTTGTTTCTTTCTGAGTCACTCACCAATACCTGTAAAATGGAAATGCTTTACTGTTTTGAACACGGGACAAAGGAGCAGTCATGTTCTCATAAGGAGTATGCGACAATAGGGCTTTAGGCGATTCATGTGATTATTGCAAAATACATATTTGTTGACCACGTCAACCTCCCTAGACATGGGCCAAGTTTGTGTAAAGCTCTACGGTGCTAGCAGGAGTGCCCAGAAAACTGGCTCCTCGACAAAGTGATTCCTCATGTGTCATTCTTTGACGTAACTTCAAGAAATAAGGCAGCGTCTGATACTTTCAAAAATATATGCTCTCTAAGCAAGCGCGTACTTCTACCTTCCTTCATACGGCCTTTTTCAGACTGACCTATCTTCTGTCTTGAAAACGAACATGTTGCCCGATAGTCGCTTCTTCCAGCATCACCTCACTCAAATGCTCTAGTTGCAACGTCTCCCAACAAAACTCATCAATGTCATAGCTACTCCGCGAATCAAGTTGACCCACAAACGCCACCTATCCGAGAACTCGCGCATGCGAAAGTAAGACGTTCGCTTTCCCGAAAGTGTTTTCAGCCCCGGTCTGCTAGATAGCACTGGTGGAGCTGCTCTTTTCCGGGTATAAATTGCTCCAAGAACTATTGTAACTTGCCTTCGCCGAGTGAGATAGCCGGCACTTGAGATAGCACCCGCTGCCCAGGGGACTTCCCAAGCGAAGTGCGCGGACAAACCATTGGCAAACTCAAAATCAAGTACGGCAGCTATGTGAAGCTTTTCCGGATTGCGTAGTCGACGCATGCCGTCACGAGACAATCGAAAAGGGCCAGCATCATTGACGCTATAAGTAAGAACCAGGTTTCTGAAGCAGTAGCAGGCTACGATACAAGGGTCTCCTTGCCGCCATCAAAGTTGCGCTATATCTCTAGAGTCTAATTTATAAAAGCCTAATAGTGGCTATTACTCAGGTTGCCCATCAGCCCATACAACTATATTCTTCGGCGGATCATCCAGCCCGTTAAAGAAGTTCACCACATCCTTATTGCTATACCGCATGCTGAAGTGAATAATGATGAAGGTAGTCTTGGGCCACTTTCGAACCACCTTTTCCAGATCCTTCCACTTGGTATGCTTTGTCTTCTCGGCTTGTGCGTCATGCTCGTCGTACAGGAAACTGCACTCGGTAATAACCACAGGAATGCCTTGCTTCAGCCACTCTGGTTCCGCAGCCAGCGTCGACGCCGTGGTATCTCCAAGGAACGCAAAAACGGGCGTTGTAACAGGTGCCGTGAGCTCGACGCCTGATTGCCGCAGGTTCTTGAGCTCCGGGCCCGGGAGCGAGGTATACTCCGGCTTCAGCTTGTGGGTCGTGGTCGAGAAGAGGTAGCCGACGCTGGGTACGTTGTGGTCGCACTGGAACACGGTGGCACTCATCCCCTTCACCTTCCTGAGAGGAACAACGTCCCCGTCTTTGACGGCTATGGTGTTGTGAGTACCGAGAAATGCCCTCTCGCCCTCCGATCTGCCTTCCTGGTCCACTCCCTGGCCATCCAGTTTCAGGCCCAGAGATTCGGCGTCCTCGGTTGTGTACATGCCGCCGCGGTTCAGCAGTGTCTTGGCCAGCATAAAGTCATCGAAAGCCTTCTTCATCTCAACGGGACATACGACATCCGGCGGGTCCTCGCGCTTTGTGAACGCAGGGGCGAGTAAACAGTGATCAGCATGTCCATGGGTGATGAAGATGTGCTTTGGGCGCAGGTTGTTGACGACAAGGCCTGCGTCGAGGAGAAGGTTCAGCTGCGGGATGACGAAGGAGGTGTGCCACGCCGCCCGGGACTTGCCGGTCAGGACGTACTGGTGGTAGGGCTTGGGGAACTGCCATTCCAGCACTTCTGAGCGGGAGGACTGTGGCAGGGGGGTTGCGAATGTTGGAGAAGACTTTGCCATATTCGGTTTGGGCGAGGGTTACCTCGTGGGTTCCCGCTGTATATGCAATGTGGTATCCTGAGAACGCGTGGGGTGTTCGGGAGTTACCCGGGCTTGCAGTTGTCTTCTTAGTCGGATATGTAAAGACTTTGGTCTTTGAGACGTTGTCAACTCTCTAGGTAGACCAGGGTCTTGAGTCCTATGTTGCTAGATACACCTGCAACTTGATCCTGGGCTTCGGTTCACTGGATCTGCTCGAAGGAAATCAAGATATTGAAATGACAGATTGACTTCACTTGAGAACAAAGGTGTACTGAGGCTGAAGACGAACAGGGATTCAAACATCCAATGGTGGTCACACTCAAGGTCGGACGGTGTGGCTGGTGGTGTTCTGTACGTAGAGATTCAGTCACTGGCTCTGGCAGAAATTTTGCTGACATCATCCACTGTCAACGAGGGAGACTCATATTCCTTATCGCCGATGTTCGGCCATTGCTCCTGATCAGCGAAAGCGACCATCATTGGCTGGTTAAAAGGTGGGAATCTAGCCAATAAATCCGTGCAAGATTTGTCTTGCAAATTATTCAGAGCCTAAAAAAGGATTTATGCCCAGTCATTGAATCAACTCATGTTTGCTTCTTACAAGCTGCTATCTCTGTGCATTTTAGGGCGGATTACAGGTCATTCGCTTTATCCAGCCCCCTTACCAAAACATGAAATGTTCGGTGTTAGGTAAGGGATTCAGTCTGCCAGCTGTACACTGTGCACCAAAGAACCGGTCTAAGGCCCAAATAGGCAATTTTACACGGTGACCTGTGAGAGACACCCGGTTCCGATGTTTGACCCCGCCCCAGAACCACCCGAAAGCCGTAGCAGACCGAGATCTCCGGTGCCGGCAGTGGACCCCTCATCCCACCCGTGATAAGATATTCGGGAGCTTATCGTGTATGTTTTCCCCATCCAGACTCTCGTCTCGTTCTTCCCCACTCCTCCTCGTGTCTCTGCATTTCCCTCTGCCCTTCTCCCCCGCATTGCGTCTGAGCTAACCTTTCAGCTTCCCTGGTCTGTTGTTCTGGTCTAGAAGTCCAGACTAAACAGCTATCCAATGGCCCGGGAGGCTGGCTAATGCACGATGTGTATGAGACGATCCCTATCTAGACAAGCGAATGAGCTCTTCGTTGGTTGAGTAGGGGTTCCAAGCTCTTTGTCAAGCTCTTATCGGAAGCATGGCCTTCTCCAGTCCCCACTCCCCTTCTACCCGTGAGCTTATCGGTTTACAATCACCTCTGGTCATTGGTAGGCTATGACACACGATGGCTGTCCCGTAGAATTACTGGATTAGGCTGTCCGCGGCGGGAGAGACGCATTTCCAAGGGTAGGCCGCGCCTATCTGAGGGGACCTGAGCCTGGGCAGGCTGTGATCGGTTTGAGGATATAAGCTTTAGCTCGACCTCCCCAACCATCAATTGAAGCTTCTCTCTCTTCTCAAAGTCAGCAGTGTTGATCCTTCAAGTAAGCCATACCTCAAGTAGCCAATTGGCAACAAGACTGGCACATATCCACGGTAACACATACAACACAATACACAATGGCACCCCCACACCCTCTAGATCCCCTCTCCTCCGCCGAGATTGAGAAGGCGATCGCGCTCGTCACCAGGACTCACGGCGACGTCTTTTTCAATGTTGTCTCCCTCCACGAACCGCGCAAGGCCGAGATGACGGCATGGCTTGCCTCTCCCTCAACACCCCGCCCGCGTCGCATTGCCGACGTCGTGGTGATCGCAAAGGGCGGCCACGTCTACGACGGTCTTGTTGACCTTGCCTCTGGCGTCATCACAAAGTGGGAGCTCATGCAGGGCGTTCAGCCCATTGTAAGTCTCCCACCACTTCATGTTCTCCTACATGTATGGATGGATGTTAACACCACGACAGATCACAATGGAAGAGCTCCAAATCGTCGAACACATCGTCCGCACCGACCCCAAGGTCATTGAGCAGTGCGAGATCTCCGGCGTCCCCCGTTCCGAAATGCACAAAGTCTACTGCGATCCCTGGACAATTGGTTACGATGAGCGCCACGGCAACACCATCCGCCTGCAGCAAGCCCTCATGTACTACCGCCCCGACCCCGATACCTGCCAGTACCAATACCCGCTCGACTTCTGCCCCATCTACGACGCCGACAAGCAGGCAATCATCGCCATCGACATCCCCAAGGTGCGCCGCCCTCTCAGCAAGGCCGCGCCGATCGACTACCACCCGGCCGCGATCCAGAAGCAGGGCGGCTACCGCCGCGACCTGAAGCCCATCAACATTACCCAGCCCGAGGGCGTCTCCTTCAAGATGGCGGGGCGCGAGATCGAGTGGCAGAACTGGAAATTCCACATCGGCTTCAACTACCGCGAGGGCATCGTGCTCAGCAACATCACCTACAACGACAAGGGCAACGTGCGCCCCATCTTCTACCGCCTGTCGCTGGCCGAGATGGTCGTCCCCTACGGCAACCCCGAGCACCCCCACCAGCGCAAGCACGCCTTCGACCTCGGCGAGTACGGCGCGGGATACATGACCAACAGCCTGTCGCTCGGCTGCGACTGCAAGGGCGAGATCCACTACCTCGACGCCGAGTTCCCCACGCGAAACGGCAGCGTGAGGACCATCAAGAACGCCATCTGCATCCACGAGGAGGACAGCGGCATTCTCTTCAAGCACACCGACTTCCGCGACGACTCCGTCATCGTCACCCGCGGACGCAAGCTCATCATTCAGCAAATCTTTACCGCCGCCAACTACGAATATGCCATCCAGTGGATTTTCCACGTAAGTCGTCCCTCTAGAAAAAAATCACAAACTTAACAGGCTATGAAAAACTGACACCCATCCAGCAAGACGGCACGATCCAGCCCGAGATCAAGCTCACCGGCATCCTCAACACCTACGCCATGAACCCGGGCGAGGACACCAAGGGCTGGGGAACCCAGGTGTACCCCGGCGTCAACGCCCACAACCACCAGCACCTCTTCTGCCTGCGCATCGACGCCAACGTCGACGGGCCCCGCAACACGGTCTTCATGGTCGACGCCGTGCCCTCCGACGCGCCCGTCGGGTCCCCCGAGAACTTTTACGGCAACGGCTTCACGGCCAAGCGCACCAAGCTCGACACCACCGGCAAGTCCAGGACAGACTACAACGGCGCGACCGGCAGGACGTGGGAGATTAGCAACACGGAGAAGCTGCACCCTTACAGCGGAAAGCCGGCGTCGTACAAGCTCGTCAGCAGGGAAGTCCCGGGACTGCTTCCCAAGGAGGGCTCACTGGTGTGGAAGCGCGCCGGGTTTGCTCGCAACGCGGTCATGGTCACAAAGTGTAAGTTCCGATTGCCCCCTCACCAACACGGTCAAATTCTCGAGGACGAAAAAAAAAAAAAAAAACTGACAGGGAATAGACCGCGACGACGAGCTCTGGCCCGCGGGCCGCCACGTGCCCCAGACCTCGGGCGAACCCTCCCGCGGCATCCCCGAGTGGATCGGCGACGGCACCGAGGCCATCGAGCAGGACGACGTCGTCTTCTGGCACACCTTCGGCGTCACGCACATCCCCGCGCCCGAGGACTTCCCCATCATGCCCGTCGAGCCCATCACGCTGCTGCTGCGCCCCCGCAACTTCTTCACCAACAACCCCGTCATGGATGTGCCGCCCAGCTACGCCAGCACGCCGAGCCAGGTCGCTGCCGGCAAGGGCGTGTTGGATGCCACGGACAAGGTCAGCAAGCTTGCTTTCGAGGGCGGATCGTGCTGTGCGGGGAAGAGCAAGTTGTGAGTGAGCAGAGCAGTTGGATACCATTTCTTGTAATTAGTCATATATTGTTGAGTTATTAAAAAACCAGATTTACTTTTCACTTTCTTACTGTGGGGATATGTGCAAGTGGTGTTTGTGAGATGAGCAAAGTCTCTTTTCTTAATGAACTATCTTGTGTAGTTCCAGTGTGATGATCTGTCACTACCCTCTACAAGTGCCATTCCTCCTGCCAAGTGGAGTTGATGATCCATTACCGCCTGATTTCCAATATCTCCACCCAGCCCATATGGTGTATGCCCGTCTGTAGTCAAAGACATGCAATGACAGGATCCAAACCTTCTCGTTGTCCGAGGAGGAAATCCAAATGTAGCGAAATAAAGTGTAGAACTATCGAGGTCGGTAGATGCAAATGACTGTGATTAGTCAAGATGAATGCGCTGAATGTCGACAGCAATGGTCTCTTCGCCCTGTTCAAGAACATCTTTAACAGCGTTCTTGGTGGAAGGGTGAATGCTACCAGCCTCGGGTTCCTCTTTGTCAGAAAGGTCTTTGGCGGACTGCTCTTGGTCAACCAGCTCCTGCACCTGGGCACCGTGAGTGTCGGCGGTAGTATTGCCGGTATCGCTGTGTCAATTAGTCAAATGTTCAAAGAAAATATCAAAAAGAAGAATGCTTACAGTTCCTTGTCAGTCTTCTTTTCGGCAGCAGCCTCATCAGCACGTGCCTTCTCCAAGTCTCGCTTGGAAGCTTCCTTCGACTCTTTGAGGTTGCTAAGCATCTTGGCTCTCTCCGTGAGGATGAAAGCGGGCGTAAAAGGGTTCACGGCGATGGCTTCAAGGTTTCTGATGGCTTGATCGAGGATCCGGACAACCTCTTCAGTGTGCTTCACGCAGTTCTCCGGATATTTAGACAACATTATGTGAAGGCCGACCTGTTCGAGAAGTCCAAGACGCGGCTCTTTCAGAAGCTCTTTGGCAGCTGCCTTTGCTTCTTCGTCTAGGCCTTGCTGTCGGAGTCTCCAGACGTCAAAGACCTTTTGACTAAAGACATCTACAAGGTGTTAGCGTATGGAGAAAATCTAGTAAGAATAACATACCGTTGGACATGGCGCGCTGGGGGGTTTCCATGATGATTGACCTTTTTCTCGTGAAGACTTGGGGCAAGTGAAGATGGAAAGAAGTTGTGTGTGACCGAAGAAGAAGGGTTGGGTAATACGAGAGGATAAGAGAGGAAGGTAGGTAAAAAGGTAGGTAGAAATTGGTAGAACGGAAGGAGCCTCAAAGTGGTGTGGTTCATGGTAACCGCTCCCAAAGAAGGAGGAAGGCGCAGACAAACAAGCCGTACCTACCCTCCTTGAATGAGAAATTCTTCACTAGCAGCTCACAACCTGAAGGCAACCTGGACGGTGGGTAGTCAACAGAAAAAGGGAAAGATGGGTGTCTCTGCTTGCACCTTCCAACATACACTTGCTTCTTGCTACACAGCTAGAAGTCACTAAAAGAAAGAATAAATAAATAAATAACAAAATCTTCTGTTTGTTGCAATTGCTGTAGGAGGATATCACTTTGAGTTAAGATTCAGTTGTTGAATCATCAAGTACAATTGTCCCACCATTTAATGAACAAGGCGCTATGCTGCATTAAGTTACGTTTATTGGCTAAAATGGGTTGCTCTAGAGAATATGCTTGTATCAGATGGACTTCTTCCAAATCCATTCTTCAACGTACACTAACATTCATCTACGGCCTCCATCGGAACGACGGATGCTTCCAGTCCAAATTACTCTCTTCTTCATGGGACATGCCACTTATCTCCTCTTCCACAACCCTACTCTCCCGTCTGCGATTGTCCCGCTTCATCCAGAATAATGTCACCGTCGAGAGCACGAGAATCAAGCTACATGTCGCCAAGTTCAGCCCGTTGCCGATCCGATAATCGGGTCCGTCCCAGGGCAAGAAGGCCCAACTATTGACTGTCAGCGTCTGTTACCACATTGCCATCCCAAAAGACTTACGTTGACACTAGCCCGCCTATGTTTCCGAACATGACGTTCATAGCGATAGCCGAGCTGCGCGCTGTGTCTGAGACGACATTTGCAGATACTTGTGCGTTCGTCAAGGCGCCCAGCGCAAAAACCGACGAGGTGACAAGGAAGGTTGCGCCGTAGCGCACCTGCAGATTCTTACTCGCCAGGAACATGATGTAACCAACCATCGCTAGCGGAGCAGACATGATGAAAAAGATTTGTCGTCGATCGAAACGCCAACTGAGCAATGGCAGGAGAACCGTGAAGAAGGCGCCAACGACGTATGGCGGCACAGTGAAAAGTTGCTGGCGTTCGACAGTGGATGTCGGGTAGATGTTGCGTACAATCGACGGGAGGAAGAAGGCCAGTCCCTGGACAGTGACGTTGTTCAAAAGGAAGACAAATGACGTGCTGAGGGTCACAGGGCAGAAGATTCCACGACGAAGTTTTTGGGTATCCATTTTGTCGAGGACCTCAGACTGGCCCACGCGCTCAGAGCGGACGCGGGCCTCCGCAAGGTCCTTTTCGGCCTGTGTCAGCCAACGAGCCGTAGCCGGTCGGTCTGTGAGCGTCACAAATCCAATGAGGGCAAGGCCGATGGTGATGATCCCTTCAATAGCGAAGATCATGCGCCAAGAGTGAATGCTACCGAAGTGAGGGAGTCGGAGAATAGCAGATGCAAGCAGACCGCCGAAAGCGCCGGCCAAAGGAGCCATCACAATGTACAAGCTCAAGCGAAAGGCGAGCTCGGCGCGACGGTACCAGCGGGAAAGATAATAAGCGATTCCCGGCAGCATTCCAGCTTCGAAGATTCCCAAAAGAAATCGAACGCCCATTGCTTGGGGGACGGTATTCACAAAGGCGGTGCCTACTGAGCAGATTCCGAAGAGGAGCGTGATCAAAGGTAGGAACCAGCCTGGTCCCACAAGTTTGCAAAGGATGTTGGACGGGATTTCGAAGATGATGTATGAAATGTAGAAGACGCTTAGGGTCCCATTGTAATCGTAGCCCTTCATACCGAGGTCTTTCTCCAGACCGGCGATGCGGGCATTGCCTAGGTTTGTTAGCTGGGCGCGGTGGCCAGGACCTTGATACATACCGATATTGGCCCTGTCAATGAAGCAGAAAAGGTAAAGCAAGGCGACAGTGGGCACGATCATAAGGTCAATCTTGAGTCTCAAGCGACGCTCAGCTACCGGATCGTAGGCGAAAGACTCCGGCATGCTCCTACCACCGTGTTAGCGAACCATCCGTGACCCCAAGACAAATTCATCCTTACTTCTCCGGATCCCTCCTGACCTCCGAGGATGGTCTTTGTGCCATATTGGGATTGATGTTGTCGATATTTTCGACAACGGGTTTGTCGGTACTCATGTTGAGAGACTAACTGAGGCAGCACCGGAGACTTTTTTCAGGCGAAATTTTCGTTTTCGGTCTAGGCGGGATACCACGGCGGTGACCAGGGTTGTGGAGCTTGGAAATATGGTTGGGCACGGCTTGACTCGTCGACTCCAACAAAGGTCCCTGAGCATCGTCTGAGAGAAGAATGAGAAAGAGAAAAGATCGCTCAGGTCCAGGTGATGATCTTGCAGGTCGTCGATATTTCTACTTCTTCACAGCCTACAGTCTACCCCAGGTTTTAGTGGTGGAGGTGTCATGGCGCACCCCTGACTACCTCACCCACACGCAACGCGGGGTAGACATCCACCAGGCTGGGACGGCTTGTCTATCAATGTGCATCGGATGCCAGCTCGGAAGGCGGCACCATGACCAGTCCAATTGTAACGCACCTAATCCACCTAGGCCCTAGTAATCGGATATCCCGTTTCTCTCCCACATCGGGTCCATGTAGCCAGTGAGAACAGGACCATTCACGATAACGTGGTTGGTGTGGTAAAGAATACGCCTAATGTCACCGGCTTCAGGGAAATGAAGAGGTTCAAGTTGTTGAGAATTGGCAACATCTCATTCTCGTTGGCGCTGGAAATTAACGGCTTTTCCGTTGAACGCAGGGGATACGGTCATTTTGCTCAACGCTCCGTCAAAACACATGGCGACGTTGTGCATTCATCGCCGCGTTGATTATTTCAGACTATTCTCTTTGGCTTGTTCTGCAAACGGCTTAACGCATGCCTGTCTTGGGGGTTAGCTTGACCCGACGTAACAGGGGACGGACGCCGATCCTACTCCAGTCCCGTCTCGTCTCGGGAAGTGATATCGGCAATAGATATCGGTAATTAGTGTGGTTGTTAGAGCTCCAAGAAATAGACCTTTATTCCATGGGATGGCCCAGGCCTAGAATCTAAACTTGACAGGTTTGTCATTCAATGCATGGGGATCCAGGCATACGTCAACTGGCCATGTCATTGTTCATCCAATAAAGACTTGAGAAGCGTTCAACCCCAATGTTGTCTTGTACGTACGGTAGAGCGGCGGATAACAACGCTTCAAGTTTTCAACTCGAAGCTACAATGCCTGCCTTGAAGTATTGAGAGGACCCTCACATGCGCTCACAGCTAGCAAGGTAAGCATACGTGGTTGTGATGGACCTGTTGAAGATGCATGTGCCCCAGCACTATCCCGGCTTTTCCGCCCCCAGCGTGGCGGCAGCTTGACACAGACGCGGGTGCAGAGTAGTCACTATCAGCAGGCGTTGTTGTTGATTTATGGACTGTGATGATATGTGTTTCCATAAGTCGGCTGTTCCGCAGTCAACCCTCGTCTTGCGTCCGTTTGCGGCGCCCCGTCTTGAGAGAGCGGCTGGGTCTTCTGTCAGCTCCGGAATATCCGGTTAACCAAGCCGCGGTTGGAAGGCGTCATAGTATTGGGCCAACGGAATTGGTTCCCCTAGATTGGACCCCAAATATTTGAAAGTTACGACGTCAATGTTGCAGATGATCCCTCGCAATTGCCCCATATCGATGCACAAGGCTCGATGCCGATATGTAGGGCGCTACAGCTTCATGAGGGGAAGGCAGCCATAGGTGGACTCCACACTGCAGGGACTCGGAACTCATAGAGCAGATCCCCGGCCATTTTCCATTGGCAGCTTTCATCTTCATCACAAAACCAAGCCAAGGATAGTCTCGTCCATTCTTAGGTAGCCTGGCGTAGCAATCGACTGCTAGTTATTGATGCTCGTGGTCGTCGAAACTTGACGAATGTATCTAGTGTCTCCGAGGTAATGCCCAGCAACGAGCAACAGAAAGCTGAAAACAAACGCCCAACGCCATACTGCTGTTGGCAGCCGGAACGAGCTAAGATTAAGAGTAGCAGCACGTGGAGGCGGCCCGTCCGGTTGGGTTGGGGAGGTAAGACGGTTCCACGTCGGGCCGTGTTTCTCGGATGCGCGTGCGGGTATCCTCGACTGATCACAAGCCTAGACATTCAACACCCCTTTGTGGCCTCAAAATGCGAACTGCGGAACTGAAAAGTGTTTGTGTTTGTTTTGTTACCGCTAACCGTTGGGTCCGGGGCTGATGTTGGTGCCAGTGCTAATAGAACTGGTCTAAGGCGAGATGCTTCTCGGGGATTCTTTAGCCTCCAATGCGTGACTCGAGTGGCCCAGTTGGGAGGGGATGACCTGGTTAGATGAATTACATTAATAAAAAAGGAAAAAGTTATTATTTCAAAGGCTTGGTGTTCGACACGGAGATCAGACTATGTTTGCTTCGGCGGGCTAGTCGGTTTGGAAGCCGGTTGACCTTGGGGAGACCCAGCCAAAGAAGATGGCGGTGATGAAAGGCAGTCTTGATCCGCTTGGACTGGGCGGGAAGCAGGACCCACTCTTTGCCTCGTCACCACGTGCGGGGGAACTTTCTTATCTGCTTTATCTGTATTATCTAAGCACACAAAGAGTCAAGATAACACACCTCAAATTCTCAATGCCACCTTTCATCGCCTAAGGCAAATCTCTGGAAGAAGGAAAGGGTTGGAGCACCTTTCCGAGTCCACAAACTTCTATTTACATCTCCAACAAGGGCGCCGATGGCGCACAATTCCAGCCCCCCAACGCCTTGCATCATGTTTGGAATTGACAAACCAACATTGTCGTAGTGCCCACGGCCGCACAAAAGGAGACAAAGCCAAAACCACAAGCATAATGCCGCAAGTTCAATGTTCCCCAGAATAGGGACACCCCGGCACAAAACGTCTCCAGCCGTCCAATAGGGCACCCATCGGGCACCCAAGCCGCTTCGTCAGTGGAGAATTGCAATCAACATACAGCGTAGGGCTCCAAGGGCTCTCACACATCTACCAGATTTTAGGGGCTCATGCCGGCTCTTATCGCTGCCGCTGTTAAGGCCCTGCCCACCGTCTGGTTGGGCAATGGCAGTACATAGTGAGACTGGCTGGGCCAGATTTGGTGCCCGACGTCATCGAGCATGGTGGCGGTCAGGTCCATCCCCGCCGACTCGAGCTCACAACGCATGCTTGCGCAATGAGGCGGCAGTACTGTGACGCTAGAGAGAATTTGAGGCGTATGCTGCGGGAGAGGTGCAAGGGAAGAAGAACGTAAGGGAGAGGGGGAGGGGACGAGTCTCGGTGCCAGAAGCAGAAGACCGAACCACAATGAGACGTGCCAAAGACCAGACGATACACTGACAAAATACCTACTCTTACGCCGATGGTCGAGAGAATTAACCTTTCCCAGCCCATCCATCCATCGCCCAGCATCCCCGTTCCCCGTCGATCTGTTCAGGCCCAACGACGATGCTATCATTCTTGGAGGGAAACCAGGCCCCGGGGACGATGGACACTTGTTTCGGTCGATTCCCCAGCGATGGCTGCCCAAGCGGCGACTGTCAGGTTGGAAATCGAGCAAAAGCGGGCTGAAAGAATGAAGCTAAAGGGCGCAGTGGACCGGGTCTGGAAGGGTTGAAGGCTGAAATGGAAGGGAAAAGCAACAACACGGGCCTCGGGAGAGGCTCTCTGCAAGGAATAGCCTTGTTGCAATAACCTTCGACTTCCGACCAGGTTTGGACGACGGTCGCAACCCACGATACCGAGCTGATGGTTGCTGTTAAGGGCCACCGAATGCTTCCCCCCTTCACAGCCGTAGACCACTGGGCGACCAGAGCTTGTCTGACCATGAAACAGGCTTTGGGTCTGGAGTTCGGACGCACTCTTGCATCCTTATTGGTGTATTTTTACCTGCGCGTGGGAGAAAGGGAACCCTTCGTCGTTAGTAGGACTAACAGTCGACATCTCTGCCCTACCACGCCATGGGACAAGGCCAGGTGAACTGGGATCATCGTTCAAGCAGAATCACCAACACCACACCACCCTCTTCGCGCCGTCGACAAGCAAAGCAGCCCCTGTCCTGGCTTCCGTCATCAAAAAGCCTGCTTTTACTCTCCACCACCACTTTTCACCGTCCCCAGCGACTTACTTGAACTACAAAACCTCTTCCTCTCGCCCAACCTTCTTCTTTTTCTCCCTCCCGAGTGACCTTTTTTCTGCAAGGACCCTTGAAAGCGACAGTCTTCGCAATTCAGTGCGACCGGCCTTGTGCCATTCTCCAGGAACAGCAGCAGCAGACAGTCATCGACCGGTGCTAGTAAGGGAGCCTCGACGAGACCAAACACCATCATCGGATCCATAGGTCACAGGTTCCATTTGGTGAGGTCAGCTGGCAGACCCATAGGTTGTTCTACGACTTTGCATCGCCTTCTCATAGGTCAAGCCGCCACTCACGCTACCACCACCCGACTCGACAGTGGAACATCCAAGTCATCCAGCCAGTTCCGTCCGGCTTGCATCACATCACCCTATCACTCTCAATCACTCATCAACCTCCGTCAGCGAAAGGGTCTCACTACCCTCTCACGCTGCGCCTCTCGCTCATCGCCGTAGATTTCGACACACTGTTACTGTTACGGCGTTACATCTGCCCCTAGGCTCTCAAGCGGCCACTCTCAGCCACGTAACGCGGGGCGCCACTGGTATTCTATTATCCAATCCAAACCCCACTGGACCCAGGCGGGTCAACGGCCTTCACCGACACTGCCAGCGCTATTGGCCTGGTTCACCCGCATTAGAGGGAACATTCCACCGCTGCGCAACGCACGACTTCCCGCCGTTCCCTTTCCCCTCTTCCCTCATTCTCTCCCTTGGGGGTGTCGTCATCGCTCTAAAATCCAGGATCCTGCAACACCGAACACTTCTTCCTGGTTCACTTCTGCGAAACATCTACCACCACCCGACTTTTCAACCATTCGCTAAGATCAAGCCGGCGAATTCTAGGCTTTAATCCAGCGGTAACTACTTTTTCTGCAAATTTTGTGATACCCAAGATCGACTTTACTTCTTCAACCCACACATATATACGTTACTATAGCCACCAAAATGGCCGGCCGCGCTGAACGCTGGGACCGCGACCGCTTCGCCTACGAGCGAGACCGCAACCACGGCTACGGAGACGACCGCCGCTTCTTTGATGAGCGAAGCCGTTATGAGGAGCGAGATGATTACTACCCACCACCACCATCACAACACCGCCGTGGCAGAGACCACTCGGATGAGCGTTATGACCGCGGCGACCGTGGATACCGTGGTCCCCCCGATGAGGGCTTTGTGCGGGACCGCCGCCATTATGAGGACGATCGTTATGGTCCTCGTCGTGGTGAACCTTTTGATCGAGAGTTTGACCGCCGCCTGAACTTGGAAAGGGAGCGCCGCAGCCCTTCGCCCGTCCGTCGCCCGACTATGGTTCGTCGTCAATCATCTCTCGACACCTTTGACCGCCGACCTCTGCGCTTCTACGAGCGTGAGGAGTATCCCCCGCCAGCCCGCAGAGAAGACGTCCGCCGAGAAGACTTCCGTGCACCACCCTATGTTCCTATCCCCCTACCCCGCACTCGCCAGCTCGGCCCTGCCCCGTCTCAGCGTTACGATGAGATTCAGATTGCGGAGCCGGGCTACTATGGTGACGAGGAATACCGCGCCATGCCCGAGAGAGTTAAGGAGCGCGAGTTTGTGCGGTCACGTAGACGCAGGGACCGTAGCAGGGAATCCAGAGTCTCGAGATCCACCAGAACCCGATCGCACAGAAGCAGCTCAAGGTCTAGCAGCACTTCTAGCAGGTCAACTAGCACCAGCGGTGCCACAACTATTCGCAGCGAGTATCCCAAGAAGGGCAAGACTCGCATTCCTGGGCGCCTAGTTTCTAAGAGGGCTCTTATTGATTTGGGATACCCTTACATCGAGGAGGTGAGTTGTCTGTTAACCCTCAAAAATCCGGACAAGTCCACTAACAGACCCAGGGTAACACTGTCATTGTTCTGAAGGCTCTTGGCCAGGACAACATTGACGAATTGCTCAAGCTCAGCGATGAGTACAAGCAAAGTGAGTTTAAACAAGAACAATCAAACCCCTGTGTTGAGCAATCGTCTAATATGCTGTAGGTGAACTGGAAATTGCTGCTGCTCGCTCTTCTGCTGGTAGAATTGAGGAACGCCATGAGGAGATCTACACTATTCCTCCGCCTGTCGCTGTCCTCCCCCCACCACCAGCGCCCGTCGTCGCTGCGCCTCCCGCGCCGCCCACGGTAGTGGCTGCACCCCCGCCAGCACCGGCACCAGCACCAGCACCAGCACCTATTATTGTTGATGCACCCGCTCCACCACCCCCTGCCCCCGTTGAAGAAATTGTGGAGAAGAAGACCGTCATTCGCGAAGTTTCCCCTGCCCGCTCATACACGACCACGACAACGTCCACGTCCGCAACGCCTGTCTTGTACGAGCGCCGTGAGATCAGCGACGAGGTACCTATCGGGCCTCTCGCTGTTGCCGATCGTCGTCGCAGCCGATCCCGCTCTCGCAAGGACATCAGATCCGAGATTCGTGCGCTTGAGGCCGAGCTTCACGGACGCCGCCGCGGCCAAAGCCGTGATGTTGTGCGTGCGGAGCAACTGCCCGACGGGGCGATGGTCCTATTCGAGGAGAAGGTTGAGAGGGTTGAGGAGCCGCGCCGGGGAGTGCGGATTGAGAAGGACAAGAAAGGTAGGATGGCCATCAGCGTACCGAAGTACTACTAAGGTGCGCTCTGTTGTCACCGGGTCTTGTCGCAACATAGACTGACACGGATTGCAACAGGTCCTCCCCCAAAACTCATGCGGGCTATGTTGGCAACCCTCACCTAAGGGCGCCACTTGTGAAAACCTTTGCTCAGCAACCGACGCAAACTGTATGAAAGAACACCAGACGAGCTACAGATCTCATGGAAGAGACGGAATATGTTGCATTTACCTTGGTTTTGGGATTGGGTCCGGCGATATATCACTTATTATTACCCCATAGAAAAAAAAGGATGCTGGAACTTTTGGAAAGGATATATACTCAAGAGGTCTGGATTTCTATTTCAAACGGATGAAGTCCAGCCGGCCTGGTCTAATGGACGTTGTTTTCGGCTCCAGGACGGCCCATGTATTCTCTGCCACGAGACGGCTATCAACGAATTTATGACTTAATATGCTCTTACTGCATGCGTTGTGTTCATTAAAACTTGCAAAGACACAAAGGTCTCATCTCTTTGATTTCTCGGGATGTACTAGTTAGTATTTAAGGCGTGATGATTGTTTACGCTGGCATTCAACTTTCTCACTGGCAGTTGTGATGAGCAAGGATGCCCTCGATTGTGAAATCTAGTGTGCTCACCAAAGTGTCATAAAGATCAAAATCTCATGGATCGCTCTCTCGTCTCCAGTCTATCTCAGTAAAACGGAGGCGCCTCCTCCGAACACGTGACGTCCAATCTCCGAATCTCCATTTCGTCCCGTCTCATCCCAGCCCACTTTCACTCTATTTTGCTTCACCCCACGAGTCGTTCTCCACATACGCACTCAAGCCGCGGCAAAGCGGCATCTCCTTGGGTGAGAGCAGAGATGTGACGAACGGCTCCTGAAGAATTCGGATAGTATCTTTTTGAAAATCTAGTTCTGATTTGTGAGAAACCATTCAATGATTTTGAGATATCGACCGCCCGATTGGAGAATTCCCTAAGCACGGCCGATGCTAGATCATGCAAAGAACAGATGAGGATCCGACTGAAATGCCGGCACTGACCCGAAAGGAGCCTTCCGGGAAGCCGGGATCCGTAGCTAGCACCCATGCTCGCGTCCCAAGCTTCTTTCTTTCTTCGCTCCCTCCCGCTTATTGAGGGGTTCTGGAGCAGGTAAGGTGTATATTAAAACATGCTTAGCATCCGTAATTGGCGAGCCCCCCCCTCTTCACAAAGGTGAAGCTCGGTTTATATAGTCAGGGGTTCTAGTCGATCGCGCCGGTCAATCGTTGACTTTTTCCTTTTTTTCCCCTGGTCAATCGCTCTTTCACACCAGTCATTCGTTTCTTGGAACACTATTCACTCGTTTTCTTTTCACAGTTTATGCGTAAGTGCAGGTCACGATGAGATCCCAAATCTTAGCTACCGGTCTCCTTGCCGCGGGCGCATCTGCGTTGGAAAAGCGCGCTTGTACTGCGACGGCGGAGTGGCCCGGCTTCGCTGGCGTCAAGCATGCTTTCGTCTTGTAAGTTCTCCTTATGCGTAGGAGCAGAAACAGCGTGGCTGACGGATCACAGCGGCGACTCTTACTCCCAGACTGGCTTCAACACCTCGCTCGAAGCTCCCAACCCGTCTAACCCCCTCGGCAACCCTTCGTACCCGGGCTGGACCTCCGCCAACGGGCCCAACTGGGTCGACTATCTTACCGTCAAGCACAACGCCTCGCTCTTGTACACATACAACCTTGCCTACGGCGGCGCAACGGTGGATGCTTCGCTCGTGAAGCCCTACGCCGACACGGTGTTGACTCTCAAGGACCAAGTCCAGACCGTCTTCAAGGGAGCTTACTCGTCGCACGCGGCGCCCGCCTGGACCGGCAAGGACTCGCTCTTCGCTTTCTGGATCGGCGTGAATGACATCGGTAACTCGTACTGGAACGGCGCGGCGGCAACCTCTGCCCTCAACGCGAAGATTCTGGACGTCTACCAGGGGCTGGCGAAGGAGTTGTACGATGCCGGCGCGAGGAACTTTGTGTGGCTGACCGTGCCGCCCGTCGACCGCACCCCGATGCTGCTCGCCGAGAACGCCGATGCGCAGAAGCTGGCCAAGGACGACATTACCGATTTCAACGCCAGGATCGGCGACATGGCGAAGAACGTGACGGGATGGGAGGGCGTGAATGCGTGGGTTGTCGACGCCAACGCCGTATTCAACCAGGTCTTGGACCAGCCCACCAAGTTCGAGAGCACCGCCGGATTGAAGAACACCACGGCCTACTGCAAGGAGTACGAGAAGTAAGTTTCATTTTCGTGTCTCATGCTTGATGCGTTGAGACAAGTGACGGGGGTGAAGGTAGATTGATGATGGGCTGACTTTTTTTGATGTAGCGGAACCAACAACCAGGACACGCTCATCGCGAGCTGCGGCGTCAAGCCGAGCGAGTACTTCTGGCTCAACACCCTGCACCCGACTTCTGCCATTCACGACGCCGTCGCCGAGACTGTTGCGTCGGCTTTGGGTTCTCAGCCCAACGGTTGCTGAACGATGGCGCAAGTTTGTTGTTGAGCGGGATGCTCTCGAATTCTCGTATTTACTTATCAGGACCTGCCGTGTATATATAAAATGGAATTCTTGATTGGATGCAAAGTTGCCAAGCGTTTCCGAGTTACAAAAGATCTTTTCTGTTCCCCACATCAGCCAATTCTAAGTTGGCCCCCAAATTCCCCAATTGGCTTCATCATGCATAGTCTAGATGCGCTCAAGGATGTTGTCAACTCAGGGTAAAAGGTTCCATACCGTCAGACGTCAATCGGCAGATCGAAGACTTTCGCTATTATACGGGCAATATTTCAAGTCATGCGGCTCTTGGAAACCCTTGTAAGGCCGTCAACACACGTTTAGTACTTCGCCTTGCGGCTTGCAGGGTGCAAAACGGCAACTAAGCCCGGCAACTAACAACACATTGGGAATAGGGTCGCATATCCAGCCCTTGCAAGTTGTATCTTGGCAGTATGCAACCTAATTGCTGACCGCCGTGCAGCGGGTAGAAGGCGGGATTTCAAGAGGACTATTGAACAACGGTTTTGCAAGAGGTCCAGGAATCCAATCCAACACCGGGGGGGAGCCAAGCGTATGACAGACAGCTCATACAACAGCCTCAGCCTGATTCCGCAGAATCATATTCGGCCGCCCCCCCTGAGTGATCCTGGAAACCATGCCAGTATTATTAGTGGCGTTCTTATCCCCGTTTTAAAATCACGAATGATCTGCCGCGGCCTGCTCATATTCCCCGTGGCGCCCTCTGTCTTGCCGCCGGACATGTTTTCTACATAACCCGTCGAGTTCCGTGCCACGGGCACCCCCCTCCCCGTGCCTGAACTTCTTCCTCTCCTTTCCGACTCTAGCCAAGACTCAACGTCGGCTGGCACTCCGCTCCGGCGTTCGAGGCTCATGCAAGCGGAGGAGCGCATTGCGCCTTGTTCACAATGAAATTGATCGCGCTCATTCTCGCGTGGGCGGTTTGCCTCGCGGGCGCCCAGACGAAAGACGACATACCGGAATGTTCGCGACAATGCTTCTCGACGGATAGACAGTGTACTCTCGAAAAGGATCCTGCATGCGTTTGCGGCGCGTACCAGATCAAGAATCTGGAGCTGACAAGCTGCATCTCGTCGTACTGTAGCGAGCAGGAGACGACGGTTAACAGTACGTCGCCATACTTTCTTAGCCTTCTATTTCTCCTCCATCACATTCTTCGTCCGCTGTAAGTTCATGAAAACTGTGGTTAACTCTTCAAAACAGATGCCATCTATACTTTTGAGTCGTATTGCGCCAGGAACAACTACTTGAGTAGTACCGTGATGTGGTTGGCAACTAGAATGACAACCACAGGCTCGCCCACGTCGACAAATGGTGTGACGGCTTCATCCACATCCACAACGACAAGTACCAGCAGTAGCAGTAGCAGTTCCGATCCCCCAACAGACAGCGGCCTCTCCACAGGTGCGAAAGCTGGCATCGCTATCGGAGTTGCAGTCCTGGCAATCATCGGTGCCGTCTTTCTGTTCCTCTGGCGACGGAAGAAGAAGAGAAGGGCGATTTCAGGGAATCGCGAGGGCATCGAGGATACGGGAATACCAGAGCTCAGCAGCGGGGACCGCGCCAACCGGCATGAGCTGGAGTCCAAAGGTGGATGGGGCTTTTTCGGGAGGAAGGATCACAAGCCAGTGGAACTATCGAGCACACGCGAGGTTCAAGAATTGGACGGTACTACCTACGCATTTAACGGCAAACAAGGACTCGGAAACGTTGTTGGCAACACTACTTCCAAAGTCGAAGACAGCGATGATACCCCGGCAGTCGAATTGGACGCCACCCCCGCCAGGCCTAAATCTCCTGCCAAGCCCAGGTCTCCCGTCAGGCCGAGATCCCCGGTTGATTCTCAGCTTGTGTCGACGCCGAAACCTGCCGCAGAAGCTGAACGGCCGAGAAGCTCGCGAGAGCACGTCGATTTCAACTCCTCCCAGCCTCTGCTGCCGAGTGCCGACGAGCTAGAGCAGCTGTTGCGCGAGGAAGAGGAGTTGAGGCAGAGGAAACAAACCTTGGAGCAGTTGATGCGGGTTCAGGAAGAAGAGTACGCTCTCAAGGAACGTATCAAAGCATTACGACAGCAAAACGTAGGTCAGTCGTCGGAAGGCGCATAGGGTGGTTGCCAATGGCCATGCCTTATGGTTAAAGTACCATCGGACAGGGCCGTTGCTCGTTTTTCATTACAACTTTTTCCCATGCTGTATGGATGTCCTTGGCGCCGTTGCGCATGGCCAATACGTCGGCTGGCTTTGGTGGCTGACGCAGGAAAGCTGCATGATTGGATACTAGCGTCTAGAGTTCATATTCCATACTCGTAATACATATTTGTGTGATACCCACGAGTGTCCTCTTCACAGTTCATCATGGGTTATTGTCCAAGTCATTATCTTGGGTCAGATTTCTTCACTTATTTACCAGGGTAGCAATTAAGTTAACAATATAAAAAGCCCTTGAGGTGCTGCACATACAAGATTTCACATAATTTTATGTTCTACCATGCCTTCTGTTATTCCTGACCATATGGTGCGGTTGGACGAGCCACTAGAGACCTTCCTCTATAATATTTAAGCCGTCTCCAACTCTGATGCTTTAGGCTTTCTTCCATAGATCGAGTATCTGATGAACGATTAGTTTTATGTCCCGGGAGGTGCCAATGAAGGGCTTACACTGTGTGGTACGCGTGAATACTTCTGTCCCTGAGTTCCTTGCGCAACTCGGCCATGGCCACAATAACCTCTTCCCTCGTCCAATCGTGGGCTCTCGTCAGCATTGCGGGACAGAGTCCCTCCCAAGCGGACATGATGTTCTCATGACCCCAAGTACCAAGCTCCTTAAACCTTTGTTCCTTGGGCCAAGTGTTCGTGGGCCACTTAAACTGCAGTAATTTTACGTCAACAAAGCCAGCTTTGATCAAGACAGCTTTGAGATCTTTGGCGTCCCTGGCGGGCCTTCCAAACTGTTCGGATGCTTGCTGAACCAGTGTCGAAATCTTGACCATCATGGAGTCTGGTTTCAGGGTGTCATCGTCACACATAGGGGCAATGTTGGCCTCGTTGAATTCCACATATCCTCCCGGGTTGAGGTTACTATAAGGGTTTTAGTGGCGAATCGGTCTTTGAGGATGTAAGGGAGCCATTGAATATCGCTTACTCGAAACACCTCTGAGCATAGAGCTCCCAATCGCCAACAGATCCGTTCATCATCCGGCTGTGGATATAATCGAACGGGCGAGAGTAAGTCCAGGGCTCTTCAAGGTCATCAATCTCGAACTTCACATTGGGTGGCGTGCTAGGCTTCTGGTTAGAAAAGATTCAACCACTGGATATTTCGTCGGATTGACGGTGAGGTCATACAAATCGGGAAATGCTGCTGAAAGGTCAATCCCAAGAACCTCGGCTTCCGGGTGTTCGTCGCCAAAGTCGATGGCCCAGATACCACTACCCGTGCCAATGTCCAAGACACGGCCGACTTTAGCACCTTTTTCGTTCGGCGGGGCATTTCCGAGCTTGTCGTCGAATGTCATGAGCAGAAGGTTGTGTTGAAGATCTTTGACATTCATCAGACAACCGCAGGGTCCATACATTGCCAACTAAATAACCTACCAAGTCGATCATTCTCTGTCTCATCGTTGGGCATTTTGTATTCTGTTGGCATGATATGTCAATAAGCAGCCTTCGGCACTGACCATATATGTCTAACTCACTGCCATCTTTGTATGCGTGATATGTCCTGCCATTTTCGATTCGATAATCGAGAATCGATGTGGTCACACTGGCACTTGATGATGCCGAGGACTAAGAAAGAAGCACGTCAAGTCTGCCACTCCAGGAACAAAAAACTGATGAGGTGGAGCTGTTTACTTACAGATGCTCTATCAGAGCCCCCATAATCGCTTCCGGGCTGTGACAGACAATGGTAAGCAGGCGCCGATGATGATGTCAGGGAGATCGCATACCGCATCATCCACATCAACCACGACCACATGGTCGGGCCCGTTGTTGGGCTCCTCGGTGTTCTCGCGCTCAGACATTCCAAAGGGTTGTATTTGAGAGGCGGCTTCGATTTCTGTTTTTGACGAATCAGTAATTGCCTGCAGTTTGTCGCTGAGTATGAAGCATACAGCTCAACACCTGACAAACACGTTTATTTATTCTCGCTGGCTCATTCTCACTTCCCCTCTTCTTGGCTGCATAAATGTGTGTTTCTTGGAACACGAGGGTCCTGCATAACGGAGATGTTTCCTAGAAAAAAACGCTTTCCGCAGAACAATTGGGCCACCACACGAGAACAGGGGGTTGTGGCCAGTACAAACTGGCTACCATTTGACCAGGAACAGTTATGCTAACCCTCAACCAGAAGGCCAGCCTCCCTGGCTCTGCAGGCGAAGCAACCCTACCCAACCATTGCTCATGGGTCCAGGCCGGATCCAAGCCGTTGCATTAATACGTTTGGTCCGGGTTCCCCGTCAGAATCACATGAACCCACATTCCTTCACCATTTCCCCTTTACTCCACCCCACTGTCATTCAGAGGTTGGAATGATTTTACCTGCGCTTCCATCTTGCATCCGACCAGCCCGACGATGGATATTGCCATGTGATATATCGATTAAAGAAAAATGGAAGAATTGATGTGATGGCTGTGGACTTGAGGAAGTCCAGCTGGTCCATCTCACAGTTGGTTTAAGCTCTTTCTTCGTTCATTTCGAACGTGAAAAGGTTTCCTAGGTTCGCGAAGCCAAGCAGGTTGCCTTGTCCACGACACTCAATATCTAACTTTCAGCTTCGACGGTCTCTATAAAGATAAAAGTCGCAATTCAGTGTCACTTTCCGGGATACTATTTGGACTCTAGTGATGTTTTCTCTCGGGGAGATGCGATAAAAATCGCTGGAGCTTCTGCAACATCATTAGTTTGATGCAACATCGACTCCCTAAGAGACCCATTTACAGTCCCGCTCGGCAGGGAATGGCCCGTTGTGGGTACGGATATTAGCAGCCTGAACCCTACTGCTGTACTCTAGTAGGAGTAGCTAAAGATCATCCTGCTTCGCTATGCCCCTGTTGGCCTAGTCACACCCAGCTCGAATGCAAAATTGCTCCAAAAAAAAGCCGATACTTGCGTGCCGCGGGCAAAGGTTTGCCAGATGAGAGTATTCATATCGGAACCATATTGCCAGTCCTGCAGTTAATCACAGCATTAGCTTGCTAGATGGTTTCTGGCGCGTGGATAGTGTAGTTGTCAACCCTTTCAATGCAGCACCCACCATCGTTGATAGCCCGAGGTAGGACGGGGCGATTGAAGTTTCCTGTATTTCGACATAAACTGCATTGAGCTAGGAAACACTTGATAATATCTAAAATTTCTGTAACTATTCCAGGTATTTACGGCTTTAACGGGTTGACTGACTCGTTTCTCAGCAGGGAAAAAATAAAGGAAAAGAAAAAGCTTAGCCCGCCATCATAGCTGATAATAGGTTCCACCTACTACATTACATGCATGACTAGATACTGCATCATTGTACTGTTTCTGAATCGGTGATCCTTAGGCAATTTGCCGTGGCTCCAAAACTTTTGCTTTGACAATAGCTGTCCATCTGTTCGTGAGTAGCCTTCTGCTCAGTATGTGTAGCGAAGAATTTTGTCCTGTTCACAAACAAGATTCGAATTTCCACATCACAGGTCGCAAAACTGAGGTTTAATTTCTCTGGTGCAAGCATTGCGTCTCTTGTTGAAGGAGATTTGATCAAGAGATAGGAGAGAATCGCGATGAGAGAATTCCAGGTCACGACGGAGATAATGCAGACATGGTATAACAGACCGCCGGGCATATTTCAAGATTGGACGCAGAATGAGTAAAAGGCAAGCTAGCTTGCTATGATAAAGCCACTGAAGATGAAGATCGCAAGCCAACTTACAATGCTTGCCCAGGCTCCACCTCATGCAGACATAAGTAAAGCTACCATAACCCACGAGGTGCCATTTCACCCTTCAGCTGTACCAAAATCATATGTGGGGGGGAGACATCGGCTGTGACCACCCTCTGGACCGGCGATTCGACATAACACTAAGTTTCGTCAGGGACGATATTCTTCAAGAAACTCTACTTTGATTAACGACCTCGTTATCTATATAACGCAGTTTCCTCAACATGCCTTTTTCCCAGGAAACCAGGCACCGATGACTTGAGTTTCTTAGAGTGTGCGGTGAACTAGTTACGTAACAGCCAACAACAGTTCAGGTGCGAGCATATTCTCACCCTATTTGGATGTTATGTTTGCGACCTCTAGGGTTGATTTGAACGACAGTCTCGCCTATTCCCCACTGCACCTCATCACCCCGGGCCGCAAGTCAAGGATGTTAATCGAGACAGGTAGTATCGGTTGGTTCCAATGAGTTTTGCTGCATTGTCACATCTTGGCCTGCACCAACAACTTACGACGCATTATATCCTGGCATACTGTGTTGGTTGTTGCAGGCAGGGTGTAGAATAGTTCTTTAAAAAATCTCGCCTCCGCATCCCCATTTCCAGGAAAATCCCAGTTTCTTTTAAACACTTGTTTCTATTTCAGCGCATCGAACTTCACGAAAATTACCACCCGTGGAACCCCACATTGATACCGTTTCTTGTGCTTTGAGTATGGCAGACCCATTGACTCGAGAAGCGCCGTCTACGACTGGCAGCCCGCCAACTGTTCCTCTGGGAAGTCCACATGCAACATCGACGAACCAGTCAGAACCAGTCGCCATAGCTGTGGACACTGAACCGGACCAACTTGAAGCAGACGATGCATCTGTTAGTGGAAGTCGCTTACCGCGTGAGACAAGTTTCTAAATGACTATTCAGACTACGGATGACGCCTCATCAATTCAAGACGGCAGGTAGGGCAAATTTGGGTGTTGGCCTTGACCCCGAAAGTAGCTAATGATTCAGTTCATCCTATACTGCGTCTTTGTCATCAAGTATTGTTGACTACCCAATGCATTATGGCCGAAGATACCATGCCTACCGCTCAGGCTGTATGTCATCAAACACCTGATTACTAGCTAATTTTGTTACGTCCTTAAAGCTAACGTATGACGCATAGCGTACCCTATCCCAAATGACGAGGTAGGTTGATCCTTGTGGATTAGACAAGACTACAATTCGGATTGCTTATTTTGTGTATGTGGCTTAGCACGAGATGGAACGCCTTGAAGTTGTGCATGCAATGACGGTAAAGGTGATTGGAGACAAGCTGTTCTTAGCCCCTATTCAAAAGGACCGTGTCAACAAAATTCTTGACATCGGCACGGGCACAGGAATCTGTATGACTTGTGTATCCATTCCATTGTTGGTTCATGAACTGAAACGATTTAGGGGCTATGGAGATGGGCGACCTACTTCCCAACGCCGAGGTAAGCTCGTATTGCCTGGACTTGATTTTTGGTCAGATCTTTTCTGATGTAGAACACAGATCATTGGGAATGACCTGAGTGCTATTCAGCCAGACTGGTGCGTTAACTCCTGGTTTGATTACCAATTAAAAAGAATCCAACAGTTGCTAACCGCGAAAAACAGGGTACCTTCCAACGTCAAGTTCGAAATCGACGATGTTGAAAGCCCTTGGCTCGGCAACAGAAAGTACGACTACATCTTCTGTCGCTACATGCTCTGTGGTATCGGTGACTGGCCGAAACTAGTTCAAAACATCTTTGAGTCAGTCAAACATTCATATCAGAAAGCAGTGACTTCGCTGAAGCTGACAGGCTGATTGTAGTCATCTGAATCCCGGTGGTTGGGCTGAGTTCCAAGACATGGATTCTCTGTATTACTCGGACGACGGTACTCTAACCGAGAAGCATGCGACAAGGAAGTGGAACAAGCAAATCGTTGAAACCATGAACTCGATCAATCGTGATGCTCAACCTGCGCCGAAACTCCAGGGATGGGTTCAAGACGCTGGCTTTCAAAATATTCAGCATCAGCGCTTTAAGGTGCCACTTGGTCCATGGGCTAAAGATGCTCATTTTAAAGAGATAGGAATGTACAGTCTTGCAGTCATCATGGATGGGCTGGAAGCGTTCTCGATGCAAATTTACTGCGACGTTCTCGGGTACACGAAGGAAGAGGTGATGGTAATGTTGTCCGAGGTTCGCAACGAGATGAAGACTCTTCATACATTCCATGCGCTGTGGGACTTGTAAGTGACTTCCTCCAGCCCATGAGAGAAACTCTGCTGACTGTTACAGACATGTGGTTTATGGTCAGAAGCCTCTTGAAGCGGAAACTCAAGAAGCCTGATAGCATCATAGGTTTGACCTAGAAGTTGGGCTTAGTTCTTAAGAAAACTGGTGCGACGGAATAACAGAAAACATGGATAAGCATTCCTGTGTATAGCGAAGAATGCCTTGACGAATCAAGTTACACCGGACTGTCTGACACTGGCGGTAGGAACATGATGTTCAAGCCGACCAACTTGGTTGCATGTTCATAGTCTCACAATCATTCTCAAAAGACATCATTTACTACGTGTTCTGGTTTTGAGAAGAAAGTAGTCTCAATATTAACGCAAATTGTTTATGCACTGGCATAATGTTTTGCAAAAGCTCTTGAAGAAATCCTTAAAATAATCTTTCCGGAAGGTACTGGGCAAAAAGGGACCATGATGCTATCAAGATGGTCTTTTGAAATTGGATAAAGAAATATCTACAAGCACCAACTCTCAATGGCATGACTTGATGAGAGACATATTTGACTTGAGGATTGAGGAGGGAGAAGGCATGTGCCTAGCATTTCAGTGGACTTCTTCGTTGAGCAAGGCAAATGAATCCATTATAACATGATAGTTTAGATCGAATGAAAAAGAATCGCCGTGAGATTTGGAGGTGCCTCATTCCGCTTCCCTGGCTGCTAAATCTGGAGCTTTTCGCCAACATCACAAGTATCATGTAGCGTCTTTCAGCCCTCTCCGGAGAAGCTCAGCAACTTGAGCATGAATACTTGGTACTCGATATAAGTTTCGTCTGCTTTGTCACAGTTCAATAATTACCAAGCCTACGGTAATTAGTCTATCTACCTAAGACAGGAAACCACCTGGGTGAGATTTAATGAGCCAGGCAGCTACTACCTTAGGTAGGCATCGGTGCCTCAGCCACTGTGCATGGCAATAAGCTCAATAAGCAATTTTTCACAGTTTGCAGGTGTCCCCAATATTTGTGGATCAGTACACTTATGAGCCTCCATAACAGGAAGACAAGCTTTGCATTTTTTGCTTCCATTGTTAAACATTACAGGATTCGGTCTTGATTCTCGATTATATGAGCCCACAAGTGCTGGTTGCACGATTCAATCCTGCGGAAGTAGTAGCGAGTGACGACCAAGTTCAAGTCACAATGCAGTTGTCAATAAGCCCTCAATGGTCTTACGAGGTCGAAGTTCCCAAGTCTGCAGGGTTCGTGGGACCCGTAATCGAACAAAATGCTTGGTACGCCAAGAGCCTAGAACATTTACAGGGACCTCTGTGCGACGGGGAGCGCGATGCTTCCAGGAGTCCCCTGTGCTTAGCATCGCCCGACGTGGATCCGCGCTGGTCACTGGGCATCCGCCTTACACATAGAAATGTTCGGCGATCAATCGGAGAGTATGGCACTAGATTGAACGGCCAAGGCGCGGTATGTTGAACTAGTTGAACGCTCATGTCCATCCCTTTGCAACTTCGCGAAATGACGTATTAGCATCATGAATATATCGCTGATAAAATGGCCATGATGCGTTTGAGAGCGCCACGATTGATATACGAGACTGGAAAGGATACCATATTGAAAGAAACATTTACTCTAGTCTAGTTACATACTAAAAATTATGTGCGCTGAAAATCACGACGTGATATCCTTCACGTCGCCCTAGCTAGATATTGATCCTGCGTAGCGTGGCTGGAGGAGCATTTTGAGCACTGCCTCTCCGCCAAGTGAAAGTACAAATTGATCACCACCCACAGACGTGGTTGACAGAGGGCAAACCCAATCAGAGTAAGAGGCGGTGCAGCAATGTCTCGCATCCAGCCACACTCTCAAACAGTCTTCCTCTCATTGTCAAGGCAGATTATAGCAGTGGCTGATAGTCTGTCCTAGCGACATTCTTTGCCTACGTCACGTCCCTTGAAAGCCCATTCTTGGTACTCTGGGAACATCTAATCGATCGGCAACAACACATTCTCTAAACGCAACCGTATGCCCGACAAGAACCCCTCCGACGTCAGTAGATGTCAGTCAAGAACCGAAAGAATCTTGGTAGCTCTCGTCGTAAAATAAGCTTGAAATCAATGGCTGCTGTAGTCGTGCAGCCGCCCGGCCGCCACCGACAAGCCAGCGGGTACGGCGTCGCAACTTGGTCGTGTGATATCAACGTTGCAGGGCTCAAATTCACTCATTGCTTATTTCGCTGCACAATAAGCAAAAACCTCGGCTTGAGACAGTTTTAAGACCTGCGTGATACGGAGTACTGACAGCATTGAACTCCTTGAGTAGCTGGGATACACAATAACAGGGACTCTCTAATTTGTACGTTAGGCAGAAGCACTCATTCAATATCTGCAGGTGGTTCAAGGGATACGAAACGATATTATGGGGAGCTATAGCGCTCAGGGACCCGGTTTAGGCCCCCTCTGTTTGCCCATCAGCCCCCCAGCCGGGCACCCAAGAACGGGGGCGGAGTGCAAGCTGCCCTGCGCATCAGCCGAGTGACGGTTTCCCCCTACATCGACTGACTACCTTTGCTTGGCTGGAGATTGTCGGGCGTTAGTAGGTACACAGGGCTGGAAACAAGGTGAGGCATTTCGCTTGGCTTTTTCCTATTGTATGCTCAGTCTTGTAAGCCTTACCTAAACCAGCGACCCCATTGGGGGGGGGCAGCAGCTGGGCCCTAGTGGTAGTGGGGGTAAAAGCCGGCAGGGACTAGTCTAGTGGCGTCCAGGGCTCGTGCAGCATAGCCGTCGCCCGGCCGGGGTGGGCAAACTGGTTGGTCTCAGTGGATGATGGCACACGATCCGAACCAGGCGCCATCGCCAAGTGTTGATGTAGATTGTTAAGAATTCCAATCGGCAGTGTATTTAAGGCTTCTCTGCGCCCTCGCATCTTGTGGCGCTATTATCCCTTGGTTCATCAGGAACACTTATAGAAACTTCGACCATTAGAAATACCAACTTTCTAGTTGGAGTCAAACTCAACAACATCACCAACACCAATATAACTACCAGCCAGGGAAGGAGAAGCAAGTTTCCAAGATGGCAATCTACGAGTCTGGCATCGCGGCCATCGTACGCATGGTGATTGTACTTCTGGTCACCATTCCGGTACTCATTCTCTTCGGTCTCTCCCTCAGAAAACCCGGCTACAGCCAAGACAACACCCGTCGATGGGTAAACTTCACAAAGCCTGCACTTGGGTTTTGGGGACTGTAAGTCTGCCCTACCGTCTTATACTCCTTGGCAGGCTGCAATTCATATGCCTTGATTGCCGGACACTAAGCGAGTAAACTCTGGATTCTCATATCCTAACCTGCCATGTTACAAAATAGATCCCAAGCACTCCAGATTATCTCCGTCATCATCATACTTGCCGCTGGTCTTGGGAGCACATATGAGTACGATCATGACGCAGCCGTCACCGTGCTAGTGTACCTGGCAGCTCTGTTCGAGTACTGGGCCCATGCATGCATTTTCCTCGCCCAGTTCTACCTCGCCCACGCCCTCACCCAGCTGCGGGGAGAGGACTATCTTCGCGCCAGCGCCTATCGCAAGGGCCGCATCGTCGCTCTCATCACTGCGAGCCTCATCGCCATTCTGGCCTTCGTCTTCTTCTGTCTCGCACTGAGCGTCTCATTTGACTCCAGCTACCGTAGCTCCAGCGGCCGCCGTCTTAGGCGCCTGGTGGCCCAGTCCTTGGATGTCGCCTGCCTGGGATTGCTGGTGCTCAGCGCCATCGGCGCCGTCGTATACTCCGCCAAGTCTCGCAAGAAGGCCCTGGGTAGTTCCGTGCACAAGGTATGTTGGAGGTGCTTATGAAAACTCGTGGTATCGGATCGCTAACAGTTGTTTGTCTCACTAGGCTGCGAATATCCTCGTCACCATCTCTTCCCTCTGGCTCGTGCGAGTTGTCTGGCTGATTCTGTCCTGGTTCTTCGGTGGACGCGGTTACTACTACGGTTTCATCATCATTGTCATCTTGGACATCTTCGCCGGCATCATCTTGACCTTTTCCATCCTGACGATGCTGTACCTGCTGGCTACTAGACCGGTCTACGGCATGTCCAGGGCAGAAGACCGCAGGAAACTGAGCCAGGGCCAACAGTCCGTATAAGAAGCTTTCGATTGGGGGAAGTAATGAGCTACAGATACGGTGTAACAATGAAAGGTGCTAGGAGGGTGAGGTTTTCTTGTCTGATAGGGTTCGAGTTGTTGAATGGATCCAGGCGTTCGGCTGGGCTCTGGGGAGAACGCAGAGGGTATGAAGCATGCCTGGACGGTGGGGAAACACTTTTGATAGATGAGAGCATGATACCACTTTTTTGACGTAGAAATAGACATCTTTAATGAGCTCTAGTGCCTTATCGTCTAAAATCTAGAGTTCTACTATTTACTAAGTAAGCAAGAAAGTTGCAAGGAGCAGGCATCTGAACAGCTTCTAGACATACAATCTCCAAATTTGACAAAATTTTCAACTCACGTGCCCTGTCACTGCTCTTCTTCGGCAATGTACTCTTCAGGGGCTACAAAGTCTTCTGATGCCCAAGTTTTCGCAATGTACCTGAACACACATTAGCGCTCTGCTGTTGAATTTGCGAGGGTTATTAGTGGCAAAGCCCACTTGGTATGGCTTCCTCTCGCAGCCAGCTCTCCTTTCTTGTTGAAGAATGAAACTGTGGTGTAGGCAAGAGTTCTGCCCACTGCGATGTGTCAGTGAAGCCTCCAAACAATGGGACGGCGCGACGCATACTCTTGTCACAGACAGCAGTGCCCGTCATGAGATCACCAGGCGTGCCTCCAGGGTTCAGGTAAGTGACTAATGTTATTAGCATAGGATTATTATATGAAAGCACAGCGCCATACCATTGATATCGGTTGATACTCCCGTCATGAAGCGACCCTTGGATGCGACAGCAAGGGAGCCGCCTAGGTCAACAAGACTAGCAAGAGTCCCTCCATGGATGGTTTGCAGGCGGTTCTGTTATAACATATTAGTTACCAATTGGTTCAGAAGCTTGTGCTGATATCTCATACTGTGTGTTCCTTCTGGATGGCAAGCTCAAAGTTTACTTTGCCAACCGATGCACTAGTGACGCGAAACTACAGCCAGATAAGCTGAAAGCTATCAACATGAAAAAGATCATCATACGTTGTTCCCAAGCAGTCTGGAACGTATTAGCTAAGAGGTCCAAAAGACTGCATCTCAAGTTGCTAAGAAAGGAATGCGACGCATCGAACTTACCTCGGCTCAAGGCCAGACTCTTTGGCAAAAGAGTTCAGTACCTGTAACGCCAATTAGTCTGATTAACCAGCCAATTGACCAGAACAGCACTCACAGACCGCACAAAGCGAAGGGGAGGTAGCTTGGGAGGCATTTTAGCAGTTCAAGAGTCGATCAAATGCTGCTTTGTTGCGAGGAGTTGCTAAGGTTCTAGTTGCGCTCGGTGAGCTTCGGCAATTGGAAGCAATCGCAAACCGACGATGACGTGAAATATACGTACCGTTCGTCCCTTCACCCACAAGCACTAGACGCCGATAAGATAACAATCGATAAGATAAGCCCAGACACGCACGAACCTCAGGCGGAAACTTCCGTTGCCTAATCCCTGTTCAACAATTGAATGACGGCTCGTCCGTCGCAAATAATCATCGACCTTCTACTCCAGTACACACGACCATCCCACCAAAGACCCCGGCGCGACCTCTACATCCCTCCCACCGCGCAGCAGCCCGCCGAAAAGCTTGCGCCCCCCCTCCGAACATGAGATAACAAACAATACCCTCGATTTCCCCCTCCGAACCGCGCAAAAACCCGCCCATCATGTCGGTCAGCTCGGGTCAATCGCTCCAGCTGGCCGACTACCTGGAGAAGCTGCCAGGCACCACGTTTAGGAAGCTGTATCTGCAGCCCTCGACGGCCTTTGCCATATTTCGAAGGATGATACCGCCGTTGGGTGAGATGCTGCCGCTGACTCTCTCGCAAAGTTTCTTTGGGAAGAAGCAGCTAACCGAAGAACTCCCTAGCAAAAACCATCGTCATGGCCATCCTCTACATGCCGAAGCCAATGCTCCTTGAGGACCTCGATCTCTGGGTAAAACCTGAATCGCGACGGTAATCACGCACTTTTACTTGGTTTCTATACTTGGATACTTCGACTCTAACCCTTTGCTGCTGGAACAGACAAAAAGACCAGGCAATCTCGACCCTCCGCAGCCTGCACATCCTCCAGATAACCGTCCCGTCGAAAGAACGCCCGCAGGAGATGCAACTCACCACGAATTTCAAGAACTCCCTTCGGTTAGCCCTCGAGGGCGGCGGTGACCACAACTCCTTCGGTGTCCCCTCTTCTCTCCCAGTCCCTCCCGAAATCAACGTCCCCTTCCTCGACCGCTACGCCAGACGCAAGTGGGAGGACATCCTGCACTACATCGTGAACACTGTCAACCCTGGCTCCGCGGACCTGGGCGGGCCTAAGTCGTCCGTTAAGAACCTGCTCGTGGCAGGCCAGCTCGTCCGCCGCCAGGGGTCTGCGGTCGGCATCACGCAGGCCGGTTTCACCTTTCTGCTACAGGAAGCGAACGCCCAGGTCTGGACGCTGCTGCTGCTGTGGCTAGAAGCGACGGATCACGCCGTGGACGCGGCGGGCATGGAGAGTACAGACATGTTGAGCTTCCTCTTCCTCCTCGCGAGTCTGGAGCTGGGAAGAGCCTACGACACGAATGCGCTGACGGAGGAACGTCGAAACATGCTTCCGAGCTTGATGGACTTTGGCCTCATCTACATCCCTTCACACAAACCTCAGCAGTACTTCCCGACCCGTCTCGCAACAACACTCACGAGCAGTTCTAGTGCGTTACGCAGCGCAGGCGCAGGATTCTCCGCCGCCCTCGCGGCCGCCACCGGTCCTCGTCCGACTAACGGCCTCACACCGGGAGGAAGCGAAGACAACAAGGGCGGAAGCATCATTGTCGAGACAAACTACCGCGTCTACGCCTACGGCCAGACACCGCTGCAAATTGCCGTCCTTTCCCTCTTTTGTAAACTCAAGCTCCGCTTCACGGACATGGTGTCAGGTCGCCTAACACGCAACTCCATCCGCAACGCCGTCGAGCGCGGCATCACCGCCGACCAAATCATCTCGTACCTCGCGGCCCACGCTCACGAGCAGATGCACCGCCTAGCCGCGATCCGCAGCAGACCTGTTCTGCCCCCGACGGTGGTCGACCAGATCCGTCTGTGGCAGCTCGAGACGGAGCGCATGACGACGACGAGCGGCTTCTTGTTCCGCGACTTTGATAGCCCCAAGGAGTACGAGGACATTGCCGGCTACGCGGCCGAGATTGGCGTGCTGGTGTGGCGGAACGACAAGCTGGGCATGTTCTTCGCCAGCAAGCATGAGCAAATCCGGGATTACCTCAAGCTGAGGAAGAAGGCGGAGGACTAAGGCAGGCAGTCCTTTTCTGCTTCTCTACAACGGTGGCTGGGTGGCGGTACAAGTCGCCGAATATACAGGGTAACTGAATGCATTAGCAGGCGTTGGGGTTGGAGAGGGTTCACGGGTCGGGTGTAGAAGTAATTGGGTACTGGTCCTAACAGCTGAGTTTTCATCTCTCATAGCCCTCATATATACAGATGTAAGGGACTGCTCGTCCTTTTGTACACGTCTTCCGATTACCCTTCCTCCAAAAGTCAAAACAGCGTTAAGGATACTTTCCCGTATCTCTGCCATCCTTCCACTCGATATTACGAAACGCTCATATGCATGATTCGGTCGTCGCACTTGACCTCTCATGTAAAACAGACAACCGCCCAAGAATCTCTCAAAGAATGCTTACACGCTTCCCAATGCGATACTTCCCTTCGATAACCTGCTTCTCTGGTCGGTTAACGCCGATGCTTCGTCGTCCGCCAAAGAGTCGATTGACAAATCCCTTTTCCATAGTCACACCGCGTGGCAGGAGTGCGTCTCGGTTGTGTGTGCGTGCATACACTTCCTGCCATGACTGTAAACTCTTCTGAGCTTCAGGGGTGGTACAAAGTGAGTCAAGATGCAAGAAGACGCGCATGCACCGGTTGTTATCATCGGTCAGGCGGTCAGCTTCCCGGTTGATAGCATCACTATCGTAGCCGTCGAGTGCGGTGGTTGTGCTGAGAGGGAGGTTGTCGCGGTTTTGATAGGCCGTTCGCAAATCAGGAAGGTGAGATGACCTAGAGACGTAGGCAGATACAAGTATTGGAAGAGCTTGTGGTTGCAGGTCTTCGCCGCGGATGCGGTCGTGCAAGGCCAGGAAACGACCCGACCAGTACTCAGAAGGCTGAGCGGTAGTTATGATGAGAGGATTCTTATCATGAGCGTTCAGTGTAGAAGCTGTGGATGCGCTGGTAGTGAATGTGCCTGTTGAAAGAGTCGAAGTGTTGCTGACTTTGCGGGATGCGTTTGATTGGTGAGAGAGCTTACGTTCGCTCCCGGCGAAACCCGTGAGCGTTGATTTGGATAAAGATGCTGTGAGGTTGGATAGAGCAGTCATAGTACGTGATTTGGGAAGCTGCCTCTTTTCTATGCTGCGTCTGCCTGGCAGCCGGGATTCGAAGTTGGAGCCGGGGATTGAGGCAGCAACAAACGACGAGCTGTGTTCTGATGGAGAGAGAGCTGTGCCTTCTCGAGGCTTTGACGACGGTAATGAGTTTTCATCATTTCCACCCGCCGCTGCGCCTCCGACTGCGTGGACGTCAAAACTGGCGACTGTTGGGTGGCTGGAAAGTGGTCCACCTCCAGAGAAGCTTGCTGAGAGTCTGCGGGCACCATGGGAAGACTTGGATGAACCTGTTGATCTTCTTTTGGCCGTTGGGTTGGGAGGGCGCTTGCCTTCACGGAGGTATGCATTAGAGGCACCATTTCGCGATGAAACTCTTGGAGACCCACGGTTGGCGTTGGAAATCTCTCCCAGGACATAACGATGCTTGAGACTAGAGCTTCTTGGAGGCGGGATAGGAACGTGGAGGGTTTGCGAACGAGGTATGACCGGGTTGTGAGCTTTGGGTTGCCGGATTTCTGCCTCTTGCCTTCCCATGCCGCTAGCTGGGTCCGGGACATTTGCTCTTTCTCGGGGTTTTTGAGGTGTTGCGGTGCCGCTGGTGCTTCTCGGTAGACCAGATGCGGGCCTTTTCTGCCGATGATGTTGAGAGACTGAAGAAGGCTGTTCCAAGCTGCCCGGCTGCGGCTTGGTAACCTCATTGATACTTGAGACGATTGTGATGTATTCCGCCCGCTCGATGTCAGGCCCGTTGCTGTGATGAACCGGACCAACAGGGCCCGAGATGGAAGGTCGTTGGGCGGTGGAGGCACGGGAGCCTCTGTTCCGCAGAGGCAGGAGCGAAGAATAAGATAGACGATCTCGCATTGCTCTAGCAGAAAGACGAATGCGGCGACAATTAGGACGGAGAATAGAAATATGGCGTAGGGGACGACCCAAACAAAGACGGAAAAGGAAACGGTCAGGGTGGTGAGTGCTCCCTGCAACGAGTTGCAGAAAATACGACCAGCCTCGCAAAAGGAAGACGAAAGAAGGGAAAAAACAAGCAATAATGATCTGCCAAAGATTGTGGCAAGGTGTAGGTTGGCTTGAGCGAGGTAGAGACAGTGGGTAAAAAGGGAGCAAAGGCAATGGGTGGTGTGAAAGGTGAGGGCTAGGCCGAGAGAACCGGATTCGGCGGAGGGCATTGTCGAGGTGGAATCGAGATTCATCGATTCGAATCAGACGAGCCAGCAATCAGTTGAGGACGCGCATGTGGAAATGCTTGGATTGGTCGTGGGATTTGGGTATGAACAGCTTCAGATGAAAAAAAAGAAGAAGAAGAAGGAAAAAGGTGCTCTGATGATTTGACGTTGGGCGGTTTGAGAGGAGGGGGAGGTTACGTGTAAATCAAGTGCACGTCCAACGAGGATGATGATATAAGGTACTCTCTGTCTCTTTGGAGGTCCTGCCGGTAAGGATAATGAGCGTTTTGGGAAGGACAAAATTCATGGAGGTGGCTGCCTTTTCTTTGTCATTCGTCACGGAACTCTTTTTTGCCATAATCTTGCATCGATTTAACTCCGGATGCAGGTACGACTTGTCCGACCGCAACAATGTTTCCCTCACTATTATTTTGACTATGTTGTATATAGTCACCCCCCACTTTCCAAAAGCGGCTACTATTCAGACATGATTTGTCTTATTGTCTACCTCAGTGCACAGCAGAAAGGGCCCAAGAGCGCCGACAACATGCAACTTCTATCTCTAGATGGCCTCCAATTTTGAATTGAGATAAAAAAAAAAAATGACAGTGACACATGTCACCTCTTAGTTCTCCCATCCCTCAATCTTGAACCGGAACACCTCGTCACCCTTCCCCCTCTCAATCGCGTTACCGTTTCCATCCCACAACGCCCTTTCTCGGTATGAAACGTTGCCGTCCCAATCTACCATGATGATAGTCTGTCGTTGCGTGCCGTATAAGCCTACTTCGAATCCCAAGTTGGCTTGAGCCGGCGGATCAGGTCGCTCTCCCAACTGGAGGCTCTCGGCAGCCTTCTGATCGTCGGTAGCAAAGTTACCCCGCCCCTTAGCAACTGCGTCCTGCATCGCTTTTCGGTGGACTTCGTCACCGATGGCTGGGATGAAGATGGATTGTTTTAATTCCTTGATATAGTCCGCCAGGCTCATGTCGGGGTGCTTGGGTAGTGTGTCCGTGTCGAGAACGGCAAAGAGCTGGTCGACGAGGGCATCTTCGTCCAGGTTCTTGGATACAGCATCTTCAATTGCCTCTTTGATGAGCCGCTTTCCGTTTTCGACCTTAGGCCACTGCTTAGGGTCGTTATAAACGGTGTTGCTGAGGCCGTACACTTGATCTCTCTCTTCGGCAATCCACGGCACATCCTGGAGGTTGTCACAACGGTTAGAGACGATGGCGATGCCCTCGAGTGCGTTCACCGGCTTCTCGTCGTTGCCGCGTTTACGTCTTAACTTGCCAGCCACCATGGAGAAGCCGCCCACACCCTTGACGCCGCCGTCCTTGACCAGATGGTTGACTGTCTCAGAGGCAGACTCTGTGGGGTCGGAGCCGAGCCAAGCGGTAACCATACCGCCACGGCTGCGGGCCGCGTGAATAGGGTGGCTTGCATCACCTGGGTCTGTCTCTCGGTAATTGGTAAGAACGGCGAGTTGGCCTGTCTTGGTGATGCCGAGCCAGGTGCCCTTCTCTTCCCTCTGGAGATCTCGGGCGGAGAGAACGGAAGCGCCGGACGGGTGAGACCACCAGTGCGGTCGGGAGGTAGGGCGGAGAATGAACTCATCGCGGTTGTCGACGACGATGACCGCGTAGTCCGGGTGGGCGGTGGTGAGAAGAACGATGCACATGGCAGGCGTGCTCGTTCTATATTTAAGAATGTATGGAGTTCTCAAAAAGTTCTCAGAGTCTTGCGTTCAATCAGTTGTTTTTAGCACTGGTGTGGTATCGAGGGTGCTACTGATCTTCTCTTTCAGTGCTTCTTTTGTCTTGTTGATGTGTTTCTTGGCGATATTCTCGGGTTGATCTGTGTAACGAAGCGGGGGTAATGTGTTGCTTCTATTTTAGCACTTGGGATAAAGCAGCGGCCCTGTCGTTTGAATAAAGGCCGATCGAATTGCTCGTGGTCTTCTAGTTTGATGCGTCTCTGCAGACCGTTGAAGGTTTCTTGATGTCTTTGTTCTGCTCTATTTAAGCCTCGGGTCAATAATCAGTCCACCTCGAAAACGGAACGTGAACGTCGGTTGGGCTCAGCTCAGCTTGGCTCATGATGCATCTGCCTCGGTCTTGGGGTAATGCATCGTCTGACGGTGAAGCTTGGCGGCTGCTGGCAGCGTGTCCGTTCCTCCACTCCGACAGCGGTGCCAGCCGGAAGATGACAACATAGGCGACTGGCCTTCCAAGGTCAGGTCCCTAGGTCCAGCGTTCTGGCTGTTGTTAGGCCGGAATCCGCAGGGCAAAGTAGCTCAGTGGACCAGCTGATTGCAGCTGACAGCACTGTGACGTGCGGGGGTGACTTGGCTTGAACTCCCCATTTTGGTGATGTTACTGGAGCGCCCTGTTGAAGTACAGCACCTGTGGAGGGACCCAGGTCCATGTGGCTGTGGCTGTGGAGATCATGAGGCTGGTGGTGAATGTGGCGCTCATGACAGTGGGCCGATGTTTTTGAGTTCCGGTTATGTAATCCGCTTCCATCGGGTGGTGCGATTTTGGCCGACCGACTCATTTCCGTCAGTAACATAGAACGCTTCCGCCCGCAATCCAAATCCATCGTCCATCTCAAGGAGCAGTGCTTTCTTCGAAGAAACGATCCAACAGTTCCAATAATTGAAGCGACCAGAACAGATCGGAAAATGAAGAAATCAATCGAAACATAAAGAAATGGAACTGGCTTTTCACGCGATGGTCCTCCCGACTATCTCTCGTTTGTGGTCTTTCTGATGATCTTCGACTCCAATGTTGCTCGCCTCGTCATCCTTTTCGTGGGCAGCGAGCATCAAATGCAGTCAGCAGACGCGTCCACCTTCACCGCCTAGCCAATATAGCTATCTGTGAATTTCTTTACTATTCCGAAATTCGGTTTCGTCAGCAATTGCATAGACACTCATTACGACTCGTCAACCGCCTCAGGTGCTGTTCCTTACCGGGGAAGTGGGGATCCTAGACTCTCACTACGGCCGTCCCGTTGCGGCGATAATAACCCTTGGCAGAAGATCCGTAGGAGGAAGTCCCGGGCGAAAGTGGGAATGAGGCACAGGAAATTCAAGCTCTGAGTCACAGGAGCGGAGGACTTGCGAGCTCCCTGATTGTTTGCCAACCAAACATTCTTCGCGATGTGGATCGTGCTTGATGAAGACTGATTTGGTCAAAACAAAACCAGGCTCATTTACAGCTTTTGACGGTTATCTTGGCCGTGTCACGGAATATTGCGTGCTGCATCCTGGTCTAGGACACTGGTGATGCTTGTACACTGGCGCATTCGATTTCCTGAAAAGAAGAACCGCACCGACAGAATTCCGCCTGACAGGCAACCATCCCTGGTCCACCTCGTGTCTCCAAGGGTCCAGCCCAGTAACAATGACCTTCCTCTTTGGTCTTGGCCTAATTGTTGGTTGGCTTGCTTAGCCTATACCACAATCAGCGACCATCCCCAGCCGTTGAACCAGGCAGTCCTTTGCACCAGATGCATGTGTGCTCCGTATGGAGTACGGCATCGATCAACGCACCCCTGTTAGTCACCCACTGAAGCAGTTTTGCTGCGTGCGTCGTTGCGCGTCTCCGCGAATTTACGAAGAGGCCGCGACGCCACTGACAACCAGGCCAAGAAATGCGGCTAGTTGCATCGCCCAGGGACTTTGGTAATGGTTTGCCAGGCTTCGTCAACCTTGTCCAGATCACGCGTGAGCCTCGTCTTACTGCACTCGAACCAATAACATGCATCTGATGAGTACCCAACAGGCACCATCATGTCGGAAGGCATCCACGTCCATGGCGACGTTAACCTTATTTGACATGCACACCCAGAACATAGCGTTCCCTGGATCTTGAGGCACGTCAAGATATATCTTGCATCTAATCCACCTTCTTTCTGACCCTATTGACCCCCGTACTCAACATTAAGTTCAATCTGACATTGGGTTCTGCGGGCCCCTTACCCTTGAGGTAGTGTTACATTTCGTGGCTTTTGCGCTTACGGACAATCCGCCATGAGCTCACGGTGTCTTAACGATGATTCACTCGGGCCTGGAGTCCAAGGATGCCGCGGCAACTTTGACTTCACGCTCCGGTTCGAGAGGATCTTCCTCGCCATAATTCCTGCAGCTGTTTTTGCTGCTTTATCATTACCCCGTATCGCGTATCTCGCCAGGAAACCGAGAATTGTCGATGCCAAATCTATTCAGGCAATCAAGCTGGTGTGTAAAACGCGGCTTTCTCTCTGAACGTCCCTTTTAATAAGGCTAACACCATATGCAGGCCATAATAGCAGTGTTCGCGACACTCCAATTCGTAATCCTCATTCTTCAGACAACAACAAATGCCTCGGGAGTTGATGGGTTCGCCCTTTCGGCGTCAGCACTTTCCTTCATCGCCGCCTTGTTCATGCTTGGCTTGTCATATGCGGAGCATTCAAGGGCACCCAGACCATCTCTCCTGTTGACGGCCTACGTCTTTCTCCAGATCTTGTTTGATGTTGCGCAGACCAGAACATCTTGGCTGATGGCCAGGACATTCTCCACCCAACTCTTTGCCAGGCTATTCACATCGTCCTTAGTTGTAAAGTTTGTCATCCTTCTCGTCGAAGCACAGAAAAAGACTCGATGGATTCGCTGGACCGCTGAGGAGCACAGCCCCGAAGAGACAAGCGGTCTTTTCAGCCTGGGCGTCTACTGGTGGCTCAATCGTCTGTTTCTTCACGGATACCGGAATGTTCTTACCGTCGACGACCTGTATTCTCTGGACCAAGGCATGATCGCCGAGACAATGCAGATCACCCTGGCTCAAGAGCTCGACAAAGGTACTTATCGTGGAAAGAAGCACGGGTTGGCAAAGTCTTTGGCAAAGGCTCTTGCTGTACCACTGCTCTTGCCAGTAGCGCCAAGGATTGCCTTAATTGGGTTCAGCTTTAGTCAACCTTTCTTCATCCAAACACTGCTCGAGCATCTTCAGGATCCCGAGGCATCAAAGAATACTGGTTACGGTCTCATTGGTGCTGCAGCCTTAATCTACTCCGGTATTGCCGTCTCTACCGCACTCTACAACTATTTTCAGCAGAGGGCCCTTTACATGTCCCGCGGTTGCTTGTCAGCAGCCATCTATAAAAAGACAACTGAGGCCGATATTACTGCAGCGGGCGATGCTGCCGCCGTCACTCTCATGAGTACCGACATCGAGCGTATCATTCGTGGTTTTTACGGCTTGCATGAGTTCTGGGCCAACCTCATTGAAGTAGCTCTTGGCTGTTGGTTACTGGAGCGCCTACTGGGTGTTTCGTTCATTGCGCCTGTCGTTGTCATTCTCATCTGCACTGGAGTAACGGTCGTGGTCGCGAACCTCACCGGTGAGCGTCAATCTCGGTGGATGAACCAAATTCAGAAACGTGTTGGCCTTACTGCCAACGTTATATCCAACATGAAGTATTTAAGAATTTCTGGAATCACCGCGCCCGTCGCCGAGTTTGTGCAGAATATGCGGGTTGAAGAGATGCGCATTGGAAACCAATTCCGGTGGATGATCATTGTCACCGCCATTGCTGCGTTGGCCCCTGGTATGATATCTCCAGCCGTTACGTTTGCCTTCGCCGCCTCTCGTCTCGATACTACGACCATCTTTACGTCGTTTTCATTCTTAGTTCTTTTGAATGCACCCTTAGGCCAGCTCTTTCAGATGGTACCCGCCGTGATTGCTGGTTTTACCTGCCTTGGTCGCATTCAGACGTTTCTTGAGGCGGACTCTCGTGTCGACTTCCGCCAAGCTTCTCGTCCCTCAGTGTCGTATGACAGGACATCCGACGACACAGTTTTCAGAGACAACTTGGAGGGAATCCCATTGAGACCCTTGGATAAAAGTCAGCGCCAGAGCTCGGAGAGCAAGGGCCCGGCTCCCTCCATCTCAATCGTCGATGGTAGCTTTGGTTGGACTTCCGACAAAATGGTTCTTCAAGGCATTACTGCCACTATTCCGGCGTCTCAGCTGACGATCGTTGTTGGCCCTGTAGCATCTGGCAAGTCCACCCTTTGCAAGGTTCTCCTTGGCGAAGTGCCTTTCAGCAGTGGTCTGGTATCAGTGCCTTCACGAAATGCTGCTATCGGATACTGTGAGCAAACACCATTCCTTTCCAACGGTTCAATCAAAGACAACATTGTCGGTTATTCTACTTTTAACCAAGCAAGGTATGATGAGATCATCGAGGCATGCATGCTACAGACTGATCTTTTGCTGCTGCCTTATGGTGACGACACCAAGATTGGAAGCAACGGCATCATGCTTAGTGGTGGACAGAAACAGCGTGTCTCCTTGGCACGTGCTCTCTACCTTAACTGTGACCTCATGATCTTTGACGATATTTTGAGTGGCCTCGATAACGACACTGCTGGAGAAGTCTTCCGACGGGTCTTTGGATTGGATGGTATCATCAGGCGCCGCAAGGCTACGGCCGTTCTATGCACGCATGCTATTAAATACCTTCCATTAGCTGACCACATCATTGCTCTTGGGTCGGATGGCATACTTGTGGAGGAGGGTACTTTTGCCGACTTGATGCGGGACAAGAAATACGTTGCCAGCCTCGGTGTGACAGCAACAGACTCCGATAACGAATCCGATTCTGGTGAAAGCCCCGCCAACAAAGACAAGCCAGCACTAGGTTCAAAACCGAAACGTCCACCGGCCATTGCAGCAGAGCTAATGGAGAAGTCGAGGCAGACTGGAGACTTCAGAGTTTATGTCCATTACTTCCGCAGTCTCAATCTTGCCTCTGTCGCCACTTTCGTCATTGGCTGCGCCATGTACTCGACGTGGAATAGCTTTCCAACGATCTGGATGAAATACTGGACTGAAGACACCCTTCACAAGAGCAGCGCGTATTATGCCGGACTGTTTGGTCTTTTCAAGGTTCTCCAGCTCGTCTCCCTCTTGGTGGGCGGCACTGCTTTGATTATTTGGATGACTACGTCTTCGGGAACGATCCTCCATCAGCAGGCCTTGAAAACAGTCATCAGCGCACCTCTGACGTTCTTTACGACGACCGACTCGGGAGTTGTTACAAATCTCTTTTCTCAGGATATGACATTGATTGACAGCGAGCTGCCCAATGCACTGCTTAACGCTGTGATCTCTGGCTTTGACGCGTTAGCCATGGGTGCTGTTATTGCCGTGGCTTCTCCATACATGGCTATCAGTTATCCCTTCATGATTGCACTTTGTTGGATCATCCAGAAGTTCTATCTGAGAACCTCACGCCAGCTACGTCTGCTAGATCTGGAGTGGAAGAGTCCCCTCTAGTAAGTGACTCTCAAATCTTTTGATGAACTGAATCGCTGACTTTTACCAGCACTCACTTCCTTGACACCATTAAGGGCGTCGCAACGATTCGCGCATTCGGCTGGACAAACAAGGATATCGCGCACAACCAGCACCTCCTCGATACTTCTCAGCGACCCGCCTACCTTCTCGCCATGATCCAGCAGTGGCTAGTCGTAACCATGCAGCTCATGGTCGCCTGCATAGCTGTCATTCTCGTCGCACTTGCTACGCAGCTCAGGACGAACTCTGGTTTCACCGGTGCTTCCCTGGTCACGCTCATGTCGTGGGGTGAAACCATTGCTATGCTCATCCGCTTCTACACACAGCTCGAGACCTCAATTGGAGCTGTCGCACGTATCAAGACCTTTGCTGAGAAGGTCAAGCCGGAAAGCCTCGAGGGTGAGGACATCGAGCCGCCTGAGGAATGGCCAGAGAACGGCAGCATTAGCCTCAAAGGAGTCTCTGCCTCCTACGGGTAAGCTTTACGCAACTAGCCTTACATGTGCCCGCAGCGAAGCTGACAAGATATTGTAGAAACCAGCAAGAGCAACCACTTGATGGTGAAAGCACCCCGCCCAGCCTGGTGCTAAAGGACCTTGCTTTTTCTGTCCAACAAAGGCAAAAAGTTGCTCTTTGCGGCCGAACCGGAAGGTAAGTTCACCGTGACTTAGTGCCATGCTCAAGCTAACAAACCACAGTGGCAAATCATCACTTATCCTACTCCTGCTTCGCCTTCTCGATCCCGTTTCCACTTCTTCGCAGAATATCGAAATGGATGGCATCCCATTCCACCGCATCGACCGGTCAACTCTGCGCCGCCGCATTATTGCAGTTCCTCAAGACGCAGTCTTCTTACCTGATGGGTCCACCATCAAGTCCAACCTCGATCCCTTCAACGCCGCCTCAGATGCCGAATGTTTCTCCGTGCTTCGAAAAGTGCAACTATCCACTTTCGTCGAAGAACGCGGCGGTTTGCGCGAGGGCATGACCGCCGACAGTCTCAGCGCAGGCCAAAAACAGCTTTTCAGTCTCGGAAGAGCGATTCTTCGACGACGAGTCAAGGATGCAAAGTACAAGAAGCGGTGCGGCGGCATCTTACTTTTGGACGAGGTCAGCTCAAGTGTCGATCACGCGACGGACCGCTTGATGCAGGAGATCATCAAGGAGGAGTTTGCGCATTATACTATCGTCATGGTGTCCCATCGTCTAGACATGGTCATGGACTTTTTCGATGCGGTCATTGTCATGGATAAGGGACGGGTAGTTGAAACCGGAAGCCCGAAGAAGCTTGTGGAGACGGAGGGAAGCCGATTCGGTGAGCTCTGGGCTATTGAAAACCAAGGGAGGTCTCGGGAATGATAGACTTCCACTTGTTGCGGGGATAGATTTCACCGTTGTATTATAGTAGACTTACTTGAAAAAACGAATTGACGACCTTATAGACTCATTTACAGCACATGGCAGTTTCATGTCTTTTAGACAATTGGGTACAATTAGGGGCTTCACATGCAAAACTCTGGATAACCAAATCAGAACATTTGTCACAAGAGAAAGGCGTTTGGTGACTTTAAAACCCCAAAACCCAGTGAGATTTGACTCCAAAAGTGACGGAAATACGATACATTGCTTAAAAAGGATACACTACATTTCCGCTTTCCCATCTATCTGGCAGCGCAAACGCCAGTGGGTGAGCAGTACTTGGAGCAGCACTCGCCGTTTTGTCTGCAGTCTATATTTTTTCCCCAAGTTAGTAATGACACTTCAAATGAAGAATGCAGTTTTTTTTTCCTAAAGTTAAAAGGACGGACTACTTACTCTCGAAGTTCTTCTTCTTGCCAACACAAGAAACGACGATGCCGCGGTCGTGAAGCTCGGCACGAGCCTCAAGGCTGTCAGGGGACACGTCTTGGCCAACGGCGGGAGCGGCGACGGCGAGGCCGGCGAAGAGAAGGGCGATGGCGGCGAACTTCATATTGAATTTTAGTTTGAAGGTGAAATCTGAGGAGTAGATATTGCAGAGTCTGAATGATGCGATGCTGAGTGGTGATGGTGTTATCGTGGTTGTGAAAACGGGCTGGCTTTATAAAATAGCCATAGACATTGAGCAGTGTACCTAGCGACCAATTGCATTCTTTTCCGAGGTGCTGTAAGTATAGGGGCGTAGGGATCTACTGTACGACTCGCGTTCCAAACTCTACGAAATCAGTAAAGGTTATTAGATGAACGCCGGTTCTCTGGATGTTTCCGGGTGTTGTACAGGCGCCTGCTAGGACAGCTCCGTTCTCACTGGCGGTTACATGCCTCATGGATACACCTTCGACCGTTGTGAGTTTAAGTCGTACCGAACCTAGAAGGTATCGCTGGTGACAGTGATGATTCTGAGTAGTGGTATTTGGATTTCATTACAAGCTGGAACATCAATTTTTATCTTGGCTACCGTTTTGGCACCACTGAATACTTGAATGGTTGTTTTGGCTTTTAAGCTTCTTGACGAGTATTTCTTAGTGGCGGTTAGTGAAGTAATGAATGTGCTTATGTCTCTCTGGCTGATCCGCGGTTCTCACTATTTCTGTATTCGCAATCAATCAGCCACGTTCCAAATTGAAAGGAAGAGAATATCTGCACATAGTTCCGCAAGCGACAGGAGTCTGCAGGCGCAGATGACGGGGCAATCCCGACCATGTGACGCCCCGGCGCCGTAACAAGCTTTGAGACCCTGGCATGAATACTACACTATGCAATTAATTGCTGCTAATGGGTTGCATAAAAGCTGAAGACTCTCTACCGAATACGAAAACACATTGTGGACAGCTTTTTCCGTCACACATGGCAATTAACTTGGGTCATTTTCCTATTTCCGGGTTTTACAAATTTCGGTTATTGCTTCATCCCCACTAGATAGCCTTTGATGACGAAAGGCATTGAATGCATCACAATTGCTGGCTTCCGGTCTTCTGTCATTGACTGTAGATTCCCTTGTCACTTTCTGGGTTCCGGTTCTGTCACTTTGGGCTTTTTTTAAAAGTCAGAACTAAATCGTTGGAAAGTTGTGATGATTCCTCCTGCATTTCTAGAAAGCGCAGAGTAAACGTGGTGACAATTGTTTCATTGAATTTAAGATTGTCGCAGGTCCGTGGAATTAATGTATTTCTCACTCTGTTAGAGTATCTCTACTAAACCTTAGCAGAAAGCTCCCCCAGGTTTTTTTAAGAATAATAGCCGTTATTAATTACCCCGGACCTTGAACTTAAGAGTTTAAAGCTGAGATAGCTCACCCTTAGGACCAACGAGGAACTTCGATGGCTGTAAAGAATAAGGTTTAATTTAAATGCGCAGGAGTAACATTCAGCATAGCCACTCTTGGCATTTGTATTAAATTTCCGTTTGATAGAACAGCATCCGTATGGCTCAGCCGGTATCCCTGCTACAGTCAAAGCAATGGGACCAAGATACGGTGCTTTTTCACTGGAAGTGGAGTTTAAGGCGGCTGAAAAATCCAAGATGATGAGGTGTTTTCTTGTCGTGTGTCTACTAAAACCGGAGGCACAGCTTGAAAGTACGCTGACAGCACCGGTGATATCCTAAAGATACTCGTCCTTGCGGACTACCAGCATCTCCCTTTTGAGGATAAGTCCTTGTTTTCTCGTCTATTTGAGGAGCTTCGGGAAAATGTTAAGATAGTCAACTAAGAAGACTCTACAGTAACAAGGAGATTCAGATTTTGAAATGAAGTGGTTCACTGCTATGTTTCACGCTAGCAATCATGCTATCAATAAACTGTTTGCATAGCCGACGGAGGTTGCACAAGGGGTTTCCCTTAGCTGACAGCTACTTACACGGATGCCAGGTGCATGGAGATGGTAGCTTTTGCGACCAGGGTGACTGAGATACCTGCTACGATCACCCTGATCGCGGCGAAGACTCCGGTGTAGCCCTGTGGTTCGGAAGGTAGTATTTCTGTTAAAGTAGAAAGCATGTTTAAGCTTTCAGCATGACTTCGTAGTTATGCCGAACTAGCGTGTGCAAGTTGAGAAGAACCAAGACTGAGCCGATTATACCAGCTCTGGGCATTAAAAAATATCAAGGTGAATTCTTGACATTCATAGCTAAGGGAGACCGAGGAGTAAGAGTGTCCAGGGTACGAATATAAGTAAGCAAAGACATACTATAGCAAGGAAAGCATCTTGGTATAAATCCATCTCGATACTTTTAGTAAAGTTTAGAACGTATACACAACTTTCACTTTTGCCTCTGATCGCTTCCTGATAAGAACTTAGATCTGCAAACATATGTTATGCTAAGTTCAACCTAAGTTACACGTCGAGACAATCAGTTAACTTAGTGATAAAGTTACAGAACAGTACTAATCATCAATATCATGAAACTAATAGTATTCAATCTAAAGTTTGTGATCCGGTGTTTTTACTTACATAAAACTCATGAACAAGAAGACGTCAAATCTTGCTTAGTTTTTGGGGCCCAGCACAAGTCGAGTCCTGTCCGTGAACGTCGATCTTTTTCAAACGGTCGGCCAGTATACTCGACCTGCGGTATTATAGTACCTCTCGTTGCCAGGGGGGAATTGTCTGACCACAATGACGGATACGGCTCTGGCTTCATCTTCAGGCGTGTGATTTGACATCACCGCTCAACTCAATCCCTAAATCTTCGGCGTGTTCGGTGACGTTTCTGCAGAAATCAAGGCCCTTCGCCTGGATTTGGTCTCAGGCTGCTGTTCCGTCGTCGCCGTGCGACCCGTCGGCACGATGCAGAGCGAATGTGATTTGCAAGCAAGTTACACCAGATGAGCGAGGTCAGACCAGCGCTAATCGAGCTCGCGGAGTCTGCTGCGGTGCGTCAGATTGAATGAATGCGACTTCCAATCACTGCTAACCGATCATCTAAGACTGAAAATGACATTGCCAAGTAACCACGTGATAGACAAACATTGCAGTTCGTAAACGGACTTTGACACAATTGCTATTAATCGGCGTTTCCCATCTTGGTGTCGGAGTTGGCACTAGAGCAATCGCCTACGCCATTTCAATCCGCCTGCTGGACAACTGCTGCCAGGTGCATGAGTCATTCGGTCATTCCAGAAAGAGTAATGCCGAGATGGCGTGGTGGAGATGCTTGTGTAAAAGGAACTTTGCAAATGGAAACTAAGCCGAGTCCATGCCTTTTCAAGGACGTGGTCAGACTTCACTCATGATGAGGGTAAATTTTTCATACATGACGTGCAGACACCTGGATGTCAAGTCACGGACAAGTCGGATTTCCTGAATGAGGAAAGTTTGTCTAGCCACATACGGACGGAGTATGGAAGCAGATGAGAGTCTATAATCGAGTTGGTCTTAGATAGTTCGATACGACAGCCTGTCATGTTAAAAATACACAAATACGTATTAATTCCTGTTGTCCATTCGTCATTCGGTCAGACGAAGTCTCACTGCAGCATAACAGCATAACCAAGCAACTGAACACCGGAATCCTGAATTTCAATATCGGGTTTAGATGACATACACTGGGAAGATGCCGCCGCTCTATGTTAGAGCATCCATAGCTACTGGAGCTGTTATGACGTTATGGGGGTAAGTTTTATCACGGATTGCCAGTGCCTCGGCGAGACATGCCACTGATTCTGTCCCAAGGCTCGACACTGGTAGCATAGGTCCGATTACGGCCATGACAACCTTCACACAGTCTTTTGGGCACTTTTCGGCGACGGTTCACGGCGCTATCGTTTCAACACTTCTGATAACCGGGACCATTAGTGCTCTGCTTGCCGGTATGTTGGCAGATCAACTCGGACGCGTCGCCATGATATCGAGCGGAGCCGCAGTGTTCGGAATTGGAGCTGGTATCGAGTGTGGTTCAGTACATCTCGCCATGTTCGTAGCCGGTCGCGCTATCAAAGGTCTCGGTACAGGTCTTTTTGTCAGCACTGTTGCTGTCCAAATCTGCGAGATAACGCCGTCAAAATCACGTGGATTTTGGGTTGCCTTCTCTCAGTTCATGCTCACCGTCGGGCTTTCGCTGGGATACTTTGTGTGTTATGGCACAGGACGAATCACTGAGTCATCTGCTTCGTGGCGTCTTCCGCTTGCGATACAGTCAATTCTTGGCTTCGGATTTGCTGCGACAACGTTGCTCGTCCCGCCCTCACCTCGTTGGCTTGTTGCAAAGAACCGGCTTGAAAAGGCTCGTCAGGTTGTCTCCCAATTAGGGATCAGCGAGGAAGAACAGCAGGAGATGTTGGAACAGACGAGCCAGACTCAGCTTCACTCTTCAGATTTGAGCTTGCGACAAAACATGGCAGCAACCTTTAAAGACTTCCGAAAAGCATTTTCGCCACCGTTCCGTTCCAGAACTGCGTTTGGCTGCTCTCTAATGATCTTCCAACAGCTTAGTGGCATTGACGGAGTCTTATACTACTCCCCGCTGCTCTTCAAACAAGCGGGCATGGCCTCAGAAGAAGCAACCTTTCTGGCGTCCGGAGTCACAGCACTGCTCATAATGGTAGTGACGATTCCAGCCACCATATTTGCGGACAGATGGGGCCGTCGAACATCTACCCTCATTGGAGGTATCGGCATCACCGTGATTATGTTTTTGATTGGATCTATTTACGCCGCTGACCAGGTCCGCGCCGATGGAGGAGCAGGAAGATGGGTCGTTATTGTGTCCATATATCTCTTCGCCGTTGTTTTCAACATGACCTGGGCCATCTGTATAAAGGCTTTTCTGGTAGAGAGCCTCCCAAGAGAGACGAGATCAAGCGGCGCAGCATTGGGGCAGAGTGCCAACTGGCTTGCCAGTTTTGTCATCGCCCTGGCTACGCCTCCATTCCTCGCTGGTTCTGCATCCGGCCCGTACTTCTTCTTTGGAAGTTGTACACTGCTGAGCGTCATAGTGTGCGGGATTTGGATGACTGAGACGAAGAACCAGAGTCTTGAGGCCATCGAGGCAGCTTACCTTCAGCGGAAGTTGGCGAGTAGTGGTAGCAATGGCAGTGTAGCGAAGGACATTCCCTCGCATCCATCGGAAGTCCCAAGTGTTCTCACTTGCAGTAGAGGGAAACAGGAAGAAGACCAATGATTTATATTACTAATAATGCAGAAGCATGTGTCATTTCATTTGGTGGACTTTTTTAAGCTGTCAGCTGTAGTTATACTGACGTCAGTATCAAAAGTGATGTAAACATTGACTTCATTTGGATTATTGTTTAAAACAATTGGTTTTCCCTCCTTAAGCGACTTGGATCTGGTTGGCCTGTGTCCTATTCATCGCTTGCTTAGTACTGATTGACGACAGCTACCGGCTGTCCTTGCCTGTGGTGTATGACACGAAGTTAGGTAACCTAAAACATTCTGCAGAGGAGTCTGCAAACATGCCGAAGTTGTAGTTAGATGGTAACCGAAGAAGTTAGTTGTTCACTCATGTCTTTCATGCTCAGCTTAACTCCCGAAACAAGACATTCAGGCTGTCAGCCTAGTCATATGCTTAATTCTACGCTGTTTGGGCGACTCCATGGATATTTACTGGTTAGACATTGCAGGCCCAGAGGAATCGTCAATTGCGTTGGCTCACGATCTAGGCTGTCATCAAGGGACCAATTCAAGTTTTACGTGGTGCAATTCATTAACAGCTGCAATCGGGGCAATTCGATTACCAAGCTGGAGGTAGTATAACGCGCTCAGCTGCGAGCGCAGGCTGGAGTAATTGAGTGGGAGTGAGTAGGATGTATTTGGGGACGCGTTCGGTTGTAGCGACGATGACCTTGAAATTCGCATTAGTTACAACTGACCTAAGACGTGACAACGCGATTCGATTGTGTCGCCAGCATACTTCAAGTTTCCCAACTTCCGACCTCGGACTAGACCATGCATGACAAGGTACGTTCGGTGCTGCCCCTCTCAGGTTCCTGAATGCGTACACATTAGAGGCAGCTTTCTGCCAGGGCGAAGAGGGGCACAGGGGTTAAGGTCGAGCCCCGACATGCAGATCTACCTCCCCAATTCGGATACTGGCCACATGGCCGGGCAATCAATAGTGGCATTTCTCTTCATCTTGTTTGCCTCTTGACTTGCATTCGCACCTTCCTCAGAGGAAGAAGTGCATATGTTAATGTGTGTTGAGAAGCAGGTTAAAGCTGCGCGTCCCTATATTTTTTTGACTCTGCCTATGCTAGCACCTGCAAGTTAAATTGAGTCTTGTTCTGCTTGGCCAATGTCTACTGAGCCGGGCATGGCATGCCGTCAACAAGTTATTAAATGAGGCAATCGTGCTTCCGCCTGGGCTCAGATCGACCCACAAGCCCCCTCTTTGAAGTCTTCACAGTTGGAGAAAGGATCAGGATCTTCGTATTATGTGGTCTAGGCGAGGGTGAAGCCGTAGGTAGGATGATTATTCCATGGTTTGCGGGTATTGATACTAAGTTTAAGGCGTACCCGGCAGAGCCGGTCGGCTCAGCTGAGGTGGGGGAGCCGATGTAAGGGACGCGATGTGACACCACCGCTGCCAGTCATGACGGATTTGTTTCTGCCTGTGGATCATTTGTCGGGACTTGGCTCATTTCAATGTGCCGTGCAAAGGATTGCTTTTGCCTCGAGACAGGTTCCTGGCCGGAGCTTGTATCGGGCGATGGAGAGGAGAATGCTGGAACTTTGTATCGGCTTCCAAGTCAAACATGGACGGCTTCCTGCAGTGTGACGCGTGTCTCTTTTTATCTCCCGTGTGCTTGTTCCTGCATATTTCGGTACCGACAGCTTGACCGCTATATGGCGGCATAAATCTATGCAGAGTTTGCTTCTTCAACTATGCACTAGCTGTTGGCTGAACCGGGTAATGCAAACAGAAACCCCTCTGGCTGACTGAGTCGGTAAGGCCATTCAGATTCAGCGATGACAATACAGGCACTCAGGTACAGCGATAGCGTCTGCTGCACCTAGACGGAGACCAACTCCGAAAGCCCTAGTCTCAATGTGCCTGTAAGCATGGTGACCCCCCAGTAGCTCGTTCATCTTAAATATTAACAAGTGGAGATTCGACTTGAAACTGCCAAATAGGGCTAGCCACTGAAGCATTGGACAAAACGTAGGCCATTAGCATGTTAGCATTTTACAGTTACGAGTGACGCTAATCAGCAGCTCCCCCAATTCTATCCCTTCGTCTCCCGCCGTCTCCTCTCACACCCGTCTGACGCCGCCCGCCTTTTGTGCCTTTCCCACCTATGATATTCTTGCGGTACCTGATCCGCCGTGGGTCTTCTGGTGGCGCTTTTCTATGTGCGGATAAAGGCATCTGAGATGCTTGTCTTGCGGCATATTCAAGCCACATCAGGGCGCGATCTGTGTCCCCCAAGTCTTCAACGGCAATGGCATTGTGGTGGTTCGATGCTGTCACTTCTGCCAATATTGATCACTTATCCAGACGTTGATAATGTGCATCTTTCGCCTTTTCGACACGTACGGCTCGGTACTTGAATGGCGTGCTGGACTGTCACCCATCGCTACATGCCTAGGCCCAGCAGGCGAGAAATATGCAACCTCTTGGCAACTTTACTCATGTTGCCGCACCCGATAACCAACGTACGCGACACGAGCTAAAGAAAAGAAACGAACATGGATGTCTCTTTTCATAGGCCGATACCACTCAATCATTGCTGAATCCCCCACACAAATCTCAACATGGTAGGTCGAATGGCCACACGCCACTTCAACTAATGACCCCCCGCTCAAGCTGCACCGTTCCATCCACTTCTTCCCAAGGAGGAAGCTGTGAAGGCCTTGGCAGGTTATCGTTGGCTAGAAGGTCTATTGACTTTCATCCTCTGGGATGTTCAGGACAGCCAAGTCCGTGGCAAGAGAAATTACATGCTGCGCCCTGGATAAGAGCGTCCATCCGACCAGACGAGACAGTCTTTTTACGGTACGGCCAGATGAAGAAGTGATTTTCTTTTGGTTCGGCCGCCTGGGCTTTCTTCGTCTTGGCCTGCATTGTGCTGCCTAGCGACTCTACAGTCACTGTTGCTATACGACTGCACGTATATGTATGCACAAGTAAGACAGTGGTAGCGATTGACACCTGTAGCCAATGGTAATGATGTTGGATCCAAACATCACGTCTTTGACAGGGGAGATGAGCTAGGTTCCTTCCTCCTTCCATCCTCGTCCCCCCATCCTCCACAGGTTGGGCGTCTACCCCCTGTCACGATCCATAATGTATTTACCCTAGCAGATCTCCAGCTACCTTGAGCTTCCTGCATGTCGCGTAACTTACAGACAATGTAGTATTGTTATCATGTGAGGCTGGAGAAGGGTTCGAATGTGCGATTCCGGGCATGTTTCCGTGGGAACATAGGAGGCAGCTATATAAGCTGCTTCGTCCCCCGCGGCAACAATTAGATTGAGACTCCTTCGGTAGCTTTGCGCTCTGCAAGTCTTGTCTCTTCCCAGGCCAGAACTAGCAAAACGACAAGATGCGTATCTCGGCCACCATCTCCGCCTTCGCCCTCGCCCTCCACCTCGGGGGTGCTGCGGCCCTTGGCGTCCGTCAAGAAGCTGGCACCGAAAAGGAGGCTGGCGTCTTCGTCGCCAAAAGCTTCATTATTGAATATGCTCCTGTGAGTGCCCGCTGCGCTGGCTGCCGCCCACGGTTGTAGTCTCCAGCTGACACTCACCGTCTTAATATAGGGATCTAGTGCTCGTCGCCGTCGCCAGAACGTCGCATCCACCGATGGTATCAAGATCGTCAAGGAATTCTCCAGTGAGATCTTCTCCGGCGCCAGTATTGAGACGGAAACCTTCAACTTGGACACACTTTTGAAGCTCCCCGATGTCGTCAACGTCTGGCCTAACGAGGAAATCAAGCTTGCGCCATTGGAGCCCAAGGCTGCTGGGCCTAGTGATGGGCCCGAGTACACCACCCACAATGCCACTGGTGTCACTAAGCTTCACGCTCAGGGTATCTTTGGCAAGGGCGTCAAGGTCGGTGTCGTTGACACCGGTATTTGGTACAAGCACCCTGCCCTCGGCGGTGGTTTCGGACCTGGTTTCAAGGTTGCTGCCGGCTATGACTTCGTCGGTGACGAACTGTACCCTCAAGAGGGTCCCAAGGCTCCGGATGACGACCCGCTCGACACCCGCGGTCACGGCACCCACGTTGCTGGTATCGTTGCCGGAAAGAACGATCTGTACGTCTTGAACCGCATACAATCAGATTGATTGGGCTAACTGTTCTTCAAGCTGGACTGGTGTTGCGCCCGAAGCTACACTTTATGCGTACAAGGTCTTCTCCAATGCCGCGTCTACCGACACAGCTACGCTGATCGAGTCTTTCCTTGCTGCGTTCAAGGACGGCGTTGACATTATCACTGCCAGTATTGGTGGTGCCAATGGTTGGTCCAACAATGCTTGGGCTGAGGTTGCTTCTCGTCTCGTCGATGAGGGTGTCGTTGTCACCATCTCCGCCGGAAACAGCGGAGCCATTGGCCCATTCTACGGCAGCTCTGGCTCCTCCGGTAAGAATGTTGTTGCCGTCGCCTCCATCGATACCGAAGTCTTCCCTTCGATTCCTTTCGAGGCCACATTTGGCGACTCCGATACCGTACGCGTCGGCTACCTCCCGGCCGAAAGCTACTTCCCTAACACTGTTGTCGACTGGCCCATTGTTGCGCCTACAACCGACACTGAAGCCACTGCTGATGGCTGCCAGCCCTACCCTGCGGGCACCGACTTGACCGGAAAGATTCCTCTTGTCCGTAGAGGTGGTTGCAACTTCCAGGTTAAGCAAGAGAACCTCGCTGCTCTTGGTGCTCAGTACATTCTGATCTACAACAACGAGTCTCCTATGACAACACCTAGCACCGGCAACACCGACACTCAGATTGCTCTGATCACTGCTGAGTCCGGCAAGCGCTTCATTGAAGCCATCAAGGCTGGAACCAAGGTCACTGCTGACTTCTCGGTCAACCCCGAGGCTCCCGTCGCTCTTGATTACCCTGCCGGTAACCGCCCCAACACCTTCACCAGCTGGGGTCTCCTGTATGACAACCAGCTCAAGCCTGATATTGCTGCCCCCGGTGGTAACATCTTCTCAACCTACCTGAATGGCGAATACGCCATTCTTAGCGGTACTTCTATGGCCTGCCCCTACGTTGCCGGTGTCGCCGCTCTTTACATCAGTCAGCACGGTGGCCGCTCCGTTCAAGGCAAGGGCTTTGCCCGCGCTCTGTCCCGCCGCATCATCTCCAGTGGCTACGCTCTGCCCTGGTCTGACGGCACCGCCACCGACTACGGCTACACTGCCCCTCCTGCTCAGGTGGGCAACGGTATGATTGATGCCTGGAAGGTCCTCCACTATGACACTCAACTCGAGTTCGAGAAGATCCAGCTCAACGACACCCGCTACCACAGCCGTTACCATGACATCACTGTTACCAACAAGGGCAAGTCGGACATCACCTACAAGTTCTCCGCCCAGCCCAATGCTGGTGTTGACGCCCTCACCGTCGTCCCCGCCACTGGAAGCCTCCCGAGCACCAAGCGCGTCAAGACTTTCGCCCAGCTTTCCCCCAAGACCTATAACCCGGAGATCAGCTTCCCTCGTGACTTTACCCTCAAGGCCGGCGAGAGCAAGACCGTTTCCGTCAACTTCAACAACCCTGACAGCCTTGGCTGGAACGCTGCCGGCCTGCCTCTCTACGGTGGCAAGGTCGTCATTCAGGGCAGCAACGGCGAGCAGGTTTCCGTTCCCTACGCTGGTGTCGGTGCTGACCTTCGCAACACTCTGGGCGGCGTCCACGAGGCAGGCTGGCCCCAGTCTGTCTCGACTCTCAAGCAGGTTCCTATTGCCCAAAAGGCCTCTTACACCTTCGATCTGAGCGTTGAAGCCCAAGACTTCCCCAAGATCTTCCAGAAGCTGCTCTGGGGAACACGCCAGACCCGTTGGGACATCTACGAGGCCGGTTGGACCGAGCGCAAGTGGACTTACCCCCCTGTTGTCGGAGAGAACGGTTACATTGGTTCTGCGGCTTCGTGGGTCGGCTCTGGAGACGTCGCCGTCTTCGACCCTGCGACTTACGACCCCAATGAGACTTTCACCTACCCCATCACCGATGTTTCCCGCAACACCGCTACATCTTACCACGAGCACTGGTGGTTCGGCAAGCTGGGCAACGGCACTCAGATTGCCCCTGGCAACTACACCATCCGCTTTGCGGCTCTCCGGCCGTTCGGCAACCCTGAGCACGCAGACAACTGGGACGTTTACAAGACGCCTCAGATCCAGGTTCTGGGAAAGTACTAAGCGACTAAAGCGAGGAATATAGTTAAGCGTAATCATGGATAAATAGCACGTTATCTAGTAATGACATAATATAACCTACGTTTTCGTAGGATGTGATCAATATTTTACCTGGCCATTCGTTCAGACTTCATTTGCTTATAATTGAGTGGACAGCTGTGAAAAGAAGACTTCGTAGATAGTCGCTCCATGTATGCATGGCAAAAACATTCCTCTCGCTAGGCCAAGGAAATACGCTGCAGTTCAAAACAGCTGCTTGGTTGCATCATATGTCATTAAGTATAACTTGGACATCAGAACATCTTTTTTGCATCTCTGAAGGCCGTTTAATGTTTCTGGCACCTCTTAAATCTATGGGTAGATCTTCGGGGAATGTGGGGTCACTTTTAACTTTCACGCCTAATCGGACCTCAGTTATGGTTCTTGGATATGCTTATATGGTTTGGTTTAGTGACAAGGTCATACGACATAAGCGTCTTGTTCTTATTACCAATCTCACCAAAGAGTTGCTTTTCATGGCTGCGTAAACGTGTTTATATACAGGCCTGAATGTGAAGTGGCTGCGTGCTATGTTCTGGTCTAAAGTATATACTTAACATCGGGTAATATGTACTACTTGAATGAATGAAAGAATGAGCAACGAGGGAGGACTCTATCTTTGTGCTTGCTCTTAAGCCTCGACGAAGAAGTCGATGCAGCTCTCATACGTCTGCTTGTTCGTCTTGGCATACCAGAACCACTGAATGGCGCACTTGCCACCGACGTCGCAAGCCTCAGACAAAGTGTCGGGAATGGTGACGTTGAAGTCAGCTGTGTGGATTTGTTAGTCACAAGTCGCCGAGCAAAGACGTAAGATTCCAACATACTGTCAGCAAGGGGGTCAGGGTTCGTGGTCGGCCAGTCATCCCATGAGATAAGAGGCTCGCCAATGACAGTGTTCGTGGCAAGGTCAACCACCGAGATATTCTAGCGCGAGCAACATGTAAGTAATCTAGTTAGATGTTCGGTTGCGATATAAGCATGACTCACGGCATAGCCTGGTCTATGACCAGCAATGAGGTCGATGTGGAACGGAATGACTTCGCCGGCCTTCACAGCGCGAACATTGTCCTCGTTGTCTTCGTATTGGTAGCCACGGCAAAGGAAGGCATTGCACTTGTAGTCCGCGTCGGCAACCTTCATGGCGTTTTCGATGGGTCCGGCATTGTCTGCAAGCGTGTCAGCAGGGAAAAAATTCTGTGACATTAACAACAATAGCATACCGCTTTCAAGCTGATTGGTGACGGCAGTACCGCAGAGTTCTTCTTGCTTCGGGCCGGTCTATCGATCAAAGTTAGCTCAGAGCCTCCATGCAAGGTCCACTTCCCGGATCTACTCACTGTACGAGGCTCCGGGTCCTGAACAACACCATGGCCCCAGACGCCGGTGACCAGAGCTGCAAGAAGAGCGTGTGTGAATAGCATTATGGGAGCTTTGAGTTTCGGAAGTCGTGCCGGTTAGAGAAGACGGGTATGAGAAGTTTCGATGCCGATTTCCGGCAATGGGTCGGAGAGAGAGGTGGTTTTAAAGACGGCTGGGCAGAATTTCAAACGTTGGTTCGGGATGAATTCTACGGATGGAAATTAAAGGCATCTTTAGATCGACAGAAACCAGCCCTCCGTTGTTGTTCGATCCGTCGCCCATGCGTGGCATCTCTGTTTTCCCTGAATTCTCCACAAATGGTATACGCTTAGCCACCAATTACGACCCTAACATGATCTACCTGCGGCACCGCGGTAAACCACCCTGCAACCCACTGGCACCCCCTAGTGGAACCGCCAAATGAAAAAGAAACATGCAACTATTGGTGGATATTCTGTATTTTGTCGGACTTTGAGCGAGAGAAAAGGAGGCTATGAGTTCACATAGGGGGATGAAACTAGTGTTACATGCCAAGATTCCATTTCGGACGAACCGGCAATATCGCTGCTTGGGGGCTTCAAGCAAACCTGACATATATTGTATTGAATAGGGACGCCATTCTTTTTGCAACATCTGTTCAAATATCTGCTGCCGCAGCTTCAACCACGGAATAATACATAAAGAACACTCGCAAATGAGCAAAGCCCTATCTTAGGAGACAAAAGATGGTATCAGATTGAAGAGCACCAATCCACAGCAACTACTACGACACGCGAAACGGCTAAACAGGCGAAAGGGGGCCAATTTTCTGGGTCTATCTAGACAACTGCTTTATCAGCCATTGCAGAGGATGGGTGTCTCATGAGACTAATTGTCCATAAGTTAATCGCGTTGAAAGCTGGGCAAGTTACAGTCTTTCATAGAAGCTCAGAATTTATCATTAAAGTAACTGGGTCACAATGCAAGGCAAAACGTGGCAGACAAGGTAGGGAATACGGGAACACGATTAAGTTCTTGTGGGACGGATGTCTAGCGGGCACTGTGTACTTGTGTGCAGCATTGCTGCTGATTCACAATGATCGGTTGAGCTCCGTTGAAACTTAAAATGGACAAGTATGGTATTCAGGTTCATCCATATCTGATGGGAATTTTACCACTAAAATGGATGAGAGTGAAGACGAGCACCAAAATCTCGACATACATGACAAAAGTCGTTGTTATTGCATCATGATGAATAATCCATCTGGCATCTCCTCAAAAGCTCACATACATCATCAAGCCATAAGAGCTTGTCTCATTCCCCGCACCTGACTTACCCGTGTTTGACAGAGAACTTAAAGACCCATGGCCAGGAGAATAGTCCGAGCACAGAATTTGTCGACAATAGTCGCCCATAAATATGTTTTCAAGTATTCATCGCACCTAAAATGCAACAAACCACTTCGAAACAGCCGCGCTTTATCCTAAATATTGACGATAGAGCTGGCCATCCAGCCGTTTCCGAGAATGTAGATGTTCTCATTCAAGAAGCCCTCGAGCACATTATCTCAGAAACCCCTCCGCAGGATGAGTACTCGCATAGACAATGCCGAGGCCTTTTCCAGGGACCGACAGCTGTCGCCTATCTATTTCTCAAGATTGGCGTGAAACACCCGGCAATAAGAGTGCGAGACCATTCTCTGCGCCAATGGGCACGCCTGTACATGAAAGCCAAACGTAAAGGAGGCGATTATGTGCCATGTGGGTTGTCATGTGAAAGCGCTGGGTTTTGGGCTGTCCAAACCATGTTTGACGACGCCAATGCATCGAAATTCTGCAATGTCCTCAATAGATTGGTGGAAGAGGAAGGTCACCCATGTGAGCTTCTTTTTGGTTACTCTGGGTTGTTGTACATGATTCGCGCTGTGGAGTCTTGGGTAAGAAGTCCCTGTACATGTTGTGTTCCACTAGTGTGACTAACCTTGTAGTAGATCGGGCAGAATGCGGAAATAGCTTCCTCGATGGCCACAATAAAAGCTCGAATTATGGAGAAAATTCTCAGCGCCGGACCTGGATGGACCTGGCACGAAAAACGCTATATCGGCGCCGTACATGGAGACGTCGGCATCTTGACGCAACTCCTACTAACAGACCCAAAACTAGCCGCTAATTCTATGGTGAGCAAGGCGGTAAATCGACTGCTCAGCTTACAACGAGCAGATGGTAATTGGAACACCAAAGATGATGACAGTGTCCGTTACAACGGACTCGTTCAGTTTTGTCATGGAGCCCCCGGCTTCGTCTTATCATTGTTGCACTTGAGGCGTTTATTTCCAAATGTGCAAGATGCTATAAACGAAGCCATTGAGTTAGGAAGAGATTTGATCTGGCAACAGGGTTTACTGCGCAAAGAACCCTGCCTCTGTCACGGTATACTGGGAAATGCACTGTGAGTACTTCTTTGGAAATTCAATCTCGAACGTTTTCTCACGACACTAGGGCGTTACCAGCGGGACAAAAGAGGGACCTGTTCTTATCATGGTCATTGCCGGGACGGATTGCAGAGGAACGACGGAAAGACGACACCATCTTTCCACCCGAGGATCCTGAGAAAATGTCAACGTGGTTCAACTATTGGCCAAGTGTAGCCTGGACCTGGTCACAGTCTGTGGCGGAGATTCCTGATATCATTCTTTACACAGATGTTTAAACATGATGCCTTTTATTAAAACTCAATGACTCTATATTACTCTATGATGGTGGTTGGCCTTTGCTAAAGGGCCAAGTCCGTGCCTTCGTTCTGCTTTTACTTCCATAAATGCAGCGCCAAAGATCAGTGACTTCTTGTTTTCTACGGGTCTGACCGTCCACTCCTGTTAAGTTCTGCCATCTGTTCTTCTGATGGAAGATTAAGAATGATAAGGTATAACACGTCCTATCTCTTGTATTAGCAAGGAATCATGGTAAATTCTGCGTTGTATTCTTACCTTTTGAAACAAACTCTTGATCATATCGTCAGGTTTCTCATCCTTCTTTGACTTCTTTTCTTTCTCTAGTTCCAGCTTCTTCTTTTTCTCGTCCTTTTCTTTCTCCTTTTTCTCTTCCTTCGCCTTCTTCTTCTGTTCTTCTTCCTCTTTCTCCCGTTTTTTCCTCTCCTCCTTCTCCTTCTTTTTCCTCTCCTTTTTATCCTTTTTTTCCCTCTCTTTTTCGTCTTCATCTTCATTTTCCTTTACACCTCTCTCGTTCTTAACATCATCTTGCTCCGACTCCTTGTGGTCAAGTTTGCCCTTCGACTTTTCGTGACCAATGTTGCTCGATGAGTTTAAATCTTCAATTTTCTTCGAAACTTCCTCATTCTTTTCCTTTTCAACTTCCTTCTTATTGTCATCCGAGTTAGGAGAAGACGTATCACTAGGGCTTTCCTTAGTGCTCTTTTCTTTCTTCTTGAATTGCCAACGACCACCAGTCACCAAGGCCGCAATGTCGCCACTGGAAGCAGGATGTGTTGGGTCAGCGTATCGCGATTTGAATTGTGGCCTTGGCAAGGCATTGGCAGCAGGGAGACTGGGGTTCTCATCCACCCATTGTACCATGGCCCGCTTGTCAATGAAGCCATCTAGCCATGCCTCTGCGCGGTCCATGCCCTTCACTTTCTTTTCGCCGTCACTTTTGCTTGCGGCCGGCATCTCTTCTAGTGTTGGGAAAATAAGCGGCGCCGGTTCAGACCACAGAAAACCGCCCTTGTGTGGTCGTAACTTCTCCTCCATCTGCCCTCGAATCTTTTGGATCCCCTGTTCATCCGTGTTATTGTTGCTTAAATCCTGTCTCATGTCTTTCGGAAGATCTGCCTCGGAAGCAGATTTGTCTGTGTCCCCCTCGAGGTTCACGGAAACATTTTTATCGCTTGTGTCTGGCCTCCAAGTCGCAACAAGGCAAATCAGCCCTCGTGGAGCAAAGAAGTCTGCGTTGATACGATCAAGAAATGTGTTGGAACGGAACCGACTTTGCGCTTCCATAACGCCTTCAACAGCGAAACCAAGCATGATACCGAAAGCCGTCAATATAGGATCAGGGTACGCAATATCCGCAAATCCGGCCAGGTTAATGGCGTTAAGCCAGGGATTAGGTACCAAAGATTGGTTTAGGGTGTCAACAAAATCAAGGAACGTTTCTTGATCGATGCCGGCTCCGCCGAGTACTGGTGCGTAGGCCCTCACAAAGCCTCGAACCCGCGTCTTGGGTCGTCTTTGCGGCAACACCACCGGCAGCGCAATCTTGACATTGGGGGATCCATCGATTCCAGATTCTACAGGGTGTCTGTTTATGAATGCAGTGGCTGGGTCTTTGGACTCCTTGTTTGCATTTGAACTCGTCTGTTGTTTCGGTATCTTTTGCTTCGCTGCATCCTGTTCGAGATCGTCGAGGTCCCAGATAGCCTCATGAGCACGTTGTTTGCGGTCCTCATCATCTTTTTGAAGCTCGGATTGGCTGTCTTTTCCACTGTCAAAAGACTTCTTATCTCGTCGATGGTGCGAAATCTCGGAGAAAAAGCCAAAACTTGCGGCTGATGCTCTAACAAGATCGTCGACAATGTCGTCTTTTTTAGTAATATTGCCGTTGGTTCTGACAAACGTTTTGTCCCGCTCACGAACAAGTTCCTTAACTACACCAGAAGTCGCCTTATCCCATAGCCCCTTCCCCTCTTTTCCAAGACCGGAGGGCATGATGGGATTTAAGGGAGATTGATTGATGAGACTGAGGATAAAGTAAATTATTGATTGGAGTCTTCGGATGAGAACGATATGATAAGCACTCTTGTTTGTATGTTGATTGATAGAAACCATCAATATTCGTCGGACGCAATAGATGGATAGGCTCGGGCATTTATATTGACCAGTACATAATCAGTCGCTTTGTTGACAAATATTACTAAGCTCGCACTCGCTCCCTATTGTCTTGTTTAATCACATCGCACTGCTTGGCTGCTTATGCCAAGGAAGGCACAGCCAAGTTGAGTATTTGCTCAGTGGCTTAACTTCGATGCAAATCTTTCCTATTAGAAATGCCATTCTAAAACGAAAATAGATTTCGCCACAAATCAAAAGAAACATCATTTCACACTCATTAACTACCCGAAGAAATAATCTGGCTAGATTGCGTCCTGAGCGTTTCAATGAATCGTTTACTGAATTACATGAGAAACTGGAGGTCATGATATCTTTCAAAAGGGTGCTGGGTACGCGTTCCACTTCCTTCGGGCGAGCAAGCAGAGGGACGCATTTTAGGTATGACCGAAGTGTCGCCGAAGCATGCTGGCAATTCTTGGCCGCATACTCGTAGAAAGCCTTGTTATTTGCTTGATGTACGCAATTCTAACCATGCTAGTGCGGCGTTTTAAAACCCATCTTCATTTGTTTACAGAACACCAATTGTACGCCGATTTTCCCACTATCATCTCGTAACTTTCTTTCGACTTTGAGAAACAACAAGCGTCTAGGAAACGTCGAATAGCCACTCGAACAACTCTAAGGTTCCGTTGGTGAATAAGGCAAGACTTATGCAGCTCAAAGTCCACGATACAGAAGACTCTTGAGGCTACAGTAGGATGCTGTTGCCGCGATGGAAATCAAGTTTGCTGAGTCCAGCTGTCTCTCATCAGAAAGAGAGAGTCCTGGCCAAGCAAACCATCAAGGTAGACTCTAGGACCAATACCCATATTACCAGCGGTTGGGTTCTTATAGTCAAAGGCATGCCTTGACGACGGAGCTGTGTATGAAGTTGGCAATGTATGTGTCCAAACTCAGAGATTTACTCGCTCAAAAGCCGCGTGGACGACCCAGTACAAGCATGGATGTCTGGAAGCTTGCCATTCCCGACCGCGGCAATCTCGTATACGCTCTCAAACTTCATGAATTTGTACAGAACTTGTCATCGACCTCATTTTTGTCGGCTTGGAAATACAAAGTGTCGTCAATCAAGGCAGCATTAAAACGCATGAAGGTGTCACTATGGCCTTCTCGTTGTCCAGAGAGGACAATGATGTCTATCTCCTGCTTCTACCCCTTCACATATTTCTATCTAACTTCGAGATTAGAGACTGCTTTCACTTTGAGCATTCGATTGAGCAATGGCATGAGCTAAGCCATGACTCGCACTTCGCAAGATCCAAACCTGAGGTTTTGCGTAACTTCAACCATGAGCTGCATCACTTGTTCGCCTCATTGCTGCCAGCGTCTCATTATCTAACATTCAGGCACTCGACTACGTCTTGTCCCAAAAATTCGTGCTATCGAACTAGCATGAAGTAGTCATCTGGGATACCCATGAAACATTATGGCACGATTCCTTGTAGGGTTATCGGGTCCATTGTGGACTAAGACGGAGTTGCGGGGCTGAAGAAATTTCTCTCCTAGACCTAACCCACACAACCCACAACTTGCTCACAACGGCTTCGTTCTAAATCCTCTCCAAGCCCGACCGATTCCAACAGTCCAGCTGGGTTGATTTCAATCGCCCGGCTAGCTCAATCGGTAGAGCGTGAGACTCTTAATCTCAAGGTTGTGGGTTCGACCCCCACGTCGGGCTCAATTCCCGTCAGCGATTGGCAGCACCCAGCATTTTTTTTGTTTTTTGAGACTGGAACATGTTGGTCCAAGGCTACAATTGCCGGCCGTGATGTTTTTTCTTCTATGAATCGAGTCATTAGGTTTTGATATGTCTAGGAGTGTCAACATGGCAGGCAGTCTTGATCAGCTATATGAACTTTGTCGTCAACGTATCGAACAACGGTTGACAGGAAGGTCTGTCTGTCTTATGCTACTCTATGTGTTGAAAACAGCAATCGAAAATTGTGACAAGAGGTGACCGTTTCTCATCAAGATTGACTGAAAGTCCTGATTTGTGTTGTAAAAACTTAGTGCTTCGCTAAATGCGGCGTTGGCATTTGTCTAGACGCAGACATATGGCTGCTGCGATGCAACGGCCCGAGTTCTCTGTAGACATCAACATAGATTTGGACATGTGCACAAGACGCTTGAATTCTTTTCACGCACTTGATCAAAAAGAACTTCAATTATATATATTTCGTTCAGCAATAAAATTTCCATCATCATATCGTAGGCTTCAAGGTAGCCTTGTTAAGCAATCGCCATCAGTAAGTACCCTTGATTAACGTGTCCTTAGTGCGCGGAGCACAAATCAGCATATCTCAACCCGTGACCATATCTGAATACCGGATCCTTCGTATCAAAAGGCACATCTTCAAAGGACGCCTCCACGGCCTCCATCGACCGCGGCAGGTCGAAGGGAAGCTTTCCTTCAGGCGAGCTGAGGCCAAAGACGACATCCAAAAACGCATCCGTTCCGCTTCCATAACTACCAAATACGGCAGCCGCTGAGTCTACCACCTCAGGAATGGCGGCAGGGCGGTCAAGGATCACGTCCACGATGGTCGGTACAGTGGAGTAAATGGCGGCCTGGCGCTTCTTCTCCTCGTCAGAGTATTCCAAAGATCCGGCGTGGTAGTTGGCCTCGAAACCGCCGGGGCGGGGCTCATACGGTGCCTCAAGACGGAGCAGAGCGTAGTCGGCCTCCTCGGGGGTTTCAACAACGGTGTAGTTGCGAGCCTCGAGGAACGTGGCGTTGAAGCCCTCAATGTAGAACTTCGTGCTGCCTGGGATGTGCTTCAGAGGCAGGAGGTTGTCATTGTTAGTGAGGAGGGTGTAAGCGCGGCGCTGGGCGTCGTTGCCAAGACGGGCGAAATAGTCATTTCCGACAACTCTGGCAGCGGCTTCGGGATCAACGAAGGGATTGTCGAAAAGGCCAAGGAGGAACTTCTCGCGAAGAAGGCGGCGGACGGAGACATTGATGCGCTCCTCGGAAACAGTACCCTCTTTGACCAGCTGCACAATCAGCTCAGGGCGTTGCTCGCCACCGAATTGGTCACAACCAGCGTCGAGGACACGAGCGGCGCGCTCAAGTTCAGTAGTATGTTCGAGACCCCAGGCCCGAGCCGGCATATCCTGGCCACGAATGACCGTGTCGGTGATCAGACCCCAGTCTGTGACGACGATGCCTTCGAAGCCAAGCTCTTCTCTCAGAAGGTCGGTAACGATCTGTTTGTTGAAGGAGAAGCCCACGGGTTCAAACTCAGTACCAATAGGTCGGGAGTAGTACGGCATCATCTGCCTCGCGCCAGCGGCAATAGCAGCCTTGAAGGGGATCAAGTGATAGTCGAAGTTGTTACCGGGGTAGGTCTGGTTTTTGCCGTAGGTGAAATGGGAGTCCTCGCCGTTTTCCATGGGGCCACCACCGGGGAAATGCTTGGTGACGGTTGTGACGGAGTGAGGGCCGAGTTTCTCCCCTTGAAAGCCCTTGATGTACGCTACCAGAAGCTCACTAGTAAGGGTGGCGTTCTCTCCCCAGGTGTTTCCAAGACGAGCCCATCTTGGTTCTGTGGAGAGGTCAACCTGCGGATGCAAGGCAGACCGGATACCCACGGCAATGTACTCTTCGCGAGCAACCTCGGCAAACTTCTTGACCAAGTCCGCATCACGCAGAGCTGCGAGGCCCAGAGTCTCAGGCCACTGAGAGAACACACCGGCCTGGAATCCAGTACCGATGTTCTCCGTAAAGTGGTGACGAGGATCTGTTGATAGGGTGATGGGAATACCCAGACGGGTGTCAAGTGCCCGTTGCTGGGCGAGGTTGACGAACTCGGCTACTTGTTTGGCGTCGTTGATGTCGCCAACAAGGTTGAAGTGAGTCATAAACTTCTCTCCGATCATATTGTCGGTGCTGTTGCGGCGGGCAGCTGCGTCACCTTCGTCAAGGGTGCCATTGGGTCCTTGGTAGAGCTGGGTCTGGAAGAGCTGACCTGCTTTCTCTTCGAGTGTCATCCGCTGAACGAGATCTTCTACACGAGCGTTGACGCAGTAAGATGCGTTCTTGTAGATTGGGAGGGTCTCGTCCCGTTGGGACAGCCATGGTTGACCAATGGTAGGATTGCTTCTTGCGCCCAATGGCAGGGCAGCCAGGGCTAGTGTTGTGAGGGTAGTCCTCATGGTTTCTGGTCGTTTTCTAAGATGGCTACCAGAATATTTCTGAGTTTAGAAGAGAATGCTCGGTTGAAATCTAGATATGATTCTGCAATACCATCGAGAGAAGACAGGTATTTATGCTACGTATTATGGACAACACCGTAGTGTATCCTGCCTTGATCTGATGATGGATACGACATCGGGCTTTCTAGGCACGCGAGAATGGGCAATAAATGGAACTTTTTTTCTTGGCAAAGTATTCTGCGGCCTTGTGTCGGTCGAAATATGTCTCCAGAAAATATTGGTGTGGTAAAAGAGGGGTTGACGACGAAGGCATTGTGGTGAACACCCCATAGCGAGGAGGGGCTCCTCGGATGCCGGGACCTGAACAGATGAAGAACGGACGTATGCCGAGCGGATAACGGAAGCGAAAGTTTTGTGAAGAATCCGATGACGATGATGAGCGCGCTTAAACTTATAGAACTACTTACACTCAGAGGTATCGCCTTGTTGACTCCATTACTCATTTATATGGGATTCTCACAAAGATCGAGAAACTTCCTCGTTGCTGAAAACTTGTATTCTCCTCAGCTACCTTGGATCCGTGTAGGAGATGATATGCCGAAGAAAAAAACTCGATTTTCAAGCACAACAGGGACAAGGATATCGTCTGCCGGAAGAGTACACGGTCGGTTGATCTTCGGGTCACCAGCTGATCGGAACTTCGCGGGGACCCCGGACCATCCAATGACTCCATATCGATATTTACGTGCAGGTGCAACCAACCACCTGTACTTCTAGTGGTGTTACGCCGAGGCTCGAATGCCTGTATTTGCTGTATTGGGGCTCTTAATCGGCCCTACCTCGAGTCCGGCGGGACCAAACAAGTTCGTGAGGGCCGGACTAAACCCCGGGGGACTACCTGCCCCATAAAAGCCATTTGGGCCCGGGGTGGTGGAATGCTGTTTGTCACCTTACGGTGGTTTGCTCCTGGGGCAAACAGAGCACACGAGATGTATGTGGTGTTGTGATGGTGGATGCTGCGGGGAAGCGGAGATCAGTTACCATTTCGCTCAACCAGGTTGGTGGTCACCTGTCAATCCTACTTTAACGGCTCCACGTTCGGCATCTATTCTCAGGCTTGGCGTCTTCCACTTTTCTCGTCACCGCTAGGTGCTGTGTTAAGAAACCGGAGTCATGATATTGTAATGACGCTGAGGTATTGGCTCCCTTTGTCGGTTGGGTGGGGGATCGGATCCACGCTCGGAAGTCGGGCCAAAACCAAGTTTCCTAACAACAGTCGGCTACTTACCCAGTGGACGTCTTCAGAATGATGATTTGCGGAGGCGTGTCGGCTTTGTCATTGATTGGTGATAACGTGGTGAGGAAAAAAAAAAACCAAGCATTATGAGCAGAACCACAAGCTTGAGGCCGTGTTAATCTCTCACCATCATATGAACAGTTCAAGGGGTAAGAATGCCAGCTTTGGCATGAAGCAGCGAAATTGAAATTAGCAGGTTGCAAGAAGCCAAAATCAGAAAATCGATCAAGCAGGCTCGTGAGCAGGGAAAGAGTCCATCTTTAAGATTTGTCACATGAGGCCGCGATTTTCCTTGGTTAAAAGTACCTACCTTGACAAAGATGATGATACCATAGTGATTGAAATGAATGGTGGAGCTCTGCCATTTTGACTCGACACAGCTCTGATTCAAAGACGTTGGCGGCTCATTGCAAAGTGGCTCCGCGCTCCGAGTGCGGCCTAGCCATGTGATCTATTCGTGCAGGTACCAGGTGATTGTTATCGGCCAAAGCTGTAAGTTGCCGCCATAATAATGATCAGCCGGAGTATGAGGCTGCGATCTCATCTGCAAACCCGGGCGGTAAAAGGCACTGCATACGAAAGACAGGAGTGAGCTCCGTAAACGCCCATTGCACAGCTATCAAGCACAGCCATCATTTCATCCGTCCGATTTGCGATCAGCATAAACGATAAATGAAAAAGCTTTTCCATGTCATTCCCATGACAATCGTTCAATCAGACACGACGAGCAAGCCATTTGAGCTAGGTAGCCAATTTCAGAGCTTGTTACGCTATTGAGTGACTCTTTTACACAAATGCACCATTAGGTGCCTGGCGGTAACGCTAAAATCAAAATCGCCAAACATCTCACAAAATACTTCATCCCAAAGTTTAAATCAAAGCTCTATCTAAACAGACACGTTCATCCTTTCTCTTCCATGACATGGATAGAAGCAGCTTTACCAAATCATATTAGTTGATTCAACATGTTTTCCGCCACACTAGACTACTCGAGCAGCAATCTCAACCGCGACTCTTCGCGGTCAATGGCTGCTTATGAACGGCTGAGCCTGGCACGCATCACCTGGACATTGAGATGGGAAAACGTATCCTTCACTCATTGGTGGAAGGCATTGGGTTACGACGTTACCATACTGCCAGCCACCTGTGCATCTCAAAAAAGCCTGCCACCGAAAATTGTTAGTGAACGAGCGGGATTGATCTGCCCCCGTCTGTTACGAGACAGCCATAAGCTGACAGGGTTGCTTGTAACCAGGGGGCTCTTTAGCTTGAGGCTGTGACGAAGAACGACTCCTGCAAGTCGGTGATCTGAGTCTCGGGAAGAAGAGGACGAGCACCTGGGACCAGGTTTCCCTCACCATGTCATGGAGTAGAAGAGGCACTTGAAGGAAAGAAACTCTAAGGAAGGTATTGACACTTATGATAGACGAATTTCAATCAAAATGCTATCTGATATGCATTCATTCTATATGTGTGTTGTTTTGCGTCTTTTACGTGCCTGGATTTGATACGGTCTCGAGAACAGGTGTCTGTGGCTTCCAACACCAGTATTTTGACTTTTAGACTCTTTCATCAAGCTTCCATTCGGAATTTATCACCGGGAAGCTGTCTACTTTCAAATTTCTCCCCAACAGAGGTCAAAAGGCAACAGACAAAAGCTTGGTGTACCTAACCAATGATGAGTCTCCCGAGCACGTGCATCTTTTACAGCTGCCGGTCTATAGGGTGTAGGTTGTAGTAGCCGGTATACAGGTTGAATCCAGCTCGGACACGTATACGTCCCCGGGTTGGATTGGATATTGTCAAGGGTCAGACTTCCCGTAGGATTGCAGTGGCAGCTGCACACCGACCTTCAGTACGTGTGAAATGCAGAGGTGCTATCCAATTTAGCCACATGCGAAATAATACGAAACAACAGGCTGCACACTTATTGCCCGGCTGCACTTAAGTAGGAAGGATAGAATAGTAATTCAAGCGGTAAACATTTCGTGCCACCCCCTTACATAGATGTATCTTTTCCAGGACAGCCTGTAAATGCAGATATAGCTGTTGGCCCCACCTTCTCAACCATGCAGTATTACTACCCCTGGTAAGACTTCGATGATTCTTACTTCCTGTTGGTACTATGCTCTTCTGTCTCGCTTTGTTCATAAACATGGTGATCTACCCCGCAAGAACCGTTGGATAAGAATATAGCCTTATTTCGCACCTCCCCTTCTCATCACTTGGTCCTTTTTTCTTCCTTCTAAAACATCTTCCAATATCCTACCCTTTATTGTTTTCGCCATTAACCGCCGCTCGACGCCTTACAATGTCGACATTAGACACATATGCGGTTGGGCAGCAGCAGGCCGAAGCTCCCCCTTCCGTCGGCCTGCTCTCCCGCCAGGCTAAGCGCCTCTTCTGGACCCTTCAAGGCCCCCTAGATTCCTCAGTCTTCGTCATGCCCGAGAGCCTAGACCCGGACGCGCCCCGGGAGGCTTATTTCCAACAGACAGACACCGGCACGAGCTGTCACCCAGTCTCAAAGGAAGCTCTCACAGACAGCAAGCCCGCTTCCATTACTGTTCAGTCGTCAGAGCTCGGTGACTGGGCGAGCAGCTGGTGGGAGTTGCACTATGAACATGACGACCAGGCGGACGATGACGATGACGACGACCAATCAGCCTCAGGCCCCCAACGGTGCTCGGGTTGCGGTGAGATAGGCCCCCGAGACTATGAACCGCTGGTGGTGAGAGCTTCGGAGAAGTCCTATGTTACCGTGCATGACTTTGTAAAGGCCGTACACCCCTGGCTGATGGCACAGCGGGACGAGATCTTGCAGGCCCGGAGCGTGGGTAAAGAGACGACTCCCGCCACGGACACAAAGCTGGTGGTGATGGCTACCCAACCCGAGTATGTGAGCACCATGGAAGAAGAAAGCTGGCACTCAGACAGGAGATGGGCACTTGACGAAGCATACCGTTACGAGGGCCCTCTAGGCCAATACGGACTTGGGACGAAACCTGGCGCGGTCGGTGTGCAAGATGAAGGGCCCAGGGGCACGAAGCGAGCTCGCCGAGACTGATGATTTGGCGTAGAATTCGACCGAGAGCAGGTTTCCCCATCAAGATTGCCCGCATGCACAGATTTGCGCATGAACCAAGTAGATAGATGAAGTTCTTAGGATTAAGTCATTAATGGGCATGTAAGTAAATTACCTTATACGTAGGAAACTACCCAATGGGTAATTAATAATCATTGCAAATGAGGCCAAAAGGAAAGAAGAAAAAATATTGAAGTCAACCAACACTCAAGTCGTTTGCAACATGATTCCATGAAGTTATCAGCAACGCAAGTTCGTCAAAGCCTAGATTCAGCGTATCCTACCAGCCCAGGATGTCTGACAGTTCCGGTGTGGGACTACAGAATTGCCTTAGTGAACACATTGAAAGCGTTTGATGCCAATAAAGTGGGGGCAGGGTAACCTTAGCGTACTTAGTGCAAGCCATGTCCTTCCTGTTCGGGGTATCTATGCGGAAGGATTCCAGTCGAGGACACGCCCGGACGATGAGGTGAACCGGTCCAATATCTTTCTACCTGGTTGGTGAAGACTCCGTTTAGAAAATAGAGAGAGAGGAAAAAAATCGTCTGGTGTTTCAAAGGTTCTGCATTAAGACTTGGAGCAAAATCAGAGTCTCAATCGTTACCGGCTACGTGAGATATTTTTTCAGGAGCGGGAAAAAAGACGCATTCAAATTAGATTAAAAAGAAAAAGGAAAAAAATTGGTAGCTTCTCTTTGATTGAGCGTGTCATCCTTAGTGCAGGGGCCATGCTACTGTGAGGAAGTTAGTGACTGAACGATGACTCGAACTCATGACCTCTAAGGGTAAACTTACATCTTCTCTGTATCGTTTCAAATTGACCAAATGCCCGAAGGCGAAATTCTTGGTCATTAGGTCGCTTATAACCCCTTGAGCTGGCTTGGAGGCCCCACAGCTGTGGACCAATCAGTGGGTCACCTTCCTATCCACTTATTCGTTCCGATTTTGGGCCGTGCTATCCGGAATAATCAACGCCGGTTTCCCCGCCACAATAATTTGTACACACTAGCAAATTCGTCTCATTGCTCGTGCACAAGAGTATTTGACCATGCCCCACAGAAACCTGATCTCATGTTCGACTGGCCAGGTGCAGCTTGTACACTGAAGCATAAATTCATCACTCTGTGTAATTTACCATCGACCATTTTTCTCTTTCAAGGGGACCAAGTAGAACGGACAAGATGTAACTTTCTCTGCGACAGATCCACCGTAGCACAAACAACAATACTCTAACGTGAGTACTCTAAGAGGTACTGTATTCTCTGAGAGTTCTGCATTTCGGAAACACGTCTCTCATTTATAGAATCCAAAAGAGCTTGGGTTGAAAAAATTGTTATATCACTGGGCAGAAGTTGGGTTCAAATATCTGTTGGTTCAAGCATCTGGCTTAGGTAAGAGGGTTATGGCGAAAGCCTCAGTTATCGTGAGGCTCTCCCACAGTACCAGAGAATTCCTCATGTTACATGTTCTTCCCAGGCTATTTCGGTAAGAACCGTCCCACACACATACACACATGGCAGGTCACTGCTACCTTACAATTTGTGCTGGCCATCGTAGAACCGAAGTACGTATCAGAACATGCCCGTTCTTTAGCAGCCGATCATTGTGGAGCTAGCACAATCCCGTGTTGAAATTAGCAACCTGGCAGCTTCTGGTATCCATCCCCACTGGCTATCACCAACAGGGATCATCTGGCGTTGTGGCAGAGTGGTCTAATGCGCAAGACTAGAAATCTTGTTCCTTCGGGAGCGTCTGTTCGAATCAGGCCAATGTCGATCTTTTTTGCTTAGTCCTAGCAGATTAAGCACAAGGGATATAGACCGGGAATACATAAAGGCAAGTCATTCATACCTGCAATTCAAGCTGGCTATGCTACTTTCTAATCCTTCATACTACTTAATAGTTTAGATTATAAAATAAAAACTGGCTTGCATCCTTGCAGCATCGGTAGTAAGGCTGCCTAGATGAATAGCCCTTGGGGCATAGAGAAACATCCCTACTCATCTGTCAAGGTGCCAGAGTGGTTAATGGGCTGCCCTGCTACGGAAAACCGATACTAATTGGTAATCCAGCTGATAGGCAGTGGCTTCGGTCGCGCAGGTTCGAATCCTGTCCTTGACGCAAGATTTGTTTTTTGAGTGAGCTGTCACTCCTTTTTATTCTGTCTTACACAAGAGCGCGCAGATTCCTTGCGCCTGCAAAAAACAGTAGCCTTATCTGTATATGCTTTAATGCATCAATCAAGACAGCCAAGGACAAAAACGTTGTAGCAAAAACTGTTGATACGAACTTTTGAGCTGACAGCCTACAAGCGGTCAAGGAGAAGCGAAAAGCTATTCTCATTATTTTTAAATTTGTTGAATAAATGATAAGTGTCTTACCAGACCACGATAACCACTTTGACAAGACATCATACCCTCCCAACGCCTTATAGGTGTCGTACACTACTAATCACACCACGAGGATATGGACCCAGGATTGGCGAAGCAAGTCTTGGAGTTGTCGTGCTCACAAGGAAAGCCATTTGTGCCCGCTGTGATAGTTATTAGAGTCTTTTACGGACACGTACGCCACAGAGTAGGATACGACAACACAGTCACTCACTGTTTTTGCATACAGATTCCATGGTGTCACCGTCGATGACATTACCGCCGGGGCCGACCGAGGTGCACTGCTAGATGTGAGTTGAGGTTCAATCCAAAATGGATACCAGAAGCGCATGACGCCTCAGGAGACAATAACCTACACGTCCACTCGGAGTGTCATACCTCACGTGGTTTTCGCTGTCGGGCCACTAGTGAAAAGGCAGTAAGCAAACGTACAAGATAGAGATTTTCGAAATATCCCGAGTAAGTACTGTTCAAATCACATACCTCTGAATCGATATGTTGATTATACGCATCGCAAGCCTTGGTCGTAATACGCCAGATATAGCTTCCTCCGTTGTGACAAGTGCAGGAGTAGTGCCAATCTGCGTCACTTTGGAAAGGCTATAGTTAGTCACGGAATTTCATAGCTTTGTTTCCTTCTTGTGAAGCAGGCTAAAGCGACGCATTGGCAACTACAACGATGGGTTATTGGCAGACTTACGCTGAAAAGACAAACAAGGCAAAGGCGACGAATGCAAGAAGACATATACGCATATTTGGGAATAGTGAAATGGAAAGAGGCTAGAAACTAAGAGAGATCTATGTTTGCGTAGAAACAGAGTCCAGAATGGTTCTCATATGATTTGCGAGACCTAACACCTACGGGAAACCTGATGGAAGATATAGCAAAGAATCATACAGCAAGACATTGTCCAAGAGCCATGCAACTGACTCATTTACCACTTCCATTAACCAAAACGAATCAACTGGATGACGTTAAGACAACTTCCATAATAGATCAAGATATCTGCCCGTGAGCACCAGTCAGTGGTTCTCCACTTTAGTTGGGCTGATTACCATATAATGGGACAATTATGGGAGGGGTGGGTGTTCTTTAAGCATATTAATGGATCATCTGATCCAGTTAGGGCGCGTGCAGGTGCCTACTTTAGCTCCATCGACAGCATTGTTGGATACCGCTATCTTGACGAAGTGGTCCGTACGAGTCATCGTCCGTAGATTTGGTCTGAATGGCCGATATCCCATTTGATCGTAGGACGCGTGTTACTTATAGTTAATATAAACAGATATTACTAGTGGTCTAGTACTAATCGTGGGCTGAGTCTTATGATGGAGATCGTTGGCAATATTAGACTGATTATATAACCCCTCTGGAAGCCAATCAGCAGAAAGGTTATCCGAAGATGCGGTCTTTTCGGGATCACCCGACACCATAATAGACACCTAAAGGCATTCCTCGTTAAGGTGAAGAGGGGCACAGCGCCCAACGAATACGATGTATTTGATTGCATTTCTAGCATTGAAACTGCCAACAACTTTAGCAGGGGTTGACTGTCTCTGCCGAAGGCCTTCAGATCAGCTTGTACAATGATTCAAAAACATGATTACGTTGAAATTAGCCGACTACTCTTTCATACAAAATGACTAGAAGCCTCAAATATTAGAAATATGTCGGTGCATTTCCTCATGTCGGAGAGCGGGTAACATCTACAAGCCCACCGGCGGCCTCTAAGCAGCTCTGATACTACATGGCTGCTCGACGGCTTTAACCCCGCATAATGGTCTAAATTATACTGCTAATCGTTTTAGATATTCGGTTTCAAGGTGGCAGATCATTCCGTGCTAGATAAGCGTCGGCACGTGTCCCTCGTAACGTAAACGAGTTGTTCGGACTACCCTCAGCAACGTACGTGGAGTCATAATCCCAGCCGTCATACTACAGCGCAACTATGAAAAAGAATGGAGAACGCGTGAGAAACGGTTGGCGCTAGCTTTGGAGTTGTTATCGCCGTTTACGACTCACTCCACCTTCTCTGCTGGATGAGTATGGCGTGATAGTAGCCACTAACTAAAAAATGGCAAAGATTTTCAAGACTATACAGGACAAGGGTGGTATCATTAGTCTAATTGATGTTGTTGGTATAACCTGCAACCAGACCCTGGATCTCGTAATGATCATATGGTCTGCGTAAGATGCCATTACTCAAGAGTCTGTACATTCAGGCTGTTCTCCTCAAAGCCATATAATTTCGAGGCCCTTTCATCGTTGATCTGCACATCAAAAGTTGAAACAAACTCATGCCCATAACTTTAACTGCTAATTCTAAGATTACATTACTCTCTTTTGCAGCCGAAATGATGAGAACCGTCCTTTCTTTTGCCATGTTTGCACTTGCTGCGTCTGCCCCCACCCCAGAGGCTACGAAAAACAGCCCAGAGAGTTTACCATCTTCTATTTCATCTTTGCACCTTGCCAACGATGACATTGTTATATACGGTGTCAACGGCGAGTACAAGGTCATTAAAGAGACCGAATTTCAGAATCTGACCGCTGCCGGCATTCTGACCTATAATGGCAACGATCAAGTTAACACACCCGACCTCTCTAGTGTCTCGAAAGAACTGGAAGCCCGCGACTGCGATGGGCGCAACATCGAGTATGAAATCACCAACACTAATGACTTTCTGGACTGGGATGTCCAGGTCTCCCCCGTCATTGGGGCACAGCAGGCACCCGTACTTATTGCCATCGCGCGGGGTTATCAAGTGGCAGACGCGGTCTCTGTGGCGGAGACTGCGGGCATCGAAGCTGAAGGCCTCTCTCTTAGCCTTAAGATTGAGTACCAGACAACTTGGACTACTACTGATACGACTACGATCACTTATACAGTTCCTACGGGACAATACGGCGTCATCGTTAGCCAGCCCTGGGTCCACCGCATATCCGGTACCGCCTACAGCTCGTGCGGCACTGGCGAGGCAACTCGAGAGAACTTTATGGTTACGACCCATACAAGCCAAACCTACGGGAACTTGAACTGGGTTAAGGGGGTCTTCCGCCTCTGTGCGAATACAAACTATCCTGTGCCTTATTGCAACGGTCAGGGCTCTCATTACTGAGACAAATCAGCTATTTAGCATTGCCACTATCATTAATTTGTGGCTGCTGGGCAGCCAGCCTCACGAAAAAGTGAAGGATTCTCTTTTTTGTAACTATATTGTGGACATTTGAGAATAAACATATACTACCTAGGGTTTACTTAAAGCACCAAGTTCTCACTCCTTGTATAAGGCTATGGAAGCAGTTGGATGAAGTGATATGATAATCATTGTCTACTCACTCCAAATTCCCCCCTTTCCTTTAGCTTTAATTTTCATGACTTGAAAATGGATCTTCCAGACGAGTTGTAATAGCATAACAACAAAGCTTTACACAGGTCTGCTGTCAATCGACCTTTAAAGATAGTGCCGAAGTAGCCTGAGTGGCCGCCTTGGTCTCATTTCTGTCGGCTATGTATTCTCTTCTCTCATTGAGATGGCTGCAAGATAAGCCTCCTATAGGTAACCAAAGGCATCTCCTTGTCATCGTATACTGATAAGATCAAATGCATCGTCTAGCAAATTCTGCTTAGTATAGACCTCCGTTAAGCACCTGACGAATAAACAAGCTTACCTGGTTGCGTTTTGGCTCTACAATGACTGAACTTCCGTCAAGAGACAAAGATGTGATGTTCAGGTCTTTACTGACAAGGGGAATGTCGAACCCCTCCAACCCTCTCCCGCCTGCCTCACGGTAGTGGAACCACTCGTACTTGAGATTATCATTGTCTGGGTCCCAACTCTCGGATGCGTCAAAAACGATGCGGTATTCATACTTGGGCACAAACTTATAATGGGTTAACTTTTTATTGACGTGGGCGATAGACCACTTGATATTCAGCGTCTTCTAATGTGCAGCAACGAGCAAGACTTATCATCGACGTTCACACTCGGCAACGGACTTTGTCGGATTCAAGCCATGAAGCCATGCTTCATCTTCAAAGACTCATAGAGGCAATGCGGTACGAATTATCAGAATTTTGCGACACGCCAGCTTACGGGCGCTCACCGCACTGCCTTCGGCACTGCGAAATGGCGTGACCATCGTAGATTCCAAGGTCGTCCATGCATTGCACGACGCACTATTTCAGTATTAGCGTGCAATTCAACTTGAATAATGTTTCATTTAGTACATACCTGCGACAACTGACGCTTTTCAGCAGGGGCAGCAGCAACGACCTCAGGGGCGGGCTCTCTCTTGATCTTGACTTCGCCACAGTCCTGGCGGCAAAAGTAGACAGCCTTGCCATCCCAGATATCGAGTTCCTTAAGGCAGGCTTCAACACACTGATTTCTCTGTTAGTCTATCAGGTCGTCCGAATTGCAGAGGGATTGGCCCTACCGGAGAGTATTGACGCTTCTCAACGGGAACTGGGCCAGCTGCAGCCGCAACGGCCACAAGGGTAGCGAGGACAGAGAGAAACTGCATTTTGAAAGATGAGAATAAGGGTAGATATGTTTAACTTGGATTTTTGTCGCGGTTGAGGTGAGTATGATTTGAATTTTGAGCTGAAATGGAACTCAATTTATAGATATTTCAACTTAGCCAAGCCTCTGGTGTCTGCATCAGAGAGATGGGCAACATCTTAGAAGTTACAGTTGATAAGAGACACTCTTGGCACGCATGCGACGAACTGAAAACAAATGGCCTATAGGAATTGCAGCAAGCGCCCGCGGAGGTGGTATCAGATCCCATAGGATTTGCCAAGGCGGTCATACTAGGCCTAAGCAGACTGTGAGATGCCTATACGGGTTTTAATCAGCGATGGAGACTCGGACTTCCTAGGGTTAAATTCTTCGCCTTCCCATCATGGCCTAGGAGATTCGGACTCGTCTTACTGTTCCAGACTTGTGTCTCACGGAATTGAGGGTTAGCTTGTTTGAATTCCTGTACTCCATGATGCTTTGCTGAGGCGCAGCGCGTTCTCTCTATTCGTTGCAAGGCAAACGTACCAGAGACGCTAGCTTTGATAGACGCCTTTCCACATTTTCTGCCGCAGAACAGATCACAAGGTCGCTGTCAGCGCGCCCCCTCGACGTTATTTTTGAGCCAAGTGGGATCTGCGGGCGTCGCTTAACAGGATTAATCGACTCTGGTTAGTCGGGCGACAGGGGCACACCGATATGCTTAGATCGTTGACAATCTGTTTTATTGGCTACCGACAAACCTGTGCAACGCTCCTCCTCCCTTCTAATAAGCCTAAAGTTTAGTGGTTTTTGGATAAGATACCAAAAGAGGAAAGAAGGAGTCGAATATCAACAAGCGGTTAGCGATTGGTTATGCACTTTTACCACACTGGTTTTAAAAAGAGGACCTGATGTATCATTTCTTTTATTGCAAATCTGATTTTAAGCATGTCTAGCGCAAGCTAATGTTCACGACAGGGAATGAAATCATCGCTAATCGAATTGAATGACTTTGCAATGGTTTGGTTAATGTTGTATGGAGTACTTTCAGGTCATCAATTCTTTGGAAGATGCTGCCTAGAGACGCGAGTATCTCCCTTGTAACTTATTAATTCATGTGACAGAATATGTCAGAAGCTTTACGAATGGAAATTTAGTCTTCACGCAATTCAAGATCTAAACAGCTTGACAGCATTCGATCTTTTGTTCTCTGTTCTGCCGTTCGCCAATAGTAACACGTGTTATCCGGGATACGTAGCCAGAAAGCCACCTGGGGCAAGCATTTTAGGGGGGTTTCAGGCATGCTGTGTTTATGTAAGTTTTCATTGCAATTTCGTTCGCATACTCCCAACCCTAACAAAAACTGAGATGAACTTGGTCTTTAATAGGATAAACATAGATAAACGATAGTGAAGTGGATTTGCACTCGCTGAATGAACACCGAAAAATATCCGTGACTGATTAAGCACATACCATTCACGTGGTCATTTAGATTCAAAGTAAAGTTTATTTATTTTTCTATGGAAAAGGCCTCCTGGGCCAAGTTATTGTTTTCCTTAGACGCTCGTTTGCCTGCCAGCATTGGGAAACGACATCTGAGCTCCGCGGGCCAGACGCGCTGAATGACCGGTGATGTTTGGATCGTCACCCAGGAAATTGTTGGGGAACCCAATCTCGAACGGCTTGACACTCTCCAAAAAGGCAATCTGCTCATCAGTGAGCTTTATCTTGAGGGCGTTAATGTTGTCTTTGAGGTGCTCGACCTTTCGGCCGCCAACGATAGGGAAAACATTCGGCGCTTTGCTGCGGACGTATGCAAGAGCGATAGCAGTCACGCTTTCTGTGTTGTGTTCGCTCGCAACCTTGGCTAGCGCTTCGCTGATCCTGATCTCCATCTCGGTCTGCTCGCCAGAGCTGACGAATGATCTCAAACCCTCACCGCTCTTCTTGCGCTCCTCGATAGCTTTCTTCGATTGGAACTTGCCTGAGCCCAGGACATCCCAAGGACACAGGGCCATGCCGAACATCTTAGCCATGGGGAGGATATCGCGTTCGAAGTCGCGGTGCATCACGCTCCAGCGGCCTTGGTAGACGCTGAATGGCGTCTTTCCGTGGTCAATGGCATAGGTGTTTGCTGCACTTACGACCCAAGCTGGTGTATCTGAGATACCGAGGTAAAGAACCTTGCCTTGCTCGATAAGGATGTGCAGAGAATCCATAATCTCCTTGATGGAGGTTGTGTAATCCCACCAGTGCAGGTACAGAATGTCGATGAAATCAGTGCGCAGCTTCTTAAGCGATGCCTCAACGCTCACGTGAAGGCTTCGGCGGTGGTTGCCCATGAAGTTTGCTGTGTTTCCCTTGCCGTATGCGTGATTCCTGAAATCCGAAGTGTATTTGGTGGCGATAACCATGCGATCTCTGTTGCCCCTCTCCTGCATCCAGTCGCCGATCCAGGTTTCCGACTGCTCATCCTGGTAGTTGTTGGCCGTGTCGATGAAGTTGCCGCCGGATTCAAAATAAGCATCCAAAAGCTTGAAAGACTGTTCCTTGTTCATTGCACCCATTGCCTCTGCCCAGGCGTCGCCAATGGACATGGCGCCGAGGGCCAGAGGCGATACCCGAATTCCAGCATTGGATGATAAGTACTCGGAGTCTGCCAAGCTCAGTTGGAGGTTCGGGGGCGGGTGCGAGGAAGTTTGACATTTCAGGCAAGCTTTCCTTTCGTTTTTTTTTTTTGTGTATTGAATTGCCGTCTAGGGAATTGGGGCCAATGGTTGGTGGTATACGGTTCAGTAGGAAACGTAGTTCAAGGTTGTGAAGCCAGGAGTTGCCTATGAAGGTTGTTTTATAGTTGCTGGAATGAGGGGTTGCGGCTGTAAATGGTTAGCTTGGCAACCTGTTTCATGAATTCTCGGACATATTCGCCGGATTTTAGAAAAGCACCAGATCCAACTCACAAAATGTCCAGCTAGCATTGAAGCTGACGTGATACTCAGATGCGGGGATCTGTTGCGATGACGTAAATGGGCAACACGTATAGCTCGCAGAGCAAACAAGAGCCGACCTTATCGGGCTTAACAGCATGCACAGGCCAGTATAGATGTTTACGCCGAAGGATTCATTCCGGTACATGTCGTTGGCGGGGAAGTGCCGTGCGTTTTCCGGAAACAGAGCGGAGTTTACAGGCTATTTCCAGGGCAAGCTATCGGCACTCGGCTCCTTGAGAAAGGCGAGATGGAACTCTAACACAAACCTTGATAACCCATTGCCTTTGGTGATGGACTCGTTGATCGAATTCTTTGCGAAAGTAGGCTTTCACAGCTGACCTGTATCTCGGCTTGCATTATAACTGCATTTCCAGCACAAATACTAGACTTCAAACAAATAGGATCAGAGCCATGTGTCCCCTTTATCAGAGCTAGGGAATTGAGAGGCTCAGTAGGAGATTTCAACCGAGAAACACTCTGGCTACCTTTGTTTAACTAAGGAAAAAAGACGAGGACGGGAGCTAATAGCATTAACCAATAACTTGTCCAGAACCCAGCCGCAAAAGACTGCCTGCCAAGAATTCTATTTAGCCGCCTTTAATTGTTTGACAAGTCTGTTAATATGAATGATTGCTTCTCTTGCCCCATCCCATGTCTTTCTCTTGCCGGTCTCAAAATATCTGAATGCATGCGCTGTCTCAACACCATGGTTGATGAGGTAGCACATGTATGGATCCTTAAAAAAGGTCAGCCACCCGCGCCATCCCCAACCAAGGTTTTCCATGCCTGTCCCGGCTGCTTTGTGCAGAAATCCTTGAAACTCCCATTGCTTGACGGCAGATATGTCAGTTCTGTTGACCTTGTACCAACGCCCTGCGACCCACCGCTGGTGGCGGTCAATCGCACGCTCCATCTCTGGCCTCGAAGGAATCAAGTCAGAACTGACGCCCCGCCAGATATTACTGATGGCCATGGAAGTTACGTCGGAGAATGAGAAGCCATTGTTTTTGCCAAACCCAGAATATGTAAGCATCGCAATGCTGTCTGCATGTGCCGGTGGGAAAATATTCATGTACAGCCGATGCATTGGTGCTCCGTCATACGGGTGTCCAGCATCATCAGTCTTTGGTTTGCTTGTTTCCAGAAATGGAACGAGATCAAAGTCTGCTTTGTACCCTGTGCAGCAGATAACAGAATCCACATCTTCAAGTATCGTTCCATCATCGAACTCGATTGACCTCGGCCCGGTAAACCGTTTGATTCCATGCAGAGAAGTCACTTTACCGTCACGGAGGAGCTGCAAGACTTCGTCACTGCATGCAGTAGCGTGCAAGCTGAGCGGTACGGCCCCTTCGAACAACCGAAATGAAGGGTCAATTTCGCCGAACTGTCTCATCAGAATTCCCGTCGCAAGCTGGGTCAACTTGTTCGCCAAATCGGGGAATCTGCTCTGGAGGGCGAACGACATCTGTCTCCGCCAGCGAGTAACAAGTAGGTCAGTTGGCAGACCGTTGCGCCAACGGCTCGCAATCCAAGTGCCGTTGCGGTGAGAAAGGTAGACTTTCTGTGATTTCATGACAAGAAGAGGAAGGAGGTCGCTCACAGTGGCACTGAGGCCAACTATGACGACCTTTTGGTCTTTGAAGTCTGCCGGGCTAGATTTGAGATCGTCAGCGCACCGGTTTGAGTGTATCGGAATACTGGGATGCGTACTTGCGGAACTGTTGAGAATGAATTATAGTGCCTGAAAACATGTCTTGCCCCTCATAAGATGGCATTTTCTTTTTCGTTTGGTATCCATGGCAAAACACAACCTTGTCAAACTGTTGGACATCCGGCATGCCAGACCTGATCATCTCAACTTGCCACTTCGATCCGTCGTCGTTACGCACCACCTTTTGGACTAATGCATTGAACACAATATGTTTGTAAAGGCCAAAGTGTTCAGCATATGACTCCATGTATTCCTCGAACTGGCTTTGCATCAAAAACGGAGGATATTCTGAGGCATATTAATTCTATCCAAACATGTTCCCGTTTATAAAATCTGGTACAACTTACTGTCTGGCATCGGAAAATCGGTGAATCCACAAGTATACTTGCTAAGCAATGCGTTGGTTGCTAGGAGCTTAGGTTATAAAACGTCTACATGGAACAATATGTTAAGAAGTGGCACGCACTTGGAAGGGCAGTAGTCATGGTCTTGTCGTCTGTGAATGACCACAAGCCGCCAACGCGACTTCTCCTCTCAAATAAGGTCGCGTCGAACCCATCTTCGAGCAATGTTTTAAGCATCGATAGACCAGTTGGTCCTGCCGTATTGCATCAGTACTGGCCGGCTCATGCCTCATTCTGAGCTTTCAGCAACACTTACCAGCCCCGATGACCGCTACTGAGGGTCGCTGTGCTTGGCTGTTATCCATCTTTTGGAGGGATGGGAAGTTCCTGCCTCCAAAGGCAGATGATTAATCACAACTCTTTTTGTAGAACTGTCCGTGCTGGATAAGCCTCTAATGTGGTTATATGTAAAGTGGTGATGTGTGTTAGGAAAAGAAGGCCGGAAGCCCGGTGATGACAGGAATCTGAGACAAGGAGAGTGAGCGCGTAGGCGTCAGCACTAGCGGTGATTTGGCTGCCGTGAGCATTCCAAATAAAGAGATCAATACCCATATGGATTCCCTCTCGCTGATCACTCAGCTTAATCAGATGTTACCTGACCTCAACGTCCAGTAAAATGCTCCCATAGTGACAAAAGCAAGCATCAGTAGTAGCTCGGAGACTTTTGATAACTCCTAAACAGCCTGAATTGAGAAAAGTACGTTTGGCAGGGAAACATGCACTGCAAAAACGCGGCACAGCAGATGATCTCCAAGATTCAAACTTTAGATCACCCTTCACCGACCAAATCAATTTTCTGTTAATTTGAAAGGCATGTGGTGTCTATGCAGTAAGGGTTGCAGGGCCAGAATGTTCCTAGTGATATCCAGCTAGGAATTATACCAGCGCAACTCGTTGCGTGACCGCACTTTTCTCGCTTTTTTGGGAAGCGTAAACTCTCCATTCGAAGGATTGCTAGCTGTTTAGCATGAAATTGACTAGCGATGCAGAGAATACGACCCAGCCATAGCGTTCTTGGGCGCAATCCTTCAAAATCAAAGCATCATCGCCAGAACGTACCCATTTTGGCTGACAACCTGGGCTGTCCCGAAGCGACCACAGCTTTTCTGTTGATACTGAATATGTCACCTAAAATGATGACGTTTGCTTTTTGTTCAACCTTCAGCCACGATGTATATGTCTGTTTTTCGTCAAATACCCCAAATTTATGACCTGTGATATTCACTTGTGCACGATTGAACATTTGGGTGGGAAATAACATTTCAAGCGCACTGAGTCTGATTTGGGCCTACTGTCAAAATCTTCAACAATGACCAACAGCTTAGGTTGGCTTCTAACTAAAAACATGGGTATCGTAATCTACTTGTACACGCACTTCTTTTCTTTTACAAGTCTTGCTCCTTATCCAAAGCTGTCTTCACAGCTTGGCCCCTGACAGTAGCCTCTGGGACGTATTTCTTAAAGCTGCGCGAAGGAACTTCCTTCATGAACATTTCATCGAGCTCCTCGTAAGTTCTTCCAGCGGTTTCTGGGAGGTTGAACCACAGATGCACCAGTGAAATGACAGCCAAGCCGCCAAAGATGAAAGCCAGCTTAGCTCCGAGGTTCAACTGATCAGGGTTGAAGAGGTAGGGCAGAACAAAGTTCCACATGGTCTCCAGAGCCTTCTGGAGGGCCAGACCAATAGCGATGGTCTTGATACGGAGACGGGAGGTTGAGACCTCAGCAAGAATGGTGTATGCCGTGGCGCCAATGGTAACGTTGTACCACCAGCAGTAAAGGAGAATAAGTGCGACAGTACCCTTGTTGGTAGCGAGAGTTCCCGGAAGCGCAAGGCCGCCGGTGACGAGCAGAATGACGGTCAATACGGCAAGGCCGTAGACAGTCAGACTGCGACGTCCAACTCGATCAACCAGGTACCAAGACATGACGTTACCGATCAATGAAATGACTTGCTGAACAATCTGAAGCTTGAAGCTCTCTGCGGTGCTGTATCCGGCAAGTTGCATGTAGTAGGTCGAATATGACGCCGCGAAAGTGATGCCGGAAAGGGACTGGATGCAGAGCGGGGAGACGGAAATAATCGTACGGCGGAGGTTGGACTTGCGGAAGCATTCCAGATAGCTAGCACCGGCAGTTTCGCTCTTGACCTGGTCCAACGTCTGGTGGATCACTGCAAGCCGGACTCTGCCTTCGTCACCAGGGTGTCCGAGTTTAGTTAGACTCTTGAGGGCTTGGTCGTCTTTGCCCTTGATTGCCAAGTACCAAGGACTTTCGGGCATGAACCAAATAAGGACGGCAGCGATGGCCGCAAACCCGTATTGAGCGCAGAAAACGGCTCGGTAGGCCCAGCGATTGTTGTAGGTTCCGGTCTCGTTGATGATGAGGGCGGCGACGAGGGGTCCGAGTGTGTACGACAGACCTGTAAGACAGGTAAAGAGACCACGGAGGGCAAGAGGAGTAATCTGTTATTATTAGTTAGTAATTGGCTTGATCTTGTCAACTTAAGTATTAGCATCTTGGTTTCTTACCTCTCCAATGTAGGTGACTGTGATTGAGGCAAGAGCTCCGATGGGAAAGCCGTTGACAAATTTGCCGGCGAAAAAGACCTCGTTGGTAGTTGCGACAAACTCCAATGTAATTCCAACAAAGGAGACTGCCAAGCAAATCATGATGGAAGTCTTTCGTCCTAGCCAGTCGGCAAGGTTACCGCTACCCAAGGCACCGACGACAGCGCTGTGGAGGGCTTGTTGTTAGATTTGTTGTGATTGTTATGTATACGGTTGACGAAACTTACGAGGCAACTGGAGCACCATTGAAGGCAGATTGCCACTTTGTGTCCAGAACATAGTCTCCGTTGTAGAAGTGGCCAAAGTCTTTGCGGAATTCCGGGATACTCAAGATGCTGCCGCCTGCCTGGTTCTCGAAACTCAAGACCAAGACACACCACACAGCGTAGACACACCAGAAAGACGCCTTCGGGTATTTCCTCAAAGATTCCCACTTGCCAAGCTCGTGCTCTTCTTGGTTACCCAAATTGGCGAGTTGTGCCTGAGCCTCGTGGGGATGCTCGAGGTGATCACTATCGTTCTTTTCCGTGTCGACGCCCATTGTAGCAAATTTTGACCAAGGCCGAAAACAGACAAAATTGGCTTCTTAGGTTTCGGCAATCGAATGAAGTTGATGTTGGTCGGGAGAAGAAAAAAAAAAAAGCCTGAAGCCAAGGATGATCGCCAAGATGCAGACAAGACAAGATGTACAACAAAGGAGTTGACAAGTCTTTATAAACTCAACCCCTGAGACTCGTACTTACGATGACAACCGATGGCCCACGCCGGCATGATGGAATGGTCACCCAATTCTGGAACCTCTCGGGAAGAACGACGGTGGATCTGGGGAGGTTTCCAACAAAACAGCATGATCTGGGGATGGACCTGCGGGGCCCCGATCAAATGTCGGAGGATGGAGAGTGGTGGGTTGTAGTGGGTTATGGGCAAGACGAGTCAGGGCTGTCAGACCAATATCCACCCTATTGTCCGGTGAAGTGCCTCTGATTTCCCCATCCAGGAGTCTTAACCCCACACTAGAACCAAGTTCCTGGGCTAGGAGTAACTGGAGAGAAATTTGCCATGTCTCGTGCGTCGCACCAAAACAAGAACTCCGGTTATTCCCGGGCTGTGATACGGTCTTTACCATGTTGAAGGGGCGGCTTAGATGGGTTTACGGGCGGCGATGTGGGCAGTGGAGGCACTTTAGGGGGCGCCCAACCCAAATTGAACTAGGCGTTGCGGATTGGGCGGATTATATCTCTCTCTAGGCTAGTTATGCTGCACGCCTTCAGGGCAACTGGGTGAACACACGTCAAGATGGACATTTCTTATTGTCCGGTATCAACCCGTGATCCGTGCCGAATTGCGTTGGTGGGAACAGTGGGTGGTTAAGATTCCCGCTTTGGGTATTGCTAAACGCTGCATAATAGCAGGGCTGTCGCATTGCCAGATTGTTTTTCTTTGCCTGGTTCCAAGTTTAAGTCTTCGTCTGAACGGCTTGATGCTTGTAATTGACGGAGATGAACCATCCACAAAATTTTAGAGGCCCATCATGAGCAAGTGACTGCGCAAACAGTGAACGTCTACCTTGTTCAGTGGCTGAACAATAACCATACTAATCCGTCTTCAACACCCACTGAAGCCATTGACTTTTGGAATTTCTCATTTCTAGATGACGCAACCCCGGGATAAAGGTTTCGTCCCCACACGAATTCCAGGGGCGCTTGACACACCCCAAACTGGACAAGCCCAAGCCCAATAGCCCATCGCCATGCGGGGTCAACACCTGTTAAATATTTAGGAGCGCCGGAATCCGGCCGAGGCCACCGCACCACAGCGATTGAGATCTCAAAGACAGCAGACGACAACTTCCAAACCAGGGAATCCTAAGCATCCCACTTCAAGAGATACATCGCGTGCGACATCTCATCATACAAAGGGACGCACTGTTTGCAAGGGCTTTGTTCGTCTGATAGAACAGACATCACATCATTTCATCAGTAGATGCGTATTGAGACACAGCCCTGGTCACCGAAGCTGGACCTTTTGCGAACTCATCGTAATCGCCTCATTTCGCAACTCTCAAGTCAATCTCACTGGCTGGACGGTAGTCCGCAAACAACCCAATATGGCGCAAACCACCAGACTGCAGACCTTTCCCAACAAGCCGAGAGTCTTCGTCCTCACTGACATCTCTAACGAGCCCGACGATGCCGAGTCTCTTGTTCGCTATCTCCTATACTCCAACCAGTTTCAGACTGAGGGTCTAGTCGCTGTCTCTTCAACATGGATGAAGAACAAGGTCTGCCCCCAGGACATCCGCAAGATCCTCGACGCCTACGCCGGCGCGGTCGACAACCTCAACAAGCACACACACCCAGACTACCCGTACCCTTCGGCGGACAGTCTTCGAGCCCTGGTCAAGTCGGGCCCACCGGTACGCGAGTTCCCTTTTTACCAACCAACATGTGAACACGCCAAAAGAAGAAACAAAAAGCCTGGCTTCGTCTCGAAGTGGAATATTGCTGACCCTTGTTGTTGAGTAGGTCTATGGCATGGCCGGTGTTGGCTCGGATAAGCCGTTGACAGATGGTGCCCAACTCCTTCTCGAGAGAATCGAAGCGCCCTCACAAGACCCCCTGTGGGTTCTCGTATGGGGCGGCACCAATGTTCTCGCCCAGGTCCTCCTGACTATCCGCGACAAGTATTCCCCTGAAGAGGCGGCCAAGCTGCGTGCTAAGCTGAGGGTTTACACCATTTCGGACCAAGACGACACATCGGCATGGATCCGCACTCAATTTCCTGATATCTTCTACATCTCCTCCATTCATGGCTGGAACCAGTATGGTCTCGCTGCATGGACGGGTATTTCCGGAGACAAGTACTACGGCTTCGACCAGGGCGGACCGGACTTTACCAAGGTCTCGAAGCAATGGATCAAGGAGAACATTCAGATTGGGCCCCTGGGCTCGGCGTACCCGGACTATCTCTTTATCCCGGAGGGTGACACCCCTACCTTCCTATACCTGATCCAGAACGGCCTCGGAGACCGTGAGCATCCGGAGTATGGCTCATGGGGTGGCCGTTATGACCTGACGGACGCGAGCGATGCCGGTCAAAGGGGTAAGCACTACAGCGACATGTCTGACTCGGTCGTTGGTGCCGACGGCAAGACATACCGCTCTAACCAGGCGACCATCTGGCGCTGGCGAGACACCTTCCAAAACGACTTTGCTGCGCGTATGCAGTGGTCGCTCAACCCGGACGTGGCATCCACCAACCACCACCCCATCGTTAGCATCAACGGAGACCAAGGTCTGCAGCCTCTGTATTTTGAGGCAGAGGCTGACAGCACTATTGAGCTTGACGCCTCTCAGACATACGATCCTGATGGTGACAACTTGACGTTCAAGTGGTGGCAGTACCGCGAGCCTAGCGCATCCCAATGGCTTGTGCAGTTTGAGGTGGCACATCTCGAGGTTGAGAAGCTGGATCCCGAAGGCAAGAGGGTCAAGGTTACCGTGCCTCCTCCGGAGAAGTCTTGCTTGGATTTGATTAGCCAGAAGCCAAAGGTTAAGGGTCAGCTGCTCCACTTGATTTTGGAAGTGACGGACAATGGAACCCCGGCATTGACGAGCTACCGTCGTGTACTGATTCAGGCTATGAATAAGGACCTGAGAGGGGGTAAAGAAGTGAAGGAAGGCGAGGAACTAGAAGCTATTGGTGATGCTATGAAGGACTTCACTGGTTGAGTAGGATAACGACTCATGAAAGACAATAAATGATCAAATACCACATTTTTGTGCGTTCATAGTCATGTGCAATCAAGTGTGCTGGTCGATGCGGGATGGAGAGGTGGTTGTCGTTCACTTAAAGGGGCTAAATTCAACGAAGAAAGCTGGTGGTGATAACTTTTCAATCTCAACATTTTCAAGAGCGAAGGTCTTGAGGGTTGTAATTATTCAGTGCCTAGGCATGCGAAAGCCAAGTACGACATGGAGGAATCAAAGTTCATGGATAGTATTTTGAAGATATCGAGCGATCAATCGAGAGTCTTGTTTTCTGTGGATTAACCCACGGCAGAGTCAAAGGCATGGCTATTACTTAAGAGTCCACCTCTGCGGCCCAAAGGGAGGGGCAGAAAAACGCGAGTTCCTTATCTCTTAGGGTGCCAGTGCGCCAAAGGCTTTAAATACTTGAAAATGACAGTTTCATCTATACCCTATGCGATAATGGGAAAAGAGTTCATGTAGTTAACCTACTGTTAGTCATGAAGAGAACACTATATTCACGGAAAAGCTCCAAGGCTCTTTTTAGTCCATAACCGAATTCAATAAAGCGAGACCAGTAAGTAAAAGAGGGCAACATACTACAACATCTGCATTTTACCGCCATGTGTATGGTCTCCACAAACTGATGTTCTCGACCACGGCGAGACCGGCGACCCCAGAGCAAGCAAGAACGAACACAGTCCCACTCTAAAGCTGTGATGAATGGGGCTGAATTTTGTAGTCTCTTCCCTCTATACTGTGACATCGGCATTTCTTCCCTATATTTAGGGATCAGGAGATAGTGTCTCATTTAGTTTGTCCAGTCATCTCTGAATCAAGCAATGCCGGTTGCAACGGTGCTAAGCTTGCCGAACCAAGCCAATATTCCTTCTTCAGGTAGAGTACTCTAAAGCAGCTTCTGGACATTGCTTAGACAAATTGTGCCAATTAATATCCAACTCCCACACATATAATCAATTTGGACGTCATCCCTTAGGTGGCTGTTTGCTCCATCTCCATTGGCCGCTTCTCTGTGAAATCTTGGAGGTGGTGATTGCAGTACCATAACTGGACTCGAACAACCACTCCCTCCAGAGTCAAGAACTCAGAGAGGAATGAAATGAGGGTGCGCCACACTTTAATATCGCCAAAGTAACCCCAGGTCTAAATCAAGTTCAAACACGTCACCCGATCAATTCGCATCAGCTCGGAAAGAAGCATAAATCTACCACTAAGCGAAGCCTTGTCACAAAAGGTGTGCCATGCCTTTGGAGCGTTAGACCAGTCGGAAGTCCCCTTTCTGTTCCAGACTCTAACAACTACTCGTAAGCGACTGCCAAGAGTGCGCTAGTGCGAATTTCATTGCTTGTCTCCGGACGTCACGCTCCGGGGGTAACCGGGGTTCGGTCCGATCGGTAAGGTTGTCATTAACCAGATCCCAAGGTAAAGAGAAAAGCAAGTATTCTGATTGGCATCCAAGATTGGATCTAGGACAAACATTCCGTCAAAAAGAGCTTTTGACAGCTAAAATCCCGAAAAGGCTCCAGCCTAACGGCTTTGAGTAGTTGATAAAACTTGGTACGATGCTACGCGAACCCTTGTCGTCGCCTGGCGTGTGACACATTGAGTGCTTGAAGAAGCAATTCACGGATCGTGAGATACCGTTCGCGTGGTTCGAATGTTGCATTCTGAAATATTAGTCTTTGCCACTTGAACTGTAACACCCTGTGGCCGCCTTAATGTCATCAGCTGCGCTGGGTATGATATTGCTGCATCCTGTATAATATATATATGTCCGTCAGCAATTCTGTTCGAAATGTAACGCTGGAGGATCATAGCCATATCTCAGTCTACAGATTTACAAGCATAATCTCTCTCACCATGAAAATCTCCGCAGTCATTCTCAGTATTGCATCACTTGCCTCCGGTCATGCCATCTTCCAGAAGGTTTCCGTCAATGGCGTGGATCAAGGGTCGTTGAAGGGCGTCCGCGCAACTTCAAGCAACAACCCGATCCAGAACGTTAATGATGGCGGGTTCGCTTGCAACAACAACATCCAGTACAAAGACAACAATGTCATCTCCGTTCCAGCTGGTGCTCGAGTTGGCGCCTGGTGGGGACATGTCATCGGGGGAGCCCAAGGGCCTAACGACCCAGACCATCCGATTGCTGCGAGCCACAAGGGTGAGAAATCCCCGTCGTACCAATATGAACGCCAGCTTCTTTGTGCTTACTTTGTTGGTCATATGCTCACTCAATTCTACAGGCCCTATCATTGTGTACCTCGCCAAAGTCGACAGTGCAGCAAACTCCGGTACATCTGGTCTCAAGTGGTTCAAGGTTGCTGAAGCTGGTCTTAGTGGAAGCACTTGGGCCGTTGACACAATGATCTCAAATGGTGGCTGGCACTACTTTGATCTTCCTTCATGCGTCGCACCAGGTGAATATCTCATGCGAGTCGAGATCATTGCTCTCCACGGCGCGTCCTCGCAGGGAGGTGCTCAGTTCTATATGGGCTGCGCTCAGTAAGTTCTCTTCCAGTTTCACCAAAAGTCATTAAGGTCTGACATTCATAGGATCCGTGTCACTGGCTCCGGTAGCAACACCGGCTCAAGCTTCGCCAGTTTCCCCGGCGCTTACTCTGCATCTCATCCTGGCGTTCTCATCAGCATCTACGATAACACGGGCAAGCCTACCAACGGTGGAAAGGCATACTCTATCCCCGGACCGGCGGTAATAACCTGCTCTGGAGGCGGCAGCCCCTCTCCTCCACCCACATCAAGCCCTCCACCATCTAGTGGCGGTGGGTCAGGTGCTCCCTTATATGGCCAGTGTGGTGGGCAAGGCTGGACTGGTCCAACGACTTGCGCCCAGGGAACTTGCAAAGCGTCCGGGCAATTCTACAGCCAGTGTTTACCATGAGTATATAGAGGAAACTGAGTCACAGGAGTACCTGTCACCAATATGGAAGATATTTGAAATCAGTCAAATAAGAAACCGCTTCCACAAGCTTCGGAGTACAGAAAAGACAATGTTGAATCTCGAGTGTTCTAGTATTCAAGTAGACAGCAGACCGGTTCTAACTATGACTGGTTGTTAAAACAAGATCTCCTAAAATGACGAGAGCAATCTTCAAGTAGGATGCTTACAGACAAGGTTGTGTTCAATGAGATCCTAGTCCACAGCTGTGGGGTATGCAAGTACAGTCCAGAGTGGACCAATATATGGGACTTAGGGCTCAAATCTATCACACAACTAGCCGGTCGGTTAGCTCAGTTGGTTAGAGCGTGGTACTAATATGTCATCTGATATATCAAGTAATGCCAAGGTCGGGAGTTCAAGCCTCCCACTGATCATGTACTTTTGCTTGATGCTGGGGCTGTTGCCCGTCAACATTTTTTTTGTGCCGAATTCAATTTGTGAGCGCACAGATACATCGCAGCCCCCGAATCCCGCCGTGAAAAGTGGACCGTGTGGGGTAGAGGCCGGATCGGCTATTCCGTTCTACACCGTGTTTTCAATTGGGGGGATTAGATTTTGTCAAACCTGTAAAACATCATGCCAAACGTCTGTTCGGAATAATGAAGCATTTGCTCAGCTCACAATATCAAACAATCCCAGTGACGGCACTTCCGAACTTATAACTCTTCTTCACCACTAGCCGGCCCATTAAAATAAAGTATCCGTGGAAATGGAGTTCGTCTCAACAGCAAGCTTCATGTAAGACGCACGAGCCAGAAACTGCTCAAGTTGGATGATGACAACATGCTCTGACATTCCTGAGACGCGTTGTAGGCGCTCTTTGCCACGGCGACGACCGGTATGCTGGGGCTCACCCTACCGATTGGTAAGCTCAACACTGCCCCCGCATAAAGTCGTCTTCCCTACGACAGCCCGCCAGCACTGTTGATCCAGCAGCAGCTTAGTGACCAGACTAGGCATGCATGATGCTGTCATAGCACACTACAGTGAAAGCAGATTTCGAAGTTTATTTTTTATTTCCCGTTCGCGAAGAGTTCCATCATTACTCATTAGGGATATTGAGCTGCTGCTTCCTGCATGGTTATTGTGGGCTCGAGGGCTTCGTACTTTAGTCCCTGCTTTTCCCGTCTTTCAGACCCTTTTCGACTCTTCCGGGTCTCGTCATACAGAAGAACGCATCAGGAGATGGAGCTTGAAATCCCAGCCATCCACCCCGCGGTCGCCGTCAAAGCTCCAAGGGAGCCACTCATCCTCATCGACGCTCCAACATATCCACCTGAGACCGGTGAGGTCATCGTCAAGGTGGAATGGACGTCTTCGACACCTTATCATTTGCATCAAGCCGATGGCGGTTTGATGATTGACATGTTTCCTCGGATCCTCGGAGACACCTTTGCAGGCACCGTTCTCCTTGTTGGCCCGGGCCCGCATCATGTCTCTGTTGAGGTCGGAGACAAAGTTATGGGATACTCGTTTCGCGATGTTAAGGATGGCAAAGAGAAAGCTGCACAGACGCTTATTACTGTACCGACTTTCTTACTGGGCAAAATACCAAAAGGCTTAACCATGCAAGAGGCTGTAACCGTTCCTGACAACATTGTCACTGTTTTTCAGGCCGCCGTCATCGATCTTGGGCTGCCGTTGCCGTGGCCTATCCCGGAAGGGTGGAGTCCACCGGAGGCCGATGCGCCGATCCTTCTATGGGGCGGCGCCGGGAGTGTCGGCATGTACGCCATCGAAGTCTTTAGGCATTGGGGGTACAAGAATCTTGTTGCCGTCGCGAGTACGAAACATCATCGATATCTCACTTCACTTGGTGCAGCAGCTTGTTTCGATTACCACGACCACTATGTGCTTGATAAGATTCGAGAATATCTCGGGCCGAAGGGTGTGCCATATGTGATTGACTGCATCGGACATTTATCGGGCTCATTGGCGCCAATCACCCAACTAGCCGAGCGGGGGACAAAGGTGGCAGTAATGCTGCCTGTTGTCATTGCCGATCCTACCGAAATCCAAGCACCTATTTATCAAAAGACTGAGCCTGCGGAGGGCCAGTGGAAGGATGGTGTCATTGTAAAGGGCGTCCGAACGCACTCTTATCTCAAGGTAAGCAAGAAAAACTGAAATTTTTGCCAACTGCATTCCTGCTCGGTGTGCAGAGAAAGTTCGTGGCTTACACTCCAGACAGAACAAGCTCTTCAAGGACAAAATGCAATGCGAAATTATCCCAACCCTTCTCGAGCAGAAAGTGGTCCGCCCGAACCCACAGAGAATTGTGGAGGGCGAGACGCTGCTAGAACGAGCTCAGGATGCCATTGTTCTTTTGAGGAACAAGGCCACAAGCGGTGAGAGACTGGTGTGGAGGGTTTCAGAGGACGATGCTGTGGAAGCTCAGATGTCGAATTGGCCAGGTTTTGATCGATCATAGAATGTAATCTGACACATATGAACAATTTAATTTATTCTGAAAACTTCTCTTCATATTTGAAACCTGGAATCAGTTGAGCTTATTTGAAATCAAGAGTGTCTTTGCAGCATTATTTGGGAGTAAGTTGTTACTCTAAAACTTGATGCAAGCGACAAAAGACATTCGGCATTCCAACGACAAACCTGCTGGCCACTTTCGGCCCCTCGCTGCACTTTTAGGTACGGGGACGTTCAGCAGCCGCAATTTGTAGGTCCTGCTCGACTGCTTAGCTGAAAATATACACATGGCTCGTAGGCTATCTTTCTGTAGGTATAGAAGCAAAAGAGTTCTTAAAATTCAAACAATGTGAGCTTCAAAATTCGTGTATCTCCCTGCTCCCGCTAGTTCCTGCGGTTCCGGTGATAAAACTGGCATACTTGCTTGCAAGTTTGGTGGCAACACTGGTAGTTCTCTACTCTCAAGTGGAAGTGAATGCTCTAAGAGAAATCGCACCATCCACCCGTCTAGCTTGTAGGATTCGAGAGTTAAGAGACAGACGGTTTGAAAGAAATTCAACCGGTTGATCTTTGGGAAAGATTGTTAGTGTTTGTTCCCGTGTGTCAGTCATTACAATAGAATGGAAGAAGTTACCATCGCTGTCGTGGCCGGCCAGTAGCGCCGAAGTCGCATTAGAGCGTCAAAGTTGGAATTCAGCTTCTGCCGTGCTTCGGGAAGCTCATGCATGTCGCCAAATAGAAGAGTGTGTACGAGTACTGATGAAGAAACTACAATCATATGGCCGACATTCGAGTAGTTGATTTCGGTCTCCGTTGCCTGGCGAGAGAGACTGAGAAGACTGCTGAAAGAAGTAGCGTGGTGTTTACAGCGAGCAACATAGTTGCATGCATTTGCGTACAAGGTGGGCCGCCGGTGCTGCTCCTCGAGAAAGTGAAAGTAAAGTAGTGTTGAAAAATGGTGATAGGTTAGGTGGAGTGACACAAAGGGCCTAGCCAAACCCTTTCTTATCCAGCGCTCTAGGTTCTCAGCGGTCATCTGCATGTCCAAAGGAATTGAGCGATGCCAGTCTTCGAGCTGCTGCCCGAGCTGTTTGATCTTATCTTTCGTGGCAGATGCGAGGAGACCGCCTGTGGCGATTTGCCGGTTAAGATCCTGGATAGAACCGAAATAGCTGGTGAGTTTGATCATAAAACTCCAGAGGCCGGGTTTTTGAACAATGCTAGAGGGATTCGGATCGCCGGCAGAAAGACAGAAGAATAGAAAGTCATCCATGGGTGGAACATGGCCCTCTTGGTAGTGGTCAGCATCATCCATGCGACAACGGAGGCCAAGTCCAGAGAAGCACCATCGCTCTGCTATGTAGAGCGACCACCATATCCTCCTTGAAGTTTCATGGGTGAGGATGGAGTCTTGATTAGCAAAGCTTCGTGGCTGTCCTAGATGCAAGAGTTCGGCCATGCCGACAGCAATACCTAGTTTCCGTCAGATGGAGACTCTATCGGCGTCTTCTAGGAACTACATTTCTGTTTCCTGGAAAGAGTTTCTGAATGAAACAAAGTCATAGTATGACTTACGAATGTATAGTGCTCCTGAAGAAGGCTGGGAGTTCCCGGAGCTGAGGGCCGCCAACACGATGCATGCCTGCACGTTCTCGATGCAAATGTTTTCAAGATCCGCGTGTAATAACCTCTTGGCTTCGGCAGCAAGTGAGTCTTCTGCTGCCCTCTTACCATTATCTGCGGCGAATTTGGATCCTAGGGCGCAAATAGCGTACAGCACAGTCTTGTTCACTGTACCTTGCCGCAACTGAGTCCGCAGTGTGTCTGGATGAAAGATGCTATGGCATCCACCATGAACTTTGTCCAGATAATTATTGACAAACTCGGCAATTGTGTCTTGAGAGAGGCCCGCGAGTGGTAGTGGTGATGACATTGGCTCCACCATAGGTGACTCTACATGTCTGCCATCAGAAGTCGGCCTCTTCGCCGGTATTACCGTCGCAGCACTGCATCGGAGGTTCCTGTATCGGCACGAGTCACAGACTTCGCAGGGATCCTTCCGAGAGCATTTCCGCTTTGACTCACGGCACTGAAGACAAGCGCGTAGATTCCCCATACTTGCACTCCAAATGACAGCCCGTAGACAGCTGAGAGAGACCAAGAGTTTCGGGGACTGTCAATGAGTGCAAAATGTGCGGATGACGTTGGGAGGCCGACGCGACTGGGTATCAGATTTATAAGCTCATCGGACAGAGTCTCGGAGACGGCAGCCTTTCATTGGGCGCAGAAACGCTAGTGGTCCATCTCACTGATCTCTCCGGACAGGGATCGGAATCCTTGTTATGTTATTCGCTGGTGAGATATCAATACTCTCAACGCCTGTCCATTTTTAATGGATAGCGTGTAAAAGGATCTGGGATAGAGATGAGATAATCCAAGGGCTTTGAAGTCATGTTCGTATCAAATTGAGTGACTGCGATTTGAGTATAAATATCTTGGTATTCTCCTCACCTTGAACTTGTGGCCACTTTGATGAAGATGCTATCCGATACATCATAAGCTAGGAGACTTCACTCACCATAATTCACAATGTCGAGCCTATTGGAGCCTGTAAGGGTTGGGGGCAAACTATCCCTTCGCAACCGTGTAGTCATGGGGGCTCTTACCCGCAATCGCTGCGTCGAAGACAACAAGCCAGGTCCTGCACAAGCTACGCACTACTCTGACAGAGCCCGTGACGGTGCAGGCCTCATTGTCACCGAAGGGACTTTGATCGACTGGACCGGCTGTCACTGGGAACACGCCCCGTTCATGATCACAACCGAACATGCCGATGCGTGGCGAAAGGTTACCGACGCGGTACACAACGAAGGTGGCAAGATATTCTTCCAAGCCTGGCATGCGGGTCGTATTCAGCACGACCAAATGCCTGTGAAGAAGAAGCATGGAGGTGCTGTTCTAGCTCCTTCAGCCATCAAGGCCGAAGGTGGCAAGTATCGCGACCTGCCAGGCAACCCGGTGAGCAAACCCGAAGTAGCGTTGCGCGCAGAGCTGACACTTCCGATTTTAAAGGGGCACACCGAAAATGTCGCGGCAATCGATGATCCGAGAGAAATAGTCAACTTGTACCAACGTTCATGCCAACTGGCCAAGGAAGCTGGATTTGACGGTGTGGAACTTTTGGCCCAAGGGTATCTATGACCTCCTTTCTGAATTGCGAATAACCAGCAATTACTAAACATCATTAGCGGCTACCTGCCACAACAGTTTCTCAACAGGTGAGAGTTTGGCTTAATATCCTATTGTTTGAACATGCCTAACGGGAACTCGCACAGCCGTGCCAACAAGAGGACGGACGAATACGGCGGCTCGGTGGAAAACCGATGTCGCTTTGTTTTGGAAGTTGTTGATGCCGTTGCGGCCGTTTTCGGTGGCCCTGAATTCATATGTGTCAGAATCGGCCCAACCGACCACTTGAACGACTCTGTTGTGACTTTCGATGAGATGCAGGAGACGTACAAGTACCTGATCAGTGACTTGGTCAACCGCAAGGTTGGAATGATCAATTTGTGTCGACGCGGCGCCGAAAACAACGGGAGCACTGAATTTCTTGGCATCAATCGACCTGAAGGCTATCCCCTCCCTAAGGGTTACGATCCTATCCTTGATTTTGGGAAGATTGTCAAAGGTCCCGATAGTTCGACACTGCTGATGGCCAATCACGGCTACACTGTTGAGGAAGCCGATTGCTTGATTAGAGAGGGCAAGGTCGACCTAGTCGCGTTCGGCAGGCCGTTCTTGTACAATCCGGTAAGCCATATTTGATAAGTCTTTCGATGTGTTGATCTAATATCGTTCCAGGATGTCGTCAATAGAATCAGGCATGGCATTGCATTTGCAGAGAATGACCGTGGAAGTAACGTCTTTTACGGTCCTTACCAGACTGCTGATGAAAATTACAACGATTGGCCTGCAGCTATGGTATAGAAGTATCTTCATCGTTTTATATATGATAAAGTCGTAGAAGACGGCATAAATACATTTCTGTCATTGTTTAGCTGACAATTTTGAGCTTGAATACAACCTCACACAGCCTTTTTGCTCTTTCTCCAATGTGATCTGAAAACCTGGGCAGAGTCAAAAGCGAACTACAATCAAATGGTGCCTGCGTTCATCTTTTAAGGTTTTATCTTAATCAAAGCAGCAAGGCACTGCCGCGATTCTCAAACCGGTTTTACCGGAACCGTGCTTGCTATGACAACTGCTGCAGCTTCTAGCAAATACAGCTTCCTTCGAGTAAATAGTCCGCCACCTATATCTACAGTGGAAGTGGCTGTGAGATTGACAGAGAGTCCTATTGAGAGCTCGAAAGTCCGATCATAAGAGGAACTCGCTGTCTGGTCGCCTAGGCTCGTTAGGGTTGTCATATGATGCCGATAAATTCCAGTAGAGGGTATTTTCTCCACGAAACCAAGTCAAAGCCTGCAAATGGCAGGCCCCAAGAGCTGCAGAACACTCCACAATATACTTCGGTGGCGTCCAAGAATTGAATAAATGTGCGGTCTTAGAAAGAATGTCATTACCTCGGGCGAAGCTCACACTTGTCTCGGGAGGCCTGTTAAAGGTGGCCAGTGGGGTACGGCAGCAAGGCAGAATCACACTTTCTATGCCTGCAATATCATTTAGTTCTAGGCATAAAATATAGGGGTATTTTCGACTGCCACTTCTAGTTTAAGGAAATCTCCATTCGATCGCTATATAGAGCAGTTGTATAGGTGCCTTCAGACAGCGGAAGGGTGTAGTCAGTTGCAAGCTCAGTTAAAAAGGGTAGAGCAGATTTGATCTGTCACCAATATCGCCATATTCTGCTGTTGCACACAGTCTTTGGACAAAAGAGGGGAAAAAAAACAGCATCGGCATTGCTTAAGAGATTGCAAAGAATCACATTATACGTGACAACAAGGTGTGGAATTGCGACTTGGTAGAATCTGCCTTGCTAGGTTGTTTCCCCACTGGTAAGAGCCAAGCCGGCAACAGTTAGGAATAGAATGCGAATATTTTTTCTAAGCAAGTGGGAATAGGTGGATACGTGAAACGCGCTGCGGTTACTCTTGACAGTGTGGCCGACTGTTCCCCATTCCGTCTTCAACAAAAACAATCAAAGATGCTTTCTTGAGCCACCTGCATGACATCTGGGAGGTGATTAGTCAGTAAACAAAGTTCTTTGAAGAGATGGAATGCCACGTGGAACTCCGCATATCATCGTAATGGTGGGTAGGAAAAACGAGCTCCAGTTTAGGCACCATCCGTTTGAGAGCTCAAGTAGCGTGATTGTGATGATACTGTTGTCAAATAGACTGTTCGTCAGCGGGGTGAAACTACCTTACTAGAGGTTATCGAGTGGTTAGCTTTGACGCAATGGCATTCACGTTTTGCTCAAGTCAAATATGACGTTGCGTTTAACGGATTCGCTGTTCCTAGCAAAGTGGGCAACTCATTTCTACCCTGCAGAGTGAGAGCTTCAGATATGCCGTTGAATTAACAAGGAGGGTGGCAGTGCCATGTAACAGCATAACCCCGGAACTGACGGGGCATTTGTTTCTTGGTTGTAAAGTCAATTGGGCGACGACCGAGTTCTATTGGTGGATCTAGAGACCCACTTCGGTTCCCTAACCATTGGATTTGAGGGATGGATTACCTCATCACAAGCGAAAGGGGAGGCAGCCAATGGTGATTTTGCTAAGGCAGCGTCCGTACCTGTGGGTGTTTTCCATCGGCGGTGGGCGGGTCCAGGCCCCACTAGTGAGCCCCCCGCTCTCCACACACAGTTAGCGTGGTTCCTGTCGTGCCTGTTTCCTTTGCCATTTCAGCCCTTCACCCGCCTCTTCTGTGCCCTGAGCTGTCCATCACTTCCCAGTCTCGTCCAAACTCACTAGGGAACCCCCCCATCGGATGGCTACGCCCATACGCCCATCTTGAGGGCTTAATGTACGCTGACTAGCTCATGATAACATCGAATAACAACGGATGAGCGGCAGCTAGACCATCGAAATTTCAGATAAGCCCAACAAAGAAGAAGAGCGGAGGCTGCGCAACGGTCGGCCACCGAAAACCGTCCAATCCATCCAGCCCAATCAATCCCACCCAGCAGCATCGCCCACCACGCTAAAAGCTGCAAGGTCGCGGCGGTTTCCAGCCGGTTTTTTTTAATGAGGCGACTGTCCCCAGCCCAATTTCCATCTTCTGTCAGCATCTCCAAGCTCGCGACGTCAAATACAATTATCAAACCAACAGCGTTGTCGCGTCGCCGCCCTTCCCGGATCTTGCGCGAGAGACATGTTGTGGGAGATCTGGCAAGATGAACATTGTGAGACACTGCCCTATCATCATCCTTCTCTCTCTCTCTCTCTCTCTCTATCTCATCCATTCCTTCAGCTAACCGTAAAACAGCCGGTCACTGGCCAAGGTGACGATCGAGTCGGCTCCGCCCGGGATAACTCCACGGGTGGAACCTTGAGCAAACTGCCGTTCGATGGCTCTGACTCGTCATCTTTAATGTCACTCCTTACTACTTTCATTCCCGTTCTCGTGTATGCCGTCGTCTGCGTCTTGCTATTCTGGGTTCTTCGTCGGAAAAGCGATCGCGTATACTCTCCACGCTCGATTCTGAGAAACTTCTTCTCCCAGTATGGCTCTCACTGTCCGTTCATCGTTATGTTGCTCCAACTGACCGGCCGACAGTGAGCAAAGCTTACCCCTGCCGACGGGTTGGCTAGACTGGATCAAACCATTTTGGAATGTTCCTGATACTTTCATCCTCAATCACTCTTCTTTAGATGCCTTCCTGTTCTTACGCTATCTCAAGGTTCTCGCCTTGATATGTGCTGTAGGTTGCGGCATCACATGGCCTACTTTAATGGCAATCCACGCCAGCGGTGGCGGTGGACTGTCACAGCTCGACCGTATCACTATCGGTAACATCAAGGACTCGCATATATTCTTCGTCCATGCTCTTGTTGCCTGGGTCTTTTTTGGTACCTCCTTCCACTTAGTTCAATCTACTATGACATACTGATACTTCTCTGCAGGCTTCATCCTTTTCACCATATACCGTGAATGCATATACTACATTAATCTTCGCCATGCCTATTTGCTATCACCATACTACGCCAAACGATTGTCTTCGAGAACAGTCTTATTCAGCTGCGTCCCTCCCGAATACATGGATGCCGCCCGTCTGCGAAAGGTTTTCGGAGACACGGTCAGAAACGTTTGGATTCCTCGAGATACGAGCGACCTAGAAAGGCTAGTCAAAGAACGTGACGAGACCGCCACACGTCTGGAGAAGGCTGAGATCCGTCTGATAAAGATGGCGAACCGGCGGCGCAATAAGCAGTTAAAGGAGGAAGCGAAAGCGGCTCTCAATCTCGAAACCGTCCCGAGCCCGGTCCCGACCGGAACATCTGAGCAATCGGAGGACGCCGAGAAAGGCTTCCCTTACCACCAGAATACCATGTTACCTGATGTCAACGGCTCCGTTGCCGCCCAGTGGATTGGAGCTAGCGAGCGGCCCTACCATCGCCCTTTGGCGAACTTCTTTCGTCGCGTCGATACCATCAAGTGGACACGAAATCGCATCAAGGCACTGACAAAGCAGATTAATAAGCTTCGTCGAGGTTTCCTCAAAGGTGAAGGCAACCGCTTGCCTGCCGCTTTTGTCGAGTTCTCTTCTCAAGCCGACGCGGAACGGGCATGCCAAACTCTCATGCACAACCGGCCGTTGCATATGTCCCCGCGGTATATCGGCATGCATCCTGACGAAGTTGTGTGGAGCTCGCTAAGGATGCAGTGGTTTGAACGCATAGTCAGGGGCTTTGCGATGCGAGCACTTATCGCTGCTGCCATCATCTTCTGGTCCCTGCCATCGGCCTTCGTTGGTGCCATTTCGAACATTACGTTTCTCGCCGATACTTTTCCATTTCTCAAATGGATATTGCAACTGCCCCAAGCAGTCACTGGCATCATTAGCGGTCTATTGCCTGCGCTAGCCTTGTCCTTCTTGATGGCTATCGTACCGTGGATATTAAGAGGTGAGGCTGCAATCCGTCTTATGTCCGTCACCGCTCTAACACTCACTAGGTTGCGCCCGCCTGGCCGGTGTCCCATCCTTATCCTTGATTGAACTGTTTGTTCAACATGCATACTTCGCCTTCCAAGTGGTCCAGGTCTTTCTTGTCACGACCCTCACATCTGCCGCCTCCGCCGCACTCGCCCAAGTCCTCAAAGACCCCTTCTCCGCCAAAGACCTCCTCGCCGAGAACCTCCCAAAAGCCTCAAACTTCTACATCTCCTACATTCTGATCCAATGCCTGGCTGTCGGCGCCGCGTCTCTCGTCCGAGCCTTCGACATAGTCCGGCATCACATCCTCGCCAAGAGCTTTGACAACCCTCGAGGACTCTTCAGGATATGGCATAGAGAGCGTCCTATCCACTGGGGCGCCATCTTTCCTGTTTTCACCAACATGGGCGTCATTGGTGAGTCTCTCAGCTGCTTCCGATTATTCTTTTACTGACTTCTGCAGCTATAAGTTACTCGTGTATCGCACCGGTGGTTCTCGGGTTCGCCGCTGTCGGCCTCTACTTGATCTACCTTGTTTACAAATACAACCTTACCTACGTCAGCAACTCTGCCATCGACACTCGCGGGCTCGTGTATCCCCGCGCACTCATGCATCTGCTGGTAGGACTTTACCTTTCCATCGTCTGCCTCATTGGTCTGTTCGTTCTACGTGAGGCCTACGCCCCAGTAGCGCTCATGGTTGGCCTTTTGGTTTTCACCGCTTTGGTTCACATTTCTCTACGAGAGGCAGTGGCGCCCTTGCTCTATAGCATCCCTCGGGCACTTGCTATGGAAGTCGAAGAACTCAATAGTGGAATGAGTGTGCAATACCCTCAAGACGACTTCCTCACAGATATCGACATCAACAATTCATACCCCGATTTCATGGACCCCGCCGACGATTTCGACGGCCCAGTCCACGAAACGAACGGCACTCGTGGCGGCGTCGAAGGTGCGAGTGGTTTGATGGTCTCTATCAGGGACTGGTCCACCGGTGCGCTCCTCAAGAAAGCCCAGGAAACGGCTACCAACTGGGGTCTGGCGGGCCCCCTTGGCTATCTCTCATACTGGGTGTCGCCCGACCCATCCATCGAGCCCAATTGCGTTCTTCGATGGCTGCATCCCGGCATCTTTGACGATTTTGCTACCCTCCGCCGTCTAATTCCTAATGATCTTCCGGACCCCACCATGACCTACCCTCCGGATTACGCCCGCCGTGCGTATTGGCCACCGGAAATGGCGTCGCCGCCCCCAACGGTGTGGATCCCCCGAGACCCGGCCGGAGTCAGCCTCCAGGAAGTGGAGCACTGTCGTAAGGTGGTGGGTTGTACCGACGAAGGGGCAGAACTCAACGACAAGGGTCGGATAGAAGTTGATTTGCAAAAGGCCCCGTTTTGGGTGCCGAGAGTATTATACTAGAGTTTAATGAATAGCGTGGCGCTCGGTGTTTTTTTCGTTGGATAAGCGATCTAATGATAGATGTTGTTTTTGCGTTTTGCAATACAGAAATTCTCAATTCTCGTCAAGCTGGTTGCGTCCAGAGTTACATTCCGGCTAACCTAGAGTGAAGAGGGTTACAAGGCCACCATTCGACGTAGTATTCGTATGCAAGGTGCCTGCTTAGTGACACGCGGCAATTGAAGCTGAAGCACAAGCCGTCTGCGACATCATTTTGGTACAAAGAGAGCCCAACCTACGGCATGTACGCCATTGATATACGTATACAGATGCGACTAGGGAAAACAAAGTACGGGTAGGGGCTTCTCTAGAGGCGGCCGAGCCGCCTGAGCACGAGATGAGGACGAATCGGCAAATAAAGCTGAAGCACAAGCCGTCTGCAATATCTTTTTGTTCCAACCTATTTAATTGAACTCTATGGGCTGATACTACACTAGAATATCGTGTCCTGTAACCCCTTCTGTAACTTTTTGTACTAGAAGAAAAGTATCTTCATGTCCAGTTGTACCGTCGCTCTGCGTGCTGCCGTCATATTCCATTGCATGCACCGTTGCACCTCCAGCATATCTCATCAGCATGTAGACATGTTGAAGCCATGTTCTAAACCTTAATCGGAATCTGAGGTATGAGATATGATTGCGCAGGCAAGTTAGTATTGAAGCAAGTCTTAGGTTGTAGTGGGCACCTCTGCCAAGCCTCCAGTTCGAGCTATTATTGTAGGAAAAAGTGAGGTCTGGAGTATTCTCCTTGTCCACAACGACACTATGAGCAGTCAGAAACGAGGCTGACTTCTGCTAAATAACGGGCACTTCTTATTTGGGGCGTGTTGGGAGTATTCGGCGTATATGTCAGTGGCCGTTCATTGCCTATCGAGGAACAAAATGAGGCAATGATGAAGATTCGACCCTCAAGCCGTTGTATTGACGCAAATGATCGCTGTACAATAGTCACAGGAGCCCCCTTTCTCCCTTTCCAAGGACGATTTTACCGTCTGCCCATTTTCTTGGACAATTGTTTCGGCGGATTGTGATTCATTCAAACGGCCTACAACCTTTAATGTGAAAAGAATGCTCATCACCATCTTCTTTTCCAACGCTGTTATGCGCGTCACTATTGAAATGAAGGTTGCAGGTTGATGATGCCTCAGGTGAATGCAATATATGCACCCAATAAGAGTTCCTCACCGTTCATGTCACTTGACCCGAACTTGGTGCCCTGCTGTACTCGATATCATCGCCGTGGAGTCATTTCATATTCAGTTCAAAACTACTCAGCTTATACCCGTCACCACAGTCATTCCAGCGAATCGCCAAAGTTCCGACATGTATGCACACACCCCCTCACACTGCTAAAACAATAAGAATTATGAACGTCCTCTCCTCGGAGTCTCATCTGAATCAATCAATAAAACGAAGTCACAATTAGAGCAAGGATCATCCTTATATTTCCTAAAATTTGGCTTGCGTTGTGGCTAAATCAGGCGCTTCTTTATAAGGCAAGGAGATTTGACATAGCACCTTAATGTAGGACTGTGTTAGCTTCAACGATATTTGTTCTCTTTACTTTTCATCTAAGTCTACCTAATTGGTTGCTTGGGCATGGGTGCCACTGTTATTGCCACATGAAATTCTGTGTACAGCTGAATCACAATAACATCCACGCTGAGCTGACATGTGGAAGGCTTTAGAGGGCACAAGAGTAATGGCACCTCTTTTCGCAACGGGCCGCACGCGTAATGGTATGCCCGGCCCTCGGCTTTGAAGATGACTGCCACTGGCTGAGATCGGTGGGTACGCAGCAATCACACGGCTTAGCAACTCAAGACTGCCTAGCCGAGTTTGCACTCCCTTGATTGGCATTTTTCCATGCCTAAATGCAATGGGTTCTTTTTATGTGAAATCATTTAGTACAGCTTGAAAACACAGCAGTAACTTTCTTCTCTCCCAGCCAAAACTCACATGAGGCTATCCTGTTACTTATTACCCACCAATCAACATCGGAAACAAGGGCATGGGATGGCGAGTCCTGCAGCAGGCTGCTGGAGCCTGATTACCCAAGACCGACATTCCCCTTTCAACGTTTTGGCAACCAGGTGCCTTGCCTGTACCACGACTTATTTTGATAACGTCTTTTTCTGAACTTATGTGATTTGACATTCTCTGAATTTCCTAGCAAACGACTGTTGAAAAGGGGATCGTTGTGAGTTATATCCTTTGCTATCTGACCATAATCGTGGTTGCAGCTTCAGCGCAATCTCTCTACTTTCGGCACCCTATCTCCATTATGGAGGCGCCACCTTGTCAATCTTATTTCGTCCATACAAAGTGGCCCTGCATTGGCAGCCAGTCGCGAAATTCATCACTTCCTCGAAGACAAATTCAAGTCCAAGAACGAATAGGAAGCCCCCAAGATGGTCATTCTTACGTTGCTGCTCGTCTTGGCGGCAGCATTTCTGGCCACGTCACTCACACCCTCTTTTTGTCTTTAGGCAGCCATCACCAGCCTGCAAGCCATAGGCGTTGCGGCGATATGTGTGAGCCTCTCCGCTTAGAACTTACCTCAGCGCCTTATAAGTAAGTCCATGCTGGTTCGACACCGACCATCAGATCCGAATTACTGCCACAGCCAGTGCTATTGCGGGCAGACTAGCATACAGTGATTGTGGACTCATGCTCATATTGCCAGATTCCCCGCTGTTCTTGTTGCTGAGTTGACAGTGTTATAGCCAGACAGCATCACAACTATCGCAAACATCCTCATTTGAATAAAACCGACGACTGCAGAATACCCACACCCACGGCGTCGAGGTTTCAACAAAGCGATCGGCAGAGAAAATCAGACTATATTTCCCTTTAGCCACCACGTCACTGGTTAATCGGTGTCCCAAAACTTCCGTTTTCTTCGGCGTGCGCCTCGTTAGGATATGAGCCAGCCAAGGTCAGGGGCTTCGCATCCAGCACAAGGGCCTTTCGAATGGCCAGAGAGATTCTCCGAACGCCACAAAATCTCCTACGAATGGGAAAATTTAGCATGGAGTAAATATTGTGGAACCATGCTGCGTTTTGAAACTCCAGAAGATGAAATCAAGTTCTTCCTGCAACTTGACGACGATTCTGCAAGACACGAAGGTCGGGTTCGGCCTGTTCTGGACATATGCTCTGATACACGGTTAGGAGACTTGCTTGAAGGTGACAATGATGGACCACAGAAGAAAATGGGGTGGTTAATAGACGGGAGCTATAATGAAAAGGATGGAAAGTGGACTTCGAGGCCATGTCTCGGAGCACTGTCGGCACGACAGTTGGCTTTCGAGCTACTGAAAAAAGTAGAACGTTTCTTAATAACGGTCGAGTTGTTTTTGAGGCGCCCATCAACTAACCAACGTCCTACATAGAGATATGCAATTCCCGGAAAGATCGACAACGAGCCAATCGACGCAGAACGTCGGCTGATGTAAGTGGTTATTGTGCTCTTCTTTTGAGACTATTGGCTGAATCTCCTTAGCTACATCACTGACCTTGACTGCTGGAGTATCCTTGCACTCGTTAAAACAGCTCCTGAATCTCTTGCCAGCCTCCTGGGAGATTTCCTCCAGAAGCATATATGCGCCAGAGCCTCTGTTAGTGTATCATTTGCTGTAAGTTCAACTCTCTGTAATTTGTCATTCCTCAATGCTCAGAAAATTTCGACAGTCTATTGGTCCCCCTATCTTTGCCCTTAACTTTCACATGCCATTTCGTGTCTGGCGTACCAGCAACGAGTTACTGCGTGATAAGCGTATCAAGAAGTCCAATGGAAAACCTCTCCGAACCTCCCACGACGTGTCATTTTTAATGTCTTCATTAGCCACTTCCGAAAGTTCTGAAGTGCATGGTATTTACGCAGGACACGTTGCATGCATGGTTAGTGGTCGTGACAAGTGGAGGTGGACCGCCCATCTAGCTATTGACACATGGTTTGATATGGACGAAGATATACCAGGCAAGGTTATGAGGTATCATTATGACCTTGAAGAAAGTGGAATAGAGCTAGATCCCCTCAGTTGTGGAAATGACGACGCAAAATTGCCAATATTGGATCCAAGGACATACTTCCTCAGGATTGTGGGAATTAGGTTTAGCCATATCAAAGGTGAATCGGATTTGCTCTTTCAAAACTGTAATGAAGGAGTCACCAATCTTGTGAGTTTCTGTAAAACCTATCGGAGACAGAATTATGACATCTAATATAACGTTTAGTTTCAGGGCCAAAAGCAACTTTTCTCTAAACTCCGGCCTTTTTCAAGCGGTTCTGATTTCGAGAAGCACGAAGGAGAGTTCGAAACGCTAGAGAAAAGCCTTGAGGAGTTGAAAGAAGTGCTCAACGAGTCGCTTGATGATCTCCATGAGACACTGAAAACGGTTGAATCGTTCCTTTCCTCAGAGGTCTATTTCTTTTCGAACCACAACGGGCAACCTGGTGATGCTTCAGAATTCTATCCCTTTCTATCTAATATCCGCGGGGATTTTAATGAGCTTGCGCGGCTTTTCGGATTCTTCAACAGCCTCAAAGATAAATGTGACGATATGATGGAGAATTGTAATGCGGCAAGGATGGCACTACTAATCAAAACTGCCCAATTTCCAAAGGTAAGATTATGATCTAAGTGTCCCTTATGAAACCTCAAGATTATTGACTTGATAGAAATTGAAACGGCAATCAGCCAGAAGTAGTAAGTTCACAAATGTAAGCAGTCATCGCTTTTGAGCCGTTTCTTTGGCCAAATCTTTCGCAGCTAACAAGTCGCGAGGCAACTCCTCTTTTCACGCATAACATGGCAGAAGGTACCAATGACAATGCTGGTTTTCAACGGAATCGGCGTCCAATATCTCCTACGAGTGGCATGCGTTTCAATAGTAATCGCAAACATCCTGAAGGTCAACGTTTTGGATAGGCGTGCCCTAAGGGAAGCACAAGGTGCCCACAGAGCGAGACTGCATCGATATACTGGAATTACATTTCGCGTGCATCTGTCGAAGGAACTAGCCTTCACTCATAACACCATCAAGAGAAAGTTTTATGACCAAAAAATTCGGATTTTTATAAAAACTTCCTTATTTTATCACTGTCTAGCATTCTGGAAAGTTTTAGAAACCCCGCTGAACGGCATGCTGACTTTACACTTTCGTCTGGCCCCAATGGCTATTGCGTCTTCCTTTTATGCTATGTCTGCTTGCTCTTGTGTTAAAATTGCAGCATGGCCTTGGTGCTTAGCAACCGAAACTCGTCACACTTTTTACATAGAGCTTATTACAAAAACATGTCTTAAAATGAAGAATCTTTTCTGGTCGCCGTATTTGACTGTCCATACTACTAGGCTCAGCTGGGCTGCCGCACATCTGAAGTACGCATGTGCTCAATATTTGGGTTCCTTAGAAACTGGGGATTATTCTTTTTGCTTATATTTTGATATCTGCATAGTCGCAGTGGCTTTTTGGCGTGCTAAGTCTTTGAATATATCAAATTCCCCGCGAGATGCTCGAGATTACCACATAACCATGGACTCTTTAAGGGGGAAAAAAGAAAAGACAAAAAAGAAAAGAAGGACGAGGAGTTACGACGTATATTTCTCATCAACCCTGAGTTCCTAACACACGAAGTAAAACCAGTCAGCCCGCTCTTTGCATCATAAGACTGAGAACGCATTGGCTTCGGCGCAACATCGAGAATCTTAGAAAACGTCATTTCCCCACCGAATCACATGTCTTTTCCTACGTTTAAGATAAGAATTGCCCTACATCAATTCTGCGTAAATCTAGTTGGAATCGCATATGCGTAATTCTGAGTCGAATAAAAGAACGGTTGATTCCATTTTCTCTTGAGATTAAGAAGACAGGCAGAATGACTTTGAATCCTTGGCTGGTCATACTGGTTTGAGTAGACACATGAGACAGAAGGAGGGCCAACGCAATCTTCAGACACAATTTTGAGCACTTCTATTCTTTTTCTGAATCATAATGTATTCCCTAGGTAGGATCTGATCTTGGGATGTTCTCGGTGTTCCAAGCTTAGCGTACACCTTACGTTAGGATCTGCCTCTGCGGCAAACACCAACGACTGCCTAAACTAAGGACAAAAAAGAGGTTCGATCATGCTCGCAAAAAATATCACTAATAGTATGGGGACGAATAAGCTTGCGGAAACAATCTGAGATGCAAGCGGGCGCTACGCTCATTCACTTCCATTAGCTGTGGCATTCCTGTCGCACGGTGGGCTGATAGCTTAGCCGTCATCAAAGCAATTTACGTTGAGGGACACAAAATTGAGACGCATCCCTTTGAATGCTTGCTTTTAAACTGTGTTGTGGTACGATTTCGCCTTTCTCGCCGCTGTTCTTCACCCTTCAAGCCACTGGGCTCTGTTGGGCCGCCACGTGTCGGACGTACATATGTGCTGACACCCTTGGCTTTCGTGTGAGTTGTTTCGGGCAAGCCTATCGGTCAGAACTGTGGTCTTGTCATGAAGAAAGACCAATGGGAGCTTCTTAAAGCTTTGAAGTAAGGCGACCTATCACAGTTTTTGTTTGTTTCCGTGGGCGAACAGAATTCATGCACTCCCACACTGGACATTTGAATTGATGCCGGTGAGGCGACCAACTCAAGGCTGCATTTATGTCCAATCCATAGCTCCCGCTTTGGGCGAACGGTAACATTCTTCATGCCTAACCATCCCACCCCACTCGGTGAAAGCTTAGCCTCCGATGAAGAAGGAGTCCAAAGTCCCCATGTCATTTGTGATAAGGGTCATTTTCTGTTTTTGTCCTCTTTCTCATCAAACGCCGTAGCACAAAGTGCAAGATACCAAATAGCAAGCAAACGGTAATTATGGCAACTCTCTCAATTAACGGTCTTCAATCATCCCTCGAGAGGCTGAGCCTTGACACTCCTCTTCCTTCCTTTCCTGTTGCCGACGTCCTGGTGCGGCCACTCGACATATTCCGATCTTACATAGCACAAATCGTGGCCGAGATCGCGGAATGTGACCCCGCGCTTGCGTATGACGCTGTTCAAACAACAGCAACCATTGCCATGGGCGATCTGGCAGTCATCCTTCCTCGTCTCAAAATCAAAGCAAATGCAGATGTCGCGGCAAAGCTTCTCGATAAAGTATGTCCTGACTGTCTCAGCTAGCGAATTCCTGCTAAAGAAGGAGTTTTTTTTTCCAGTTTCCTAAGTCTCCCCTCTACACGTTCCCTTTCGTCGACGGCATCCATATCCGAATCTTCTCTTCTCCCTTCACCCTGCCCAGACTTCTCCTACCCTTTATTGCCGATCGCAAAGAGCTCTACGGAGGCGACAAATCCTTTGGTCAGCGAGATGCATCATCTCCGGACCTGGGACGGCAGAAGGTCGTTATCGACTTTTCATCCCCCAATATTGCTAGCCAGTTTGAAGGCAGGCATCTTCGCAGCACCATAAATGGCGCTGCTATTGCCAATCTGTATGAGCAAATGGGATGGGAAGTTGTTCGGCTGAACTATCTAGGGGATTGGGGCCAGCAAGTTGCCCTTCTCGCCGTCGGCTGGGATAGGTTTGGTTCTGAAGAAGAGTTCCAAAAGGATCCTATCCGGCATCTCCTTGATGTATACGGCAAGATCGAAGAGGCCTTCAAACCTGAACTCGAAGCAAGTCACAAGGCCAAACTCGATAACAAAAGTACGGCCGAGATCGAATCCCAAGGAATCTACGCTGAGCGTAACGCCTTTTTCAAGCGCCTTGAAGACGGGGATGCTGATGCAATGGCATTGTGGAAGAAATTCCGCGACGTATATGTCGAGGACTACACCAAAGCCTACGCTCGACTGGGCATCAAGTTTGACGAATACCATGGCGAGTCCCAGGTAACATCCGAGTCTATTGCTCAGGTTGAGGCTGTCCTTAAAGACAAGGGCGTTCTCGAGGAGAGTGAGGGATCTTGGATCATTGATTTCAAAAAGCATGGTGCGAAGGGGTTGAGCACGGCAGTGTTGCGCAAGCGCACCGGTACCACCATGTATCTTTTGAGAGACATTGCGAACGTGCTTGATCTCGAGAAGAAGCATTCATTCGACAAGATGATTTACGTCGTCGCTTCAGAGCAAGACGGTCACTTTGCTCGTGTTATCAAGGCTATCGAGCTCATGGGTCTCGTTGAACTTGCTAAGAAGCTCCAGCACGTCGGCTTCGGTAAGGTTCAAGACCTTTCTGCCCAGCTTGGCAATGCGCATTTGTTGGGAGACATGCTGGATCAGTGTGCGGCAGCTGTGAAAGACGCAATGACGGCAGACCAAAATAGCGAGGCTCCCCCTGCTGCAGCCGAGCCCTTCGGTATCACATCTCTAATCGCGCAAGATATGCATACCAAACGCAGTAACGGATACTCGTTCGACAGCAAGAAAATGACAGAGTTTGAGGGAGAAACGGGTGCTGCACTCCAACTAGCATATACTCGCCTTAGCTTGACATTGAAGGAACTTGGGGCAGATCCGACCGCAGTCACGGCGGTCGACTATACTCTCCTCCAGGAGGAGGAGTATACTAACCTTCTTCGACTTATGGCACAGTATCCCGATGTGATCAACGCGGCATATAAGTCCCTCGAGCCGTCTGCAGTATTGTCTTTCTTGTATAGACTGGCTGAACAGCTTATTGAATGCCTCGACTTTGATGAAGATGAAGAAGCCGCCGAAGGACCAGAGATCGATCTTGCTAGAGCAGTATTGTATGAAAATGCAAGACAGGTATTGGAGAATGGGATGAAGGTTTTGGGGATTCGGCCTTTGGTTACTTAGGTTTTAAGGCCTGGACGTGCTTTGGGGTATTAAATTGTTTCCTTTTGGGAAGGTTAGCATGGTTAGCATTGTTTGTTTGCTTTGGGTGAGTATGGCCTAAGGATGTGATTGGAATTTGGCACTTGCTGTTGGGGCTGGTCGATGAATGATGACCTGATGACTGAAATGAGTACACATTGCGAACCATGGGCTGGGCCGGTAGTCGCATGTTGCATTTCTAAACAATTTGAACCCACTTTAGTACATCCATCCGTCTTACATTCTAAGCATTGATGGGAATAAAAGCTGCCGTCAACATCCAAGAGTTCTTAACGTGCTACGGAGGTTGGGCAGCACATTATTTGCAACCGGATTTCAGTGTAGACCGCTGGGTAGATGTTGGAACTCCTTAAGCGTTGGAATGGGGCCAGGCTGATTGTTCACTCGAACAATGACACATTACTTTCAAATTCCTGGTTGGGCAACCACCGTACTTCACTTGAACACACCTTCTCTTTTTGACTAAGTTTTGAGATACCTGTTCGTACCTTACCTTAGGTACTTGAAAAACTTATGAGAAATCTAGCGAGAATATCATCGCCTCTTCTTGTCACACAAAGAGGCGCCTTTCCGTCCCCTTCATCCTGCTGACACTCTCGCCGTGCCAAAACAACAATATTTCCGACTTCCAGCTGAATAATAGCAGAAGTAGGAGGTTTTCAGTTCAAGTTTTCCATTCTATTTCTCATTTACGGCAAGGGGGCAAACTATCCTAGTTGCCTTTTCCAGTCGCTCCTGCCTTTGCTAGACAAGGTGCGTTCCTTCCCCGTCCGCCACCAAGAGAATATTTCACCTCTGCCACGCCCACTCAACCACTGAATCATCCTTCTTTTCCGTTACTTCTCCAAGTTGGCCTTGAGATTCTCACTCTCCTCAAGTCGAAGTTTTGTTTTCTTTCCCTCTCAACCTCCGTTTTACTTCGCTTCCTCCTCCTCCTTCTCCTCCTTCTCCTCCTTCTCCTGCACCACCCCACCGCTTGATGTGGTCTGAGCACCTGACTTTCTCTACTCAGAGAACGAACAACAACTGATTATATTGGTTCTGCTAGCATCTCCAAGGCTTTTCTTACGTTGAATAAGGTGAGTGGCAGTTTCCTCATTTGTTAAATTGGTCATCTCTAACGTTTCGTTGTACTTGCAGCCACCAAACTTCCACAAACACAACTCGATCAACCATCGGACTTGCTCGCTGAATCCCAGCTAACAACTAAATTCCTTGCGAACACTCGATATACCACAGCACAGTTACCTTGTTATTCATCATGTCCGGCCGACGCGATCGAGGTACTACGGTCATCACGGCCGAGGAGCGAGTCCGTCGCGCCACTGAGGCCAAAACCAACATTCGTGAGGCGGTCGCATTCACCCCTGCCCTCCTAGGTCGTGTCCACACTCGTATTGATTCCAACGCTTTCCGCCGCTGCATTTCCGACAACGCTATCTACCAGTCTCTTTGCAACTCTCTAAAGGACAAGAACCTCCCTGAGCGTGAACGCCGCCCGGATCTCGTTGACTTTCTTGCCCTTGAGGCCATCATTCCTGTTCAGTACGGCGGTGAATACAACCGAGTCCTCAAAGATCTCTACATCAGATGCAACACTGAGAACTGGGCTGAGAAGGCTGTGCTTGACGCCAACCATGACTGGTACCAGGACCGGATTGGCGACGCCAAGAACTTCATCCGCAGCATGATCAAAAAGGTCGATTCTCAGCTGTTGGAAATCATTTTGGAAGACATCGAGACCAACTTTTGGCGTGAGAAGGTCCAGGACAATGTTCTTTATAAGAAAGTCACCGTCAAGATGCTGGAGAAGCGCCAGCTCAGTCAGCGAGACGTTCTCACCATGGTCGCTATTAACGGCGGCAAATACCCCACCGAGCTCTTCCGACATCTCGTGGTCAAGCAGAACTCGGAAATGCTCAACTATGGCAACAACCTTCATGCCCAGCACGACCTATATGACGACCAAGAGTATCAGGGTTCCGCTGCTCAAGCTATAATTCCAGGCAATGCCCCCTTGACTCAATCTATTGCTCAGAGTGGCCCCGCCATTGATGGTATCATTGAGCTTGAAGCCATCGCTGAGGCCATGCAGAACAAGCATAAAAGCCGTGAGGTCCGCAAGAAGCTGCAAGAGTTGAAAGAGCTTTTGAAGGACGACTACCCTGCCATCAATGCTGTTCAGAGCGGCCGTGTGCACAAACCCTCTGGCTCTGGTACCCAGCCATCCCGCTTGGGCTCTCGTGCGCGTCAAATGTCTAGTGATACGCGCGATAGAGGCCTCTTCGTGAACCAGGCTGAAAGATACTTCAGCGACAACGATGAACATGAGGGAACAGCCCAGAAGCCACAGGCTACCCGGGAAATGAAGGACGATGAGCAGGCCAAGCACCGACAGGGACCACTGGGTCAGTTGGGCACTCCTGTCATCAAGAAAGAGCCATCCAGTCATGATGAATACCTCTTTCTTTCCCGCACCAGTGCCGCTTCCTACTGATTGCTTTGAGTCACCCGAGAGGGAAGCTAAGGACGACAAAGACAACAACAGGGAAGATGGAGATGGGATGGGGATTGGGACAAAAACTGGTTCTTGCAGTACTTTCATTGGCAACTTTCAAGATTCTTGGCTGGCACTCTTTATCAAAGATTGAGCAATACCGGGGGGACTGTTTATGGTCTGTATGGGATGAGATTTTCTGGTTTTTTCTCTCCCTTTAGGTACTCAGTAGCAATTGGAATCCGTCAATACCGCCCGCCCGCGCCTTAGTTATCCCGCGCCTCCGTCCTTGTCATTCCTCCCTTTCTGTGGCTTAGTTGTCATTCATCATCGCGAAGATCCCCCTTTTCCATAATTTTGAGTGCTATACTACCATGATCCTTTCTTCATCCTTGTCCAGTTGCCTTGAACCGCTCCAACAGAGACTGGTACTGTGTTGCTATATCGTGTAAGATACAGATCCGGACCATCCTACAGCTCTAATAGCCTCTTATTCCTCTTGACGGATCAATGGGCTCTGAGCGTGTCTTTCTATGACGAGTACATTTAGCATTTTGTCCGCTTGTTCCATCATGGAGTGACAGCTCGGGCGCCTGCCTGTCTTATGGACCATCTTGAAGATCAGCCTCTTTCCTTCCGCGCAGGTTATTATGTCATTTTTCTTGATAATATTCCAACAAAACTTGCTGCTGAGCAGTCCAAGATTTCTTTGCCTCCCTGTATTCTACTTTTGGTTCCTTCCACATCATGACTATAGAAGAGGATTAATACATGGTGGTAATATCAAAGGTGTTGTGTCTGACTTCGCGCGAGAGGTAGCGAACAATTTTGCGGGATACTGATACGCGACCGGCGCAGTCTATGTCGTTACAGTCTTGCGCATTATAAATAATTAATAATAAGTCATCCATCACCAGCCAAGCTATGCTTTGGATTCTCAAACAGCTTGCCCAGGTTCCCGCGGATCGCTCGTGACCACGAATTCCGTCTTCTTGACAATGACCGGCGCGTCAAGATGATAATCCGCGCTCTCGTCATCTGACCCCTTCCCTTGCCCTCTTCTTACACCTCCCTCGATACCGACCTCGTTCTCGCTGTGATCGATTCCACTGCCTAGGGGCTGCATCCCGCTCTTTCCCGGCCTCCAGCTCTGCAGTGCGTATCGGCTTCCTACATTTCCTCCGCCGGTTGCGCCACTACGTCCGTATCCGCTTGCTCCGCCGTATTTATTGCTCCTGCTTCCTGATCTGCTCTTCTCGTTGAAGTACTTTACCAGCGGTGCGAGCGTCGGTACGCAGGTTACAATGATGCCGAGGTTGTTCTCGATGGCTGACCACATGATCAGGGGCGCGGAGTCGAGGTAGTTCGAGAGGGAGTGTACGGTTTGGATTCGGATGATTTGGATAATGGTAATGAAAGCTCCGAGTCCGAAGAGTCCGAGAAGAACGAATTTCTTGCGCTTTTGGATTTTGGAGGTTACGAGGACGGGAAAGGGAAGGAGCATTCTGTGGAAAGCTTGTTAGTTTGGAGACAAAGCTGGGGGCCGTAGGACACATACACAACAATATCGAAGAAGATTGTCAAAGATGCCATACTGGTATAGAAGGGAACTCCCGGGATACATGACCCGTTGGTGATTGTGGGATCCCACTGCTTGGCGATCTGTTGTATGTTAGCAGCTGTGCAATGAGTTCTAAGCGTGAATCGTACCGGTGTGCAGAGGTTAATTTGTACGACCAGGAAGGAGATGTGGTAGGCTATGCAGAGACCGATGGTTGCGAATGTGCTCCATCTATAGATTCCTTTGGGTATGAACCGCAAGTAAGACAGAAGCAAACTAAGTTTGAATCCAAGGATACTAGTGATGTAGCTGAAGCCTGTTAGACTCGTCCGCTGCTCTAGGACCATTAAACTTACAACGGCGCTCCAGCATACTGCAAGAGACCAAAATTGAAGAGGTTCTCTGTTGGCATGTCTTCTAGTTTCTTGAGTCCAAGACCCCATTTCGTTTCTTCAAAATCTGTAAGAATCAAAACAAAACAAGCTGTAAGGGGATAAACCTACGAATCGAGCTGACTATGGCAAAACCACAGGCCGCAACCTGCGCAAGGTTAGAAAACCAGTTCTTCGTCTTTAGTTGAACTCAAGCTTACCCAAGTAATAACAATGATCCAGTCATCTACAATTCATAACATCAATATTCTGTACACGCATTTTCAAATCTTTGAACTCTAATGTATGGCTTACCTGAGCCTGCTGCCTTTAGCATTCCCATACGAACGTAGAGTCGCAGTGACATGATGATCAGCGACAGCGCCGTAAATGCCAGCGCGACAGCCGTGATCGTAGGCCCCGTGGACTCTGTCCCCGGCGGGGTATGGTACGTCCACGACTCACTCATCGTGATAGTTTCACGAGTAGCCTCCTCTGGCTCGGCCCAGTGTGTGGCGAAGATTGGGGCTTCGGGGGGAGGCTAGCTTCCACAGCCAAAAACTTGGAAGACGAAGAACGGTTGGAGTCGCCTCCCGTTGCCGATCGAACCGACAAGGCGCCCTAGGTAGGGGAGAGGAAGGGACGAGGCACACAAAATGGACAGAGTGGCGGGCGGACCCCAGATGATATCCGCTTTATTCGGGGAGGCTTCTGGTCCTAACTTTATCGGACAACTTCTCTCGCCTCTCTCTCACCTGGTCATCATTTTCTGTGCCAAAAAGGGGTAGTGGAGGGTACGAGGTAAAATAACAAAGGTTTTGCAAGGCGTCAATTACCTCCCTCCTCGAACCTTTGCTCCCAGGCCATAGTCCCGACCTTTTGGATTGGCTCAGGTACCGAGTGTCTGGCCAAGAAGGCCATCCCCCTGTCGGAGCAAAAGTACGATGTCACACTTGAGGTGACAACCAACCTGCTGCAAGAACAAACTTTGTAGTTTATCTGCTCCGTAGTGCACAGATATGTACGGCACCGTCGACTCCGGCTTCATTACTGGGATCAATGAGGCAACGTCCGTCTGCGAACCCCCACTCCTTCTGGTACAATACACGTTTGTGAGTTCTCCATAACGCCACGAGGGCATAACACGGGGTACGACTCAAACCCTTCTACCTGACCCTAGTCAATAAGCATGTCGTCGGTCGTTACATTTCAGGAGCGTACCCTGCAGACGAACTGGGCATACCTCATATCTCGAAAAAAAAAACTTCTCGTTGGGACCATACACTTCATTACTCCAGGCCTGGCTTGCGAGTATCACATTCTAGAAGGGTTGGGACCGCGGGTTCCTACGGCAGTCCGCAGGGCGCACTGGGTCAAAATTCAAGGTAGTGATAGGAACACCTTATAAGCGTAAACATATGTAATCTCGCGTAAAACGATTTTTGTTTTTATATATTTCTAGGTAAGTATTTACCTTTTTAGGAAATAAGGGTTTACTATATAGAACTATAGCCTCCTACAAGGCTTTATAATAATCCGTCGGAGGTTAGATCTTCCGGTTCCGGTTGATTAGGTATATAGTCTATACGCGCAAATCGATAAATAAATAGGAATTTAGTAAGGCTTAGAACTTCTTCCTTTTCCTTACGCTAAGCAGAGTTTAGGTATATAACCCCTACTATATAGAAATTTATAATACTTTCTATAACGTACATGATAAGCGAGTGAGACAGACAAGCGAGTGAGACAGTAAACCGCGACCGTCGCACCTTGACGCGACCGGCACCTTTTCCTCTACAATAAATCATGGAATCAGCTAGTATTGAAAGAAGGTTACAAATTGCCCTTCAAGCAATGAGAAATGACCCAAAACTTAGTGCTCGGGCCGCAGGTGCACTCTATACAGTCAGTCACGCAACATTAAGCCGGCGACTAAAGGGAATAGTCTCACGACGCGACAGCATGCCTAATTCACGGAATTTATCAGATTTAGAAGAGAAGACAATAGTTGAGTATATTCTCGACCTAGATGCGCGATCATTTCCTCCCCGGCTGAGTGGTGTGGAAGAAATGGCCAATCGACTTCTCGCAGAGCGCGACGCGCCTCCAGTTGGGAAGCGCTGGGCTTCTAATTTCGTCAAGCGACAACCACAGCTTAGGACGCGTTTCTTTCGCAAGTATGACTATAAGAGAGCTCAATGCGAAGATCCAGAGGTGATTCGTGGCTGGTTTTCGCTTGTGAAGAATACAATTGCGAAGTATGGTATTGCTGATGCTGATATCTACAACTTTGATGAGACCGGCTTTATGATGGGCGTTATTGCTTCTGGAATGGTTGTTACAAGTGCTGAAAGGCGTTCAAATACGAAGATGACACAGCCTGGCAATAGGGAATGGGTTACAGTTATCCAGGCTATTAATTCCCAAGGGGAGAGCATCCCGCCATACATCATCGTTGCAGGCCAGTATCACCTCTCAAGCTGGTATACAGAAACCTCTCTTCCGGGCGATTGGGCTATTGCAACGTCTGAAAATGGATGGACAACAAACGAGAGAGGTATTGACTGGATCAGACACTTCGACATTTATACAAAACCACGTACGTCTGGGAAATATCGCCTCCTCGTTGTTGATGGTCATGAAAGTCACCACTCCGCAGCCTTCGAGCTCTTTTGTCAAGAAAACAACATTATTACACTGTGCATGCCGGCTCACTCGTCTCATCTACTTCAACCCTTAGATGTTGGTTGTTTTCAGCCGTTAAAGAATGCCTACGGTCGGCAAATTGAGAATAAGATGCGGCGAGGCACAACCCATATCTCGAAGGAAGATTTCTTTGCAGCATTTCACGAAGCTTTTAAGCAGTCTTTTACGAGGAAAAATATCCAGGGAGGTTTCCGAGGAGCTGGACTTGTCCCTTTGAATGCAGAAAGTGTTCTCTCAAAGCTGGATGTAAAGTTCCGAACGCCAACGCCTGAGGAGGGGGTCCCTCAGACACCAGACCCTTGGATCTCTAGGACGCCGAGCAACCCAAGCGAAGCAAGATCACAGTCTACTTTTATTAAGAGTCGAATCTCACGCCACCGAAGCAGCTCTCCAGCATCAATTTATAGTGCTGTGAGTAAGCTAGCCAGAGGGACAGAAGGACTAGGGCATCGGGTAGCATTACTAGAGTCAGAGGTTCAAATCCTTCGAGAGGAGAATGCAATATTAAGTCGGCGTCGAAGGGCTAAGAAAACACGTCTACAGAAAGGAGGAAGTCTTACTATATCTACTGGAGAGGATATACAGTCGCAAAGAGAGGCAGACACGCAACTACAAGAGGAAACGCGACGGAGTAGTGGTCGCAAAGTGAGGTCTGAGACGACTCATCGTCGGTGTGGCGTATGCGGGAATACAGGCCACAACGCGAGAACATGTCAATTTATTGAGGAAACATCCGAAGAACAGGAATCCGAGTAGTATTAATCAATCTAAGATTTCTTGTTATAGATTTCGATATTATTGTCGCGAAGGTCTGGTTTACTGTCTCACTCGCTTGTCTGTCTCACTCGCTTATCATGTACGTTACTATTTTATAAAGATTTAGTTTTTATCTTTTATTATACTTCTATTTTCTTTTATCTTCTTTATTTTTGATTTTTTTTTCCGATTTTTTAAGCTTTTATATATTTCTATATAATTATTTACTAACTATTAGCTTTTATATAGATTTGCATATCCCTAGGCGCTAGGCGTCGCCCCCGTTATATTACGTATAGTTTTCTAGCAAAGCTTTATAACATCTTATAATATCTTATAACATCTTATAATATCTTATAACATCCTTATAATCCTAAACGATACTCGATATTACTTTATACTACCGTATATTATAGCTTAGGATATAGAGCTAGCTACTAAGCTTATGCCGGATAAGATCGGAGATATAAAGATTCCTACGGAGTTGCCTGCCGAGCTACCCTCTATATATACTTATGCTTTCGGAACCGGCTACTACCTTACCTATATATATACTTTTATAATTCCCTTATAATATTATACTAACTTATTATAAATAGTATTCCTTATACTAGTAATACTTTTATTAATAATATTCTAGATAATAAGGAAGTAGAGGTATAGTCTCTTTATACTTCTATATATACCTTACTTTTTTACTTATATATTATATAGGCTTATAACTTAATTAATATTTGCTTTATAGTTAAGAACGGAAGACGATAAAAAAAAGCGCTTAAGTATAAGCATACGTAGAATACTAACTTTTTCCTTATATACGTATACGGAAATACATGCAAGGGTAAAGACTAGTATAAGAACTATATCAAAGGTAATAGTCTATATAATACCTATATTATTCTAGACGGCTATGCTAGCTATACTAACTATATATATAATTCTAGCGTTTCTAACTATAGCTTTAGTAAGTTTCGTCTTAACCTATATATAACTAAATATAAATCTAATCTATTCTATATAGCCCCGTCCCCCTCGAAGCAACCTGCCGTAGAGATTTATACTTCCGCCCCGAGTAGTAAGAAGTTATATATCTCCTATACGGAGTATAACTTTCTTAACGCAGTCCGTAGCGTTAAGCCTAAGCATATACAACTTATTAGAAATACGTTAGTTTCTATCGTAGACAAGCTTGCTAATATTAAGTATAATATATTATCGTATATATCTAGTACTATCTATATATCTTTGCTAACTATAGTTATATATAGATAAGAACGAAAATATCGAGATCGAGCTTTATTACGACTAAGCAAGACTTTATAAAATCCTATATAACCGTATAATAACTAGAGATAACGTAAATATATATTTATATAATGCTATAGATACCTACTAAGGCGTATAGAATCGGGAATCTAGCATATAGAAACGATAGGTATACTTATAAGAATAGGAGGATAGATATAGGCGTTTACGGTTAGTAACTTTAGTTTATAAGTCGGGTACTTCTATATAGGGTTTAATACCCTTATATAGAAGCGTAAGACTATCTATACCCTTACGTTTTTAAGTTTTTTTTAAGATACTTAATTTATTTCTTTACTAATATCTATATTTTCCCGTTCTCCTTCGTAAATCTCCGTATAGACTATTATAACACCTTACTATAGCTAGCCGGCTACGTATCGACCTTACCCCTTTTTAATCTATTATTACTAAAAGTTTTAGAATAGCTAGACTTATTCTAATATAATTATATATCTTTCCGAATTATTCTAAATTTAGGTCTCTCCGTTAATATTTAAACGTTTCTTATAAAGCTTAAACCTCCGCCGCGAAGTCCGTACAGAATTTTCCAGCGCCTTACTACAACGTATCTTCCAGCTCTTCTTTGATCATAGGCTATCCGATTTAGATATTCTTTTATACTTACGGACGGAAGGCTTCACAGTCTCACAACGTGGCTTAGAAGATATTCGAAAATGCTATAAACTATAGCGCCGTCAAACCCCCGAGTAGCTTTAAGCAGTATTTTACTAAGCTATAAACTTCCTTGCCTTTATAATAAGTAATAAAGCACGCGTTATATAAGACTTTAGCCGAGAATTCCTCTTTATATATATATGCTAACATAGCTATATTATTAGCCGCTTAGTCTTATATAAAGCATATCGTATAGTTTTTCCCGAGGAAGTTATAAACCGACTAAAAGAGATCCGATACCGGCGGAAAGGTTAGACTATGCTAGGTCTAAACTTTATATAGTTACTCGATATATATAATAAACTACTTCCGTTTAGGTTTAAGATATATACTAGCATTGATATATACTCTCGTTATATTATATAGTTTTACGTTAGGTTTTCTATATATACGGCTTGTTTTATATTAGCTTAATATCTATCTATACTTTTATTACAAGGTATTATATTATAAACTATTTGTTTAGACTATAGTATAAAAACTATCTTAACTATTAATAGTTATTAATATCTATTATAAGACTATATAAAGAAAGCCTCTTTATAGCTAGGCTAAGACGTTTTTATTTAGTTCTATAACTATTAGATCTTTAATAAAAGTATTTATAATAGGGAATTGATAGGGACGCATCACGAATTGATAGGGACGCATCATCCTTAGGGACGCATCACATTCTAAGGTTGTGATTGGCTCAAAATTTTATTGTTAGTGCATCCGAATTCTGCCATCATCTAATGAAGTATCTTTCTTATCTTCTTAGCCCATCCCTTCATAACTACGAAAGCGCATTAGACATATTCAATTTATTCTCCTTTACAACGTCAAGATGTCTACCTCTACAAGTCAATCAAGGCCCCAATCGCGTCGCCGACCCAGCAGCTCTAGTATATACAATCAATTGCCTTCTTCCAAGCGCCAACGCCGTGCTATCTCAGTTAGTAGTGATGCCACTATCAGTCAATTCTATGGGGCTGGCGATCGTGAGGGTCAACCTGACCTAATCTCTGAGATTCCACCTGAACAATTACAGCAAGATTCCGACACAAGCTACAACCCCCAGGGAGATGAATTATATCTTCTATGTTCCTTTCCAAAGGGGACAATACGTATGCAGCGTACAATTTTACCTGAACGTCAACCAAAAGAAAGCCAATTAGTATTACAACCTGAAAATCAACCCTTACAACCCACTTCAGATCAGTTCTCTACTGTTCTAAGCCTCATTCAAGAGGTTGTTGGGACAAACCGACGTCTTACGCGTGCTCTCCTCCAACAATGTGAACGCGTTCGTCGATATCGTGAGGCTTGGGGCTACTCACCACACCCTTCAGACATATCCTCAATCGGCGAGTCTCCTCCTCCTCCACCTTATTCACCTCCCCGACAAAGCCCAGAAGTGATAGCGATACCATCTTCTCCAAGTACTTTATTCCTTACTACAAGCGAAAGGTCGAAATCACCTACCCCCGAAACTATTCCAAACCCACCGATCCCTGGCGAACCAGAAGCAACAATTGAAACCCTCCTCGACCGAGTTAATAAATTTGCAAAAGAGCATGGATTTGGGATTGCAAAGTATAATAGATGCTATCGTAAAGGACGTATAATTCGCTATACACTTCGTTGCGATCGATTTGGGCTACCAAAGCGAGGTAGAGGTGCTGGCATCCGAGCCCGCGCATCTCGGAAGTGTGATTGCCAATGGCAAATTATTGCTGAAGCAATAGAGGAGGGGAAATGGCTTTTACGTCAGCATTCCAACCCAATACACAGCCAGCATAATCATATCCCTAGCTTAGCATCATCTGCACACCCAGCCTATAGGAGGTTGACTGAGCCTATTAAGGATGCAGTTGAGACTACTAGTCGGCGGGTTGGTATTCGGGCACGCGACGTAGGTGCTATTATTCAGGAGCAGTTTCCTGAATCTGTTTTCACCCAGCGGGATATCTATAACGCTAGAGCCCGAATCAATCGCGAAAAGCTTAATGGGTATACACCAACTGCAGCTCTAATCAAGCTTTTTGATGAGCGGGAGATCCCTTATATTGTGAAGTGGGCGGATGATGAGCCGAATCGGCTTGTTGGGCTTGTCTGGACGTTTCCATACTCTCTCCGGATGTGGAAGCGGTTCCCCGAGGTTATCAGCTTTGACAACACCTATAACACCAATCGCTTCAAGCTTCCACTCTTCCAAGCTACAGGGCAAACATGTCTTGGATCGGTATTCAATGCAGCATTTGGTCTCATCGATAATGAGAGACTAGAGGGGTTCCAGTTCTTATCGCAGAGTATCTTACAACTCATTAATCAGAACTCTATTCGCCAACCAGATGTTATTATCACCGACTACGACAGACAGATGAAGGCAGCTCTTAACGAATACTTTCCGAATGTGCAACAACAGCTTTGTATTCACCATATCAACTCAAACGTTATGCTTAAAGCCAAGCAGAAGTGGCTTCAGAGCTATTCTAGTAGTAGTGGGTCTGAAGAAGACGATCTAGCTCCACAACCAGTTACCGAACTTAGCGATGAGGACCATGCCTATATCCATACTTCAGTAGATGGGGCTACGCCACATAGCTACCGGGGGGTTCTTATAATGTGGAAGTTGGTTCTATTTGCTGAGACAGAGGATGCCTTTAGGAAAGCATGGGCAAACCTTTGCAAAGAGTTTAAGGACCAACGGCCTATTCTGAACTACCTGCATGGAATATATCTACCACTAAGGGAGCAGTGGGCACGTTATTCTATTCGCCAGTACCGAAACTTCGGCATCCGTGTAACCTCAGGGACGGAATCAAGCAACAACAACATCAAGGGCTATCTTCTTAATGGACTTAGCCACCTATATCACTTAGTTAATGTGATGCAGGATATGCTTAAGGATCAAGAGGTTCGCTTCAAGCAAGCTTGTGCACAGGATGAGATCCTCACAAGCCGTGAGTTTATAGGGAACAGATCTGAGTACCTTGGGGAGCTTCGAACAATACTCTCATCGCAGTGTCTTGGTTTGATTACGAAGCAATACCGTCTGGCAAAGAAGGCTCTACCAACAGGTAGAAATCCATTTCCAGCGCCTCTTAGAGACTGCACAGAGGACTGTACTGTCTCTATAGAGTATGGTATCCCATGCTGCCATAAGATCTACTCTAAACTTGTAGATGGGGTACAGTTTATGAAGGATGAGGTTCACCCACGATGGCGGCTGCGGGAGTCTTCTTCCCAGGATCCATATCGACGGATCCTTGATCCGAAGATTGCAGGAAACCTCCGTGGCAGACCTAAGAACTCAATGCAGCCAGTCCCATCATCCCTATCATTAAGGGATAGCACCCAATCAAGCAACCAGCTAGCTAGACAATCACACAGCCAACTACAAAGTCAACAACCTAGCCAATTAGCAGCAGGGCGCAGGCGTGGCAGACCACCAGGAAGCCGTAATAGGACCACCTTAGCAAGGCTTACACAAGAGACAGCCAGTAGCCAGGCGCCAACCTCTTCCCAGCGGCAGACACGAAGCCAAGTAACTACTCTTAGTACTGGCCGATCAACTGGCCTTCGTTCGAATGGAAGAAGATTACAGGCAAGCATCCGTAGGACGAGGAGTCAATGGGAACTACTTAGTAGTAGTGATGAGAGTCTCAAACGTTGAGGGTAGGGGGGGCATTCTTTATTATTATATAAGAGGAAATAGAAGTAGAAATCAATTGAGATTTATAAAAGCCGTTTCAGTTTAGTTTGATAAAACCCAATTCCTCCTTAGAAGGGAAGAAAAAGACCTACCATTTGAGATTTGCAAAAGCGGTCGTTTAGATGGTTTTGCAAATCTCAAATGGGAGGAATAGCCAAGAAACGTAGGCTAGTAGGGCGGGCCGGCTTTATGTCTATGAAACGGAGGCAGGCCTCTTATGGCTGTGAAAAGGTGGGGCGTTAGCAACGCTGGCCTCACCGCCTTCGCCGACTTGTACCTGTGGGTCACCAAAATTTCTAGCCAATCACAACCTTAGAATGTGATGCGTCCCTAAGGATGATGCTGTCGAATTGAGGGTTCAGAACGATGTATATTCCGTTATGTGTGTAACTGTCTAAGGGCCCTTCAGGGGCGCGTAGGGAAGGGGGTATGCCACCCCCTGACCCGGGGCTCGGCGCTCGGAAATAGTGTTCTGCCGAGCGTTGCCGAAGCCTCGCGTAGCGCGCTCAATCTGACACACCCCCTCAGGGGAGCGCCGAATCGGGGCTTCCCTGCCCTCGAGTCGCCCTCTCCCCCTCGTATTTAGATTACACTGCGTTCAGAGCTCTTCTTTCGCTCATCCCTCGGCTGGTAGGCTTTCTACTGCGCTGTCTCCTCTCCTTCTGCTAAGAGGACGTTTTATACGTACAACTCGCGTACCACAGCAAGTCACGAGCTTCCCGTGGCACTCGGAGCGCGCTTCTCGTGGTCTTCGACCGCCCAGACGTCTTCCTGCGCGGCTCTCTTGGCCCACGCTTCTTCGTCTTCTTCTAATTCGCGTCTCCGATTCCGCTTCAGGAGCTCTGCCTGTTCGCTCATACGGACCTGCTTCCGGAACTCGCGGAACTGTGGGAGCGCGAGACTCTTCGTCAGACCGTCTGCCATAAGCTCTGACGACGGTGTGTATGCCACGGATACGCGCTTCGCTGCGACCTCTTGTCGTAGCCAGTGGTTGTGAATATCCACGTGCCGTAAGCGCGTCTGAAGGGTCACTAGATCCGTTGTCACCAGTCGAACGGTCTGTAAGTTGTCGCATTGGATCTGAATCGTGGGTACGCTGCGCTTTTCTGCGGGAAACGTCGCTTCCGGCGCTTCTTCTGTTGGAAGGTGTACGTTTAGCGCGGAGATCAGGCGGCTTGCAAATAGCGCTTCCTTTGCTGCTTGCGAGAGGGATAGCAGCTCAGCTTCCGTCGTAGATGTGGTGACCGTGGCCTGTTTGTTAGCGCGCCACGCAACGAGCCCGCCGAATAGCTTCATAGCGAGCGCCTGAGAGCTCTTCCGATCCAGGGAGTTGTCTGCGAAGCTGGCATCTGACGCCACGATAAGCGTGTCTTCCTCGCTGCCGGGTTCGCAGCCGTATTCGAGGCAGAGGTAGCGGGTGGAATAGAGGTAGGCGAGCGCTCTGTCCGCTGCGCGTTGGTGTTTCGGCCCGGGATTCTGGTTGAAGCGCGCGAGACGGCTTGCCGCGAACGCGACGTCGGGTCTCGTCATTATTGCGGCGTATAGGAGAGTCCCGACCTTCTTCTAGTACTGGTTGACTTCCCACGCGCTGGCCTCTCCTTCGTAGGGTAGAAGCTCCTCCAGGACCATAGGAGTGTACGAGCGCGCTTCAGAACCGTCTTCTAACGCGTTAGCTGTGGGTGGAAGCAGCCGCCTCACCTTCTCGGCGTAAACTGCCTGCGAGAGCCATAATCGGCGTGTGGCTCGGTCTCGTATGACCTCGATTCCTAAAAACCACTGGAGGTCTCCGCCTCCTTCGAAGTGGTAGCGCTTCTGTAGCTCAGAGACCTCCCGCAGCGCTGCCTCCTTGCGCGCGCGGGGAAACGCCAGTACGCAGTCGTCCACGTAGAAGAAGAACATGACTTCGCCTTTTTGCCAGCAGCAATTCTCGCCTGCCACGCGTTCGAATCCACGTTCTACGAGTCCCTTTTCTAAGTGGCGTTGCCACAGGAAAGGGGAACGTCGTAGGCCGTATAGCGCCTTTCTCAATCGCAGGATTCTTCCTGGAACGCGGTAGCCCGGCGGAAGCTCCATATAGACGGTCTCGTCTAGATCCGCGTGGACGAAGGCGTTTACCGCATCGTATTGTAGTAATTCTAGGTCAAAGCGCGCGGCAACGGCCATCAGAACTCGGAACGACATACCTGCGAGCGTCGCGGCGTACGTCTCCCGCGCGTCTCTTGCTTGCTGGTCTCCTCGAATAACCAGGCGTGCCTTGAATTTGGCTAATCGCCCGTGCTTATCAAGCTTGTAAGTGTATACCCAGTGGCATCCGAGGACCTGGTAGCCGCGCGAGGCGCTTCTTGCGACCTCTTCCCACGAGCGGGACTCCTTGTGCCCGTCTAGGTGGCTTCTTTCAGCGCGCAGGAACTCCTCCCGGAAAGGGTGACGTTGCAACTGATCGTGAGACGTTGGCAAAGGGGCCAGATCCCTCCAGTAGGCGCCTTTCTTTCGGCCTTGCGCTTCCACGCGGGAGCGGAGCTCGGTCGGCGCCAACGCAGTCACCACATCCCGGTTACCGCGCGCTCTGAGATCCTTCGTCTCTTCTGCGAGCGTCTGGCTCCGGTCTCTGTGGGAGCTGGGCTCACTTGTCTCAAACGCTTCTACCACGGAGCAACCTTCCTGGGATTCACTTGCCTCTTGCTGACCTGTAACTTGGTCTTCCAAAGGGCCTTCATCCGCGCCGTCATTCCCGGATTTCACGGTGAAGGTTGCCTCGGAAACCCTCTCAGGGGCGCGCGGCTGGCCAGGCACAACGCGATCCCTTCGTGGGCCGTCTTGACGTCTAGGGTTTTGTTTGTGAAGCGTCGTTCCAGCTAGAAAAGCGGCTTTGTACGACGTCCGTGGTGTGACCTTCTTATAGATGGGCTTCGTAGCGGGGATATCCCGCGTATGCTCTTCTCCCCACCCCCTCACGTCGAGCTCGGTGAGCACCGCGAGAAAGGATGTGGGAGGCGACGCCTCCGGCGTCGGAAAGGGCTCAAACCGCGCTCCCGTGTATTGCCCTTCCACTTGCTTAGGCGCGTCCGCTTCAGCGTTATGGTGCCCGAGCGCTTCTGCTGCTTCCAGGGCAGGCTCACCGGGATCGGCGTGCTCTGAGACTTCTTCTGCTTCTTCGTCAGCGCTTTGTATATAGTTTTCTGAGCCCGTGGTCTGTCTGATCAGCTCCTCTATGCGCTGCTGAATCGCCTGCAGGTCGAGGTGGTTGATTTCTTCCACTAGGGACCTGACGTTGCCGTCGAAGTGGCATTTCTCGTTAAACACCACATCGCGCGTGGTAAATACTTCACTACGCAGGGGATTCCATATCCGGAACGAGTTGCTTGATGTGTAGCCGACTAGGTAGCCTATCCAGGCACGCGGAGCGAGTTTCTGGCGCCTGTTGCGCTTCAGCTGCGCATCAGTAGTCATTGCGTACGCTTTGCACCCATATGAGCGCAGATGAGAGAGGTCTGGGCGCGCGTAGAAGCCGCTTTCCTCGTGCCAGAACTGTCTGTGGAAGCGCTCGTACGGCGACTTCCACCCCCTGACTGCTGACGGCGTTCGGTTGTAGACGTAGGTGGCTGCTTTCGTGACTTCCGGCCAAAGCACGTCCGGTAGCGCTGCGCTTCTAGCCATTGCCCTCGCGCGCTCTTTGATAGCTGCCGCCCCGCGTTCAGCGCCTCCATTCTGTGACTGTGTATTAGGAGCCGATGGCTCTATTGTTATCCCGCGTGCTGCTAGCATTTGGGTCACGCGTAAGTGCTTTTCGAGCTCCCCATCGGTCTCCAGGAACTTCACTGATATGTCGTAATGGGTCTTCAGGAGCTCCAGGAAGTCCGTCAGGGTCGTTAGCAGAACGTCAGTAGTGCGTCCCGTAAGGTAAAAGTCCCACGCTAGACCGCTTGCGCGGTCCACGATGATCATGGTTGACGTGTACCCTTCGTAACCTTCTTCGTAGTCGTGGAAGTCCAGTGCGAGCCTCTCACCAGGCTTTGCGCGCTTCAGGGATTCTCGGGGCGCTCGGCGAACCATCCGGCGTGCTTTGCTTTCGCCACAAGCGTCGCAGTCAACTGTTGTTATTGGACCACCCCCTGAGGCGAGCCGGACTCCTCGCGCCGAATTGGCCAGGTGGCGGATAGCTTCCGGTCCCGCGTGGCCTAGTCTGCGGTGCCAGAGTTCAGCGCTTGCGCTGATTGCTTTCCTGCGCGTCGCCGTTGTGTAGTTGTGCCTTCTGCGCGGCTTGGGGTCGTCTGGTGCCGCGCTTCGCGTGACTGGCGCCGTTGCGAATGCCGCGTCGATCTTTCGGTAGTCCAGGACTTGCTGGCCAGCAACTTCTGTGAGAGCGCAGAGAAACGTTCCGTCCGCGCGTCGTAAGCAGTTATTCCGGGGACTCATATCCCACCAGAAGCCTCTCCTGCGTAGGCGCGTGAGGGAAACCAGGTTGCTCGCGAAGCCGGTACAGAGTGCGACGTCGTAGAGGCGGAGCTTCGTAACAGTGCTCCCCTGCTCTCTGACTCTGATGTCGACGGTTCCGTATGCTTCGATAGCCACTTGCTGAGCGCCTGCCCATAAGTAGTCGCCTGCTGGCGCTCCTGACAGTGTGGTGAACCACGAGGGGTCGTTGAATACATGGATCGTTGATCCAGAGTCCAGGATCGCCGATCTGAAGAGCTCGTATGTCTCCGGAGCGGTGTGGAAGGCACTCGGGACGGTCCCCTTGCTTCGGCCATATAGTCAGTGTTCTTCTTTCGCTGGTTCTCTCACCTTCCTGACACGGTTTGCGAGCGTTTCGTCTTTTCTCATCCGCTCGTCGAGGTTCGCGAGAAGCTCTCTACTCGGCTCGTACCACTCAGGGCGCTCCCGTTCGTTGACGAGCCAGCACTTCGAGAGCGGGTGAGGTTTCAGGCACGCAGGGCACAGCCGGTTGCCCTCGCTCTCCCCATCGCTTCTCTTCCGCGACCGGTCTCTGCGAGCTCCTCCTCTGGAGCGCGTGTTTCCTCGAGATCCCCGGCTGCTTCTCATTGGTACCGTTAGGCGCGCGGGGGAAGTTCGTTCCCCTTCCTCTTCGTTTCTTGAAGTGGCTTCTGTGGTAGGACCAAACGCTCCGCGTCCGGCCTGCTTCTTCGGGTTGTGTTGAGAGGTTGTTTGTAGGAACCGCCGCGCGTCTGACAGGACTTCTCCAACGCTCAGTTTCTCGCTTTCGACGCGTTCGTCCTTGACGGTCTGGTATGAGAAGATCCATGTATCGGCGTAGCTGTGGCTCACGGCGTAGGTGAATTCCGGGAACCATATACTGGGGAGCTCGGTACCCGGGACGCCCGCCGCTGCTGCTTCGTGGATTGATTCTTCCCACTTCGTAAGCCACTCTTCCAGCTCTTTCTTCGTTGCGAGTCGCTTCCGCTCCGGTATCTGGAGCGCTCTCTTATATGCTTCGCTCGCGGCGGTGCGTCTCTCACGAGTGGTTATCCCTACGCGTTCCTTCAACGCGTAGACCCAGCGGTCCAGTGCGCGGTCCGCGGTACAGCAGCTCTTGAGGAGAGAGGTGCTGACTGTATCTCGGACCCAGTCTTCGAGCACGCGAATCCCTTTCAGGAACGCTTCATGGGTCTTGGAGCGCTCCATATATTCAGACCGACGTTCCTTATACAGGGCGAGATTGGCTGCCGAGAGCTCCTCCAGCGCTTGTGCGCGCGTTTCGTAGTCGGCGTCTTCGTTTAGCACTTCGGCTTTGCCGGTCTTGGGGTGATCGTATATTTCGGGGCGCTTCGGCCGCTCCATCCGCCGCTCGAGACGCGTTTGTCCCGTGTTTAAGGCGCCTGGGCGCTGGGGATCGATATATCGCCAGAGGTCGTAGGACTTGGCCTTCGACTGCAGCTGGTCGATCCATAGGATCCAGTCGGCAGGGGTATTCAGGGTGATTTTCGCGCTTGAGGAGGACATTTCGACGATAGGGGTTCAATTGGGCGCGTAGAAAGGGCTTTCGTATGCGTAGAATAGATGGCTGGCGGCGTTTAACGTAAACGCAGCACGTATCAGACTGTTAATTGTCGAATTGAGGGTTCAGAACGATGTATATTCCGTTATGTGTGTAACTGTCTAAGGGCCCTTCAGGGGCGCGTAGGGAAGGGGGTATGCCACCCCCTGACCCGGGGCTCGGCGCTCGGAAATAGTGTTCTGCCGAGCGTTGCCGAAGCCTCGCGTAGCGCGCTCAATCTGACAGATGCGTCCCTATCAATTCGTGATGCGTCCCTATCAATTCCCTAAACAAAATACATACGTCTTCTACTTCTATAGTAGTTTTACTAAGAAGTAGTCTAGGTTAGCCTGCTTAAGGCACCTTAAAAACATATTCGTATAAAATATAGTAAATATTATTATTAAGAATTAAGAATATACTCCTATACGGTCTCGTAAAACTCTATATATATATATATACGAAATATAAAATTCGCTTAAATTTGTAATAATTATATAGTAAAGATAAGAAGCTTAACTATCTATACGGGTAGTATATGCTTATTTCGTTTATACATCCTAATTAGGCAATGTTTGAATTTTGACCTAGTGCGCCCTGCGGACTGCCGTAGGTTCCCGGGCCCCTGTATATTCCTCGGACGTTACTATGCAGTACCTTGCGTTGTACGTGGCACTAATTAGCGCAGGTCAGGGATGGCTACAATGAATAGGCTATTCTCCTCCGTTGTGCAGAGTAGACGCTAGGTGGGACCAGTCTCTGCAAATCGTGACCGTTGCCGACGCTTGCCATGGAAACCGAGTCCCGACGACGGAGCGATTCCGAGCAGACGAAGTTACAGTTATACTTGGCGAAGCTGGTGCTTGGGTCAGAGAGCCTCAGTCTAAACCAGACTTGGAAACAAGCCCTTCCCGGCCCCCTTGGGCACTTTACGACACGTGAGTGATATATGATATTGGGGGCCGAATGCCGTACCGAAGAAAGTTCGCGTACGGATACGCTTCAGAACTTTACGGCAAGTGTAATTTAATAGGTTGACGTGCCACCTAAAGTCTAGGCCAAGAGATTCAACATGAATGCGTAGTAGCCGTCGTAGTGGATTAAGACGCATCCGAAGTGGCCCGACTTGGTCTGTGGCCCGATAACAACCTAATTGTGACATGCGAGGATATCCCTGTCCCGAGACGATGTAGGTGCGGGTAATTGACCATGTGTGGTAAAGTTCGTCGACTTTGGCATCGACATGCTATCCCTACAAAAGCAGGTTGTCTCAAAGAAAGAAGTTCCCCGAAAGGTAAATAATATTGGTCGCAACGTTTCAACGAAGCAAATCAGTTGGCGTTGGTAACGAAAGCTTGGTCGTTTTCGGCAGATGACAAAAACGCCCGCTGTTGAGGTGCTGTGCCACCTGACGGGACCTCGAGTGCCGACTTGGCTTGACCCCTGCTGCCGCTCCACCGAGGAAAAATCAGTTCGAGAAGTTCTGAAGAATTCCGCTTTTCAGGTGAGAGTGCAGGGTGGACTGGATTCTGTAGACGAAGGGCTTGCTGTCTCTCGGGTTCTGCGGACCCGACAAAATTAGCCTTTAGACATGGGTATACTGGTAGTAGACGTTAGGGGATGAAGAAGAACCATGAACATCGCTCGTAATGTTTACTTCACATTCCGCTTCTGCAAAGGAAAAACGTCAGTCAAATACATAATTTAATCAACCTAATCTCTATGATTTTCACCTTCGGATCCGAAGATAGTGCTATCTAAATCAAATACTTTAGCGTTGAGTTACACCAAACGATCGGGACGGCACGAGAGTCTGTGCTATTTGTTTTTTGGGCCGTTTGTTGTCTCTGTTTGCTTAAAATCTCTTGGCCTGCACAGCTTCCATGTCTTCTCCTGCCAAAGGTGATTATGATTCGTCTACCTCACCTATAGTATCAAATCCCAGATTCCAGGTTCCTCGAAAAGACAGGTCACTTCCAGGACATACCAAATTGCATGATTACTTTGGTTTGAAGGAGTTTATCGTCTGATTGACAAGACCTGGAAAGCCCACGGGGTCCATTCAACGAACAATATCATCTCCAGTTAAGAAGAAACTGGGGTAGTCGGCGTGTCACACCGAACAGCTTCCCAGCCATACTGCCTTGCTTGAGATATAACTGGAGTACAGTCTCACCTGCAACAAATGTTTACCCCAGCTCTTGTGGTACCTCGTACGATACGGTTTCTACCGAAACTTGGTAAGAGTTATCTTCAGCGGCAGATGACGAATTTCAGGTTAGACCGCCGCGAGGCCCATGCTGCCACCCCCGGGAGGTAATGAGGGGTTTCTTAACAAATGTCAGTTAAGGGGCCGGGATGTGGCGTTCAGTAGCATCTCCACCGTCGATACGGGTTCGAATAGACTTCGAGGTTACACCATCCCCGCAGCTCCAATTTCCGGCCCAGGTCTCGCCCGAACACTGAATATAAGAGAACCCTCAAATTCGCCGAGGCAAACTCCGTGATTTCCTTCATTGCATCAATGTTCCATTTGTTTGAAGGGAAGTTCGGGCGACCGAATGCTACAGTGACATGGTCGATTCGCCTGGTGTCTTAATCTAGAGCTGTGAGTGAACTATGGTTTTTATACACGTTCATGCAAACTTTGCAGCAGTTGGGACACAAGCGAAAGGGCCAAGCTTTATCTGCTGGGGTATCGGACTCCTTTGATCTGCGAGCCACTGAAGGTCCCGCTGAACAAGACTCTGACAGCATGCCGGCGTGTGGTGCAAAGCTCCACTGAAGCCAGGTAGACCAGGCCAAAAAGAATACATTCTTCATAGGATGAAAGATTCCTCGTGGTTTTAACCCCCATCGAACTTTTGATTGTGGGCCTTGACAAGTGCAATACGCCGCCCGCGGCGGCAAAAATGTCTCTGGGAAGCTCAACACCATGTCCAGTTCGCCGAGAACAACCCCACCCCTGATATTTGGTCAATATCTGGGTCGGTATTGGCCTCGCCTATACGGATACCCCACAAGACTCAACGCTTTACCCTCTGAAGAACAAGCCAGGGCAAAGGGAGGTAGGCCGAGAAACCCCGGCACAGACAGCCCTGCACCAGCATGAATTCTTGCCTGTCGCACACTGTCGCACACTGTCGCCTTTTACCTACTAGTACTAGTAGAGAAGCTACCTTGGATGGATTCATCTGTTGCCAGGGCATAGTAAGACTGCACTCCGTCCATGACAGCCTTTCACTAGTTCGAGAGGCGAAGTCGTCTTATAGGTTTCAATCTCGGCGCACCCATCCCAGTTGGGTAACATCTCCTCAAGCAGATGCGATGGAGTCCGCATGCCGCAGTCCCGGAGGCCGGGTGAACCCAGAGATGCAGCATACTAAAATGGTTGATCTTGACCGCAGGTAAAGGAGAAGGAAAACTCTCTTTTGATGAAGGGGCACAGCGGCATTTCAATCGTTTTCCTCCCTCAGCCGTCCAACGCGCTGATCCTGTGAGTGTCAGCTGTCGCGTTCTGTCTCCTCATTTGCTCTTCCCTTCTTCCACCCTGCCCAAGTCGACAAGTCAAGATGAAGAGCTTTGTCCTTCAGGCGGCCCTCGCTGGCGCAGCCCTCGCAGCCCCGAGTTCGTTCATTGACACCGTCTCTGAGCGTGCCACCAACAGCTGCAAGTGCTTCCCTGGAGACAGTTGCTGGCCTTCGCAGGTAACTTGGGATGCCCTCAACACCACTGTTGGAGGTAACCTGATCGCCACTGTTCCCCTGGGTTCTCCTTGCCATGATCCTACCTACGATGCCGCGACCTGTGCCACTTTGCAGAGCAAATGGCAAGACTCTGAGATTCAGTAAGTGCCATTCTTCCTAGTTGAATGATCGACATCTAACCGCCATGTAGTATGGAGTCTTCCTCCTCCATTATGGCTCCCTTCTTCGCCAACCAGAGCTGCGACCCCTTTCAACCGCAGTCTCGTGCCTGCCTGTTGGGTAACTATGTCGTCTACGCTGTTGATGCAAAGACCCCTGAGCACATCCAGGCCACCATTGCCTTCGCCAAGGAGCACAACATCCGCTTCGTGGTCCGTAACACCGGTCACGACTACCTCGGTCGTTCCACAGGTGCTGGAGCTCTCTCCGTATGGACTCATCACATGAACAGCGTCAGTATCGTTGACTGGAACACGGCTGCGTATACTGGCAAGGCCGCCAAGATTGGCGCGGGTACCCAGGGTTTCGAGGTCATGGAAGCTGCCCACAATGCTGGTCTTGCTATTGTTGGAGGCGAGTGTCCGACTGTCGGTATCGCTGGTGGCTACACCCAGGGTGGCGGTCACTCTGCTCTTTCCACTTCCTTTGGTTTGAGTGCTGATAACGTTCTCGAATGGGAGGTCGTCACCGCCGATGGCAAGCTTCTGACCGCATCCAAGACCGAGAACGACGACCTTTTCTGGGCTCTCTCCGGTGGTGGTCCTGGCAACTGGGGTGTCGTGACCTCCATGACTGTCAAAGCCCACCCGGACGCCAAGTTTGGAGGTGCTACTCTCGTGATCCAGGCTGCTGAGAACGACAACGAGGCGTTTTTCAACGCTATTGACGCCTTCCATGAGGAGCTGGCAGGCATGGTTGACGCTGGAACCATGGTTGTTTACTACTTTGCCGCGGCCTTCTTCCAGATCGCCCCGTTGAACGCATACAACAAGACTGCCGACGAGGTCAAGACCATCCTGGCTCCCTTTGTCTCCCGCCTTGAGGCCCTCGGTATCAAGTACACCGTCAGCTACTCCGAATACGAAAGCTACTACAACCACTACGACAAGTTCTTCGGCCCCCTGCCCATCGGCAACATCCAGGTCGGCATTGCGCAGTATGGCGGTCGTCTGATTCCCCGCGACAACATCACCAACATCGGCTCCTTTTCTCGCAGCATCGCTGCCAAGGGCGCCACTTTCATTGGCGTCGGCACTGATGTTGGCAAGTTCGGCAACAAGGACACCAACTCTGTTACCCCCGCCTGGCGTAACGCCCTTGTCCATGCTACCCTTACCACCGTGTGGAGCTTTACTGCTCCCTGGGAAGACATGCTCGCCAACCAGAATCTGATGACCAACGTCCTTATGAAGGAGATCGAGGCCTTGACCCCGAACGGTGGCGCCTATATGAACGAGGCCGACTTCCAACAGCCCAACTTCCAGAAGGAGTTCTTTGGCAACAACTACAAGTCTCTTTTGTGCCTGAAGCAGAAGTGGGACCCTGAGGGATTCTTCTATGCTCGCAACGCTGTTGGAAGCGAGCAATGGAGCGTTGCCAGCAATGGCAGGATGTGCCGTGTTTAAGTTGGAAAGAGAATAATAACTAAATAATAATCATATGGCAAATAAAGTCTTCAACCATTGCGCCACATCGCCTTCCATCAAATGTCTATCGTGAAGTATGACAAGTGAACGATTCAGACAGTAGTTCTACGACCTTTTTTGGTTGCTTTCTGTACGTCTGTAAGTGTCAGATGCAAGTAATAGTGTAGTGGTTAAAACAAGAGAAGAAAATACGACGTTCCCGAACTTGCTCGGACAACAATCATTCCATATGATCTCGGCCCAGATCTAGAATGGCGCTCGTCACTAAAACTTTACGGCGTCGAAGAACAAAGCATACATCTTGGAAAACATAGCTGAACGGCCTTGTCCCCATGCTATGGTTGGGTAGAATTGATTTCTTCGCTTCTTTATACCAACTCCAGTGATTGAGGCATCAGTGTTCTAGGTAGTTATCTTGGACATTTGTCTACAGGACAGAGCCGACACATGAGGTCGCATATCAGCTAATCTGGAAACAAATCGCTCGAAATGGCGTAGAATTCCGGCTAGATGATCACCTTACAACAGCAGTAATTTGATCACTAGTCTCCTGAGTTCACTTGTATCTTTATTGACACTTTCTATTTTCACCGAGGTAGTCAAAGATTCCCTGAGTGACACCAACCAGAAAAGTAAAGTTTAAACGCTGGGAGAATTCATGCAAAATTCCCAATAATCCCCTTAAGAGCAGCCATTTGAATCGCAGCTTGAATGTTAAAGTTTTCATTACATCCTTATTGGCATGATTAAATAACAAGCAGCCCAGCGATTTGTGTTGGCAGGCAGGGAAAGGCCAAAATCACTAGACAACTGTCACACGGACCACTGCATATATCGGGGCATGCATTCAACCCATGCACCCGGCTATTGTTTCCCATATAAAACTAACGGGGATGTCATTTTGTGCATGAAAACCTTCAAATCGGTAATTACCGAATAGACGGTTATATAATCAACCCAATAACCCCTAGACAGTCTCTAAGGAATGGAAGCATCTTTTTTTACCACATAAGTGGTGGGCAAATTGACTGCGTGACAACAACTCTGTCAGTAACGAAGTTGTCTCCACTATGGAGTTCCAAGTCCGCCTTATGAAAGGCGCCAAAAGAGGAAATTATGGACCCTCAAAGTGTGTCCTGAGTGGGCGGACTTGCAACTCCATTCTGGGGCTCTCCGCGACACCGGAGCTCGACGGCTGGGTTGATGGTGTCATGCCCGTGGAAAATGCGGCCGGCCAAGTTCTGAGCGCTCTCTTGGTTGGGACTTTTCTCTTCAATTTGAGGGTTTTTTTCCCAAGTCAAAAGAGCAAGTGCGCCATTATGGGTTTAGTCAGTCGGTCTAGAGATCATCCCAGTCACGATTTAAGGCTGGTGACAGACACGGAGAGCGAACTCCACGACCCACGCAAAGACTACAGCCATGAAGATTAAGTATATCGCCACAGGTATAAGTAGCCGCTATTCCTGGTTCTGAAGAACGCATTAGATCTTCAGCTTCACTCATCTTTTTCATTGGTCACCAAATACCATGGCTCCATCCAGCATTCAAGATATTATCGACATAGAGCCGTCAGCTCCCGTCACAGGAGTGAAAGCTTCAAAGGCCGATGGCTCACATGACAACTTCCAACTGTTCCGCATATTGGTTCCCTTGGTTTCCAATGGGAAAGTAACACATCTCAACGCCGGTTTCATGCCGCCATCAAATCTTATTGTTAGCGAAGCGATCGACCGCTTCTGTTCACAATCTCTGCATAGCCCTTCGCCGAAGACGTGCTGGCGTGAAGAGGTTGAAGCATTACGAAAACTCCTCGCCAGCTATATCAACACAGAGCCTTCATCTATCGCCTTTGTCAGGGACACCACCGAAGGTCTCGGGAGCTTCATTCACGGACTGAAGTTCGAAAAAGGAGACAACGTTGTCATTCTTGATTGCGAACATCCAAATCAAGCTTTTGGGTGGTTGGCATTGCAGCCTGCAGGGCTTGAGGTCAGGTTCGCTTCAACAGACCCGGGAAAGCCAACTTCTGCAAACGCAGATACGTTTGCTCCCTACATTGACCACAGAACGAAAGCAATCGGACTTAGCTCAATCATGTTCCATAGCGGAGTATGGAATAACGTGGCTGATATCTGCTCGGCCTACCGACCTAGGGGAATCCACGTACTGGCAGATTTGACCCAACAAGTTGGGTTCGCCGATGTCGATGTTCAGTCTTTGGGGGTTTCAGCAGCAGCTTTCAGCCTACACAAGGGCCTCAACACGCCAACTGGTCTGGCTGCCCTCTACGTCGATTCAGCCGTCATTGAAGAGCTGGATCCTACACCTCCCCTGGTCGGTTACGGAGGTGTCAGCAGTGTAAGCGACTCGGAAGATTTCATGATACCAAAAGGTCCAGTTGCCTTCCATTCCACAGCTCGTCGGTATGAACACGCAAACATGAGTTTCATTTCGGCAGTCGCGGCACGAGCATTTGTTCAGTTCTACCTCGGGCTTATGGGTCCGAAGAAGGTTGAAAATCATCTGTACAGCCTCGGCGATGCCCTACGCCGCTCTTGTGCTGGCCTCGGCATCGGTATCGTGGGTCCAGTGGAGAGGAACCAGCACGCTCCGCATCTTTATGTCCTTGAATTACATGACCCTAGATGGCTTGATTTCTTGACTGCGGCTGAAGTTTATGTAACAAGATTCCGTTCAGGAATCAGAGTTTCGTTTGGGTTTTATAATAACTTGGATGATGTAAAAAGATTGGTCTCAGTTCTCAAGTTGGGTCTTCAAACAGGCCTTCTGGTGCAAGAGACATGAACTATTTGACAGACGATAAACCTCTGCGTAATTTTATGAATAATGGAAAGTCGTTGATCTGATTCGAACAAAGAGCAGTTGTGATGTCCCGAAGGAACGTTGTCTAAACGACAACTACAAGGACAGCATTGATCCTTGAAGCCGCGATCGGTTGGAAGGTGTGGTTCCGGTGACTTTAGCGCATTTAGGCTCTGTTCTTTTAGCTGGAGTGCTCCCACTTCTCCCCGCAGTTTGAGTCTAACAACCTTTGTCCCACCTCCCATTTCACATCGTTCAAGAACCGTCAATGTCATGCCTTCAGATCAAACCAGTTCTCGGAAAAGGATTTCGTGAGTTCAATGTAACCATTATTATGTGTAGGCGATTTGATATTGATTATTAGCAGATGCAAACGATGCCAGCATCGGAAGGTTTGTTCGGCAGGCCTCAGACGCAGTTTTAAGACAATATTACCCCGCAACAAATCGCTGACGAGTTGATGCTCCAGTTGAAATGCTCCCGTACAGAGCCATGTCTAAACTGTGTGAATGCAAAGACAACTTGCGAATATCGTGAAGTTGACCGCAAGAGAGTCCCAGTCTCACATGAATACGTCGCTAGCTTGGAGAGCCGACTTGCCTGGTTCGAGTCATTCGTCAAGAATCTTCGCGCTGCAACCCCAGAGAAGCGAGAGGAAATGCTTAAATCAACTGATTTGGAGGAGCACTCTCCCAGTGATAGCACAAAAGCGCCTGGCGAATACATCGCTAACCTTGGAATTCACGCACGAAATCAAGCAAATCTTGAATTGGGCCTCGAGGGCTCACTAGTTTATCATGGAGCGACAAGTATCTTCCGCGGAGAGGAAGACCAGGGGCAACATGCCAGCAATCTAGCCATTCAGGGATATTACGACGGAGTTGAATCAAACTTCGAGAGCGTGATGGGGCATTTCGGCGTCAGCATGGGGGATGAAGTCGTGATGAAATCACTAACGCAGTTTTTCAGGTGGCAGTATCCCCATTTCATGTTTATCTACCGCGAGGCTTTCCTCCGGGATCATTTTGGTGACAGGAAGAGCGGAAAGTATTGGTCTTCAGCACTCTTGTTGTCTATTTGTGCCTTGGGCGCTCTTGTCTCCGTCGATACCAAAGCTTCCAGTAACCAGTTCTTCCTGGCAGCGGAAAGCATCATCATGGTGACCGGGCTTACGAGACCATCAATCGCTACCGTCCAGGCATTTCTTTGTCTGGCATTCTATGAGATTGGGCGGGGTAATCTGTCAAAAGGATGGGGTTATTCAGGTGAGAATATCAAGCACTAACCCTTACATTGTCTTGGATACTTATCCTCCTGGAAATCTCGAATTTTCTGAAAGAAGCTGATGAAAGACACTAGGCATCGCCTTTCGGATGGCCCAAGACTTGGGATTTCAGAGAGATCCCAAGGATTGGATCCAACATGACTCGTCTCTAGCAACACCTGAAGACATTGAAATACGGCGACGCATCTACTGGGGTTGCTACATCTCTGACAAGTTGATCAGCCTTATTCTTGGCCGTCCCGTTTACCTTGTTTACGATGAAGCCGAAGTAAAACCAATGGAGACCTTACCGTACGTCGCCTAGATCTATCTCCCATATTTTACTAACTTCCTTGCAGTGAGCCCCCCGAGATGGCATTATGGAAGCCAGTCGGGTTCGACGACGATTACAAGGAACTCACACAAGCCACTTCGATGATCCCATACCTACATGAGCAGATCCGCCTCTCGAGGATAGTGGAACGAATGATGACAACTCTGTTCTCACCTAGATCGAACCTCAGCGACATCAGCAGACGAGTATGCTTCGATAACCTAAATCTTGACCTCAATAGGTTGCGGGAATCGCTTCCTGATTTTGCGAAGTGGAATAAATGGGGTCCCTCTTCGAAGCCCATACCAGGAGTCCTTGCCTTGCAGTAAGCCCACTTAATCTTCTTTTGGTTGCCAAAGAATGTGTGATAACACCATGAAGTCTCCTTTTCCATAGTGCGCGAATCGCGTTGAACCATGATCAAGCCATTGCGAGTCGTACCGATGTTCCAGAAGAGAAGCCTCGTCTCTACTGCGTGACATCGGCCGAGGACATATCATCTATTTTACGGACTTATCGCAGCCAATATGGCTTGCAACACGCTCCCCTCATATTCGTGTACGGTGCAGTTCAGGCTAGCCGCTCAGTAAAGGCGTTTGGGATACCCGAGGAGTTACAATACCTGAACCAGACTCTTGGGGAGTTATCATCAACTTGGACCCTCTCTAAGCAAGTCATGACCCGAATGACTTGACGGGCATTCTGATGTAGTTATATGGTTATTTCTTTTTGAAAACTTGTACATTCTCGGCATTGTACAGTCAATCTATGATACAAAGCTCCGCTATCGTTGACATGACGATGTGACGTACCTACATCACAGTGGCCCTCGGAATGCAACACCAGTGTTTTGATAATATCAAGGATCTAATATGTAACATTGAAAATTCCCAAAATTCTGATTCACAGCATTCGAATTTCAAATTGTTGTTTATTTAATCAAGATAAATTTATTGTCAGGAACACTGGATGAACGATCTGTATTCTCCTTGAAGAAGTTGTCGAAAGTGAGTGTGAAGGACAAAGTTGAAAGACCAAAGATTGATGTAAGCAGCAGACTGGAGCGAGTGGAAGTCATCCAAGACCTGTTACTATCAATTGGCAGCTCAGCAACTGCAGCCGCACTTCTCGCAGTTGCCTTGACCACAAGCAGTGTTCTTTGTACCAGGGTTGCAGTCTCCCTTATTCTGGCATTTCCTCCAATCACCAAAGCCGTTACCCCATGCCGTCCAGCACCAATGGCCCTCTTTGGGATTACACTTCTGCCAACAGTAGTTGTCAGTGCACCCGTAGTCGTCACCCCACCAGCAGTCTCGAGCAAATAGGTTTGTCTCTTCGCGGCTGACAAGGGACAGTGGATGCTCCTTGCACTTGCGGATCTCGGAGGGGTTAACACCAGCTTCGATAGCGGCATCCGTTGAAGACATGACACCAAGGGCACCGCATTCCTCGGCAGCCGTAGGAGCGACACCGGCAGAAATTGGAGCCAGGTGGGCGGCGAGAGCTAGGATGGTAGTGGAGGTGAACTTCATTTTGCTTTTAGAGCTGTTTTAGCCATACGTACTAGCTTATGGTGATACAGTGGGGTAGATCCAAATACCTTTGTTAGAATAGTGATAAGCTGGTTGTAGACTTAGACTGTTGTTCTGTTGGCGGTGCTGGTAATGACCAAATCTTCTGTGCCATTTATGACCCGGGCAATGGCTAGGTTTTATAGTTGGGCGTCATTATCGGCTTTTGAGTAGGATATACGCTTCTTGTCGCATTTCATAATGCAAGTCTTTCTTAATCTTTCCTTCAAACCAAGTTTGGCTCTGAACAACGTCACAGGCCGTGAAACTAATTCTCTGAACACAGAATCCTTCCGGTCACTCCGTAAGCTGCGTGATCGGGCGACTAGGTAAAACCATGATCGGCAGCCCTTGTTCGTATGAAGAGATTCCTGAGTATCGAGGGGGTTCGGTCAAACGAGGAATTAGGCTATTGCTGAAGTTTCCTGGATTGTGGATCAGCCGAAAAATTATCATATGTCGCCGCTTACGTTAAAGTAACTTTGGTCATATACTTACTTATCTATCTAGAGAATCAAAACAAGACCTTTTTTGCTCTAGTGCAGCGGCTTTTAATAGAATTAGAAACTGCTCGTATTGGGTCTCGTCACTCGACTGGCATCACCAAAAAACCAACGTCTCCTAGTAAACCATAATTGAAGAAACGCGGTGAATTTTTCATGTTTCACTTAACCTACATAGAACTATAGGCAAATCGGTATTAGTGTTCAAGAACTACAATGGTCAAATGGTATGACATGTCTTGGTCAAATTATAGCACAGCCTACGAAGGTGCTACTCCGTAAAACAGTTCTCAACGAGGTAGCCTCCCCTGCTTAACCATGCACAATTACCTGAGCTGACAGGTTATTACAAATCTTTGTTGTAGCACTCAAATAATGATTCACTTTTCTGATCGCCCAAATGTCTTTCACCAAGTATCGCCTTTGCTAGGCAGCAGCTTCAGAGATTGCGCAGAGGAAGGTTATGAAGTCTTTTCAGTACTGCTATATTTCTAAAAGTAACTATTCGAAACCCATTCTAAGTAATTATCGCGGATTATCAAGCATTTCGTGAACTGAAAAAAGTCAGAGAGGTCTCAGTTACTTTCACTGACATGTCGTCACTTACAGATATAACGCTTATGGCAATCAGTGATAGCCTGACGATCTTACGATACAGGACCTAAAGGTAAAACCTTAAACAAGCGCTGAGTCAGACCTTGGAAGAAGTTGCCAAAAAGTCTCAAACGAATGTGGATATATCACCGCGACTGCGCTGCGCAGCTAGGAGACATAGAGGATTCAACTTGTGATGAAAGAGTATCGTGTGCCCTGCACAAGGTGTTGACTCAGGGGCCGGTCAGTGAGATTCCTAAAGAAGAAAATGTTCGTACTACCGTAGAAAGATGAGGAAAGAAACGGCCACGGCTTCCAGAAGCTGGCTGTGACCGTGTCAAAGTAATGGTGTCTCAGTTCCAAGGGCAGCGGGGCTCTTAGCCAGAAGTCATTTCTGCACATCAATCCTCTGAGGCGTAATTCAGCGGACGGGAGCCAAGGGCTACCCGCCGCTGATCTCAAGCAGTGTCGATCAAGGCTTTGAGTAAGCCGGAGACAGTCAGGACCTGAAATTGCCAAAAACAGTCAAGAGCAACAACAGTTTCGCACAAAGGCTGCATAAGAAGTGACAATGTGCCATTTGAAGCCTCCATTAATGCAAAGACAGTAGAAGTGCACTGTACCCATCATTCATTCGATACCCCTGACCTCAGCTGTTGAGCTAGCGCCAACAGATATATACCTTGGTGTGGATGGCAATCCCAGCCTGCATCGCACGATGCGACGCTAGTGTCACCTGGTAAGGTGATTGATTGGCTCGACGCCGTTTTCTCCTAACAGCCAATGGGCAGAAAAAGCAAGTAAAATGGGATCGGATTGTTTCTGGTACCAGTCCAACTCAGCTCTAGCTCTCCAGTTAGGTCCACCGGTCGCTACCCCATGAATAGGCTTCCGGCGTCCCAAGAACGTGCAAAGGGGTCACTAATCAGGCTAAATAATATTTTCAGCGGACAGTGAATATAGTTGGGCATGCCTGTTATCAGTCATAGGAGCAGCGGCATGTCCTTCTGTAAGTCAGCAACGTTGCTAACAATAAGGTAGCCAACCAGATGCAGAGACAGAGTACGTTAAATCAAATACTGTGTCCCCGATTCCACAAGAACCAATTTCCTTTTGACGTCACTAGCGCTATGTAGCAAAGTTCAGACCGATCCAGACTAACTCGAAGCATACTTGGATTGACGCCTGTCTAACCCCAAGGTGACAGTCCCTTGGTCGGGAGCTAAATCCTGACTCCATTAACCCGCCAAGTCACTCCTAGCCCTGGGGAGTATTTGGGTCTCCCTCCAGTTGTTTTCTCTCCTTACTTTTCCATTAGAAAACCCGCGTGGTATTTTACCAGAATTGTCAGGAAGCGCGAATTGTGCAGTTAACATGGCTGAACAGACAGCTTCATCTACTCTGCCGATCATGGTTCAGCCGTCCGTAAGGGCGGTGGCTTCGAGTGAAGACAACTGGAAGGGCAAGACGAGCCCTGCCGAGAGGAGGAAGATCCAGAACAGGCTGAATCAGCGGACATGGAGTAAGTGGCACCCACACATGCAGCCTGCTTACGCTCTTGGTCCCCTTTGTCTATCATGGACGGATGGAATGATTCAGCTTGTACCTAACATATTGTCAAACGAGTAGGACAACGGCAGAAACTGGAAAAGCTGCGCCAAGGGACGGCCCGGGGAGCTGCATCTGACGCCAGTTTAGATGCAAGCACCCTGTATCCCTCTCCCACAGACTCCGTAGCATGCAAGGGGAGCATTACAAACACTTCAACGGTTCCTTCGTCGTCCCCGTCCCCTTCATCTAAGCATAACACGGTAACAAATGATGCGGACTACATATATACCACCGCTATGGAGCTCTCGCGTCCCAGTACAAGAAAAGCAACAGCCAGGGGCGAGCGGGCGTGCGCTAAGCACGCTACATTGATGGCCTTGACGTACATTGGGAGGCGGCGGGCGCTGCTTGACCTCAAGGATGAGGACATGGAAGAGCTATACAGTCTGTTTCTCATGAAGGCGGCGAGCTCCGGCACAGATCCTATGTCAGACTGGCTACTACCGCTGGTACAATTTAATCTTTTTCGGGGCCTCATGGAAAACATGAAGATTTTGGGGATCACGATGCCCATGGTTTGCGATGAAGACTCCCTCTCTCCGTTCGGAACGGATCCGTCATATAATAGCAGTTCATTCTGGAATGTTCCTGTATACTTGCGGCCAACTGAGACTCAACTGACAATCGAGCATCACCCATGGCTAGACTTCCTGCCATTACCGAGAATGCGAGATAACCTTATCAAGGCAGATGGGAATTATGACGATGAGGAGCTATGCCTTGACATGATCGGAGATGGAAACGCGCCGTCTGGGAAGGGCGAGGTGATCCTTTGGGGCGACGCCTGGGATCCGATGAACTGGGAGGTCACTGAGGTGTTTGTGACCAAGTGGAGATGGGTTCTGGAGGGCTGTGAAGAGTTGATTCGATCCTCGAACTATTGGAGGGCTCAAAGAGGAGAAAATAAGATGCGTGTAAGGATGCATGGCTGTAAGCCCGCCAGTTAGGGGCTGTTAGTTGGCCTACCCCGGTAATGGTCCTGGTACACAAGTGGGAGAGGGACACATCTCATGTACCCAATACGCCACGCATAGTCCATAATCTTGACTATATCTCTCTTAGCAATCCATACCAGCTGTTTCTAGAACAATCATATCTTGCTGCCTCATGTGTAAGCCAATGATGGATGGTGGCCTCAAACTGGCTCTTTTGTACCGTTGAGAGTCTAAAAGGTGATTTGTCTTTGTTAACCACCATTTGCTTCAAGTAGGTAACTTAAGTTAACTTTTAAGAGTCAGTCCATGTTGCAACAATGCATTTCTTCTGCCGTGATCGTTCTTAAAAGCTTGACTAAACTTTTCTCTCCTACTGTTTACAACTTTGCGCATCCTACAATCCTATCAACAAATACAAAATCAATTGTGCTTAAGACGACATCATTCTCACCCTGCATCCAACGAAGAACCATGTTGAGAACTTCCCCCCTAGCCATCGCTCACGACGACTCAGTAGTCACATGTTCCTTAGTTCAATAGCACCAACATCACATGCTTTCTATTCTTCACGTTTCATGGACAGTGCTATTTTCATCGCATTCCACACCTTACAGACACAAAATTAACTGAAGAGTTGTATTCATCATGCCCAGATACAATGGAATATCCTCTTGCAACCAAGGGAGCTGATTTGGGAATAAGACAGATGACACTACGCCACATAGAATGTAAACATACAAAGTTTCAATGACAACATTGTGAACCTGAGAAAGCAACAACCATTCCTTCGTGTAGCTCCGCTCAATTTGTGACAAGGCTCAACCAATATCACAGGAGATAGACACGACTCGTTCTAGAGCCCCTATTGCCTTCCCTTCAATACGAAAGGCACCTGCTCCAGCCCAATCAAAAGAAAAGAAGCAACAATAGAAGAGTGCCTGCCTTCCATACATCTCTTTCTTGCCTTTCTTACAACCGTGCCTTGGCAGTGCCTTCTGCTTTATCAACAGGGCCCCCTCAACCTCTCTAACCCCCCTGCCTTCCATCGCTTCCTCGGCCATCCCACGTTTACATCTTCTTCCCTCCAAAAACATCACGTATCTTGGCATCGCTCTGCCATTTTTCTGCCCTCATAGCCAGTCTCAAGGGAAACGTCGAAATAATACAGACAACCTGGGGTAGGCTGCTACGAGCGTCGCAAAAGGCAGCGCTATGCAACTGTCATCATGACCTCCGTCAATCTTTGTCACCTGCCGAACGAGCTCGTGCGCGAGATTGTCAAATGGTCGGACGCCATTGGCAACACTCAGAGTCTCAGGAGCCTATGCCTCACTAATCATCTCATCCATTCATTCGCGCAGGAAGAGCTGTACCGCTTCGTCAAGATCACCTCCATGCACTCATGTGGTCTCCTCACCCGAAGCTTGATTGAAAATCCAAGTCTTAAAGCTCGGATTAAAATCGCCCACGTCATCATCACCAGTACACGCTTCAACGATATCTCCAGCTTCATGTTCAGGAACTGGGCCGCCTCGCGATTCGATCTGTCCAAGCTCTCAGCAACCGATCGACACCTCGTGATTCTATGCAAATCGGTATGCAACAGAAATGCGTCGGAGAACGCTCGATGCGTGTTTGCTCTTTTTCTTCTCTTTCTCGACCGGGCGGAAGAAGTCGGACTGTCATATACTGCCTTCTCACGTCCTGCGTGCCGCCTCCTGGTTGCTGGACTCGATATGATATCATCTTCGCTCGAAGCCGACGATGAAGAAGGTGGTCACAGCACTATTCTGTTTCCCGCTCTGAAGAGACTCTCTCTATGTGGAGATCCTTTCTCGCAAATTCCTGAGGCCGTTTTTGGCATTCTTGTCCATCCACTTCTTCCCTTGCTATCTCCTGCTACACTCTGCGAATTGCACATTCAAGGAGACAATAACATTTGGCACTTATTCGACACCCTGGGCTTCGATCAAGATCTCTCATTGAAAATGGTTCGGCTGGAATTGAGCAGGAGCGACTCGTCCGGTTTGTGCAAGCTGCTGAAGCGCTGTCCGAATTTGCGACAACTCAAAATGACGGTCAAGAACTGCCACAGTGGATATCAGCCCTCCACCCGCGATTGCATCAACCAAGTTCTACCGGCTTATTGTCCTCTCCTTGAAGAGTTCTCTCTTAGCCTGCAAGGAAACCAGGTAGCATTCTTTCCAAGCCTCCAGGTGCCATTCGGAGCGCATCAACCACAGGCCGTTACCTGTCTGCCAAGTATGAGCCATTTGAAGGAACTCCGCATCGATATCGGTTGCTTCTTCAACACTCGGTACCAAATCGACATGCTGGGCTCTACCTTCCCAGACTTGCTGCCGCCCAAGCTGGAGAAGTTGTTTTTGGATGCCAGCTGGGCTTTGTCATATGTTCCTGGCCGGACCACTGCTCGTCACCCTGAGGTGCTGGCCTACAAGAGAGGAATTGAACGCATCATCATGAGCTTATGCACCGCATCCAAAACTCGACTGGTCCAGCTGAATACCATAGTCATTGGTTCCAAGTACGGAAAGCATGTCCAGTGGACCAAGGATGCCCGCAAGTTGCTGGCTGGCACAAATGTCAGGATCAAATTGGTTTGTGGGCAGCGCACTGCAGACTTGTGGCCCTTGACCTGGAAGCAAATGATGCGCTTCTAGGTTTCGGATATTGTGCCCAAAATTCCTGAGTATGTTCACGCATGTTAGATGGCAAGGAAGGGGACATTGGCAATGGGATGACATCTGGAAAATGGGTTCTTGAAAACTGTAGTAACATGGAGGCATCCCTTCAGTTACAATGGGAAGTATTGGGAATCAAATGTTGCTGCGACGCCTTACTCTATTAAAGGCCTTTGCTGCATAGCTAGTTCCGTAGATGAATTGCGATCACGCCACTTGAGATAATTCTTGAAGCAATTACCCTGTTCAAGTTCGGTCGTGTCTTCATTACCCTAATCGTTCATGCATTTTAAACTTTATCGCATGCTATCCGCGCAATGCATCTTACATCACGTGGACGGAGCTGGGTCTTTGAGGGTGGGATCGTGTTCGAAATCCTGACAAGGAGGCATCCACGTACATCGAATCCATGTCGGAAAATGCATATGGCGGATATTTGCATTGGGAAGAAGAGTCAGGAGCGGATGGAGAATGAGAAGAAGCCGTCTAGGAGACGATAGGCTCGTGTATTAGACGTGCGGCGCTCCAAGATATCATGACAAAGAGGCACAACTTCGCGTGGAGGTCGAACAGTAAACCAATTGCGTGAAATTAAAAGGTCAGAACGAGTGCATTGCATCTGCCCGTTAATGAACGTCAGCTTTGAAGACGTGTCACTTGGACCTGATAAGGTCCGTTGATGCCAAGACGGATTTACGCAAAAAAACACTTGTACCTTTCGTTTAAAAGGTCTCAGTAGGGCATGGAAGCAATGATAGGTCCTCCTAGAAGTCGCAGCTAAGCACACATTAGGGCCGTGCTTGGGTAGTACCGATTCCCGCGGAGCCGGCCTTCGAGCCTTGGTCTGGTAGTTTGGCCAGGGCTGACGTTGCCGATGACATTCCGTTTTCAATCCTAAACATTGAGGTTGTTCAAATTTCACTTTGTAGTGAAGCCTGACGCTGCAAAGAACAGGGTAGTAAACTGCGGTACTATGTCTCGCCCCAGTGACGTCTGCCGCTGAAGGTGAATGAGGACGTAACCGCGCCCCCAGAAGAAGATCTAGTCTTGGGTCATTCTGACCTGCCCACTACTACACTAGTACCGATCGATGTCCCCGGGAGAGGAACATGCTGCAGTTGTGACCCCAACCGCTGTACGGCGTCAATCTTCGGTCGATGATTACAAGGCACCAAGGGCTGAGTGCATGGCGAGAAGCCGGGAAGCTGTCGTCTCATGCCAAACAACTACGTCAAAGTCTCTATAACTTCCGAGACAACCTCGCCCGTGTGGCAAGTGATCAGAGACTACCGGGATGCGACCTGCCAACTTCCGTCATTGGGGCTGATCGATTGATTGATTGATTGATTTATTCCTACTCGGTTATGAAGCCGCTCTTATGCCAGCAGCTATGCCCGGAAAGCGGGGTTTGGCAGGTAGCCGAAGCGTCGACAATGAACAGCGACGCCCCACTTCGCCCTGATGTTGCATCAGGGCCAGCTATCCCCAAGCTCCCCACTATGTTCTCTATTCTGTGTGTTTGTGCCCTCTGTTGAAGAAGTGTGTTGCTCTCCTGTCTGCTTTCTCGCTTTTGTGTTGCTCTCTAGAATGCTTGTTTTGCGTCCTCCTGCTTCGGTTCAGTTGGTGCTGGTAGCACCGTATCTGGTTCTTTGTACCTACAGTCTCCCCCCAGCGCTCAGCTTTGTCTCTTTGTTTTGTCCGTATCCTCCCGGACTTGTATGTGCCGTTTTCTCAGTTGCATCTGTAAATTCTTTGTTGCCTCCTGCCGGGTTCCTATGTGGCCTCTTGTTTCTTGCCTGTTGACCACTATTGCCCTCCACCACATTAGCCCAAGGGTCTTCCACGAAGCACAATGCTCCACTGACTCCGACATGTTCGATTACTGGGTATGAGAGCTCCCGCACAGATTCCGCAGACATTGTCGCGCGTTGAAGGGACACCAATCCTTCTTCGCAAAAGGGGCGACAGGGGACCAGTCTGTCTGTGGTCTGTAGTATTGTGTGGCATCGATCGTAGCATGCCTAATGCCTGGTGCTTTCTCCGTGCGGAAGGTGATACTGTTCTGTCGGACTCATCTTCGTCGTTGTGGGACGTTGCAAACTTTGTCGGGGGTGACAGGTGACCCAAAACCTGTCGGCGGCTGTTGTGTTGAAGTTGATTGTTTGGGCGCAGTCTTAGTGCTTCGTGTAGCGGCTTGTGGCTCGCCTGTGGTGGTGGTAACAGTGTTGTCTATTGATATGTCGTATTTTGCGGCTTGCTCTCAAGTTTTTCATTGTAGTCGGGGCGTGCTCTGCGGCCATCTTGGGCCCCTTTGGGACGTAGAATCAAGGCCGAGGATGGCATTGCATCGAAGGGGGCTCTGTGGCCGCGAGCACGCGTATTTGGGGCCGTTTTTGCTCCGATTTTCAAAAATTTCGTTCTCGCTGTTGTTGATGTTTTTCCATTGGGGCTGATCCCGTAGTTGATGACGGTAGGTAGCGGTCAAGATCTCATCACGTGACACTTGGCTTCGTTAGGTAAGCCAGCCAAGCTGGCGTTGACCTTTTACAGGTGGATCCTTTCTTCCGGGATTTGCCGAACATAGCCCGAAAATGGTCATCAGCGTCTCTTCTCCATAACCCAGCGGCACAGAGATACGAAGCACCTGAGACAGGCAGGATAATGGCAGGTGAGGATGCTTCTCCAGCAGTGCGATACTACGATATGACAAATTTTGGCTGCATTTCGCAGCTCGCAATTGAGAAGATTTATATCGCCAATCACGATGACCGTGGTTTGAGCAAGTTTTAACAAATGCCGTAAACGCAGGGCAACCGAGAGAGATTCGTTTGGGGGTCTGCAAAAGAGTCGCTGCCACGGAGGTCATTGGCCAGGCATACGGTCAGTGACTACGGCCTGTAATGACCCGGATGTCGGGCATGATGCAGGGCGGCGGCATGGCATAGAAGAGCGCTTCGCGGAAAAGCACCACCTTGCAGCGAATGTCTCGGAACATTTGCGCTGCTTGATAGGTCGATGGGGTGAGGGGGCAACAATCACTTTCAAAGACTCAAGTCGCCCGCCTCTGTCCACCAGGTCGCCGCCTTACCAGTTGACGCTGGTAAGACGGTGGTCATGAAGACGCCGGTGAAGGACTAGCACCGCCGCTTAAAGTCAACACCCCGACGAGGACGGCAGAATAACCGACAGAAAAGTGGCTGGGGCGGGAACGGGCGACAACTGTAGTGAGTACATGGGAGGTCATTGCTCCAAAGGCAACGTTAGAGCCGTGGGGAAAACAATGGTGGGGTTTCCTCACCCGCTGAAGAAGCGGTGATGAAGAATCCAGTTGCCCCTCCCATGCCTTCGCTTCGTTTCGAGGAAGACTCGCCGGAGACGCCATCACGCCGCTCAGGCGATTTATTTGGAGCTTTACAAAGTTCCGCAAAAACGCCTCAAGAAGAATACACCTAGGCCGCCCAGTCTCGGTTAAATCAAGAGTCTAGTGGGCGAGTGGTTATGAATAACGCACAAAAGCCGCAACTCGAGACAGCAACGTACCATGACAGACGTCACAGTCACAGGCTCCCACCCTCCCTCTCAATCCAGTACTGGTCACTGAAGGGCGTTTTGGGGTAAATCCCACGCTTACTTGGGTACCCCTCCTCGCCCCCAGGCGCCTCGACGTCAGTCCAACTAGCGAGCTTCAGGGTCCTGCCTGAAAGAGCTTTTGCTATGGCAGAGTCTCGTAGCTGCTGGAAGGTGCTATTTACGCCTTCTACGGAGCCGTCTCATCTCGTTTTTGGCCGAATGCTACGTAGCAGGCAAGGGTCAGCTGCAAACGATGCATGAAGTGACAATTCGCAGGATCCTAGCGCTGTCCAGCACAAAAGACGCACGCAAAAACATGAACTTTATCTAGCGATAAGGAAGTAAAGTGAAGTGAAGCCAGCGCCGGCGGCGTAGTGGAGGGGGATGATCCCTTGTGTCGTTGGCCCCCCTCATCTGGGCTTCAGCCCCCTCCAGGCGAATCGCCGCCCAAGGACATGCATGACCGGCCGCGGGCCAGGCCAAGTCACCAACAAAGCCCACCCCGAGCGCAAGGCGGCGAGACAAAGTGACTGGCTACTGTCAACGCACAAAGGCCGCAAGCTCCACCCATCCACGGGCACCAGCACAAACGGCGCAGACCCGACTCAAGCCAATTACGGCCACCCGATCCGGCTCCATCTGGCCACCCTCATCTGACATCCGACCCCTCCTCGTCCCCTCCCTCTGTTACTCGGACGGGCGTGCTGGAGGGTTTGGGCTCTGGATATATAAGTGCGCGGTTTCTTACCCAAATCTCCAGAAGATCTTTTAACTCCACAACGCGATAAACCAAGTCCATCACATCATCTACAACAACTCTTTCAAACCTTTTTTTACCAACCAACCAAATACCATCAAAATGAAGGGTGACTGCGGCTGCTCCGGCGCTTCTACCTGTACGTCGAACTAAATCCCCTGGCACATCGGTCACGACATCGATGTCGTCGTTTCTGTACCTTGAAGAGGCGCTAACCCAATTGTCTCAGGCAACTGCGGCTCCAGCTGCTCTTGCTCTGGCTGCAAATAAATTGCTCCCAGCTATTGACGACCTTCGAGCCATGAGCTGCGTTTCCGTTTGATTGCGGTTGTGGTGGAAACACCTGCCGTCTTTCTCGTCTTCGGCAGTACGATGATATGAGTTTGTGTTTTTCGGGAATGGGTTACGGGTTCAAGGAAATCGATAATCGGCGGATGGTGTTCCTTTCTCAGTGATGAGATGGACCTATTGATTAGTTCTATAGTCACTCATTTGGCAATTGACCATATTGAGACGTCGAGACATGTTTGTCAAGCCCATTGCTTATGTGACAATCGTTGAACCGAACCATTGCAGTGATGTTGTTCAGTCGGCCATTCTCTGCCAGGCAACTAACTGAACAGATCAAGTAGTATGCCACTGTAGAGTCCGAGGAGACAAAAAGGCATGATGACTTGTTCGACGGCACCGTCAGGCCATCAACAGCTTCTTATACACCTCCTGCCGGCCCTCAAGGTACCAAAGCATCGTAAACTCTACATCTGGCGTCCCTAAAGGTATCTTCCTCTGACCGCTCCTATGATGAATTACGACCCCGCCCCGCCCCGCCTTGGCTCCCTCCGACCCCTCCATGCCTGGCCTGTGCGACAACAGATCACCACCTCAACTCAAAACACACCTCACCTTCAACTGGGCAAATGGCAGCAAACCGGAGTGCCAAACACGCAGCTTCGCACCCGCTTTCACCCTTTCGCACAACACCAGCCCGTCTCTCGTCCTCATCAATTCACGTCACTCCACCTTTCCGCCGGCGTTGCCGCTGCCGGTGACGCCGCCCCCCGCCCAGTCTCTAGCATCAGGGCTCTACGAAACGAACGGTGCGGTTCGCCTACGAAGAAGCGGCTACGGCATCGGTCCATGCCGCTGGCCGTGGCCTCCGTAGTCCCCGCCGACCACCCTCCATCAAGCACTGTGATAGGCCGGAGCTTCCAGTATCGATGCGGAACTCTCAGGGGCCAAAAAGGGTCTGAAAACCTTCAGGGCTCAATGCAGCCTCATGCCACCACCAAGTCGCGTCTGAATGGACGACATGCCACTTCTCTGCCCCTCATCTGCCCTGGTTCGTTTTTTTTTTAGTTATTTACCCCCCTTGCTCGCCCCCGTCGCTTGAAAGTCTCAAAAAGAGGCAAAAGCAAAATAAGAGTTACTCCGTCTATCCCACTCTTATATGGACCGACGACCCAAGTGATGAGCAGCAAAAACGGTCCAATGCGAGACGTCCCCGTAGCAACCTTTTCCCCTCCCCTCGCGATAACCCAGCGAGCTTGGCTCATCCCTTGGCTCCCTCAGCGTCAGTGATCTGGACCCCGAGACCCCTCTTTCTGCATCTTGGGAGGCCCTTTTGCCCCCACCAGAAATGGGGTTTCGGCCCCCATACTCGTACCCTCGGAATGCGTGATCATGCCGCCCCAAGCCCATTACGCCGTTGTGCCTTGTGTTTACTTCCTAAAGTCAGCCTTGGGGCTTGGAAGAAGGAGGGAGGAAGAGGAGAAGAGGCTGACCTGCGTCTGGGTCTCAAAATCTGCGGCCACGAGGAGATAGGAGGGCATCCGGCATGAAACAGACATCATCATGCAACAGACCGCAGCTTCTTGGCTCTTCACTCTTGAGCCGCTATTTCTTACCTTTCTCCCTTAATCGTCACCCAACCAGCCGACGCAAGCGCGCGGCTGCCTCCCAGCGGGACCGGACCCCTAAAATAAATAAAAATAAAGTGAAAAAAAAGGATTCCCGACTTCCCACCACAAAAGGCCCTGGTGAACCACGTCCCAACTTCTTTTTACGGATTTCTGGGCACTGCAGAAACCAAAGGAAGGTACAAAAGGACGCGTAATCGGCGCCCTCACACATCCAATAACTCACCAGCCATGTTCAACCCGTGTCCCTCCTCATTTCGTAAACCCTGCATGAGAGGCAACGCACGCCAAGAAGCCCGCATCGCGAGCTCTCGGCAACCTCTTGCCGGCGGAGTCTCAAACCGGGGCGCGGCACGGAGCCAGAGCAAGCAACAAACAGCAAACACCAACCCAGCTGAGCACTCACCCGAGCACACGCTCTCTCGTTCAAAACAACCCCAGCAAGATGACAGCTAAGCTACCCCTCCATCCATCCCACTTAAGCTCTCCCTGTACCCCTCCCCTGTTGTTTCCCAACCCAACCGCCCCTTCAGGAGCTTCTACCCTTGTCATGGCGGGGTGACCGCAGGAAATGTGAGGAGAAGGAGGCTCTTGGCCCCAGAGAACCTACGTAGATTGATCGTTGGATCATGAGTGAGCAACGGCAGAAACGAACCGAAACAACGTGAATCCCGAATGCCATAATCTGCAGCCCCTCGTGTGTGTGTGTCTGTCTCTCTCTCTCTCTCTCTCTCTCTCACTCATTCACTCCCCCATCCCCCCCTGGCCGCCTTGCTGTACTACGTAGATCCACGCTCCTCTTCATAGGGCAGGAGGAACAAGAAACAACAGCTCAATGGTCAGTACACAAAACCCGATGGTGACAAGCAAAAGGGCAGACGTGACGCGATCGCCAAGCTTCCCATCCGCCATCCCACCCCAAGACCGCTCTTTCCCCTTACACCTGCCTCCACGTGTTGTGAATACCCTACGTACCATACGATGGAGGCCTCTCGCCCCTCATCTCCTGCCCTTTCAAGGTTACGTGCGTGCTGTCTCCATCAATCAATCTCAAGACCCTCAGTGAGCCCATGAACCTGCTTCTCGGGACCACGCATATATAAACCCCTCCCCCGACGTCCTCCGCATCCACAGATCCCAGATCCTGCACTTCCTCTCTTCACAACCACAACTCTCTTGATACCCCTCCTCTTTCAAACCAAACACTCTACCAACAACAAAAATGTCTTTCCACGGCTCTGCTCAGGACATCCGCGTCGACGACGGCCACATCCTCAAGGCCAACCTCGCCAACGTCGACGGTGAGTGGCAGGAGGCTGAGGTCAACCTCAACGACTTCCTCGGCAACAACAACGGCTCCTTCGAGTGGGGTGGATCCGGTACGTCGTCCCATCTTCCTCCTCTCTCATCATCTTGACATTAGAATGTTCTTTGTCACTAACTCTCTTCGTTTTCTTTCCACAACAGGCTTCGCCGACTCCGCCGAGGACATCCACTTCTCCCTTGAGGGCGACAACGTCCCCATCCTCCGCGCCCGTCTCTTCAACGTCGATGGTGAGGCCGTCGACGCCGACGTCAACCTGGCTGAGCGCATCGGCAACGACAACGGCAACTTCTCCTTCGGTGAGTGAGCTCTTTTTAAGAGTTTTTGGATACGAGGACCACCAATTGGCTGACCGTGTGCTCTCTCAACTTCTTAGCTTAAACGAGCGTCGACAATGTTGCGAGGGTGCAGGTGGGGAAACAACTTATGCGTGATATGAGCATCGGTTATGATTGATGAAGGGATGGCGCGGGGGAATACATGGACCTAGAGTCGACGACCTACGCATCCTAGGTAGCACCAATTGAGCTACGCGCCTTATACAAGGCTTGAATGAACTACGCTGTCGATTCGTTATTGTGAACATGGGCTCATGGCAAGGCATCTCCCAAGATCAAGGTGTTACAAGGTTCTCTACTGTCCAGACATGGCTGTACTAGGCCTGTAAAGAGAATTGCCCTGCGAATTATCTGGCCCAAGAGTTTTCCTATTATTATGTACACGTGTGAAAAGCCATCGCAGTCCTTGCCCCATCTTACGTCCCAACCAGCGACTCAAGCTCAGTCTCTCCATCTAGGACATTCAATAGTACATTATGGCATGTCAAGTTGACGCCAATTGTCTTGCAGTAACAGAAACAAACATAAAACTTCATCTCCGATCGCAGCTCAAGCAGACCATCCTTCCCAGAACCATGCAAATACCAGCCCAAGTCGATTTGTCGAGGTGATGTGCTAAGAGTCAGTTCTTTGACGCTTGATAACCCGATCCTCCTCGATGGCGTCTCCTTCAATACCTTCGTTTTCGCGCTTCATTTGCCGGGTGGTACCGTTCTCGCCAGCCTTTTCAACATCCTTCAGGAACCCGTCAGTCAGCTCCGAGATCCTGGATTCCATGACTCTGAGAGTCTCAATCTCCGCCTCATAGAGAATTTTATAGTTGAAGTGCGCTCTGTCCTGGCCATTCAGGAACGCGCGGGTTTCTTTAGTCATTTGCTCCACAGCAGCCTTCTTCATACTGCTCATTTCCTTACGAACCATATCGTGAAGAGAAGTCTGTATGTGGCGAACGCATTCGGCTGATAGTGATTTCATCACAGACTTGTCTTGATCTTCAGTACCTGTATTGGTGGATGTGCGCCGAAGTTGGAAGCTGTTGAAGATACTTTCTCCTGTTGTCGACTGGAAGAGACTGCCCGTGCCAACATTTTGATCTCTATTTCTGTTGAATGAGTCTCTGGCCGAACTCGCATTGACTGCAGATAACCCAAAGGTAGCTCCGGTTGAATCAGTTTTGGTGACATCGAGGTGGTACCGACCGTGAGTGTAGTCCGCTAGTCGCAATTCCTCAACCGACCAGTTGCTATAAAACGCATTGCATGTAATGTTCTGAGACAAACTGGTGGTTTTTTCAGACAATTCGTATCCATCATCTTCTAGTCCTTGGGGGCGAATATTCCGCGAGTGCGGCGGATCGCCATGTATGAGCGAGTTATTGGCAGCCGTCGGTGCAGCTCCTCTGCGTGTAAAATCCGGTAGAGAAGATCTTGATACGTTCCTGGGGAGTCGTTGATCCCCAACCGTTGATTCTGGTGGCTTAGGGGTATCGTGCGGTTCTTGGACCACACATGGTTTGACATCTGCTTGGGCTGCCTGAGGTGCAACAACACATTTTTCCTCCGTCGGCGAAAACCTAAGATGTTGTTCAGATAGAGCGGTTTTGAACCGAGCCAACCTCTTTTGTTCTATGGTAAGAGATGGGTTGCAACATTTGACGGCATCCCACCCCTTCTTTTTGAATTCCTCAACAAGGTATTCATGAACATGACCTTTGTTAAGCAGTCGTAATACCTCACAGTCTATAGGAGAAGGCGCCTCATCTGGGACTCCTGGGCCCTTCAACCACATAGTTTTGAGACGTGTCCAAGCAGGGTCGAGGTGTAAAGGCATACGACGTTTCTTCCATACTCTTTTTTCTAACTCTTTGTCAATCTGGTCCAGCAAGTCAGGGTGATCGGCGAAGGCCTTATGTTTTCGAGCCTTGGCCCACGGCAGCCAGGTTGCAGAATTCAGAGGATACCGCATAGACATTCTGTATGCATGGTAAGTTGCTGAATCCATAGAAAGCTCTTGTACTTCTCAGAAAGTAAGCATACCTACAGAACTGATCGGGGTGGTGAAGTGAGCAAGAATGCTAGAGTTGAATGGAAGATGAGAAGTTAAAGCAAGATGCATGCCTTCCGAATACAATATGTTGATCTTCTCAGTCAGTTTGAAGCCCTTGAGCCTACGCTGAACGACGATTAGCAAATAGAAGAGATTGTGAGATGGTTGGCTGGGCTTGGTGGGTCAATCGTGGTGTTGGAGGTGAGAAAGAGCTGCGACATCTGCCAGAAGAGGTGAGTAGAAGGTTTTCAGTGAGAAGGCAGGAGCGAGTCGCGAAGGATGTGGCTGCCTCAGAAGTCCTGGATGTTGTTTGTTACAGAAGGGGTGCCTTCCGTTTTGGAAAAGGAAGGCTGTGGTCCATCATCCCCTTGATTGCAAAAGCCCTCCTTGATGCTGGGTGGGGTGCTTCTGTAGAAATGAGTATTTTGAATGTTTTGGGTACAATGCTGAACACACCTTATGCAAGATTTTGCCGGCTTCTTAAACATTTACAACTCATCAAGATCAAGTCGTGAGCAGGACGCTGGTTAGTGTAGAGTAAGAATCGATGATATTCCGTATGTTACAAAGAGTACAATATCTGTACAAGGGTCTATACCAGACACATTCCTCTCCGCTGTCCCCCCTTTGTCTTTCTGTATCTCCAATCCGGGACTGTTTATGCCCGTCCCTGAATCCATTTCCTTTGCACCGGCTTGGGGAGGTGCTCGTGGCCAGTGACCGGCAAGTTCCTCTTCTCAAGCTCCTCCTTGATGACCTTCCATCTACCCAGCATGGTCTCCTTATCGATCGGCGTAACGCGGCGGTCGTGAACCCGGACGTTGGGCAGCTCGGGCAAGAGGCCTGCCTCGCGGATCGCCTCGGAAACCTTTGCCGGCTTGGGAGGCTTGACGATGGTGGAGATAAGGTGCTGAACGGTTTCGATCTGGGCGAGCTTGGCGTCGTGGACATATTGGCCAGTCAATTGGAAGACGCGCTTGTGGAGCTGTTAAAAGGTTGTTAGCTATGCTTTTTCAGAGAAACTGAAAAGAAAAAGGGGGGGGGGGGTCGTACGGCAAACTTGAAGAGGGGATCCTGGAGGGAAATATTCTTCCACTCTGTACCAAAAGACTCGACAAGCTCCTTGGCCTCCTCGGCGGAGAGAATCTCCTCCACAACACCAGCGTCCTTCTTAGTCTGAGGGCGCAGCAGCTTCTTAGTAACCCTCTTCACAGCCTCACCGTCGCCGCCAACCGCGACGCTTCCGTCCGCGTTGATCTTAACACCCAAGGCAACGGCATTATCAAACGCAGTGCGGTCGCCCTTGGCCCACTTGCCCTTCAACCCCTTCAACCCCTTCGTGCCCAGGCTCGCAACGGCGACCGTCTCAACAACGGCCTGCCTTACCAATGCCTCGCAGACGTTCTTATCGGTAACCTTTTGCGACAAGCTTCTGGCGGAAAAGCCGACATACTCGCTCTCCTTGCCCCAGTTACCCTCCTGGTCCCACCACCCAGTAACGCCGCCAACCTCCTCGAGATCGTCAATGGTCTTGGCGGGAACGTAGCCCTGGTCCTCAACCTCCTTCTCCGTCGGCGCCCACGTGCGCTTGTTCTTCGTCTTGAGTCTGCTGAACGGACGGTGTCGCAGCTCACGACCGGTGCCGGCTTCCTGAGCGTCCTTTGCATAGTCCGCGAGCTCCGCCTCCGCCTCAGCGAGGTCACGCTCAAGCTGCTCCTGCCTCAGCTTTTGCGAAGCCTCGGGGCTGTAGGGGTCCTCGGGGCCGGGGGCGTCGCCGTCCTTCCATATAAGCTTGCGAACGCGCTCGTTGCTCTGGAGGGTCGATGTCGTCGAGAGGGCTCGGCGGGCTGCTGAGATGGGGAGCGTCGCGGGGGCGGCGCAGGCGCATTGGGGTGCTGATGAGGCGGCAGCCAGCAGGGGCTGCCTGAGACGCGGTACTACGCGCATCGTGGGCGGCTGTTGTTGAGAGTGGTGCTGAGGAAATCAAAAGGTCTCCTGAGGTGGGCACACGATAGTCGAGACTGAGGGAGCTGCTTTCCAATTGAACTTTTTTGGATGCTGGGGTTAGGCTGGCGAATCAGAAGGCGAGAGCTTCAGCCACAGCCTCGGCGTGCCACAGGGGTCTGCTCACGGGTGTGATGTGGCTCGTGCGCTAAGCATCAGCCCCAACCTCAGCCTTTCAACGGCGATAACCTCGATTGGAACGAGGAATGGACCTCGATCGTGTTTAGACGGGTGAACGACTCCTCACACCATTAACCGCCAAAAAAATGAATCGGATATCGCTCATACTTCTGCTCCTCTGCGGGTTTGTCGCTCTCGTCAGCGCAAACTGTACGTCTACCGTATCGTAATCCTGAAAGGGCTGGATTCCTGCTAACACCCTCCGAAGCAGCGCCGACGTTTTGCAAATGCACCTGCTTTAAAAACAGTACCATCGTCGCCCTGGGCCCCCAACATTCCGATGAAAAGACAGGTTCTACCTCGCGAAACCACCCCTCCTCTCACGACATGAAGCGCGCCGCCTCCTCGTCCTGCTCCCAATGCACCAAAGCCTTCTGTCTCAGCCGCGGCATCGACTTCTGCCGCGAAGCCAAGGAAGAGAATGTGCAGACCATGTGCTTCCAGCGCGACAGTAACAAGGATCGTGTTATCGTCTGGGGATTTCTTCTGGGTACTACGGGATTGCTGGGTTGGGCGGCGTTCAAGCATGCGCAGGAGTTGCGAGAGGGGAAGAGACAAGCTGAAGCGGCGCAGGCGGGACAGGCAGGTCTGGCAAGAGGGAATTACAGCCCGCTAGGTTCGACTGGTCAACAGTGATGATTTTTCTTTTTTTTTCTTTGTGAATTCTTCCTACGGGCATCATTTGGTATCGGCGTTTTGGCTTGGTTGGGTTGGTAGCGCGGTCATTACGGATATGGGGATGCCAAAAGGGGGGTTATCCCAAGGTCACGGACATGTTATATCACGCAAAGTCAGTGTAAATGGAGAATCTAGCAGCGTGTTTATCAAAGCTATCTGTTCTCCTATCTCCCGGCCATTACCGGGGATGCAAGCATCATTACCCATGCACCATAACCATAACGCGAAAGACTTTTTGTTTCCCTCCCACCCTGGAGCCTGAAAAATGCAAATGCCATGCACATGTGTGGTATGTCCTTTTTTTCCCCTCCTACACAATCCGCTATCTCTCCTACAATATCACTGTTTTTGTTCAAGTCCAACCTTACTCCTCCTCAAGGTGGGTAACCTTGGGCGACTGGGGGTTAGCCGAGCCGGCATTGACCTCACGACGGGCGCGAACAGCAGAGGCAAGGTCTTCGAGCACGGTGATGGTGGACTCCCAGTCGATGCAGGCGTCAGTGATGCTGACGCCCTTCTTGAGGGCAGCAGGGCCCTCGGCAGGGACCTTCTGGTTGCCCTCGTTGATGTTGGACTCAATCATGACGCCGATGATGGACTTCTCGCCCTCTCTCAGCTGGTCGCCGACAACAGCGGCAACCTTGGGCTGGTTGCGGTGGTCCTTGTTGGAGTTACCTAGGTTGAAACGTCAGTTGGGAAGCAATTGGATATGCAGGAAAGGGAGCTCACCGTGAGAGCAGTCAATCATGATGGCCTGCTTCTGGCCCTTATTGGTAAGCGTCTCCTTAGCCTTCTGGACGTTCTCCTTGTCGAAGTTGGGACCCTTGGAACCACCTCTCAAGATAACGAATCCGTGCTCGTTGCCCTTGGTGCGGGTGATGGCAGCCAGACCCTGCTTCGTGACACCCATGAAGTGGTGCTTGGCAGCAGCCGCGCCAATGGCGTCGATGGCAACACCCAGGTTGCCGTCGGTGCCGTTCTTGAAACCGACGGGGAAAGACAAACCGGAGGCCAGCTCACGGTGAAGCTGGGACTCGGTAGTGCGGGCACCGATGGCGCCGACCGAGATGAAGTCGGCAAGGAACTGAGGAGAAATGGTGTCGAGCATCTCGCTGGCGATGGGCATGCCTGCAGTTGTGAGGTCGCGGAAAAGCGTGCGGGAGACGCGCAGGCCCTTATTGATCTGGAAGGTGGAGTCGATATCAGGGTCGTTGATGAGGCCCTTCCAGCCGACGGTAGTACGGGGCTTCTCGAGGTAGGCACGCATGACGACGCAGAGGTCCGAGGACAGGCGGTTGGAGATCTCCTTGAGACGCTCGCAGTACTCGAGAGCAGTGGCAGGGTCGTGGATGGAGCAGGGGCCGATGACGACGAGGAGACGGTCATCCTTGCCCATGATGATGTTGGCAGCCTCATTACGGCCCTTGACAACAGTCTGGAGAGCCTTCTCGGTCATGGGGATCTCAGAAGAGAGAAGCGCGGGGGGGATCAGGGGATCCTGTCCCAGGACTGCGGTGTGTTAGTCGTCATGGCATTTGGTGGTGACGGCGGTGAAGCGGCGGTGATTGAGGAGTTTAGGGTAAGAGCGGTAAGAACACGTAAGACGAATCGCATGACAATCGTAGACATGTCTTGGGAGGAATAGATGATATGATTGAACCGAGACTGAAGCTCAAGAGCAAATAGCCCATTGATTCTCAATGATAGCTACATTGAGAAGCTGATGTGGGGCAGAAGAAGAGCCCAGGATGAGTGACATTGCGCAGTGGGTTCATCGGCATTCAATGCTGAGAGGGGGAAAAAAAAAAAAAAGTGACTCACTTCTCACGTCGTCAGCCGCGAGGGGCTCATGCTGAAGGTCGAGACCAGGCATTTTGATGTGAATTTTAGTAAAGGGTATCTAAAAACTTTTGCAAAAGAGTTAGCTGGCCATTGATTCGCATTGTCTGTGCAGAGCATCCCAAGGTGCTGCCCAATTTCGTCCCATCGCGGGGTGCATCGTGAGTGTGGCTCGCCGGATACGGCCGCCAACGCCAACGGCAACGGCCCCCCCAGGAACCGATTCAATGACGAAAAGCACAGGAACCCAGCAGATGGGAAATCCGGGGTAAAGACCAATGAAAAGGAATACCGTTGGACGCTTACATTGAGAGACAAGACAATTGGAAAACAAATAGCCAGGCGGTTCGTGGCGTGTGCGGAATCGGTTCGCCGTGGACTGCGGAACTGGGTATCGTGGTTGGATCTGCTTGCTTGAGCCGTCGTTGACCGAGATGGAGGATGAATGTTCGTCCACAGGGGAAGGGAGAGGTTCCAGTAGTGCCCTTTTGGGGGGGTTTAATGAGTGAGCAATGGTGGGTTGTGACTCAGAGAAAGACTGAAAAGTGGACTGGGACTGTGGGTGGCTCGGAATCAGAAAATTCATTAAAGATGCTTACCCTTCCCGCCTTTGTATTTGGTGGTTTTTGTGTGGCTTATGGTTTTTTTTTTTTTTTAATCTTGGACGACGCTGCAGCGGACCGGAGCCCTTTCGGAGACAGTCCCGCTAGCTGATGCGAAAGTATTCTTTGCTTATGAACGTGTGGCAAGGTACCTTCTCTTGAAGCTTCGAGTGGTTCAATATGCAGTGTCATGCGTTATTGTTGTAATGAGCGCCCTGCAGGTTCCACGTGCATCGTTCTCGTCAATATTTCTCGTCAAAATTCAGCCCTTGTGGTGGGAACATGTCAAATCTTTCTCGACTCCCTTGAGTTACTTTCTAGTGGCTAACGGATCCATCGACGTCACGGACCCAGACCAAGTGGCTTGGGAGCCGGTACTCAATGGAAGGCGATGCGCCGTTGGCGAAGTTTATGGCTATTCCGCCTTTGCGGTGACGCAAAAAGCGTCGAGGGACCGATTCAGACAGGCCGATGGCGGGGCAAAATGGAGGGGCAATGGAGGCACTTCGGCCGCTAAGGATTCAGAGCAGGGAACACTCAAGTGATAATTCTCTCACATGCTGCCTTGCTCGTCTTTGACATGACAATGATCATTGAAACGAGAGCCGTTGACAAAAATACTGCATCTCTTACATTTAAGTAAAATTCTTTCAAGGAATATCAGAATCTCTTTCGAGAAGCTGCTGCAAACTGTACTTAGTTGTAGGTGGTCGTATAGTCATGCCCCTCTATCCGAAAGGGACCCGTGGAAATCAAAATGCTCTGATTGGCCAATTCTAGTCCCTGCTGAGGATTCACCGACATTGACTACCCGGCATTTTCAAGGTGACTGTTTTAGGTGTCTCCGACTCCGCTCCTTCGGCACTTTTGGTCCACTCTCCGTATTAGCGCAACGCAACAATGGGCTGAGGACAGCCTCATACAATGTCACTCAAGTTCCAATGACCACATCCAGTGACTCATGTTCACCCAGGTTGACAGAATTTGAATTCTTATGCCGTCTAATTCGAGTTATCTGATAGAAATACATCATACTGAGCGGCAAATATGCCTGTAGCTCCTCACAGAAGAAAGTAGTCAGCTTCAGAGTAAAAAGGTTTTACGTGCCTCCCAACTTGTCGCACTACGGGGGTGCAATGTAACTTATGTTCAAGGAATAAAAATCAAGTGAAAAGATCATATTCTAGCTTCGCTGCAAAGCAGCTCTTGAGTTGGTTTCTGGACACCTGCTGGGAGATTGAGTTAGACACGTCTTCGTAAGCCTCAAGTCGAAGTATTAGTAACATGAAGCAACTACATTCTTAGAAATTCAATGAGAAGCCAGTGTAGACCTCAAGTTAATTAATCCAGAGCGTTGAAATGCCACACACTTCAGTTGTTCACATTCAAGTTTTTCTTTCTTCTTCTTAAGCCTGATACAAGTAAAAAATAGTCCTCAAACGTATGGAGAGTTGTGTGAAAGATTGGGCGGTTTGAATCAAACATTAATATGGAATGCTAATTTAAACATTGCCTAGTTACTTTCATCGTCATGTTCATGGCGAACCGCATCAAGTCTGGACATCATCAAACCATGTTATCCAAGCGACCTCATCCCCAAGAGCCCTGCTTGAGAAGAGCTGTGGCAAAAACCTGGAATATTCAATGCTATCTCGTCATTAGCCTCACCTTTTTCAGTATGGCATGATACTGCGGACATGACTTTTTGCTTTCTGTTGGGACAGTGAGCTCGGACAAGCTCTACTCAGCCATATAAATTTGTATTGAACATTCTAAGTGAGACCTAGGCAAATCGAATATGTTTCCGTTGAGTTGGGATCATAATCAGCATTAGTGGCCTAGGCCCGGTGTCTGGTACATGAGTTTCTATGCTCAATGCCGCCAATCCTCAGTGCCCTGAATCCATCGTATTGGCTTCTCCGTACTCCTCGGAAGCATTGGCAAGGTCTTCGTCTCGCTTGTGTTGGCTTAGGATGAGCTCGGCATGTCCAAATTGCATGCCTCATCGAAGCAGACCGGAGTTTCTCAATTTCTATAGAAAATAATTGAAAGAAGCTGAACACCAACCTGAGCTTTTGTCATCTCAATCTCAGATAAGAAAGGAACAGTAGCTTGTTTTCAGGAAAATTTAACACTGTACAAACCGAGGTCAAGATGTCCAGCAACAAAAATGAACTGAATCCACATACAGATTGCCAGCGTCGGATCTATTTGGCCTGTAAAGTTAATTAGATCATTACTGGTCTCTCATGCAGCGAATTGCATCAAACTTCATGACAGGTTTATAATTTTGGCTTGCACCCCATCACCAAACCACTGGCTGATATTAAGTCCAACCTAAATTATACATGAGTTCCCTTTTATATACTCAAAGAACTTATATCAAAATAAGAGCAAGATGCATTTTTCGCGAAGGAAGGTGTGAGGATTTACGTTCATGGTACTCTGCCAACGTGAAAAATCAATATTACACTCAGTTATCTTGCTTTAAAAGGGTTTCAACATTTAATACGTTTGATTTATTCATATTCTCAGAACATACGCCGCAGGGCCAACTCATTTGTAAGCAAAAACTCAGAGACATAATTCAAATAAAATCTATTGGTCCTTTATGAACATTTGTCTCGATGACTTACAATTGTGTTAAAAGGTATTAAGAGTTTTGTCTGGGCAAGTTCCTGGCTTCATCGCCTGGGATGCTCAGTTCGCAAGTCGTCATACAACTAAACTATACTTTCTAGACCCAAAAAGCCTAAATAATTTTGAATCGCCATTCAAAACAGGCAAAATACTACCAACTCGTCTGCCCGCCAAGTCGGGCTATCCATAATCCATGAAAACCCCAACTCAACATCTGACCGAGTCGACCGAGATGTGGAGCCACGCCACCGACTCATCTGTCACACGTTTCTGGGGTAGCTCAGGCTCACCGAAAAAGCCCGGGCCATCCTAGAAAACCAACACCTCCGTGACAGAAGAACTACCGGAGCATTCCATGCGACCAGGACAAGGCCCACTGGGAGCGTCACCAAGTCAGGTCATGTCATGACAAGCCCGTTGTTGTTGATCGACCCAAATCTGTCAAGCCCCAGCACCCTGAAGCAGCTCAGATTGCAACACCAACACCCGACAGTATATTATAAAAGAAGAAGTGAAACAACGTTGGCCCCGACGGCAATATGATCGATGTACTACCATCGTTTTGGTGATCAAATCTTGGCCGGAACAAAATAGTGTTTTTTCTACCCTTCCTCAAAATCAATTTTATTGAGACAGCCACATAGACACATTGAGCTCAGAAGACGCAGTGGTAGGGGCAGCAGACCGGGAATTCTTTTTTTTTTTTTTTCCTGATTAGGAGCCAGAAGGGTCCGAGGGTCTAGACTCAAAAAGACCCTTGGGTCCATTGGATCATTGTCATGTCCGTCACCGGGTCTAGCATCAGCATCGGCATCAGCAGTCTTTTCTGTCACTTGCCTATCTCGTTTGACTTTTGTACGTCTTTCCAAGCGGCCCATGGCAGGCCGCCATCACTCTTCGGCAATCTGCCATGATGTATGTGCCCTGCCCGCACTCCCATGTTCAACATGGCAAAAAAGTCAAAGCTCAATCTATTGGTTCGCTAGAATGGCTGTGCTACTCGTGGCCCAGTCTCAACCTTTGCCGTTTAGAGGAGTCGTGGGCGGCCGTCCCGGCGCACGTTCGGGACTAAGTACGGAGTTGCGAGATTGTGTAGGATCGCGGTATCCATCTACCCGGGGCCTAGTGACGACGATATCGTCTGCCTTAATTCCAACTGCAGATTACGAGCAGCATTGGGATCTACTACGAAGTATCTGCCAAGTAAGCTCTGTAAAGTTACCAACGAGCTGGTTGTTTGTAAGACAACAAGGAAGAGTCGGAGAGCGACATTGCGATATGCGAGGTGTTTGAGCGGCCAACTCGTCCTCGCGGTCACACCTTCTAACCTTTGCGCTAAGGACATATGCTTATTCCGTGTAGTCGACTATTTGTTCTGTGCCCTCATTTGATGGATGGGAGTATGGTTGCTTGGCACACCATAGTCCACGGCAGGCTTGGACCGAGTGCAGCCTCGACCGAAGCTGTGTGTTCCCAGCCCTAGCTTGACTCGGACAATGGCCCTTGGTCTATCTCGTCAGTTTCTTGCGAGATGCTTGAGACGTCGAGGAACTGGGACGCCGCAAATTGATGAACGGTGATGGTCGGCGGGGGAGGATTGCTGGCGGGGCAAAGGTCCGTTGGCCCCGACTTTGGCTTTGCCCAAGAGCAGAGGTGATCGTCCGGTGCGAGCCACGTAATGTGTGGAATAGCGGCTTTGCTGACATGTTACTCATTCTTGTTGTTTAGCTATGATGCGACATATTGCATACGCCAATTGGAGTCGTAGGCCTCAAGGTTCGTTCTATGGCAATGCACTTCCGAAGGCCTCGAATAGCCCCATCGACAACCGTGCTAAAATCACACCAACCTTACAATCTTACCCCGCTTGAAGCATGGCGACGTCGTTCCACGGTGAGAGAAAGGATTGGATAAAGAACGCTCAACCTCCTTCATTGCGCCCTATCCACCCTGATGCCCACCCACCCTAGCACCTCATGAAGCAATTCTGAAACGGTCCTCACCACCACCTCACAACCAAAAAGACAAAAAAGGGTCTGCTAGCAACCACACAACGACCAACGACAAAGCCTTCCGCATGTGACGGGTTGGACGGAGGGGGTAGCAGGCGGGATGAACCAGCAAATGACCAGTCAAGAGCCAAAATCGTCCACGGTCCGTTCACACACATGTACGCACATACACATACACCACCCTTGCCGTCTCGCAGCGAACAGCAGCCGCCGCCGCCGCCACCACCACTCATTACAGTTGTCGTCGTCCTCCGTTCGCCGAATGTCTTCTTGGCTTGCCTCTCCGGCCGCACAGATCGCCAAGTCAACATGGCAACTCAAGTCAACGGGCCGTTTGGGAGTGTTCTCGCGACACGACGAGACTGCGAGACCCTCGTCAACTCTTTAGGATAGACCCAGTCCAGTCAGTCAAATTCCAAGTCAGTTAGATGTCAATTGTGGATGATACAGGTAGTATATGTCCACTTCCTGGTCTTCGTTATCGGCCAGCATGACGAGGAAATAATAATCAAGGCAGTTGCAGCAGCTGCCCAATGCTTGTCAATCAGACAGAGACGCACGGCACAAGTGGTTACGACGACAGGGAAGTGAGAGAAGAGAGGGTATCGTGCCTGTGGCCTCCTCAATACGACACTCATACAGCAAGCATTTGCGATAGAGAGCATCCTTAAAAGAGCCCCTGGTTACCTGGATCTTATTCGGTCGGAATAAGAGCCCCTTAGCCGCTCCCCTCTTCTTCGTTTCTAACATTACCTTGCCCTATATCTCATCTTTCTTTTTTTCTTCATCTTCCCGTGCCTTTTCTCCGCGTGCCACCTTTCGGGAGACCAACGCCGAGGCCGCTGTTCTGTTTCTCTCTTTTCTTCTTCCTCCATCTCGTTTCCCTTTACAACGTTTTGTAGTGCCAGTGTCGTGCTGTGGCAGACTGTCATCTGTCAATTACTACTTGTTTTCTTCTTCTTGTGGCATCTGGATTTATACGAGAACTTTCAGCCGGATGTCCGACCATTTGTCATTCTGGACAGCGCCATTGGCTTTGGACACAATTTTGATCTCTCTCGCTCCCTTGCCACTCCTGCTCACGCATTGAGCTATACATTTAGCCCAGACGTTACACGGCGATCATAACACCAACCAGCCGAGAGATACCCGCCGCCGGACCGTGTCGAGTTGATCCCATTCCACATTCCAGTTTTGTTCGAAAGACGCGCCCTGCACCAAAAAGATAGACGACACGCGATACACGAAACACGACTCAGTCGCACAGCGTATTTTGGACAAAGAAGTCTCAACAAACACACAAACTCACGTTTCTTGCTAGTAGAGGCAACCCTGAACATTCCTGTTCATCTTCTCGACCCTTTCATCAGTACTTCAACCCGGGAAGCACTCCCCAGAACCCCCGTCGGTTGAATTCCAGCAGTGTGGAACTAGCGCATATTAGCGTCTCCGAAGTCCCCCTCCCCACAGCGTGTCGCCCCTAAAGCCGTTAGCCCGGGAAGGACCTGGACGGCCTAGCTGCCTGCTTGGGCCTTGGCTCTTTTTACTGGGAGCTCAGTGCACCCATTCCTACGCAGCAGCACGCTCAAACTACTGTGGGTGGCGGCGCCTTGTACCTTCGCACGGGGTCCTCCCCTTCTCACCCGCTCTTTCCCATCTGGCCGCCTAGCTCATCGCCTTCCCTGCCTTACGGGCTTTTTTAGTGGCCTGGTCCCCTCCCTCTTTTGTGGCGTCCGTAGCGTACCTGTTGTATCCGCTTTTTCTTCTGCTCATTATTTTTTTTTCCCTTACCTTTGGGCAATCGCGTACCCGTGCTTGCCGCATTCCTCACGTCTGTTACTGGCTTGCTTCCTTCTCGCTGTTGCTTTGCTTAAGCACTTACCTTCTTCTGCCTGCTTCTCCCACTCTTCCTTTCGACTTTCTTCACTTTATCTGCAACTGCTCCCCCCCTCCTGCTCCCCTTTCCTCCCGAAAGTGTGGTTTAAGTTTTTTCCCCCTGGCTCTTTCTATCCTCTCAGAAAACAAAATCCCCACTACAAATTAACGAATTGCCCTGCTGTGGAAGGCACCTGACGGAAGAAGGAAGTTGCCGTCGAAGGTACTTGCAGGCTTGCTGCAGCTGTCCAGATCGAGCCTTGCCTTTTTTGGGCGCGACTTACACCCGCGTAAGCCTTCCTCCCTCGACTCAGCCGCCTTCGTGATTGCCTTCGCCCAAGGCCAATCAGCTCCGAATCGACAGAAGCTGCGGAACCTGCTTCTTTTTTCTTGATTCCTTTCCTTCCCCCCTCTCCACTTCCAGCCCCGACACGCTTCCCTGCAGCTGGAGCCTTGGATTTGCGTGTGCCGCGCTGCTTCCTGCACCTGCACCTGCACCTGCCACTTATTCCCCACGACCCAGCCTATCCTCTGTCCGAGTACCAACCCCCGCCAATCCCGGCACCCTCAGTCCGGGGGAACTTGGCAACAGCCCGCCCAGTGCACATCAGACACAGGGACACCAACACCTTTGGGGACGATCGCCTTTCTCCAGTCCTTTCCTCCTCCCCTAATACTCAACCAACAACGGAGACGTCGTCAGACTTGGAGCGACCAGAGCGATTCGGCATCAACTAGATATCGCTAGTTGTATTTTCATCCCGCTTCTGTCGCACTGCGTGGTCGCACATTCACTCTCGATAACACCACCTTCGGCACCTTTTATATCCCCGAATCTCATGATGTTCGGTATTCAGCAGTTCCCGGACTCAACCCGGAAGAGGGTTCGCGAGGAGGAAGATGACATGATGAACGGCACTTTGAGCTTTGGCGAGCACAGAAATGTACGAACCTTCTGCCCTCTTTCCCACCCCTTCCGAACGTACCCTCTGACTTGTGTGTGATTTGCAGAAACGCCTACAATGCCTACCCCTCCGGACCTCGCCCAGCTCGAAGCGCTGGTCTGCGCCCATCATGCCCCTCAATGCCGTTCCTTGCACGCTCACACCCGGCGATTCCGACTCGGAGGAGCAACCCAAGTCTCGCTTCTCGCCCTGGTCGTCGTCACCGGCAACCATGTCGTGTCAGCCGTCGCCCTTCCAGCAGATCGAGCCCGATCGCGATATGGACATGATGGACACAATGTCCCCGCCGCCAGTTCCGCACCAGAACGTCCACCCGGATCCGAGCTCCTCCGCTCAAGGTCGCATGCCGACCCCCATCCAACCAAACTTCGCAGCTCAAGTCCGGGGTGGTGTCTGGGGCGGGCCAGGACCCGCAGTGAGCCATCTCAACGGCGTTGTCAATATGGGCCACATGCATGCCGGCTTCAGCGCCGACGAGTCCCGCTGCATTCCCCGCTCTATGGAGGGTGCTGATGACTGGCACGCCGTCCAGAACCGCCGTCTACCATCCCCCATAAGTGAGGGCGAGGATTCCATGAGCCATGCCGGCAGCGGGAGCCTTAGTCCTCCAGGAATGGTTCTTGACAGCGGCTTCTCTTCCAATCTCGCCTTGCGTTTGGAACAGTCGTCTCTGGAAGGAAACCATCATGACATGGACATGATGGGCGTCGATGACGATTCTTTTGGTCATTCAATGCCGGGTGAGGAGCCCGTCACTACGACTATCGACAGCCACCCGACTGAGACAACGTCTGCACCCGCGACACCGTCTCCGGGACGCAAGGGGCATATTAGGTCCAGACACACCGTTAACCACTGGACCTGGCAGCCGGGCATGAAGAAAAGCTTCAGCATCGGCTACCGGGCCGATTGCGAAAAGTGCCGTCTCAAAGTCCCGGGCCATTTCAACCACATTATCGTCTCATAGAAGGGACTGAAGATTATGCTCGAAGACCTTTTTGCAGAGAGCAAGGTCCTGACGGATCCCACTCTCGCGGAAGATTACATGATGCAGAAGTGGAAAGCAAATGTGAGAAGAGAAAGAGAAAAGCAGCGCCCGCCATCTCTGGCGAGGTGTCTGGTGTCATAAAAAGCGTGGTTGGCGAAGAGCAAATTGCGAAGCTGCTCTTGCCTATTATTTCGTGGCGTTTTTGATTTTGGGGCATGGGGCCTTTGGCAGCGGATTTTCGGGACCATTCTGCGTAATACCACACACACTCAGCGTATACATTTCCACTCGCTCGGGTCCGAAATTTGGGCGGGCTCTTTCCTTTCGGGTTTATAGGTTTCTGGTATGCATTCTGGACGGGAGTCGACTGGCCCGGCGCGGCGGACTCGGCGGTACTGCATTCGAGAAGCGTTTCGTGGTGTACATAATACCAGTCCAAGAGGACATAATCAGATCAGCCAAGAGCTGAAGCATTTCTCTATGTCATTATTGTTTACAATGTGGCACGTCCGTCTATTGTGAGATAGCCGAACTACGTTCAGAACTCGGATATTTACGACATTGTGTCACAATTCCTCTGTCTAAATGCCACGAAAAGCTTGAGCGATGCAAAGATGAGGGTGATGTTTCCTTCCCGCATGCAAAAGGTTCAACCGGACGCCGTCTAATGCACATCCAGTCAAGTCTACACTATGATACAGTGACACTCTCCCCATCTCCTCTTGTTTCCCCCCTTTCGTCATCATCTTCTCCCCTCGGTGTCAAGGGAGGCAAAGCTGAGCGGGCTCCTCGTTACATGACTATACATTCGCTCCTTGTCCCCGGTCCCCATCCCGCACCATTATCAACTGCGACATTTGTTTCCCGCTGCCGTCTCCCGCCCGCCTCGATTTTTAGGTTTTGTTCTTCTTCTATACACCCAATATCGTCACAATAGCCGCCGCATGCTCCCCCCTGATTTTGGTTTGTATCAAATTATAACAATATTCGGTGTTTGGGTGTGTTTTCTTTGCCGACGCTGGCGTTGTTTCCCTTCAAGGGTCCAATCGGCTAGGGGAAGGGCCAAACAAAGACACGAAGGCAAAGGGCAAAAGGGTGGGAATTTACCACCACCCCTTCTTCTCGGCCTTCTTCTCCTCCTGCGGCAGACCAACCTGGTCCAGCACGCCCCCGCGCCTCTGGTTCTCCTTCTCACGCTCGAACGCGGCCTTGGCCTTGTCCTGAAGAAGCTCTTTCCGCGACTCGACGGCGCGCACGAGGTCGCTGTTGCGCACGCCCGAAGGCTCGTCTTCCTCGGACAGGGACTCGGAGGGGTCGGAACGGGAGGAGAAGGGCCACCAGCCGCTCTTCTTGGTGACTGGCGCCGCCTCGGCGGTCGTGGGGAATGTGGGAGCGGTCGTGTCTGGTGTTGTGACGTTGGCGGAAGGGGTGTGTTGGCCGTTGCCGAAGATCCTCTCGGCTTGCGTAGTGACGGTCGGGGCAGACAGCAGGGGCGGGAGCTTGGTGCCTGTCTCGCGGGCGCGGGCGTTGGCCTCCTCGACGAGGGTCACCTGGGCGTCGGTTGCGGTGCCGTTGATGAAGGCCAGACGGGCGGATGCGAGAGAGTCCTCTTCCATTTTGCGCTGCGCCTCGATGAAGTCTGCGCGGCGCTGCTTATTGTATGTCACCATGTCGTAGACGGAGTAGACTGAGACGAGACCGGCAATGGCTATTTGTGGCGTGTTAGTTTACTTGTTGACGTCCCAGCAGCCTCCTTTCCCCCGTCCATTCCTACTGTTCCAGTAAAGAGGTGATAATTTATGGTACAAATTCAATTGACCCCCGGAGATGTCGAATAACGGTACAAAACTGAAAGGTAACGGAGCGAGGCAACTTACCCGTGAAACCGACCAAGCCGATGACGGTGGCCTTGTGCGCAACATCGAAGAAGCGGCGACTGTTGCCGATAACACGGTCGACGTTGGAAGTCTGAGCCTTGCGCGCCGCCTCGTGGGCCGCGCGGAGACGTCGGACACGCTCCTCGGGGCTCTCGCCCGGTACCCGTCCGGGGATCTGTGGTGTAGAAGTCGGGCTACTTGACGCAGCTGCTTTCGACGATGTGGGAGAGTGCTTAGAGGCGGCATGCGGGGTGGTCGAGGTGAAGCGCGTTGCGTCCGAGGCGCTTCGGGGGCCTACTCTGGATGCCATCTTGCTCAGGATGGGCCGCTCGAATCGGTAGTATTGACGGACGAGGAGGCCTGTGTGTGAACGAATTGAAGGCAAGTCGTCTTTCGTTGTCAACTAAAGTCGGTCGGGGACTCGGGGGCCAACGGGGGAAACGGGATGGCGAATTGGGACTTTGTCATGAGATTTTTTGGAGCTTTGGGAAAGGGAATGGGCCCCAGACTGCTGGGTTTTTGGCGGTCTGTGATTGGTGCGGGTTCTTCCGGGGGCGTTATCGTACGAGAGTTTTTGGAAGCTGGGAGCTGCGGACAGCTGTTGGTACCATTGGTTCTCGGCAGTGATAGATCTGAGCCAGAGGGACAAGATAGTCATGAGACAGCTGAGGGTTTTGGGATGTCATAAAGTATGAGATTATAGATGGTAGGGAGAAATGAAGGTTTTACACGATGTTTAACCGCAGAGGAGTAATTTTAGTTATGGTTATGGGATTAAAACTTGTCTATGGGGTTTACGACATTCCAATGGCAGCTCAAAAGTGAGGACGAGCTTCAGAAGCTCTCTGAAAGAGCGTCGTCACGCATGATGTGATATGGGTTCTTATTCATACATCATGTCAGATCTATCGCAAGATTCAAAATGGCTACACACAGGAACTCCAACATCTACCGAGCTTCGAGTTCCGTCTTCCTTAGACATCAACGTCTTCTTCATGACCCTGCGCAAGGCAGAGCACACAATGAAAACAAGGCATAAATCAAAAATTGCGCCCGCGACGGCCCCGAAGGGCAATCGAAAGGGATCGACTCCGCGATGTGCAATGCAGGCCTCTCCCTTTGCTTTCAGGAATTCTTGAGCCCCCGAAAGCCGGACAAGGTAAGTATGCCTTTCAAAAGAATCTGGTAGAGGGTTGCGTGAGGTTGGTGGGATTTTATAGATTTCTGGGGACGGGTCGGGATCAGTAAGGGTACGTACTGGCTAGAAAATTTCACCGAGTATCCACTTGGTTCAGCCACATTCACCACAAACGGACTAAGGTTCTGCCGTCGCCTGTTCTGCTGGCCCTGTCACAGTAGACGGGTAGTTGACCAATCACAATTTGCAGTTTGTCCCGCACCAAAATTTCCAGTACGTACCGGGCTTTTCGTAGGGTTTTCATGCCCTCCAGAGATTTTGACTCGTCGTCAACCAGGAAATTTCCAGCCTCCAGCAGCATCTCGACGACGGCCCAGGACTACTAACCCTTTGATCGCGACACAGGCACAATGGTACGTCGATACGCCCCTAACAGTCGCCGACGAAGGCATTGCCGTCGCAGCCACTGACATTGTTATTTTCCAGGCGATCGCACACAACCAGCAGATCCCCCACAACCGTGAGAATTCCTCCTCCCGCGAAAGAGCGACGACGACATATCGAGAACACCACAACTGACAAACACGAAACAGACTTCCGCAAGGATTGGCAGCGCCGGGTCCGGACGCACTTCGACCAGGTATGATTGCGACCAGAAAGAATTGGATCGTTAGTGGAAGACACATTTGGATTCTGACTTTGGAAAATCACAACAGGCCGGCAAGAAGCACAGCCGCCGTGTCGCCCGTCAGGCCAAGGCTGCTAAGGTTGCTCCCCGTCCCGTCGACAGACTCCGCCCCGTCGTCCGATGCCCTACGATCAAGTACAACCGCAAGCTCCGTGAGGGCCGCGGTTTCACCCTGGCTGAGCTCAAGGTACGACTTCCCGACCCGGATGGAGGGGCACAGAATGGCCGAACAGGAAGGAAGACAGGAAACTAACAAAACAAACAGGCTGCTGGCATCCCCCGCCTCTACGCTCCCACCATCGGCATTGCCGTCGATGGCCGCCGCCAGAACCTGAGCGAGGAGTCCCTCGCCGCCAACGTTGCCCGCCTCAAGGCCTACAAGGAGCGCCTCGTTGTCTTCCCCCGCCGCTCCAACAAGCCCAAGCAGGGTGACTCCAAGGTCGATCTCTCCAAGACCGAGACCATCACCAACATCTCCGCCGCCCTCCCCATCGAGAAGGTCGCCTCCGGCTTCTCCGAGATCGCCAAGTCCGACGTCCCCAAGGCTGCCGAGGGCGGTGCCTACCGCACTCTCCGCCTCGCCAGAGCCGAGGCCCGCAACCAGGGCAAGAAGGAGAAGCGTGCCCGCGATGCCGCCGAGGCCGAGGCTGCCAAGAAATAAGCGTAGCGCCCTGGGCGTTGTGTTTCTTCTTGCTGCTTCTCTGCTCTCTGGCTGGTGTCGTCTCTTGTGGTGTCGGGGGGTTATGTTTGCTGCTGCAGCTGCTACGGCAATGCATTTTATGTGCATGGAATCGGGTTTCGGCTGCTGCTTTCGACACGTTAAACATACAACACAAAACTTCTGGGCGAGGGAAAAAAAAGTCTAGAAGTTCGGGTTTTTCTTGCTGGCCTGGCGTGGGTTCAGTGGAATGAGAGATACTCAGGACAAGGTCATAAAGAAACTATTGCATTGATCACGCCCGCTTGTGTTGTTGCTCTCCGGGGGGAACGCCCAGATGAAAACGACGTGACGTGTATCATGTGTCTAATGTGACAGGAGTAGACTATGGATTGATTCATCGGCTTTTGTCCCCCAATGCTCTTGCCAAGTCATATTTGTGATGCTGTGAAATCTCCATGCCAACGCCTCACCGTCAACTCGGTAATTGCTGCTCATGCTTAACTTGTATGGCAATCGCACTTTTGGCTGGTGTCATATCATGCCATATTGCCATCGTGCGAATTCTTCTATTCCATGTTACCCGTGTTGCTAAGGGTCTTTAATACATCGGTGGTGCCATGCTGCTTATCATTCATCATCGGTATCATGTCCTTCATGCTTTACCCTTCCCCTTCTCATCCACAAGCAACTCTCCGCCCTGCCTTAACATCTCTTCGAATGCTGCCCTTCTCACGGGAGGCAACTCATCTGCATGGTTCTTGACCAGCTCTGAGACCATAACCAACCCGTTCTCTCGATCGACCTTCTTCATCCCAGCCGCCTGCGAAGGGTCCGCCTGTTGCGGCTCCAACCCCAGCCCATCCACTAACGCCGTACTGTCCCCCGCACCAGCGCCAGCACCCACAATCACGGCTTCCTGGCCGCTCGCAATGGCCTTCTCCTGCGTCTCTCCGCCGGAGAAACTCTGTCCCGTAATCGCTTCCGTCAGAGCCTCGAACGCCCCTGGCACCTGCAGCGCGCGAATCACAACTGCGGCGCCGTCGCTGGCGCGGCACATCAGCGCAAAGACGAACCATGCCTCGCTCCGGAGCACAGGGAACTTGGTCTGCGTGACTAGGAACGCGAGGGCCTTGTTAATAGCCGCATGCTGACGGTAGAACTTTTCTCTTCTCCTTGCGCCGCCGTCGGTGTCCGCCTCCGCCATAGCCGAGGGCGAAAGAGGCTTCTCGGGCCGGAACACGTAGCCATCTTCTGCGGGGTCCCATTCTGGCAGCACGGGTGAGATCGGTGTGGTGTGCAAGACACGGCAGACCGCCGCTGCGGCACGTGCTGCTTCTGTCTTGGTGTGTTCCGCGTCGCAGCGCGCAAAAAGGTCGAGAAGGCGGTGGAAATGCGTCGTGTCGTGAGAGGGGGAGAGGGGGTCCGGGTTCAGCGGGGCGCAGAGGCGGCGGACGTTGGAGGGGGTGTTTACGAGCAGCAGCCGCGTCAGGGAGACGGCGGAAAACTGGACCTGCGGGTTGATGTCCAGTGCCCAGATCCGTGGGAGTATTTCGGCTTCTAGCAGGCCGGCCTCGCCTAGTGCGGCCTTGTTCTGCGAGGGGATTGCGAGGTTCTTGAGGAATGAGATGGCGGAGTGGAGAAGGATCGAATCTTTGGAGATTTTGAGTAGGGAGACTAGAGGTACGTGGACGGCGTGGTTCTTGACGAAGGCCACGGAGGCATCGTCGGAACGCGCGACGTTGCCTAGGCATAGGCAGGCGGCGGATTGAAGGTGGACGTTGGGCGTGGACAGCCAGGATTGGAGAGTTTGGAGAACTGGGGAGCCGATGGGGTTGTAAATGGTGAAGCTGTCTGCATAAGAAATGTCTGCTAGAACCTGAACGAAGGATTGCGGAAGGGCTTGGAGCTGGACTGCGGCGTCTTCATCTTCCACCCTCACTGTCTCGAGTTGGGTTTGCAGGTGGTAGAAGGTCGCTAGTAGGATGGGGACGGAGTTTGTCGTGATGAGGGCCTCTTGGATGGGCGCGTGGGTGAGATACGCCAGCGCGACGGCTGTCAGAGAGACGAAGTCTTCTGCGTCGGTGGTAGGATTTAAGGCGATCGTAAGGAGGACGGCTGGGGTGTGAGGCGGTGCCAGGGTTGCTTCCGTGTCGTGAGTCGCGAGTAGGGCAAGGATTTTGCTGATGATGCCTACCAGGTGTTGAACGTGTGCGAGGCGTGGGCTGGTGAGTAGGTCTACGAGGGCCAGACTAAGTGAAGAGGCACTTGCTGCCTGCTGGGCTGGCTCATAGTCAACTAGGATGTTGTAGAGGACGGGGATGGCGAAGGGTAGGGCTTCATCATCCGCGAGGAAGCCGATGATAGACGGGAGCGCGTTCGAGGCCACGACGCGAGCACGGTTTTCATCTGGTGATGTTAGCTGCGTCTCGGTATAGATGATTGCGAGTGAAGGTTATAAAGGTGATATATACCTGTATCGGCACATGCGTTCCCAATAAGACGCAAGGTGTGCCTTTTCAGCGCCGGGCGTAAGCCCTGTACCGCGACGACGGTAAGGAAGAAGTCGAGAATCCCTGAGTCTCCTAATGGAAGTCTCCATGAAGCTACCATACCATGTCAGTACAACGTGCATGGCTCCCTTCATAGATGTTGATCCGCTCACCATCTCGACTCCCGTCGCCTAGCTTCTCCGCAACAAGATCAAGCTCCTCGCTCCCCGCAAACCACAGCTGCTGCGCAGTAAATAGAACGTCGCCCAATAACGTAGTCCTGTGAGCCATGCCTTGATCCTGGGCGCCGGGATCTGCCCATGATGAGGCAGAAGCTAACAGGGCTGCGATGCCCTCTGGCGTCATGGCTTTGCCCGAGACCTGAGGCGCTTGAGGCTGTTCGGCCATGATGGGTCTTTTCTTTCCTTAATCGCAACTAAATAAGCTCACTGAGACTCGTTTGGGAACTAAACTTCGTCTTCAGAACATCCCTCGCCGGAATGTCAATGGTAAGCGCTTGGTTTTGTGATTGGTTGCTGCCACCTTCTGGCTTGCGTGTTGCAGTCGGCTGGGTGTCCCGAGTTAGGATGAGTTCCTGTTTGGCGTGAATCTTGAGCATGTGGGGTTGACACTGGTGAATTTGATTGGTTTTAGCATGAGAGCTATTGTGGGTCGCCCGTTTTGGAGCGTTTGTGCGAGATGATGTAAAGACTGGGATGATGATAGGCACGTCGGACGGTTCGGTCCATACCAGATATTGCAACACTAAGATGCTGCATGTAAAAGAACATTTTGGAGTATGTTATTATTCTGATTAACCAGCTTTGTTGTGGGAGTAAGACTTCTTGATCTCCTCCTCAGAACTCTAGAAACAGGTAAACTTGTTGGCCTTCAAGTCTTGCCTTAAAAGATTGTTAAATTTGATTCCACATTCAAGACACCTTACCTGAATGCAGAAAACATGTATAGTATCTCCAAGAAGCTACAGTAGTCCTATGACAGAGTTTAAGGTGACATTATCTACTATCTCCTCATTCCTTGATCCACACTTTGAAGGCACAGCTTGAGCACATGGTTCACCATAACCACTAGGCACCAAAGAGAATGATTATAGTATGCAACCAACGGCAAATCTTGAATGTTTATAATTCAGTTTATCACATAGTTCACGACTATAACGAAGGTTGAGGTTGGTGCGTTCAGTAGCCCACATCACGTGCAGAGGCGACACGTCCATCAGAAGTTCGAATGGTGTTGCGAATATGTGCAACGGCACCCAGTTTTCAAGAGTAAAAGATACACGGGCAGTTTAACGCATGGAGATCCCCGTAAAAACATGCTTCGAGTGTCCACTGTTGGTAAAGTGTAATCGAAGAAACGAAAACAATAGTCGGGAAGCGTGCCAATCCTAGGCGTCGGAATGATTTGCTACTGTCGCTAGCGACGAGAAAGTAACCTCTGATGGCGAGAGATGGGACTATCGCACACTTTATAAATGGACGCTAGATGAAGACAAAATCGAAGCTAACCATAGTCTTTCAGTAATAGAAGCAGAATGGGTCCGAAAAACGCGGTGTAAATAACAAGGAAGGCTGAAACGCAAAACTTGCTTCCGCAAAACTTGCTTCCCAACAACTTGAGGTTGAATTGGTGTATTACCTATGACGCCTGTCTACTCCAGATGTCGGCAGGTTGTACGAAATAACCGTGTGCAATTGCTATTAGTTGGTAGTAGGTATTTCCGTAGGCCCTCCCGTAAACCATCCCATCTGATACATAGCCAACCCAAATCCTGACGCCTGGCTCACCATGGAGATCTTGTCCATGCACCATAATCTTGTTTGTTTGTCCACGAAAGAGGAATTCAGAGTGGCAATCAAGGGCCAGAACATGCACCATGCCTGAAATCCAAGACCTTGCCCTTTACAAACGGAAACCCTCCCGTCGAATCCGAAAACGACACGAATCTGTTCGCAGACTTGTTCCAAAGCTGTAAGTCCATGCGGCAAGTCAGCAAGCGTGCGCAATTGCTCTCGCGTTAGTTGCCCGAGGGCGATAGGAAGGCTAAATATCTGCTCGATGATATGAAGCCTAACCGTGAGATAAAGCCCCTTTGCAATCGCGTTGCCCGTGTCCGAATTGCGATTCAGCAGATTGTTAAAGGTATTAGTATAGTCTTCTAGCCCATCTTCGCTGGATATGCTCCGGGGGCTAGGACTTGTGATCCTGTAGTTGGCGGCCACCTCCAAATCGCGAATGATGCGAATTCCCCTTTTGAACACGCTCGTCGTGTATTCAACGGATTCGCCGTGTACATCTGGGTTCGATAAAATCTTTTGAACTTCATCTTTGTAGCATATGGTGCGAGCAAGTAGTGGCTCAATTATACCCCCTGGGGCCCATTCAGCTTTGGTTAGGGCCATCAATATGGGGGACCGGCCTTCATGCCCGATGAACGTCTCCAGTGTCTTTTATTTTCTTAGCTGTAGAGATTCAATGTGTCAGCTCGGGAGAAACTTACAGCCAGGTGAGCGACAAATGCCAATGATGATCGGTCGAGTGAGGTTGCAAGTCCGTGCTCGGCTCTGTATCTGAGAAGAGCGAGAGATCCACGGCAGCGCGACGCTATTCTTGCCGGTGTTTGCTCAGGTAGTATAGCCTAAACTGCGTGAGATCGGCCCGTAGGAAAATCCTTTACTTGACTTACATCATAGAGACCCATAGTAAGTAGTGCTACAACAACTGAGTCGTCTTTGGCCTTGTTGAGGTCATTTAGGGCTGAGCCGAGTTTTACTATTGCTTTGGAGTAGTGCTGCCTCGCTCGTAATATCATGCCCGGCTGGCCCAGTTGAAGAGATGAGCTGGCTAAGGCTGTGGCCTTGACAACTTCCTCAAAGACATCTAAGGAGTCACTTGGCGGTTTTAGGTCCAGCAAGACATCGAAAAAGGCAATCTCTTTGGCAGAGGTGTAGTTTGAGCGGAAATGTGTTACTGAATAAACTTCGTAGTCACTCTGAATGATACAGTTCATGGCTGGTAGTGTTTTGACGGTGTTGTCTTCCTCTGACGAGTCGCCTCTTTGGCTCTCGGGTGAGTCCCCGTTGATATTAACAGAGTGCGTCGAGCTACCTCTTTCTTTAAGGCGTTTGGCAACCCGCACCTGGACTTGTCGTGCCGCCGAGGCATTCTGCTGGCGATGGACTGCTGTCCACGGGTCCGAGTAACCAGGACATACCTTTCCTAATGCCGTACAGCGGTTGCAGGACGGCTTCTGTAGATCACACTGAGAGGCATTTTAGTCAAGACGCTTGAATAATATGCACCAATACTGGTCTGGGTTACCTTGACTTTCCTTGCCTTGCAGGCGAAGCAGCTCCCCGATGGTCGACACCCCATGATATGTGAGCCCAAAGGGAAACCTGACCTTGTATGCGCATATGTGATCAACCCCAAGGTGTGCTAGGTCAGGGAACGGTAGCCTTGCGTAGGGTTTCGTGCTGCAAATGATAGACGACAAGACGCTTTTGCTACCACAAGTCAACTGGCTCCGAGTAAGAGTGTCGTCCAGTGTCTGAGACCGAAGCTTAGTTCATCGGCAATTCTTCCACTACTTCCAATAAAAGAAGAACGAGCGACACTGCAATCGTAACTGAAGACCGGGTAAGCTGGTAGGCATATGTGGTTGGAGAGTTGTGGTGGTACGATCGACGCGCGCGCATGTGTAAGGCTAGCACCGATAACCTCCCACTAGGCGAATTACTAAACCGCCTGGTGTGCTAACAGATGATGAAAACGGTCATGTACGCAGCAAGTCGTGCCATTTCCTCCGGCTTCAAAGGACCTCTTTTACGACAAGAATGGGCTGTGTCTCACGACCAAGGCGCTGAAACCTTAAAAAATGAATAATCTATGGTATAGTTAGTCGCGGGCGTCATTCCAACATGAAAAATAACATGAGGGGTCGTGCAGTCTAAATAAGCTTCCTTACCCCCCATTGGGTTCCGGGGGGAAGTCCACTCCTTATTCGGCAGCAATTATAATAGATGCATAGAAGGCTTCATTGCACGGGCCTCCGTCTGATAATTCCGCCTGAAACCCAAGGAACACGGGTAAGTCTAGCTCTACATTTTTGACGTCGAAACACAGCCAAGCGTCTTGACTTAGGCCCTCCTGGAAACTATAGAGTGGAATGATACCTCTTGTGTTTCTCATGCAACAGCAAATATTTGTTTGTTGAGGCTGAAGGAAGCTGAACTTTTTAACTTTTGCTATGAGGTAGTATATCGGACAAAGAACTAGTTCCCTAGACAGCGGAGCGAACCAAATACTTTCAAGGGCTGCCACCGCTTATCAGCTGAGGATTTCTAAGCTTTTTGCCACTTTGTTCTGAGAGACTTCCACGGTGGAAAGAATGTACGACTCGTTTTAATCGTTTCCATCGAAAACGTGAGTAGCTGCCCGCAATGACTTCAAGCAAAGACCAGCGGGCTGAAATGAAGTTAAAAGCGGCACTAGAAAGAAATTCAAAAGCCCAATGCTTGAGAAAAGATGGTATCATAGTTCAATCAGCAGGCAAACCAACGCCAATGGCAATAACCAACGAATGTTTTTATAATATAGTGGAATCGGAAGCCCATGAAATCCTGAAACTCCTCATCGACACATCATGTAATGAATACGGGCTGCCTGTTGCCCATCAAGTCGCTGTTTGGAACTTGCACATCTCGTTTGTCAAAGTCATGTAGCATCAGCCAGCAAATCATACGAAACACTAGCGTATACCATATTGTAAGACGTTGCATCTCAATCGGCTCCTTGGCAATGATCCTCAACTTTGGATCATCTCTTGCCGCTCCTGCCGGTTTTGGCCATGTAACCCTTTGAGTAAGGCCGGGCGACGGGTCTGTCGGTGATATACTAGGAGTATGTGAGAATGGCAAGGCGCCATTAGCCACATGTCCGTTGCTGGACCGTGCGATTCTATCTTCATGAATCGCCCGTGAAACCTGCTCTTGATCACCAGACTCCGTGTCGGTGGTGGTTGTGGGTACAACGCGGAGGAGAACTTGATCAAAGTATATCTCCATGAATCTTTGTTCTCTCTTCTCTAACGGGCCTTTGAAAAGAGCACTAAAGGATACACGCCCGTCTGCGATTCTGTTGCCGTCTTTTTCCGGGCCTTTATTGATTGCTGCTAAAACCTCCTGCAGATGGCGACGTAGCACGTCCAAGACCACCGTCTGGTTTGTTGACGGTGACTCGCCTGCTGTAAGTATACTATCTGCTAAGTCTATGGCTTTGTGCAGGTGATTCATCTGGTGGTACGTGAGGTCTCCGCCGGTTTCCAAATCTTCCCATAGAGTATTCGCCATTTGCGAAAGAGAGTCAACATGGTCGAATTCTACTTTGATTTCCTCGCTGGGCTTCGTATTTGCTCTGCGAATTGTGTCGTGGTCTCGCTCAAGAAAGTCTGTGAATGCGCCCAGAAGACGTAATATTGAGAAAGAGTCTCTGCTCCAGCGATATATGGTAGGGTTCGGCAAGAATGTAAAACACCGATCCTTGATGTGCAACGTTCTAGCAAGCATCCCCATAACCTCAAAAGTTACTGACGCGCAGTTAGCTTCCCTATGATCTCCATGTAAATGCCTTTACACACCTGGGAATAGATGATCATGTTGATGTTTGTTTTTATCTTTGTAAAAGAGCGTTGTCCCAACATTGCATCCGATTTGGGTGAGAGTTTCTGCAATCTCATCTCGGCTTCCCAGTTGTAGAATTTCGACTTTTAAATCCGAATTGCCGGATGATGTTTTCTGGATATTTTGCCATTCCAAATCTTCCGGTTTATCGCTACTTTTGGGCCGGTATAATGTGGGAACTCTACCAAAACATAGTTCCTTTACTTCAGACGTCGGAATGATACGATTTGCTTCGAAAACCGTTGGACCTGTCTTTTCAAAGACAAAAACTACTCCAAAGTCGGATATGCGAGATCCCGTAAGGCTATAGCCATTCCCTTCAGCCCGGTATCGGTTGTCGTCCCTGTCGAATACCTTCCAGTACAACCCAAGCACTGCTGCAAGCTCGACCAGATGGGAAATGGTTGTAGTTGCGAACGGTTTCTTAATTTCTGGGTTTGTATCGAAGCTCGTTTTTTTAACCTGCATTTTCACCGTGAGAGTTGGAGGGTCGTGTTCTGGTTGCCCTTCTTCCAAGTTCTGCTTGAAGTTTTCCCACTCTTTTGATTCTTTTTCCATTCTCTCAACAGCGACGAGCAACCATACCCACGTAGCACGCGCGTTATCGACGGTGTGAATCTCTTCGCTTCGTGTACCGTCTTCTTTTATCTTTCGTATCACATCATCATTCCAAGAAATACGACTCATTTTACAGCTGGATTGTGTCCCCTCAGCGTGCCACACCTCCTTCGTGGACACTTTCTCGTCTTTGACCGGGCCCTTGGTTTGAGATTCAGGCGCCAAGAAAATAACAGGCGCCTCAAATTCGACCTCGAGTCTCAACTGCTTGAGCCTGAGTCTGTGTACTGTGTACTGCGCCCAGTCTCCAATCACCCTCTTGTCGCAATTGGGAAGACCTCTCGCAGAAGCAAAAAGAGCCTGGACAAGCTGGAGCATCGCAGCAAGAAATGCCGCAATGGCAATAGCCAGTGCGGCTCCCGCCACCCGAAGCTCATTATCATTATCGTTGTCCGACATTTAGATGGACAAGGGCAGTGGCCGAAAAGGCGACGGCGCTTGGGTTTGGGGGTAAACTTGAAAGAATGGTAGCTATTCTTTGTGTTGGCAACTTGATATAAATGGCTTACACGTGTTTGGTCTCGCAACCTGTGGCTCACTAAGCCGGATGTTTCGTTGACACAGAGGTAATCAGAGAAATAGCGCGAAGAAGGATGAAAACCAGATAAAAGCGGTTGTACCAGAAGTTGGGTGTCGTCGACTTTTAGGTAGTGTCCCGGGCCGCACCGCCCGAAAGAGAATTGCGACTGCAGCTGGACGTCGCTAATGCATGAACCCCTGGAGTTATGCATCACGGGGCCCATATCAGCTCATGGCGCAGGTAATGGAATTTGCGTCGCAAGGAGTTCACAGCCTGCTGCTGATGAAAGGTCCCTATTGGTGGCCTCTTCGCAATAATGGTGGCTGTATATCTAATAGTTGCTGACTGGCTGCAACTTTGCCGCCATAGTGTCTCACATGGGTGGTAACACGAAAGAACATCCCGGCATTCATACTATACGTCATCATAGCATCTGTCAAAATCAGGCTGCAGCTAAGCCTTATTCAAATTGGATCATTCTTCGTCATTTCTTATGTTCGCATCTAATGGGTGGCAATTTCTGGTATATTCAAAGATCTTCATCAATGCCTAGTGGCACATGGTGGTTGAATTGATTTTCACAACTCCGTTGCAGAAGTCGACACAAATTTTCAATCGTTAAGAGATTGTTCATCGTGCTGATCAGAATCCCTGGTGGAGCAACTCAGTCAAGCGAATGCTTGTTGGAACCAATTTTCACCTGCACCGTTTGTATGTTGATTCTCTACACCGATTCCCGATGCGAGAGGTGAGCTTTAGAACAGCAATCTCTATCTAGTGATGCCAAATTTGTATAATTACGGGTATTAATAAGGAAGCCAATGGATTTCAGTGATTGACTTCTTGTGAAGCTGATTGGCCCAGGCCCTTGTAACCCAGGGCTAACCTTGAATTAACGTCCCACACCCACTTCTGGGCACCCCCCACATTTGGGCACCCCATTTACACCAAAAACGCCGTTTTTCGAAATTCTATATTAAACTAAATACTTTACTTATTAAAGAGAATAAATATATGTTAAATAGATTAAGACTTAATTATAATACTTAAGTAGCTATATACTAGTATTATTGATAATAAGTATTATAAATTCAAGGTTTAACATTTATAATACTAATTTACCTAGCCTATATCTTAATATATAAAATAGGTAGAGATATTTAACTAATATGATTAGAATTTTTAAGTAAGATATAGTAGATTTATATATTCTTATACTTAGTAAAAAATTCTTTAAGCTTAGAATAATATTTTAAAATTTCCCTTAAGAAAAGTTTCTATTATAGAATTTTAACCCTTAATTATACTATATTTACTAAAGTAATACTTTTAAATCTCTTTTAGATATAATTATATACTTTTAATAAGTATAAATATTAATTTCCTAGATTTTTTAAATAAGTATATATAAGCGAAAATATATTTTTCTAATGTTAAGGAATACTAGTAAGTTACTAGTATCTACTAACATTTTAAAGCTTTTAGTTTTAAACTTCTATATTATAACTATTATTATATTTAAACCTTTATAAAAAATTAGATGGCTATAATTATACTTAACATAGTTTATATATATTTTCTTTTCTTAGTAAGTATAGTAGTTAGTTTAATATAGAATTTCGAAAAACGGCGTTTTTGGTGTAAATGGGGTGCCCAAATGTGGGGGGTGCCCAGAAGTGGGTGTGGGACGTTACGGTTCATCCGATAATGCCTGACTGGGGGTCGTCTGTGCGTGGTAATATGGGGGAGACGGTTCTGGAGAACGAGCCATTTCTTTCTTTCTTTTTTTTTTTTACCTTTTTTTCTTATGGGGGTTTCCCCTCAATTTCTCTTGTTAATTTATACACACTCAGGCAGTTTTCCAAGTTCAAGAAAAAGAAGCGTTGTGTGCGATGCCTGCGCAGGGACATATCAAAGACTTGATAACCGCTATAATACCCTTTGGTTGCTCTTCTGTCGCTTTTCCTCTGTTTCTCTTCTTTTCTTCCCCCATCCTCTCATTGCGTTTGTTGCTCGTAGAACGTCACGTCAGATAAGGTACTTTAGCCTAGGTGTGAAGTTGTTCATTAGTCGGTTTATTGTTCTATTCAAGGAGATTATCCATTAATTCTTCAGAATGCCGTGTTGGCTGGAGTGATTAGAAGCGTTCTCCGCGTCATCTGGAAGGTTCTCATAGCGTCCGTTTATCCGGTCCCCATCTTGCCTGAATTCTGATACAATCACCTCCTTCGTTTGCATGATTCCTTCCATGGGGCCAATTTTGCGCCTAGAGCTCATCGCGTAGGTTTCCTCGGCTCCTGCTCGAACGGTTGACCGGTGAATTGTTAACGCATGCGTTCCGCCTCCAGCGTAGTAATGAAGCCCAGAAGTCCCGTGGGACTTTGACGAAGCCTTTTTCTGCCTCCTCTTGTTCCACATGCCATAGAGTGTTGGCGCGTTGACGACAAGGGCCGCAGTCAGCAACTCGACGCTAGCCCATGTTGTGCGGTTAATTTGACTGTCTTTGTTGGTGATGTTGATCGGAAGGCGAATAATCGTAATTGCGATAATGAAAATGCCCAGCGTGAAAAGGGCGTACAGCTGAACTTTACGTTGCCATGGAGTTTTTAGCGAAACAACCAATGGAATCGGGAGCACGAGAAGCATAAAGTCTGTGACGATGTTGAGGACGCCTACAACAACAAGTTGAAGTTGGGCTTTTGAGCAAGAACCTGGAGCGGTAAAGCGTCAGTAATAATTCTGTGGCCGCAACACAGCATAAGAAAAGTTTCATACCTGGGTCAGGAACAACCTGCCAGTAGAGATGAAACGGGTTGCATTCGCTGAATGTCGTCACCTGGCAAGCGACATAGGTCGCGAAAAAAACAAAGGAAAATGTCCAGATAGTGATCTTCTCATATCGCAAGTTCAAAAGCAGTCGCCGATAAACATCCAGCAGAACCAATTTCTGTAACCAAAGGCTTGGGTCAAGTTAGCAATTTGGTCATAACCTTAAAACCTTCCTGACTCGAATGCTTGCAGAAGAAGGCATACAAGCGAGCAGAAAACCCAGGGGGGTTTTTGCGGCGTATGGGGTTGCAATAGGTATAACTGACTAAGAGTTGTAAAAGACCCGGTTCACAATGGAAAGTTTGCTGCCGATCTCCCGTCTGTAGATCTCTTCGTCCGTAAATGTATGAGTCTGTCGATATTTCGGTGATACATTGTTCGTTCCCCAGGTTAACACCACGTGAATAAGGCCGAGTCGAGTCAGTGCGCAGACGCAGGCCGCAATTGTGAGCCAGTCACCGAGGTTGTACTCTTGTCTAGCTATTCTCCTCCAGGCCAGCCGAGCAACCATAATGGAGAGGGCCAGACAGCTGAAGAGCCAATGGATGAGGAGGGTCGGATCGTCCATGGCCGGCGAGATTCCGAGACTCTCGCACAGCGGCGTGGGACGAGGGAAAAATCAAAAGAGAAGAGACGACCGAAAAAGGGTCTTTCGAAAACAGTGCAGACGGGGCAGTTCATGAACCATTATTATCCTATTGTTCAACGGACACTAAGGCATTGAGACCCTGCTTAGGCCCTTCTTCTGCCTCCCCCATCCCGGTGCCATACGAAGTACATACACTAGTAGGCTACCACGCCACCCCGAGGAGTCCTGCCGTGTAACCAGCTTCTCTCCATGCGAAATGCAAGAGTAGATGAAAGGATCAGGGTTTGAGACTTCCGGTCTTCTACCCTAACTTTCCCTGCACCTCCGGATGAAGGTCGGTTGTTGGATTCCCCTTAGATGTGTGATTGCGATCCACCGTGGAGCACTCCCCAAGCAGGTCTTCAGACTTCTAGAAGCCCTGTGCTGCTAGGATGGTTACGTGGCCCTGCGTTACTCACATACAATGTTAAAGCAAGGGTCCTGCAATCCTGTTCGCGTGCCGCAAGCTGTTTTGTTGAATGAAGGATGCCGATTGTTTGATAGTCGAATAGAAGACGAAAAATATTAGCACGAACTACAAGTTTGTAATGGGGACAGTCGTTGAGACTCCTGCGAAATGATAATCAACAAGAAGTCTGGCAGCGACATGGACGTTGCTTGAAGACTTTGGGGCAAATGTCAACTAGACAAAATCAGGAATGGCTTGACCGTTGATCTGAGCACTAGCGAGACTAGTGAGAATTACAACGTACGAAGTACAGCCACAGACTTGTTGAAGAATTGGCAGATGGACTTGGTTACACGGGAAGGTCAGGCGAGTTTAGATGGGGGCCTGATGGTCCAAAGTCAGGGTGAGAAAAATGGGCCGAGATCATTGTAATCAACATATTGACCCGCTTGTTGATCAACAATTCTCCACTGAAGAAGAAGTCTTGTTTTCTTTCTGCAAGATAAATAGTTGATGGAAGTTAGCCCCCAATTCTTGATGTCAATTTACAGCTGTGACAGACGGCAGCCGCCTTTCAAAGTGAACCTTTTTTTTTCTCTTTTTTGAGCCCGCGGAGATTAATACTCGGAAATGATCCGCATCCAGCTCTGCGGTAAGGAAGTTTAATACCCACGTTGCCCAATTCATGCTGCGGTTACTCCATTGTAGATGAGACCTTCAAGTGCACAATATCCTTACCCTTGTCAGCAAAATGACTCGCGCAGGGGAGCACTTCTGCAACATGGCATGGGCAGGCCAAGCCCACATCCCCGATGGATCAAAATTAGTCAATGTTGTGTGACCTCTCATCCCGCCACTTTGGCCCCGGAGTTCCACCGTCGTGGTTGTGGTATGCGGTGAAGTTGGCCAGACCCTCTCGTTATCGGGATGTGGCCGCAAAGTACCTCAATTCCTCGGGCAACTGCCGCCATTCAGGTAACAGCCGCGATTTCTTCGCTTAGGCCATCGGCAAAGCCATGTGCCATGTCTCGACGTCGTATTACTTCACTCCTTGGCTGCTCCATCAGCCCTATCATGGAAATCACTCAGAATGGGCCCTTTGAGATAGCCTAGCGGACCTCTCGGCAAGGCGGTTTTTTCGTTTAATAAAAACGATTGAGTTGCCACTTTACGTCGCGTGAGCGGAAAGTCTGTTGATCCCCTACCCAACCATTGTCGCTCTTTTTTTCAGTCATTTCCCGTTGGTTCAATCTCCTTACCTCCGTCTTATTCCAAAGGGTCTCCTGTCTAGGTCAATTGCTAGCACCCGTGTCTCATCTCTATCAAAGTGATACACACCGACGCAGCACACCATGCAGTTCTTCAAGTTAGCCGCCGTGGCCGCCGCTTTGCTGGGCCAGTCCTCCGCGCTCCCCAGCCCGGAGAAGAACTGCATTGACTCGGAGGTCCCCTACATTCGTTCTTACTTCTACGTCGGGGGAGGGTACGTCGACGATGGCTCCGGTGGACACATCTTCCGGGACCAGATGTACGTTGAGAAGCTGCTTCCTGTCAACGGAGTAAGCCAGGAGACGCCGATCGTCCTGATCCACGGGCAAGCTCAGACCGGTAGCGTAAGTATTATGTCGATCCCTCAATAGCCCTAAAAAGCTGTGGTTCTACTTCCGAGCTTAGCTGACGTTGCTTGAAGAACTTCCTCAACAAGCCCGATGGCGGTCGTGGCTGGGCCTCTCACTTTGTGAGACAAGGTTTCGAGGTCTACATCGTTGATCAGACCTTCCGTGGCCGTTCCGCCTGGATGCCCGCCTATGGCGCGTCCAAGCCATCAACCTACTCTGCTGAGATTATCCAACAACGCTTCACTGCTGTAAAGGACTACATGCTCTGGCCTCAAGCTATCAACCATACCCAATGGCCCGGCACCGGTGTTATGGGCGACGCCGTTTTCGACGAGTTCTACAGCTCCAATGTCCAGTTCGTCAACAACGCCACGTACCAGCAGAAGACTGTCCAGGATGCTGGTGCTCTTCTTCTTGATAAGATCGGCCGCCCCGCCGTCGTTCTTGGCCACAGCCAGGGCGGCCTCATGCCCATCATCATCGCCGATGCCCGTCCTGAGCTCACCAAGGCCCTGATCCTCCTCGAGCCCACTGGCCCCCCTTTCCGCGAGGCCGTCTTCAGCACCAAGGCCGGCCGCCCTTACGGCTTGACCGACATTCCTATTACCTACTCTCCAGAGGTCACGGACCCGGCCACCGACCTCGTTCAGCAGGCCTACGCCGCCAAGGGCGAAAACTACGTTGAGTGCATGCTGCAAGCCGAGGAGCCTGCCCCCCGCCAGCTCGTCAACCTCGCCAGCAAGCCTATTCTCCTTGTTACCTCTGAGGCCTCCTACCACGCGCCCTACGACCACTGCACTGTGGAGTACCTGCAGCAGGCTGGCTGCAGCAAGGCCGAGCACCTCGAGCTTGGTGAGGCTGGCATCCACGGTAATGGTCACATGTTTTTCATGGAGAAGAACAGCTACGAGATCCAAAAGGTCCTTCGTGACTGGATTCTGGCGCTATAGAGCGACCACAGTAGTATGGAGAGAAGCTGTGTACTTACGTATAGCATGTGTACGAGTTGAGCGGATACCCATAATAGTACCATCCCTAATCTGATAATGATGTGTGCCTTACCACTTGAAGCCTTTGATTAATGAAACGTTGAAGCCCGTGCATGAAAATGAGTCTACAGTACAATTAGGCTTGGTTGGTTAGCTGGCCCACGAGCTCATCCCAAGTCAATTACTGAGCCTAGTTGCTGTTGGCAGAAATTGGTGTCCTGCAGCTGCACCATCCAGTTCGGCCCCGCCAGGGCCTTGGGAGTGAGGTGAAAAAGCGACTATTCTCTTTCCAGTAAACCTTACATCTTCGAACGTCTAAATAGGTGTCGATCAACATGCGTAACGGGCCCTCATTCTGCCTAGTCTATTAGACCATATGCCAACCAACACGGTACATTCCTCGCTCCCCCTTTAAATCCCGCTGTATCTTTACTCATTTGTTAAGGTACCCAACATCGACACCCAAACGTTAAACTGAGACCTCTCGTCCTCATTGGAAACCATTACCGATAACGCCACTCATATCATTGGCAATTCGTTGGCTGCCGTCACTGTCCGTTTTCTCCCGTATCTTTTGTGTAGCTGTCACAACGCTCAAGATCAAGGCAGTGTGTCCCTTTACCGGCTGTAAAACCCGGCTCGTCAGCTTTCGGCTCCTTCACGTCTTAGTCCCGGTTATCTTGCCTCATCGAATGACCAAGTAGCAAACTGTGTGGTGACTATTTGTGAGGATTTCAAATCAAGGCTATGTGTGTAGCTTAATGGACATACCCCTGAAGCATTGAAATTTAGAGCGCTGGTAATAGTGATAGTTGAAGGACAAGCGTTTTATCCAACTTCGCCAGTTTCGCCAGTTCTCCAGGAGGATAAACGTTCAGGGGCAGCTATTAGAACACAATTCATGCTCATGCAAGACACGTTATGTTTACGTATAGTCAGCCTTCGACATGCCCGTAAGCATTGCTATTTCGGCGTCGATAGTGGTGGAAAAATTGACCAAGTTGAAGACGGGCATGAAATTCACATCTTCAATCCTTTATTAAGACATTTGTGATAACTGGAACCACGAGCCTGGTCTAGATCATTACCAAGAGAGAGGTACCTATGATCTAGGCTCCAGCGCTGCCATGCTTCCAAACGACGCTGAAAGTTTGGGGTCATTGCCGCATTCCTGAGGAGGTGCTTGGCAAATAAGGTATGAGTAGACCTTGGCTACAAACTGAGGCTATGACAGTTGACTCGCCACTGGTCATGGAGCCGTTTTGCAGGATTCTGTCAACCAACTCAATTGTAGTCTAACGCCTTCTTTTCTCAATTCCATGAATGGACGGGATTCTTCTGTTCATTGGGTTCTCACTCTATGCGCCAAAGGCATTCTGACTCGCAAGCATGAATAGCTGCTGCCACTTGTTTCGGAGACATCTAATGTTCATTTAATCAAAGACTCATGGCTCTTTCTCAAATAGCACATGCAAGAAGTACAGTAAAAGGCAGCTCAGCCATCCCGAAATACGTCATCTAAACCAACTCCGCCTCAATAATACACTCAGCCATATCCCTTCCCCTCCAGATCTTGACAATCTTCAGACCGGCACTAGTGATGATGCTACGCCACTGGCTTTCCGTCCTCTCGGCCGCCGCCAGCCCTCCCATCATGAGCACGTCCAACGACGTAACCCTCGCAACAGGGTTCCTTTCGTTAATCATGTTCTCATGAATGAGAAGCTTCGAGTACCCTTTGTCCATAGCCTCAGCAACAATCTTTAAAATCTCGACCGCCTTTAGCTCAGGCCAGTCGTGAAGCACGCCGTGTGCAAAATAAGCCCTGGCGCCTTTCACGGGCTGCGGTGTGAAAAAGTCGTATTCTTGAATCGTAAACCCGGGGTCCCTCTCAACATTCTTCAAAATTGCGGGTAAGTCTTGCAGAATGAGATCACTGGCGGGAACCGTTGGGTTCCGAAGGTGAAACTTTTTCAAATCGTGTCCCTTACCACCGCCCACGTCGACTACCACCGCTCGACCGGGGAGGGCACCTTCGACGAGGGTCTCGGTGGGGTATATCTTGGGCCAATCCGTGAGATTTCCGCGCGAGTTACCCTCCATTGCGTCGTTGAAGTCAGCTGTCAGCAAAGGATTCGAACCGACGTAGTTGAAAAACATCGAGTCTGGCCCCTGCCAGTGCTGGAAATTACAGTTGGTGTGATCTGTCGGGTTCTTGTATCCCGCCTCCTTGAGATACACAGGCAACGTCCTGAGCAGCGGGCCGATGAGTTGAGAGTAGAACCCGCCATACCACGCTCGCAAACCCTGATCGTCACCAAGCGATTTCGCCCAGGGCGTACGGGCGTACGTGTCGAAATCTGTTTCAATGACGAGATATTGGCCTGCGATGCATCTCATCATCCGCCCTTTAGTTTGCGGAGTCGTCAGTTTATAACACCAAGCATGGGCCGCATACATGACTAACTGATAAGTGTCTCATCCTTGCCAGTGAGTCTTGCGAGTTCGGTGCAAGTAATGGGTTCGCCGCCGGCCTCAGCCCAGCTTTTGAATACGCCGACGTCAATGAGTGTCTTGATGGCGGCGTTTCCAGAGCTGTTGCCTATGACGTGGTCCCAAGCAATGTCCCACGGGCTCTGTAGGCGTCTTAAAGCATTGTTGAGGGCGTCCCTGGCGCGGATGCGGTCCGCATTGTTATCGAACAGCGAGACGTCGATGTCGTCTAGACTTGCAATGATTGAATCCACTTCAGACATGGTTTCTGGCTAAACGAACAGTGAGACAGACAGAAAAAGGTCAGGGGAGAGAGAGAGAGAGAAAAGCTACGAGGAGAGAGCGGCCGGAGAAGGACTGGGTTTTGAGGACCTTCGTTTAAACTCTTTGGGTAAGATTCATTAACAACTCCAGCAAATATTGGAATTGGACTTGCACCAACAACATCTGCAGACACATGGCACAGCAAGAACGCTTACCCCCCCGTTGAAGCCACAGGAAAGTTCCCGATTAGGTTGCGTGGGTCCAATCGGTTGGTGTCGATTCGACCGCGGGAACACCAACCGAAAAACCCCCCCCCCCAACCCCAATAACCCCCTTGCCAGATACCCCGTCCAACTGCACTTTGGCACTATATTACTTCTTGGTCCTGCCAACTCAGGAAACGTCGTTTTTGCTAGCTGATCCACGTCTGAATCTCGGATATGGCGTGGTTCCCCGCCATACCCTTGGTGGTGCATGAGTCTGTTGAGGACAAAACGCTCCAAAGGGAGAGAGAGTCTTGTCTCTCCTCAGCTGTGGGATCCATGCCACCCCCATCCCGGGAATAGCGCCAACAGAGCTTTTGGGGGGGGAATCACAATATATCAATATAAGCTTGGCCAATGAGAGGTTGCCGGAGCGGATGGTTCGCGTTCTGGACCTTTTCTTGATGGCGATTGATTGAAACCTGCAATGCCATCGTGGGGGGGGGCGCTGGCTGACGATGTGGCCAATGGGTCGGTTATTCTCCTCTTCAACCCGAGTTGGTTCGCCGCCACGAACGCGAAACATCGCTAGCCCATCGAATCACAGGCATCACTCACAGTCAATCTAGACTCTGTCTACGCATCTCTACAGTCACAGGTGCCATTGCACACTTCTCATAATGGTTGTTCAGCAGGCTCAGCACATCAGTCACAAGCTCAAAGGTGTTCGACATCAAGGCGCCACTATCCGAAACTAAATGCAGGTATCTTGAGTAACTGTTACCATGACCAAGGACACGGAACGGTATAAACAGCGAATGTCTTGGTGGTCATCGGCGCCAAGTATCTGCCTCGTGGGATTGTAGATGGCTGAGACTGGCGAATGGTCTGGATGTATGTTTTCGTGACAGGTCTTTCAGCTTTGTTTGGTGGTTTGAAGCGATCCTGCCAAACCAACCTCGATGGGGATTGCTCGAGAGCTCACGATGATTCAAAGATGAAGTGAGATGTAATGTGAATGAAACAATACGCTAAATATGATTACATATAAAAAATCTATGAGATGATGCAGATGATGTTGACGAAAACTTTTTTAATGATCGTATCCGGCACCACGCTGCCAGGGACTGAGAAAAAAAGAGTTAGCAAACGATGTAATTTGGGGCCCTGAAAATGGCACTCACCTGTTGTTGTGTTTTGACCGGAACTCGTCCATATTTGCGAATGGACTTGGTGGGGGGTCGTTTCCAACCTGTGAATGGGGTGTGGTCGGTGTGCGAGGCCGGAGTGAAGGATCCGCAGGGAATAACGGCATCGCGGGGCTTACCGCGGGCCGGGTAGTTGGTGATGGGAGGTACGACATCTCGTGGCTGTCGGCTCCGCGAGGTTGGCTCATGCCATCCTGCATGGCCTTCTCCCCGTACATTGACCTCACCGACCTTACCGACTCCCTGCGATAAGGCTTGTCATCCCCCTCGAGGTCCAGCAGAGACTTGTTCTCTGTCCTGTCGCCCTTTGCGAGCACGTTCGGGTCGTACAGCTGGGTGGGCGGGGCAGGCTGGGACTTTGTGCGCCAGAAAACGAGGACGCTGGAGATCAGGACCATGAGTAGGAGAACCAAGGAGAAGACGACGTTGACGACGAAGAGAACGACGCCGACGACGCCAATGACGAGTCCGGGCGTGCCGAACACGTTGGTGAAGATGAGGAGGAAAATCGAGTTGACGAAGTTGATGGCGGCAATGGCGATGTTGAAGGAGTTTGTGGACTTGTCCATGAAGGGCTTGAGGACGCTGACGGCGATGAGGGCAGCGGACTCGATTATAATGAGCGCAATGGCCTGGGCGACGCCCGTACCTTGTCCGAAAGCAATGACGGCGGCTTTAATGAAGGTGTAGATGATGAAGGGTATAACGTAGTAGTAGGCTGTGGCGCGGTACTGGACATAGAGAAAGCCCCACTTGTTGATGATGTTGGGGTTCGAGAAGAGAACGTGGGCTGGGTTCTGATGAGTAGTGATTGACTGCCTCGCAATGCGGATGACCTTGAAAGAGGCCCAGACGAGGGTGAAGAGGGTGCCGAGGAAAAAGAAGACGGCGAGGACGACCAAGGCGGGGGAATCGGCCTGTACGAATTCCCACAGGGACAAGACGGCGATTTGAGGGAAGCCGATGAGATTGAGACGGAACAGGATTCCCTTGATGGTGATCTTCCAGTCTCGGCGGAATCCAAGGAAGCGGTCGGTCTTTGACCAGCCCTTCTTGACTGCAATCTCACAGATGCCCTTGAACGCCAGGACGCAGCCGACCGTGAATCCAACAAAGACAAGATAAATGATGAGACCGGTCAAGAAGAGGTTCGTCGTCTCGATCTTTGCCTTGAACGCCACACGCTGGATGCCGTAGACGAGGTAAGAGCCGTTGTCCAACTTGATATTCGCCCTCTTGGCAAGCGCAACGAGACCGCGTTTGATGGGGTTCCTCATGGTGTCCACGACGTCAAGAGACCGTTTCGAGACCTGGACTGAGAAGTTCCGGAGATCGTTGAGGAGGTCCGCGGCCTCACCTCCGGTAGAACGCTGGTACCACGTGCAGAGATCCTGGATAAAGCCGATACGGATGATGCCCATGGACCACTGGAAGTTCTGCGTCCAGGCCTGCACAATGGGCGGCATGTCGACGCCGGTAAGGCCCACGAAGGCTTGGGCCTGGAAGTATCCGAACAGAGAGAGCGCGTTGGCGGCCAAGTGAGCGGCGGCATCGGTGTGGCCCTGGGCGGAAACAAGACCGGCCGAAAGCAGACCAATTCCAGCAATGATGGCGGTAGCCCACTTGACGCCCTTCAAATCGACGGTTTTACCGTTGGAGAAGTCGGCTTCGACGCAGGCAACGGTTTCACCCGTGTCGGTCAGGTTGACGAGTGCGCGGACGGTAGCGTCGAGGTCGGGGATGGAGTATGCGATTCCGGGAACCTGGTTGAGCTGGTCTCCGATTTCGAGGGAGAATTCCATGTTGATCTTGCCGGGCTTCATGGGGCAGAGACCCTGGAGGTTGCTGGTACACGGATCGATCTTTTGGCGCAAGTACTCGTAGCCGTAGACGCGAAGCGCAACGTCGAAGACGGCTTTTCCCTCAACGGAGACGACGGCGGCGACATTACAATTGACGGAGCCATTGTTGGCCGAGACAACAATGTTGAAAAGACTGGCTGAAAAGTCGGACTGTTTCTGGCAGCTGTTAAGAGAGAGTGACTGTAGGATCTTGTCGGCGCATGCGGAGGGGAAGAGAGCGGCGAAGGAGAGGTAAGTGAGCAAGGGGGTCCATCGTGTGATTCGCATTTTGGCGGATCTCGGCGGAGGAGGTCTTTTATCGTCGTTAGATGCGTGCAAGTCCTGTATTGGGAGTAAGAATTCAATTATTAGCAAACCCAGCTTTTGGGGGTAGGGTAGTTAGCAGTTGGTAGCTCATCGACTCACCAGATTAAGGTGGTGATGGCAGAACAATCTGCCAGTTTAAAGGAGCGGCGTTCAAGAAGCAAAGAAACTCATTAGCGAAGGGATTGTAAAGAGGGGCGACAGACACATCCAAAAAAAAAAAAAAAGACTCTTTGGAATGCGACTTTTCGTCGCTAAAGTGGAATCAAACGAAAATCAAGAAAAACATCAATGTTGAATTCAAGACGAGCGGAGCCGCGTGCGATGCTGGGAGAAAGGGGGTACGCTGCCTTCTATGGATCAATGTACGAAAAAGGTGCCTGTTGCCAAGCTACCCCCTTTTCCCCCGTTAAACGCGTACATTTTTCTCACTTGGTGAACGATAAGATTAGCCTGGGAGGCGAAGCAAGCTTGGTGTGGGGATTGACAGTTAGAGCCAAGCGAATGAATGCACCAAAAGGCGATTAGAGACAATTAGGGACAAGCACAACTTCGTGCAGCGCTTATTCAGTTGAGCATACCCTCAAGGTATGTATGTATGTGCAGGATACACGGTGGGATAAAAACCCACGACGATCGCCATTATGCCACTGTTCATAACGAGACTAGTACGGCCCGTCCCAGGCGTTCCTGACAGAACATGCAGCACCATGTCAAGCTGAAATACGGGTGCCCCTTGGCCCTTTGCACTGCCTCCAAGGCACATATCATTCAACGCAGTGCTAGTACGGAGTACGAAGTATACGGTTATGTGGAGGCCTAGAAAGATGGTTGAATGAATCCCTCCCATTCCGCCAAGTCGTACCCGAGGGTGCCGAAGGGGGGGGACCCCTTTCAACCAAGACAAGCCACGGACCGAATTATGGAGTCTAGTCCAGGTACTATTACGGAGTGTGTAGGGGAGTCCACAGTAATTCAAGGGTTGGGGCGAAACCCCTTATATGGGTAATAGAAATACGAGTAATCCTGCTCCCGCCATAAACGCCCTGCCAATATCGTAAAAACCGAAGACTTGCATTCAGAAGAGCGACTTGGCACGCCAGGAACCGGCTCTCTGAGAGAGAATGGAAGCCTTGGATAGGCTCGTCTCAATTATTAGGATGACGGAGTGGCTGACCACACAACCCAGCATGCCCTGGACTGGCGGCTTACTGAGTGTTGGTTGATCACGGTATGGCAGGGTCTAACTGGCCCGATTTTTATCTTCCGAACTTCCGGGGAGATTGACAGGGCGAAGCGATCATAACATGCGGCAGGAACTTATACACGAAATTGTACAAACTGGGTGTTGACGAGTGCCCGAAACTGTGAGCACCACCGCGCAACCGCAGACGGGATCCGAGTGCACCGATTCGCGACCGGTTCCGTCGCCGATTCGGGATCTTGAATGCCTTGGTCCACTTTGTTTCCATAAGTTGCCATCGCCGACCCGTGCTGATTTGCGATCCCCCACTGGCTTAATGAGCAAGCTTAATGGAAAAGCGGACGGGTTCATGAGTTTAAATCCATAGCTGCATTGATTACGTGAGTAAAGTGGAATGGTAACGATGGCGGCTCGTAAGAAGCATAGGAGAAGCAGAAATGCGCTTCAGCAGCCAGGGATTGGTGGTTTCTTCACTCCAGCAAACGCTTGATTCCGTGTATGGGGTTCTTGCATCTAGTTCCATGATGCAAGGAAAAGGTGGTGATCATTTCCAACGATGCGCGCCGGCCGCAGTTAATTATTGATTAACAACCTTGGAAAAGGGTCAGGGTTGTGAGTGCGTAGATGATCTGAAGACGCGTCATTGCAGCTGGTGTTTCGTAAACATGTTTGGTCTTCTACCAAACGGATAATGCATATAATGGACATCGCAGCCCCTTATTCGTACTTGTTTGGGCATGAGCCATGGCGATAAGCATCCCTAGAAAGTTTCGGGATTCCAAGAAAGACGAGTTCGGCAATAATCTGAGCTACTAAAGTATCTAGGGAAGACGAGGGGCAAACTATTCTTGCCACGGGTGTTTCAAACGCATCGGACATTGCGGTCCTGCGTCGTCAAGTTCTGAAATGTCTAAGACAGATTCTCAATCGGTTGAAGAAGAAACCAATCATGTCTTTCATTTATGTCATAGCTGACGACTTTTAAGCCGAGTATTCAGTTAGTGGAGTGAGTGCCGCGAAGAGGACCCCTTAATAGCTAGTCTCGGACGTTGACAGAGCAACCTGACTTGCTCAGTCAACATGAAAACGTCTTATATCAGACCTCTGATATATAAAAGACTCGGATGCTGACCCTTCGGATTGGATACAGGATTGCTTGTACTTTCAGCCTTCTCCAGATCTCTTACTCAAGATGAGTAAAGCGCACCAAAACCGCACTGGTTACTTGCCTATGACGAGGTTTACTGTTCACCTGCACAACGCCAAGGTCTAACTCATCAATGATGCAGTCTTCTGAGTATGGTGTAGCAATGACCACAGACTGATCTAGTTCCAAGAAACGTCATCCAATATTTGCTGTCCTAGCTGCGATCGCCTGATGTATCAATGCTACAGCACGGATGAATGCACCCCAGAGAAAGATATGCACAGGCTGAAGGGTCACAATCAGTGGTTATAGGTCATATATCAAGCATATATCAAACATTTGCCGTTTAGATCTCTTTTAGAACCATTCACGAGAATCAAGACTGGGCGACGCCCCTCTAGTCTCGTGCTGCCTGGAAATTATCGTGCTGTTTCCAGCGACAGGGTATCAGAAAATTCAGTGATGCACTAACGGGCTTTTTCAGGGATGCGAAGGGAAGGTGGGATTGGCCAGTCCCTGACATCTCGCCTTTTTCACGATTTCCATTGGCTCAAAATCAATTCTCGCGCTGTGATTGGCTTAAAATACACCAGGGCAGCGGCGAGTTCCGATGGTTCTGTAGGGCGTCGTGCTGGGCAACAGTGAGCGACAGCCACTGTGAGATGACGGGCATGCGGGGCGATGCACTGCGATCCATGTGAAGTGGGGCACAGCCAGCGGTTCGTTTCGGTGTCATCGCGGGGCTCGCCAGACAAAATTTCTCCTTCAGTGGTGCCCACGCGCCTAAACTGCCCAATTGTCCATGGCGGGGTGGACTTTGGAGGGGTCGGTCAGTGACTCTGTGTGTGTGGTAGCCTAGGTTCTTTTTTTTTTTTTTTTTTTTTCTTTCCCCGTCCTTCAGTGGGTGTGAATAGCGGCACTTTTAGAAACCCCCCCGAGGCTACTTAAACTTCTTCCCTTTTTTTTTCTTTTCTTTTCTTTTTAAACGTCTCACACCTCTGTACATTTCCAACCTTTTTTGGTATATATCACGTTTCTTTTTCTGCGTGCCCATCCCTCGGCATTACACCCGATAGACTAACGACTGCGTCTAACAAAGACATACTCTCTCTCTCCCTCCCTTCTCCGAATCTACAGCAACCCCGCAGTCGGTCAAGACAGAACCCCTCCAAACACCGCCAAAATGGTCGAGAAGCTCTACGTCACGTACAACGATGTATGTTTGCCAACGGACACTGTGCTCCAGTCATTCTGCACCGCCAAATTTGATCTCTGACTCTTGTTCTTTCCCCCCCCTCCTCTAGGTCCACAAGCTCTGCCAGGAGTCCGCGACCGACATCCTCGAGAAGTTCCAGCCCCAGCTCATGATCGCCATCGGCGGTGGCGGCTTCATCCCGGCCCGTATCCTGCGCTCCTTCCTCAAGCAGCCCGGAAGCCCCAACATCCCCATCCAGGCCATCGGCCTCTCCCTCTACGAGACCCTTCCCGAGACCCTTGGCGGCAATGCCACCCCCGGCGCCCCCGAGGTGCCCGGCACCAAGGTTACCCGCACCCAGTGGCTCGACCTCAGCGCCCTCGGCGAGATGGAGAACCTCATCGGCAAGCGCGTTCTGATCGTCGACGAGGTCGACGACACCCGCACCACCCTCGAGTACGCCGTGAAGGAGCTTGAGAAGGACGTCGAGGCCGCCCGCCAGCGTATGGGCGGAAAGGGCGAGAAGACCGAGTTCGGCATCTTCGTCCTGCACGTACGTCTTTCTTCTACAACCCCACCCCCATGAGTCACTCCCGGGCGTGACAAGTTTACTGACATATCGGGCCTTGTTTAGAACAAGGACAAGAAGAAGAAGGGCACCCTGCCCGAGGAAATGCTGGACTCCGGCCGCTACTTCGTCGCCCGCACCGTCAAGGATATCTGGATCAACTACCCCTGGGAGGCCATCGACATCGACGAGCACGACCGCCTTGGCGCTGGCCAGGCTAAATAGACGGAACGGAAAGGCGAGGATTGGATATATATATACACGATGTGAAATGAGACGCGTTACGAGGGGAAGCCGAAGGCGTGGGGTGGTGGGGGTTTAGACCGGACCCGGGCATGGAGAGAGGGCTTGGGCCGTAAAAAAGGATACCAAAGAGCATACCGCCGAGTTGCCCGCAAGCATACACTCTACAAATGATATTTCAAGTTTTGACACGTTGCGCCTACCCTGGTTTGACCATATTGTTTTGTGCAGGACTGGGGATGAACGACGCTGGAAGGTGTCTCGCTTAACATGTGTAGCTTCTCCAACCTGCGAGGCAGACTGCGAGAGGTTAGGGATAAGTCGCCAGACCGATTCATGACGGGCAACTCCAGTTCCGTCACTTACTCGGTTCCAAGCCGGGGAGCTTCGTTATGGAGCCGGTGCTAAGAGGGACTTTGCTGGGCACCCAAGACACCGAATGGCGGTCATCATTAAGGGAAACGCAAATCTTTTAATCTTGTTGCCCTCCCTGCCTCGCCCGCCAACCGTCCGCAGTCGCAAGCTCCAGACTTCTGCCCAGACTCCCAAGAGCAGAAGGCACCGATATGGACGGTAGAATTGAGGTTCTTTTCAACCGGGCGCAGTCTCGCGCCTCTTGGCGCGCCAGGTGGCGGGACAATCGTCCCTTGGCAACCCCCTTTTTCGTGGCTGTGGCTATATTTCCCCCTCGATGTCTGTGCAAGGAAGCTCTGCGGGCCAGCTGTCAAATTTACTTCTCACCGAGTCTTGAGTTTTCTTGGTATCATTTCCCCGGTGTATGAGTAGTAGATTATTTTCGGATATCTGGGGTAGTTGGTATCTGCCACCACTCCGTGGAAAATGACGGCCGGGTATGGCACGGCATCGTTGATGTCGCCATATTCACATCTCCCTGTGAGAAATGAATTCTCATTTGGCAAACTTGTGCAGCCTCATATTATACGAGCGCTTGTGTTGTTCTGAGATCAGGTTATGAGTACTGCACGCCGTTGCTATGCTGGGAGTTTTCTCTCATTTTCTGATGTTTGCATGGAGATCTTGACGTTGCAGGCTTTTATGGTGGCATTTTGTACCTCAAAATACGAAATTATCATAGCTAAAATTTCTTACAACTAGGACTTTGCAATCGTTATTATGGGCTCTGCCGCCGCCGTCGTCGCCGTCGTCTAGCCATATCACTGTCACTATCGTTGTGGAAAACATATTCCATTGGTATAAGGAGTAGCTAACTCCTATTTAGCTAAACTACTCTTCCCCGCCCCCCCGACACGCCTGCCACTCCCCTACAACTCCTCCATGAATCGCTCCATCTCGACCCAGTCTCCCATCTTCCGCAGCACCGCATCCCGCAGGGCCTTATCGGCCGCAGCGTATCCCGGCCACGCCTCCGCCCGTTGTCGGAGTATTCCCTCCCCGGCAAGGAGATAGGCGGCCCAGAAGGCGCCAAAGACGTAGTCGGGGCCGACGCCAGGGCGGGGGAAGAAGCCCTCGTTGGCCACCTAGACCTCCAGGGCGGGGTCTCCCACGACCTCGCCGTCGTCCTTCACATCCAGCCTGTTCATGCGGCCAAGGCCGCTGATCCACAGCGTGGCGCGGTCGTAGCCCTCCTCGTAGCCGACGTGGAACTTGACGTGGTGGGCGTCCCTGGCGAGGTCGACGTGAATGACGGCAAGAGCGATGCCCATCTGGCGAGCTAGCATGATAACTCCCTTCCTGCCGACGTACTGGGTGATCTGCTCGAGGTAGGCGGGGAAGGCGGCGAGGTTTGTGTTCTGAGAACGTTGCTCGGCGACGGAGGCGGGCTGGTTCATGCCTAGGTAGGCCAGAGGGTGCAGGTCGAAGTTGGCGGGCAGCTGGCGGGCCTCGGCTCGGAGGGCGGCAGTGGGAAAGGTGTGGTAGATGACGTCTGAGATTATGCCGGGTCTGACGGGAACCATTCTCCGCATCTTGATCTCGCCCTCGACGGGGACGCCGTCGATAGTGTCGGTATGATTGGCGTTGCGCTTGACGAGGGTGAACTGGATAGGGACGATGGGGTAGCAGCCGCTGAGACGGTTCAGGTAGGGATGATCTGCGCCGAGGATTTCTCCTAGTCTTTGGGGCAGGACGGTGTACCAGACACGCATCGAATGATAGAGCTCGTCGGTGGCGTGAAATTCTTCCCGAAGATGGGCGAAAGAGATGTGTTCTTTGATGGCTCTGTCTCCGTCGAGGTAGACCTTGGCGTCGCTAGACTGGTAGATCAAGATCTGGGGGTGGTCTTTGGCGGCGGGAGTGGAAGAGATAGGAGTGACTGAGGCGGGAGAGGTAGGGACCTGAGAAGTAGGGGAAGAAAGCTTCTCATGGGGAAGAAGAGGCATCTCAATAGGAGAGTTATCGCTACCATCGCCCGAGGAGGGAGAGAGTTTCTCGTGAGGAAGCAGAGGCATCTTAATAGGAGATGTGTTGCCATCATTGTCAGAGACAGGCCCCGAATGATTCTCATGGGTGGACAAGATACCTCCAGCAGGCGGATTCTTGTTCTTTTCGTCTTCGGCAAGCTTGGAGAGAATCTCTTGAGGAAGAAGAGGCATATCAACAGGAGAAGTATCGCCTTCATCATCCGAGGGAACAGGCAAAAGTTTTTCGTGGGGAAGCAGAGGCATCTTGATAGGGGACGCGTTGCCGTCTTCGGCGGCAGATGGCGAAACGGTCTCGGAAGGAGAAAGTATACTCGAAGGAGGCATCATATCGCCATCGCCCTTGGACGAGGAGGCGCGCTGCTCGCCAGTTTGATTGTTCGAGGAGTCAGCCATGGTGATGTTGGGTAGATTGATGGAGAGTAGAGAAGTGAGATGTTGGAGAAACTGAGTGATCGAGAGGGAAGCCGAGGAAACGGAAAGGAACTTGAAGAAGAGAAGAGGAATCAAGGAAACGAAAAGAGGCAATAAATAGTCTTGTGTGTTTGTTGAGTCGTCGTGGGATTAGTCGTCGATGCTTCTTGATGCTCGTTGGGTGCGTGTCGTTCTCCTCGTGAAGTATGTTTCTCAGGGGCACACTCGCCTTTCGTGATCTTTGTGTTTCTTCATCCTTGCCATTTTCACAAATGTCCACTCGTCTAGTACTCAACATCCACCCCCTGCATTAACAGATGACTCGAACCGTCTCTGAGAGTGGCTTATTCAGAGACTTGCAGGGCTGAGCTACGCAGCTTATCGTGGGAGGATCGTAAGGTGCCTCAGTACTGTCGATTTGGGCTCTGAAGTCAAGGCAAGAGATACAAAAACTAGTAATTAAATCTCTTCTTCCTTGACATGAACATCCTAACGAGGCGGACTGGCCTTCAAACTTCCCAGTGACTTGGCTGTTCCCTCTCGTGACTGGCGGTGATAAGTAAATTCCAACTCGACGATACACATTCACCAAAAGTACACAAGCACTAGTCTGGTAAGGGCTAAGCGGTAGCAAGATGGTAGTAGTGTTGTGATGTGAGGTGACTTGAAAAGACTAGCCAAAATGTTAACAGATCAAATAACAAAGATTGAGGTCCATAATTCTGGAAGGGGATTTGGCTTCTGCAGAGAAGATAGCTCAAGGCCGCAAGAACCTTAGCTTCCAAGGATGCTAGTCTTTCACAGGCGGGCGTAAGTATACTCTTTCCCTTCAAAGGAAAGAATCTGCCATCTTCAAAATCTTTCAAGTAAACCTTGGAAGTTCTCATCCTGTAGTCATAGTCAGTGCCTAGTTGCACTTCAGATGATCGACTTGCTGGTTTCTTGTCAAATCTTCGCCCATTTTGCCAGGGATGACAGTAAAGCGTCAACAGGGAAAAAGGCTTCCTGCTGTTCCCAAGCTTGGTCCTTCAGACCAAATCTGTACGCCCTTTAGACCAGAGGTGGTCTAAGTAACGTCAAAGGTCAAAGAGTTTTCAGGGCCCCAACATAACTGCGACAGAGAGTTGCCAATAATGTGAAAAGGGAAATATGATGCTGGTAATTGTAAACAAGTCTATGAGCTCGCTGATGGGGTGTTTAAGACGATGAAACTCCGACGCAGGCTATGAGACGAAGAAGTAAGAGAGAAAGGGGAGACCAAGTCCCGTGGCTCCTCAGCCGCCTACCGTTCCCTCCTTTTCATGCATCACTTTCAACTTCTTCTCCGTCTTCATAAACTCACGAATTCCAACCGGAATGTCCCCATACAGCTTCTCATCCCACATATCTTTGGCGATCTTGGGATCTTTCGGCACCCAGTTAGTTTCCGAACCGCCGCCGTCGTCATCCATGCTCATCGTATCTGCTGCTACGCCGTCCTTTGCCTTTTGCTGCTCCCTCAGCTTCATCTGAGCCTCAGCATTGGCGGCTGACCATTCTTCCATCTCCTCCCTAAACCGGTCCCACACGCAGTTGACGCAGCCGCTCATGCAGCAGTTATCAGGCTCATCGGGTCGCGGGGGAATCAGCACGCCAGCGACCCTGGTACTTCTGCGGCGCAGATCCTCGAGGCGCTGCTTGCGCTCGGCAGGACCGGCTAGGGCGGAGCCGAAGACGATCGCCGCTTTCTTAGCGGCGGTCTGCGGGGGCGGCGTCGGCACCGGCTGTGCGGATTGAGCTTCAGCAGAGGGTTCCGGGTGTTCTGGGGAGAGAGGCGAGGTCTTACGGCCTTGCTGCTCCTGCTTAATGGTGGAGGAGGACGGGGGCTCCTCGGGCTTTTCGGCGGGGATGGGCTGCGGGTTCGTGAGGATCGACTCGTAGTATGCGCCTAGAGGATGGGCCTGCGCCTTTGAGGGCTCGATCGGGTCGGGCGGCGTCTGGGCCTGGCTGGTGATGAAGGCATTGCGAGGAGTGCGAGCGATGCGAGGCACCAGAGGGCGCAAGCGGGGGAGAAGTCTGCCGGGTGTCGCCATCTTGGGTGTATTTTTGAGGTTTGGTCCAATTCAAGGTGTATGAAGTGGGAGAGTTGGACCTTGGTGGCTGAGTGATGCAGGCCTGCAATCACTGCAGAGGGAAAAGGAAGCACATAATTGAAATGCGGTCATCGCCTCGGACGTCATCGGACCAGGGTTTCTTGATTATGTAACTGAGAAGAAACTGAGTCACGTGCTTACGCGATTATAGACAATGTCATTGGCCAGGGAGCGCCATCAATAGAAGAACATCAAGGAGAGGAAAGAACGATGGAAATATGCATTAGAATACTTTATGATATATACTCGAAACATCAAAAGGCCTGGAAACACTCATCCCAAGTTAAATTCCAACCTCGGAGGTGCAATTGGGAGCTTGGGGAACTTAGACACCACATCCCTGCTCATGTATTCCGGATCGACTAAAAGAGGAAGGCGGTAAGATCGCATGTACACAAACGCGCTCTATGCACAACAGCTAATCCAAAGCCATCGTGCAGCTCACCATATTCCCCACCTCTCTCTGGAACACGCCTTTGAGGGCAGTTTTTCGACGACGATATGCCAGGACATTCTCTACGACCCGCGTAAATCATGGAAGAGTCCGCGCCAAAACGGCGGAGAACGTCGCCACGACTTAGCGATCAGCGCAATGATAACGAATCGACGACTCCCCCGGATCCTCCCCCACCACGAAGCTTGATTCCCGTACCAAGGCGACCATCCTTCGCGTCGCCCACCAGATCTAGCCTTGCGCGTACAAACCCCGATATCCTTCGCAGAAGGAGTCTCAGTCCCTCGAAACCTGCCGGTGACATTGCGACGCGATCTACCCAAGATGGGGCCGGTGAGGGGTCTTCAAGTCAGATCGTGAGCCAGGAGCAGGCTGGGCGCTCGTTGGAGAGAAGACCCTCACGACCAAGGACGAGCTTGTTTGAGCAAACTTCAACTGAATCTCCGCTTGGCTCTCCTGCTAGACGATTGCCAAGTTCTTCAAGGCTCAGCGGAGCACTGGCGTCTAGACCGCGCCGGTCATCTGGGAAGCCCATTCCCAGACCCTTGCCTGAACCTGGGCCAGAGGAAGAAGAGATAAATCCCTTTGCTCGTCGCGGTCTCCGTCGCTCACCTCCAGCCGGCGTCATTCCTCAAAGACCTTCCGAGCCTGAACCTGAACCCGAAGCGGAACCCGAACTGCCCCCAACACCGACACAGAGGGGTCAAGCTGACCCAGTTGTCACAACACCACCCTTGGGTATCCATGATACTCCTTCAAAACGAAAGCGGCGCACCGCGTCGCCATCCAAGAGCTCACCGCTAAAACAACCTCCTTTGCGACCGCCAGAGTTCTCCCAGAAGGCTAAAGACCCTTCGAAGAAAGCCAGGCCTCCCGTTACGCGAGATCAGAGCCCTAGTAAGACGACCAGAAAAACGAGGCCACAAAAGGGTCCTGCGGGAACTCACGAGGCTCGACAAATACCTGCACCAGATCCCAATGCTGGACTAAAGGAGACGAGAGACGCGCTGCAAGCAGAGATTGCCAAGCTGGAGGCCGACTTACAGCTTGCTACCGAGGAAAACGAGCGCATTCGGCGTGTGCAGTCTCTTAGATCTGGAGTCGACGAGTCTACGATACCCGCCTCACGTCGCCAGCAGCTCCTTGACCTGCTACATCGCCATCTTGTGCCTCCTGAGAAGGAGAACAAGCAGGATGCATCTCAGGAATGGTTCGACCTAGCTATGAACCCTACTTCCTGGCTGTCATTCGCGTCTCTTGGACAGACCCAACCTTTCACATCAAAACAGCAAGAAGAGGAGCTTCCAGCCCCGGTCTCGCATCACCCGATAAAGATGACAGCTATCGAGGAGCTTCCATATCTGCAAGCTTTTACCCCTTTTGAATTCTCGGGAAATACAAACATACTCCCACGCGAGAATGAAGAGGACCCCCTGTTGCGGAAACACAACATCGTTATCAGATCAGCTCATCCTGCAGGACTATTCATGGCTAAGATCGAGATGACTGTTGACACTGAAAAACTCCAAATTAGAGATCTCAGCGTGCCCCGCCTGGACCCCGCAGCAGTTGCTGAACTCGGGCCATTCATTGAGAAACTGACCAAAAGCGGTTCCAACATCCACATGAAGCGAAATGTAAGCATCGTGACCTGGGCTATGGCTGAATGGTACCGCACTGCCGTCGAGCGCGCAAAAGTCTGGCACGTGCTGGAAATTGAGCTTGCAGACAAGGAGAAGCTGGCAGAGAGCGTCGCTAAGATCCGGACGCGGCGAAAGAAGCGCAGGAGAAAGGATGATGCGGATTCAGAGAACCCTGACACAGACGGTGTACCGGGAGAGAAGGACCACGCAGAAACCCTCACTCGCTCGGCATTACTCCCTCATCTTGGAAGGACGACATACGAGATCCCAATTCCAGATGCCGTGGACGAGGAAACGTCGTGTTTGAGGATACAGTGGAGAATAGATTTCGACTGGACAGGCGAGGCGCAGAGCAAAGTTGGCTTGATGATTGGAGTACCCGGTAGATGTGAGTACCTCAGCTGCATGATCTTTTACACTCGAAAGCTAACAAGTCATAGGGCGTCAAGGCGATGAGCGCGGGTCATTGGCAGCAGCAGCCAAAGTGTTTGAAAAGCTCGTCCAAGGTAGCGAAGGGCCAATGACGGCTGTACGGACTGTTGTCGCATTGCTGGCTGGAGATATGTCATCTTGAAGGAATACCCTTGGGAGTTCGGATGTTGTTTTATGGGTACGGCCGTGTATCATCAATTTGGCTGGCTCAGGCCAGTTAGAATACAAGAGCACCTCCTGGTGCAGTGTTATGAATTAGGCATCGATGTTTCTTCGGAATACCTTAACCTACTGTACAGCAATTGGGTAGTGTTCCATCGTCTTTCAAACCCCCGTTGATCATCAGAACCCCCTCTGAAGCTGTTCCACTTGTTGTCACCTTTCGACGCCCCTTCAAATTACGAGACAGACTTGGCTTTAATATTGAGCGATGGTCGCCTGGCTCAGCTAAACATTGGCACAAATGTGTCCATAAGAAAGGCTTTCCACGGAGAAAAGTCTCGAACACCGGCTCAACTCTATCAATGCGGCGCTACAAGCCAAGGAATCAGATGTGGTACGCAGGTTGTGGAGAAAGTTATCATCGGCGGACTCCATGTTCCATGTGATTTCCGTGTCTCTCCGGACACTGCACCTACTTTGCCAACAGCAGAGATTTGTCAACGGAAACTTGATGCGTCATCAGAACCAGACACACCGTTCTTCAAACAACACTATAGGCACTGGTGCGTTGCGGTGGATATTCGGAAGGTGGGTCTAATCCAGGCGGAAGTTCCGAACACCACGTCATTCCGGCCGGAACGGCATGGATCAGAGCTCACCGGCCAGTTTGAGACAAGGTTCACTGAGTTGGAAGCCGGTGGAACTGATCTACTCCGACTTTTGTAGACGGGAACACAACTGTATTTGGTCAATCATAAGGGTGAATCCCACCGGCCGGAAGATTATGCTCAATTTGCGATGCGGGCTGCCGAGTGTCAACTATGACCTCCACAGGCGATTGCGACTAAAGGTTGAGTTTCCAAGCATCTTGAGGAGGCATGGCTGCCCCATACAGTTCCGCCTCTGTGTCTTGTTGAATTACAAACCATCGTGTCGTAGAATTTGGCAATTATTAATGATGAGAATACTAGCTCATGGAGGCAGATGTGCTTCCTAGCTTAAATAGCACTCCCAAGTCCAACTTCGCTTTCATTATTCCGAGGAACACAACAGCAACAAGACCATCGAACTACTTCTCACAAAGCAACCACACTTGACTACATTATCCACCTTGGAATATCATCAAAACGGTAGGCTTTCATATACCAGATATCCTTGTACTAATCTAATCCCATGTTACAAGCAGCACACTCCGACGTAATGGCTGGTGTCAAAGGCTACTCCGTGGGAGACATTCAGGCTCAAGCGGCTTTTACTTCTGAAATCGAAATCAACGGACATCCATCTCTCCAGGACTTTGTTAACTTTCAAGATGTTCATCGCAAGGTTATGGACGCTCGCCCAGGGATGTATCTGAAATATCTTCCTCACCAATTCGATGTTGTGAATGGCCAACTGCGAACCGGCGGAGCCTACCTATTCGATACGCATGAGAATGCGGCTGACTACTGGGACTGGACTACCAACATCTTCGAAGTTGACGAGCCCAAAGTCAAGTTCTGGAGCCAGCCTTTATTCAAAGCCTCAAAGCGTTTCATTTGGCAAGTCATCGGAGCCACCAACTTCGGGCCGGTCGAGTATCACGCTGTCGGCAGATTCCAGCGCTGGACCTACGATGGGGCCAACGTTGAGAAAGAGCTGCAACGTATCTACCCAGAGCTTAAGAGGAAGGCCGAGGAGCAGGGAGCACTCGCGTTTTGGCTCTTGCATCACCCCGAGGAGAAACAGATTGGTATACAACTTGCATTCGGCAAGATGGAAGGGACCGACCCTCTGACAGTTGGGTACAATTCTTTGGCTCACGCTGGGTCGCAGGCCTCTTTGGATTCAATTTTCCCCAGCTCTTTGAAGGCCCAGAAGAGTCTAGATCGGACCAGTCTGTTCATTGCAGTTTGGATGCCCACATCTCGTCTTGCAGGAGGAGCGCATCATTGGGCCCCGATGTATCCTACTCTTCCTACTGTTCAAGATCAGTAGAGACTTGACTCAATTACTATTGCGGAAGAGGACTTATGCTATGGGTTTTTGAAAGCCTGCTCGGTGTCTCCGATGAGGAAATTGGAGGCGTTCCCAATCCATTCTAAAAAGGGGGCAACCGTTGAACTGGGTATCTCATTTCAATAGCATAGGAACACTTGGGGGAGTTGTTAGCTCGTTGAAAACTTCCCCTCTTAGTTACGTATAATACATTGCTTCCCGATGCACTTTGGTTGAAACAAGATGCGGCATGGACGGCGACTCTAGAGATGATGCCTGACCCGGATTACTTCTGTGCTGCTTACCTATCCCGGTTAGAGGCATTTATTCATGCTTTCGACATAATGTTTACCCTCAGAGTCGATGAAATTTCGCAAATCATCAGAACAGGCTACAAGACATGAATACCGGGCCGCTTTGGAAAGGCCTCGAAGGATGTGAGAAAGTATATACGTCCGGGAATTCTGTTTGCTTTTTGATACCGCGGAGTGTCTGGAGAAATAGGTTACGCATGGAACAAAGAAATTTTTTTTTGACGGCGGATTATACTATTGTTTTGTTACTTCGTCGAGTACGACTGTTCTGTCCTAGAGCTTCGAATCGTCTAAAGTTGTAATACTCGCTATAGATATTGTGTCCCCCACTCGCTGTCCCTCTAACTGCCATGAAAACAAGTGGTTCATCGAAATAGGTAGCTCTGAAGATTAGACGGCCATCCTGGCAGTCCCCAAGCCTGTGCTTTTTGCAACATGTCGCCGTTGCCATCGATCGGAAAATCCATATCCAAAGTGGCACCGAAAGACCAGGGATCAAATTGAAATGGAGTGTTTTCAACAGCCGTTTCTGTATCCCCATATGCCTCTGTAGGAGTTGGAAACTGGGCTTGCTGGTGTGTTGAGGGGGTATCTACTGATATGCGACTAGTTTTAGGGTCCGAGGATGAAGAAAGCCCCCTATCGTCGGCGGTGCGTTGTGAACCGTGGCTCTCCATTGCGTGGCATAGTTCTCGAATTCTCCTACATAGAGAAGACGCAGCCTTAGATACACCCGAATACTTTTCAGTCAGACCTTTCGCCAACTGGAAGTAATGACGAATTTGTTCCTCATAATCGGGAGGTAGATACTGAGAGACAGCCTCTCGATGTTCCTTGACATAACCTGCTATCAGGAACATGAGGGCACAGATGGACGCTAATGCGTGCTGGCAGTACGACCTTTGGTTGCGATAAATATTTGTGGTGCTATCCAAGCTGACAAGAGCACGCGTAACCTGGGAAGCTAGTTCTAGGGCTGGAAGAATGTGCTGTTTGCTTCGTTGGATATGCGTCGTCGGAAAGAAGTACGGACGTAGCAACAGACTTCGTATGGATGCAGCTCGAAAAATCACGAGCAGTGCCCACGAAGGGGGAATAGAGGATGGTTCTGAAGACCAGGAGTCCATATCATCAAGGGTTTGCTCCCCGACTGACTTTTTCTCCCACTGCTGAATTTGAAACATCAAAACCTCAATGGTATCATCGTCGATGTAGCTGTTACCCCTGGCTGCCAGTGTTATTGGCTCATTGAACCTGTCGCCGATGAGGACGAGCTTGTACATTGCGTGTGTATAGGGGGCGTCAGTCTGATGGTGACCAAGTTAGCTATCTGCTGTTGCGGTCCAACCATCGCACCCAAGTACAATTTGTATGTGAATCAAGACTGCTCCGTTCCTCATAATCAATTCTGCGGGAGATGATGCTCACCAAGTAAGCAGGTGTCGGATTGAACGTGGCATTCGGAAAGTTTGCCGGCAGCCCAGACATTGCGCTCCATTGGCGATCAAGTATTATGACAGAGGACATTATGATGCAAGCAGTCTTGCGCTGAGCCTCTGACTGAAGAACCTGGTCAAGCATGTCGCCATTGTGAAAACCGAGCTCCAATAAAATGCGTCCAGCTGTGCCGCACATCCTAAGCGCAAGCCGTGGCAGATCATAAGAGAAATAATAGTAACCCTTAGACAAATTTAGCACAAGGAGATCCTACAGGGAGAATCGGATAGGATGTGGGTGGCTTACTAGTAGTAAGACGATAATGGCTTGTTTCGTGCTTACTGTAGCGGATGTGGTCGTTGCATTAGCGGCGTGTTGAAAACTGGAATGCATGACAGACGCCATTTTGGCATGAACTGTGTCTACTTGAGCTTGGGCTGCGATTGCTAGTACCAGAACCAAGATGAGGAGATCATCATCTTCCGGCTGATCGTGTCCGCCAGCCGGCTGATTCGGATTATATGAGTACCAGGCATCCAACTGCTTTTCAATGAGTCCAGAATCGACGAATGGGTGTAATACTCCCACGGTCTCTTGGTACGTAGACAAGACTGCCTTAGCATCCTGTATCGTCAGCCAGGAACGGAACTGCAACAAATGGTGTCTATCACAGTGACGTGCTGTTTGCCAATGGCTAGTTGGCGAAGTGGCGTCGTCTTCTTCAAGACTCGGCAGCATCGGGCGGCGGTGTAACGTTGTGAGGTATCCTAGCTCACGCAATTTTATCTGCACTAGATTCATACTGTAGTTTGGGCTTGTTGGTCCGCAAAAAGTCTGGCTCAATCTGTTTGATTCGGGTGCATGTTGAGATTCTTGTTCTAGCCTGTTTGACATGCCGGCTGACCGATTACCAGAACGCCGTTCTTCGATTGAAATCAGTTCTTCCGAAGCCTTGGAACCATTGCTGGTATGAGTTTTGTCAGCCACTTCAATCATAGGCTCTACATCTTTTAACTGGTGGCGAGCAACTGCAACTGTTCCCGCGGAAGTACGGGTGCTATGTCAATAGGAAAAGGTTGTTAGCATAACGATCAACTCTGTTTAGGGCATAAAGAGGGATACTGCTCAACTTACTTAGTAATACTATTGCTCAATAAGGTAGTCCCATCGGACATAGCCGTGGGTAGACTTGGTGGTGAGAGTTCCCTGTTGCGAGGGACTTGCTTTTGCGCTTGCCGCCGTGATACCGGCTGCGCTTGATCTTGCGCCTGACCAAGTCGACCATGATCCTTGTCTCGCTGCCCCAGATACCGCGAAACGCCAGCCTCATTCTCATAGGCGCAAAGCTGACCCCGGCTATCGCAGTGGTCGCATGGTTGCTGGCCGTTGCATTTGCCTTTCCGACGTCGACAAGCTGTACATGCACGAAGAGCGTATGGAGCCCGTCGCTTGCTTAGATCTGTATTTAACAAAGGCCCCGATCTCTTGACTCCGCGTTGCTCCATGGTGTCATGGGGGTTCCGAAACGTTTCTGTGAGATGTGAACAGTGAGGAAAATCTAGCAGTTCGGAATGCCCCTGGTATTCACCAAGTAGACACAAAGGATCTTTCCGACGCATCAACGTTCCGACGGAAAGTGGATACCACCAAACGCCGAAGCTCGAACCTTAATTTCCCCAAGACGCACGTCACTCGGCGCAACCATTGGAAGATAATGGGATCTTCCAAACGTGTTCAATGCCCAGAAGTCTTTGGGTGATGTCAAAAACGCTGTTACTGAAGATCGAGATGCCTTCAAAGCCCGACCAAAGGCCGATGGCTTCATGAAGCCATGATCAACTGGCACTTCATTTCCCGCCTAGCATGTTCCTTTCGAACATGTACACGGACTACTAACAAGTACTTAACAGCTAAGTATTCCTAACCATATAACTGTTGGACCATCGGTCATCTAAATCCACCAGTATCAAGTCATACTTTATCATTTCTAATAACGTCTCAAACGATCCCACAACTAAAGATGCTCAAGCTCGCCGCTGTTGAGGCTGCTCCAGTCTTCCTCAACAAGACTGCCACCTGCAAAAAAGTGTGCGACCTTATCCGCAAGGCCGGTCTTCATGGTGCAGACATCATTGGTTTTCCCGAAACCTTCATTTCCGGATATCCGGGCTGGCATTCCCTATTGCCCCAAAGTAATCCCCTTACACAATCACTCTACTTGCAGCTGTTTGAATCTGCTGTCGAGGTTCCCGGTCCAGAAGTCAGCGCTATACAAGAAGCTTGCAAGGAGGCCAACATCTACGCTGTGGTCGGAATCACTGAGCGTCGCCCTCACACCACAGGAACATTGTACAATACCCAGCTGTTCATTGGGCGTGATGGAGCGCTCCTACACAAACATCAGAAATACGTTCCCACCGTTGGGGAACGACTGTTAAATTCGCCTGGCAATACAGGTAGTCAGTCGTCAGTACAGACGGATTTTGGGACTTTGAGCGGCCTTATCTGCGCTGAGAATGGAAACCCACTTGCACAGTACGCATTGTCGCTGGATTACCCTGTCGTACACGTCGCATCCTGGCCACAGTTTTTCAGTATTGGGCAGGAGATGAACGATGTGATTCAAATCGCAGGCAAGGCTGTCGCATTCTCGGTTGGTACATTTGTGATCAATTCGGTAGGTCTTGTGGGGGATGAAGAAATTGAAGCCTATGGAGTCGACGAGAAGATTCGGGAGTTTCTGCAGGATGAGAGAAAGAAACGACGGGCTACAATCTATGGACCGGGTGGTTCAGTTGTAGCGGGTCCACTCGAGGACCCGAATGAGGAGATTCTGTACGCGGAGGTTGATGTGAAAGATGTAAATGCCGTCAAGTTTGCTTTTGACTATGCTGGGCACTACAATAGGCCAGAGATCTTTTCGCATCATTTTAGAAAACACCTTGTTAACCCTAGACAGTAATTCACTAAATGATATTTAATCAATCACGCCGACAAACTAAAAAAAAAGCCAGCTTCGCTGGATATATATACGCTCGAAAGCTTGTACTATATTTTGTTTGAATTCTGTACAATTTTGATTTCCCAGTTACCCCTGCACATCTGTTCTCATATGTTGGATTTCCATGTTTTAGTTATACCACTAGTACTAATAAGTCTACCTAGGTAGTTTACTCGTTTCTGCTGGCAGACGGATAAGTTATAGACAACTTTCTTCGTAGTAGTAGGAATTTAACTCGAAAAGCGTAGACATCCTGATCTCATCGTCGGCCAGGACCCCATTGATCCGGAGAACCCTCGTTCCCGTTGCCGCAGTTATTACCACCTCCCGATGCCCCTTCATACCCCTCAAAATTGCCACGAGGCATCCAGTAGCCGTTACTGTCCACCCGGTCAAAGGGTCCCATTCCATACATCCTTCGCATATCGTTTATCCGCGTTGGCGGGCCGTAGCTACTATCAGGCGTCGTGCCAGGCCAGTGTCCTCCCATTCTCCCACCGATCACACCGCCGCCGCTGTAGATGCTTGCTCCGCGACTACCATTGGTTCCAGGCCAGTGGCTACCGACTCCTTGACCGCGCGGGATATCATTGTAGGTCGGACCGCGGCCGGACGTGAAGGGGGCACCAATGGGGTCTGCACCATTTGGGGTGCGGGCAGCCATGAAGTCCATTGCGATACTGGGAGTCCAGTTGTTGCTCCCTGCGGAAGGAAAGTTCGCATGCCCATTATCGCCGTTGTTCGAGCGCGGGTTGTTGACGTAGGGGTTGCCATAGGTGTTGTTATCGGTGCTGTTGAAGCCGTTCGCGGCGCTTCCAGGAGGCCTATTTGCGTTACCGTTGGTGCTTTCGTAGCCGTTGGTGTACCCGTTCGGGCAGCTGTTTCTATTGTTCGACATATTCAAGATAAATGGCCACTGCGGTTGTTGATGATTTGCACAACCACAAGACAGAATTCTCTGGGATCTCCGATAAGTCTGGGAGAGGAGGCCCCCAGAAAGAATTTTATACGCCCAATTTTGTAGTGGAGTGTATGGTGAATAAGAATTGAAATGATGTTGCGTTTGTGAGACTTTTCGTTTGGAAGTGGCGATAGTGAAGCACCTTTGGATGAATTCATGTACGTGATGGGGCTTACCGTGTTTGGAAGACGACTGGAACGTTCACCAAAGATACAAATAAATCATGATTATTTCCATTTAGATGAGAGCAAAAAAAGACCAGATGTAGGCCTTTCTTGAAGGGCAATCGGCATCTTTGAATTCACTTGTAGGCCACGACAGCAAGTTGGCCAATTTATGAGTGAAGCCATCTCGGATACTCGGATTTGCAGTTTGAACAATGGCCAAGTTTAAATGCAATAGCTTAATGCCACCACATCTCGCCATATTCCTATCATGAAGCCCATATGTTAATCAAGTGGGCCGGGATGAATCTGAGGCACTCAAGATTCACACGTTTCAGCAATGTGAACCGGCCCTCTGCTGTTGTTAAGTAAACAATTTCGAGTTTGGTGAATGCTAACGCCATGGCTTCTGATTGTGCCGCTTTTAAGCAGGTCCCACGAGATTCGGCAGTGATTTGTAAGACATGCTTCTCAAATTCTTTACAGGACCATCTTCACCAATACCGCCACCGCCATTACCACCGCGATCGGCTTATGCTGTTTCGCAAGCTACCCCGTCTACGGCCTTGAGAAATATCTACCTGTGAGATTGCAACAGTCATTTCGTCAAGTTGTTATCACAATTCAAGGATCATAGGCAATATCACACCGGCCATCAATGTGATCAGCATGCCTGCCGTCAGCTCCTGTCAGGCTTGAAAGAACTGATCTGATTGATAAGGTAGCTTTCCCTGACATGGCATGCTGAGCAAGAGGTACGACAGACACCCAAGTAAACCCGTCCCTTCATGGGCTAAAAGTATAGAATCCTGGGCTCTCTAAAAGGAAAAGCTTTCCATTCTCTCTCTTGTAACGAGAACTTTTGGCCAACCACCAGTGGACTGTTGGTTTATACCTTCATTACTTCACAGGCGAAGGGGCACATGCCAATTCAACGTCAGATAGGATCTGGTCTGAAGCGCTTTTCTCAATTTGGCTTCATTCCTTCCTAAAGTAGAAAGAAGACAACGTTGCCAACGGGGTAGCTAGAGTTTGGCCCCATCCATCTTTTTAACACAGAATCAAGTGCATAGGGTGTCCGTGAAATTAGGGCAAAGTGATGGTTGCCATCACAGAATTAGCGGGCGGCTTGGCAGGACCGTATTATTTGGTTTCGTTGTGATACGGTGGTAACCATTACTCGTTTTAGCCTAAAGCAGACAGGTATCGATTAAGCGATGATTCAGCTGCATGGGTGCGACCTCCATCCACGAAGGCAGAGCAGCAGTGCGGCAAAGACGTGTGCTAACTAACATCTGGAACATTGATGTGGACATCTTAGGTGCCATCTTATCTGGTGGCTGCCCGATATCGTTCAGTCTTACCTGTATTGTCATAGCGTCTCCTTCGCGCTTTGGGGGCCGTCGTAAACTCGTTGGCTTGTCCTCGCCAAGACATCGTGAGATTTTCCTAGCATGATGCGCACCCATAACAAGCCGCAAAAATCTTACTTACCCATTCGAATCCCGGTTTAACCCTTCAGATGGAGAAGGACAACCTTGACTGTGGTCGCCAGCCTATGACAGCAAGCCCCACGTTGTGTAACTTATCTTGTTGGTGCTGGGTTTGAAATGAAGTTTATCCAATAAGAGCTAGCGTTGGTGCTTGGATTGACTACTTCACTCCTCACCGGCGCTTCAGTTGGGCGTGGTTCCTGCAAGCACATCCTCGTCAATCACCTGGGTCTTCATGCTTCCTTGTGGCAAAGCAAAATTCGCCATATTGAGCAACATTTGTATTACCTTACATGGGTCACTGACTGAGGCTGTGCCATTTTGGCAGTTCGGGAATATTGCCGATGAGGTCTCTCTGGGCCATTAGACCCATTTTCTGGGTTGTGATATCCCTCATCACATTCTTGCTGACTCTTACTCCAGTGTTTATTTCCTATTTATACGATGCTTCTTCTTCTTGCTGATTCTTCTGGTTCCAGTCTGTCCTAAAATTTCCCCATAAAGCAGGCGATTTCCGTACAAGAGGATCCAGTTCCCCTTCACTTGTTAATATATTTGAATCTACATTATCCTCTACCACGGTATATTATCAGAACCCCTATCACATTTTTGAATTTCAGTGCTTAAATTGCTATGGATAAAAGCAACATCCTACCAATTCATGGGACCGCGCCGTCTCCAGGCCGCACTCGTCCCGGATGGCGTCTTTTAGGCGTACAAGCCGCTCTCATCTTGGTGGCCACTTGCGTCTTGACCTTTTCGTTAGTTGGAGCCAATTATATATTCTTTGCAGTAAGTTGCGTTCCTCTCGAAGTTCTTGAGTCACTTGTAGCTAGGCTCACGTAAACTAGCTTGGCAAAAACACCACGATTTGCAACAATATGAACTCCGACGCACCATCGCGTCTTCTACTTGATAGCCAGAATCATATTGCACTCCGCTCGCGAAATGATGGCGCTGTCGTGGAAGATTCCGTTGCCATCACCGACGGACGCTCTGGATACAACCGAAGAGATGATGATCATGCCCTCGTCACCACTGATGGCCGCTCTGGGTATAACAAACGCGATGTCGAGGACTCTATTCCCACCACTGACGGTCGATCGGGTTATAACCGACGAGATGGCGAAGAGAATGCTGTCGCCACCGGGGGTCGCTCTGGATATAACAGACGTAATGTTGATGGAGATTCCATTGCTACGACTGATGGACGCTCTGGGTACAATCGTCGCAATGGGGAAGAAGACTCTGCAAGCACTACTGGGGGGCGCTCTGGGTACAACCGACGGGGCAGCGATGACGATTCTCTTGTAACTACTGGGGGTCGCTCGGGATATAACCGGCGGGATTCTCAGGACGACTTGATCGTCACTACGGGAGGTCGATCGGGATACAACCGAAGGAATTCTGACGATTCTGCTATCACCACTGATGGGCGTTCTGGGTACAACCGCGTAATCTGAGGACAACTTAGAGAGTCAGTGGGTTTGAAGATCTGGCTTCGAAGATCTGGCTAGAAAGGTAGTTGGAAATAGATATATCGAGCCCGAGCTCCGTAGGTGGTTATTTCAACACAAGAGAAAGAACTCATTCAGCGGTCCTTTCTCAAAGTTTGTAACGTCGCACACCCACTTCTCGCACACCCCCACATTTCGCACACCCATAAATTGGGTCATCATGAGGTATTCATCAACTTCATAACTATAAGTCTGATTCGTCTCCTGCAACTGTGATACTATCGCCAGTTTTAATAGGTAATTCAGGCTCGCTAGATTCATCTGAGCTATCCTCAATTTCGCCAGCCTCAATTTGGGCTTTGTGAATTGCCTCAATGTTGGCAAACTTCGAATTTGGGCTCATTTGGACCTTACGCCGCTTCCGTACCATTCCAGCCTCAACTTCTGCTTCCAACATTGCAATCTTCTTCTCTGCTGTAGCCAATTGATAGTCCTTTTCATCAAATCCCTTTTGAACCTTCCGAAACAACAGTCGCTGCGTTTGCTGATCTTTATCCAACTTGCTGAATAAGCTAAGTTGATCATATAGATCAACTGTCTTCTTGGGCGTTGACCAGGCTACTATGGATGTAGCAGATGCCCAGTTTTCGTCTTTTCCACCATCAGAGGCCCTCATAGGCGTAGAATAGCCTGGCTTTGAGGGCTTGGAAGCATTCTCAAGCAGTAGAGGGCTCATGAGCGGTCGAGCTATCGAAATGGGCCATAGTCCTGTTGCTTTCCAGCCGCTTCTGATATTCTTGCTTGAAAATGCCATCTGGCGTGCTTTTCCATAGCAGGTAAGAAAGTTCCGTTTGCCTACAACTGTAGAATCGTTGTGTTGAATGAGGTATCCAAGCTCTTTTCGATAGGTCGCCTTGAGAGGCCCAAAGACTGCTTGGTCTAGAGGTTGGAGAACGTGGGATGTATGTGGCGGTAGGAAAAGGAGATATATCTTGTGTTTATAACAGAGATACATAAATTCTGTTGTTTCATGACTGCCATGACCGTCTAGGATCAATAGTCTCTGCTCAGAGGGATGATCAGGCTTAGTCAGAGGGATAAAGATGTTCTCAAGCCATTCCACAGCTGTAGAGTCTGAAGTCCAGCCATTCTCAGTTGCTGTGAACTTCCAACCACTGTAAATATCACGTTTATGGATATCAAGAGGAAACCATTGTTGTTGAACCGATTTCCCTCGATAAATAACAAGTGGAGGAAGCGCCTGACCAGTTGCAGAGACACACTCAAGCATAGTTGTCCAAGCCCGAGACCCAGGCTGTTTTTTTCGCATTGATGAGCTTTCTGATGATCCCAGTACTAAGCCATTTGATCCTCTGCCTTCTAGGATACCAGTTTCATCCATGTTATAGCGATGATGTGGTTTGATCGCCTTGATCTCTGGAAGGGCGAGTTGTTGAAACCATTGCCTGATTACATTAGTTGAGGCCCCATTGACACGCTTAGAATCGATGGCTCTAGCTCTATGAACCTTGATTGATGGATTTCTCTTAATAAAGAACTGAATCCAGTTTCTCCCAAGTGGCTGGGTAGTGCCTCTGATGTCTAGGATTCGCTGGGCAAATTCCTTGAGTTGTTGATGTGTTGGCGGCAGCCCTAACGCCGCCTGGATACGCACCCATTCAGCTAAGTGACTTTCCTGTGCTGGAGATAGCTTCTGGAAGCTAGAGAAAGCTACATTTCTTGCCTGTGAACCCTTTAATCGAGACTGGAGGGTTGATGGTGGAATTCCAGCATCATGAGCTGCCTTTCGGACACTCTGCCCACTTGCAACTGCATTGAGAGCTTGATTGACTTCTGTTTCCGTATACTGGCCCATTAAGCGTATAAGAGTAACTATTCAAAGAATTATAATAATCGCTGTAAAAGTGGTGAAGATATTAAAGAATGTTGAAGAGGGTAAAATTCTACATGAGCGATTTATGGGTGTGCGAAATGTGGGGGTGTGCGAGAAGTGGGTGTGCGACGTTATATCAAGTCATTTAGATCTCTTTATGCTTAACAAATGGAAACTGGCTGTTTTTAAAACAATTTGTTCTAATAGACACATGCTGGCAATGCCACTCTGCGGTTCAGGTGTAGCCCGATCAAGATGGGATGTTTGTCACGGAGGTGAGCGAGGTGGCTCTTACTTGCATCGAGGCTAGAGTCAACTTCTGTTGGTAGACTGTGGCTCTGCGAGAGTGCCATTTGACACTTGCGCTGGAATGGTAACAGGCGTTGAAGGAAGGGTACGTGCGTTGCACGACTGGCGGGGAACTATAAAGCATGCATATTTGCGGCGAGGCCAGGGTCTTTCAATGGCCTCGAAGAAGCTTCAGGGCCGCTTAACGGTTGGGGCTGGTGTTGGAACATCCTGCAACAGACGGCAGAAAAACTACCGAGAGCAGAACGGCGAGACTGAGGGCCTAGTCGACGGCCGCTATGACAGCCATAATGCCACGCCAAACCAGGCTCCAAGCATCAGGAGATGGCGGATGGTTGTTAGTGGCATACGTAGGGGTGACTGTTGATAAAAGCTCAATAAGTCGTAGTATCGTAAATGTGCTTTTCTGAATACCAGAGCAATTCAACTCCGGCGGTCTCTAATTAGAATCTTTCATAGATATTAAAATTCTACAAAAGAAGCTACATGGTCGAGAATACTACGAAATCCCCACCGGATTAAAGAGCATTGACTCTGTTTCAAATCGGATTATGGGCATCAGAACGTAGAGTCATCAACACAACCGGATTTACTCCTATAGGAGAATGCGATAGCTTAGCCATATAACCAGCAAAGACCTACAACTGACCAGCTTGGATAGCATATAAAAGCGCACAGAATCTAGAACATCTTCGCCAAAAGGTCATTTGGTATCGCTCTCGTTATGTTACCGTTTCCCTTCCTTACCTTGATTTCCATTGCAAGCGTAATGCCTGGACCATGCTTACATAATCGTGACGGTGACGCCCAACTGGCTCACCCACTGCCTGCCTGCTTTAAGGCCGATCCTTCGACGGAAATAGTACAGCCTGGACGGGGGCCGAGTTATCCGTTGTTGACAGTGTGGCCTTCCCTTTGTGTCCTGTGCATTATTGGGAGTTAGTCTGAATTTGAGTAAGTGGGCTTTTCTCAACGTGAAGACCCTGGTCTGACACCTAATCCCGCAAGAGGTGAATACGTGTTGTATTTCACCTGGGGGACTAAATAGCGCTCGCAAGCTAAGCTTCAGCCCAGAAGAAAACGTTGAAGGGTTGAGCCATGAAAGTTTATGGCAACCTCAGCCTCTACACTTAAACTGAAAACCACCAAAGCCGACGAAAGTGGTTCGCTTTTCATTCACGATCGCCATTCATAAAAGATATTAACACCATCCCACGCTACAAGTTATACTGGCAAAAATGGAACACTGGAAGATTGAACCATGCACGCTCGCTGACGCTCCAGCTCTGGCTCGCAACAACATCAGTGGCTTTTGGACGGATCCAAATTGGATTCTCCTCTGGCCCAAAGATATTAAGCTCGAGTTCCTTATCGAACAGGTCACCAAGCGCATTCCCAACAACCTGATTCGCGATCGTGAGACACTGCGACACTTTAAAGCCGTCGATCCTGAATCGGGCGCCCTCGTCGGCTACGCAAGATGGGAGCTTCCTGCACGCTGCGCAACAGCACCAGAATGGGCTGATGCGCAGATCGCAGAAGTCAGTGAAGTAGAAAGGAAAGCTATCAAGGAGCGGAGTGACAGCGCGTGGTGGAAGCCTCAATTCATGGATGGCATTGATGACTGTGGACCGGAAAAGGAGCGTATCTTGGCTGAGAGAGATTACATCAGTAAGCACAAGGGCACTGATCCAACGGGCTTCCTTTTGTTCGCCTGTTTTGAAGCCTACTTACCACGAGCTAACTTGTGCATACAGGTCTCGATTACCTTGCTGTTCATCCTGAAAACAAAGGGAAGGGCATCGCCACCGCGTTGGTTAAGAGCGGCATGCGGCTAGCCGAGGCAGTAGGAGTTGATCTTTTTATTTTGGCCTTTCCCGCTGGTCTCAATGTTTACAAGAGACTCGGTTTCAAGGAAGTTCACCGAGGCTACCAGGATGATACCATGTACGGAGGTTCTGGCTACATGGTGTACCTGCTTACCTATGAGGTAAAGAAGTGAGGCAACATCACACAGGCAAAAGTAGATGGAGCCACATCTTGGGACTTACCATTCGAGGATTTTACATAGTCGTAGCAATTCTAATTGATCTTGAATTCTTAAATTGGTGATAGGAACGACATACGATGTTCTTGAAACCTCACAAAATAGGTGCAACAACTACTGAATCTTACAAAAACCAGCGGAAGTCAGGACTTCTTGGACCATCACCCAACTTCGAGGTTGGCACATCACTAGCAGTGAGATTAACACCTTGCGCACGATTCCTCCTCTTATTATCCCAAACCATGTAAAATCCCAGACAAAGCGCAAATACAACGCCTGTTCCACCAAATGAAGCCGTAGTAATCAAGGCGGGACCGTATTTCGGAGCGTCCGGTTTGCGGAAAATGTTACTGCTAACGAGGCCCATAAGGTTCGCCAATGGCACGCCAATGGAGGTCAAGAGCACACCTGTCGTTTATTGATAAGTTTAGGCACAACTTGTTAAAACGCTCATGGCATAACTCACGTTGGTTTTCATTCACGACGTTGTTGTTATACCACGTTGATAGTAAAACACTCGGCGCTGATGTACCCCAAGTCATCATGAAACAAGCATAGTAAGCCAGTTGCAACTCTTGTTCAACATCATCGATCGCCGCATAGATGATGAAGCCGATAAATGTTAGGCTGAAACCCAAAGCAATGAAAGGAAACCGTAGCCGACGCCAGTCGGAAAGAAACGCTAGTACCAAGAGCATGACAGCACCTGTGACATTCGGGGCCACGGTATATAGGTTCGTCTTGACAGTGCTATAGCCTAATCGCTGGATGATTTGAGGCATAAAGAGAGCAACACTTTGAAGGGGAACTCCAAGACATATCTCAATAGCAAGAAACCCAAACTAAGAGGATACCGGTTAGTGAGAATTTCATCGATACATAGGGAGTAGGTGTGAGGAAGAATGGCGGTCGAGAGTGATCATCGGATCATGAATACGTACTGTAGTCGGGTGCTTGAAGACTTTAGCACTTTCTCTTATGCTCATCTTCTCTCCAACAACTGAAGAACTATCGACACGGATGCGATGATGGGCAAGGGCCTTTTCCTCGGCCGTGAGGAATTTGGCTTCGGCCGCGCTTCTGGGAAGATACCAAAACGCAAATATGGAGAAGAGGATGGTTGCGCTCGCCTCAATGATGAACAGCCAACGCCAGGGGTACAGGCTGGTGTTTGTAATGTGGAAGACACCAAAAGCAAGCAGGCCCGAAAATGCGTTTGCCTATCTCGCGGTTTAGTCACTCAATGGTAAATTGGCTTCATTGTGTATCTTACAATGTTCGAGGCGGCATAGAAAACGGCCAAGCGACGAGCCAGTTCACCACGGCGGTAGAATGTGGTCAGGTAGTAGATGACCAAGGGGAAGAAAGCCGACTCCGCCATGCCCAGGAACCAACGTAACGCAAATACGCCACTAAAGTTCTGTGCTGCAGCCATGAGCATAGTCATGGTGCCAAAGGTGAACATAAGGATCGGTAAAACGACTGCAGGGCCGAACTTCTTGCCGATCAGAGCCACGAAGGGTGCAGCGGCAACAAAAGGCACAAAAAAGATGCTAACAATCAGGTTGTATTCGCCCTCCTTGAAATTGAGGTCAGAACTCAAACCATCAGTCTCCGCATTACCGATATTTCCCTTGTCCAGGGCGTTGAAGAGATCTGGTAAATTACGTTAGACCATCGTATAATTGAAAGCAAGCCGTTTAATGCCTTTGGGTTTGATATGCTTACACATTATCGCAAGAACAGGCATGAGCCTGAAGTCCAGCTTGCGACATAGACGGCGCTCTGCCGCCTTGTCGACAACATGAACCTCGTCCCCATAGTTGTCATTCTTCATATCATTTCCATCGGTGGAACCCTCCCGAACGGACCCCTCAGGGCCAGCGGCTTGAGTGATCTTGTTGTCCACTTGTTCACCCATTTTTAAGCTCGAAAATGCACCGAAGCCGACCGTTTAAATGTCACGAAGGTGGTAAATCGCAAGATTGGGGTTCGCACAATGAGGGGGGAACATGTCTCAAGAGGAGAGACAGGGAGAAGCCAGTATACATAAAGCTATGTTGCACCGCATTCATTGGCAGGCTTATCATTTGGAGAAGACAGCCAAAACAAGGTCCCAGCATACTACTTGACGACGCAGACAGGACTTCTCGGCTGCTTCATGTGACTTGCACTATGCGCCAGTCGGTCATCAATTCATGATAAGAGTGATACCGGCGGTGGGTCAAACCCATGCTGTCTAACCATATCTTGTTCCTGATGGGAGGAGAATCAGTACCCCAAGTTGATCAACATGACAAGTACCCTTCTAGGCTAAGGCCGGTTTGCCGTCTACATGGAAATGACCAGCCTCAAATAATGGTCGCATACTATTTCGAATGTCACACCGCATGGAAGGAACGGCTAAACGGATCCAAGCTACCTATACTTAAAATCTATCGTAATCCATAGACAACATTTCTGTAAGCCTCGTTTGATTTCCCCCGCGATTAGCTAACGGAAGCCTACTGTGTAAATACTGGCAGTATCGGCTACCAGGCGAAGTTTCCCTCCTACAAGCATTGCCAATCCGGCACTCTTACTGGATATCGCTGGCCGTGGGGGTCAGAAAAGGACCTTTGATTTAACGTTACTTGGGAAGGTCTCAGCAGTAGATTGATTGTTCCCACACCGTGTAACCGTCTCCATAATAATCCACAATAAGCTCAAAAAGATAACGATAGGCATGTATTCGATGTAGCTGAAGTGCGGGGAATCGGGATGATAGGACGATCACCACCTGGACTCTCCGCGGGAAGTGTAACAGTTCCGACAGCGGAGATCTGACCAAACCGCGTTGATGCGGTCAAAGTACTGGTCCAATAGAAAGAAGGAGCACTTTAGGGCAAACATCCATAGACCCTACTTCTAAGAGACATCATAGGTTGCTACTAAGTCGTTGACGCTTTGGTTGCCTTCAACCTACAGAGTAAGTATCAGATTCGATACACTAAACAAACACTCGTTCTTTACTTTTCTCCCACAGCTCATATCAAAGCAAAATGTCTTCTACCAAGACCCCTGTCCTCACCGACAAGGCCCCCAAGCCCCTTCCAGGCATCTACAGTCAAGCCATCATTGCCAATGGCATGGTATTCTGTTCCGGCGCCGTCCCAATGGACCCGGAGACCATGCAGATTATCGACGGTGATGTACAAGCTCACACCGTATGTCATGGGCGCTCAATGCATTTTGGACTGGCATACACTAAACTAGACTACAGCATCAATGTATCAAGAACTTGACGGCGGTCCTAGAGGGTGCCGGTACTACAATCGATAAGGTCGTCAAGGTGAACGTGTTCCTCTCAAACATGGACGACTTCGCTGCCATGAATGAAATTTATTGCCAATACTGGGGCGATATCAAGCCATCCAGAACGTAAGCTACTCATCCCTAAATTGAGATAGGAGACTTTTTGTTAACGGACGTGGCCAGTTGCGTTGCGGTTAAGACGTTGCCGCTCAATGTAGATGTAGAGATCGAGTGCATAGCTGTTTTGTGATTTGGGCTTAGTTGAGAGATGTTAAAATTACACAGACCTCACTTTCAAATTAAAATAACAGACAGTTCACGTCCATGCACATGTTATTGCTCGACTACCTTGGGCTTTATCTGTTAAGCCGTCATTATAGCTGATTCCGTTACCCGTAGTCTGAGAAATAGCCCAAGCCAACAACATGTGAACACCGCTGGCAATTTGGATTGGAAATACAGTGCTTTAGAATCCTCGTTAAGAAAAGTACTACATCCCGCCCTGGGTGATGTAAAGGCCCCTTAATATATGTATCGATCTGCATCTAATCTACTTCCATACGCTTATCTAATTTAAACTCCTCTGCGTCTACAATGACGCGACCAGTTTATCACAGAACAGCGTGATAGCTCTTCGGCCATCCTCTAGTGCCTCATCCATGGCAATGAAAGGGTGCGGTTGGCCTTTCATAACATGAAAATCAACCGCCACTCCCGCATTTTTCAGCTTCTCCCCAAGTGCCTCACCCTCGCTCCGCAACACGTCGAGTTCGCCCATAACAATGACTGCTGGAGGAAGCTTTGACCAGTCGCCTTTCCATAAGAGCGGGCTGGCCTCGGGATGTGACCAATCTTCGCGTTGCGGCAGGTAATGATACCGATACCACATCATCTTTTCAGCAGGCAGGGCGGGAGTAAACTCGTTCTCTTTCCACGATGCGTGCTCGGGTTTAGACGACTCAACTACAGCAGTATTATCTGCCACAGGTACCGACAGCAGTTGAACAGCTATGGGCGGAATATCATTACGAGTTGTCGCTCGCTGGCACAGAACCAAGGTGAGGTTTCCGCCAGCCGATGATCCGCTGAGGGCAATCCGTGAAGTATCAAGACCTAGCTTTTCGGCCCCGGTTGAGATTGCCCAGAGAAGAGATTCCCAGCAATCGTCAACGGCGGCCGGAAAAGGGTCCTCTGGTGCGAGCCTTAGAAGGACGTTAACTATGACCCATATCTCACGACATCTAAGCGCAAGCCCCAAACTCACCGGTAGTCCACACAAATGGTTACACATTTGGCCCGATTGGACAGGTTTGTTGCAATGACATTCTCAGTATCAATGTTCCCCAAGACCCATCCTCCTCCATGGAACCAGATACATAAGGGCCATCCTTTCTCGGGTTTGTCTCCTAAAGGCGTGAAAGCGCGGACCAAGATGTCCGGTCCGCTCGTCTCCTTTCTAGGGATCTGAAAGTCTTGCGAGCTCGCAACGTCAAGCTTGGGCCCGGCTCCAGGGATGAGGGTTCCACTGGCACGCGAAGCCGAGATGGGTTGGTGATGAACCACCTGTTTGTCGAAAACGTGTTTATTGTAGAAAGCCTTGTATTCCGGGTGAATACGATCTAAAACTGATTCATGTAGGGGATACGGCGGTTCAGGCATGATTGGTTAATATTTGTAAGATGGCCAATGTCGATAAGTTAAAAAGTCCGATTGGATTGCTTTCTCAAGCTCTGGTACCAAGTAGCTTACAGGTGCTTTCAGCCGCTCTTGATATTTGAGATCACACGTTGTGATGATTACGCTCGCCCGGCTGCAGACGGGCCCCTCTTGGTGTTCCGATCTCCGGTAAACGGATGGTCCAGTCTGCCGATAACGTTCCCTCGGACATGCTACGTAACCTGACCCCCACTTATGGATTGCAGTGACGCACGTATCAGAGCAACCCCTCAAATGCGAAGTCCTATCTCAGCGGATAATCGGGAGATGTATTATACACTGTATGCGGCATTGCATCACATCAGGACCAAGGTTTACCTACACATTTTCCCCGCACTTTGCCGTCAATTGTTTTCCGGCCACCATCTGAACACTTTAAATACAGCTCATCAGACTTGCCGAGACGCCATATGTGCATTCTCGCAACTGTTGCAGGATCAACCTGGTAGTGTTTAACGTTAAAAGATTGGTCAATATATCCCATCGAGTGGCTGGATATAACTTTTGCCAAGGGCGGAATAAGGACTCTTAGGTTCAGTAGTCTTATCAAATCGTATGTTGATGTATATCGTGCTCCTTACTCTCTTCAGATTGTGCGTGTTTTAGAAGTATGTATATTTCCATTTGATGCAGCATAATACTGTACAACAATAGAGAATACATTGGTAAATTACGTTTGCTCACATAACGTCCCGCACCCACATTTGGGCACCCCCCACATTTGGGCACCCCAAAAATCGCTCAACACCATGACTACCCCTCAACTTCAATTATTTACCACTTTTTCAACTTTTCACTAATTACAATCCAACTTCATATGCTTATTATTTATACCTATATGCGCCAATATACCGAAGATGACTTGCTCAAGGCACTTGAGGCTGTTACCAGCGGCTGCAGTATAAAAAAAGCAGCTCATGATAAGGGCATACCACGAACTACACTACAAAACAGAATAAGAGGTCACCAAACAAGAGGTGTTGCTTTCGCTGGGTTACAGAGGCTATCACCAACCCAGGAAAGTCACTTGGCTGAATGGATTCGAATACAAGCTGCCCTAGGCCTTCCACCAACCCATCAACAGCTCAAGGATTTTGCTGAGAGGATTCTACAGACACGTAGAGACTTCCAGCCTCTCGGAAGAAACTGGGTTCAATCATTTATCAAGAGAAATCCATCAATCAAGGTTCAGAGAAGCAGAGCAATTGATTCCCAGCGTGTCAATGGTGCCTCAACTAATGTAATCAGGGAATGGTTTAAGCATCTCGCTCTACCTGAGATACAGGCAATCAAAGCAAGCAATCGATACAATATGGATGAAACAGGTATTCTAGAAGGCAGAGGATCAAATGGATTAGTTCTTGGATCATCAGAAACTCGCTCTATTCGAAAGAAACAGCCTGGGTCTCGGGCTTGGACATCTCTGATTGAGTGTATCTCTGCAACTGGCAAGGCACTGCCTCCACTTGTGATATATAAGGGGAAGACTGTTCAACAGCAGTGGTTTCCTCTCGATTTAACTGAATATGATGGCTGGAAGTTTACAGCAACAGAAAATGGCTGGACGTCGGATTCTACTGCTGTTGAATGGCTACAGAAGGTCTTCATACCATTGACCCAACCCCAAGACCCTAAAGAGTCTAGATTACTCATTCTTGATGGGCATGGTAGCCATGAAACAACAGAATTCATGTATATCTGCTTTAAGAATAAGATACTCTTACTCTTCCTACCGCCACATACATCCCACGTTCTTCAGCCGCTTGATCAGTCAGTATTTGGGCCGCTGAAAGCCATATATAAGAAAGAGCTTCTATACCTGGATCAATGGGACGCTAGCACTGTTATAGGCAAGAGAAACTTTCTCCTCTGCTATGGAAAAGCACGCCATATAGCATTCACAAGCAAGAACATCATCAGCGGTTGGAAATATACAGGTCTATGGCCTGTAAGCATAGCCAAACCGCCGATGAGCCCTCTTCTACTTGGGAACCCATCAACACCAGCTAGACAGACCGATCAGCCTTACAAGGGACTGTCTAATGCTATAGCAGGCGAAAAATGGGCATCAGAGACATCAGCAGTATGCTGGTCAACGCCAACGAAGCGGTCTGAGCTACAGGATCAATTCAACTTATACAACAAGGTTGGGCATGATCGAAATACTCAACGACTGCTCTTTCGCAAGGTTCAAAAGGGATTTGATGAACAGAGCTATAAACTGGCTGTAGCTCAGCGAAAGATTGAGGCGCTGGAAGCAGAAGTTGAGGCATCTAGGGCTAGGAAGCGGAAGAAGGTCACAACGAGCCCAAATTCGAAGTTTGCCAACATTGAAGCTATTCGGAAGGCTCAAATTGAAGCGGGCGAAATTGAGGATAGCTCAGATGAATCCAGCAAGTCTGATTTACCTACTCTTGAGGGAAATAGTATTGTTGTGGCAATAGATTAAATATAATCAATGGCTGAAGTTGATGTATAGTGAAATGCATCATGATTTTTGGGGTGCCCAAATGTGGGGGGTGCGTGGGTGCGGGACGTTACCGTCTGGAGTACCTATCGTGGGAAAGTGTCTATTAAAGTGCAATTTCTGGCCTTGGCAAAATGATGTACAGCCGCACTCAACGAGATGTGCGTGAAATTCTGCTTGTGTGTCGGTTTAGTCTTGCCGTGGTCGAAAAGATAACTGGTTAGTGTCCAGGAGCTCGTTTTTGGCAAAGGGGTTGGTGGTTTAGCCTACTGCAAGCCTAAATATGCCACCATTCGAAACTCAGCAATTCAGCATCAAGTGCGCTGATCTCCCAGAGAAAACGATGGCCAGAACCTCCTGTAGCATATCATTAAAAAGAATGCCATTTCAGCCCCTAATGCACTGGTCAACGCTTCGGGGATGATTACAGGTGATGGCTTGGTGATTTAGTTTAAGTTCTAACACGGGCGCCGTGGATGGAGACGAATGGGGCTGTGAAACGGTGTCACTTTAAAGCCCTCGGTGATGTTGGCTTTAATATATCTGGAATTCACCTGATCAAGCTGAGCCGGCTTTTGAGGAGAGTCATGAATTCACGAGTTACCGGCTGAACCTAATTTACAACGTGTTCAAGCGTTCTGCTTCCCATTTAATTTTCGCTGAAAGTGCAGCAGTTCATCCCGGCTTCAGATGCAATACTCTACTATAGTTTCATGACTCGCTTGGCAACGCAAAAAAAACTGCCTAAACTGGAGAGAATAGTGGAACTAGGCACAGTCAAATGTATAAAGCCTGGCTTGGCATCGTCTGAACGTCGGCTGCCACTTCAATTAGGCTCTTGTTGAGTTGCCTGAAAATTAAAGACTTCTCTTGGCTGCCAACTCATGGTCTACTGTCAAAGCTGGGAAAATAAGTAATTGGTTTTTTTTTTTGCCTGTTGGGTTAGTTGGCCAGATGTTTTGCCCAAACGAAACCAATTTGGAAAGTCCACCGGCTTCAAGCCTAGGATCGCCTAGAGAGTCGCCGTCATGAGCTTTAGACTCCTCTGGAAATATAGATGCATATAAATGTCAACGTTGTCCTCCACTAACCTTTGAATTCCAATTCACAAACGCTTCAGACTTCAACATCCGGAAAAGAACGTTTATCCACATACACCAGTACACAGCACAGTCAATCATCATGGTTTCTGCTCTCAAGCTGATTTCTACGATGTAAGCCATCATGATAAGCTTCTTGACGAATCATGGTCTTCTAACAGATACATCAGCGCGGTTCTCGCAGCAACCGCGGCGGCTCAAGACAAGAAATGCTACTGTGCTAGGCAGGGAGAGGGCTCCCTTGAGTCTCGGGTAGACGTTGGGATGACCACCGAGGCTTGTCACGACCAGGGATATATGAGTGAGTCTCTGTTTACCCTGCTCGAATACGGACGATGCTAACAATACACTAACAGGAGGCAATGCTGTACGTTGAGTGATGTTTAACCCTTTTAGTGTTTTTTCAGCTTACAATTGATAGTGCATTGTCCGCGCCGACAAAACCCGGGAAGACGATTTCATGAGAGATTGCCTGGAAATCCGTGGTTTGCAATCGACTGTATGCAAATGGTAAAAGATGTATGGCCAAGCCCCGTAGGAGGGAGGATCGGTCTCCATTGATGGATACTGTTCATTAGCTGTTGCGAGTGTAGACGTGCAGGTGATAACAGCCCTTCAATTACACGTCCTCTACGCAGCCTTCCATATGGTTAGATCTTGAATTGCAAGCTTGTATTACCCGCTAGTTGTGCGCTTCGCCATTCTGTGCCACCGAGGTGAAAACAAGACCTCCATTTATGGTCATCGAATAGACTCTTTTCTTTGTAGTCACGAATCCATCGCCACAAAGAACATGCCGAAGGTGAAAGTTGTGCGTCAATTGAGCTGGGTTACCAGAGCTATGCCGTCCAAAACTCCATTCCCACCATAGTCCCGTGCGTACAATTGGTTTCAATCATGGAATCGCTCTTCATTGTCCCTTTTTATTAACCCAACTCTTAGTCCACATCAACACCACGCTTCCGCAGGTCGGCCTTGGCCTCGTCAATCTCAGCCATAAGCTCCTTGTGCGCTTCGGGCACATCGTTGAATGTCATGACATTGTATCCGAGTCGAGCGAGAAGGTATGCGCCGAAAGACACAAGGACCCAGAAGGGAAGCTACGCGCAGCTGAAGTTAGCAATGTGGCCGTAAGGGTGGGTAGGTGCAGCACGGCGGCTGTCGCATGGAAATTCGGCAGAGGCAGGCGGGAACATACGACGGGAATGATCTGCTCCTGAACCTTCGCGGGGGCAGGAATGAGCTGGAGATAGAGTGCAAGGTACAACTGGGTTAATCGTTAGTCAGTAAGGACTCTGAGGGGGAAGTGGGATGCAGGGAGGAGGGGTCGTACAGAGCTCACGAGGAGCGCCAGGGAGACAGTCTGCTGAGCACGAGTCATTTTTCCTTCGGTTGATGCAGTGCACAGGTATCTGAGAGGATATCGGTGGTCAATTTCGCAGTATAAAGCGTGTGTGGTAAAGGAGTGACTGGGAGCTGGAGTTTGTCGCGATCCTGGAAGCGATCGGTTTGCTGGCAATTGTGAAAAGGAGTCGCGAAACTGTCCAAAAGTTGTAGTGGAGCTGGAATGACTAAGCGAAGCTAGGGGTCTTGAGGTGGCCGTGCTTTCCCGCAGTTTACGCGCTGTTAGACCCACCAATGACGCTTCACGGCCCGCTTAATTCTTTCACTGCTGAGGTACGCAACTGGTGCGGTACTCTGCGAAGTCTGAGTAAAGCTAACATTCCACTGAGGCACCTCGTGTCCCCTGCAAGGTTGCGTTATCGTTGAGTATGCTACACAACGGACAGCCCCGGAGGCAAAACCTTTAAGACGCCCCATCATTCGGAAAGGCGATGGCGTGCCGGATATCTTTGGAATTTCACCTTGAATAAAAATGCAAGAATAATGGCGGGAAAGCTGCGGAATAGCGGCGGGGGAGATGCGGCGGATTTGCGGCGGATTTGCTGAAGCGAAAAGGCTAACGTACATGATAAGCGAGTGAGACAGACAAGCGAGTGAGACAGTAAACCGCGACCGTCGCACCTTGACGCGACCGGCACCTTTTCCTCTACAATAAATCATGGAATCAGCTAGTATTGAAAGAAGGTTACAAATTGCCCTTCAAGCAATGAGAAATGACCCAAAACTTAGTGCTCGGGCCGCAGGTGCACTCTATACAGTCAGTCACGCAACATTAAGCCGGCGACTAAAGGGAATAGTCTCACGACGCGACAGCATGCCTAATTCACGGAATTTATCAGATTTAGAAGAGAAGACAATAGTTGAGTATATTCTCGACCTAGATGCGCGATCATTTCCTCCCCGGCTGAGTGGTGTGGAAGAAATGGCCAATCGACTTCTCGCAGAGCGCGACGCGCCTCCAGTTGGGAAGCGCTGGGCTTCTAATTTCGTCAAGCGACAACCACAGCTTAGGACGCGTTTCTTTCGCAAGTATGACTATAAGAGAGCTCAATGCGAAGATCCAGAGGTGATTCGTGGCTGGTTTTCGCTTGTGAAGAATACAATTGCGAAGTATGGTATTGCTGATGCTGATATCTACAACTTTGATAAGACCGGCTTTATGATGGGCGTTATTGCTTCTGGAATGGTTGTTACAAGTGCTGAAAGGCGTTCAAATACGAAGATGACACAGCCTGGCAATAGGGAATGGGTTACAGTTATCCAGGCTATTAATTCCCAAGGGGAGAGCATCCCGCCATACATCATCGTTGCAGGCCAGTATCACCTCTCAAGCTGGTATACAGAAACCTCTCTTCCGGGCGATTGGGCTATTGCAACGTCTGAAAATGGATGGACAACAAACGAGAGAGGTATTGACTGGATCAGACACTTCGACATTTATACAAAACCACGTACGTCTGGGAAATATCGCCTCCTCGTTGTTGATGGTCATGAAAGTCACCACTCCGCAGCCTTCGAGCTCTTTTGTCAAGAAAACAACATTATTACACTGTGCATGCCGGCTCACTCGTCTCATCTACTTCAACCCTTAGATGTTGGTTGTTTTCAGCCGTTAAAGAATGCCTACGGTCGGCAAATTGAGAATAAGATGCGGCGAGGCACAACCCATATCTCGAAGGAAGATTTCTTTGCAGCATTTCACGAAGCTTTTAAGCAGTCTTTTACGAGGAAAAATATCCAGGGAGGTTTCCGAGGAGCTGGACTTGTCCCTTTGAATGCAGAAAGTGTTCTCTCAAAGCTGGATGTAAAGTTCCGAACGCCAACGCCTGAGGAGGGGGTCCCTCAGACACCAGACCCTTGGATCTCTAGGACGCCGAGCAACCCAAGCGAAGCAAGATCACAGTCTACTTTTATTAAGAGTCGAATCTCACGCCACCGAAGCAGCTCTCCAGCATCAATTTATAGTGCTGTGAGTAAGCTAGCCAGAGGGACAGAAGGACTAGGGCATCGGGTAGCATTACTAGAGTCAGAGGTTCAAATCCTTCGAGAGGAGAATGCAATATTAAGTCGGCGTCGAAGGGCTAAGAAAACACGTCTACAGAAAGGAGGAAGTCTTACTATATCTACTGGAGAGGATATACAGTCGCAAAGAGAGGCAGACACGCAACTACAAGAGGAAACGCGACGGAGTAGTGGTCGCAAAGTGAGGTCTGAGACGACTCATCGTCGGTGTGGCGTATGCGGGAATACAGGCCACAACGCGAGAACATGTCAATTTATTGAGGAAACATCCGAAGAACAGGAATCCGAGTAGTATTAATCAATCTAAGATTTCTTGTTATAGATTTCGATATTATTGTCGCGAAGGTCTGGTTTACTGTCTCACTCGCTTGTCTGTCTCACTCGCTTATCATGTACGTTATTGCAACTTACCAAAGCTTCAGTTCAGTGGCCTGTGCAAACTGGGTAAACAAATGCGCAACTCAACTACCAACCAAGTGTACCCTAGATTGTGACAGACCTCAGATCTACAACCTATAAAATGTATCCGTTATTTCACGCAGTAACTATTATCATGTTGGATAGCTCGAGCTTTTATCTTCTATATTACAAAGCAGTCGAGTTTCTTCAGTATTCTTATTTCATCTCCTCGACATAATCTTCTCGCTATCAATTTCTCAACGGGCCTTCTGTCAAAAACCAGCATCATGTCATCTTCTCTCGAATCACTCTCTGTTGGTTTTTCTTTTACGAAAACAGTCCATCGAACTCCTTACCCTGCCATCTCGCCTTTTAGGGACGAGCTTTCGCAGACTGGAAAGACAGTCCTCATTACAGGTGGCCATACAGGCATTGGATTCGCTATCGCGAGAGCTTTTGCGAAGGCTGACGCAAGAAGAATCATCATTGTCGCACGTCGCTCCAGCGTCGTCAATTCCGCTGCCTCACTCCTTGGGACGGAGTTTCCAAAGGTGCAAGCAATAGGGCGTGGGTGTGATGTGTCCGACATAGCATCCGCCGATGCTCTGTAGCAGAGCCTATCCAAGGAAGATATCTTTGTGGATGTTCTTGTGTTAAATGCAGCGAAGTTGTCGACGCAACCCATTCTTGAGTCAGGCAGAGATGCGGTCTGGAGCGAGTATTTGCTGAACACACGGACAACTCTGGACTTCACTGAACGACTCTACAGACAGGCAAACTCCAAAGGTCGCCGGAAGGTATGATTATTGATTAAGAATGACATATCCCGGTCTCACTAAGTAGCAGGCTGTCGTCAACTTGAGTTCAATGTCCATCCACGACACCAAATTGACTGGAAACCAACCCAGTTACGGAGCAAGCAAAAGTGCAGGCACCATGCTACTACAGCGAATTGCCAAGGATGTGTTGCCTGATGACTTGCAAATCCTTAGCTACCACCCAGGTGGCGTTTACACGGAGCTGATGGAAAAGGCTGGCGCCAGCCGGGATGCCTACCCGTGGGACCATGGTAAGATACCCATTTGCTCAAGTCGGAGGCGGTTGGACGAGGTTTGACGACGATATAGAGGATTTACCTGGACAGTTTGCTGTCTGGGCAGCGTCAGACGAAGCGAAATTCCTTCATGGCAGATTTGTGTGGGCAAAGTGGGATGTGGCCGAGTTACGTGAAGGACCTATTCGGGAACGTCTGGATAACGATCCGGATTTTCTCACAGTCGGCGTCATTGGCCTTTAGAGCTTGAAAAAGTCGTGAGGTTAAAGTCTTTTAGAGCTACTTCCTCCGGAAGTCTCGAAAAAATAGACGAAGCAGCAAAATCAACGATACATATGACACAGGAGGGAGGGCACCAGTCCTGTGAGATCTTGCATAGCACAATCCTTAGAGCAAATGTGACTTGATGCAGAGCGGAATCAATTCAGTCAGGCTGTGCTCCAGCAAGAGGCTTCCACTCATTATATATCTCAATACACCAAAACTTCAGCGGTCATATTTCTAGACAAGGTTGCTAAACCATTTGATTGCCCTCTCACTTTAGTTCAAGTTTTAATTTACATGGAAGTCGTGTTGTGGGATGTCAACAAGCAGGCCAGCAGCAGCTGGACACCAAAACACAACCACACCCACAAATTTCTTCAGTGGCCTCTTAATAGACGGTTCCGCGTTCTTCAAGAGATCTCAAGGCGAGCTCTTTAGAAACGGCACTCGGTATGGTCAGAAGGGATAAAAGCTCCCGGGGGGAACGACAGGAGACTTGGGAGAATTTCCTTCCTACTCTTAAGATAGCGTCTTAGTGTTAGGAGTAATAGTAAATATCCTTAATCAAAATGTGTTTCAATATGCCCAGAATTAGTATAGTTTGAGTATCCCGTGAGTTTGGCGACTTGTCTATGAGGAACCATGATATCCAACAGACTTACAAACACATTTCTTGTCAATATGCAGGAAAGAACTGTTACAAGCAGGCCAGCGCAATCATCTGCGCCATAAATTGTATCTCCAGTAATGACAGCACGTTTTAGTTATCCTCCCTTCTGTATCCTGTAGTCACATAACCATACGTTGCTTCACCGGTCGTAGCATAAACGAGCCATTTTACATTTCATCCTGGCTAAGCAACCTACCCAAGTGCTGCCAGGACCTCCTTCATCCCTCCATTTGCACTAATACATGCACCGTTAACCCATCTCGACTCTTCGCTTGCTAAAAAGCCGACAATAAAAGCGATGTCTTCTGGGGTTCCGATGCGTTTAGCAGCTGTAGCATCGGCGATTTTTGCGCATAGATATTCTTCCGGGACAGACGCTTTTGCTCCCTCGAAGGCATCTGTCGCGGTTGTTCCAACAGAAACACTGTTGAAGGTGGCACCCGTAGACATAGCAAACTCTCTGGCGAATGATCGAACGATGCTTTCGAGAGCGGCCTTGGTGGCCCCATAAACGAAGGTAGGAGAAGGATTTCCCATCTTGGCCGCAGCACTCGAAATATAAATAGCTCGGCCGCCACCTTGGTGAGGGAAGTGCGGCAAGGTCTCTGTCGTAATTGCCATGTGTGCATAAACATTCCCCTGCATGAGCTTTGAAAAATGGTCGACGGTTGTCTCGCTGATAGGTCGATAGCACTCCATATCAGTCACGACGGCATTGTTGACAAGGATGTCAATAGTTTTTGTGCCAAGCCCTTTCAAGGTTTTCTTAACGACGTCCCGGCCAAATTCAGGGTCAAGGAGATTTGCCTGAATCGCGACAGCGAGACTCACTCCGTGGCGGCGGCACTCGTCCAAGGTGACTTGAGCCGCATCGCTGTCTGTAGCATATGTGATTGCTAGCTTCTTGAGCCCTTTTCGGGCAAAGTAAACAGCAATTCCCCGACCTATTCCCCGTGACCCGCCAGTAATTATAGCGGTCTTGCCACGAAGGGACCATGGTTGGCTAGAAGAAGAAATAGACATGATAGTACCGGATACAGTGTGAAGTGGCATTTAGGTGATAATAGAAGCTGGAACGGAAAATTACCAAACGACTTTTACACGGCCACATCGTTTATATGTCTCTATCCCCACGTTGATTATCGTAGGGCAACCTCCCAGCGGGCGTGAGGCGGATGTGTGGTGGACTTGAGGCGGAGATGCGGATTCTTTTTTTTTTTTTTTTTTTTTTTTTTTAGCACAGAGCCGCCTTAACGCAAGAGTAAAGAAGTATGTACCAGGATAGACTCATGTGTTCAACTAATTAGAGTATATGGAATCAAAACCCCGGGTTAGAGTCACACCTGAGTGAGAAAAGTGTGACGCTTGGATATTAAATGTCTGAAGTGAATAAATCCCCAACACAAGAAAGAAGAGGAAAGAAGATTGAAAAACGCGTCATACACAATTTCTCAGATTTTTACAACTCCCAAATGCTCACTTTCTAGCGATCGACACAGGTCTACGGGCAGCATGACTTTTCGTAGAGTGCTTAGCACCAGTGTGGTCCTTGTTTGAAGTATTGGTCGGGCTGTTGGCGCCTGCCTTACCCTGTAACTCAATGGCATCAACGATGTAGTTTGCGCTCAAAAAGTTCAGGTCACCTGAGCCAAAAACACCAAGAGTGAGGGTGTTTGCGCCCTCCTTCAAGGCGGTGGCGGGTACGGTCCAGTTGTAAACTTCTCCAAAACCACGGTATGCGCCTCGAGTCACACCGCGAGAGTCAATCAAGGTCTACAGTATCCTCGTTAGTACAAGGCCACTTCTTACAATATCAGGGTCAACTTACCGGAGCACCGGGATCTTTCGCCTCCCAGTCATTGATAGTTGCCTTTGGTCGTCCACCCTTGAAAGACAACGTCGTACCTACGCGTAAAACGACACCTTCAAGCTGGTCGGCAGCAAGATTGAAGTTAACAGTGGCAACACCTCCCTCCTTGGCAAACAGGGCCATGGGGAAGTCCTTGGCCTCAGATTTGCCGACAGTGTAAGTTCCTCCCCAGCTTGCCATGCGGACATCTGAGGGGTGCATCCGTTCGATCTTATCGCCGTTCTTCAGCTCGAATGGCTGTCCATCGAACTCACCAATGCGCCAAATAACAGATGGCTTCTGTTCGGTGGATGCGATGTTCTTGGTAACCTTTTGGCCCTTCGCGACCGTGACGGTTTCCTGCGCTATCGGGAACTCATTGCGGTAAAGCTTCATGGTATAGGTTCCGGGCTTCATCAAGGGGGACGTGAACTTCCCAGAGGATGCCTTGGTCCAGTACTGCGCGTCGCTGTTGAACCAGTGGACGACCGCTTCCGATTTCTCTGCGACACCAGTGGCCGTGCCGGAAACGCTGCCGCGATCGCTGTCTGCGACATACCCTGTGATGTCGAGGGAGCTAAAGAAGCTGGTGTCGAGCTCGCCTGACGGCTGTTCACCGGTTCTATTTGCACGTTAGCAGACAAAACGTGAATCAAGAGGGGGAAAAGGATGTCGTACGTGAACTTCATTGCGTAGGGGCCCAGAAGGCCGAAGCGCCACGGCTCAGTCCTGACATGACCACTATTCATGTACCAGGTCAACTCCTGCTCAGCAGTGCTCTGCGAGTTGATGTCTCTCATGAACGGACCGCCAGCAGAGTGCTCGTATGCGTTACCAGGCATAATCATCCATACACCGACACCCTACACAAAATCAGCTACCTTCATCCCAGTCAGTAATGAGCTGCGACTTACACTGCCATTCACACCATGGACTTTGTCATCGATGAATCGATCCGAGGTGTACCTTTTGCGTTTGTTTTAACGATGATCACTTTCAGGATGGTGGAACCGCTCTTACATCTTGCACCTTGTTGTCTTATCTGCGCAAACGAAGGTGTCCTTTCCTTCGAAAGCGGTGCATCCGTCGACGTTGGCAACATCGCCATGCCATCCTGTCGGAACTTCCGAACGCTTCAGACGGGCAAGCCAACGCAGTTCGCCGGGGGCTATCTCGCCTGTAATGTGTGTTCCCATATAGATGGTCGGCTCGTTCGGTTTGGCGATGAAGTAGTGCGTTAGGGGTTGGGAGCTAGCCTGGACGGTGATCTTGACAAAACCATTGACGGTGTCGGCCGTGACAGTTGACTGCCCGAGGCCGGAGTTGATTTGCGACATCTTGGATGGCTCTTGGTACTCGACGCCATTGTAGACGAGACTGGTGATGTCTCCAGTTGCTCTGCAGGACTTGTTAACAGAGATTCGATGACTGGATCTTCCTGGCCGTTCCTACTTGCTGACTTCAAACACAAGTCCACCGTTGGTGTCGACTTTGAAAGATTTGTCTGTCGTCGTGAGGCCGAAGGCAGCATTGGCTGTACCCAAGAGGGAAGCCAAGCCGGCGACGTAGTTGATGTAATGCATGCTAACGTCAAATTGATTCGATCCGATCAAACTCCAGAAGCTTGATCACTTAGAGTCAATAGGAACACCTTGGCAGAAACCGCACTTGTCATATCTTGGCTGATCTGATCCTACATACTTATCTGTCTAAGCAACCTAGACTCTTCGCCATTAGGCCCCGCCAGCCTAAAGTGCACTCTATTAAATGACCTCCCGAATGCTTGTTTCGGAAATAGAGGCTGGAATGTCCCGCAGGACTTTCTTTCCCATTACTTCCGTACTGAAAGCTTTCAAGAGGGGATTTTAATTTCGCTTCAATATATGAAACCATATGCTTACATGAGAATGATCTCGAGGGTTGGCCAGCGGCCCGTGAGTTGAGTTCGAGCTAGAGTCAAACTTTGTGTCTACTTGCTACGTTTTGGGATGGTGCAAAACCTCACGGCTAATTCGGCAACCCAATCCATATACGCAACGAAAGTCACCGCCAAATAACTCGAAAGCATAACATGGTAATTCCAAGCAGACAGGCGTAATTTTGTTTCGATGCAAGTGCGTACGATCACGCTTGGACAGAGTAGGCTGTCCCGATCGTGCTTAAGGGAACCTGTAACCTCAGTCTCGATAAAGTCTCGCTCCCGTCAATATTGATCAACTCTGTTTCTTGGTTAGATTCTGATTCTGACGGGAATTGATAAATGAGACAGTACTGGCCAAAAATGACGTTGTCGGGAGAACATGAATGCCCACTCTATCCTGTGTTGCGAATCAAACCCAGGAGTTATCCGGATGAGACCAGCTGTTGCGTGTTACGCAAACCTACTAATACCACCACAATTGAGAGTGAGGTAGAAAATGAGTACCTCCCTTCAACCCAAGAACGTGCTACTGTATTACTGTAAGTAGTAAGGGGCTTTGCTTTGCATTGCCACGTGGGTTCCGGTTTGTCGGAGAATGACGAGCACCACGAAGCGCACAGGCATTGCAGTTAGTGAGGTTACCAGACGACAGGTTCTGATTCAGTTTGGTAGCGTTGCGGGCCGAAGCTCATGGTCCCCAGGTATGGGTACAGTGTAAGATTAGCAACATCGAGTCAAGTGCTCGAATACGAAGAATCGTGCTATAGTCGCCGTCTAGCAATAGGTCTTCAGTGGACCGCTAGGGCCTGATGCACCCTATCGTCATTGGAGAAATCGTGGAACGGCATTAACAGTCTATGGTAATGAGGACCGCCATCTTGTACACTGACTTCCAGGTTCGTTGAACATCTTAAGAGGTTAAAGAAAAAGAAATGGAATTTAGCTGTCGGATCTACTTGTGCGCCTAATGTAGTACTCGTTGTGTCACGAATCAAATTGAAATTGTAATGCAATATGTTGAACGACTCGCAGGAGCGTCGGACATTGCTGGACAAGAAATTAATTACTCTGTGCTAGGAGGAAGCAGGAATTGGAGGAAATATAGTGCTTCTACAGCGACAACCCATGGCAATTTGGAGCAAGGTCCCGCTGAAGAACCGTTCCACCCCGTTTAATAGGGAAAGCTGACACATTGCGCGCGGCGCTCAAAGCCACGTTGCAGTTGGACAATTCAGGACGGCTGTAACACGGCAGGGTTGATTAATTCATAGAATCATGTTCGCTGGCGCTCAAGCCTTTTACTTCTTAGGATCTGCTTAACCATGAGCTTCTCATGTATGGCCGATACCTGGGGGTCTGACAATCATTGTAAATGACCTTGAAGGTTGTTATGGATGCCAAAACATCCCCTGCCAAGAGCTGCCCCCTGATTCTTCAAACCTTCGTAGATATGCTGGTAATCGAAAAGTCTATCTCATTCCTTTGCTGCGAACACGAGGCAATCGCCGACGAATAACGTCCTGTGCTTGTTGATTTGTTTTTGATGACGATAATTGCTTTTCAGCCAGCAAAGCTTAAGCTTCCAGTGTTTCCACTCCTGTTGATAGTGTCCTCAAATTCTCTTTTATCATACTTTGCTAGTTGCCTTTCGTCCTGAAGTTTATTATTGTTCCCAATCTAGCTCTAATGAAGGCTGCGTAAGTTACCCTAGCTTGGCTTTGATTGAGTCACCATGCGAATTTACCGAGTCTTTTTCAATCTCTTGTAATGAAAAGAAAAGAAGCGACATTTACTAGGTACCTCGGTCTCATGGAAGAGGAAGATCCTAACTCAGTCACACACGTCTGCGACCGGGCAGTGATTGTATCTGATTGATAGACAGAATCAACGCTTTTGACCGCAAGATCCATGCTGTAATGGCTACCTACTCAAAGTGACAACCCCGGCGGCGGTAAATAGTGACACAACAGCGCTGTTCCATGTTGTCGCTAAGGGGCATGGGGTTTTAAGGTTAATCATTCAGGGGCCTCAACTCTCCATAAAATAGTTGGAAGGCGCTCAAATAATCGATGGCTATTTTTGCGTGACTTGATTTTGATACAGCTTTAACAGCAAGATGAAAGCCTCCTGACCCAAGCTAGCCAATGTTTCATTAACATGCACCGTCAATGATAAGAAAACAATGAGAGTATCGATTTGTTCTTTTCATCGAGAAGGAGCAATTGTATTGTTTCATGTTACGGAAATCCCATCTCAAACTTGAGCAATCTTGTACACAAGTTTCTCTGCACTTACGCCTCCCTTCTCTTGCAACTCAAAGCCTTTAGGGATATCTTCCAAGCCGCCGAACTCCTTCGGGGGATTTGGCTTAACATATCCCTCTTCCAGCCACTTTGGTACTACTTGCAAGTAGTTCTCCCAAAACTTCTTATCTCCAGATCTGTCTCCGTCGATGTTGTCAAAAGCTCCGTATTGAAGTGCCTTTCCGAAAACGGTGTATGCTAGAGTGCTCTCGACCTTCACGTACGAGGGGGCGTTGACCTCATCGGCCTTACGTGGGAGGATGCACATGACGTGTCCTCCCTTGGAAGAGATTGTCTGCACCACAGCCTTCGTAGTGTCAATTTCACTGATGCAGTCAAAGGCGTATTGCAGGTTGTCGTTTGCCGCCTTCTTGACTTGCTCGATCCAGTCTGCATCGCGGTAATCTATCACGATGTCGGCTCCCAGGCTCTTGAGCAAATCATGGTTCTTCTTGCTTCCTGTGGCGATAACTTGCAGACCAGCCTTCTTCGCAAGCTGAACAGCGTACAAGCCGACACTGCTCGTGCCGCCATTGATCAACACTGGAAAAGGCTCCGAGGCCGGGCTCGTTGGCGGTGGCAGTGCGAGTCGCTGGAACAAAGCCTGCACTGTTGTTGCTAGGGCCAGAGAAACGACAGCGGCCTGGGAGTCGGTAATAGAGTCCGGAACCGGAAACACCAAGCTGCTCTCGGTCACGAGATATTCAGCGAATGCACCGCGTGGAGGGTCAGTGCTGCAACCGAAGACCCAGCCAGCAACGCGTTGGCCCTCCTTGAGAGATGAGCCGTTCGGGTCGGCGACGCTACCAGCGAAGTCGCATCCAACAATTCGACCAGCTTCCTTGGCTGCAGCAGTAGACTTCCAGTCTGTCGGGTTCTGGGCGACGTAATGGACCTTGACGAGGATCTCGCCAGAACCTGGTTTGGGGACGGGAATCTAATCGCCAGTCAACAAGCAGGAAACAACACAAAGATGAACTGCATGAACCTTACCTCCTGAACCTTAGCGGTCTTGTCACCCTGGGTGACCAGTGCTTTCATAGTGGTACTCATATTGTCGGCTGTGTTGGTATGGATGTGCTTGTTTGAGTCGATGTCAAGTTTGAAGGGTCTACGGGCTTTCAAGTATAAATCTCAATTAAGTGGGGTGATGACGTTGAAGTTGTCCTCCAGTGACTCGGGTTCATGATGAAACGCTTACAAATCTCTCTCTGATCTTGGATTTCGAAGTGGTTCTGCACGGCTTGTTAGTGCGGATCAAATGTGTGGATAATTTTTAACTTTCAAATGCCGGGTCACCCCCGCTTGTCAGAGCGGCAAATCCTCCGAATCTCACTTGCATCAGTTGCTGCGAACGTCTTATAAATCCAAGACAGTGACTAAGGAAGTAAGACAATCAGAATAGTTTACGGATTATTTGTGAATAATCATCTTGTAGAGACGTATACAGTCTGTGGTTCGGAGACATGACAAATACAATACTAAATGTCAGCATTCCTTGCAATTAATCGACATCGTCTGGTGCAAAAAAGCCCAAATTCAACTACCAACAGTGGGAAGGCAAGCAAATATGCTTATGCTTTAGGACCGAGAACAGAATTTGAGATTAGTAGTATCCTCTACAAAGACAAATCAGAGGGCGTCATAATCATCTCGGATATCACAGCACAGACTAACGCTGGGCAACCTAATGCACAAGGCTACTACTGCAGCAGCTCGATATCTGCTACTGAGATCGTGAGGATATTCCATTAGAATTTCTGCCAAAAGATCAAAGTTCAGGATAGTGAATTGAAAAACGTATTCTACACATGACAAGGTAATGTCTCGGTTGCCAGTGCCGGGCTGTTTGCTGTTCTCGATTCTCAAATCACCAGGGTTTAACAGTCTCAAAGTGATACAGCAAATTTGTAGAGAATATGGGGCTGAGCTAGTTTATATTTAGTATTACCCGGCTGAGGCGAGCGTTCCATAAAGGCTCCGTCAATAAGATGTGCAAATGTTTGCCTGTATTTTTCTACACATTGCTAGATGACGATTTGACAGCTTGGCATATCATTCTGCTTGACCATTCAGGTTGATATGGTCCAAGATGAAAAGTTAGGGCGACCAAAACGCAAAAAGCAAAAGCAATGGACACTGTGGGAATTGAACCCACGACCTTTCACAGACTCGCACTACATCTCAACTGTGAACAATTGTCCCGCAGCGTTGCAGCTCATGCGAAGCGAAAATCATACCCCTAGACCAAGCGCCCGCTTATTGATGACAAATCAACTTGCCAACGACACTATCATCTGCTTCCCGGCTAGATTCCTGAGGACCACGAAGAAAGCTGAATCCATGTTGCTGAGATTTGATATCGGGAGGCTTTGGTCCGACCTTGTAGCAGCGGAGGAAATCAAGGTTTATGAATGAGAATGCCTTGCTCATAATCATTTATGACATGCAAGAATCCAGATAAAGTCCCTGATACTGTTAGTAACATGTCTGGCCTAATATCATCTCGACCAACCTCACCAGACACGAAGTCGACTTTACTGAAAATCGGGAACTTGTGTGCTCTTCAAAGATACTTCATTCTTCCTTTGGGAAGTTTCAGGACTTTAGGCGTTCTCATTTAGTCTTCGCCGTACGGGTCAGGTTTTAGTTTCCGAGATGATTGTGTTTGCAAAGCTGCACCATGTCAGGCCCTTTGAATCTACAACAAGAACTGCATGACCAGTCACTGGCTTAAATAGCTGCAAGTTCACGAATTAGCAAAAGAGCCTGCGGCAAGTACCTAATACAATGAAATATCTCATCATCGTTATAGACCACAAAAGTTGTGAAAAACTCGATTTTCATTACAGCGTAACACACGCGGAATAAGGGGAAAGAAGAAGACCTAGAAACTACAAGTTTACCAAACATCTAAAACTTGAAGCAGTGTTAGAGGTAGATGAGAAAAACTTGATGCAAGTTTACTGTATTGATGTGCATGCGGTAGTGTAACTGGGATATAGTAGTTTCGCTGCGTACAAGGTGACGGATACAAACAGATGCCACGTTTGGCTACATAGACAAATGGAATCTTATGCAATGTGTTCTAACTCAGCAATCAGAAAGGCGAATTCGGCTTTCTTTGCGACCAAAAGGGCTGAAAAGACTCTTCGCCCAGTCCCAAGCGTGAATAGCAACGCTCATGGATCCAAACAAGAACATGGGTATCACAGTATTAGCAAACAGGTACAGCATTCCACCGGACTGCTTGACAATGTCAAACAGCTCCCCACGCATGATTCGCAGGGATTCTTCCTCGTTTTTCCAAGGTCCAACCAGACGAAACTTGGAATTGAAGTTACTTCCCATAGCCCAGGTGAAAAGGGTACGGAACCCCTTGGAAGAGACGTAACTAAAGCGTGGTGCAGAGCCCATGTCAAGAGCTAGTTGATAGACGTAGCTCTCATGGTCGACACCGCGCTTCTCTGCCCAAGGGTCCCGACCACACCGGGCGTGCAGCTTCCAGTCGATGTCGTAACCGGGTAATGCGTTGCGGTCAAGAGGAAGGTTGCCTTCTGATGTAGTAAGGCCGGGAATGGAGGGATACTTTGACTGAAGGAGACGGAGAATCCAAAACTGGGTTTGCATCTCGGCCAAGGGGGGAATAGCACCTTGACAGCGTTAGCAAGGTCCAAAGAATCAGAGAAACCGGCTACAAGCACAAGAAGGGAAAACAACTTACCCAAGTTGGGTCTCACAAAACCAATAAAACCCACAGATACATCGTTACTGTGGTAGACAGCTCGCACATCCGCTGAATCAGGGGTGCCGTAGCTGTCGTCTAGGAACGGGAAGCGGCGAGTATAACCTGTCGCCATTAACACTAAGTCCGGCTTGACGGTAATCCCTTTCATTCTCTCTGCTTCCGGTCTTCCATTATCCATGAAGTGCATTATGCCGTCATCGTCGACGTAGTCAGGCCAAGGTGCTACATCAATATACCGGCCCTTCGGATCGATATCGAGCTCCTTTATGTGGAAAAAGAACCTGCGAATACGCTCCATAAACGAAAGTGGCTTACGCCAGGGTGCTGATATGTACGGGACAGCTCGGGCGGATTTTGCTGGAAAAACTGTGTTACCTGTCAGTTGGCTACTCTTGTTAAGAGGAAAGTTGAGGAAACGGACAATGATCGATGTGCATTCTCTCACGGCGCAATCCCCCTACCAACTGGTCCCACCCCTCAAGAGTTCCTCCTATAAGCGAGAAGGTGACATCGATTTGCTGGTTGTAGAATTCCCAGAGCAGCTGGCTCGATTGTAGCTTCGGTGGTACATAGGCGGTATCGAACAGACTTGCGATAGAACAGTCTACTGGCTTCTCCTTGATCTTGTGATCCTTGCCCCAGAAACCAAACATGGCCGGAGCCGGTACAGTCTGCAACGGTTAGCACATCTCCTAACAACAAACCCTGGCAACACAATACTACAACTTACTTTTGGTGCTACGATAAATCCATCGCGATGACACATAACAACGTGCTGGATGTTCTCGGTTGTCGCGGTAATTTCGCCCAAGTCCTGCGCTGTCTCCCCCGTGCCGACGATAACAACAGTTGGCTTCTCGCTTTTGATAGCCCGTAGCTGATCCCGAGTCTTGAAATCCGAAGAGTGGAGTACTTTGGGAACCCTTTCAAGGCCTTTGATGGGTGGAATGCGAGGTTCGACATTGAGGCCCGAACACACGGCAACAGCATCGCATGCATAGTCGAAGGTGGTCCCGTCATGTTTGGTGACAGTGACAAGATGTCCTCCGTCTTTAGTTCGACGAATGCGGGTTACCGGCGAAGAACATTCGATAATTGGCCGGAGCTGGAAACGGTCGCAGTATTCATTAAGGTACTGTACATAGAGGTCTGGAGTGAGGTAGTCAGGAGCGTCTCGAGGCAGCCGATGGTCGGAGAAGGCGGTCAGATATTTGGACGACACAAGCTGTAAGGATAATGTCAGCTACATAAACTTTTATAAAAGACATGTGACCAACGAAGGTTCGAGTCTAATAATATCAAACTCACCTCGGCATCCTCGTAGACACGATACTTGAAGGTCCCGCCAATGTCTTCTTCTTTTTCGAATACGCGGACCTCGATGGGCTCAATCGCAAAGAAATGATGTGCCCATTTGAGATACCGCGCCGTTGACAGACCCGCGGGTCCGGCGCCGATGACAGCGACTTTGAATGGCATGGTTAGCGCGTGTCCCTAAATCAGGACGTGCCCTTCTTGCAGGGTCTTCCGTTGTTATGAAACATCAAGCGGACAGAGGTATTTGGAGAAGGCCACACCCTTTACTACCCGCAAGGATACGGATAGAGGAACGAAAACAGCACAATCGAGTGGATAGTAGGGAAAGGGGAAAATTCCGCCCATGGGATGATGGGGGGGAAATTGAGGCAGTCTTATGGCTTACCTCCCTTGTCCGCACAGACTACGCGACAATAGGATGGCGGCCATTTGGTGGATGAGGGCTAGAAACGGGGAGGGTGGTAAGGTCCCCGATCTAGTCCCTGGATTTGCTTGCCTGGATGTCAGAAACTTCGGGCAGATGGTACTCCAGCTCAAACACGGAAGAGGATTAGGACGGCATCCAACCCCGAGCTAATGAATCCGGCCCCGTACGGTACGTACGTACTCTACTTCCACAAACCACCAAACCCAGCGCTCTGGATGGCCCCTCCACCTTTGGGTTAACGCAATTGGGAGGTTCAGGCTTGTGGGTTGGCCTTGCCAAGAGTGTAGTAGCGCAACCTAACCCATGGCGTTATGACAAGGAATTTCCTTGTTCTTGTCATGAGACTCTCGGGACTTGAGAGGGGTAAGTAATCTTTGCAGCGTGGGCCACTCAATGGAAAGTGATCGTCCTTGGGTTTACAATTATCGATTGTCTTAGATTGGCCGAGGATGCAGGCTTCTAATCTTCGGGAACGTGAAGTGGGTACTGTAATCACGGCTCTTGAGGGGCGAGTTCATCAGCGTACCATCATATGAGCCGTTCTATCGGTACGAGCGGGTCGGGTCCCCCCCCTGGGCCTGGGTCCGGCTTTCGAGTTGGATTCTGGGACTGGGACAGAAGCAGCCGCCATGCGGCATTGTGGCGCGTAGAGAATCTTGTGGGAGACAAAGAACAACGGCGCCCACCCGGTGTTTCCGGCCTTGGTGCTGGGCTAGAATTGGGTCCATAAACTATATGAACACACTGGTTGGTTGTAGCCACCTCGGCGTTGGGCCTGACCTCCATCGGCTATTTTTCTCGAAACAAAAGGCCATCCCAATTTATACTATTCCATCACTTCTCATGAATTCTGTCATTTTTCCTGAACCTGTGATCCGCTCACCAAGTGACAAAGATCTTAGCTTGTAGTGCTTGACCGACATTTCCGCGAAACTTGATTCACCAAGCTAAGGCCCAACAATTGTGCCCTCCCATTCTTTCGGGATGAAGGGATTCACCCCCATTTTTCCAAACTTGAGGGAGTGGTCTTGGCGGTATTATACAAGTTTCGTCAGATTATATCCCACTCACAGTTCGGGTTACTAGTCAGCTACTGCATATCCGTTACTAAAAGGTAGAGTGACAGGTGATCTTATCATCTTCAAGGCCTCACTGTGACCAATGATGCTTCACTTATTGTTCAAACCCTTGCTTCAATCGTCACGTTCAATTCTTCAACCACGTTTCGCTTACGGGTAGTCCCGTTTGTCGCACCGCAGGACGCGCAAAAATACCCCTGCGTTTATTGCTTCCAGGCATTGTCCCACCCCATCTCTTGTCTATGTCACCTCTCATGTGAAATTACAACCAAAGACCCCTTGGCTAGAATTAGTGACCCTGTCAAACTGGGTCACACACGTATACATCTAGCAAAACAGTGCCCAATACTCCAAGTGTCTGGTTCTGGGGTCATTCGGATCCGGAGCCTTCAGGGCCCCCGATCTGCACATCTCTAGCTGCAATTGGAAAGTTTTTTGGTACCTTAGTATGCTGCCGAGCCCACAGCGAACATGTGTTCTGCAAGAAACCTGGCACTCGGAACTTTGAGACACCGAAACAGCCAATCCTGTATCGACACGTTTGCTGCTGTTTATTTCGTGAGATAATGCTCTGTAAATAGTTATGTAGTTGGATGATAGATAACCTTTCTACTGTGGGACTGTGTTGGTAGATATGATGATATCTGAGGCAGATGAGCTTGTGATTTCTATTACAGCTGCTGCACTATAGCCGGCCCCCTTTTTGCGCATCGATTTGTTGTTCGCGCTCATATAGGCCTGCCGGCTTTTTTTGACCTGTGGATACTTTTATAGCAGTTAACTTAAACCTGAGTGCCTTATGGAGCCTAAACTGATCGGTCCTCGCAACCGTCCTCAAAGGCTTCTTAGTCTTCATCCCATCACTTATCATAACATCATCGAAAAGGTCTCTGAAGTTTCAATCCAGATTAAGGAATCATAAAATACCAAATCAACATTGTATCTGTAACAAGAATTAGAAGTAGTTCGAACGAAGTGAGTAAGTTTAAAACAAGCACCGAAAGCTCTCGTAGTTGAGAATGGCTGCCTCCGCGGGATCTTAAGTGTATAATTGTTAAACTAGCAACGGCTTGTTATCGCAATTGTATAAGCCAGATGAAGAAATACTCGGATCCATAACAGTACTTAGGCAAGAATAACCGGTACTTTGGATTGCCTTGGAGCTACTACCTTTCGAATAACAGTGCAGCGCTGCGCTCAAGTGTACCAAGGACAGTGGTTCAGCCCAACTTCCTTGTCTGGGCTTGAGTTTTTACCGTTTCTCTAAACACCCCTAACGCTTTTATATCATCTTTTAGATCCTCCATATCCTGACTTCCCTTTGAAAACTCATCCTCGGTCACTGGCAAAAATACCCAGGGTCGGAAGTTTTGGGATCCTACATCGAGAGGTTCAGGAGAAAACGCAACGTAGAACGGCACTTTTAGCTCCGCCATCCGAATATCTCGACGGTAATTCAAGTCCTGGAATTTGTTATGCGCATCGGCTTTTGTTAACATGAATAAGTGGCCAGATGGAATTGCGGTGGGGGGAGGCGAGTTCTCTACCCAATGGTCACTCATTCTCACCCTAGACCAAGTGGTATGTGTCTCTGTAGCTCCCATCTTGAAGACTACCAGTGAGGGCATGTTGGTACGCCAGTGGTCAAAGAAATGACGCCATCGAAGGTTAGGTTGGTAGTAAGCAACCCAAGGATCCTGGCTGTGACCTCCCCTCCAAGAATCCGGCAGATATCCGTGGTTTGAGACCCTTATTTCGTTCCCGTCGACATCTCTAACACAGAAGCCATCGATATCCGCCTCTTTTGGATTTATGTAACAGTATGCGACTGATAGAAGAACGCATTCATCCAGATAAAGTTCCCGTAAACCACATCTTCCAAGAGACGCGATCCAGTCCATCTGCCACTCATGACTGAAGCAATACCTGGACAATGAAAGAACTCTGAGATGCGGAAAACCCGCTTCTGGGTGATCTCCTGGGTTTATGCAGCGAAAATCAAACTTTGGGTAGTAACCCCAGATATCGTCATAATGAAGAGATAATACGGTGAGGTTGCGAGCAGCAGCGGGTGTAAACCACTTGGGTAGGCAGTCCACAACAAATCGCACCCTACTTCGTGGTTCGAAAGTATACGTCTCGGTGTATTCATCGCTTTCGCGTAATTTCTTCTTATCAGGGGCGATCATAAGGTTTAGCTTCCTCAGACTGGGCAAAGAGGTTATCTGCTTGAAGACCGGCCACTCTGTAAATGGATCCATTGTGTCGCCTTGGTCATTTACTTCGTGAAGTCCATAGTCTAGCGTATTAGCCTGGGCGAGATTGGTGATTGACAGCTGCTCTATATGGATTGTAGGTCGCTCCTCTTTCAAAAAGCCCCAGTACGCCTCATCTGTTATCCCAAGTTTTGCCGTCAGGTGCTTCATAAGACCGTGTGATACAACAGATTCGTCCACAGCGTTAGCGTTTGAATCCAGAATGCGACTTCCGAGAATGCAGTGAAATGTTGCAATCATCACCCAATGCCTGATGCAATATCTCGTGTCATAATCAACGCCAGATCCGGTTTCGTGACTAGAAAGCGGAATATCACTGCCACGGTTGAACACTAAGTTCAAAGTCTTCAAGCCTGAATAAAACCGTATGAATGGTAAAGCTTTGAAGAATTCTCTAGCTCGGAACGATGTGTCGTCATTAATATTCAGCGAGCGAGAACTGCCCCTGGCGTCGAATGTAATCTCCCTGACATATCGCCTAAGTTTCGGTGTTTCCGCAATCCGTTCGAACCGTTTTGAGCTTTTGGCGTCGAGCTTGATGTGCTTGAAAGCTTCGGGGGTCGCCGCAGCGTAGAAGGATTTGCTGGCTAGACGCGCTGCGAATTTCTTTGAAGGCGGTAAATGTGAGACAATGAGCTGAATCACCTCAACTGGCATCGTTCGAGCATCTGTTTGGGCATGCTCCATACTGCTGGATATGGGCGGTCAATAGCGGCTTGCTATTGTAGAATTGAATAGGACGAGATTCAGCGCATATCCGAAGGTTCAGTGATGGACGACGTTGAAGCGGGCATGCACTGCCATACACAATCAGACCATACCTAATGGAAGTGTGCATCTACGAGAGCGAGTATGCAGGTGGCCATAATTGGAATCGCGCAACCATTTATCTCGCGTTTTTGCCCGGCTATGCCTCCAGCGTAATTTTGTAGCAAACCCCAATGTGGACTTACCAAAGAAGCATTATCTTACATGGCGTACGTCATGTTGCCTAACCTGTTACCCACAGTGACGAGGACTAAATGCGCCCGGTAAAAAGCTGACATGAAGCTCTAGGTTTCCATGGGAGTAAAACAAAACAAAGACGAGTTATAAAAGGACTACAAACCTGGATCTTATCCCATTGCCAGTTAGCTAATACTCCCAATGACAAGTTGATATTCATGCCATACCCAGCCTCGTAGAGACGACTTTCAAGTTCGAGACTTTTTCAACCTGAGGGTCTCCCTAGCTAAGGTATGCTAACCGATGCACGCTTGACTTTTACAGACGCCAGGTGTAGTTGACAAGAATTTCACTTTACAAAAGATCCCATCACAGTCTTCGTCTGATGTGAATCCAGATGGTGGAGATTAGTGGTTCATTGCAAGCACGCGATACTTCGTTTTCCTACGCGGCCCACAAGCAGCGCGATTTGAGACGAAAACACGTAGTACCTGATTTCTAGCCAGATATATTGACTATTTAATCACTGGACGCTCAAGGACATTTAGGTCTTCGCCAAAATCAGAAGCAGGTGGTTGGTCCTCAGAGCAATCAGTCTTCCTTCAAGAAGCATTCTTGGCCCATTCATCCGCCGAGTGCTAAAGCAATACGTGTATCCCCTGGAATTAGCTTGCGTGACCTGGTCCACTTGTCCAACAACCAAGCAGGCAGGCAATCACGACTTGGGGTTAGCGCTTATGGGTGCTCTGCTAGTCTAGGCACAACCAGGAACGGCGCTATGCCGTTTAAGGCACCATTCTGCGCCTAACATTCGGAGCATCGAACTTATTGTTGCGATAGTTGGAATACGGAGCCGTGTGGCACTTCCAGCCACACGCCCGCCAGGCTGAGAGGCCCAAGCCTCCCAGACCCACGTGACAGGCCAAGGGGGAATATCCCCACCTTCTAGTCAACAACACCACTTTCAACTATAATCATGAACCATCGATTAGAACCAATTTACTGTTATTTGTTATTGACGAACGGAATTCCGTTTCACCCCCTGTTTCACCCCCTGTGAAACCTACACTGATCAGTGGTAAACCTCACAGTTGCCATTAATTTGGTTAACTTCACAATTACCACTCTGCTACGGACAAACCGCAGATCAGCAAGGTCAACACCAGAAGAGACGACTTCTTGAACTGGATACCCAAGCCCAGGTAAAAGTAGGGATTTCGTGCTAACGAGAGAAGAAGCGAGAGTAACTGGGATCTACGGAAACCAGCAGAAGAAAGCTTCTTTTCCTCGAATCTACCAGCAATCCGATTATTCGAGTAACCTAGGGACTGCTACGCTCACCCTAGGCGGGATAAGGTTAATCGCAGCCAATTATCGCTGGCAAGAGCGTTCCATCACGCGTTTTCAATCACCAGAAGAAGAGACCTACCGAATCGACGGTCTTCCAACCTCTTCACGCCACAAGGGCGAAGATTCACGAATCCCACAAGGGACAACAACTTCCCCAACTACAACTATCCCCCACGCGCGGTGCCAATCACGAGGCGCCCGCTAGTTTCTCAATAAATCCCCAGACGAGGTGCCAACCGCGAGGCGCCTGCCACAAGAGACCTCCCTACCAGAAGAAGAACACGCCGAAAGGCGAGCGGAGACTACCGGCGGTAATCCGCCTATACAGCTATACGTATACGCCTCCGAGGCTGCGGCTTAGGAGAAACGCACGTGGTTGTGGGCGTCATAAGGCCAACTGTCCGCTAGATTCTAAACTTCCCAACAGTGAGGAGCGAAGCCCGAAGCGAGAAAGAGAGATTCACGAGAGAATCTACGGTAGAACTCTCTCCCTACCAATTCGAGACCTGTGTATACCCTCACACCCCTCGAGAACATCAGCGAGAACGGCGCCGACGGAAACAAACGACGAACCGACGAAAATCCCCGATTTCACGATTCTTTCCCCTTAGAATCGTAATATCCCGAATCGTCTTTTGACTCCCACTTCCAGGCCTGCATCTTGCACCAATCGCAGCTGACGCTGTTGAGGATTAGAATTCAAGATTCTAAACAGAAGTAATCCTTTTATACTGTCAGAATGGAGCGAAATTCACGAGAAGGATCGCCCGCGAGCGGCGTCACTGCCAAAAGCCAATCAACAGTCCCCATCCCACAGAGAATCGAAAGTATGATCGATCCAGCAGTATGGGGCAACTGGGCAATCGACCTTACAAACGCTAGCCCACAGCAACTGGGTTCCTATATGGGTTTCCTACTTGAGACCTATGAGAAGAGGAATCTCACGGGCCTCGAGCTATGGAACGAAGTTTCTCCCGATTTCGCCGACTGGTCAGAAGAAGACTTCCAGAACGTACCTCCCCCAATCCTACGATTCTTCAGAGACTATTTAATCGGTAACGGCGTCTACGTCGAAATGGATGGCAAGAAAATCTCGAAAAACGTGGCATTAGCCCTCAAAAAGGAAGAATTCCACTACTGGTCACCCCAAGAACTCGAACAAGGCGTCAAGAGATATCGCAACCTGAAGGCTCTGATAAAAGACCCCGAATTCCACGAAGAGATCACGAGACCGGCAACAGTAGCCAACAGCACAGGAGGAAGAGTCGAACCAACCCTACAGCCACCTCCTCCACAAGAACAACAACAGTGGCAACTACCGTACCGACCGCCACATCCCACGGTCTCTCCGTTAACAGACTTCCAACCATACGAGTCAACAGACCGTATCGGAAAGCAATTAACAGAATTCGCGAAACTATACCCCGACGATATGAAATACAGCGGCGATATGTACGATGTACGCGAAAAGAAGGGCTGGACCGGACCGTTTACTTTAGCAGCCATAAACGGCGAAACCTGTACTGTCGATACGCCACGTGGTCCGAAGACCTTCCGGTCTACCGTAGTCAAACCATACTACGAAGATCCCGATCAACCACCTAATTCCATCGCCGCGCCAGAAGAAGAAGAACCCGAAGCTGAGATACCGCAGCAGGAAGTAGTACGCGACGAAATTATCGTCGCCGGCGGAGGCAGTGAACCGGACGAACCGCAAGAGGCACCGGAGCCACCGAGAAGACGCCCGGGCAGACCCCGGAAGAGACCACTGCCAATCGCCCACTTCACAGAGGAATTCAACGATGACCCGGATTATCAACAAATATTCCTATCGATTAAGGAGCAAGCAGACGAAGAATTGGCAATCAAACTACGACGAGAAGGTGTTATTACTACACCAGGCGAACCGTTCGAACAGTCAACTAAACAAGAGATCAACAGCCTCATCGCTAGAGGAGTGTTCAAATTCACCCAGTTCAATAAGAGAAGGCACCAGAACGTACGAATCTTCCGATCTCGTATCGTCAACGAAGTCAAGGGTAAAACAACCGAACCCTACGAGAAATCGAGACTTGTAATACAGGGTTACGCCGACGATGGCAAGAAGGCTATATTGACCCAATCGCCAACGATTCAGCGGGCGAGTCAACGGCTAATTCTGTCAATTACCCCGTCACTCCTACGAGAAGGGAAACAACTATGGCTTCGAGATATCACACAAGCCTACGTTCAATCCTCCACAAGGCTCAATCGTACTATTCTCGCCTACCCACCGAAGCAAATTCAAGACCAGTACCCAAAAGGGACCATTATGGAGGTTGTGAAGCCTCTGTACGGAATCGCAGAAGCTGGAACCCACTGGTGGGCAACGTATCACAAGCATCACAGAGAGAATCTCCAGATGGTTACTTCTTCGTACGATCCATGCCTATTGATCTCATCTACCGAAAATCCACACTTTGGCTGTATCGGCATGCAAACCGACGATACCCTCGGTTTGTCAGACAAGGCGTTCTCACAATTAGAAGACGAACAGTTAGAAAAAGCGGCTTTTACGGCAAAAGCGAAGAATATCCTCACAATTGACGAACCCCTCCAATTCAACGGAGGGATAATCGCGCTGTCAACCGACAATTCGATCAATTTGAGGCAAAAGGGACAAGCCAAGAAGTTACGATGTATTGAGACTACTAAACCCAACCCAAAACAGCAATATGTCGAACAACGCGCCAGAGGGGCGTACATCGCGTCAATTTGCCAACCCGAGGCCTGTTTCGATTTATCCACTGCTGCCCAACACCAAGACCCCTCGCCAGAAGCGATAAAAGCACTGAATCAACGGATTCGATGGCAAATAGAATCGCCTAACCGAGGAATAACGTTTATCCCACTCGACCTTACAACAGCCAAGCTATTCGTTTTCGTTGACGGGTCGTTCGCTAATAACCACGACCTCTCCTCCCAATTAGGGTTTCTGATCATCCTAGCCAACGACACTTCCTCTGACAGCAACAACGGAGAATTCACGATTCACGGTAACCTCGTTCATTACAGCTCTACGAAGAGTAAACGAGTCACCCGCAGCGTATTAGCGTCAGAGATCTACGGGATGGTCGCTGGCGTCGATATGGCCTACGCCCTCGCCACAACCCTGGCGACAATCACTGACCACCTCAACCTACCAACGATTCAGACAGTTGTCTGTACCGATTCTTATTCGCTGTACGAGTGTCTCGTGAAGCTGGGCACTACCAAAGAAAAGCGACTCATGATCGATATCATGGCGTTGAGACAATCGTACGAAAGACGAGAACTACAAGAAATTCGTTGGATTAACGGCGAAGACAACCCTGCTGATGCCCTCACGAAGAGCAAACCAAATCGAGCCCTCGAGAGATTCGTTGATAGCAACACGATAACGATACGTATGGAGGGATGGGTAACAAGACCGTAACTACGGGAGAAAGTAGGGATAGGAGGCCGAATTGACGAGGAGACGGAACTGTATAGGGACAACGTATTCCAACCGCTTCAACACCATAAAAAGAGAGTTTCCAGTGTTGCGATAGTTGGAATACGGAGCCGTGTGGCACTTCCAGCCACACGCCCGCCAGGCTGAGAGGCCCAAGCCTCCCAAACCCACGTGACAGGCCAAGG